TATTCCTTGTTATTCTTGTAACACTTTGGTAAATATGAATCCAAGATATGATGGCACTTCATGTGATAGAGCATTTACTGAACCAGACTATTTATCTTCAGGCTTTGCGGCCAATACAGCAGTTAATTTAAATGTAACCATTCCATTCAACGAATTATATGAATCCATTTTATCATTGGATAAGGATATTATGTTGAATGAAACATTATTGGTTAGATTTGTTTGGTCAGAATTACCAAATATTGGTTTTGGTGCAGATGCCTCTCTTACTCCTCAAACAAGTCCAGTTGCTTTAACAGCTCCTGCTGGACCCAATGTACAAGGTATGGAAATACATTTAGCAGTTGAAAAGAGATTTGATATTATTCAAAATTTACAACAAAAGATTGCAAGCCCAGAAGGATTCTCTTTACTTATTCCTTATTGTTATACTATAACAGCATCACTTACAGGTACAAATCAGCCAGTATCATTAAGATTAAATAGACTAAATGGTATTACTTTGGAAAGAATTTATCATAGTTTATTTGTTACTGCTTCAGTTGCAAACTCTGCCATCTACAACAACAATGTGGCTGCGACAAATTTGGAACATTTTTACACCAATATTAATAATACAAGGCGAATGAATACGATTATTATCCAATTGTAAGTGATGATTATAAAGCAAATGGATAGATTCAACAATTCAAACACCAAATATTCACAACTATAATTGGTGTTGGTTGGATAGATTTGATGATGGATCATTTGGTTTGTTAGATGAAAATATTGTTTCTGGTATTGATTTAAATCTAGGAGAGGTTAAATGGGATTTTATTGCATTTTTAAGTGTTGCAACCAATCTTACTCATCAATCAACAGTGGTATGTAAAAGAAGATTAGTTATTACTTCAAATGGATTGACATTAATGTAAATATTATTTATTCATTATTAAATAATATAGGAAAATGAAATTCAACAAACAGACAATTATTAAAACAATCCCAATTAGTGGTATCAATCCTGGTGGTCATGCAAGGTTGATGGTTCAAATGAATTAAGATTTTGTTCCAGATCTTATTACATTAAAACTCTATAGTTTGGATGGAACACTTCATATTGGGGATGTGTGCACAATTAGAACTTCATTGATTAGTGACAACAACCTTTTTTCCTTTTCAAAAATATCCACCACCAATTGTAATTTACATTTTACAAACAAAAGTGGAGCCATTATACAAGGAGCTTATTATTTTGAATGTGTGGATCAAAACAACAATTATTTGGAAAATGAATTGGAATTTGCAGCTGTATTTCAATTTACCAAATTTTAAAATCAACATATATATATAAATGATAAAGCTAACAAAAATCAATAATGTCATTGTGGAACCAATCAAACTACCACAACCACCAAAAAATGTAAAAGGATCGGAATTATTTAATCAATTAAATGCAAATATATTGGTATGTGCTCCAAAGAATAGTGGCAAGACTGTTGTTTTTAAGATTATAGATGAATGTACTAACAAACAAACAAATGTTTTAATCTTTTGCGCAACAGTTCACAATGATCATAGTTGGTTGGAAATTCAAAAAGATTTGGATAAAAGAGGAATAACATTTATGCCATTTACTTTTATTTATGATGACAAGGCAAATGTATTAGAGGCATTTATTCAAAGTTTACAAGTGCAACCAAATGAAAATAGTAAACCATTGATATTGACCAATAATACTGTGGCAGAGAAATCATCAAAAAAAGAAGTGGCACCAGATTATTTAATTATTTTTGATGATTTATCAAATGAATTAAAAGATCAAAGTATTAACAGTAACTTCGTACAAAGATGAAAATGACTAAAAAGTTACTGTTACAAATGGAGAACAAATTTATAGATGGAGGAATAATAAGTTATTTGTAGGGTGATTACATAAAAAATTAGACCCCTATAATTTTTTTTTTTTAAAAATCTGAGACGAACTTCATCACCGCTGTCGTCTTATGTGTTTTTATTTATGTGTGTGGTAGTTAGCGAATTGGATCGTCTCGTTGTCCTCAGAACTGGCGTAACTAGGGTTTTCCCGGATTTCGGTTAAGTTAACTTATTGGCCACCATCGGAATCGTTTGAGATTGGTCTCTAAGGGGGACTCGAAACTTCGACCTGTTGGTTCTAACGCCTTGTCTCTGACCCCTATTTTTTTTTTTTTTTTTAATAAAATCTTTGACCTCTTCATCACCGCTGAAGTCATATTGTTTATTTTTAAATTAATGATTTAATTATTATTGTTGTTTAATTTGGAGTAGTTGTTAGATAGTGGTTAGTTCTAGTTAGGAAGGAGGGAATGCGATAGGGTGTAGCTAGTTTGCCCCAAATGAGAGAGAATTTACTAAAGTTTGCGATCAGTTCGAGATTAGTGACCGACCATCGATCAGGTTGACATTTAGCTAGAATCGACTTGCAGTTTTGGATTAGTTTCAGGTATTCAAGATAGATTATAGTTTTGAATCGTTTGGTAACGATTGTTACTTCGTTTGGGTCGAGAGAGTAGTTGCGATCGTCATCGTCAAAGTCGAATTGCACATTCAGGTGGTGGCACCATGTGCGATGGAAGAGTATAGCAACAGCATTGACATAGCGTCTGTGATGTGTTCTCTGCTTGGTGAAGTTGAGAGCGTGGACATTCCACTGCACTCTGTTGTCGGTCCAGTCGAGAATCAACTTGCTAAACAGTGGGGCTCTTGGTTGGACGTGTATACATTCAAACAAATGGTGTATGATTGGAGATGTGTGTGTATCCCCATCGAATACAGTGTGGCATGCGTAGCATATTGTATTGGTGTCAGCTGGGGTACGTTTCATTATTCTGGCAAAGAAACGAAAGAGGGTGTCTCTTGCTGTCGTGCATTTGACGCTTGCCACGACGGCAAATATTTGCTCGATGTTGGTACCAAAGAGAGCCTCGATCTCTCTTTGACCGACGGTCTTTTGGTTGACCTTTGGTAGTCTGGTTGCTTGGAGAGCAGAGTAGATTTGCTTTAATTCGATTGGTGTATTTGGCTGGTCGGGTCCCTCCTTGGCAGGGATGTGTTTTGGAAGATAGGGACCAAACTCGGTGAATGGTTTGTCGTACGTGGCACGATACAGCTGTAACCATGCTTCCCAACATGTTTGGAAGTATGTGGAGCTGTTGGTGAGGGTGCCTGGGCGTAGGTACTCGCCGAGTATATGGTTGGTCCACACCCTGCGGTACGAGATGGGGTTGTTGGAAGGGTCGGCAAGGAAACGATTCATCGTCCATGCCTTTTGCGCAACTTGTCTGACGTCCATGTCCCAGAGGCCGATGCCTCCCTTTGTCCAATGTAGTGCTGCTCTTGGGCGAGCTATGCTATTTTTGTATTTATTTGTTTTGACGTAAGTAGAAGATGACGGCGAGTAGAGATACCAATTAATTAAACTGTTCAGTTCGCTAATCTCTTCTGTATTTAGTGACTCGATGTACAAAAAGTATGTGAGCTTGGATAGCGAGTATGTTTTGACGATTGCCATCGCTGCCCTCAGCGATACTCTGAATGGTGACCACTTGGCAAGTGAGGAGCGAATGGAATTTAGTATCTTGGGGGTCTGTCGATCTATGCCATTCCTTGTGGCACCAAACCCAAGGTATCTTTCGGTGCACGTTGCTACAGGGAATGGGAAAATATAAGACCCCTATAAATAGGGGAAAACTCCAAAAAAATAGACGCTAAAATGATGGATTATTAGCTCAGTGGTAGAGTAGAGGACTGCAAATCCTTTGGTCACAAGTTCAATCCTTGTATAATCCTTTTTGCTGTTTTTTTCGCATGGGGGGTGGAGAGCTGAGACCTTTTTTTTTTTTTCCTGAATCTGCTGACTCGTGGCTACAATTATATCCAAGTTTCATCGATTTTGGACATATCTGCATAGTTAAAAAGCCATCATTAATCAAACTGGTTTTTTTTTGCATGGGGTGGAGAGCTTTTTTCTTGCCTTTCCTGAATATACAAGAATAACTAAAAAAAAGGGTCCCGGCGAGATACCATCCATGTCGATATGTGTACCTGACAATTAATACTTTACACCAATATTTAAAAATAACCTTTTCCAGTTTTAACTATTGCTCTAGCTGATGTTTTGAACTAAAGACCAGTCGGCACTCCAACTCTTCTTGACTGAATACTGCCAATGGTACTGCATATTGTTGGGTTTCTCCCTTTTCCCAACCAAGACATCTGGCCAGTCTTTTCGAATCCAATTCATCAACATCTGGGAAGGGGTTTCCAAACATAAATTCATCAAAGCTTGATATGATCTGTGCGAGAATATATGTTCTATATAGTATAAATACTAAAGACATGTCACTGACCAAACTGTTGTGTGATTTGAAAGAACAACTTTTTTCAACCCAAAGGCTTTTTACCTCTTCTTGTGTGTAGCTACACATGTTTTAGTAACCAATTATCAGATAGGATGACATAGGGTAGTTTGATCGTTTGAGGTTGCAAGCAAATACTAAATACTAAATACTATGTCTCTAATCCAACCAATCAACATGTTATTAGTTGTACAACTATTAGCTCTAGTAGTACATAAGAATAAAGATAGTACTATGAAATTTTTTTTTTTAATTGACGATTTTTTTTTCTTTCTGAAAAAGTTTAAAAAATCAACTGATGAAGATCATTGTTCATTTTATCATATTCATATTATCTTCTTCTTCTTCTTCTTCTTTTTCTTCCTATTTATTTATTTATTTATTTATTTATTTTATATTTATCAATCAAAGAGCAATGAATACAAATGAAATAGACCAAATCATCAACCAAATCACTAGTTCACTATCGCAGCTGCACGACCCACGCTCAACACAAGAGCAAAGACAATCGAGTCAAGTCTTTCTCGAAGAGCTCAAAACGCGACCCAACGCCTACACCTTTGCACTAAAGCTAGTACAAACACCACAAATCAACGATATAGCTAAACACTATGGTCTGCACGTCATTGAAAACCTAGTAAAGAATCGATGGAATCAAGCATCAGACTCTGAAAAAGAGTCTGTTAAAAAGGAGATACTACAAATCGTAGCAAACATATCGCCCAAAGAACAAAGATTCATCAAGGAAAAGATGGTCACTGTGATTGTAGAGATTGTCAAAAGAGATTGGCCACAAAGATGGTCAAACCTATTGGAATCACTTGTACAAATCTCTCAATTGGGTGATAGTCAAGCTGAACTTGTCCTTTTAACATTTGGAAAGTTACCAAGTGAAATCATTGTTGAAGGTGGTAGTGGTACTACTTCATCTGCAGCCTCTTCATCACTGCCAGATCAAAGAAAAAAGGATCTAATGATTGGTATAAACCTTGCAGTTGAATCACTCTTTAATTATTTCTATCAAGTATTGGAAAGTAGATATCAACTCTATAAACAACAATCACAAAATCAACCAAATATAAATATTATTTCTACACTTTTAAATTGTTTAATTTCTTATATTGATTGGATTCCTCTCAAGCAAGTATAAAATATAAATATTAACATATCTCATCCAAGTATAAAAAATATTAATATTACCTTTTATTTAGAACAATATTACAACATAAATTAGATTTTATATTTTGTCAATTATTACAAGATTTACCATTTAGAATCAATTCATGTGAATGTTTATTATTATTTTCAAATAGAAAATGTAAAATCGAGGAAAAGGGAGATTTATTGTCAACCTTTAACATGTTGGAAACCATACATAAAGCAATGGGAGTAACATCCAATTCATTTGAAGATGATTATGTATTTCAAAAAAGAATGGCTCAAATGTTGACCATTCTTGGTACAACTCATCTATCCTATTACTCTAGTATCAGAGAACAAGATAGAAAGTTACCAAACAATTATCAAAGTTTTTTACAAATGATGTTACAATTGTTACAACATCCAAGTGTTCTAATGACATCACTTTCCATCCCATTTTGGAATGCATTTCTTAAAAATCAAGATATCATCAAACCAATAGATTATATGGATAGTCTATTAAAAGAATTATTGGTTTGTTCACAATCTAAAATCCTCAAAGTTGGTGATCCCGACAAACAAGATCAAACCATTCAATCAAAATATTCATCAATCGATTTTGGTACTTCAAAAGAATGGGGTCAATTTTTTGGTACTGTTCGTAGTCGTTTTATTGATTTAACAAAATTAATTTCAAATCTCAGTGTAAGAAATATATAAACAAAAAAAAAAAAAGAGAACTATTTATTAATATTTTTATTTATTTCTATTTCTTTTTTAGCCTGAAATAGCAATTGAATTTATAATTAAAAAATCAATTGAAATGATACCAGCTATAAAATCAACCACTTTGGCATTGACACATGAACAAACATTAATTTTAGAATCCATTTCATTCTATCTTGAAGTAGTTGTTCAAAATTTACCTGCTCTATTTTTCCAAGTTGATTCAAAATATCAATCTTCAATTAAACTTACTGAACAATTACTTCAAGAATTATTTCAAAATGATTTTAAAGTAAGAAAAAAAAAGAAAAAAGAAAAAAGAAAATAATATTTATTAATTTTTTATTAATTTTTTTAATTTTATTTCTTAGGATGCAAATGCAACATCATTTCAAATTGATTGTATTAGACCATTTACAAGTTATTATTCACATCATGGATCAAGTTTACAATTTATATTAAAAAAGTTGGTACCATTGATTGCATTTAAAAATCCTACTTTGGATCAACCAAAAATGACAGTTTCAACTCAACATTGTAGAAGAAGAGCTATTAGTAGTTTGATTCATTTGGCAACTGAATTGACAGATCAAATGAAACCATTCCTAAATGATCTCTATCAATCTATTATTCAACTGTTTCAAATGGAATTATTATTGGATAGTGAAAAGGTTATGCTTTTCCACTTACTTATGATTTTTGCAAATGAATACAACAATTATCAACAATCACTTGGTTTCTTGAAAGAATTTATTCAACCAGTTTTAAATAATTGGGTTAGTTTAGATTTTACAAATGCATTTAAGTCACCAGAGAATCTTGTAAACTTTTTAGGACTAGACAAGGAAAATAATTATTCAACCGAATATATTGGTAGACGTAAAAAACTTCAATTCACAATTGCCTCACTTCAAATCTTTTGGAAAAAGGCTCAACTTCCATCTCAAGTGATCAATGCCACTGCAGGTGAATCTAGTCAAGGATTTATGGAATTTATTTCAAATGGTATTAGTTATCCTTCAAAATGGCCAATATCTGAATTTATTAAAGATATCCTACCAAATTTAGCTTCACTAGTCGCTACTCTACATCAACTTTGGAATCCATCCTTTATTCAATCCATCCCTGCTTGTTATCATCCAATCTTTCAATTGGATGAAGCAATCACTGCTCCACTTTTAGGTCAAGATTATCATAAAGATAATAAAAATGAATCTGAAAATATTAAATTCCTTAGAAATTTAATTGATCTCTTAAGAGAAGCTTGGTAAATATAAAAAGAAACAAAAAAGAAACAAAAAATATAAAATATATTAATATTAATACTTTTTAATTTTTATTTAGTTATGAAATAATTGGATATGGATTTTCACATTCTGATGAATTATTTGAAATTTCAACATTACCAAAGATTTTATTTGATTCTATTTTCTCTAGTTTGGAATTTTGTGAAAATAGACATTTGAAATTACTTTTGCGTCATTGTTTAATATTCCTTGTTAAATATAATCCACCAAAATTACAATCTCAAACTTTACAACCTTTATTACCTCCATTTATTACTCTACTATTTAACAAAATTAAATTAGGTTGGGAGGAAATTGAAATTAGATCTCAAAAGTATGTAAAAACAAAAAAAGAAAATAGAAAAAGAAAAGAAAATATTAATCTATTTTCTTTATTTTTATTTTTTAGGATAAATAATCATTCAGAAATGGTAGAAATTGTTGATGATAAAATACTTCGAGATTTAACATTAGAATTTACATATTGGATTAAAGATTTTTCAAGTCATCCAAGTATATTGTCAGATTTGGAAATTATGACACCAGTTATTTATGGTTTATCTGCTTGCTTACTATCAAATGATCATCAAATTGTTATCAAATCAACACCCATTTCTGTACATCTGATAGAGATTATTGGAGAGGATGCAAGATTCCATCATTTGTTGGGTAATGAAATGTTTGGAGTTTGTCTTAAAATGTTGATTCGAAACAAGACACCAGATTTGGCATCTGATTTTATCAATATTGTTCGTGCCATCTATCATAAACTCTACAAACATACCAATGTATGTCACCAACTATTACTGCAAATCCCAAACATTACACCTCAACATTTAAACAAGTTTGACAAGGATCTGAGTTACTCCAAATCTGAAAAGAATCAAAAGGCTCTCTTTAAAACATTCCTCAATGATATCATTGGTATCAATATCAACAAACTCAAGAAACCAAGTATCCTAGACTTGCCCGAAAAATTATTTGTTGCCAAACAAACTGGTACTCCTTCTTGGAATGATATTCCTCATTCTGCTAATACTATTGGTACTACTTTAACTGATTTATTTGATTAATCCAAAACAACAAAAATAAATAATACAAAACAAATATTTATAAATACACTCAAACCAATTTGGTCAACAATAATTTAATAATAATAATGTTGATTAAACAACTAAAGAATGCCCAAGCACATAATACATAAGATAGGGATGTTTTCGTCGTCCTCTCTTGAGAATGCAAGATAAATGAAGATCTAATTGTTTCAGTTTTAGAATTATTCAACCAAACCAAAGGATTTTTTTTTTTAGTTCCTGAGGAACCAGATTTTTTCGGTGATGACTACGAAATTTACATATTTTATTCTAAAATTGATCGCTTCAATTTCGACCTTTAGTTATATTATATAGTTGTAAAATGTAGAGCTCGGAAATGAATAGTTGATTGGCATCCGACCTTTATGCTTCTAATCTAGTTCCTGAGGAATTGAAAATCATTGGAAACTATAAATACCTGTGTTGGAAATATGAAACAAATATATTTATCAATAATACTACTATCAAACTCTAATATTTATATATACATATTTTATACAAATCAAATTATTTCTTTTAAAAAAAAAAAAATGAAATTCTCTTTATCAATCTTTATCATTTCAATGTTGTTGGTTGCAACAACCACATCAAGTTATGTTACTGTTTTAAATTATCAAACCAATGCTTGTAAAGGTAATTATGTTAGCCAACACTCAATGTTGGAAGATACTTGCTTTGATGGTGTCATGTATCGTTGTGCCAACAACCAAGTAACCAAGTATGTTTATGGTGATTTGAATTGCAATGGTATACCATACCCACCAGTCACCACTCAAGTCAACGAATGCGGTCAAGTCGCCAATTTCCCATCGGGTATTTACCAATGTAGCGCAAACGTCCCGTTCACAACCCAATCATCGATTGTCAACGTCAAGTACAATGGTACATGCCAAGACTCATGGATGAATAAACCAGTCTTATACATGTCGGCCATCTTTACCGATACCTGTTTCCAATATGACTCTAAATCGTCATATATCATCGCCTGTGACCCCAACGGTGCACCATTAATGGACAGTTACATCCTGACTGAAGTCAAAGGTCCTAAATGCAAAGGTCCATCTTATCAACAAGTAGTTCCATACACTCCAACTTGTGGTGATGCTAATGGCATGACATCTAAAATGATTTGCAATCAATAAATAAAAAAAATAAAGTAATAAATATTATTTTATTATTCTACCAATATATGTTGGTTGAATCATTTCTGGAAAAAGAATAGTTTAAACTATGCACCACGCATGTCTTTGGTAACATTTATAATAATTAACATACCTATGTCAACAAGAATAGTCAGAAGCTGCTGCTGATAATGATTACAGACTGACAGAGGAGCGAGCCAGGACACCCACCGCAATTGAATTTAGAAAAACCATCCATCTTTCGTTCATCTTTTTCGTTTCAGTTCTTAAAACTTTGACAACCAATCGATGTAGAATAGTAGTAGTATAATGGATTCTATACAACAGAATGATTCATTTACAATAAGAGAAAACTTGTATACTTTGGTGAAAGAGATTGAGCGACATGCACAGTATCTCAGTAACCTACCGGATCTACAGACTCTGGGTATCATGTTCCCAAAGATACGAAGTTATATTAGCAATAATCTAGAGTTGCAAAGAGAACTAATGATATCACACAAGTTTATTGAAGAGATTAACAAAGACTACAATTATCTTTCAATTCCCGATCTATTTATAAATCATAATCAATATCAACCTTATCATCAACAACATCAACAGCAATACAATAATAATAATACTAATAAAACAATAACTCATCATCCTTCACCTTCTTCTTCTTCTTCATCATCTCTTCCACCTCCATCACCTTTTAAATCGACATCTACATCATCGACATCATCGACATCAACTACAACAACAAACTCCTCTACAGATCCACAATTAAATGTGAATCAAAAAAGAGTTTATTCAGAACCAACAGGTTATGTAGAACCTCAAACTTTTAAAAGGTTGAATACTACTACTACTACTACCAATTCACCTCCTCCTCCTCCTCAACAAGAACAACAATTGTTTACACCACAAAAAAAGAAAACAACAACTCAAATACCATCCTCTCCAACTGTTATTACTCCTTTACCAATTGTTGCTAGTCCATCATCATCATCATCAGCTGCTACGACTACCACAACTTCTACGACGACGACTACAACGACACCACCAGTTAGAGATGAAAATTATATACCATCAAACGATGACCCAGACTTTTATGGTGAAAGAATTGGAAATGAATACATTGATGAACCAACATTGGACCAAAAAAATAGGATTGCTAGAGCACTCAGAGAAGATATTAAATTGGAACAAACATTTCTACCAGATTATGTACAATCGACTCAAGGTTTTAAAATTGTTGGTTCAACTTCAAATTATGATGTAAAGGTAATTATTGAAAGTTTAAAAAGAGAAAGAAAACAAATGCAATAATATATATTTATTTGTTAATATTATTTTATTTATATTTAGATTGCAACAGTGCCACATTGTACCTGTCAAGATTTTGGAAAACATAGGTTTTGTAAACATTTATTATTCGTATTACTCAAAGTATTGGGATTATCATTAAATTCTTATATACTCTATCAACTTGCCTATACCAAAGCTGAAGTTAAATATTTGTTATCATTAAATTTAAATGTTTGTATAATTATTATTATTATTATTAGTTAGATTTTGCTCTAATACATATGTATGTTTTTATTTAATTAGAAAAACTCAACAAATGATGTATTGGATATAGAAGTTGATATGGAAAATTTACCTTATTGGTTTGATCCAGGTACACTACAACCAAAGGGTAAAAGTAAAAAGAATCAAGTAGTATCTGATACTACACATATCTTGAATGATCCAAGTCAACCACCACCATCAACTATTTCCCCAACTAAAAAAACAACAACATCATCATCATCAACAACAACAGCAACGACGATAGATTCAACAACCATTGATAAAACCAAAGATACAGAAAATGAAAAGAAAAAGACAAAAGATCAAAATAATAGTAATCAAAATAATAGTAATAATGATAGTAGTAGTAGTAGTAGTAATAACATAAAGCCAATATTTAATATTTCCGAAAATATTAGGTTAATGGTTGATGCAGCAAAAAGACAAAGAGAAAATACAATGAATCAAATCTATAGTCAAACGAGTCAGGCATCTCTATCTAAATATCAATCAAATCCTTCTCATTCTCCTCCTCCTCGCACCCCTTTAACTGTTGTAAATAATAATAATGGTAATAATAACCAAAAGAATAATTCTACTTCACCCATTTCAAGCACTCCAAATGATAATGGTGGAAAACCAAATGTTAGTATGTATCCACTCATTCAATCAATTCACAAAAAGTGTAAATTTATTTAACCTATTTATTTTTAGTTTATTTGGATGATTAAGAAAATGAATCTTTGCATTGCAAGTATATTATAAATAAATATTAAAATGTATTTTTCCCCTGATAGTTTTTTTCTTTTCCTTGATAGATATTTTCAAAGATAAAATTTAAAACGATTAGGATCATTTTTGATGTGGATCAATGGTGCACACCAACTCAAACCTAATTTTTTCTAATAAACATTAAATGGATAAACTCTTAGTCGCACATATCAAAAGTCAAGTATGGTCTGGTGGCCCTTTTTGAGATAAAGACACGAAAGTTCAAGCATATGTGAATGAAATAAGGCAGACGTTACATGACGCAGAACCGAACGCAGACGTTGGTTTAGTTCTCCACGAGTTTGCGATCTCTCGTAGTGTCGACCTCAAATCAACTGGTAAGGGAATAACCCCAATAGTTTACCGGTTCGATCTCAATGGTAACTGGCGAATGGCCATTACTGTGTCAAACATTAGAATAAGACAAGTAGTGGTCTATTATGTCTTTCAAAGCGATCATAATAATCAAGACCCACATTATAGAACCCTCATCAACGAGGCCCAAAATGGTCGTTTTGAATTCCCAAACACGGTGGTGACACAAGGTTTCGAAGGTTTGCCAATGACGAATCCCACCCCATAATACAATAAATAAACACAAAACCCATATATATATATATGTTTCAAAATAAAGAAACCTTAAACACAAATAATTATTGTTTCCAATTCTAAACTCACAAATGATGGCAGTGACAACATACTATCACCGATCTAATCAAACTATTTCAAAGCCAAAGAATCGTACGATAATATTACCAAGTATAAAATAAAAATAATTGACGAAAGAGGATTAAAAACCAAGATATGTTTGAAAGAATGATTTTAAATATATCCTCTTCTAGGATGTATAGTGTTTTACGCCAAATGACTTTAAAAGTGGAAGACCTATATGTTAAAAGAGTGTCTTGAATAAATATTGTCAACAAGTTGTGTATGTCAATCGATTGAAAAGAGTGAGTTAACCGCACCCCTTTGCACATCAATTCACGCGCGTGATTGCATGTGATCATCACCCTCATCTCCTCTTTTCATCACATTACTCTTTTTACATGTATCAAGACAAAGAAAGAGAGAAAGAGAGAGAGACACACACTTATACACACAGAATGTCATATTTATCCTCACACACATACTCACTAAACATGTTGGCATGGTTTGACTGGTTAAACTATTACTATTACCTAACTGTTCTCTGTTGGCTGCCAGCTTGGTTTGTTGGCGATGATGTTAACATTGCTATTCCCATTTCTTTATCTTATTATTATTATTCATTATTTATTATTTATTTGACAATAGCCAACTTCATCATAGCCAACATCATATGATCGAACAAATAAACAAAAAATTCATTTATATTATTTTTTTATTTTTCATTCTTTATTTATCATCAGCTTTGCCAAAAACCAATAGTAGCAGCATTAGTCATAGTAGCAATGTTGTAATAACAAATAGACATAGATATCAAAATGGAATAAGGTTAAATCAAGATGACCGTGATGATGATCATCAAAATAACAATATAAATCATATTAAACAACTTTCAAAAAATGTGAATGAATCATCGTCATCATCAGATGACAACCAAGAAACATACTTTTTAATCTATTCATTGATTGAAAGAGTAATTGGATACAAACAACTACCATTCATAAAGTTGGAATTGGCCAATACTAGTAGTAGTGGTGTAGGAGGTGAATACTTTTACTTGTTGACTCGTACACTTGACAATGTTACCTATATCTATCTGCAAGCAAATAATGCAGTCAACCTAGCACAAGCATTCAACTATTACCTAAAGTATTATGCAATGTGTGTGTATACTTGGACGGGTGACCAATGTAATTTGGGTGATGGCAGATCATTGCCTGAAATGCCTGTACCTGTAACCATCCCAATCGCAAGTGACCTACGATACTATATGAATGTAGTGACATTTGGGTACAGCACAGTATGGTGGGATTGGGAGAGATGGCAACGTGAAATCGATTGGATGGCTCTGAATGGATACAACCTACCGCTGGCATTTGTCGGTCAAGAGTATGTGTGGTTTGCAGTCTACTCGGAATTGGGTGTGTCACCCAAAGACATTGAATCGTTTTTCAGTGGTGGTGCATTCCTGCCTTGGAATAGAATGGGTAATGTGAATGGCTGGGGTGGACCGTTGGACTATGACTTTATCGCCGGTCAACATGATCTGCAGCAACAGATACTCGAGAGAATGCGTCAGTATGGGATGAAGCCTGTGTTGCCTGGGTTTGCGGGTCATGTCCCTCGTGCATTCATGTCGTTGTTTCCAACTGCCAATATCACACAGTTGGGAGACTGGCGTGCATTCAACGGTACCTATTACCTTGATCCATCCGACCCACTCTTTGCCAATGTTTCACAGACATTTGTAAAAGTGCAGACCGCCATCTACGGCACCGACCACTACTACTCGTTTGATCCATTCAACGAGATCACGCCACCCAGCAGCGACGCTGGATACCTCCAAAACAGCTCGTCGTCCATGTACAATGCACTCGCATATGCTGATCCGCAGGCAGTGTGGGTGTTGCAGGCGTGGTTCTTTATCAGCGACGCTTGGTTCTGGCAGCCACCCCAGGTCAAGGCGTTCCTCGGCGGTGTCCCCATTGGTCATCTCCTGGTACTCGACACATGGGCCGAAGAGTCGCCTGCATGGACTGTCACTGACCAATTCAACGGACACGACTGGATCTGGTGCATGCTACACAATTTTGGCGGACGTACGGGCATGTACGGCAAAATACCTAGGATCACAGCCGGTCCCATCGACGCGCGAAAACAGTCACCTGGGATGAAGGGGACTGGTCTGACACCAGAAGCAATCGAACAGAATTATATAATGTACGATTTGATGAGTGAGATGTCGTGGCGTACAACTGCACCCAACATGACCGAGTGGATCAACCAATACACTCAACGTCGATACGGTGTGTTTGTACCAGAGTTGGCACAAGCATGGAATTCTCTAGCATCGACAGTCTACAATGCACCCGATAGCATTGACAAGAATCCATCGAGTTTTGTTGGTATCCGACCTGAACTCAATATGACCAATAATATTTATTACGACTCTTCAATCATCCAAAAGGCATGGCAACTCTATTTATCAGTGACCGACGAGTATGTTTTATCAACATCAACCTACTCATTTGATATTGCAGAGATTACAATTCAAGCACTCAGTAACCTATTCATAGAGACTGAGATTGCAATGTACGATGCTTACAAAACTGGTAAAGGTACAGAGTTTGATGAACATGCTATGAACTGTCTCAATATAATCACTGATATGGATATGATTGCGTCAACACAACAATTGTTATTGGTTGGCACTTGGACTGCCAATGCTAGACAATGGGCAAATTATAATCTATCAAGAAACAAAGATGAAGATAGAAATACAGATAAAGAACAAATGACAATAGAACAATACGAATTTAATGCAAGAAATCAAATAACATTGTGGGGACCTTCCAATTCAACGCTTCACGACTATGCCTATCATCTTTGGAGTGGATTATTAAATGATTTCTATCTTGCAAGATGGTCATTATTTATTAAATACCTCGATTCTTCATTGTCATCAAGCAGTACAAATGATGCAGGTACAGGATTCAAAAATCAAGAATACATCAATGATATTGAATCACTTGAAGAATCATGGAATCTCCAAACCTATCAATATCCAACTCGACCAACTGGAAATGCTTATCAATTATCTAAATTTATAAATAATCAACCAATAATACCAAAAATTAAATAATACTAAAAAATAATATTAATATTATTAAAAAAAAACATCAATCAATCAATCAATCAATTTTTAAAATAATTATTATTAATATTAATGAAAAATCGTGATGTGGTAAAATATAACATCTTATAAGATATGAGTGATAAATCAATCGTCTCAAAGATTAATTATTTATCTATCTTTAGTCGTGATAAATCAATCGTCTGTCCTTTTGGTCAGTCCATCATCATCATCATACACAATCTATTAAAATCAAAAGTGGAAAAAAGAGGAAGAGAATGAGTAAAGAAGGGAAACAGTGAAAGGATAATTTAAACATTTCATTTGTGGTAAGAGATAGAGATGGATGGAAAAAAAATGAAAAAAACAATAATAGAGAGAAGGGAAGGGTGGGGGGAGTGGTATATTGTTGGTTGGTGGGTAGAGAGAGAAGGAATGATAAATAAGGAATAAACATATTTAATCAGGCACGTTCAATTATTCATTTTTCATTCTTTCTTTCTTGAATGATAGTCTCTCGTATTATTTTTGTAACATTTCTCTCTACACAGCGCAACCAATTTTAATTTTAGAAACTCTAATAGAAACGACCAAAGAACAAATAATAATTAATTAATTTATTCAATTCCAAAATAAACAAAAAAAGAGAGAGATAGAGAAAAAGAAAATATATCTCTGTCGGAAAGAAAAAGGTAAACTTTAACCATTATAAATACAATCATACTCTAGAATAGAATAAAAGAAGGAATATAGTTATATAGTAATTAATAATAGAGAGTGGATAAGATTGATTTTTGAAAAAATATAAAGAGACAGACGAACAGATAGAATTGCCAACACCAAAATAAGATAATAGTTAACGAGTCTTGAATTTGACCAAAATGAAGAATAACCAATAATAATCGATTACAAAGTTTCATTTCACCTCTATTCATTGGTCAAAAGAGAGAGAGAGAGAGTATGATCAAATAAAAGAAATTGATCGGCTCTAGAAGGAGAGAATGGATGGAATGAATGAACAAAGTAGTTTAATTAAAAAAATAATTTATTTTTCGAATTTTTATTACTATTATTTGTTGTGAACATGCTTACACTTTAATTTACTACACATCTTTACTCTCTCTCTCTCTCTTTAAATTCAATCATATAATCATTCATTATTCATCACTATAATCATTCATTCAATATTCATACTATAATCATTCATACTTATAACATATCTATCTAAATTACAATTATTTCATTTGAAAACTATAGTACACAACTACATTACATTACAATCAATCTTATATACAACAACAATAACAACAAAAGATCATCACATTTCAAAAACATATACAAACGCGACAAGAGATAGATAAACGAAGAATTATATAATAGATTAGAAGACAAAGTTTAAACTACCTTACCTTACCTTACCTATTTGACGACTGACTTTTTTAAATAGAGGAGGAGGTTGATTATAGAATCAATAATGAATACTACATCAATATTGGCAAATCAATCTGTTTCACAAAAGAATGTCAAGCTTGAGGATATATGGCCAGAGCTTGAAGGAGGTATCTCTAAGATTCTTTTAGAGTTGAATCAAGGTTTTCCCATCAAGAAATGGATGGCTCTATATACGTAAGATTAGATAGATAGATAGATAGATCTAGAGAGGGTTAATAAGTATATATATATTCACCATTTATATCTTACTCTTATTATTAGACATGTATATGATTATTGTGCAGCATCACAATCAAAAGCTGGACCAAAAGTTGGAGTATCAAAACAACAAAACCAATCAGGTGCCAATTATGTTGGAGAGGAATTATACAACAGATTAAACGTATTCCTCAAAAAACATATGAAGGAATTGTTAGAGGTTGCCGACAAGAAAATGGATGAATCTCTATTGGGTTATTATTTCACTGAATGGGAAAGATATACAAGTTCAATGAGATATATCAATCATATTTTAAATTATCTTGTATGCAAACAGAAAAGAAAATAATATTATTATTAAACTGATTTACTAATTAGTTTATTATTTATTTTTTAAAAGAATCGATATTGGATTAAAAGAGAAATTGATGATGGTAAAAAAGAAGTTTATGAAGTTTATGTTGTAAGTATAAAAAATATAATAATATTTGTTGGCATTTCATTAATCTCTTCCTCCTTTTTTATTTAGTTATCATTTGTAATTTGGAGAGATTGTTTATTTACAGCATTAAAGAGTAGATTAACATCTGCATTATTGGATTTAATTGAAGGAGAAAGAAATGGATATCAAGTGAATACACATTTGATTAGAGGAGTGATCAATGGTTATGTTAGTCTTGGACTAAATAGGGAAAAGCCAAAAGAAACTATTTTACAAGTCTATAAATCGAGCTTTGAAGAATTGTTTTTGGCTGCTACCGAACAATACTATACAAGTGAATCGGTCAAGTTTATCTCTGAAAATACAGTTGCCGATTATATGAAAAAGGTTGAAGCTCGTTTAAATGAAGAAGTTAAAAGAGTTCAACAATATTTACATCAATCTACTGAAACTGAGGTAAAACAAAACAAAACAAAAAAGAAACAAAAGATATATAAATATATATTAATACTTTCTTTTTTCTACTTAGTTAATTTCAAGATGTGAAAAAGTATTGATAGAAAAACATGTTGAAGTAATTTGGAATGAATTTCAAAATTTATTAGAGAGTGACAAGATTGCAGACTTGACACGTATGTATGCATTGTTGTCAAGGATTCCAAGAGGGTTGGAACCACTTCGAGCCACGTTGGAGAAACACGTTCAGACTGTCGGTTTACAGGCAGTCCAATCCATTGGCAGTGTTGGTGCAACCGATCCAAAGCTCTATGTTGAAACACTCTTGCAAGTGTTTAAGAAATACAATGACTTGGTAACTGGCGCATTTAGAAGTGACACTGGCTTTGTTGCATCTCTCGACAAGGCATGCAGAAGATTTATAAACGAAAATGCAGTCACCATTGCTGCCAAATCTTCCTCCAAATCACCAGAACTATTGGCTAGATTTACTGATTTCCTATTGAAAAAGAGTCCAAGAAATCCTGAAGAATCTGAAATGGATCAATTATTAAATGATGTTGTAAGGAAAAAAAAAAAGAAAAATAGAAAAAAAACAAAAAGGTTATAGCTTTTATTAATTTGTTTTTCTTTTTCTAGATGATCGTATTTAAATATATAGAAGATAAGGATGTTTTCCAAGATTTTTATTCAAAGATGTTGGCAAAACGTTTGATTCATGGTACATCTACATCTGAAGATTTGGAAGGTGTTATGATTGGTAAATTAAAGTCTACTTGTGGATATGAATACACCTCTAAGCTTCAACGTATGTTTACCGACATGTCTCTTAGTAGAGATCTACTCGAAAGATTCCATCGTCATCTCGAACAAGATAATCAACAAGTATTATTGGGTGGTATCGATTTTAGTGTCCTTGTACTTGCTACTGGTTCATGGCCACTTCAACCACCTGCTACTAATTTTAGTATTCCAAAAGAAGTAAGAAAAAATAGAAAGATATTTATTTATTATTTATTTATTAATTTATGTTATTTTTTTGCTTTCCATTTAGTTGCAAGCATGTGAACAACTTTTCCAAAAATTCTATCAAATTCAATATTCTGGTCGTAAATTAAATTGGTTACATCATTTGTCAAAGGGTGAATTAAAAACTAAATACTTGTCTTCAAACAAGAGCGGATACTCTTTACAATGCTCAACCTATCAAATCGGTATTCTTTTACAATTCAACACTGAAGAGGAATTGACTACTGATGATATTCAAGATTCAACTCAATTAATTGATAATGTTTTAAAGAGTACTTTAACTGTAAGTATTAGAAAATAGAAATAGAAATAGAGATATTCTATTTTTGATCTATCTTTTTTAACTCTTTTTTATTTTTATTTTCTATTTTAGGTATTGGTAAAATCAAAAATATTAGTTAGTGAACCAGAATTAATTGAACCAGAGGATATTGGAAAGGGAATGAAATTTACATTAAACAAACAATTCAAGAACAAAAAGAACAAGATTATTATCAATGTTCCAGTTGTACAGCAGGTCAAGGAAGAGATTGACACTATCCACAAGACTGTAGAAGAGGATCGTAAATTACAGATTCAGGCCGCCATTGTTCGTATCATGAAGATGCGTAAGCAATTGTCACACAGTGGTTTAATGTCTGAAGTAATCGTCCAACTACAACAACGTTTCAATCCCAAGGTTAATATTATTAAAAAGTGTATAGATATTTTAATTGAAAGAGATTACCTTCAAAGAGTAGAAGGTCAAAAAGACATGTATAGCTATGTTGCTTAAATCAACAAAACAAATAACAAATAACAAATAACAAACAACAACAAACCCAACAAATCCCCCTCCCAATCCATCCAAACAACAAAATAGGGAACCAAAACAAAACAATATTATATTTATAAATAAATAAATTAATTTTTTTTTAATCTAAAAATATATCTAATCAATTAAATATAAAGAGATAGAGATGTTATAATTATCCAACAATATTTGAATGTGTAAGAATTCATCATTATATTTTCAATTGGTTGACAAAAAAATGTAATAGATTGAAAACCACAAATGATAACATTGTACAATTAATACATAAATTCATATATGAAATTGAATAAACTATAAATAGAATATGATCCAACCTTTTAAAAATAAACCAAAATATATTTTAAATTTACAAATTTAATTCTCTTAAACTCTAAATATTCTCTATCAAAAATGAAAGCTATCTTTGCCTTGTGTGTTATGTTACTTGCCTTGTCAGTTGCTGCTGCCCATCACCATAATGAAATTGGTATTAGCCATAGATTGATTGGAACCTGGACTGATTCTCAAACTGGTGAATGTTTCTCTCAATATGATGTTACCATCACCAATGGTTGCCATGGATCACGTGTGTGCTCGGTCTGCATTGGTACTGATGCCACCTGTCGTCTCCGTGATAACAACTCTATCTGGAATGTTGTCCGTCTTTCCAATGGTGACATTACTCTCCCAGCCAACCAAACCATCAACCTCAACTCTTCATACACTTTTGGTTACATTGTCCATGGTACTGCCGTCCCAACACTCTGTGTTAAATCTGTCTCTTTCTGTTAAATGATTTTAAACAAGAATCTAAAAAATAAACTATTGAAATCCAATTAATCATATATTCTTTCTTTCTTTCCATTCCTTCATATTTTCTTTCTTTTACCATTGATCATTTTTAAATCTTGAAAGTGATCCGATTCCATTCATGGATCCCAAATGACATCTCTAAAAAAATATATCTCTAATTTAAATTCTTGGGATTTGTAATTTCTTTTTTGTTTGGAGATTTAGAGACTGACGGTACAAACCACATACAATTAATAATCAATTGACAATATATTTCTGAATAGATCAATAAATATTGAATGTTTTGGTACAAGATCCAATCTTTTTTTCTACTAGATTAAAAATTGACAATATTAATATTTGTTTCAAACAAATTCAATAAACTATAAATAGAATGGTCCATTCAAACATTTAATATAAATCCAACAAATTAAATTCTATTAATTAAATATCCAAACTATTATCCAAAACTATAAACAAAAATGAAAGTTATCTTTGCCTTGTGTGTTATGTTACTTGCCTTGTCAGTTGCTGCTGCTCAACATCACAATGACATTACCATCAACCATAGAATGGTTGGAACCTGGACTGATTCTCAAACTGGCCAATGTTTCTCCCAATTCGAAGTAACCATTACCAACGCTTGCAATAGTGCCCGTGTCTGTTCACTCTGCATTGGTACTGATGCCACTTGTCGTCTCCGTGATAACAACTCTATCTGGAATGTTGTCCGTCTTTCCAATGGTGACATTACTCTCCCAGCCAACCAAACCATCAATGCCGGTGCCTCTTACACTTTTGGTTACATTGTCCACGGTACTGTTGCCCCAACTCTCTGTGTCAAGTCTGTCTCTTTCTGTTAAATGATTTTAAAATAAATATATTCCAATATCAAATTTGGAATAAATATATTTAGCTATATCAATCCTTTTGTTTTTTTGTGTAGTACAATTATGATAGTTGATCTTGAAATTTATAATCGATATAGTTGATGTTTTTGTAGTTTGGATATAATAGTTTCTTCTTGTTCTTTTTTCACCATTTTTTCATCTATTCATCTAAATAGCAAAAATATAGAGATAAGTTAATTGGTAATGATGATGAAGAAATGGAATTGAATCTCTGAAAACAATTTCTATAGATTGTGACAATGGTTATTATTAGATTAGAATATGTATATATTGGGCTAGATTAATCTCCCATTTATATATTATTAATATATATTAATAATTGTTAACAATTATCAAATGGATAATTATAAATAGACTATAAACCAACTAGTTTTAAAATATAAAATATTAATAATAATTCTAAACCAACTATTTTAAAATACTATAAACAAAAATGAAAGTTATCTTTGCCTTGTGTGTTATGTTACTTGCCTTGTCAGTTGCTGCTGCTCAACATCACAACGACATTACCATCAGTCATACCTTGATTGGTAGTTGGACCGATTCTCACACTGGTGAGTGTTTCTCCCAATACGATGTCACCATCACCAACAAATGCAATAGTGCTCGTGTCTGCTCTCTCTGCATTGGTACTGATGCCACCTGTCGTCTCCGTGATAATAATGCCATCTGGAATGTTGTCCGTCTTTCCAATGGTGATATTACTCTCCCAGCCAACCAAACCATCAATGCCGGTGCCTCGTACACTTTTGGTTACATTGTCCATGGTACTGCCGTCCCAACACTCTGTGTTAAATCTGTAAACTTTTGTTAAATAAAATGATCATGTGATGGTCAGTACACATACTGTGTTTACCAAATTAAACCAAGGTTGGTTGAGTTGTTTGTCTCTAGCTAGAGAACACTATGAAATAATGATCTTTAGCTTGAGACATTTCTCAGGGGGTAGTCATCGACTAACGTGATCACCCAATCTCTCTTATTATTGATCATTATTTCATAGCGTCTACAAGTGTAAATCTTTAAATTCTGTGCCAATTTCTTCCAATCATCCCTAGGAACTTGGATCTTTTGAATGATGTATGTTTGAAGAAAGGAGCCCCTGTGATTCAAACCTACAGAGGAAAAAGTACCTATTCCAAAGAATTCACATTGATATTGTTACTAGAGTACTTTTAGAAAAATACCATGGTAAATCTGTAGTGATTATCTGTATACTCTCTATAATGTATCGTCTAATACATACTCTAAAGTCTCCTCTTTAAAGATATGATTTTTAATAGATAGAGTGTTATCGCTCAAGCGATGAGAAGGAGCCGATAAATCCTCTATTCAAAAAACTGTTGCAATCCTTATTAAGGACATAGAGATTAACCTAAAACCACATACCAAACAAAGTTTGGGCACTACGAATACCTAGTAATCACATGCGAGTTGAAGAATGAACACTTGCAATTACTTATACACATAAACCATATCTTTTATCTTGGAATCGCCATGAGAATCTCAATTGTCTCTCTGATTGATAACCTGTAATGCATAACACCAACTCTTTAATCTATACAATTGATATAAATACAAATAAAAAGTAGGTGAAAGGAATAATTATCTCTTAGTGTTCTCTTTTGTTGCTTTTATTTAATACTAAAGAATCATCAATGATTTTTGTTGAAGTATTTTCGTGGTCATTTTTGTTTGTTCATTTTCATAAATATATTTTATATTAAATAATAATAAAAATAATATTAATAATAAGCAAGACAAGATAGATGATACTACGAAACAGAGATATATTAATACTATTGATAAGTTTGGTAGCTGTCTTGGTATCACTGTATACTCATCAAGACTATAGTCTCCATCTATCTCTTATACTGCCCATCGATAGCAACAACTATGAAAACAATCATTTCCCACAACCTCATGAACTATTACCTCAACCAATCATTACTGATTTAAATGGTGATCAAAGAAATCGTATGTACATTCTATACATATATATATATATCTATATATATCTATCTTGCATATGTATGTATGTATGTATCAAACTAATCATCTTGTTTTTTTTTAGAAATTATATATGTAACAAATGATCAAAAGATTAGAATAGTAGATCCATTATATGCAATCAATAATATGAATACAAACAATGAAAATGGTAGAATAGTTGGTAGAAATGATATTATTTATGAAGCATCACTTTCATCTAAATTTGGTATATCTAGTGGTAGAAGACCTGTTGCTCTAAAGACTGGTTATACAACTCCCAGCGGTACAGCTGCTAATAGAGAACAAGTCATTGTAGTTGTATTAGATGATTGGAGTGTACTATGTTATAATAGTCGTTTGAAACCACTATGGGAGAGTTTTATAATTGATGATATTCCAAAGAATCATTATCTATCGTATGTCAAACATCAATATTCAATATAACTATATATAATCTATCTTTACTCATATTCTTGTTTATATTTTATATGTTTTAGTGAAATAGCAATTGATATAATACCAATTAATTTAAAAGAGGGAGATCAAGGATTAATAGTTTTGGGTGGTCGATTAGAACCTGTTGGCAATGGAGTGGGACACAAGCCACATGTAATGCCTGCGATTGGAATAGACCCAAAGAAATATATGGATAATGATTATCTATCCGATGGAGAGTTTACAGGATACGATCCAAATGAAGAGGATGTTGGTGGTGGTGAACATCAAGGAGAAGGACACGATCATAAAGATGAAGGTGGATTACATGGTCGTGACGAATCACACTTTTCATATTATGCATTGGATGCCAAGACAGGTGCAAAGAGATGGAGTCATGAAGAGAATGATTTCAAACCAAAGAATGTACATTTAGACGAAGAATACCATGGTGAAAAGAGACATAGTTACAAACAACACATCATCTCATTGATGGATCATGAAGGAGAGGTTAATTGGAAATTATTCAAGGATAATATGCTTGACCAACTTCCACATTCTTGGTCATCTAGGTATGACACTAAACTACAATCAAATCATTTTACAAAGAGTAAAAAGTCTGGTCAAAGTAACCAGGGTGGTAATACTCCAAGCACGTCGGGTACTGGAGGAAAAGAATGGGAAAATTTGTTTGGTCAACAAAGTCAGAGTCAAACAACGCAACAACGATGGAATCAAGAAGAATCAAATGTTATAGTATCACATCATCGTCATGGGATAGAGGTTATTCATATTAGTTCAGGTCGGACTCTTTGCAAACTGTTGTTGGAGGGAACTGATGCGCATCGGTCATTGACGAGTCACCATTACATTGTCTATGTTGACTTGGATGGCGATGGTATGGTGGATCAGGTGCACTCGGTGACTGGTGATCCGGTCGGCTCAGTCTCTTCGTTTAGTCGGTCGAGTAGACAAGATGTGTGTATGGGTATGGCGTTGGCAGGTCTGCCACCCCGCGACCACCTCTTTAACAAGAGTATATGTGGATGGACCTCTCAACTCGACTTTTTCTGGCCGGCTGGGTTCCGGTCATCCGGTAACTCGATCGACGGTCTCGACAAGAGCAAGCGTGTCTCATATCAGACTGTTCGACCAGCCGTCTTTAACGCAGTCTACTCGTTACGACCAACCCACAAAGACACGGTATTCCTCGTTAATTCGGGTAAGATCAATAGTGTCAACTCGCGTGGCTACACTAATTGGAATATCGATAGTCCAGCAACATGGTCACGTAACAATATCATCATCCATCATCCCTCGATCCAACCATTCAACATTGCCACTCAACCACATCAAACTGATCAACAAGTGCTTGCTATTGGTGAATCCATCGTCATTCTATCAGCATCTGATGGTTCAATTCTTTTACAAAAGAAAATTAAATCAATTTCATTTAATAATCAAAATAATAATGGAAATGGAAATAATAATGTATTACCAACAGCACCACCTATTATTGGAGATTTAAATCAAGATGGTATTAATGATATTATAGTTCCAACATTGTCAGGTTACTATATCTATAATCTAACCAAAGGATATAGTACATTCCTATTTTCATGTTTTACAGTGATTATCATTGCCACTCTACTTGTCACTGTCATCCTATCCAAACAACAATCTTTAAAGAAATCCAACCAAAATAATAATCCATATCAACTAAACAAAAGAAATCAAAGTAATAATAATAATATTAGTAATAATCTTTCATCAGTATTTACAAAAAATATATTAAATAATAAACGTTCAACTGATTGATTGAACCAACTTTGATTAGTTTGATTGATTTTAAAAAAAGTAAAAGTATTTTTGTATTATTATTATTATATATTTCTCTCTAAGCATCTGATCCTCCTTTTGTTTCTTGATATGCTCTATATTCTGATGGTCCTCCTGTATTATTATTATTATTATTTTGATTGTTATTATTATTATTGTTATTAATCTTTTTGTTTTTTGGTTGTATTATATCGTTTATTCTTTTATTCTTTTCATTCATATATTCTTTTCTTGAGATTGCCCATGCTGACATACCAGCAATAGTAAATGCGACACTAAATTAAATTAATGAAATAGATAGATAGATGTAAGTCAATGAATTAGTCTTGCTTGCTTGCTTGCATGATCAGCTGCCAACATCATCTTCATCAATCACATGATCATGTCCTTCCTTCCTTCTTTCCTTTTTGCAATTAAAATTTATATATCAGCAAGAAACATAGTCAAAACAAGGTTACAATGTACATTGATGATATATAAACTTAGGTATAATCATTTGTGATGATGATGATGATAATGCAGTTGCGATCATCAATGATAAGTGGATGATTCCTACAATCCCCAAACTACACTCTTTGGTGAATTCATTCTTCTCTCTATATATTTATCTGTATATAATTATAACAATGATACTTTGTTGTTTTTTGATGATGCTACTTGTGATAATTCAGTGAACGTTTGAATGGAATCGGATTGTTCGAACAAAAAAAAAAGAGGGAAGTCGATGAAGAGTGAGGGTGTTTGTTTTTTTTTATTTTTTTTATTATTTTTTTCCCTGTTGTCACGCAAAAAATGTGTTCATTAGCCCGTCAAAATTAGAATTGAAGGTCATTCTCTCATTAACTTTATAGGTAAAGAATTGACCTGTGATGAAATAAATTAACTATTCGAGGGCACTGTCGTGTCTCTTGGACATTGTTGTACACAGAGAGAATATTTGTGTTTATTGTATCATATAATATAGACATTAGACAACTACAAGATAGAAGAAGAAGATAGAAGAAAGAAGAAAGAAAGAAAGAAAGTGTAGAGAGTGCAATCGACAGAGTATATTTGTTACCAACCTATCATACTATATTATAATATATTACACATCCATTATCAACATCATATCATCACATATATAATATATATATTATAATATAATAGGTTAAAAACAAATATACAGAAAAGAGAAATTAGAAAGTAGAAGAGAGAGTATTTTTTTTTTTTAATTTTAAGCTATGCTTGTTTGTTATTGTTATTGTTGTTATTGTTCTGTGTGCATCAGTTTGATAGCAGCTCCCTCCCCTTTGACCGCACAGTCACACAGTACAGTTTGAAGAAGATGATAATTAATCAACAAATAGAGACTACTAGTTTTATAGGTAAAAAAATTTATTATGTGCGTGCAAATAAATACATAGATACAGTTTCAGTTGGCAAGCTGAAAAAAAAAAATAACACACACAGCAAGCATAGCGAAAAAAAAAATTCAAAAAAATTCGAAAAAAAAACAATTTAATAATTATTGTTTTTCACCACCAAACTCCCAATAACAACTACGATATGGATATAATATGGATATGATATGATATGATATCATATCTTTTGTTCCTCTCCCATCTCCTTCCCACCATCATCATCATCATCACCACCACACCTCAGAGTGATCAACTTAACTCTTGATTGACTTGATATTGATCGATTGGAAATAATAATACTTTCCAGTCTTTTTTTTTTTGTTTCTTTGGATCTTTTTCTCTCTCTGTGGAACAATGAAAAATAACTATGATGATGATGAATTAATTAACTAATATTTATTTATTTATTTTAGGTTAGGTGTGTCTTTACAAAAGTCCTTTTAATATAATATATTCTATATTATTATTTGCCGAAAAGAAGAGAGAACCAAAACACTACCACCAACCATCATTGTTTATCATATTTATTATTTCCCTTTTTTAATATTTTTTTGTATTTATCAGATCACCTACAATCAAATCATTTGATAGTAGTTCCAACCAAAATACCTTTCTCCACCCCATTTCTATAATACTATCTTTTTTTTTTTACTATTTTTTTTTTTAGATATCCTAACAACATATCACAATCACAACACACACACACAACACAGTTTAAAACTTTTTTTAATCAAAAAAACATCCGATTATAACTAAACAACAACAACACAACAAAACAACTACAAAACAAACAAAGTTTTATAAATTAATATTTTATAAATCAATTTGAAAGAAAAACAAACCAAAAAAAAAAAAAACAAAAATCCAACAACAACAAATATATTTTTCCACCCCACAATTATATATTTCCTTAATATTATTACATTCATCATCAATTTAATAATAATTTAAAAAACCCCAAAAAAACAAACAAAAAAAAACATATATATATAAATAACATACAGAGAAAAAAATGGCGACTATTCCACATTCAACCGCAGAGTTGAGAAAAGTTAAAAAGGTTCAATTTGGTATTCTAAGTCCCGAAGAGATTGTAAGTGCTCAAAAACATCAAATGAATAATAATTCCAATTAATATTTATTTATGATGTATTAAACCAAATCTCTTCTCTCCTTCTCTCTATCTATCATTTTTACAGAGAAACATGTCTGTAGCATTGATTGAACATCCAGAAACATATGAGAATGGTAAACCAAAACTCGGAGGTTTGGTCGATCCCCATATGGGTACTATAGATAAACACCAAAAATGTGCTACATGTTCAGGTACAATGGCCGAATGCCCTGGTCATTTTGGCCATCTTGAACTTGCCAAACCTGTATTTCACATTGGATTCATTGATACCGTATTAAAAATCGTTAGATGTGTTTGTTTTCATTGTTCAAAACTTTTAACAGATACAGTAAGTAGAGGAAAAGGAAAAGAAAAAGGAAAATCAATCAATATATAAATATTAATCTTTTTATTTTTAATTTTTTTAGAATGATTCACATTTTAGACAAGCATTAAAAATTAGAAATCCAAAAAGAAGATTAAATGCAATTTTGGATATATGTAAAACCAAAAAAGTATGTGATATTGGACAAGAAGAAAAGGATAGAGAACACGATCTTAGCAAGACCGACGAGGAATTGGATCGCAAGCCACACTCACATGGAGGATGTGGTAATTTGCAACCAAAGATTACCAAGGAAGAACTCAAGTTTATTGTAGAGTTTAAGGACGTGGCCGACGAAACGGTAGAGAAAAAATCGATCCTTTCAGCCGAGCGAGTACATAATATATTAAAGAGAATCAGTGACGACGACGCCCGTTCAATGGGTCTGAATCCCGACTGGGCACGTCCCGACTGGATGGTAGTCACTGTGCTGCCCGTCCCACCACCACCTGTCCGTCCTTCGATTATGATGGACACTGCCTCGAGAGGAGAGGATGATTTGACACACAAGCTCGCCGATATTGTAAAGGCCAACCGTGAACTCAAAAAGCAGGAAAAGAATGGTGTCCCCGCGCACATTATCACCGAAGCCACCCAATTCCTTCAGTTCCACGTTGCCACCTATGTCGACAATGAAATCCCAGGTCTTCCCCAGGCGCAACAGAGAAGTGGACGTCCACTCAAATCGATTCGTCAGCGTCTCAAGGGCAAGGAAGGTCGTATCAGAGGTAATTTGATGGGTAAGCGTGTCGATTTTTCTGCGCGTACCGTCATTACTGCCGATCCCAATCTGTCGATTGATCAGGTTGGTGTCCCCCGTTCCATCGCACTCAATCTCACATATCCCGAAACCGTCACCCCATTCAATATCGATAGAATGAGAGAGTTGATTCGTCGTGGTCCCGACGAGCATCCCGGTGCCAAATACGTCATCCGTGAGGACGGCCAACGTTTTGATTTGCGTTTTGTCAAGAAACTCACCGACACTCATCTCGAAGTCGGTTACAAGGTCGAGCGTCACGTTCAAGACGGTGACGTTGTCATTTTCAATCGTCAACCATCGCTCCACAAGATGTCTATGATGGGTCATAGAATCAAGGTCATGCCCTACTCGACATTCCGTCTCAATCTTTCCGTTACCACCCCATACAATGCCGATTTTGATGGTGATGAAATGAATCTTCACGTTCCACAAACACTCGAAACACGTGCCGAGGTCATCGAAATTATGATGGTACCACGTCAAATTGTATCGCCACAATCTAATCGTCCAGTCATGGGTATCGTACAAGACTCTTTGTTGGGCAGTCGTCTCTTTACAAAGAGAGATACATTTATCGAACGTGACCTCATGATGAACATATTAATGTGGTTGCCATCTTGGGACGGTAAGATTCCACCTCCAGCCATCTGGAAACCCAAGAAATTGTGGACTGGTAAACAAATCTTTTCTCTCATCATTCCCAAGATCAATTTGACTCGTTTCACAAGTACACACAATGACAAGGAAAAGGAAAAGTCAGAGATGGCTTCCGACACGGTTGTCATTATCGATCAAGGTGAACTCATGTCTGGTATTCTTTGTAAACGTTCTCTTGGTTCGGCCAACGGTTCCATTATCCACGTCGTCCAAAACGAACATGGTCATGAAGCCACCCGTTGCTTTATCGATCAAACACAGACAGTCGTCAACAGTTGGCTCATCAGCCACGGTTTCACTGTCGGTATTGGAGACACTATTGCCGATTCTGCTACCATGGCCAAGGTACAAAACGCCATTACATCGGCCAAGACACAAGTAAAAGAGCTCATTATCAAGGCCCAATCCAACCAATTCGAGTGTCAACCCGGTAAGAGCATGCTAGAGTCTTTTGAAAAGGAGGTTAATCGTGTGCTCAACACGGCCAGAGATGATGCCGGTACCAGTGCACAAAAGTCGCTCCAAGAATCCAACAATGTCAAGGCCATGGTAAACGCCGGTTCCAAGGGTTCTTTTATCAACATTTCGCAGATGATGGCCTGTGTCGGTCAGCAAAACGTCGAAGGTAAGCGTATCCCATTCGGCTTTCAAAATAGAACATTGCCACATTTCACAAAGGACGACTATGGCCCCGAGAGTCGTGGTTTTGTCGAAAACTCGTACCTCAGAGGTCTGACGCCCCAAGAGTTCTTTTTCCACGCTATGGGTGGTCGTGAAGGTCTCATCGATACGGCCGTCAAGACGTCCGAAACCGGTTACATCCAGCGTCGTCTCGTCAAGGCTATGGAGGATGTGTCTGTGCGTTACGATGCCACCGTCCGTAACTCGCTCGGTGACGTTATCCAGTTTGCCTATGGTGAGGACGGTTTGGACGGCTGTTCCGTTGAAACCCAATCATTTGACTCGTTGAAAAAGGACAATAACGACTTTGTCAAGATGTTCAAGCATCAGATCGACCGTCTCGACTATGGCGACAGCTGGATGGATCCGTTGGTCGTCGAAGAGATTCGTAATGACGCAACCATCCGTGAAACACTCGACCGCGAGTTTAAGCGTCTCGAGTTTGACCGTCACCAAATGCGTACCGAGATTATCCCAACTGGCGAGTCGTCATGGCCACTTCCGGTCAATTTGAAACGTCTCATCAACAATGCCCAAAAGATCTTTTCCATTGACTATCGTACCATCTCTGATCTCAACCCAGCCACTGTTGTAACTGCCATCGACCGTCTCATTTCACGTTTACGTATTGTTCCACACCAAGAGCCGATCGGTCTTTCTTCAGAAGAAGAGTTGGAGCGCCAACACTATGACAAGGCGTGGAACGAAACACATCAAAATGCTACCATGTTGTTTGCCATCTTGCTTCGTTCGACATTTGCATCACGTCGTGTACTCGACGAGTTTAGATTGACATCCAAGGCATTTGAATGGGTGTGTGGAGAAGTCGAGAGCAAGTTTATGACATCGCTTGCCAACCCAGGTGAAATGGTTGGTGCACTTGCCGCCCAGTCTATTGGTGAACCTGCCACACAAATGACGCTCAACACGTTCCATTATGCTGGTGTGTCGAGCAAAAACGTCACACTTGGTGTACCACGTCTCAAGGAAATTATCAATGTCGCCAAGAATGTCAAGACGCCCTCGCTCACCATCTACTTGCAGCCCGATATTGCCCGTGACTCTGAAAAGGCCAAGTCGGTGCAATGCCAACTCGAATACACCACCATGGCCCGTGTCACGGCGGCCACCGAGATTTACTATGACCCCGAGCCAAACACCACCGTCATTGAAGAGGATCTCGAGTTTGTCACGCGTTACATGATGTTGCCAGACGAGGAGATCAACGAAGGTGCACTCTCTCCCTGGTTGCTGCGTGTCGAACTTGACCGTGAAATGGTAACCGATAAGAAGCTGTCTCTCTATGAAATCACACAATGCATCAAGAAGGATTTCGACAAGCTCAACTGTATTTTTAGTGATGATAACGCTGACAAGCTCATTATCCGTATCCGTACCATCATGGACAATGAAAACAAGGAATCGGCCAATGACGACGACGACACCTTTTTGCGTCGTGTCGAGTCGATGATGTTGTCGCAGATGGTTCTGTGTGGTATTCCAAACATCAAAAAGGTCTTTATGAGAAACGATGACCGTAGCATGATCAACCCCGACACGGGCGCCTACTACACCAAAAAGGAGTGGGTACTCGATACGGACGGTGTCAACTTGCTCGAAGTCATGAGTCATCCAGACGTTGACTTTTCGCGTACAGTATCCAACGATATCGTCGAAATCATCCAAGTACTCGGTATTGAAGCCGTACGTAACGCCCTCCTCAAGGAACTTCGTGCTGTCATTTCCTTTGATGGTTCCTATGTCAATTACCGTCATCTTGCCATGTTGGCTGATGTCATGACCTACCGTGGCCATCTCATGGCCATCACTCGTCACGGTATCAATCGTGTAGAGTCGGGTCCACTCATGCGTTGTTCGTTTGAAGAGACGGTCGAAATTCTCATGGAAGCTGCCCTCTTTTCAGAGACGGACAATATCTGTGGTGTCACTGAAAATATCATCCTCGGTCAATTGCCACCACTCGGTACTGGTTCATTCGAAGTCTATCTCAACCAAGACATGATCAAGAATGCTCATTCCATCTCGTTGCCCGAGCCAATGGCCATCACCTACCCAGACACCCCTTCCAATACAGGTGGTCAAACACCTTCATACGATGGTGGATCCACTCCATATCACCATCAATTCAGCTCCTTTGAAGCTCCATTCTCGCCATTCAATGAAGCCTATCGTGGTGACTTTTCTCCTTCATACTCGCCCAATTCCCCAGGTCGTGGAGGATCGGCAAGTGGCTATTTCCCTGCCTCTCCAAGTTACTCACCAACCTCCCCAAGCTATTCACCAACCTCCCCATCATACTCTCCAACTTCACCAAGTTATTCACCAACCTCTCCCTATTATTCCCCAACTTCACCAAGTTATTCACCAACCTCTCCATCATACTCACCGACCTCACCAAGTTACTCACCAACTTCACCAAGTTATTCTCCAACTTCTCCAAGTTATTCCCCAACTTCGCCAAGTTATTCCCCGACCTCACCAAGTTATTCTCCAACCTCGCCAAGTTATTCACCAACCTCTCCATCATACTCTCCAACTTCGCCAAGTTATTCTCCAACTTCGCCAAGTTATTCACCTACCTCTCCATCATACTCACCTACTTCACCAAGTTATTCACCAACCTCCCCATCATACTCTCCAACTTCGCCAAGTTATTCCCCAACTTCTCCAAGTTACTCTCCAACTTCTCCAAGTTATTCCCCAACTTCACCAAGTTACTCTCCAACATCACCATCATACATGCCATCATATAATCAAACCAAAAAATAACAAAACAACTATTAACTAAAATAATAATAATAATAATATAATAAAAATATAATATAAAATAATAATAATATTATTATAACTCCCAAACAAAATATATAGAGAATATATATAAATAATGTCTTTGTTTTTTTTTTTTGTATTAATATATTTGTTTTATTTTTTAATTTTCTTTCTATTACATCTTTAAAACTGATTTAGCATCTAATCTAGGTGAAATAAATGTTGAAAGTTTAGAAGATGAGGCGGCTTCGAGATCGTTACGTTGTTTAATTTCAGAGATGGCAATGAGAGCTTCATTGCAAGCGTATGGAAGGACGACCTTGTCGACGAGATCCATTTGAACATCTGGGAAACGATTTAAAAGGAATGGTGTTTGGAGATCGGCGTAAACCTCTGACATGGAGTAGAGAGTATGTTCAAAGGTGATATCATCTACTGGATGAGCAACACCCATAGATACTCTGTGATATTGTTCGGTTTGGAAAACAGAGGTCAAACCAGTGAGACCTGGGTTGTGTGAGGTACGACCACCAATAACACGATCAACAACACCCAACTTGTAGAGATGTTCGTAATGAAGTGCAACAAAAGAGTCGGCACGAATGTTTGGCATCAACTTGATGCATCGTCTCAATACTTCGTGATTGTCCTTGACGAGGTAGGTATCTGGTTGAATGAATAATAAATGATTCTCTTGGTTGTATGCTATTCTAGTACTGCATTCTTTAAAGTCCATCCATTTCATATTCAATCCTTTTAATAAATATTCAATTGTTCTTGATCCAATACTACTACGACATGTTAATGATCCATAATTACCAACTCCAAATACCTAAAGGTAGGTAAAGTAAAGTAAAGTAAAGTATATGTAATCAGTACTACTGATTGATTGATAGATAGATAGATATTTGCTGCTTTGCTGTTACATACAACAATTGGGTTTGGTTTAGACTTGACAATATTGAATGTATTTGATAGATATCTTGGTAAAGTATTCATTATTATAATATGATCTACAAACTAACAATACAAGATGATTGATAGATACTATACTAGTCAGAGTGCACTCTCATTCAATGAGAAAACGAATGATCAATGATCATTGAATTTTTTTTTAATTTTTTTTAATTTTTGTTTTATACCCTTTTTTGAAACCATTCATTATCTTAATTAATAATACACTATTATAGTTACTCATAATGAGTAATACTTCATTTCAACAACAACAACAGAGTATAGGTGGACCACAACAACAAATACCTTCTTCATCTTCATCTTCTTCATTAGGTTCATCACAATCAAATTTACATACATCACCACCTTTAACCAAAATCATAGATATCAAACCTTATGCAAAGGGTATCAATAGTATATTTATAGTACTTGAAAAAGGAAATGCTATAAAGAAAAAGGATGGTTTCATCTATCAAGTTTTAGTGGCCGATAACACGGCTTGTATAAATATGACGTTATTTGATGTACTCGGCGAACAAGTGCAACCAGGTGACATTCTTAGACTACGTGGTGGCTATGCTACCATCTTTCATGAACTATTGAATCTATATGTTGGTAAAAGTGGTGGTATCATTGAAAAAATTGGAGAGTAAGAAATGAACAAATACAAGAGCAGAGTGGAAAATCAATATTTAACCAAAATGTTTGTTTATTTATTTTCTTTAGATTCCAATTTAGTTTTGTTGAACATCCAAACTTGAGTCATTTACAATGGACACAAGACCCAAATAATCCAAAAACTATTATAGGGATTCCACCAAAACAATTTGGTGGTCCAATCATATCTGCTCCATTCCCAACTGGTGCTAAATTAAATAAACCTCCTCCTCAACAGCAGCAGCAACAACAACAACAACAACCACCACAACAACAACAATCTTTACCTCAAAATGCAAATTTACCATCAAGGTAGAATTTATCGATAAAGATATGGTTGATTCATTCATTCATTCATTCTTCTTGTAAATAAATAAAACATGTTATATTATAAAAAAACCATTTCCATTTTTCTTTTTATATATGATTTGTAAATCTTTTTACATTCCAATTGAATCATTGACAAGATTTGTCATGTGTGAAACAACACCTAAAATAGTTTCTCCAACTACCCCAGTACCAAGTGGAGAAGTTCCAACTGTCTTTCCTTTGTTACCACTTGTCAGAGTATCGTAAAATGAACCACCATATTGATATGTTTCGGAACTGATTGGTAAATATACAATAGTGTAGGATTCATTGAGAATCTTGGGTGTATCCATATCAAGATTGATTGATTTTACATTATATTTTTGTTTAACATATCTTTTACAAGATTCTTTTTCTTTTTGATCTAATAATAATAATACTTTCTAAAAAAAACAAATAAATGTTTAGTATATAGTGGATAATGGTTTGATTATTGTGATATATTTACATCTTTCCAAATTTCACTTTTTGAAATATCAATACTTAGTATCTTTTCGTTTAAACCATTTGAATTAAATGGTTCCATTTCATCTTTTGATGGTAAGAAATATGGTAATCTATGAGAATAACTATGGTCTATAGAATTGAAATGAATGAATTAATTATATAAATCGATATATATTTATATATATATATATATATATATATTAGAATCATTATTTAACATACTGGCAACTAAAACATCAACTAATTTTGAATCAATAGAGGTTGATGCACAAACAATAATTTCATCATAGGAATTTGCAATTGTATGAGAAATAGATTCAACCTTTTCATCGACTATAAAAGATGCTTTGAAATCTGTACTACACTTTACATTAAATACATAAACTGGATAATAAAATCTATTTTGTTCTCCCCATCTTTTGAAAACAACATTTAATTGTTAATAAATATAAGAGACCATCATATTACATAATTTGTAAGTTTGGTTACATACTTTATATCTTTTTTGTTGGAAGGTAAAAACCATCTTTCATCTAACCATTTTCTAACTTCATTACTACACATTTCAGGTTTTTGATAAAATGGTATAAACCATCTGGAACAAACAGGATTTAACTAATTAAATAAATAATTAAATTTAATGAATCAATCTCCAGTCATTTTAGATTCCATTTATATATATTTGTAAATATACATACATTTTTCTCTTCAATTTGAACAAAGTCATCAAAATCTTCTTCCAAAGAATAAGTTGATCGATTTCCTTCATCTTCAAAATCATCTTCATCACAAGAGAAATCCAATTCTTTAAAATAACCTTCATATCTACTATCTCCTTTTGATGGTTTGTTGTTGTCTTTTTTCTTTACATTATTATTATTATTTACATTATTATTATTATTATTATTACTGTTATCATTATTTTGATTTGCTTTTACATTATTTTTATTGTTGTTATTTACATTGTTATTTACAGTTGTTTGTTGTTGTTGTGGTCTTGTTTGTTTACTTGGAGAGGTATGGTAATCTTGTTGTTGTTGTTGAGAAGTAGTTTTCATAGATGGAGATTGTTGTTTCTTATTGTATGAAACATACTCTTCATCAGGATCATCAAATAAATCATATTTACGTGATGACTGTTGTTGTTGTTGTTGTGAAGGTGGTTCTTTTTGTGATACTTGTTGTTGTTGATGTTGCTGAGAAACTACATTTCTCTTTGAAATTGAAGGTTCGCTCTTTAGACTAGATTGTTGAGTCACTTGCTGTTGTTGTTGAGGAGGTTGTGGTTTGACCATTCTTTGTTGTTGTTGTTGTTGTAACTTTTGTTGTTGGTCCAATTTATGAGCAGCACTATCTCCTCCTCCTCCACCTGTAAACAAGTCAAACTTTTTTGTTACAACCTTTAAAACTTTTAAAGGTGATTGGTTGCTATCCATCTTTTTTCTCTTGGTTTTAATTAAATATATCCAAACTAAACAACCAACCAACTAACTATACAATCTACAATAATCTTAATAAATCTTAATAATAATAATAATTACTACTACTTTTATAACAATACAATGACAACAACAAGTAATAATATAATATTGAATAAAATGTGTGTATTGATATTCCCTACTTTGTCAAAGTAGTGCTCCTGCAAGTTTACCCACCAACCCCCTAATATTAATAAATTTATAATAAAAATGTTTGTGTGGAACTTCCATCTCTCCATTCCAAGAGAACCATCACACAAAAGCAATGAATACGCATGATAGGTTCTTTTCAACGTTGTCGATGAATCATTTGCATCTCTTTCGGGTGCAAACTTCAAAAGACTACAATTCTTCTTTTTTTCTTTGATTTTGAATGAATAACAAAGACAAACTTTCATTCTTGGTCAGCTGAATAATATTGTTATATAACTTAACTTTGCACAACTATTATTATTATTATTTGTATTATTAATATATTAATATAAGAGAGAAAGATGGATGGTAACTTTAAATATGTATTAGAATTAAGACAAAAAGAGAAAAAGACGATTAATCAACAAATAGAAGAAGCAGAGGTGGGAGAGAAAGAACTAAAGAGACAACTATCCAAATATGATCAAGCAACAGAGATACTCGATTTCCTATATCTTGCAGGATACGGCTCTACTCATCTAGACGTACTGAGAGAGTTGGGTGTCACCTGTGTCATCAATGTTGCAGAGGAATGTCGATGTAAATTCCTACCCAACGACGATGGTATAGTCGAACACCGTCAGATCATTGAAGATATAGTACAAACCGATCAGCACTCTACATTCTATCAGCTGTTCAAAGTCATAGACAAAGTTCAGAGTCAAGGTGGAAAGGTTTTGGTTCATTGTATGAGAGGTAGATCTAGATCTGCCACCATTGTAATTGGTTACCTAATGTTTGTACACAAATTCAATTTGCTGTCTATCGATAGTTACCCTATATTCTATTAACATTATATATACACTGATATCATTCTATTATTGTTACTACGATTGTGTTTGTGTTTGTTTATTTCATTGTTTTTGTGTTTTAATAGATATAAATACAATTGGGATTTAAAAAAGGCATATGCATTTGTAAAAGAAAAGAGATCGTTTATAGGTCCACACGGTCATCTTAAGATACAACTAATAGTGTTTGAAAAGGAACATCTAGATGTTGACCAATCAAGTATGGATCTAGAATCTTTTTTAAATTTGGGTTATAATTGATATATATAGAAAAGGTATGGTCATCTTAAGATACAACTAATAGTGTTTGAAAAGTCCTCCCTCCTTCCCACTCAAACTCCTGGTACCTGGTGTATATATCATCATCCATCCACATCCATCCATTCACTTACCTATTAAATAAAACTAACCAACACAAATGCTCGGTTATACAATGACTGTAAATTTGCTTCTTTTATTATAAATCTAGAGTATAGCAAATATTAATATTTGCATCACTTCTTTCCCTTCTTTTTCTTTTGTCGTTTGTAGAGACACACATGTGACAAAGAAACATAGAGAACCGAGTATTCAGTTAAGTGATTCTTTAATCTTCTTATCCACATAATGACTATGATTCCCAAAATATCTCGTACACGATATTTTTGACGGGGTTGGTACTCTAACCGCCCCATTATTACAGTGAATCGGAAAAACCACTCTAAAATCTGATGACTAGATTGTCTTTACAATAATAAAGATTTTTTTAGTTTTTGGCGGCGGTCTCTTACCCGAGGCCAGGCTAAAACCATGTTTGCGGCGACAGTGCGTACCCCAAAAAGAATCACTCATCATGCTCATCTAACCCTTTACTTTGCACTCAAGCTGCCAAGGAAACTCAAGGAAGATATTTTTATCATCCCCTCTTCCTCATTCTCTCTACTACTGTTTTTAATGTTGTAGTGTCATTCATTGGTCGAGCCTTCTTAAGAAGCAAGCCACAACCCTAACCCCCTCTTTTGATATTTTATTTATAGAGTATCAAAACAAACAACAAACTAAGTCCTTCTTCTTCTTCTTCGGTTATTGTCGGAAAAAAATTAATCATCATCATTCATACAAATAATAATAATAATAATAATAATTGTTTGTTATTTCTTTCTTTCCTTGTAAATATTAGTAATAGTAGTAATCTTTTTTATTTTTTTTTAATGTATATTATAATCAACAAACAATCAATTAGTTAGTTAGTATAAATAGAACTTTCACAAACTCATTATCAGAGGTGTACATATATATAAATATTTAAATAGAATTTCACAACCAGAGTATTAGAGTAGGAGCAATAAAGAGAAAAAAACAAAAATGACATATTTGGATACAGAGAATCAAGACAAATGGTTTCTTGCTTTTATGGCAATCCGTTTGTTTATTTATTTTGTATTTATGACTGTTAATTTTGGTCAAGCTTTTATTGAAGCAAGAGAAATGACTTTAAGAAAAGTTAATTCAAAAGTAAATAATATTATCACAAACATACAATATAAACATAAAAAATAATTAATTTAATTCTTTTATTTATTATTATAGTTTTTTATGTTTTTAGCATTTGCACTATTTTGTTTGTGTAGATGTATATCACAAGCATTATTCTTTTGGCGACCAGAAGAATATTTGGTTGGAACCATTTACTATGTTTTCTTTTCATTTGGAAACTTTTTTATCTTTCAAGAATTTATCTTTTTAGGTGGATTTTGGTAAGAAAGAACAAGAAGAATCTAAATATTTATAACCAACCATATCAATTTACTTATATATTTAAATATTTAATTTATATAGGATACAATTATTATATTCATTTTTTATATCATCAAAAATTAGAAGAAAAGGAGTTGGACGTTTACACAAGATGGTATTTAGTTTGGCATTTGTGTTTTTATTGTGGCAGATTCCCATTGCCATCATATACTTGTACAAAGATTTGGGAATGTTGGAGGGTATTGGATTTGTGGTGTTGTTGATTTTGTATTTCGGTGTGCTTTGGACCAATGGATTCGTACTCTACAAACAATTGAAAATACATGTTAAAAAGAGTAACTATAATCACTATGACGATATGATGCACAGGACAAAATCAATCCTCTCGATTGTCGTTTGTTCAGTATCGTCGACACTCATTTACAACATCGTATTCATCATTGTCGATGGTGATGGTACACCTCCCTACACTCTCTTTCCAATAAGACTCATTATCACTGGTATCATTGATATCGGTCAAATGATTGCTATTATGGTTGTTATGGCTGATGGACTTTTTCACAAGTATGTAAATCAAAAATATATATATATAAGTGAGTGTACTTTAATTCAAATATTAATATTAATATTCTTTCATTTATTGTATTCTTCATTTAGATACTTTTTATTTATCCGTGTTTCTAGATTCCAACCAAGTGATAAATCATCGGCATCAGATGCAACAGATGCAAAATTAGGATCGATGGGTACTAAAACTACACATTATGATGGTGCATCCAATATGAGTTTTAATACTTCTATGACATCTTTACAAGCTAGTAACGTTCAACAACCACAAGAAGAAGAAGAAGAGGAAGAAGAACAAGTTGTAGGTCAACAACAATTAAATGAAACAACCATATCGATTGGATCTTCAAACCCAAACATCCAATTAATCAAAGAGGGCGACAGCAGTGACGATTCCTCCAAAACTCAAGGCACTTCCTCAGCCGCAAGTCCATGTATAGTTTAGAGAGAGAGTATTAAAACTAGATATTTAAATAACAATAAATAAATAAATAAATAAATAGAAAGGAAGGATGAAGAAAAAGAATGTAAAAAAAAAAAAAAAACAAAGAAATGTGTTGTTTTACACAAAAGTAAAAAGACATGACTACGAAAAAGACGTTGGTATTTTTTTTTTTTTCGTATAGTCAACAATTCTTTGGTTTCAAAGAGAGACGATTCTCTTCAATTCCCAAGAGTAAAGAGATAATTCATCGGAAAAACAATGATCGATGAGCATGAGCTCCGCAGCAGAGCTGTATTAGATGAAAAAACACCAGGGTCACCCTCGAACCATTAATTTAATGCTATGGCTGAGAGATGGGATTGATGAAACGAGTGAACAATTTTACGCATATCGATTGGTATCTTCAAATTGCTATTATAGGGGCTATTCTAAACATCATTCCTTTATCTTCAAGACTCAAGAACCATCAACCACACTCTATATCCCGCCCATACATTGTTTAAATTTTATCTTAAAAATCATCATAACAAATTTAAATGGACTATTTCCAAATTAATATTATTATATTGGAAATACTAAAATCATTTAAATAGTGGACCATCCTCCTCATTCAGTCTGTCCCTTCTATTCAATTCAAATTCTATTCTTACTTCCATTCATTGCCAACACCCACACTCCTCCTCAACCCACACACCTCTTAATATCTATCTTTTTTTATTTATTTATTTATTATTTTTATTTAATTTTTCTGTGACAGACGGATTATCTCTATATATCTATCTGTGTGTTATATATTTATTTTTATCCGTGGGTGTGTGTGTCTATTTCGTGTTCGTATATTGATTCCAATATTTTCAAAACAATCTAATATCTATCTTTTATTTAATATATATAAATTTATATTGTATTCAATTTATATTTGTCACTGCTATCAAAAATCATCATAGTTGTTTTGTTTTGTTTATTTATTTATTTATTTTTATAAAAAATGATTGAATCAGATTTAGAAATGGATCCATTACCATCACAGGATAAAGGTGGAGCTAGTGGTAGTGGTAGTAGTAGTAGCAGCAGTGGTTCAAGTAGTAATGGAAATGTAGATTCAATAGTAAAGGAAATTGGAAATAAAATGATATCGAATGAAATGGAATCGATAGATATTAGACCACACTACAATGATGGTTCCATAAAAGAAGATCCAGATCAACAACAAGAGGTGAATGAATTATCATTTAGTGATCGGTTAAGATTCATGACTACACTAGGTGGTGAAGAACAACAAATAGTAGAAATTTACAAGATTGTAAAACATCGATTATCAATAGATTATGATTTCAAAAAAAGTTTATCAATGGTTAAACATTCTCCTGGTGGAATTATTTCAAATGTAAATATATAAAAAAACAATCAAAACAAACATACAAAAAAAAAATCATTCATATTTATTTAATTTCCAATGTTTAGTATTTATTTTCAATTTGTTTAAGATTTTATTCTGTAAAAGATGCATTATCAATGTTTGTACTTCAAAATATAATTGGGTTATCTTTAATAGTTGGAATGGGAGTTGGATCTCATTTGGTCAATCAATTTAATAATCCAATTTGGAATATTGGAATGGAGAGTGGATTGGTTTCTGCTGGTATTGGAATATTGATATCTGCAATGGTTGACTCTTTACAATTTAATATTAAAACTACTGAACCAACTTTTCTTACAAAATTGGTTTTTATCTTTGGTAAGTATATAGACAAAAAATAGAATCGAATAGAAAGACTAACTATTATTAACATTCTATTTTTTTAATCTTTAGTAATTATTGCATCAATTTTTGAAACTTATTGGATTTATATAATGTTGGGATCAATTGGAATATCAATTTTATTTTATTTCCCACATCAATATTTATTAAATATTGTAAATAGAAGAAGAAAAATGTTTGATCATGATTTTGGTATGTCAATCAAAAAAAATAGATTAACTCCATAAACTTATTTATTTATTTATTTATTTATTTTTTAGAACCATTTTATAAATATGGAGGATCAGAAGATATTAGAGATGATCAATCTTCATCATCATCATCATCATCTTCATCAACATCATCTACAAATGATTTAATTAAACCAATTTCACAAGATGTAACCTATCCAAAGAATCAAAGATTTATTTATGCAGTGAAAGAATTTTTTGTTCCAGGAGAAATGTATTCAAAAAGTCTTACACCATCAATCGTACAAGCATGTGTTTCTCTCTATATAGTTTCACTTGCTTTGGTAATGTTGTTTAGATTTAAAATTTATCCAAACTCGTTGGAAGCTGATTTGGTTTTTCAATTCTTTTTAATGGGATCTCTAATCGTTGGAGGATCACATCTAACCATACCTCTCATGTTTCTTGCAGTTCAAGGATCAATTAGAATACCAGAATTCTTTAAAGGTTTTACTCTTGTACATGCACTTCCAGGATCAGTTGCCAATTTTGCAGGTTATCTAGGTGCATCGACCACTAGTGCATGGATTGGTATAGTCTTGTGGATTAGTCTTACTCTTCCATCCATTCTAATCAATATCATTCTATCAGCCAACCATGAAAGAATTCAAAAATCAAACTTTATGAAAAATTTCTTTGTATGTTGTAATTATTATATTTACAATTGGACACAGTTTATTAATTCTATTCTCTTTTCTTTCTATTTAGGAATGTTTAAGTTGTGCATCATTGGCACTTGCATTTGCCAAAGCTCTTTATATATGGAGTGCTGGTATCATGACTTATGAGTTTGCACTTGTTAGTTTGGTTGTAGTTGCATGCATTCGAGCATTCAAGTTAAGTTACCACTTTGTCATTATTCTATCGATCATTATTGGTGAAATCGTACAAATATACTATTATCCATTATTTACTATTTAAATAATAATTTAAATAATAATAATAATAAAACCCAACCAACAAACAAACAAAAGTTAAACTTTCTTTGTCTGTCATAATTACACAATGATGATTACGAATTTTTTTTCTTTAATTCTCTTAGATAAATCCTGTAAGCTTGACAAGTATATGATTTACCTGTTGGATCTTCACGAGGTGTAATTTTTGTGGTTGTTGAAAGCGATTTTACAGGGTTTTTGGTTATTTCGTCATTAAACAATTCCAAATCAAACCAAGATACAACTTTTGATAAATCCAATAAATGTCTAACCAATTCTAATCCAGGTCTTCTCTTTTCCTAAAATAAAAATAAATAATTAATTAAATAATATTAATTAAATATCTTTATATTCATATTCATATTTCATCATTCCATTCTTACATTTAAAGAAAATATAAATTCCAATTCGGCATTGGTAAATGATCTTTGATAGGTTAAATAAGAATCTATTGGTACTCCAAGTACTTTGACTAGAGCTGACACTATATGTTTACAATGTTCATTATTTTGAAAATCTCTACAATTACATTTTGGTAAAGCTGCAATCTATATATATATAAAGAAACAAACAAAAAAGTAAATAAACAATCTATATAGATATAGGTCTATGTTTGAAGTGTTACAAAACTTACTAAAACTTGGTATGGTTCATTTGCACCCAATTGAAATAATTGTGACATGTGTACCTTGTCTACTGGACCAATTGATTTGAAAGCAAAATCAAGTACTACTGATCGAATTACTTTTTTGACTTGATCTGTTGATGGTTCATTTTGGAATGCCTTCATTCTATGTCCAACCAAATCAGGTGTTTTAAATGAAACAATACTTTTAGATGTAGTTTGAGTTGGTTGTTGAGGAAGAGGTTGTTGTTGTTGTTGTTGTTGAAGAGGTTTTGGATGAATTTGTAGAGGTAGAATTTGTGGAGATTTTTGAGGTGATTGATAGGATGGTGTAGAAAGGGTTGGTGAGGAGGAGGATAAACCAGTATTTGTTTTCTTGTATGGTGATTCCAACTTTACATTATCTATAGTTTGTTCAGTTGATCTCTTTTTTTCTTGTTTAATTTCAATTGATGTTGAAGAAGTATTTAAAGTATTTGTTGTTGTAGTAGTCTGATTGTTGTTATGATTATTATTAATTGCAGCGTTGTTATTCTTATTGTTGTTGTTGTTGTTGTTGTTGTTGTTGTTGTTGTTGTTATTAGTGATGTTTGATCCCAATTGTAATATAGGAGCAGATGATGATGATGATGATGAATTATTTTCATCATTGCTTATATCAAATATGCTTAAAAGTTGTTGATTATGTTTACTGATAAAGAAGAGTTCTTGAGAGGTCATGAGCTCTCGTTGCAACGATAGATTTGCAAGTAGATAGTGTCTAATCGATGGGAATAGATAACCTAATTGCCCAAGGTTTGGTATAGTTGAGATGTATTCATATTGTTTCTGTATCTGTCGAATGATCTCTTCCAATCGATATTTAATTACAATATCTGATTCTTCTTGTGAATGCATAGGTAGTATTTGTTTAATCTGAAACAACAAATAAATAAATGAACAAGTATTATCAATAAATAAACAAAACAAAAATGATGCTCCCAAATATTGGTCTAAGGATGATACTTGTAAATGGTTGGAGACACACTTTATCACTCAAACAATTCTTTTCTTTAGAAAAGGACGAAGGTGATGAAGAGGAAGAAGAGGACGACAAAAAATAAAGAATAGTTTTTATATTGTATAAGAAACATTTCTGGTCTTTATAACAATATTAACTTTATTAAAGAAATTTCGTTCACGTAAGATGTTGGTATATATTTACATTTTTATTTGCAAGATCAGTACTAGATTTAGATTTTTTGTTATATTATTTGCAAATACATTTTTTTTGATTAAATAGTAGATAGAACATTATTTAATGGAAAATTATTTTGTTTTGATTATGTTTTTTGTTTAGACGATTATTTTGTTGTTTTTTAACATTAATATGTAATTTAATATCTTGAACTGACATGTCCATCCATTTTGTTGATTTATACATATCTTCATCATCATCACCGTCATCATACTTGGTATGGTGTCGATTATCATCATCTGATGAAGATGGAGGAGGAGGAAGTTGACCATTTATAAATTTAGATAATAAATAGGCATTACCAGTTGGGAGGGTTGGGTATTGATAGTTTTGATTATTCCATGATTCCTCAAGTGATTCAATGTCATTGGTGTAGTCTGTATTGTTGAATGTTGTATTGGTCGACAATGAAGTATCCATGTATTTAATAAACAGAGCCCATCTTGCAAAATAGAAATCATTCAACAGTCCACTCCAAAGATGGTAGGCATAGTCGTGAAGCGATGAGTTGGGAGGACCCCACAATGTAATTTGGTTACGAGCATTAAACTCAAAGGGGGCAGTCTCTCCACTACTGGTGTTTAGTGCCCATTGTCGAGCATTGGCCGTCCAAGTACCGACCAGCAGCATTTGCTGTGTCGCTGCGATCGTGTCCATATCCGTAATGATATTCAAACAACTAGTTGCACGTTCTTCAAACACTGTGCTTTGGTTGGTCAGATAAGCATCATACATTGCCATTTGAGTATCCATAAACAGGTTACTGAGTGCTTGTAGAGTGATTTCAGAGACATCAAATGAGAATGTGGCTGTTGATAGGACATACTCGTCGGTTACACCGAGATAGAGTTGCCATGCCTGTTGGACAACCGATGGATCGTAGTAGAGATCGTTGGTCATATTGAGTTGGGGACGCATGCCGACAAAACTTGATGGGGGGCCGTAATAGCCGAGTGTTGCATTGAATACAGTTGGAATGAGCAGGTTCCAAGCTTGTGCCAACTCTGGTACAAACACACCGTATCTACGTTGCGTGTATTGGTTAATCCACTCGGTCATGTTGGGTGCAGTTGTACGCCACGCCATCTCGTTCATCAAGTCGTACATCATATAATTCTGTTCGATTGCTTCTGGTGTCAGACCAGTCCCCTTCATTCCAGGTGACGCCAATCTAGCGACAATAGGTTGTGTCGACACTTCTGGCACTCGACCATACATGCCCGTACGTCCACCAAAATTATGCAACATGCACCAGATCCAGTCGTGTCCGTAAAACTGGTTGGTCGAGTTCCACGCAGGGTACGCCTCGGCCCACAGATCCAACACCAGCAGACGTCCAATAGGAACACCGCCGAGGAACGCCTCTGACTGAGCGGGGAGCCAAAACTCGGGGTCGCTCACCAAGAACCACCCCTGCAACACCCACACGGCCTGCGGATCAGCTTGCACCAACGCATTGTACATGGAAACAGAGCTGTTGCGCAGATACTCGGTGCTGTTACTTGGCGGCAGCAGCTCGTTGAACGGGTCAAAGTTGTAGTAGTGGTTGGTGCCGTAGATCTCGGTCTGCACCTTGACATAGGTCTGTGTGAGGTTGGCAAAGAGCGGGTCGGTGGGATCGAGGTAATAGGTGCCGTTAAAGATACCCCACGACTCTAGCTGCGTGATGTTTGCGTGGGGAAAGAGCGTCATCATCTCGCCTGGCACGTGTCCTCCAAACCCGGGCAATACAGGGGTCATCCCATACTGACGCATTCTCTGCAAGATGAACAACTGCAAGTCACGCTGTCTGGCGATAAAGTCGTAGTCCAACGGTCCACCCCAGCCATTCACATTACCCATTCTATTCCAAGGTAGGAATGCGGGCCCTGTAAAGAACGCCTCTATGCCATCCGACGACAACCCCATCTCTGCAAATACATTGGCCCATACATACTCTTGGCCGACAAATGCCAGCGGTAGGTTGTATCCATTCAGAGCCATCCAATCGATTTCACGTTGCCATCTCTGCCAATCCCACCATACTGTGCTGTACCCAAATGTACACACGTTCATATAGTATCGCCATTGACTTGCAATTGGTTGCGTCACTGGAACCGGCACCTCTGGCAACGCACCATCATTCAAATTACATTGGTCACCCGTCCAAGTATACACACACATTGCATAGTACTTGAGGTAATAGTTGAATGCCTGTGCTAGGTTGACTGCATTATTTGCTTGCAAATAGACATAGGTCAAATTCTTTTCACCATCCACCGAATAGGATTCAGTTGACAATGCAAAGTATTCTCCATTTGCAGCACCAGCAGTATTACTAATATTTGATAGTTGTAATTGAAAGTATGGTAAATATCTATAACCAATCACTCTATCAATCAGTGAGTATATTAAATCATATGTATCTTGATTTGAAGTTGAAGTTGAAGATGACTGTGTTATAGGTTTAAAATTACTATTACTATTATCATGATTATTTAAAGGTATAGTATAACAATTAATAAATGTACATTGCGATAAGAAAAGTAAGAAGAATATGAATATTAATTTGAGATGAAGATAATGATTCCTCATCCTTTTATAATTATATATAAATATATATATATCTTTAGATAGATAGATAAATTGTGTTGTTAACAATAACTAATGAGATGAAGGAGGAGGATTGTTAACACCTGTCAAACCAACTGACCAAGCTTTTACACCCACCACCCCAATCAATCAATTCAATTTTAATCAATTTAATTTTGATTGGCTGAATGCCGTATATATATGTATCCATGGGTTCATTCATTCATTCATTCATCCATCCATTCATTCATTCATTTTAAACTATCTATTGTATTATGACTGGGTTGTTTTAGTTGATCTTTTATATGTATACACAATGTGATGAGAGGCAATGGATGGTGATGATGATGATGATGATGATAATCATCATATAATATTACGATTGGTATTATACATGTATCTATCTATACATTTGCTGATTACTATTACTATTACAATTAATGAACTTTTGGGTGTGAAATCATCCTAAAATAGAATCATAGGAGAGTTGTTTCATTGCATTATTGGTTTCCCTCCTTTTTTTATTTTCCAATGAAACAACACCCAATTTTTTTGATTATTTTTTTTTGGGCAAGGTACCTCTACGGCTCATACAAAAAATATCTCTCAAACTGATTGATAGATAGCTACCTACCTACTCTCTCTCTAGATGACCGCGTAATCCATCTGTCTCTTTCATTGTTAACCTAACGCATCATCCATCATCATCACCGACACTCTTTCTGGTATCTTATAACATCAAACAGAGTTGTTTTGGTTTATTTATTTATTTATTTATTTACATATCTATATCCCTCTGCATTCTAACTAGTTACAACGATAGAATAGAATAATAGAATAATAATCATTCATTCATCTATTCATTCAAATAACAATATATAGAGAGTGTTAGCAATAACAACAACAACAACAACAACAACTTGTGTAATATAATAATATAGAGTGTATCATCGTCATCTCAATTAATTCATCTGCTCTCTACTGGATACAACTAAAAGATACATAGTAGATAGATAATATATGTTTGGTTATTGTTACTACTACTAAAAAGCAAGCTACTCAACCAATCTAATCTTATCCACAACAACTACCCCCTCAACCTCTCTCAGCTCAGCTCAGCTCTGCTCATCCCCCCCCACACACACCACTTTTGATTGACCAACACAACAACAAGGCAGCACCAATTCAATTCAAATCCATCAATCAATTAATCAATCACTCACCCCCCATAATTGATTGTGTGTAATATTACAAAAAGTAGAGACAAACAAACAAACAATCAATTAACAACTATAGTAAAACAGACAAGTTAGTTAGTTTTTTTCTTAAGAGATACAACAAAGACAAAGACAAAGAATGTCAACTTTTTTTAAAAAGGATAAAGACAAGGAAACGACGAAAAAAGACAAAGACAAGGAAAAGGAAAAGGAAAAGGATAACAACAAACAATATGACAAGGAAAAGAAAGGAACATTGCGAAAATTATTTGGTATTAGCAAATCCAACTCTTCATCATCATCATCTCAATTGATTCAACAACAACAACAACAACAACAACGCGACAATAATAATAATAATTATTATAATGTAAATAATAGTAATAGTAATGGGAATCAATTAAATGATCAGTCAGCTAATGGTGGTGTATCATCATCAGTGTCATCTGACACTATGACACAACCAACCACGACAGTGGTGAGTAGTTCCATCTCAACCTCTACATCCACTTCATCATCTTCCTTGAGATCAAACTCTGGAAACAGTCTCACAGCAAGTCAACAAAACAACGCAGCCAACCGTCGAACAGAATCATCTTCATCTATAAATAGTAATAGTTCGACGGTTGACTATTACTATAATAATAATAATAATAATAATAATAATACATCTACAGTACCCAATACTCTTTCATCATCTTCATCTTCATCTTCAAAAAAAGATAAATCCAATTCTATTTCAAATTCCAATTCCAATTCAAATTCAACGCTAAAAGGATCAAAGGGTAAATTAAAATCGATATATAATTCTCTTAGATTCAAGTCACTTCGAGGTGACAAGTCTAATAATAATGGTGGATCATCATCGACGTCATCGTCTTCTGCAGCAGGAGGACGTGGCGAGTTGACCAAGTCGACATCGACACACTTTGAGTTTGCCACACCCATCTCTCCACTACACTATTTTGACCAACAATTCCCATCGATAGTGTCGTGGATGCCCAACAGCGACACTTATTTTGGTGTACCTCTCTCGACACTTGTCAAACGTCAAGACAATGGTTGCTCGATCCCAGTGTTGGTTGAAAAGGCCATCTCCTTTCTCGAGGCCCATTCACACCTCCCCAATCTCTTTTCCAACGCATTTGACTCGGGCACTGTCCGTCACCTGCGTCAGCTCTTTGAGCGAAACGGCGACGCCAACTTTTTCTATCCCCAACAACAAGATCCCAATGATGTAGCCGCTCTCCTCATTGAATTCCTTTCATCTCTTCCCGATGAATTATTAAATAATGAATTATATTCTGCTATTAATAATCATTCTTGTAAGCAAAAAAACAAAAAGAAAGAAAAGTATTATAAGTTATTAATTATTTCTTTTATTTTTTAGCAAATTCAGTTTATGGAGGGTATTGGGATATACAATTTTTAGTAAACAAATTACCAAAAGAATCAAAAGAAGTTGTACAAAGAATATTTATGTTTTTAAAGTCTATTGTCGTGGCTGACAAGGATAGTCTTGGGAGACTGTCTACTTTGTTTACACCGCTGCTTGTGAATCACAAGTCACACAACCTCTTGTATCCAGCCACCAACATGATGATTGAAAAATGCGAGGATTTGTTTGTCGAGGTTGATGACCGACCCCAGACACTGCCAGGCGAATTCATCATGTTGCAAATTAATCGTGTCTCTATTCCACCCATCTTGCAACGAATCACCGACTCTAAACCAGGTACGATCGACTCGAGTACTTGGGAGGTTGGAACACTATCCATCACAAACTATCGATTGTTTTGGAGTAAAAATGAAGACTCTATATCACAAGACCACTTTTTATTGCCAGATGATTATGAATCCTCTGATAACAAAAAAGACAAGAATAATGAAGTTAATTTAAAACCTTACCATTTTGAAATTATTCTAACTTCTTGTATTAAATGGGAAACTCTTGGTAAATCAAAACAATTAAAATTGGAAAAATCAAAGTAAGCGAGTTGAAAACAAATAATAATAATATGTATGTATTTATTAATATTTATTCTTTTTCTATTTTTTTATAGAATACAACATCAATTATATTTATTATATTGTAAAGATATGATATTTCAATATTTTGCATTTCAAGATGATTATAGTATGGATAAATTCCATTGTATATTAGGATATTATATTAGTCCAGTGAATGATATTGGTAGATTCTTTGCAAACGTAAATGGTGAATTATCAATGTATGATTATCAAAAAGCAAAGGAAATCTTTTTAGAAAAAAAGGAAAAACGTGAAAAGGATCAAAAAGATCAAGAATCAAAAGATGAAGTAATCATTGAACCTATCAATTTAAATTCTTCTACTTCTTCAACGAATAATAATAAGATTAAACAATCAACATCAAATCAACAAATAGCAGCAGTAGAAGAAGAATTATCAATATATCAACTTTATCAACAACAACAATTAAACAAGAATCAACAACCAATTCATGATTATCAATTTGAATGTACAAGATTAAAACTTGATCAAAAAGAATGGAAAATTTTAGAAGTATGTTAAATCAAAATCAAAACAAATAATATTATTATTAGTATTCTTATTTATTTATTATTTCTATTTTTTATTATTTAGTTTTCAACAAGAGATATAATTTCACCAAAGAAAATTATAATACCAAGTAATTTGGTAAATGATGAAATATTAAACTCTTATGTAAAAAAGAATTCACGTATCCCCGTATTCACATGGATTCACCCGCACCGAAAATCCGTCCTCTATAGACTGACAATCAACAGCTTGGTGGCTAACCCACCCAACGGCATCAATGGCCCCAATCATAATAATGGAGCCACTCTATTACCAATTGGCAATTCAAATGGAACGGCCATGTTATCGGCATCACTGAGCTCGAGCACCGGTGTTGTCATGCAACACTACAGTAGTAGTAGTTCAAGCTCGAATGCACAGAATCCACTTGGTATTAGTATTGGTGCCGATGACATTCAACCACCACCACCACAAATCAATATCCAATCATCTCCACATAAACGAAGAAATGAAAAGACATCATTCTCACCACAAATATCTATAAGGTCTTTGGCCAAAGGATCAAGTAAGAAAAAGGATCCAAGTCTTGGTAAATTACCAGTCATTGGTAATTCATCGACCAATGTCCTCTCAGACTCTGTAGACATTAAATTATTCCAAATGTTTGTCAGTCGAGATGTTGATGCATCTCTTGCCGTATCTAATCCATCCACACCATCCTCCTCAACTTCAAATTCTCCCATTTTATTCTCTTCTACTCCACAGCAACAAGGATTGAATAGTTCAAATACTAGTACTAATAATCTTGGTAATAGTATCAACAATAATAATAGTATCACAAATAGTACAAGTCAATCATCACAATATTTGAATGCAAAATCAACTATTGTATTTACAAACAAGATTGATATGAATTATATATCGGTATTTGAACAATTCAAATTGAATAGTAATAATATGGTATTTTTAAATGTTAGTCCTAGGGAGGAAGTTGAAGCAAATTGGCACGAGTTGTACAAGTATATCAACATGTTTGATGGTTCAAGTGAATCTTGGCGTCTAGTAGAGGATAGTCATTGGATAGAGTCGGTACGACTATTGGTAGAAGGTAGTTGTCGTGTGGCATCTCTTATTGGTGAAGGTATCAATGTGTTGCTTAGACCAAACGTTGAATCACCTCTTCATACATTTGATTTGGCTCGTATCACTGCTTTGGTACAAATTATGATGGATCCATATTATCGTACAATCAATGGATTCATAAAATTAATTGAAAAGGAATTTATTCAATTTAATTTTCCTTTTATTAATTTAAATAACAGTAGTAATAATAGTGGTAATAATAATAATTCATCATATACAAGTAATAATAATGGAAATAATACTACGAATCAATTAAATAATAGTTTATCAGGATCAGGATCAATTGGAAGAAATGCTGGTCTGTCATTACTGTCATCTAGTACAAGTTCAACTAATAATAATAATGGATCAACTACATCTTCATTATCTGGGTCAACTGGAATGCCACCAATTTCATCATCTGGAACTACACCAAGATTCAAAAAGACAATATCAATTGATGAAAAGATGAATCTATTTGAACAATTGTCGGCAACACTCGAAGCACCACCATCAATGAGTAAAAAGACACCTGCTCTATTTACATCAAACGATTCATTGGATATTTCAGTGATTAGTAGATCATTGTCACCAGTGTTTGTTCAGTTTTTAGATGCTGTATGGCAGATTCAAAGACAGTTCCCATTCCATTTCGAGTTTAACGAGTATATGCTATTGTTTATCATAAAGGAAGCGTTTACTGGAAGATTTGGAACATTTTTGGGTAGTGAAGCTGTACGTGACAATGATCGTCGTGTATTAGGTCGTACACCATCCGTATGGCAGTACATCAATGCTCATGCCGATCAACTATTCAAAAACATGTCTTTCAAGTATACCAAATCACATACATTGTCGCCAGGTGATGAGTCGTATGAACATATCAAACCAACAGTCGATCGTGCCAGTATTGTATTGTGGAGTCGTTTGTTTGGTGCACACATTAGTGCACGTGAAGGCCAACAACTAGGAAAACGAGTGATTGGACGTTCCAAAGCAGAATTTTGTAATTGGAGACTTACCAATGTAACCATTGATGTACACCATCTAAACTTTTGCCGTTCCCTAACACATTTGGACTTGTCTCGCAATTTCCTCAACTCTTTCCCATCGGAACTAGTGTTACTCGGTAATTTGACTCATTTGTCACTTGCTGATAACCGTATCTGTTCAATGCCAAGTGCTGTACTCAAATTGGTCGGTAGCAAACTCAAACTAATCGAACTAAACCTTGCCAACAATCTACTCGACACATTACACAAACAAGTATCAACTCTGACTACACTTCAACGTTTGATACTTGATGGTAATCGATTGGTTGTCATTCCAGAATCAATTAGTAAGATGAGCAGTTTACGAGTACTCTCTGTTGAGAATAATCGTTTGACTAGCTTCCCTCAAGCACTGTCTCTTATGAAAGGATTGGAAGAGCTAAAGGTAGCAGGAAACCAAATCCGTGACCTCCCACTTGGATTCTTTACACTACCCAATGTACGTCACGTTGATCTCCGACTCAACCTCCTCGCAAAGTTTAAAGCACACAAGATGGATGATAGACCATACTCTATGAATTCGATCGAGTGTCTAAAGTGTGGGCCCAACCCATTACTAAAGATATCCAACATACTGTATGAAATGAAAACACTACGTCACCTTGAATTGACCGGTTGCAACTTGATGCAAGTACCACCACGTCTACTAGAACTTGTCAATCTCGAGACACTACATCTCAACCAAAACAAGTTGACCGAGTTACCAACCGACTTTTGTCGTTTAATCAATCTGGTATCACTCGACTTGTCAGACAATAGTTTTGCCACGTTGCCAGCATCTGCACTACTCGTCACACTCAGGAAATTGGATCTTCACAACAACCTCATCTTTGCTTTTACCTTTTCAGCACAATCTCTACCATTGATTGAAGACCTAAGACTGGACAGTAATCGATTGACCTATGTATCACCATCAATTGGTCAACTCTCAACCCTCACCAGTTTAAATCTATCAAAAAACAATATTGCAACACTACCACATACACTTGGTTCACTTGATCGTCTAAAGAACCTTCAAATCACAACTACCAACATGTCAAGCCCTTTTAAAGAGATGGGAGACACAATGGCAATTCTCAGATACCTCAAAGCTCAAATCAACTCTTCCTATTATCAACCACGTGGTAAACTAGTCATTATCAGTGATCCAACCATTACAAGCAAGAATGAAATTATTCGTACAGTCACCTCTAGCAACTCTAAAAAAAGAAATAACAATCAAAAGAATAATAATAGTAACAGTAATAATTCAAACAAATCACCATTATCACTTGGTCAAAGAAAGATACCAAAATGGGAATTTGATATGGAACCAGATGTTGTAACACCTCCAACAAACTCTCAATCAACAAATCAACAACCCTATTTAAATAGAAAGACAAATCCAAATAGTGGTAAAGATATATTTACAGTTTATATTAGAGATATATCAAGTGTAATTAGTACATGTAGTCAACACTTGTTTACAAAGAGATCAGTTTTCCTCGTACTGTGGACAGTACAAGAATCTGAAGAACCACTCAAATTGTATCGTACACTTGAACACATTAAAGATCGTTGTGTTACGGCTAGTATCTACATTGTTGGTATTTTCAATGAAAAGGATAATAATGTAACCAAAGACTATTATACCTATATCAATGCAAAGGTTGAACAAAAGTGTACAAACAATTTCCCAAACTTTACAATGTCGTTTCATTTGATTGGTAATGTTGGTGGTTCAAGTGTAGACAATGCTCTGTTGAGAATTCGTGAAGATATCAAACTCACCTTTACCAAACAACGCAACTATGGTGGTAAACTTCAAAGTTCTCAACGTCTCTTTGAACGTCATCTCAAAACTCTACAATCTCCATTTATCTCGAAACGTGAAATTATCAATATTGGAGATATGTGTGGTTTAGATAAACTTGGTACAAAAGGTACTTGTGACCTCCTAACTGAACTTGGTCTTTTACTTTGGTTAGATGATCATGAATGGGTCATCCTAGATCCATTTTGGTTAACTACTGCTTTTTCCTCTTTAATTACAGTTTTAAATCAAAGTAATAATAATCAACAAAATAATAATAATAATCAAAATAATCAAGTTGTACTAAGAAAAGATATAATAATGATAAGTAGTTTAGAGACTGTATGGAATGATATACCAACAAGAATGTATTCATTTTTATTGACATTGGCCAAGAAATATAATATAGCATTTATTATTGATACATTGTTTGACCCAGCACCATGGGGTTATACCTATGGACAACAACAAAATCAATTAAATCATGCTGGTAGTTTTAGTGATCTAAGAACCAGTAGTAATAATGGTAGTCCTCAATTACGTTCACTCAATCATTCAATGAATCGTAATTCTCCATCCTCTTCTGCTTCAAAATTAACTCTATCCCCTCCAAGTAATAATCGTCTTTCAACTCTTATTAGTAAAGAAAAATTATTATTATCACCTGGTCAACAAAATAGTAGTAGTAATAATAATAATAATAATTCATCAATTTATGGAAATTTAAAGCTACTTACGGAAAAGGTAATCTTTTTACCAGGAGAATTACCAGAGACACCACCATTACCAATAGATACAATGTTTCCAATTCATGAACCAAGATCAGTTGGAAGAATATTTGTATTTGAATCCAAGATTCCATCATCTTTATTCCCAAGACTTTTATCTCAACTCTATATGTTTTGTTCAATCAAAGTTGCATGGAGAACTGGTGTAGTTTTGGATAATGTCTATCTATCATTCCCTATTGCTCGTCGGTACCCAGCGTCACCAAACAACAAACAATATCGTAGAAGTAGTACATTTTCTGTACTTTCATCTGATGATTTGGTAGTCATCCAAGTCAACGAAGCAACACAAACGATTGAAATTAGTTCAACTAAAATGTGTCGTCACATTCTTCAAACGTTTGACTTGATCCTCGAGACTTATGCAGATCAACTTGTCTACAAGAGTTATATCCCATGCATTCATTGTATCGATTCAAAGAGTCGTCCAGATGGAAATTATCATTTATTCCCAATCGAACAAATTGAAGCAGCGGTTGTCAAGGGCAAGAGTTATGTTTCATGTCCTCATGCTGGATCAATCCCAATTAAATTGAATCAATTGGCACCAGACCTTACAATGACAGATATCCGTCACAAGATGATAGATTATAATGAATTGGAATTGGAACCAAATCCTATTGGTGAAGGTGGTACTGCTACCGTCTATAAAGGTACATGGCGTAATAATCAAAGTGTAGCAGTCAAGGTCCTACATACAGACAAGATTGGAACCCAATTTACAAAGGTGTTTAACGAATTTAGAAGAGAAATTTTCATCATGTCCTCCTTTTATCATCCAAACATTTTGGATTTAAAGGGGTTCTGTTTGGAACCACTTTGTATTATCACAGAGTTTATGGCTGGTGGTAATCTATACGACTATATACATGATAGTAACTTGGCTCTTGAATGGCCACTAAAGATTCGTATGGCCAAGGAAATTGCAAGTTCACTTCAAACATTGCACGATTGTAAACCATCAATGATTCATCGTGACCTCAAATCTCCCAACATCTTGTTATCATCTCGTACACCAGAAGATCTTTCCTGTCAACTATGTGATTTCTCACTTAGTGGTTTCTCTACATCTCTTAGTACTAGAGCAGTAGAAAATCCAGTTTGGCTTGCACCAGAAGTCATTAGTAAAGAAGGATGTACAGACAAGAGTGATGTCTACAGTTATGGTGTCATTCTCTTTGAAATTCTATCTCGTCAACAATTCTTTGGTGGTATTAGTTTCATGTCAAATCTTGAACAAATGATTTGTGATGGTATTCGTCCTCAATTACCCTATCATCAAGTATCAGAATTTGATGCATTACTTAATAGTTGTTGGCATCAAGATCCTTCCCAACGTCCATCATTTGCTAAAATTCTTAAAAAATTGGATCTCATTGAAACTCTCATCATTATAAACAAACCTGATTTACCAATTCATTTTGATAAATTAAACCAAGTAAACAATCAACAATCAATTCAAGTAAACAATCAACAAAATAATAATAATAATCAAAATAATAATGTAATATCATCACCAATATCATTACAATCAATTAATAATAATAATAATAATAATGTAAATATTAAAATAACATTTAATAATAATGAAATTAATGATCAAGAAGAAGAAGAAGAAGAAGAAAAGAAAAAAGTTATCAAATCTATAGCTTTTGATGAATACAAATAAACTTTTAATTTATTTTTTAAACTATAGTTAGGAGACGTTTTGGATTATTAATTAAAATATCATCAATATGTTGTTGTTGAATACCATATTGAATCATTCTTGGAATGATTTTATGAAGAATATGATGATATCCATGACCTCCATATGTAGTTAATCGATGTTTAGTATAAATATCATGAGATATGACCAATTGTTTAGAATAACCTTGATTGATTAGACGAGAAATCCATTCAATTCTTTGATTATCAGATGGCATACCCATTACATCACCACCCCAAGGATAATAACTAATTTCCATACCAAATAGATCATACTCTAGACAACATCCAGTCTTTGCTATCGATTCCAACATTTCAAAATGATGAATGGTTCTATCGATATGACCCATAATGACACGTGACAGATCGGCTCCTGCTTCCTTTAATATTCTTAATATTTCCAATGGAGCTTGTAATGAACGACCTGGATGAATTGAAATGGATACACCTGTTTTCTTTTGTGCTCCAGCAGATGCTTTTAATGATTTAATCTCGCTCTCTGTCAATGGCCATGAACATCCAACCTCTCCAATAATACCACATTTAATTCCACTACCATCAACTCCTACCAATACTTGTTTAATTATTTCTTCTTCCATTTCTTTAATTTCCATATCTAATACAATCTAAATATAAAAGAAAAAGAAAAAGAAAAAAAGAGTTAGAAATAGATTAAACAGTTAAATTTCTTTCTTTCTTTCTTTCTTTCTTTCTTTCTTTCTTACATTTCTAATAGTTTTATCAACATAATAACCAGCACCCATAATAATATTTAGATTTGTATCGGATGCAATCTTTTTTAATAGAATTGGGTCTCTACCAATACCCTGAGTCGTAACTTCAACAATGGTTTGACCTCCACATTGTTTAAATAGTTGTAATTCTTTGGCGGCTATATCCAATTCATTTAGTTCCAAGTTGTGAAGATTCTTGTCATAATTGTATTGAACCCAATGTACATTATCAAGTGATATCTTTTCTTTATGTAATTGTCTTGTAGCAGTAGTAGTAGTAGTAGTATGACCACAACAAACTGAAGCAGATTGTAACTCTTCTTGTGTTGGTTCTTTATAGAAATCTAAATAGTTTATTATCACATGTTCATGCATATGTGTAATACCAAGTTGTGAAGGATCAATTAATCCCAATGTTGTTTCTACTTTACCTATTCTACTCTCTGTCATTTTTAATTAAAAAGTATCAATTGTAACTGTAAATTAAATTTTTAATGAGAACAAGCAATGCCACACATAAAAAAAATTAAAAAAAAAAATCTTTCTAGAGATCATTTGTTTTTAATCTAGAAATATTTCTATTCTATTATAACTTTCTTTTATAACTTTTATGAATTTATAACTTGTAAAGTGATCTTTCTATTCTCTCTATTCTATTGAATATTCAATAGTAAAGATGAATGAAATCTACTCGGCAAAAAGGGTAGAGTGATCAAACGAAAAACGATGCGCTATTCTAAAAATGGTAAAAAAAAACCCTTCGATTGATTGAATTTTCCGAGCTTGTTGTTTTGGAAGACGAAGAAACAACATAGAATCTCTCGTGAGATTTCGCGATTGACAGAGATTTCCGAGAACATCGAATCAAAGGTCGACCATTGACAACTTTTTAAAAAAACAACAATCACTTTTTAATTTGGTTTTAAATAGAGAGAGATAAAAGATTAAAATAGATAATTATATTTATTTATCTGTTTTTAAAAAAAAATGTCTTCATTAACTTCATCAACATCATCTACAAATTCATTTTCATCACATTATCATCAACATCAACATCAACATTATAGTAGTAGTAATAATACAAGAAAAAGTTTATCATCTTCTACTACTTCTACTACAAAGACATTACCAATAATCGAAATATTAGCAATAATATTAAATAGAATTGAAGATCAAGAAAATGAAGATTCATTCTCAATGGTAGAATTGACAGATTATTTCTCATTGTGTCTAGTGTCAAAGGTTTTTTACAAGGCGTTTGAACAAAAAATGTATAAACGTTTGGTTCATCACGTCTATTTTGGCCAGACACTTGCAGAGAATCTATTACCAATCTCTAATTGGAAGAGATGCTATATGATTCTAGGTGATGTGTTTCACAACAAGGATTGGTCTCTTTGTCCAATGTGTTTGCGTGAACCTTTGGGTGTCATTACATCTACAAAACAATTGGCTTGTTTTGATGATGAATACTGCAAATTCAAACTAAGTCTAAGATTTGATTGTAATCAAATAAATATAAATAATAATCAATACAATAATAATCAATATAATAATCAATATCATAAAAGATATAGTGTTTATAAAACAACAAATAGTTTAAATAGAATATATAATCCACAACAACAACAAAATAATAATAATAATATGAATCAAATGACAATTGGGTCATCTATAAATCAACAACAACAACAACAATGTGGATGTTTAAAATGTAAATTCAAATGTAAATTGTGTAAAACTTTGGTACAAGGAGATATGGTATCTTGGAAATCATTGGCCAAAGAGCAAGAGAAAACTTTGCATCTTGGCGAAGATGCAATGGAAGAAGACGAAGACGATGATGACGACCAAGAGGAAGACCAGATTTTGATAAAGTGCGAGAGATGTGTCAATTTATTTAGAGATATTCATACCTCTGATGATACTATTTTTACTCTTGAAGATTATCATTAAAATAAATTTAAAAAAAAAAAAGAAGAAAATATATTCTTTCTTTCTTTCTATATATATATATTAAATCAATCTTTTCTCTTAATAGAATCGCAGAATCGAAATCACTTTATCACAATGAAATAAAAGAAAATGCTATTTATATTTATGCAAGGCCTGCTCCTGTTTCAAGACCATCGTACTTCAAAATTGTAAAGGAACTTTTATAGTAAATACTTTCAAAAATAAAAGAAAATTAATATTCATCACAATCTAAAGAGAATAATGAAATATCTTGTATTGCTCTAATAGATGCTCTTTTACTTTGTTTTGCTATAGAATTACCAGTATATTTCACACCCACCATAATAACCGTGGCCGGTTAGCTCAGCTGGAAGAGCGGCAGCCTTCTAAGCTGGAAGAGGAAGCCTTAGATGTAATGGTTTCATCATTAAAATTGTGATCAAATGTATCATTTTCACGCCATTTTAATGTAAAAAATTGGCATTTTGGGCCAAAAATCGAAAAAACGGGCGGCGAACGACCCCCAAAATTTCACACACCCAACATAATAACCGTGGCCGGTTAGTTCAGCTGGAAGAGCGGCAGCCTTCTAAGCTGCAGGTCGTGGGTTCGAGCCCCACATTGGTCGTCCACTTTTTATTTTTTTTGTTGCCACTGGCCACCGACAGACAGTGGATGGTAACCTTGCTGCCACTGGCCACCGACAGACAGTGGACGGTAACCTTGCTGCCACTGGCCACCGACAGACAGTGGACGGTAACCTTGCTGCTACTGCTAGCAAAAAAAAAATGGACGACCAACCGAGCTCCTCCAAGTGCCACTCTTCCAGCCGAATGCTCATCCCAGATGAATTTCCAAGTCTGCTCCTCCGATTTCCCTTTTGCAGCTACAAAGAAAGGGAACACCGAGCATGCATGTCAAATACAATAGAACCAAGACGGATGAACCTTCAGAGCCAGCAATGATGAAAAAGACAGAGTATTGTGGCAGTTGATGACCTCTTGTTTGTGGTGGACAAGAACCAGAGGTTATTTGGACCAAAGCTAGCTTATAATGACTTGTAACTAGAGAGACTACTATTGTTTATCATTTTTGCAAACTACAAGACTATAGCTATTACCTATATATATATAAAAATTTAAATATCTCTTTGAACAAATAATAAAAAACAAAAAACAATGGAACAAAAGATGCACTTGACTTGATTTTGATTTTTCAATTTTTTTTAATCAAATTTTTTTTTTATATTAATTAATTTAGTTTTAGTTTATAATTCATCTTTAACATTTGATTTAATTGGTTCAGAGGAATCAGTAATTTTATCTTGAATCAATTTCAAAACACTGTGCAAGACTACCTTTTCATGCATAGCCATAGTAGTAGCCAATCTTGAACGATAAGAGATTGATTGAAAAGAGGCCGATGATACCAAAGCCTTGTCTTGTTCAACAGTGGTAGGATAGTTTGCAATTTTAAGGTTGATGAGTTGTTTGAGGAATTCCAATAGACCATTATTCTTGTAGGCAAGGTATTTTGAAATCTTTAACAATTCCTCTGTCAATGAACCACTAAACAATTTTAATCTTTGTCCATGTGAGAATGCTTCTTCCAATATTGTAGTCTTTTCAATTAATTTTGGGTCCTAAAATAAATAGAAAGATAGAATAAGTTATTTTGTTTTGTTTTGTTTTGTTTTTTTTTTCTACATTACATTATCAGGAATTAATTCCAATAATTCTTCAAATAAAACATTGACACAATTAATATTTGATTCAACAAAACCATAATCTATTAAAAAGTCACTATCACAATTTTGGTTGCCATAATTTAGGAATATTTGTTCACCACTCTTGACCGATTTCAATAGTGATACACGAATTGAAGAAGATTCATGATCAAAGTCATAAGTTGCTTGAGCATCATTATTATGATTAAAATAATCAATAAATGGTGCCAATACAATTGTAAGTCTTTGTTGTAATGATTCTTCTTCTTCTTCTTTTTCTTCTTTTTCTTTTGTTTCCTTTTTCTTTTCCAATTCTTTATCAATTGGTAATTCAGTATAAATACCTCTTGAACCAACAATTGAAACTGCCCATTTATAACGATCCCAATTAATAGCACAACCATCAAATATCTTATCTTTAAACATTTCACCATTTAATTTTTGATACATTTCTCTTGTTTGATCAATTTGTAACATTAAATGTACTAGAAAGAAAAAGAAAAAGGAATATTAGATATGAGATATATATAATCATATAAATATTTTTAATCATTTCTTTCATACCAAAAGCAGGAGAACCTTTTAATAATTGAATTTCATCTGGATTAAAATAAAGACCAGTATTTAATTCTGTTGGTAATGAATTCATCCATTGATAATATTCACTAGTTGTATCATCTTTACAATATCTATAGTACATTAATGAAATGGCCAATCCAATTTCTGCAGATACATCATTTTCTTGTAATAATTGATATAAATGAGGTGTTTCATGTTTAATCTAAAAAAAAGAAAAAGTAAACAATCATAATTCTTTTTCTTACTTTTCTTTTTCTTTTTCTTATTTACTCTATCTAAAGAAAATATATTAATCCATTGAAGATTAACAATATCAGAACCTTCTTTAATATCTTCATTTACAAAGATACCTCTTTCCTTGTTTGCATAATAGATATTATCCTTTTCATTATTATTTATAGGTTTAATTGATACTGCATGATGATGTATAAATTGTTTTGATAAATTTTCTAAATGTTCAACTAAAATAGAATAAGAAATGTAAGAATCTTTATATCTCTATCTCTATCTATCTCTCTATCTTTTTACCATATTCTTGTTTAGTTGCAAATTGTTGTTTATTATTACTATTACTATTTGCTTTAATTAAAGTTACTAATAACAATAGTAATACAATATAATAATAAATAGTTTTAATCATCATCATTTATTATTATTATTACCTAAGTTTGTGATGTGAGAGAGATACAAGTAATCATATGATTTTTTAAAAAAAGATGTGTTGGGAATGAACTTGTTTCGGAGATTTTTTAGGATCAAATATTTGATTTTTAATTTATTTAATATTATTTCCCATTAATTGAATCAATCTTGATGTTATATCAAAAAGATCAAATGATTGTGAAATATTTAATAAAGTATTAAATATAGTCAATGTTTTGGGACATTGAATACCATTATTATTAATAAATAGAGTTAAAATATTTGGTAATGATTCAGCTGTTTCAGTGGTGACAAGATTTGCAAGTGAATCATTAAATTCATGATTTGTATCCAAATATTGATGAAATAATTGATTGAAAATAATCGAGTTGTATGGCATTGACAATATAGATATGATTGCTTCTTTAGCAAATAGATTATGTTTTTTTGCATTGATAATGATCCAAGGTAGATAAATTGAGAAATCATTTTGAAAGATTAAATAAAATTGTGGACACTCTTGAAAAAATGCACAATGTTGTACATGTCGTAGTCTACTTGATGGCGATATCATATAAATCATAAATGGATGAAAATATTTTCTAAAAAACAATTTCTTCTCTATTGAATATTTCTTCTTTCCAATACTTGATACGATTCTAAAAATCTCTATTTGTGGATCTGGAAAATGATCCAATTCTTTTTTTTCTTTTAATAATTTAAAACATAATTCTAAACTATTTAATATATTCTAAAAAAGAAAAAAAAAAAGATTAATATTTAAATATTTTCATTTTTGTTTTTCTTCTTACCTCTTTTGATAATTGATTTCTATTTAAAAGAGTTTCAATTGTTAAAGAATAATAACCAATAGATTCTATAATATAATTTGAATTTATGATAGTTTCCAAAATTGATAATAAAATTTGACCATGAAGAGACATTGTACCAAAAAAACTACTATCTGCTGAATAGATAGTCTCAACCATTTGAAATAATCGATCTATTCTTTTATCTTTATCATTGCCAAGACATTTAATGATTTGATTATAAACCAAAGGTAAATATTTTTGATAATCCAAATCTCTAAACAAATAACCAATAATCTGTTTTGTATCATTTAATGAGTGTTGATTGTAGATCATTTTCATATCAATTTTATCAGACCAATTTGAATCTATAAAATTAGCTACATGATACATATTTAATCTTAATTCTTCATTTTCTATTAAATGTATATTATGAATAAATTCTATCAATTCATTCCATTCTTGGTGGTCACCATCATTAAAAATAAAACGAATGATTGAAAGGAGAGCAGAATGAATACAACTTGATAATTGTAATTGATTGATCCAAATCAAAGGTTTAAAAAACTCTTTTTTAAACCAACTAGATATTATTATAGAATTGAATGATTTAGATGATTTATCTCTCTTGTTATTCAATGCAATGAATAAAAGATCAAGTCTATCCATTAAACCAATATAAACATTTGATTCTCTTTCTATTATTATTGAAAAGTTCTATAAAAAAGGTTAATAACAAATCTAAAGTTATATATGATGTTCTTTCTTTTTTACAAACCTTTGGGACACCATTGATTAAAAGATTTAAAATTTGATCAATCAAATCTTTAATAGAATCTAAATGTTGATCTACAAATTGAATTAGTTCATCTTGATTATGTCTATTAACATTATATAACTTTAATACTAATTCATTCTCCATCTCTCTTTTGAAGATGAAACTACAATACTAAAAAAAATAAAAGGTCAACTAAAAATATTTTTTTTTTTATTCTTTAATTTTTTTTATAATTATAATAACAATAAAAAAGTAAAAAAGTATTCTTCTCATTATTATTATTATTATTATTATTTTTGAAAAACATACATATATTTATATCATGAAGAAAGGAATAAAGTTTCCACATTGGATTGTAGTTTATGTAAATGATGATTGGCCAGATGGAGTAGCAGTTCATGTTGATGGTAGAAATCAAAAGGTGGCATATGAGTCATTTACCTATGGAGGAATATCAAATAAAAGTAAAACTATGGTTGGTACAACTGATAAGAATGTAATTCAACTATTCGATATTTGTAACCTAGTTACCAATCGTCAAGAATTCCAAAATGATACCCAGTCAACTAGTTTCCACAATTGTCAAACTTGGTGTCAACAAGTGATTGACCTTCTTCTTGATAATCAATCAGATATAGATGTTGTAGGTGATGATGATCCATCCCCATCCCCCTTCTCTTCCTCTTCCTCCTCCTCATCTACCACCACCACCACTGCTACCCAATCCAATCGTATATACTCTGTTAAATGGACATCAGAATCACCAAAAGAATTATTCTCTATTGAAGATTGTTGTCATCCAACATTATTTAATACTTCTTCTTCTTGTCAAATTTTGTAAATCATTTATTATAAAAAACATTTTAATTAAGATTTTTTTTTTTTTTGTTAATTACCAAGATATGGTAAACTCATATCAGTTGAGAGACATTCTCTACCTTGAACTCCATCAGCCCATGATGGGTTTTCACCAGGGGATAGATAGACCAATCCTTTGTGAATGACATTGATGATGATGGTATGACTTGCTACCTTGCAACCAAATACTGTTGCACATTGTTTTGCAAACTGACGGCCTGTTTGATCACGAAAAACGAGACATGATCTGATCCAAAAGAGTCCATCACTTTCAACCAAATTACTCCATCTACTGTCCAATCTATTGATCTCCAACCTGTCCTCACCAATGCATACTGAGCCCGAACTTCCATGTCCCCAAAATTGGATTTCTTTTCCCTTTCCGTGTCGTAAAACAATACTTTTTAGCTCGGTATGTAGCTTGGGCTTGGGAACGATTTAAAATTGTTGGAAATATTTAATAAAAAAAATATCTTGCAAAATCTTTAGATATATCTAAGAGTTCTTTTATTGTTGATCATTGTTTAAACTAGAGTTTTTAAAATTGATCCAATTTGAACTTTCTATTATTGTCGACCATTGTTGATCTAAAATAAATAATTCAAAACATTTAAAAATATACTCTAATCCAAATGGGTAATCCATTACCATGAATAGGTTTAGAATTTCTAAAATACATAAATCTAAACACTTTTCATCAAGTTTTTGTAATAAATTTGTCTTGATTTTGTTGTCTTTGTTGTTATTGAATAATTTTAAAACCAATAGATAAGGAGGGATGAATGATTTTGGTAATTGATTACCAATTGTTAAAATTGTACTTTTGGATCCTTGTAAAATATCATCATCTATTTTAAAATGATGATTTTCTCTTAAAATAGTTAAAATTAAATTACAAGATCTACATGCCATTGAAATATCCACAAGATTAATAGAATACTCGTCATTACTATTATTGTTGATAGATTTTAAAAAGTTTGAAAATACCAAATTGATTTGTTGGTTGGTCATGTTTTGAGGACCTACTAGTTGGATTAATCGGTCAACAATATTTGAATGACTAAATGATAATGTAATGGTCAAGAATCTTTCAAAAATATCCATTGTATCTTGATGTCTGACGCCTACATTGTCAATATAGATTGATAGTACATTATAAAATATCTCTACTCTTCCACCGTGTACATAGTCATCAACATGGTCAGTAATCTTGTTGGAAATAAAACCTCTATCTAAAATTGGAAACAATCTATTACTGTAGTAAACTGTAGTCTCTGTTGATGATAATAGAGATACAATTGTTTTAACCTTGTTAAGTTTTAAAAAGTAATTGATATATGGACCAATATAGGATGGGCAAATACGATCAAAAATGTGAAAAAATGCATTGATTAGACGTGTTGGACGTCCATTCTCTTTGATCGTATATAGCATCAATTGATAAAAGATTTTTCCAAACTTTTCTTTTCCACAAATATTGTTTAATAACATCAATGAAACTACATATATTGACCATGTATCTGCATTCTCATTTTCTTTTCTTTTTAATAAATCTAATATTATTGATATACTTTTTTTACAATCCTAAAAAAATAAAAATCAAGACTAAGTAAAATATCAATCTTTTTATCTTTATCTTCTTTCTTACATTATTTGTAAATTGATTATTTTCAGAAAAGATTGTAATATGCATTGAATAATATTCTATTGATTGAGGAAATTCTCCCAACAATTGAGAATTTAATATTAATTCTGAAATTGATAATAAATAAAATGGGTCAATTTGGAGGAGTTGATCTTCTGGCAAGTTGATAGTTGATTCTAAGATCATTTGAGCAATTGCCAATACTCTTGTTTCTTGTTCATAATCTGTTGCACTTTTCAATTGACTCGAGAGAGAATGATAGATCAACTCTATATTCTTTGTATAATCTATTGATCGAGTCAAATATTCAATAATCTCTCCACTTACATCTCTAAATGCATAATCTACTATCCTTTTCATATCAATTTTATCTGGCCAATTTTGATTTATAAAATTCATCAATCTATACAATTCACCCCTCATCCTTGTATCTTGTATTTCATAAACTTTATAAATTAATTCTAACAATTCTTTTGGTTCTCCTAAAATAGAAAAAATAAATATATTAGAAAAAGATATTTTTTAAATGTTCTCTCTCTCTCAACAAACCATCATCTTCAAACCATTTAGAAATTAAATCTTGAGAAGTGATAGTTTCAGATCTACATTGATTTAAAACTATTATTAGTTTATCAATTAAACATTTTTGAATATCTCCTTTTTCTTTTTCTTCTTTAAAGTTTATATCCTTTTTAAAAAAAAAATTTGTTAGTGGCTCATATCTCTCTCTCTCTTTCTCTCTCTTTACTTACCTTTGGTATACCATCAACAATGATTGTTAATATCATGTCTATCATTTCTTGATATGATACAAGTTTTAATAGACTATCCAATTGATCATCTTGATTAACCAATAAATCAAATATCTTTTGTTCTCTTGATTCCATCCTTGAGATAAAGAATGAAATTCTCTTTTTTGGATTTGTCTTTGTTTTTGTTTTTTTTTTTTTAATATTTAAATACATTTAATTTATTTATTGTTTACAAAAAAAAAAAAGGGTTATATAATTTATATTTATATTTATATTTATATATATATTTAATCAAAAATAGTAGAATAAATTAAATCTTGAACAAATATACTTTTTAAAATATTATCCTTTTGTTGATTTTGTAATTCTTCAACTGTCATTGGTATTGGTTGATTTAATTGTTGTAATTGAATCTTTTGAATTTTAATAGGAGTGTTGGGTTGTTGATTTGAATTCTGTTGTTTTTGTTGGTCAATAGTAGCAGAGGTGGAGGCATTTTCACCTTTTCCACCAATATGATTATTATTATTATGATGATTAAGTACGCCGAGATTTGGATTATTTAAAAGAATATGATGAGATTTGGATCCTTGCAAGGAAGAGGATAATTCTCCTGCTCCCGCTCTATTTCCTGCCGCCGCCAATAATGATGAAAGGCTAGACGGAGTAAAAATGGAATTGGTTAAACCGCTAATCTCTCCCGCGCTACCAGAAATATTCATAGATTTCGAGGAATGTTGCTCGAGTATTTGTGAAAGTGGTGAGGTTAAAGATGATGGTTGTATGGTACACTGTGAAGAATCGATTTGTTGTTTGTTGGCCAATGCCAACTTTAATAATAAATCTTCGGTTGTTTTTGCAGACGATGACGAGGTAGAAGTATTTGTCGTATCTTGTTTTGATGGTGATTTAGTGCCACCAGTGGTGGTTTGGTCCTTTTGTTTCATAATTAAAGACAATGAATCTGAATTTACACCAAACAATGATGCCAAAAAATCATTTCTTGAACTTAATTCATCTTGAATCATTGTACTATTATTATTCTTTAACTAAATAGAAATATATATAGATTAATAAAACTAATAACTTATATATTTCTATTTTCTTTAATATTTACTTGATTTTTATGTCTTAAACTCATATGACCAACAAGATTACGAGAAATATAATTTGGATCACCATCAGGTCGCGATGCACATATAGGACAAACAGCAGATCTAGATTCATATTTATGAGCTGTTAAAACATGATCTGGTAGTGCAGCTTCTGAATGAGATGTACTACAATATGGACATTTATAGGTGGTTTGATTTGAAAGTTGTTGTTGTTGTTGCTGTTGCTGTTGTTGTTTAATGACACTTGAAAATAATTTTGAAAAGGTTGCATCTATTTCCTCTAATTCCTTTGATCCCAACTCTTCATCTTCATCATCATCATCTACATCGCAACTATCATCGTCATCTTGATCCTCATCATAATCTTGTCTATAATGACGATCAAATTGTTCTCCATCCTCTTCTTCCTCTTCTGGATCATCATCTTCTTCATCTACATCTTCTACATTATCATCATCGTCAAAGTCTAAAAATTAGAGAATAGAGAGTAGAGAGAGAGGTGAGTCAAACTAAAGCTAAAATACATATGTATCTATCTTCCTTCCTTCCTTCCTTCCTTCCTTTGCCTTCCTTCTTTTATCAAACATACAATAAATATTACTATGACCATTACCAACTATATCTACTGGGTCCATAATATGTTGAAATGAATGTTTTGAAGGATCGTTATAACATAATATACATAATGATACATTATCACAAGTTGTGCATTTGTATTTAACTCCTGTATCACCACATGCTGTACATGTATTTGACATGATTAAAATGAAAAAGAATGAATATAATTATATAAATTATATATATATATATAAATATAAAACTGTATGTATATATGAATGAATGTATGTAATGAAAAATTAAACAATAACTTGTTTCAATGAATGTAAAAAAAAAAAAAGATTGTTTCTAAATTTTCAAGAGGAAGAGTAATATTACTCCTCTTCCTTTTTTATGTTTTTGAAAAAGTAAAAAGGTAGATCTTTACAAAGAGACAGAGATATATATATATATAAAGAGAGAGAGAGAGAGAGATAAAAGATACCTTCTGAAGCTGAATTGAATTGATATCTTTTATATTATTATTATTATTATTGTGCTCTATAATAATAATAATAATAATAATCCAATCTCTTGTATTTGTTGTTTTACAAAATGTTTAAACTATATCATAAAGGCTTGTATTGTATTTTATATAACTATTATATATTAAAAGGAATGAATGAATGAATGAATGAATGAATGAATGAATGAATGATACTAATAATAATAATAATCAAATAGAATTTAATTAATGATATAATGAATGAAAAAAAGTAAAATAGAAAATAGTTTAGTTTCTTGGTGGTGTGGTGTTGTTGTTGGTTAATTTTGATTTAATTTAATTTTGATTTATTTAATATAATTTTAATTTTGATTTATTTAATATAATTTAGATTTAGATTGCTAATTTTGGACATGGTTCATGATGATGATGATGGTGGTGATGATGATTTGGTGGATTTGGAATATGTGGAGTTGAAGAACAAGGCGATTGAGATGTTAGATTGGTGGATCTGAGGATGAGACGACGATAGAGATCTTCGAGTGTTTGTTTTTGAGTGTCGAATGGTAAAAAGAGTGAAAGGAGTAAGAGACCGGTTAGAGAGACACCACTGAAAAAGAAAAAGGTAATATCGTGTCCTAGTCCAGTCACCATATACACAAACACTATAGACACGAGGAAATTAGTGATCCAAAGCAGTGACCCTGATATAGCCATAGCAGTACCTCTAACACAACTTGGAAACATCTCACTTGTTATGATGGTTGGGATGGGACCGAGACCAAGAGAAAATGCAATCTTGGTAAATACAATGGCGCCAACCGCCAACCATTCCTTGGAGATTGGGATGAGTCGTTCTACTTGATCGTCGTGTATCTCTGGTTCGTCATTCACACCGATGAAAGCGTACCCTATAATAGCCATGCCAATCGTCATGCCATACAAACTAACTAATAGGACATTCTTGCGACCATATCTATCGATCAAGACAGCCGACAATAGAATAGCCAACAATTGGGGTAGACCAACCAATGCAGACACCAAAATAGACTGTCTATAACTAAACCCAATATCCTGTAATATAGTTGTAATATAATACACCAACAAATTAATACCACTCAATGATTGTAACATTGATATTCCAAATCCAATTGCAAATATCTTTTTATATTTTCTAAAAGAAAAAGATAAATATTAATATTTCTATACTATATACAATGTATATATGTTTACTTGCTTGTTAAATATTGATTTCCAATGACTTAGATCTAATTGTTCATTCATACTATCTTTAATTTTTTCAACTTCAATTTCAACAGCTGGACGTGTGAGATAGGGATAGAGGGAGAGGAGGATGTCAGAGGCACGACCAACTTGACCGCGATGAACAAGATGACGAGGTGATTCGACAAACCAATACATGCAGAGTAGTTGAATGACTGGTGGGATGACAGCTAGGGCAAATGCAAGTCTCCATCCACTCTCGGATTCAACCAATCCATATCCAACCAACAATGCAACGGTCATACCAATAATGATGATAAAGTATTTCATCGAGCCCAAAAACCCTCGAATAGTGGGTGGTGCAATTTCACAAATATAGGATGGAACAATGGCCAAGACTGCACCACACGACAAACCAGATATCAAACGACCAATCATTAATTGAGCATATCCATGTGTAGTTGCGCAAAGTATAGCTCCAACTATAAATATTAAATTCATAAATAGTGTTGAATCTCTTCTACCGTATCGATCAACTACCAAACTACTAGCCAATGATCCAAATACACCACCAATTAAAATAATAGAGACTGATGTTGAAAATTGAATTGGATTAAATTGATAGATTGTAGAGATGAGTGGAATGGTTGGAGAAATGACAGATGTCACATACCCAACTTCAAACATTGATAGTAAACAAATCAATACATTAATGACAAGTACCGATGATAGATGTGGATGTTTTCCACCACCTTTGGATGATAGTGGTGGTAATGAATTAATTGAATCTTGTTGATGATGTATATTAAAATCTTTAAATGGTATATGTTTACAATTACCACTACCATTATTATTATTATCTTTGTTGTTGTTTTCTCGATTAAGTGTATTTTGAAGTTGTTGTTGTTGATAATTATGATAGTTGTAACTTATAGAGGAGAGGGATGCAGATTGTCCAAACAATGGTGGTGAAAATAAAGAAGATGGAACGGTATTTAATGTTTTAGATCTCATCTTTTCAATATCCATATCATCTAGATAATTATTAATTCCATCCGAGTTGGAATTGGTGTGATCTTGAATAATGGTTGATGATGGAATTTCTGCTCCATTTGGCAATGGTATATCATCATATGATGATTGTGTATCTGATGAATGTGATGATTCATCATCCATCGATGACGAAGATGAAGGAGATGATGACGAAGATCCATCATCTGGAAATGATGATTCTGAATTTGATTCAAAATCCATTGATCTATCTTGGTCTTCTTTTTGTTGTTGTTGGTCTTGTAAATATTGTTGTTGTTGAATTTGATTTATATGATTAAATAATACCATTTTTATTGTTGTTGTTATTGTTGTTGTAACGGTCAACGAGACTATGGTATATGGTATGGTATGAAATTATTATTATTATTATTATTATTGTTATTATTATTATTATTATTATTATTATTATGTGTTGTTGGAAATAAAATAAAAATGTATATTATGATTTAAAATACAAATCGATTGGTATTTTGATTTACTATGTTGTTGGTTGTTGAATGTTATCGGTCGGTAAATATAGTACAAATAAGTAGTAGTAATAAATGTCAATGGCTAATCGATTCTTTTATCTTGCTTTTCCTTTCTTTTTTGATCGATTTCTATTTATGTAGCAACTATATATTGTGGTGTTTGTTTGTTGTATGTGTCGTGTGTTTGATTGTAGTATTAAATGACCAAGTTACGATTGTTTGAATAAAGTTTAAATTATTCAACAATTCTAGTACGTCGACTACCATCAATTTCTTCTTCTTGAAGTTGTTTAATTTATAGTAGCAGTAGTAGTGAATACTGTTGTGCGTATATATTTATATATATTGATGATCATGTCTCCTCCTTTCTTTTTGTATGAACTCTCCACTCTATCCAATCAATACCATCTTTTTAATACCCTCCATTTCCATTCTTTCATTCATCCACCATCCGGTATAACCCGCATATATATCAACATGTATGTGGTGGTGGTGTGGTAGTCAATCAAAAAACAAACCAAACCATTGTATGCGAAATATGTGTTGTTGTTCAAACCAACCTAAAAATAGAAATAGATAAAACATGTTAGTGTTAATTCAATGTGCGTGTGTGTGTGAGTGATTGTATACACACAATGAGGGTTTCATATTAATCTTTGTATCAACATAACAAAACATAATATCCACATGACAAGGGATGAATCCTTGTCAAAAAAAAAAAAAAGAAAAAACAATTACTTTATATTATTTATGAAAGTCTATTCCATTTGGCATGGCTTTCACTTGGTCCTCCCATTTCTGTGGAATAAGAGCGACTGAGATCAAGTCATAGTTATTGTATTGGTTGAACTAGTTGTAATCTGGTTCCAACGATTGATGACTTGTCAATAAATGATATTAATCTTTTATTTTTAAAAACTAAGATGACTATGGAATGTATGAAAGATTTGGACGGACTGTACAATTGACAGGGGATTCACAACGAAAGCATGTAAGATTTGGTTCGACCTCTAGAAATGATTTTTTCTTGAGACAACCTTTAGACATTACTGTGGGTCCGTCAATCCAATACCAATAACAATCGCCACCACATGGCTTGCAGATGATAAAGTCACCTCCTAAACGGCAGCCTTTCTTACAAGTCAAGTCACCTTGAGCCTGAATAGGCATCTTCCATTTGGCTCGGTTTTCTTGATCCTGACACTTCTGAGGAATGAGAGTAACTGCCGTGTCATAGTATTGGTAGAAGATTGTGAAATCTGGTTCTTTATCCACCAATTGTTGGAGATCCACAATCGAAGAGTCATCGATGAATGTTGATTTATCTGGCACCTGGGTTTCACCAAACTTTAACTTGTCAATATAAATGTTCAACTTGTGTTTTGCATTATCATTGATTTCTTTTACAAACTCTAAAAAGGTACGTTTGTTTTGATCGGTTTGTTCTGCAATTGCTTTGGCTTCAGTCAATTTGGCAATTTTGTGGTCATACTGACTTTGATAAATGAACATCAAATCGGCATTTGGAATACTTGGTGATGAAAAGAATTCATCGATATAGGCATCACAAGTTTCTTTAATATAGAATGTTGATTGTGTAAAATCAACATCTAAACCACCACTGACATCTTGAAAAAACTCTTGAAATGTCATATCTAATGTAACTTCCTTGGTCTTTGCAAGATTGATTTGGGTTGCAATAGAGATAACTTCATTCATGATTCTCTTGCAACCATTTAAAAATAATTGTTTTCCAACTAATCCAAGATTGGAAAAATCACCCTTGTTGAATGCATCCAATAATAGTTGAATTGATTCTGCTTTTGATGATAGTGCTTGAGTATCCAAACGTGGATTGATTTTATCCAATATACCAGTTTTGATTGCATTGACCATGTCTGGGTGGAAATCAAGTGGTGTCTCCATCAAAGTGATTTGATCATCGGTGAATTGAGGAACGGTAAATGGAATAAATTCCATATCTGGAATGATATTTGAGAGTGTGGATAGGATTTCAGGAGCATCTCTCAATCTTTTAACCATTACAAACATTTGTTTTGTAACACATTTCATTCCAAGAACTTTACTTTGATCCATTCCTTTTTTGAATACTTCTACAGCTTGAATGAGTACAATAGATCTTGCATCTCTATTACAAAGTACTACCTCTTCACACATGACTGATAGGAGCATAGCCAACTTCCAACTTCTCTCTAAACTATGGTCATGTCCTTCCATATCCATCACCTCTTTAGTAATTGGTACAGGTGATTTCATTCTTGCTTCTCTAGACATGGTACATACACCAGTGGTAACAGTCTTGTAAGAATCAAGAGCCAAAAAGTATGGCTCCTTGATTTGATACAAAACATGACAGATTGTATTACAACAAGTACTCTTTCCAGCACCAGGTGGTCCTAAAAAACCAATACCTGACATTGATTCTCTAATTGCCATTGGATCAGATACTAAAGTTTTACCATCTGATTCTACTTTAATATACTGTGTGACATTTGGATTATCATCACTCTCTTTCTTGTTGGCTCCAAATAAAAATGAAAAGGATGGTACTAAAAACTATAAAAAATAGAAAAAAAATACAAGAGTTAGTTTTTAATATAAGGTTAATAAACAAAATTAAATTCTATTTACAAATAATAATAATTATAAATACCATTATTATCTTTTTATGAAAAAGTGAATAGAAAAAAAAAAGAGGCACCTTTACTTTAATAGTTGAAATATTTAAATATTTTATTTTAAAATATATTTGACAGATAAATTTTTTTTTTTTTATAAACAGATTTAATTCTAAATTTAAACTAGTAATCTAATAGATGGTTGATTTAAAAACTAAGATGACTATGGAATATATGAAAGATTTGGACGGGTTGTACAATTGGCAGGACTTTTACAACCAGTGCATACAAGACTTGGATCATCAAGAAATGATGTTTTTCTAAGACAGTCTTTACACATTGCTGTCATTGTGGGTCCGTCAATCCAATACCAATAACCACCACATGTACTGCAAACTACAGGGTCATCATTTAATCTACATCCAGCCTTACAAGTCAATTCACCTTGAGACTGAACAGGCATTTTCCATTTGGCACGGTTAACTTGGTTTTTCCATTTCTGTGGGACAAGTGCAACAGAGCTTGAATAGAATTTGTTGAACGGTGTGTAATCTGGTTTCATATTCACTCGTTGTTGGAGATCAACAATCGACGAGTCATCGATAAATGTTGATTTATCTGGGACTTTTGTTTCATCAAACTTTAAACCTTGAATAAACACAGTAAGCTTTGATTTTGCATTCTGATTGATGGTTTCAACACACTCGAGAAAGGTACGTTTGTTTTGGTCCAATTGATCTGCGATTGCCTTGGCTTCAATCAATTTGGCTATCTTGTGGTCGTATTGGCTTTGGTAGATGTATACCAAATCTCTAAATGGAATACATGGAGACTGAAAGGATTCTCTGATATAGGTATCACAAGTTTCTTTAATGTAGAATGTTGATTGGGTAAAATCAACTATGAGATCACCCTTGACATCTCTGATAAACTCTTGAAATGTCATATCTAATCTGGCTTGTTTGTCCTTGGCAAGAGTAATGTGATTGGAAGTTGCATTTGAGATGGCTTCAGTCAATATTCTCTTGCAATCGGATAAAAAAAATTGTTTGTTTATCCATCCAAGATGAGAAAAGTCACCTCTGTTGAAAGCTTCTAACATTTTCTGAATTGTCTCTGCTTTTGATGACAATGCCTGTTGATCTAGACGTGGTTTGATTTTATCTAAAATACCAGTTTTGATTGCGTTGACCATGTCTGGGTGGAATTCAAGTGGTGTCTCTAGCGAATCAATTTGATCATCGGTGAATTGAGGAACGGTAAATGGAATAAATTCCATGTCTGGAATGATCTCTGAGAGTGTTGATAAGATTTCAGCAGCATCTCTCATTCTTTTAACCATGACAAACAATTGTTTTGTAATACATCTCATTCCAAGGATTTTACTTTGCTCCATTCCTTTTTTGAATACTTCTACAGCTTGAATGAGTACAATAGATCTTGCATCTCTATTACAAAGTACTACCTCTTCACACATGACTGATAGGAGCATAGCCAACTTCCAACTTCTCTCTAGACTATGGTCATGACCTTCCATATCCATCACCTCTTTAGTAATTGGTACAGGTGATTTCATTCTTGCTTCTCTAGACATGGTATAGACACCAGTGGTAACGGTCTTGTGAGAATCAAGTGCCAAAAAGTATGGCTCCTTGATTTGATATAAAACATGACAGATTGTATTACAACAAGTACTCTTTCCAGCACCAGGTGGTCCTAAAAAACCAATACCTGACATTGATTCTCTAATTGCCATTGGATCGGATACTAAAGTTTTACCATCATGTCCTACTTTAATATATTGTGTGACATTTGGATTATCATTACTCGCTTGATTATTATTATCTCTAAAAAAATATTTAATTGTTGGTATAAAAGTCTAAATAAAAAATAAAGTAAATAATAATTAACTTTTGAATAATTTAAAATATATATATTTAATATATATATACATACCATTTGTTCAATTATATTCTAAAAAAGAAATAAATAAAACTATTCTAACAAATGAATTAGTTTGGTTTTCTCTCTCTCTCTTTTATATATAGTTGAAAAAGTTTTAAATTTATAATAAATACTGATAACAAATTTAATTTAATCTCCTTAATTTAAATGTGTTGGTTTGTTGATTGGACCATTCTTTGTTTTGGATCAGATTCTATATTTGTTGTTGTTGTTCACTTAATATTTTTATATACATTTATTATTATCGGTCATATATTGTTGATGAGATTTAATAAATGAACCAAATATTGATTGTGCTTGTTCTGTATCTACATTATCTTGCAAGAATGCTAGTAATCTAGGCCAAAATGGATCTAAATAGAATATTTAAATGGTTAATATAATAATAAAAAAGTAATTCTTTCTTCTTCTTCTTCTTCATAGTTCATACCTCCTAGATCAAAAGTATCTGTCTTTAAATTTGGATTGTTATTATTATTGTTATTGTTATTGTTATTTGTACGATTCTGTGACATTCCACTAGTCAATGAAGAAAACATTGATAGTAGATTTGGTTCTTGTGACTGTGGTACAGGTGATACTACACCCTCTTGTCTTGCAAGTAAAGGGTACTTGTTTAATTCTAAAAGAAACTCTTGTTCATCCTAAATATATAGTAATAGTAGTATGTATGTACTGTAAGTCTACATGTGTTGAAGTTTTACTATATGTAGTTTATCATTATCTATATACCATTATCTATCTATTTGTATGCAAATTTTAAATGAAATTGAAATTCATGATGAAGATCTTCATCTTTTCAAATTGCCATTTTATTATTATTATTTTTAATTAATTATATCTATTTTTCTTTGACGAATGGTTGGAGTAAGGTTTTTTTGTGCATATTTAAGAATATCATTTGTATCATTATTATTATTATTATGATCGTTAACATTATTATTATTATTGATTGGTGGTGGTGCCATTTCATTAAAAATATTATTATTATTAACATTATTATTATTATTGTGAAGATTGTGTTTCCAAAAATTAGATATTGATAATTTAAATTTAGTAATTATAAATGGTAATATATCATTCCATTCCAATTCAACAGATGAAGTAACATATAAATGAAGCATTTCAATCCACAGAGACCAACTATCACTTTGTATTTTATCTTGTATCGTTTTCCTCTCTTGACTTGGGAAATACCAATACCTAACCAATGTATTAATTACACAAAATACGATACTCCTAAAGTTAAAAGCCATGAAAAGAATTGATTTAGTATTTAATAAATTATTAATAAATGGATTTCTTATAAATTTCTTTTCATGTACATACCAAGGTAATAAATTAAGTTTAGCTTGAAATTCAAGATTAATATTATTAACCATTTTATTAATTTGAATACAAAATAAAATACCTTGTGATGCAATAAAGAAATAAGGACCTAATATATAATAAGCTTTTTCTTTGTATAAATAGGAAACTAGAAATGTTGAAATGGTCAATATAGGTCTTATAAACTTTTCCAAACGATAAATGAATTGAATCCTTTGGAATTTCCAAGCCAATGTCATGATCACCATAAAAGTACCCATTTTACACCATACTCCATTGATAACTAGAGTACCAATCAGTATTAATTGATTGTATGGAAATGGGTATTCTCTAACTTGATATCCTACTGTTTGAAATGGATAAATATATAGAAATGCCAATACCCTAACATTTAACAATCTGTATTATTTATTAAAATTGAATTTTGTAAAGAAAAAAAGTATCCAATCGATTTTGATATTCCTTTCTTTTTGAACAATCTATTTAAAAACAATGATAATCTAATATTAAATCTATAGGTTAGAAATATATATATAATTAATCTAAACCATGAAAATAAATGAAAATATATTATAAATAACATATGGTAAATAAATAGTTGACTATTTAATTAAATATTTATATAATTTTGGTCTCTAGACTTGAAAATATACAACAAAAAAAAAAAAAAGTATAACTACTACTTTTTTTTCTTTTTCTTTTTTTTTATCATAATAATGATTTTCTATTTCTTTGTAAATTGCATCATATGAGGTTGATGAGATATAATTGGTTGATTAAAAAGAGTACCATCCTCCTCCAAAATAATCAAATGGAGAGAAGTGAAATTTTCCACAACTGGATCAAAGAACACTTGATTACTTCTGAGGCATTGACCATCTTCTTATCAATGTTAATACACAAAATACCATATATCTAAATATAGAAAGAAAAGGGTGAATAATTAAATGTATCATATAGAATAATTCATCATCATCATCTTGATGTTCAAATACTTTGAAAGAGTTGATTATTTTGATTCAAAAATTTCATGATTTCTTTGTGGAGCTTGTTTGTTGTTTAGAATTACACAAAATAGAATCAATTGAATGGAGATGAATATAGTTGGTGTAAGAATACATTATCGATTAGACTGTTGGTACTTTTTATCTGTATCACCATCTCTTATGTATTTAGAGTTCATATTATTTAATTTCTTGCCAGGACTTAAATTTGCCTTGTTCGATGATCTAACAACACCAATATTCTTTATAATGTTCTCTCACTACCAACTATAATACTAACTACTGATATATATATATCTCTCTCTCTTTCTATTTATTAAACTAGAAAACAATAAATTTATTTAAAAATTTGAGATGAATACCCGATTGGTAATGTCTCTTTTGATTTTGTTATAGGCAATATGATCATGATTTTTGTATTGAAAATCAAATTGATGGCTCGGACATAGATTCAAGGTTGTCGCACATCATGTCTACTGATGATTGAAGAAAAGGTTTTGGATCTCCATTTTGTATTGAGTAGATTTGAAAAAGATACTCCATTCTATGCAACTTAGGGAAGACTGGAGGTACATGTCTAGATCTTGCCAAGAGAAGCATTAAGATGAGTCTACCAAGACGTCCATTCCCATCATGAAAGGGATGGATATGGAGAAATATTGAATAGAATTTGAGTGCAAAGACAACTGGATGTAAAGTAGGGTTCTTTTCCTCCTCATGCAAAAGTTTGTGCTCATTAGGGATGGAACTTCTACAGGATAAGGGTAAATGGTATTATAAAACCCATGGGCTTGGATGATGCCTTTTCTATATTCCCCAACCTTATTTTGTGCAGTTTTGCCGTTCTGTGTTAGAGACAGACTGAGTGTTAGTATTCTATCAAAGAAAATTTGATTATTTTTATTTTATTTTTTTTAATACATACAATAGAAACGGATTGGGGGTCATCATCATCAACTAATAAACTGTGGATGCTTTTAACCTTTTCCTCTGTTAAACCATCTATTTTGAGAATCGTCTTTTGAGCGACAATGTTTCTGCAAAACATTGTCACCTCTTCTGGTGTACTCTTTAAGCTTGGATTCTCTTGAATGACTCTATCGACCAATGTTGGGATATCTACACAAGGAAAAGATACTATTTCAGATTTAATCGACTCGTAGATGGATTTACTGGTACTTGGGGTGAGGGTATAGCCTTCTATTTGAACAGATTGATGGGATACTGCAGAGTTGTAAGAATCACTAAAAAATAACTCGTCGAATAAGAAATCAGAAAGCTCATCTACTGCTTTCAGATTGTCTTTGTTGAATTTGCTCCATTCGATTTCCTTTGACAAGTCGAATGCATTGTGATGATTCGTCCACAGATCTCCACTTTGAGTTAGCTTGGTGTACTCTTTGGTTTTTTTTTGTAAATGTTGAAGTGGTCTAGTATAAATTGTATCCAAAAGTGACTTTCTTGATTCAATTGTTCCCTTGAAGGAATCGTCTCTGTCAGACCATGGAACACCAACAAAGGTTTTTTGTGAAAAAAAACGATTGTACATCAAGGCGAGAACGTTGGTGTTGCTGGTATCGCGATTGTAAACTACTTTTAATGAAGTTGATTTAAATCGAGTTAACTGAAGGAGGGAAGTAGGGGTAGTAAGAACAGCAGAAGAAGATGTTCTTCTGAGTAATTGGTTGTGGATCATAATTAAAAGTATAATATATATATATATATATATTTAAAAGGAAAGATGAAACAATGAGTACGACTTATAATTTAATTACAAGTAGCTGCATGCATTTGCTACCTTTATTTTCTTTTTCTTTTTTTTTGTCATAATAATGATTTTCTATTTCTTTGTAAATTTTTAGCAGCATATTGCATTATATGAGGCTGATCAGATATAATTGGTTGATTATAAAGAGTGTCATCCTCCTCATCCTCCTCCAAAATTTCATTTCCATTTTCATCCATTGGTTCATCACTTTGCTCGGGAGGTGGAAGAGGTACAGGTGAAGGAGGAGGAGGGACGACCACCTTTTTCTTTTTAAAAAATGAAGGGATAAAACGTGACCAATCAAGTTGAATAGAAGTACTAGAATATACATGAACCATTTCCAAAATCATTGCCCATGTATCACTATAAATTTTGTAATTAAGTGTTCTTTGATCTAATTGTGGCATTGACCATCTTCTTATCAATGTTAATATAACACAAAATACCATATATCTAAAAGATAGAAAGAAAGGGGTGAATAAATATATCATATAGTATAATTCATCTTGATGATTCAAATACTTTGGAAGAGTTGATAATTTTGATTCAAAAATTTCATGATTTCTTTGTGGAGCTTGTTTGTTGTTTAGAATGACACAAAATAGAATCAATTGAATGGAGATGAAAATCGTTGGTGTAAGAATATAATATGATGTATCTCTAAATACATAAGAGATGATGATACAGATAAAAAGCACCAATGGTCTAATCAACCTTTCATAACGAACCAACAAAAAGCATTCAAATAGCCAACCCAAAGATATAAATGTACAAAATGCACCTATATCACACCAAACTAGTGTAATAGCTACCGTACCAATATGAATCATATTTATGTATAATGATGGATACTGTAAAACATGGTATCCTGCCATTTGAAGTGGATAGATTAAACAAAAACATATTAACCTTGAAACCAACATCACTGTATTTAACATTAAAGTTGAATTTTGTAATTCAAACAATGATGACAATACATTCTTGATTCTCTGATAAATTGAAAGATTGTTTCTAGATCTATTAAACAATCCAATCAATTCAATGACATAGTTGATTGAAATATTGATAAATATATAAACTAACCATGAATGAATTAATATTCTAATAATTGAAAAGATTTGAAAATATATTAAAAATATCATAACTCGAGTAGAGATAGAGATATTATATATATATATATATATAGAGATAGAGAAATTAAGAAAAATGAACTTGTAAATTCAAGTTTTAAACACTTTTATTTGCTAGAACCTAATGAATTTGACAACCTTTCAATGGAGCAAGATGAATATTTAATTATTTTAATTTTTTGAAGCTACTTAACTATTCTTGTCGAGATGACATCTCATAAATTGGTACGTGGTTCACTCTCAAACCATTCACATAAATAATTAACAAATAATAATAATGTGTTAAAAATTTTTGAGGTTCCAAAAAAGAACTCTGGGTGGTCCAAAAACCATACCAGTGTTAAATTGATTGGAGTATTGAAAACGATTATTTTATTTACATATGAAAATGTTGGTCTTAATAATAAAATTAATGAAACATCAATTGGATCATTTCATATTGAAAATATTTGTAACATTACAACTAGTCACAATGAAAGCGTCAACAACTATTACTATCATGACAGATGAAGGACTTTCAAAAGTAAATGGTCTAGGTATGTAAAAAGTTTGGATGGACTATTTAAAATCTCTCTCTCTCTCTCTTTTATATTGACTAAAATGTTTCATTGTATTTAACATATTTGGTGCATTATTAGCACAGATAAAACCACCCCAGATTGTGTCTAGATATGGAGAGTACAATATTGAATTTGAAAGTTCTCCTATATCACTTAGAGGAGCAGACTTTTGGAATAAAAAAGTTGTACCAGTGATATCGGCATATTTGGAACGCGGTGGAAGAAGGTATTTTCTCCCAAAAGGATCCGTTCATTGTGAGTCAAATGATTCTTATCTTTTAGTTAGAATGGTTTTCTCTGAACCTCCAATGTATCCCTTACCATTATAAACAAAATATATATATATGAAACAAATAAATAGATAATATCTATTTATTAAGTTTAAATTATTTTTTCATTTTCTTATTTTTAAATACTTGACCAATTCTATCTTGAACTGGATCTAAATTAATATTGACAAGATTATTACTATTTGATTTGATGACTCGTTCTTTTCTCATTTTTCTTTTTTTCTTTTCTTCTTTTTCCAATTCAATCATTTTCAACCAATCTGGATCTTGAACAAATTCCTCGGTTGGATACCCCTCGTCATCACGATCGACAATGAGACCGTGGAATGGACAAATACGAAGATCCCGTCTTGGACACAATCCACCACCTTTTGCAAGTTGATGTTTACACTGTCGATGTATTTGTGTTGGTGGTTCATAGACTGTAGACATTTGATTGAGTGACGAGAAATGTTGAATAGAGATGGTTGGTTCTATATTGGATTCTCCAAGGAACCGATGTTCAATCTCCAAACCCTTGTGCAGACTAACCTCTTTTTTACCCCAATGCATCAACATTGGATGTGTTTGAACTACTGGTGCACGTGCATACAAATCATCAATCGTTTCTCCATCTGGTAAATCCTCCAATTTTGGTGGTTCAATATCAACTCCATAATAATGTTTATGATATTTCATTGGTGATGATGTTGAATCAAAAGAAGTATTTGATTCATTTTGATATTCTACCAATGACTCTTCTTCTTCATCTTGTTCTTCTTGATTATTATCACCTGGTTGATACATTTCCATTTCAATTAAATTTCCATCATCATCATACATTTCTCCATCATCATTTTCTTTTTCCTTTCTCGGAGGATCAGGATAAATAGGAGTAATCTTCATATCATTACATCTTGATTGAATATTATTAATGTTTGCTTGAATATCAATCACTCTTCTTAGATAATTTCTATATGCCTGTGTCTCCTCTCTTGGTACATCATACTTTATCAAAGTATTATACCAATCATTAATAATTAGATTTTGTTGTTTATCAACTTCTGCCAAATCTTTACCAATCTTTTCTTTTAAATTTAAATCAATTTCTTGATCTAAAAAAATAAAAACAATTAATAAATTAATAAATATTATCTTTTTTTTTTTCTTTTTTCTTTTTTTACACTTACTATTAACAATATCATTTACTTCATTTGTATCCAATGTTACTTCAATTGAATATGATGTACTACCAAAACCACCTTGTCTTAAAATATCATTTATATCTTCATGTCTATTATTATTATTATTATTATTATTTGTTGTACTTGTAGTACTTGTCGTAGAGGTCATCTCGGTTTCATCCAAATCATCATCATCTTCTTCTTTTTCCTCTTCCTGATTATCAAATAAATCATCAAAATTATTTGTACTTGGGATAATACTAGTTAAAGATTTTTCAATTTGATCCAATAAATCTTGTAGTTTCTTTAAAACTGGTTGAAATTCTTGAACTAATTGATTATATTTAATTTTTAATAATTGTTGTGTTTTTCTCTAAAAAATAGAAATAAAAGATTAAAAAGTAAATAAATGTTCTCTATCTCTTTTTTTTATATTTTCTTTTTCTTTTACTTTTCTTTCTTGTTCTTGAATTTCTCTTTGATTTAAAGTTTCAATTCTTTCAGGAAACTTTAATTTTAAACTATTTTTTAGATAATTGTAACCAACACGAAGATGAGAGTAATGTTCACCAAAAGATTCATTCCATTTCTCTACGTATTCCAGTGCCTTTTGTTTCATGTAGATGGCAGTTTGAGCAGGTGGAGGTAAATGCTTAGTTGCATCGGTACCAATAGCATACTCAAACACCATCGATAATTCATTACATATCAATTCTCTAAAATATTTTGATCTTAAAAATAATTCATTTATCATATTTAATGATGATAATCTAACCTATAAAAGAAAAAAGATAAGATAAGATTAATACACCTATCTATCTCTATCTTTTATATCTATCTTTTATCTATCTTTTACTTGACAATGTTTATATTTTAACTTTTCAATCAATAGATCATAAGCACATTTAACAAATAGGTTTGAAGGTTTAACCAATAGTTTGATTGCTGTTGCATGTTCTTTTGAAAGATCTAGACTACCCGTTTTAGTAGCATCATTGATTAAATCTGCTATGTTTCTTCTAACATTTATATCCATCCAAATAAATAAATATATCTATATGTTATATATATCTATCTCTTTTCTCTTTTTTACAATGATTCAAAAAAAACAAAAGAACTCAATTTATAAATTAAAAATTTCAAGAAGATAGATTTCAAAAGATGGAAACTTAATTTATTTTAAAGGTTCACAAATTATTCATATTATTATCTCTCTCTCTCTCTCCACCTCACAAGTGGGTTAAATCAATTGGTATGAACTCAGCTGAATAGGTGTGACCCCTCAACCATACTAAATTTTTATGAGAAAAAGTACAACTATACCAAACTATATGATCAAAAGGAATGATAATAACTATACCTAAATTTCATTAAAAACAAAATGAATTATATCCAAACAGACAAAATACAAACATTGATCGTATGATATAAAAAATAGATCAAACTATATCAATTTGATCCATATTTCTATCATACTCTCTGATACTATATTTTTAATATGGTTGGAATTTCACAGCGGCACTGTTACTATCCCCTCTCTCTATGAGCTAACACCCCCCTACCAAAACTCTATTTTTGATTCATTCTATTATTAAATTATTTTCCTTTGATTTAATAATTAAATCATTTAATTTAGATAGATAGTTAGTTTTATAGTCTTATAATCTTATTTAGATTTTAAATTAATTATATTATATATTTTAGATTTTAAATAAAATATTGTTGTTTATTGAATCTTAAATACTCTATAACCAACAACTTGAGTATAATCATAAGATACTCTTTGGAAACCTGGATCGTTGACATAGATGGTAGTGGCGAGTGATGGGTCACTGTCGGTACCAGTGGCGAGTACAAAATGACCACCATTGTCAACATTGAGAATGACGATAATGTCTTGTTCGGCGAGCATTGTGGCAACCTCTGACATTGTGAAATCGGTGCCGTTGTAGAGTGGACCTACCCAATCAACGTTGAGTGGTGAAATGAGTGGGATTTGACTCTCGATCAAATCGCTGTTAGAGTTGTATCCTTGGTTACCCAACAACCATTGATTGAGTGATGCTGGTGTCGATAACTGACCATCAATCAATACTCCCTTGCCTGCCAATGACATTGAAATCGATGACATTAAACAACCAACTTGACAAATAGTAGTACCAATCATTTCATTATTTGCCCATCTAGAGTCACACTAAAAAATAGAAAAGTAATAGTAGAGTAAAGTAAAGTAAAGAGGGGTATAGTTAGAAAAAAAGAGTAGTAGAGAAAAAAAGAGTAGCCTACAAAGATAATAATACAACAAACTACTTACTTGTTTATAAAGTGGGTATCCTCCATATGGAACGACAGGGGTGGAATATACAGTTGAAAAGACTGATACTAAACAAAAGAATAATACTAATACACTAAATCTATACATGTTTTTTTTTAAAATACAACAAACAATAATTGTTAACTTGCAACGAAATGAATTGAATGAATCTCATCACCTCGCACCCAATGCTGTGCAATCCCGACTTTTCAAATGAAGATCTTTTTTAAAAGTTTTTTTTCAATTTAAATTTGATTAATAGTTTCAATTCAATTTCCCATGTCAATTTCAAAAAACCAACCAACAATTAATTAAGTTAATTAATAATATATATATAATTATTATATTTCAATTTGGAATGATTTATTCATCATCATCGTCATCATCATCATCTATATCTTCTTCAAAATATAATTGATCATTGTCATCGTAATCGTCACCATCATCATCGTCTATTTGATTTCGAGCACTTTCCTCTGCCAATGCCTTTTCATATTCCATTTTTGCGAATCGATTCCAATCACTCATCGATTGATCTGAAAACGGTACCGACTCTTTTGTTTCTTGAATAAAGAATTTGGTAGTATTAAATAATATATTATAAAGGTATCCTGCCAATTTGGAATTTTTTAAATCCAATAACGTTATTTTCTCTAAATTGTTTGGTTTTATCATATCTAATCTAAAGAAAAGAAATTAAAAAAAGTAAGTAAATAAATTAAGATTATATATATATATATATATATATATTTCTTTTCTATTTACATTTGACATAATAAATCAATAAATATTGGTGGTTCTAAATTTAAACTATCTAATCTTTCTTTTTGATCATCATAGAAAAATTCCATTTCATGAAAACTTAGTATACCATCATGATCAAAATCCAAACATTTAAACCAATATTCAATTGATGTATTATTTGTTTTATCTTCTTCTGATAATATAAACCCTAAGAATTAAAAAATAATTAAATATTAATATTAATTAATTCTCTCTCTCTCTCCTTCTCTCTCTTTACATACAAACAAAATTTTTATAAGATAATTTTGAACCATAGTATCTTGGATCTTCAGTAAATACAGGAGATTCTATAATTCTTGAAACTATTTTATCGGTTAAACTGAAATTAGAATATCTAGACAAATCAGATGCTCCAATATAAAGGTCATGATCAGTATCCAATTCCCAAAATTTACAATAAATAACATAAAAATGTTCATATGAAAAGTATTCCAAATGCTAAATAATAAATAGAAAATAAATTATTAATTATTATTATTATTTTCTTATTCTCTTTTTTTTTTTGTTTTTTTGTTTTTTTTTTACCTTATTAATATCAGGTTCTACATCTAATAAACAAAGTGATTTGATAAAATTATTATTTTTTAAATCAGTAACTGTTATTCTTCCTTTTTGTTTACTATTTATATAAAATATTCTAACAATCACAGTCTCTGTATATCTTTCTTGAAATTCTGGTGTATTTTTTAAAAAGTCCAATCCTGGATGAATTTCAAGTAATGCTATAAAATAGAAAATAGAATTAAATATAAATAATTTGATTGGTTGATTGATTGATTGTGATTATTTCTTTTTCTTTTTTGTTTCTTTTTCTTTTACTTTTTACAAATATTATAAAATCATCATAACTTAGATAAGTAGAAGATTTTGATTTTCTTAATACATTGAATAATATTTCTTCTGTTTCTTTGCCAAAAATATTATCTTTCCAAAACTTTCCAAACTCTTGAAATGATTGATTGAGTGATGAAGCAGTCATTTGTTTAAATAACAATCGAATGACTATACGTGGTAAATTATACAATTCTTTTAAAAGAGATTCAAAGTCATCGTAGGATTGAATTTGATTCGATGCAAACTTGTCATATCGATTCTTGATCTTGGCCAAATCACTATCCATTTTCATTGTTGTTTCGTTGGACGTTGGTGGTGATTTGTAGAATGGTGGTATCTTTATAATAACACTTGGTTCTCTTTTATAAACCTTTCTTTCAGGTTCTTGACTATTTTCATCGTCATCATTTCGACTTTGTTCGTCATTATCATATGATGTTCGTTTATATGATGAAGTAGATATTGACGTCGTCAGTGTTGACGTTGACGTTGACGTTGATTGATTAATACTATTATTATCATGTGTTATATTTGTTACAGGTGGTGGTGAATGATCATGATCATTCTTTACATAAATCATTTCAACTTTTATATTATTATTATTAGTATTATCTTGTTGTTGTTGTTGTTGTTGATTGACAATTGATATATTTGAAAGATTGGTTGTAGTATCTATTGTTATAGGTGTTATATTATCACTACCACTGCTACTACTACTACTACTTTCAATTGCAGTTGTAGTATTTGTAGTAGTTGTCGGAGTTGAAGAAGAGATTGAAGAAGAGTAATTTAGTCCATTTAACAAATCACCAATATATTGAACCGACTCTGTCTTTGAAAGCCATGTAAGAAACAATTCATTCAACTTGACCTTTGCACTAATGATATTGCCATCAGTCGGTGGTGATCTTTCTTGTATATTAAACATATCAAAACTACTACTATACTATTATTATTATTATTATTATTATTATTATCTCTGTATGTCTATCTGTATCTGTATATATATATATATATATATATGTTTATCCTATACTATAGTGTTATAATTATTTTTCTCTTTCTTTGAAATAATTGATGATTCTTTTTTTTCTTTGTCCAAGAGAGCTAGCGTTGCTGCTGTCCAACTTGAAAAAAACAAATTAATTAAACCTTTTTACAAATAAATAAATAAATAAAGAGGAGAGGGTGTGGTTCAGAGATGATTGAAAGAGTGAGAGAGAGTAAAACAGACAGAGAATGATTGATTGAAATGAAATGAATGAATGAATGTATGTTGTATTGTATGTATTATGAGATCGGTGAAAGATTGGGATTAGGGCATGTATGATGATGATGGGTTGTAAATCAGATTGAAATCTCATTTTGGGTGGTATGTGATTGGTCGAGCCTGTCCGATTAAAAAAAAAAAAAAAAGAAAGTTGTCACGGCTGATCACATACAATTTGTACCATGCATTTACTGCCGATGAACAACCAACTTGATCAGTTTATTGAAGGTTTATCATTAAGAAGGAAGACGTCATTCATTCATTCATTCATTCATTCATTTATTTATCCTCTCTTTCTTTTTTGTTACTATTTGTACAACTACTGTCCTTCCTTCCTCTCCTTCTTGTCATTTTTGTTATATATATTTTTTTTTAATATTTTATTTTTTTGGTCGAACCATCGAACTCATCTTTTCTGTGTTTTAGAGAATCAAATAATGGAAGCAAACATGAATGACCATCATTTAAGTTCTACAAATAATAATAACAGTCATAATAGTAGTACTAATAATAATAATAATAGTAATAATGTAGAAGTATTAAATGAACAACTATACAAATATATTCAAGACATTAAATGTATCGATCATCACTGTCACAATATATTGGATGAACCTGGTATATTTCAATTACCATTGATATCATCAATGTGTGAAGCCAATTTAGAACAAGATTTAGTATTTAGAAATCAATCAACTGTAAGCCTGTACAAAAGAAAGAAGAATAAGAAGATGAAACAAGAAGTTATATAACTTGTTTATTTCTTTCCCCTCTTACTTATTTTCTATTTTTTTTCTAATTTTAGAATTCATTAACATTTAAAAGAACATTGAAGGAACTATCACAATTATTATCAACAAGTACAAATAATGTGGAAGAGATTGAAAAGAAAAGAGAAGAGTTGGGAGTTGAACAATTAACATCGATTTGTTTTGAAAAGGCAAAGATTGAAGCAATTATTTTGGATGATGCTTTTGAATTTAAATACAATGGAAAAAACTTGCCAATGAATGATTGGCAATGGCATACAAAGTATACAAAGGTGTATCGTGTCATTCGTGTTGAAACGGTGGTTGAGAAATGTATAGTTCAAGCTAAAAAAGATGGTTCATGTTGGGACAAATTCTTGAATCATGTTGTCAAAGAATTGACAATCGAGAATAATGGTGTCGATGGACCAGAGAATCATAGACAAGTGATTGGATATAAATCAATTCTAGCGTATAGAACTGGTTTAAAGGTTGATGAATGGTCATTGGAAACTGTCATACAAGAATATAATACTATTCAAAAAGAACTTAGTCCCGATGTACAGACCTATCGTCTCATGTCAAAACCATTGATTGACTTTTTCCTACAATTAACAATGAAAATCTCTGCTCAACATAAACCACATCCACTTCCAGTACAAATTCATACAGGCTTTGGTGATAGTGATGTTGACTTGATTCTAGCCAATCCTCTACACCTCAAACCTGTTATTGCGGCATATCCAACTGTTCCCATTACCTTGCTGCACTGCTCGTACCCGTATACACGCGAAGCAGCCTTTTTAACGTGGGTCTATCCCAACGTATACGTCGATATTGGTTTGGCAATCCCCTCGCTCAGTATCGCCGGTATGCGTCAGGCACTCTCCTCTCTTCTCGAATTGGCACCGATCGATAAAATCCTCTACAGTTCCGACTCGCATCACATTCCAGAAATTTACTATCTAGCTAGTCATTGGTCTAGAACTCTCCTATACCAACTTTTTATCGAATCTATCAATCAACAGGAAATCAATCATCAAGAGGCAACTTTATTTGTTGATAAAATATTTAGATTAAATTGTTTAAAATTATATAATATCTAAAAAAAAAAAAAACAAATCAAATCAAATCAAATCAAATAATTTTATAGAATCTAATCAAATAAAACATAATAATATATTATATATTATATATTATCTATCTTTTTTTTTTTCTTTTAAATTTTGTACATTTTTAATTTATATAATTAATTGGTTTATCAATTAATTGATTGATTTCTGTTTTGATAATATTATTAATTTCATTTGAAACTGTATCAATGTCACGATTAGCATTGATTACTTTCCAAGATGGTTTGATTAAATGTTGTTCATAGATTTGTTTGATTTTGTTTTGAAAGTCAACCTTTTCATAACGTTCTGTACCGTATTCACCTCGCAGTGTTGCATCTTCTGTAGTCATCTTTAGATAGATGACTAGATCTGGTTCGGGTAGACCCTTTTCACAGTTGAAACACCAATCTACATCGATTCCCTTGGCAGCAGTATAAGCTACACCCGAATAAGAGTATCTATCTACAACAATCGATGTACCACTATTTAACAATTTCATCAAATTATCCTTTGCTTCCCATCTATTGGCTGCATACAATAAATGTATTGCTCTATCATCCAATTGTGTTGTATTTTGAAGATATCCATTTATAATTGATCCAGTTGGTGTTGTTCTATCTAAAATAATAGAATAGAAAAGAATAAAACATTAATAAAGAGTTCTTTAAAGCTATATTTGATCCATGTCGTACCTGGGAAACGTAATACTTTAGCATCCAATTGTAAACCATTCTTTAAATAATCACCTAATTTTTGAACTTGAGTTGATTTGCCTACTCTATCTGCACCTTCAAACAAGATAAATAATCCTCTTTTCATATTCTTCTTTTCTTCTTCCATTTATATATACAAGTTATTAATATATAATGTTTATGTAATATATCTTATCTTTACTTTAATCAACCAACCCTCTCTAGATGTACTTACACTTTTTTGAACTTTGAAAAAAAAATGGGAGGGAAAAAAGGTTGTGTAAAATCCAAAGATGACCAAGGACAACAAATCATGATTATATAATATAATATAATATAATATTACTTTTGTTGTTATTTAATTAATTATTTATTTTTAGGAGATTTATTTATTTATTTAGATTTGTGATTTATGTTTATCTTTTTTTATTGACACGCTTGGATTTACCTGGACGACCCTTTGGATTCTTTTTGTGAGAATCTTTTCTTTGTTGAAGGGCCTTGCGAACATCTTCCGAGTTTCTAGATGTCTTGAAATCTCTAAAGTCATTGGCAGATTCTTGATCATTATTTTTGTTCTTTTTGCCACCAAAACCAAACTTTTCATCCTTGGCTAATCTCTTTTGACCCTTCTTTTTCAAATCTTCGGTACCAGTTCTCTTTCTCTTATTCTTGTCAGTTGTTCCATTTCTTTGTTCATTATAAATATTATCATAATCCAAATCAACACTAAAATCATCTCCTTCAGTACGAGTGGCTAGATAGATAGATAGATAGAACAATATATTGTTAGTAAAATTATTTAATAAATACTTTTTTTAAAACCATTTTTCTTCTATTTCTTATCTTACTCTTTCTCCAATTTTTGACAGCATTCATATTCTTTGATTTTTCAACCTCACGTTCCTTTTGTTTCTCGACTTGTAATTGTTTACCGTATTTCTTGACTTGACGTTTATGTCTGATCATTTCTGCAGTTTCAATTCTCTTTTTGTGTTCGAGTAGATTGGCCTTTACCTTTTGCATATGATAATCAGTCTTTACCATCTCGGCAAAAAAGTCTGGCTTTCTTTGAATATGTAATCCATTCTCTTTACATAATTTTTCACAAATTTCAACAGTTTCAACACTTTGTTTATAGCTAAAATAGTAAATAGAAAAAGGAAATTAATAATTAAATAAATAAATATTACTTGGATTATTATTTTCTTTTTTTTTTGTTTAACATACAAAGCAGCTTCTCTTTCAAAATCATCATGAACATCTTTAACACCTAATGGAATCTTTGAAGTGAGTTGTAAAGTATGTACCCATGGAGTAATTCCAGCTGATGTAAGTTTAAATTCATTTAACTTTTGTAAAATACCCTCCTAATAGAAATATAAAAGAATAATAATAAAAGAATTAATGGTTAATATATGTTATAATAATATTATATTTTCTTTCGTTTAAACATACAGAATCATTAATAAGATATTTTTGATTTTGTTCGACGGTGACAAGAGAGTTTTCAGCTTGTTTCTTTTCATGGGCCTCGTCTTCGAGATCAGATGTTTCCATGGTTTCTTCGTGTTCTTCCAACTCTCTCAATGGTGGGGCTGGTTTTTTCTTTGGTTCTGATTTTTGTTGTTTGAGGATATCCTTGATGTTGGCAACACCTTCAAATGAATTACCTGAAATCTCTACATCATATTGAAGTCTTTTCTTTGGTCTAACAATCTCTGGCATTTCTCCATAGTCAAATTCATCTTCCTCTTCCTCTTCTTCTTCTTCTTCTTCTTCCTCTTCGTCTTCGTCGTCATCTTCTTGAGCATCGACAAATTCATCATCTTCATCTTCACCCATTAATTCGGAAAACAAGTCATTGGCATCAGTTTCAGCCATATCATCAGCAACCTTGGCAAGTAATTCTTCATTGTCCATTTCCAATTCTTCTTCTTCATCGTCTTCCTCCAATTCTTCATCTTCATCATCATCTTGACCATCATCTTGTAAGATTGATTCATCACCTTCTTGATAAATTTCATCTTCATCTTCTTCTTCCTCTTCAGATTCATAGTCTTCGTCATCTTCGTCGTCTTCATCATCATCATCATCTTGTAATTCTTCCAATTCTTGTTGATTGATTTCCTCGTCATCATCTTGTTCATCGATTTCAACGGCTTGACCTTCTTCGTCATCGTCAAAGTCGATAACATCGTCACCGTCATCGGTCAAATCGTCCTCGTCAAAGTCACTCTCGTCATCTTCGTCGTTGTTTTCAATCATCTCTTTGAGTAATCTCTTTAGCTCGTTTTCATCTTCAATCTTTGGTAATGGTTGTTTCTTTTGTTTAGCTGCAACTGTTGGTTCAACTGCAACCTTCTTATTATTATTATTATTCTTTACAGCAACATTTTTGTTATTATTAACATTATTATTCTTGTTAGTATTATTCTTGTTATTATTATTGTTGTTGGTTTTCTTTGGTGATTGTTGAACCTGTTGTTGTTGAGCTTTCTTGTTCTTGTTATAGTTTCCCATTTTATACTACTACTCTCTTTTATAATTGTATATATATATAAATATGTTGTTGATATAGATTAGAATTAGGGGATGAGAACACAGATAGATAACAAACAAAGTCGCACGTTTAATAAAGAGACAGAAAAAAAAAACGACCGAATCTCGTGAATTAATTTTTTTAATTTTGTTTTTCTTTTTTTTCAAAACGACAAAAACCCAAAGTAGGAAGTACTTTACCTACTTTTTCAATCTTTTTTTTTAAATGTACATTATATTGATTGATATATTTATTTAGATTGATTTGATTTGATTTGATTTTTCCTTTTCCTTTTCCTTTTCAAATTCTAATAATTTATCATCAAGAGCTTTTGAAATTTGTGGAGTAGTTGGAATATTTTTTTGTTGAATGTCGGTCAATACGAGGTCAAGGTCTTTTTGGGATCTGGACCAACCAATACGACGTGGGATATTCCATGTTTCAAGATCTAGTTCAGTCATGACTGAACATGGGAATTCTTCACAGAGTGGGTCTGGATGGAGATAGGGAGAGTTTCGAAGACGACCAAAGAATTCGAGTCCAGACAACTTTTCGAGTGTTGCCAATGATACTTCATAATCCTCTAGTTTGGCAGTTGAAGGGATTGGTTCATTTGGTACCATGAATGCTCCAACAACCAATTTACTCTTTTCCGTACCATTACCATTACTCTTTTCTTTGTCTTGAAGTTGTTGATCTAGTGTCTTTTCAGCAAGGATTACTTTAAATAAATGGGTTGGTACTGCTACATTATTTTCTCCAATCACTTCATGTTTGAGATAACGACGTTCTTTTTTCTTTGGGAATCTTGCACCTGGTGTGTCTACTACACCTGGGATTGGCTCGACCAAGTTTGGTACATAGACGGGTCCAGAAACAACAGTGACGTTGTCAAAATGTTTGGCCAAGTCAGACTTGCAAAACACCTCTAATCTGTACCAGAAATTAACGTTGTTTTGGAGGTCTTGTGGTACTATATTTGAATTGAGTAAAAAGGTTTGGTTCATGGCCAATTGGTTGTACATTTGCATGTCTCCAGCTGGAACCATGTGACCTCTCGACCACCCGCTACCGAGGTAGTCTTTGTTGTTGGCACGGTTGAGCATAGAAATGTGGGGAGTGTTGTTGTTGAACCCAGATTTCTTACGATCACTCGTCTTTGGTTTATCTTGGTGATCGCCACGCTCGATAAGTTGTATCACCCAGTTGGGCACACGACGCTCAGCATTTGTGCTAACAATAAACTGATCGTAGAACCATAGGTTTGCATTACTAGGCAGTCCATACTGCATCAATTGTGCGTGGATTGGTGCTGTTGGACGAGGTGACCCGTGCTCGGCAGGCATCCCGTCAAAGCGGTCCACTCCATACATTGACCGATAGTATGCCAACTCGTCGATCGTCTCTTGATTCTTTTGAACCATCACGCTTGTCCGACTATTCAACTCTGTCACTTGTCTCAACATGTCGTCAGTCTTTTGAATGTGTGTCTTTGTCACATCGATCTGTCTCTGCAGTTCATCCTCCAACTGCTCGGTATACAGTATATTCTCTCTTAGATACCATGCTGCTGGTAGGGTTACACCTGCTGCTGCAACCGTTGCAACTACCAATTTACCTATTCTTGTACCTATCATAGAAACATACAAATAATACAATCAATCGATCTTCATCATGACCTCTCCTCTCTTTACGCAAATTTAATTTAAAATATTTATTTTTTTTTTTCTTTTTTTAGAAACATATATACTCTATTTAGATATCAAAGAATAAAGTCATAACACCTTTAAGATAACCAACGATTTCACCAGAATCCAAATTAGATACACCATAGATTCTATCGACAAAGGTGATTGGGACTTCACCAATCTTGTAGTTGAATTGGTTTGCGCGAACCATCATTTCCATTTGGAAGACGTATCCCTTTGACTTGTTGACCGATATCAATTTCTCCAAGACATCTTTTCTATACAATCTAAATGAACCTGTCAAATCAGATACACCTGGTGTCAAGAATACTGTGGCAATGTAGTTGGCAACACGACTAGTAAGCTTTCTATAGAAATTCCATCCATATACACCTCCACCCGATTGATAACGTGTACCTGTTACAATCTCACACTTTAATTTCTTTTGTCTCTCAATAAATTGTGGAATGAATTTTGGCTAAAGTAGATAGATAGATAGATAGAGACAGTATAGTTATTAGTACTACTTTCTATATATTATATATATATATATAGTAGGGATTCTTTATTTTTTGTTTGAAAAAATATTACATGATGAGAAAGATCGGCATCCATTAGAATGATCCAATTACCAGTAGCCTTTTTAATACCATCCATGTATGCAGAACCTAGACCCATCTTTCCTGGACGTGGAAGAATCTTTATCTTTTCTTCACCATATATTTTTTGAAGTTGTTGTGCTACTTGTAATGTACCATCTGGACTGTTATCTTCAACGATAACTACTTCATAATCTATAAAACTAATATTATATATATCTGTCAATATATATACACTCTTGTATGTATCTATCTATCTATGTTTAATCTCTAGTCTTCTTACTTCTTTTCTAATTCACTATCAATCAAGTAAATGATGATGGGAAGATTATCAGATTCATTATAGGTTGGGAGGATGATTGTGTACTTGTCATCACCCTTCTTTGATGATGATGAAGAGGATGAAGATGATGCTTTTCTACTTGTCATTCTATAAATATAATAAATATAAATATAAAAGATCTTAAACAACAACTATTGCAACAATCAGATGCGACGAACAGATGGAGATAGTGCTCTCTCTCTCCCACCGAACTTCACTCTTTTTTTTTTTTTTTTTTTTTTTTTGCAAAGTACAAAATTTATTGAATTATGGTATGGAACTACTTGTAGTGTATTAGGGAATGGAACTTGTATTATAATACATGAGGAAGTTGGAATTGTTGGCTGGCTGATCATCCCACTGCAATGGAGTAACTTTACTCCTTTTTTAATTTTTTAAACTTTGGTTGAGTGGCAGCTTTTTGGATTTTGTTTTGATCTGTAATTTGCTTTCCCTTGCTTTGGCGATATCCATAAATAGTTTAACAATTTTAGTCAACGCTGCTCCATTGGGGAGTTTATCAATTAATGTAGTGAAGATGGATTTATCACCAGTCTTGGTCGCTTGATTGGCCCAAACATCAACTGGAGTATAATATAATTTTGGTGAACCTAAAAATAAATTAAATTGATTGTGTTGTGAGTATTTTAGTAAATTATTATATTATAATATAATATTATATTATATTTATATTATTATTATTTAATACCTTGAATTGGATCGGCATTTAGAGTAACATTTGGATCAGAGAATGCTAAAAAGTAAAGTCCACATTTCTTATTGATTGTGGCATCTCTGGTATCGTAGATGGATTGTAGGGTATCAGAGTGATTTCTGATGATGTGATAGGGTAGATCCAAATAGTGGGAACCTGCAGGTCTTCTTGTATAGTATGTCATGAGAATGACCTTTTTGGTGGTTATATCTGGAAACCTGATATTCAGCATCAGAGGACATTGTGGATTTCCAGTTGGAATAAGTTTGATACAGTGGTTGAGAGCAACCATTTGTCGACAGATGAGGAATCGGACCACCAATCTAGACTCTTGATTGATCCAATTGACCGACTCGTCTTGAAAGAATTCATCAATCTTGTTGGTTGGAACAGATAACAAATCATCCTTTGTATGTCTACCATATCGATACATGTACAGAAATAGAATGTATTGGAATCCCACAGCATGTGCCAATGTAGTAAGCCCGAATGGAAAGACGTATTTGGTATACATGTATCCAAATAAATGCAAAACATCGATATCCTCTTTTTTAATGTTGGTTGATATCTGTTGAACAGATATTGATCGAGATGTTGTAGTGGTAGAAGTGGTAGAAGTGGTAGAAGTGGTAGAGGTGGTAGAGGTGGAAGTGGATGGATTTGAAGCACTTCCTGAACGACTTTTTGTTGATTCAGATACAGAAGATGAATCAGAGTCAGAGGACGAATCAGAGTCAGAGTCGGAAGATGAATCAGAGTCAGAGGACGAATCAGAGGACGAATCAGAGGATGACTTGGATGAAGATCTATATGTAGATATACGATCGGTAACTTGTTGAATTGATTTGAACATATTTTCAGACTTTTGAGCCAATGGACTGTTCTTGCAAATGAGGGTATATTTGATATCATTGTATAAGATGGACACACCTTTGGTTTCGGCAAAGACATCCACTTGTGCTGGCATTCTGGTTAGTATGAGTTCAACGTGACCCTGTACCTCTTGTTCCAATCGATCCATATCGACTTTTCTATCAGCTAAAGTAGTAGTAGTAGAAAAAAGATATTGATTGTTGGGGATATAAATATATATGTATGTATATGTTTGTTTAGTACTATAAGCGCTTTGATAATTACGATGATTTTTTATAGAACAATAGATAATGTTGGGGAAAGGGTCAATGATAAAACCTTGATAGAGATTGTGTAACAAGGCTCCTTCAAACTTGTAGAGATTAAATCTACCATGATCCTCTAACAGTTCTAGTAGACTATTAAAAGTATTGGTTGAAATAGCACTGTACAAGCTCCAGGGACTGCTCTTAGTATTATCGGTTGTTCGAACCAATACTTTTGTAAATTCAACTACCTCTTCCATTATAATGATTGATTGTATGTATGATATAAAGAATGAGTTTATGGAGAGAGTGATACGAATGAATCGTCTTTGAGGCTGTTGGTGACAAGAAGAAGAAGATAATGAAGAATAGGATTATTACTTCTTTCAAAGGTGTTAACAACTATTCTAGTGGAAAGACCTGTTCGAACAAAAGAGTGAGAGGGTGATGCACAGAGATAACCTATTGCGCTTTGTTCAGCGAATCGATTTTGTTGTTTTGTGATCGAGACGGTTTAAGCACCCATGCATCCACCTCTAGAGCCAAGAGAGATCATTCTTGTTGCATTCTTGTTAACGTGTTGTTGAATAGATTATTTGTATGTTTTGATGTGAACTAAAACTTCAGACTGCAAACTCAAAGAACATACAAAAAAAAAATGGAAAAGATTAATTTATTGGTCGTGTCTAGGTTGGTTGTGCTTGCTTGTGAACATTATTGGAATGGCTAGTGTGAATAAAGATTTGAATAGTAGTAGATAAAAACAAAAGAAGAATGGAAACAGTGAATATGTATGTACAAATTTGAGGTGCAATTATATATAATTATTGATATTGATTCGTGGTGTGTCTGTGAATTTGTAATGGAATAGAGAGTGATGAAATGAGATTGGAATGGAAAGAGTGGAATGAGAGAAAATAATGAAATGGTTGGGATTACTACAACCTGGTTGTTGTAATTATATGACATTTGGTTGGAGTGGTACAACTATGGTATAGTCTCGTTGAGTCCAATACCAAAATTTGTCGGACATTTGTGAATGGTCGTCAACCTGTCCATTGATTTCAAAATCCTCGTTGTAGAATTGTGCCAATCGAGAAATATCTAATAAAGATAATAAACTATAGATAATAATGTAAATATTAATATGATGTGTGAAATCAATTGAAAAAGGCTGTGTTTTGTATTAAAGTACATACTCTATACGGAGTGGAAAGAAATTTGGAGTTGCACCCAATTTGGCTTCTCTTGGTGGTGGTGAACCCATGTCGTTTGGGAACCAATCAAACATACCGTTACCAGGAACCGACTTGGCTAAGACGATCGATGTTATCAACAGCGAATCTTGTGTTGCGTGCTCGACGTTCAGTGTTTGACAATCTAACTGATATTCTTGATATATCTTGGTAGATTTGTGGAATCAAATTAAGAGTTGGAATTATTTGATTCATTTCGTTGCTGGTGGTGGTATTGTTGTTGTTGTTGTTGTTGTTGTTGTTGTTATTGAGAGCATCTACACTGTTGCTCAATGTGACCATCGAATTGTGGAGGTTTGCGATATTGTTATTCATTGCCTCGATATTTTCGTTCATTTCCACCATATTGTTGTTCATTGTCATCATATTGTTGTTAATATTGGCCAAAGCTTGTGCTATTTCTGAGTTAACACCAATCAGAGGTTCATTGTCTCTTACAACTAAAGCAAAAGGGATATGTTAATAATAATGATAATAATGATAATAATAGGTTTGGATAATCATACTAGTTGAATAAATTTTGTGTAACTGAGCTCTTGATCTCTGGATTTCAATTTGAGGAACTGCCTCCTCCTCTATAAGTTCGAAATGATTCATCTCTATAGTTTAAAAAAGTTAAAGTTATTAATACACCGTCATCTAAGTTTTGTATTTTAACCAAACCATACCATTCTTTCTCTTTAAAAATAATACTTGATTTGATGCCGTGATGAGATTCTGTTGGGAAGTGAACTTCCATTTGTGATATATATATATAGATAGATAACTGATTGTTGTTGGAGGTATAACTAAACTACAAATATTACACTGAAAAAAAAAGTAAATGTATTTTAATAACTATTCGGAGGATGATGTTAATAAAAAATAAATTTAAATTTAAAATTAAAATTAAAATTAAAAATAAAAATAAAATTACCAAATATGGCGCCATCAGTATTGGTAAATATATATACTACGACCAACTATAAATTTTAGTGTAGTGTAGGGTGGAGACTTTAACTTGTTGTTACAGTTACAAGTCAATATATATTGGATCTAGTAGTAGAGTATGTGTCCCAGACAACATGACATTTGATCATCTATATCAACTCGACCAAAACAAGACACCACCAATAATATTATCCAGTCAAAGACAACACAGATCCTCTATCTAGTGGAAAATGTGATAAGATATCTTATACAAAGTAGTTGCCAGACACAGACAGACCAAATATACAAACCATTAGCAAATTTGACAACTTGCAACCCCATCAAAATGGTTAGACAATGATCATACTGCATTATTATCACCAACACAATCAATCATATGGTGATGCTGTTAGTAATTATTTGTAATCGATATGCGTGACTCAGTTCATGATCGTATCTATTCTGTTGGGATGGCTCTTCAACCATTTGTGTTGTATTATTTGTTGCTACTAGAACTTTCTACAATGTGCATAAAAATCTCTTTCTTTGTACATATTAGTATTGTTGAAAAGATAATAATAATAATGATACTCAGTCTACTCATTCGTTGTAATTTCTCTACCAAGCGATGCAAAAATTCTCGCTCGTCAAAAAGAGAATTTCAATTTTTTTGAATTAAATTTGTGTTCTTGTGCGCTTCTCAATGTCAGCTGATGTATACACCCCCTCCAAGAAAACGACTCTTTCCTTTTTTTACTCCCCGTTAGCTAGCATTACAGAGAGATATATCAACAATGTCACACACCACCAAGCAAATTTCAAAGAAGAGAAAGGTAAAGAGATAGATAGATGGATTGAGACTGATTGAGAAACATATAACTCATACGACTACTTTATATATCTTTTTAGTTCGTCGCCGATGGTGTCTTCCACGCTGAATTGAATGAATTGTTCACCCGTGAATTCAACAAGGATGAAGGTTACTCTGGAGTTGAATTGAAGCAAGGTCCAGCTTCAACTGAAATTACCATCCGTGCCTCCAAGACCCAAGCCATCGTTGGTGAAAACGCCCGTCGTGTTCACGAACTTTGCTCTTTGGTCCAAAAGAGATTCGGTTTCAAGGAAGGTGCCGTCACCATCTTTGCCGAGAAGGTCCAAAACCGTGGTCTCTGTGCCGTCGCTCAAGCCGAGTCACTCAAGATCAAGTTGTTGGCCGGTCTCCCAGTCAGACGTGCCTGTTACGCCATCCTCCACCAAGTCATGACCAAGGGTGCTAAGGGTTGTGAAGTCATCGTCTCTGGTAAGCTCCGTGCTCAAAGAGCCAAGAGCATGAAGTTCCGTGATGGTTACATGATCAAGTCCGGTCAACCAAGTCAACAATTCGTCGACTTTGCTGTCCGTCACGTTCTCCTCCGTCAAGGTACTTTGGGTGTCAAGGTCGCTATTATGTTGCCACACGACCCAACAGGAAAGAACGGTTGCACCATCCCACAACCAGATATTGTCATCATCAAGGATCCAGTCGAATAAACAAATTCGATACAACCCCAACAAACCCCCAAGTGAAATAAATAATTACTCTATCTATTTTCACTCTATCTATTTTCACTCTATCTATTTTCACTCTTGACAGGATTTCCATCCATTATTCTATTGTTTTCATCTACTACCATTCAAATCTTTATTCAGACTATCCGTTCCAATAATGTGTTTACTGTGACAAATAACAACCTAGACACGACCAATAAATTAATCTTTTCTTTGGTTGGAAATAGATAGTATTGATTGATTGATAAATTTACATATGATAATTTTATTTATTTATTTAATAATGAAAAGAAGGCATAGGAGGTTCAAATTTAAGGTCAATGATAAAACTTTTTGGTTCTGGTTGTTGTAGTGATTTTGGATCTACCTTTTTTTGGAAATAGATCAAATCATTCTCTTTGACCAATGATTGGTTTTCATAATTGATTTCATTAATCAATGCATTTACAATTTCAATTTGTCTAGATTCATTTGGTTTCTTCATTTTTGTTATATATTGTACTGCCAATGATAAATATGATAATGCATTTGAAAAGTTTCTAGAGAGAAAATAAAGTACAAATAAAATGGTTAAAAAATAATAATAATTTCTACTCTTTTTTTCTCTACATACTTTTCAAAAGCAAAATGTCTACCCATTTCCATCATTGTAATAGAATTATTTAGAGCTATATTTGTAGAAAGGAAATCTCTAAAATTCTTTGGTAGTTTTTTATAATTGTGAGAAGAGAGATCTTTGAAACAATTTTTAGACATTTCCATCTTGTGCCAAGCTTCACATGATATCTTTGAAATGATTGAATGTGATGTTTGTTGTTTCATTGCTTTTCTAACCGTTACACTATTACCAAGTGCAATACATAACAATGATAATCCAAGACTTGTATTTGATAAACATTCCAAATGAATATCTTCTGGTGGATTTGACCATCTAAGAAAAATTAAAAATAATATTAATATTTAATACTTTTTTGTTTGTTTTATATTATTTTCTTTTTTTTTTTTACCTTGGCAATTCAGTAGAATGAACAAAATCAAATATACCAGCAGCAGTTTTCAAATGATTAACCAAAACTTTAGCACTATCATCAAAATTTGATTCAGTAATTTGGTCATTGATTTCCGAAGCTCTATTGTAATGAGACATCCCATATACCATCAAAGTCATAATCAATTCATAACGTAATGAATAACCAGTCAAAAATGTTTTTGGTGATGTAAATGATGACCATGTAAATGATAATTGTTCATTTAATCTAATTGATCCATTATCTTCAACTGATAGTATAACTCCATATAAATCTTTTAAATATTTTTCACTTGCCTAGAAAACAAACAAATAGAAAATAGAAAAGATATTAGTATAATTAATAATATATATATATATATTATTATCTTTTATTCTTTTTCTTTACATACATTAATAATAGAAGAAGGGGAACTCTTTTCAATAACAATAATCAATTCATTTCTAGAGAGTGAAGATTGTGAAAGTGAACTTGCAAAGTCTGGTGTTGTCGATCTAATGATCTTTTCAAATTGTAATCTTTTACTATGAGGTATATCAAATCTACCCATATAAATCTTTAATGGTAATAAACTTGTATCATTCATTTCAACTCTTTAATATTAATATTACAACTTGTATCTAAGAAAATAAATAAATAAATAAATAAATATCTCTTTTAAAAAAAAAAAAAGTAAATTAAAATGAATTCAAACAATTGTTACTTTGTACTCTTTTTGCAAAACACACCACCTTACACTCACCCATGCATTCACACTTTTCTTTCATTTTTTTTTCAATAATCTAGGACTAATATAATATATTATATTAGTTTCATGTCGTTGATAAAACTGTATAAAGGTATCAAAATACCATTATATATAAATTCAACTAGAAATGTAGAGACTGTAGCATTGATTGATATATTATATGATCATTTCAAACAGACTATACCTCGTAGTCATTTAGTAGATGTGATCAACATTGGAGGTGTCTATTGTAGACATGCAACACCCAAACCTACAGTACTACCAAATGGACGAATACGATATCATCCTCATACTCTACCCAACCCTCATCGTGTCACAGACCAAAACTATTCACTTGAACCACAATCTTTGGTTAAACTTTATTTATTTCCTCGTCATAATACAACTATTCATCTAAATAACAATAATAATAATAATAACAATAGTAATAATAATAATAATAATAATGGTTTAAATATAATACACGATAATGAATCATTTATGGTAGTTGATAAACCACATGGTATCAATGTTGGGCCATTAATTGATAATTTAAAGAATAATCTATCATGGATGGTCAGACAACAACAACAACAATCTATAGACACACCTATTTATAATCCACATAGAATAGATTTCCCAACAAGAGGTTTATGTTTATTGGTTAAAAAATCGGATGAAATACATAGATTTAATCAATTATTTAAAGATAGAACAATTAAAAAAAGATATAGAGTTTTCATTTATGAAAATCAAAATGATAAAGATAAAGAAATAGAAAAGGATGGAGAGGAGAAAGAGAAACTACGTGTTGGAAGATATATACATTATATGAAACCATCAAAATCAACAATTAAACAATTATCATTAGATAAAGTGGATGGATGGCATGATTGTATATTGGATATTATCAGTATTGGAAAAATGGAAATAGATTTACCTATAGGTGGTACTGAAATTGATTATTTAAAGACAGATTTTACAAAAAATGTCTATATGGACGACAGAGATATTGGAAAAGGAGATAAAAGAAGACCACATAGACGAATACAATTAAAAACAGTAGATGTAGAATTAATAACTGGTAGAACTCATCAAATTAGATCACAGATGAGTTTTATGGGTTATCCAATCATTGGTGATAAAATGTATGGTGGAAAATCTTTAAATGAAATTGCAAATGAAAAAGAAGAATCAAAGGATAAAGTAGTAGCGGATGGAATGTCATTAGATAGTAGAGATTATGATGGATCACTGGTATCTTCTGTAATTGGTTTAATGGCATATCAATTATCTTTTAAATGTCCAATTACAAAAATCGATTATCTTTTTTCTCTTTTTCCCGGATCAAAATAAATAAATAAATAGAAAAAAAAAATGAAAAAAAATGATTATAATTTTTTAAAAGTTTATAAATTATATTATATATGTACAAGTATTTATGGATTAATTTATGGTATTATTAATTATATATTATAGTATGTTATGTGTCATCGTAAAATTAAGCCTCCTTCTTGATTTTTAGATACACCAACGGGTGTAGAATTTCCATTCCAATTTTCAAAATTGACTCTATGTTGACGTGTTGGTGGTCTCCAAATTATATTTCTTGTTTGTACTTTGTTCATTATTATATTTTTTGTATTATTTTGTTGATGTTGATTATTAATATTATTATTATTATTTCTAGGTTGATGATTTCTTAATAAATGTGATATAGCTAATGCTTCTGCTCTTTCCATTTAATTTATCTATTATTATTATTATTAATTAATTAATTAATTATTACTTTTTGTTTAAATTGAATTGGAATTAAAATATCTAGAGGAATGGAGTTGAACCTTTTTATTTAAATTTGATCATAATTAATTAATTTAAAGATCTTGAAAAACAAAATAAAAAAAAAAAAAAAAAAACAATTGAATTGAATTTGTTGTTGAAAAACAACAATTACTTTATAATAACAATCTATTAAAAAATATTTTCTTTATTTTTTATTTAAAATTTACCAAATACAACAACCTTTAAATTTAACTACTGTTTTTTGGTAGTTAGTGATCGTAGTGTGGTTCAAAAAATAAAATAAAATTAGTATAATGAAAAAACCATCTCTTCAAAATGAAATGAATGATCGGTACTCACTTCATTCTACTTTACTTTATGTTTCAACAACAACAATGACAAAATACGGTGAGAGTGATTATTGGGATAAAAGATATAGCAAGTAAGAGAGAGAGAGAGAGAGAGAGAGAGAGAGAGAGAGAGAGAGAGACACTCTTAATGAAGTTGTTTACTTTAAACTAACCTTTTTGTTTTGTTTGTTTGTTTGATAGAAATACAAATCCATACGATTGGTATCAAGACTATGATGGTATAAAACATATACTAGCAGATGAATTGAAATCAAAGGATCTTTGTAATGTATTGATGGTATGATGATTGATTGATGTATACACAGAGAGAGAGATATATACAATACAATTGTAATAACTATTCCATCTCGCAGGTAGGATGTGGTAATTCATTACTTACAGAACACATGTACAATGATGGATACAAGTCTATATGTAATATAGATATTTCTAAAATTGTGATTGATCAAATGTCAACAAGATACAAAGATTATGTTGGATTGGAATATAAAGTTGAAAGTGCTATTGAAACTTCATTTAAAGATAATCATTTTAATGTTATCATTGATAAAGGTACTTTTGATTCAATCATGGTATGTAAAAAAAAAGATAAAGATAAATATAGAAATATATATTGGATATATCAATCTAACATGTCATTTAGTGCGGAGATGATTCACATGAAAATGGGATTAGATTCTGTGAAGAGATGTTTAGAATATTAGAACCAGCAGGAAAGTTTTTAATCATAACCTATGGGGTTCCAGACGATAGATTATTCTACCTAGAACAAGAATATACAGATTGGACTATAAATGTTAAAAAAATACCAAATGGCGGAGGTTTTCACTATGTTTATATTATGACTAAAAATAATAAAGATAGCGCTAAAAGCGATGATGATGAATAGATTGTAATTTTAAGTGCTGGGTTGGATTTGTAGTTGGCATAAGTTAGTGTTTTCTTAATATTAAATATGTTTCTTCAAAAAAAAAAATGTCACACAAACAAAACCCTTTGAACGAGCAGAGCTACCAGTACGAGCAAGGAACAAGTCCAGAAATAAGAAAACTCAATGGCATTATGGATGCTGTCTCCAGGCAATATTGCTTTATGAACATGTAAATACTTAAAGGAAAGAGTTTAGTAATAATTGATTATTTATGGGTTAATTACAGAGTAATGTAAATAATATTAATAATTAATTCTCTTTATCTTTGACGTCACGCCGTTTCAAAGAAAAAATGAATTGGAAAATAGTCCTACATGAGAATAACACAAAAAACTATTTTATTAAGGCTCGAAATCACATTGTATAATATGATCGAATGGTATATTAAAAATAAATATGTGTTGAGATAGATATGTGTAGAACGAACTTCACAAACCATTCGATCCCGCAAAAATCAAAAACCCACCCAATTCTGTGCAAGCAGGATATTTTTTTTTATAATTGGGGCAAAAAAAGTACTACAAAGAGCCACTCCCACATCGATACAAAAAGTCACTTTTTAAACCTTCTTTTATTCTTTTATCTTTATCTCTTGTTGTATTTATAGTCATTATAATTTGTTGTATATTAGTTTATATAGAAAGTATAATAATAAAAGTATAATAATAGTAGTAAAAGTAAAAAGTTATGGCACCACCTTCATCTCCACCATCAATTGATGATAGAACATTTATTACCAATTTATTCAAATCATTGGATATCAATGGTGATGGCAAATTAACCAAACAAGAAATAAAAGATGGTTTCTTCAAATTAAAGATCCCATCTACTGATGCAAGCATAGATCAATTCCTTCAATTTGCTGATGAAAATCATGATGGTCAAGTTACTCTACCTGTAAGCAATATATACATTTCTCTTCTTTTCTTTCTTTTCTTTTCTTTTTATTTATTTTCTATTTATTTTCTTTTTAGGAATTTACACATTATATTGAAAGAAATTTAATATCATTAAAAAAAATATTTAATGAATTGGATACAGATAAATCTGGTACGTTGGACTTTCAAGAGATTGAACAATCAATTAATAAGCTTGGATTAAAGTTGTATTCTGATCAAGAGTTGGTTAGATTGTTTCATCGTATCGATTCAAACAAGGACAATAGAATAGATTTTAATGAATGGAGAGAATTGTTGGTATTATTGCCAAGTTCCAATTTGTCGGCATTGGTTGCATTTTGGAAGGACAGTCAAATTTTGGATGGTGGAGGTGATGGTGGAGGTTTCATTCCACCACCCATCACTGTCGTTGCAGAGGCTGCTAAAAACTTGAGTGCAACTGGATCGGTGATGGATTCGATTCGTGCTACCATGACCTATATGGGTGCTGGTGCCATCGCAGGTGTTGTCTCTAGAACTGCCACCGCACCAATCGAACGTGTAAAGATTACCTGTCAAATCAACCATGGTTCCAACAAGTCCATTCCAGAGGTTTTTAGACAAGTTTTTGCCGATGGTGGCTTCAGAGGTATGTTTAGAGGTAATTTGGCCAACGTTCTCAAAGTGTCGCCAGAAAGTGCCATCAAATTTGGTTCTTTTGAAGCCATCAAGAGATTGTTTGCCGAAAGTGACTCTGAATTGACTAGTCAACAAAGATTTATTTCTGGTGCTTCGGCCGGTGTCATTAGTCATACCTCTCTCTTTCCATTAGAGGTTGTTAGAACTCGTCTTTCTGCTGCTCATACTGGTGCCTATAGTGGTATTGTCGATTGTTTCAAACAAACCTATCAAACCGGTGGTCTACGTGTCTTTTACAGAGGATTGGGTGCATCCATCTTCTCTACCATACCTCATGCAGGTATCAACATGACAGTCTATGAAGGTCTCAAACATGAAATCATCAAAAGAACAGGAACTGCATACCCATCTAGCACCGCCTTGTTGGCATGTGCATCCGTCTCATCGGTATGTGGTCAAATGGTTGGTTACCCATTCCATGTAATCAAAACTCGTATTGTCACTCAAGGTACCCCAATCAACCCAGAGATCTACTCTGGTCTCTTTGATGGTCTCTCAAAAACAGTCAAAAAGGAAGGTTTCAAAGGTCTCTATAGAGGTATCATTCCAAATTTTATGAAATCAATTCCTTCTCATGCCATTACTTTTGGTGTTTATGAACAATTAAAACAAACTTTTAATATTTCAAAAAAATCAAAACATTAAATAAAAACCATTGTAAAAAAACACAATCAATTAAAAGCATGTCATAAAAAAATGATTGGTAGGTTTGATTGTTGCAATCATCGAAGTAGTGGGTACAAATTGTGGTGAAATATTGTTGTGTTATTACTTGTTATATCAATATTTAAGTTGACTCTCTTTCTATTCCAATTTATTACCATTATGCCATTCCATTTTATGTGTGTTGGGGGTGAATAGTTTGAGTTTGCCACAAGACAGTGTTGTTGCAATTTAAAAAAAAACCACTCAAAACCCTAATCCAATCATATTGTATGTTAGTTGATGTCAAACACATAATGAGTTGATGTGGTTAATGTATGGCATACAATCACTTGTTCCAATTACGGATAACGTTCGTCTGTTCCAAATTTAAATTAAATTAAAAATAAATAAATTAAAAGAAAATTCTTCTTTCAAAAAAAGACAAACATATAAATTCATAGAGTTGATCTCTCTCTATTTAATTATTAATAATTATTTCATTCAATTAATAATTATCACAGTTAAATTATTTATTATGTTTAAATATTTATATATTTTAGCCATTTTGGCTTTATTCCAACTTTTCCAAGGTTTAGGTAAAGGAGATTGTCAAGAGAATTGGCAATGTGGAAATGCACCATTTTCAATTTGTCAAAGTAAACTAAATGTGTATAGAGGCATTGGTTTCGATGAAGAGTCTGGTCAATTAATCTTTATGGGGAAGTTTAATGGCTCTAATGGGCCAGTAGGAGCAACTCATATCGTTCAAATGCCCAAAACTGGTGGTTCCATTTCATCAAAGTTCCCAATCCTCTCGGATATTGAACAAGGTTCTGGCTATAGTTTTGCTTACATGTTAAATGCTTGGTTAACAAAATCAAATGTTGCTTGGATCTCTGCTGCTCAAAGAATGGCTCCTGCCGTTGGTCCTTATAATCCTACTACTAAAACTTTAGGTAAATATAAAAAAAGAATTAAATAATTATAATAATTAAATATTAATATTTACCTTTTTTCTATTTCTTTAGAGGGAATTTGGTATACAAGAGGATTTAATCTTGGATTATTATTTGATGAAATTAATTCAAGAACATTTGTTTGCGAGTTTGATGTAAATAGATACAATTTAATTCCAAAGGTCATTGAAGATCGTTTTATTGCACCGATTACCATGTATCGTGGACAACAATGTAGATTCTTGGGTGTGGTTGGTAATGATTTGTATCTTGCATCTATGCAATATGGAGAGGAATCTGTCAGCACTACCATCTTCAAGGGTTCAATTAATTGTGTCAATTGTACAGCTGCCAATTTGGTTTCATTTATGGTATTTCCAGATGAAATTTCAGCCTTCCATGTATCGTCTACTCATTTCTATTTTGGAGGTCGTCGTGTCTATAGCCCAACCTATTCTGGTATTTGGACTGTACCCATTTCCGGTGATTTGTCACAACTCCGATTCCTCGTGAGTGACAAGATTCAATCGATGGTGGTCGATGCCGCCCAACAATATGTCTACTATCAAACCGATGACAATGTATTCAAGAGTGCATCTATCCAAGGCAACCATCCCATCGTCACAACCCTCTACAGTGAACATTCACCATCGGCATCTGGCAGTTGTGCTTGTGCCCCTGGATTCACAGGTGCAACCTGCAGCACTTGTGATGGCCGTGTCCGTTGGGTCGATGGAAATCCACAATGTGTCAAATTACTCGCCAATGGAAACCCAGAAACCTGTTTCTATGATTGGGAATGTAATAATCCACCATACACTTATTGTTCTGGTCAATGTCAATGTCGTAACAATTTTGTTGGTGATAGATGTGATCAATGTTTTGGTACCATTGAATGGAGTTATGGTTATCCATCTTGTAATGTTCCTGGTATCTAAAAGTAAAAGAAGAAGTCGTAGTAGTTTCTTTAAATTAATGTAATAAACATACATTTGCTTTCTATTTATTATTTAATTTTCTTTTTTCTATTTTTTAAATCCAACCAAACTTTTCAATATTAATCCATTTACCAGATGATGAAGTATCAACCTTTTCTTGATCACCTTGTTTAACAAATGAACATACCATTGGTACTGAACCTTCACGTACAGAGATTTCAATACCAATATTGGTCAACCATTCAGATCGAAATTTAGACCAATCGTTTACCCAAAACATAACATGTTTGAATTTATAGGTACGTGCTTCTTCCAATGCCTTTTCCAAAAGAGTATAAAATACGACTTGATTATCTGCAGCAACCGACAAGATATTGAGACAATCATCTCTAATATCATGTGACCAAATGATATAACCACCATTACCTGGTTGGTTGGCAACACATCCAAATGTTTCTGGGTATGGTTTAGTATCCAATGCATTGGCATAGGTTTGAACTTGTTTAATATGCCACATTATATGATTCTTTTTCATTAATTTACCATAAATATATTTAATTGGAGAAGCAGAGGATGAAGTAGAAGAAGTAGTATCATTTTGTTGTTGTTGTTGTTGTTCAGACTTTGTTTCAAACCATTTTTCTTTAATATATAAATCATTATTTTTAATGATCCAATCAGATACAGTATCGATTGTATCAATAGTGACTGGTTTATAGGTGATATCGGAATCAATTTTCATAGTGATCTCAGAGTCTATGATAAAAGTGTTGGCAGGGTGTATATGCCATCCACACTTTTCATAGACCTTTGGTTCAATGTCACTATAGAGATCGGTCATCATCGAACCTTCATTCTTGACTTGAGCATTTAAATGTTTCATCAACGACGCTGCATATCCTTTTCCTCTATACTTTTGTTCAACAAATACACTTGCAATTCCTTGACTTGTAGCATATTGAATATCTGGTTGATCAGATTCAAGATTACAATAAAATGAATCATATTCATAGGTTTCACAACTTGCTACAATTTCTTCGTCTAAAAAATAGAAGAGAGATAAGTAAATTGTATTGATAGAGTATTATATCTATCGCTTCTTACCTTTATTTAATAATACCCAAGGTCTATGATTTTGAGCAAACTCTTTTGAATCAGCTTCTCTATTCCAATATTGTTCAACAGTTAATTTACTTCCCCATGCTTCATAGTTGTCATAGGTAGACTTTTTAAATTGTTCCCATGTTGCTTTAACTAATTTAACTTCTTCCATTTTAAAGTTATATCTATTATTACTACTACTACTACTACTACTACTTTGACGATAGTTGAATGTTGTTGAAAACGAAACCAACTGATTTAAACTAGTTGTAGGTTTGGCAACTTTAGTTAAAAATGTAAGAAACATATTTTAATAATAATGAATGAGTTTGTAACCTTTAGATTTTTATTGGTTCATTACTTGCCAACGAATGTTGTAATCTTTGTATGATCGCGATGATGATGATGACAATTAAAGAGATAGAAGAATTAAATGGAATCAATGGATTAACGATAGAAGAAATAGAAAGAAGGTCAAGAAAGATTGAAGATAATACAAGTGATCCTGATACATGGAGAGTACGTTCTTTTGATGGTTTCTTGGGTGACAATGAATCATTCAAAGATCGTCTAAAATATGATCATCAAAGATTATTAAATTTAAATACTTTAATCAATAACAACAACAATGATGATGGTGATGATGGTGATAATGGATTAAATCAATCAACACAATTACTTGTAACAAATCAAATGATAGCACAATTAATAAGAGATTTATTACAATCATGTGAAGATATTAGAATGGAGAATAATTATGGTCCAATGACACCAATACAATTACAATATCAATTACCAAATCATCTACAATTATCATTATTTGGTAATGATAATACAACAACAACAATATCAAAACAAACTATACATATTACAAAATCATATTTTAATGGATTTCAATATAGTTTATTTTATAATGAATCCAATGACAACAAAAAGGAAAAAGAAAAGGAATCATTTAAATTTAAATCATTATTTAAAAGAAAAGATAATAATAATAATAATAATAATAATAATAATAATAATAATAATAATAATAATAATAATTCATCTGATTCGATTGTTTGGAATCAAAAATGGAATTATGAATATGAAATTAAAAATGTAAAAGATAATATTAATATAAAGATTGGAGGTGGAATAGATAGAGGAATAATAGAATATATATCAAAATTAGGATTCTATCAAGGTGATGATAATAATCCATATAGAATTGATCCAATTAAATTGATTTCATTATTAATTGGCAATGATAATTTATTACAATTAAAAAATAAACAATTAAATCTTTTTTTAAAAGATTCTTATAAATAGAAATAATAATATTATATAAGCTTTTTTTTTACTTTTTACTTTATTTATTTATTTTTATTTATTTTACCTTTTAATTAAAACTACCATCAAAACCAGAGAAACCAGCTAAAAGGAAAACAGGATAATAAGATTTCTTTTCAATTTTACTACACCAATTCCAAGCACTGGTAAGACGACCATCGATACAAGAACCGGCATCGAAAAAGTTATCGGCACCACTACCGTCGAAAGCGTGACGGAAGAAATCAGTCAAGATGAGCTTGATGAGACTGTTTGGACCACCAAACGATGAACGAATGTATTGGCAGAGATGTGGATCCTTGATCTTGGGAATGTACTGGATGGTGATGACAATGGGGTTGAGGATACGCGAGATTTGTGTGTACTTGTCGATAAATGTCAGAGCATTTGGTACATTATTGTCACCGAGATGGATGACTGACGAGCCAATCCAGTGCTCGCCGAGCTTGGCTTGGGTGTCTGAGAGGATACGGTTCATGGCACCATTGATCTTACGTGCCTGTTGCACACGGTTCAAACCCTGACCAGTGTTTTTGAGTTGGTACGAACTGCCATGCAAGAGATCTTGTTCGGCAAGATACCACAAACGGAACATGTCGTGGAGGATCTTTTTCCAGAGTACAAGTGATTGGTAGACATACATGTATTGTTGTCTGTGAGAGTGACGTAGACGTGCACCCTCTTGTCCGGGCATAATGGCCAATGAGAAGCCCTGTTCCTCGGCATTGGGATTAAACGACTGCTTCAAGTACTTCATCATTGTCTTTACACTATCACGATTCTCTCTTAAAAAGGTATGGTTGTCTCCGATGGAATAGATGCATTGTTCAATGACATCCTTGTGCAATGTGGCCGATTGGTAACGGTTGGAGAGGTTCTTGATGGCACGCTCCTTGCGTTTAATCTCACCTTGGATTTGGTATCTGTCCTTGCCGTCTGGCAAAATCTCGCGAGTGGCAGTCTCCATCTCTGGATCGTTCAACATCTCCAAACCACCGCAACGCTCCAATACTACATGAACCGTTTTCAACTCGGTCACCATATCCAATCCCAACGCATTTCTAACATCAGCGTTGGATGAATCTTGAAGCAAATGAATCATCTTTCCATACTCTGATCTCATCTTTGATGGATTCATAATCTTGTGTCTTCTACCAATTTCAAATACTCTTTGGAAAAATTCTTCATTTTCTGAAAACTCTTTCTTTTCTACCAATTCTTGTCCTTTTTTAAAGTCACTAGAAAATAGAAAAGGAAAATAGAATGTTAATATAAATAGTTATAAATATATATATATATATATATTAATATTGTTATTTTGTTTGTTTACATACCTGGCAACTAATAAACCACAAAGAATAGCACAAATTTGACGTAATTGTTCATTGATTCTACGTGCTCTATTGTTTACGGCAATGTCAACCTTATCAGTATATTCGGATACATGTAATGAAGCTTCCAATAGACGTAATATATTTCTTTCTTGCATATCTAAACGAATTGGAATATATTTTGAACGTTCTGAAAACCATTCACCTCCCAATTGTTTATATCCTCCATTATTATTCTTATCATTATTATATCTATCATCTTCTTCATCATCATCTTCTTCTTCATCTTCATCTTTATATCTTGGATTTAATTCTTGGAAGCTATGATGTTGATTGTTGTTGTTTTGATTGAAATCAAATAATTGTTTCTTTTCAAATGGACTGAGGGTGTTGGTGGCACTAGCACCAAGATTCAATGGATCCCTACTTTCAAAGTTGTGTAATCTATTGACCGATCCTCCCAATACACCTAATCCAATTGAAGAACGAGAAGATGTAGATGATGACGATGAACTGGTAGACGATGATAACTTTTGTACCTTTCTTTGATCAACTTCTCCTGCAGAACCAGAAGATCCTCCATTAATATTTAATGGAGCTGTACTACCACCAGCAGAGTTACCAAGCTTTGAGAATGGTCTAGCTGCACCAGTTGTAGTCATTGCAATTGGTGTATTGGATGATAAATCTATAAAAGTATGATTCTTTCTTCCACCTCTTCTGTGTAATGACTAACATAGATAGATAAAGATTACAAATATATATATATTTGTTAATATTCACACAGTACTTCTTATTTCTTCTTTCTTCTTTTTTCTTTTCTATTCTTACATAACCACAAACTTCACAAAGATCATCATTACATTGATCACAATGAATGGTTGCAGGTTGATCGGTACATTCAATACACATTCCTTTTACATCCTCTTCAATTGGTTGATAATCCATTACTTCATTTTGTGGATCTTCATCAATGTCATCTTGAGCATCTTCTGATAAAATTCTATTTAATTGTTCCGGGTTATGATTTGCCATATCTAATATATATAAATAAAAAGAAAAAGAAAAAAAGAAAAAGAAAAAGATAAAGAGAAAGAAAGAAAAAGAAAGATATTAATGTCTTATTTCTTTCGATCTATTCTATTACATTCTATTCTATATTCATTATTGCATACCGAAAGATCTTTTTTTCTGTTTATTTTGTGATGCCACTGCTGATTTGATAGAGTAACTATCTTGTTCGAATTCTTCGTCTTGGTCTCTTCTCGAGGAGGAGGATGATGTTACTAGTTTCTTAAAGAATGCCTTTATCTGTCCAATATTAAAAAAGGATGCCACCACTATAAACGACGTAAGGATTACGTATAATCCGATTAACTGTATGACGACGTACAATGTGTTTTGAGAATTTCAAAAGATATCTTTTATAAAACTAACAACAACAACAAATATTATATAATTAGTTTATAGATTAACAAATTATGATGGATGATGTTGTGAAGATTTATAAAAAATAATAGTACTAATAATATATATATATATAAATAATATATGTATATCTTGTTGAACGATAATAGAAAGAAAGAAAGAAAACCGATTTGAAGTGAACAACCAAGAAACCAATATCTTTGAATTTTTTTGTTTGTTTTTTTAAAATTTTAAATTAAATAAATACAAGACAAAGAGCGAGACGGATGAATGAGGTGTATTTAAATATAATATAATATATCTCTCTCTACTCTCTATCTGATTGATTATTTTATCAAACTAGAAAGATAATGAATGAATGTATGCGTAGTAGTAGTAGTAGTAGTATAGTACAGTTAGATAGAAGATATAATAATAGAAAAAAAACGATTGCGTAAGATGTGTGGAAATGAAGGGGTGAATACTGAGCAGCCGAGTTGTTGAAAAAATTTGTTTGTTTTATTGTTGTTGTTGTTGTGTTGGTCTGTCTCTCATTTAATTTATCTAATTATATTGAGAGAAGAGAAAAGACCATCCACATCCATCACATTATTATTATTTGTTTTAATTTACACTATATATTTTTGGGGTACGGTACCACCACATGTTCTTTCCATCTGAAATTTGGGTGATGACTAGGCTATGACTGGTGTCATGTTAGACTCTAATTTTTGAGTTGGCTTGGCTTTGGCTTTGGTCTTGTTGATTAATGAAGTAACTTTACGTATGGGTGATGTTTGGAGTTTCCAAGTTTCTGGTATGATTTTGGTGGATGTTCATCTTTGGATGGTTCTATTTTGTTGGAGTGGGTATGTTGTTTTAAATAGATTAATATTGATGTCGTTAAACTGAGAATGACCACCAATGACAATGACCATAATCCAACAATTGGTACTGTATCTTTCATTATTGAAACAAATAACATGATTTAATTATTATTTATATATTTATATTTATATTATTATTGTTGAAAGAGATAGTAGTAGTATTTTAACAAATTATTGTTGTGATGATGGTAAAGATCGATTGATGAGTACTGAGATTATTTAAAGGGTGGTTCCAACCATCATCTTCATCTTCATCGTCACCATCAATTTAAATTAAATATTTAATTTATTTCAACCTTTCCAATATTTTTAACAAAATCATCCAAACGGTCACCTTTTTTTTGCCGCAATTTAGATCAAAGAAAAGAGATCTAGGTACATTTCGTACCAAGATATGTAATCTATAAGAAAGTGTCTTAAAAAAGACATAATATTCATATATATTATAATGATATTGGAAATTCATTAATGTTTGAAAAGAGTTTACTATAAAATTCATCTTGATTGGGCAACTCTTTTGTTTTTTTTTGTTTTGAATAATATTAATATTATTTATTATTTATTATTTGGTATTTCCAAATAAAGAATAATACATATTGCTATATAATAATACCATGTTCCATTCCCAATTATTCTTAATTAACCAACAAAGATAATACAATAATGTCAAAGCATATCCTAACTCAAAACGATTCTATCTATTCCAATGACCCAAATAATAAGTTGGTGACTGAAAATGGTCAATTTACAGCTATTCTACAAGAGGATGGTGTATGTACTATCTCTATCTACAATATTGTGTCTTGATTATTATTATTAACATATGTTCCAAAATTATATAGAATTTTGTAGTGTATAGAGGTCAAGATCATACACCTCAGAATGCAGTATTCGCTACTCACACCCATCACAAAGGAACTGGTCCATACAGATTCATTCAACAAGATGATGGTGTAAGATATAGATAGATATATCTAGAATGACACTACTAGTAAACAATCTTTGCTAATACTTTAATTCCATTTTTTGATTATTATTATAGAATCTTGTTTTATATGACAAGCATAGAAAGTCACATTGGTCAAGTCATACCCATGACAGTGGTCAAGGACCATACCATCTTGACTTTGAAGATACCGGTCTCTTAATCTTAAAGGATGGTAAGAATAGTGTCTTGTGGAAATCAGAGGTTGAAACTCATTAAACCACACACAAACATCTTCTATCCATCTGTCCATCTATCCATCGTCATCTGTCTGTTTCTCTCTAACAAACAAACAAAGTTAAATAAATAAATAAAAGAATATTTGTTGTACTTGGGTTTTCTAAGTTAGAAACGCACAAAGATAATTTAAAATAATCTCTCTCTGCTTCGTCACGTTTTCAATTTAGGTGAATGATTCATTCTTGAAAGGAAGAGGAGGAGATCTGAGCTACACACAAAATTAAATTAATAAAAAATAAATTAAAAAAAAAAAGAAGAAGGTTTTGATGTTCACATCTTATAGTGTAGTCACATGAACAAGTTTAGTTAGTTTATTAGTTAGTTTATTTTTTGTACATATAATAATAATAATAATAATAATATAGATATAGAATGGAGATATTAAACGTAGCAGTATTTATTTTACTTATTTTAGAGATGGTGATATGCATTCTTGCAGTGTTGCCCATCTCAATGGCAAGCAAAAAGTCAGTGTTTGCCAAGGTGAGCAACCTCTGGGCTGGTCACACCTCAAAGATTGTGTTTAGAGTCGTGTTTGTGATCTTGGTTGGTTTGTTTGCCGACGCCATCATGAACTCTCTCAACACTGACAAGCAGATCCATGAGATGCGCAAGGACAACAAGATCGTCGACAATAGTTTGTACGTGCGTCTCTTTAGATACCAACGTAACATCTATCTCACTGGATTCACCATGTTCCTCTACTTCCTCATCTACCGTTCGCAAAGCATCATCGTCGAGCTCACCTCGATGGAGACCAAGAGCACCGTCGCCATGAAGCAGGCCCAAAACAACACCACCGAGGTCGAACGTCTCGTCAAATCCAACAAGCAACTCGAAGACGAACTCAAAGGTCTTCGCAAGCAAGAAAAGGACTTTAAGGCTATGAAACAACAAGCTGAAAACACCACCAAAGAGTACGAAAGACTTCAAAAGGAATTGGAAAAGGCTCAAGGTACTAAATCAAAGAATCAAAAAAAGGATGATTAAAAAATAAACAATTAGTACACACCATACATATATATAATTATATAAACAAGTAGTATATAATAAGAAGAAGAAAGAAAAAGAAGAAGAAGAACAAGGACTGGAAATATTTTTGGATAAATCAAGTTTATTTATTATTTTTTTGGTTATGTTGTTAAAAAGGTTTAACAGAATGAAACAGATTTGACACAGAGTGTTGGGACAGCGGTACCATGGACAATGTAACCAAAAGTGTATGAAGAGTTGAGGTTGATGGTTTGACCGGCTGGAAGAGTAATATCACCATTGGCAAGACGGACAACATTCCAGATGGCATTGTTATCACGGAGACGACAAGTGGCATCAGTACCAATACAGACAGAGCAGACACGAGCACTATTACAATGATTGGTAATAGTTACATCAAATTGAGAGAAACATTCACCAGTCTTTGAATCGGTAAAGGTACCAATCAATTTATGGTTAATGGTAATATCACTGTGATGTTGAGCAGCAGCGACAGACAAGGCAAGTAACATAACACACAAGGCAAAGATAAATTTCATTTTTTAAAGTAGAGCAGAGTAGGTTTTAATAGTTTGTTAAGAATTATTATTATTGATATTTAATGATTTTAAAACTAGTTGGTTAAAGGTCTATTTATATTTAGACAATTGTCAATTCATCATCAATATAACTATTATATAAATATATTAATAATATTGAATGGAGATATTTTTGTATAATCTAGCCCAATATACATATTCTTTATATTGATCTAATACAATCTTTTGAAATTATTTTCAGAGATTCTCCACTCCTCATCATTACCAATTAATTAATTTTCCATCTCCTCAATTAATTCTTAATAGATTAAAAAATGGTCAAACTATAATTCTATAATTATATTCAAGATGGAATTGGAATCAATGATCATAGATAGATACTCAAAAAAGAAGAAAGTAACTTGGGAAAAAGGTGATTGATTGAGTTAAATATATTTATTCCAAATATTTTTTGTATTTTGGAATAAGGTTTATTTTAAAAAAAAATGTTGTTGTTTAACAGAAAGAGACAGACTTGACACAGAGAGTTGGGGCAACAGTACCGTGGACAATGTAACCAAAGGTGTATGAGGCACCGGCATTGATGGTTTGGTTGGCTGGAAGAGTAATATCACCATTGTGGGCACGTACGACATTCCAGATAGAGTTGTTGTCACGGAGACGACAGGTGGCATCAGTTCCAATGCAGAGTGAGCAGACACGGGCACTATTGCAAGCGTTGGTAATGGTTACTTCGAATTGGGAGAAACATTGGCCAGTGGCAGAATCAGTCCATGATCCAACCATTCTATGGTTAATGGTAATATCATTGTGATGTTGAGCAGCAGCAACTGACAAGGCAAGTAACATAACACACAAGGCAAAGATAGCTTTCATTTTTGTTAGATTTAGTCTATAAACTTTTAAATTATATATATATTTATAATTAAATTTGATTTTGATATATTTAAAATTCAATTTCCAGTTTCCTTTTATACATTTCCATTGACACCAAATTTCAATTGACATATATATATCATATATATGAGTCATATAATGTTGGTTGATATGATATGATTTATTATGGTGACATCAAATATACATATATATATTGTTGGTAATAGTAAAAGATAGTAGGTGGAAAGAAGGAAGGATAAGGTAGGGTGGTATTAAAATCAATCTATTCTTTGTATTACAACAATTTTGGATATCCATCATCTGTATCCATTTTTTGTTTTGTCATTGTTGTCAATCTTTAAAACAAAAAAAAAAAAACTTATTTTTAAAATTGTTAAGTATGGTTGGTGTGTTGCTCATACTTAAGACATTTTTTGGTGTATTTTAAAAAAAAGATATTATAAATAATATAATAATAATAATAATATAATATCAACAAGTTTATTTTATAATATTCATCTCTTTCATTCTCATTCAAAAAATAACTTTGTGAAGGCCTTGGCTATTACTAAAAAAAAAATGACAAAAAGAGTGGTGTGGAATTCCTCTCGTTGTCACACAAGGTTGTTTTTTGCGATGGTGCGTGGGATGGGACAAAAAGAAAAGAGAGGGATTAGGTGAAAAAAAAAAAATGAAAAAAATAAAAAAAAATGAATCGCTCGTCTTTTTCGTTTATTTCAAGCCCGGGCTTTTTTTTTTTCTCTCAGCTCTCTTGCTACAGATACTAGCGCTTCTATTATCTCTATCTCTATCACTCTGTCACCCCTCTTGCTAGAGAGTATTAGAACACCACATTGTAGCACGCTCCTTTTATCACTATAGTACTACTATACACTCAACCGATCACATACTATTAGCAAGCTAGCTCTCAAAAAGGTAATTTTTAAATTAAAACGAGACATTTAAAAAAAAAAAAAAAGGGAAACCGAGGTTCATGTTTTGTGAGGACAAGACAAAGACAAAAAAAGGAATTATCATACACTTCATAATAGATATATATTTGATCAATCAAACTATATATATACTATACCTACTATACTATACTATGATATGATATGATGTACTAATCATTTGGATATTATTCCCACTTTTTTCTTTTGTTACAAAATGTGTGTTTACTTTTATTTGTAGCTTTTAAATTAAAAGAAAAAGAAGAAGATGACAAAAGGAGCAGAACTTTCACTCAAGGTATTAAAAGAGGTTAGGGAAGGAGCAGCCATCTCCCAAGTGGCCCGTAAATATAGTATCAATGAAACGACTATTAGAAGATGGGCCAAGAAACCGATGGACCAAGACTCGATCAAGAGTCGTGCCAAAAAACAGGGAAGAAAGAGAAAGATCAACGCCGACATTGAATACAATGTTTTGCAGTGGATTTCCAATACCAAGGGTGTCCACATTCCATCACTAGAGAATCATCCTGCCCTTCGAAAGACTTCATCCAAAAAGAAGTCGGCCGCTAAAACTGGTGATGGTAGCAGTGGTGGTGGTACTAGCACCTCTGACACTACTACTACTGCCGGAGGATTGACTATCGATGACTCTATCACAATCGGTGGTGACGATTATGACTATGACGATGACGACGATGATGAAGATGATACTGAATCAACTCAAGAAGAAGATCCAAATATCAACGAAGAAGATATCATCTTGTTAACAAATGATCCAGATGAACAACAACAACAACAACAACAACAACAATTACAAACACCTTCAAAACAACTTGGAGATCAAGAAAATAACAACAACAACAAATTGGAATTGGCTTTAACCAAGGATACGGATACATCTACAACTACAACAACCTCTACATCCTCTACTACAACTACTAAAGATACGGTAGTTGCTGACGACAAGACCAAAGAGAAAGAAGTAGCAGTAGTCGTGTCCAAAGACAAGGACAAAAAGGACAAAGAATCAACCAACAAGGAAAAAGACAAAGAAACCAAAGAAAGAGAAGCCAAAGAGAAAAAGGAAAAGGAGAAAAAGGAAAAAGAAAAGGAGAAAAGAAAAAGAAAAGGAAAAGAAAAGGAAAAGGAGAGAAAGGAAAAAGAGAAAGAAAAAGAAAGAGAAAAAGAAAAAAAGAAAAAGAAAAAAGAAAAGGAGAAGAAAAAGGAACTTGAAAAAGAGAAAGAGAAAGAGAAAGAAAAAGAAGAGGAAAAGGAAAAGGAAAAGGAAAAGGAAACTACTAGTACTAGTAGTAGTAGTAGTGGAGGAAAAAAGAAAAAGGGTAGTGACAAGGTATCTGTAAAAAAGGAGGAGGAGGAGGAGCAAGAAAAACAAGAAGATGTAAAAAGTAAAGATAAAGATGTAAATAGTAAGAAAAAGAATAGTAAATCAAAATCAAAGAATGATAACAAAGAACAACACCAACAAGAACCGACAACAACAGCAACTACAACACCAACTATAACACCAACCGACGAATCAACAGAAAAACAAATCCAAGAGGAAAATAATAATAATAATAATGATTTAATTACAACTACAACTAGTACTGCTAGTTTACCAATCCTTTCTACTACAACCACTACCTCTACAACTACTATTGCTAATGAAGAACCAGAATTAATCATTGGAAATAGTGAAAATACAACTCCAGTACCATCTTTGGCAACAAGTCCAATTATTTCCATGACCAATTCCATCTCACCAGTTACCTCTGCTACTTCAATACCTGTCGATCCTATGGTTTTGGAGGATATTCATACCACTAGCACTACATGTATATTGACAACTTCAACCACTTCAACCACTTCCACTTCCACTACTTCTACTCCACCACCACCACCCCATCCAGATTTGACCAAGACAGACACTCAAATGATGGATTTTAGTGGTGATAATAATAATAATAATAATAATAATAATAATAATAATAATAATAATAATAATATGATGCAAGATGAAGAAGAAGATTATGGAGGTATAAGTTTTACAAATGCACCAGTCATTCAAAATCAAGATGGTGTCATTCAACAAGGTATACAACATGCTTTGATTGGTGTCCAAAATGCTATGCATCCAGCTCCAGTCATTGACATGAGTAGTGTCAACATCCAACAATATATCTTGGAGACTTATAATATTGACTTGACTCCATCCTACATCTCACAGATGATGAAGAGAAATAATATCACCCTTTCTCGTCGTCCAAAGGGTCCCCCAGCACCTAGAGGAGGAGCACAGGGAGGTCAAGTCGGTGGAGTACCAGGAGTAGGAGGAGTAGGAGTAGGAAGTGGTATGGGAGGTGGTATGGGAGGTGGTGTGGGAGGTATTGTTGGAGGTATTAATGGGAATACACCTATTAGACGTGCAACTAAACGTTCCAAGAGCTCGAATATGCCAGGTCTTAATGGCTCTACATCTAATATCCAGCCTGCCCCACAACAGATGATCGATCAACAGGCCTATCAACAGATCCAAGCTGCCGGTCTCATTATCTCGACCGACTCACCTATTGGTCTGTCGCCTGCCAACCCAGCTGTTCCTCCCACGAGCACACCGCTGCGTTCGCAGTTTGGGTTCCACCATCACCATCATCATCAGTCCATTTCTATACCTTTCACATCCCATGTACATAAAGACGTCCCCAAGCCCATCCAACCTATCCAATCAGTCGTTTCTCCACAACAACAACAACAACAACACCAACAACAACAAACACAACAACATCAAGAGGACACACCACAACAATTCCATGAAATTGTTGTTGAAGTTAGTTTCAATAATTTGACTCAAGACGACCACCACCATTCTCACTCTATTCCTCAAGACCAACAACAACAACAACATCATCATCACCAACAACAACAACAACAACATGTCGAACAAGAACATCAACATATGGAGCCAGAGGTTATCCAACAAGAACATCAACATGGTATGCAAATCGATGAGATTCACCAACATGATCACCAACAACATCATCATCATCAACAACACTTGGAAGAGGGACAACAACAACACGACCAACATATGGAGCATCAACATCAACATCAATACCATGAACAAGTTATTGAGACATATGATCACCAACAACAACAACAACATGAGGATCATGGTCATGGTCATGAACACGAACACCATCATCACCATATGCAAGTGGATGAACAACATCAACATCAACATATGGAACAATACCATGAACAAGGAGGTATGGAAACTTATGAGCAACACCAACAACATCAAGAGGAACATGGTCATGTCCACGAACACCATGGTCACGAACACGAGCACCATCATCACCATATGCATATGGAGCATCATCATCAAGATCAAGAATCACACCACCATCATCAAGACCAAGAATCACACCATCATCATCAAGAGCATATTCATCAATCAACAGACCACTTGCACCATTCAACAGAAGACTTGCATCATTCAACAGCAGCTTTACACCATTCAACGGCAGATTTGCATCATTCAACGGCAGATTTGCACCATTCAACGGCGGAAATCCAACAAGATGGACATTATTCTCATCATCATCAACATCAACATCACCAACAACAAGATCATCAGGATCAAGAAGAAGAGGAGATTATTCTATTGCAAAGCGACCAATATCACCAAGTTCAACAAGAATATATGGAACAACAAATGCAAGGTCATGTCGATCATCACCACCATCATCATCATATGCACCAAGAGATGGAAGGACATTCTGAGCACGTTGAACACATTGATCATCACCACCAACACCATCACCACGAGATGGTCGATCAACATCATCAAGACCAACAACAACAACAACAACATCATGATCAATCATTACATATAGTTGAAGAAGAAGAGATTATCCATCATGGTCATTTCCATAGTGACTTGCATTTACATCTTCCGCCAGATTTAATTGTTGGAGCACCAAATAGTGTAACTGGTCTATTGGTAGGAGCCCCACATAGCACAGGACTTATAGTTGGAGCACCACACAGTACTGCACTCTTGGTTGGAGCACCACATAGTACCGGTCTTGAAAGTTCAATGATTGTTTTACAAGCTGTTGAGGCAGCCCAAGCAGCCTCGGGTGATGTCCTAGACGATGTTCTTCAACACGTTGAAAAAGCAATGAATGAAGTTGCCTCAGACGACGAAGAAGAGGTAATGGCTCAAGGAAAAGTTGATCAAATTGTCTTGGATCATTTAATTCCTCATTAAAATTAATAAATAAATAAATTATTTAAAAACCAACCTTTATATAATATATACGACATGTAAAAGTACATATCAATTAATGGATATCATATATTTTCTAAACATGTTAATTATCCTTCCTTTTAAGATCTTATAGAAGGATATACTACTAATAATAATAATAAGAGAATCTTTTTTGGTGGTTGGGGTCATCCCCAACTTTTCGAAACATGGAATGGATGTGATGGTCATCTTACAACTATTAACTTCAGATCGCCACTCTACTTCTTTTTCATTCAGAACCCCACCCACACCACTCCTTTGGTGGTTTACTTCAATTGAATTTTAATGTTGTTTAAATTTTGAATATCATTGTGTTAATTTAATTTTATTTTAGAAAAATATAAACAAACATTAATAATATATTGGACATGGACATTAAAATTAATGAAATTGAAAGTAATTTAGATCTTTCTTCATTCAAATCAATTCCCAAAGATATTAAATCTCTTGATCCATTTGATTTGGAGAATAGTCAGATGGTATCAACTGAATTGGGAATTGACCAACTTTTAAAGATCAAGAATCCGCTAGACCAATTTGTTATGATCGTAAGTATTCCAACATTCAATAATTGGATTGTTATTAAAATATAGTTGTTGGTTTATTAAATTTTATTTATTTAATTAAAGAATGCCAAGTTTGGTGATCCTCTGTCAGTCCCTGTCTATCCAAACCATACATTCAATATCAAACCAATAGCAGTGTACAATCGATATATTGATTATGTTACTCTGGGTCAACCTGAAACATCATACCCTACTTCCTATTTTAAAGGTTTTTTTCCAGGATCTGAATTTCCTTCAGAATTGGTTGAAAAGTAATATTTAACATTTAAAACCTGATGATCTATTTCCATTGCTAATATATTCCCTAATTTTTGTAATGAATGGATGGATTCATTCATTAAAGATGTGATGCCGTGAACCATATTACCAAATTGTATGATGATCTAATACCTTTTCCAATAGAGCATCCAATTCAAACAACCATTAACCTAGGTGTTGGAACATCAATGATATTCCAAACAATGATACTTTATGGACTAAAGGTGAACAGAAAAATAGACGGGTCCTATTATTTTCTCATTCTGCAATTATATAGAGGTGAAATATTTTCAACACCTGCAAGTAATGTTCTCCATGAACCTGTTCTTCCATACGATTGTATAGAATATGTTAAAGGAAAAGGTGCTAGTCGTTGGAAAGAAGGGTTTTAAATAAAAAAATATGTTGGGCCTAAGAATCGTGATGGGATCCATCAAATATATATCATATAAATAAAATTTTTGATATCAATTACAATTTTTTAAATGGATTTATAATGATTATAGAATTTTTAAAAGATTCTTCTTTAACTTTTTGTTGGACTTCTTCTTTTTCTTCTTCTTCTTCATCTTCTTCATTTGGTAAATCAAAATTCCTTTCACCAAATGTTAATGCCATCAATGTTGGATGTAATGGATTAAATCTAACTGAATTGATACATTGATTGGAGACTTGAATTGAAATAGGAAGAAGAAGAGGAGAGTCTAATATGATTGGTTGATCATTTTGATTAATCGTATTATTATCATTTTCAGGTTTAGGTTCTTGTATTTCATCATCATTTTTCATGGTAGTTTCATTATTATTATCTTGTATTGTTGTAGAAGATGGTAAAGTTGATAATTTGTCAATTTCCATATCATTATGATTATCGTTATTATTATTATTTGTTGTTGATAAAGGGAATAAATGTAGTAGACCATTTTGTGAACCAGTTGAGAGGTATTTTCCAGTTGGATCCAAATCAAAATGTAATCTTTGATTTGTATCACCTAATCTTTCAAAACTAAATATTTGTTGAGCTTCTGTATTTCTTATATCCCAACCAATAATATAATTTGATTTTCTATATCCAGCTATAAAAGAATATATAATTAGTATTTAGTATTCATTTCTTTCTTTTCTTTTTCTTTTTTCTTTTATATTTACCAAATAAATAATAACCATCTTTACTAAATGATAATTGAGTAATACCTCTTGGTTTTGTGAAATTGGTAGGTTGAGGAAGGATGTCGACCATTGTATCATTTGATTGATCGAATAAACCAATATAACCATCAAATGTAGATACTGCATAAAAACCAGATACATTTGATCGATCAAATGCAATTTGACTGGGTCTGCCTGGAATACCTTCATTTGCCTTCCTGTCATAGGTTCGTATTGTTTCAAATTTGTTTCCAGGTCTAGACACTTTAAATATCTTGATTGACTTGTCGCACAACGAGTATAGTTTATCGGCATTGTTGTTAAAGTCGATAGAGATGGCCGATTCTATGTCATCGACATCTGTCCAAGGTGTATAACCACACAACTTGTTTCCAACAAATGCATCGTATAGTCCAATCGATTGATGTTTACCCGATACTGCAAAATAACATGTTTCAGGGTTACCAGAGTTCATATGTGGATACCAACTCATATCATAAACAATATCATGATATTGTATATTTTTAATTAACTTTAATTTTGATTCTTCTTGTGTTCTAAAATGAGAGAGAGAGTATAAGTATGTTGAATATAACATAGATATACTTAGATATACTTACAATTCAAACAGTTGAACCGATTTATTCTCTCTTGATGATAATAAACAACAACCATCAGGTGACCATTTTACATTATTATAATAACAATCTTGTTTTGATGTCGTTGTAGTCGTTGTACTATAGTCATCATGATTGATTGAAATTATATTTGAATCTATCAATGATGAAGACTGTAATGTAGTAGTAGTAGTTGTGATATTATTACTATTCATTACATTCGAAAGATAATAAATACAACAACTAAATAAACAAAAACAATGATCTAGGTCTCTGCAGTTTCATTTTTCAGGTTCATTCTTTACTTTTCATTTCAGAGTAGGTTCGCACATACATACAAATGAAGAAGATTAGATTGGAACATAGTGCACCAGTACTATCGGTTAGATTCAATTATGATGGACAGTATTGTATGACTGGATCACAAGATCGATTGGTTAGATTGTGGAATCCTGCCAAGGGTTTACGTGTTCATACATTCGAAGGTCACGGATACCAAGTATTGGATGTTGCTGCAACGCGAGACAGTCGATTCTTGTTGTCATGTGCAGAGAAACAACTGTATCAATGGGATGTGGCAACTGGAGAGATTATCAGAAAGTTTAGAGGTCATCCTCAAACTATCAACACTATAGCTTTGGGTGGATGTCCTCCCAATAGTAGTGGCACAGACAACCAAATGCAACAAGCACAAGATAACTTATTGGCAACTGGATCATATGACAAGACTGTCAAGATATGGGATATGCGATCAAGAAGTTCAGATGCTATACAAACAATGGAAGAAGCACAAGACAGTGTCACATCGGTCCTATTCAACGATCAAGATTATGAACTATTATCATCAAGTGTTGATGGTTCAATTAGAGTATACGATATTAGAAATTCAAAAGTTATAATTGATCAATTACATCGTAAGTAAAAGAAAGAATGAAAGAAAGAAGAAATCATTGAGACTATCATTTATTTATTTATTTATTATTATTTTTTTTTTTCTTAGATCCATTATCTTCGATCTATATTACACACGATGGTAAATGTTTATTAACTTGTACAATGAATAGTACAATTTCATTACTTGAAAAGAAAACTGGTGATGTTTTAAATGAGTATGTACAAAATAAGATATACAGATAGATAATTACAAATAATATTTAAATATTGATTGATTGATTTATTTCTATTTTTAGATTTAAAGGACATAAAAATAATTCATACAAGGTGAATAGTAAGACATTGTATGATGATTCGTTGGTAGTATCGGGATCTGAAGATAATCAAGTTTATTTGTGGGATATTGTGGAAGGAACTATTTTTGCCAAACTGGATCATTCTTCTCCCTCTTCTCCTCCAAATAGTATTATTTCTAGTATTGATTGTCATCCATCACAAAGAGTCATATTATCTTGTTCTACTGATGGGTCTGTCAATTTTTGGCAACTCTAACATTTTAATTGATGATTGGAACTATCTATCATACCCAACAAAAACAAATATATTTGTTTGTGATTGTGGTATAACAACATCATAAAAAAAAAAAAACACAGATACATGGAATTTGGTTTTAAAAAAGGAAATATATAATTAAACACACTTATACAAATGGGGGTTGCCTACGTAGGCATATCCAAGATAGGTGATCAAGATGATTGTACAATCATCAATCAAAATTCAGTCGAATCCATCTTGACTCTACTTTGAATTTGGTAAGGTGGTGGTGGTGCTATCATAATGTCATTTTTGAAAAAAAAGAAAATCGTACAATAACTTTGAATCTCATATCAATCCTGGATTTTTATATAAATAGGATACCCGGTCCATATCCTCAAATCACTCAAATAAATAATAATATGAAAAAAGTAAGCAATAATATATTTATTTTCCATTCCATTTCTAATTTTCTTTTATTTTATTTTATTTTTGTTTTAGGAATATATTTTAATATTAATTTTATTAATTAATTCAAGTTTAATTACAATTTCTGTAAAGGTTAAACCTTTATCAGAAACTAGTCTTCGTGGTTCTGTTCCATCTGTACTTTCAATTGAAAAAACTGCTAGAATGAAAGGTTATCTTGAAGTTTTTAATAACTTTCTGATCAATCAAGAGGGTCAAGATTTGTTCACCGGAAAAATCAATCCACTTCAAATAATAAGATCTGTAACAGTAACTGGTTTATCTCTTATCCCTGAAGTTGGTGGTGTCCTATCCTTTGGTGCTGATCTTATTTTTAGTCATTTTTCTCAAGATAGTAAGTATAAAAAAATACATACCTTTTTATTTATTTCCTATTCCTTTTATTTATACTTTTTTTTCTTTATAGATTCAACAGCAGAATTAATCAATAAAGAGGTTCAAAAAGCTATAAATGAAAAATTGGGAAACTATAATTATGTTGACCTAAATGATCAACTTGAAGTTATTTCTTCTTCCATTGCAACATTTAGAAGAACAGTATCCAACTTTAAAGCCAACCCAACCGATGACAATAAGAGTTTTATGATTGCACAGTACGATAGTACATACAACTCTTTGAAAAATGATATAAGATTTTTACATGACACTTATTCAATCTCGGAAGCTCCACTCTTTGTTCTCATGGCTTCAACCAAGCTAATGTTTTTGGCCGATGGTATTGTCAATGCAGAGGAATATCATATCAGTGGCCAAGTCAACATTCTCATTGATGATTTCAGAGACAGTCTAGACAAGTACATTCGATACTCACTACCAATCTATGAAAAGGGTTTGGCAAAGATGGCCAAAACCAAAGACCCCGTCAAAGATTACAACGATCGTACCGAGTACTTTAACCAGATGCTTCTCGGTCTCTATGATACTGTCAATATTTTTTGGGCTATGGACCCTGTCATGTTTCCAAAGGGTGTCATCACTGAAAATGTCCGTTATCTCTATTCCGATGTGGTTGGAAAACCTACAAACGAACGTCTAGATAGAGAATCCAAAGGATATTTGCAATACAGAATGAAGGATTTCCCACTCGACTCTGCTGATAAAATCAAAGCCAAATTTGACACTCTTGGATTCTACAACTACCAAAAGCAATTAAAAGGTGCCAATATCTATTGTTGGGATCGTATTGATAGTATTCAATCGGTATTCTTTGACTATTCAAATACTGGTCAACCAAAAACTAGAACAAACAACAAAATTGGAGGAACAGGTGGAGCTCTAAAGAAATTGGATCTCACCACGCCAATCTCTAGTATCATTGTCAGTTCTGAAAATGATATCTGGAAACTCAATGTAGGAGGTCAAATTTTTGGTAAAGGTGATCCAAGAGTTCATGATACTAATCTTGTTGCAAAACCTGGTCATAAAATTGGTCTTTTTTGTCCAATTGGTAAATATATAGAAACATAATTTTCCTTTTTCATTTTCATTTACCTTTTATATTTTTTATTATTAGGAATTGATGTTACAGAAGGATTTAATTCATTATCATCAATGTCAATTGGATTCGTTGATGAAAGTGTAATTGATGAGAATATTGTGGTTGTAGGTACAGGAAATATGTTTGATGTTCAAAAGTATTATACCAAGAGTTCAAATGCACAATTTATTTTCAATGGAATGTCAACTGGATTGAGTTGCATAAAGACACATCCTGATGGGTCCAATTTTGATTACTACATCTCTTCAAGTGCCAATGCAAAATATCGTGTCATTATCTATGGTCGAGGTAATGTTGGATCACAAATCAAAGTTCAAGTTTACCTTGCTAAAGTACTTGTAGGATCAACTACGTTTATTCAACCTATTACCTATGGTCGTGCCATTGATACTGGTATTGATATTAATCTTGTAAATTCTAAATACAATGACCTAAGAATTACAATATCACAAAATTCTTACAACTTTGCAAGTTTTGTTTTAAGAAATAATTAAAAACAAATAAATAAATCTTTTATTTCTATTTCTATTTTGATTTCTATTTTGATTTCTATTTTGATTTAAAATTTTATTTAATTTATTATTTTTAATGTAAATATGGAGTAGATCTAATAGCATTTGGATTAACACTTCTGGTACCCTTGTAATTGGTACCTTGGTGTTGAGCCTTTGATCTGCTAGCATTGACCTTTTTGATGGCAGCATTGTATTGGTATTTGTATTTGATACGAGAGTGACTCTTTTCTGGATTTCTGATACGGGTAAGACCACGATTCTTCTCCATCTTGTAGTCAATGTGACGCTTGCCACCGGCAACATCAGTGTCTTCGGTATAGTATTGTGCTTCGCTTCTTGGGATACCGTCATACTCTGGTTCGTCGTCCTCGAGTGGGATGTCGTCGTCCTCTGCCTTTGGTGGCAAGATACGTTTTGGTTTCTTGACCTTGTCGATCAACTCGACCTCTTCGTCGCCCTTTGAACGCTTGGTCTTGCCCAATTGAGCCATCATTTGTTCCATTCTCTTGCGCTTCAAGTACTCCTTGCCCTCCTTGGCGTCATCATTGTCACCAACGTTGGCAGTGATCGAGGCCAAGTCACCAAAGTCACCAATATCGTCCAAACCATCGGAAAGTTTCTTTGGCTTTTTCTTTTTGAGGTCTTTTTTCGATTGGGAAAGACGGACGAGGTTTTCTTCTTCGTATTCTCTTTGTTCACGCTCTGCGTCGTCTTCCTTTTCCATTTCGTCCATTTCGTCGGCCAATTCCTCTGGAGCATCACCGTATTCCTCTTCGATGAGTTGGGCCATGGAACTACGAACAGCCTTTTCTTTGTTCTTTCTCTCTCTCTTTTGCTTTCTAACATCCTCGCCTTCTTCATAGTCGCCACCTCTGACCAAACGGTTGCCAGAGATACGTGGGGCTTGGTAGAGACCGGCCTTGTTCATCAAACGAGTGTCCTCGTCGTCTTCGTCACCTTCTTGGTTGTCGCCCATCGACCCAAGGTCTGGCTTAAAGGATAGCGGGTCGTTCTTGTCGTTGATGGATAATTTGCCAGTTTGGGCAGTCTTGAGTAATTTTTCAATTTGGTATTGTAACTTTTGATCCAACGGTTGAATCTTTTCCAACATGACTCTAATCTTTACCAATTGATCAATTACTGGATGATCCTTTATAGAAGTTCCAGATGCCTTTGCCATTATATAATATGAAATATTTAAACAATAACTTAATAATAAATCTTTAAAATGGAAAAGAAAAGAAAAGAAAATTAGTTAATTTATAATTCAAACTCTTTTTCTTTTTTTTTTGTTGGTTTGAGACATACGATATTTAGTTTCCAAAAAGCTAACACCCTTGTTGGTTGGTAATTGACCATCTTTAACTTTTTGAAGGATTGGTAAAATTGTATTTTTGATTTCAGAGATTTTAGATTTAAACTCTTTCATCAATTCAATAAGTTCTGGTGATTCGTTTTCCAAAAAATCTAATTTTTCTTTCTTTGTAAAATGACTTAAATCTTTTTTAATCTTTTCAATATCTTGGCTAGAGTAAATAAATAATATAGATTGTTAATATAAATGTATATATAATTATTAATTATTATTATTTAACTTTATATAGTTTACCTTTGACCAAAATCAATAGATGATAAATCTTTGTTCATATTTTGTAAAAGTTTTTCTTCAGATGATTCGTTTGAGGCCTTTTTATCTTTTGATACCTTTTTGGAGATAATCTTTTCAAACTCTTGATCATCATTGTAATCGTCGTCCTTGATCATTTTGTTTCTTTGTTTTTGTAATTCCTTTGCTTCCTCTTCCTCTTCTTCCTCGTCCATTGAATCCTCTGCATATTCGTCGTCATCTTGATGATAGAAATCGTCCTTTTCTTTACCCCAAGACAACTTGTTATCCAAATCTGCATTCTTTTTCTTTTGTTTAAGTCTTGCCAACTTTGAGTCTTCTTCTGATGATTCTTCTTCTTCCTCCTCTTCAAAATCATCCTCTTCATCATCAATGTAATCATCTTCATCTTCTACATAGTCATCTTGTAACTCGTCAAAATCTTCTTCTTCTTCATCTGAAACATCTACTGGTAATACTTCAACTCGTTTTGCTTGTTGTTTCTTATTCTTTTTAATATCACCCAATGAAATCATCGATTTCTTTTCCATAACTATAATATAACAAAGTATAAATTTGAATAGTAATAAAGTATAAGTAACTAACTCTACTATAGTCTCGTACTATCTTCTTCTTCTTCTTTCTCTCTTTTTCAAACTTACAAGAATCTATTTCACCTTTGCCATATAATTCATCAATAGATTTCTCTTTTGATTTATTTAATGGTTTCTTATTATTATTGTTGTTGTTACTCTTAACATTCTTATTATTATTCTTATTATTAACCATTTTTACAGATATAATATAGAGATAAAAAGAAAGAAATAATAATAATAAGTCGTTCGTTTTTTCAATTCGACCTCTGTCCCTTTTCGTTTTTTAATTTTGTCGATTTTTTTTTCGCAGGAAGGTTTTCATCGTTTTGGATTGAATGTTTTTTTTTTTGAGTTGGTTCTAAATATTTAAATATAAACCTAATTAATAATTAATTAATTGATTTATTATTTATTAAAATAAAAGGATCAATATCAAGACTATGATAAATATCTGTTGCAGTTTGCCAAGCAGCTTGTTGTTTTGTTGGTTCTTCAAATCTTGAAATTTCATGCCATGCTTGGGCCTCTTCAAAGGGCATTCCTTGTTGTTTGGATTCCTTTGCACTCTTGTAGAGTAGTGATAGACCTTTTTGGTGGCTAGAACTAGAGGATGGGTAGATGAGATTGTATAGACCACTGAGACGATAATAAGTCAATGTTGCAAAGGGTGCTCCCTTTTCCATCGACTTTATACCGACTAGTAGTCTTTTGATCCATGTTTCAATCTCTTCTAGATTCAATTCATAGTTTATCCTTTTTCTGAGTTGTTGTTTGGGAGCTGTACTCTTTTGACTGGCATTGGTTTGATTGCTGTGATTCGACACTGTACTATTTGATCTGATCAATGAAGGTGGTGATAGGTTTTGGTTCTGTCCTTGACCAGATGAATAATTTGGATCCAATGGGATTTGAACACCATTTACTTGTATCTGAGGATTAGATGTGTTGATCGCTGCAGCGGCAGAGGCAGCAGGATTACCACCACCACCAACACTATTACTACTATTTGCTAGAGGATTGGGATTGTCACCTGCTCCTACACTCGTCTCTTGGATATCACAAGATACAATATCCTTGATCAAGAATAGTTTTGGAATATCAGTTGATGAGATTGGGTTGAGATTATTATAGACCAAAAAATGGTTGTATAATATCTCATCACGCGAGTAGTCGTAATTGAGTGGATTGTAGAGTGGTGCCTTTTTGGATGACTTTTCATGCTCGACAATCGATAGGAGTATCTTGGTGATGATGGCAAGCGAGTAGGCTACACGAATACCGCAACCGAGACGCTCTCCAATCAGCGGTGTCATGGATGCAATCTCGTCGAGTGCACGCAGTGGCCCACCCTGGGTATAGTAAGCAAATGCAAGGATAGCTTGTTGGGTGATGAGCTCGAGTCCTTGTGTGGTGGGCTTGATGGTCTCGGATGCGCGGATGACTTGGAGTGCTTCGGCGGGCTTGCTCTGGAACGTGTAGACGAGCGCGCGGATATGGTCAAATGCGAGTGCAAACATCCAGCTGGTCGAGTCGGGGTTGATCTCGTGATAGTCGCGTACAATCTGTAGGGTCATGTCAAACTCGGCCTTGACGATTCGGTGAAAGATAAAGACGAGCAGGAGCAGCTCGCGGTAGTTTCGCGTAAAGAAGCGCTCGCTGTAGCCCGGGATGAGCTGCGTGCAGCGGTGTACAGTCTCGTCGACACGCTCCCAGCTGCCGTGGTAGACATCGCGCAGTGCTTGGATCGCGATGGCGCCGATGAGCAGGTTGGACGCCTCGACATTGCCGTTTTGCAGGTAGCCGTCAAGCAGGTCCTCGACAATCTTGGACGCCTGCTTGGCCAGCGACACAGACACGGCACCGCAAAGAGGAAACAGCGACGCGACAACTGCCAACCGACAGTAGTTGATCGCGACCAGCGGGCCGACGATCCAGTGGGTCGCCGAGTGGTGCGGCTCGACTATCTGCACACTCTTGACCATGCAATACATGGAGAGCTGCAGGTTGGTCGATCTAAAGTAGAGCTCACCCAGCAACCCGTAGATCTGGCCCAACTCGAGTGCGATAGTCGTCGACAGCGAGATGTAAGCGTCGGCATTATCGCGCACCTGGAACTTGTGGCTGGCTTTGGTCCACTTGAACAAACTCTGCTTGGTGTATTGCGACAACAGGGAGAGGACGAGTGTATTGGACGGACGTGGTGGTGACTCTTTGAGGATGATGAGTGCGTCGATAAAGTATGGCTCGGCCTGTCCATAGAACCCCATACCGACATGCGCCTCACCCAGTCGCTTGATGGAGACGGCCAGACGCAACCGCTCCTCATTGGACATTTGAATGCTCTCATAGACAGCACTCGGCGAGTGGTGGCCATGCAACGTGCCACCAGCACCCGAAGGAGGTCCAACATTATTATAGATATTGTAGCCGTCATAGTACGGGTCGTTGTTATGACTGTTGTTAAACTGTTGTTGGTGTTGTGGTTTGGTGGTTGGACGAAACACGGGCACTGAAATATGCTGTACATTCTTGAGCTGCTTAAACAGGTTGATGTACTCTCCGTGGTATTTTAGTGTCTCCATGTACTGACACTTGAGCAGTGCCTGCTCGCCCGACTCGAACGAGTATCGCATCGCCTTGTTGAGATTGTCGGCGACCGACAGATCCGTCTTGCACCAATGGTCCGACAAAATAGCATTGTATGTCGGAATATCGTTGCTCGTGTAGTTTTCCTCGATCCACTTTGCAATCTTGAGATGCAACGATTGTCGCTGTGTCAACAACAAAGAGTTGTAAATAGACTCTTGCAACAACTGTGATCTAAATCCATAATAATAATTCCATTCATCATCGAAAATATTAGAGTATGCTGTTGCACTAGATTGTAAGTTGCTTGAACCACCATTATTATTATTATTATTATTATTCATATGTTGTTGTTGAGGTGACTTGTTTTTGAATTGATGTTCAACTTCATTGTTTACAAGTTTTGGAACTTTGTTTTTTGTAAACAATAATGTGTCTCCTTGACTGTCTGGAGTTGTTGTTGACGACACACCACCACCGCTACCACCATTTTGATTACGTTGTGACATTCTATCTAAAGCTTCTTTGGCATTTGATCGTTGAGATGATGAATTACCAAATAAATCGTGAATGTTGGCATTGGTAAAACTCTTTGCCTGTGTGTCGTTCACCTTGCGTGACGGGGCAGCCTGCTTGTAGCTGTATTTTGGCTGTGGTGCGCTGTGTACTGGAACTCCAGAGTTGCTCGACCCACCACCACTCCCCGATGGAACGTGAAGTGAACTAGATGATGAAGAAGATGGACCTTGGTCATCCAACAATCCAGGTGGTGGAAAGTAGACAACTGAACGACCAGACGACATTTGAGGAGGGTTACCACAACCATCGGTATTGAGACCCATGTTTTGAGTGACGTCGCGGTGATGAACTTCGAGATACCCCATATCAACTAGTTGTTGAAGAATATCTTTGAGATAGGGACGTTTAGAGGTGATTGGGTAGAGTAGCAGTACCAAGGGATACGGGAATGCAGTACTACCAAGTACACTAGCAACCTTGAGAATCATGTTGAATGTGCTTGAGAGCGTGTTGACCTTGTTGAGATAGTATGTCTCTAGTTGATCGGGAATTGAAGGGAACCCACGCAACAACTGTGACGGGTGTACATAACACCGTTCCTTTAGCAACAGCACATAATCTCGTTCACGTAAATGTTTGGTCAACTCTAAACATACGTATGGGTTACCCTCGGATTTACTGTAAATAAGTTCTGACACAAACTTTGATACATCCTTTACTCTCAGCACACTCTTTACCAATTCCTTGGTTCCATGTGCTGACAATGGTTCCAATTTCATTTCATAATATTCTAATGACATTGCATCTCTTTGTTGTGGTAATTGTGATTGTTGTTGTTGTTGATACTGTTGTTGATACTGTTGTTGTTGTTGTTGTTGTTGTTGTTGTTGTTGTTGTTGTTGATTATTATTATTTTGATCTAAATCAATAAATGGTTTATCTAAAGATAATGGAGTATTATCAACTTGACATTTTGGTGGAAACGCTTTGATGATTCTTTGTAATTCTTTTGGTCGTTCTTGACCACTCGATGATGATTGAGTGGTTGCAACGATCATTAATGGACGGATATTAAAACAAACCTGCACCAAAAAGGCCCAAGACACTGGATCCATATAATGAATGTCTTCCATGATAATGACCAGTCTGTTTCGACTGGCTGTCAGACGCAAAAAGTATGCGAGTAACTCGAACGTCCTCTCCATCAACACATTGGCCGACGACATGAATTGATTCACCACTTCGTTGGATGGGAAGTCTATTCGAAGCACTGGATTCAGCAATGACAGTAGAGGTAGAATTTCAGGACGATGGTCTGTGAATTTCTGGAATATATACTGTCTAATATGTTCGGTTGGCATTGATTGTAAATGTTTGTATCTTGTCCAACTCAATGTTTTATATGATTTATCTCCACCTTTAAATCTTGTTTCTCCCAATGAAAATTCTGAAAAGAATAAATCTGAAAATATTCCTAAAAGAGACAGACAGAACAATAATGTTAATAATCCCATTCAAAACAAAATACTACTAATTATCTATTATCTATTATATATACCATTTAAAACATTATAGGCTCTAGTTTTTTCTAAAACACTACAACTACCACATAAAACCATTGCACCTTTTGAAACACATTGTTTGTAGAGTTCCGTGACAAGAGTTGATTTGCCAACACCGACATCCGACTCTATCATGATGAATGATGATTCTAATCGTTCGGTGAGTCGGTCGTAGGAAGAGAGGAGGGTAGACAGCTCCTTTTTACGACCGTGCATTTTGTGTTGTTGCTTGTTCATTCGATTGAGATGATCGTGATCTTTGGTGGTTGCAATATGGGCAATACTGGTGGGTCGATAGGTGACCATGGTGGCAACACATTTGGTCCATGTTGGGGGTGTCGACCCGACCTTACTATTACTATTGTTGTTGTTGTTGTGTTGATAGAGTGGATGTGGTGGGAGCAACAAGACAGAGTCAGAGTCGAGTGGTGACTTGCCATCTTGATTTTGGTATGAAAAGGTGACTGAAATAGGCTCAATATCATTGTTGGTGTTGGGGGTATTGGGAACAAGACATTGTTCACCACCTACAAACAATTGTGGTGTACGGTTGATTGCCGATGCTTCAAGACCGCATAATGCCTGTGGTGAAAGATCTGCTTGGCGACTATGCGTACTGAGACGCTTGGAGTTATAGTCTTGTGAAGTTTTGAGATGGTCACGTGCACCACTACTCGACAATGACCCGACACTTTGAGATGATGCCGACAACATGTTATTGTTGCTGGTACTCTGTGTCATCATTGGTGTCGGTTGGTTGAGTAGAGTAAATGGAAACTGTATGTCATAAGACACAGTGTCAAAAGTAATCGCCTTTTCACATTCTTTCTTGGTCGAGTCATCGCACAGAATCCATCCACCTTCAAACAATACATTCTCTTCTTCTAATACTACTGCCGAAGCACCAATACCACCACCATTGTTGTTGATGTTGTTGTTGGTAAATGGGACTTGGGGAGTAGGTGGTATACGGGGATCTTGAGGTAACTCATCGGGGATATCGTCGTCATCATAGAGGAGATCGCTGTCATGGTCGCTGCAGCGGTCCTCTTCTTCGATGGGGTGTAGTCCAAACAGATGTGGTTTGATGGGTGACATGCTTGGTCCTCCGCCGCCGCCTGGTGAGTCTGCATCACCGCGCTTGGAGGTGGTCTGGCGGTGCAGGGTAGACAGCCAGTTGAATGCGTAATGTATCTTTTCGCCAATCATGACAAACTGCGACCGTTCCTTGGTACCGACAATACCGCACACAATCTTCTCGGTCAATACGAGCAGGTTCGTGTCACGGATATAGTGGCGACTATGTGATTGAAGCAGCTTGAGGATATCCATTGACAGTTTGATAGTGGGTACCGAGTGGTTGTGGCTGCCGTAGGGGGGCAACCCAAACGCACACACGACAAACACTCCATCATCCTTTTGCACAATGTCGGCCACTGTGCCGTCGGACCGCCGCACCATCTCTTGTATTCGCAGTATGGCCGGATGAAAGAAATTCATCGTCTCCCAATTGAGCACCAAGTTGAAAAAGTGTATCACCAAAAACGTGACATTCTTACTCTCCAAACTCCAATCTTGTGTCAACCAGAACCGGTCCAGTTGCGGCATACGCACAATCGATGCTGATGGTGCACCCGCCGCAAAGAATGATCCTATTCCACCACGTGAACTTCCATAATTCGAACCGCCTCCTCCTCCAGTCGACCCGTTTCCATTGGTACCACTCCCATTACTACCACTTCCATTACCACCACCATTATTATTTGTACTATTATTAGAGTTTAGACTACTATTACTATTACCATTTCCACCACCACCGCCGCCACCGTTATTATTATTATTATTATTAAAGTTGGATTGCAAGAGAGAAGTGACTAACGCCTTGACGTGGATGGGCAAGTGAAACCAGAGCAGCTGATGCATCTGCATGAGCATGTCGGGTGTCATGTCTTGCAGCGACATCTCCTGTGCCGTGTGAATGCCCATCGGGTTGGACAACTCTTGCATCGATTTGAATAAATAAATATAGTTTTGTTGGTTCATGTTGAATATGTTGTTATCTACAAGGTCTTGGTGTTGAAAGATTGAAATTTGGTCGCATTGGGCATAGAGTTTAATTAAAAGCCATGCTTCGTATGTTATTAATATCTGACCAAATGGGTTGGATATTTGATTCAATTGTTGTTGTTGTTGTTGTTGTTGCAGCTGTTGTTGTTGACTAGTAGTAAACATTAGGTTAGGTGAAGATGAAGGTGAAATGGATATTTTACGTGGTTGTAATAATGGTGTAATCGGAGCACCTGTCGCTGTAGTAGTCCCAGAAATTCCAAATAATGGTGGTGTATTACTATATGAATTATTTGTATTATTATTATTATTAATATTATTATTACTATTGTTATTATTGACACTAAGAGAACTCCCACTATTACTATTACTATTATTACCATTGGTATTATTATTATTATTACTTGATTGATTGTTGTTATTGTTTACATTTTGTTGTTTACTTAGTGATAATTTTAAAGGGAGGGATAACAAACCATACTTTTCATCGTATAGTCGAATCAATCGGTTGGTTTGGACAAGACCTTGGCCACCAAGCAATGATATCCAACTTTGGTTCTCACCACCAATCGATCCCATCATAATCTCTCCACACCCAATAAATATATTATAAACTGGATCTGAATTAATTTGTGAATTATTTACATTATTATTATTATTATTATTACTATTACTATTTCCATTTCCATTTCCATTTCCATTCCCATTATTATTAATATTAATATTATAACTTGGTAATAATATTTGAAAATTTGTATTATATCCAACTCCATTTGCATTTAATGGATGGAGTGAAGGTGATGACGAGAATGTGTAACCACCTGATTGACTAAGTGATATATTTTGATTATTATTGTTGTTGTTGACCGACAGGTTACCGTGAAGACTGCTGGCATGACTCGTTCCGGCATTGAAACTATTTGACCATCCACCACTATTATTATTATTGTTTGATGATGAAGGATTATTATTATTATTATTATTATTATTATTATTATTATTATTGATAATGATTGGAGTTGATGGAGATATCGATCCATTATGATGATGGTGATGTGAATTGTTATTTTGACCATTTGTATTGTTGATATTAATCGAACTTGTACCACCATTGATACTTGATGATAAATTCAATGATGACGAAGAAGGTGATGGTGCACCATTACATCCATTACATGTATTGGTTGCACCATTATTATTATTGTTATTGTTATTGTTACCGTTATTATTATTACCATTATTGACATATAATTTTTGATTCAATTGATTTCTTAATCGTTGAGCACATTTCATAGCTCTTCTTGTCAATGTTGACGACTCTTCACCTGTTTCTCTCCATACCGATACTATTTCCTCTCCATTGATAATCTGTAATATATCTCCACCTAGATAAATAAATGTGTACAAAAGAGTAGTGTTAGGCATGGTTAAACATAAAACAAATGGATCCATCTCTCTACATACCCTCTTCCAAAATGATTTTAAATGAATCTTCGACAAAAGAGTGATAGTTTGAATGCAGATGATCGGGAAACAAGGAATAAAACTTGACGATGAGTACTGGAACCGTTGCACCAAAGACATCGGGTGTATTGATGTCTGGAGGTACTGGATTCTTCAAGTATCGTTTGAATGTGGTAACGGGCACATGCGCCGATAGTGCCTGAACCCGCGCAGGTGACACTCCTTCCAAGTGACCTGCGTTCATTTTTTAATGTATTAAATTATTATTTATATATATATATGTGTGTGTGTGAATATCTATAATGATAGTGTATATGTTATGTATATAAGATATCTAAATTTGTAATTTGATATAAAGAATAAATAATTAGTATTTGTTTGTTCTTGAAAACTAGTCCGTCATTTATTTCTAAAAAAGGAATGTTTATGATATATGGGAAATGAGAGTTGTCTTCGGAAGACAACAACAACATACAATATGATGATGAATGTTTAAAAAAAAGAAGAAGAAGAAGTACAAGTGATTGATCTTTGATAATCAGAACAAAAACAACAACAATAACAAACTTTGTCGATTCTATCTGCTAATGTCGGTCGTGTTCTTTTTGTGTGCTACTATACTATCTACCATCTATCATATCACTAACTAAATGTCAATGGTATTTGTTTGAATAATCGATTGTATCTCCAACAACAACAACTACTACAAGCAAAAACCGTCAAGAGTGTGTTTGTGCATGGTGTGTGTTTGGGGGTGGTGTAAATTTTGGAAGTTGAATCCTCCTCCTCCTCTAACTATCCCTGGGTTGGTTTAAGATAGATTGGTGAAGATCGACCTTGTTTGTTTCTTTGTTTGTTTACCTACTTTTACTTCTTTTTTGTCAATGACAGATTCTATAAGTCTTGTCTCTTCTCTTTCTTCTTCTTTTAAAGAATTATTATTGTTATTATATTATTTATTATTTATTAATTATTGTTGTTATTGTTATTCATTTAGAAAATAATTGAAAACATGATATAAGTTGGTTGTTGGGTGTTTGTTTTGTTGTTTATTTATTTGGGACAATAATATCTTGAGGATTTATTGTTGTTGGTAGTAGTGGTGGTGTATGTGTGTGTGAAGGAGGAGAAGGATAGATACCAAACCAAGAGACACAGTCTGAAGAGAAAAGAGGGAGGGTCTCAAAATTGTCCTTTTTTTTTTTTATTTTTTTTAATATTTTTTATGAGCCCCGATTCCAACAACATTGTTTGGTCGAAAGTGTGTGTCTTCCTTCCTTCAATTCTAAATTTGGCTCGATCATGGTTTATGTGACAGGATATTTTTTTTTGGGTGTGACTCGATCGACATTCACGTTTATTGTGCTAACGCGAGCTCATCGTTCATTGGTTTGTTGTGTGACCCGACATTACTTCCAATTAATTGGTTGTGATAAATTGGACATCAATTGATTACTGCTTGTTGGAATGTGATTGATTAATTAATTGGGCTAGGAAATTAGTAGTGGTAGTGTGTTGGTAGGAGGAAGAGGAGTAGAAAAACAAAGAAACAGTACAGGTAAATCTTACAAAAGATCGTCGTCGTTGAAACAACAACAACAGAAAAAGAGAGTAAGAGATATCATCTCTCGTTCATTATAATATAACCTCATGTTATCAAAAAAAAAAAAAAAAGGAGATTAGTAGTTGTGAATATTATTAATTAATTAGTAATATATAGTTAATATCAACAATGTATCTTACTAGTACACTAGAATTAAATATGAATTGTATTATAGATTCTATCTTGGATCTTTGAAATACTTTGCTGAAACAATCATGTCCAAATTAACAATTTTAAACTTATAAGCAATATTGATCGATCAAAACGATGGCCAGCGTTTTTGTTCGCGCAACAGTTGTTTTTTTTCGTCATTGTCATTGTTTGAAGAGATTTAATATAAATATACATATATATATATATTATTTTATAAAATATAGAATTCTAAAAGTCCAAGTCCAAAGCAAAGGTTCCAAGAGGGTATTCTACAGACAGGAAGGTCACAATATACATTACTAAATTAGGATAGAGTTTACTATTGAACAAGGCGTAGATATATCAAGGGTAAGTATGCACCGAAATAGATATAGACCTAGATGTATGTTATATAATGACAGCTACTAAACCATCAGCTAGATGAGTCAACAGCAAACAGAAAAAACAGAGGAAAAGAGACATTGTGCATACTGCTTAAAAGCAATATCAGGTGACGAGGTTAAAAAGTGTGCAGGATGTATGCGTCGTGCCTATTGTGGACGTGATTGCCAAGTAGGTGATTGGGGAAACAAAGGACAGTCACACAAGACATGGTGCAAGGACAAGTTGTGCGAGGAAGATATAGACTGGGAGGTGCGCGAGACTCAAGGCAAAGGCCTGGGTGTTTTTGCCAAGCGCATGCTGCCCAAACACACCAAGATTATGGTAGACCGCGGCTATAGAACCATCAAAGAGACTCCACTCGATTTCATCAATTCGTTAATGCCCCACGGCGGCACGTTACAGGCCAAGTGGGACCTCAACAGCTTCTTTACACCAGAGGGTGGCGACAACCTCGGTATTCGTTTGGCACGTGTCAACCACGACTGTCGCAACAACGCCACCAACAAGTACGTCACTGAACTCAACTCGTTTGTTTTGATTGCCATTAAAGACATTGCAGCTGGCGAGGAAATCACCATCCAATACTACTTTTACAATGATTTCTCGACCATCAAACAAGTGCGTGACATTAGAGAATCAATCATCAAACCAAAGTGGGATGTTGTCTGCGACAGCACCTGTGTCTGTAAAGATGCTGCTGTAGTCGATCGTATTGAAAAGGCACATCAACTCGATGCCTCCATCCCAACCATGTCGTTGCGAACTGAAGCCGATGTACGCAAGGCATTACAAGCTGTAGATAACCTCATTGCAATGGGTGAAGATCTATCATCTGGTATCATGGCACTTTCACGTACCTACTATGATGGTTTCCAACTCTCCATTACCAACCAAAAGACATTCCCACTTCACACCAAATACATTGAAAAATACCTAGAGGCTGTTGAAATTGTCGATTCTAAACATTCAAATACATACGCTGAAGCTCTTCGTTATAAAACTTTCCCAGAATCACATAGAAATCATTTTTCAAAATAAAAAAGGTAAATAAATAATAATATATATATATATATATAAAAGATAGATAAATAATGATAATAATATTAATAATAACTAACACAATAAAAAATGATTACTATTTTTCTAATTTTTAGTTTTTATAATTTAAAATATAAACCAAACAAAATTTTCCAAAATACTTTACTTTCTTCAAATATTATATAAAATGTGGTGTTAAAGAGTCAATAATCAATAGTCATTTTTATATTTATATATTTAAAACATTTATTTATTTATTTGCTATTTCTATTCTTCTTCTTCTTCTTTCTATTTCTATTTCTATATTTTAAATATCAAGTTCTTGATAAGTTTCAGCTTTAGTAGAGAAACAATCAAACTTGAGACCTGGACTCTCTTCTACCCATGGTCTAATGGTAAGTGATAGAGAGTTTTTAGAGGCATTGTAGATGGTTTGGAAGAAATGGTCGGCACCGAGGTCACGGTAGATACCGGATACTTTGAGTTGTTCGAGGACGTTGGGTCGGATATCGGCAAACGAGGTGACGATGGACAGTTCGGTCAACTCACGGATCAGCTCCTTTAGATATTTAATACCGGTACTGTCGACGTTGGTGACTGCACCGAAATCCAAAATAATGGCCTTGATCAGCGGGTTCTTGGTCTCGTCTTCGAGCTTGTAAATCTTTTTCAACTGCTTTCTGAGATAGTAGGCGTTGACAAAGATGATGGGCGAGTCGAATCTAAAGACGGTGACACCTTGCTCGACGATGGCCTCTGGGTGGAGTGCAACGTCGGTGAAACTGGCCGTACCAGGGATACGACCGCATATGGCCGTGTTGGGTTTGGACGATTGGTAGATAACGAGCACAAGCGAGAGAATGACGGCAGTGGCAATACCAACTTGCACACCAAGCACTAGAGTCGCCCAAAAGGCAATCAAAAGTAAAAACATGTCGGGTTTGTTGATCTTCCAGAGTTTTTGTACTTCTTCGAGATCGACGAGTTGCGATACTGCAAAAATGACAATGGCAGCCAATACGACTTTAGGTAAATAGTAAAATACCTTGGTGAGGAATAAAAGGGTAACACCAACTACGACGACCGATACAATGGTGGTTACTTGTGTCTTGGCACCAGATGCAAGATGCAAGGATGTTCTGCCAAAGGCACCGGCGGATGGGTATGATTGGAAGATACACCCAATAATATTTGCCATTCCGAGAGCAAACAGTTCCTTGTTCATTGACAACTCATATCTACACTTGTTGGCGGCGACCTTTGATGCAGAGACAGTCTCGATCAAACCAACGATAGGAATGACCAAAGAATCCTTGTAGAGAGAGATGGCAGTGTTGAAATCAAAGTTTGTGAAAAACGATGCACTTGGTAGACCCGATGGAATGGTTCCGACAACTGCAATACCCTTGCCCTCGAGATCGAGGAAATACGATGCAAGTAAACCGAGTGCGACAAGAATCAATGGAGCGGGCATTGGAATAGTAGTCTTTGGAATAGTCTTTATATGATGTTTAAATACATACAAGAGAAGGAAACAAATCACAGACATTAAAACAGCTATCCACTGTGTATGTCCAAGATTTTTTACAATTTGAATCACATATTTCCATGCAAATTGTTGTTGTCCTCCTGAAAATCCAAATAAACTATTTGTTTGACTAAGTATAATAATAATTGCTGCTGCTGATGTAAATCCACTTAATACTAAATAGAAAAATAATAGAAACAAATTAGATACGATAATAATATATTATTATTATTATTATTATTATTATAATTACCTGGTCTTGATAAAAAGTTGATGAGGAAACCCAATTGAAGAAAACACATGATTAAAAAGTTGACACCAACTAGGAGTGAGAGTAGATTGGCCAAACCAATTTGTTCACTGAGTGTAGTGTTTTCAAAAGCTTGAACGGAAGCACCGACCATAATGGACATGAGAGCAAGTGGACCAACAGCCAAATGACGAGATGATCCAAAAAGACTGTAGATGAGTGGTGGAATAAAAGCAGTGTAGAGACCATAGATTGGTGGTAGACCTGCTAAAAGAGCATAAGCCATTGACTGTGGAATGATCATTGTACCAGACGACAAACCAACACTAATATCATTTTGAAGGTACTCTAGTTTATAAGTAGACAAAACCTCGACAATGGTAAAAGTCTTTTTTGAAAACTTTTTAGCCTTTTCTAAAAATGGTAACTTTTCTTGACCTTGTTCCAAACCAAATAAATCACCTTGAAGTGATTTATGGTGAAGTGTTGGGTCTCTATGTGGTTGTTGAGCCAATAATGAACTATGTGATAAATTATTTACATCTATTTCTTCCTCTAAAAAAGAAAAGAAAATATCAAAAAATAAAATGATTAATTTTTAAAGGTTATTATATATTTATATTTAAATATTTTCTATTTTTTTTTTTTTTACATACCAGGATTAAATAAAGTTTGATGAGCAGATTTAATATGATTAATGATATCATGAGTTTCTGGTGATGACATGCTATAACGTTCAGAGATTTGTTGTGTCCAGGTTTCAAACAAGAGTGACTTTAGTTCATTAAAGTTTGCTTCACCCTCTCTTTCAAATCTTTCACACATCTTTGAACAAAATTCCAAGTTGGCTCTCGTCCAATCCAAGGTCTCTTCTTTTGATCTATCATCAATTTTATCTAATGCTTTACCAATATATTTTGATGCTAAAAAACAAAATGGAAAAAAGGAAACAAGTTTATATTAATATTTTTGGAAACATATATAAATAATTGTTTTGTCTTTTGTATTTCTTACCTTTGGCAGCCAATATCTTGATTCTTTCATATTCTACAGATATTTCATCAATGTGGTGACTACTGGTAGTACTACGATTGAGACTTTTACGAAGATGATGTGAAGAAGTGGAACTTCGAAGTGAGTCTCCACCTTCGCCTCCTCCTCCACTTAGTCCATGGAGATGATCATGGTTATGAAAGGAATGATTTTTACGAAGAGGGTTATGGTGATAACGTTGGTGATGGTGATGATGATGGCCATCTTCACCTACATGTTGTGGATGGTGGGTATTATCCAAAGTGGAATTTGTGCCAAGGGGAGTATCATTGATATCCAACAAGACACTGTCGCTTCCTGTGATGGCTTGGTTTGGTGAATCTGTTGTACTTAAATCGCCATTATTTGTTAGGATGGCTCCATTATTACTATTTTCATCATCTGACATTATACTCCCTGTGAGGTGGTGTTGTTGAAAGAGTGTACAGAAAAATTAAAAAAAAAATAGTACTTAGTCTCTTACAAAAAAAAAAAAAAAAAAACTATAAGATATGTAAAGATAGATATAAGATAGATAAAGAATACTTTGTTTGTATTTTACTAAAAGAGATATCTTCTAAGTAAGTGTGATGATAAAGTAAAGTTGTAGAAAAGGGGAAGGAAGGGGGTGTAGATGAAAAGTGGGGAAACAAACAAGCAAACTAATGAACAAAAGACTAGCGTTCACCAACTGGTTGTTTGATTCAGCACAACAATTGGGGGTGTAGATTAAAAAAATCAAAAATAAATTGGTGGATGGGAGGGGGTCCCCTGGTCACCTCCCCAACTGCACTCCGCAACAGCCCTGTTTTGCGTTTTTAAACAGACGGTTGCAATCCATGCGATCCGTGAAAATAAAATTTGTCACCAATTTTCGTTTTTTCTAGAACCAAAGTGCACACGGTCAAACCTCTCCTTCTCAGTGAGAATACGAACGACAACACTGGTAAAGCAATATTAATGGAGATAACAACACCGATCGACAAAACTATGGAAAGGAAAGCTTTCACTTTCATCTTTGGCAACCATCTTGAATAGCTGCCAAACCAATACATAGCATGCTAGCGTGTAATATAATTATTTTATAGATATCTTGGTTTATTTCTATCATTTACTTTGTTGGTTACAAATAATTATTATTTACTGTAAATTTACGAACAGTTAGGGTTTGTAGGTACCTCCAACATCGATTGACTGACTTGTTAAAAAAAAAAAAGAGTACACATCGACAGTTCAACAACTTGTTCGATCCAAACATTTCATCGTCAAACATATATAATGTGATTGATTTCATTATAATATTATAATTTAAAAAAGATAGAGATATTTTGTTGTTGTTGTATTGTTGTATATATAATGAACATTCCATAAAGTGTGTTGTGTGTTGTTTGTACAAGTTGTTTGTATATATATTATATATATATATATTATTATTAAAAGAGTAGTATAGGTAGGTAGAGTTATTATAATAGTTTAATGCTTGGATTTCTTCTTTTTCTTCTTTTTATCAACTACTACAACAGGTTGTTTGAGGAGAAGGTAGTCTTCGAGTTGGTCACGAGTAGACTTCCAATGTGAAGGTTCAATGTCATAGATATTGACATGTTGTGAAGAGACGGCAATGATCGAGGTGCGGAGAGCGTTGAGAGCATAAAAGATGTGTTGTTTAAAGGTATCGTCGCGGAGAAAGGAAGAGTCGGTAAAGATGGACACCCAGTGGCGTTGTCGCTTGTCCATTTCATCCCATTGCTTTTTGAGTTTCTTGGTGACTAGTAGCGGGTAGTAGGTGATGTTGCATCCCTTGGCGTGATCGGCCACTTGGATCGGTTCGAGTCGCTTGATAATCTTGCCCTTGATACCAGCCTCTTCAAAGGTTTCACGTTTGGCAGCTTGTTTCTTGGTCTCACTCTTTTTCACCGATCCTTTGGGGAACACCCATGATCCTCCCGCCGTAGTCACCATCAACACTTGATAGTCTACTGCCAACACCACTCTCTTTTCACTAGTCATCGATGATTCTGTTGCTGCTCCTCCTTCATTGCCCGACGATGTGTTGGTCGGTGATCCATTATTACTACTATTAACAACTCTCTTTTTAATTCGAATCGGGATACATCCCCCTTGCTCTGTATAATTTGCTATTTGGTATGCAGAAGATGGTAACATTGATTATAAAAATGATTAATATTTCTCTCTCTCTGCAATTAAATAAATAATTAAATAAATTTATTTTATAAATGATAATGATAATGAATGAAAGAATGAACCTACTATTAATATTAAATAATAACGAACTATATGAATTTATATTATTATTTATTATTATAATCGCCAAAAATAATTAAACAACACACCCCTCCCCACCCTTGAAAGATAAAACATTGCATAATCTCTCTCTCCTCTACTTCAGACTCATACACAAAAAAAAATCATTCTTTGTGATGATTTCATTCGTTCAACTCTCTCTCTCTTTCAAGTTAGAGATACGCCACACACACAGATAAATTAAATGGACCATAGACAAGTGTCTTTTCCTCAATCACTTCTCTTCTCTTCTGTCAAGGGATAGACCACGCACCAGAGCAATGGTTTGAAGTTAACTTGCTTGCGCAAGAGAAAAGTTGGCACTTTGACGGATAACTATTGAGCTCTTTGACTCTGATGAGGGACATAGAGGAAAACTAAAAGTAATCAATCAGTCATATCTCTCCTATTCTCGAAACTGTTTGATCAACAATAATAATAATATCAAAAGAAACAGTAACTGTTGTTTACAATTTGATTGGCAATGAGGTATGAAAACTACAGTTTCAGAGAGGAATCAGCCCACATTAAGATTTATTTACTAAATGGGGAAAAGATTTATTAAATATCCCCTCCGTTGTAACTCTGTGACATTGGGGGGGGTTTTGGTTGGTGGGGTTGCGGACTATGAGTATAATTGTTGACATTAGATTTGTAATAAAACAGACAGAGATAGATTATACTCATTCATTCATTCATTCATTAATTTATTTGCTATTATCTATAGGTTTCTATTTCTGTTTATTTGTATAATCTATTCTATAATCATACATACAATTAAAATTAATTAAAGGGGGACAAATGAATTATTTGTTTAATATGAACAATGATTCATTGACCCCACAGAACAAACAAGAGGAGAAGGAGGAAAAGGAAAAAGAGAGAGAAGAGATTGTATCCACCAATCCTGGTAGTAGTTGCTCAACAACATCGTCATCATATACAACTTTTGGCAATGTACCTAAATGCTATCAGAATGGATATCATCCATCGGGTTGGGACATGGTTCAAGTGTTTCTAGCAGGTATTTGGAAGCCATTCAAAATCAAGAGTATCCTAGAACACAAGAACCGTATTAAACTGGATCTCAAGGTTGGCGATGTCTGTAAAGATGCCAGATTACTCACGTATCATCAAGATGATATTGCCACTGTCGACGATCAAGCCTACGATACTACTCTCTACCAATTATTGGATAATCAACCAACCAAACCTATCCTATTGTTCTGTGGGTCATATACTTGAATGCCATTCCGTGACAAGGCATCAATGTATGTGAAACTAACAAAAAAAAAAAACAATAATATTAATATCAATACTTATTTATTTATATTTTTTTGTTTGATTGTTTAGGTTTGAATCAATTTATCAAGAATATAAAGATAAAGTTCAATGTTATATAGTTTATTTGAAAGAAATGCATCCATCTGATGAATGGTATGTGGGAGGTGATGAAATCTCCCTTTGCCATAAACAACCAACTAATATGAGACAAGTAAGTTAGAATCCCTAAAAATATTAATGCTCATGTTATCTCTAACCTTTGTCTATTTCTATTTCTATATTTAATTTAGAGATTCCAAATCATTAAAAATTTCAAAGATTATTGTAATGATTTAACAGTACCCATACTAGTTGATTTAATGGATAACAATTTCCAAGCAGGCTATGATGCAGTTCCAGAAAGAATCTTTGTCATTGAAAACAACAAAACATTCTCTTATGTTGGAGGACCAGGACCATTTGAATTCTTCCCAGAACAAGTAAAAGAATATCTTGATAATAGATACAATCAACAACAACAACAACAACATACAGAAGACGTAACACAACAAGTCAAACAATAACCAACTAAAATAATAATAATACTAGTGATGACACCTTAAAGTATAATTGATTAAACTCAACACTTTAAAGTTGAAAAAAAATAATAGTATTTAAACAAACCAAACCAAACCAAACAAAACAAAACAAAACAAAACAAAACAAAACAAAACAAAACAAAACAAATAAATAATACAAAAGTTATTTGATATAGAAATTATTTATTTATTTAATATTTATTTATTTAGTTTGAATCTTTGGTAAAGTATATTTAACACCTAATTCTTTGATTGCTTCCAACTTTGCCAATTGAGTTTTAATAATACGTTGAGCTTTGTGTTGTGGTTTGACGGCGGCAGTTGTATTTTCTGTTGATGATGATGATGATGATGAAGAGGTTGTATTTGTATTTGAGGAGGATTTAGCAGAACTTGGAATCTTGTATTGATTGAATGGAGTATGGAGAGTAAAAGAGGTCTTTGGAATGGGGGTAGTGTTGACCTTGCAAACCAATCTCTTTCCAAAGATGAGGTAACCGTTCATGCTCTTGGCGGCAGTGTCGGCAACCTCGGCCTTGAGGAATCTGACAAAGGCGTAACCTCTGGATTGTCCAGTCTTCTTATTACGTGATACATATACACCAGTGACATCACCAAACTGGGTAAAGTAGGCAGCCAATTGAGTCTCGTAGAATCCATGTGGCAAATGACCAATGTAGATGACACACGATGGGTCTTGGTTCAAATGCTCGTTGTATTGCAAGTCGGCCATCTTTTGTTCCTTGTTGGCGGCAATACGGTCGGGCATCTCGAGGGCATCTTGACGTCTTTGTTCTTTAGTCTCTGCTCTCAATTTTTTCTTTGCATCTCTATGTGCTTGACGTTCCAAAGCTTCTGGTGTCTTTTTCTTTTTCTTTGCTGGTTCAGTTGTAGTTGTAGTTGGAGTTGGAGTAGTAGTCTCCGTGATGGTGGTAGTGGTGGTAGTTGGTTCTGATTCCTTTCTCTTGTTATTTTTCTTTGGTTCAGCGGCGACTGGGGTGGCAGCGACGACTGGCTTGGCAGCAGCGGCAGCAGCGGCAGCTGGCTTGACTGGTTGCTTCTTTTCTGGGACGGCGGCAACAACTGGCTTGGCAGCAGCGACTGGCTTGGCAGCAGCGACTGGCTTGGCTGGAGCAGCAGCAGCAGGTTGCTTCTTTTCTGGAGTCTTCTTTGGTTCGACAGCGGCGACAACTGGCTTGGCTGGAGCAGCGGCAGCTGGTTTTTTGGATTGTTTGGCAGCTGGTTTAGATGGAGCTGGTTTAACTTCCTCTTCTTCTTCACTGTCATCACTGTCACTATCATCATCATCTTGACTATCTAACATTTCCAAATCTTCAGAGTCGAGATCTTCAAGATCATCATCGTCTTCCTCATCTTCTATAATATCATCGTCATCATCACTACCGAGATTGTCGAGATCGATATCTTCATCATCATCATCGTCATCTTGGTCATCATCACTATCCATCTTTCCAAATTCCTTTTCGAGTTCATCTATTTCGTCTTGATCCAATTCTTCCAAATCTTCATCGTCGTCGTCAATTTGTTGTTTCTTGTTGTTCTTCTTATTGTTCTTATTATTATTGTTCTTGTTTTGAGTTTGGAAGTCTTCCATCTTTTGTTTGATGAGATCTTTCTTTGTAACAACTGACTTGGTTGGGGTTGGAGTTGGTTGTTTCTTGGCTACAACTGGGGCTGGTGCTGGAGCAGCCTTTTTAGTTGGAGTTGGTTGTTTCTTGGCTACAGCTGGGGCTGGTGCAGCGGCAGCTGGAGTAGCCTTCTTGACTGGAGCTGGAGCAGCAGCGACAACAGTCTTCTTGGCTGGAGCAGCGGCAGCAGCAACAACAGTCTTCTTGACTGGAGAAGCAGCAGCAACAGCAGTCTTTACTGGTGCCTTTTTATCTATAGATAGTAGTAGTAGTAGTAATAATACAAATAGGTAAGTTATATGTTTGTTTGGGTCGGGCCTCTCATCACATGACTCTGTGACAGCACAGCAGACACATACTTGGTGCAACGGTAGTGGCAGTAGTTGTTTTCTTTGTATTGGTGACCATTTTGAAATGTGTACTATTCTCGGTTTAGATTAACAAATATAAAGATATAACAAAAACTGTGTAGGACAACAAACTAAAAATCAACACAAATAATAACGAAAGACACGAGACGAACGACTATTTTTTTTTTTTTTTTTTTCATTATTTATTTTTTGTCGTTATTTTCAACCTCTCTCCGTCTTTGTCAATGTTTGGGATATTTTAATATTACCCAATTAACTAATAATTAAATGTTAGGTACTGTACTATACAACACTATACAATACTATATACCCCTAACCCTTCTCCACTTCAACATCAACATTAATATTGGTAATATCAATAAGGTGGGAAGGAGGGAGGGAGGCAACTAGTTCATTGCACATTGAAGCAACTATGATTGTCATTGCTTTTAATAATTATTATAATATTATATTATATTTCAACAAACAAACAAAGTTAAGTTATAAATATTAAGAATGAGAGTAGATATATCTTTATATGATATACCAGAGGCACTCAAACCATGTGTGCAAGAGATAGTTGACAATGTCGATCATTCAGACGTTGAAATCAAAAGATTTATACAGTTTTTGTTTATGTGGAAAATGTTGGCAAAGGAGACAAAGTTAAAGATCCAAAGGATCATACTTGTTCTATTGACAAACAAAACCAAAGTGATATAGTCATGTTTGTCCCAGCACCACACAAGCAAACCGCCAAGGATTTGCTTACTCGACTCATCCCAGAGGCTAGCGATCCCGAGAATGTCGATAAAATATTGAGCGCATCCGTCTCTAATCATGTGTCTGAAACATCCCGTTTCATAGTCGATAGTTTTATCAGCCAAGGTGCCACCTTTAATATCGCCGATTTGTTTATTGACCCTACTAGTTAATCCACTGCCACCACCACCACTGCCACCACTGCCCCTAATCAGTCCTCTGAACACACTCCAAGAGACCCAAATTTAACTAGTCATTGTTGCTGGATCAAGTTATCAGATGATAATTACGTTTTTAGGGATGATGATGGTAAACTGATACCGGTATATACCAATTTCCAAGTGACAGAGATGATAGTTCTTGCACATGAACAACCTCACTTGGAATCGTTCTACTACAGCATCAAAGAAACTGAAAAGGAGTGTTTGGAGATCCTAAAGTTGGTCGTCTTTGAACTCACACCACATCAAAAAAAGATACCTTTGGATCTCGAGGCACCATTCCACTACATGGCCTTGCTCAAGATCAACAACACCGATCATCAAGGTTGATTGATTCGTTAATAGTGATAGTGGTTTTTCACAAAGAGATTAAACAAGAGCACCAAAATGACACCAATACCAAAATAACAAACAAAAGAAAATAAAAATATATCATGGTTTGAGGAATGATTGTCTTATTGAGAGTACATATGTATCAACTCTCTTTAACATTTCTGTTTATTTTAATTACCTTACCAAGCAATGTAAGCAATTGGACCACCTGGATAATGACGAACAAAGAATTTTCTAGTTTCATCAAGGAGGAGTACCAAGAGAGCAAATGGAAGTGGAAGTAACCAATACTTAATGGGAACATCACCAGTGGCAAAGGTTGATTGGAACCATGGTACCTTGGTGACAATGAGAGCGATGACAAACGAAAAGAGCATACCAACAAAGATCCAGAGGTTTCTTCTCTTTTGTCTAATTGGGTCGGCCTTTAGAATGGTTTGATTACGGTTTCTGATGGCCAAGATGTTACCCCATTGGAGAATGACTAGAGCGATAAAAGTGACACATGTACCAATGGGGACGTGAACAAGATTAAATTCATCGGCAGTGACCTTGGCTTTGCTAAAGTCAATGTCTCCATAGGTGAATACCAAGTCTGACCAACCCAATCCAGTGTATTCATAGAGGTACGAGAAAAACAGACCCTGAGAGATGATGGTGAGCAACATTCCCATAAAAAGATAGGATTGAATGTAGATACGAAGCGTGATGAGATGATCCTTTTTAGAGTTTCTTGGGGGCACTGCCATCAGGTCGGTCTCTTCATGCTCCATGATCAACGACAAGCATGGAAAGAGATCGGTAAAGCAACAGATAATGATCATTAAAAAGGATGACAAGGGACATGGTGTACCGAAAAAGGCATTGACGACAACCGGCATGATCTCAGACCAACTACCAGCAGGCAAGAGGAACCCAATCACCTTTTGTAGATTTTGGAATACAAGACGACCAAGACGCATAGCTTGTGTAATAGACTCGAAGGAACCGAGTAGAACGAGATCAGCAGCTTCAATGGCGACATCTGACCCAGATACAACGGCTACACCAACGTCGGCAGCTTTAAGGGCTGGAGCATCATTGACACCATCACCCGTCACGGCAACTACACTACCACGGTGTTGGAATTCCTTGACGATACGTAGTTTGTGTTCTGGAGTGGTACGAGCAAATACAATTTCATCATAGTTGAATACTTGGTTCCACAATTGTTTGTTGGTTTGAATCTTTTCCAAATCTGATCCAGTCAATAATAAAGAGGTTGGTTCAGATGTTGATCTAATTGTAAATGGTTCCATTTCAAATGATGAAAAAGAAGAGTCATCTTCATCTTTACTCTTTGACTTTTTAATCTTTGATAATAGACGTTTGATGATGGTTGATTGTTCAGATGAAAGGGATGACTGATCAGTTTGAGATGATTCTTTTTCTTTTAGATCCTTGACAAACTTTTCATGTTCACTGGCTTGAATGAGGAGATCATCATAGGTGTGTGGTTCAAGGTCGGTGGTGTAGATACCAATTTGTCGGGCAATAGAAGCAGCAGTGAGAGAAAAGTCACCTGTAACCATAAAGAAACGACTACCTGAACGACGACAAGTAGCTACAGTGTTGGGGATTTCTGGACGAGGTGGATCCATCAACCCAATGAGACCAATGACTGTAAGGTCTTGATTGCCAAACGACTCCACTTCTTGACGGTATGCAGAGCTGCCAACTGGGTTGGATGTCGAGGGACATACAATACGCTTGGTTAAAAGGATGACACGTTGTCCTCCACGAGCCCACTTTTCCTGCACGCCTTGAATCTTTTCAAGATAGTCTGATGAAAGCTTGACGACTTGATCAGAGTTGGACAAGAGGACATGGGTACACTTGGGGAGTAGGACATCAGGGGCACCCTTGACAATCAACAAGAGTTCTTGGTTGTGGTTGGTGACACCAAACATTTGAGCGAGTGAGTTACCCGACACTGACTGATAGGCAGTCATCATGTACTTGTTCTTGCTGTTGAATGGAAGATCATGGACACGGGTGAATTCAGACTCGAGTGATTGTACTTCCAAGTGATACTTGTATTCTGGGAACATACGATGACCGAATCTAAAGATGGCAGAGTCGGTCGCATCACCGTTGATCAAACGATTAGCAATGTCTGGTTGGTCGATTGTACCTTGATCCCATGTAGAGTTGTTACAAAGGATTGAACACATTTGGATTTGTCTATAAGCCGACGACACTGTACTCGTGCTATTACTACCTTGTTCTTGTTCCAAATACTCTTTGACTTGATCGGCCGTAGCTTGTCCATCACTAAATCCAACCGACACTACAGTCATTCTGTTTTGTGTCAATGTTCCAGTCTTGTCCGAACAAATCACATTCACACATCCCAACGTCTCAACAGTTGTCAATGCCTTTGGTAATATATCATTCTCTTTCATACGATTAGCTACCATTAATAAAGTTAATGCTACACAAATTGGCATTCCTAAAAACAAAATAATAAATTAAAAAATTAATATTAATATTTTGAAAAGTATGTTTGTTATATATCTATTTTATATTTACCTTCAGGAATAAAAGCAACTACACAACTCATAACATTCATTAACATGGCAACTGTGTTTTGGAAGTTTGGATGCTTGACTCTAAGGAATACACCCCATTCCAAGACAAAGATGAATGCAAGGATGATAGTCAAAAGTACAATGATACCAACAAAACGATTGATTTCAGTTTGGATGAGTGGTACCTTTTCCTTGGCTTCACCAGTCAAACGATTGATTCTGCCCATGACAGTAGCATTTCCAGTCGATACGACAATACCAACACCCGAACCATTGACTACATGCGTACCCATAAAGCATACATTCTTGGACTCTAAAAAGTTTTCATCGGTACATTGAGTGGTACAGTTGACTGGAAGTGACTCTCCTGTCAACACTGAATTGTCTACCTTGAGATCAGCGGTTCCAAGTATAACAATATCGGCCGGTATCTTATTACCAAGATTCAACTGAACCAAATCACCAACTACAACTTGACTGGTTGGAATCTTTTGTGTTTGTCCATCACGAATCACAAAACATTCCGATGGCAACATATTCAATATACTCTTCATTACACGACCAGTTGACCAATCTTGGAATGCTGAAAATAATGCTTGAATTAAAATTACAATCAACTATAAACAAATAGAAAAAAAGATTAAGAAAAGATTAATATTTAATTAATATTTGTATCATACTTTTTCTTTTTTTTTTTTTGTTTTTTAAAACATACAACTAAAATAGCTAAAGCAAAATTAACCATACTTGGTGGATTACTAAGTGGTTGCCAACAAAGAAAGAATACCAAGACACCAACCCAAAGGACCGAACAGAATCCACCAAAGAGATAAAAGAATACCTTTTTAAAGTAGTTGGGTGTATGGGTAGCCAATTGATTGGGACCATACTGAGCCAATCTCTTTTGTGCTTCAAAATTGCTAATACCAAGTTCAGAGTCGGTAGAGAATTTAATGGCAACATCTACAGCAGAGAGTTTGTGAGTATCAAGACTAGCAAAATAATTGGTATCACCTGCAAGTGGAGTTGACTTGAGTTCCTGTGGAGCAATAGTGGAGGACGACGATGGAGAAGGAACAGCAGATGGTAAATTGGGTTTGGAAGGAGGAGAACCTACGTCACCACCAGTTGGGGCAGGGACGTTTAACAGTGGAGAGGCATTGTCTTTTCTAGCTTGGTTAAGAGCCATTTGCATCTTTTTCGAGTTGTTGGCTTGGATGGTATGACTGACACCCATCGACATGGTACGGAATTCAGCTGGTAGATTACTAGTGTTACTCAATCTACTGTTTAAAGATTTGAGTAGTACACTTCTATCGGCAGGCGACATGACAGAGTCTACAGTGTTACCAAGTGGCATACCAGCATGCCATGTTACAGAATTATGAACAATTTGATTATTATTATTCATATCTTGTGTTAAAGAAGGAATTGATCCTTTACGATTTAATTGATTTTGTTGATTATTATTATTATTAGATGACATTTTTTGTGTTTTGTTTTTGTTGATTTGGATAAAGATATAGATGTATTATTACTATTATTATGGTTGTTTAATGGGTTTAATTATAAATAATAAGACGAAGATTTAAAACTTTAGAATTACCAAGGGTATTGGTAATATCTTGAGTATTGGCAGAATAGTTATTGTTGTTATTAGAGTTGAAAAGTAAAAGGGGATTGGTGGTTTGACACAATAGCATTGTACACTCTTGATTGTGTGTAGAAATGGAAATAAGAAGAAAAGAAAAAAGAAATTTTAGTTTATAGTTTTTGTTTTTGTAAATATATATTTATATATTTGTATATATGAGATAGATGGATAGATAAAATTGAATGATTGAAAGAATGAATGAATAGGTGGTGGTGGGTGGTTGGTAGTGATAAGGTCAATGAAAATGAGAAAGTATGAAAAAGATTGGTGAAACTTGGTGTAACCGTGTTGGTGGTGGTTCCTTGTTTTGTGTGTATGAATGGAAAACGTTATAATTATTATTTCTATGAACCGATTGTGAATTTGAAAGAATACAACAACAAAGTTATATAGAGATATATATATAGATATAAATGCGGATGAATATTCTATTGTTGTTTGTTGTTCTTTTAAGTTTTGTGTTTTTGTTATTATTATTTAATTTAAATTAATTAAAAATTGATCAACTATTCCCGACCGAGAGGAGAGAACGAAATGAAAATACACCAAAATGAATGGGTTGGTTGGTTGGTTGGTTGATTGAATTCCTGGCTTGCTTCCTGCTGAAGCTGGCAGGTGATATTATTATTATTTTTTTTTGGAACGATCGTTATTTTCTTCCATGTTTCCTTACTTTCCTTTGCTTTGCACTACTCTTTTTTGTTGGATTCTCGGGAGACAGTGACTGATATCTCCCTCCTAGCTAGCCCGTCTTATGTGGTGATCCCTTGTTTCCAAAGAGATGATGATTTTCGGACTCAAGTTATTTTTAACTGGGCTTGGGTAAGGGTTCTTAAAATCACCTCCTAAACGAGAGTTGTGTGCACTTTTGTGTTTTGTGATGACACTGATCATAAATATCACTATCGTGAGTGGGTGTGTAAGAGGGGGGATGAGAGAGTGCAAGAGGGACACGACAACGAAATTTGCAGGGTTAGTGTCCCGACAGAAAAAAAGAATGGTTACAACAAAACCTGACCCCTGCTCCGAAAGAGGAAACCTCCATCCCTACACCAAAACGTGTAAAATGCGAAAAATACTTTCATGATCTGTCATCTCTCTCTCTCTTGTTCTTTTTGTTTGTTGGTTGGGTGAGCAATCTTGAAACATTACCTTAACTTTACTTGTCTGTTATAGATTGCTATCAGCTAGCTATTAGTTATCTATCTTCCTTCTCTGCTATCATTCTTCTTTTGTGTCTTGTAGCTTGCAGCTTTGCTTCTGGTTGATTGGTGTTTGTTGCTCGTTGCAAATGATGCTGTATACAAGTGATTATTATTATCATTATTCTTCTTCTTGTTGTTAATGAACAACTGCCGACAATGACTACCGCTAGATGTTTCTATTTTGCTGTCATTTGTTATTTGTAGATAAATACACTATTATTTGTTGGATGCATCAAATGAAATTTTTTGATCTTCAGACAGAAGAAGTACAAGTGAGATAAAGAAGAAGGACAAAGAGCATTATTTTCTAATTAGATGACTAACACAAATCAATTGAGGTAAGGATAGTTATTATTATATAAATAAATAACAAATAATTATCGTTTGATCAAAGTGATTTGAGTGAACCAATCAAGTTTTTGTTTTTGATGAAGAGTTGCCCAACAACATCCAGATATTTCCACAAATGTTTATCTCCCTGAACTGAACCAACCCTCTCTCCCTGCCTCTTCACTCAATCCAAACCTCCTTTTTGATTGTGTGTTGTCTACTATCATTGATTGATTTAAAATAGAACAAATAATTACAACACATCCATTCATATAATAAAGTAGTATTATGTATTTTTAAGATATAGATACAACTTTATATAAATATATATAGATATACATATACATATATTCTATTAATAGAATAATAGAATAACAATAATAATAATAATAATAGAAGATTATTTATCTCTCTCTTTTGAAAAAAGATGATAGTAAAAATAATACAATTTTTCAAACTTCTCATCCTCCTCTTCATTTTCACTATCTTTATTTTTAGTGGTAGTGATGTTCATCATTATGTAGCAGCAGATATAACTCTATGTGATAAAACATTATCATATAGTATTACCCAAAATAATACTTGTACAATAACACCAACTTTAACAATCAACAATTTCTTTGATTTATCTGTATTCTATTTCGAGTCACCTAATAGTAATAATAATAATGTACATTATAGATATGTTAATAATCAATTAATAGCAAATATTGATAGTGGAGTTAATTATATGTTCAAGTATAGAATAAAGGGATGTGATGATCAAGTCAATCAAACTCTGTGGTTACGTGTCGACTCTATATCGCTTCAAGTGACACAACCCAATTGCATCCATTCCTTTGGCTACGTTGATATCATCAATTCAAATGCTACTGCATTCTACATTGACTCTATACTCCAACAACCCAATCAACGACCATTCCGTGCTTTACCAGGTCTACATACCTTCTATGCTGTCAATCCTGCTACTTCATCAAGTTGTACAATGGAATTTTTAATTGAAGAATCAACTGGTATGTAGATAGAATATATTAGAAAGAATATAAAAGATATATATATGTATGTATGTATATACTAATATGTTTGTTTGTTTGTTTATATGTTTAGTGATTGGATTACCATATAATATTAAAGTAAATCCTGAACATTGTGGTCAGAGGGATGGAGAGATTATTGTGATTAATTCACAGGATTATAGTAATGTTGGATTGTTGAATACACAGTACCAGGTGGTATCAAATAACCAGTCGACGTTTACTACGTTGAATGGGACGCTGACACCAACATCTTACAATTATTTGTTGGCTTTGACGTCTAGTCAGTGTGGTGTGCAGTATTTGCCGGTTGCGCTGCCACGTGTGATGCCACATTTGACGACACGGTTCAAGTATGAGGCGGCGTGTCCGGGATTCTATGCATATGTGGTTGTTGCATTTGAGGAGGGGTTCCCTTTAAACGACAATAACATGTGGATCGAGATCAACACGATTGGTTTGAACTATGTTCCAGGTGAAGAGTACATGGTGTCGCTGACACGTCCCAACACGATCGAGTATCACAACACCAACACCAAGTGTCAAACATCGATTGACTTTTCATTCCCAGGTGCGTTAGAGTGGGGTATTTCTTACGAGTACAGACATGTGCAAGCGTGTCCTGTGGCAATGGCAGAGGTGACGTTGACGTATGTGTTGGCGACATATGGACCGTTGTCTGTGAGGATGGGTGATCCCGAGACGGGACAATTGGTGTCGTTTGGCGATTCGACCAACACGACGTTTATGGCGGTGTATGGCACGACCTACTATGTGCTGTCCAAGGTCGACTGCAACCTACCACCCTTTATCGTGCATCTGGAGCTCGAGCATCCGTCCATCACAATCGACGATATTGTCAAGCCGTCGTGTCTGTACACTGCGTCGGTCAACGTGCGCAACCACCTGCTCTTCTCAACACTCAAGCTGCGTACCAACGCCGTTCCAAACACCGTGTTTACAGCGGTCAACGGAGTATTCCGCGACGTTCCACTCGTCTCTTACACACTCTACTACTCGATCGACAACTGTCCCCTCCAAACACTCGAGTTTGACAATGCCGAGTACAACAAAGCAAGCATCACCGACTACACCCTCACGCACTCGATTAGTCGTATGCCGCAATGCTCCACCGGCGAGGGTGAGATGACACTCTTCCTCAACGTGCCCCAATCCAACATCACCTACTCGCTCTCACTCGACTATCTTGGCGGTCAGCAAATCAGCCTGTTTGTCCCACCAAACGGCCTTCCCAACTGCACCGTCCCCGTCAACTTTATCGCACCCACCGACTATAAACTACGTGCCCCCTATCTCCTCGTAGTAGAGTCACAACCAACTTGCAAATACTCCAAAGACGGACAACTCTACATTGAAGCAAAGGAAACCATCTCCAAAGTTCAAGTTGGCAGTACCGAGTTTACCGCCGGTCAATCCCCTGATCTAGGTGGCCAAACCTACTCCCAAATTCAATCTGGTCCAACTCCCATCTCAATATTCTACAAGTATTGTCCAGTTGCATTCTCAACCATTTTAAATATTACTTTTAATCCTTCAAGTATGTTAAAACAAAAAATAATAATAATAATTAGAATTTAAATTAATTATTAATTTTCCTTTTTCTTTTTCTAGATTCATTTGAAATTAATATTAGTATTACAAATGTAACAAATTGTAATTCGGGAGGTGGAATTGTTAAAGTTTTAAATGCAGCATCTTATAGTCAATTAAATTTAAATGGACAGACACCCAATGCAAATGGAGAGTTTTTAGGGTTGTCATCTGGTGATTATATATTAACATTTACATCGAGTGGTTGTTCTGGAACAAAGATAGTGTCGGTTGGAGGACCTTTAACACCACCAATACAATCCATCTCTATTTATAGACCACCAATGTGCTATGGCAATGGTGGTGCATACGTATTATTCAATACTAGTGCTGTTCAATATACATTGAGTGCATTGGAAGGTCAGTATGGCAGTGGTACGATTAATAGTACGACGGGTGCAGTTTATTTCAACTATCTTCAACCTGGATTGAATAATCTAGAGATTAGTGCTGGTAATTGTAATTGGCCATTGACTATAGACTCACCTTCAGACCCACGTATTACAACTGGGTCTGGTAAATTGTTTACTGTTACCAATGAGCCTCCAATGTGTTCATTCTCACCTGGCAAGATTACTATCGAGCCGTTGTACAGTGATGTGGTTATTACAGACATCCAAACCAATTCATCGACTCTGTTTAGTAGAGTGGGGAATACACTGCTCTACAGTAATGCTGCACCGGTTGCTATCACGGTCAAGTATAGTGGGTGTACTGAAACCATCGTGTTCCAGCCACTTGGCGCTGTTCAACCTCCCGAACCAGCATACAACGTTTCATTGTCCCCTTGCAGCACCGAGTACAACGTCACGATTAAATTCTCCAACCATACACTTTACGATATGATCGCGACGACTGCCACCAACGTCCCCGTGCAGATCAACACGACCACAGGTGTCATTGACGGTATCGTACCCGGCACAGCACTCACTATCCAGTATTCGATGAAATCAACACGTTGCTCGGGTGTGCTTGTCATCGATGCACCCGTCACAAGTTATTATCCCATGCCTGCGATCAATACCGACGGCAATCCACTCGTCAGCAAAGTGGTACGCGAAACTTGTTTTGGAAGTTTGGACGGATCACTCACGGTCACTCCATTCAACGACTCGTCTTCCAACTTTTACCTATTGTATGATCAACAACGCAATCCAGTCTCTCCATCAAGTGTGGTGGGTAGCGCCATTACATTTAGTCAATTGACCAGCCAAACATACCGCCTTGTTCGTGGAGATGCTTCACATCCATTTTGTGCATCCGAACTCAGAGTTGATATGACCAGTACTGAACCAACCCTAAACGTAGCATCAACCATATCATGTGGATTATCAAATGGAACAATCAACTCTCAACTTTTAATTCTCAATGTGACTGGTGAATTGGCCAATTTTAACAATGTCGCTTTTCAACTTGACCCAATCACCAATACGTCGTCTCTGACTGGATCATCTGCCAACTCTGCCATCTTTTCAAATATTCAAGGTGGTATTCATATTGTGACGGCTGATATTGCCGATCCTATATGTCCACGTCATTTAGTGTCGACTGTGAGTGTAGGTCAAGTCGAGGTGGTAGCAGGTGCCAATTCAACAACTTGTTCAACCATTCAAGTAACACCATCGATTGCCAATGCACTCAATGTCCAACAACAAGACAAATACAATTTCAAGTTGTACAAGGATGGACAAGAGTTGTCTGTCATTTCCAAGTTACCAACTGTCACCTTTTTCAATTTGGACAGTGGTGAGTTTACAGTGGTTGTAGAACACTTTGAATCTGGGTGTTCAGTCTCCCAACAAGTATCAGTCGAATCATGTCCATCCGATGAATCAAGTCGTAGTAAAGTTGGTATGATTACAGGTGCCACATTGGGTTCAATCATTGGTGCCGCCTTCCTTGGTCTAGGCGGATACCTTGCTAAAAAGAAATGAGTACTTCAAAAACTCAAACAAAATTATCAAATTTAAAACTCTAAAAAAAGAAAAAAAAAAAAAGAAAAGAAAATACATAATAATATAATAATAATAATAAATTGTAAAATATATATATATATATAATAATAATTTTCCGGATTTGACTGACAACAAAAATATTTCAAAAAAAATTGACCTGTTTTTGGAAATAATTTTTTTTTAATTTAATTTGTTTTTCTTTTTTGATCTTTAACAAAGTACTTATTGACGAGGCTTACATGTGGTACCTTTTAGAAAGGGATATCTTTATTGAAACAATGGATGATATAATAAGAAGATATGCTTACAACATAGGTAGATAGAAGACATGTCAGAGTTTAAATATTTATGTTTTCAGTTTGACTTGAAGGGTCGAAAGATAGGTGCTTTGAAGAGAGTTGCAAACCACAATAATAATAATAACAATAAAGTTCAGTCAACACCAACAACAAAAACAACAGTAGACCTAACAACAAACAACAATGGGAGATTAGAGACAACTCTTCCTGTTATTGTTCAACACCAAATAAGTGATACAGATCCACCTCTAGAGGATGAAGGAAATGTTGTCAATCTTTTATCACCTGTTCAAATTATTGGATTGTCAACAACAACAACCACAACAACAACATCATGACAACATAACACAAACCCTACAATCCCTACAAATATACCAGTACCAGAGATTGTAGACAAGTATGCAGAGGAAACAAGAATATTAAAAATGTTTCCATCCGATAGTTGGAAGGCGCGTCGGATAAGAGCCAACCGTCGTCGTCGTCTCTTGGAACCAAAGACTCCAATATTAATAGACCCATCCAAACAAAGACAATGTTTGCACAATGGATGCAGTAACAAAGTATCAATCAAAGGCTTTACAAAGCATTTGAGGAACCAAAATGTACATTCTTGTCTCAAATCTAATATTGTCAAGAGATATGAAGACATAAAATGTATTGGATGCCAGAAAGCTAAAATATTAGAGAATAGAAAAGTTATAAGATTAAATTCAAAGTATGTATATAGTATCTTCTTTTTCTATTATTTTTAACTAATTATAATATAATGTATGTTTGTTGAAAAGAAAATAAAATAATAATAGTATAATTTCAGAGTTAAACTGGATAAATAAATAATTATTTATTTATTTATTTATTGGTTGGTTAGTTAGCAACTGATTTGAGGGAGATTGTGAAACCCCAAATATCATCTTTTACAATATCCATGTTAGTTGGAAACCCTTCAGTCTTTTCAAAGGTAATGTCTTCATTGGATGGGTTGTACTTGAAATAGACCGAACCGTTGGCAACGATTTGGTGTGGCCATGGTTTTTCACGAACAGAGATTTGAGAGACGATCAACGAATCAGGTGGGTTGAGTTGTGGGATTTGGACACCAACGTATTCACCACCAGAATGGATGACAGTGTTTTCAAACTGCAATGGTTTGATGGTCAAGTCATAATTGTCTTCTGGTTTGCCCGAGACTGTGTGCTTGAACTTGATGTCAATTGAAAACTTGAAGCTCGAGTCGATACATTGCATGATCGAGTTGTATGGAACGTTTACATTTGGATGGTCACCACTCATGACTTGGTACACCTTGTTTCCAGATGGCTCAGATACTCTTAGGGTAGTTTGAGGTCCTATCTTTAAAGACTTGATGGTAGCGGCAGTATTTCTGTATCTTCCAGGTACTTTCATTTCATATTCATAGTACCCTTCAAAGTTTGGGTCTAAAAATATATTTAAATAAAAAAGAAAAAGAAAAAAGATAAAAAAAGAAAAGAAAAATATTTATGAGTTAGTAAATCTTGATTGATTCAATAATCATAAATTTATATGATATATTTAAAGTGTTAATATCCTGTAAACATACTGAGGTAGATAAAAACTGATCCTTTTGGAGTTGCCATTGTATTTTAATTTATTTGTATTTATTCTAAAGAAAGAAAGAATGAATGGAATGAATTGAAATGATAATAAACTTGGTCTTGCAAGACTCAATTTTATATGTTTCCTTTTTTAAAAAAAATAAATCAATTTAACAATGAAATTTAATTAATTTAATTTGGGCAATGAAATTGTAGTTTGGACATTAAGAAAAAAACCCCCCCACTAATGCTAAAAAAAACCCTTTTACAAACTGATTGATTCGACATGAACATCACATGTTTAAAGAAACCATTGTTACCGATTGGAAGTTAAATATTTTGTGTGTTTAAGATTTCTCCTCTCCTTTTATTCATAGCCAAAATACAAAATATTAAAATATTATAATATTCGATTATTCTAGATGGTGATGAATGGTTAACCCACCCATGGTTGAAACAAGATTGATTGACCATGTGTTTTGATTTTTGGGATTACCATTTCCCCCACCACAGACAGACTGAAGTTGTTTTCTTGTAGTTTGTACAAACTTGATGATTATCTAATCTGGTCGTACCACCACAAATCATTATTATTTTTAAACAAACCACCATTATTACTATAAACAAATATTCAATTATATATATCCCAACTCAACTATTTACTTGATAACGATTGATCAATAGTTTTTATTAAAAAAAATGAACTTCCTATTTGCATTGTAGAGTTTTCGATTCGGTTGGATGGTTCTCCGCCTGGCCCCTTCGTCTAAATGCTCGACGTAGTCCTTTTGGTTTTTTTTTTTTTTTTGTCCTTTTTCAGAAACAAGGCACACAGCTCGCCAACACAAACATCGTTTTTCATTCATTTAACTTTCTTAAGTTTAGTTATCGTTTTATCTTTATATATCTTTTTCTTTATATTATTTATATCTATATTTATATATGTACTAATACATAATATAACACCACATTATAAATATGAAATTTCACACAATAATATTATTTTTTACAACTTTATTATTGGTGGTGTTGTTTTGCAGCAGCAACAGCTTTGCAGAAGAATTACCACCACTTTGTTCAACTGAAGCACTCAATGTTAAAGTAGACAATCCCCTTTGCGTAATGGGTGTTGGTAGAATATCAACTATCCCAGATGCCGACAATAAACAACAAAGTTTCACATATCACACAGAGGCTCAACCAACACCATCAGCTCTAGGTACCTCCTTTTTAGTTGCACCTGATACTACTTATATTATTACTTTACAAAGTAGTACTCCTGACGCACCAGGTGGTGATGTTTCATGTACTGTCGTTATTCCCGCTACCCCAACAACAGGTAAGTCTCTTTAAATATATATATCTATCTAAAATGATGATGTTAATGTATTTATATATTATTATTTAATTTTGTAGGTACATTACCAAGTACACCAACTTATCAACCAACATCATGTTTGGGATCGACTGTAACATTGGTCAATCCATCGGCTGATGTAACTGTAGTGTACATTGATGCAATGTTGGATGAATTGGAGGGAACCAAGAACGAGGATGGGTCAGGCTACACATTCTTGAATGTACCAAACAAAGATTCGTACCAATTGACCGTTGAAAGTGAGGTATGTGGAGTACAAGTAGTTGCCAATGCTTTGAATGTCAACAATCAAAAGATTCAATCTTTGAACTTGCAATTTGTGCCATCTTCATGCCCCGCTCAATCCACCATCACAGTGGCTCTCTCTGAACCAAGTTTTGACCCAACCCCAGAGTTTATTGTCAACGGACAAACAGCTGTACCTGTCACCTCTCCATTCACCATCTCTACTGCATCTTCTAATAATGTTGTCGAGTATGATGATACTGCAGTATCAGGATGCAAGGCAAAGGCAAGATTGGATGTACCTAATTTTGCTAGTAGTTCCTTGGTATACCCCGTAACACACAGTATTGTACGTTCAACGGATTGTTCAAAGGGTGCAACTGTCACTCTATCCTATCCAACCACTACTTATACAGATGTTGAAGTATACGATAAGGATGGTGTCAAGGTGACACTTACAGACACCAACACGGTGTTTACTGCAGTGTATGGTATGACGTATACTGTCACATCCAAATTATGTAGTTTGGACAGTACCAAAAATATCATACATACTATCACCGTCCAAGACACCGTACCAAGTATTACAGTTGACAAGGTTACTGGTACATGTCAAACTAATGTCAATGTTCAAGTTGCCAACTACCTTGACTTTGTTACACTCCAATTACAGTATACTTTGGCCGATGGTACAACTATCAAGACTGTTGACTTTATAAATGGACAGGCTACAGCTCCAATCAGCTCGACTACTTCGGTTGTCTACAAGACCTCTGCTGCCTGTCTAGCTGCTACCATTCTCCCACTCGGATTGACTGCTACCCAAATCGCATACACTGTCGTGCCAACTATCACCAACCCACACACTCTCTGTCAACGTGGTATTGCATCGTTTGCAGTTGACGGACTCGACGCTCCAACCCCTGCAACCGTCCCATTCGAACCATCGACAAACCATTCAGTTACGTTTACCGCCAAAGCAACCGTTCCAGCTGGCGCAGACATTACCCAAGACTGTGCCACATTTACTTTCAATTGGACATCACCAGATGCTCCAGGATACACTGTCGTTGCATCTGCTGATGGATTGACTTCAACTATCACCGTCGACGGTTACTCGGTCGACACATATGTGTCTTTGAAACTTGACACTATTGCCTATCCCGACGACAATAAAGGTTGGACTGGTCTTGCAGCTGGTGAACATGACCTTGTGTTCCAGTGTACTGGTCCAGATGCTCCAGCTCCCGTTGACGAGTCTATTGTGTTGCCCGATGCCCCAGCTACTCCACTTACCTTTACCGTCACTCCAACTGCCGCTACAACATGTCAAGGTACCGATGGAAAGATTAGTATTGCTAATACTAATCCAAAGTCTACCGACGTCCTCACCATCACTGCTGTCGTCCCAGGTACACTCACTATTGATGAACTAAAGACTTCTGTGACTGGTATTCCCGATGGAACAACTACTGTCACTTTGACCATTACAATCACTGTCGCCGGAGTTACTGGTGACCCCATCACACAAGTTGTTGAGATGCCCGTCTTTGTTTCAACCGGACCAACATTCTCTATTGATGCTGGTACTGCTTGCTCTGTAACTACAACCGTCACAATTGCACAAGCTGACTTGACTGGATTTACCAATGTTGTCCTAACAAATGACCAATTGTCTGTACTTGTCCCAACTGCACCACAGACAGACACAGTATACCCGGTTGGTCGTGGACAAACCTACGTACTATCTGGTATGCAGTCTACCTGTCCATTCACAGTTGATGTAGTTGTGCCAGTTGCAACTGCCGAGACTGTTAGTATTACAGCCCCAACTATAGTCAAGGAGACTTGTTTAGGTAGTACTGATGCAACTGCCACTTTTGTCGTGCCAGCTACCCCAACACATATCCTCACTGCTTCGACTAGTTTCTCTGGATCAAGCTCTGTCTCTACCGGTGTATTCTCTGCCCTTGCAACTGGTACTTACCAATTAACCGCCAATAATATTGACAACCCATTCTGTCAATCTACAGTATCAACTACCTCTTCATTTGAAGTCGGTACATTATACACACCAGAATTTGAAGTTGACACACCCATCAACTCGTGTATGGCCGAGTACTCATTTGGATCAGTTCACTCTACCTTTGACACTGACTCTGTATCTCCAGCTTGGACACTCTTCACCTATACTCTCGATGCATCTACTACTAGCCAACCAAGTGGTACCTTTGAAGATGTTGCAATTGGAACACACACCATCACAGCACTTATCTCTGAACCAATTTGTCGTCGATCCATTACCAAACCATTTGAGATTACAAACAGCCAAGCTATCGTTGCTTCAGTCGACTCTTCATCATCGACCAATACAACTTGTGAAAAGGTTATTGTCAAGGTTACAGCTACTGCTGCCATAGACACTGCCTACACTATCAAAGTTGTTGGTAATACCACCCAAGAACAACAAGGTGCCGGTGTCAAAGACTACACATTCCAAGCATACCCAGGTATCGATTACACTATCACCATTACATCATCAGCATGTGGACAAATCAAATTCCCACTTGTAAACGGTATTAATCAATGTGTTATCCCACCCGTTGATAGTTCAAGTAATAGTAATAGTAATAGTAAAAGTGAAGAAAGTGAAGAAAGTGAAAGTGAAGACAGTGAAGACAGTGACGACGACGATGATGGGAAATTAGGAACTGGAGCACTTGTTGGAATTATCATTGGTGTTACTATTGGTTGTGCCATAATTGGTGTCGCTGCCTATATACTCATTAAAAAGAAGTTACAAGATCGTTATCATCATCCAATTGAAATGGATAGTCCAAAATACAAGATTATGATGGATCAATAATCAATAATATAAATAATATAAATATAAATATATATAAATATAAATATAGTAATAATAATAATAGTAATAGTAATAATACGGATTCAATTAATTAAAAATAAATAATTAATATTTTAAAAAAAAAAAAGAAATATTTTACTAGATTTGGAAAAAACAAAAGTATTTTGAGTAGTATTTCAAAATTAAACAATTTTGTTTTGTTTTTTTACTTTTTGGAACTTCAAAACTATAGTCTATATTGTTGGTAGATTCTGACTCGGTCACTTTGGTAAAGAAAACTAAATCTAAAGTTTCATTTACAAAAATTCACAAAGAGATAATAATAACTAAAAAACAAAATGGAAGATATATACAAAGATTGGGATAAAGAGAATCAAGATACTCGTTTCGGAAAGGATCAAAGTTCAAAAAGAACACCCAAAAAAGATAGAAGAATCGATAATTTATATCATGACCATTTCGATGAACAATTATATAAAAATGAACCATTAAACAACAACATCAACAACAACAAAGATATTGACTTCAACAACAATGAAATAGATTACAGTAAAATTAAAAATCAAATTACTCCAGGTGCTTCATTCTTGGATTATTCAAATACTATTTAAATTCAATCAAATAATAATAATAATAATGTTTATACCAATATTATTAGTTAAAAATAAATAATAAATATAAATAATTCCATTCTTTTAAAAATAATAATAAAAATAATAATATAATACTTTCCAAATCGAGAAACTAAAAACTTTTCTTTTTTTTTTTTAAAGGAGACTTTCCTCAACTGAAAACTATAATTTTTTAAAAGGGTATAACTGACATTTCTTATAATATAATAATATAGTAATATTTAATATTAATTTGAATTATTGGGATGTTGATATTGGTTGAATCAATTCTATTTGTATCTCCATTTTTTATAACAAAGAATTATTAAAATTACAAAAAAATGAATTTTAAAGACAGCACAAAAAAACAAGAACATAGTCATACCACTTCTACAACTTTGAACATCGACATACCTATTCAAAAAGAAGATAGAGATAGAGATATAGATAGAGAAATAGATCAGATTAATGAAGAATTTAATCAATTATATAAAGATGGTCAAGAAAGAGGACATGTTGGAAGAAATCCTTTAAAGGTATCAAGATCATTAGACTTGGATTCATTCTTGACAAATAGTATCTGCGATGAAGAAGAACAAGATGATAATGGTACTAGTCTTGCTTTATCACCATCTACACCAAGATATCAACCTAGTAAACCTAGTCATTCAACATTAGAGACCCCTCGATGTGTCAATGTACTATTATCACCTCAAAGAATTAGAGCTCATTCATCTCCTTCAAAAGTGAACAATAACCAATACAATAACAACAAATCATTTAAATTGCAACAACAAAACAACAATTTAATAGAGTTAAATGATGATTCAGAAGAGATTACTACGATTACAATAACACCTCCACAATTAAATAGTCCAAAAAATTATTCAAGTGTTACAAATAGTCCCATTTCAACACCTGGCACATCTTCACCACCAATATTATTATCACCTACTGGTTCGGTTAAATTAAGATCTAGAAATACATCACTCTCTTATAATAGTTCAATGGTGATTACTAAATCTCCACCTACATTGTCACCATCGTCTTCCTCTACTTCGGTTGCTATCCCAAACATACAAAATATCATCAAACGTTCAAACACTGATCCCATTCATCCATCGTTTTTTTATCCCGACTCTCCTATTGGTTCACCTCAAGTAATGAGAGTTGAAAATAAACAATTGTATGTAAAAGTAATGAACAAACAAAAAGATAACTGTTATTAACTCTTTTTGTTGTTGTTTTAGAAATGAATATGAAATGGAATTTTCAAGACCAAATTTAATAGTTGATAATGATGAATCAAATATTAGTTTACCATACAATTTCCAACATATTAAACATGTTGATAAAACCAACAAAAGAGATGTGGAAGATTATATCATCGAGAAACATGGTAACCTTAAACAAGGGTGGTTGGGTCTAAGAGTCAACAATAATTCATCAACTGTTAAATCAAGATATTTTGTTATTCAAGATTCAAAATTAACTATTTATAAAGATAATAATGTATGATATGATTGAAACCAAACAAAACAAAACAAAATAATAATTAATTAATCATTAATCCTCTTTTTTTTTTTTTGTTTAGATGGATAAAATTAAATTATTAGTAAATATTTATGATGTAATGGTATATCCAGAGAATAATGGATTAGAATTAAAAATTACTTTATTAAATCAAGAACAGAATAATAATAATAATCCATCATCATTGCTTGGTAAAATATCAATGAATCAAATTGGACAAAAGAATTGGAATATGATTGCTACTAGCCCATTTGAAATTAAGAATTGGTGTAAAGCATTATTAAGTGATGGCGCTACTTATGGAGTACTATTAGACTATGAAAAAAAGATAAAAGAAATCAAGAAACAAAAGGATGAAGAGACATACATTCAACAATCAAGATTAAATAGATTACAAGGAAAAAGAACTAGTTTGGAACTTGGTAAACCACTACAAGATGATCAATTACTTTTCTTGGATTGGGTATGCAACCATAAAATCATTTCAGATCACCATTCATCATCGTTAAAAAAGGTAATCATTCAATTGGAATTTATTATTCATGGTGATTATCATCAAGACCAACCCTATTATTATTCAAGTTGGACTATTCAAAGATCTCTTGATCAATTAAAAACTTTTTATAAAATGGTAAGTCGTAGTAGTAGTAGTGTTTTTAACCGTTTTACAAATGATTGTTTACTTACTTTATTATTATTATTATTATAGTTTATTAAAAATATTTTAAATCAAAAAGAAAAAAATGATGAAATTGGAAAAAAGGATTCATCTTCTTTTTCCACTTTATTCAAATCAAATTCAATCAGTACAATTGAACAACTTGACCAAAACATTGGTAGATTTATAAAGATGATGGTTGGTGACATTGAAAACAAAAGGTCAATGTTGGAGAATCCAAAATTAAGAAAAGAGTTTATTAAATTCTCTTCACCATTGCAATGGAATGATATTAAACCTGTATCTTTTGTTTATCCAATCAACCCCTCCTAGATCCTTGTTAATAAATTGCACAATTGCTCTGGTATTTATTATTGGTTTAAAGAGATTTATCTTCTTTCGTTGATTGTATCCATTTTGATTGATTTACTATTTAGAATAATATAACGTCTGATTCTTTTAACAACAAAGATTATGACAGATAGACATACAGCTCCAACAACTCCAACAACTACTCCAAACTATTAACTTCCATCTGTCATTGTCTGATTTAGAGTCACATTTACCATAACTATCTGGATTGATAATCAATGCACTGAAATCTGGATCGAGTATCGATGATTGTGATTGTGGTAGACTGATACCTATCAATGCAATAGAGTTGTCTTGATCGATAGCTGTTGTGTTGATTAGTTGTGTCTTTGAATAGGTCTTTCTGCCATCTGACAGACAATAATCAATGAATCGACCAAAGAATTGAACATTGTCTTTGACTACTCGAAGGTATTGAATAGAGTCGTCGTTGCTTGATTGTTGGAATGATTCAATAGTGTTGATAGAGTCATCACATCCAATGATTGATTGTTCGTTGTTGATAATACTCTAAGGTTGGATAGTACCGATGTGAATGGCCAATTGGTAATATTGACAGATACCTTGATTGAACCAGCACCCAATTGAATGATGTCATCACCAAATTGAATTGATCTCGATGAATTTGAGAATTCAACGATCGATGTCACATTGAGCAGTGAATAATCACTGTCATTCTGATGACTGACAAGATCATATGAAAGTGATACCAAATCATTTGTTGATCTATCATTCAACAACCAACTATTTGATTCTAATCTTTTGGCTACATTTCCATCAATATCCAACTCTTGAATTTCAACCAAATTAAATGAAAATGTAAAATTATTGAATGAGAATGAAGATGTTGGTGATGTTACGTTTGGTTTAAATATTACATTTGTATCTAAAATTAATAATTCAAGATATTTGTTAGAATCGGTTTATAAATTATTTGATTATATAATTTTAATATATTTTAATTAAATTACCTTTTTCATTTTTCAAACGACAATCATCAACCCAACCATCGTCACATTGACATTGTCCATTGACGCAACTACCATGACCATTACAATTATTAGTATTGATGATACAATCTTCATTTGATGGTTGTACATATGGAATGAATAATCACTGTCGGTTGGTTGAGTTGAAAGGGCAACATCAACTTTTGAGGATATTATTAATATCTTTGAGTTTAATATTGATGCGCCTATTGAGTTTCAACTTTTGAAGTTCTACCAGAGAAAAAAAAAAATTAATTTAATTTTTAATTTAGTTTATGGGGGGGTACCTACATTAGTCTTGTGTGAAGCAGATAGGACAGATAGATAGATAGATAGATAGAGATATAGAAGAAATGAGTAGCATAGTAGGTGAGCATCAACATGATGATGCGGTTGGAAGAGGAGGAGGAGGTGAATCATCAACATCATACAGTGAATTCACCAGACATTATAATATATCGGTGGTTGTTTCATTGTTGATAGCAATCATTTCGTTTGGTCTTTGGAGATACTCTATATTCCTACCTAGATTTGTTCAAAATATCATATCCTCTTTTACCCCGACTCCTACTACTACAACTACAACTACCAACAACAACAATCATAATAATAATATTACTCAACAAAGATCATCTTCATCAACGACGACGACAAGTACTACAAATACAAATACATCAACTACAACAGACTCTAATCAACCTAGTATACCATACGATGAAGTATTCCCAAGTGACATTGATACAACTGTATTGACTAGGATCAATATCATTCAAAACGACCAAACTTTTTCAAGAAGGTTTAGGAAACCTGCCATCAAAACTGTTTTAGATTTAAAGAAATATGTATGTATTATATTATATTAGTACTCACCTCTGTACTCTTGAATGATAATCTTCCTTCCTTTTTGTTAACACTTTGATTTATTTGTTTATTTGTTCTACTAGTATTATCCACAAGAAATAAGTGATGGTAAAAGAGTATTATTTATTTGTAATGGACGTTCACTTATTGATACGTTAGAGTTATCAACAAACTATCCAAACTTGGTTGATGACAGTCAGGTGATACCATCGATTCATTCAATTGTAAGGAATCAATTGACTGCTGATCAAGTATCAAATGATCCAAATAATAGTGGTCGTAGTGGTGGTGGTGGTACTGGTACTAGCTCTCGATCATCGGCATCAACAACAGCAAGAAATGTAACCAACCAAGTATTTGAAACCAATATTGTACCTCGACTATCTTCGACAAAGAGTCTATTCACAATCACTGGATTATTTCTAGCATTTCTTTGGTGTCTTTGGTTTTACCGACCAATCTATTTCAAACCATTAACCATATTCATCATGTTTATATTTACTGTTGCATGGGCATTTACTTTTTCCTCTTCAAATAGAAATGAATCAATTAATAATCAGAATAGTAATAATTATTATACTACTAGTGGAACTAGAAATACAAATAATAATAATATTAATAATACTAATAATAGTAATAATCCATCACAACAACAACAACAACAACAACAACAACAAAGACCACCCCAAAATTAATTGTAAATAATAATATAATAATAATAATAATAATATAATAATATATAGTATGAAAACAATATAATTGTATAATAATTATTTGTTTTTGTTTTTTTTTGTACATTTATATATATATATATGTATATGTATGTGTCCTCAATATCTTTTGTCTTTGTCTATTTTTTTTTCCCATTATTTTGTTATTATTATTATTATCATACAACTATTATTATTATTATTATTTGTTTGTTTGTTTTGATTGATTGATTGATTGAGATTGTTATCTCCAAATACCAAAAACATTTTCAAGAAATTCTTTAATATGATCGTAATAATTTGGTTGGAGCATAAGATTCATATGTCCTCCCTTGTCGAAAATGATCATATTGGTATTTACAGAATTGACAGCTTCCTCTTTGAGACGCTTCATGTGAGCTGAAGGGACAAGTTCATCGTTTTGTCCCGAGAGGAAGAGAATGGGAGTACGGATCTCACGAATGGTGAGATAACTGTTCCATTTGTTGCGACAGAGTGGTTTGAAGAATTTGAGTTGTGGCAGCACAACATCGACCATCTCTGGGATCGATAAAAAGGTGTTTTCAAGAATATTGGCCTTGATGTGTTGTGGATATCGATAGGATGCATCTACTGCTACTGCTCCTCCCAATGATCTACCAAATATACATAATCTATTACTATCTACTTCATCACTTGATAATAAATATTCGATTGATACCTAAAATATATATATAGAAAGCGTTTAAGGTAAGTTTAATACTAGTAATATAATAATAATAATAATAATTTGTTCTACATACATCAAGATCTAATTTAATACCATTTTCAGTTGGTACACCTTCACTTTTACCATAACCTCTATAACTGATTATGAATACATTGACACCAATTACATCGAAAAGTTGTTTAATATTTGGTAATCTATGACTTAGATCTACAAAAAAAAAAGAATTAAATGAAATGTACGTATGTTAGGTTAAAGTAATAAACAAAAAGGTTGTATTTGTTGTATTTGATGTACATACTACCAGCATTTGAATGACAAAATATAATAGTTGGACAAGCCTTTGGTTTCTTTTGTTTAAATAACCATGTTTGTATTGTTATTCCATCGCTTGCTCTCAACATGACTTCCTTCCAGTCTTGATCAGCGAATCCATATCTAGATGGAGCCAAAAAGTGTTGAGTGTCTGGAAAATATATAAGTTTTTCTTGTGCTACATAGACAAGTGATAGTATACCAACTGCACCTGCTATTGCTACTACTCCAACCCTATACATAAATGAAAGAAATCAATGATTAGAGTAGGTACTAAAGTATGTCATTCATCTTGTTTAGATTATCTCTTCTCTCACTCTTCTTCTTATTTCTTCATATGATATATATATCATCGTCTTTGATTGTTGATGTCATAGTGATGTTATGTGACGCGTATACACTTACCAATAAGCAGTTGTTAAGATTGAAAATAACATATTTTTGTTCTGTCTTGCTCTGTCTTTTGCTCTTCTTCTACTTATCTACTTTTTAATTTGATCTCAAGATGTATAATTATATAATATAACAAGATCTTCTATCTCCTGATTTGATAATGTACAGCTATTCCTAAATTATTATTATTATGAATGATTTGATTATAAATTATATATATATATAGGTAGGAATACAATAGTAATATATATATATATATAATATATGCAATGTATGGGTGGTTGGTTGAAGAGGTAAAAAGTAATTTGTTTGTGTGTGAAGATGATAAAGCTCAGCTCTGGTGACCTGAACTTTGAATACCAGCTGAACTACTTCAAAGAGGTAAAAGCCGAAAAAAAAAAAAAAAAAGCATAGCCCGTTCTGAGAGAAGATAGGGATGGTCGAGCTTTTGAAACCTTCCCTTCCAAACGATAAGGACGTACAATAAGGTCGCGACAAACGAAAAGTGTAGAATGCGACAGACGCCCCTATAGGCCAAAGGGGGAAGATACGAAGATATCTTTCAAAGCTTCAAGCTCGCACTCCGAACCCGCAACCTAGAGAACCACCATGGGAAGGTTACCAATACCATAGAAGATCATGATATTATTATCATTGTGGATGTAATGATCATCATTAATTGTCGTCCGTCGTGTGAATATCTTCTAATCTTATCTTTGCATCATCTTCTATCTACAGAAACTTCATTTGTTTTCTTTTTTTTTTGAACAGATAACAATACAATACAATACAATACAAACAGAGATAATAGCACCACATCATCACATCATCATGTACTATCTAATTCAACAATAATATTAATTTTATTTATTTATTTCGACAAGAATACTAGAATGACCATCAGATGATCTGATCTGATCTGATTGAGTGATCACCTCAACAACAACAACAACAACCCCAACAAACAACAACATAGGTGACCATATTTGATCAGACAATAATACCCGTGTCTTCTCTCACTTCAAGTGGTTGGGTTGTCACTATTAGAGAGGGTTGGATGAGGAGGATAGACCATAGCTGTCATTGTTTTTCACTCGAGAACCATTGTCTCGAGACTCTAAAAACGGAAGATTTTTATAAAAATATCTTTACAATGCAACCGCCGATCGATCGTATGAATTCATGCATGGGCAGCACTCATACCCTCCTCCGGTGTTCTGCGTTGGGGTGAGCATCTACTAACTTGACAACAGCCAAACCCAACTATAGTTCGTGTTGCGTTGATGTATAGAGGACACAAACAAACAACACCCAACCAAACAATACATCTTCATTCGAATCATTGTTTATTGGCTTACTCTATTCACAATTGTTGTAGTTTTATCAGATCAGTTATATCATAGATATATATATACACAGTAATGGTCAATAATAATTCCATTATATTGTTGATACTGACTGTATTCATTGCTGTCAATAGTGGTAAGATATGAACCAAGGCAAAAAAAAATGAAAAAACGAATACAAGTGTGATCTCTCTCTTTACTAAAACACACATTCTTATTCTTTTTTATGATACTTCTTATACATATAAATATTTTGTAGCAAGTTATTTAAATCTATTAGATACAAGATATTATAGAACTTATTATGATGGAGGACAAACACATCCATGTGTATCAGAGTTTATAATGCTCGCAAACACCAATTCAACAGACAACCCAATCTTTGAATTTGTCAATACAACGTTGGAAGAGGTATTGATGAATCGTATCATTGAGAATTATGATTATCAAAATGATCGTCGTGTTTGGATTGCTTCGATTTCCTATCCTATCGGAGAGTTCCCCATCATCACTGTCAACATCTCTATCGCTGGTCCCCTACAAAGAATATTCTCTCTGACCTCTACCACCAATGTTCAAGACACTAGTGGCACCGCTTGGGTATACCAAGATTTCCCAGCTATCTCTTGTGACCTTGGTGCCATCCAAAATACAATAGGTCCATTTGAATACCTAAGTGATGGTATCAGTCTCAAATTTGAACTATTTCAACAACCTTTTATACAGACTAGATATGATTATATGAATTGTATAACTCCTGACGATGGAATGTTTAGTTGTCGAGGTATGTACTACTAGTACATATATAGTATAGTATACTATATTAAATAGATTGTAAATATTAAATATTAAATATTAATTCTTTTTTTATTTATTTAGCATTTCCAAACCCATCAAGTACAGGGTATGTTGTAACGGTTAATATGGTTGGTAAAGTTGGAGTAGGTCTCAATTATTCAGCACCATTTGTTATTACATTGTCTGGTGGTGCAAAGGATATTAATATTACGATCCCATCATTTATTGATTCGAGTCTTCCGCCACTTTTGTTGGTTTCAAATCCAATGCAATCTCCACCTGTTGGTTATCCCGTTGATTCAACTATTTCCTATTTCACTTCAATTGGTACATCGGTAGATTTAAAGTACAGTACAGATAAATTCGTGCCAATCATATCCAATACTACCTTTGGATCTTATATGATGGTTCCAGTCCAAGGAAATCCAAAGGATGGTCTAAAGATGATGTCTACCTTTTTAGCATCAAATTTTGGAACTTTGCCATCTGATTTCTTTGCCATTGATTCGTTATCCAAACCATCTCCAACCAGTGTGGTTAAAACTGCCTATACTTTAAACTCAACTAGTATGTATATATCTTTCAAAAGAGAGATTATAAATTATAATATATTAATATATATATTTTTTTAATATCATTCTAGAATTTCCACCACCAAATTTATCATCATCTGGAAATTCAATGACAGATAATATTAATACTATATCATATCGAATTAATCAATTATCATATCCAATGCGTTTTGGATTTGATGTTTCAGCAAGTCGAAGAGATTCGATAAACTATGTGATTCCACCTCCATTTGGTTTGACCATTGCCGGAACAGTCAATGAGTTTACATTTTCAACAAATGGTTTGACTAGTCCTTTTGTAACAGGGTTTGTCTCTCAACAAGACACCAATGAAAGAGAATCTACAACAATGACAAATCCATTTGCAATGCAAGGTAAATAATAATAATAATAATAATAATAATTTAACAAACAAACATGATTTGATTATTTATTAATTTATTTATTTTTATATTTAGATACACAAATACCAATTATAAATGGATTAGAATATAAGAAAATATCAACATATAGTTATCTTTTGATTTTATATTTGGATGATGGTTATGATGGTTCTGGAATCAATAGATTACTCTATCTTGGAATGTATCACGGTAGAAATACACTTGTTAGTGGTAACTTTACAAAGGGTGTATTTGTATTTGAATATCAAGAAACTATGCCAGTCGCCATCTACACAGACTCAAATCCATTGACAGTTATAGATGCTGCATGGAATCAATTTGAAACAAACTATGGTGTATTTAATATTCATAATTCACTTTCATTGATTAGACCATCACCTTTATTAGAATGTGTGTTGTAAAAAAAACAAAAAAAAAAAAGAAATTGATTGATTATTAATATTAATATTAATTAATTTTTATTTATTTATTTTTTGTAGCATATGTAACAGCTGAAAATTTTACACATTTTGAATTTATACCAAATCAAGTTGATACTTCGGTTGGTGAAAAAGAGGTATCTCTTTTATTCAACCTTACACATAATATTGATGGATCTTTTAGTAGACAAAAGGATATCTATTGTACTTTTGTTTTATCAACCTTTACTTCGAACCTTCCACTCAACTTTAGGTTTTTAAACATTACCGTCAAATCATACTATCATCCATTGGATCAATTGTTTAGATGTGATTTTACAGTCCCACAATACACCAACAATATGACTGTCTATTATTCATTCGATCCTACCACCTTTACCACCATCCAACCTTCAATCGTCGAAAAGTTTGGTTCAAAAGCAAATCTTTTAATTACTTCAAATAATTGTATGTATTAAACAAATAATATTAAACTTGTTAAATCTTTATTTATTTAATTTAATTTAATTTTAATTTTAACTTTAATTTAGCAATGGATTATTTACCACCATATTTTGAAAAGGTAGAGATTCCAACAACTACAACAGGTCAGATTGTTTACAAGTTTACCATTATTGATGGTTATCATGGTTTTGATAATGGATCGATCGAGTTGATGACTAGTATGAACCCGTTGGTTTATACAACCATTTATTTGAACAATTTGACCATTACAACGGGTGATATATACAATGGAACACATGAATTTACAATCAACGTAGACCCAAGTAAATGCACCAAAGACTTTACAGTTACAGTTGGAAAGGTTTTGTTGTATGATCGTGGTGGATGGATGTCAAGCTCCAAGGTGTATTTGGGAGACTATGATATGGGTTCCAATAATCCAGATCACTATTTCAACCCGTTCTTTTATATTGCCGACCAAGCATTTATTGCAACCTCTGTAGTTTGTACCTCTGGTAGTATCGACACTAGTTTCCCAACAATTGTAGAGTTTAGTTCTTCTAGAACGACGATGGATGTTGGATCAAATGATAGAAATGTTTCGTTTGGTTTGGTTGTCAGTGACGTTTCTGGTGTCGATGGATACCCAACCGTATATTTAGTGGGTAATCAAGGTGAATGGTTGGCTGTAGAACCTTCAATCAAAGCACCAACCATGTTCAACTATACTGCTACAGTTCCACATGGATTCGGTGTCAATGGTATCATATTCTCAGTGTATGGGTTAAAAGACAATGTTCAGAATCTTGGTGGATACTCTAATTTGGAGCTTCAGAATGCTGGATTCTCGTACATGATCAACACTACCTACTCGACAGACATTCCATCGATCTACAGTGTGTCCAACTTGTACAGCTATCCATCCAACGTATCGGTTGCAAGCGACGATGAAATTATTACGATTCGTGGAAGAGGGTTTGGTCTAGACTCACAGCAACTCATGGCATTTATTGAATATCCCGACGGCGTAATGAGACATACTGTCACATTTGTATACCACATTGTTGCCTTTGTCCGTTACAACCCAAGAAGAGCTCTTCCAAATGTACCAGTAATCGTTTCATTGACCCTTGGCACCAACACACATGATCTCTCAGTCATGCCTATTACCTTGCCACCACAAGTCTACTTTCCAACCAATACAACCCCACCATTCATTCCCAAACCAACACCTTGTTCACCATCATCGTCATCGACAGTGAATTGCACTGGTAATGGTCAGTGTACATTTGATGGATGTATCTGCAACGCTGGGTGGTCAGGGTTCTATTGCGAGTCAACAGTCATCAACACCGATGAACCAACATTCAATCAAACCTCACCGATTGTTGACATTATTGTAAATGATACAAAAAGTCATACAATTATTAAATCAATTATTTCAGTGGTTGCAATCAGAGAGTTGACAATGGATGAAACGGTATTCATAGAGTACAGACCAAAGAATTGGACATTAAATATTACAACACCAACCACCGATAATAATAATAGTATTATCATGAATTATCAAACACAGTTACAAGACATTTCAACCATTGTCAATGTAACAATTGAATGGTTTTCAAAGGATAGTCAAGTTGTATTTGCCAATCAAACCATCAGTATTCCAGCAACAAGTACAAAGGTATCGATTGGATTATCATCCTACCCATTCTATTCATCAACCAATACATTACAAGTTGTTATGAAGACATCGATTGAAGCTGAATACGAATCAGAATGTTCAAGAAAAGAGTATGGTGGTGGATCAACAAAAGACATGGAGTGGATGAAATTGGGAATCGATGACAAAACACTTTGGGGTCAATTCATTAAAAGAGGAATTATCGACAGTGATAGAATCACATCAATCACAAATGAAATCCTCACAGATTATGTTGACGATATCCCAAGAAAAAGTAATTCATCATTTACAACAACATTTATTGGATTAAATCTTCCACAATATTCAGTATCAGCACAATTGGATCCAAACTTTGTTCATTTAATTGATGTCGATAATGATAAAACTGGTGGATCAACCTTGGAATCAATTTGCAAAGCCAAAGACAATGGATTGACAATGGGTCAAATTGCTGGTATTGTTGTTGGATGTATTGTCGGTGCAGCCATTGCATTTGCATCTGCATTATTCCTAGTACATCGTAGACGTAGACTTGTACATCAACGTATTATGGATCAAAAATTAAAAAGAGTTGAACAACAAATAAATAAATAAATTAAAATAAATATTAAATAAATTAATTAATTAAATAAAATAAATAAATAGTATTTTTTTTTAGAATCTCTGATTATTCTTCAGAGTCTTTATTTTCTTGTTTAACATTTTTAATCTTTTCAATATAGGAATATGTCCATAGTTTTGATTGTTTTAGCTCACATTCATTGCTGTACGAGTAGTCATTGTAGTAGAGTGATTCTGGGAAAGAAAATTTAGAAAAACTTGGGAGGATTTCTCCTAATCCCAAGATACAGGTAGGTTTCACTTTGACCTTGATCTCCCATCTATTCATTTCTTTGTTTTCTGGGATGCCTATCCATAAGATCTTGTATGCCTCTTCTTGGGATTGGAACTGACATTTAAAAAAATAAAAACCTTTAGGGGTGATTTATTTTTCGATATGTGGTGGGAAAAATAAATAATATCTTGGTTACTCCATCATCTAGGTGTGTTTTATTTTTATGAATTACATAATAGAACAAGAATCGTTATTCTCTACATTTCTTTCTTTCTTTTTTTGAACTTGTAGAGGGGTTTCAATTGATTTTGTTTCTGGAGGATGATCAACAAAGAATTGTAAGAGACCAAGGTGACCTACCCCAAGAGCCATTTTGAGGATCTTATTGTAATCATTTGGTTCCATCGCCCAAAAGTGTGCCTTTCTTAGGTGTTTGGGAATGGGGAGCATCTGGAGGTCCTGACCATCATCATCAACGGTCACGTAATTGCCAAAATAAAATAGTTGGATTAGAAAGATGGCACATTCAGCATCGATCGACATGTCATGAGTGATTGATTCAGTCCTGTTAAAGCGGTATACCAAGAACTCGGTCGAGTCTAATTTGGTGGTGGGGTCACTGTATTGGGTGATGTATCGTTGAATTAAATACTTGGATATCTTTAAAGAATCTTTTGAATCATGGGTTGGATTTTGGATTTTGATGTTAATTAATGACTGGTTGATTTCATTTGCTGAAATTTCATATAGTTTGCTTGATAGGAATCCAGAGACTAATTTGACCAATTCCCAATTTCCACCTGTTATTGCATAGAAAAATACTCGGTCATCTGGTAAAAGATAGAGCTCATCCACCATGTATTTGAATATTTCTAATTGCCCTTGTTCACAACACTTTTTGAACATTTCCGATGATAGAAAAACATACTTGTGGTCGACCAATAATTTGATTAGAGGTAGACTGCTTGTAGTAGAGAATAGTGCGTCAACGTCGATTTTTTTGTTGAGTGAATTAAAGATGGGAGGTTTGGATCCTAGGATGTAGTGGATAATATTGAATCGATTCTTTTTGATGGCAATGTCAATAAGATTGTCGGAAAATGTAGGATTGATACGATCATTTTCACAAAAATATTGAAAGCTGATTAAGAATTGGTCTTGATCAACAGCAGGTAAGTTTATGGGTATTGGTGGGCTCGATTCAAGAATTCTATCCAACATTAGTTTGGTCTTTATATGGATAGAGAGTGGGAGTTCTTGCATCTGGTATTCAATTTTTGGTGCGACGAGATGCAGTTCAAATAGGAGTATCACCTGTTGGTACAGATGCAGACCGCAGAGATACTCTATCGTTGGAAAGTCAAGAGTTGTTGGGAGACCATTGGCATGGCCGATTCGTGATTGTGGATAGGTTGCTGCAGTGTGTTTGATTTCATCCAAGTCTCCTCGAATGGCAACCTCTTTTAGTAGGTCACAATAGTTTGTGATTTGATTATTGGTAGAGGGATAATTTTCAAGAACAATTGATCTTTTGTTCATGTACATTTTGGAAATCAATCTAGAATCCCATTGGAATTTGATTCTTGGTAGTTTGAGCATTGCATCCAAGATTGTTTGATTCGATAACACATTATCGGGAAGTTCTCTCATAATCCACTCCATGTCCCAACCCTCTAACATTTTCTGTACTTGATCGTCTACTGGTTCTACAAAGAAACTTTGAAAGATTGATAGATGAGCTTTTTGCAACAACATTGGAGATGGGGGAATATTTGGATGTTTTGAGTAGATGTAGAGGATAGCTTCCAAGTGACCGTTGATTGCTGCATTGGAATAAAGTTCTTGGAGGGTAAATGGGTTGGCCGATGAATGATCTATATAAAAGTCGATCATCTCCAAGCAATCGGTAGAAAAGATCATTTTAAATTGGAGATGGAATTCTTTGAGATTATCTCTAGCCAACTGTTGGGTGTCTTTACAGTCTAATTTGATAGCCAGTGACATAATCGCGGGCCAATCATAATCTCTGATCAACTTTAATGGTTCGACAAGTCCGATAAAGGTTATCAATTCTTGTTTGTTACGACTACCATAATAGGTTGACCATTCGTTTGATGATATATTGATGAATAGATCATCTTTGATTGGTTGACTGTCCCTATTTGTTGCGTCAGCCAGCGACTTGCACTTTACAATAAAGTCGTAAAGTCTATCAATAACTATTTTTAGCATTTGGTGTGGGGATGAAGAGGATGGGGATGATGAAAAGGATGATAGAGATGATTGACACCCATAATGTATAATGTTATCAAACCAATTCTCTAAAATAGATGTAGAGAGACGAGCTTCATAATGAATGATCAAAAAGTCAAAGCAAACATTATCCATTGCCCACTGTAATGCCTCTGTGTTGCACTCCTTGATTGCATCATTCACAATGCAATGAGGAAGGTCAAAAGAAACCAAAGTCTTGATCTTTAGGTCTTTTATATCTTTCCATGTTTGCGATTTGGTGTGTTGGTAGTAATGGATATACTTTGTGTTGGAGGGGGCCAAGTAAAAGCTGAAAAGAAAAGAGAGTAGTCTGTGGTTGTTTGTGCTCGATGCCTCTTTGATGAAATGAGAGACACTCAGTACATCACTATAGTCGTTGCCGTTGTACTCTGCATAGATAGAGGATACATCCAAGTTTGCTAATCGATCAAACTCGGGCATGAAATGATCGCTCCACCCATATATAATCATCTTCCACAAACTTGAACTGATTTCACGTCCCTTGTTGATCAGTACCTTTTTATTACTTGGTGTGTTTCTTTTTATCTGTTGGTGTATGTCGAAAACATGATGTTTAAAGATATAGTTTGATAGAAACTTGTTCTTGATGATCACTAATTTAAACAATTCGAAATCTAGTATTGTATTCTTCTCCATTCTACTTGATTGATTCTGTACACGTGTTTATGTTCTTTGTATATGTACTGTATTATGTTATAAAGTAAAACATATAACCCTTTGCAGCTGACTTGAAATTTTGATTCGGCGAAAAATTAAATGGATTATTTATTAATTAATAAATTATATTCTTATTTTGTCTTGTAGTTTGAAATATAATTATTACTTGAGATACATAATCAGCTTTAAATTATGATTCAGAGAGATAAAGTAAGATATACATCATCATGGTCATCGTCATAATATTGATCTTCATCATCATCTGGTTGGTCATCTAAAGATTCAACGTGCTTGATAAATTCTGTTTTAGTGGCAGCTTCCAGGGCAAAGCGGTTGATGGCTTCCAGACAATCTCTTCGGTTTGGTTGTGTGCAGAGTATAGACCACATGACGTCAAAGAGTTGAATAGATCCTTTCCTGCCGATTGCATAACCACACTCCTCTGTTAATCTTAATGACTCGCTATCTGTTCCGTCATAACTACTCTCCGTGTTTTCTATGAAATGGAATCGGTACAATAAAGGTTTCTTGCTATTAATATTCTGTTTGAGTGATGCCATGTGTTTTAATAGTCGCCATCCACCAAACCCGAGTTGCAAGACATTGTTCCAACGGCTGTAATTTGTTTGGTACATTGGTAGATGACAAAACAAATCCTTTCTACCATGTCTTGAAATGAATGTTTCCAACGACGAACACTCTGAATGTCCAATTTCATCGAGAAATTGTCGTACAAATAGATGTAGATCGGGATAACTGTGACAACAACAATACATGAGGTCATTGGCTCCCTTTTCGAGTAGCATCTGTGCCATCTTTACATTCCTTACTTGAGTAATTAGATCCACTAGTTTGGATATTTTCTCACCTTTTGCAATGTTCTTGTCGATTAGGTGTGACGCCAGCTCGATAGCCTCATCATCATCTCTACCCAATATAATACCCAAGTGGACTTCTGCAACTTTATTGATCAATGAAAGATGTGAGAGCAATCCATATTGGGCTATCAAGCGATCTTGTATTACATTTTGATTTTGGCGATAGTTTGATGATGAATTGCCATGTATTTTATGAGCGGGCAGGCTCTTCCTGTACAAACATATTACAGTGAGTCCAAACTGAAGGCACATATCCAACTCCATTCTAAGCAGATGTTTATGGATGAGATTTCTCTGATGATACTCTGCAGGCTGTCTGCCTTCGTTTTCGTATTTGTGGGAATTCCAACTCTTTTTTAGGACATCATTGGCAAAATGGAGTAAGAGGTGTAGAGATACCAACTCTTGAATCATCAATGGATTTTGATCGACGACTTGAGCAGGGAATCTCTGTTTGATGTCAGTGATGATTTCATTCTCTACGACGTGAGCTTGATCCACTGTCGAGCGGATAGATTCCATTCTTTCACCAATATCTATAATAGCTAATAGTTGAGTTGGAATGTTGGACGGCACCTTTCTATATCCTCCCAAATGAATCGGAGCCGATGGAAAGTTATTCACCAACCATTTGTATCCCAACGAATGGCTCTCTATTATATCTCTACAATGTCTAACATCATGATCGAATATCTCCATATCCATCAAATTTAACATCCATTTCCTTTAACCATTCAAGGATGTGTATTTGATTACGATTTGCTGCTGGAGCAAACAAACTCTTTAAACACCCATCCAGTAATGGTGTTGTTCATTTTGTTGGTGAATTGATTTGACAATATCAAGATGTCCTAGTTTACATAGAATATGCATACACTCGATTGTGTAAATATGATATTTGTATTGTGAGCTGTGTATCATTTCAAATTGATGATGATCAGTCACGTATGACAATAAAACATTCATTGAACGATTATTAAACTCGACAGGTATACCACATTTGATCTTATCGATCACCAAACCAAAATAACCATTCTTTAGCATTCCATCAACATCAGTCCAATCATCATATCGATACAACTCTAAACAATAGATCATCTCTTCATCACTGTATCCTCGATAGATTGATGTCTCTCTAATCTCCTTTAATATCTTTCTAAGTAATACTATCTTTCTAATTACTTTCCATATTGTTGTTTCCTCTGTTGTAGTTATTGTTGTTGTTGTTGTTGTTGTTGTTGTTGTTGTTGTTGTTGTTGTTATACTACTATTCATATTGATAAATCTTGTGAATAATGATCATAAGACCAAATTAATTTGCTAGAAAACCACCCAAGTAAAAAACTCTGGTTTTCCTCTTTAAATAACTTATAAGCTCAAAAAATTTTGCATGTTTAATGCAAGTCTGTCTATTTTAGTATTATTTGTTCATTATTGAATCTTTTATAGAATTGATGCCACTACAATGTGAGGAAGTTAATGGGGGGTTTAGAGGACGATCAAATTTAATATGTGACCAAGTAGAAATTATTCCACAAGCTCGTTTCGATGCCTTTTTCCAACAGCTTTCTGAAACTCCAGATCCTATTTTGACTGCTCAAGACTGGGGTGAATTGATTAGTGCTATTGGTTGTGTCCCTTATGTTGGAAGTATTCTTGCAACTGGTTTCAGTGTATGTATCACATAATTTGAACCAATCAATTATTATCAAACATAAATATATACATATATTAACCTTTTGTTTATATAGATTGTTTGGGGAAAAATCTTCAAGTCTGGTACCAATTATTATTTTTCAAATCACTAACAGTCAACCACTCAATATTTATTTAGAACAACCAATGTACAAAGTTTGGCACAAATTTTGCATCAGAGAATACTTCAATTCCATAGACTTTGCCTATTGTTATTATTCTTATCCAGTTGCTTATTGTAAGGATTCTCAGTACAGTATCTACAAGCTCAATGTTGGTACATCTGAATTTATGAAAGCCTCACATCTTGGATGGGATGAAATTTATGTAAGTACTTTTTATTTTATTCTTTATGATTGTACTACGACTAGTATAATAACACTTTTGGTTCAATATTTCTATCACTACGACTAGGATACCATTGATGGATACCAAGCACCTTGTTTTGATACCAATTCTTTCATGAAATCAACATTGTGGCAAATTCAAGAGGAGACTACTTTAGCTCATCCAAGGTCAGACTCCATATCTTGAACAGACGATCTGACACATATCCTTTCAATGTGAAGATTGGTGATACCGATTTTGGAATGCTTACCAAGAAATACCTCATCGCTGTTGGAAATACCAAACCAAATTACGAGTACTTGAATACGAGTTTGATTCTAATAGCAAAATTCATCAAAATGATTCACAAGTTTACGAGTTGACAGGTACTTTATCAAAATCGGTCAATGTTCTCCCTGTCATTATCACCAATGGATTATACCCAAATAGTAAGTTTATTAAAATTATTTCTATGTTTTAATGAATATACTAACATTATTATTGTTCTCTCGTACAGCCTTCCTTGAATCAATTGAAATTGGGATTAAATAAATTAACTTTGTTGTATGTATGTCCGTCCTACCAAAGAAAACTTGGACAATTATCAAGACAAAAAAAATCAAATCGATAATAAAAATAAACTCTATGATTTGTTAATTTATTTATTTATTTATTTTATCCAACTTGTACTGCATATCATTATTGAATCTTTTGGCTGTATTTTTCTTTTTAATATATACAATCGATGCTACTGCAACGGCAGCTAAACAACTGAACCCGACAACGACACCAACAATGATTCTCCATGTATTCGATTTATTGTCACATCCACTATCAGCATTCTTGTCAACTAATAATGGTGTGAAATCTGGATCGATGATGCTTTCTGATGATTGTGGCATACTAATTCCAATTAATAGAGTTGATTGATCATCTAATGAAGCAGTTTTGTTGACAATCGATGTTTTAGAGAAAGTTGGTCTTCCATCAGATAATACATAATCGATAAATCTACCTGTGAATTGAATATTATCTTTTACCACACGTAGATATTGAATAGAGTTGGATAGTTGATCGTAGCTGAGTGTATCAATATTAATATCTTGACAATCAAATTCGATTGATTGGTCATTGTTGATGGTTGTTTTGAAGATGACTCTGAGTGTTGTCAAGAATGTGTTGAATGTCCAATTACTAATGTTGACTGATAGTTTGATTGAATTGGCATCGATATGAAGTAGTTGTGAACCAAATTGAATGTCTCTTGGTTGTTGTGAGAATGATATCGTTGCTGTTACTAGTGCTGTTGTATCACTGTTGTTGAGTTGATAGTTGACTGTTGTTGTTTGTGTTTGATTATCCAATGTTAATGTTGAATTCCAACTGTTTGTCAATACTTCGTTGATGATATTATCATCAGTGTCTATTTCTTGAATGGCAATCATTTCAAATTGGAAATCAATTCCATCGATATCAAATGATGTTGTTGGTGATGTTGTATTGGGTGTGTTTGTGTGGTTGCTTGTTTTTGTCAAACAATTATCAATTGAACTATATCCAGTGTCACAATTACATTTCCCATTGATACATTGACCATGACCATAACAATTAAATGGACATGTTACATCATTACTATCGGATCCTGAACCAGATGACTGTGATGAAGGTTTAAAATAAATCCAATTATTTCCATTATTTGTTGAATTATCAACAGTCAATCTGACCAAAGCCAAACCATCAGTTGGTTCACTGACCAATGTACAATTAATCAATGTTTGTGATTTTGATGTAACTTGACAATCAGTATTATTCAAAGTGATTGATACAATAGTTTGATTGAATGGTCCGAAATCACCATAGATACTGATCAATTTTCTATCATTTATATCATATTCTCCTGATTTAAAAATTGGATATTCTAAAAAAAAAATTAATATTAAAATCATTTTTAATTTTTGTAATTATCTATACATACTCTGAGAACATTTATCAGAATAATAACCAGTATTACAAATACAAGTTCCATTAATATCACAAGCTCCATTACCTGATGAACAACCACCATCGAAAAAGCATAAATTTTGAGGTGTTGTCAAATTGACCATTATTGGGTCAGATAAAAATCCTTCAACCGATACTGTAATATTTGTCAATCCAAAATCATAATACCAATTTTTTTTAATGATACATCTTAATACCGAAGATGTATAGTGTGCAGGACTGCAAATGGATTGATCACCATTAAAGTATACCGCAACTTGATCGAGAGAACTATTCCCGAAAAACCCACTGAACTCATAAATTGAACCAACTTGAGTATAATTATGTAGCAAAGCTATACTAGTTAACAAAACATTTGACGGATAAAATGCTTTTGGAAAAAAAAAAAAAGTTAATAAAATATAAATAAATTATTTTTTGTTTGAATTTAATAGTTACATGTCAAGTTAAAAGATGTGTTAATATTGAAATTAGAATTGAATATCTTTAGTTGCCAAATTTGATTTAGTGACATTTCGTATGCAGTGACATTGCAAGTCAATAACTGACCACTCATCAATTGACCCACAATAATGCAATCAATTGTGTTGTTCACCTTGACGCTATGGGGAATAAATGTATTGATAAATGTAACCATGATCGATATTTGAACAACCTTGCTTGGCAATTGTCTAAACTCAACGGTTCCTGGTACCACTGCTATACCAACTTCAAGCACTGTAAAGTTGAAAGTATATTCTGGGTAAAAAGAATCCAATTGAATAGAAACATTTTTTGCTGGACCTTCAACAGGTGGGCCATTAGTAATGTACCTATAAATTGAGATGTGTTAAAACTTTCAAGAGCGTAGTAAAATTTCTTTTAAGGTCACTTGTTTTGATAAATACCCTAACTGTTTGTTTGGAATCATTGGGTATAGACCAAAATCTGACCCAAAGTTTCCGTAGCCTATCCGTTCGCCTCGAATGATACCGTAACCTTCTATAGTATACACCATCATACTGGTAAAAGTAATATCTAGATAAGAGAGAGAGAATTAAATAAATATTAATTAATAGCATTATCAGTTTAAATATATGTATGTGTACATACTGCAAGTAAAAGAGGGGTCTAGAACAATGTCTGTTGAAACATACTGAGTATGTCTTTGGTAGCAAAGAAAACATTCAGGTACAACGGTGATACCAGGACACTCTGTAATATGTATTCTATTATTACAAAATGATTCTGGAATGGCAGTTGTTAACCCTGGATTGTTTGATATATCCAAATCGATATTATTTGCATTATTAAATGCAGTCCAAGGGATTTCACCTTGAAAATTGTTTCCTGGTAATTCTCTATAAATAAATTAAATAAATAAATAAATAAATAAATAAAAAAGAATATAATTTCTTGACATACAATTTTCTAACATTATAAATTGGGATGTTTGGGAAAACAGTGTAATCACTGTTTGCTGATGTTAAAGTTTGTAGGGTTTCAGGATATACTAAAAGTGGGAATGTTGTCAATGGAGAAGAATTTGTTACCCTAAAAAAATAAATAAACAAACTATAAGTATCGGCCAGGCTAACTAACCATTAGTTCATGATACATACAAATTTGTAAGATTTTTGAAACCACTTAATAAAGGTGTAATATTGTTTGAGTATCCCAATACAGTCCTATATATATAGTTTACGTTTGTGATGAGTGATAATTGATTTAATTAATTAAATGATAATAGGCAAAAGATGATTGATGATATAAACTTACAAATCAGTAATATAACTTGTATCTATAAAACGTGCAGTTGTTTGAGAGGAACCAGAAAAGACACTAATAAAGTTTGATAAAAGAAATTAATAATGAATGTTTTTTACATATTTGCTAATTGTTGCATATATATAAACTTACACCTTATTCAATGACATTACACTTATATCTACAGTCAGTGATTCAGTTGATGTTGATGTTGGATAAAGGATGAGCTGGTTCAGCATTGGGAATGATGAACTTGTAAATTCTAGCAAGAGAGATGACATAAGTCTCATACTCAAGGTAAGAGAGCGCAAATTTGGGTGGGGTGGTGTAAGATCATTGATCACGGCTCCTGTAAATGCAATGTCTAACCTTTCAATCGTATTTCCAAAATCAAAGGTCGCTGGTGGTTGGATGGTCGATCCTGCAATCATCAGATAATTGAGAGCCGACAGTCCCGCTTCAATGGGAAAGGTCGTTGGGATTGAAGTAATCGATGTATCCTGATAGATTCTATATAGATAGAGGAGTCAATCGAATTGAAAAAGTTAGAAGAAGAAGAAGTAAGAAGTCTTTGACACAATCGTCGTGATTTGGTATACATACTCAATCTTTGTCAATAAAGGCATATTGCTGAGAAAACTCAAAAGATTGAATGATGGTGTCTTAACTAAAATAGCTACAATGTACAAACTTGTTAGTTGAGGAAATTCCAAGGCACTCAATCCTAAACCTGCAGGTGATAAACCAGTACTAGTTGATGGGTAAACATTAAAGTTTCTAGGCAACGAGAAAAAGAGGTGATTATAAGTTTTAAATATCATTCGACACAACCTTTTTAGGTATCATATATGATCTTTACATTTTAGTGATATGAGGGACTGAACCTGTCGAACAAGTAAACAACGTTGAACTACAAATAGATGTTTGGTCTTCTGCCAACTGACTACCGTATTGTCTAATGATCCATTTTGCAGAGTTTACTATATTGTATACATAGATAGAGAGATAGATATAAATGAATGATGGATGATTTGTTAATTGTCATGATCTTTCTTTCTTTTTTTCTTTCTTTGTTGTAATACATACATTCTGCCACAGGCATTACCTGACTTTGTACATGGCTGACTTTACATATTAACAACAATAAAGCACATATAAATAAATGATTCCAATGATCATCATATTTTTTAGTGCTGATTTTCATAATCTGATTATTTGTTTTTATTTATTTATTATATTTTATCGCTCTTTCTCTGTAGATATAAATATTGTTAATGATCATTTCTATCATTTGGCTTCTAGAAACCAACTAACATGTGCTATTCAGTGCAAGGATAGAATTTCGTATCTTCAAACTAGTACTCATCAACGTTTCTACTTTAACCAATATCCTGATTTGCTGAAATATCTAAAATGATTTCAAAATCTGCAAATATTATAAATAGCCCGTAGATCTTTCAACATAAATTGGTGTCTTGGATAATAATCTTTATTATTAAATGATAATGATATTAAATGATATTGTAATTCATTGTGGCATACACAGCATTTTGATGTATTGCAATTAGTATGGTTGATTGATCAGTGGTCGGGGTACGCAAACAGATATTTGTTGGGCACGACTCCAATAGTTTATTTATTATTTTACATTGTCGATAGTTTATGTTGCATATTCTTATTGTGTCTTTTAATAATTCTTTTCTTTTTAATCAATATAATCGATGCTACTCCTATGGCAACAGCACCTGATACTCCAACAACGACACCAACAATAATTCTCCATGTATTGGATTTACTGTCGCATCCACTATCGCTGCTCTTGTTATTTAATAATGGTGTGAAATCTGGATCGAGGATGCTTTCTGATGATTGTGGCATACTTATTCCAATAAGTATGGTTGATTGATCATTTGAATCGTCAGTTTTGTTGACGATTGATGTTCTAGAGAATGTTGGTCTTCCATCTGATAATACATAATCGATAAATCTACCTGTGAATTGAATATTATCTTTTACCACACGTAGATATTGAATACTCTCTGACAATTGTTCATACGTCAATGTATCAATATTAACATCTTGACAATCAAATTCGATTGATTGGTCATTGTTGATGGTTGTTTTGAAGATGACTCTGAGTGTTGTCAAGAATGTGTTGAATGTCCAATTACTAATGTTGACTGATAGTTTGATTGAATTGGCATCGATGTGAAGTAGTTGTGAACCAAATTGAATGTCTCTTGGTTGTTGTGAGAATGATATCGTTGCTGTTACAAGTGCTGTTGTTGTTGTTGTATCACTGTTGTTGAGTTGATAGTTGACTGTTGTTGTTTGTGTTTGATTATCTGTCAATATAGTTGAGCTCCAACTGTTTGTCAATACCTCGTTGATGATATTATCATCAGTGTCTATTTCTTGAATGGCAATCATTTCAAATTGGAAATCAATTCCATCGATATCAAATGATGTTGTTGGTGATGTTGTATTGGGTGTGTTTGTGTGGTTGCTTGTTTTTGTCAAACAATTATCAATTGAACTATATCCACTATCACATTTACACTTCCCATTGATACATTGACCGTGACCATAACAATTAAATGGATATGTTAATTCACCACCACTGCCATCACTGTCAGACCCAGAACCTGATCCCTGTGATTGTGAAGGTTTAAAATAAATCCAATTATTTCCATTATTTGTTGAATTATCAACAGTTAATCTAACTAAAGCCAAACCATCAGTTGGTTCACTGACCAATGTACAATTAATCAATGACTGTGATTTATATGTAACTTGACAATCAGTATTATTCAAAGTGATTGATACAATAGTTTGATTGAATGGTCCGAAATCACCATAAATACTAATCAATTTTCTATCGTTTAAATCATATTCTCCCGATCTAAAAGTAGGATATTCTAAAAAAAAAAAAAAATATTAATATATTTATGTTAATTTTTGTAGTAATTAGTCTCTATTATACATACTCTCTGAACATTTATCAGAATAATAACCAGTATTACAAACACAATTTCCATTTTCATCACACGTACCATGACCCGAACAACCAGTAGTATTACACAAACTTTCAAGTGATGATAGATTGGCAAGTATTGGAGCTGACCAAAACCCATCGACAGATATAGTAATATTTGTCAAACCAATACCTGACCAATATTTTGTTTGGGTGCATTGTACATTATCTGTGTCTTTAATCATCACTGTGCAAATAGATGGGTCACCATTGAAATAAACGACCAGCGTTCCACCTCCATTTCCAAACTCTCCATTAAATATATAGTTTGAACCAACCTTGATTAAACTATCATAATAAAACAAGGTTACATTTGATGGATAAAATGCTAAATAGAAATAATATTAATATTAATAAAAAAATCAATGAAATAATGAAATAAAAATCGATGAGGACGATAGTTACCGGCAATATCTATCAATAAGTCTTGTGAAAAATATCCATTTGAAATGGAAAAGCTGACTATATCATTTCTTTTAAATGATAAACCAGTAGTATTACAATTAAAGTAAGTGTTAAGGATAATTGCACCATCTACAATACAATCAATTCGACCATTAATTTTAAAAGTATGAGGAAGATATGAATTGAAATTAAAGGCATAGGCCACGAATTGAACGACGCCTGTTGGTAATTGTCTGTACCATGGTGACAACATATCAATGCCGATTTCCAAAACAGTGAAATTGTATGCATATGATGGGTACATTGCATCCAATGTAAGCTCGATAGTTCTTGGTGGTCCAACTTGCTTTAATGTATCCGTGAACCTTGAAAGTAATTACAAGTAGACAATAGATACTGGTAAGTTTTAAACCAATAACTGGGTTTTTTTTATACATACTGTAAATATTTGTTTGGAATGATAGGTCTTAACAAGTATCTATTGTTTATAGTATTTCCGTACCCTATAAGACTACCAGTCACGTTGCCTTTTCCCATTACTGTATAAATCATGGTTGAATCCAAAGCAATATCTGAGATTGATGAATGTTAATTAAAATTGGTAGCACAAACTACAATATAATATAATCTATTTATATTTGATCAACATACTGCATTGAAAATTAGGACCGGGAATAACATCGGTTTGAACGCTTTGAGGACTCAATCGGTAACAAAGGAAACACTCTGGAACAGTTGTAATACTCGGACATCCACTGATAAACAATCGGTTAGAACAAAATGATTGTGGTACTGAGGTTGTTGTTATTAAAGGATTGTTTTTAACATTAAAAATAATGTTTTTTGTATTATCAAATCTATTCCATGGAATGGTACCTTGTAACTTGTTGTTTGGGAATTGACTATTAAAAAAAAAAAAACCAATTAATAAATTAAAATAAATATCGATATGTAAACAACATACTAGGATGTAAGTGATAATGGTACATTTGGGAATGTAGTTAGGTTTCCGCTTGATGCTTGAATCGTTTTGAGTGAATTGGGATACGCTGACAGGGGGAACTCTGTAAATGAGGCAGATGTGAATATCCTATAGTTGCAATTGAATTGGTTAGTATATCATCCAGTGGGTTAGAGTAGAGGTGCACCGTTACAGTATACATACAATGTATGTAAATTTGTGAAACTAGTTAGTTGGGTTAAAAGATTTACAGTGTACTGATACGCTGATAATGTCCTGTTATTTGAAAGAAAAAGAAATTAATAAATTAATAAACAACAAAGTGGTTGTATAGTTATAACTAATACTTACAATGAAAGGACGGATTGAGGTGCTGAAAAGGATAGATTTACTTTGCTTCCTAGTGTTGCTAAATGACTATATTCGACAAGAGTGAGAGAGAGAGAGTTAGTTAATAATTAATTATTAAAAATAGAATATATAGATGATAATTACAAAATGGATATTGGAGCATTGATAGCGACGTCCAACAAAATATTGTCGTCATCATAGTTGGGATACAAGGTAAGTGAATATAACTTTGGGAATGTTGCTGCTTCAAACAAAAAGGATTCAGAGGATGGTAAGATGAATGTAATGTAGAGGTCTTCCAAGTTGGTATGTATAGGTGTGGTGGCACCGATCGATAATCTTCCCATTAGATAAAACTTGACCGTTTGAACGGTTGGACCAAAATTAAACGAGAGGTTTTGTTGGATCACACTACCCTCTAGACGAAAGGTAGTTAACTTGGGAAGTCCCATTCCAATCACTGTTGGTATCGTAGTAATTGATCCATCAGATCCGATTCTATTAAAATGAAATGAAATCAATTAATAATAAATATGCTTTTCTGTCTATCTATATATATATATATATATATCTGTCAATTTACTTACTCTATGACTTTAAGAGAAATTGAATTAGGACCAAGATAATTTAGAATATTGAGAGACTCTGTCATGATCGTTTCAGCAAAGATCTTTAACTCTACCAACTCGGGAAAGAAAAACTCTGCTTGTGCGGGATTTGGTAATGCTCCAGTTGTTGTTGATGGGTATCCAACAAGGTTACTATATAAAGAGTAAAGAATATCAGTCGTCACGAGTACTAAATGATTCAAATAAATAGATTTTATATAATATAAATATACAATTTCAATACACTTACATGAAGGTGATATGTTCTTTAGTTGCTGAACATGTAAAGAACCCAGAGTTACAAATAGATGTCTCATCTTGTGGGATAATACTGCCGTATTGTCGAATGATCCATATTGCAGCGTTTAGATGTTATGTTGAATGATTAGGTCATGGTTGATGATGATATTTAAATGATTATATTTTATATATATACATATTTATATGTATAGTGATGTACAAAATAATAATATGAATACTTACACTCTGCAGGAGGCAGCAACTGACACTTAATCTGTGTGAAACATAAAAAAAGAAATAAAATATGAAAAAAATATCTTTTTTGGTGGTACGCCATCTGTGATTATTATCTCTCTGATTTATTTGTGTATCTATCTAATCGAAAGTATATGGCGATGTAAATAAAGAACTTATGAACATCAAAACACCTTGTTTTGTTGGTTCTTGTTGTTGGATTGTTTTGATAATTAAAATATCTTGATCAATCTTTATAGATCTACGCACTTATTTTATATCTAGATATGAAAAAATATCAAACATGCGGACATGGCTTTAAAATCTCCCCTCGGTCATCGGTGAAGACAACAAAGATAAATATCTATAACTCATTTATTTAATTATTTATTTTTATCCAATTTGTACTGTATATCTTTATTGAACGTTTTGACTGCATTTTTCTTTTTAATCAATATTACTCTATTGATAAATCGTTATATATTGTGGAATTAATAATAATGAATATATTTATTGGTTTTTAATGAATATCCTTTAAGACATTTTTGCTAATTTTTGTTGCATATTCTTATTGTGTCTTTTCGTAACTCTTTTCTTTTTAACCAAAATAATTGATCCCGCTGCAATGGCAACAGCACCAACAACTCCGACAACTACACCAACGACGATCCTCCATGTATTGGATTTACTGTCACATCCACTGTCAGCACTCTTGTCGATTAATAATGGTGTGAAATCTGGATCGAGGGAACATGATTGGCATTGTGGCATACTTATTCCAATTAATATAGTTGATTGTGATTGACCATCTGACGAAGCAGTTTTGTTGATAATCGATGTTCTCGAGAAAGTTGGTCTTCCATCAGATAATACATAATCGATAAATCTACCTGTGAATTGAATATTATCTTTCACCACACGTAGATATTGAATAGAGTTGGATAGTTGATCGTAGCTGAGTGTATCAATATTGACATCTTGACAATCAAATTCGATTGATTGATCATTGTTGATGGTTGTTTTGAAGATGACTCTGAGTGTTGTCAAGAATGTGTTGAATGTCCAATTACTAATGTTGACTGATAGTTTGATTGAATTGGCATCGATATGAAGCTGTTGATTGCCAAATTGAATGTCTCTTGGTTGTTGTGAGAATGATATCGTTGCTGTTACTAGTGATGCTGTTGTTGTATCACTGTTGTTGAGTTGATAGTTGACTGTTGTTGTTTGTGTTTGATTATCTGTCAATATAGTTGAGCTCCAACTGTTTGTCAATACTTGATTGATGATATTATCATCAGTGTCTATTTCTTGAATGGCAATCATTTCAAATTGGAAATCAATTCCATCGATATCAAATGATGTTGTTGGTGATTTCGTATTGGGTGTGTTTGTGTGATTGCTTGTCTTTGTCAAACAATTATCAATTGAACTATATCCAGTATCACATTTACATTTCCCATTGATACATTGACCGTGACCATAACAATTAAATGGACATGTTAATTCACCACCACTGCCATCGCTATCTGACCCTGAACCTGATGACTGTGATGAAGGTTTAAAATAAATCCAATTATTTCCATTATTTGTTGAATTATCAACAGTCAATCTGACCAAAGCCAAACCATCAGTTGGTTCACTGACCAATGTACAATTAATCAATGACTGTGATTTATATGTAGCTTGACAAACGGTACTATTCAAAGTGATTGATACAATAGTTTGTTCGAATGGTCCGAAATCACCATAAATACTAATCAATTTTCTATCATTTTTATCGTATTCTCCTGATGCAAAAGTAGGGTATTCTAAAAAATAATAAAATTAATATTAATATATTTCCATTATTGATATAATAGTGTGACATTATTTTCTATATATACTCTTTGAACATTGATCAGAATAATAACCAGTATCACAAACACAATTTCCATTAATATTACAGGTACCATGACCCGAACAACCATTATAAGTACACAAACTTTCAAGAGTTGTCAAGTTGGCCATCATTGGAGCGGATGGGAAACCTAGGACTGTTAATGTAATATTTGTCAACCCAATACCTGGCCAGTATTTTGCTTGGGTACATTCAACTTCAGTCGAAGTTTTTACAGTTACAGTGCAAATTGAAGGATCGCCATTAAAATAAACGAGCACCGTATCTAATGTAGTTGTTCCAAAGGATCCAAAGAATAGATAATTTGAACCAACATTGATTAAACTATCCCATGATATTAATACTACATCGTATGGATATAAATCTAATTATAAAATGAATGGTTAATATAAACATTTAATAGATTCTTACATTCATCAATTATATGTTGTTGAATAATATATTTACTTGGAATATCAAATTCTTTGTTAAAACTATAATATTGATTGGAAACTGTTAATGTGAGATGGTCATTGCTTTTTAGATTTCCATAAACTGTACAACTCATTACACCACCTAGAGTTGGTACGGTTGGGTTAATACAATCGATAGTACTATTTAATTTGACAGTGTGTGGCAGATAATTATTTATATAAGTTGTTGTAAAAGAAATAATGGTGGCATATGATGCGACCTGAGAATACGATACACCACCAGACAAGTAAATTCCAACTTCTAAAATAGTAAAGTTAAATTGGTAGGCAAATGGATACATTTTATCCAATGAGAATGTAGCATTTCTTTCTGGACCTGTAGGGATAAACATATCATATAAACTATTTTAAAAAAATAATCAGAAGTAAGTATTTTAATTTTAAAAAAGTACAAAGATAATAATAAAAAGATTGATTGATAAATTACCTTAGATGTTTGTTTGGAGTTATTGCAGTTAAATAATATCGACCATTCACCACGTCATCTCTTCCATATCCAATGTTTAATCCAGTAATGTTTCCCCTCCCAGATACAGTATAAATCATTGTTGTATCAATGGTAATATCTGGAAAGAGTAGATTCAAAATTAATTATTAATTTGGCATATTTGTTTAAAAAAAACAATGTTTGTTTACATACTGCATTTAAAACCAGCATCGAGGACAATATCAGTTTGAACATATAAAGAATTCTTTTGATAACAAAGGAAACATTCAGGTACATTGGTAATCAATGGACACCCTTTAATATACAATCGATTATTACAAAATGATTGTGGAATCGATGTTGACAACGCAGCATTGTTTCTCACATCAAGAAGGATATTATTTGCATTTTGGAAATTCGACCATTGAATTCCACCTTGAAACTTGTTATTTGAATATTTTCTATATTTTATATTTGATGGTTTTCAAAAGAAGATGGTTGGTTTAGTTTGGTAAATATTAATCATGGGGTATTTGTTTTTAGATTACATACAATGAGTTAACATTTTTTAATGGAATGTTTGGGAATACTGTAAAGTTACTATTGGTAGCTTCCACGGTAGAAAGGGAATCTGGGAATTGGGTTAACGGAAATACAGTTTCTACTGAGCGAGAATAGGTTCTAAAAATACCACAGTATTAGTTAGTTTATGATTGGGTTTTATAAATATGTGATATGTGGAAAACACATACAATTCAGTTAATCTTGGAAATGCACTCAATGGATGTGAAAAGGTTGTAGCGTATCCTGTCACTGCCCTGTTGTGATTAAAAATAAAATAAATTAGGTTGTTGAAATAATAATAATAATAAAGTAAAAATAAACATACAGGGAGGTAACATAGTTGGGATTGGCCAAAGTCGCAGAAACTAATGCATCTTGGGTTATTAAATGACTAAATTAAAAAATAAATAAAATATATTTGTGTTAGTTTTTTTTGTGTATAGTAGTAGTTACTGTTAGAGACAGGATCGTTTTGATCCTTACAATTTAAAAATAATAGATAAACCACAATCAATAATTAAACCAGAAGGGGAAGAATCTACATTAAAAGTAAGACTTCGTAAAACTGGGAATTTTGCATCAGAAAAAGTAACCGTTTGGGCAATTGGCGGAATATTCCATCGTAATTTTAAATCTTGTAAAAGGGGATGGGCTGGTGTATTCTGATCGATATTAATAGTTCCAATTACAGGAATAGACAATACTACAAATTGAACAAAATTAAAAGCTGGGAAGTTATGTTGAAAATAGGTTCCTTCAATGATCAGTGTATCCAACAATGGCATTCCAATTGGGAATCCAACCGGAAGAGATTTGATAGATGTATCAGCTTTGATACTTTAAAAAAAAAGATAAATAAATAAATGGTTAGTTTGAAAGAAAAAAGGGAAAGTTATATATAAATATATATATATTATCACTCTTTGATTCATACCTAATTGATTGAATCTTGGGCAAATCCTTCAGAAAATTAAGGACATTTAGAGTTTGGGATTTGACGGATCCAATCAAAATATTGAATAGTGTCAACTCGGGAAACTCAAATACTTGTGATCCTGATGGTACTGCTCCTATAGTAATTGGATAGTTGGAGGCATCACTAAAAAGTAAAATAACAGTTGTTAATTTAGGGTCGTGATAATGTATGCAATGATTAAATAAATAAACATTTAGAGATAAACGAGAATAATGTACCTACAATTTAGTGATATGTGGTGTTGTTCCAGTGCTACAAGTAAAGTAAGCTGAACTACAGATAGATGCTTGATCTTCTTGAACATTCAAACAGTATTGTCTAATCACCCAAACTGCAGATGCCACTAGTATTGATAAAATAAATGAAAACGTTATGTTAATACAATACTTTAATTTGAATGAATGAATGTATCTATTACCTTCTTCTGATGGCATTACTTGACATTCTGTACATTGAATAACATTGCATACAAGCAATGAAAGAATCAACACCAACAATCTTTCAAAAGTACTCTTAGGTGAGTTTTTCATAGCACTGAATCTATCTTTATTTACTATTGCGAGAAACACAAGTATAGTATGTATGTATACGTTCTAGTATATGTTATAAACTCTCTTTCTGAATAATAATAATGTTATGAAAATATCATATGAACAAAGAATGACACAGTTTAAAACCCATCAAACTAAAGAATCTAACGAATATGATAATTGTAAAAGATATTTTAATGATTTTTTAATTCTTATCTTCTTAAAAAATCCTTGTTGGCGTGAAAAGAACACGATCTTGCGCATGATCGAGACGATGAAAACAGCTTTATTCATATTAACTACGTTATTTTAAAAAGTGATCCACCGAGGTAAGTTTTGATGAATCATCATTATCGTTCATCATCATCATCATCACCATCAGATAGATCGTCATCATCATCATCACCATCAGATAGATCGTCATCCAAAGAGTTGACATAATCGATAAATTCTATTTTAGGAGAAACTGCACTAAGGGAAAAGTGCTTGATGGCTTCTAGACATTCTCTTCGGTTTGGTTGAAGGAGTAGTATCGACCACATGACGTCAAAGAGTTGAATAGATCCTTTCCTGCCGATTGCATAACCACATTCCTCTGTCACCCTTACTGATCTGCTATCTGTTCCGGCATAACTCTTCTCAGTGTCCTCTATGAAATGGTAGTCATACAATAAAGGTTCATTGCTATTATTCTTTTTGAGTGATGCCATGTGTTTTAATAGTCGCCATCCACCAAACTTGAGTTGCAAGACATTCTCCCATTTGTACAAGTTTTCGTCATTCACTGGAAGATGACAAAACAAATCCTTTCTTGCATGTCTCGAAAGGAATGTCACCAATGATGAACACTCTGAATGTCCAATTTCATCGAGAAATTGTCGTACCAATGGATGTAGATTTGGATAGCTGTGACAACAACAATACTTGAGGTCATTGGCTCCCTTTTCGAGTAGCATACGTGCCATCTTTGCATTCCTTACTTGTACATTCCTAACTATGATTTCAAGATCATATATACTTCCTCGGCCGGCAATGTACTTGTCGATGAGGTGTGAGGCCAGCTCGACACCTTCATCGTCATCTCTACTACACACAGTGCGCAAGTTAAAGACAACTTCACTGATCAATGAAAGATGTGAGAACAATGCATATTTGGCTATCGCGTCATCTGGAGTTACTTTTTGATTTTGGAGATACAAGTTGGATGATGGTATGTTCGAGCCAGCGTCACTATTGTTTCGACATGGTTTATCGATTTTATTTGACTCGGATATAAAAGAGAGTTCAAACTGAAGACACATATCCAACTCCATTCTAAGCAGATGTTTATGGATGAGATCTCTCTGTCGAATCTCTGGAACCGGTCTACCTTCGTTGTATGTGTTCCATGTGTCTGATGACTTGACACGATTGGCGAGGTCGAGCAAAAGGTGTAGAGATACCAACTCTTGTATCATCAATGGATTTTGATCGACCAGTTCAGCAGGGAACCTCATTTTGAGGTCATTGATGATTTGATTCTCTGCATGAACCCACCTGACAGTTTCCATGTCTGTTGATTTTACTATTGTTGGTTTGCCAAGCGCCCATCTGATCGACTCCATTCTCTCACCAATATCTTTGATTGCCAGTAGTTGGGTTGGATAGTTCGAAGGAACCTTTCTATGATCCTTATCTTCTCCTCCCAATTTAATCGGAGCCAGTGGAAAGTTATTCACCAACCATTTGTATCCCAAAGAATCATGGTCGAATATCTCTCCATATCCATCAAATTTAACATCCATTTCCTTTAACCATTCAAGGATGTGTATTTGATTGCGATTTGCTGCAGGAGCAAACAAACTCTTTAAATACACCTCTCTGTAGTACTTGTGTTGTTCATTTTGTTGGTGAATTGATTTGACAATATCAAGATGTCCTAGTTTACATATAATTTGCATACACTCGATTGTGTAAATTTGATCTTTGTATTGTGAGTTGTGTATCATTTCAAATTGATGATGATCAGTCACATGTGACAATAAATCATTCATTGTAAGACTATTAAACTTGACAGGTATACCACATTTGATCTTATCGATCACCAAACCAAAATAACCATTCTTTAGCATTCCATCAACATCAGTCCAATCATCATATCGATACAACTCTAAACAATAGATCATCTCTTCATCACTATATCCTCGATAGATTGATGTCTCTCTAATCTCCTTTAATATCTTTCTGAGTAATACTATATTTCTAATTACGTTCCATATTGTTGTTTCTCTTGTTGTTGTTGTTATACTACTACTACTATTCATCTTGAATTTATATAAATCTGATGAACAATGATCATGATTATACAAATAAGAACGCTCATTCTTATAGACGTCAAAAAACTTGGATAGAGCGGATTATCACTGATCTTCAAGTTTATTATTTTTCCTTTTTTATTATTCCCTTTTTTTATTCAAGAATGGATCAGAAGTTATTTGTTGATTTTATCTAACTTGTACTGTATATCATTATTGAATCTTTTGGTTGCACTTTTCTTTTTATACTAATTTTCAAAAGTCCACTTTTCCAAATTTCTCTGGTGATCTCTATTTTCTACCAGAATCACACTTTGGGAGAGTAATAGGGTACAACTAGTCCAATGGTACCTATTTCATTTAAATCCAAGAGTGAAAAAAATTCAACCAAAGTCGGAAAATTGAGGAAAATTTTCAACCAAACTCGGAAATATATATTTCCGACTTTGGTTTTAGAACAGATAATGATTGTTTTCAACCGTTTAAATTGCATATATACATAAAACAGTATATTTTATTAGGATATGCCGATGGATTTTACTTGATCTCAAAATTTTATCATATGGACGAGGCACTTTTTCTGCCAGTCATTCCCCCATAGTAATTTGGCTTTTTTTCCAAGTCCACCATAGTCATGAGTCTTTGGCGCCCATAGTAAAACTACTAAATGTTTGACCCAAAAAATATTTTATAGTTTTGTTGTTTTTAAAGATACTATATATATATTCTCTATTATTGTTGTAGTTTATTGTTATATACTTTTGGTCAATGTTTGTACGATTTTTGGTTTTTCAAAAAAAGTACTATTTTGCTACTTTTTACCTTTAATTTTAAAATAAACTTAAAAACTCTTGTGGTAGTAGATGTAGCATCATTAGATACACCTTTTGGAATAGTTGAAATTTGTTGACATTAATTTTTGTTCATAAAAAGTGGCAAATTATTCTTGGTGTTTTTTTTTCAAAAAATTTTAAAGGGTCAATCAATATAATCGATGCAACTCCGATGGCAACAGCACCAACAACTCCAACAACAACACCAACAATGATTCTCCATGTATTGGATTTACTGTCACATCCACTGTCAGCATTCTTGTCGATTAATAATGGTGTGAAATCTGGATCGATGATGCTTTCTGATGATTGTGGCATACTTATTCCAATTAATATAATTGATTGTTGATCATCTAATGAAGCAGTTTTGTTGACAATCGATGTTCTCGAGAATGTTGGTCTTCCATCAGATAATACATAATCGATAAATCTACCTGTGAATTGAATATTATCTTTTACCACTCTAAGATATTGAATAGAGTTGGATAGTTGATCGTAGCTGAGTGTATCAATATTGACATCTTGACAATCAAATTCGATTGATTGGTCATTGTTGATTGTTGTTTTGAAGATGACTCTGAGTGTTGTCAAGAATGTGTTGAATGTCCAATTACTAATGTTGACTGATAGTTTGATTGAATTGGCATCGATATGAAGCTGTTGTGAACCCAAATTGAATATCTCTTGGTTGTTGTGAGAATGATATCGTTGCTGTTACTAATGCTGTTGTATCACTGTTGTTGAGTTGATAGTTGACTGTTGTTGTTTGTGTTTGATTATCTGTCAATATCGTTGAGCTCCAACTGTTTGTCAATACTTCGTTGATGATATTATTATCGGTGTCTATTTCTTGAATGGCAATCATTTCAAATTGGAAATCAATTCCATCGATATCAAATGATGTTGTTGGTGATGTTGTATTGGGTGTGTTTGTGTGATTGCTTGTTTTTGTCAAACAATTATCGATTGAACTATATTCAGTATCACATTTACACTTCCCATTGATACATTGACCATGACCATAACAATTAAATGGACATGTTAATTCACCACCACTGCCATCACTATCCGAACCTGATCCAGAACCAGATGACTGCGATGAAGGTTTAAAATAAATCCAATTATTTCCATTATTTGTTGAATTATCAACAGTCAATCTGACCAATGCCAAACCATCAGTTGGTTCACTGACCAATGTACAATTAATCAATGTTTGTGATTTTGATGTAACTTGACAATCAGTACTATTCAAAGTGATTGATACAATAGTTTGATTGAATGGTCCAAAATCACCATAGATACTGATCAATCTTCGATCATTTATATCGTATGATCCCGATGCAAAAGTAGGATATTCTACAAAATAAAAATAATTAATATTAATATATTTCCATTATTCAACATTTTCTATACATACTCTTTGAACATTGATCAGAATAATAACCAGTATCACAAATACAAATACCATTAATATTACAGGTACCACGACCCGAACAACCATTATAAGTACACAAACTTTCAAGAGTTGTCAAGTTGGCCATCATTGGAGCGGATGGGAAACCTAGGACTGTTATTGTTATATTTGTCAATCCAATACCTGGCCAGTATTTTGCTTGGGTACATTCAACCATGGATGAATTATCCATAGTCATAATATTACAAATAGAAGGATCACCATTAAAGTATACTGCCACTTGATCCATTGAGGTTGTTGCAAAGTTACCAGTGAATCTATAGACTGAACCAACATTGATTAAACTATCCCATTTTTCCAATACTACACCGTAAGGGTATAAAACTATAAAAAGAATGTTAAGTAAATATGGATATATTTTATCAATTATAAGTTGAATATAATTACCAAAAATATAAAATTCTGAATCAAAACTATAATATTGATTGGATACTGTTAATTTAAGTTGGTCATTGGATTTCAATAAGTTTCCTTGAACAGTACAACGCAGGTTACCACCTGGAACTGGTATTGATGGGTCAGTACAATCGATTGTATTATTTAATTTGACAGTGTGTGGCAGAAAATTATTAATATGAGATACTTGAAAAAAAATAACAATGGTACGAGGAGCGACTTGACTATACGATACACCACCAAAAAAGTAAACTCCAACTTCTAAAAGTGTAAAGTTAAATTGGTAGGCAGTTGGATAGAATTTATCCAATGAAAAGGTAGCATTTTTTGGTGGACCTGTTCCAAATGATATATCATATAAACTATTTAATAAATAAAATATTGATTGATGAATAATTAATATTAATATCTTTAATTAATATCTTTTTCCTGAAAAGATATGAATGATATGGTTGCTTGATTGATTGATAAATTACCTTAGTTGTTTGTTTGGAGTTATTGAAGATAGATAATATTTACCATCAATCATATCTTCTCTTCCATATCCAATGTTTTGTCCGGTAATGTTTCCCCTCCCCAATACAGTATAAATCATTGTTAAATCAAAAGTAATATCTGGAAATATAATATGAGTAGATTAAAAATTAATTTGATTATTTTTAACTATTAGTGTTATTTGTTTAAAAAACAATGTTTACATACTGCATTTAAAACCAGCATCGAGGACAATATCAGTTTGAACATATAAAGAATTCTTTTGATAACAAAGGAAACATTCAGGTACATTGGTAATCAATGGACACCCTTTAATATACAATCGATTATTACAAAATGATTGCGGTATCGATGTTGACAGTGCAGTATTGTTGGTTACATCGAGAAGGATATTATTTGCATTTTGGAAATTTGACCATTGAATTCCACCTTGAAACTTGTTATTTGCATATTGTCTAGTATGTAAATGATTTGGTTGGTTTAGTTAATGAAATAATCAGAGGTTTGGTTTTGTTTGGATGCATACAAATAGGTAACATTTTTTAATGGAATGTTTGGGAATACTGTAAAGTTACTATTGGTAGCTGTAATAGCTATCAAGGTACCTGGAAATTGTGTTAGTGGTAGAGCAGTTGCTGCCGAGTGAGTATATTCTCTAAATAAAACAAACTATGTTTAGTATTGATTTGAAGGAGTGCGTTTTTAAATATTTCAACACATACAATCCAACTAATTTTGGAAATGCACTCAATGGAGGTGAAAAGGTTGTAGAATACCCTTTCAATGACCTAAATAAAGAAAATAAATTAGGTTTGGGAATAATCACGATTAAAAATAAATATATATATTTTGACGTACAGTGAGGTAATATAGTTGGGACTGGACAAAGATGCATTTACTATTGCATCTTCTGATGATAATTTGCTAAATAAATAAAAAGATAATTAATACATGTGTTAATTTAAACCTTTATAAAGGGTTCAAAGAATGAATGAAAATAAGTTCTTACAAATTAGCAAGATATGACAAACCGCAATTTATATTTAAACCAGCTGGGGCAGCCTCTACATTAAAAGCAATGGCTTGTAAAACTGGGAATATTTGATCAGAAAGAGAGATCGTTTGGGCGAGTGGTGGAATAAACAATTGAAGGGACAAAAATTGTAATTTGGGATGGACTGGTGTATTTTGGTCGATCGTCACCGTTCCAAGCACAGGAATGGACATCTGAACCAATTGGGGAAAATTAAATACAATGTTTTGTTGAAGATAGGTTCCTCCTATCATAAATGAATGCAGCATTGGCATTCCAACTGGGAATCCATCTGGAAGAAATATAATAGATGTATCATATTTGATACTGTAAATAAAGAAAGGTTAGTTTAGATAGATAGTACGTAAAATGGACTCTTTAGATCTTTCATACTCTATGGATTCGAGCATGGGCAAATCCTTTAGAAAATTAAGGATGTTAAGAGATGGAGAACTAACAAATCCAACAATAATACTGATTACAGCTAACTCGGGAAATTCAAATATTTGTGATCCTGATGGTGCTTGTCCTGTAGTAATGGGATAAAATGAAACTACACTAATTATGTTTAAATGTTAGGTCATAACTTTTATGGCATATATACAATGCAGTTACTTACATTTTAATGATATGTGGTGTTGTTCCAGTGCTACAAATAAAGTAACCTGAACTACAGATAGCTGTTTGATCTTCTTGAACATTCAAACAGTATTGTCTAATCACCCAAACAGCAGATGCCACTAGTATAAATTATAAAAAATTAATTAATCATTTTTATCACCAAAAAATCATGATGTCTCTCAATCTTACCTTCGTCTGGTGGCATTACTTGACATTCTGAATATTGAATAACATTTAATAAAAGTAAAAAGAAGAGAAAATGTATACAATTATTATGTGTTTTTGCCATTATCTTTGTTTGAATTGAGCTAATGATGTTTGTTTAGGAACAAAAGTAAAAAGAAGCAAAAGATCAAAAAAAAAAAAAGAATCCATTGTTAAAAGATACTATAAGAATCTAGATACCAAACAATCAAGATTATTAAATAACCCGACGATCATTTTTTACTATTTTCAGGTTAATAAGATAATCTTGCAATTAATAAATCCTGTGCATCAAATAATAATCTTTATTTATATTAAATTAATTCATTTTTGCTAATTTATGTTGCATTTTATCGTTGTATCTCTTTGTTGTTTGCTTCTTTTTAATCAATATAATGGATGCTACTCCGATGGCAACAGCACCAACAACTCCAACAACAACACAAACAATGATTCTCCATGTATCGGATTTACTGTCACATCCATTGTCATTACTCTTGTCGATTAATAATGGTGTGAAATCTGGATCGAGGGAACATGATTGGCATTGTGGCATACTTATTCCAATTAATATAGTTGATTGTGATTGATCACCTGATTCATCAGTTTTGTTGATAATTGATGTTTTAGAGAATGTTGGTCTTCCATCAGATAATACATAATCGATAAATCTACCTGTGAATTGAATATTATCTTTTACCACTCGTAGATATTGAATAGAGTTGGATAGTTGATCGTAGCTGAGTGTATCAATATTAACATCTTGACAATCAAATTCGATTGATTGGTCATTGTTGATGGTTGTTTTGAAGATGACTCTGAGTGTTGTCAAGAATGTGTTGAATGTCCAATTACTAATGTTGACTGATAGTTTGATTGAATTGGCATCGATGTGAAGTAGTTGTGAACCAAATTGAATATCTCTTGGTTGTTGTGAGAATGATATCGTTGCTGTTACTAGTGCTGTTGTATCACTGTTGTTGAGTTGATAGTTGACTGTTGTTGTTTGTGTTTGATTATCTGTCAATATCGTTGCTGTTGTTGTTGTTGTATCACTGTTGTTGAGTTGATAGTTGACTGTTGTTGTTTGTGTTTGATTATCTAATGATAATGTTGAATTCCAACTGTTTGTCAATACTTGATTGATGATATTATCATCAGTGTCTATTTCTTGAATGGCAATCATTTCAAATTGGAAATCAATTCCATCGATATCAAATGATGTTGTTGGTGATGTTGTATTGGGTGTGTTTGTGTGATTGCTTGTCTTTGTCAAACAATTATCGATTGAACTATATCCAGTATCACATTTACATTTCCCATTGATACATTGACCGTGACCATAACAATTAAATGGACATGTTAATTCATTACTATCTGATCCAGAACCTGATCCCTGTGATGAAGGTTTAAAATAAATCCAATTATTTCCATTATTTGTTGAATTATCAACAGTCAATCTGACCAAAGCCAAACCATCAGTTGGTTCACTGACCAATGTACAATTAATCAATGACTGTGATTTATATGTAACTTGACAATCAGTATTATTCAAAGTGATTGATACAATAGTTTGATTGAATGGTCCGAAATCACCATAGATACTGATCAATTTTCTATCGTTTAAATCATATTCTCCCGATGCAAAAGTAGGATATTCTAAAAATAATAATTTTAATTAATTTTTTTCCTTTTCTATTTTTAATTTTTTAATTATCTATACATACTCTGTGAACATTTATCAGAATAATAACCAGTATCACAAATACAGGTACCGTTTTGATCACAAGTACCATGACCCGAACAACCATTAGAATAAATACATAAACTTTGAACTGATGTTATATTGGCAAATATAGGGGTGGAGGAGAACCCATTGACAGATATTGTAATATTTGTCAATCCAATACCTGGCCAGAATTTAGTTTGGTTGCATTGCATTAGACCTAAAATAAAAGACCTAACATTACAAATGGATGAATCCCCATTAAAGTATACAGCCACTTGATCCATTGTAGCTGATCCAAAACTGCCTGTAAAGTCATAGGCTGAACCAACTTTGATAATACTATCCCAATTTGCCAATACCATATTTGATGGATAGTATGCTAATAGAATAGAAAATAAAAAGAATTATTAATAATTATTTCTTTTTTTTTCTCTTCTCCTCTGTTTTTTTTTTTTTTTTTGAGAAATATATTTATAGTTACATGTCATGTTTACAGTTTTGTCAAGTTGGTATTGGGAATTGGAGACTGCGAAATTCCAAGTGTCACCTTGTTTGAATGAATGTCCTGTAATATTGCAATACACAATGGTATTGGTAGTTATCTGACCAACTGGTGAAGTGATACAATCGATTGCATTATTTACTTTGATGGTGTGAGTAATAAATGAATTGAGTGCATTGGCAAAAACTTGAAATTGAATAGTCTGTGATGCGAGTTGTTTATATGTTACATCTCCCTCCATCATTATACCAACTTCCACTGTTGTAAATGTGAACTCGTATTCTGGATAAAAGCTATCCAACCTGATTAAAATAGGTCTTGGTGGTCCAGCTGGAGATAAATCTTCTACTCTATCAATTATAGTAAAAATAAATAAATAAATAAATAATTACAAACAAATAATAATAATAAAAATGTTTCAACTTACTCTATGATTCTGTTTGGAATGACAGGTCTTAAATTGTATTGAAAATCAACCGACATGCTTCCATATCCAATATTTTGTCCATTGATATAACCATATCCAAATATAGTATAAATATTTGTCGATTGAAATGTAATATCTAGATAGAAAAAAAAAAAAAGAAAAAGGAATAAATATTAAATATTAATAAAAGTTATATTGGTGAGATAGAGTCTCACGTTCCAATTGATGGTAACATACTGCAAGTAAAACCAGGGTCTAGAACAATGTCTGTGTAAACATTCTCAGTATTCTTTTGGTAACAAAGGAAACATTCAGGTACAACGGTAATACCTGGACATTGATAGAGATTCAATCTATTATTGCAAAATGATTGTGGAATCGCAGTCACCAAGTCAGTATTGCTAGATACATCGAAATATATATTATTGGCATCCTGCAATGCACTCCAAGGAATGTCACCTTGTAGCTTGTTGCCAGCGAGTTGTCTGTGTAGAGTAAGTCGTTGATTAATAAAAATGAAATCATTTAAATTATAAAGTGTTGGGTTTTAAACATACATTGTTTTTACATTATTGATTGGAATGTTTGGGAATGCCGTTAACTGTCCGACAGTTGAAGAAAATGTTTCAAGTGAATTAGGGTACTGACCTGTAAATGGAAAATTGGTAAATGTAGCAAATTGATAGGTTCTAAATATAAATAAATAAATATTATTATTATTAGTTTTGGATTCATTCCAATGATGATCAAATAACTATTATTATTCATTATTATTATTACTATTATTATTATATATGATTACATACAGAGTAACTATATTTGTAAAACTATCTATTGAAGGATATAGCTTTATTGGTGCACCTTGAAGCCTCCTATAATAAATTTAGAAAATACACATTATTAATAAAATGACCGAATTTAAAAAAAAAAGAAAGAAAGAAAGAGTGAAAGAAAGTATTTCTATGACTACATACAATAAGGTTATAGATTGAGGATTCAATATATATACAACAGAATCAGTTGCAGATTGAGGTGATGAAAGAGTACTGTTAGAAATAATAATATTAGGTTAGTTAGAAGGTTGTTGACAAGAGTATCTGGATCTCATCCAATCCAATCGAATCTATTCATTTCTACTTACAAACTTTTAGGATTTGAAACATTACAATAGGTTGTCAATGCTTTTGATGAAATAACAGACAAAAGAGTGATGTCTTCCAACGCTGGGAATGATTGAGCAGTAAACGATATGGTACGGTCGGTTGCCAAGTATACCCCAATATTTAACTTTTTCAGGTTTGGATGTATAGGAGTGGTCTCATCGATGGCGACGTACCCAAACACTTCAAATTGGACACTCTCAATAGCAGGACCAAAATTAAATATAACGTCGTGTTGAAATTTAGCACCTTGAACCGAAAAGAAAGTTAATAATGGCAAAGAAGGTCCAAAATTTGGAGGCAACATATTAGCGGTTGAATCTGATTTAATACTATAAATATTAAAGAATGAATATTAGTGTTTATCGATCGGATTGAAAGGTTACATCATAATATGATCACTTAACTTACTCAATAACTCGTAGACTAGTCATACTAGCTGTGATGAATTCCAAAATATTTGTGTTTGGCTTTGTAAAAGATATTGAAGCAGTGATTTTCAGATTCACCAACTCTGGGAAATCAAATTGACTCACTCCTGTTGGTGTTGTAGTAGTTGTAGTTGAATACCCAACTAAATTACTTTTTTTTTTTAAAGAGATAGAGATAGAGAGATAGAGAGAGAGAGAGAGATAGTAGTGTTAGTGAGATTCGAATCGATTTGTTGCATGTCTCATCAAGTATAGATACAAACATATTAGTGATATGACGAGGTGTTCCTGTTGAACATGTAAAGTAACCTGAACTACAAATACTGTTTTCAACTTGTGTAATCGAACTACCATATTTTTGAATGATCCATATCGCAGAGTTTACTATATTGTATATTATTAAAATGTAGATGAGTAAGTATCAGTTACATGTTTGATTGAGTTGTCTCGTGATACTGATAGATAGATAGACAGATGCAAACATACATTCAGATGCTGGTAGCTGACATTCTACATGATCGATTATATTACATATCGTTAAAAGAACAATGAGAATGAAGATCACAACTTGACCGTGGGTTCGAACAATTTCTTTTTTTTTTTTTTTTTGTGTGTCTATGTATGAGTGTGTGTGTGTGTTTGTAGGATGGATGATAGTGAGTCTAAGTCTATAGTCCAAAGGTTATGTGATCGGAAACCATCCCAAATGATGAAATACCGAGATATTTTTCAAAGTTTGTTGAGAGGTGTTGGGATTTTGGAATGAATTCCCGAAACTATTGATCGGGGTTCTCAAACATGCACTCAACCCGAGTTAAAATTGAAGAATCTGATCATTTTTTGTAATTTATTATTCTACATTGTTGAGAGTTTATGTTGCAACAAGTCTTATTGTGTCTTTTAATAATTCTTTTCTTTTTCATTAATATAATCGATGCTACTGCGATGGCAACAGCACCAACAACTCCAACAACAACAACAACGATTCTCCATCTATTGGATTTACTGTCACATCCACTATCATTGTATCTAGAATTTATGCATTTATTTAATTATTTATTCTATCCAATTTGTACTGCATATCATTATTGAATCGTTTGGCTGTATTTTTCTTTTTAATCAAGATAATCGATGCTACTCCGATGGCAACAGCACCTGCTACTCCAACTACGACACCAACAATGATTCTCCATGTATTCGATTTACTGTCACATCCACTGTCAGCACTCTTGTCGATTAATAATGGTGTGAAATCTGGATCGAGGATGCTTTCTGATGATTGTGGCATACTAATTCCAATTAATAGAGCTGATTGTTGATCATCTAATGAAGCTGTTTTGTTGACGATTGATGTTCTAGAGAATGTTGGTCTTCCATCAGATAATACATAATCGATAAATCTACCTGTGAATTGAATATTATCTTTTACCACTCTAAGGTATTGGATGTTGTTGGATAGTTGATCGTAGCTGAGTGTATCAATATTAACATCTTGACAATCAAATTCGATTGATTGATCATTGTTGATGGTTGTTTTGAAGATGACTCTGAGTGTTGTCAAGAATGTGTTGAATGTCCAATTACTAATGTTGACTGATAGTTTGATTGAATTGGCATCGATATGAAGCTGTTGTGAACCAAATTGGATATCTCTTGGTTGTTGTGAGAATGATATCGTTGCTGTTACTAGTGCTGTTGTTGTTATTGTATCACTGTTGTTGAGTTGATAGTTGACTGTTGTTGTTTGTGTTTGACTATCTATCAATATCGTTGAGATCCAACTGTTTGTTAATACTTGATTGATGATATTATCATCAGTGTCTATTTCTTGAATGGCAATCATTTCAAATTGGAAATCAATTCCATCGATATCAAATGATGTTGTTGGTGATGTTGTATTGGGTGTTATAGTATGATTGGTTGTCTTTGTCAAACAATTATCAATTGAACTATATCCAGTATCACATTTACATTTCCCATTGATACATTGACCGTGACCATAACAATTAAATGGACATGTTAATTCACCACCACTGCCATCGCTATCTGACCCTGAACCTGATGACTGTGATGAAGGTTTAAAATAAATCCAATTATTTCCATTATTTGTTGAATTATCAACAGTCAATCTGACCAAAGCCAAACCATCAGTTGGTTCACTGACCAATGTACAATTAATCAATGACTGTGATTTATATGTAGCTTGACAATCAGTACTATTCAAAGTGATTGATACAATAGTTTGATTGAATGGTCCGAAATCACCATAGATACTGATCAATTTTCTATCATTTTCATCATACTCTCCCGAACTAAAAGTTGGATATTCTAAAAATAATAATATTAATATCTTATATTTTTTTTAATTAGTTTTTTTACTTATCTACATACTCTCTGAACATGTATCAGAATAATAACCAGTATCACAAATACAATTTCCGTTTTGATTACAAGTTCCATGACCCGAACAACCAGTATCATTACATAAACTTTCAAGTGATGTTAAATCAACAATTATTGGAGTTGACATGAAACCATCGACAGATATCGTAATATTTGTCTCACCACCTTGCCAATATTTTGTTTGATTACATTGAATATTTGTAAAACTTTTAAGTGTAACAATACAAATGGAAGGGTCACCATTAAAGTATATAATAGTTTGGTTCATAGGCCCATTACCATAATTACCAATGAAACCATATCTTGAACCAACACTAATAATACTATCATAAAAATTCAATGAAACATCTGTTGGGTAGAATGCTATAATAGAAAAATGAATGGTTAATTAATTATTTAAAAACTAGTTGCTTTAAATATTATTATTATTGATAGTTACAAGAAATTGTGAGATACTCATGTACAATATAATAAGGGTTTGTAATTGTGTATTTTAAATTGTCACCTTGTTTAAAAGAATGTCCGGTAACGTTGCAATACAAATAATTACCCTTGCTTACCACACCAGTAATTAAACAATTGATATTATCATTTATAGTGATATTATGTTGGAGATAGGGATTGATCACTTCGACAAAGACATGAAACTGAACAATACCTGGTGGTATTTGCTCATAATATACACCCAAGTGAGCTGGTATTTTAATACCAACTTCAAGTACAGTAAAGTTAAACTTGTACTCTGGGTAATGACCATCCATAACAAGCGTAATATTTCTTGGTGGTCCAACTTCTATCAAAGAGTCTGCAAATCTAGATAGAAATAAAATTAACTTAATTAATCATATATATATACAACTTATGAGGAGATGTGATAAATACATCAATTGTTTGTTTGGTATTTCAGCAACTAAAAGGTATCGATTGTCAAAGGAACCATACCCAATGTTTGTGCCATACAGTGCAGCTTGTCCAAATACAGTGTATAACATGGTTGAATTAAATGTAATATCTAAATAAATAAGAATAGATTAAAAAATATTAATATTATTCAATTTAAATTGTATTACAACAACAATAACATACTACATGTGAAACCTGGATCAAGAACTATATCAGTTCTAACATAAAATCTATTATTTTGGTAACATTTAAAACATTCTGGTAGATCGGTAATCAATGGACACCCATCGATATACAATCTATTATTACAAAATGATTCTGGTACGATGGTTGTTAATCCTGTATTAAATGATACATCCAATAAAATATTATTTGCATTTTGAAAGTTATTCCATGGAATAGCTCCTTGCAACTGATTTTTATCATATGTACTAATTGAAAATAAATAAATAAATAAATAAATAAATAAATAAATAAATAAATAAATAAAGAAAATCTAAAATTATATTTAGAGATAGATAGGAGACACATACACGCTTTTCAAATTGTTAACTGGTATGTTTGGGAAAGCTACTAAATTTGTTTCAGAAACATCAATCAAGGCCAATGAATCGGGATACTTTGTTAATTGAAGTGAGCTCAAGGTAGACTGACTCAATTCTCTAAAATGATTCAAAAATAGAGTAAGTAATTATTTTTTAATATGATAATATCTCTCTGATGATGATGATAGAGATGAGCAATGAACATACAATGATAGTAAATTTGTAAAATTGATCAATGGAGGTGAGAGAGTTGAATACCCAGATGCAAAACTATAAACAAATTAAAATGATATTAATATTTTTTTTGATTTGAGATATTTATAATTGAATTAGATTAATAACATACAGTGAAATAAGGGATTGAGGATATAGTAGGTTTATATGGACCTCAACTTGAGATGCCACAGTACTTGAATGAAAAGAAAATAAAATAAATAATTAAAAGTTTGTTAAAAAAAAAATATATATATTTCTTCTTCTTCTTTTTCTTTTCTTTCTACAACATACAGTGAAGTAATACTTGACGCGTTACAATGAAGAGCCAATGGCTGACTTCCAAGAACTGGAGTAATGGTTAGAGTGGTCAGTGCTGGGAACGATTGATTGGTAAATGCAAATGTCTGGGGAATGGCCAACAATTTAGCATTGATGTTTAATTTTGTTAATTTGGTATGAACAGGTGTACTTTGATCGACGATAAGAGCTCCAGTAATACCAAACGTGAGCTCGGTAATAGTCGGTCCAAAATTAAACACTAGGTATTGTTGAAACATGGCACCCTCAACAGAAAAGTAGCTCAACATTGGCAAACTACTCCAAAATCCAGATGGTAGTAATGTTACCTTTGGATCGGATCGTAAACTAAATAATACAAACACAGAAAAGTAATTAAACAATATATTAATATTTTAATCAAGAGTATACTTGCAACGATTGTAGATTGTAACATACCGGAGCCTTTGTAGTTTGGGCGAACTCCCCATGATTAAATCCAATATATTAATATCTGCCACGACAGCCTGCATAGCTATGATATCAAGTTCTTCCAACTCTGGGAAATTAAATTGACTCAATCCTGAATTTGGGAGACCTGCAACAGCTGTTGTAGGGTATGAAAGCATCACTCTAAAGATAGATAAATAAATGAAATGTTAGTTTTAGTCCATTTAATATGATAGATATAAATAAATATAGATACTTACATTTTAGTGATATGAGGAGTAGGTGTTCCTGTCGAACAAGTAAAGTACAATGAACTACAAATAGATGTTTGATCTTGTCCAATATTGCAACTGTATTGTCTAATGATCCATATTGCAGAGTTTACTAAATATATGAAAAGAGATCGAGATGAGAGAAAAGTGATGATTAGGGAGGGATACAGTAAATCGATCATTAAATATGATCCAACGTAATACATACATTCTGTAGTTGGTAATGATTGACATTCTACTACATGATTGATATAATTATTACTACTGATAACAAATAATAGTAAAAGAACTATAAAAGGTCGACAACCAAATAAAGGCCGAACACCCATCAGATGATTCTTCTTTTTTTTTTTTTTTTTTTTTTGAACAACCCAAAACAATTAATTGTTTTGTTATTTATTTGTTTGTATATAAATCTATTGATGGATGATACTATTGATCAATAGTTCGGACAACCCAATTGGGTTCGGGGATTAATATTAATAATTGGACAACCCATCTTATTTCGGGATTCATTAAATAGATAGATTCCGATGCGGAATCCTCCAAAATATCAAAGATCCCAAAACTATCGACCCCGACAATCGGATATTATTCTTTTTTAGTTCATTCTAGCGAGTTTATGTTGCATATCTGCATTGTATCTTTTAGCCACCCTTTTCTTTTGAACCAAAATAATGGATGCCACTGCAATGGCAACAACACCGAATACTCCGACTACGACTCCAACGACGATCCTCCACGTATTTGATTTACTGTCACATCCACTATCGCTGCTCTTGTCGATTAATAATGGTGTGAAATCTGGATCGATGATGCTTTCTGATGATTGGGGCATACTAATTCCAATTAGCAGAGTTGATTGTTGATCATTTGATGACGAGGCAGTTTTGTTGACGATTGATGTTCTAGAGAATGTTGGTCTTCCATCTGATAATACATAATCGATAAATCTACCTGTGAATTGAATATTATCTTTCACAACTCGTAGATATTGAATAGAGTTGGATAGTTGATCGTAGCTGAGTGTATCAATATTAACATCTTGACAATCAAATTCGATTGATTGGTCATTGTTGATGGTTGTTTTGAAGATGACTCTGAGTGTTGTCAAGAATGTATTGAATGTCCAATTACTAATGTTGACTGATAGTTTGATTCAGTTGGCATCGATGTGAAGTAGTTGTGAACCAAATTGAATATCTCTTGGTTGTTGTGAGAATGATATCGTTGCTGTTACAAGTGCTGTTGTATCACTGTTGTTGAGTTGATAGTTGACTGTGGTTGTTTGTGTTTGATTGTTAACAATTATCGTTGAATTCCAACTGTTTGTCAATACTTCGTTGATGATATTATCATCAGTGTCTATTTCTTGAATGGCAATCATTTCAAATTGGAAATCAATTCCATCGATATCAAATGATGTTGTTGGTGATGTTGTATTGGGTGTGTTTGTGTGATTGCTTGTCTTTGTCAAACAATTATCAATCGAACTGTAACCTGGTTGACACTGACATTTCCCATTGATACATTGACCATGACCATAACAATTAAATGGACATGTTAATTCATTACTATCTGATCCTGAATCCGACCCTGAACCTGATCCCTGTGACGAAGGTTTAAAATAAATCCAATTATTTCCATTATTTGTTGAATTATCAACAGTCAATCTGACCAATGCCAAACCATCAGTTGGGGTTCACTGACCAATGTACAATTAATCAATGACTGTGATTTATATGTAACTTGACAATCAGTATTATTCAAAGTGATTGATACAGTAGTTTGATTGAATGGTCCGAAATCACCATAGATACTGATCAATTTTCTATCATTTAAATCATAAGATCCTGATCTAAAAGTTGGATATTCTAAAAATAATAATAATAATAATGATATTAATATTTAGAATTATTTTTAATTTAATTTTTTAATTATCTATACATACTCTGTAAACATTTATCAGAATAATAACCAGTATCACAAACACAAGTTCCATTAATATCACAAGATCCATGACCCGAACAACCAGTATCATTACATAAACTTTGAATTGTTTTCAAATCAACCATAATAGGGTTGGCTGTGAAACCATCAACTGATATTGTAATATTTGTCTCACCACCCTGCCAAAATTTTGTTTGGTCACATTGAATATTTGATTGATTTTTAAATGTAACATTACAAATGGAAGGGTCCCCATTAAAGTATATAATAGTTTGGTCCATGGGTCCTGTACCATATTTACCCGAGAAATTATATGTTGAACCAACACTTATAATACTATCTCTTGTATCCAATACAACATCTGCTGGATAGAATACTAAAAGATTAAAAATGAATAGATAAATAATTAATATTAATTCTTTAATTAATATTAATGAATAGATAAATAATTAATATTAATTCTTTAATTAATATAGAGTGATAAATCTAATTACCTTGGTAAACTATGATATCCTGTTGAAATGTGTAATAAGGATTTGATATTGTGTATTTCAAAGTGTCACCTTGTTTGAATGAATGTCCTGAAATATTACAATACAAATACCCATCTACTATCAAACCGGTGATTACACAATCGATATTATCGTTGATACTGATGGTATGGTCGAGATAGGGATTCATAGTCGCCAAAGACTTCAATTGAACAACCTGCGTTGGCAGTTGTACAAAAGTTGTCTGCGTTATTGAAATGCCAATCTCCAGTACTGTGATGTTATACTTGTATTCAGGGTAATTACCATCCATAACAAGCGTAATATTTCTTGGTGGTCCAGTTTCTAGTTGATTGTCATAGAACCTAACCAAAAATAAATAATTAATAAATTAATTAAGAAATAAGAGAAAGCAAGAGGTGTGATGATAAATACCTTAGTTTTTTGTTTGGTATTTCAGGAGTTAAAAGGTATCGATTGTTTACATAATATCCATAACCCAGATTTGTTCCAAACAAGGTACCGTATCCCAATACAGTGTATAACATGGTTGAATTAAATGTAATATCTTTTTTAGATTAAAATAGAAAAATATTAATAAATATTTAATATTATTTAAATTTGCATTTGTATTACAACAACAATAACATACTACATGTGAAACCTGGATCAAGAACTATATCAGTTCTAACATAAAATCTATTATTTTGGTAACATTTAAAACATTCTGGTAGATCGGTAATCAATGGACACCCATCGATATACAATCTATTATTACAAAATGATTCCGGTACGATGGTTGCTAATCCTGTATTAAATGATACATCCAATAAAATATTATTTGCATTTTGAAAGTTATTCCATGGAACAGATTCTATCTGATTATGATCCAGTGTTCTTAAAAATAAAATAATAAATAAATAAATACTCAATTATATTTAATCGGTTATCGATAGATAGATAGGTCTGGCACATACATGCTTTTCAAATTTCTAATTGGTATATTTGGGATAGCTGCTAAATTTGTACTAGTAACTTGGATTGCAGAAAAATACTCGGGATATTCTGTGAATGGAAGTGAGCTCAAGGTGGACTGACTCAATGCTCTAAATTGAATTTGATTAGTAACCTACTTGTGTCTTTTGTATCTGTCTCTTTAAACATACAATAATGATAATTTTGTAAATTGATCCAATGAAGGTAATAGAGTTGAGAACCCTGATGCCATGCTATAATTATAACAACCAATTAAAAAATAAGATATCTTTTTAATATTTTGATTTATCAAATAATAATAATAATAATAAAGTTGTCATTGGGTTACATACAGTGTCATAACGGATTGAGGATATTCAATGTATAAATGAACTTCACTTTGTGATGTTACAACACTTTACGTTTTACAAAAAAAAAAATCTATTAGAATTATTTCTTCTTTTTCTTTTCTTCTTCCTTTTTCTTATTTTAAATAACTTACAGTGTGTGCATGGTTGATGCGTTACAATACACTATTAATGACATACTATTACTTTGGGGAGAAATGGAGAGTGATGTCAGTGCTGGGAACGATTGGTTTGTAAATGTGATTGATTGGGGAACCAACAATTTGACATTGATGTTTAATGATGCCAAGTTGGTATGGACAGGTGTACTTTGGTCAATGATAAGAGCTCCTACAATAGCAAACTTGAGGTCGGTAACAGTAGGTCCGAAATCAAACACAATGTCATGTTGAAAATAAACATTTTCAACAAGAAATGATTTTAACATTGGTAAACTATACCCAAGCCCAGATGGAAGTGATGTTATCGATGTATCGGATCGTAAACTATACAATATAGGATGGAATGATTAATAAGCTTGAACCATATCTTGACTTGACTTTATAAACTTACAACAGCTTTTGAAGTTTGGGAGCGCTACCCTTGATTAAATCCAATATATTAAGAGATGGTGATATGGGAGCCTGCACAGCAATGATATCGATCTCTACCAACTCTGGGAAATCAAATTGATTCAATCCTGCATTGGGTAAGAGACCAGTAGTCGTTGTAGGGTATGAAAGCATAACTCTGATTAAAAATTAATTTTTAAATGTAAGATATTGTTAGTTAGTTTGTATCAATGCATTGATTCTGTTACAGTATTCAGCCAGACCCTATATAATTTTAGTCTATACATACATTTTAATAATATGAGGAGTAGGTGATGCAGCTGAACAAACAAAGTACAATGAACTACAAATAGATGTTTGATCTTGTGGTAGATCACTACCGTATTGTCTAATGATCCATATTGCAGAGTTTACTAGTAAAATAAAATGTAATCATCAGATGATAGAGATAAAAAGTTAGTATACATGTAACAATTAAAACAAATACTCTTCAAACTTTGTATACATATACATACATTCTGTCGTTGGTAATGATTGACTTAATGCTACATGATTATTACTACTACTAATACTGATAACGAACAATAGCAAAAGCACTGTGAACCATCGACTAAAAAATAAAAGGTGAACACCCATCAGATTATTCTTTTTTTTTTAATTGTACAAATCGATCCTCCCCATTATCTAAGGTAGGTTGATTAAGGAAGGTATAATTAATTAATTAATTAATTAATTAATGAAATAATCGATTTATTCGTTAATCGGTATCTATCTGGAAATATCTACTTGGGGGTTATAATATAAAATTGAATCAATAAAATATCTTACAATCGACAAAATAATCAAGCTAAAAGTCTATATATAGTCAAGATATTATATTAATATTATTAAAAGAAGAAGTTTTTATTATTACTCATCCATTCGAGAGAGTTTATGTTGAATATTCTTATTGAATTGTAGAATCATTCTTTTCTTTTTAATCAATATAATAGATGCCACTGCAATGGCAACAGCACCAACAACTCCAACAACAACACCAACAATGATTCTCCATGTATTGGATTTGATACATCCACTGTCATTACTCTTGTCGATTAATAATGGTGTGAAATCTGGATCGAGGATGCTTTCTGATGATTGTGGCATACTAATTCCAATTAATAGAGTTGATTGTTGATCATTTGATGACGAGGCAGTTTTGTTGACAATCGATGTCTTGGAGAAAGTTGGTCTTCCATCAGATAATACATAATCGATAAATCTACCTGTGAATTGAATATTATCTTTCACAACTCGAAGATATTGAATACTTTCTGACAATTGTTCATACGTCAATGTATCAATATTAACATCTTGACAATCAAATTCGATTGATTGGTCATTGTTGATGGTTGTTTTGAAGATGACTCTGAGTGTTGTCAAGAATGTGTTGAATGTCCAATTACTAATGTTGACTGATAGTTTGATTCAGTTGGCATCGATGTGAAGTAGTTGTGAACCAAATTGAATATCTCTTGGTTGTTGTGAGAATGATATCGTTGCTGTTACAAGTGCTGTTGTATCACTGTTGTTGAGTTGATAGTTGACTGTTGTTGCTTGTGTTCGATTGTTAACAATTATCGTTGAATTCCAATTGTTTGTCAATACTTCATTAACAATATTATCATCAGTATCTATTTCTTGAATGGCAATCATTTCAAATTGGAAATCAATTCCATCGATATCAAATGATGTTGTTGGTGATGTTGTATTGGGTGTTACTGTATGATTGGTTGTTTTTGTCAAACAATTATCAATTGAACTGTATCCAGTATCACATTTACATTTCCCATTGATACATTGACCATGACCATAACAATTAAATGGACATGTTAATTCATTACTATCTGATCCTGAATCCGACCCTGAACCTGATCCCTGCGATGAAGGTTTAAAATAAATCCAATTATTTCCATTATTTGTTGAATTATCAACAGTCAATTTGACCAAAGCCAAACCATCAGTTGGTTCACTGACCAATGTACAATTAATCAATGTTTGTGATTTATATGTAGCTTGACAAACGGTACTATTCAAAGTGATTGATACTGCTAACTGATTGAATGGTCCGAAATCACCATAGATACTGATCAATTTTCTATCATTTAAATCATATTCTCCTGATTTAAAAGTAGGATATTCTAAAAAATAATAATTAATTAATTTAATTTTTTAATTTAATTTTTTTTAATTCTCTATACATACTCTCTGAACATATAACAGAATAATAACCAGTATCACAAAAACAAGTACCATTTTGATTACATAATCCATGACCCGAACAACCAGTATTAAGACATTCACTTTGTGGTATTGTCAAATTGGCAAAGATAACATTTGAAGTGAAACCATAAATTGATACGGTGATAGCCTGCATTCCAGATGTCAATGTTTTGGTTTGGACACATTCAACTCTTGTATCATTATACAGAGTGACCCTACAAGCAGATGTATCACCATTAAATGATACAACAACATCTGACATTGTTACAACTCCAAATTGACCATTAAACCCATATCTTGTACCGATGATACTAACATTATCCAAAATGTGCAACTCGACATTTGATGGAAAAAAAGTCTATTAGATAACATAAAAAAAATGATTAGAAATTAGTTTACAATGATTCAATTGATATATATATATGTATTAATGAGATAGTTACATGGAATGATCATATAACGATCAACAGAAGTGTAATGAGCATTTGAAATAGTGTATGTAACATTTTGACCTGGAGAAAATGAGTGGCCAGTGGTATTGCAAAATAATAGAGAAAAGGGTGCCACAGTACTTGAAATGACACAATCAATGTCATGATTGATTTTGATGGTGTGTGCGAGTGATGGATTGATTAGATTTGGAAAAGAAATAAATCTACAAGTCTGATTGGGAAATTGACCAGCGAGTCCCACGGAATCTGTCTGTATTATAATGCCAACTTCTAGTACTGTAAAGTCGTACTTGTACTCTGGGTAATTGTTATTCAAAGTGAGTGAGACTGTTCTTGCAGGTCCAGATTGTTTCAACATATCATAGTACCTGTTCACAAAAAACAAATGTCTTAGTTGGCACAAAAAGAAGAAGAGGAATGACGTGCACGTGAGAATCGTGTCAGATAAACATACCTTAAATGACTGTTTGGAATGATTGCATTCAAAAAACTCGTGCTATCGAGATTACCGTAACCGATATTAACACCAAACAGATCACCAAATCCACCTACAGTTAGAATAGTGTCATTATAAAATGAGATGGCTGGTAAAAATAGAAATAGAAATAGAAATAGAAAAATGGTTAGCTTCTATATTAATATTCTATATTGATATACAACATACGACAAATGAAACTTGGATCAAGAGGAATACTAGTTCTAAAAACCAATGGATCTTTTTGGTAGCATTTTAAACAGTCTGGTACATTGGTAATGTTGGGACATCCCTCGATAAACAACCTGTTTTTACAAAATGACTGTGGAACGGTGGTAGTAACTAGTGTTGGGTTGAGTCTTACATCGAGAAGAATGTTTGGTTGTCCGGCGACCAGATTGTTCCAAGGAATATCCTGTAACTTGTTATCTCGGAAATAACTAAACAACATGTTAATGAGTGTTTCTTTTTTTTTCGCTCGATAGACTAATATTGTACATACAAGAATTGCACATTATTAGTTGGAATGTTTGGGAATGTGGTCAAATTGCCAGAGGTGAATGAAATTGATTGCAGGGAATCAGGATACTCTGTAAGTGGAGACTCTGTAAAATTATTCATGTTCAGCTGGCTATTATAATTGATTGTTTGTTTATATTAGTCCTTTCATGAGTCAAAAGAATAAGATACCTCTCCCGAGCCATAGTGTACTTACAGATTTCTGATATTAAAAAAGCTGTTGAGTGGAGGTGATATTGTTTCGAATGTCCCTGTTACGACCCTTTGTTTTAAATAATTAAAAGGAATTTTAAATATTAATAAATTAATATTCTCTTTCTTTCTTTCTTTCTTTTTACATACAAAGTATTGATAGATTCTGGATAATTAAAGAACAAGCTGCTCTTGATATTGTCTTGGAGGGGTAAATAAACACTATAGGATTGATAGATAGATTATATGTTAACACATCATGATGATATAAATATTTGTATATATATATATATACAGGCCGGTACTTACAATTGGAATGGTTTGGCATCCATCGTTAATGAAAAGGGATGATGATCAGTGGCATAATTAGTCACTACCTCTGTACTAGATGTTTGCAACACTGGGAAGGATTGGTGTGGGATTGTTAAGGCCAATTGGGTACTTGGCAATCGCAATTGAAGATTAAGTGTGTTCAGCATGGTATGAACGATGCTTGGATCAAACGACACATAACCATTAACAGGAATCCTTACCTGTTCAATGACAGGTCCAAAGTTAAATGGTACCATGTCTTGTATGAGATAAGTTCCTTGGATCGTCAAAAATTTTAAAGATGGTAATCCGATTGTATATCCCTCTGGGATTAAAGTGACAGATGCATCTGATGTAATTCTAATTTAGCAAAGAGTTAAATAAATAAAAGAATAAGGTTAATTAATTTGAATATAGATAATCTCTCGAGTTAAGTATACTCTAACTTACGTGATTTTACTAATGACAGGCATATTAATATTATTGATGAAAGTTAGAATGTTTTTACTACCCAACTTTACCAATTGTAAAGCCCTAATTTGTATCTCTGCCATCTCTGGGAAATCAAATGCAATCAATGAGGGATCAGGTAACAAACCAGTAGTCGTTGTATCGTATGTAAACATGTCACTTTTACAAAAAGAGGGATTGTTAGAATTCATTTTCACATCTAAACTCTTTGACTAGTAGATAGATAGATATTCAACAACATACATTTTAGTGATATGACGAGTAGGTGTTCCCGCCGTTGAACATATAAAGTTACCTGAACTACAAATAGCTGCTTCATTCTCTTGAATCGTACTACTGTATTGTCTAATGATCCATATTGCTGAGTTTACTAAATGTGCATTCAATGAAATGATTGAGTAAATAAATAAAGATAACAACAACATTTTGGTTGATTCATTTAACTAAATGAATGATATACATACACTCTGTCGTTGACAATTGACATTCTACTACATGATTACTGTTAAAAATAAATAATACTAGTATTAATACTAAAATCCTCAAACAAATGAATGATGTTAGATTCCTTTCAACACATATGTAGCTTTTTTTTTTTTTTGGATGTATATTAATCTTTTTTTTCTATTTATTTATTTTTGATTACTTGTTAACAATCAAGCAATAAAGTGATGGACAGGATCCAGCCACGAGAAGGACGAGGGTGTGTTTATAATACTATCTAAGATATCTTAGACATAAATCTTGATTCTTTAACCAGTCCTCAACGTACGATCTGGGGCAATTGTCCCAATATGCCACAAGGGCTGTAATTACTAGATACTACAAATAAATCAAGATATTTATTTCTTTTTTAAAGATTGTATTTTTAACGGAGTGTTCAATTTCTTTATTTATTTGTACTGTAAACTCATTCTAGCGAGTTTTTGTTGCATATTCTTATTGTGTCTTTTAGTAACTCTTTTCTTTTTAATCAATATAATTGATCCCACTGCGATGGCAACAGCACCGAATACTCCAACAACAACACCAACAATGATTCTCCACGTATTGGATTTACTGCACCCACTGTCATCACTCTTGTCGATTAATAATGGTGTGAAATCTGGATCGAGGGAACATGATTGGCATTGTGGCATACTTATTCCAATTAATATAGTTGATTGTGATTGATCTTCTAATGAAGCAGTTTTGTTGATAATAGATGTCTTGGAGAAAGTTGGTCTTCCATCAGATAATACATAATCGATAAATCTACCTGTGAATTGAATATTATCTTTTACCACTCGTAGATATTGAATAGAGTTGGATAGTTGATCGTAGCTGAGTGTATCAATATTAACATCTTGACAATCAAATTCGATTGATTGGTCATTGTTGATGGTTGTTTTGAAGATGACTCTGAGTGTTGTCAAGAATGTGTTGAATGTCCAATTACTAATGTTGACTGATAGTTTGATTGAATTGGCATCGATGTGAAGTAGTTGTGAACCAAATTGAATATCTCTTGGTTGTTGTGAGAATGATATCGTTGCTGTTACTAGTGCTGTTGTATCACTATTGTTGAGTTGATAGTTGACTGTTGTTGTTTGTGTTTGATTATCTAATGATAATGTTGAATTCCAACTGTTTGTCAATACTTGATTGATGATATTATCATCAGTATCTATTTCTTGAATGGCAATCATTTCAAATTGGAAATCAATTCCATCGATATCAAATGATGTTGTTGGTGATGTTGTATTGGGTGTGTTTGTGTGATTGCTTGTTTTTGTCAAACAATTATCGATTGAACTATATCCAGTATCACATTTACACTTCCCATTGATACATTGACCGTGACCATAACAATTAAATGGACATGTTAATTCACCACCACTGCCATCGCTATCCGACCCAGAACCAGATGACTGTGATGAAGGTTTAAAATAAATCCAATTATTTCCATTATTTGTTGAATTATCAACAGTCAATCTGACCAATGCCAAACCATCAGTTGGTTCACTGACCAATGTACAATTAATCAATGTTTGTGATTTTGATGTAACTTGACAATCAGTACTATTCAAAGTGATTGATACAATAGTTTGATTGAATGGTCCGAAATCACCATAGATACTGATCAATTTTCTATCATTTAAATCATAAGATCCTGATCTAAAAGTCGGGTATTCTAAAAAAAATAATAAAAATATTATTAATATATATATTTAAATTTTAATTCTCTGTTTTAATACATACTCTCTGAGCATTTAACAGAATAATAACCAGTATCACAAATACAAGTTCCATTAATATCACAAGATCCATGACCCGAGCAACCAGTATTCAGACATTCACTCTGTGGTGTTGTCAAATTGGCAAAGATTGTATTTGAACTAAAACCATAAATTGATACAGTGATAGCCTTCATTCCGTATTTCAAAGTTTTTGCTTGTGTACATTCAACTCGTGATTCATTGAGCCAAGTGACACTACAAGCAGATATATCACCATTAAATGATACAACAACATCTGACATTGATGCACTTGCTCCAAAATAACCATTAAATGCATATCTTGTACCGATGATACTCAAAGTATCTAAAATGTACAACTCGACATTTGATGGGAAATAGTCTATTGAAAAAAAAAGATTAATATAACATTTAAAATGTACATTGATTCATTGTGGGATAGTTACTTTGGAGGATAAAATAACTATCAACAGAGTAATGAGCATTTGAAACTGTGAATGTAATATTTTGACCTTGAGCAAAATAGTAGCCAACGGTGTTACAATATAACATACTAGTCGGTGCCAATGTACTTGTAATGACACAATCAATGTCATGATTAATTTTGACGGTGTGTGGGAGTGTTGGATTGATTAGATGTATAAAAACATAGAATCTACAAGTCTCTGAGGGAAGTTGTGTGAGTCCCAAGGAAGAAGCCCCGAGTGAAATGCCAACTTCTAGTACTGAAAAGTCATACTGGTAATCTGGGTAATTGTTATTCAAAGATAGAGTGACTGTTCTTGCAGGTCCAGATTGTCCCGACGTATCATAATACCTGAAGAAAAAAAATGTAATTAGAATAATGATATCATTGTGTTTGATCAATAGAAATAGACATACCTTAAACGACTGTTTGGAATAATAGGGTTCAAAGAAATCCCATTACCCATCATGTTATTGCCAAATCCAATGTTTTCACCAGAAATTTCTCCTAATCCACCCACTGTTAGAATAGTTGTGGTATAAAATGAAATGGCTAGAAATAGAAAGTGAGTTAATTAGTGTTAGTTTTATAAATATAGTCAGGTGACCATTAATATATTAATATATTAATATTAATACATACGACAAATGAAACTTGGATCAACAACAATATCAGTTTGAATAATGGATGGATCATTTTTGTAACATTTAAAACAATCTGGCAAATTGGTAATGCTGGGACATCCATTAATTCTCAAACTGTTTTTACAAAATGACTGTGGAATGGTGGTGGTAACTAATGTTGGGTTGTATCTCACATCGAGAATAATGTTTGGGTTTCCACTTGTAAAAATGTTCCAAGGAATATCCTGTAACTTGTTATTTTGGAATTGCCTAAATTCATTTTATATTATTAATAATAAAGCCTTATTGTTATTTTTGTTGTTGTTGTTGTCGATACATACATTAATTGCACATTCTTGAATGGAATGTTTGGAATTGTGGTTAGATTACCATGAGTTGATGCAAGTGATTGAAGGGATTCAGGGTACTCTGCAAGTGGAAACTCTGTATAATTAGCCCCGGATATTAGACTAGATTGATTGATTGTCAGTCATTGAAGAGGTAAACTTAAAAAGTAAAGTATAATTCAGCTCGAGCTAGTACTTACAGAGATCTGAGATTAATAAAATCGATCAGTGGAGGTGATATTGTTACCAATGGCCCTAAGATAGATACTTTAAAAAAAAAAAAAACATTTAATATTAATATTAATTTTCGCTCATTAATCCAATTCGTAATCATTGTTCTTTCTTTCTTTCTTTCTTTCTTTTTTTCTTTCTTTCTTTCTTTCTAGCTTATACATACAAACCCGCGACAGAGTCTGGATAATTAAATATCAAGTTGCTGCTCTTGGCTAGGAAGGATTGAAAATTTCTAAATAAGAATAATATAGGATCGATCTGTTAACATCATCATCATATTTTTCATCAACTCTGGCTGTTTAAAAAAAATAAAATAAAGTACTTACAAGTCGGTTGGTCTTGCACCTAGGGTTAACGAAAAGGTATGGTCAGTGCTTATTACGATCATACCCAAAGTTTGCAATACTGGGAAGGCTTGGTCTGTGATGGTTATGGCTAGGGGACTGGTAAGTTGCATGCTAATGGAGAGTGCATTCAAATTGGTATGAGCGATGGTTGCATCAAACGTCACGGTGCCTTGAATTGAAAATATCACTTCTTCAACGACCGGTCCAAAGTTAAATGGTATCATGTCTTGTATGACATATACTGATTCGATATGAAAAATTTTTAAAGCTGGTAATGCTAGTACGAATCCATCTGGGATAAGAGTGACAGATGCATCCGATAGGATTCTAATCATAAATAGGAGGAGGAAGAGGAGGAGGAGGAGAGGAAGTTAATATTAACAAAAATAAATAGATTTGTTTGTTAGTTTGTTTGTTTGGTTCAACTTACGAGAGTCTACCAAGAAGAGGCATATTCTTGATTAAATTTAGAATGTTAGTGTTAGGCAATCTGACATTAAGCAACGCTGTCAATTGTATTTCATCGACCTCTGGGAAATCAAATTCAGTCAACAAGGGATCAGGTACCAGACCAGTCATCGCTATATCAAATGTTTGAAAGATACTATATAGTAATGTTAGAATGTGAAATAAATCAAAACAACCTAAACTACTTTGATTTCTGAGCTCGGATACAGATAATATAATATTATACAACAACATACATTTTAGTGATATGACGAGGTGTTCCCGTTGAACATATAAAGTTACCTGAACTACAAATAGCTGCTTCATTCTCTTGAATCGTACTACTGTATTGTCTGATGATCCATATTGCTGAGTTTACTAATGATGATGATTCATAAATAAAGAAATAATAAATGTAATGAATGATGAGCGAGGGTATGGTGAGTAAATAATAAATGATTTCATTAAATAAATGAGGTACCAATACATACACTCTGTAGTTGACAATTGACATTCTACTACATGGTTACAGTTAAAAATAAATAATAGCAGTACTGCAATCAACTGAATGAATGATGTTTGTTTCATTGCCACACACGTTTTTATTGATTATCTTTTTAACACCCTCTCTTTTTGTGTGTATATATATGCTTGCAATTATCGAGTGGTCGTCTTCATGAACACTGCAAACGCAGACGACACATCTGTGTTTGAGTCTATGGTATGTAAATGGTTTAAAAAATTAAAATCCCGTTAAATATCTTGATTTAAACCCACCAGGACCATCATAGAAAAATAATTATTTATTTAGTTATTTTATTAGTGTTGGCTCATAGTACTGTTAACTCATTCGAGCGAGTTTTTGTTGCATATTCTTATTGAATCGTTTCGTAACTCTTTGGATAATCGATGCCACTACAATTGCAACAGCACCGAATACTCCAACAACAACACCAACAATGATTCTCCATGTATTGGATTTGCTGCATCCACTATCATTGCTCTTGTCGATTAGTAATGGTGCGAAATCTGGATCGAGGGAACATGATTGACATTGTGGCATACTAATTCCAATTAATATAGTTGATTGTTGATCATCTGATGACGAGGCAGATCATTTGATGATGAAGAAGTTTTGTTGATAATAGATATCTTGGAGAAAGTTGGTCTTCCATCAGATAATACATAATCGATAAATCTACCTGTGAATTGAATATTATCTTTGACTATCGTAGATATTGAATACTTTATATACCGTTTTTGGTAAAAATATTAATATTAATATTCTCTCTCTCTTTTGAAGTACAATTCCTGGAAAGTTTCCGGATGATTAAATATCAAGTTGGTGTTGGTTCGGATAGATCCATAATAACTATAGGAATAGGATAGGTTATATGTTAGCATCATCATCATCATCAACGAAAAACATCAAGTACTTACAAGCTATATGGTTTTGCATCCATGGTTAAAGAAAAGGTATGATCAGTGTCTAATACATCAATATTAAATCTTTGCAACACTGGGAAGGATTGTTGTGTGATTGTTATAGCTTGGGGACTTGTCAATCTCATGCTAATTTCGAGTGTGTTTGAATTGGTAGAAACCAAGTTTGGATTAAACGTCAAGGATCCTTCAATTTTGAATTTCACTTGTTCCATGAGTGGTCCAAAGTTAAACTCCATATCTTGTTGGGCGTAAATTCCTTGGATTGCCAAAAATTTTAAAGATGGAAATGCAAGTGCAAATCCGTCCGGGATTACATTGATAGATGCATCTGACGTGATTCTAATTAAGCAAGGTTATAAATAAATAAATAAGAAAGATGATGATTTGATTAATAAAACAATATTTAAGTTAGAATATTGACATTGATCGATTTAGGATTTTCGGCAACTACGATTTGAATTTCCTCCATCTCTTGGAAATCAAGTGCAGTCAACAAGGGATCACATACCATACCACCAATTGTTGTGTCATATGAAACAAGAATACTAATATATAGGTATAATAATTACAAACAACAAACAAAAGAGAGAGAGAGCATGTTAGAATGTGAATTTTCAAAACAATCTAAACTTTAGTTACAAAATAACAACATACATTTTAGCGATATGACGAGGTGTTCCCGTTGAACATATAAAGTTACCTGAACTACAAATAGCTGCTTCATTCTCTTGAATCGTACTACTGTATTGTCTGATGATCCATATTGCTGAGTTTACTATAGTATCACATCATACATAACAATATATATAAATGTTAATATTGCAAAGAAAGGTGGTGTTGATCACATTTAATACATAATGATAAAATAAATGAGGTACCAATACATACACTCTGCAGTTGACAATTGACATTCTACTACTACATGATTACTGTTAAAAATAAATAATAGCAGTACTGCCATCAACTGAATGAATAATGTTTGTTTCATTACCACACACCTTATCTTATACTTTACTCACAAATTTTATGTGTGTGGTTAGTTTTCGAGTGGTCGTTCACAACCTCGAGGTTTGAACTGCATCTGTTGGGTAGGCATTTGAGTCTACAGTGTCGTACACTTTAAATATCTGGATTTTTAAACCAGGAACCAACAAAAAAATAATAAAACGAACGAAGGGTTTTGAACCATTTATTTATAGTGTATTTTTAATTCATATCTCAACCCATTCTAGCAAGTTTATGTTGTATTTTTGCGTTGTGCCTTAGAACAGTTCTTTTCTTTTTAATCAATATAATAGATGCCACTGCAATGGCAACAGCACCAACAACTCCAACAACAACACCAACAATGATTCTCCATGTATTGGATTTACTGTCACATCCACTGTCAGCACTCTTGTCGATTAATAATGGTGTGAAATCTGGATCGATGATAGATTCTGATGATTGTGGCATACTAATTCCAATTAATATAGTTGATTGTTGATCATCTAATGAAGCAGTTTTGTTGATGATTGATGTCTTGGAGAAAGTTGGTCTTCCATCAGATAATACATAATCGATAAATCTACCTGTGAATTGAATATTATCTTTTACCACTCGTAGATATTGAATAGAGTTGGATAGTTGATCGTAGCTGAGTGTATCAATATTAACATCTTGACAATCAAATTCGATTGATTGGTCATTGTTGATGGTTGTTTTGAAGATGACTCTGAGTGTTGTCAAGAATGTGTTGAATGTCCAATTACTAATGTTGACTGATAGTTTGATTGAATTGGCATCGATGTGAAGTAGTTGTGAACCAAATTGAATATCTCTTGGTTGTTGTGAGAATGATATCGTTGCTGTTACTAGTGCTGTTGTATCACTGTTGTTGAGTTGATAGTTGACTGTTGTTGTTTGTGTTTGATTATCTATCAATATAGTTGAGCTCCAACTGTTTGTCAATACCTCGTTGATGATATTATTATCGGTGTCTATTTCTTGAATGGCAATCATTTCAAATTGGAAATCAATTCCATCGATATCAAATGATGTTGTTGGTGATGTTGTATTGGGTGTTACTGTATGATTGCTTGTTTTTGTCAAACAATTATCAATTGAACTATAACCTGGTTGACACTGACATTTCCCATTGATACATTGACCGTGACCATAACAATTAAATGGACATGTTAATTCACCACCACTGCCATTACTATCTGACCCTGAACCTGATGACTGTGATGAAGGTTTAAAATAAATCCAATTATTTCCATTATTTGTTGAATTATCACAGTCAATCTGACCAATGCCAAACCATCAGTTGGTTCACTGACCAATGTACAATTAATCAATGTTTGTGATTTATATGTAGCTTGACAATCAGTATTATCCAAAGTGATTGATACTGCTAACTGATTGAATGGTCCGAAATCACCATAGATACTGATCAATTTTCTATCATTTAAATCATATGATCCCGATTTAAAAATTGGATATTCTAAAAATTTATAATAATTATGATTAATATATATTTAATTTAATTTTTTAATTTAATTATCTATACATACTCTCTGAACATTTAGCAGTATAATAACCAGTATCACAAACACAAATTCCATTTGAATTACAAGTTCCATGACCCGAACAACCAGTAGTATTACAAATACTTTGAGGTGATGTCAGATTGGCCGAAACGATATTTGACATGAACCCATCAACCGATACTGTAATATTGGTCAATCCAATTGCTGGCCAAGGTTTGACTTGAATGCATTGAATTGCACCAGAATCATAGGTAGCTGGGAGACAGATAGTTGGATCCCCATTAAAATAGATAATAGGTTTGGCTATTCCGAAATACCCATTTAATAAATACTTTGATCCAACCATTACCAAATTTTCCCACATTGTTAAATACAAATCAACAGGGTATAATTCTATAAAAAATAAAAATGAATAAAAAATATTAAAATCTGTAGAGAGTTATTTTTTTTGTTTTTTAACATACGTGGGGTTGTAAAACTTTTAGTTAGATTGGTGTAACCATTGCTCAATATATATTGATAGGTTTGAAATGATTTGAAAGGTGTTCCTGTCACGTTGCAACTCAAATCAGATGAGCTTGCCACTGTGCTAGAAATGACGCAATCAATATTATTGTTTATAATGACAGCGTGTAAAAGATACCCATTTATAAATTGAGTATAGAGTGAGATCTGGTAGACACCAGATGGTATTTGTTGAAAGGTAACTACACCAGGAGCTTGTATACCGACCTCTAAAACATTAAAATCTGCTGTATATTCTGGATAATTACTATCCAAAGTAAGAGTAACAGTGTTTGGTGGTCCAGTTGGTCTTAAAGTATCAAAATATCTATCGACATAAAAAAATATTTAAAGAATGAATTAATAATTTTGATTTTAATTTTTTTTCTATTTTTCGTAAACATACCTCAGTTTTTTATTTGGTATGGGAGAATCTAAAACGTATCTACCCAGAGCCATGTTACCATACCCAATGTTAGTACCTTCTATGAAACCAACTCCTATCGATGTATAAATATTTGTTGAAACAAAAGTAATGTCTTGAAGTGAAAAATATAAAATATTGTTAAAATTTACTCTTTTTTTTTTTTTTTTATATCTACATACTGCATTTAAAACCAGCATCGAGGACAATATCAGTTTGAACATTCTCAGTACTCTTTTGATAACAAAGGAAACATTCTGGCACATTGGTAATCAATGGACACCCTTTGATATACAATCTATTTACACAAAATGATTGGGGGATGGATGTTGTTAATGCCGGATTGTTTGTGAGATCCAAAAGCATATAAGTTGAATTGATGAAATTGTTCCATGGAATGTCTCCTTTAAGCTTATTATTAACATAATGCATGGCCTGCACATTGTTTGCAGGAATATCTGGAAATGTATCGAATTGAAACCCATTGGACACACGAACATATGTCAATGAGTCGGGGTACTCTATGAGTGGAAACCCTGTCATATTTGAATATTGTAATATCCTAAATATAAAATAATAATAATATAAATAATAAATAATAAATAATAAATAATAAATAATAAATAATAAATAAGAATTTTAATTTTAAACCTATTTGAATATTATTATTTATGTATGATACATACAAAGTGACTAAATTTTTAAATTCACTCAATGGAGGTAAAAAAGTGGTGGCACTACCAGAGTAATGACTGTGATCAACAAATAATAATATTAAAGATAGTTAGTTAGTTAGTTAGTACCAGTTTTGTTTGGGAATATTATTATTATTATTATTATTATTATTATTATTATTATTATTATTATTATTATTATTATTATTTAAACATACACAATAGTAATATTCGATGTATCTGAAAGCAGTATATTGACTGGTGAATCCAATGTGATTACCGCTCTATAATATAAAATCGTTGTAGTAGTAGTAGTAGCAGCAGCAGTGGGAGAGAGAGAGAGTTAATATTATTATAATTCTAATTATTCTAAAAGGTATACTTTACAGATTTGTGACAGTGGAAGCATAGGACGTGACAGTCATAACATTTGGAGGCGTAGATACGAGATAGAGACTCAAGCTATCCAATACTGGGAATGACTCTGCTGTAAATGTCAAACTTTGTGCTAAAGCACCACCAATATGAAAGTACACCTTTTTCAATTTAGAGTGGACTGGTGTATTTGCATCGATTGTAAATCCTCCAGAAATCGAACTCAATGACACCTCTTCTATAGCAGGTCCAAAATCAAAAGTAAATGGTAGAGATAACTGACCACTCACAGAGAATAAAGTTAACTTGGGTAACCCTACCATTGGTGGTATAGTTGTAATTGAGAAATCTGAAATGATCCTATAATTTAAAATCAAAAAATAAAAAAAGAAAAGAAAGAGTTGTAAATATATACTACATACATAGTACTGCTTTGCTTTGCTTTGTTTTGTTTTTGCCTTTACTTGATAGTTTGAAGATTATCTAGATTCTTGATTAAATTCAGTATATTGAGAGATTCTGTTTTGACTGTAGAGTCCACATTTATGTATAAACTCTCAAGTTCTGGGAATGAAAATGTTTGTAATGCTGCATTTGGTGATTGGCCATTGTCTGTTATATCAAAAAGAGACAATAAACTAAATATATATATCAATATATCAATATAGTTTGATTGTATTAGTTATTGAACGTGAAATCAACTGACTAGATCTAGATCAGATAGATAGATAGATAGATACAACTACAACAACATACATTTGAGTGATATGACGAGGTGCTCCCGCTGAACAAGTAAAGTAACCTGAACTACAAATAGCTGCTTCGTTCTCTTGAACCGTACTCTTGTATTGTTGAATGATCCATATTGCTGAGTTTACTAAATATAGTGTTTATATAATGATAGAGATTAATATTATGAATGAAATAATGAGAGAATGAAATTATGAGTTAACCCAACAACAACAACAACATACGTTCATCCACTGGCATAGGTTGACTTGACACTCTATCGATCGCATTCACACAGAGTATGATCACCACACCGATACTTAACAAAAATTTCAGCGCTACTTTCATATTATTTTTTTTAGTATTATTATTACAAAGGGTGGGTTTAGTACACATATGATCAGAGATCTCTGAACTAGGTCTAAGACATTCTATCGTCTATCGTCGACCACAACTGCAACTCTAGTATTAATTTTTATAATTTAAATATCTTCTCGATCTTTAGATTCATTCTTTTGAAAATATCTAGATCTCTGTTTTCATGAACCGCACAAGCAAAACGAAAAGAATAAATGGTATCTTCTTTGTATATCCAGTCTTTTTCAACTAAATGCGCATGTGTTTCGATACTATCACCTGTTCATCTATTGTAGGCTCTATCCCACGGAAGATCAACTTTCGGGTTGATATTTGTGTGATATTTATCTATCAATCTGTTGGTAGATGAAAGGACGATCAATACAATACATTATGCCTATTACGAAGGTAGGTAGTGTTCACCATCTCATAGTGGTCGTCATGAGAATCTTCTTCTTATGCTTATTCTTCTTCCTTTTCTTTTCGCATAACAGATACTATCTACTCGTATCATATTTGATTGTTGTTTTAAGCGCAATCAAGTTTGTGTAGGTGAGTTCGGTACACCTCCAAATCATTCTTTCAATTTATTCCAACGCACTACCAACCAATTAATTAGAAAAAAAAGAAAGAACACATGATGATACAGAAAATCTTCTTTTTCTTCTTGTTGTTGTTGTTCTTTTCAACAACCTTTGTTCAAGGTATTTATCAATCATTTTACAAGTTCTGTATCACAACTTGACACTTTTTTTTCTTTTCTTTTTTTTTTGTTTTTTTTTATTATTTACCTATTTGTAGGTTATATTAGTATATATAATGTAACTATCAATGAACAAGGGTATTCTTATTATGTACCAGATAAACAATGTAGAGTTAAATATGTTATGTTGGTCGATTGTGACTATCCCCAAATTCCAACTTTGACATTGACCAATTCGTCGATCAATGTGGCCAGTAGCCAAGCTGTGCTGATATCAATGTTGAATAATGGTGACCGGAAACTATGGATTGTCACGCTCAACTATCCAATCGGACAAACACCTGCAGTACCAGTGACACTCAAAACGGTTCTTGACCCAACCATTGCAAACTGGGAATTCCCATCCTACTATTGTCCAGACCCCAACAACGATCTCCTTTTCCAAGTGACTCCACCTGAATACCTTCAAGACGGTTTCACCACGAGATTCGAGCTGCGTATGATTCCCTTTTACCCCATTCTAGATACTATTCAATGCAATTCCCCTTTTTCTGCCATGATGGTTTGTACAAGTAAAGTATTATTACACATTTATTTACCAACCATAATTAATAGTAATTATTTTCTTCTTTTTTATGTTTATTTATTTTATAGCTTTAGTAAATATAAAACAAGATGGGTATTTAGTAGCATTGTCAACTTTTTATAGGAATAACCAGTCTGGATATACATCACCATTCAACTTGACCTTTGGTGCAACATCAATATTTTCGATTGGTATTCCAATTGTTCCTCGTTACACTGACGACATTGATGCTATTGATTATGTGGTGATTAGTGGAACAGAGACACAGTCACCAATCGAAGCGTTCCCATTGAATATAATGCCAGGTTACTTTATTCCGGTTGGTGCCATGTTTGAGATGACAACAACTAATCCAGACAAAACTTTTTTGTTGTCGAGTGCTCTCAACATTCCAATCATTCCAGTACAAGGAAATAGTGGTGATGGAATGAAATACCTCTATTCAAGAGTCGCAAGTGACATGATCTCAGGTTTACCAATCGCTTCTAATTCCTACCTCCTAAACTCTAATACCAGTACATCATTCCCATTATTAGATCAATCATCAATATCTATCCACCAATTAAAGAGTATGTTTATATTATATATATATATATCAATTAGTATTTTTATTTGCTTACTTTTTTAATTATAATTCAAAGCTCCAAACGCACCAACACTTGCAGGAATTGATATTATAGTAGCAGATAATATTATTAGTCAAGTTGTGGCACTGTCTCAATGCACCTTTCCCCTAAGATTCAAAGTTGGCCAATCTCCTATCTACTCTATACCTCCACCTTTTGGTTTCAGTGTGATTGGAGGAGTATCAAAAAGATTCACACTTATATATAATGGAGTTGTATCTCAGAATCTTCAAATGACCTTTTACCAACAAAACCCTAATCTTCAAGATTCACTTTCCAATACTCGAGCGAATCCAAATTCAGGTTCTATCATTATAGGTATTTATTATTGTCGCTAAGATTTGAAATGATCAATCATTCATTTATAAATATTTATTTTTTATATTCTTTTAGATTCCTCTCTGCCAACAGTATCAAATATTCAACTCTTAAAGGTATCAACGAATAGTTTTATTGTAACATTGCAACTTGGTGATTCATTGTCTGGTGTTGAGAGTTTTGTTTTCAGGAATACATACTATGGATTGAATACCATTGTCAGTGGTACTATTAATGATGGAATGTTTGTATTTGAACATACTGCTCGTAGTACCGATATAAATGCCCTCGAACTGAGGGTGGTTGATCGTTCCTCCAACTTTTTGTACACCCAATATAATACTTTTGGTACCTATGGTGAACCAATTCCACCAACTCCAATTATTGATTGTATGTAATATGAATTTCAAAATTCCAAAGGTTTATTTTACTCATTTTTTATACCTTTTTTTTATTTCTTTAGCAATTGTGACAGCAGAAAACTTTACAATGTTTCAATTTATTCCAAATATTGTTGATACTACCAATGGTCCAATGAATGTATCTCTTGTTTTCAACTTGACCAGTAGTCCATTTAATAGATACACAAGTTTGGACTTGGTTTTGATGTTATCACCTTGGTCACCTAGTTTCCAATCGACCTATCGATCGTTAAACATTACCGCCAAATCCTACTATCATCCATTGGATCAATTATTTAGATGTGATTTTACTGTACCACAATACACCAATAATATCACATCAGCCTATTACAACTTTGATCTTTATGGATCACTATTATCATCTATTCAACCATCACTTGTTGCCAAATTTGGTCAAAATGCAACTTTAACCATTCATTCAAATAATTGTAAACTATTTTCAAAAGAAAAGATATTATCACTTTTATTCATATATTAATATTTCATTTACATTATAATTTATAATTTTTCTAGCAATGGATAATTTACCACCATATTTTGAATCAATGGCACTTCCAACAACACTGGTAGATGGTAAATTAGTTTATGAATTTACAATTGTCGATTATTTGAATGGATTTGATAATGGATCTGTTGAAATTAGATCCGATGCTTCACCACTTACTCAGGTACTGCGATTTGATAAATCATCACCAGCTTTTATTAGTGGCAACAGTTTTAAATCAAATTGGAGGTTTGAGATACCAATCGATGTGGATATGTGTCTTTCTCAATCCTACTCTATTGGAAAGACAGAACTATATGATACAGGAGGTTGGGTTTCTAGATACATGTCATTTAATTTCAATACATTCAATGCTGGAACCTATTTCCAAACAATTGATGCCTACTTTAACCCATACTATTGGATCAATTAACAAACTTTACAATTCCTTGTAGTATGTATACATATAAATATTTTATTAAAATCTACAAGATTCTTTTTTTTGGAAAAAAAGTATTTATTATTTATTTTTTTTAAATAGATACAAATGGAGATATTGATCCACCAACTATAGTTTCATTTGTGGTTTCTAGAACTACAATGGATGTTGGATCAAATGACAGAACTGTTTCATTCAATTTATCAGTCACTGATGGTCCAAGTGGAGTTGGATTGGATGGATATCCAACCATATATTTAATGGGGAATCAAGGTGAATGGTTGGCTGTAGAACCACTGGTCAAGACTACAGGATCAGTCTATAATTATAGTGTGACCGTTCCACATGGATTTGGTGTCAATGGTATTCTACTGTCACTGTATGGACTAAGAGACAAGTTACAGAATCTTGGTGGGCACTCTACATCGTTGTTGAATCAAGCTGGATTCCAATACAAAATCAGTACATCCTATTCTACCAATATCCCATCGATATTTAGTGTTTCTAATCTTTACAGTTATCCTTCCAACCTTTCATCGGTGGTTGACTATGAAACCATTACTATTCGTGGAAGAGGATTTGGAAGTGATATCCAAGACTTGACAGTGGCCATGCAACAATCTGGTGGTTCTCAACCACTCCTCGTTGTCATTTCCATGGCATATCACATTATTCTATTTGTACAATATGACCCAACAAAAATTGTACCAGGTTCCAATGTCAGCATTGTTGTCACAAGAGCATCCGGCCAAGATACCTTTTCTGTCACCCCAACCATTTTACCTCCTAGAGTAACCAATTCAGTTCCATCGTATGTACCATTTGATCCAAAACAAATACCATGCGCAGTGTCTCCTACCTCGACACTTAATTGTACTGGTAATGGTCAGTGTACATTTGACGGTTGTCTATGCAACGCTGGATGGTCAGGATTCTATTGCGAGTCAACAGTAATCAATACCGATGAACCAACATTCAATCAAACGTCACCCATTGTTGACATTATTGTAAATGATACAAATAGTCATTCGATTATTAAATCAATTATTTCAGTGGTTGCAATCAGAGAGTTGACAATGGATGAAACGGTATTCATAGAGTACAGACCAAAGAATTGGACATTAAATATTACAACACCAACCACCGATAATAATAATAGTATTATCATGAATTATCAAACACAGTTGCAAAACATATCAACCATTGTCAATGTAACGATTGAATGGTTTTCAAAGGATAGTCAAGTTATATTTGCCAATCAAACCATCAGTATTCCAGCAACAAGTACAAAGGTATCGATTGGATTATCATCCTATCCATTCTATTCATCAACCAATACATTACAAGTTGTTATGAAGACATCGATTGAAGCTGAATATGAATCAGAGTGCTCGACCAAAGAGTATGGTGGTGGATCAACAAAAGACATGGAATGGATGAAATTGGGAATTGATGACAAAACACTTTGGGGTCAATTCATTAAAAGAGGAATTATCGATAATGATAGAATCACATCAATCACAAATGAAATCCTCACAGATTTTGTTGATGACAGTGCTGGTACAAGTAACAGTAATTCATCATTTACAACAACATTTATTGGATTAAATCTTCCACACTATTCAGTATCAGCACAATTAGATCCAAACTTTGTTCATTTAATTGATGTCGATAATGATAAAACTGGTGGATCAACATTGGAGTCAATTTGCAAAGCCAAAGACAATGGATTGACAATGGGCCAAATTGCTGGTATTGTTGTTGGATGTATTGCTGCTGCAGCCATTGCCACTGCAACTACAATCTACCTCGTTCATCGTAGACGTAAACTTAAATCAAATCGAAATATGCAACAAAGATTATCAAGAGTTGAAAAACAAATGAACTAATATCTTGATGAGTAAATAATAAAAAAAAAAAGTAAATCCAATCATCTTTTATTTAGATTTGATACTCTGACATGAGACCAAAATTGGAGAGAAAGGTGGGGTTGGTGATGTGAGTGATAAACTGTTTGTCAAAGCTGACAGAGTTTGGGGAGAATTCGCTTGTTGTGATCCAAAGAAATTGTTCATGGGAAATTGACAAGCTATTGTTTTTGTAAAGATTACTACGGACGTCGGATACCTTCCAATTGTTTGGGTGACTATCTGCGACTGTTGACTGGCAACATGTGAGAGTTTGGCTAGTGGCATCCCAAAAGAACCAATCGACTGCTTTTTTAAAGTTTGGCATGATTGGTACCAACAATGAGTTATTGGACCAATCCACTCCTTCGAATTGATGGTTGGTGATGTATTGTGTTGAATTGTATCTAAAAATCATTGTTTTCCTATTGATATATTTTGTTTCGATTAATCCATAATTAATGCTTTTGGTATTTGGATTCTTTTTGCACTGCATTTCATCAATCTCCCACTTGATGTCTTTGTTGACCAAAGTCTCCAAAACTTGAATGATGTACTTTTCCACTGTACTTCCTCTAACTTCTTTTGAGGATTTGACTGTCTTGTTAAAGATTTGGCGATACAGTTTCGTAGAGACAATCTGATACGATTCGTTACCAAGGTATCGATTTCTTAACACAGTTTGAACTAATGGAATGATAGGAACAATTTGATAATCTGATTTCCTTATGTACATTAACTGTTGATTGATGGTGACTGAGTGTTGTGCCGTAGCAGGATCGCCAATGTCCATCAAAAAGATCGCACGCATGTAATCAGTTTCTTGAACCTTGAACTTGACAAACTCCAAGAGAAAGTAGTTGTCTTGATCTATAATCATTCTAGTACTTTGATTTTTATACCTAGACAACACTTTAGAAACATCAAGATGTTTGTTCTCCTTGGAAATCTTCCAAATCTCCTTTACCTCACCTCTGCATAGTATGTATTAAATTAATAGACAAACTACATGGTCGACTAGTATAGTAGATCTTTTAATATATATACAAACGGTATATAATTTGTCAAGTATTTGATTTCTTCGAGATGGTCTATTGTCAACTTGCCAGAGAATTCTTTGTTGGATTCGATTTCCCTCCAAGTTTTGAACTCAGTGTGGTTGAATCCAACGACAAACAAAAAGATTGGCCACCCTCTGTCTTTGACCTTCTTGTTGTTCGATGAGCCAGAGATAACGGTGAGATGTCTGTACCAGTGCTCGCCGACTACCAGGTATCGCTCTGGCATTGAGTATGGGAAAGTAGTTCGGTCCTGATCGGACAATCCGTTGTGTTGGTCAAAGAATGTATAAATGTGAAGATTTTTGTTGTTGCAGTACATGGCCACACTATTCAAGAATTCAGTAAATGACTCCTCGGTATTTAATATCTTGAATCTCTTGAGGTATTGGTCGATGAAATCATCGTTTGAGATGGAGAATGCAAAGATGATTGAGTCGAGAAAGAACTTGTATCCATTACCAGATCTTGCCCATTCTCGGCAATCGGGAATGTAAACGACTCGATTGTCTTTCTCCAGTCGAAGTTTCATCACTATATGAAACAAGGAGTGCGACTTTCCAACTCCTTGAGGACCTTGAACACAGATACCTCGAGCTTTTCCAACTTTATCTACAATGAATTCCTCCAACTCTTTTGTAGTCGTGCGATTGACCAACTGAACCAAATCGTCATTGTATTCAAAACGTGATCTATCAGATGATCTTGCAAATGGATCAAATGGAAGGTTAATGACACTTGACCCAAAATTAGCTTTTTTAAGCCCAAGTTGAATATCATTTGATTCTCTCCCTCTCTTGAGATTGATATGTTCTAAAAGAAAACAAAAACAAAAACAAATGATTAGTATTAATAGATCTGTTCTTCATTATAATGTGAGTGATAGAGACTCTCGTATCTATGTTTCGGCCCAACCATCACAAGGTATGAAACAACTTCACTCTATGTTTCATACCTTGTGATGGTTGGGCCGAAACATAGATACGAGAGAGTTCGGTATCAACAGCGGTATCTGGTTCTAGGAGTGATGTCAAGGTTGGGTCTTTGTACAAATGGATTGGAGTATCCCAAATACCGAGCTCTTTGGACGCTTTGATGATGGGTTTGAGACGACCGTAGTTGGTTGTATCATTGAAGATGATTTCATCCTTGTTGTTGCCAAACACAACCCTACAAGTGAAAGGCATTGTGATATGAGAGATAAATGTATCCAATATTGATAAATATGAGTGCTATAACGTGCAATATAATATAATATAATATACTATAACTAATAAAACATATTATTATAATAATAACATATTATTATGATAACAAGAAGAAAAAAGAATAAATAGAATAAAAATTGAAGATGAAATTCTTTCACCTGAACCATTATTCAAAAAAAATAAATAAAAAAGTACAAATGTAAATTAAAAATTAATTAACTATTTATTTTAAAATAGAGAGAGAGATACATAATAATTGTACATGTATGATAATTGTTTTGTTTTGTTTTGTTTAATAAGTGAAACCACCAACAGCAGAACCTTTTCTAATACCTTGAGGAACAAAACCAAATGGATGAGTTTTTGAAGGAACATGACCCATCAAACCAGCAGCACCCATTGAAAGTTGATCTGGAAGTTGAGAGATATTGAAAGATCTGAGACCTGGAGCATGGTCTGGTTTGGGGACGGTGCCAGTGGGATGGTCGGCTTCTTCGATGGTGCCCCACTTTTCACGCAATTCGATACGCTTGTCAACGAGACCATTGTGCTCGAGGATTTGGTCGACGGCACGGTAGGCAGAACTGAGACTGCCGACAACCCATCCGTGATGGACCGAGCTACCCTCACCGCTGACATGGAAGAGTCCGTTGGCCTCTGGCTTGACGAGCGATGGGAAGAGAGATGAGAACTGTCCTGGACCATAGAGAGCAAAGGCACCCATACTGTCACCATCATCATACCAGTCCCAAGCTTGCACAGCCTTGTCCTTGGACATACCACCGAGTTGATCGACGAGGAATTGTTCCGAGACATCATGGATCTCGGCCAAGTTGGCAAAGACAATGTCGATCAATTGGGCCTTGTTGGAAGGGAGGAGTGCACCGATTCTAGCGGCATCCTGAGCCCATGTATACGAGGCGATCAAGACACCTGGAGCATTTGGATCTTCAACACCGTATGATGGGTAGACAACAGTACGGAGTGGGAGATCAGTGGATGACTTGCCACCCTTGAAATGCTTGCCCTTCATGATGGTTGGGTCCTGCCACCAACGCTTGGCAAAACGAACGGCGATCTTGCACGACTGGTCATAGTGGAGTGTACGAATGGCCACACGCTTCTTGTGCGACATTTTCAAGTCCTTCAAATTCATCTTGCGCAAACAGGACAATGGCACGGTCGAGATGACATGGTCGTAGGTCAACGGGGTGGGGTCGCCCGCAACATTGATAGTCAACTGGGTCTTGTCGGCAGTGGGCGAGATCTTGGTGACACGCTTGCCCTTGGAGATGGTACCCTTGATGACCTTCTCCATCGCCTTGACCATTTCAACAGAGCCACCATCAATGCACTTCCAAGTCTGGCCTGAAAAGTCAAAGTAATCCATGATGGATTCGGAAAAGGCTTGGTCGTAGAGACCAGAGGCAGAGTCCATTGTTTCACACCATGAAATGACTGGCTCGGGGTACCCCTTGGTCGCCTGACCCTTGACTCTGAGGTTCTCGGGTGCATCAAAGTTGCCAAGATAACTTCTGGTCGAGTGACTGTCGGCAGCCATCAACTTTTCAAAACCAGTGTCAAAATCGTCTTCAAGGTCCTTGGCGAAACGGTCATACACCATGTACAACCAATCCGAGTATGGTTGTTCAGCAAATACATCTGGCACGGCAGTTCCCAACCCACCATTATTCTTGTCGGCAAAGAACAATGGATCCTTTTCCAAAGTATCTTGTGAAAATATTCTCTTGCCATTGTAATAGACAATGTTATTGTCGGCTGACAAATGGTATGGTTCCGTCTTGATCTCATGTCCCTTTTGTTTAAGTTTATTAAACAAACTCCAATGTTGTTGTCCAATTACACGATCCATAATTGGAATTTCTGGATATCTACAAAGTAAATAAAAAGAAGTATATTAATATTAATATTAATCAATTGTTGATTGATTTGATATATTGTTGATTGATTTGATTTTTACCTCATAGCACCAAAATCAACATAATCAAAAGGTTTGTCGGAATATTTGTAAGTATAAATTCTACCTCCAATTCTGGTGTTGTTACTTTCGAGGATATGATACTTGATACCGAGTTCATCGAGAATCATGCCAGAGTAGAGACCAGACATACCGGCACCGATGATACCAATGTTGAGATCTTGGAATTTCTTTTGGCACTTTTGTTTGGCCATTAGCGGATCGGATGGACTGGCTTGTGGAGCGGGGTGTATTGATGCTTTGAGTTGGTGGGCAGCATCTTTGATGGCTTGTGCCTTACTCAAACAACGGTTGGCATAGTACCCACGCATGGAAAAGACCGATGGTGCAAAGTTGCCTGGTGTAGTGGTACGTGAAGGAGCTCTAAACAATTGAGTTAGAACTGGGTGTGGAACGGCATTGGAGAATGTTTGTGGTGATGTTACACTTGATAGAGGAGTGGTCGAGCTGGTAGGAGTTGGAGTGGTTGGATTGAGATACTTGATCATACGATTATTTCCACGAGTAATCTTAAAGTGTGAAATATCGTATTTGGTGGTACCGTCAACCAACAGTTCTTTGAGAATACGACCGATTAATGGTACAAACTTCATAGCCCAACCGGCAGTAAACACGACAATGTTGGGGTGTTGTGGGATATGATCTAAAACAAACATATTGTCGTAGACGTTGGTTTGAAGGGCACTGCCACAAAAGATGGGGGTTGGGTCGAGCCCGGGCAGATGCTTCTCGACAAACTTGCGCGTCAATGAAATGTCGGCGTCTTCGACCTTCCACGTGGCTTGGTCGGGGTCCGTGATCTTGCGCTTGGCATCGTCGAGTGCGACACGGCAGGCATTGGCAGGTCCCCATGGGAGGGCTGGGAAGCCGTAAAAGAGGTTGCTGGTGCCGTCTTGGTTGTTCTCTTCGAATTGGAACCACATCGACTTGAAAAGGGTGCCTTGGGGACCGGCATTACTGCTAAAGTAACTGTACATCATCTCCCAAATATCGAGATCCAACTCAAACCCAAACGAAGGTCTGAGCACATGGTTGGTGTAAGCACCGCAGGTAATGGCAGCCTTGATAGCTTCAATGGTGACCGGGTTGGTTGCGCCAGATAGTCTGACCTCGATAACAACCTTGTCGGTGCCAACTGGTGTCATCTTGGTGACTGGAGCCTGTTGTACTAGCTGGACACCATACGATTGACACATACGATAGAGCGTACGAAGCAACAGTGGGAGGTTGATACACCCATTGTCGGGAGACCACAATCCTTCATAGGTCGATGGCAAGTTTCTGAATGGGAACTCATCCATGATTTGTTTCGAGTCTAGTTGACGGTACGGCATACCCAAACGAATCAAATTCTCAATGGGACCGTTCAAAGTGCCTTCAGGGCCTCCAGCTCCATACTCTGGGTTACCAAAATTCAATAAACCTCCCATCCAAACTAATGATTCAGCTGAATCATTCTCTAATTCTGTCCATAATCCAAGTGTCTCTTTTGCCAAGTCTAAAATAAAATAAAAATAGAAAAAAATATTAATAATTATTATTTGTTTGATTGTTTGTATGTATGTATGTTTTTATAATTAGACATTTACCAGCCATAAAATCTTCGGTATACATTGATCTTAACATTCTGACCAAATCACCAGAGCTACCAGATGGATGGAAAAAGTTAGATCTTTCTAAAAGTACAACCTTTTTACCATCCTTGGCCAAGTTATAGGCGGTTGATAAACCGATTGGTCCACCTCCAATGACGGCCACATCAAATTTATCACCTTGTTTAATAGTAGGTAGTGCTGACATGTTTTTAGTTTTAATATATTATATTACCTAAAAGAATAAGGATGGAAAGAAAAAAAGGATGGGGGATGAGTTAGTTAAATATTGGTAAATAAATAAAGTATTGTAAAATATTATAACTTGAAACATACAATTAAAATGAATGAATATAATAAATATAAATATAAATATAGATATAACTTTATCTATTTGTTCAAATCCCAACAACTAATGATTATTATCTCTATCTTTGTTGTTTGAAATGATATCAAATGAAATTGGTTGTTGGTTAAATCCTTTGGTAATCAAACCTCGGATGGGGTGGTGGTAGATTACATTTGACTCCTAACTTGAATCCTTTAACAGTGACACAGTTGTTGTAGTTGTAAAGGATCCTTTTCTAACCAGTAGTTAAAATGATTGATCTGCCACCAATCAGCTGACCAACTTACATGTCTGTGGAAAATTCCTTTTTTACACTTTTTTTCATTGTGGGGTTAACCACAACAACCCAATGAACACACATTGACTCTGATTTGTGGGCGGGTGGTTTCATGTCACAGTTGATTGATTTATAAATCTCTTTTTGGCATTGTGTGTGTGTTGTGTCTATCACATGAGGTAGGAGGGTTGAATGAAGATATACATGTGGGGGTCGTTGAACTGCAGCAATCGATTGTTGGTTAACCACCATCATCTTATCTGTTATTCTTTTGATTGGATTGAATGAATGAGCGGTTCATTGTCCAAACAAATAAGATTATTATATGTTGTAATATATATATACGTATAATATATATATATATATATATATGTACGATCAAAAGTTTGTTGCAAAAAATGAAATGAAACGAATGAAATTGAACAGAAGACTGAGTCGCGCAACTATATTATATAATGTATAAAATTTTGATAAGTAAGTATTCCCTACTTACTCTTTTGAATGATCAATATCTCTCTCTCTCTCTCTTAGGAGGTGACGATGATTGTAATGACAATGATTGATGTAACAATTGTATCCAAGAGAGGAATGAATGAATCGATAGCATCTTTCTGCTTTCTAATTCTCTAGCTAGCGATCTCCGGTGGTGCCTGTTGTCTCTCGATCTAATTTAATGAGTTTGACATTGTTCTATATTCTTCTTTTACTCAGATTTAAGATATCTTTGTCTTTTACACAGATATTAATATAAACAATAAAGCGAAATAAAATTTTATAAAGATTTTGAAGGAAAGAAGCACATCCCTTTTGATGATCAAGTCGTTGCCCACAAAATTAATTTGTTCTTTCTTTCTATTCATAGTTTGCTTTCATCATTAAAGCACACAAAGAACAGAAGCAATTTCGATTAGAAATATCTATTTTAAAAATGAATCATCATGATCTTAAATATCTTTAGGGGATGGTACCTACCTTCTCCGATATTGCTCCTCCTCCTTCTCCTCCTCTCTACTCTTTACTTGTTTAGTATACTTTATAATATTTTATTTAAATATATATGTATATGTAACCATGTCTAGCAATAGTACATTTTATTACTATTTATTTATTGTATTTCTATCACTATGTATATTTCATACTCATGTTGGTGACGCACAATCAGTTCTACCAGATGATGAACTTCAATCTGCCATTTGGATCATTAGACAGTAAGTACTATCAATTAATCAATCTATCAGCTGATACCTATCACTCACTAACCTATATTTCAATTACATTAGATATGGTTGTTCATTTATTACTCAAACACAAGCAGGAATATGTGGTTCTGCCTCTTTTACATGTGAGGACACTCCAACAGGCTATCACATTGTATTAATGTACGTACAAACAAACAAACATAGAATATGAAGATGTTCTTCAAGTATACGTGACAACTGAAATTAACATTTATTATTTTCTATCTATCTATCTATCTATCTATCTATAGTCAGATAACAGGAGGACCATATGTTTATTGTGGTGATCCTCAGTCCAATATAACAACATTTTCATTCCCAGAGCTGACAACGTAAGTTTGATCAATCGATTGACGATTTATTATTGCTTTATATTAACATTTAATTAATTAATGTATTAATATAATATTAACTTTGTTAAACTATAGAGCCTATATTTTAACTGGCGCAGGAGTATTCGACTCAGCTTTAAATGTACTGGATAAATTACAAAATCTTCCAAAACTTGGATACATTAGGTATTGTTCAAAAGAAATATTATTATTATTATTATTATTTACTTATTTGTTTATTTATTTTAGTATTTCTGATATAAATTTAAGGGTATTTCCAACATCATTTCCTACAGGACTTCCATTACTTAGAACGTTGGATTTAAGTTTCGCTGGAACTAGTATTCCTCCAATCATTGCGATCGTTGAAAGTCCATTGCTTACCGGATTGTATATAAAGAGCCTTCTATTAAACGACCTCTCCAGTCTCCCATTGTGGGCAGTCCCATCTCTCGACTCTATCGAATTGACGTTTGGTGCTCCCACAGTGCCATTTGAAATTAACATTAATCAAAATTCATTCCCTGTACTAAACTATTTGTATGTAATTTAAAATAATTTGATACCAAACCAAACCAAACCAAACCAAACTAATTAAATTAAATGAATTTCATTCTCAGGAGTATTGATGTTGCATCTCAAAAAAATATAGTAGTCACCGTTAATATAGTTTCTGATATAATGAGGTCAATGTATGTAGTACGACACTTTGACTTGTGAAGGATTAAAAAAAAAGAAAAGATATTCATTAATTTTTTTTCTTTTTTTTTTTTCAAAGTATTTTAAAAGGATATGTTGGAGCCTATCTATTAAACCTTTCAAATACAACAAGTTTAAATCAAATTAGCATAGCTGGATTTGGATCTAAAATCTCCCCTCCCATTTCTTTTCCAAATTTTCCAAAGTTGCTAACTTTGTAAGTCAAAACTAACCCAAATAACATTCAAAAATAATGATATTTATATTAATTTTAAATAATTCTCTCTCTCTTTCTCTCTCTCTCTCTCTCTCTCTATTCCTTTAGACAGTATAGTCGTAGTAATATTACTACTTATAATTCCTTTCATCCGAGTTTAGAGAGTTTCTATGTATCTGAAGATTTAACCTTTAACCAAATTCCAAATGTACAAGTCCCATCAACTTTGAAATCAATGTAAATGATCTTAGATTGATAACAAATTAAAAAATGATGACGATCTTTAATATTTATTAACCTAAATTGATTGAAAAAAAAAGTTCATTTACATATAACAATTTAATAGGTACCATACCAGATGTATTTCAAAACTCTGTTGGTTTGGATCTAGATGTGAGCTATAACCAGAAATTAACTGGAAGTATACCAGAATCACTTTGTCATGCTTCATATCTAAACATTATCAATACCAACATTACAAGCTTGCCACAATGTTTTTGGTGTTATATCAATAATCCACGTGTCATTCAAACTGATTTACCATTCCCTATTGGTTTTACATGTAGTATGTTAAGATTATTATATTATATTTAATAGTTGGATTTTAAAATTAATTTATCTTTTTTTTTTTTTTTTTTTTTTTGTTTTTAAAAAGGCTTGATGATATCATCCAATATTTATTATACTGAATTGGGAAGAGTAAATATAACAGGTTCCTTTCTTGGCTGGGGGTATGATGATCCATCTTCAAATTTTACTATTACTCCAATCATTCCAAATGAAATCATGGCGTATGTATTATTTATTTTATTTTACCCTCCTCATGAACTAATCATCTTTTCTTTTCTTTTCTTTTCTTTTTGTAGAATTAAATTTAGGAATCCTTCAAAATTTCCTTTAATTCAAAAACCATACCAAGTTTCAACTTCAGCGTCTCTCGGTTTTAGTGATATCACATTCCTTGAAATTGCATTGAATCCAGTAACATCGGTTGTAGTACAATACCCAATCTATCTCCAGATTATTTTTGGTGGTAATTTTAATCCATACTTGGGACACAATATTACATTGATGGGTACCAATTGTCTTATCGCTCTACTGGATCAATTTACAATTCATTGTCGTGTCTCAGTCGATACTATACCTTCATCCTTCAATCTCTTTCAAATTAATTTGACCAATGTATATCAATCAAAAACTGTTTTATCCTCTTATCAACAAAGTAAGCAAACTAATTAAACAATTAAATAATTTAAATAATTTATTAATTTTTTTATTTTTTAGAATATCCAAAAGTAAAATCATTTAGTTTTAATCAAAAACAAGTTAGAGCAAATACTACAATGACAATGATTGGAAATTTTGGATTTTTTTTTGCATCTTCACAAATAACTATTAATCAAGGTGAAGCAACTTGTACAACCGTCTCTATCAATGCAACTGTATTGGTTTGTACCATATCCAATAATTTCAAGGGTGGTGTGGCGAATATTAGTGTTCAAGTGGATTCGTACAGCACTTGGAACGAGACATTTATCGAAACACTTTCAACAAGTTGTGAAGAGACTACACACAATTGCTGGGGTAATGGACAGTGCTCAGTTGCCGGTACATGTGTTTGTAACGATATTGGATTCTATCAAGACTGTTCCAAACCATATCCAATGGTAACGAGTGGAGAGTATAACCAAACACTACAGATGGTGAACCTTTATGGTGATTTTGGACCATATGGACAGGCCGGACCAAATGTAATGATTAATAATTCGGTTCCTTGTAATGTAGTCTTTACCTCACAAACCCTACTCAACTGCACCGTTCAATCACCACTACAACCTGGTTTGGCATCAGTTTCATTGGTTGTTGATACTATTCCTTATAATCGGTCAAGTGTGTTTTTGGTAACTCGGTCGCCTACCAATTCATCTACCACATCGACATCAACGTCGACTACTTCAGGAGGAGGAGGACCTACACCACAAGAACAATGTGAAAAAGATACCAATCATTGTTTTGGAAACGGTCAATGTAATGTTTATGGACAGTGTCTATGTAACCGTAATTACAACCCGGATGATAATTGTAAAACTTTGTTTAGTAATGCCACGATACATCCAAATGCAACGGCACCAACTGCATCGTTTGAAATTGATGGTATTACATTTGACTTTCAAGTGGTGGCCATTCAAGAGATTGGATTGGATGGTGAAATATTAAAAGAGATGTTGACCAACAATTGGAATGTCAATATTACCAATACGAGTACACTCACCACAGCAACCTACCAACTCAACAATACCGACACTCGATCCGTTCTATACAACATCACCTCGGTCATTGCAACCATTTCCTATTCACCACAAGAACGTGATGTTACATTTGGTCCCCAACTGTTACACATTAATCCAAACTCGATCAAATTGGCAATCAACATTAATAATTGGGTGTATAGCTCTCATCTTGCAACTCTACTCGTTCTACTCGAAACTAAAACCAACGAAAACCAACAAACAGTGTATGATTGTCAAGAAATAGAGGTTGACAGTTTTTCAAAGGACGAGTATGGAAGTATCCAATATCTTCGTATTGTAAAGGACAATGTACAGTTTAATGGTCGATTTATAGATTATGTAATGTCTGATGGTCGACCAGCCTACTCTAAAACTATATTGGTCAATCAAACGTCTCTTGGCAATGGAGAGTTATCCTCGTTGATTGGAGTCGGTTTGCCTCCATGCCAATCGTGTATCCTTGACCCTGATTTCTCACCATTGCTCATTGAAAAGGGTAACCAAGACTGCGAAAAATCAAACAATTGGAGAATTATTGTTGGGTCGGTGGTTGGTGGTGTCGTTGGCATTGCAGCAATCATTGGTGCAGCAATCCTTATTAAAAAGAAATTATTATTCAATTCCATAAATGTAAAGATGGAAAGTAAATTAAAGAGAATGGATAATGAATAAAGATTGAAAAGAATTTGGAAAATGTAAAAAAAATCAATGGAATAAAAAATGTAAATATAATGAAATGATTTTGATATTTATATCCAGATTTTTATTTATTTAATGAACAGTGACATGAATTTTTACAATATCTCTTTCATCATCCAATAATGATTGTATAGTATTATTATTATTATCAAAATATTAGTTCTTAGGTTCTTCAATTGGATTTAAAATATGCTCTTCATATTCGTAGTAACTAAAAAATTGAATAAATGATTCAACTCTTACATTGGGTCTGTTACGCTTCATCGTGTTGATAGTCGTTTGACAGTCTTTGATCATTGACCTTTTATCTTCCTCTGAGCAACACGTGTTCCTCCAAGCACGCAGTCACTTGGAATGTTTGTATCCAATTTAATGATAGTGAGTCCAAAGAAGGACATACCACTATGATATGCTTTAACTTGACTCCAAGGGTCTTTGATAAAGTTACGGTATGTAGATACACCATCTTCTTGTGTAATGGTAGGTTTGTCATGACCCAATAAGAGACAATCAGCATTTGATATGACTAGATGATTGATCCATTTCAATGGACAGAAGATCGTATATGTTGCATTCTCTCTTTATCAATCGAAAATCTAGTGTTGTAAAGATTGATGTTGCAAGTTGAAAGAATCTTGAACAAACCAAATCAAAACCAATCTCGTTTACATATCTAAATATCTTTGCTTGTATCAAGAATGGTAGGTTTGGTAATAATACCATACTGTCCTCTTCTCCTTCTTCTTCTTGTTTGTTCATTATTATTTGTTTAATTTTATCTTTTATGTTGAACAAACTATAATGTTTTGAAAATCAATTTTTTTTTCTTTTGTAGAACAACGAAAAGGGGAACACTAAATATTAAAATAAATAAATAAATAAATAAATAAATTTTAATTACAATTTATTAAACCAAATACGTACGAGTGATTTATTTAGGAATTTGGTTTATAATTATTATTTTTGAAAAAATCATATTGTAGGATTTGATATGCTTTAGGTCTATTTTCTCTCTCGAGTAGAGGTGCGATCAATGCAACCTCTAATGGATGAGAATGGCGAATGGTAATGTCATTGTAAATGTTTGGATTGGTTAAACGTTGGTATCGGTCCTGACTAGACTCCCAATTGGATATCAATTCGTAATAGATGATAGCCACACTGTACACATCGGTCGTTTCGTCGTACTGTCCACCTCGCATTTGTTCAGGACTGGCATATAGATTTGTACCAAGACCTTGTTTGTTTTGTTTGGTTTGACATTCGTCGATAGTAGTTGTCAAACCAAAATCACCAATCTTTACTATAAAGTTTTTGTGTACGTCTTTGAATACAAATATATTCTCTGGTTTGATGTCTCGATGTACGTATCCCTTGGAATGTATATAATCCAGTCCAACAAATATTTGATGAATTATATTTTTACATAGTGCTTGTGTTGCGACATGTTTGTTCATCCAACTTCTTAATGTCTTTTTAGCCAATTCCATTTGAATATATAATACTTGATTCATATTATTATTAATATACATATTTTGGTCAATGGTAGAAGTTTGTGGTAAGGTTGGTGCATACCCAATAGAAGCATATCTTTGACTAGTGAGTGATGTATCATTATTATTATTATTACTATTATTATTTGATACTACAGAAATAGTTGATGAAGATGAATAAGTTGATGATGGTGATGATGGTGATGAACGATTACTATACATATTATTATACATATTATTATTACTATGCATATTAATATTATTATTATAATTATTATTATTAATGATTGTTGTTGTTGTTGTTGATGATGGATTATAAATAGTTTCAATCCATGAATAAAAGTATTTTATAATGTGAGGATTGTCATTTAATCTAGCCATAATCCTACATTCATCTTGCATTGACTCGATGTTGGATTTATCACATTTTTTAATTGCATATATACCGTCGTCAACAATGTATGTTGCCTGGTACACTGTTCCTTGGCCACCTGACCCAATCTTGAATGAATGGTAATCTGTTTCAAATTTACTAATGGTTGGGTATTGTTGTTGAGGTAAAGGATGGACGTTGTTGGTCTGAAGAAGAAGGACATTATTGAAATAGGGGTCGTGATCTGATTGTTTCAATATATTGATTGCATCTGGTGATTCTTCTTGTTGTTGTTGTTGTTCCTCTTGATCTTGTTCTCTTACTACTCCAGTCATCAACTCATTAATATAGTGGTCTGTTTCTGCTTCATTACTGGTATTGTTCGTTGACACTGACAATTGTAACAATGCATCAGTCACACACAATGGTTGATCAACAGCTGCATGCATTGTTATAGTTAATGTCTGTTCATGAATAGAACTTGTTGTTGTTGTCGTAGAGGATGAAGGATTGTTGTTGGTATCTTGTAGATGTGCATCACTAACACTTGGTAGTAGTTGTTGAAAGTTGATGACTTTGAATCCACTGAATTCAAGATTCTCTATTATTTGATCTGACATTATATTATTATTATTGTTCTATTGATCAGTACTGTAGTTTTAGATAGATAGATGTAGATGATCATAGATACTCTCTAATATAATGACCTCTTGCTATCAACAATTCATCTACTATTGTTTTCATGAATGGATATGATTGAATGCAATGATAGAGTGATTAAGCTATAATAGAGTGTATGATGAAAACACTTTTTTATTTATTTTATTTTATGTGCTTTCCTGAACTTTCTATTTTTGGTAAGCCAGAGCTACCCCAACAATCTCTCCACAAGGTCTATCATCGAATGGCCAAAGCAAACTATCAACTTGGTTTTTATCGTATGTGTATGGATTGGTTCATACGAATCATGATGGACACTCGCAACTATACACTAGACACTGCCTTTATCAATGCAACAACCAATCTTAAAGCCAACCAAGAGATCTTTGTATCCTATGTCGACAAATACTTGCCCTATCCAGAAAGAGTTGGAACGATTTGGTATTGCCCAGTTTGCTATCACATGTTTCAATCGAATCGATTGGCGAGTTGGAAGTGCAAAGAGACTTAAGAGCTCTGGCACTCCCTTTAGAAAACCATCCCAAGAGCAAGATTGGTTTTAACAAAAACTGTTTTCGTTAACGCGAACAATCTTTCAGCATTGGTTGGATCTCCACCATAATAATAAGAAAGCTCCTCTTCTTGAGAACATCTGATGGGTGATACAATTTTTTTTTTTAATTTTTTTTTTTTTTATTATTTTTTTTGAGAAATATATATTTTACTAGTATTTATACAAGAGGATGATTTGAGAGAACTATTAAGTTGAAGGATTATTATTATTATTATTATTATTGTAATTAATTTAAATATTTTTTTGAACAAAAGGATGTTTGAATCATCTCCATTGTCACTGCCATGCGAGTTGGGCCAGTAGACGGGTTACTAGTTCATCTACTAGTTGGTCTAGTAGTTCTCTACTAGGAGCTACTAGGGCTAATGGTTGGGCTAATAGTCTGGCTAATAGTAGGGCTACTCTACTATGAGCCACTAGTCGGACAATTAGACGAGTTATTAGTTCAGCGACTAGTTGGGCTAGTAGTTCAGCTGCTCTACTACTAGGGGCTACTAGTCTGGTTACTAGTTGGGCCACTAGTCGGGCCACTAGTTGGGCTACAAGTTCAGCTACCAGTTGTTCGGCTGCTAGTTGTTCAGCTGCTGCTCGTTCAGATGCTGCTAGTTGAGCTGCTGCTAGCTGTTCAGCTGCTGCTCGTTCATCTGCTGCTAGTTCAGCTGCTGCTTGTTCAGGTGCTAGCTGTTCAGCTGCTGCTAGTTCAGCCGCTGCTAGTTCAGCCGCTGCTAGCTGTTCAGCTGCTCTCTCTCTTTCTAGTTGATCAGTTAATTGGAAAGAGGGTGGTTGATCCTCTGGGAAAGGGATCGATTGCAATGAGCTGCTTGGACAACCAGAGTTGCTTGTTGAGATTGGAAGAGGATGAGTTGTTGAGAGAGGAGGAGGAGGAGGAGTTGAGATTGACGATGTTTGAAGTTGGGACGATCGTTTGGTTTTGGGTGAGCGGGGAATTTTAGATTCCTTTCCAGCTGCACCGCCGACAGACGCTACTCGTTGGCGTTGAGTAATCGAGGAGGGGGTATTCGTATTTCGAAGTGTTGATAATTGGAATAAAGGAGAAGAGGGTTGCTTAGGTTGGAGTTGAGGTTGTTGATTTGTTGAAGAATCAACAGTTCCCGTAATTGATGCAACATTATCGAGAGGATTTGATTGAGAAGACACAATCGTATTAATAATTCCTAAAGGTTGGGATGATGACATTTCTAAAATTATATAAAGTATTTAAATAAATTAATTAATAAATAAATAAATATAAATAGATATATAGATTATAGATTATAGATAGATAGTTTGACATACATACTTTTTGTTTTTTTTATAAAGGGAGTTTGTTATTAACAATAATTGAAAAGATTAAATGGTAGGTTGATTGATTGATTGATTGTTTGGTTGATTATGAAAAATAGAATGGAATTGAATGGAAAATAGAATGAGTTCAACTTTAACAGTGTAAATCACTGATTATTAAAATAAATAATTAATTAAATAATGAATATTTGCTTGTTGTTGTTGATGTAATGATTGATTTTTTGTTTGATTGATTATGAAAAATAATTTAATAAATAAATAAATAAATAATGAATATTTGCTTGTTGTTGTTGCTTGCTGGATATAATTCACGTAATGCGATCTTATGGAAAGGGATTGATTGCTATGTTTCCTTTTTAAAAGACAACAACACGGTTGGATTTAAATCCTACCGTACATCATTATTGCATTCGCACGCCGTACATCTCTCTCTACTGCCATACACCATATACCGTACATCTATCTAGTGGTGTGTACCACACACCATACACCATGGTTTATTTGGTTGATGAAATGAAAGATCATTTAAAAATTCCTATTAATTTGGAGTGTTCAATAATTAGATGATGCCTATTGGTGTTTGTTTCACAAAACTTACCTTCTCCTCCAACATCACCACCCCTCCCTACTACCATATTGTATGTGCTATTGTTATGCAATCAATATTGTTGAGAGATAGCGAGAGGGCAATAAACAACCATCAACCACCATGATATGATATTACCGTTTAATTATCAATATATAAGGAAAATCGATAGGCAAATTACTTATCAATGAGTGTGTTTTGTTGTTGTTGTTGTTGTAGCACCCCATATCTACCAAACGTAAATCACATTATGCATGATGAATGTGTTGTATTGTATGTATTGTGTTGTGTATGGTTGGTTGGTTGGTGCGATGTAGAGATCGAAACTGCTGCTTTGCTGTTCACTAAACAACAAGCAAACAAAATTTTACAAAAATTAAAAAACAAAAGGATTTATTTCTCTATTCTATTTCGGGAACATCCTCATCCAACCACCCAAAGTTATTCAAAATATTTTATACACCCTCTCTTTTAACGATCCTAACATTGAAAAGGGAGAAGAGAGAATAGAGTGGATATAATGAGAAGAATATAAAACCAGGAGAGGTGGTTTAGGTGGTATGGAGTGTTGTGCACAATATGGCATGTTGGAGACACACACGACACTCAAACAAAGAGATGTTTGACAACATATTAAAAAGTTTTTGTCAATACTGTGGAGCGATTGAGTAGGAAATTTGGAGTCATCACCCCAAGTACCACACTCAGGTTTGGTATCCGAGCGCACTTCCAAAGTCACTCAAAATATCATTATTATTTTGGTGGTGCAAGCGATCCACCGTTCTCCACCATAGACCATGACCAATAAAAAGGTATCGAGAGGATGACAATTTCGATTTCAATAACACCAACACTACTTCAGGGGACTCAAAAATCTGATTTCCACTTTCAACTGTCCGTGAGATAAGCAATTCACACTACATCTCCCCCATTGTGGGTGTATGTGTGTGTGTCTATCGAGTTTTATTGGTATGATTGACGACCACACACACACATATATATATATATATACTATAGTTTATTATTCGATAGTATAGTGATAATAATAATCGTCAGGAAAAATTAATTAGAAACTAATATAATAAAGTATTTTTGGACAGCCCAAATTCACTATCCGATTCTGAACAATTAGGATTAAATCATCTTAGAAAATGTTCAATCAAATGGTGATGGAATAAATGAAGGTTTAGATTGGTTACAAAATAATAATGAAGTACCCTACTATATATATTTATTCAATCGAAAGGTAGATAGTTCTCTCTGAAGGGTTTTCTCTGTTTTACGAGTTATTACTTCGGAATCGATTAGAAAACAAAGAAGGATTCTTCTATACTTATGATAACAACACATTATTATACTATCATACTTACTCTAATACCCAAGATTTCGGTGGGATAGTGGCAGACTAATGAAAGTATCAGACCAAGTTCCCTTCCATAAAGATTTTTTTCGATACCATTGTTGATATTTTAAAAATCTTGATCACTCGTGAAGAATTCGTCACTCCGACGAAGGAGTTCATTAGTTTCTACTACTTTTTCCATCACCATGAAATCTTCTACTATTTATAAGCATTAAAAAATCGATCATATTTAAATTAAACAGTCATCATACAAATAATTAATTAAAAAGATAAAAAGATGAAGAATAATAATTTAATATTTATAACAACAATTATTTATTTATTAAATATAATTGGTGTTGTTGTATTGGGACAAGGAGTAGTGCAATTTTCAACCAATGCAGCTGGTTGTAATACTGCTAAAGGATGTGATTTCTCAGATCCTTACAACTGGGTTGGCAAAGTAGCTCCATCTGTTAATGACATTGCATCTATCGATTTTAGCCAAGTGAGTGGTCCAAATCAGATGATCCAAACTATCAATTCAAAATCACCTATTCAAATCTCTGGTCTAATCATCAACGCCGATGCCCAATCCTCAGTGTTTTTCACCAGTTTCAGCAACATCCAAGTCAAGGGTGACATCCATATTGGCAACTTTAGCACGCTTCACATGGGCAGTATGTCCTTTTTATCCGCGTCTGGAAACGTTCAAGTCGACGACCAAGGCGGCCTCACCTCGGACATTGCTGCCAGTATTTGGATTGGTGGAACTGCCACCTTTGACTATGTGTCTGTTTTAACCTTGGGCAAAAACAATTCGTTGCAAGTCCTCAATGGCGGAAACTTCCATGGATACGTCACAATGGATCTCAACTCCAAGTTGAAACTCGGAGGAACCAGTGCCATCACTGGTGGCGAAACATTTACTTTGCAAGGTGCTGCCGTCATTTACAATGCAGTTTTTGGTGAATACGCCACATTCATTGTGTTTGGTGGTCTCGTTGCCAACTCGTTGGTACTCCAAGACTATGCCCTTGTTCAGGCCTTCTTTGATGTCACTGTCAAAAGCCTGACTGTCGAGAATGAAGCTGCATTTGAGCAGAATCCAAACCAGTACCCTTCATACACTGGTCCCATCACCGTCGAGATTGACTCGATCAGTGGTAGTAACATTAGCGAGGTCAACTTTGGACGAGCCGACTCTGTCGTTGTCGGAACCATCTACACCGACGGTAACATCATCGCCACTGACCAGGTCTCCAGTCTCAGCTTGGGACAACTTGGCAATTCGTACGTGAACCAATTGATCTTTACAACCACCACCAGTAACCAACAAAATCCAACAGGTGTCTTCTCGGCCAACTTTACCAACATCAAAGTCGCTGCAATCGGTGCCACCACACAGGATGTAAATACTGTCTTGTCATTCACATCGGCCACTAGCTGGGGAATGACCTCGACCCTGCTCGAAAATGTCAATGCCATCGTCGAGAGTTATGCACAACTCAACCTGATTGAATCTGTAATCAGATTGATTGGTCCCAACTCTACCATCAACGTACGAAACAATGCCGATCTTGTCATCCAATCCAGTTCCGTCAGTGTCCAAGGTATCATCGGTGCTCCCTACTCGTCGGTAGCCATTTCTGCATCAACATACGTCGGTCAAGTTTCAATGACTTCATTCGGTACTCTCCAATTGCTAAACAGTACCATCCAAGGGTCGGTCAGCACAAACTCCACGACAGTCTCGTTTGAAAGCCACGTAAACATTGTTGGATCAGTCAATATCGTCGGTCAATCTGCCACCCACATCATTCTAACTAGTCTGCCATCTGATGCCAACAACGTACCCATCATAGTCAGTTACGGTATCACCATATCATCTACAGTGATCGTCTCACTCCCTGAAGCAAGTACTCTCAAAGCAGGTCAAGTCTTTTATATTGCTAGTAGTCAAGGTGATCTCTCGATCATTCCTAGTCTCTGTCAACTTGATAACTCATTACCAACTCCATTAACCTACATGTTTAATATTGTTTCTGCAAATAGTTTAAATTATTTCGTTTTAATCATTAAATAAATAAATAAATAAATAATTATAGATATAGGGTTTATATTTATAGGTAGATAGATAGTTGGTTATACATACCTTTGCTTTTTTTTTTTTTTTACAAAAGGGAGTTTGTTATTAACAATAATTGAAAAGATTAAATGGTTGGTTGATTGTTTGATTGATTATGAAAAATGGAATGGAACTGAATGGAAAATAGAATGAGTTTCACTTTAACAGTGTAAATGACTGATTATTAAAAATAAATAAATAATGAATATTTGCTTGTTGTTGTTGTTGTTGTTGTTGCTTGCTGGATATAATTCACGTAATGCGATCTTATGGAAAGGGATTGATTGCTTTGTTTCCTTTTTAAAAGACAACAACAAAGTTGGCCATATACCATATACCGTACATCTATCTAGTGGTGTACCACATACCATATACACCATTGTTTATTTGGTTGATGAAATGAAAGATCAATTGAAAATTCCTATTAATTAAATTCAAGAATTAGATGATGCCAATTAGTGTCAATCGAATTGGATTCTATTTTGGGGAGCATGTTTATTTTGCAAAACTTACCTTCTTCTTCTCTACCATCACCACCCACCTCCGTTCGTATTGTACTATTTGTTATGTTTTTGATTGCCATAATATTGAGAGACAGAACGAGAGATAACCAATCACCATCGAAATTACCATTTATAGTATTCAACATATAAGGCCGATAGCCAAATATTACGTATCAATGAGTGTGTTGTTGTTGTTGCTCACCTCATCTACCACGCTGATACTACTCATGCATATCTACCAAACGTTAATCACAAGTTGATAATGTGTTGTGTTGCATGTATTGTGTTGTGAGAAATATGGTTGGTTGGTTGGTTGATGAATAGAGAGAATGAAACTACTGCTCTGCTGTTCAGCATCAAGTATATCCTACAAAAAATTAAAATAAAAACAAATGATTTTATTTCTATTCCTAGCTCACCCTAGACCAACTCACCAAACACTCATAGTCATACTCGATACACACTCTCTTTTAACGATATATACTTTGAAAATAGAATAGAGTAGACGAATGTGCGAGTATGATGTAGTATAGAGTTGTTGGTATCTCTATTATTATAATGACCCGCCGAGCATGGAGTGTTGCACAATTGGTTAGTCTGGGATTAGTATGCAAGAGGTGCTAAGTGTGATATTGAAGACTACCTCACACAGTCTGTCTAATGCATGGTACACCACCACACCACGATACTCAGACACAGAGAGTGTATTTGACAATTGCAAGATACAAGACAACATAGTGATATTTAAAGAAAATTATTATTTATTTATTTGTTTAATTAGTTTTTCCTTTGGTGTGGTAGTTGTTATGGAAACAGGACCCCTCCTTCTTCTTTTAGGGCGTGTGCCAGGTGTGGTGGTGGTGGTAGTAGAGACCTGCTTATTCTCGGGCACTTCTAGTTTGGTGCAAGAGATTGTGCACCATACAGATTGACTCCAAACGGCTCGAGCCTCACTTTTGGGAGAGATGTCGACATCTAAGGAGGTGTCGGCATCTGAGGAGGTGTCGACATCTGAGGAGGTGTCCATCATGGCATTACTGCTAGTAGCAGTAGCAGTAGTAGCAGTAGGAGTAGCAGTAGTAGTAGCAGTACCATCAGTTTGAGAAGAATCATTTTTCTCTTTCTTTGGATTCTTTACGAAGCCGGTCACCAAAAACGGATTATCCTTTAGTAAATCTTCTGGTACAGAGATATAAACCAATTGCTTCTTTTCATTGACAACAATTCGGGGGTTACCTCTACCTTGGCCCAGAGCGGCTATGATTTTAGTTGTATAGGGATAAGCTAGGGCATTTCTGAGGCCAATGAGGAATGTGGTTGATGGTCCATGTAATAATCGGTTAACAAGCACATTGAACACCACTGATTTGTCATACTGCAGTCCTGGAATTTGATCCCCCCCCCTCTACGGGCTCGGCTTTGAGGATCTGGGCAGGTGGGATGTTCTTGGTGTTATGGTAAAACGTGATTGTAGTCTTGGCGGTGCATAACGTCTCCTTATTTCTTTTAGCGACGAATTGGATTTCCATAGGTTTGCCTGGTGGTGATCCTCTTTTGGATCGCTTGGAGACTTGATTGGGTTCCGACGGTGACAGTACCTTGTAAATCGTGTAAGCAATTTTGGCAGTTATCAAGTCTTCGATAGTGACACATTTGCGTTCAAGTTTGTATTCCTCGTTTCCAATTATCTTTGCAGAGAATTGAATGCCATCACACGCAATCGAACGATTGGCATGGTCGCTTAGAATTAATGTAAATTCGATTCTTCCGTACTTGACTCCTGTATTTGCTCCTGATACATCCAATTTCAAGTTTTGGTCGAACTGCTGCTGCTGCTGCTGCTGTACAAGTGTATTGGCATCCAACACGTTCATCTGCTGCTGCTGCTGCTTCTGCTGCTGCTTCTGCTGCTGCTTCTGCTGCTGCTTCTGCTGCTGCTTCTGCTGCTGCTTCTGCTGCTGCTGCTGCTGCTGTACAAGTGTATTGGCATCCAACACGTGTTGGGTAGAGACGCTCGTGATCGGTATGTTGGTATCGGGTCCAAGATTGTCGCTAGCAAACGACGAACCCAAATCACTTGGAGATGAAACGCCTTCATGTAGGTCACCAGGTGATTGTTGAGGACGGCTTCCAACAGATGGTTCCAATTCTGATTGATGATACCCAAAGGTTGTCTCCCAAAATTGGCATTGTTGCTCTTGTGGTCGTTCTACCACATGCGTGGCTGTAGTAGTAGTAGTAGCACCAAAAATAGAGGGCAATAAGTTTTTGGAGTCAGCAATTGCATTTGGAGGAGATGGTTGGATCGTGGAGTTGGTGTCGTTACAGATAGCTGGAGTGATCGGCGCCGAACTGGTGGCCCACTCCATCGGTTCAAACTGATTGAAGAATTTCTGTAATCCTGAAGAGTTGTCGACATAAACTGGGCTGGATTCCTGGTTGTCATGATCCAGTTCGACCAATTGTAAAGCATGGCATTCATCCCTTGTAAGGTGCCATAAATCTGGATCCCCCATACGAAGGAAACCTCTCTCTTCCACCTCTTCCTCCTCCTCGTCATCTGTTTGTTTTAAGAAATCATTTTCCATCATGACTATATAGTAAAAGAAAGCTAGAATGGCACACCAAGACGATGGTCAAGCCCCATATGCTATTAATCTAGAAGAAGAAAGATTTAAAAAAATCAATCATCAGAGTACAGAGTAGAGATAAATAAGGTAAATGAGGGGAGGAGAGATCGATGTTAGTAAAGGCGTGACCTGAGAGAGATGAGCTCATATATCAAGGCAGTAGCACATACGATTAATAGATAGATAGATAGATAGATAGATAGATAGATATAAGGTTGATCTAGCTAAGATATTATTATTATTCGTTGTTTCATGGTTAGGGATGAAAAGAATGTGTGTTTTTAAAGCATCTGTTGTTCATGATGGTAGCTGTTGTGCACAAGATAAGAAGTAAAAAAAAAGTTCCAAGGCACCAATGAAAATATTAAAAATAATATCTTTAACTCCGACCTTGGTTTGCGAAGTTCAAATATTCAATGAACCAGGTCAGGTTTTTACTTCTTATCTTGTGCACAACAGCTACCATCATGAACAACGGATGCTTTAAATATTAATACCAAACAAATAATATACCGCCGAGCAATAGTTGGAGAATAAAAATGATTTGAGAAAATGTGAAACATGAAGTTTGTTACTCACTCTGAAGAGTTATAATAAGTTCATTGACCCAAACATTTAAGTTAGAGACAACAAAACTTGACCAATCGATAACGAGAGAGACTTGATTTTTTATATTCACCCCCAAACAAATGATTGGTGCACTGTAGATAGAAGTAGTACTCTTGGTCTTGTATAAAGAAGCCAGAAAAAAATGCATATTCCTTGCACCAGTCGTTTGTAGCAGAGTCCGGATGTTGAGATAGGCAGAGTGGGTACATTTGAAGTTGGGTGAGTGGGGAATTTTAATTCTAGATTCCTTCCAGTTTCACGACTCGACATAAGAATTCTTTTTTTATGTTATTCATCTTCATCTCTCTCTCTCTATCTCTCTCTATTTTTATATTGTGTGTATTAAATGAATAAGAGTAAAGAGATAGAAAAAGAAATAATAATAGTAAAAGATGTAGATGTAAAAGTAGAGAAGAGGGATATAGAGGAATATTGTTATCTGATTGAAAAGATACCAAATACAATCATATTAAACATAATAGAAAAGATTGAAAAGAATGTAGATTTAATATGTTTACTGTTAACTTGTAAAAAGTTGTATTATAGTATTAGACAACTGTATAGTAGTAATAATAGTCGTACACTCAAATTTAAACAAATCAGATACTATGATAAAGATTACAACACAAATAATGATGTAGTTAAAAGTTTAAAATGCTTTAATTTACAATCATTTAAAGGTATATTTGATAATAGTTTATCCGATCAAATAGTAATTTCTGATATTCAAGATACACTACCATCATTAAATAATCATCTTACAACTAAACAACAACAACAACAATCAATAACAACAAATGATAATAATAATCATATCAACTATTCAGTATTAATATCATTATCATATGATAGTAACAAAAAGAAGAACAAGTTGAATGATATTATTATACCAACCAATACAAAAGATATGTTTATATCATATGTAAAGGACGAGGAGGAGGAAGAAGAAGATGAAGAGAATTATTATCAAGAAGTAGTACCAATTGAATTGTTTGAAGGATTACAACAACTAGAGACATTAAGTTTGGGATACTCTTCGATTGGATCAGATCAAATTGAAAAGTTACCAAACACCATTAAAAAGTTACATCTTGGTGAATTGTTATTGGGTACCAGTAGTAATGGACATCAAGTAACCTTGCCCGCTGGTCTTGAACATCTGGATTTCATGATCACTCCACCAAATGGTAAAGAGTTGTGGGGTGGTCTGGGACTTGACAAACTTAAATCACTCAAGACGTTAACCATGCCACATTTTGATGGATCCTTTACAACGCTGCCAACCACATTGACATCACTTGATATCAATTTCGAATCGGTTAAACCACCAAACCAATTCTTTGAGTCGTTGGTACACCTCTCGACGCTCTACATCTATATTCATGTCCTTGACCATGTCTTGGATCTCACACATAACCATGCCCTTGAAAAGCTCGACATCCACACTGGCTATTCCGTGCTAGGGATGGACAGCTTTTTCGTCAAGCTTCCGCTCTCGTCGTCATTCAAGGAGCTCTACCATCGTAGTAGTAGTTATCCCTTGGCTGGGTTTTCAACGCAATTCCTTCCAACCACGTTGACGCGGCTCGAAACCTCTGTTTGTGACTTGGATTTGTCGACCATACAGCTGCCAAGGTCTTTGGTGCAGGTAACCCTTGAAAACTGTCGTTCCATTCCAGTTGGATTTCTACCTCGGGATGGTGGTGTCTTGAAAAAGCTCTCAATCCACTTGGATGGTTTCGAGGGTCTCTCAAAAGGATCAATTCCATCATCGGTACAGGATTTGAAATTGTTTCATTATTCTGGTCCTACCACCCCAGACTATATCCCCAACTCTATCAAACGACTATCATGGTTTGGTAATATCGATACACTTCCTCAAGGTTTGGAATGTTTGAAATGGAAATATCCATTTGATTCTTTTGTTTATCCCTCTTCTTCTTCTTCATCTTCTTCTTCTTCTTCACCACCACCAGTAATACGCGCGTTACCACCAATCAATATTCCACAATCACTCACTAAACTTACACTTGAATTGGATGCCATTTTAAAAGTGGAGGACCATTTAATTTATTCGATTTCAAAATTGCGACAACAAGACGATACATACAACATTTTACCAAATAGTATTTCAAAGTTAAAGATTAAATTACCATATCATCAATTAAATACACCATTTAGTTTTAGATTGGATGAGATTATAAATCAAACAAATGTGGAAACTCTATCAATTTATGGAGCTGGACGAGTATGGTTTAATGCAACCATTAAAAGATTGGAAAGTGATCATTCATCAGTATTATTGGTTAGTAACAAATCATTATTTGGTGGTATCATTAAACAAACAAAATTAAATCAAAGTGGTAGTAATCAATATGCTCCAATTTATTTACATTACAACAAGTTACATGAATCACCATCTTGGAGTCATAATGAAAAAATAATAAATAATTAATTTACAACTTTGTTTATTTACCGATCGGTGGTAATGTTGACATTATTATTATTATTATCCCTCAAAGATATAAAATAATTAATTGGAAGTATATATAGTTGAAAATTATTTATTTATTATTTTTTTTTTGCTTGTGATTTTGAAACAAGACTCTGTAACCTTTTGAGGGAGTGGTTGATGTAAGATAAGATATTATTTAATTTAAATATGTTTGTTAAAAAAAAAAAGGGATTGTTCCACTAGTCATCATCCCAAGCTCCATTGTCATAGTCATCATCTCGGTCTTCCTCTCCTCTTACGGATTGTCTTTTCGAGAAGGCATCACGGAGTCCATCACGAATTGGATCGGGGAATGTTGTGGGTCTTGGATCGGGAACAATGTGTTGTAGTTGCCCTAAATTAAAGTTTAGAATTGAGCCAAGAAAGGAAGGGCCGGGTGGCGTCACAGTAGTTGGGGGTGTTGGAGTGTGTGCCAGTTCAACTAATGGTGCTAGTTCTGCTGCGACTTCGGCTGCTGCTAGTTGTTCAGCTGCTGCAAGTTGTTCGGCTGCTGCTAGTTGTTGAGCTTCTGCTAGTTGTTCAGCTGCTGCAAGTTCAGCTGCTGCTAGTTCAGTTGCTGCTAGTTCGGCTGCTAGTTGAGCTGCTTCTCGTTCAGCTGCTCTCTCTATTTCTAGTTGCTCAACTTTTCTTTCCAAATCCCTGACTTTTTGACACAACTCTTGGAAAGAGGGTGGTTGATCCTCTGGGAAAGGGATCGGTTGCAGCGATGAGCTGTTTAATATTTGCCAACCAGAGTTGCTTGTTGAGATTGGAAGAGGATGAGTTGAGAGAGGAGGAGGAGGAGGAGTTGAGATTGACGATGTTTGAAGTTGGGACGATCGTTTGGTTTTGGGTGAGCGGGGAATTTTAGATTCCTTTCCAGCTGCACCGCCGACAGACGCTACTCGTTGGCGTTGAGTTAATCGACGATGATCGAGAAGAGGAATTGTTTTTGTTTTTTTGACCTTGAAGTGTTGTTAATTGTGATGGTCGGAAAGTAGATGACGTAGAAGAGGGTGTTGTTGAAGTTGAAGTTGAGGTTGGTACAAGATGCTCATCGGTTCCCATAAATGGCGCAAGATGGGGAAGATGGTTTGATTGAGAAGGTACAATCGTATTAATAATATCTAAAGGTTTGGATGACATTCTCTAAAATTATAAAAAAGTATTTAATAAATAAATTAATAAATTAAATAATTATAGAAATATAGGTTTTGTATTTATAGATATATAGATAGATAGATAGATAGATAGATAGATAGATAGATAGATAGTTGGTTATACATACCTTTGATTTTTTTTTTTTACAAAGGGAGTTTGTTATTAATTATAATTGAAAAGATTAAATGGTTGGTTGGTTGATTGATTATTAAAAATGGAATGGAACTGAATGGAAAATAGAATGATTCAACTTTTGACAGTGTAAATGACTGATTATTATTAAAATAAATAAATAGTAAATATTTGCTTGTTGTTGTTATTGCTGGATCTAATTCATGTAATGCGATCTTTGGAAAGGGATTGCTATGTTTCCTTTTTTTTTAAAAGACACCAACAACATGGTTGGATTTAAATCATCCTACCACACATCATTATTTCATTCGTACGCCGTACATCTCTCTGCTGCCATACACTATATATGGTACATACCACTAGAGAGAGAGAGAGAGAGAAATGTAACACCATCGTCGTTGGTTGATCATTTGAAAATTCCTATTAATTTGGAGTGTTCAAGAATTAGATGATGATCTATTTTGGGGAGCATGTTTATTTTGTTTAACAAAACTTACATTCTTCTTCTCTACCATCACCCCCTCCGATCATATCGTACTATATTGTTATTGATTGCAATAATATTGTTGAGAGAACGAGAGATATATATATTAACCAATCACCATCGAAATTACCATTTATAGTATTCAACATATAAGGTCGATAGCCAAATATTACGTATCAATGAGTGTGTTGATGTTGTTGTTGATGTTGTTGTTGTTGTTCACCTCATCTACCAATATTCGAGCAGACGATGATACTACTCATGCATATCTACCAAACGTAAATTGCATCATGCATGATTAATGAATGTGTGTTGTGTTGTATGTATTGATTGTGTTGTGAGAAATATGGTTGTTTGTTTGTTTGTTTGTTGATTAGAGAGAATGAAATTGTTGTTTGGTGGTTCGTCTCACGTCTATCATTCAAAACACAAAAAATAAAAACACACGATATCTTTTCTATTCCTAGCTCACCCTCGACCATACCACTCATAGTGTCATTCATACAGTATTCTTGTGTGTGACAAGAAGATATGTTATACATTGAAAATAGAGAAGAGAGAATAGAGTAGACGAATGTACGAGTATGATGTAGTAGAGAGTTGTTGGTATCTTTATTATTATAATGGTACCAGGCGAGTATGGAGTGTTGCACAGTTGGTTAGCCTGGGATTAGTATGTAAGAGATGGTTTAGGTGGTGTAGAGTATTTTATAATCGTGCTTTGGATAGACCGTGCAACGTGCTAAAGTGTGATATAGAAGACTACCTCACACACATGAATCATCCATGGTGTATGATGAAATCGTTCTCTTCAGTGTGTTTGATGTATATTCACCATAGTATCGGTGACACGCTGATACAGAGATGTATGTCAACGACACAAGACATATTCTCAAGTTTTTGTAGGGACCGTGATAGTCGACGGGCAAGTGACTTGCACCCCTTGTTTCGAGATGTTGTAAAGGTCGGTATTCACACTACTTCCAGTGACTATGGTAACCAGTTTATCGACCTACTCGCCATGTACAAGACCCGTCATATATCGAGTTGCGAACCAATCCAAACTATTTCCTACTCGATCACTCCGCCATCGCGAATACTAACTAAACTCGAGCCGGCAGCTACCCAACTCACAACCCTGTCCTTCAACACCGACCTCTTCTTCTCCACTACCGCGCTACCAACTACATTGACCGTCGTTGAAATGGACTACCGCCACATTCCCTTACCCACCCTCTTCACCACCAAACTTCCACCAACCCTCACATCCATCACCATCTTCCACTTGGCGCCATTCCAAGTAACACAACTCGAGTTTGGTGGTTGGAATGCTCGATTCCCAGTGTTACAGTCACTCAAAATAACATGGCGCTATCCATCATCCTCTGCCATCGACAACCAAGACCAACAACAAGGGATCATCATCCTCGAAGATAACATTGATTTCAATCATTACATCAACACCAACACGACTCTGCGACGGTTGCATGTCAGTCTATGTGTGGGTCACCCATGGGTGCAATCCATCATATCAACCAAACCCAATTTAGAATTGGTTGTATTGCGCAAGACCAAAGCTATACAGCTCAAAGAGGACAGTCTACCACTCACTCTTTCACCCTCAATCAAGCATGTAGTGTTTGATGAGGGTTGGAGTGTTGACAGACTCAAAAATCTAATTTCCACAATACACACTCTCAAAACAGTCATGTTTCAATATCCATGTCTACAAGATGAAGAAAAGTCGAATCGACTCGAACTTGATCTACTTTTTTATCTGATTGACAATAATAACAATAACAACATCAACAACAACAACCATTCCAAGCTAGAGTCAATTATATTTCGTAAAACAAATTTACAATTATCAGACAATAATAATAATAATCAAAATGATAGTGGAGATATGATCAAACACCAATTACAACAATTATTGAACCAGCAACAACAACACAATTGCAATTTAAAATTCATCCAATTTACAACATTGGATCACAAAGAAATTATTATTTATCATGATATAGACCTTTAAAATAAAATATTTATTTATTTTTAAGGGCCCTTTTTGCCCTCTACCTCTTCTACTTTTTGTTCAATTCACTCTCATTCTTATCACATCATATCAACCATATATATACATAAATAAACAGGGCAGAGCAAAAGGTTTACATCGATTATTTGCTAGGATTTGTTTAACAGAAAGAGAGAAATTGACAAAAAGATAATATGTTTGATCAATAAAACATATTACTAGTTAAATCAAATAATAATGAACAAACAAGAAGTATGAAATGATATTTGGAAATTTTCACTCTTTTTACATGCAAGCCAAACTGTAATGACCCAGAGATTCAAGAGAAAGTAACAAGTTTAAATTAACATGTGTTTGAATATGCTATACATACTGTTCTTTAGACAAGGAAAAGGTGACTGAAGAAATATACTTTTCTATTCTTTGGACAGAACTATGTCGTATCATTTTTTTTAATAAATTAATACAGAGAGATAGATCGCGATCGGTAATCATACTCGTGATCTTGAGTTCATTGCAGATTCTTTCTACAATTTTTTGTGTAAAAACATTCTACGTTAATTCCCTCTTGAGACAAAATATCTTCGACCCAATTCCTCGTTCTTTTCGGTAAACACGATTTGGTCTAGAGACCCACCTACCATAGACTTGACCTGTGATGTCAGAACTACATAGTTGAAGATATCTATTATTATTATTATAAACAATATATATAGGTGTAGTAGATATCTGTGTTGTGAATAAATATCAATCAGAAATGAATCATAGATTATTACTTTTATTCGGTATTGGGGCAATACTGTTAATATGCTTATTATCCACCCCCTTTTCATATGCTGTATCAAACCAAGAATGTATGTTAAAAAACTACTAAGTACAAGTACAACTAGATGAATGAATACAATGAAATGAATGACCAAAAGTCCCATAGTAAAAAAATTGGTGCCGAGGCATAATTTTTTAGTATGGGTGGACTTTGAGGATTTCCCATAGGCGCGGATTTCCTATGGGCGCGGATTTAATATGGGCGCGGATTTTTTTACTATGGGACTTTTGGTCATTCATTGAAACTAACAAAAAGTACTGATGTTCATCTTTACTGATGTGTCAAACATCACCACACCTCGCTATTTCTTTTTATAATTATTGATAATACTTCGTTGTCGTCGTCGTCGTCATATTCACTATAGTGGACTCTGCTGCTTTTGTAAGATTTATATATTAAAGTACAAATAACAAAAGAATGTAATTAACACTTTCTCTTTTTACTTTCTTTTTACCTCAAAGTTGATTAGACAGTATGGTATAGATACTCCAATACCATCAGATGATACTATTTGTGTTGGTAGTTCTGTGTTTATATGTGATTCAAGTAGTCAACCAAAAATAATATCAATGTATGTACAACAACAACAATTTATAATATAATATAATAACAACTTTTATTGATGATAACATTTTTGTTAATATCCTCTATTCAAGAATAATCAATCCCAATACATTCACAGACAATGGTGATCCTGGAACCAATACTTTATACTTTCCTGATTTGATGACTATTCAGATCATTCTGCCTGCCAACGCCATCACAAAGACACCATTAAATATCTTGTCACAAATTGACGACGGTTACCTTCCCCAACTCAGACAACTATATTTATCCAATGATCCAACCACTACAAGTATTCCATCTCAATTTGGTTTAAACTCTCCTTTATTAGCGACATTGTAAGAATGAAAAGAAAAAGAAAGAAAATATAGAATGACTAATAATAATATTTGATTTATTTAATTTTAGAAAAATATTAAATATTGCAAATGGAACAATTGATCAATTATTTTACAATGCACCATATATTAGAAAAATAGAAATAACAAATGTTAATACGATCAACATTGATGAATCGTCTTTGGTGCCAACTTTAAGTACGTTGGCATTGGGCTTTTCAGCATCAGTCGATCAAAAGACAATGGTGTTTAAACAATCATCTTTTCCCATCTTATCATCACTCGAAATATTAATTATAAGTGGTCACGCTATTTCCGTTGTTATTGATTCACCTCGTATTGGTGATTTGAAAATGTAAGGAAACAGCAAAAAAACAATTTTAAAATTTCTAAACTAAACTCTTTTTTCTTTATTATTTTAGAACTCATGATACTAATACACCAAATTTAGATTATAATATACCAATTAATTTAACTATAGTTGATACTACAAATATAGGTTACTTGTATGCAATCAATCAATCAATCTCAATCAATCAATCGATTTCTTAATTAACTTTCTTTCTTTTTTTTTATATAGAACATTATCAGGTTTAAATTTAACCATTTCACCTCCAACTTTTGATAGTTTTAAATTTCTTTCTAAATTGTAAGGAATCACAATATGACTATTGCTGTAATTAATTAGTATTTATATATTTATTATTTTTTTTTTTTCAATAGGTCTTTGACTACAACTAGATTTGAAACCATTCCTTTGACCAATAACACACTTCCACAATTTTTAAATTATTTTCTATCACAAAATGGTAGTTTTAAATCAATTCCAGATTTAAATTATACTTCTCCCATGGCATATTTGTAAGTTCTCTCTCTCTCTCTTTTTAATAATATATTTTTTCTAACCTTTTTTTATTTTTTATTTTTAGAGGATTTCCAAATAACAAAATAATTGGAGAAATTCCAACCAAACCATTTTTAACATCACCCATGTTGGTATTGGATTTAACTGGTAATATTGGTATCACTGGTGCACTTGGAGAACAATTTTGTCAAAACAAATTATTGATTAATGGAACTTCAATCACCTCGCTTCCCGATTGTTTTTATTGTTATATTGATAATCCAAGTCTCATCATAACTTCTCTTTTACCTCCACCAAACTTTACTTGCAGTATGTAAAACATATAAACTCTTAAAAAAAATAATATAATATAAATATTTAATATTTTTGTTTTTTTCAAATATCTATAGATGTAGTAGTAACAAATCCAAAGAAAATTATTACACCTGAACCATATATAACACTTTATGGTAGTAATTTGGGATGGGCTTATGGACTTGCAAACGTTTTAGCCATAGTTCCCAATTCCATCATTAGATTTCCATTTGAAAATTATGCTCCCGATCCAAAAAATGTAACGATTTCATTGGACAGTATTGCACCAGTCAATGTGACAGTAACAGCCATTTCAGTCGGTATTCAAATCCACGCGGCACTCTTTGATGTGGTCGGTTCTCTTGTTACTATCAATATCACTAAAATTTTATATCCTCCATCCGTCTCTATGGCCTCTTCCTTTGTCATGGCGATGCCTGCAAATAGCACTCAACAACCTCCTCCTCCAACTCCATGCATACTACAAAACAAAACAATCAATACCTATGTCTGTAAGAATATTGACTCTTTAAATCCTGGAAATTATTATTTCATCATTGAAAATGTTTATAGTTCTAAAACTATAAGAGTGATTACTATTAGTATGTTAACAAAAAAAGAAATTAAAAAAACGCAAAGAGACAAAGAATTACATTTTAATTTTAATTTTGAATTTGATTTTAATTTTAATTTTTTAGATGGAACAGGAAACTTTCCAGTTATGACATCAGCATCAATTGATAAACAACCAGATCTTCAATATTTACGCTTTTATGGATATTTTGGATGGGGTAATGGAGTGGATAGAGTGAGTGTCAAGCTCAATGGGACCGTAGACTGTCCACTTTATTTTAAAAACTCATCCATTATTATTTGTGCAACAGCTACTGCTCTTCCACCTGGACTCACTTCGGCAACCATTGATTGTTATGGATTTGTCAATACATTTAATGGAGCCATCTATATCCCTGCACCACCAACTTCAACAATCGATCTAAAAGAACAATGTAATGAAAGAACTTCAAATTGTTATGGTAATGGTCAATGTAATGATTTAGGTATTTGTTTATGTCAACCAAATTATTATGATGATTGTAAATTTAAATGTAAATATATCTAAAACAAAAGAAAATAAGAAAATATAAAATTAAATGTTAACATTTACTTTATTTTTTTGTAGTAAATCCAAATGTAACAATAATTAAAAATGAAACAGATCCAACAGCAGTATTTAATTATAGTGATCCAAATGGAGGGGCGGTATCACAATTTTATTTTTCCTTGGTTGCTATTCAAGAATTGGATCAAGATGATCGGATTGTTGGAGAATTAAAAGTTGAAAAGTGGAATGTAACCAATCGATCATACAATGATAGTCAATCAGGTTCATTGGTGACATCACTAAAATATGATTTAATGGTCAACAATCAAAGTATCTATAGCAATGTAGAGGTTGTTGCAATGATTGATTATTCAAGTATGGCAAGACAGGTACCATTTGGAGATACAATATTAGACATTGCACCAAATAGTATTAAAGTTGGAGTTGTTGTGAATGGATGGCCATATACAACGATTCTATCACATCTTCGAGTTGTATTCTCGACCATTATCAATAATGATCAACAAACATTTACAGATTCTTGTGACAGTACATCTGACGTTCCCACATTTGAACAAGTGTTTGGTGATAATAGTTATTTAAGAGTTATCAAGAATAATACACAATTCTATGGTCGATTCCTTCCATACTCTTATTCCGATGGTAGAAAGACATTTTCTAAAAATGAATTTATCAATCAAACCAAAATTGCAAATAGTCAAACTGGTGAATCATTGGCATTGATTGGTGTACATTTACCTCAATGTTCATCATGTCTACTAGACCCAGATTTTAGTGCATTGGTAGTAAACAAGGATGACCAAAATATCAACTGTCCATCAGATGACTCTGACACTTGGAAGATTGCTGTTGGTGCGTCGGTTGGTGGTGCCGTATTTATTGCTTTTATCATTGGTCTCATTTACTATATTCGTGATAGTAATACTGCAAGATTTAAATTAAATGCTGCTAAAAGTATATTTATGAAAAAATTATAACCCAAAAATAAAATAAAACAAATAAATAATAATATAATATTATAACGTAGGGAAATCTATCAATCGATAGAAGAGACACGGTGGGATAAAGATATTTTGAAAAAAAGATAAATTTTTAAATAATCTCCAAGATATTTCTTGATTGTCTCAATTATTGGGGGATAGGCGTGCTTCTGACCGAATCCATCCATCCAAGTTGATCAAGCCCATTAACGGCACAGCGAAAGCACGATCTTGTCTCACAAACTACCATTCTTCAAACGATACTTCATTTTTAGTTGTTCAACAAAAGTTCAGTACATCTCCATCATAGTATACTTTTGCTTTGTTCATCAACAAACAACACTTACTGCTTACTGTAATTACTATAGTATATACATCAGCAATGACACCTCCCCCTTTGATAAAGGTGGTATTTTTCTTTTTCTTTTACTTTTTTGTTTTCACAACAAGTATTAGTAGTACAGTTAATGCACAAGATTTATCTGAACCAGAATGTAAGTTTGTTATTAACACATTGTAAAGAACAATCAAAAGACTAATCATCATCATCATCGTCGTATTTAGTGAATTCAGCAATATGGCTCATTCGTAACTATGGTATGACAGTACCACAGAATCAGATGCTTTGTAATTATGCAACAGGAGGTATCACACGGTTTTTGTGTGTCGATGGTCATGTATCTAAAATGTAAGAGAGATACAACACATAGAGACCCTTTACTAACTAACTAAACTCTACTCTACTCTTAGTATAATCAATGAAACTATATTTACCCATTCAGGAATTCCTGATCCTAATTTAGTATCATTAGAATTCCCACAAGTGATCTCTGTTTCAATTCAGACACCCTATACAGTACCCATCTCAACCAATAACATTCTATCAATGTTTACAGAGATTCCTTCTTTGATTTCACTCTCTATTCAAGATGATCAAACTATCACTTCCATACCAACATGGTTTGGTACAACTTTACCATCACTTACTGAATTGTATGTATATACTAGATAGAGATGAGTCATAAACATGTTATTGATACATTATATTTCTATAGGTCACTTAAAAATTGTACATTATTGACAAGTATTGATAATAGTTTTAACAATACATCTATTCGATCATTGTCTATTATTCCTGTCAGTACTGTCTATTTTGATGAAACTGTCAACCTACCATTAATGGTATCAATGAATTTTGAAGTCAATCCACCCTCTAAAATGACTTTAACCATCTCTGAAACATCATTTCCAAGACTCACAACAATCTTTATATCAACACATTCAATCAAAGGTCTAACTGTCAATTTTAATTCAAAGGTTTTAAATACTGCTCATATTAAACCGTATGACTATAATATAATTCATTATATATTATACATTACTAATATTTTAAATCAAAATAATATTATAGAGCAGAGTCATCTTTTATGCATAATCAAATCCCAATCATTTTAAATTTCCAAAATCCAAGAAATATTTATAGATTGTAAGAATGATTAAATATATTGTATATTGTATATACTAACCCTAAAAATTAAATATTTAATTTTTTTAGGGAGACTGGAGGAATGGTTACATTGAATCCACCAAACCTTGATGCTTATTCATCATTAAAATCAATGGTTACTGCTTTTTCCAATTTTTCTTCTATTCAATTATCCCCTGGAGCAAGTTTACCACATAATCTCATTTTTTTGTACTATCCAACAATTATTATTTATTATTATTATTATTATTACTAATAATCATTTTTATTTATTTAGTGCTGCACCAAATTCAAAGTTTTCAAAATTTCCATCGAATCAATTTACTAATTTCTCATCAGTGTCATTTGCAAATAATTCATTAGCTGGAACCATTCCATATGCTAGTTTTGCCAATTCACCTGGCATGCTTTTAGATTTAACAAACAATGATAAAGTAACGGACCCAGTGACAGAGGATTTTTGTTCTTTAAAACTTTTCATCAAAGGAACCGATATTACAAATCTACCAGAATGTTTCTTTTGCTATTATTCAGATTCTATTATTAGAACTGATGTGGCCCTCTTATCTGATTTCGTTTGTAGTATGTATAAAAAAATACAACAAAACAAAAAAAAAAGTATTTATTAAATTTTTTATTTTATTTAATTTTTAGATATTTCAGTTTCAAATGTGATGCCAATTATAACAACCAATGAATTTATAACTATTAGAGGTAGAAATCTTGGTTATGGTCAACAACCAAACCTAAGAGCAATCGTTCCAAATTCTATAATGGAATATCCATTTTCAGGAAATGGACCTGCATCCAATGTAAACATTTTACTTTCATCTATTTATGGTTATAACATCACGGTATCTGCCATTTCTGCAAGGATTGAATTTATAGGAACAACATTTGTAGCAGATACTACTAAAAATTATGTTACCATCAATTCTACCAATCTCGATTGGAATCCATCATCATTTTCTCATTTTGTTATATTAAAAAGTAATTATTCTGGTCATAATGTTCCAGATGTTAATTGTAATATTAATATTGGGAACCAATTTAGCTGTACCACTCAAATACCAATCAATCCTGGTATCTATTATTTATTATTATCAAATACTTATACTAGTGATAGTTCTCTAAATATTGATATTACCTGTAAGTTAAAAAATAATATACAAATAATTTAATTTTATTCATTAAATTTTTTCTATTTTCTTTTAGCAATACAAAATATTTATCCAAAAGTAAATTCAATTAGTATAAATTTAGTTGGTCGTGATCATAGACTTTCAATTTATGGTTATTTTGGTGAAACGGTTGGATTACAAGGAACAGTGGTTCAATTAAATTCTTCAATGCCATGTGTATTGCTCACTAAAAATTCAACCTATATCTATTGTGTATTGACCAATCCTGCCATTGGTCTTGCTTCACTCTACATCAACAATGATGGTTATGAAACCAACCTACTCAACTTTATCAGTATTGGACAAATCCCTTCAAAATCATTGGCTGATCAATGTAATGAAAGAACTTCAAATTGTTATGGTCATGGTCAATGTAATGAACAAGGAATATGTATATGTCAACAAGGTTATTATGATGATTGTAAATATTATAGTATGTATAAAAAAAAAGTAAAAAAAACAAAAAAATATAAATAATAATATTTTTATTTATTTTTAATTTAGAAAATCCAAATGTAACATTTGTACAAAATGATACAAAACCAGTTGCAACATTTGAATTGGATGGATATCAATTCTTATTTTCATTGGTTGCTATTCAAGAATTGGATGGTGATGATATGATTGTACAAGAATTAATGACCGATCAATGGAATGTTACTGATCAATCGGGTGGTGATCTTACATCACTTTATTATAGACTGTTGATCAATTCAACATTGTATCCAACACTATCACCATTTGTCAATGTTACATCATTGATTGAATATTCAACTAAAGATAGGCAATTACCATTTGGTGATAGTATTGTATCAGTTGGAGCAAATAGTATCAAAGTTGGAGTAAATGTTACTGGATGGCAATATCAATCAGTTTTATCACATTTGCGAGTTGTATTTTCGACCATTGTCAATAATGAACAATCAATTCAATCATGTTCCAATGGTGATATTCCAACATTTGAACAAATCCTAGGAAGTGATAGTTATTTGCGAGTTATCAAAAATAATACTCAATTCTATGGTCGTTTCCTTTCCTATTCCTATTCCGACGGTAGAAAGACATTTTCAAGAAATGAATTAATCAATCAAACTAGTATCACTGGACGTAGTAATGAATCATTGGCATTGATTGGTGTACATGTACCTCAATGTTCATCATGTCTACTAGACCCAGATTTTAGTGCATTGGTAGTAAACAAGGATGACCAAAATATCGATTGTCCATCATCATCATCTGACACTTGGAAAATGGCTGTTGGTATTGCAGTTGGTGGTGCTGTATTTATTGCTTTTATCATTGGTCTCATTTACTATATTCGTAATAGTAATACTGCAAGATTAAAAATGAAAGCTGCTAAAAGTATATTTATGAAAAAATTATAAACCAAACAAAAATAAAACAAATAAATAATAATATTAAACCCATGGGGAAATATAATATAATATAATAATGCTATTTTATTATCATCGCGATCGATCATACCAACAGTGTAAAACTCGATTGACACACACTCTCACACACATACACACAATTGTATTAATTAATTAGCAGCATCGTCTCATTGTTTTTTTGACAATGGCGAAGTGGATGAATGGTGGGTTATAATTTAATATTAAATATTTTGTATTTCCTTTTTAGGGGGTGAGTTGTCACAATTTTCAAATTAATATTTTTTGTTTGAACAAACATAATAAATGTTATTTAAAATTTTTACCCGCTTTTTGAATCATTAGCATTAGAACCAAACAAATTATATATATATACACATAGATAGAATAATTTACTATTATATAATTATTATTTTTTTAAAAAAGAATGGAAAATATAATTAAAATTAATTGGAATTTATTATCAGATGAAAAAGAGGTTAGATCAAGAATCGTAGATTGGTTTAGTAAAAGTGACCAGATTGATGAATTGACATCATTTCAAGATCTTGATCAACAACAAGACAACAAACAAAAAACAATATTATCGGCATCTGGATCAAGAATTTTAAAGAGTGAAGTCACTAGAATGGATGTTTATCATTTGATGGAAGCACATAATATTAAACCATTGGGTATTCATAGTGACCCTCAAATGGGTATCTATATGATTGAATTCCAAGTTAAAGCAAAGGAATTCTATGGTATTGCTTCAAACTTTCACCTAACCTTTAGTTTCTCAGAGGCTGGCTATCTCATTCACATGGACGTTAAAAGAAACTATGATAATCCATCTTCAACTTTTTATGATACATTTATTAAAAAGGAAAATAGTTCATCTCAACTCATTAATTAAAAGAAAAGAAAAAAACAACAAGAAAATAATAAATAATCAAAATTTTTGTAAATAGTAATCACGATAATTATTATTATTATATTTATTTACTTTTTTTCTATCTATCTATCTCTAAAGAATAATACTTTACGTTCTTCTTCAGTGAATGGTTTGTGTGGATGGACAGCTTTGATATCTTCATCAAATTTGACATAATCTTTGACAGCTTGGATTTGACCAACACGAGCATGATAATCAAAGAGTTTTGGAAACTCGGCTTGAGTGAATTCTGGAATGACAACAATCATCTTGCTCCATGGATAGATGGCAATATCAGCAATAGATAATTCATCACCAGCGATAAAGGCATGCTTTTCAAGTTGACGGTTAAAGAGATGAAAGAGACGACGAAGTTCAGTGAAATGACGTTTGATAGGGTAATCAAGGTTTTCACCAGCGGCATGCATCTTGTAGTGATAGTAATTGCCAAAGTGTGGTCCGACGGTTGACATTTGCAAAAAGAGCCAGTTGAGTACCTCATAGTGAGCTTGTGGACGAAGACGATCGTCTGGGAGATACAACCCCTTTCCATAGGTTTTGGCAATATACAGTAGAATATTACCAGATTCCCAAACTGTTAATGGTTCTCCTTTCTCTCCAATTTGGTTTGGATCAACGATAGCTGGAACTGTAAATTAAAAAAGAAATTAAAATAATGATTAATTAAAAAAAGATAGTTGTAGTTTTTATATTTATATAGTTTACCTTTGCTATTTGGATTAATCTTTACAAATGCATCTTGAAATTGTTCACCAGCTTTAATGTTTACCATGATCACTTGGAATGGGATATCTAATAACTTTAATAAAATCCATGGTTTGCTGCCATTGGGGGTGTTAACAGTGTACAATTTAATTGGTTGAAGAGTTGCTGGTTCCATTATTTGATATTATTATATGTTCTATTTGTTTGATTGTTTATTTTTAGTTGAATGAATTGAATGATTTGAACAATATTGATTCTAATTTATATGTTTTGACATTGAATATGTTTGAAAGAGTCAGACGAAGACATTTTCATTTTTCTTTTCACCCTTGATTCTAATTTTTGGGGAACCAGACGAGCACCATCATCATAGGAGCAAGACTTTATTCCGCTCAAGGCAACACCAACGATTGCTCAGGAATATGGTTTAGATATGGGTCAGTCGACAATGAAACTCAATGAAATCTGGTCGGTTCATCATCATCATGTCGAAGAACTAAATTTGTATGTTGAAATGGTGGTGAGGATATTTTTATCAGGAACACGCAATCTCATGGGTCGGTTTGGAATGTTGTAAAATGATATGATTGTATACAACCCTGTTGCGATAATATCGAAAAGAATGGAATGTTGGATATAATAAAATGGATTGAAACACTATAGAGTATTAAATTTAATTATTTATTTTATTATTTTAAGAGTTGATCGTTAAATATATGCTCAAGGTTGCCTGATAATCTTGTTGTAGTAGGGGTGCTCACATTGATCCTATCAAATTTAATGTCTCATACCAAAGTAGAAATTAACAACTAAGTGCCGAACAAGAGCGTAATGTATGAATGTGTAATTTAAACAATTGTATTCCGTCACTGTAATAACTATATAGATACTTGGTAAATATATAATTAGTTTGAGAGGTATATAATAATAATATATAGATATGTGAATATATATAGATAGTAATAAATGACTTTAGATTAGATTGTAAATGATTATTAATTATAGTAATAAAAGATGAATATAGAATATATAATCCTAGATTGGCTATTGTTTGTAGTTTTTTTTTAATCCCCAGATAGTGACTGTTAGATCTAGATTGTTTAAAATCAATGATATCTCAATGATATTTCATTGATATCTCATTGATCTCAATATACTCAATCCTGGTTAGGACAAGTCAAATATGTAAAGTATTTTGGATAAAATACTAACGACTAACCATCGTCAGTTAGTCGTCTGGATCAACAATTATAAAAAGGATTAGAATAATCCAATAAAGAGACATTCTATATTCTACATTCTATATTCTATATTATTAAAAAAAAACTACTGCACTACCATTTGATATTTTTATCCTATGAGAATTCAATGGAAATTGATAAAAGTTGGCTAGAAATGTAGCCACGGATGTGTAGAACAAGAATATATAAAAAAAAAAAGTTCTGTATAGCAATAACATAAAAGATAGCCCTATGGGGGGCTCGAACCCCCGACCACAAGATTAAGAGTCTTGCGCTCTACCGACTGAGCTAACAAGGCGTGATGTTTTTAAAATCATTTTTCTCGTCTCTTGTCGGCCCCGGCGCCGCGGCCCCCCCCCAGAGTTTGGAATTTTTCTGTAATAGAGAGAAAGAGATAGAAACAGAGAATTACGTATAGAGTACTATAGAACTTCACTCAATCATCAACTATCTTCAACTATCTTTTATCAACATTACTATTTCTTTTCACACTCACTAAAAGCCACAACTAATTGCCCGAGTGTGCCCCCTTGTTCAATTATTTATATCATTATCATTATTATAAATAAGGGGCGCGAGCGAGCACAAGCACTGCCTATATCAAAGATCACCAACAAGAAAAAAAAAAACAAAAAATAAAAAAAATAACAAAAAAAAATATCTCGCCCCTTCCTCCATCTCCTTCTCTAATCAACACAATACAATAGTAAAACAGTATCGAAACAATAGGAATAATAATTTAGGTGGAATTTAATTATCATTACAACAAGTCAATACAGTTTGAAAGCAGTATTCACATTACTATTACAATTGGAAATGAACATCATCAACATCCCATCAAAACATCAATCAACAACATAACAATGCGAACAACAGAACGATATAAGATAGATAATCATGGTGTAGACACAACCACCACCCATTACTCGACACACACATACATATGGATGGTGACACTGGGCACTCCCTCCAACAGTCACGATCTGGTCACTAACCTGACAAAAGAACTATGGATCGTAACTCACAGAACCGTTCAGCCCCCCTCGATTCAACAGGTAAAGAAGCTTCCCGTCGTATTGATGAACAGATAGAACTAATAGCTCCCACCAAGACTTGCCATTTTTGCTTGGATGGAAATAGAACAGACATTTGGCACCCCAAAAAACAGATTGGACTTGTTTCTTCTTTGGAAACTCAGTTCCCATTGCTGGTCAAACAAAGACTTCAATCAATAAAACTTCGCAATCGAAAGAGTAGTGCTCCACCCTACAGGTGGATGCCACGAAATGAGATGCTTAAAAAAAAAAAAAAAGCGCCGCGGCCCTCTCTCTATGCTCCCACCGCCAGCTTTCGGAACCAAACAGAGAAAGCCACCGCCTCTTGTCCACCTCAACTGGGTAAAGCTACTCCAGTTTGCCGACGACACGTCTACATTTGCCAAAAACATCCAAGAATTTAAACTAATGGACGAATGGATTCAGCTGTTCTGTAAAGCTACATCATCCAAAGTCAACACTGACAAATGTGTGATCATGTCACCTGGCAGTCCAACCAATTTACCGTACCCACTGATGGACAAGGAAAGCAAAGAACGATACCTCGGCTATTACTTTAACCAGTTTGGTTTGGTACCACACCTTCCAGAGCGTAATCAACGATTTGATTAGATGGAAACCTAAACACAACAACAACTATAGAGGTAAATTAGCTTTGCTCAAAACATATGGTCTGTCACAATTAAATTATTTTACGTACCTTGAATCACCTAGTCACGAGGCAATCACCAGATTGGAAAAGGTTATTGATTGGTTCATGTTCAGCAACGACCGTCAGTACGACCCAACCAAGCCAACCAAAAGAACCATGTCCAAGAAACGTTCCATACGATCGATCGACCAAGGTGGTCTCGACCTCTGGGACCTCAACGCTAGATTCCGTGCCCAAAAGGCATGGATGTTCGAAAGGTTCCTCCACTAGGTAAAGAATGACCGAGTTGCAAAGGTTTCCTTTGCCCAATCATGGATGGACCAACTCAACCAAGACAAACCAAACGATTTTGTCCGCCTCTGCCGCAGCGAGTGGGAAAAGCTTACCCAACCCTACGACGTCAGCAGAGAGGCTGTACCCAAGCCAGCAATGGAACCAGACAAAAGAGGAAGAGTACCTCTCTCCAAAGGCTGACCATAGCCAACGAAAAGTGGAACGTGTACGACCCGACCCCAGGCCAAAAGATCTTAGCAACCGATGACAGAGTGTATCCAATGAATGCACTAGCTGCTCTATCTACCATCGTACTACCAAAGGGTCGAGATCTGGTTTGGAAATACGTAACCAAATGTCTCCCGCTCGTCAGGGGTGACCCAGTCGCCTCCACCTGTGTGACGTGTGGCAAAGATGAATCCTCCAATGCAAGGAGACCACGCTGCCAGTGAAGATACTGAAAGAGGTTACTGCTGCCAACAACATTCCACCACCAGTCTGGGACATCACCCTCCTCAACCTCAAACAAACTCCAATGACTATAAACTTGGTCGCTGCAACACTAGAACGAATATGGTTCCGACGTAATGATCTACGTCACCAAAGAGATGAACCATTCACTGAACAATACCTGCGAGCTAGATTGATAAGTGATATGCGACATATTATAAAAGTAAACTGGGACAAGACGTTAGAATTATGTAATCGATGGCACTTGGCTCTAATGAACCAAACCGGCGAATCAGTAATACATACGATTACAGAACGAATACAAACTATCATCCTTGGATTTTCCTCCAAATACAACCATCCTACTGTTTACAAGATCGCACTACCTAGTCATTTGGAGAGGTACAAGACTTGGCGTACTCTTCATCTATAATCGTTCACCTCAGGTTCATTCCTTTCATCCTTTTCACCACCGTCATCCTTTTTTATTCTCTCTACAACTATCAATAATAATATTAATAATATAATAATTCACTAAATAATAATAATAATTATATCAACCCAATATTATAGCCTATAGTGCTAGTGAAAAAAAAAAAAAAAAAAAAATAGCGATATCTTTAACCAATTTATTTTTAGAACAAGCAACAATCCAAAACAATCCAACATGCTTGACACTATACAAAAAGATACATGATCAACGTCCATACAACATGTATCATAGACATGGACAAACCCCCAGAACAAATTTACTTTAATTCTTCTTGAGATAATCTTTATTTCTTGCTGGTCAATTAAAAAGTATAATTAATAAAACTTTGTAACTTCTGAGTACTACTCTTCCCGATAGGAGAGAACAGGAAAAGAATTACTTTTAAAAAAAAAAAAAAATCGCCTCGGCCCTAATTTTAAACATCTCTCTTGATCAAGTTTAATCAATCTCTATTGATGTAGAGGTTGTGCTCAGTATATACAGTCATATTCTAAAATTACTTTTTCAATTCTATTGTACATCTTGATTTTATTTCTTTACACTTTTCCATTTTAATTTTACACTTTGTAGGACTACGACGGTATCTGATCATCTTTGATCCCAAACTTTCGTTCTTGACTGATGGATTAATTAAAATTAAATCACAATTGTGACTACTACTTTTTATCTTCACATCTTTCTGTTTTTTAAAATTGAGCTCATCATTTTTATATCTATATATTCATATATCTATAAATTATTATTATATACCTCTCAAACTAATTATATATTTACCTAGTATCTATATAGTTATTACAGCTTTGATTTTAGGGTCATAAATGACTTTAATAAATTAATTGATTTAATTTTAATTAATCCATCAGTCAAGAACGAAACATTCCCTTCTTATGAAAACTCAATCAACAAAAAGAATCCAAACAGGTTAATAAGAAATCAATGTTGGCATTATATGCTGAACAACTTCAACATCAAGGGTTTGATTTAAACTCAAAACAGGTCAAGAGAGATGACAATTATTTAAAATTAGGGCCGCGGCGCTTTTTTTTTTTTTTAAAGTAATTCTTTTCCTGTTCTCTCCTATCGGGAAGAGTAGTACTCAGAAGTTACAAAGTTTTATTAATTATACATTTTAATTGACCAGCAAGAAATAAAGATTATCTCGAGAAGAATTAAAGTTAATTTGTTCTGGGGGTTGTCCATGTCTATGATACATGTTATATGGACGTTGATCATGTATCTTATTGTATAGTGTCAAGCATGTTGGATTGTTTTGGGTTGTTGCTTGTTCTAAAAATAAATTGGTTAAAGATATCGCTTTTTTTTTTTTTTTTTTTTTTTTTTTCTCAGCACTATAGGCTGTAATATTGTGTTATATAATTATTCTATGTTATTATTATTTAGTAAATTATTATATTATTAATATTATTATTGATAGATGAAGAGAGAGTAGAAGAAGATGAAGGTGTTGACGCAAATATGGCACCCATCTTCTTCTAATTTTAGTACCATACTTGCGGTGAAACCTTAAGCCTTGGGTGCGTCCAAGACCGACTGCCGCTCTCAACTCTCACGCCGATTTACTCCCCATTGTGGACACTCGTCTTTACGTGTTGCATATTGTATTTGAGATGTCAGATGGCTTTCTATCGCGACGGCCCAGTAGGTCCTCCACTACCTTCCCGTTACTTGTTGCAGTCTGGCTACCCAATCTCCTACTGAGAAGGGGAAACTAACCCGGTCATCCTTCCGTGGGGGTGTCCTGTCCTCTAGATCCCTAGAGTCGGATGGTTTTTCTCCTCAATCCCCCCAATTGTGGTCAAGTTAAACGTTGGCGCCAAAAGTAAAGTTCGAGGGCAGGATTCGAACCTATGACCTTTACGTTCCCGGGGTAGCACACTCCCGACTCACTTGCCACGCCATGCCCACAGGGCCGCGGCGCCGGGGCCGACAAGAGACGAGAAAAATGATTTTAAAAACATCACGCCTTGTTAGCTCAGTCGGTAGAGCGCAAGACTCTTAATCTTGTGGTCGGGGGTTCGAGCCCCCCATAGGGCTATCTTTTATGTTTTTGCTAGACTGAACTTTATTTTTTCGGCTTTTGTTTGGTATTTGTTGTCTAGTAGAGCTTGGTATATTTCACCCAACTCTTGACTGATGGGCAAAAACACTTTGCAAATAAATACTACATCGACTACACCTCTCCACAATCAGTATTTAAAACCGTCAAAACTATCCAACACAATAGAGGAAGAAACACCATATTTAGATTCTTTGCTCGTTGCCTGCCTGGACTAGTTTATGTCAAGAAAGAACAGTGCCCAAGCTGCCAAGTGATCCCGGAAAATGTCTACGTTCATCACTTCTTCCAATGCCAAAGGACTACAAAAATGACGAACAATCTACAACTACTTTACACGGAACTAATTGGAACCGAGACCCAATGGAACTTTCAAACTCTCAACTTTAAAATCAACAGGAATCTCTCTCCCACCAAACAAACCAACTACAATAACCTCACCTCAATAATACTCCACAACCTATGGACTGCGATAGCCTCACTCCTATTTAATGAAAACGAAGATGAACACAAGCTGATAACACATGATGAAATAAGGAATCAATATAATAGATTAAACAAGACAATAATGTACGCCAATAACAACAAGCTATAAGCCTCCAACCTCCAACACAAATGATTGCAACTCAACACAAACAACACATATAAAAAGAAAAAAAAAAAATAATAACAACATTTATTTAAACTAATAATCTGTACAGGGACAAGAGAAATCTTGCGCCAACCAATTAAATCAAATAAATCTAAAATACACTTTTGTAGTAAAAAAAAAAAAAATTATTTTTTCGGCTTTTTTTTCATAGTCTTCTAAATTATTGTTAAAAAAAAAAAAAGATAAAGAAAAAAAAAAACTATTTCTTTATTTAATTAAATTAATAATAATAAAAACAATGATGGAATGATAAATAATAAAGTAGTTGATAGGGTCGATCGAGAAGATGAATTTGATTGAACTACGAGTAATGGTGGTGGGGAATAAAGGGGAGCATCTTGAGGACCACATGAATGGTTTGGGTCGACAGCAACACTGATTGTCAATGAAATTGGTTTGGCAGTGTCTAGGTTTTGAACGGAAAGGGGAACCATTTTATCGGGTGAGCAAGTTTGAAAGGACATTGAATTTCCATCGGTATTGACATTGGTCAAACTTAAATTGGGGACATTATAGTTAAATGGACCAGTTCCATTCATAGCTACCGTGATGTAATGTCTTGAACTATTAAAGGTTTGTGTGATTTGAATGTCAATCGTCTGACTTGCATTGAATGGTAAGGTAGTCTGTATCAATTGTCCTTCATGACTGAATGCTTTTTGAACCCAATGATTATCTTTATAGATAATAAGTGATATATATCCATTTGATAATCCAATCATCTGAAAACAAAGTACAATCAAAAAGATTGAAACTATTAAAGATTTCTTTTCCATTATAAATAAATTGATAGAGATAAATAGAAATAAAAATAGATATAGATATAAATATAGATAATAATGATAGTGATTGCGATCAAGATAGAATAAAAAAAACAAAATTACCAAAAATTGATTTAGGTGTGTCTTTACAACAACAACAACAACACTTACTATAACCCATTGATTGCGAGTATGCTACAAAATAGATGGGGTGTAGAAACCCATTATATGCGATGGATCATCAATTTCCACTTTTGATTTTTTCCATATTCACACACAAAGTGTTGGTAGTGTGCATTATAAATATATATAAATAGATAGATATAAATAGTATACATATATATACATATTTATTTGTTATTTTAATAAAGAAGCTTGTTTTTCACAAGCAAGTTTTGGAGTAACTTGAATATTGAGAAACAAGTCACCAGCCACTCCATTGCCAATGACTGATCTAATATTAAAGTATACATCTCTTTCAGTGGAACATAATCTAACACCAGAGTGTTGCAATGTGTTCATATTGTTGTTTCTCCATATATTTTCCACCTCTAAAGAGTAGTGAGCAAGACCACCAGCATAGATGGATATAGTGATGGTCTGACCAATATACCTAGCATCTTGCATCAATTTAAAAGATTTGATTGTGTTGACACTATGACCAGAGAATATAAAGGTTCCTGCTTTTGCTTCTGCAACAGTCTCCCAATAGGCATTACCTTGTGATGGTGTTTGTAGTATCATACTAGCATGACTACTTGACACTACAATGAATAAAACTAAAAATAGTAGTATTATTTGATTACAATACATTTTAAAGATAAGATGATGAATGTGATAATGATGATGCCATGACTACTATTGGTTGAGTATTGGTTTTAAATTTTAAATTTATCATCTACTATTGTTGCTACACACACATAATAATATTATTATTATATTATATGAACCAATAGGTGTGGTAGTGTTGTGCAGTTCATTCTTCATTGACCAAGTATACACATAAATATATTATGTGATGTATATATATATATCTCTATTATTATTATTACATTATCTATCACAAACACTTCGTCGTAGCTCAAAGATGACCCAAAGATAACGACAACGAGCTCGTCAAAAAAAAATCCTCATAAATCTTATAAATTATTGTATAGAACGAAACATATGAAAGGTGTAGAGAATTAGACTGGGATGCACATTGGTGCCTTCCTTTTCTCTCTCTTATTTATTATTCTTGTTTGAAACGATCTTAATAGTAGTTGTAGCAGATCATCTTAACTTTTGTTTGATCGTACGATGATACGAAATCTACTTACCTTTTCAGTCATTTTCATTGTATTATCATGTTGTGATTTACAATCAAATGCACAATCATTACCACAAGAAGAACGTATGTAGTAGAGTTTGCTCTTTAAAATTGATAAACATCTCTCTCTAACACATTTTTTTTTCTACTCCTAGTTGATTCTATTATTTGGTTAATCAGACAATACAAAGCCCAACTTCCACAAGACCAAACTATTTGTAACTACGCAACTTCTACTGCTTTTGTCAATTGTACAACGTTGATCAATGGTTTCAATCATATTTCAGATGTGTATGTACTAAAATTTATATATTTTTATAAATATTAATTATTATTATTAATATATTTATTTGTTTGCTTGTTTGTTTGATTGTAGGGGGATGATTGGTTCTTTTGATAGTGGAGCTACACTTCAACCAGATCCCAATTTAAATACTTTTACAATGCCATATTTAAAGAGTATTTCGTTGAGACCTACTGGAGTAATGAATGTGGCACTCAATACACTTTCTCGCATGTCAAATCTACCACTGCTCACAAAGTTGTATATTCAAAGTGACCCTTCCATCACATCGATTCCAGCATCCTTGTCAAGTGGCGGTCTACCAAAATTGGAATCACTGACTCTTTATCAAATATCGATCGCATCCCTCAAGGCGCCATTCTTTGATAAATCACCCATATACACGATGATTATACATCTAACTACAGGGTCAGAGTTTATCATCGACAGCTCTTGGAATCATCCCAATGTATCGATTTTATCCATTTCCATGGCTAAAATGACAAACCCTACCATTTCATTTGACCTTTCCAGTCTTTTCAATTTAACTACATTTGAAATTACTTGTATTGATCCCTCTTCTGTCATTCCCCTTGATATAGATAATCAACATGTTAATTCATTGTAAAAAAAAAAAAAAAAAAAAAAAAAAAAAAAAAAAAAAGGGTACACCAACTAATATTATTTTATTTTTTTAAAAAAAAAGAAAAGTTATGGGTAGTGGTGGAAGTTTATTCAATGTTAATTTTATCACAATTCCATCTAAACTTACCGAAATGTAAGAAAACGTAAAAAAAAAAAAATTTAATAATATTAACTTAATATTTTATTATAGAGTTTCTACTGGATCAGTAACTTGGGCAAATGATCTAAAAGATTTACCATCAATTACACACATGTAGGTTTATTAATGAAATGTATCGAGAATTATAATTATTAACAATTTAAAAAAAAAAAGTACATTTTATCTATCAACCATTTCAACTATTCCTTGGAGTCAATATCCAAAGACTTTGACCTATTTACAATTTAAAAGCTGTATTTTATCGGCGGCCATACCAAACTCCCCACTTCCACTGTCAATGAATAGAGTTTATCTTGAGAATGTAACATCACCAGGCAATCAACCAATTCCAGTCCCTTGGAATATTTTCAATAATACTCAAACTATATTGTCCATCACAGATACTTTACTTACTGGAACTGTTCCAGATCTATTATGTTCATCAAAGTTTTCATTACTTAAAAATGTTGGAACTACTTTAACTATTCCTGGTATGGAATGAAAAAAACAAAAAAAGAAAAAAGAACATTTATATATTAACAAAACTCTTGTTATTATTATTTTTAGATTGTTTTTGGTGTTATTCAAATGATACTGCTATCTTAACGACTACCCTTGTTAAACCAACTGGTTTCGTTTGTAGTATGTAGATAAAGAAAGAGAGAGGGAGATTTAAGTGTATTTTTTATTAATCTCTTTTTTTTAAAAATTTTATTAATTTCTTTTTTCTAGATTATAAAACAGATTCAACAAATGTTTATTTAATTAATGGAACTGCCAAGGTTTTTGGTGATTTGATAGGATGGGGTACAGCAGGCAACACAATATATGGTACAAAAACATATAATCTTGTTGCTACACCTCCTAATATACCCAACAAGGAATTGACTTTTAGTTTGGTGGGTGGTGCATTTAACTACGCCAAAATTACAATCACTAGTTTATTTAATAACAAGACACCACAGTTAAAATATTCATGGAATGTACTTGAAGTTGGTATTGTCATAAACAACGCAACAGCACCAACCATCGAACAAATCCCAACTGGTATCGGTTACAGAATTCCATTTACCTTGTTTAATCCATTTGCTCCACACATTGTCACCATTGACAACACATATCCATGTGATATATTATTAAATTCATCTTCCTTTTTGTATTGCACATCGGTTGATGTTGGTGGTGGTAATCATACGATTACAATTGCAAATGAGCGTGTTAGTAAAATACTCGATTTTAGCTTTGCTCAATTGTATCCATTGGTCACTTCATTTTTGGTAGATTCAAAGGACAATAGAAATATTAGTCTTTATGGATACTATGGACCTAATTTAGATAAACCTACAGTCTATCTAAACGGTTCAACTAGTCTTTCATGTAAAGTTATGACTATTAGCACAAAATATATGGACTGTTATCTTGACCAAGTACCAGCTGTCGGTACTGCCTCTGTCACGGTAATCGTAGACACTTTTGTCTTTACCAGACCTGACGCTCTATACTTTTCATCGAGTGACAGTGGTAGTGACTCTGAGCAAGAGTGTATGGACCGTACCAACAACTGTAACGGGCATGGTCAGTGCAACAGCCAAGGTGAGTGTGACTGCGAGCCACTCTACAATCCAGACGATGACTGTGCCACTAAATACACAAACACTACACCTATTATCGATCCCACCAAACCAACCACTTCATTTGACATTGATGGAATCGATTTCCAATTTGAAATTGTTGCAGTTCAAGAATTAGATATGGATGAAAATATCATCAAAGAGGTTCCAACTGATTTATGGATTTCAAACGTCACCATCAACACCACTCTCACCGTCGCCGACTATCAACTCATCATTACCAACCGTACAATCATTGGCCCCCTCACCAATGTATTTGCAACCATTTCATTCTCCTCGATTGCTAGAACCATTCCATTTGGTCCACAAACACTATCACTCAAACCAAGTGCGATAAAGGTTGCTGTCAATATTAGTCAATGGAGTTTCCAAGATAATCTCACATATCTCAGAGTTGTATTTAGAACCACTATCAATAACAACCAAACAGTCAGACGTGGTTGTAAAGAGATACCAATTGAATCTCTTTCTTTTGATGAGTATGGATCAACACTACAATACCTTCGAGTTGTCAAAGATAATATTCAATTTAGTGGTAGATTTATCGATTATTCCATGTCTGATGGAAGACCAACCTATTCCCGTACTCAACTCATTTCACTGTTACCAAACAGTGACCAAACCACCTCAAATGCAACCATTGGTATCTTACTCAGTCAATGTAAAGAATGTCTTCTTGATCCAGACTTTACACCTTTGCTCATCGACAAGGATTCCAACAACGGTTGTGATAAATCAAACAATACTTGGCGTATCATCGTTGGTTGTGTAGTTGGTGGTATGGCTGCTATCGCAATTGCAACAGGTTCTATCATGTTGTATAAAAGAAATCAAAGAATCAAAAAAGGAAACAAAAAGATGCAAAATAAATTGAATCAATTCAATAAATAAATAAATAAATAAATAATAACAATATATATAGGTATTTAATTTAAATGGAAGTTCAAATAAATAAATAAATAAATATCATTTTTTAAAAATTTCAATTATCAGAGTGGTGCTCATAGAGAAGAAGTAGTTGCTATGATTGTAATTTATATATGTACAAATAGAGAAAGTACCTTCCAACAGGTCATCAATTAAAATATCACAACAATCAACTCTTCTTCACCAACAAACATCAATGAAATGAATCAATCATCATTAATCTATCATCAAATCAACTTTAGATGATTATTGTACGAGGGTCGAGAAAGATGATACTTGACCTGTTTACATTGTTAGAATAAACGACAAGACCACCCCCTTGTCTTTGATTTACAACGACGTCGCGGAGAGTTGCGCAACGAGCTCGTCAAAAAAATCAAAAAAATCTATAAGATTAAGGTATGTAGGGATAAACACCTCAGGTCGGCCCTAATCACATGTTTCTTTTTTGTTGGTTTTTTTTCTTCTTCTTTATAAACGTTTGTAACACTCCTACTCTTACTCAATACTATTTGTAATATTATTTCTTTCTATCTTTCTTTCACTTTGTTTGATCAGGATGAATAGAAATCCTTTTTGTTTATGGCAATCACCAATTGCCTTTTCAATCATTTTCATAATGATGTTGTCATGTTGTTCCAATGCACAAACATTACCACAAGAAGAACGTAGGTAACCCTACTATATTTTTTAAAAAATTAAGAGAGAAAAAAGAAAGCTTGATAATTCTAACTTATTTTTTTATTTATTTCATCCTATATACACTGCAGTTAATTCTATCGTTTGGTTAATTAGGTAAATAATATTTATATATATATACAGGAGACAATATACAGTACAGGATAGGATATGATAGAATAGGATTGATTAATCTTTTTTTTTTTAAATTTTAAATTAGACAATACAAAGCCCAACTTCCACAAGACCAAACCATTTGTAACTATAATTTAAGTCCCGTCATTTATGTTTACTGTGCAGTAATCAATGGTGTCAACCATATTACAGATGTGTAAGTACTAAACCCAAAGATTTTTTAAAAAAAGAAAAAAGATTAAAAATTAATTATTATTTATTTATTTACAGGGCAATAATAGATTCTTTTGATAGTGGAGCTACACTTCAACCAGATCCCAATTTAAATACTTTTACAATGCCATATTTAAATAGTATTTCGTTGAGACCTACTGGAGTAATGAATGTGGCACTCAATACACTTTCTCGCATGTCAAATCTACCATTGCTCACAAGGTTGTATATTCAAAGTGACCCTTCCATCACATCGATTCCAGCATCCTTGTCGAGTGGCGGTCTACCAAAGTTGGAATCTATCACTTTTTATGATTTGTCTTCGTCCGTCAAAGCCCCATTCTTTGATAAATCGCCTCTATACTCGTTGCTTATATCAATCAATACAGCGTCGGCAGGAGTAGAGGTTTCCATCGACAGCTCTTGGAATCAACCTAATATATCGAGTATTACTCTTACCCTTAGATTGACAAACCCGATCCTATCATTTGACCTTTCCAAACTTTCCAATTTAACTACATTTTATCTTTACTCTAGCGGTCCCTTTTCCTCAACCTTTCCACTTAATATTAATCACCAAAAATTAAGTGAATTGTAAGTACTATAAAAAAAAAATATTTAAAAAAAATTATTAATTCATTTTTTTATCAATCTACAATTATAGACGACTTACAGGTGAAAGTGGAAGTTCATTCAATGTTAATTTTATCACAATTCCATCTAAACTTACACAAATGTAATTACTATTAAAAATATAAAAAATTGAATTAATATTAAATACTATAATTTATTATCACTCTTTTAGATATTCTACTGGATCAGTAACTTGGGCAAATGATCTAAAAGATTTACCATCAATTACACATCTGTAGGTTTTTATATCAATATATATATATATATATATATATCGAAAAATAATTCTTAATTAATATAATTTTTTTTTTACAAAAAAAGTTCATTTACTCTATCAACCATTTCAACTATTCCTTGGAGTCAATATCCAAAGACTTTGACCTATCTACATTTTAAAAGCTGTATTTTATCGGCAGCCATCCCAAACTCCCCACTTCCACTGTCAATGAATAGAGTTTATCTTGAGAATGTAACATCACCAGGTAATCAACCAATTCCAGTCCCTTGGAATATTTTCAACAACACCCAAACCATCTTGTCCATCACAGATACTTTACTTACTGGAACTGTTCCAGATCTATTATGTTCATCAAAGTTTTCATTACTTAATAATGTTGGAACTACTTTAACTATTCCTGGTATGAAAAAAAAAAAACAAAAAAAGAAAAAAGAACATTTATATATTAACAAAACTCTTGTTATTATTATTTTTAGATTGTTTTTGGTGTTATTCAAATGATACTGCTATCTTAACGACTACCCTTGTTAAACCAACTGGTTTCGTTTGTAGTATGTAGATAAAGAAATTAGATTTAATTTTCATTTTATTAATCTCTTTTTTTAAAATTAATTTCTTTTTTCTAGATTATAAAACAGATTCAACAAATGTTTATTTAATTAATGGAGTTGGTAAAGTCCTTGGTGATTTGATTGGATGGGGTACAGTAGGCAATACAATATATGGTACAAGAACATTTAATCTTGTTGCTACACTTCCTAATATACCCAACAAAGAGCTGACTTTTAGATTGACGGCTGGTGTATTTAATGCTCCCAAAACTACAGTAACTAGTTTATTTAATAACAAGTCACCACAGATAACATATACTTTGAATGTACTAGAAGTTGGTATTGTCATAAACAACGCAACAGCACCAACTATCGAACAAATCCCAACTGGTATCGGTTACAGAATTCCATTTACATTGTTTAATCCATTCGCTCCACACAATGTCACCATTGACAACAAGTACCCATGTAATATATTATTAAACTCTTCCACATTTTTGTATTGCACATCGGTTGATGTTGGTGGTGGTAATCATACGATTACAATTGCAAATGAGCGTGTCAGTAAAATACTCGATTTTACCTTTGCTCAATTGTATCCATTGGTCAATTCATTTGTGGTAGATTCAAAGGACAGTAGAAATATTAGTCTTTATGGATACTATGGACCCAATTTAGATAAGCCTACTGTCTATCTCAACGGTTCAACTAGTCTTTCATGTAAAGTTATGACTATTAGTACCAATTATATGGATTGTTATCTTGACCAAGTACCAGCTGCCGGTACTGCTTCGGTCACGGTCATTGTCGATACCTTTGTCTTTGCCAGACCTGATGCTCTATACTTTTCATCTTCTCCTGGTTCGGGTAGTGGTGGCAGTGGTAGCGACATCGAGCAAGAGTGTATGGACCGTACCAACAACTGTAACGGGCATGGTCAGTGTAACAGCCAAGGTGAGTGTGACTGCGAACCACTCTACAACCCAGATGACGACTGTGCCACTAAATACACAAACACTACACCTATTATCGATCCCACCAAACCGACCACTTCATTTGACATTGATGGAATTGATTTCCAATTTGAAATTGTTGCAGTTCAAGAATTAGATATGGATGAAAACATCATCAAAGAGGTTCCAACTGATTTATGGATTTCAAACGTCACCATCAACACCACTCTCACTGTCGCCGACTATCAACTCAACATTACCAATCGTACTATTATTGGCCCTCTTACCAATGTATTTGCAACCATTTCATTTTCTTCACAATCGCGAACCGTTCCATTTGGTCCCCAAACATTGTCGATTAAACCAAGTGCGATAAAGGTGGCTGTCAATATTAGTCAATGGAGTTTCCAAGACAATCTATCCTACCTTCGTGTCGTTTTTAGAACCACTATCAATAATAACCAAACAGTAACACGTGATTGTAAAGAGATACCAATTGAATCTCTTTCTTTTGATGAGTATGGATCAACACTACAATACTTGCGAGTTGTTAAAGAAAATGTTCAATTAAGTGGTAGATTTATCGATTATTCAATGTCTGATGGAAGACCAACCTATTCTCGTACTCAACTCATTTCACTGTTACCAAACAGTGACCAAACCACCTCAAATGCAACCATTGGTATCTTGCTTAGTCAATGTAAAGAATGTCTTCTTGATCCAGACTTTACACCTTTGCTCATCGACAAGGATTCCAACAATGGTTGTGATAAATCAAACAATACTTGGCGTATCATCGTTGGTTGTGTAGTTGGTGGTATGGCTGCTATCGCAATTGCAACAGGTTCTATCATGTTGTATAAAAGAAATCAAAGATTTAAAAAAGGAAACAAAACAATGCAAACTAAATTAAGTCAAGTCAATAAATAATAAATAATAAATAAATTGTATTATTACCAGAACAATACTTTTCTAAATCGTCTAAAGATAGTAGTAAGGGAACCATTGGGATCTTAGTATAGATCTTACTGGGTACGAAAAAAACAAAAACAAGAAAACCCAGAGTGTCCACTACGCAAAAACTCGTTACCGTTTCAAACGAGCTCGGAAAATTATAGTGTTCAAGCTCGTAATATAAATCAGGGTTTGGACAATGATTGTGAGGTCATCTAGAGAGTTTTAGAATGACGTGCATGTTGTAGAACTTTTGAAGCATCACTATCATCATTTCTCATTTTTCCCAAAGAGATAACTGTTTACACATATAAAAGATGAATAATAAGATGCCGACAATTCATTTTACTTATTTAATAGTATTATTGTCAATATTATTTAGTTTTAATATTTTAGTAAATTCACAAATACTTCCAACTGATCCCGATGAAGGTAAATAATTATATCTATTTTTTAAAAAATTAATGAACGGTTTTTGTGTTAAGAAAGAGCGGGAAAAAACGAATCGCGCAGTTAATCAAATCAGCCAGCACTATCATTATTCTTTTCAATTAAAGTTTAACACTAATATTTATCTCTCATTATATAAAACATCATATATTTATTTCATTTTTAAAAATGTTTTGTTACTATAGTAATATCTGTTCAATGGTTAATAGCACAATATCAATCTAAAATACCACCAACAAACTTTTGCAATGTTTCAATGCCAACCTATCAATACATTGTATGTTCAGAGGTTGATGGAGGGATGCACGTGACATCTATCAGTTTATCTATAGACTCTGGTCTCACAACTGGTGCATGGCCAGACCCAGAGTTGAAAAAGTTTACTCTACCCTATGTAACTATGTTTTCAGTATCCAACATTAGAGTTAAAAATGCTAGCTTGAATGTCTTGGACCTCATGGTTGACATGCCAAGATTAACAAAACTTTTGTATGTTTAAAAAATATAAATATAAATATAAATATTCTAATTAATATTATTATTTAGATTATTGAAAGATCCACAAATTAGATATATTCCAGCAACATTGTCAGCTGGTCTTCCAGCTTTGGAACGTTTGGATTTACTTGAATTACCAGGTCTAACTAAAATCGAACATCCATTCTTGTATGGCTCACCCAAACTTAATTTTATCACAATCTATGGTATTAGATATCTGATCGAGATGAGAGTCAATTCCTCTTGGTATCTCCCGTCACTTGAATATTTGCAGTTCACCGTAAACTTTACCGATCCTTCCCTCTTTGATTTGGTATTCACCGAACAATCCTTCCCAAAGATGACAAAGTTGGATCCAAAAACCTATGCTGGCTCACCTCCTCCTGTAGATGGTTATTTGGATATTAAAATTGGTCTACCAAAGTTAATTGCAATGTAAATATAAATCAAAAAGATTAAAGATAAAGATAGATCTATCTTTATTTAACCAATCTATTTTTTTAAACATTAGGTATCCAGCATCAGTTTTACCAACCAAAATACGTATAAACTTTATTCAATATCCTTCATCTAATACATTTCAGTTGTAAGTAGAAATAGATAGTTGAAAATAGAATATATTTTAATCTCATATTAATTTTCTTTTTCTTTTTCTTTCTAGAACATCATCTGGAAATATAGAATATTTACCATCGGGGTTAGATTTAATTAATTCAACCCTTCTCTCAACCTTTAATATGAGAAATGGCAATTTTTCAGAGTATTTTCCAATAGTCAATCAGTATCCTCAACAATTGGGTTTCATATCGATAGAAAATTCATACTTGCCAACTGGTCTTCCAGCCATTCCACCTAATCCATCTATGAAGACCGTCACCATTACTGACACTTTTATGCAAACTTTTCCATGGGATTCATTTGGTAATAGTACAACCACATTCCACATTACAAATACCAATCTCACAGGTTCCATCCCATCCAGTTTTTGTAGTAATAAACTACCAAATCTAAAAAATATCTTTGGTGATCAATTACTTGTTCCTGGTATGTACAAACAAAAAAAAAAAATATTAAATAATAATAATAATAATATATATTATATAATATAGTTATAAATATTAATTAATTATTTATTTTTGTAGATTGTTTTTGGTGTTATGCAAATGATACAACTATTTTTTCTACTACTCTTCCAACACCAACCACTATTGATTGTGGTATGTACATAATAATAGAGAGAATATTTAAAATATATATATTTTAATATTAATCTTTTTATTTATTTATTTTTTTTATTTTTTTTTTAGGTATAACATTAGAATCAAATGATATTTATTTAATTAATGGAACTGGGTTTATAAGGGGTAAAAACATTGGGTGGGGTATTGAAAGTGCAGTGACACCAACTGGACAAAGATACTCACTTGGTGAAGCTCCATCTATTCCAAATCAAGAATTAAAACTATTGATTTCACCTATCAAGTATAGTGTTAGAATTCCAATTACAATTGCTTTAAATGCTAAAACTTCATATGTAGTACCAATTACTATATTGGAGGTTGGAATTGCCATTGGTCCAGTGACAGTGACTCAGTTACCAACAGGTCTAGGATTAAAGATTCAATTCTATTCATTTAATCCATTTATCAATTCAGTGGTCATGGTTGATAATAATAGTACGTGTACGATCATGAGTAACTCGACTTATCAATTGTATTGTACCGTACCAGCAACTCTACCAGGTCCTCACAATCTATCGGTCACAAATGAATATTATGGTAAATCGGTTGGGTTTGTGTACCAACAAACCTATCCATTGGTCAATTCATTCCACTATGATAGATCTGATTATAGAAATGTCAGTCTATATGGATTCTTTGGTGCCACTTTGGGTCAACCTCTAGTCTATCTAAATGAAACAACTTCTATTGGATGTACAGTAAAGGTGATCACCAAAAATTTCATCAATTGTTATTTGGATGCTATGCCACCCGGTGGAATGGTATCCGTATCTGTCAATGTTGACATTTATTCATTTACAAGACACAATGCAATGTCTTTTACTTATTCAAATCAAGGTAGTAGTAGTGATAGTGGTAGCGGTAGTGATGATTCAAAATTATCACCAAAAGATAAGTGTATGCAAGATACTCATAATTGTTATGGTCATGGTCAATGCGATGAAAATGGACAATGTCAATGTGAACCAGATTATCTTCAAATTGATGATTGTAAAACAAAATGTAAAGTAGAAAAAAAAAAGAAAAAAAAACAATTAATATTAATATTTTTGTTTCTTTTAGATACAAATACAACACCAATAGTTGATCCAACAAAACCAACAACATCATTTGATATTGATGGAATTGATTTTGAATTTGAAATTGTTTCAATTCAAGAATTGGATGTGGATGATACTATTGTCAAGGAATTACCAACTGATTTGTGGCAATCAGTGATCAATGAGACTGCCACTTTAACAACTGCCAACTATCTTCTCAATATTACCAATTCAACCGATCGTGAAATGAACCAAAACTTAGAGGTCAGAGCAACCATTTCATTTTCATCGCAAGCCAGAACAGTCGCATTTGGACCTCAACAACTAGACATTAATCCAAATGCAATCAAGGTTGCTGTTAATATTAGTAATTGGGATTTCTATTCCGTTCTAACCTATCTCCGAGTAGTATTCAAGACCAACATCCTTACCAATCAAACCTACACTTTTGATTGTCAACAATATCAAGTCGAACCACTTTCCTTTGACAAGTTTGGTTCCACTCTTCAATACCTAAGTGTTGTAAGGGATAATGTCGAGTTTAGAGGTCGATTCATTGATTACTCTTTGGCTGATGGTAGACCAACCTATTCCAAAACACAATTATTATCACTTACCAAAAATACCGATTCCAACTCTACAACATCAACTGCAATGATTGGATTACTTCTTAGTCAATGTAAAGAATGTATTCTCGATCCAGACTTTACACCTTTACTCATTGACAAGGGTCAAGATGAATGTGGAAACTCAATCTCTGACAGTCACTGGAGGATTATCGTTGGTTGCGTCATAGGTGGTATTGCTGCAGTTGGCATTACAACTGGTTCCGTCATGTTAATTAAAAAGAATCGTAAATCTCAAATGTATGAAAACAAAATGAGACAAAAATTAGATTCTGTAAATCAAAAATAAAAAGTAATAAATAAATAAATATATATATTTATTATTCTATTTATTTATTTTTTTCTATTAATAATTACGTAATAAAAGATTTGAAATTTTAGCAGACCAAATCATTGTACCACTACTAACTAGAACAAGTTCAGGGAAACCAATAATTAGACCGAACCATTGTTGTCTTTCACTGCCTTGATATGGCATCCAAACAGATTGATATTCTAAACATTGATCAGGTTGTAAAATTGGGTCTCCAGCTTGTGAACAAACAGCAACACAAAATTGAAGTAAATCTGTCAACGAGTCATAACAGATCATTCCCGAATAGTAAATACCAGTGACCGATTTGATATTGGTAGGTGGTTCTGGTGATGACCACATGACTTGATTGTTATCAATTTGGACAACACTTATGATACCTGTGGTATCGTTCCAAACGAGATTTAGGAATTGGTTGGTTAGGTTTTGTTGGGGTAATAGTTGAGAACGTGGTTCAGCGGCGTCTGGAGTATCTACCAGTTTTATAGTGACAGAGTTGAAGTATTCAAAACGAGTGTCTTGACCACCAAGCAAACCACCTGAAACCTTTCCAGTAATGTCAATCATCAAAACACCCCATGGGATGCGGTTGGTTTGATAACTAAATCCTTCAGATTTGGAATCACCAGCTTGTGGGTACATGGAAAGCGAGTGGATGGCTGGTGAACCTGGGATAGCTTCTACTTGATAGTATGGGTATTCCGGATACAACGATGAGGAGAGTGATATTCCATTGTCTTGTACTCTTAGAATGTAGGGAGGGTCTTCTGCTACCTCTGTCTCTGTAAATGCAAGAACATCATTTTTAAAGTAGACATTGTTTTCATAAATGACTAGGTTTCCATCGGGACGTAGTTGTAAATATTGTTTACCATTGGTGATATAGTTTCGTGAAGAGGTTGATACTATTGAATCGGTGTAATGTAGATATGACCCGTAATCCATCGGAATGTTGTGGTAATCGATTTTCTCGGTGCTGTTGAGAGCCCATACCAAACGACCTCGTTCATCTAGGATTTGCAATGCCCATACCGACCACGACATGGTTTGTGGCGCCACCAAGAGGTATCTACCACCAAGACCACCCATTGCAAGACACACATTACTAGGATCGACTAGAGTACCAATAGAGTCAGTGGGAGAAGCAAAGCACAACGACCCATCTTGATTTATCTGAAGGTACACCGATAAGAGGAATTGAAATGGTATTGGCGTTTTCGTGACTACCACTTTGGTACCGTTTGTTACAGCAAAAAATAACCCATTGTTAATGGGTGATCTATTGCCAAACAGGTTTCTGTCTGGTTCCAATCCATCCAAGTACTGACCCGACATGACAAAGGCTACTGGATGTATATTTTTAAATCTCCAGTATTGAGCTGGAAACCCGTAAATACCCCATGTAGCCTGAGTACCCGCCATCAACGACACACCCTCTCTCGTAAGAACAAGAGAGTCGGTCGTGACACCAAACGTTTTTGTATTTGAAATGCCAACCTTTTTGGTACCATTGTAAAAAACCATTTGACTCAAGTCTATTGCTACATAGTTTTTGGCTGCTGGATTGTCCAATGTATAAGTTGCCAATATCTTTTCACCAACTTGGAACTCGACTCTACCAAAATTAATATTAATTCTAGTACTATTAAAACTTAAATCTAGTATATTTGATAAATTGGTACTCATTAAAATTAATTTTGATCCTATTGATCTTAATGAATAATATTCTAAAAAATAAATAAATAAATAAATTAGTCAAAAATTAATTAAACATAATTCATCTTTTTTGATCATTTCATACCTGGATAATAAACCAATTCAGAATAAGATAAATATTTTCCATTATTATTTAATTGTGTTTTTATGTATCTTGGACCAACTCTAGACGGGAAACTACAATTGTGGTAACCCATCAAAGGTGCATCGGTACAATTGATCAAAATATAACTATCTATTTTAGAATGGGGTGTTTCAACAAGATAATAACTTGGTTTGAATAGAGAGTGATATATATTTAATATTTCAACATTTCCTCCAAATAATGGTAATGGATTATTGGAAAATTCATCTAATCAAAAAAAAAAAGAAAAGAAAAAAAGAAAAAGTAAGTATGAATAAATTAATTAATTAATTTTTTTGATAACTTACAATTGCTAACAATTTGAACTTGTAAAATGATACCAGTATTATAGGATTCAGCAAAATAACCATTTAAAGGAATATCGGATACTGAGGCAGAGATTGGGATGGAAAGAGAAAGGAATACACGGTACTTGGAGGGAGAACTAAAAGAGAGAACTGTGAGATTGGAGAAACCAACAGTCGAAAGAAATTCTCTACTATAGACACCTGGTGGGAGAGTAATTGATAGCCCACAACGACTACTTTGTGAATACAGAGTTACTGGGATATAGCTCTTGTCCTTTAGTGGTGGCAGTTCGTAGATTGAAAAGGTAATATTAATGTTTGGTTGAGCTAGTGTTGGTGTTGCAGTGATGTTGTTTAATAGTATGATTTGAGAAATATTATTGGTTGTGATCAACACTGAAACTGGGACTAATGGAACACTAAATATTGGTGTGTCCATGGTGGTACAAGTGATGATTGAATGACTGATGAGGTTGTTGTAAAAGTATGATAATGTAACATTGATGTTTGCTTTTGGTGTGTCTTCTTTTGAATTGGGTAGACTAAACACCATGTCTCTTGTGAATGTTAATTTAATTTGACCCCTGTATTGTACAGTCACTTGATACGATGATTGTACAACCACTTTACAGTCATCTGGGAACACCATACTCGTCAAAGAAGAACAGCTACTATTACTAGTAGTGGTGGTATTATCGACTACACACCAACCATAGTATCTTAGATAATAAGTACCTGATTGGAGTGTCATGAGTTGACAAGTTTGAGTATTTGCAATCGTACCTATACACCCCGACTGAGTGTTGATAAGGAATGCAATGTCTTGTCGAACGATTACAATAGATGACGATTCTATAGTATCGGATAGACTGTCAGTTGCAACTGATGATGGTATACCTCGACTACTGCTACCACCACCACAAACAGTGTAATGACTGAGTACTGGGACGAGCTCCCACTGCAGATCATCGGGTGGATGGACTACCGACAGCTTGTAGCACCCGTCATCGAGTTGTTCAAAGAGGAATGCACTCGAGCTATTGGTCGTCTGTTGATAGTTGATAGATGGGTCGGTGATACTCTCGACATTGACCACAACCTTTTCACCATAATCGATAAGAGTGTTTTCTTGCACACTCGTTACACTTGAATCAAATCGACCATTAAAAAGAGAGTCAATAAATCCAATGCCCTCTAAATTAAATGTTGCTCCGACGACTCTAAGAAAAGGTAGTCCACAACCACATAATAGAAAAATAAATAAAAATAAAATTTTTGATATAAATAATTGGGTCATTTCTACAAATAAATTATGTGTAAAGTAAAGTAAAAAAGAGAAACTGAGAGAGATTTAATAATGTTAGAATACCTTCCTATCCTATCTTTTGATCATCACCAAAGGAGTTCAAAAAAGATTGTTTTTTGCCCAACAACAACAATATTTTTTGATGAAAGGGATATCACCTATCAAATAGATTCAGCAACTTCACCCATTAACAATGATTGATTAAGATCTTCACATTCCTTATATAGTTATAATACACAAAATATAATTAAGAAAATTAAAAATAAAAGGGATGTAATAATGTTAGAAACTCTTAATATCTTTTTGATTAAACATCTTTGTTCGTTTCTTCTACAACAACATTCATTGTTTTTGATCAAATCCAAAATAAGATTCATTTTTATTCTTTCTCAAAGGATGTCAAGGTCTTCTCGGACCTCTGAGGGTCTCGTTTTTGTGATCATTCAATCTCGACTGGTTGTTGAAATTTGATCAACACATACACAACAATGTATATTTCTAGATCTCTACTTATTAATATATTTTTTTTTGTATTTGTATTTGTTACTCATATAGATCATTTGAATTTTGTTAATGCTCAATCAACACTACCAGCTGACGAAGGTATGTAGCTACAAAATACCAAATGTTGAGACATCATTTGTTGACTTGATCTTAACTCTTTCTATTGCAATATACAGTTCAGTCAATAGTTTTTCTTATTAGACAATTTGGAAGTATACTACCACAGACCCAACTAGGATTTTGCAATAATTTAACAGATACGAACCAAGTGGTTAAATGTGGTGTTGTCAGTAGCGAGTATCATGTTTTAGAAGTGTATGTTTTGTAAAAAATATATATAAATTATCAATATCAACCAATATAAATTGATGTTATATATTATTCTTTTTTTTTTTCAAACTAAATAATAGCAAATTACAACTTGGTTTTAAATATGCGGGTATACCAGACAGCACATTGGAGAAACTTAGTCTACCATGGTGTAAATCTTTTCAACTATCAGCATCCCAACAAGAGAACAAATCAATTAATATCCTCGATTATCTTGTTGATCTACCTAAACTTGAAGATTTGAGGTATGTACATCCAATAATAATCACGTCCAAACTGGGAGGATCGAGAGTAAGGAGAGAATGAGATGGTAGCTGAAATCTCTGTCTTTGGTCCAACAATCGTATTATTATTATTAGTACTAAATATTTTTTAAAAGGGTACAACAAATTCAAGTTCCAGTTAGTCTTCCAAGTTCGATGAATTTACCTAGTTTAAAGGTTTTGATGGTTCACAATCTTTTCAATTTTACAACACTACCTAGTTGGTTCTTTTCCAATAGCACCGGTTTAGAGACCCTCTTTTTAACAATGGGAGATATTAGGCAAGAAGATTTATCAGGTTGGAGATTCTCCAACTTGACCACACTTCGAATGACATTTGGCTGCCAGTCACCGACCACATTGCCAATCGATTTGCTTGATATTTCATTTCCAAAATTAAATGTGCTCCAAATTACAATTTTAAATGGATCTTGTTTTATAGATATTCGTTCAAATATTACCAAGCTTGGTTCATTGTATGTTTTGACAATCAATCAATAGATTGTTTTTTAACCGAAAATACTTTTTTTTTTTAGAGATCTATTTACACAAATAGGCGAATCGATTGATCAATCTTTGAAAGTTACTTTTGTCAAGATTCCTTCTTTGTTATTGATAAATATTTATGGTCCCTCAATCACATTTGAGCCAACTGATTTAGGAGTTTTAAAAAATCTTGATTACCTGTATGTTGTTTTTAAATCCATAACAAAAAAATTAAATTAGAAATTTCTAACCATTTTAATCTCCAGGACTATTCAATATGCCAACTTATCATCATATTATCCATTCAAAACATATCCGTCAACCTTGAAAATATTGTATGTATAAAATAATAATATAAAAAAAAAGGCTACAAAAATCTAATTTCTTTTTTCTATAGAAATATCTACTATTCAATTTGAAACCTTACCAAATATCCCATTTCCACCTTCACTAGGTTATATAGGCCTCAGAAATAATCCCTTTTTGGTTAGCATTCCGTGGAGTATTTTTGGAAACAATTCAGTGACTGCAACCATCGCCAATAATACTGCTCTTGTTGGTCAAGTCCCAGAGTCATTTTGTATATCAAAATTTAGTCTTTTAAATGTATCCAGTGGTGCCATGACTCTACCAGGTTTGTTAAATTTACATAGTTATAATTGTAAATAGTAGTTTATAAAATACTAATTTACTAAAAAATATCCTTTAGATTGTTTTTGGTGTTATAGTGGTGATTCAACTATTTTAACCACCTCTTTGACTATGCCCTCTGGATTTGTTTGTGGTAAGATAGATGAAACTAAAGATATAGTACAAATCTCTTAAAAAAAAGTAGTTAATATTAATTTAATAATTTAAATTCTTTTTTCTTTTTAAAGATTTATCAAATTCTCAAAGTGTAGATTTGATTAATGGAACTGGTATATTGAGTTCGAAAAATATTGGATGGGGTAACAAAAATACAACAAGGTATAATTTAATTGCCACCAAACCAAATATACCAAACCAAGTACTCACATTGAAATTGGATACATTGTTGATTGGGCCAAGACAACCTGTTTCCATTCAATTCAATTCCAAAATGCCAGAGCTGACAAGACAAGTACAAGTACAAGAGTTTGGTATCTTTTTTGACACTCTGTCAAAACCATTGGCCGTACAAACTGCAAATTGATTGTTTGTCAATATTTCATTCACTTTGTTTAATCCTTTTGTCATCCATACTGTTATGATTGATGACACTATACCATGTATTATAACGTCAAATTCGAGTTCATATATAGTTTGTCAATCCCTATTCATCGGTGGTAGTATTCATAAAGTCAGTGTCATTAATTCACAAAATAGTATTGATTTATCATTTACTATGATGTATCCACTCGTGACTGCATTTGACTATGATAGAAATGATACTAGAAACATTATATTGTATGGAGAGTTTGGAAGCAATGGACAAACCAATCCAGCGGTCTATCTAAATGAAACAGTGTATTGTCAAGTAACCTATGCATCCCAATCATTACTGAATTGTAAATTGGCTAATCCACCATCATTTGGTAATGCTTCGGTTTCTGTCATTATTGATTCATTTATATTTAATCGTACAAATGCCCTCAACTTTGTTAATAATAATAATAACAACAACACTAGTGGTGGTAGTAGTAGTAATATTTCACCAATCGAACAATGTGAACAATCTACTTTTAAATGTTATGGTCATGGTGAATGTGACTCTTTTGGTAATTGTCAATGTTATCCAAATTATGATCAATTAGATAATTGTAAAAATATGTGTATGTATAAAAAAAAAAAAAAAAAAAAAATTAATAATTAATAATTAAATTTTTTTTTTCTTTCCATTTACTATTTAGATACAAATACAACACCAATTATTGATCCAAAAAAACCAACAACATCATTTAATATTGATGGTATAGAATTTGATTTTGAAATTATTTCAATTCAAGAATTGGATTTGGAAGAGAATATTGTAAAAGAATTGTTGGCCGATAATTGGAACTCTAACATTACAATAACTCCATCTATTACTATCGCCAATTACCAATTAAATATTACCAACAACAACGATACTACTACTACTACTACTACTAATATGATGAGTCATTACGGAAACACATCAGTCTCGGCAACCATTTCATTTTCATCGCAAGCGAGAACAGTCACCTTTGGAAGTCAACAACTAGACATTAATCCAAATGCAATTAAATTGGCTGTCAATATTAGTGGTTGGCATTTTGATACTAATCTTTCCTACCTCCGAGTAGTATTCCAAACGTCATCGATCAATAATACACAATCATATACCTATGATTGTAACGACTACCGTCTAGACCCTCTATCATTTGATGAGTATGGGACAACACTGCAATACTTGCGTGTTGTAAAGGACAACGTCCAATTTAATGGTAGATTCATCGATTATTCAGTGGCTGATGGTAGACCAACGTATTCGCGAACCAAACTCATCTCGCTTACACCAAATACCAAGGCTGCACTTGACAACACGTCATCGGCATTGATCGGAGTGTACCTTAGTCAGTGTCAAGAGTGTTTGCTCGACCCCGACTTTACACCTTTGCTCATTGACAAGGGTGACACTCGTTGTGGCAGCGACCAATCAAACAACACTTGGCGTATCATTGTCGGTGCTGTAGTTGGTGGTATTGGTATGGTTGCCGTTGCTATTGGTTCTGCTCTTCTAATACAAAAGAAAAAAATCTACAATCGAAATATAAAAGCATTACAAGCTAAAATGAAAGCATTTGAATGAATAAATAAATAAATAATAATAACAATAGAAAAATAGAAATACTATGAGAAATAACACTCTCACTTGCCTTGGAGCTTCTTTTTTTTATTTTAATCTTTTTTTTTTATTTCCTCCAAGATTAATAATCTTGAAGACAGAGAGATAAAGAAAGAGAGAAGAAAGTGTATAGTTTTTGATGATGTTAAATCATCCTCAGAAACTGAGAGCGAGATAGGTCTGTGATCACTTTCACTCTTTGCACCGCCGACCTCCATATATATATCCCCAAAAGATCATTTTTGGTAATAACTACGTTGCACCCCCGAACACCTCACTGCCCTGCTCCTCTCCTCTCGACCCTGGGGAAGAGAACCCATGGACAAAGAGAGAGACAATTAAAGAGGGAGGGTTTCGAAACTCTATATATATATATAAAATATAAATAGATAGAGACAGAGATATAGAATATATAGATAGACAGATGTATAATTAATACCTTCAATTATAACATTGATCGCATTCTTTTTAGGAATCAATTATGATCAATCAATTGTTTATTCACAATGTATGTTGTTGTTGTTGTTGATGTTATATCAATTTAGTATTATACTAACCATTTATTTATTTTCTTTATTCTAGTACTATTATTTTCAATAGTACACAATCATCACCTGTACAACTAGCATTCAAAGTTGGATTTAATTTAACATTTACTGAATTTAATCCTACTATTCAACATAATTACTGTTGCTGAAATAGGTAGTAGTAGCAGTAATAGTAGTAGTATTGTACCACGTATCATTATATCAAATTCGACAGATTGGTTGTATTGTGAAACGACGGTTGCTATTCAATCAGGTGATTATAATGTTACAGTTGTGAATGATAATAATTATAGTCAATCTACAATGATTACATTTATTCAAACCTATCCACTAGCCATTTCATTTGAACATGATATTTGGCATAGAATATACGGTTATTTCGGTCCAAATGCAAATGACAAACTCAACGTGTCGGTGATTGTTAACCAAGACGAAATATGTTTTCCAAGCAACGGGTCGGTCTGTCCTAATTTAATCCGGTGTCACATGATTTCAATACCCGTGGATCGTTATCGGTTTCCATTTCAATAGACTCTTACAACTATACTAGATTGACTGCTATTTTATATCCCTCCAGCGTCCCCTCCTCCATTACCAGAACCATTTTGCACCATGACACACAACTGTTACGGAAATGGAGATTGTTATGAACAAGATAAAAAATGTTAATGTAACAGTGATTATAATCAATTAGATAATTGTCTCACTAAATGTATGTAAATGTTAAATAACGGTGAATGTCTAGAATATTAATATTAAATGGTTATTTATTATTTATGATAGATTTAAAAAATACTTTAAATACAACTATTATTAATCCAGGTAAACCAGTTGCATCATTTGTGGTGTTGATGGATCAGATGGAGCTGATTTTAAATTTGAAATAATGTCTATTCAAGAATTGGATTGGGATGAATCGATCATCAAGGAATTACCAACTGATCAATGGCAATCAACTGTCAATGAAACTTTAGATGGTAAACAAGTGACAACTGTAGACTATAAGCTCACCACCAATAATAATAATAATAATAATAATAATAATAATAATAATAATAATAATAATAATAATACGATTGTTGGACCAAAGACAGCTACCATCTCATTCTCTCCCAACTCTCGATCCTCCCAGTTTGGACGTGACTCTGTTTACCTTGGACCAAATGCCATCAAGATGTCTGTTAATGTCACTGGTTGGGAATTCAAGTCGACTGAATCCTATCTACGGGTTGTATTCCAAACAGACCAACAATCAATCATTCAAGCATGAATGTGATGATTACAATACCGATACATTCACGTATGACTATACAAATGCAACTTTGCAGTATATGAGAGTAATCAAAGGTAAAGTCCAATTCAATGGTCGATTCATTGACTATTCACTCGCTAATCGTCAGTACACGTATTCGAGAACACAAGTCCTATCAATTACACCAAATAGTGATAACATCATCTCTTTTGCAACTATCGGTGTGACACTTGGTCATTGTGACCAATGTATACTCGATCCAGACTTTACACCATTACAAATCAGTAGCGGAGGTACTTGTAAAACAGTCAATTGAACGCAAATGAACCCACACACAAAGTATTATTTTTTTTTTAATTTTTTTCAATTATCTTCACTTGACGTAGTACTTTGCTATTATTTGTACATTCATTAACATTTCTAGATAAATGTCATCATCAGATCGATTTACGAAGAAGAAGAGAGAGAGAGAAAGAGATGGAACTTTCTAAAGCCCCTCAATAATCTCTGACCATCTTTTTTTTTTTTGGGATGACTACGTTGCACCTCCGACCGATCATCGTCTCCGTCGCTAGACCCTGGGGAGCAACTTATCCCAGGTAACAAAAGAGAGAGAGGAGGCAGTACCGATAAGAGAAGGGAGGGAACAGTCCGAATATAAATATATCGATTCAGGACAAGAGAGTGAAGAGATAAACACACACATAAAGTTAGAGATAAAATGTATAAATTAATATCAATTATAACATTGATAGTATTCTGTTTATTAGGGTCTAGCAATTGTGATCAATCAATTGTCTTTAATTCTCAATGTAAGTTGTAATATACACAACTGATTTAAAAGATTCTTTATTAATTTATAATTTAATTATTATTACAAAACATACAAAAGCAATCAACAATAATTCTTCTAGTACTATTATTTTCAATAGTACACAATCACCTCCCGTACAACTAGCATTCAAAGTTGGATTTAATTTAACGTTTATTGAATTTAATCCTACTATTCAACATAATGTTACTGTTGCTGCAACCGAAACAAATCAAATAAGCATCGTACCATGTATCATTATATCAAACTCGACAGATTGGTTGTATTGTGAAACTACCTATGCCATCGCAACAGGTGACTATAATGTTACAGTAGAGAATGATTTCAATAGTCAATCTACTATCATTACATTTAATCAAACCTATCCACTAGGAACTGCATTTTCGTATGTTGATGTGGACCAGGCCAGTCTGTCTATCAATGGTTATTTTGGTGAAAACGGACTGCACAATGTATCAGTGTATCTCAACCAAACCAGTTGCAATCATTTTTTAATTATCTATTCTACTTCTATCATGTGTTGGTTGGATACACCCCCCACCCGTGGATTGGCATCGGTTACCATTTCAATAGACTCTTACAACTATACTAGATTGAATGCTATTTTCGTTCCTCCCCCTGCTCCTTATACATACAACATTACCAACACAACAAGTCCCTTTTGTACCAACGTCGCAAAAAATTGTTATGGAAACGGAGAATGCTCTGAAAAGTTTCAAGTCTGTTGGTGCAACAGTGATAGTTATAATCCAATAGATTATTGTCTCACTAAATTTAAGTATAAATCTAGATTAACAATCAAACAAATTTAAACTTATAAATATTAATTTCTATTTATTATTTATTTAGTTAAAGAAACAACAGCAATTATCAATGAAACCAAACCAGTTGCATCGTTTGATATTGATGGAGCTGAATTTAAATTTGAAATAATGTCAATTCAAGAATTGGATTGGGATGAATCGATCATCAAGGAGCTACCAACTGATCAATGGCAATCAACTGTCAATGAGACATTGCACCATTTGACAACAGTAGATTATATATTCGATACTTTTAATAACACAGTCGTTGGTCCAAAGACAGAGATTTCAGCCACCATCTCATTCGCACCATACTTTAGATCAATTGCTGTCGGAAACAAATTTCCTATGGATGTAGACATTAATCAATATGCCGTTAAAATGTCAGTCAATGTTAGTGGTTGGGAATTCAAGTCGACTGAAACCTATCTACGAGTGGTCTTCCAAACAGAGATTAACAACAATCAATCATTCTCTTATGACTGCAAGGAAAATACCTATGTCGATACATTCTCTTTTGACTCTATGAATACAACGCTGCAGTATATGAGAGTAATCAAAGGTGGTATCCAATTCGAGGGTTCATTTATTGATACATCACTCGCTGATGACCAATTTACTTATTCAAGAACATAAGTACTATCGATTACACCAAATAGTGATACAACCTCTATTGCAACCATCGGTATCGTAATTGGTCATTGTGACCAATGTGTACTCGATCCAGACTTTACACCATTACAAATCACCTATGATTGTAAAACTGTCAATTGGAGATTGATTGTAGGTCTAGTAGTTGGAGGTGTTGCTGCTATTGCCATCATCACATTATCTATCATTCTCATCAAAAGACATAAAAATCGTCAAGATCCAGAAAGACAACCATTAAATATCAATTAATTTAATGGTTGGCAATTCCCTCCAGTTGACAATAAATAATATTTTTTGAACAATTATTATTATTATTATTATTGGCAATAGCATAACACATACTAGTCAGTATAATACTGTGTCAACCAAATCAATCAAAATAAATAAATAAATAACATTTAACACATTGCCATTGTCAATCAACACCCCATAAAAAATACAATGATCATAAAACCACACAATGCATGGTGTTGTAATATGTAAACAAAAAGCCCCTTTGTAACACTTAAAACTGTGAATGAAATTTCATTCCATGTATTTGTTGAGGGTGTAGTATAAAATGTTGAAATTTTGCATTTGGATTGGATGTATTAACATCAATGGATGTTGTTATTACCGTCATTTAGATTGGAAGTGGTTATAAAGAGAAAGAGAGAGAGAGAGATTAATGACATTAAATTAATATTAAATTATTTAGCATTATATAGCAGTCACATCTATTGTCTGCATGTCAATTTAAATCTACTTTTTTTTTGAAGTAGAGATTGTCGTTTGTCACACCCACTTGTTTTTGTTTGCAAAATTGGTTTTTTTTGCAATGAGGAAAATAAAAAGTTTGGGGTGCCCCAATTTATATGGGGAATATGGGGGTAGACAGTTCAATGCAAGAATTTATTAAATAGGGATTTGACGGAAGAGACAAAGGAAGGATTTTGAATAGTGGTTGACAGTTGGGATGATGAGTTGGTATTGCTTTCATAGGCTATTCTTTTAGCTGGTCTGTTATTTTCATCTCGCATTTCGCCAGTAGCCACATTAATTTGGTTAAAGGTGTTATAATTGTTAACTTGGCTCAGGTTAACATCTCCAGAGTCTGATTTTTTGGCTGTCTTCTCTTTCGTGTCTCTTTTTTATAATGAATAACCAAGTCTCTTTGATTTAAATGAAAATTAGGTTAGTAAAAAATGGGTAGTAGTTGTTATCGTTTAAACTCACCGATTTGTGTCGTCGGTCCAGACAGTGCCTGTACTCATCTTATCTCTCATCATCATTGATCTTTGCTTGTGTGGTAAAGAATCTGTCGTTACCAATGCATTAGAAGTGGTTTGAACAAGAGCAAGAGCCTTTGAAGATTTTTTTGTTGCCTTGGGTGGTTTTGGTATCAATCCCTGATCTTGTGGTGAGAGTGGCGAACAATTAATGATACCTGACTTGTTCCAAGCAGCCATTACGTTGGTTGGCTTTGTTGCTTCGACCCATGCAAAGTATGAAAACTGTTGGTAGTGTTCGGGTGCGATTTTAAAGTTGGGTTTGTCTTGAAGTTGTTTTAGTATCATATTCTTTAGTGATTGAGAGAATGATGAAAAAATGACAAGATCCAAAGGTTGTAAGATATGTGTCATATTGGATGGAAAGCTCTTAATGTGAACCTTGTTTTCATTGGCCCATTGAAGTAATTCAGGACTAAAATTACTTCCATGATTGTCGACCAAAAGTAACTTGTCGCCAGGTGTTGTCAGCTGTTTAACAAAAAATTGGACACAGTCTAGCTTGATTGACTCATCTACCTATATACGATTAGTTATAGACAAGAGTGTGTTAATTAATTATAATATTTAGATTTTGTAGAAAAAGAAAATTTTTAAAAAATCATCTTACATAGCCACTCTTATTAACTTCCAGATAGCCATATTCATTTTTACTAGTAATGGACCAATTCTTTTTGATTGGAAACTGCAAAACGTAATAAGGCTTTAGACTACCACCTAATCCTGTTATTCCTCCTACCAATGTAAAGTGTTGGGACTGAGTTTGTTTAAAAACTTTTGGTTTGAGTGTCTCCCTTGCATTTTTATAAACAAACATGACAACCTGTGACAAAGACATTGAATTATTAGTAAACTCTAATCAATTGCATGTGTATAATCACTACTGTCTATAGTTACCTTTTGTTTAGTATCTGTGAAGAGAACTCCCTTTTCATCAATGTTGAATATATTTTCTTGTTTGATACCATGTTTTACTATGAAATCTCTAGTTTCCTTGATCCATGCGTCAGAACCACCTTTTTGTTCAGCAAGTGCCCTTTTATAATCTTGAGAGCGAACATATCTAAGCTTGAGATCTACGTATCTCGATCTAAAACCTCTCCACCAAGAGTCTGACAGCATCTTTTCTCTCTTTGTGCCCGTTCGCTCTTTCCAGAGATTGAGTGCCAAAATCTTGACATCTGTCTTTGTCATAGGTCTATTCTGCTGAATAGATATCTTGATCTTGGCTATTATCTTTTCCTCTTCCTCTTGTGTAAGTGTCTTTTGGCGAGGTACTATAGATTTCTTCTTTAGTGCCCTTGATACTTCATATTCTTCTAATCCCAAAACGAAGCTAATATTTTTGTTGCTAATCTCCCCGTGCTCTAGTCTAAGCATCACAGCTGCTTCCAATCGCTCCTTTTGTTCTCTCACCAAGACCTTTTGTAATGTTAGCCTTGATTTACATTCCCAAAAGACTGTTAAAACACCTAAAATCTCTCCATACACCTGTTTCTGATCTTGCTTTGTGCTTGCTAATTCCTCCATTTTGACTTTATCTTATACCAATAATATCTATATATATGTGCTGAATATAATAATGACATTCGTTTGTTGTAAAAAACTTTTCTATTATTTATTTTAATCTTGTACTCCAACTACTACCCGTAACTGCCATAGTAGATGTGTGACTTAAAGAAATTAAATTACTCATTGCAAAAAAAACCAATTTTGCAAACAAAAGATAGTGGGTGTCATTTGAATGGGTTAGGTTGGTGCTTGCTTTTAAGTAAGTGAATGATATAAACCTTTGAGTTTTCTAACCAATTTGCAATCCCTCGAGTATGAACACTACCCCCAAATAAATATATATAAGTTTCAGACTGTTGACATTATCTTGGGAATATGTACATAGTATGTGTAGAGGATGATGAATGTGAGTGAGGAGATTTCCAAAGAATCAATATCGGATTGATGGCAAAAAAAAGAAAGAGAGAGAGAGAAAAACCAACAAGTATTTAAGCAATCACTGCTCTTTCCATACTTTTAAAATCATTCTCTTAGTGTTTCTTAAACTTAACTATAATATAATATAATCAACCATTAATTCAAATCGTAAGTGGAAATGAAATCTCCCCAGATTGATTATTATTATTATTATTTTTCTAATTAGATTATTCTATTCTTCATTCTTCTTCTTTCTTCTTTCTTCTTTCTTCTATTGGTCCAGATGGAATTCAAATATTTAATCCTTTTACTCATTGTCTTGATTGCTTTCATTTGTATGATCAATCCTGCTGCTGCTGAGGGTGAAGCTGTTTGTTGCTCAATCTGTCCACCAATGCATTGGGCTTGTATGGAGTCATGCCAGAGAGGTTGCTAAAGCTATAGCTATAGTTTACACATTTTCTACCTCCATCAATCAATGATTGTCGTCCCATCCATTAATTAATAAATAAATTGAATTTAGTTCTAAATATTGAACCCAAATTTGAGGCTAGGGTTAATCTTTTTTCTTTGTTCAAAGAGAGAGAGAGTTTAAAGATGGAAATAGTATTACCTTTATTTGTACAAAAATATGTTATTATTATATTGTGGAATAGTAAAGCAAAGAAATCGTTCAAGTATAGTTTAGCAACAGTGTCAAAGCAATGGTTTCTATTGGTTGGTCATCTCTACTCGAGACCGTCGACCAACCACCCATACAAGCACGAGATCTATCTCGAAGACACTGATACTTGCAAACCAACCTTTATCGACTCGCTCTTGTCACCCTACTCACTACTCAACCATATCTCTACACTTAGTATCTCATTGACACCTGTCAACAACAAAACAAAAAGACATTGTCTTTTACAAACAACTAATATTAATCTATTCAATTCATCAAATGATGATAATCAAGTAATTCAATCACCAGACTCTTCTTCTTCTTTATCTTCTACCTCCTCATCCTCTTCATCTTCATCTACATTGTCAACATTTAATTTCAAGACATTTCATAAACTTAAATTATTGGTTGTTAGTAGTCAGGTATTGAATCATCAATTGTTTCTACCACTTTTATTATCATTGGATCGTGTACAATCGACACAACCAAAAAGATGTTTAAACAAGATACTTATCTATATAGATGAACCTATTTTAAATACATCACCTTTATTCAAATTGCTTCAAGATACAGTGGCACCCCATCTCACCAAAATCTCTTTGATTGCCGAGTCTCAACGAATCAACGATGCTCTAGAGTTTACAAACTATATTGACTTTGTGGTAGAGTCGGTTGGACCAAAACTTCGAAAGCTATTCATCGATGTTCCTATTGACCTTGTCACTCTACTTCTTGGACAAGCTGAAAAGATAAAGAATGTAACAAGCCTTCATATAGCAACCAAGTTTTTGAAGGAGAGTTTATTCCCTTGGCAATTGATCAACAATTTCCACCAACTACAACACCTCACCACCGATTTCCCTCAAGAGTCAAAGGAGTTTATGGATTTCTTGATCGCTAGCAAGACCATTACAACACTCGGTACTGCCATTCAATCAACCTCTTATAATATCACCAATCTTTGTCATCAAACATCACTACAAAACATGACAATCTCTATTAAACCCAACTTTACAGGTATTTGTCCTATCTATTCTATTCCACCAACCGTTGAATCACTCACCATTCTTTTGGATACAATGTATGAAGAAAGAATATTTGAATCTTTAACAAGTGGTATATATGCAATGTTAAATAGATGTAATGTAAAATATTTAAATATTTGTAAAGTATGTAGTAGTAAAAATATAATTATAATTAATTAATTAATTAATTAAATTTTTAAATATAATTATTTATTTCTTTTATATATTTAGATTGCAACAAGTTTTAGAATTGATGGATTAGGATTTTTAATGAAACATAATACAAGTATTAAACATTTAGTCATTTCAAATGTAATTGAAAGATCACCAGATGGATTGGAACTTTTATTTAAAGGTCTAAAGTTTAACAAGACACTTGAAACAATGTCTATTTATTGTGACATTAAAGATTGGAATCTTTTGTTTGATTGTCTCATTGCACATCAAAGCCTCACACGAATTTCTGTCAATCGAAAAGGTCTAGGCCAAAAGTTTCAATTCCCTTTTGAACTATCTCTAAAGTATACCACCACCTTTACTGATAGTGCACTTGTTGAATTTGATAAAATTGAATAAACAAATAATAATAATAAATGTAATTACTTATTTATTTATTTAATTTATTTATTTAGCTGTAAATTTAATAATATATTTGATCTTGAAAGTTGTCCTATTATGATACATACCAGCTAGCTGAGATTCTATGACAGTATCCAAGCTGGCGTGCGGAGATGAGGCAAAGTAGGTGAGTTGCGAAATGATCGGGCTCCCACGCAGACCGGAAATGGTCATGATCGCATACCTAGATGAAAAGCGAGCACCACTTTATTCTTTTGGATAATACTCGTGTAACGAGAGAGATGTAATCTTTTCGATCATATCCCCTTTAAATATCTATTTGATGGTTGGAATACCCACCTAATTTCGCATCTCTTGATTGTTTTGCGGCTTATTGTTGATTAACTAACCTGTCGACGATGTCTTTGTAGCTTCGTTCGACGAAAGAAGGAGCGATGCTTGTGCAAAGCATTCCTTACATGGAGGACAGCCCGGGGGTTAACAATAGCGGTTGATTCTGATTGAAAATCTTTTGTTGAGTTGCTTGTTGGTGAGTTGATGATAGGTGTACAAAACAGAAATGGTTGTTAATAAAGACAATCAACTTGATCAAGTTACTGAGTAGTGAGTGGCGAAGACGTCTTGACAAGACTCATATAAATTTTTCTTTTTTTTATTAGTTTTTTTTGTTTACTTTTCCAAAATGTGATTGTAATAAAAGAATAAATGAACTTAAATCCATGTTTGCTTTTGATAATAAAAGTATATAAATCGAATATAACTGGTACCATGCCAAATGATAGTATCTTAAAGGGGTTGATTCTGGCAATGTTTGACTATATTTGTTGGGCAATTGTGGGAGTACTTGCAAAATGATTGGCCGAGTAGTATGATCGATTAGATAAGAAACACTATTAAAATTATTTGCAATCATTGCATGATTAAAACTATTACAAATAGAATCATTAATTGTAATATCCTCATCTGTCTGATTATTATTATTATTATTATTATTATTACAGTTGTTTAGCCAATTTTGAATTTTAATAATCTTTTGATTTTTTGTTACAAATAAATCAGATTGAGTAAATTGTGATTGATTGTTACAATGATGATTGATAATATTATTGGTGAATATATATTTTAGTGTTTTTGTATTCTGACATATTCGTAAAAGGTTGCGATAACTAATATCCGGTAGTAGTTTGGTGTTTGTTTGGTTCATAAATTGAATGACCTCTAGATTGTTGTAGATGATGTGGTGGTGACCAATTGAATGATTTATATTCTTGTAATGTTTCAAATGATATTGCATCAATTCTACACTTCCATTGTTGTATCCGATACTCTCCAACTTTTGTGTGACCAACCAATCGACCTTGAGCATATTCTTGGCAAGATGATCATGAATCAATGGGATTCTTTCTAAAATGTATGGATCTCCATTCCAATATCGTAAAGCCTCCACTGCATTGTTTATCGTTATAAATGAATTACTAATAAGATATTCTAGACAATCTATGTATCCACGAGATGATTTGATGTCTTGTTGTTGTTGTTGGTAATGATTTTGAACAATACGATGTACAAGTAGTTTCTTGTGAGGTGCGTATGAACAGTCAAGTGTCAGTTGGCTGTGTTGGTGGGCATAAGAGAGCAATGCGACGTTACCACTATCACCCAAAAATCGGAGTAGAGAAGAGTCCCAGTCAAATGCCTGCATCTTGACAACCAACTCTTTGAATTTGTCCAAGTCTCCGTTGACAAGTGATGTCTTTATTTCGTGCATGTCTATCTCTCTTTGATACACCTCTACATCGACAGCAATATTGTAATACCCAAGCAACAATCTACCAATCTCAACCGATCCATTTGAGATGGCCAACTCGATCAATCTTCCAATCAAATTTTGTCCCATCTGTGAAACCGACTGATTCCTATACAAAACTAACCGAACCATCTCTATGCTACCACTCTCGACAGCCTCCATAAAGATATAGGGTGTCATTTTGTAAGGAACTGTATCGAGAAACCACTGAACCAGTTCCAAGTGACCTCCTCTTAATGCCATGCTGATCGGCTCTGTATTGTCGATATCAGAGAGGAGTACATGTGGTTGAGCGTCAAACAATAATTTGATCATTTCCAAATGGTTGTTGGCAGCAGCTTCTTTGAGTGCAGTTTCATCAAATCCCTCATTTCTATTCTCCAACAACCATTTAACCATCTTGATGTTATTGTTTCTAGCTGCAAATCGAATTGCATCGGTTGTGCAAACCGTTTGCACCCAATTAGAATCCTCCTGGTCTACCACCAAACGACCATCAAGGTAAACCAAGAGGTCAAAATGATTATAGTATGCAGCTGCATCAAGTGGTGTTTGTGGTGCAATCTTTTTATCTTGTCTACAATCAAATCTCTTTGAATGATTAAAATATGACATTTGGTCAACAAGGTACTTGTGGTAGGATGCATACAATGATAGTGATTGCTTGACCAACTCGATTGACCCGTGTTGAGCAATCACATGAATTGGTCTTGTCATCAATTCATTGTATTTGACACTATACATTTGATCTGCTTCATCATAGTGATCCCATGGATCCTCTGATTCAGCATCGTCATCAACTTGTTCATCTGTGATGATCAACTTTGGTTTGACCCGAGTCGTAGAGTTTAGGTTACTATTACTATTACTATTATTGTATACTGTTTGCAACTGCTTGTTTATCCTTTTCACATATTTAAATATTAAATAATTTAAATATTGATTTCTAAATATTACTTTTAATAAAGAAGAGGATGAAGAAGAAGTAGTAATATCCATCATTCAATTTTTTTAAAAAATAAATAACAATTTTATTTGTACATCAATCAATCTATTTTTGGAAACCCAAGAATAAATTAATAAATTAATATATTATATTGTTGTTGTTGTGTATGAATTTGTTCTTTGGGATGTAATTGTAATTATAATTATTATTATTATTATTATTATTATTATTATTATTATTATTATTATTATTATTATTATTATTATTAATAATTATAATTTTCTAGACGCTTACCTAGCACCAAAGATTCTCTTGACATCTTTTTTTTCTTTAGTATCATGAGAGTGGCACCAACAGCAAGGGCAACCAATGCAATTCCGCCAACAACGGACCCAACAATGATTCTCCATCTATCACTTGTTCCATTTTCACTGTTACATAGATTGGTACTTTTGTCAATGATTAATGGTGTAAAGTCTGGATCAAGGAGACATGATCGACATTGTGGCATTGATACTCCAATCAGTGTTGATGTTGTATTCGTGGAGATAGATGTTTGATTGATCACTGTTGTTTGAGAGAATGACTCTCTACCATCTGACAATACATAATCAATAAATCTACCATTGAATTGAACGTTATCTTTGACAACTCGCAGGTATTGCAATGATGATGATAGACTATCGAATTGAAGTGAATCAATCTCTTGTGTTTCACCACAATCAAGTGTTGCAAATTGTTGATTATTCAATATCGTTCTAAATACAATTCTGAGTGTTGACAGTGATGAACTGTAATTCCAATTGTTGATTGATACTGTCAATTTAATTGAACTTGGTGGAATGTTGAGTGATTGTGTTCCAAATTCAACGACTCTTGACTTGGATGAAAATGATATCGATGCTGTAATATTACTTGTTCTGAATTGTTCATTATTGGTTGTATTTAATTGATAAAATGATGATATATCGGTATTATTATTATTATCATTACTATTAATAGTTGAATTCCAATTATTTGTAATTAATTCATTGATTATTGTGTCATCAACATCCAACTCTTGAATTGAAACCATTTCAAATTGAAAATCAACACCATCAATATCAAATGATGTTGTTGGTTTGGTTGGATCAATAATTGGTGTTGTATTTGTATCTAAACGAAAAATTATAAAAGATTAATTAATAAACAAAATTTAAATTCCTTAATTAATATTTTACACATACATTTTGTTAAACAATTATCATCAGGGTTGTATAATGGATCATCACAAATACATATTCCATTTGCGCATTTACCTCTATTGAAACAATTGTTTGGACATTGCTGATCGGGTGTAGACGATGAGTTTTTAGAGGTTGTTGGGAAATATAATACATTTGGTGAATGATATTCCATAAAATCAACTGTAATTGTTAGGTTGGCTAATCCAGGGTTAGGTACCGACGACAAAGCACAATTAATAAAAGTTGAATTAATTCCAAAGATTGCACAATCGATAGTTTCATTTAACAGAACCGATGCAAGAGATAAATATGGACCAAACTCTCCATAAATTGATAATACCTTTGTTTCATTCTTTTCAAATCCTGCTGATGAAATGTATGGATAACCTATAAAATATAAATATAAATATAAATCTAAATATAAATCTAAATCATAAAATATTAATGATCTATTTTTTTTTTATACATACTTGAATTATATCTAAATACACTTGCAACAGTATTGTATTGATTTGAAATGGTAAGAGTGGTTGGTCCAGAAGGAATAGAATAATTTAGACTACACATAAAAGTCTTGTCTACAACTAAAAGTTCAACCGTTGTACATGGAACACTGTTAATCAATACATTGTGTTGGAGATAGGTATTGACAAACAACATTTTAAATTTAAATAAGAGTAGAGCACCATATAGATTTTTCACAATACTCCGCCCTGCTAAAAATATACCAGTTTCAATAAACGTTAGTTGTCTATAAATATTAAGACTAAAACTAATATTTAGAGTATAAGTTGGACTTGAAATAAGTCTTGGATAATACAATCTAATAAAAAAAAAAAAACAAGATCCTTGGTTAATTAAAATAATTAAAAATACCTATTATAATACATACTTTAATTCTTGGTTTGGAATACCTGGTGAAACAAAACAACTATTATAGTAGTTACCCCAGCCTATGAGTTGACCTTGAATCAATCCTGAACCTGATATCAAAATAATAGGACTGGGGGTGTCAATGACGACATTACAGGTTAGAGGTGACGGTGGTGTTAGATCAGTTGCAAGAGGATATGCCGACGGTCCATTCATATGACACCAAAAACAATCTGGAACCGATGAAATAGAGGTTCCACGGATATTAATTAAATTGCGACACATAAATTCTGGGACGGTACCAGAAATCAAATTGTTTCCTCTCAAATCTATATAAAGATTTGTAGCATTTTGAAATGTAGTCCAATCTATAGTTTGTATTTTGTTATTGACAAAATGTCTGAAGAAATAAATAAAACATATTAATATTTGTTGCGGTGTAGGGTAGGGTCAGAGTAAAAACATACAAAGCTAATAAATTATAGTTTGGTACTAATGTTGGAACTCGAGTAAAATCACATTGATCGAAATAGAGGGTTTCTAATAACGGTGGATAGCTAAAGAAAGGATAATTTGATATCGGGCTTGCTCGATATACCAAATATTTTAATCCAGTGTATTGGTCATACCCTTGAATCATTGATACTATTCCTTGGATTTGTCTTTGTTGAAAAGATTAATAAATATGATGATGATATATTATTACATGTTTACATGTGGATAATCTAATCTTACATTGAAAAAATATTTGCAGGTATAGTAGTATTAAATACAAGAGTTCCACCAAGTCGATTGGATAGAGTAACATTATGATTCAGCTTTTGAGTTGTATGATCTACGTTGATTTGTCCACTTCCAGTATTATTAATTGATCTAAAATAAATAAATAAATAATAAAGTTAAGACTTAATACATTATATTATTATTATTATTATTTTGAATATAAATACAAAGAAATTAAAGCTGGGAATACAGTGTTTGTTATTTCAACGTTTACTGCAAAAGCAAGACCACCAGTATTAATGTCAATATCAAGGTCTAAAAGGTACGGTAACCATAGTGAAGGACTTGCACTATCAAAAGAATAGTCATACAATAGTGTATTCTTTATGGAAATACTACTCAATCTGGAACCAGCAAAGAATGACCCTTGAATGACTGTTACCGGGCAATTGTCTATTCCAAATACCATTGCTTTTGTATTGGCTGTAAATACCTCTGGTATTTCTGTAATCGATGGATCATTGTGTATTCTAAATAAATTATTGTTTTAGAAATAAGTTTGACTAGGTACCTAGGTATCTTATGTGATTTATAATAACATACCTTATTGATCTATACACAGACATATATGCCATTCTTGTCAATATATTGATACTTGGATCAGCAACCCTTCCAGCAGCACTAACAAACAAGGAATCTATTCTGTAAAATCCCAATGTCTCTATACTAGCATTTGGCATACCCATATTTACAAATACATCAACTGTAATGTTACTAATTAAATTACATATGAGAGAGAGAGAGAGAGAGAGAGAGTGATTAGTAATAGATATAATATAATAAACAGTTCTGAATACATACATTCTTGCAATAAAAGTAAATGAGCCTGCTGATTGAGAACACCCAATATACTCTGTGAAATTACACAAAGATGTTAAATCAATATTTAATCCAGAGAACCCATATTGTTTGATAATAAATTGAGCTGCTTCAACTATGAAATGGTAAGTAGATTAATTAATATCTATATATTTGATTAATTACATACTATCAGATGCAAGTAGAGGAAATTGGGGTTGTGCACTACTACATGATCCAAATATAACAAAAACAAAGATTAAGCAATAATAATAATAATGACAGAGATACTCTTTGTTGACAGCCATTAATTATTTCTTTGTTTTGTTTTGTTTATATCATTGCAATGATATTGATTGATCGATTGATCAAAAGAAGAGGAGGAGTAGAGTACTCTTCTCTTCTATTTTTGTGATGCACAAGGATTGCACTACTTTGCTAAAAGTTACATCATAACCAGAAGTGTTGTTGTTGTTGTTCATATCTGATATTATGAACAAATATCGTCGAAATAGGGTTTGCAAAGTAAGTAAACAAGTACTTTGTTGCCCATTTTTACACCCATGGGTTGGTCATTAAAAACAAGATAATTATTAATTTGCTTTAAATTTTAAAATACACAGATATTAATTTTATGGAGTATCCATTATTATTGTTGTTGTTGTTTGAAACACTTTATTGATTCGAACAAATGATGAATAGAATAATATTATGTTGTTGTTGAATTATTGAATTATTATTATTATTTAAATTAATTTAATAGTTGTAGACGTTTACCTAGGTTGACAGATTCCCTTTTTAATTTCTTTTTCTTTAGTATCATGAGAGTGGCACCAACAGCAACGGCAACCAATGCAATACTACCAACAACCGATCCAACAATGATTCTCCATCTATCACTTGTTCCATTTTCACTGTTACATAGATTGGTACTTTTGTCAATGATTAATGGTGTAAAGTCTGGATCAAGGAGACATGATCGACATTGTGGCATTGATACTCCAATCAGTGTTGATGTTGTATTCGTGGAGATAGATGTTTGATTGATTATTGTTGTTTGAGAGAATGACTCTCTTCCATCTGACAATACATAATCAATAAATCTACCATTGAATTGAACGTTATCTTTGACAACTCGCAGGTATTGCAATGATGATGATAGACTATCGAATTGAAGTGAATCAATCTCTTGTGTTTCACCACAATCAAGTGTTGCAAATTGTTGATTATTCAATATCGTTCTAAATACAATTCTGAGTGTTGACAGTGATGAACTGTAATTCCAATTGTTGATTGATACTGTCAATTTAACTGTGCTTGGTGGAATGTTGAGTGATTGTGTTCCAAATTCAACGACTCTTGGCTTGGATGAAAATGAAATGGATGCTGTAATATTACTTGAACTGAATTGTTCATTATTGGTTGTATTTAATTGGTAGAATGCATAAACATCTGTATTATTATTATTATTATTACTACTATTTGTAATAGTTGAATTCCAATCAATTGTAATTAATTCGTTGATTATTGTGTCATCAATATCCAACTCTTGTATAGCAACCATTTCAAATTGGAAATCAACACCATCAATATCAAATGATGTTGTTGGTGCTGTTGTATTTGGATTAAATGTAATATTTGTATCTAATTAAATAAATTAAAGATTAATAAACTATTATTTCTATTTAATTTAATTATTGTTTACATACACTTTGTTAAACAATTATCAACAGGGTTGTATAATGGATCATCACAAATACATATTCCATTTGCGCATTTACCTCTATTGAAACAATTGTTTGGACATTGTTGATCGGGTGTTGACGAGTTTTTAGAGGTTAATGGGAAATATAATACATTTGGTGAATGATATTCCATAAAATCAACTGTAATTGTTAGGTTGGCTAATCCAGGGTTGGGTATCGACGACAGAGCACAGTTAATAAAAGTTGAATTAATTCCAAAGATTGAACATTCAATAGTATCATTTAACAGAACCGATGAAAGAGATAGCGTTGAACCAAACTCTCCATAAATTGATAAAATCTTTGTATCACTTTTATCAAATCCAGCAGCTGAAATGTATGGATAACCTATATATATATTTAAATGTCAACATATATAAGTATTAAAGTAATGAATGAATATTTAAACATATTTTAAACATACTTGAATTATAATACAATCCAGTATAGGATGCACTGATATACTCGTTGAAAACGGATACATTTTGACGTCCAGATGAAATGGGACCACTTAGACTACAAATAAAGGTTGTATTGACAAGTTCAACTTTGCTAAATAAGCCACCTACAATAGTTGCATTGTGTGGGAGATAGGTATTCATAAACAACATTCCAAACGTAAATACAAGAGGTGCTCCACCTGGTACATTTTTAATAATATTCCAACTACCAATTGCAATACCAGCTTCAATAAATAATATTTCTTGATAATGTTCTTCACTAAAACTAACATTTAAAGTATATGGTGGACCTAATAAACTTCTTGGATATGTAAAGCTAAATTTAAATAAAAAAAACAAAACAAAAAGTATTAATAATTTAATCATTATTTTGTGATTTAAATAGATTTTGTATTTTATATTTACATACCTTAACTCTTTGTTTGGAATACCTGGTAAAAGTAAACAAAGGTCTTTGTAGTTACCCCATCCTATGAGTTGACCTTTAATTAATCCTGAACCTTGTGTTAAAACAATAGGACTTGGAGGGTCAATGACAACATCACAGGTAGGTAGAGGTGATGGTGGTGATAGATCAGTTTTGATAGGTTGGTCCATTGATCCATTGATATAACACCAAAAACAATCAGCAATGACACTAATAGAAGTTTGACGGATATCAAACATATTATGACACATTGTATCTGGAATAGTACCAGTAAGAGAAGGATTGCCATATACACTGATATAAAGAGGTGAAGCATTTACAAATGGGCTCCAATCTATAGTTTGTAAACTATTATTTATAAAATGTCTAAATAATTAAATAAAAGTAAGTGTGTGGTTCAAAAAGAATCAGGTTCGTTACAACTTACAAAGATCGTAATTTTAAACCTGGTGCGACTGATGGTATTTGAGTAAATGCACATTTTTCAAAGTAGAGATTAGACAATTTAGGAGGAAATTGAGTAAATGGGTACATAGTCAAGAAAGGGTTTGATCTATACACCAAATTAGACAATTCAGTGAATTTATCATAAGTTTGAACCATTGATACTATTCCTTCAAAAAACCTTTGAAACAAAAAAAAATAATAATTCTTTAATTAATTATTTAAATAGTTTGTATGTATGATTTCATTATCTATCGAGAGAGACTTACAATGAAGTAATAGATAATTCCTGAGAAGTATTAAATGATAGAGTACCGGTCAATAAATTAATCATGGTAATATTTTGATTTGTCTTTGTACACGAATGAATTATTTGTATATCTCCATCACCAGTATTATTAATTGATCTAAAAAGGTGTGTGTACATTAGTACATTAGTACCCCAATTATATAATTATATTGTTTTAATGTTATCTGTTGATTTGATATGATTTGTTGGGGGATACATACAATTTATTCAAATTTGGAAATGATGAATCTGTAAACAGGTATGTTGCGCCAACCGGACTGGTCGATAAGATGTCTATATCAAACTCGGCAAGTGATGCTAGACGAAGTGTAGGATCGAGTTGGAGAAAATCCAATTGAGACTTTTTAATGTAAATAGTCGATAATCTAGACTGATTAAAGAATGTACCTTGAATCAATGTAATGGGACACCCACTCAATCCAAAAACGGATGCACGAGTACTAGTAGTAAATATTAACGGTATTACATCCACAGATGGATCATTATGTATTCTACAAATAAATAATATAAAAAGAAAGATTAATACAAATAAATACATAGTCACTGTCAGGGCAGGCAAGACACATACCTAATCGATCTAGGGTTAAATGTTTTAGCAAGTTTAGTCAAGATGTTGATAGATGGATCAGCGACTTGACCAGCACCAATAATAAACAGATAATCGATTCTATAGAATTCCAATGTCTCTAAACTAGCATTTGGCATACCAATATTCTCAAATGCATCAACTGTCAAGTTACTATATAGTATATTACATAAAAGAAAGAAGATATATGCTGATTAGTTTACAATTAATTATCAGATAATAATCAATCAACATGTTGGTACATACAATCTTGCAATATAGGAATACTCGCCTGCTGAAGTACACCCAATCATAGAAGTGTAATTACATAACCATTGTATTTGTATACCAGCCACACCATATTGTTGTAATATAAATTGAGCTGCTTCAACTATATATATAGATTGAGTCATTGAATAAATGAGTTGTTAGACAAAGTCTAGCTTTGAGAGTGTACTCTAAACTATACTATACTACATACCATCTTGAGCAATAAGAGGAGGAAACACAGTGGGTAGAGCAGCATCTACAACAGTGTAGTAACCACTAGACAGTAACAGCAGCAGCAGAAAAGCAAGAATACTACAGATACTTGTATTATTTATGTTCATTTCTTTGATCGAAGAAGTAAAGGAGGAGATAGCCCTAACATCTTTCCTCCTCATCGTTGACCATTGGTTGTCGTTGGTTGATACGAGTACCCATCGCCAAATTGTGGTTGGTTGATTAATAATAGATATTATTAACGAATAACTTAATGGGGCAGGCCACACATTTACAACGACGATGATGATCTTTGAAAGAAAAAATAAAGAGATATTAAAATTAAATTATTTTCAAAATCTTGAAACAAAGATGGTTGTGTGAAGAATGATGATCATTATTCATTTATTTTATGATTAATAAATAAATAAATAATAAATAATTAATAATACTTTATGAATTAATTATTAAATTGTTGTAGACGTTTACCTAGCACCAAAGATTCTCTTGACATCTTTTTTTTCTTTAGTATCATGAGAGTGGCACCAACAGCAACGGCAACCAATGCAATACCGCCAACAACCGAACCAACAATGATTCTCCATCTATCACTTGTTCCATTTTCACTGTTACTACAATCATCTGAGGTACCCTTGTCAATGATTAATGGTGTAAAGTCTGGATCAAGGAGACATGATCGACATTGTGGCATTGACACTCCAATCAGTGTTGATGTTGTATTCGTGGAGATAGATGTTTGATTGATCACTGTTGTTTGAGAGAATGACTCTCTACCATCTGACAATACATAATCAATAAATCTACCATTGAATTGAACGTTATCTTTGACAACTCGCAGGTATTGCAATGATGATGATAGACTGTCAAATTGAAGTGAATCAATCTCTTGTGTTTCACCACAATCAAGTGTTGCAAATTGTTGATTATTCAATATCGTTCTAAATACAATTCTGAGTGTTGACAGTGATGAACTGTAATTCCAATTGTTGATTGATACTGTCAATTTAATTGAACTTGGTGGAATGTTGAGTGATTGTGTTCCAAATTCAACTACTCTTGACTTGGATGAAAATGATATCGATGCTGTAATATTACTTTTGCTGAATTGTTCATTATTGGTTGTATTTAATTGGTAGAATGCTGATACATCAGTAATAGTAGTATTAGTTGAGTTGGTTGTATTACTATTATTATTATCATTACTATTAATAGTTGAATTCCAATTATTTGTAATTAATTCATTGATTATTGTGTCATCAATATCCAACTCTTGAATTGAAACCATTTCAAATTGAAAATCAACACCATCAATATCAAATGATGTTGTTGGTTTGGTTGGATCAATAATTGGTGTTGTATTTGTATCTAAACGAAAAATTATAAAAGATTAATTAATAAACATATCATTATATTATTTTTATATTTGACACATACATTTTGTTAAACAATTATCAACAGGGTTGTATAATGGATCATCACAAATACATATTCCATTTGCGCATTTACCTCTATTGAAACAATTGTTTGGACATTGCTGATCGGGTGTAGAGGATGAGTTTTTAGCGGCTGGAAAGTACAATACATTTGATGAATGGTATTCCATATTATCAACTAATATTGTTAGGTTGGCTAACCCAGGATTGGGTATTGACGGTAATGAACAATTAATAAAAGTTGAGTTATATTCAAAGATTGAACAATCGATAGTATCATTTAACAGGATTGCTAGTCTATGAAAATATTGACCAAACTCTCCATAAATTGATAGAACCTTTGTTTCATTCTTATCAAATCCTGCAGCTGAAATGTATGGGTAACCTATAAAAATAAAAATAAATATATGAATATATTATATAATTAATATTAATTATTTCATGATTAACAATACTTTTAATTCAAAACATACTTGAATTATAGTACCATCCATTTGACGAAACAATGTTATACTCATTTGCCATGGTTACACTGAATGATCCAGATGAAAGTGTAACATTACTACAAACAACAGTCATGTCTACGATATCTTGGAAGGCACAAGGAGTATCGCCAAGGTAGAGATTGTGTGATAGGTAGGAATTGACAAACCTCATTGCAAATTTAAATACCGTCATTCCCTGACTACCCTTTACAATGGTCAAACTGTCAAATTGAATACCAGCTTCAAGAAAAGATAATTGTCTCGAAAGATCAAAACTAAAATTAACATTGAGTGACCATACAGGTCCTGCGACTGGTGCTGATCCATAATCAAAACTATATATTTAGATATAAATATGAAAATGGATGTTAATTCATTTGATTATTATTATTATTATTATTATATTATATTTAAACTGACATACGTTAATATTTTGTTTGGAATGATTGGTACGAGAGAATACATGTTTGTGTAGTGACCCCATCCTAACATGTGGCCTGTTAAATTTGCAAGTCCATTGATTAAAATAACGGTGGAATTGTCAATAGAAATGTCACAAGTTAGATTGGTAGGTGGTGTGAGATCAGTTCGTATTGGTAGAGTGGATGATCCATTCATAAAACACCAGAAACAATTGGGAATGGCACTAATAGAAGTCTGACGGATATCAAGGAAATTCTGACACATTGAATCTGGAACAACACCAACAAGAGAAGGATTATTAGAAATATCAATCGATAACATTGTAATATTTTCAAATATATTCCATTTTACATTTAACAAATTATTATTTGTAATTTGTCTAGAATTTAAATAAATAAATAAATAAATAAATATATTTATATAAGTGAATTACGAATAGAGATATAACTTAAGTTAATTAATGATTACTTACAAAAGTGATAAGTTGGGATTTGGTGCAAGTAAGGGGATTTGGGTGAACCCACATTTATCAAAAGTGAGTGTATGCAAATACAATGGAAATGTGACAAAAGGATAAGCTAGGAGGGGATTTGAATAAAACAATAAATTATTTAAACCAATGAATGTTTCCATCATCGATGTTACCAATGTAACTTGTCCATGAATTTGTCTAAAATAAAAAATAATTAATTAATTAATTAATTTAAACAAAGAATTAAGAATATTGTTTTAAAAAAATACTTACAATGTTTTAACCAAAGCTGGTAGAGATGCAGACAATGTCATTTGACCAGCACCTAGATTGACCAATGTTATATTTTGATTCATCATTGCAAGTGAATGAACAACGTTGATTTTAGCAGTCCCAGTGTTATTCAATACTCTAAACGAAAAATAATAGTTAGCATATATATATATATATATATGTGTGTGTGAAATGTATACATACATTTTATTCATGCCTGTAAAACTCTTCTTTTGATACTTCCATAGATCAATCGTTGAAAGATAGTAGATAGAAATCTATTAGTTTGTTGTAGTGTAGTTGTACGTACAAGGTTAAATAAGGTAAAGGTATGAATAATCATCATCGTCATCGGAATTACTTTGTTGCAACGATAATACTGATATTTGGTAGCTTGTGCTTTGTTGCAACTGCCGTCCCAATATCACCATTTCCTCCTCTCATCGATTCTGATGGTATGTATCTATATCTCTAATAGAGAGTTCTCTATCTATCTATCATTAGATCACACATACCAAATATTCATATTAATATTATTACCTTCTGTCCTATTCTAATATAGTTCAATCGATTAGAGGAGTCAAAATAGAGGGATTGAGTGGTAGGGAGGCACCCAGCATCTTGTATTATGTTTGTAAAATAAGATATCGCCCAACAACAACAAGATATTGTTGCTGAGATATTTATTTATCCATGGTTGGTAGATATGTAGCCGAATATTAATATCGTCCTCCACATTATGAGAATCGTGATGATAATAAATGAATCACTTTGAATCGCTAGCATCGAATGTGAAGAGACAAAAACAAAAATAATGATATTTTCAAAAAATAATATCCACCAAGCTACAGTTTGAACTTCCAGACGTACATTTTTATTCTTCTCTTTGCATTCGGGTTATTATCTTTTGTGACCCATTTTGTAAGGTTGTTGTTGTTGGTTGTATTAATATGATTCATGTAATAATAACAATAACAATAATGTCAATCTACTTTTCTTTTTCTTTCTTTCTTAAAGGAGTTAAGCAATAGCAAGTCATAGATAGATTAGATATCTACTTTACTTTTACCAAAGAAAGACACAGACATGTTTGAACAAAATAAGAACGAACAACTTGCCTAAACGAACAATTTGCGCGGTTGGTTGTAATTGTCAATTAAATTTCACCAATCATCATCGATCGACTTACTTTATCAACAACCAACAACAAATCTAACAATGCTTCTTGTCAATCAATCACAATCAATCAATCAACAAAGCACAATGACGGTGATACAATGAACATGGATGGTGCAGTAGGTGCACGAGGACATCAAGACAACATCCAACACATTCTATCGGCCTTGAAAAGGATTAATTCCTTTCCTGTGTCGATCAGTGAAATGTCTATCACCGCCGGGTTGACAAAACAGGGATTGATGATCAATGATCATGTCTTGTAAAGTAGGTTCGATGTAAACTCACACGAGCATAACGGTTTCGGGAGAAATTAAAGTAAAGACCAAGCCCTTTTTACTTTCTTTTTTGCCTCCCCCCCCTCTACAGGGCCAGCTAGCGTTGCATAGTCTCATCCCTCTCTTTTTGGATTGTTTGATTTTTATGGGGCTGTAGCAGTTTTTGCGTGTTTTGGAAAATGTCTCGAAAAGGAAAGATCACATGAGTGGCAGCACCCGACCAACTAGAGACACAGCAATTTCCGCCTTTAAGGGGGTGGGGGCGGTTGACTTTAAAAGCTTGTTCGATCAAATCAAATTCCAACCAATACAAAGCGGCCGTGATCCTTGAGTTTTCAGATCAAACTAGAACTAGAATGAACAGCAGTGCCAATAGCTATTGTTTTAGTTAGGTGTGAGCCCTCATAACATAACATAACGGGATATTTAGAGCTGGCGGGCTTATCGATGATGATGATTCGACCTCTGAAACCAAACCAAACCAAACAAAACAGCCAATACCCCCAACAACCAAATACAACAATTTCCTTTCTTTACTCCTCCGCCGGCGCACACCACAACCACACACGCACCTCTCTCATCTCATCAAAAGATAAATCAAAAAGACATCCCTCCTATTGTTTGTTGTTTAAATTGAAAGAGATAGATAGATAGATAGATACACTCTCACTCTAATTACAAAGAGATAGTCTCTACCAGCAGTACATCATGATACTTCTCATCTTTCTTTTTGTTCTATTATTTTTAAGCTCGTCTATCCAGGGAGCTTTCCTCCCTCTTGACCCCATTGAACGTAAGTTAAGCTAGATATTCGCCCCCCCCTCTTTTTTTTTTTTTTGATGATCTTATCTCTTTTCGACATGGTTAAATATCCTTCTTACTTACTTGTTTAATCTGATATTGTAGTCAATGCAATTCAATTTATAGCAAAGCAATATGGTATAGATGGTATTGATTTCACGGGTGCAAATATTTGTAGTTCACCATCATTTACTTGTTTGCCTGTCGGTCAAGCATCACGTATACAACATATGTATGTATTGTTATATGATTAATAGTAGGATATATTAATAATAATCAATCTCTTAGAAATTTAGATGTAACAACATTTAAACCATTGGGTCAACCCGATGTCATATCGGAATTCCCATTTGCAATGTTAAAGACCTTTAGATTGAAAGCTGCTAATCAAGTAGCCAACCCATCAATCAATATATTAAATCTAATAGTTCAATTGGATTATCTTGTTGATTTATCGTATGCATCAATCATTCGAGTAACGATAGATAGATAGATAGATAGATAGATACTAACTCTTCTTCTTCTTCTTCTTCTTTATTTTTTTTTATTTTCTATAGAATTATAAATGATCCATCAATAACTTCAATACCAATTATATTCCCAAATGAAATGTTAAGACTTGAAACAATCATTTTTGACAATTGTACAAATCTTACTCATATCGATCCATTCTTTGATAGTTTAACCGACATTTTGAGTCTATCCATCAAAAGATGTCCGATTAATCGAATTGTCATCAACGAGACCACCTCTTTACCATTTCTAACCACATTGGATTTAGATCTAGTTGATAGCACCTCTGACTCTAACCCCAGCGGTCCTACTGCGAGTGACATGTTAAAACTATCTTTTGGTTTATCTTCATTCCCCAAATTATCACTATTGGTATTATCAATGACTGGTAATGGTAATCCTCAAGTTATTCTCAAATCTGATCTATTACTTTTATCTCAAGTGTATGAATCAATTCAACATATTTTCAATCACAACTTTTGTACTTTATATTAATATCTTTCTTCTTTTCTATTTTAGTAATTTAATAACAACAGGAACTGGAACTGGTGGATTTAAACTTGTCCCACAAAACCCATCAATCATTAAAAATATGTATGTAGTTCGTTTTACTTTTAATTGATTTATTGATTTTAATTATATTTCTTTTAGAGCAATCATAGGAAATTCATATATAGAGGCGTTTACGGCAAGTTCGTATACTAGTTTGTTATCATTAAATTATTTATCAACTCAATTGATATCTTATCCATGGACTAGTGGGTCGTTTACTACCCTAAAACAACTTGGTTTCAAAGATTCACAATTCTCTACTATCCCATCAACACCAATCATTCCATCAATGCTTAATTATTTGTAAGTTTATATAAATCAAAGGATAGATATACATTTATTTATATTTATTTACTTATTTATTCTTTTAATTTTAGGAATTTTAAAAATAATGTTTTAACAACTATTGAATGGCAAGCATTCCAAGGTATATTTGGAGATTCAACGAGTTTGTTTAATTTAGGATTGGATTTATCAGATAATAGTAATCTTGTTACTACAATTCCCAATAGCATGTGTAATAATATTGGGTTGTTGGATATTCGTAATACTAGTATCACCGAGTTACCATCATGTCTAATCTGCTATTTACAAGATACTGATCATATTCAAACCGATATTATTATGCCTCCAAACTACTCTTGTGACATTACAATCGTTTCAACACTACTAGTACTTGATAATAGGGTCGGTATCATTCAAGGTAGTTTATTGGGATTTGGTATTATTAGTGAATCATATAAAACTCTCCCTATAGTTCCCCAAACTAAATTAAAGTATGTACATACACACACACACACACATACACATAATATAATATAATATATCTATGACAAGTTGTATTGATTTTCTTTTTTTTCTTATTTAGGATAATTTGGAATAATTATTTATATACTGAAAAGACCAATTATCAAATATCATTTAGTCAATATTATCCAGAGTATACTAAAACACTCGATGTGATAGAGGCTGGTATAAGTGTAAACAACTATACCATCTCCAAGACAGCTGGTGGTGTTGTGCTGTTTAACTTTTCAATCACCATCAATGACCATCTCAACCACACAGTCACACTCAACAACAACAATGGCAGCATCAACTGTATTCTCGTTAATATAGACAGAAATAATATGGTGTGTCAAACAAATGTCGCCCTACCATCATCATTGAAATTTAATATTTCAAATCAATACCTTTCTCTTGTGTATGAAATTTCATACAATTCTAGTATGTACAAATTAAAATATTAATTTAAATATAAATATACTAACTAATCTATTTTTATTTTTAGCATGTCCATATTTAACATCAGCTCAATACGATCATGATAATCATTCAATTATATCATTGTTTGGCAATTTTGGGTCATCATTATCACACGTTTCAGTACAATTAAACAATTCTATTCCATGTAAATTAGAATCTGTCACTTCGAAGCTAATTGTTTGTTTACTTTTAGAGCGACCCAATCTTGGGTTGACAGATGTAAAGATTCAGGTAAACAATATAGATTACCTCGCCGTAGCAGCCCTCTGCTTTAAAAACCATACCCATCGAACTGAACAACAATGCTTGGTCAACAATTGTTATCAAAGAGGTCACTGTGAGCCAAATGGTCGTTGTATTTGTGATGATCTATCTTATAATCCTGATGATGATTGTTTAACTAAATGTATGTAAATCAAAATTAATATTAAATATTATTATTTTTTTATTAACTTTAATTTATTTAGATGCAAATATAACATTTAATCCAAATACAACAGCACCAACAACATCATTTGATATTGATGGAGTTGGATTTCAATTTGAAATGGTTGCCATTCAAGAATTGGATATTGACGAGTCGGTCATCAACGAATTATTTACAAACAGTGGTGATTGGGAATCAACTATTACAACCAATACTATTAATAATGATACTGATACATTGGTAGTATATAAACATAATGCTTCTTCTTCTTCTTCATCATCTTTAACATCTCATAGACGAGGTCATCGTCAAATACATAATAATAATAATATTAACATTACAGCAACACTTTCATATTCGACAAGAGAACGTCAAGTTGAATTTGCATCACATACACTTCACCTTCACCCCAACACTGTCAAGATGACGGTCTATATTGAAAATTGGACCTACGTTTCATCAGTCAGTACACTGAGGGCTGTTTTTAGAACAAGATTAAATAGTCAGAGTCAATTGATTGACATTGGATGTGACCAACCAATGGAAATCACACCACTCCAATTTGGAAGTCTATCGTCATCACTGCAATATCTTCGTGTCGTCAAAGACTCTGTACAGTTTAATAGTAGATTTGTAGACTATGTAGTATCTGATGGCAAAACAACATTCTCCAAAACAATTATCATCAATCAAACTACTGTCGAGGGTAGCCCGGACCAACTATCGACACTCATCGGTATTAATCTACCTCAATGTGCATCATGTGTGATCGATCCCGATTTCACTCCACTGACTATCGACAATCATGCCATCTCTTGTGGTCGTAATTCTCAAGTACCCGATACATGGAAGATTGTAGTAGGATGTGTAGTTGGTGGTGTAGCAGCCGTTGCTGCTGCCATTGGAGGTATCTTTTTATGGAAAACTAAAAAACAACAAAAGAATACAATTGATAGTGGAAATATGAAATTAAAAGAATTACAATATTAACATTTCAAATCAAATATCAATTTGAAAAGAATAATAAATAAATAAAATGTGTTTATACATTCATGTAACCCACCCACAAACAAACAAACACAGTTTGAATCTCTTTTTAGAGTACATGTGTAAATCGGTCATTTTCATTTTCATAATACTTCATACACATTCTGCCATTCAATCAATGACCCAACGGGTTGACCGTGCTATTCTTCATAGCGCAATGAATCGATCCTTTTTGTAATTTGGGCTCACCCTTTTTACAATATTTGATCATTTTGATTGACTTTTCATTGTCGCTTGAGCAAAGTGGTAAGTTTGCCAAGGTTAGCTTGTTGCCTGATTACAACTTGATTTGTTTTAATTAAATATATTTTAGAAAAGCAAATGAATAAAAAGGACTCATTTTGGTTCATTATTAATCATCATCAGTGTCTAAAACAAACAAAAGAACTAATATTACTTAACAATGGCCGAACCAGGAAAACATGAAATTTTTAAATGGCTCCGTATGTATACCTCAAATTTAAAGATAGATAGATAGTTGTGAAATATATATTATATAAATATTTGAGATTAATGTACTGAACTTTATATTTTCTTATTTCTTTTTTTTTTTTCTATTACTTTTTTTTTTTTGGATGATTAGAAAACAACTATCAAGGAGGATACAAATTTGATATGCGTGTACCAGGCCGTTACAACAATCAAGCAGGTATGCAAAGATCAATGAAGATCGGACCACAAACCAAGATTAGAGTATGGGAACCAGCAGGTGGCAAGATCTGGGAAAAGGGAACTGGTAGTTATCCAGAGGTTGAAATCCCAAATGGATCGATTACTCAAGCCCTTGACAATGCTTTCAAGTTCTCGATTGATATCCGTTTCAGACACACTGTTGCCGGTAAACCAGAAGACAACTTTGACTTGACCATCAAACCATTGCAGTTTGAAAACACCGTCGTTCCATCTGGTGGTGACTATGTTGGTGTCCAAATCCCACAACTCAACCCTCCTGATTCGTTGATCGTCTCTCAAATCTCGGTTCGTGAGAAGCCATGGCCACACCAAATCGTTGCCAACGGTTCCGTCTACTTTAAGTACAACCCATCCACTGAAGACATTACCTTTGAGAAAACTGAAGGATTTCCAACTAACATGGATATTGTAAAAGATGATATTTGGGGTTTCACCATTACACTCAAATCAGTTGCTTAATTGATTAATGATATCAAACCATAGAAGATCAAATCACAAATTGTTAATCCAAAAAAAAAAAAAAATTAATAATAATTACAAAATACAAAAAATAAACCAAAAATATTCTAATTGTAGTGATTGATTAATAAATCAACTTTATATGTTTTACAATATATATTATATCTATTATTTATTATTGTTGTTGGATTTATAAATAATTTGATACAGATTTTTATTTCATTCTTATTTCTTATTTTCTTCCCTCCAAACAAAATCGCTCCCCAATAATAAACATATTTCATTCACAAGCACAACCCTCCTCCAGGAGTTATTTTAATTATGTTTAGTACTATCATCGATACAGAAATTGTTGTAAATGTTATTTGATTCAAAGATAGATTTAATCAAACATGTATTGGTTGTTAATAGGTTTGTTAGTAAACTGATTTTCAATCATGTACATTGTATTCACGCACAGTTAAAGATTGCAGTTGTGAAAAGAGATCAGATGAAGACCTGTGATGAGTATACTCGATACAGACAATTTGATCTATTCTTTAAACACTTTGAATCAGAGATTAAAACATATAAAAAGGTATGATATCGTTCGAAATAATGTTTTGTTGACTTTACTTGATTATTAACATTTCTCTTTCTATTTCTTTCTAATTAATAGATAGGATTTGATCCATTTTCATATTTAAGAAATGGTTTACAATATATTGTAGAGTATAAAGGAGGTACTACTAAACAGCAACAACAACAACAAAGACCATTAGAGTTTATGATTGGTATCATTTCAAAATATTGTAAAGAACATGGTTATAGTGCGGCAGTTATTTGTGAATATTTTACAACCTCGCAATGGAGGATACCTATTCAAAATGCTAAATACATTGTATCTATACCATTGATAAGGATTAAATGTAAAATGATCATTCGGGCATTGTTTGTGACCGCAATCAAGCATTTGGATATTCCATTTATCAAACAATTGGATAGCATGTATCGTGGAAGTGAAGAACAGTTTATAGAGAGTGCTCTATCGAATGACACTGCTTTGGCAATGTCTCAATTAAACACACCACAAGCCAACCAAACCTTTATATCAATACTAGAGTTTGTGTTGAACCGTCGTCAATCAACTGATCCTAAAGATCAATGGATCTCCAAAGTGATGTTGGTCAGTATTAAACTTGGTAACCATCAAATATACGACTTTCTAAGTGGTATATTTAGGATACCACATTTATTGTCAACGTTTCAGTATCAACCAGGTTACCAAAAAATGACAAAGTCTCTTCAGAATAGAATGCAAGTCCAAGAGATTAATCGGTTTAGATACAATGGTCGTGATAATATAAACAATAACAATAATAATAATAATAATAATAATCAATCAACAACTACAATTACTCGACAACCTATTGTCATTCATAACGGCCAAAAGAAAAAAGAAGAACCAGAAGAATACAAATATGAAAAGGAAAGAATGGTTCATTATTTGACAGCCACTCCATTACTTTACCATCATCCGCTTTTAAAGGTAGATGTTGGTTTTTTAAAGTATCTAAGAAAGAATGGTTTTAGATCAGAGTTGTTTAATCAAAACAATATGGATAGTGCAATGGCTCGAGGTGACTTAGTTTGCATTAAATACCTAATAGATGCTACTAAAAGTTTTGCCTCTGAAAACAAACGGTGGGGTCTACTCAGACCCACCAAATCACATCCAACAGTCCACCAATTACATGTCATCAAATGGTTTATCAGTGACTCAGCAATGTTTTGGAATCTCGATCTAGTCATCAAGGAAACATTACAATGGGTACTTCTTTCACAACAAGGACCAAAGGATATCCAATTGATGGAACTTTTATATAAAAGTCTATCGGAATCCAACAAGGCTTTATTCGACCCAATCTATTATCAATGCAATGATTTCATAGATGTTATCATTAAAGATAAAAAGAGATTGGCAATAGCAGGTCAAAGATTTGAATTAAGGTTAGATTCAAATTGTGCTTTCTTGGATACTATAGAGTACATATTCTCACAGCTCAAACCAAACCAACTAGAAGTCAAACGACCAATAAAAGAAAAATGGAGGGAATCCAAGCAACAGATTTCAGACTTGGCATCAAAATATGGTCATCTCAAAGTAATAGAATATCTAACCTATCAATTTCCATCGTACTCTTAGGAAAATTTGTAAATTATAAATAATAAATAATAATAAATTCACTACTTGGCGTCAAAGCGTAGTACCACACATTACCAATATTAGTAGTAGTAGTATTGTTTGATAATAATTATTATAATTAATATTAATAATTGATTTTGATTGAATTTATTTACTTCCCTCCAAAAAAAAAACCATCACAATGAACACACACAACCCATATAACACATTTCATTCACAACCCTCTTAAGGCTTTTGCATTATAATTAACATTTAATTATATCGATTCAACAAATAGAAATTGTTGGCAATGTTATTTAATTCAAAGATAGATTTAATCAAACATGTATTGGTTGTTAATAGGTTTGTTAGAAAATTGATTTTCACTCATGTACGTTGTATACATGCACAATTAAAGATTTCAGTTGTGAAAAGAGACCAGATGGCAAATTGTCATCATTATACTATATATAAACAGTTTGATCTATTCTATAAACACTTTGAATCAGAGATTAAAACTTATAAAAAGGTATGTATTCAATGGAAATAATCTTTTGTAAATTTTTCCTTATTTATTAAAATTGATCCCACTTTCTCTATTTCTAGATTGGATTTGATCCATTTTCTTATTTGAAAATGAAAGGTTTACGAAATATTTTAGAGTATCAAGGAGGTTCTAAACAACAACAACAACAACAAAGACCATTAGAGTTTATGCTTGGTATCATTTCAAAATATTGTAAAGAATATGGAAATGATGTAGTAGTAATCAAAGAAAATTTTACAAATTTGGAATGGACCATACCTATTCAAAATGCTAAATGCATTGCATCCAAACCTTTTATAAGGATTAAATGTAAAATGATCATTAGGTCATTGTTTGTGGCTGCAATCAAGCATTTGGATATTGCATTTCTCAAGCAATTGGATAACAAGTATCGTGGACATGGAGATGAGTTTATAGAGGGAGATCAACTGGAATCCATTGCTTTAGAAATGTCTCAATTAAACACACCACGAAACAACCAAACCTTAATTTCAATACTAGAGTTTCTATTAAATCGTCGCCAATCAACTGATCTCCTAGGATGGATCTCCCAAGTGATACTAGACAGTATCAATATCGGTAACCATCAAGTGTACGACTATCTAAGCGGTATATTTAGGGTACCACATTTATTGTCAACGTTTCAGTATCAACCAAACTACCAAAAAACGACAAAGTCTGTTGACAGTAGAGCACAAGTCCAGGAGATTAATCGTTTTAAATATTTTGGTCGCGATTATATCAACAATAACAATAATAACAATAACAATAGCAACAACAACAACAACAATAACAATCATCAGTCAACAACTATAATTTCTCGTCAACCTATTGTCATTCATAATGGATCTTCATTTCAAAAGAAAAAAGAAGAACCAGAAGAATACAAATATGAAAAGGAAAGAATGGTTCATTACTTGACAACCGATCCATTACTTTACTATCATCCACTTTTAAAAGTTGATGTTGGATTTTTAAAGTATCTAAGAAAGAATGGTTTTAGATCAGAATTATTTAACCAAAACAATATGGATAGTGCAATGGCTCGAGGTGACCTAATTAGCATTAAATACCTAATAGATGCTACTAAAAGTTTTGCCTCTGAAAACCAAAGGTGGAGTCTACTCAGAAACACACAATCACATCCAACAGTTAACCAATTACATGTCATCAAATGGATTATCAGTGACTCGTCAATGTTTTGGAATATAGATATCTTCATCAGGGAAGCATTACAATGGGTTCTTTCACAAGAGGAACCAAAGGATCTTCAATTGATGGAATTTTTATATAATAGTCTATCGCATTCTGGCAAGATTTGTTTTGCAAGAACAGAATGTTCAAAATTTAATAAAAAATAATTTTTATTTGATTTCAACTTGTTGTAAATAAATAAATAAATACATAAATAAATGATTATAACAATTTATTGTTTGTTCATATTGGCCAATTTAGATTTCATTTTAGCATTGAATCTTCTTTCAATTCTTTTACGTCGAATTTGAAGGCCTGTTGCTGTGGCAAGAGCAATGGCGGCAGTACCTCCAACCACGACACCGACAATCAATCTCCAATTGACCTTTTTGTCACAACTTTTACTCTCGTCCTTGTTGATGAGCAATGGTGTAAAGTCTGGATCGAGTAAACACTCTTGGCATTGACTCAAGAGAACACCAATAGTTGCCACCGAGGTGTCGTCATCGTTGCTGCTCGGTGTCAATGATATGAGTTGGACTCTAGAATAGGTGGGTCGGCCATTGGCGAGTGAGTAATCAATGAATCGACCATTGAATTGGGCGTCACCCTTAATCACTCGAAGGTATTGTAATGATGTATTGAGAGAGTCAAACGATAACGAATCGACATTGTAATCTTCACAGTCATAAGCAAATGATTGGTCGTTATTTATCTCTGTTCTAAATACCACTCTGAGATAGGATAGATTCGATTCGAAATCCCAACCACTAATATTGACTGCCAATTTAATGGCATTTGGATCAATGACAATCTGTCGTAATCCAAAATCAACGGTTCTAGAAAGAGACGAGAATGATATGGTGGCAGTAACCTCAGTCTCTGGACCTACAATCGTACTATTGGTTGTATTTAGTTTGTATTGTGCTACTGTCAATTCTAAAGTCGAGTTGATAGTAGATTGCCAAATATCAGATGGTAATTCTTTAACAATTGATTCATCCAAATCTAATTCCTGTACTGAAACTATTTCAAATTTAAAATCAACTCCATCAATATCAAATGATGTTGTAGGTTTGGTTGGATCAATAATTGGGGTAGAATTTTTAACTATAAAATTAAATAACAAAGATTATTAATAAATAATTAAATATTTTTTAATGATATATATTTGATTACATACATTCAGTTAAACAATTATCTAATGGATTGAAACCAGTATCACATTGACATACTCCATTTTCATCACATTGACCATGACCAAAACAATTTGATGTATTAACGATACAGTCTTTTAATGGATTTGATTCTTCTGATCCTTGACTATCACTACTATTGATTCCGCCGCCACCACCAGAGGTAAATAGGATAGCATTCAATCGAGTAAAGTTGTAAGAGTCTATTGAAATATGAACGGATGCTAATCCTTTGGGAGGCAATACATCCAATTTGCAAATAATCGATGTTTGATTGATCGAGGTAATATTACAGTTGGTTTGGTTGAGTTGAACCGATGCATTTTGTTGTCCGTTTGCTCCAAAATCACCATAGATATAGATGGTCTGAGGATCAGATGAATCATACGAAAATGCAGTTCCAAGTGGATAGGTTTCGGTAAATGTCATCATAGTCGATTGACTATTATAAACATTTTGTACTGAAATGTTGTAAACACCCGTTTGAATAGGACGAGTAGTTTCACAATACAACCAATTGGTTGAATTTGATTTAATGGTACATGAAATATTACTGCTACTGCTTAGTTGATCTACGACTGTGACAATGTGTTGAACAAATGGATTAAACAGTGTAAATGTCACATTAAATCCAGCCTTGAACGATAGTTGGATTGGTGGTAGTGGTTGAACATTCTTGTTGATAATAATTCCAACTTCAATCACATTAAATGGATATGAATATTGTGGTGTATTACCATTCAACTGAAGGGTATATGGTTTTTTTGGACCAACCAACAAATTTTTAATGTTTACACTTAAAATTTGATTAGGGATGATAGGTGTAAGAGCGTAAGATCCGGTCAATGTATAACCCCAACCAACATTAGTGCCTAAAATATAAAATTGATTAGTAATCAATTAATGTTTCAAGTGTATAACAGAAAACTGTAACAACTTACCTTTTATAATACCAAAACCATTAATCAAAGGTAAATCCATTGATGCAAATTGAATATTACATGTAAATCCAGGTGGTACTGTTAAATTTGTTGAAATAATACTAACATCTGCATAATAACAGTAAAAACAATCTTTAAATGAAAAATAATTAATAATTATAAAATAAATAATTCATTAATAATAACATTATTATTATTATAACATACCAGGGATACTAGAAATTAAGGTGTTTCTAATCATTAATTTGCCTGTACAAAAGGAATCTGGAACCGAACCAGTCAAGGCTGTATTGTTAAAGAGTTCAATGGAAAAAGTTCGATTGGCAAATTTATCCCAATCGATAGTTGTTATTTGGTTGCTCGCTAACTGAAGACGGGACAAGGTGTTTGGAAAAGAAACAGAGGATGGAATGCTTGTTATATTGGAACCAGAGATAAAAAAGGTTGTCACATTTGGAGGGATAATCCATGGATTGGCACGATCACCATAATTAATTTTTAAAAAAAAAAAAAAAAAAAAAAAAGATTAATAAAAATTTTAATTAAAAGAGAGAGAGAGAGACATACAATGCTGTAAGGTTGGGGAAATGGCTTACATCTGGGTTATACACATTGTTTCCATAATTTGTCCTATATGAATAAATTAATACTACTAGTTAATAATTTTAAACCCCAGATATATTTTTAATATAAGATATGATATGATAACACTTACAATAATTTGCCGCTATATGGAGTTTGGAAATTAACATAAAATGAGGTACCAGTTATACGACTAGATATTGACCTGATGAAAATAACAAATTATTATTATTAGTATCTTAAAGTTTTACATTTCGCTATTAATTAATTAATTAATTGATTCATACATTTGGCCAAGAGTTGGAACATTTATATTCACATTGACGACTCCACAAGCACCAACAAATGGGCTAGTAGAGAAATCAAACAACTTTGGGAATGATTTACTTTGTAAATCCATTTTTATCAAATTGGGATTGGTACAATTGAAGGAGAGTTGCATATATAGAAGGGCTGGCATAGACCAAGTATCATCAACTACTAATTCATTGAAGCTTCCAGATAAAATAATGTGGGACAACAGAGGATGATTTCCAAACACTGGTTGTGTTATCGACTTTAGTTTGGGTAATGATAATAGTTCTAATCTTACAAGCGAAGGTCGACCACCGTTGGACATACTTTGAGGAATATTTGTAATTGATGCATCCGATGTAATTCTTTAAAAAGGAAAAAGATAAATAAAAACTATTAATAATTAATCAGATCTCTACTACTACTACTACTTACATAACAAGTCCTAGTTTAGGAAGATCAACCATCATATCAAGAACATTTTTTGAGGGATCCTTGACAAACAATGCCCCGTCAGTACTAACCAATGTTAATTGGGGGAAATAGAATTGCGTGATGCTTGGAAGAGTACCTGGTTGAGGTGATGGAGCTGTAGGTCTCCCAAGTCTGTTTAAACACAAAAGATATAAAGGTAAAAGAGAGGATGAGTGAGTGAGTTGATCCTTCGTTATAAACTACTAGTAGAGTTTTCTTTTCTTTCTTACATTTCTGATACATGAACACCATCTGAAAGGGAAACACATTTAATGTACAAAGAATTTGTTCCATATGTTGCATTATTACAGAATCCTTGTTGAGTTTGGGAGTGGCCACCCATACTGTATGATCAACCAACGAACAGACTCCACTGTATAATGTCAAACAAACTATGATTAACACCAAACTGAAGATAATTATCATTATTAAAACAAACTAACACCTACCTTCTTGAGTTGGCATCACTCCTTGTGAATAAACATTTTGATCACAATTAAATCCTAAAAAGAATACAATCAATGTTATAATTGATATTAATTTATACATCTGTCTATCTCTCTTATCTCTATAAATACATTTTAACAACGTGAGAAGGTAACCAACCTCCTTATCTTCCTTATGGGTCGGAACAACAGTAGGAGCACGAAAAAGATGATATTCTATCTAAAAATATCTTGCTTGAAACCCAATCCATAGGTCAAACCCTGACAACGAATTCGATTCATTTTAGTTTACTTTTTTTTAGAATAAAGATAGAAACAGTGTAACAAACATAATAATTAAATTCTCGTCACTATGTAGAGAGACAACATAAAACAATTTTGTTAAAAGATAATAAATAAAATCATGGAGTAAGTTAATACAATGAATGAATGAAAGAGTGGGATGATCAGAGAGCACAGTACTTACACCTTTTTTTTTTTAATTATTTTTTTAAATTTAACATTAGACAACCAATAGAAACTAAACATATAAAGATAATAACAGTTACAGATGGATGTAAAGCAGGTGCATTTTCATTATTACATAGATATGTAAACGATGATTTCGATCTAGATACTAGACCAACTAAATTAGACTTTTTAGTAAAGACTATCAATACCAACGTCAACAACATTACAGGTGACCAAGACTTTGATACACACGATCGTATTAAACTACAAATGTGGTGTGCACATTGGAGAGGAGAGATTTATAATACTCACAATCCAGTATTCTATAGACACGCATCTGCTATCCTCTTCATCTTTGATGTCACCAATCGAAAGAGCTATGAAAGATGTGCACATTGGTTAGAAGATGCTCGATTGCAATTGACATTAGATGGCTCGAACCTTACCGATCAAGGTCCTATCATGGCACTAGTCGCTACAAAGTGTGATTTGGAGGAACAGAGAGTCACATCAACACAAGAGGCACAGCAATGGGCAACTTCTGTAAACATCGACGGGTACTTTGAAACGAGTGCATTGGAGAATACCGGTATTGATGAAACATTCAATTCTGTCGTTGAATTGATACTCGAAAGGAACTATATATTTCCTTCTTGTCAACGTGTCAACACTAATCCTCCACCTCCTCCTCCTCAATCACGATCATATTGTACAATACAATAATAATAATAATTTAATTATTAATACCAACCAACTACAAAAGGAACAAACAATACACTTTCAATGTACATATAACATAATTAATAATAATAATAACAATAATAATAATAATAATAATAATAATAATAATAATAATAATAATAATAATAATAATAATAATTAAATAAATCTGTTGTAACTAATTCTTTCTTTTTTTTTATTTATTTTCAAAGTGCTTTACTTTTCTTTAGGAATAACAAGGTTGATGTTCAAATGCCACCTTTTCATATTTTTTTATAATATAGAAATAATTACAAAAATGATCTTTTGTTCCCTATTAAAAAATGAAAGCAATATTACAATCAAAAATATTTGGTGGAATGAAATCAAATTATCGTTTATTCGTCCCTCAATCCACATTCTCCTCTTCTTTATCCTCCTCCTTCTCTTTTAGATACTGTTCAACATCTGAACACAACTATAGTTCACCTCCTGTAAATCAAGATGTCATAGACCTCTTTGAAAAATCTCAATTATCAACACCTGAAATCAAGAGAATTCTAATGGATGACCATAATCTAACAATTGATGAAACAAAAAAGGTTATGAAAGGAATGGCCGAAAAAAGTATATATATTTATTTATTTATTTTATTATTTGATAAAATCTACCATTTAATATTAACCTTTTTATTCAATTTATTGCAACATTTAGAAGCAGTTTCTTTTGAAAAAAGTATAATACAATCTCAAAGGAATTCATTGAATTTATCCCATTTAAAATCTTTAGATGAATTGGAATCTATGATTGGAGAGTATATTAGATTATCAGATTTTGGATTACTCAACTCTTTTTATGGTAGAAGTACTGGACATGTTACCGAGTTTGCTATCAACCAATGACAACATGATCAATGTTTCATTTGACCAGTTTAGCCAAGATGTGAAAGTGAGATTTATCTTGATGATTCCAACTGGAACTACAAATAGTAGTAAATATTCAATGTTCAAGAATATATTCATATCCGAGAGTAATCTTACAGATACATTTAAAGAAAATGAAGAAGATGAAGATGATAATGAAGATGAAGATGATAATGAAGATGAAGATGAAGAAGATGAAGATGAGGAAGTTTGACAAGTTTAGTCAAGAGCAAGTTGGTTAGGTTGGTTCACAATAAAGATCACCCCTATGTGATCAAAAAAAATGATTTTAAAATAAATTTTATTCGATGGTGAGGGGTTGTTGTGATCAGCTTGACTTCATTCTGTTTAATATAAATATTATTACCCCCGATCAATCCTTTTATATCTATACCTTTTTTTATTTATTTGTGTAGTCATTTTATATTTATTGTAATATAGTTAAATATATACCCTTACAATATTGGTATATAGAGAGAAAGAGAAAGAGAGATAGAAGAGAAAAGATGGAGATAATTGACAATGCAATTAAAGAGTTGTCTGTACTCTTTGAAAAGATCAGTAATCCTTTAGATGACAATCATTGGTACTTGTCATCTCAAACGCATGCAAAGGACTTTGTTTATATTAATTTAATCTGCGGTTTTGCAATGTTATGTATGTAGCAAACATTAAATGTAGTTGTATCGTAGTAGGAGGAGGAGGAAGGAGAAGGAATGAAAAGATGATGATCATTGCAAACCAACCCCTAACCTATCATTCATGATCATCATAATCATTAATCATAGTCGGATACATCATCTCACCAAAGATCAACGCACGACCGGGTAACAACCCAAATACGATTCTGGCAACACTATGCGCAAGCATTTTGATCATAAATGTAATTGCCAACGTCATTTTCAAGATTATGAAGGGTCCCATCTATCTTGCATTTATGTTACAACCATGTCACATTGTCAGCTCAATCTATGCCTATTTATTATTGACTCCAAATATTCGTCGAGGTTCCATTATTCATCATATCACAATCTATTATATTGTAGTAACGTAAGTAAAATTATAAATATAAATTTAAATACAAGTATATTCGTATACTAATTGTTATTTTTAATATAGTGGAGCAGCATTAGCTTTTCCAGATACAACTGATTTGATCCGACCTTATGAAAAGGAGAATTTCTTTGTCCAACATTGGGCATTGGTGGCGGCACCCCTTATTCTCCAGACTTTTAGATTCCCAGCGCAGTTTGGATTTGGGTATGCGTTAATGTCTGCTGGCATATTGTTTATCTCTCACTTTTCCTTGTTCAAGGTGGTCAGCTTGATCACCGGTGTCAACATCAACTATATGTTGTCGCCACCACCCGTGCCATTCGACATGGAGAAACTGATCATCGAGTACACCTATGGATACGCCGGACGCGACCACTACCGAACCGTATGTGGTATCCTCGTCGTATTGGTGTCATGGGTACTCGGACTATTGACAATCGTGGTTGGAAACATCCTTGCTTACATTTTGCCATCCAAAACCTATGCACCTTCAAACACCAATAATAATAGAGGTAAAAATAAAAAGAAAATGAATTAAGCGAAAGCTTAAAGCGGCGATCGTATTATTATCACATAGACCAATTATAATATAACGGCTCATGTTTTCATGTTCACGAAAATCAAGAATTTAAGAGCGCGAATAGCGCATGTACGCGCTTGAGGTGGTCTGAAATTCTTCGTTGCGAGGATTTTTTTTCACAGTCCCACTATTGCTTTGTTGTGCAACATTGGATAGCCAATCAAATAAATGATAAAAGATATTCATAAAGCAAGCTAGAAAGAAAGAAAGAACGAAAGAAAGAGAGAACAAGCCGATAAATCATAAGTTGATTGTACACAGTAGATAATAGAATAACAAAACATAAACAATAATTATCATAATGTTTTGTTTCCATTGCATGAACCAGAACAAGAATAAGAGTAGTAAAAGAGAAGAAACAAACAGATAAATCATCACAACACAACAACAACAACAATATAAATATATATAATGAGCAGTCCTAATACTCGTGACATTATTATTAATAATAACAACAATAATAATAATAATAATAATAATGTCCAACAACAACAACAACAATCAGCTGCCTCATCTGCGATAACTGCTTCATCCTCAACAACAGATAATGGACAAGAAGAAGAAGAAGAAGACATAACAAAAAAGGAAACAACAATAACAACAAAGACTACTACACCTAGCATGGACAAGGAGTTGTGGGAGATGACACCTGAAGAAAAAAAGGAGATTATACGAATACTAGTAGAGGAGAATGATAGATATGAACATATAACAGAGGAATACTTGGGGTCGTTGGAACAACAACATTTGACGCTAGTCGATCGTATCAAAGCCAATTCTATAGAATCTAAGAAACTATTAGATGATACTCTCCAATCTCCTACGCAACCGTCAATATCACCTTTATTGTCCCAACAATCACCTATAGTCCCGACGCAGCCACCATCAACATATATATCAACATCTACATTTGTACCATTACCCAATTCTTCCAGTTCCAACTCTTCATCTTCATCATCTTTATCCTCTTCAACTTCATCATTATCAACATCTATTTCAACAACTATTCCAACAACTACAACTATAAGTACAGTTATTCACAGTTATACACCAACTTCAAAGTCAACCACAACTACAACTACAACCAGTATTCCTTCACCGTCGATACCCTTTAAAATCCTATCCTCTGTCCAAAGTATTATCACTGGAACTCCTCCACCTCTTCCTCCTACTCCTCCTACGCAACCTAATCCCTCTCCAGTTGTTTCTGTTGTTCCTAGTTTCTCAGCAGAGAGAGAAGCACTGATCAGAGCACTTGATGAAACTCGTAAGTATCATATTCGCACTCGATAAAATTAATATGCATCCACATACACACACAAATATACACTTCACCTGTTCTCTTGTTATCTACTCAAAACAGTGAGTTTCCATTTATATCTATTCATTCAACAACAATAACAACAATATTGATCAATCTCTACATCAAACAAAAACACAACAGCCCAGATGACAAATCAAAACAAGACAATTCCCACACTTCACCCCCCACAATTGTGTTGTTCCAACCCTCTCATCTCATCAGACATCCTACGTGTGCACAATATTTGGATGCATTTTAGGCAAGATTGTGTGTTGTTAAGTTGTTTTGTGGTATTTGGGGGATTATATATAATTGTCGCTCTCTCTTTGTTTTGTAATATAAAACAGGAAGAAAAGGAAATATTTGTTCCAGACCAGTATGAGAATGGGAGCTGGCTGACTAGCGAGCAAGCAGATGACTTATTGGCTACACAATATTAATTGAATTGATATCATGTTTTTGGCAAAAAAAAAAAGATAGAGAGATTTAAGAGAGTGAGAGAGAGCTCTCCTACCAACATCACCTTCATCATCATCATCATCAACAACAACAACCCCACAATACCAATCATCCAAACAGACCAAAACTATACTCTTCTTCTTCTCCTTCTCCTTCTTCTTCTTCTTTTTTACACATCGCCAATCAACATCCAGTTTCTTTATTTCTTTTTTTTTTCCTTTGCAATCTTTGCTTCCCTCCATTCCCTCCCCTCTGTAATTATTATATATATATATTATATCACTGCTATAGCACTATACTACTCTATCTCTTATCTCTCCTTACATAGCATACATACATATACACATACACTATTTTTTGTTTTTTTTAGATTTAGATTTAGATCCATCTCCTCCTCCTCCCTCCTCTGTCTCTTCAACCCATTCCTTTCTTTTGTTTATATATATTATATTATATATTATATTATATACAGACAGACAGACAGATATATAGATAGATATATAGATATATAGATACTTATATATATATGTAGTAGAGGAAGAAGAAGTAGAAGAAGAAAAGAGAGATTTCATAAAGATGCATTTCCATCTAACCAGATAATTTAATTTTATCCAATCTCCCAAACCCCCACTTCCTCCTCCCTTTTTTTATTTACACCTTTTGAGACAACAAGCCTAATTTATATTTGGCAATCTTCTTTTTTATTCTTTCCTCCTTTCTTTACTTTTGTGATTTTCATTTATTCCAAAGAGAAGAAGCAAAGGAAAGGAAAGGATAATCATCTCATAACGAAATTCACACGCACACACAACACTTTTTTTAATTTATTTATATATTACACACCCCCTCCACACAGATAATAGTATACAGACACATACATCATTCAATTTTTAAACAACACCAACAACAACTCTCTCTCTAAAGCAACGGCACCAACAACGTAACTTCAAAAACCGGCACTTGCACTTGTGCAGGTGCATTATTGTATTATTAACACGCACCGTGTAATAATAATAATAATATCTCATTGATTCTTATTATTATCATTCTTTGTATATTTATTAAAACATTAAAATTGTGTTCAACAACAACAATTTTTAATTTAATATTACAACATCATCAATTTCAAATTACCATCATCCATCCATCAAAAAAAAAATACTATTTATTTATTTATTTGTTTATTATTTATTTATAATATCTATAAATCATCATCGTATCATAATTACCACCAACCACTACTACTACTACTACTACAACATCTTTTATCTATCTACTTTTTTTTTTCTTTTTCTTTTTCTTTTTTTTTTTTTTTAATAATATTTATTTATTTAATCTAACTAACAAAATGAATTTCGTTTGCCTATCTATATTTTATATGATCATTATTTATAATGCATATCCACCACAATCTCAATTGATGAACATTACAGAGGACTTTAAAAAGATGATAGAGGCCATAAGGAGCAAGATACTGACACAGGAACAAAGAAATAGAGAAAAGGAAAAAGAAAAGGCCCGAGAAGAGGCCCAGCAGCTCCCAACACATCTTGCGTTTGCAGGTATCAACGTGCAGGATGCCAAGGGCAACATCATCCCATTCTCATCGCTGTGGGAAAAGAAGCGGTGTGTTATATTTTGTTTGCGTCGATTTGGTTGCTTGATCTGTCGTCTGCAGGCGATGGACTTGTCGACCATCAAGCCGTTTTTGGATATGCTCGGCATCTCTTTGATTGGCATTGGCTTTGAAAACTATGGCCTGGAGGACTTTATCGATGGCAAGTTCTTTGCCGGCGACGTCTACATTGATAGTTCTCGATCGGTCTATCGTGCCATGAAATTGGGTCGAATGGGATTTTGGGAGTCGGTCATTGGATTCACCGATTCTCGTCTATCAGTCTATCGAAAAACTGCTAGAGATATGGATCTGCCTTCAAATTTTAAAGGTGATGGATTGTATGTATAAACTAAAAATTAAAGAGTTGATGATAACTGTATTTATTCCAACTATCTATATTTTTATAGACAACTAAGTGGATGCGTTGTAATTGGACCACAACCTCAAGGTACACATTTTGAATATAGACAAAAGATGTTTTTGGATATCTTTAACATTCGCGACATTATTGATGCATGTCAACGACCAATGCCAAAGGAAGAGGAAATCGAAGAGTTGGCCGAACAACTCAACCGCATCACCAAGCTACAAGACCGTCCATTGCCTGCACCCATGACCATCCCTCTTCCCCGAAAAACCGGTGCCGGTCTATTTGACTTGGCTCCTCCTCCTCCTCCCTCTGAAACCTCTACACTCTCCGATTCTCCGTCGGAAACCTCCTTATCCTCTCTTTCACCTAAACCATCACCCAAGAAACCAAATAATGTATATAATAATAATAATATTAATGTAAATAGTAATAGTGAACAACAAGAAATTAATACGCCAGAATCACCATCATTAAAGAATAGCGGACCACCACAATACCATCGAAGTAACGCTGCAACATTGGATAATCCAAGATCGACCAATTTAAAAAAGTCTTCTTCATCTTCCTCTTTGATTACACCATCTTCTTCAAATCAACAACACCAACAACAACAACAACAACAACAATATATTTCACCACCTTCAAATGGAGGAGACCAATACAACAACCAATACAACCAACCAAACTACAGTCATAATATTTATGGTGATACACCCTCAGAGTTATCTTCAACACCGTCGTCTTCTCAGCCGTTACTCGGCGGCTACGATCGTAGTCATTATCAATTCCCAAAGTCTTTTTCCAAGACCACTATAGACGGACTCAACTCACCATTGACGCAACCCACAAATTCCGTAAACCTCAACAACAACAATATTCATACGCCATCCTCCAACACTGCATTCGATTTCACTCCATTTTCAATGTCACAATCAAATAGTATCGATAATCTTTTCACCACCCAACAAGACATTATTTTACCATCAAATACAAATACAACAGATATCAATAATAATAATAATCCAGAAAAACAACAAGATAATAGTAACCCACTTAAACCTCAACTTTTAATACCAACCAATTTTAATTTTAAACAAGGTGGATTTATAATACCACCTGTCGCAACTCTTGATTATGATCAATTGAAAACAACAAATAATAATAATAACAAAAATAATAATAATAATGGTAATCGTCGTTATCGTCATGATGATAATGATGATGATGATGACGGCAGCCATTATGATGATAGTAACGACGATGACAATAGTGATTATGATAATAGCGATGATGATTATGACGACGAAGACGACGACGACTACGACGATGATGATCAAGATGACGATGACGATGATGAAGATAAACCAAACATCAACGCACTTCCAGAAAATATAAGACCAAAATATATACCACCCTATCTACTTAAAAAACCAACACTTAAAATCGAATCTGTCAATCAAATATCGATAACATATTGTCCATATTAAAAAAAGATGTAAATAATAATTAAATAAAATAGAAATAGACTGGGGAATTATTGTTGGCATCCTTCTAGAACATATAATAATAATAATAACCCTGGGATGATTACAGTAAAAGACAAAAAATAAGTCATATTATTATTTGGTGGGTTAACTAGTCAAACCATCTATCCATCAATCTGTCACTTTCTTTCTCATCCAATGAACAAAGTGTTGTTATCTAAGAAACCCAACCATGAACAACCCCTATCCAAGGCTGACCGACCAATTCATCAACCAATCACTCAGTTATTCAAAGGCTCAACCAAATAATTAAATAAAGAGTGGAGGGCAGTTTAGAAAAAAATATGTTTTCTATTTTGTTTGTTCCTCATTTTAAATATTCTCTACAACAACAACAAATCTTCTATGGTCTGTGAGAAATAGTGATGGTTAAGCCTCGGGACAGAAAGTAGGGGGAAGAAAGAAATACAACTAAATCTTTATTTGTTGGTAGTCATGGTAATATTGCAGTTTTTCATGTTTTTCATGTTGTTTGGAATACACATCCTTGGTTTCAGGTTAGATTTCTATCACTATAATCATTTACTGTGGTCACTAACATTCCTATCGTTTCATTCCTTTTATTCTATAGGTTTGACATGTGGATCTACCACCATTTTGATAGTTGTTTCAACTTGTTTGTGATCTTGGACGTAGTGGATTCATTTAATTATTTGGAAATGACCAATATTGGTAAATGACCATTGTCCAAATTCCTCAATCAAACTGAAGTAATTTGTGATGGGTATGAATTTTTGGAATTAGTTTGTCAATAGTTGAGACACATGGGTTGTTTGAAAAGGGTTCAATTATCTTTTAGTCTAAAAGATGGCTGGTTCTTTGTCAAAGATGTTCTCATGTCTCTGAACCATTGGCAAAAGTCGTCATCATGTAGAGAGAGACATGATTGAATCATTTCAATAATAAGAATAGTATCCCAGTCCATAGATTTTAAATAATTCAATAAAATTAATTCATTGAACATAGTTGTCTATGACTGTACACATGTATTCGAACTTAAGTTAAATTATTTGAATTCCTTTTTTGTAAAAGCTTGATTCTCCAATGTTTCTACTCTTTTCAAAATAGATTCTCTAGGTTTTTCAAGGGGTGATTCTCTTATTCATGCACATGCATTGCTCATTGTTGAGTATTCACTCTCTGACAAAGAATAGAAATGTTGTTGGAATTTAGAAAGAGAATACAAAAGAGAGAGATAGGAGAGTGAGTGAGAGAGAGAGAGAGAAAGAAGTAGTCTAGTTTAAATAGTCTTTCTTTTTTGTTAAAAGTTTTAAAGATACATATAGAGATTTGTTTAAAAAATGATAAAAAGAGAATCACCTATTAAAGGGGTATTAACAAATGTTTATTTATTAAGAGAGATTGTAAAAAGAGGTAGATTGAATGACCAAATCATCATTCAACAAATTAATTCTTCATCTAATTCCTCGTCTTCTTCCTCTTCTTCTTCATCTTCATCTACAACAACACAGAAAAAAAAACTTGGTAGTAGTAATGGTGGGACATTGCATTCAATGTTGTCTGGTAACAACAACAACAAAGTTGATAAATGGTGTGGATATCTACACTATAAAGATATCTATTCGGCCGAATGGATATGCAAGAATAGATACTTTTATCTATTAAAGTATAAACTAGAGAGAAATGATCATGTCATGTTTACCATTAAATCGATCGAGTATCTGTGCGCTAGTATTGATAATCTTCACTTGTTCCTTTTCTTTTACTATCATCCAAATGTCAGACCATTCTTTTATGGCAGGTGTATTTTGGAGCAATGTGCATCGAATCAACGACTAGACTCACACTCTCATACACGTGTCTTTAATCTATTGCTCAATCAAACCGAGCCAGAACCCCTCAACGTTGGCCATGCTCTTTCAAGTGCCATTAAATCTGGATCGACCACCATTGTCAAACTATTACTTCATAATTTTCAAGAGGAATATCAATCTTCAAAAATGATGGATCGTCCCCTATCAATACCAACAACAAACATTAATAATCATTTTAATTTTAATCATTTTAAAAAGATAAATAATAATAATAATAACGCAACTTATAATAATAATAATAGTTTGATATCATCTGAATTAATTTATGAATTAATGAATACTTCAAGTATTGATTTTAATTTAGTTTCAGAATATATGAGTAAAGATTATTTTAATGTATGTAAACCAGATCTGATCCACCTTTTATAATTCATTCTTTAATTAATTAATGTATTTATTCTTTTACTTTTTAAGATATTATCAATTGGAGATCCACATTTATTAAAATCAGTTTGTAGTAGAATAGTTGAAAATTGTCAAAATGGACCTACTACATCAACCAATCCAAAGAATTCATTGTATAGACAATACATTGTATTTATAGAGACATTGGTTCATATGTTGTTTGAACAAGAGATTGAAAAGAGCGAAAAGGTTGATATTGACATGGAAAAGCTGTTACAAATGATCACGGTATTGGTTAATTATCGAATTATTCCTGGTCTCTCGAGTGACTGGATGGCAAAGGAATTACCAAGTCTTGGAAATGACCATTTACCAACTATCTTTTATTTGGTTTTGTCTAAATCCAATATATTCCAAGTCAACTTTGTAAGCAAGTGCTTTGGACTGTTGTTACGCAACACTTATTTACCGGTAAACTCGGCCTTGATGGAGACCATTCTAGATTGGTATGGGTTCGATGTCATTTGCAAGTTTGGGTCCATCACACAGATTAGGGTGGCACATCAGCACATTCTAGCCACTCTCGAAGCTGAACAAACGCTCCAAGACCATCCCTACGTCCGAGGTCTTCAGCTAATGCCACATACTTGGAACAAGGAGATTGTCGAGTTTCTCGCCCAACACTATCACGAAGTTTTCTTTAAACCCAATCAATTCAATATGGCCATCTTTGACAACCAGATCGAAATGATTGAATTTTATGCAAAACAAAGTAACCAAAAACTCGTCGATCATCTGACATCGCTCGAAACACAGTATGCACTATACTGTTCGCCATCGACACTACTCTATCTCAACCGAATTTGTGACGCTATGGAGTTTAGAGGGTGTATCGAACGTCCATTCCCCATCAAAGACTTGGAAACTGCTCAAATGATTCTTTCAAAATCACCCTCTTACAATTTAATATATATCAAGGTTTTGCCGACCAATGACAAGGAAGATCTCGTGCTGATCCAGTTTATTCTCGATCATTTATTGTCTCCACTTAACCGATACAATATCATTGTCAAATCATTCAAGTTGGCGTGCAAGCATGGATGGATTAAAATGGTACATTACCTCGCTCCCATCTACAGTCAAGCAATCCAGAAATTCCAAGACAAGAGAAAAGAAGATTATATGATTGGAGCACTTTTAGACAAGGATATCTTTACGTCGCGCACACCATTGGACTTGGCACTCAAATACCAACAATTTGAAGTGATCGAAATTCTACAAACATTAATCACCGATCAAAATCGATCTTATTTTGGCTTTTCAAAGGCTTCATTCCAGTTGATTGGTAAATTGGGATCGGTTGACTATTTTAATCTTGCCATCACACTCAACGCCAATGAAATCAAAGTCATCATTTCCGAGTGTCTCATGTTTGCAATGAAGTATGGTCAGCTCGATCTCATCACCTATATCCTCAACCACGAGGCCAACTACTACCAACACATTGATAATAGCGATAAAATATTGGCAATCGGAAGTGACATGATTGCAAAAAAGGAATTATTTACCATTTGTCACTTGTTGGATCAGGCAATTCAGGATGGTGATCATTACCATATATTAGAATATTTCTTAAACGAATCGACCAGTCCACCATTGGTCAAAGACCACATTGTATCCTCTTTCCTAATTTATCAAGCAATCAAGCACGGTCAAATCGCCTGTTGCAAATTATTAATTGATAAATTAAAACTATCAGATGACGATCTAAAAAATTTTGGTATTCAAAAATTACATTTAAAATATTATTTTAAAATCAAATAAATAAAGAAATATTAATTAATCAAACGTTTAATTGATTGTAAATTCGGTTTGGTTTGTGGTTTATTTATATTTTAATTTAAATTTATGGTTTGGTCATTCCCAATTCGGTTTGGGATTTTTCTAATTGTTTTAATTTGTATTTGATGGAGAGATGCTTTGGAATCTTATTTCTGAAATGAATGACAACACCTGCGATGGCAGCGGCACCGACGATACCGACTACGATACCAATGATGGCACCCTTGGGGAATGAGCTTGATTCTTCGCATTTGCCACTTGGATCAACAAGGAGATCAAACTTGCTACCACTCTTTTTGGCCTTGTACTTGCATTGGTCGGCCTCCTTTTCATTGCCAGTCTCTGGATCGTAGGTGATGATTTGAATCTTGTCAAAGCTACCGGTGATGTTGGTGGCAGAGTTGGCAGAGATCAAGTTGATGGTCTTGGTGATGTTGTTGACAGTGGTGGATCCCTCGATAACCTTGATGACGAGTGTACCACCCGACAAGATGATATCCTTGGTGACGTTCATATAGGTGTTTTCTTGGTCTTGAGTTTGGTTGTGGTAGTTGTCACTTTGGTCAATGACAAATTGGATGGTACCGTCCTTGCCGTGAGCATAGGTACCGTCGACAAAGAGACGGTTGTAAATGTCCTCGGGAGTGGATGCAGCGACGTTTCCACCAGAGACGGTCAAGTTACCGACGATGGTGCTGTTGATGTGGGCCAAGAGACCGCCGCTGACATTGACGTCACCGACAATCGAGGTGTTGGAGCCGGTTACATTACCACCGTCAATGTTGACAGTTCCGACAATCGAGTGGCTGGTGCCCGACAAGAGACCACCAGAAATCAAAATATCACCTTGGATCAAGTGGTTGGAGCCAGACAAGACACCACCGGCGATATTCAAGTAACCTTGGATAGAGTTGTTGGAGCCGGCAATATTACCGGTTCCGTTGAGGCTGACACCTCCGACAATGGTGCTGTTGATGCTGTCCAAAAGACCACCGTTTACATTGACTTGACCTGAGATCGATTGGCTCGAGCCCGACAAGGTACCCGATGGAATGTTGACGGTACCCTCGATCGAGTGATCAGAGCCAGACACCAAACCACCGTTAATGTTGACCAAACCCTTGATAATGCTACGTGCGCCGGCAGTCAAGAGACCACCGTTGACGCTAACCTGTCCAACGATAGAGGAATCGGCGTCGGCCAAAAGGTCGCCACCAGACACAAGAATTTGATCAGTCAAGGTGACAGTGCTACCGCTTGCGATGAGTGTGTCACCAGACTGTTGGTGAAGAGAGGCCAATCTTGAAGATTGTTGGATTTCAATGCTACCGCTTTCCAAATTCAAGAGTGGGACTTGGATGGTACCATCTACAGCGTTGACCAAAAACTTGCCAGTATTGCTAAACGAGTTGGCGTTGGTGTTGCCGGCGGTGAGCAAAATATTAGAGTTGGCAAGGAACAAACCCATGTTGGAGAGGTTAGAGTCACTGCTGACATGCATACCACCATTCGAGACGTAGGTACCGTTGGAGTTGGTGAGCAAAGTGGTGCTGGTCAATGTGACACTGGCATCAGAGGCAGTGATAAAAGTACCGTTACTGTCACCCAAACCAATGGTAATCTTGCAACCATTGCAGTTAAAGGCACCGACACCTCTAGTGTCAATGTTTCCAACTTGGACATCCAAAGAGATACCTTGGCCGGTAAACACGCCATTATTGATGATGGAACCACCGACAATGGTAAACTTGGAGTTGTCAATGGCCGAAATATCACCCGACGACAAGAGATTACCGGTAATGGTGACAACGGTATTCTTGATGGTGAGTGGACGCTCAGTAGAGACCGAGACCATATCGCTGTCGACATTTAAAACAGATGATGCAATGAGACCACCGTTTTGGCCAACTGCAAATGCACCTTGACTGGTAATAGTACTGTCTGTAGCGGTAAAGGTAGAGCTGTTTGTAAAACCAACAACACCAGTGACGAGAACAGTAGAGTTATTGATGTCAACCAACGAGCTATTGAATGGAAGCAAATTACCATTGATGGTAATGGTAGAGCTGTCAATCGAGAGAATGGATTGATCGAGCATATAGAAATAGTCGTGAACAATAAAGACAGACTCGCCGAGGATGCTAACGTGTGAGTTGTTTTGTTGGTAAAACTCTCCTTGGAGGATAAACTGTGACTTTTGGTCAAAGGTGAGGACAGTATTGTTAAACATACCATAAATGGTCTTGAGAGTACTACCTGGAACGGTAGAGAGTAACAATTGGGAATCCAAAACTTGAATCTTTGAATTATTCAACATTACAAATTCAGCTTGTTGATAAACCATTGTTGATTGATCTGAAATCGTTAATTGTCCGTTATTCTAAAAATAGAAAAAATAAAAAAGAAAAAAAAGAATTAATTATATAATTAATTTAATTGTTGTTGGTTTGTGTTGATGATAAATACCATTGAAACAAAATAATCATTAAATTTGAAATAACTATTATTAGTAATCAATACACGAGAATCTTCATCAATTGCAAAGGTTTTGAAAGATTCCAATGTTGTATTTGAAAAAATAACACTTGCATTTTCCTAAAAATAAATTAAATTAATATATTAATTAATTAAATTATTACTTTGTATCTGTCTCTATGTAATTACATACAGAAGTAAAGAAAAGAGCACCTTGAAGACTGATATAGGAACGGGAAATGGTAGAATTTGTATTTTGCATAAAATTCAACATGATATCATAACCTACACCTGGTTGGGTCATAGTGAGATTAGAGTCAAACATGTCAAAAGTGGCACTTCTTCCAACATAGATATCGGCAGTTGATTGATAAGCTACATCATTAAACGTTGCTTTGGTATTATCCATGAAAACTGAACTAACAGGAGTCTAAAAGATAAAAAAAAAAGAATGAATAAATAAAAAAATAAATTAAAAGAAACTAAAAGAAACTTTGATACTTACACTTCCTTCAACACCAACAACATCCAATTGACAATTTTGTACAGAGATTTCGGCAAATCCATAATGTGTAAATCTACCCTGAGAGTAAAAATAATTATTAATTGAAACTTGTCCATTATTCAATAGACCCCAAACTCCAGTTACAGCACCTATATCAAAAATAATAAAAATAAAAGGTAAAAAGGTAAATATATTAATAATGTTGGTTGTTGTTGAAATAAAATTAATAAATTAATATTTTTACATACTTGAAAAATAAATTCCAAAATTTTTAAGTAGAGTGGAAGTATCAAAGAGACCTTCAGTTGATAATACACCATAATTAGACATATCGTTGACTAAAAAGGATTGTCCGTTGGCTTGGGAGGCACCAAGTTGAGAACCATAGTTGATGGTTACCATGTCGGCAGACAAGGAATGGAGCAAGAGGAGTGAAGAGTTGGAACCGGCAGTGGTACCAATGGTAACGGTTTTGGCAACGGCAGCATTTCCTGTTACATATGAAATACTGTTTGGAACGGCAATGGTAACTTGATCAGTGTTGATTGGAACGGCCGCTGGATTCCAATTGGCTGGAGTAAACCAACTGGCCATATCCAAAGTTGATACCCATGCCTTTGGTGCTGCATTTGCAAATGATAATAAATTGACTAAAAGTATTAAAATTGATACTAATAATATAGTTTTCATTTCTTTTCCTTTTTTAAAATAAAAATGTGAATGGTAGCGTAATAAATGTTTGAGATGGATAATAATATAAATATATAATAGTACAAATACAGAAATATAAAAATAGAAAAAGAATGTAAGGAGAGGAGAAAAAATAAATATAGTTAATAGTATTTATAAATACTATTATTTATCTATTTACAAGTGAGTGTGTGTGTGGAATGAATGAATGAAATGAAATGATCAAATGATTCATCATCGTTGTCTTACTTACTTTTGTTGTTTGTTGTTTGTTCCTTTGTTTTTGTTTTTTTTTTAGAGTAAGGTTTGTATTGGGAGGATATTTTTAAACCATCAATTAATATGAACGACGACGCAGACTGGTTGATTGATATCATTGCATTGCTCTCGTCGCGTGTACAAAATTGATTATTGATGTTGTGAGATTGTCACGATTGTTGGTAGGAAAGCCCATCTCTCTTTACGATGCAGTGGGTGGGCTGTTGAACTACAGTCCCTTGGCGAACCAGAAGGCGACTGGGTTTGAGGGCTACGAGGATGAGGAGAACGGTCCAAAGCCGTTAGATGCCTTCCTTCCTTCCTCCCTTCCCATCTTGTTGCGAATCAACAATAACAGCAATTGCGTTTCACAGCCATCCAATAATGAATAATTAAGCGATTTTCTTTTTGTTTTGCGACGATGATGACCAAATCTGGGTTTGCATTCAAAGATGCAATTGTTTTTCGTTTGTCTTGTTGTTGTGGTGTGGCCTATCACTGCAAAACCGTAAAAAAAAATCTAATATTAGGATTCGTAATCGTGATTTTTTTTCGAATATCATGATTGTGGAAGCTGAGAGTTCTCGAAAACATGCAAATATCTATTTACCATTGCAAGTCAGCAGTACAGGCGACAAGATATCTTGTTGCAAAGATGAGTAAAAAAAAGAAAGGAGGAGAAGGCAAGGTGTGAAAATGTTGTTCTTATGCAAAGATTACTCCTCTCTCTTTGTTTGTCTTTACAAAAAAAAACACATACTCTTTAAGTCAAGAATCCACACAACCTGATCACAGTTATTGGGCGATGCAAAGATGGTTTTCTCATAAACTATCTCTTGTACAAGTACTAAAACACAACCAAGTATTCTTTGCAAAGATTGTTGTTGACGCGTATTCTCAAGTTGCAACATTATTATCACTGGTTACTTTCTTCTATCTATTTCTATTCTCTTGTCTTGTTCAACTCTTTGTAACTATTCTGCTGCTTCTATCTTGTAACACAAACCAAACAAACAAAACATATGTTTTCATATATCCTCGAGATAACAAAAACATTGAAAATATTTGTTTGTGTCGAGGTTATAGTTGGTCACCTGTAATAGTTTGTGCTGTTGTTGTGTGTTTGTTTTTAAAGAAAAGAAAAGAAGATAAAAGAATTATAACCCGAAACAGGTAAAGAATACAACCACCGCAACCATCTATTTTGGATCTTGATCGTGAACATAGCATAGCACAACTCAACGTGTTGCTATGATGGCTCAATAGAGAGACACAAAAAGCAAGATTCATTGATAATAAAAAAAATGGGGTTCATTATTTTTTGAAAAATGGGATGGGGGTGTAACCTCAGCTTACCCCTCACAAAAGACTAGTTTTTCGCCTGAACCGCGATATTTTTTGGTTTTATTTCGTCTCCCCTGCTAAGGTAATAAACACCTGCAGAATGGAGGGAAAAAGAATCCTCACCACGCCTATTGCTTACTGAGAGAGAGCGTAGTCCATACTCATTTTATTGGTTAGTTTTTTAATTTACACAAATAATATTATCTCACAATACAAATAATAATAATAAAAAAGAGTTAAGTTTAGTAGTAAAGTAATAATAATAAAGTAAAGTAAATAATACGACAACACGACCAACATAGTACTACGTACATTACAATACAAAAGAAAAGAAATAATAAGATATGTCATACTCTACTAAAACCGCAGCAGTTGCTCCATCTACCATGTTGAGTCAAAAGAGCTTTGACTTTGAACAAGATGAAAAGATTATTATGAAGAAGATGAAAGCTACTCCCTACCAAAAGAATATCCTCAATTGTTGGGATATCAAAGAGCAATTTGATAACATCTCTGGTCTTGCCATGTTTAGAAGTGAAGAAAGATTCTTTTGTTGTATGTACATTGTCGTTGTTGTTGTCAACTACAATTATTGTTAACTAATTATCTCCTTTTTGATAAATATCTATCTCTTTCTTCTCTTTCTCTTTCCGTAGATGTCGTATTATTTACTTTATTGTATTTCTGTATGCACTCTTTATTAAAATTGTAAATCGTAATTGTATTACAATTATTTTTAATGGGTGGAGACTGACAACAACGACAATGACAAAGACAACAACAACAACAACAACAATGACATTATGTGTGTGTGGATAATTATAATACCGACGACAATAACCGGTTATGTGATGATAACAATAGCTATGCTGTGGATAACAACACTATACACAAGCAAATAACAAAGACAAACAGGAAAAAAGGTAGACATGAGCATTAAGAATAATGAAATGTGGATAATCCTCAAATTTGTCGTTTGAAGGAATACCATCTCTCCTTCTACCTATCCTGTTTGTCGACTATCTTTCCATTCATACGTGATTGGAATAGAACTCCCCCTCTCCCCAAACAAAGAAACAAACCATACACTTGGCTATAGCTATAATTCTCATACACTTTATCAACCACACTCAACAACAAACACAAACAACTTACCCCTTTTTAAAAACGAAACTATTAATTGTATCATATCTATTCTTCCTCCTCTACGCAATAAAATCTATTTTTGGGCCGCCAAAAATATTTAAAACAAAACAAACACAAACCAAGTCCAAGTACTTTGGGTACTTGACTTGAACTAGATAGTTTAAAATGTACATTTATAAATAATGGAAATTAATTATTATTTATTAAATAGGTGGTTGTGGTGGTAATATATATTACATTTAATAATCATCGTCATCTTCATAAGTGCCATTATGACTATATAAACTACGACAATTATCATCATTGTCTGCTTTATCATCTTCGCTATCTTCATCTTCTTCATCTTCATCATCTTGGTCTTCATCTTCATCGATGACCTTAATATCCTCTTTTTGAGTTTCTTTCTTTAACTTTTCAACTACTTGCTCTTCTTGTTCTTGTTTTTGGTTATTATCTTTTAGTCGTAGTAGTGGTTGCTTTGGTTTTGGTGATAGTGGAGTTGAGGGAGGAAGAGGAGGAGGTAATAATTTTCTTGGTGATGGAGATGGAGAACTAGAATCATCATCATCATTATTATTATTATTATCCAAAGTACTAAGAATCATTTGCAAACGTAGTTTTTCTGAACTAGTACGAAGATATGATGACATTTCACTATTGGACATATCATGTTCAGATAATTCTGTACTTGATAGATTTGGATGAGTTGATAAAATCTTTTTCGATTCAATCTCTGATAAATCAAATACACCTTCTATAATTCTTTTTTCACTTATATTATTCTAAAAAAAAATAAATAAATAAATAAAAAAGTTAATATATTTTATAGTTTGTTTTGATTTGTTTCTTGTTTACTTACTAATAATAAAGTTTCATAAATATTTGAAGAATTTGGAATATAAGATTCCAGATCAAAATTATCCATATCCATCATAGAGATAGCAGGAGAAGGGAGATTTTCAACATTGGTAAGGTGTTGATGAAGTTGCATGAGTGATTGTTTTCCAACATTTGGATTAGAGTTGCTAAAGATTTGGTATTTCTTGAGGAATTCCAAATCATCGGCAGTTACTGAAATGTTGGCTGGCAATTGATCGGGAGACATGACAGTGATGAGCCTTTGCTTGGCGCCAATTACATTTAATCGTCTGCGCATTTCCTTGTAAGAGGTGTTTATAAATGATGGTGGACATCCAATTAGATCACACATTGATAGATAGTCTTTGAAATTTGGTGCTCTACCTGGTTTCTTTGGTTTTCTTATCCTTTTCTTTTTTTTTGTTGATTCTAATGTTGGTTCCACTTCATTTGGTTCATTATATACAATAATTGATGTGGTTGTTGTTGTGGTTGAGGGTGGAGTACTATTTGTTGTTGTTGTACTAGTAATAGTTTCTTGTTGTTGTTGTTGTGGTGAATGATCAGATTCTTCTTCTTCTTCACCAGATGATGCAGATGATAGACTACCATTATCTTGACCATTATTATTATTATTATTTTCAATTACTAAATCACCATCTTCATATAAAAGATCATCTTCATCATTAATTCTTGATTGACAATTCATTAGACAATCATTTACGATAAATGAAGTATAATGAGGAAGATTCTTTACATTGATAGTCATTGATTTTAAAATCGAAGTTTGAGTTTGTTGTTTTGAATAATTGATCAACAATTGTTCAATCTCTTTAATTCTTTTTGTAAATCCTGCCGTACTTTTAATTGATAATATTTCTATTAATTTACTAAAACCAAACAAAATAAACACAAATAAATTAATTAATATATGATGTTGTTGTATTATTATTTTAAATTTACATACTTTAGGTCAGGAGGTATTTTAGTTTTTGATTCTAAAGTTTTCATTGATAGATAAACAGAACAACAAACCATTGTAGGAGGATGACGACCTTCAATGACATGATTGAGTGATAGAAAGTGAATAATCTCTACGGTTAGTTTCTTTAGACTTTTAAGTTGGTCTCCTGCATAGGATTCATTGAATCGACTGAATACTCTGTCAATGAAAATATGTATATCAGAGTCTGTCGTTGTCACTTCAATCTCCATATCCTTTATAATATGTCTTGTTATTTTTCCCAATGCATAAAATTCTACTCCTACTTTTGTCTAAAACAAAAAAATAAATATATATATAAGTTATATATCTCTATCTATCTAATCTATCTCTATCTCTATATCTATTTGACATACAGATATTTCCAATAAACTAATTGGTTTCTTATTTTGTTTAATGATAATATTTGCAATGGCAGCTACGATTAATCTAGTTCTCATAAACTTTAGATTAGGTAACTTTCTAATAGTAAATGTACATAGTGTAAACAACTCTTGTTTCAACCCTGTATTAAATCCCAATGTTTCACTAATTGCATCTATTTGTGTTATCATCTAAATTATTAATTTGAATAAATATATGAGTACAAGTGAAGATATATGTATATATATGTAGATATAGATATTTATATTTATATCAATGACATATAACATACATGATTTGACATTTCATTTGTAACATTTGGAGCTGAAGAGGTAGCTTTACCATTACGATTAGTACAACCATTACTACCGTTACCGTTACCACTACTACCCTTTGAATAGGTATGATAACTTCTCTTTTTAAATGCTCTTGAAGATGGATTGGTACCTCCTGGTATACCACTCTGTAAAGAATGGTCTTTGTATACTATCGACGTACCAAACAAGTCTTCATTGGTTAATGTAGCATCTGGTTCGAGCAACGTACCACATTGCGTGCACACCAATACTCCTTCTTGAAGATCTTTTTCAACATATTCACTACTATTACAATTTGTGCATAGTTTCATCTAAAAATACCTTTCTACTAAAATATATAATAAATAAATAATAGTAATACTAAATATACAAAGTATATTTGATAACAAATAAAAGAACTAAACTAACTTTGAGATGAATGAGGGGTACCCCTCTAAAGAGATAAAAAGTGAGAAATCTTGAAAAAATCCCATATTCATAAAATGACAAAGACACGACCTCGCGCGATGACCGTGAAATCGGTGAGTTTTCATTCAGTTCGTCGCTGAGTTGTTATTATTTGTTATTTATTTTATTTATTGTTTGTTATCTTTAGCTTTAGTTTGAGTCAATACTCTTTAATTTGTTTGCAACCTTTTTATCGTATAGCCTGTTTAGTTTCTTCTTTTTGTAGTAGATGATCGATGCAGTGGCTAAAGCGATGGCAGCGATACCACCAACTACCACACCAACTGCGATACGCCAAGCTGTCGATTGGGCACTACCGCCTCCACCACACTTGTCATTACCACCTGTTCCCTTGTCAATGAGCAGTGGAGTGAAATCAGGATCGAGAACACATGATTGACATTGAGGCAAGTTGATACCGAGTAGAGCAACCGATTCATTAACATTGCTAGTTGACTGTGTCAATGAAATGAGTTGTGTTTGTGAATAGGTTGGTCGACCATTTGATAGTGCAACATCAATAAATCTACCATTGAATTGAATATCATCTTTGATCACTCTGAGGTATTGCAATGATGACAATGAATCATATGACAGTGGATCAATCTCTTTTTCATTGCAATCATATTGGACTGTTTGGTTGTTGATAATGACAGTTCTAAATACAACTCTGAGTGTTGCTAAATTTGAAGAGTATTGCCAATTTGTAATATTAATTGCCAGTTTTATAGAGTTTGGATTGATGTGTAATAGTTGATCTCCAAATTGAATATCTCTTGGTTGTGTTGAGAATGATATCGTTGATAATACACTAACTGATTGGAAGTAGTCAAATGAAGGAGATGACTCATTTCCAGTTGGGTTGGCCAAAGTTGTATTTAATTGATAATCAACTACAGTTGTAATATTATTGGTTGATGCATTCACAATCCAAGTATAATCAGATATCAATAACTCCTTGTTATTAACAACATCACCATTTAAATCCAATTCTTGAATAGACACAATTTCAAATTGGAAATCAATTCCATCAATATCAAATGATACTGTTGGGTCTGTTGTATTTGGTGTAATCGTTGTATTTATAACTAAACATTAAAATCAAATTATTGAGTATTAGTATTTCTTGAAATGATTATTATTATTTTTGATTCAAACATACACTTTGTAAAACATTCATCATCTTGATTATAATCCTTGTCACATTGGCAAATACCATATACATCACAAGTGCCATGACCATAACAATTTGATGTTTGTTGAATACATAATTGTTGTGGTGTATCTGTTGAAGATCCAGATGTAGTAGTTGTTGTGGTTGTAGTTGTTGATATTGGGTTCGTAGTCGTAGTTCCGCCATTATTATTATTTGGATTTGGTTGACGTAGTTGTAAGATATTTCTAACATTTGTATTTTCGCCATCGACTAGTAATTGAACAGACGACAGTCCATAATTTGGTTGATTCGATAATTGACAGTGAATGACTTGTTGCGATTTATCAACCACCGAGCAATCAAATGTATTATTCACCTTGATCGACAGATTCGATTGTCCAAAAGGTCCAAAATCACCGTACAATGAAATATTTCTAGTTTGATTCAAGTTATATTCTCCCGACCCAATTACAGGATATGCTGTAAATCAAAAAATATTAATATTATTTAAATAATGTTTGGATATACTTTGTTTGATTACATACGCTTTGAACAATTATTATAATATCCACCATCATTATTACATAGACATTGACCAGTTTCATTACAATAACCATTTCCCGAACACCTGTTGGTTTCAAGGTTACATTGACTTTGTGGGGTGGTGTAAGAGTATGCGTAAGTTGTCCAATACCCATTCTCGGTGACATTCATATAGGTTACACCTAGTGGTGCGTATGCATACAATGTACATTGTAAAAGATTGTTGTTGAATATACCCATATAGGTACATGGCACGGAATAGGTACTATTCTGTATGAGGATCGAGTCAAATGTTCGTGGAGCAGTACCAAACTCACCGTTGATAGTGATAGAGGTTCCATAGACCAAATAATTGGGTGACACATTTGATATGATTGGATAGGCTTGTGTAAAGTTAAATTGTGCTGTATCATAGGTAAGGGGGTTAGATATATTTAAAATGTGTGGTCCGTTTTGCAGTGTTCCAATCGTTTCCAATATTAATCTTGTACCATCGCTCATTGAAAATGAGCACATAGTAACCTTTCCAGTTAGTTGGGAAGTGAGTCTTGCCTCACTGGTGAAATTATCATTCTGGATGATTTGCATATCAATCCACAAATTATAGGCGCGTTGTGAAAATAAAACGGGTGGTGATATGAAATCAATGGTGACATCGGTGATTTGAACGTTTGCACTCCATTTTTCAAGTGGGTTTAGAAAGAAGGAATAGGGTATTGGCGACCAAGCAGGTCTAGTAATATTAAGTGGAATGATAGAGTTTGGAGTGGTAGCCATCGATAAACCACCGTATCCACCATACCCAATATTCGTTCCTTTCAATATACCTTGTCCATTAATTGTATAGATAATATTTGGAAGAAATTTAAAATCTAACAAATAAATAAATAAATAAATTAGTAAGAAGAATATAAATAAAATAATTATATTGTATATTGTATCTATAAATAGATACATACCACAAGCAAAAGTAGAAGGGTATGGTAAACTAGTAGAGAACCAGGCAGTCATATTATAATTACACCAAAAACAGTCTGGTACAGTTGGAATGGCAGTATTTTCAATATGAATTGTATTCTTGCACATGGACACTGGAACGGGTGTGACAAGACCAAGATTGGATGCAACATTTAAATCCAACCAAACAGAATTTGCAAATATAGTTCCAAAATCGATATTGACAAGTTGATTGAAACTCAAATCCAATGATTTAACTTGTGGTGGCATAGTAACACCTATAAAATTAATATAATTACCTTTTAATTGACTTAAAGTAATGAATTAAATATTAGTAAAATGGATAAATTTAATAGACTACCAAATGTGTACTTACATATTTGTCAAATTTGGTGGGAATTGTGATAATGGAAATGAAGTATATCCTCTATATGGTAGATTTCTTTTTAAAGGAAGGAATATTAATTAATTATTGAAATAATCGTATTTAATATTATTGTTGTTGTTGGTATACATACAAATTAACAAGAGCAGGATAATTTATAGAATTGATTACGGGTGACAAGGTAGAGGTTGGTAGGGTACCACTAAGATCAAGTGTTACAAGACTACTAGTATTTTTAATTTGTAAATGACATAATGAATTGTATCTCTCTACAGGCATCCAAGTTGTACAATATCTAAATTATATATTGATAAAAATAATAAATTAATTAATAAAATAATGGTCAAATATATATATATATTAAGGGTTAATTGTTGTGATTTGGGGGGAATACAAACATTGATTTAGTAACACCAATTTCATAATTGATGGTGACAATAGTTTCATTTTCAAGTACGATACTAAACCCAGAAAGTTGTGGAAATGAATTAGACTTTAGATTAAATGTCTTTGGAGATGACAATGATGCGGCTTTATACTTGATTGAAAGTATATTTAAATTGGGTAGGTTTAAAGTATCATCAATTGAAATATCGACGAGTGGATTAAGAACAGAGATGAATGATGCAACTGTATTATTAAAGAATCCCGGAATACTTGTAATACCGTTGTAATTCAAGTCTATACTTTGTAAGGCAGTCAAATTGATTGGGAATCCAACAGGCACCGATGTGAGTTGTGGATAACCATTGATGATAATACTTTGAAGCAGAGGCAAATCTCTAACAAGGTTCAATAGATTGATTGAATTATCTGCCACTTCAACAACTTGTCTGATTTCTAGTACATTCAATTTAGGGAAATCCAATCTAACTAGATTTGTATCTGGTAATCCTCCACCTGTAAATGTTGATCCAACTAATGATCTAAATATAAATATATAGTAGTAGGATAGTAGTAGGGAGGGTATTGTTAGTATATGGATATATATATTTAATAATACAACATACATTTCAGTAATATGAGCATCAATGTCAATGACAACACACGAGAATACCGTGGAGGAACAAACACTGGTTTGGTCTTGCCCAATATTAAGTTGGAACTGTCTGATTAAAAAGATTGCACTTCTTACTACAATTATAATTATAATAATTAAATAAATAAATAAATAAATACATGGATTATATTTACTATTACTTACATTCATCAATTGGTAAAGATTGTGATCTGGTTTGTTGTGGTATTAAAGTGAACAATAAAAATAGTAATAATACAACAGCAGAGAAAGAGGATTTTAAAGGCGTTGAAAAACACCCCATTGTAATCATTCGAATTCTGATATTAATACTATGAGTGATTCGATCGATGAATGGTGGTGGGTGAAAGAGATGAATGGATAATAATAATACAAAGATATTTATAAATATATAAAATATAGATATCTAGAGATAATGATACACAGTTATAAACTATTAATAGTATATAAAAAAGAATGAAGAGTAAGAAAGTATTGGGTTGTGCGCACAAGTAATGTACGTGGGGATCCTCCCTTAACAAGAGCATTGGTTGATTTCCTAGGAAGAACTCTGGTCAAACTCTTGTACACGCTATGCAAAGCTAGGCCTATCGATAGAGCAGCAAGGGCCGATCTGCCTTCTTCACCACGGTTCGTTGACAACAACATTGCTTGGTTTGAGAATCTTGCGAAAAAAAGAATATCTGTCCCAGAAGATATTATTGTTAATAATATTTTCGAATATCTATGCATCAAATCTAACCAAGATCGATTATTTGCAAACATCTAAGCGTATTAGCTCTCGATTTAGAAGTCATGCTTATCCTCACTTTAGAATTTCGCACCTTGATTTAATTTGATTTATTATTTATTTCTTATTTTAGTACTCGACCTAATGTTTTGTTTTGGGAGAGGTAATAAAGGGTGGTGATTATCATTACCATTATTATAATACATGCAAAGATAGTAGTGGAAGTGGTAGTGGTACCAGAGTAGTAGTGTTTATTTAAATTAAATTTAAATTAAATTTGACCATTATTTAAAGGTCAAGGATTCTAAATACAGTTGTTGGTTGAGCAGTGACAGTGAGAGCACCTCCAGCTTCTGCCAAGTAAGTACCATGTACAGTCAAGATGTAGTAGTCGTTGATAGCATTGTTAATGCCATTGACAGGGATGAGCTTGAATCTTTCCCATGATTGGATGTTGCCAGATCCCGAAGCAGCACCGCTTGGATTGACACTGATAAAGTTACGTCTGCTGTCTTCGAGGGCAATGTGGACATTGTCAGTCTCGTGCAACTGGAACTTTTCTTGAAGGTCAATCTTGGCAGCATCACACTTTACGATCTTGGCTCCCGATTCCCATGGCAGAGTGGTTCCTTGAACAGAGAGATACTTCCAGCTTCCAACAGCTTGGATGGCTACATAGGGGTGGGAACGACGACCACGTGATTCATGAGAAAAGATTTGGGTATGAAGAGTATTTGGTTGAGACATTATTATTTATATAAAGAGATAAAGTAAAGTACTTGATTGATTGCAATGACATTAAGCAACCACAACATGTTCAATAAATAGTTTATGGTTATCGGTTCAATTGAACTTATGAGGTGTGCTGTTTGAGGAATCCCCCCCAACATCTTGGACAAATTACAAACATGTCTGCACAGAGGAATTTATTTAAATTAAATTTTCCAATCAAGATGGAGGGGTTAACAAGTTATTTTACAAATGTATCTGTTTGCTCGAGATATCTGTAATAAAAGACTCTTTTATTCTTTATTTGGAACTTGATCATGCGACATGTCCACTATGAAAAGTTCTTCAATTTATTTTGCATGTGCTTTACATTAGCATTTCTCTTTTTGATCTTATTGTAAGTAATGATAGATGCAGTTGCAATGGCTATGGCACCAGCTCCACCAACAACACATCCAACAACGATTCTCCATGTATTTGATTTCTCGCATCCACTATCATTACTCTTGTCAATTAATAATGGCGAGAAATCAGGATCGAGAACACATGATTGACATTGAGGCAAGTTGATACCAATCAATGCAATCGATTGTTCATCATTACTAGTTGATTGTGTCAATGAAATGAGTTGTGTTTGTGAATAGGTTGGTCGACCATCTGACAATGCAACATCAATAAATCGACCATTGAATTGAATATCATCTTTGATTACTCTGAGGTATTGCAGTGATGACAATGAATCATATGTTATTGGTTCAATTTGCTTGTCGTTACAATCGTATTCGACTGTTTGATTGTTGATGATGATGGTTCTAAATACAACTCTGAGTGTTGCCAAGTTGGATGAATATTGCCAATTTGTAACATTGACTGATAGTTTAATCGAGTTGGCATTGATGTGAAGTTGTTGATCTCCGAATTGAATATCTCTTGGTTTCGAAGAGAATGATATCGTTGATAGTACACTAACTGATTGGAATAGGATATTATTAATGTCTGTTGAAGAGTTGGTAAGTGGAATGGAAGGAAGGGTTGTATTTAATTGATAATCAACAATAGTTGTAATATTATTGGTTGATGCATTCACAATCCAAGTATAATTTGAAATAAATAATTCTTTAATAATATTACTGTCCAAATCCAATTCTTGAATGGATGCAACTTCAAATTGGAAATCAATTCCATCAATATCAAATGATACTGTTGGTGATGTTGTATTTGGTGTAATCGTTGTATTTATAACTAAATATTAAATTAAATAAAAATAAATTAATTAATATTACTTTTTAATTAAATATTTAATTGTTTTTTTTTTAGATAGCATACACTTTGTAAAACAATTATCAACTGGGTTGAAATCCTTATCACATTGACATATTCCATTTATATCACAAACACCATGACCATAACAATTTGATGTTTGTTTTTCACATTGTTGTTGTGGTGTATCTGTTGATCCTCCTGTAGATGTTGTTGTTGTACCATTATTACCTCCATTATCAGGTTGTCTAAGATATAATATATCCTTTGCATTTGTATCCAAAGAATCAAGTTGTAATTGAACTGATGATAATCCATAATTTGGTGTTTCTCCAATTCACAAATGATTAACTGTTGGGATGTTGAATTAACAGTACAATCCAAAGTATTATTAATTTTAATTGATAAGTTTGATTGTCCGTACGGTCCAAAATCACCATTTAAACTAATTATTTTGTTATTTGTTGCATTATAACTGGCAGATGAAATGATTGGATATGGTTTTGAACAATCATTATAATAAGCATTACTATTACAAATGCATTGACCAGTTGCATTACATTGACCGTTACCATAACAATAATTGGTAGACTCTTGACAAATATGTTGTGGTGATATTTGATAGGTTGTTGTGTAATTATCAACCGAAACAAATATACTAGTTGGTTGTTCCATCTGATCGACTTTACAAACAATTGTGGTTGGTGTAATTGATTGTATGGTACATGGTGAGTCTTGGTCAATACCGTTTTTAAGCGTTACCGATGGCGAGTTTAAATTTGGTCCAAAGTTGCCGGTCATGGTAACTATGCTTTGTGGGTGAATGATGATAGGGTGGACATTATTGACGATTGGATAGGCAAATGTAAAGTCTAATCCATAGGACAGCGACGAGTAGTCATTGAAAAACTTGACTTGATGGATACCTTGTGTTTGGGGATACACAGAACAATTATATGTTGTCGAGGTCCATAACAACACGTTACAGTTAGTCACACCATCCACTGTCACATTGTGTGCCAAAAGATCGTTGAAAGTTTTCAACTCGATTGTGATGGTTGTGTATGGAATCGATTGTACTGCTCTAACCGACCTGAAAATAAACCCAGAGTCAATGGCTGAGATATTGATACTGGGTGCTCCTGCAAATGTTGCTAGTGTCAATGTATAGTTGGTCAAAACTTTTGGAGTCGGAGCAAAAGTAACGATCATCTCTTTGTTGGCAATGATACGAGTCAAACCATACGTATTTCCTGATTGTAACTGACCCCATCCAATATTATTACCTAATTATGATAAATTTGAAAATTAATAATACTGTCGAAAGATCCATCTTCCTCTCTTGATGAAATGAAAATATAAATACCTGTAATTGTAAATCTTGATTGATTGGTTGCAAATATTTGTGAAGCTTGATCAACCGTAACTATATAGTAAAATAAATAATAAATAAATTAATATTCAAAATTAATTATTATCTTTGTGGATCACCATGGTGATTTACATACAATTACAAACAAAATTAGGGTTTAATGGTAGATTGGTTTCAATGTTTTGATTGGTAGAGTTGTAGTAGCACCAAAAGCAGTCTGCCAGAGCACTGACAGATGTATTTAATACTCGAAGACTATGCTTACAATACGAGTCGGTGATTGGTCCGGCAAAACCAAGATTATTACTAAGATATAATGATAACCCTCTATTGTTTGAAAAGATAGCGTCATGATCAAAATTTACAATTGAATTATTCGTTACATCAAAATTGGTTAGACCCGCGGGGACTGGAATAGATGGTACAATATCAATTTGGTTGTTTCCTATTTGTCTTTTTTTTTTTTCGAAAATGAAATATATTAGTTTATAATAATTATTTATATTAAAATAATTGGTACTTACAAAACCTGCAAGGAAGATGGATAAGATTGAAATGGAAATTTTTTTAAATTACAGTCGTTCATTGTTAAAGTTTTCAAATCTGTATAAAAAGTATTATTCATTGGAAATGGTGAAATGGTTCCTGTAACTTTTCTAGAGTAGATCACGATAGTATAAGTATCATCATGAGACAAAAAAAAAATATTATTTATATACATAACTACATACATGAGTGTTAAAAAAGATGCACTTGTCAAAACCAAGTTACATTGTGCACCAACACCTGTACATGTACTTTTTTTTTAGTAAACAAAAGGTTAGTTAGTTAGTTTGCTTTTCATCTACATCACCAAAAGAGAAGTATAAGCTATTTACATTGATTTTGTGTTATTATCCTTAAAATCATGGAATAAAGTAAAATTGGAACCTTGATCCAAAATAAATGTCCTATACAAGAGAGGGATATGTTAAAAAAGATGTTGTTGTTACAATTATTTATACATACACTGATGATAATGATGGAAATGTTTGAGAAGAAAGGGTGATACTGTAAGGGTTGTTGGTTAGATTTAATCTAAAATGAATGGCTGAGAGTAATGGAAGACCAAGTCGAGAGGAAGGGATAGAAACAGATTCAATGGGCTCGTTGATATGCAGCATTGAAAGTTTTGGCATATTTGTGAGTATAGAGAGAGGAACTGTTTTAATACCGTTGTTGATCAGTATCAAACGATCGAGGTTCGCCATATTCGTAAATTCATTGGGGATGTATGTAAACGAGGGGTCTTTTACTATTTCAACATTGACAAGGGACTTCACCGTTGAGAGATACTTTAAAATGTTGATTGATTGATTCGCTACTTGTACCGCTTGAAGAAAACCAATCGTGACTAATTCCAAAGAAGGTAGATAGAGTGTGATATCGGGGTTTGGAGTACCAACATCTAAATACGTACTAATAGATAGATATCTAAATTTGATTTAAATATAGATGGGTCTATTAATATTGAAATTCATTCATCGAATAATGCTTTCTTTCATTTGCTACTTTACATTACTCTAACATGAAACTGTCCATCAGAGGTCTGATTATCGCATCTAAATATATATGTAGTACTACAGATTGCATCGGGTTGTATTATCGGTTGACCATACTGTCTACAACAAACAAACAAACAAATATTTCAGTTAAATTAGTAATTATAATATTTTTGCACAATGAGTATGATCATCACACCACCAATACTTATTTTTCTTTTTCTTTTATAAATATTTACTTTATAAAAAATAAAACAGAGTCAACTATTGGTATTGAAACGAAGAAAAGTAAGTAGGTATTATAATATGTCTCTTCACTCTACATACTCTCTGGTTGTGTTAGGGACTGACTGTTACTTGAGTAAACAAAGATTGTTAGTAGTAGTACTTTCAATAATAATACTGACAAAACACTACACTTTATCATTCTCTAAAGACTCTCTACTAGTATCGTTGTTTAGCACTTAAAATAACAATAGTGATGATGGTGGCGAACTAACGAGTCGTTGATATGTTTTAATATTTTATTGGTTTTCCCAAAATATCTGTTAATATCTCTAATTCAATGATTGTAATCTCATTTGCATTTTTTTGTTGATTCTCATCTTGGCTTGTGTCTTTTTGATTGCGATGGTTGCTGCTGCTGTGATGGTGAGAGCACCAACTCCACCAACAACACATCCAACTATGATTCTCCATGTATTTGATTTACTGTCTCCACACCCACTATCATTACTCTTGTCAATTAATAATGGTGAGAAATCAGGATCGAGAACACATGATTGACATTGTGGTAAGTTGATACCAATCAATGCAATCGATTGTTCATCATTGCTGCTTGATTGTGTCAATGATATGAGTTGTGTTTGTGAATAGGTTGGTCGACCATCTGAAAGTGCAACATCAATAAATCGACCATTGAATTGAATATCATCTTTGATCACTCTGAGGTATTGCAATGATGACAATGAATCATATGTCAATGGATCGATCTCTTTTTCATTGCAATCGTATTCAACTGTTTGATTGTTGATGGTGATTGTTCTAAATACAACTCTGAGTGTTGCCAAGTTTGATGAATATTGCCAATTTGTAACATTGACTGATAGTTTAATCGAGTTGGCATTGATGTGAAGTTGTTGATCTCCAAATTGAATATCTCTTGATTGTGTTGAGAATGATATCGTTGATAGTACACTAACTGATTGGAATAGGATAGAGTTGATATCGGTTGTAGTGTTGTCTTTTAAAGTTGTATTTAATTGATAATCAACAATAGTTGTAATATTATTGGTTGATGCATTCACAATCCAAGTATAATTTGAAATAAATAATTCTTTGGCAATATTACTATCAAAATCCAATTCTTGAATAGATACAACTTCAAATTGGAAATCAATTCCATCAATATCAAATGATACTGTTGGTGAGGTTGTATTTGGTGTAATCGTTGTATTTATAACTAAATAAATAAAATTATTATTAATATTTCTATTTTTTTTTAATTAATTTTAAATAACATACACTTTGTAAAACAATTATCATCTGGATTATAATTATCTTGACATTGACAAATACCATTCATATCACAAGTACCATGACCATAACAATTTGATGTTTGTTTTTCACATTGTTGTTGTGGTGTATCTGTTGTTGGTCCACCTGTTGTTGATGTTGAATCAGTAGTTGTAGTGGTCGATCCAGTAGTAGTACCATTATTACCTCCATTATCAGGTTGTCTAAGATATAATATATTCTTTGCACTCGTATCTAATGAATCAAGTTGTAATTGAACTGATGATAATCCATAATTTGGTGTTTGATCCAATTCGCAAATGATTCATAGTTGTGATGTTGAATTAACCTTACAATCCAAAGTATTATTAATTTTAATTGATAAGTTTGATTGTCCAAAAGGTCCAAAATCACCATTAATACTAATTATTTTGTTGTTTGTTTCATTAAAATAGGCAGAAGATATGATTGGATATGGTTTTGAACAATTAAAATAATATGCATTACTTTTACAAACACATTGACCAGTTGTATTACACTGACCGTTACCATGACAATTGTTGGTTGATTGTTGACATAATTCTTGGGCACTGAACATTTTACCATACTGTCCTGACAAAGTTTGATCGACTGTAACATTGAAATAAAATCCATTTTGGGTTAATGGCAATGGGGCAATAATCACCAGTGAGTATTGAGAAATAGATTGAATTTGGCAGCTGACGGGTTCGACACTACCAACTCCATAGAGGATAGAAACTGATGGGGATGCAAAAGTTGGACCATAGTATCCAGGTAAAGAGATAATTGATCCGTGGTAAAATGGAATGGGACTGGCATTGGCAACAGATGGATACTGAATACTGAAATTATATGTCCGCGACACATATGGATTGGCAACATGCAGTTGATAAGGTCCTGGATCGTTTCTAGGGGTCGGACATATGACATTGATATTTCCACCGGTGGGATCAGAGGCTGTACAAATTTGTGAATTATCAAGTACCCAAGTATGATCTAGGAAGGCGTTGAATCTTGACAAGAAAAGTTTAATTTCGACGAATCCATAGGTTTTGGTTTTGATAATAGGGACCAAATTAATACCGGCTTCTAGAATGGTCAATACTGATTTTGGAGGATTATTGTTATTAACTGCATCTATGACTGAACCCCATTGAATTGTTAGATTTGTTGGTTGCAGTGGTGGAGTGGTCAAGTAGACTTGAATCATTTGATTTCCAATGAGTGGTTTCATTGAATAATTAGCAGGTTTGTAAGATCCAAACCCAATATTTATACCAGTAACTGTTAAGTACCCCTGATTAGAGATAAATAATCCATTTGGTGGAGTATTAATTGAATCTAAAAAAAGGTTAAAATTAATTATTAAATCAAAAACAAAAACAAAACATATACATACAATCACAAACAAAATTGGTTGGGGATTGTACGGAGGTTTGAATGAGTGTGGTATAGTTATAATAGCACCAAAGACAATCTGGCAAGTTGGTAATGGCGGTGTTTAGAGCTTGGAGACCAGCTTTGCAATAGGCCTGTGTAATGGTATCATCAAATGCAGGGTTATCCTTCATATTGAATATGACAAGACTCACATTGGCTGAAAACATAGTGTTTGCATCCAAATCGGTGATGGAATTGTTGTAATAATTAAGTGAAGTCATTGAAGATGGGAGTGGGAAGCTTGGAACACTTGATATCTTGTTGGAATTTAAATTCCTATTAAAGAAATGGGATTAGTATTTTAAGAGATGGGTAAGTTGGATTAAACATACAATCTTTCTAATTTAGGTGGATAAGAGGTTTCAATTGGATAGGTATCAAGTCCTGTATCTGACATTTCAAAACTGACCAATGATTGATAAATGTCACCTATGACAGGGAATGGTGAAATGGTTGAACCATTTCCTGAAATGGATCTATCATTAAATAGTAATAAATGGATTAATATTAATAAAAATAATAAATAATAATAACACCTTGACAGCAGCAAGAGTCTTATCTTTACAAACTTACATAGTGACCAATTGTTGAGGATACCCAAATAATAAATGGCATTTGCTATTGGAGAATGAATTACCAATACAAGATCTGTTAAAAAGAAAATGAATTAATGATATGAAAAGGGAGGGAGGTGAATATGAAAGAAGACATACATGGTAGATGAGGGTACATTCAAATCATGATTAATTGTAATTGATCCTGACAAAGATTGAAAATATCTAGATATGAAAATAGGTAAATAATTGATTGGATTGAATTATTAAGTTAATTATTACTTATTAATTACATACATATTTTTTAGTTTTGGAAATGATTGAGTTGTAAAATTGATGGGGCAATCAATTGAGTTTTGACAAGAGGAAATCATATTGAAATCAGTAAGATTGGGTAGATTTATGGTGTTGTCTATTGTGATCGAGTTGACTAATAGGATGAGACCAATTGATTCCAATCGGGGAGAGTTTGTGAAAAAGGAAGAGGGGACTTGGTTGATTGCCTTATTGGTTAATTTTACTGTTTTAAGGACTGGCATATTTGTAAAGTCGGCGGGGATTGAGGTAAAAGAGTGGCCATCACTGATATCCAGGGTCACAATACTTTTAATCTGCTTGACATAATCTAAAATGTTGAGGCTAGGGTTTGAAACTTGTGGCGAGCTTCCCAACAAAATAGTCATTTCAACTAGTGCTGGGAAGGTAAAAGATGTCAATGAAGCATTTGGGGTGCCAACATTTGTAAAGGTATTCAAATTTCTAAAAATACTGTAAAAGTAGAAATGAATGGATGTATGAGTATTTTGGGGACACAATGTGACCTTTACAACCAAAGTATACATACACATTTGTTACATGGTATTCTCCTCCAACAGTTCCACAAGTAAAATAAGAGGTATTACATAATGCTTGACCCTGTGATACTGTTGCTACTCCATATTGTCTAAAATAAATAATAAATATTTACAAACAAATAAATAAATAAATCAAGAGATCGATAAATTAATTGGATAATCTTACTGAATGAGGAAAATAGCTGATTCGACTATTGAGAGAGTATGAAATTAAAAACAGCAGCAACATAGATTGATATGATAGGTGTGTGGTTAGTATTCATTTTGATCACTCTCACCCCCATTCTATCATTTTAACACAACATACGTTCAAGTGGAGATAATACTTGTTGTGAAGCAACAAAATTTTCGTTCTCTATTTTTTTATCTCTATCTTTTTTTTTAAAAAGAGAAAAGTACGAAACAATGGAACAATATACAATTAAAAACCTTGTAATACTATTATTACTCTTATTTGTATCAATCTCCTCAAAAAATTTTGTTGCTTCACAACAAGTATTATAAAAGAAAGAACGATCAGGGACCTCAAACCCACCCTCTTTTCAATAAATCTGGGTTCCAATATTATATTCTCGTCGAAAAATCAAAGCTGCTCGAGAAATTCTTTAAATGTCGAAGATATTCGTCTCACAAAATTTTGTAGGGTGGTTTTGAAAGATGCATATCTTTATATGGGATAGATGTATCAAACAAACAAAACTGAACAATGTATCATATACTACAGTTGAAGGACTATATTTTTTCTAGGATAGATTTTTAAACTTGAAATAAAAGAGATATTAATGATATTTAAAAAGTACAAAAAATTTGAGATAGAGAAAAGGCGATTTCAGGGTAAGATTATTTGAGACCCAAATATATCTAAAGCATTAAAGATTGGTTATATTATTTTTTATTTACATTTATACATCAAGAAAGGTTGGTTTTAGTGAAAAATATGGTGTGGAGAAGGTTTTTACAATTTGGTGTGAGATTTTACGCGGCAGCTTATAAATGGTATGCTTTACTTGGGTAAACGATATTCTTTGACTAAAGACGTAGCAAGTGTTCTAATGAACTCCCTGTGATCCAGGTGACTCTCTACATTATGAATATACATAATATATGCATTTGTGACAGCATACATAAGAAGTCCAAGGAATTGGCTTTGGTCAGTGGACGAGTGTGGATGGTTGTGCCAAAAGTAGGTAGCCAACTGGTTGAATTGATCGAGCGCTCTCTTGGTATCATCATAGCGATTAAGTATAAGACTTCTACCTACTGACGTTACCCTGGTTTTGGACGACTTCATCTTAAAAGAATTTGTCGCTAATCTCATCACCTTGTTTCTGTGATAGCCAGCGGCGATAGTGGCACCCTTGAAAGCAAATCTTGACTTCCATTGGGGCAGCCCAACAATGATTCCTACTTTCCATACTTCCGATGGGAGTCTATCTGCTTTAATACAAAGCGTTCCATACATTCCATTTCTTTCCAAGTAACTTATTTGGTTTAGTGTGGAGAACTTGCTGTCAGCTGTTATATGATAGTCCTTTTTGGTGTCTAGTTTAACAGATTCAACTAGTTTTTGAAAACTTGTCTCTCCATTGTATTCCTTGCTTGGTATCATAGCTAACAAGTACCTTGTCTTGGTATCTGAAAGGGTGTTGTACTCTATGGCCCACTTCTCTGGTTTGTCTTTGTTAAAACTGAGTAGATCTTTATCTCTAGGCTTTGCTTTGATCCTTGATTCGTCGACTGTGAGAAAAGTACCAGGGTCTATGTGTCTTTTGAAGTTGGCTTGAAGCATATTAACAAATATGTCGATGGGGATGTAGATGTTGGGGTGAATAAGCTCCCATCTGGACTTGGGAAGAGATTCTCCCTTGAATGGGTAATTGTATGACCATGTTCCAGTAGTAAACAGTTCTGTGTTATTATCTATTCCAAGGGTTATAGATGTAAACACCAAAGCAAAGTAATTGTATACTTCAAATACGTTAAGCTTTGGTTTATCTTGACAAAATGCATCTGTACGGTTGCTGAAAAGCACAATTTCCTTGACAATGCTCTTTGTAATCATGCTCCTGAAATAATCGAGAGGTTCAGATGATGTTGGAACACGCTTCCACCTATGTCGATGTATATTCATCCTCTCTTCAAATATAGGGTCTTTTATTCCTTCCCGACCTACAGCTCTAAGTTTAGGAGCTAGATCTTCAAACCTGTTGACTAAAGTTAGTGATTTTTATAAGATGAAAATGTTACTATCATGCTTACTCTATAAATTCTTCTCCTCTTGGTACCTTAGTATGCTTGATTGGCTGTCCATCTGTACCATCTACTTGTTGTTGAATTGGTTTTCTCTTATTCGGCATTGTATAGATAAAAAGCTGAGTAATAATAAGTAAAAAAATCTATACAAAACTTTGTGTATGTGAATTTGTATTTAAATTTTAAACTAAGTTTTTTTTGGCGGGTTTGCAAGTTACTTTCAGCTTATTATCGTACAACAAGGAAATAATTTATTTTTATTTTATTTTGATAGAAATATACCAATCGATGGATCTATTTGTCTAGTGATACACAAAGAAAGTTTTAATAAAAAAAAATAAAATATGACCTATTTTTATCTCTCATAACGATCACCTATCTAAGTCTCGTTTTTAGGTATATTTCACCATTTCTCGAAAAAAGAATATTCCTACATTTGTAGAATCATAATCCTTTTGTTCCCTTCTTCCAGCACCTAATCTATTTAAAATAACATTGATGTAAAAAAACCTAGTATACTATTTTTTATGAAATAAAATACTATCACAATTTCTTTTGATTTGAACAAATATTTTACGCTCAACCAAGTTTAATCTGAGCACTATCATGTAAAGTAATCAGATTTGGTATATACTTGTTCCTTTCCTACATTTTATTAATTTAATTAAAAAATATTAAAGTAAAAATCGAAAATTGTGCGAGGTCTGGGGAGTCGAAAAATTTCAAAGTAGGGGAGTTGTTCTGAACGAACACCTTGCGTATCCCAGGATATCATCAGCTACTATGCTATACTATGATTCCATCCGTTGTTACATCTAATTCTGTTGCACCTTTCACCACACCTTGAGTTGAAGTGAGAGCATGATAAAAAAAACAAATTTGCTTCTCAGACCTAACAAGCTACCAGATTAGATAAATACACACTAAAATAAAATCATTTTCATTCTGTTGGAAATGACCATTGCTGGTGGGAGATTTTCAATGATAATAATATGACAAAACTCAGGGAGGGATATGTGGTGTGTGAAGATTTTTAATATGGAGGTAGCGAACAAACAGTAATATCAATCATAGAGAGATTAATCAAAAAGATAGAAATGAACGTCGAGTATCATTATTTAATAACTAACTCATTTATCGTTCAATAATAATAATAATAATAAAAATAATAAAGTCAAAAGTAGTAGAGTCATGGTGAATAAAGAAGGATCACTATTTTTTGCCATTGTTGTTCTGGTATTAATATTATGTTGCAACGCTCAACCACCTGGTAAGAATGATTATTTGAATCTTGATTGAAAAACCTAAGACTAATCCCTCATTCTTCTTCTTTTATTAATTATAAACTAAAATATTTCAAGTAATCTATCCATATGGACCTATTGTTTACTTTGATACTACTCCTCAAAGAAATAGTTTGAATAGTTTGTAAAAAATGATAATAATAATAACTATTTATTTAATTATTTATTTTATCTTTTTCCAGGTGATTTTCAAAATGCATATTGGACAACTAATACACATGGAGAAAAAGGGTTGGTCGATTTCTTTTTGGGACCAGATGCCACACCAGTATATCTTCCCATTGGTGCCAGTCCACTCGGGTCTGTTCAGAGTCCTGCTTCTTTTGCATCCTACTTTCAAGAAGTTCAGGACGTTTCCATACAACTGAACGACTATAGTAATTACATGGATTTTGATATACATTTCCCTCAGGAGTTTGTGTATGAAAGTAACCCAAATTTTCAAATCACTGGCCAGGGATACGACGACAAATCTCTTTATCCAACAGAGACTGAATATTTTGACAGTAATGGCCAACCACAAAACTTTCATTGGTGTGCATCCACCACAATATTTGTAGAGCTGAGATGCAAGTCAGTATCTTTTAGAAACACGTATAGTAATGGAAATCTCTGGATTTTTGCCAATAATTTTCTCGTTGCTGATAATCCTACTGAATTCGAACCTATCGTCTTTGGAGAAGGTCCCACATTATTGAACATTTTTTGGTGTAATATGGGCACCAACGTCAGAGCTTTCAATCCGAATAGAAATGTGTGAATGTTACCGACAGCAATGTTGCAGTGACGAGCAATGTGACCCTAGATTGTCTGGAGCCGACTACCAGCTGTGTGGAGTGGGAAGCTGTGATTTGAACACTTTCATGTGTTTTGGAGAACTAGATGGTGACTGTTCCAATTACAAACCAACCAATTCATGTCTCGAGGCTACATGTAACAATGTCTATCCCAACCAGTGTGAGTCACAGGAACTTTGTTCCGATGGTCTTGATTGCACATCGGATCATTGTGATGACACAACAGGCACATGTAGCTATCGAAACTCTTGTCCACCAAGTTTAGATGCTTGTTTAGTCAACAAATGTGATCCCGCCTCAAATGCTTGTATTCAAGAACCTATTACATGTAAGTTGAATTTTAAATATTAAATCAAATAGGTTGGAACCAATTAAAAATTAATGTTCCGTTTATTTTATCATTCTAGGTGATGATGGTAATCCATGTACAGTGGATTGGTGCGATAATGGTGTGCGGTCATGCTGAGCAATGCAACACGACAAGTCTTTGTGAAAGTGCGCATTGTAGAATCAACGGATTCAATGCCGAATGCTATTACAATGATCTTTGTGTCTCCATTGATGGATGCATCATTGGATCATGTGTGTCTCAAGATCAAGGTTGTCAATTTGTAGCTTTGGAATGTATGTAATTTTAATTTTAATTTAATATTAATGAATTTATATAATATTTATTTTTAATTTATTAAAGGTGATGATGGTGATCCTTCAACGATTGATGCATGTATCGATGGAGCATGTACAACAATTGATTGCTCAACAACTGATCTTTGTGAAGATGCTGTCATTGTCAATTCAACATGTAAGTTTTGCAAAACTCTCATAATACAGACAGAACAAATCATGGTTATGACCTCCCTTGTATCTTAAAAAAGTTGAATTACCTAATTAATAATCATTTATTATTATTTATTCTATAGGTATATTTGTTCCAAATTGTTTATCAGATGATAAATGTTTCCCAAAATTATGTGACCAGACTCAAGGATGTGTGACCAATGCCATTGATTGTGATGATGGGCTTGATTGTACCAGAGATTCTTGTTTGGATGGATTTTGTGTTCACGATGATATCTGCTCCACCACTGGTGTGGTTTCAACAACTGCAATCATTACAACCACTGAAGTGATATCAACCACTGGTGACCTACCATCAACCACAGCAACATCAACCACCACTGGGCAAGCATCAACAACAGAGATCATCACTACAACAGCAACCACCACTGGGCAAGCATCAACAACAGAGATCATCACTACAACAGCAGTTGTAACTACCACCGAAGTGATTACCACAACTGGAGAAACATCATCACAGGTATCAACATTGTCATCAACTCTATCGGATCTATCAACAACTACTGGATTAGATCCGACAACTTCTTCCTCTTCATCATCGTCGTCATCGGGGTGGACAACTCTGGGTGGAACTAGCTTTACGACTCATCACCATCAAGAATGTCACATAGGACCAGATGGAGCTTGTTTTGGATGTCATAAAGGACAGAGTTGTGTTATGGTGAGTGGAGTGGGAAGATGTCTCAATGATCAAGATAATTGCCCACCTATTAAATGTAGTAAGTGTAGAAATGATCTATAAAGGATCATAAACCCCTTTAAGTTAAAATTAAAAATTAATTCCAACAATAAACTCAAAACAATGCACTTTTAATATGACATGCCTGCATGATTCTCCAATCAGACTCAGTCGGAATACCTCTTTTTCATTGCAATCTGTTTTATTTGATGATGATTGTTCTAAATACAACTCTGAGTCTTGCTAGGTTGGATGAATATTGCCAATTGACCATATGGTCATCGTGTTTTTATAAACACCCTAAAAAGTCACAGTGCTGGGTTGGTGCCATCGAAAAGTCGACTTCCCTATGAAATGTTTTTGAGCTTTGCTTCCATTTTGGCATTGTATGTATTTCTCTTTTTGATTTGTTTGTATGTTAGGACCGATCCAACTGTAATGGCAACAGCACCAACTCCACCAACAACACATCCAACTATAATTCTCCATGTATTTGATTTCTCACATCCACTGTCATTACTCTTGTCGATTAATAATGGTGAGAAATCAGGATCGAGAATACATGATTGACATTGTGGTAAGTTGATACCAATCAATGCAATCGATTCATCTTCATTACTGGTTGATTGTGTCAATGAAATGAGTTGTGTTTGTGAATAGGTTGGTCGACCATCAGACAATGCAACATCAATAAATCTACCATTGAATTGAATATCATCTTTGATCACTCTGAGGTATTGCAATGATGACAATGAATCATATGTCAATGGATCAATCTCTTTTTCATTGCAATCATATTCGACTGTTTGATTGTTGATGGTGATTGTTCTAAATACAACTCTGAGTGTTGCTAAATTCGATGAATATTGCCAATTTGTAACATTGACTGATAGTTTAATCGAGTTGGCATTGATGTGAAGTTGTTGATCTCCAAATTGAATATCTCTTGATTGTGTTGAGAATGATATCGTTGATAGTACACTAACTGATTGGAATAATATTGAGTTGATGTCTGATGAAGAGGAGGATGATGAAAGGGTTGTATTTAATTGATAATCAACAATAGTTGTAATATTATTTGTTGATGCATTCACAATCCAAGTATAATTTGAAATAAATAATTCTTTAATAATATTACTGTCCAAATCCAATTCTTGAATGGATACAACTTCAAATTGGAAATCAATTCCATCAATATCAAATGATACTGTTGGTGATGTTGTATTTGGTGTAATCGTTGTATTTATAACTAAATATTAAATTAAATAAAAATAAATTAATTAATATTACTTTTTAATTAAATATTTAATTGTTTTTTTTTAGCATACACTTTGTAAAACAATTATCAACTGGGTTGAAATCCTTATCACATTGACATATTCCATTTACATCACAAACACCATGACCATAACAATTTGATGTTTGTTTTTCACATTGTTGTTGTGGTGTATCTGTTGATCCTCCTGTAGATGTTGTTGTTGTACCATTATTACCTCCATTATCAGGTTGTCTAAGATATAATATATCCTTTGCATTTGTATCCAAAGAATCAAGTTGTAATTGAACTGATGATAATCCATAATTTGGTGGTTTCTCCAATTCACAAATGATTAACTGTTGTGATGTTGAATTAACAGTACAATCCAAAGTATTATTAATTTTAATTGATAAGTTTGATTGTCCGTACGGTCCAAAATCACCATTTAAACTAATTATTTTGTTATTTGTTGCATTATAACTGGCAGATGAAATGATTGGATATGGTTTTGAACAATTATTATAATAAGCATTACTATTACAATCACATTGACCCGTAGTATTACATTGACCGTTACCATGGCAATAAATTGGTCGACTCTTGACAAATTTGTTGTGGTGATATTTGATAGGTGGTTGTGTAATTATCTACTGAAACAAATATATTGGTTGGTTTTTCCATCTGATCGACTTTACAAACAATTGTGGTTGGTGTAATTGATTGTATGGTACATGGTGAGTCTTGGTCAATACCGTTTTTAAGCGTTACCGATGGCGAGTTTAAATTTGGTCCAAAGTTGCCGGTCATGGTAACTATGCTTTGTGGGTGAATGATGATAGGGTGGACATTATTGACGATGGGATATGCAAATGTAAAGTCTAATCCATAGGACAGCGACGAGTAGTCATTGAAAAACTTGACTTGATGGATACCTTGTGTTTGGGGATACACAGAACAATTATATGTTGTCGAGGTCCATAACAACACGTTACAGTTAGTCACACCATCCACTGTCACATTGTGTGCCAAAAGATCGTTGAAAGTTTTCAACTCGATTGTGATGGTTGTGTATGGAATCGATTGTACTGCTCTGACCGACTTGAAAGTAAACCCAGAGTCGATGGCTGAGATATTGATACTGGGTGCTCCAGCAAACGGTGCTAGTGCCAATGCATAGTTGGTCAAAACTCTTGGAGTCGGACTAAAAGTAACCGTCAACTGTTTGTTGGCAATGATACGAGTCAAAATATACTTGGTTCCTGATTGTGTATGACCCCATCCAATATTATTACCTAATGAAACAAATTTCAAAATTAATTAATAAATCTTTTTAAGATATATTTAGACTCTGTTGATGAAAATATAAATACCTGTAATTGTAAATCTTGATTGATTGGTTGCAAATATTTGTGATGCCTGATCAACCACAACTAAAGTAAAATAAAATAAATGATAAATAAAATTAATATTTAAAAAATGATTATTATTATTATCTTGATTTAGTTTGTGCTTATGTATTACATACAGTTACAAACAAAACTAGGGTTTAATGATAGATTAGTTACAATGACTTGATTGGTAGAGTTGTAGTAACACCAAAAACAGTCTGGCAAAGCACTGACAGATGTATTTAATACTCGAAGACTATGCTTACAATACGAGTCGGTGATAGGTCCGGCAAAACCAAGATTATTACTTAGATATAATAACAACCCTCTATTGTTTGAAAAGATAGTGTCATGATCAAAATTTACAATTGAATTATTCGATACATCAAATGTTGTTAGACCAGCGGGAACTGGAATAGATGGTACATTATCAATTAGATTGTTTCCTAATTGTCTTTTTTAAATGAATAATATTAGTATAATCAGGTATTATTGTTATAATATGTATGTTGGTACTTACAAAACCTGCAAAGAAGTTGGATAAGATTGAAATGGATAAGTTTTTAAATTACAGTCGTTCATTGTTAAAGATACCAAATCTTTATAAAAAGTTACAGGAACCGTTTCACCATTTCCAATGAATTATTATTATTCATTGGAAATGGTGAAACGGTTCCTGTAACTTTTCTAAAGTATAGCGATAGTAAAGTAAAGTATGAGACAAATGTTAATAAAAAGTATTATTATTTATGTAAAATTTAATATACATACAAGGATGTTATAAAAGATGCACTAGTCAAAACCAAGTTACATTGTGCACCAACACCTGTACATATACTTTTTTTTAGTAAACAAAAGGTTAGTTAGTTAGTTTGCTTTTCATCTACATCACCAAAAGAGAAGCATAAGCTATTTACATTGATTTTGTGTTATTATCCTTAAAATCATGGAATAAAGTAAAATTGGAACCTTGATTCAAAAAAAAAGTTCTACAGTGCAAAAGAAGAGGTAAAAGATAATAAGTTTCAAAGATGGATTGTTGTTGTTGTTATTGTTATTGTTACCATTTTTATATACATACATTGATGATAGTGATGGAAATGTTTGAGAGGAAAGGTTGATGCTGTAAGGGATAGTTAGATTAAATCTAAAATGAATGGCCCAGAGTAATGGGAGACCAAGTTGAGGAGAAGAAGGGATAGAAACAGATTCAATGGGCTCGTTGATATGTAGTATTGAAAGCTTTGGCATATTGGTGAGTAGAGAGACAGGAACTGTTTTAATACCGTTGTTGACAAGTACCAAATTATCTAGGTTAGCCATATTCGTAAATTCATTGGGGATGTATGTCAACGACGGGTCTTTTTGTATATTGACAGTGACAAGAGACTGCACCGTTGAAAGATACTTTAAAATGTTGATTGATTGATTTGCTACTTGTCCCGATTGAAAGATAATCGAGATTTCTTCCAAAGCAGGTAGATACAATACAATATCGGGGTTTGGACTACCAACATCTAAATATGAATTAATAATGAGATTTCTAAAATAATAAAGACAATTGTCTATTAGTATATATACAAACAACCCTTGTGAATGCTTTCTTTCTTTCATCGGTTTGTTGTTGACATTACATTGATCTAACGTGAAACTGTCCGTCGAGAGTCTCATTATTGCAGGTAAATATAGATGTAGCATTACAGAATCCATCGTATTGTATTATTGGTTGGCAATACTGTCTACAACAAATAATCAAATGTTAGTAACTTAAATTATCTCTTCACTTTTTTACAATGAATGCAAAGTTGTAAAGTCACACCACTAATAGTGAATAGTGAATAAAAATATTATTATATTTACTTTATCAAAAATGCCACAGAATCAACTATAGTTGGTTGAAATAAAAGAGTAAGTAAGTATTATATTAATACCTAGACAAGATCATATTGTCACACGACATACTCTCTGGTTGTGTTAGGGATTGACTGTTACTCGAGTGAACAAAGATGGTTAGCAACGTTGTCAATATAAAAACCACTACTACACTTTATCATTCTCTTTAAAAGGATGCTAGTCGGCCAGTTGTTGGAGTACTTAAAATAACGAGTTAACAACAACAATTGATCATATGGTGATGACGATCATTGTTTCAAAATCTAGATAATTTTATTTTTGTCGGGAGGCGAGGTCCTTCCCTGAGTGGTCATGAAATTTCGGTAAGGATCTTATGAAATGTTTTTGAGCTTGGCTGCCATCTGGTTATTGTAGGTATTTCTCTTTTTGATTTGTTTGTATGTTAGCACTGATCCAACTGTAATGGCAACTGCACCAACTCCACCAACAACACATCCAACTATAATTCTCCATGTATTTGATTTGTTGCATCCACTATCATTACTCTTGTCAATTAATAATGGTGAGAAATCAGGATCGAGAACACATGATTGACATTGTGGTAAGTTGATACCAATCAATGCAATCGATTCGTCTTCATTACTAGTTGATTGTGCCAATGATATGAGTTGTGTTTGTGAATAGGTTGGTCGACCATCTGACAATGCAACATCAATAAATCTACCATTGAATTGAATATCATCTTTGATCACTCTGAGGTATTGCAATGATGACATTGAATCATATGATAATGCATCAATATCTTTTTCATTGCAATCGTATTCAACTGTTTGATTGTTGATGATGATTGTTCTAAATACAACTCTGAGTGTTGCTAAATTCGATGAGTATTGCCAATTCCCGACATTGACAGCCAACTTTATAGAATTTGGGTTGATGTGAAGTAGTTGATCTCCAAATTGAATATCTCTTGATTGTGTTGAGAATGATATTGTTGACAGTACACTGACTGATTGGAAAAGTATTGAGTTGATGTCTGATGAAGAGGATGCTGAAAGGGTTGTATTTAATTGATAATCAACAATAGTTGTAATATTATTGGTTGATGCATTCACAATCCAAGTATAATTTGAAATAAATAATTCTTTAATAATATTACTATCAAAATCCAATTCTTGAATCGATACCACTTCAAATTGGAAATCAATTCCATCAATATCAAATGATACCGTTGGTGATGTTGTATTTGGTGTTATAGTCGTATTTATAACTAAATAATTAAAATAATAAATAATTAATATTTAAATAAATTAATTTTAATAATATTGAATAGCATACACTTTGTAAAACAATTATCAGCTAGATTATAGTCTTTGTCACATTGACATATTCCGTGTATATCACAAATGCCATGACCGTAACAATTTGATGTTTGTTTTTCACATTGTTGTTGAGGTGTATCTGTTGTTGTACCTCCAGAGGTCGAAGTGGTTGTTGAACCATTATTACCTCCATTATCAGGTTGTCTAAGATATAATATATCCTTTGCATTTGTATCCAAAGAATCAAGTTGTAATTGAACTGATGATAATCCATAATTTGGTGTTTGTTCCAATGTACAAGTGATTAATGTTTGTGATTTATCAACAACCGTACAATCCAAAGTATTATTAATCTTGATTGATAAGTTTGATTGTCCAAAAGGTCCAAAATCACCATTTAAACTAACTATCTTGTTATTTGTTGCATTATAACTACCAGATGATAGAATGGGATATGCTAAAAATAAATAAATAAATTAATTTAATATTAATAAATTTGATTTGAATATTATTTAATTTAATTACATACGATTTGAACAATTATTATAAAAAGCATTACTATTACAAATACATTGACCTGTTACAACATCACATTGACCGTTACCATGACAATTGATAGTTGATTGTTGACAAGATTGTTGAAGTGAAAGTTGATAGACTGTATTGTATGAATCAACAGTCACTGAAACATTGATTTGTTTAGCACTCACCGTTTCAAGGACACGACAAACGATTAAATTTGTTGAAATGGATTTAACTGTACACTCTGAAATGAGTGTCGTTCCATTCATAAAATCTACCAGTGGTCTATTGAATAACGATCCAAAGTTACCAGTAATAGAAATATCCGATCCTTTTAAGAAAGGAATTGGTTGGATCGATTGTACAATTGGATAGCTTTGAATAAATTCAAAGTTTTGTGTGTTGGACTGATAGTCGTTCTGGATGATCAATTGATGGGGTCCCGATGACAATGACGCAACTGAACAATTGGTTTGTGGGTAATGGTAGGCTGACAAGTTAAAAGAGCACAAGAGTGACCCGTCTATGGTAATGATGTTGCTAATTTGGCTGTTGATACCAAAATCAAAGAAAGAGATTGTCGTCTGGGGATAGGTCTGATAGACCTGGAGCGACTGATACCATATACCAGTTTCCAAGAATGTAAATTCGGTTTGGGGTGCACCGGCAAACGTCGACCATTTAACAGTGGCTGGAGTGGGAACAAATGGTCGAGCTGCTAAAGTAACCGCAATGATCTTGTTTGGTTTGATAGCCGCAAAACGGTATGCACCAGTAAATATGAGAGTGCCCCATCCAAGATTATTACCTAAATTGATAATTAATTAATAACTCACTGTCTATCGATATGATCCATGGTCACCATGAAAATTAAATATTTTACATACCTGTAATTGTAACAATAGAAGCTTTGGTTTGAGTTATAGCCGAGGGGTTGTCAATTGTCACTATTAATGCACCATTATTATAAAAAAAAGAAGAATGATTAATATATATATACTTAAAAGAGAGAGAGAATATACATACCATCACAAACAAAAGGGTATGGGAAAGGAATGGAAGTGTATATTCTTTTGAGAGGTCCTGTTTCATTAAAGTAACACCAAAAACAATCGGGTATATCAGGAACAGGTGTGTTGAGGATAGAAAGACCATGGCTGCAATAAGCATCAGTTATCGGGCCTGCAAAGGATGGGTTTTCATCAAACTGCAATACTTTGAGAGCCTGGTTCATAGTGAACAGATTGTCAATATCAAAAGAGGACAATAAATTCTTTTTGAGTCGAAGTTCTTCTAAACCTTTGGGCATTGGAACATTTGGAATGGTAGATATTTGATTGTTTGTGAGATCACTAAGAAAACAAAAAGTTTTGATAATTAATGAATAAATTAATGAATTAATAAATATTCCAAATATTGTCTTTTTAAAAAAGGGTGTTGTGGTTGTGGTTAACATACATAAAAGTCATGTTGAGAGGATACGATGCGAATGGAAATTGTGTCAAGTTACTATCGGTATAACTCAAAGATTTGAGACTTGGATAGAATTCTTTAGTAATGATTGGAGTTATTGTTCCTGTCAATATTCTTTCAAAAATAAATATTAATATTAATATTAATCATCCAAAATAAAATCTTTTTATATAATCTTGTCTTTCTTACAATGTTGTTATTCTATTTGGAGATGAAAACCGTAAATCACAATTATTTGACCTGTAACCGAAACAATGTCTAATTAATTAAATTAAAAAAGAATGGATTAATATTATTGAAAAGTATAAATAATAAATTCACGGATGTTAATCACATCGATTTTTTTTTTTACACAACACATACACTGTTAAATCTTGATCGAGATTCCAAATATTAATATGAACTACAGGAGTAGAATAGCCAATTAAAACAAGTTCACTAAATATAATCAAATTATTATATTAGTGAGTGCAATAATTAATATTATTAATTACATACATGTCTGTGAGAGCTGGGAATGATTTGGAAGTAAGGTTGAAAAGATATGGCAATCCTACTGAAGTATCACTATGCACAAGTAGCTTGTTCAACGATGGGAAATACAATGAATCGTCATAGGTGAATGACTCGAGCTTTTCTTTGATGGCATAGCTTTGAAGTTGCACCGAGTTGTTTAAAAAGTTGTGCGGAATGGCTGTGATGCCATTGTTTTCCAAATAAAAGTCGGCGAGGTTTGGCCAGTCGGAAAAGTCTGGTGGTATGACCACATAAACGTCTCCAATAATATAAATCGATGTCAGCGTTTTCAACGGCTTGATATAGTCCATTATATTCATAGACACATTTGTATTTGCAAAGTTTAGATGTTTGAAGATTTTGATTTGTAACAACGCTGGTAAATACAATCCTGTCAAATCTGGATTAGGTATACCAACTGATCCACTTGTACTCATCTCTAAAGATCTTTAGAAAATCAAATAAATATAAACTCAGTGTCAGTTATTATTATTATTGTTACAAACCAAAAAGAAAGAAAGTATATCTATCTCTCTCTCTCTCTCTCTCTCTCTCTCTCTCTCTCTTTTGATACAAACATTTGTCTAACATGGTATTGTCCATCAGTAGACTGATTGTCACATCTAACATATGATGATGATACAGCGTAACCACATACCGATTGATCTTGTGGTAACGGTTGTCCATAGAATCTATAGTTCAATCAATCAAGAAAGCGTGTGAGTATTTAATTGTTATTAATGTACAAATACTAATAATAATAATAACTTACTGAATGATGAAGTTCACAGAGTCCACTAGAAGATAAGATGATGAGAGTATGAAAATAGGAGGGTGTTAGTGGTTATTGTATTTTTTTTTATTTTTTACACACAACATACATTCGAGTTGAGATAATTGGGCGAGTGACAATCCTCCGAAAACCGATAGGATCAAAAATAGTGATACAATGAATTTAATGGTACTATTCATTTTATATTTTAAAACGAATAAAAGCAATTGTACAATTGTTGTGCAAACGAATCTCCTAGGTTATGACGATGACCGACGACTCACCTTTTGCAGTGATGAGGATAGGATCAACAACAAACTACAAAAAAAAATATATAAAAAAAAGAGATCAGCGATTGTCGTCGGTTTTGAAATTGAACCAGTGTTTCGGCAATTACCAATCGTCAGTGTGCATGGGTTCCAAGCGGGATTTTCGATGCCATAGAACATAAAAAAAATTAATTTTAAATCTTTTATTTACAAAATATCTAGAGATGGGTCGACTCGTCTTTGTGTTACGCTCTCGAGTTGAGTTTGTTTGCAAGGTTTTGTTCATATGCTTTTTTCTTTTGTAATTTTTTATAAGTAATGATTGATCCTACTGCAATGGCAACAGCACCAACTCCACCAACGACAACTCCAACAACGATTCTCCATGTATTTGATTTCTCACATCCACTATCATTACTCTTGTCAATTAATAATGGTGAGAAATCAGGATCGAGAACACATGATTGACATTGTGGTAAGTTGATACCAATCAATGCAATCGATTCATCTTCATTGCTGGTTGATTGTGTCAATGATATGAGTTGTGTTTGTGAATAGGTTGGTCGACCATCAGACAATGCAACATCAATAAATCTACCATTGAATTGAATATCATCTTTGATCACTCTGAGGTATTGCAATGATGACAATGAATCATATGTTAATGCATCAATTTGCTTGTCGTTACAATCGTATTGGACTGTTTGATTGTTGATGATGATGGTTCTAAATACAACTCTGAGTGTTGCTAAATTCGATGAGTATTGCCAATTTGTTACGTTGACAGCCAACTTTATGGAGTTTGGATTAATGTGAAGTTGTTGATCTCCAAATTGAATATCTCTTGATTGTGTTGAGAATGATATCGTGATAGTACACTAACTGAATGGGAATAATATAGAGTTTATGTCTGTTGATGGTGAAGAGGTTGTATTTAATTGATAATCAACGACGGTTGTAATATTATTGGTTGATGCATTCACAATCCAAGTATAATTTGAAATAAATAATTCTTTAACAATATTACTATCAAAATCCAATTCTTGAATTGATACAACTTCAAATTGGAAATCAATTCCATCAATATCAAATGATACTGTTGGTGAGGTTGTATTTGGTGTAATCGTTGTATTTATAACTAAATAAAAGTAAAAATAAAATAAAATTAACATTAATAAATAATTATTATTTAATTTTTTTAAATAACATACACTTTGTAAAACAATTATCAGCTTGATTATAGTCTTTGTCACATTGACATATTCCATTTACACCACAAATACCATGACCATAACAATTTGATGTTTGTTTTTCACATTGTTGTTGTGGTGTATCTGTTGTTGGTCCTCCAGTAGATGTTGTTGATCCACTTGTCGTACCATTATTACCTCCATTATCAGGTTGTCTAAGATATAATATATCCTTTGCATTTGTATCCAAAGAATCAAGTTGTAATTGAACCGATGATAATCCATAATTTGGTGCTTGATCTAATTCACAAATGATTAATTGTTGTGATACCGAAAAGACAATACAATCCAAAGTATTATTAATCTTGATTGATGGGTTTGATTGCCCATAAGGTCCAAAATCACCATTAATACTAATTATTTTGTTGTTTGTTGTATTAAAACTACCAGATGAAATGGTTGGATATGGTTTTGCACAATTATTATAATAACCATTACTGTTACAATCACATTGACCATCTTGATTACACAGACCGTTACCATGACAATTGATAGTTGATTGTTGACATAACTCTTGGTATGATAATGGGTAAGTTGAATTATATCCATTCAATCCGACTCTTATTTGGTATGCTTCAACTTGTCTTTCCAAACGACAAATAATGGTTGACGAAGAAATTGATTTAACAGCGCACTGTGAAACTTCAATATCTTTGTTTATAAAAACAACTATTGACGAACTGATTGTTTGTTGTTGTCCAAAGTCACCTTTAATGGTAATATCTGATCCTGACAAGAAGGGTACAGGAGACACTGAAACGATGGTTGGATAATAATATATAAACCCTAGTACATTTGAATTGTACGGATTTGAAATATTGAGTTGATGTGAACCAAGAGAGAGACTGGTGTTGGTTGGACAACTAGTTTGAGAGAGATTATAGTTTGTGAAAGTGCATACGGTGCCGTCTACCATGATAGTGTTGTTGAGGTTTTGGTTGATGATAAACACATCCAACGAGACTGTTGGAGTTGGATAAGTTGGCAACACATCCAAAGCACTAAATGAAATACCAACCTCTAGTGCCGATATGGTAGACTCTGGGGCACCATTAAAAGGAGCCCATTTAATGGTGGTTGGAGTGATTACAAGTGGCGGGTCATAAATTTTCACAGCAATCACTCGATTGGGTTTAATCACATCAAGACTATAACTTGATACAGATCCTCCCCACCCCAAGTTATTACCTGTAATTGTAACTATAGAGCCTTTAGTTAAAAATAGATTTGATGCATTATCAATTGAAACTAAATTAAAAAAAAAAAGATTAGATAAATATTTCTTTTGTTTTTTGCTTTTTGTTTTGTTTTGTTTCATTCTTACCATTACAAACAAATCCTGATGGATATGGGAGATTAGTAAAGATGGGAGGAGGGGTAGAATTGTAATAACACCAAAAACAATCTGGCAATGGTGCAACAACAGCCGTGTTTTTTATACTAATCTTTTGACTGCAATAGGATTGTGTTATGGGGCCAACAAAATTAGGATTATTATCAAAACTAAGTAAATTGATTTTTTGGTTCGAGGAAAGGATGACATCAATATCGAAACCAGTCAAGAGATTGCGGTCAAATATAAGGGTATTCATAGTTTTGGGCATTGGTATACTCGGAATAGAGCTAATATTATTGTTTTGAATATCTCTGTGAAAAGTAAAAAGTAAGTATAATATATCGATATTTGGTCAAATCAAAATTAAAATTTGATATCTATTATACCATACATTGAACTCATATTGGGTGGATACGAAGTAATGGGAAACTGCGTTAATTGGGATCCTCTCATTTGGAATATTAATAGATTTGGATACAATTCTGTTGTAATTGGGAATGGAGACATCGTTCCTACAATTGTTCTATTGGAAAAAAAAAAAAAAAAATTAAAGAATGTTAGAGTCCTAAGAAAAAGAAAAAGAAAAAGAAAAAGAGAAAGAGAAAGAGAGAGGGAGAGAGAGAGTGATCTTACAAGTACACTATATTGCTAGTGGCTCCACTAGCAATCCTCAAATCACAAGTACCACCATAACTGGAACAAGATCTAAACCAAAACAAAATTAATTAATAAATAAATAAATAAATAAATATTAATATTAATATATTAAATATATTAATGATATTAACATACACTCTACTGGTTGAAGTATTGGTAACACCATAATAAACGATAAGATTCGAAGGTGGAATAACATTAATATCACTATGATCATTTTAAATACAAAGAGAGAAAAGAGAGAGTTAGCAAAAGTTTACTATTATTATTATTATTATTATTATTATTATTATTATTATTATTATTATTATTATTATTATTATTATTATTAAATCTATCATGATACAAACAGATTGATTAGAGTTGGAAATGCTTTGGATGTCAAGTTGATCGAGTAGGGAGTTCCAATCACAGTGTTTGTATAGAGTTCCAATTTTAAGAGTTTTGGGAAATACACTGAATCGTCAAATGTAAATGATTCCAATTTCTCTTGGATTGTCAGTACCTGAAGCTTTGGTGAATTGTTGAGAAATGTAGGTGGAACGGTCGATATGTTGTTGTCAAGCACTGTAAAGCTCCCAAGGTTGGGCATCGAGGTAAAGTCTGAGGGAAGGTATTTGAGATAGAAATCACCTCGAATTGAAATCGTCTTTAGTGATTTCAACGAATAGACATACTCTAATATATTGATCGATGTATTTGCATTGCTAGAGTTACTGTATTTATAGATTTGAAGTGTCTCTATTTCTGGCATATACAAACTAGATAGATTGGGATCTGGTATACCCAAGTTGGTATATTCTACAATTCCCAATTTACTACAATAGTACAATACATACAACAATATATAATAATATCAAAGAAAGAGAGAGAGAGAGAGAGAGAGAGATTATAATGAGTATGTAATAAGTATAGTATACGACTACCAACTTACAATTCTAATATATGATACTGTCCATCTGATGTATTGTTGGTACATGTTATGCTTGTTTTAGTTATAGTGTCTGTGAATCCACATATCGACTGATCTTGAGGTACTCCTTGTCGTCCGTATAATCTTTATAACATGCAAATTAAATACAATGAATTGAAAAAAAGGGTGTTAGTATGGTTCAAACTTTTTTTATCATTATTAATCATATCCCTAAGGTCATACTGAACAAGAAATATTGCAGAGTCAACTAGTATATATATATAGTTATTTATTTATTTGTTATACATAATATTTGAAATCAAATTAAAGTTAGTTTATAATTATTATAATTAGATATTTGTTTTAGTGTAAACACAACATACGTTCTAGAGGTGATAGGGTTTGTGTTTGTGCCTGTTGTACCCTTAAGATCGATAGTAGGCATACCAATAAAGAAATGATAATTTTAATCATTCTATTCTTTCTTTCTTCTACCTCTATTCACTGTACAGTGTGTATGTGTATCTATCTATCTATCTATCTATCTATCTATCTATCTATCTATCTATCTATCTATCTGTATCGTTTATTTATAATCATATGAGACCGAGACCATTCTCAGGAGGTGTCAACGACTATCAACAACAATCTCATCTCTCACTTCATTCGTTCCAACATTTAAACAAAGTTGATTTTTATTCCGACCATTCCTAAACGTCCTCTCCCTCTTTGTACAAATATCGTCATGGATAGGCTTCCAACAAGGTCTAAAACCAAGGTCGTTGAAATTTTATTTCCTTTTTATTTATTTATTTTTGGGTTTGGAGGATGGTTCGATCATCTAAAAAATCTCAAGACCGCGAGGCATTCTTTAGTTTGTTAGAGATGCTCTTGTCAAAGTTTTGGGCTTTCTTCATTTTACGATATGTGATGATAGATGCTGTTGCGATGGCCACGGCACCAGCTCCACCAACAACACATCCAACAATGATTCTCCAGTTATTTGATTGACCGTCTCCACATCCACTATCATTACTCTTGTCAATTAATAATGGTGAGAAATCAGGATCGAGAACACATGATTGACATTGTGGTAGATTGATACCAAGTAGAGCAATCGATTCATCTTCATTACTAGTTGACTGTGTCAATGAAATGAGTTGTGTTTGTGAATAGGTTGGTCGACCATCTGACAATGCAACATCAATAAATCGACCATTGAATTGAATATCATCTTTGATTACTCTGAGGTATTGCAATGATGACAATGAATCATATGTCAATGGATCAATCTCTTTTTCATTGCAATCATATTCGACTGTTTGATTGTTGATGATGATGGTTCTAAATACAACTCTGAGTGTTGCCAAGTTGGATGAGTATTGCCAATTTGTAACATTGACTGATAGTTTAATCGAGTTGGCATTGATGTGAAGTTGTTGATCTCCAAATTGAATATCTCTTGATTGCGTTGAGAATGATATCGTTGATAGTACACTAACTGATTGGAATAAAATATTATTCACAATGTCTGATGAAGAGGATGATGAAAGGGTTGTATTTAATTGATAATCAACGACGGTTGTAATATTATTGGTTGATGCATTCACAATCCAAGTATAATTTGAAATAAATAATTCTTTAACAATATTACTATCAAAATCCAATTCTTGAATGGAAACAACTTCAAATTGGAAATCAATTCCATCAATATCAAATGATACTGTTGGTGAGGTTGTATTTGGTATAATAGTTGAATTGATAACTAAATAAAAATATATAAATAATTAATTAATAAATAAATAATAAAGTAATAAATATTTGTTTTAATAAATAAAATTATTATTAATATTTCTATTTTTTTTAATTAATTTTAAATAACATACACTTTGTAAAACAATTATCAACTGGGTTGTAATCCTTGTCACATTGACATATTCCATTTACACCACAAATACCATGACCATAACAATTTGATGTTTGTTTTTCACATTGTTGTTGTGGTGTACCTGTTGATGATCCAGAGGTTGTTGAAGTGGTTGTTGATGAATCAGTAGTCGTTGATCCACTTGTTGAACCATTATTACCTCCATTATCAGGTTGTCTAAGATATAATATATCCTTTGCATTTGTATCCAAAGAATCAAGGTGTAATTGAACTGATGATAATCCATAATTTGGTGTTTGTTCCAATGTACAAGTGATTGATTGTTGAGATTTTGAATCAACAATACAATCAGAAACATTATTAATTTTAATAATAACATTTAATTGTCCAAAAGGTCCAAAATCACCAAACAAGTTGACAATTTTGTTATTTGTTTGATCATAACTACCAGATGAAATGATTGGATATGGTTTTGAACAGTCATTATAAAAGGCATTACTGTTACAAACGCATAGACCAGTTGTATTACATTGACCGTTACCATGACAATTGATAGTTGATTGTTGACATAATTCTTGATCTGATAATGGATAAGTTGAATTATATTCATTCACACCAACTCTTATTTGTAATACCAAATCTACCAATTTTTGTTCTAAATGACAGACAATGGTTGAAGAGGAAATTGATTTAACAGTACACTGTGAAAGTTCAATATCTCCGTTCATAAAAACAACTATTGACGAGCTTGTTTGTTGTTGTTGTCCAAAGTCACCTTTAATTGTAATATCCGATCCTTGTACAAATGGTACTGGAGCGGCTGAATTGATGGTTGGATAATTATAAACAAAGTCAATGGTTCTAGAGAGGTATGGATTTGAAATATTGAGTTGATGTGGACCAAGAGAGAGACTGGGTACAGTGCAATTGGTTTGGATACTTGGGGTGATGAAACTACATGCATATGATCCATCCACTGTCATACTGTTATTGAGTTGGGGGTTGAAGGTTAAAAAGTTGAGTGAAATGGTTGGCTCTGGATAGGTTGGCATAGAATCAAGTCCATAAAGCGCTATACCAGCTTCGATAACCGATACAGTGGATTGGGGTGCGTTTGTAAAAGTAGCCCATTTAATGGTGAATGGAGTGAGAGAATTTGGTGTAGTCGAAAAGGACACCGCAATGATCTTATTGGGTTTGATAACACTAAAACTGTATCCAGGTGAAGATCCTCCCCATCCTAAATTATTACCTGTAATTGTAACTATTGATTGATTGGTTACATAAAAACCTAGTGTAGGATTGTCTAGTGTAACTATTATTTAAAAGTCAAAAATATTTTTGTGGTTAGAATTGTTTTTTCTTTTTTTTTTTTTTTTTTGTTTCTTATCTTACCATCACAAACAAAACCATTTGGAATGGTTAAAGAGGTGACCAAAACGGCTGGGACAGTACTGAAATAACACCAAAAACAATCTGGTACAGATTCAACCGAGGTGTTTCTAATGTCAAATGATCTGTGACTACAATAAGATTGGGAAAGGTTTCCACCGAACCCCATATTGTTTTCTAAAGAAAAAAAATTAAGGGTTTGGTTTGACGACAATATAGTATCAATGTCAAAAGATGTGATAAGATTGGTCTTGAAGTTTAGATGGGTCATTCCTCTGGGCATTGGTATACTCGGAATGGAGGTAATTTGATTTAAAGAAACATCACTTGATATGTTTAAAAAATATTTAATATATTAGTATTTTTATACAAAATGTAATAAATGATACATACATTAGTGACAACCTGGCTGGGTATGAAATAAATGGGAACTGTGTCAACTGACTAGAAGTGACTCTAAATGATGTGAGGTTTGGATATTCAGTTGCAGTAATCGGGTCAAGTGATACAATACCTGAAACGGTTCTATTTAAAAAAAAATTAAATTAAAATTTAATTATTTAGCACTACTCTATCCTATATTATTTAGATTTAATAAACTTACAATGAACTTATATTGATTCCAGATGATATTTTCAAATCACATTGTTTTTGGAAAATAGTGCAAGTACTTGAAGCAAAAAAAAAAAAGTAAAATAATGTTAATCATTTGCTACATGTATTATTATTATTAATATTAATATTATATTCACATACATTGAAGTACTAGGAGCGGATGAATGATAATAAACAGTAACATTTGAATCACCATTGATAGTGATTGAATTGAGTTTGGGGAATGCCTCAGAAGAGATGTTGAGCAAATAGGGAGTATCCCAAGAGGTACTGACATATAGACCCATGGTGACAAGCGATGGGAAATACATTGTTGAACGATCAATTGTGAATGACTTTAGATATTCTTCGAGGGTCAAGGTTTGAAGCTTGGGTGAGTTGAACAACATATTTGGTGGAAGGACCGAGATTCCATTCAACCTCAAAGAAAAAGAGACGAGGTTGGGCATATCAGTAAGGTCGGGAGGGATGGCTGTGATATAGACATCCATTTGAATCTTGACCACTTGCACTGATTTTAACTGCTTTACCAAATTCAATACATTGACAGATGTGTTTGCATTGATAGTATTTGCATTTTTGATGATTTGGAATGTTGTAATCTCTGGTAAATACAAACTAGTCAATGTAGGATCAGGTAGACCTATATTGGTAAATGCACTAAACTGTAGCGTACTAAAATAGATAGATAGCCAAGAGTAAATAAATAAATAATCATGATTCTCTAGAGATGAGATGAGATGATGAATGATACTTTACAATTGTCTGATATGGTATTGTCCATCTGATGTATTGTTATCACATGTTATTTTAGTTGATGAAACAGAGTACTGACATATTGTCTGGTCTTGTGGTACAGCTGATTGTCCGTATAATCTAATTTATTTATATATGTATTTGTAGATAATAGAGAAAGAGATAATGAAATAAAAATGGACTTGTGTTAGGAGGGAGGGGTGTTTTTAATAAACTTTTTTAATTTAATTTTTTTTTTATAGTATTGTACTCACTTCAAAAGATAAATGGCAGAGTCCACTATGATTATTTTTATATTTTATTTTTATTTTTTAAAAAAGAAAAAAGAGTTAGTATCTGTATATACAGATAGAATTGTTATATTTATATATATATATATATATATATTATATAACTTGACTTCTTCTTACATTCAGGTTGTGTTAATGTTTGTGTTTGTGCATGTGATATTGAAAAGAGTAATAGTAATGGTACAATGATTTTAATAATAATACAATTCATTCTCATTCTACTAACTATTAGTATTTATAAAAATGAATAGAACAAGAACTTTTTAAAAAGGTTAATAGATAGAGAGATAGAATGAATTCACTCATCGTAACAATAGAATGTTCTATGATGCCGAGAGAGAGGTGGTATCCGAAATTCGCGCTCATCTAAAACAAGCAAATGTCAGCTACTATTTATTTTATTCGGCGGAATCGATGAATTTCATTCGGACACTGCATCGATGCAGAGAAAAATATCTTGGGAAACCAACTACAATTGATATTTTTCGACCTCAGTTTCGGGCAAAAAAAAAATGTGCACCAAAAACGATTGAAAAATAAAGAGGTTTGTTTAGCGCTATCACCATCGTTTATCAAAATTCACAAGGTATCAAAGAATCTCAAGACCTTGAGGAGTTTTTGAGTTTATTGGATAGATTATCATCATAGGCATTTCTTTTCTTTATCTTTTTGTAAGTAATGATTGATGCTGTTGTTATGGCCAAGGCAGCGACACCACCAACAACACATCCAACAATGATTCTCCAGTTATTTGATTTCTCACATCCACTATCATTACTCTTGTCAATTAATAATGGTGAGAAATCAGGATGGAGAACACATGATTGACATTGTGGTAAATTGATACCAATCAATGCAATCGATTCATCCTCATTGCTACTTGATTGAGTCAATGATATGAGTTGTGTTTGTGAATAGGTTGGTCGACCATCTGATAGAGCAACATCAATAAATCGACCATTGAATTGAATATCATCTTTGATCACTCTGAGGTATTGCAATGATGACAATGAATCATATGTCAATGTGTGTCTACCTCTTTTTCATTGCAATCATATTCAACTGATTGATTGTTGATGATGATGGTTCTAAATACAACTCTGAGTGTTGCTAAATTCAATGAGTATTGCCAATTTGTAACATTGACTGATAGTTTAATCGAGTTAGCATTGATATGAAGTTGTTGATCTCCAAATTGAATATCTCTTGGTTGTGTTGAGAATGATATCGTTGACGATACATTCACTGATTCTAACAAAATGTCATTGATATTGGTTGTAGAGTTGTCTTTTAAAGTTGTATTTAATTGATAGTCAACAATAGTTGATATATTATTGGTTGTCATATTTGTAATCCAAGTATAATTTGAAATAAATAATTCTTTAATAATATTACTATCAAAATCCAATTCTTGAATGGATACAACTTCAAATTGGAAATCAATTCCATCAATATCAAATGATACCGTTGGTGATGTTGTATTTGGTGTAATCGTTGTATTTATAACTAAATAAAAAAATAAATAATAGGTATTAATTAATAAACAATTAAATAAAACAAATAATAATTATTTTTAATAACATACACTTTGTAAAACAATTATCATCTGGATTATAATTATATTGACATTGACAGACACCATTCATATCGCAATTACCATGACCATAACAATTTGATGTTTGTTTTTCACATTGTTGTTGTGGTGTATCTGGTGTGGTACCTCCAGAGGTCGAGGTAGTTGTTGATGAAGCAGTTGTAGTTGTACCATTATTACCTCCATTATCGGGTTGTCTAAGATACAATATATCCTTTGCATTTGTATCCAAAGAATCAAGTTGTAATTGAACTGATGATAGTCCATAGTTTGGTGTTTGATCTAATTCACAAATGATTAACTGTTGTGATGTTGAATTAACAGTACAATCCAAAGTATTATTAATTTTAATTATTGTATTTGATTGTCCATAAGGTCCAAAATCACCATTAATACTAATTACTTTGTTGTTTGTTGTATTATAACTGGCTGATGAAATGGTTGGATATGGTTTTGAACAATTATTATAAAAGGCATTACTATTACAAACACATTGACCCGTAGTATTACATTGACCGTTACCATGGCAATTACTGGTTGATTGCTGACATGATTCTTGGACAGTTAAATATCTTGCATACTGTGCAGTTAATTGATCGACTGTAACATTTATCAAAATGGCTTCTTGTATTAATGGCAATGGGGCAATAAAAACAAGCGAGTATAGAGTGATGGATTGAACTTGACAGATGACAGGTTGGTCACCAACTCCATAGGCGATAGTTACAGATGCCCCAGAGGCAAACGATGGACCGTAATACCCTATCATAGAGACAACAGACCCTTGATAAAATGGAATAGGAGAGACTGTGGCAACGACAGGATAGGGTATAGTGAAATCAAGTGTCTGAGATATAGAGTACTGATTTTCAACTTTCAGTGAATAGGGGCCAGGTGTATTACTACTGGTTGGACATACCACATTGATATATCCACCGGCGGGTGGTGAGGCAGTACAGACCAGTGAATTATCAAGTACCCAGGTATGATTGATATTCGGGTTAAATCTGAGTATGTAAAGTCTAAGACTAACAAATCCACTACTTTTAGTCTTTTCCATAACAAACAAGTTAATACCGGCTTCGAGAACAGCCAATATTGATTTGGGAGGGTTATTGTTGTTAACTGCATCAAAGACTGGTGCCCATTGTACGGTTAAATTGGTTGGAACGAGTGGTGGATTTGTCAAAGTAACCTGAATAGCTTCATTTCCAATGATAGTGGTCAACGAATAATTTGAAGGTTTGAAATTTGCAAAACCTATATTTCTGCCAACAACCGTAACTATTTTTAATTTAAAAGTGGATTAGTATTTTGATAGTTAATAAGAGTTACTAATGTATATACATACATTTTCCTTGATTAGAGATATATAATTCGTTGATTGGAGTGTAGACTGAATCTAAAAAAAAAAAAAGAATAATTAAGTAAAAGGTTCAAAAAAAAATAACAATTATAATATTATTTTGATACATACAGTCACAAACAAAATTGATTGGTGATGGTACTGAAGTTGTAATGAAATTAACGGTATAGTTGTAATAACACCATAGACAATCTGGCAAGTTGGTAATAGAGGTGTCTGTAGCTTTGAGACTACCCTTGCAGTAGGCTTGAGTAATTGTATCGTCAAATGCAGGGTTTTCCATCATATTGAATGTAGTAAGACTTACACTCGATGAAAACAAAGTGTCTGCATCTAAATCAGTGATGGAATTGTTGTAATAACTAAGTGTATTCATTGTAGGTGGGAGTGGGATACTTGGAACACTTGATATCTTGTTGGAATTTAAAATTCTATTAATAAAGAGAGTGATGGGAATAATATTATTAGTAATTGATCAATCAATTTCTTAAAGAAGTTAACTTTTGTCAGAAATGGATTGTTGAACAACATACAATGATCCTAATTTAGGTGGATAAGAGGTTGCAATGGGGTAGATTCCAATTCCTGTTAGTGACATTTCAAAGTAGGTCAATGATTGATAAATATCTCCAGTCACAGGAAACGGTGAAATATTTGATCCCATTCCAGTAGCAGTTCTAAAAATAAAGTAATCAAATCAAATCAAATCAAATTATTAATAACATAAATAGAACAATTGCATTGCATTGTATTGACCTACATAGAAACCAATTTTTGAGGATACCCAAATACTATATTACATTGACTATTGAGGACACCAATACAAGAACTATAAATATATATATTGTGAATTAAATATTAGAAATATTAGGCATAAATAATTCCATATATTTATATAGATATATATGAATACACATACAATGTTGATATTGATACATTTAAATTATGATTAATTGTAATTGATCCTGCATAATGTTGAATGAGTCTATAAAATAGTAATAGAATAGTAAATATATGATATGATTTCTTATTATTATTATTATTATTATTAATCTAACATACATAGATGATAATTTTGGGAATGATTGAGTTGTGAAATTGATATTACAAGCAATTGGGTTTTGACAATAGGAACCCATATAGAAATTAGTTAGACTGGGTAGATTGATAGTGTTGTCAATGGTGATCGAGTTGACTGATAGGTAGAGATAAATAAATTGCAATTTGGGAGAGTTGGTGAAAAAGGAAGAGGGCACTTGGGTGATGGCAGTCTTGCTTAATTCCAAGCTCTTTAGAAGAGGCATATCTGTAAAGTCAGAGGGGATAGAGGTAAAAGAGAAATCACTTTTGATCGACACCGTCACAAGACTTTTAATCTGTTTGACATAGTCTAAAATGTTGAGACCTGGGTTTGCGACTTGTGGCGACGCTGCAAATGAAATAGATATTTCAACGAGTGCTGGGAAGGTAAAAGATGTCAATAAAGCATTTGGCGTTCCAACATTTGTAAAGGTTGCTAAATCTTTAAAAATACTAAAAAGTACAAGTATCAAAAATAATTTTGAGAAATTGAATAAGTACATTTGTTGATTGGCAAATAACATATAACATAAAATATACATACATATTTGTTACATGGTACTCTCCTGCAACCGTTCCACAACTAAAATAAGTTGTATTACATAATGCTTGGGTCTGTGATACTGTTGCTATTCCATATTGTCTAAATTTAAAATAAATAAATAAATAAATAAATAAATAAATAAATAAATAAATCCAGACACTAAAATAATAATAAATAAGTAACTTACTGAATGAGGAAAATAGCAGAGTCGACTATAGAGAGCGAGGAATGAAAACAATAATATTATAATTGTGTGTATGTATGTGTGGTTAGTATCATGTCATTCCATCGATCACCGATTTCTATTAATAATTTTCGAATTGATCGCCCCCTATCCTTTAAACACAACATACGTTCGGGTTGAGATAATAATAATACTTGCTGTGAAACAACAAAATGATTTGAAAAGATTGATACAAAGAAAAAGAAGAGTAATAATAATACAAGGTTTTTAAATTTACACTGTTCCATCTTATGACTGTGCTGTACTTTTTCTCTTCTAACAAAAAAAAGATACAAGACTATAAAAAGATAGAAACAAAAAGAGAATGATACGGAAAGAAAAATGAGCGAGGAGTGCAGGAACACAACGACATACACAATGAATAAAAGCTTTGAAAAGAAGGCAATGGGTTTAGCCCAACAACATAAAACCGGTCTCCGATTTTTAAAATTCTTTTCGTCGTTCCCAAAGCTGATCGAAAAATATCTTGTAAACTGACGATATACATCCATTTCATTTTCACTGGTATCGGTATTTGGGATTTGAGTTGATCAATAGTATCGGGCTGACCTTCTTTTTGAAACTGGAAGAGTTCGTTTATTTACTTGAAACTAAATAATTTAATATAATTATTATCTAAACCAATCTACAGTCTTATAGTATTACTGCCTTATTATCTTATATATCTACCACTATCTATTAAGCTTTCTACAATTATTTACTTTCTAAATCGCTCTAGTTTCATCTTCATCTGTTTATTTGTTCTTTTAGATAAATAATTGTATCTTTTTGTAATAGATGATTGATGCAGTTGTAATGGCGATGGCACCTAACCCTAATCCACCAATTACAACACCGACTGCAATACGCCAACTATTCGATTGATTTCTCGCATCCACTATCATTACACTTGTCAATTTATAATGGTGAGAATTCTATCAGGATCGAGAACACATGATTGACATTGTGGTGTTGTTAACTAATTAATCATCATCAACCTCTTCCAAATTATTATTTGTCTTTTCATTTGTGACACTAGGTTGTTGTTGTTGTTGTTGTTGGCGATCACTTTCTTTTTGCAAATTAACTTGGATATTGTGATGAAGAGGAGGAAGAGCCGACTGTGATGGAGAAGGCATATATTCAATTGTTTGTGGATGCTGCTGATATGGAGAATGAGGAGGATGAGGCCGAGGAGAATATGAATATTGTTGGCCGACTCCATAGAATGGTTGTGGCTGCTGTTGTTGTTGTTGTGAAGGCCAGTAGGAATAATTCATTGGTGGTGGTGGCGGCGATGTCACTGTTGAGGGAGTCATTGTCTGTAGTTTAACTTGGTTTCTTTCCGATGCTTGGTTACGAATAGCACTAGCATTTTTCTTTGCATTTCTGTTACCAATAACCACACAAAGTACCACTAAAATGACAAAAAATGCAAAGACACCGAAAAAGATGCCAAACATCATACCAGGGCTTGGTCCCATTCCTTATCCTTTATCTTTTATCTGTTGAGAATTAATTAATTAATTATCTCTGCTATTTGCAAATAGAGTGTGGTGTATTATAAAGAAAGGATCCTTTCTTTATAAACGAAAAAACCACAAAAATGTCCTCTAGCTACACTCCGCCAAGTGCGACCCTATAGGGTCAAAAAATGACGGGTCCGACCATTGCATTACAACACCCCCTGTTTTGGATCCTGCCATGTAAGGTGCGGATGATAGATTGGTAGAATCTTTCAAACACAAGCGATTCGTTGTATGGCATATATATTCTCTCTTGTCTTTCTTTGTTACTCGAGAGGAGGTTATTTGAGAGAGATGAGATATGTCTCTCTGTGGTAAGATTACATGACACAGTTCTCTCTAAAAGAGAACATTAATTCTTAGAAGTTGATTTCTTTACTACTTGTTGATTGAGGATGACATTGTACTACTACTAATATAAAGTGAAATGAGTGTAGAATGAGTGGCCGATGGCCATCACTTGTGTTATGAGAATGGTCATCCTTCAGACAAATGCATTTATCATTGTAAGCCTGAAGCAAGTAAAAGAATTTTTGTTTTTTTTCAAAGGGGATACCATGTGGTGATGATAAACGAGTTCAACACCTCAAGAGTATGTGTATTTTATTATTATTCTTTCCATTATTTGTTTATTTATCAAAAAATGTGCTCAAGATGTGCTAAATTTCTCTAGCTTCATCTTCATCTGTTTATTTGTTGTTTTAGATAATTGTATCTTTTTGTAATAGACTAGTGATGCAGTTGCAATGGCTATGGCACCAACGCCACCAACTACCACACCAACAATGATTCTCCATGTATTTGATTTACTGTCACATTCACTTTGCTTTTCGATTAATAATGGTGAGAAATCAGGATCGAGGACACATGATTGACATTGTGGTAAGTTGATACCAATCAATGCAATCGATTCATCTTCATTACTGGTTGATTGTGTCAATGAAATGAGTTGTGTTTGTGAATAGGTTGGTCGACCATCAGACAATGCAACATCAATAAATCTACCATTGAATTGAATATCATCTTTGATCACTCTGAGGTATTGCAATGATGACAATGAATCATATGACAGTGGATCAATCTCTTTTTCATTGCAATCGTATTCAACTGTTTGGTTGTTGATGATGATGGTTCTAAATACAACTCTGAGTGTTGCCAAGTTGGATGAGTATTGCCAATTTGTAACATTGACTGATAGTTTAATCGAGTTGGCATTGATGTGAAGTTGTTGATCTCCAAATTGAATATCTCTTGATTGTGTTGAGAATGATATCGTTGATAGTACCTTTACTGATTGGAATAGGATACTATTAATGTCTGTTGAAGAGTTGGTAAGTGGAATGGATGAAAGGGTTGTATTTAATTGATAATCAACAATAGTTGTAATATTATTGGTTGATGCATTCACAATCCAAGTATAATTTGAAATAAATAATTCTTTAACAATATTACTATCAAAATCCAATTCTTGAATAGATACCACTTCAAATTGGAAATCAATTCCATCAATATCAAATGATACTGTTGGTGAGGTTGTATTTGGTGTAATCGTTGTATTTATAACTAAATAATAAGTATTAATAAACAATTAAATAAAACAAATAATAATAATAATTTTAATAATAACATACACTTTGTAAAACAATTATCAGCTTGATTATAGTCTTTGTCACATTGACATATTCCGTTTACATTACAAATACCATGACCGTAGCAATGTGATGTTTGTTTTTCACATTGTTGTTGTGGTGTGTCTGGTGTTGTACCTCCAGACGTTGAAGTGGTGGTTGTTGTTGTTGATGAAGCTGTGGTAGTTGTACCATTATTACCACCATTACTTGGTCTACGCAGATATAAAATATTCTTAACATTTGCATCCAAAGAATCAAGTTGTAATTGAACTGATGATAATCCATAATTTGGTGTTTTCTCCAAATCACAAGTAATTAATGTTTGTGATTTTAAATTTACAGTACAATCCAAAGTATTATTAATTTTAATTGATAAGTTTGATTGTCCATAAGGTCCAAAATCACCATACAAACTAACTAATTTAGTATTATTTACATCATAGCTACCAGATGAAATGATTGGATATGGTTTTGAACAATCATTATAGTAGCCATTACTATTACATACACATTGACCCGTAGTATTACACTGACCATTACCATGGCAATTATCAGTTGATTGTTGACAGATATATTCAAGTGAGACCAAAAAAGATCCAGAATAAGTACCATCTGTATCAGCTACAACGACATCCACGGTTTCATTTGTCAATGCTGTCATAAGATAACATGATATGATTGATGGAGATGGTCTTAAAAGTAGGTTCTGGTTACAACTGGGTACGCTAGTTTGGCCATTATCCTTGTAGAAGCTTACAGCCATTCCCAGGAGTGGCCCATAATACCCTTGTATTTGGACAAACGTACCAACTTGAGCAGGGAGGGGACTGATTGAATAAATCTTTGGATAGGGCGCATCAAATTCAAAATTTTTTGATCTAGTGTAATAGTCATTTGACACGGTTACAATATGAACTCCAGTCTGGATACCAGTGATTTTACACTCAAATCTCTTTACAACGACATCATAAAGATTCGAGCAATTTTGATTGTCAAATTGGACAGTGTGTACAAGATTTGGATTAATGGTGACATAGATGGATAGATTTGCTTGGAGACTAGTGTTTGACGATTGAAGATAAAGTTTGCCAATTGTGATACCACCTTCAAACAATGTAATTTGAGTTTTTGGTGCACCTATATAACTACTCATTTCCAAAGTTACATTGGTTGGGATCAATGGTGGATTGATAAACGTGGCATTAAGCACTTTGTTTGGAACCACTTTTGTCAAAGTGTAATTTGACTTGCTTGATCCCCACCCAATGTTTTGGCCAGTCAATACATACTGTCCATTATTAGTTACAATATTACTAGAATTATAAATTTTAACTATCAATGAAAAAAAGGGTAAGTTAGTAATCTTTAAGAATTCCAATAAAGTATTTTGTTGGTTGGTATTTACATACGATCACAAAAAAAGTTTACAGGTTCAGGTAAACTTGTAACGATATAATAACCCCCAGAAACATTCTTGTAACACCAATAACAATCTGGTAACGAGCTGACACTTGTGCCAACTACATTGAGGATATGTGCACAATAGATATCGGTAATGGGTCCTGTAAAATCTGGATTGTAGGCCATATTTAATAAATCTAGTCCTGGGTGTCCGGATATCAGAGTTGAATCAATACTAATGAATTGATTTCCTTCCAAAATCAATAATGTTAATGATGACGGAATTGATGATATTGACCCAAGATTATTGTATCCTAAATTTCTAAAATAATATAAACAATTTGTTAGTTATGAGTTTTAAAGCGAGATTACCACCATGGTCAGCTTACAAATGTTGTAATTTAGGAGGATAAGTTCCAACCAATGGAAATGATGATAATCCCATGTACCTCAAAACAATTCTTTCGAGGATTGGATACGCCAAACTGGTAATGGGATAAGGTGACACCGATGATAGAGGTCCTGTTACTGTTCTAAAAAAATTAAATGTTTAAAAACAAAAAGAGATTTAAAAAGATAATATTTTTTTGGTTCAACATACAAGTATAATATTTTTTCTGGATACCCAATATTCAAATTACATTGTCCTGGATTATTTTCTACTTTCCCTCCACAATGTCTAAAAATATATTAATTAATAACTAATTCAATATTCATTTCATGTTAATACATACACTGAAGTGTGAGGATTAGTATAAGTGGGTCCTCCCATATTATGATAAATGGTGTTTTTAGAATTTTGTATTGTCCTAAATGTACTATTATTATCATTTTAATATGCAAAAAATAATAATTAATAAATAAATATGAATTTTTAATTTGGATATAATGGTTACACTTACGCAATTGTTAGTTTTGGAAAAGAGTGTGATGTAATGTTGATAAAATGAGATCCATCACGACCATCCAAATCAATGCTAAAAGAAGAAAGAGCTGGAAGGTAATAGGTATGGTCAATGGTCATTGATCGGATTGGTGTAAAAATAAACATCAAAAACAACGATTGGGAATTGTTTAGAAATGTGGGTGGTAGATTAGATAGATTTGGACAATTCTCTAATGTTATAGTTCCCAGTAATGGAAAGGTAAAGTTTGGTGGCACTATGGCAATGGTTGGGTCTGAATAAAAGGAAAGTGTAGTCAGGGTATTCAAATCTTTGATCAACTCGAATATATTCATTGATATGTTGGCCACCATCAAAGAATTTAAGCTAATTTGAAGTACGATCAATTGAGGAAGGTAAAGTGATCTCATGTTGGGGTCTGGCTCTCCGACAGAAGCATAATTTATATTATTTGTAAATAGGCTAGAGAAGAATGATTAATAATAAAAAATAAAAATTATCTTTAAATATTAAATCTATCTTACACATGGGTTATATGAGATACTCCATCTCCATCATTATCATTACAGAGAAAGTATGTAGTTGCTTGACAAAGTGTTTGATCTTGTGGTGCTGCTGCTACTCCGTATTGTCTTTTTTTTATTAAATAATCAAAAGGTTAGCAATCTAAAATCAAGATAAATCAACATCCAAGAGAATCATATCATGGAATATTTAAAATAAATACCTGATAAGGAAAATTGCTGAGTTAACTTTGAGGTTATATAAAAGAGATAGATATTAATAATTTTTACACATGATTCTATGATGTTGTTTTAAACATTAGCATACGTTCTAGTTGTGGTAATAATGGTTGTGATGAGACTATTTTACAAGTATGGAAAGACAGAATAATAAATAATAATAAAAATACAACTCCTCTCGTAGTGAGGAAAAGATTATTCATTCTCTACTTTGAGACAATGTATCTTATAATGAAGGTAGATAAAATTTACAAAGGTTAACTTCCTCTCTTTTGGTGAAGCTCATTAAGATAAAAATAATTTTTCTAGATCTTTTGAAAAAATCGTTGATGGAAAAATCTTTTCCATCAGACCTTTAAATTGAATCTGAATAATAGAAATAATTGGGATGGTTTGATTTAGAATCATATGTAGGGTCAATGCCCAAATTTAATTTAATTGCCTAATTAATTCATTGCTTGAAGTTTCATTTTCATTTGGTTGTTCATTCTGATCCTGGCCTGTGTCTTTTTCATGGTGATAATTGCTGCTGCTGTGATGGCTACGGCTCCAACAACTCCAACTACAACACCAACTATGATTCTCCAGGTATTTGATTTACTGTCACATCCACCATCATTACTCTTGTCGATTAATAATGGTGAGAAATCAGGATCGAGAATACATGATTGACATTGTGGTAGATTGATACCAATCAATGCAATCGATTGTTCATTACTGCTACTTGATTGTGTCAATGATATGAGTTGTGTTTGTGAATAGGTTGGTCGACCATCAGACAATGCAACATCAATAAATCTACCATTGAATTGAATATCATCTTTGATCACTCTGAGGTATTGCAGTGATGACAATGAATCATATGATATTGCATCAATCTCTTTTTCATTGCAATCATATTGGATTGTTTGGTTGTTGATAATGACAGTTCTAAATACAACTCTGAGTGTTGCTAAATTCGATGAGTATTGCCAATTTGTTACGTTGACAGCCAACTTTATGGAATTTGGATTGATGTGAAGTTGTTGATCTCCAAATTGAATATCTCTTGATTGTGTTGAGAATGATATTGTTGACAGTACACTGACTGATTGGAAAAGTATTGAGTTGATGTCTGATGATGGTGAAGAGGATGATGAAAGGGTTGTATTTAATTGATAATCAACAATAGTTGTAATATTATTGGTTGATGCATTCACAATCCAAGTATAGTTTGAAATAAATAATTCTTTAACAATATTACTATCAAAATCCAATTCTTGAATTGATGCAACTTCAAATTGGAAATCAATTCCATCAATATCAAATGATACTGTTGGTGAGGTTGTATTTTGTGTAATCGTTGTATTTATAACTAAATAATATAAATAAATTAATTAATAAAAATAAATTAAATAATTAATTAATATAAATAATTGATAATTAATTATTATTTAATTACATACACTTTGTAAAACATTCATCATCAGGATTATAGTCTTGGTCACATTGACATATTCCGTTTACATCACAAACACCATGACCATAACAATTTGATGTTTGTTTTTCACATTGTTGTTGTGGTGTGTCTGTTGACCCTCCAGAGGTGGTGGTAGTAGTTGTTGATCCTCCATTTCCAGGTCTACGTAGATTTAAAATATTCTTTGCACTGGTATTCAAAGAATCAAGTTGTAATTGAACCGATGATAATCCATAATTTGGTGTTTGTTCCAACAAACAAGTAATTAACCATTGTGATGTTGCATTAACTACAGCACAATCCAAAGTATTATTAATTTTAATTGATAAGTTTGATTGTCCAAAAGGTCCAAAATCACCATACAAACTGACCAATTTAGTATTATTTACATTATAACTACCAGATGAAATGATTGGATATGGTTTTGAACAGTCATTGTAAAATGCATTACTGTTACAAACGCATTGACCTGTAGTATTACACAGACCATTACCATGGCAATTACTGGTTGATTGTTGACAGATATATTCAGGTGTTATCATAAACGATCCAGAATAAATAGTATCTGTCACAACAACTTCTATTGTTTCATTTCCCAATGCTGTCATAAGTTGACAATAAATGATATTGGTTGCAACTGAAAATAACGAACAACTTGGTACACTGGCATGGTCCTGTTGGTATAAAAATACGTTCCATAACAATGACGACACTATTGGCCAATACCCTTTTATTTCGATAGTCTCTCCAACTTGAGCAGGGAGGGGACTGATCGAATAAATCTTTGGATAGGGTGCATCGAATTGGAAAAACTTTGCAGTAAAGTAATAGTCATTTGACATTGATACATTATGATTTCCAGAGGTGAGTGTGGCGATTTTGCACTCAAACCTCTTTTCTATACTATCATAAGACAGTGCGGCGCACTCTTGATTGTCAACCATGACAGTGTGTTCAAAATATGTATTAAATGTAGCATTAAAGGTTAACATTGCTGCATAACTAGTGTTTGAGGGTAGCAGATTGAGTTGACCAATTGTGATACCACCCTCGACCAATGTAATTTGTGTTATTGGGGCACCTGAATATGTGCTCATATCCAAGGTGACGTTGGTTGGGACCAATGGTGGATTAATAAAATTGGCATTAAGTATTTTGTTTGGAACCCCTTTTGTCAAAGTGTAATTTGACTTGCTTGATCCCCACCCAATGTTTTGGCCAGTCAATACATATTGTCCATTGTTAGTTACAATATTACTAGAATTATTAATTAAAACTAAAAAGGAAAGAAATAAAAGGTTAATAAATATAAATGAATTAATTAAATTGTTTGTTTTCATACATACCATTACAAACTTTGCCTGGAGGATAGGGTAAACTTGTCGTGATATAATTAAAAGGAAAGTTGGTAACATTTTTGTAACACCAATAGCAATCTGGTAACGAGCTGACACTTGTACCAGCTACATTGAGGACATGTGCACAATAGATATCGGTGATGGGTCCTGTGAAATCTAGGTTGTTGGCTACATTTAATGAATCTAGTCCTGGGTGTCCGGATATCATGTTTGCATCAAAAGTGGTAAATTGATTTCCATCCAAAATCAATTGTTTCAGTGACAAAGAGATCGATGGTATAGATACAAGATTATTGTATCCCAAATTTCTAAAATAATAATAATAATAAATTGAAAATACAATGAGTGATTAGAGAATGGATGTGGACTTGTGTTTTTGATCTTTGGAGACTCTCTTACAAAAGAAACAATTTAGGAGGAAAAGCTCCAACTATTGGAAATGATGACAATCCCATGCTCCTCAATACAATCGTTTCAAGGACTGGATACTGTGAACTGGTAATTGGAAAAGGTGTTACAGTTGATAAAGGTCCTGCCACTGATCTAAAAAAATAGGTAAAACAATTTAATAACAGTTGATTATTATGAATTAATTAATTTGTTGTATACCTACAATGATGATAATAAATATGGATATCCAATATTCAAATTACATTGTCCTGGGGCCGAGTCAATTTTACCTGTACAATGTCTATTTTTTTTTTAAAAAAAAAAAAAAAAGATATTAATAATAATTTAAATTGCAATTGGAGGAACAAACATCATACAAAGTAGTTTGATTAAAAAGATATATATACGGCATATTGTGATGAATGGTGTTTTTGGAATTTTGGATCGTCAGGAATTTACTATTAAAAGAATAATTATTAGTTTAACAAATTAATTTAATTATTAAAAACCAACTCGATGACAACTCTGGCCTTAACTTACGCAGTGGTTAATTTTGGAAATGAGTTTGATGTAATGTTGATAAAGTGGGATCCATCATCAGTACCATTCAATTCAAAGACAAAAGAAGCAAGTTTTGGAAGGTAATAGGTATGGTCAATGGTCATTGATTGAATCGGTGTGTTTATAAACAGCAAAAACAACGATTGGGAATTGTTGAGAAACGTCGGTGGAAGAGTCGTTAGATTTGGACATCTAGACAATGCAAAATCTACCACTAACGGAAAGGAAAAGTTTGGTGGCACCGATACAACCGATGGATCATTTGAAATAGTAATCGTAGTCGGGGTATTCAAATCTTGAATCAAATCTAATATATTCAATGAATAGTTGGTAACGACAAATGTATTCGGCTCAATTCGAAGTGATATCAAACGAGGAAGGTAGAGTGATTTCATGTTGGGATCTGGGTCTCCTACATAATTATAATTATATAAATTTATAATATTAAACATACTAAAAAAGTATATATTAAAAAAAAAAAAAAAAAAAAAAAAGAAAGAAGAGGAATTAATTATGTCATAAATAATTATTTAGGTCATTCTTGTTGTCTTACACATGTGTTATATGGGATAATCCATCTCCATACTCATCATTACATGCAAAGAATGATGTTTGACAAAGCGATTGATTTTGAGGTGCTGATGCTCCATATTGTCTTATTTTTTTTTTTGAATCAAAATGTTAGTAAATCTCAAAGTACCGGAATATCTCAAACTAATCTTTTAATACATACCTGATTAGGAATATTGCTGAATCAACTTTTAAGTTTAAATTAGATAAGTGGGTATTAATAACAATTTTAAAAATGTATTTAATAAAGTATAAACATACGTTCTTGTTGAGGTAATAATGATTGTGATGAAACTATTTTACAAGAATGAAAAGACAGAATAATACATAATAATAAATATACAACTCCTCTTGTAGTGAGGAAAAGATTATTCATTCTCTACTTTGAGAGAGACTGTGTATCTTATAATGAATAAAAAACGAAGCCATATGAGAGCTGTTCAAAAAATAATCTGGGGTATTATAAAAAAATAAATGTTTTCGAAGATCTTTTAAAAATTATCCACGATACCACTGGGATCGTATCTTGTTGTCCGTTACGGTATCTAAATATCTCAGCAACAATATCTTGTTGTTGGGCGATATCTTCTTTTTACAAACTTAAAACAAAATACAAGTTGTTGCCTCCCCATCCCTCTATTTTGGTACGCTTCACCTTTTGGTAGAAATATAAGTATCCTTATCTTGACGCGAGATAAATATCTTCTTCTTTCACAAAAAATAAAAAACAAAATAAATGTAGAAATAAATAAGTAAGTAGATTCGTTTAAAAGGGTATATCTGTGATGTCAATACCTGAATTAGATCTAATTCATTTCTTGAAGTTTCATTTGCATTTTTTGGTTGATTCTGATCTTGGCTTGTGTCTTTTTGATGGCGATGATTGCTGCTGCTGTAATGGCTATGGCGCCAAATCCACCAACTACCACACCAACTATGATTCTCCAGTTATTTGATTTACTGTCACATCCACTGTCATTACTCTTGTCGATTAATAATGGTGAGAAATCAGGATCGAGAACACATGATTGACATTGTGGCAAGTTGATACCAATCAATGCAATCGATTCATCCTCATTGCTACTTGGTTGTGTCAATGATATGAGTTGTGTTTGTGAATAGGTTGGTCGACCATTTGACAATGCAACATCAATAAATCTACCATTGAATTGAATATCATCTTTGATCACTCTGAGGTATTGCAATGATGACAATGAATCATATGATAATGCATCAACCTCTTTTTCATTACAATCATATTCAACTGTTTGATTGTTGATGATGATTGTTCTAAATACAACTCTGAGTGTTGCCAAGTTGGATGAATATTGCCAATTTGTAATATTAATTGCCAACTTTATGGAATTTGGGTTGATGTGAAGTTTTTGATCTCCAAATTGAATGTCTCTAGGTTTTGAAGAGAATGATATCGTTGATAGTACACTAACTGATTGGAAGAGGATACTATTAATGTCTGTTGAAGAGGAGGATGATGGAAGGGTTGTATTTAATTGATAATCAACAATAGTTGTAATATTATTGGTTGATGCATTCACAATCCAAGTATAATTTGAAATAAATAATTCTTTAATAATATTACTATCACAATCCAATTCTTGAACTGATACCACTTCAAATTGGAAATCAATTCCATCAATATCAAATGATACTGTTGGTGATGTTGTATTTGGTGTAATCGTTGTATTTATAACTAAATAAATAATAAAAAATAATTGATTAATTATTATTACTTTAAATTAATAATTAATTAAATTAATTTGTTTTTTTTAAATAAAACATACACTTTGTAAAACATTCATCATCTGGATTATAGTTATCTTCACATTGACATTTTCCGTTTACATCACAAACACCATGACCATAACAATTTGATGTTTGTTTTTCACATAATTGTTGTGGTGTGTCTGGTGTTGATCCTCCAGAAGTGGTTGTAGCAGTTGTTGTTAAACCATTATTACCTCCATTATCGGGTTGTCTAAGATATAAAACATTCTTTGCACTTGTATTCAAAGAATCAAGTTGTACTTGTACCGATGATAATCCATAGTTTGGTGTTTTCTCCAAATCACAAGTGATTAATGTTTGTGATTTTATATATACAGTACAATCCAAAGTATTATTAATTTTAATTGATATGATTTCAATCGAGTCGATATTAGGTCCAAAATCACCATTAATAGTAACCATTTTGTTGTTGGTTGCATTATAACTACCAGATGAAATGATTGGATATGGTTTTGAACAATTATTATAATAGCCATTACTATTACAATCACATTGACCGACAGTATTACACAGACCATTACCATGACAATAATCAGTTGATTGTTGACAAATGTATTGGTTGGTGACTAGTAATGACCCAGTATTAATACCATCTGAAACAGCCACTTCTATTTGATCTATCAACGGTGATGCAACTTGACAGACAATAGTCGACGGTGTAAACGATGCAATTGTGCATATTGAAACGACTGAATTGTCACTTTTGAATTTAACGGTAATGTTTGTTTGAGAGGGTCCAAAATTACCAGACAATGTAATCATTGATCCAATCGTTGTAGGCAACGGTCTGATCGAATTGAGTACTGGATAAGGTGACACGTCAAACTTTCTTGATGTGCTGTAATGATCGTTGAAAAAGGTGATGCTGTGAGACCCGATTGTCAAATCATTCATGACGCACATCTGTTGGTCTGGTGGGAAATAAATGAAAAAGCTGCAGTTGCGAGAGTCAACCTGTCCATAATGAAGGAAATACCCATTAAAGGTGACCTTTAAGAAAATAAACGTTACAGCGTTAGAGGTTCCATTAATGAATGTTTGGAGGGATAAAGAAACTATCTCAACACCACCCTCGACAACTGTAATCTGTTTTTGTGGTTCAGTGTCATATGGAACCAAATTCAATGTAAAATTGGTTGGAATCATTGATAAAACTTTAAAAGCAACCTCTAGTTTACTATTTGCAACTACTTTTGAAAGTGTATAGTTTACATTTCCTTCTTCATTACCGAATCCTAAATTTTGACCTGTCAACATATACTTTCCATTATTTGTTATAATATTATCAGCATTATCAATTGTAACTAAAAAATTTAAAATAAAATAATTAATTAATTAATAAATAAATAAAAAGGTTATATATAATAATTTTACATACCATTACAATAAAATTTAGATGGGAATGTTAAAGAGGTTTGGACATAAGGTCCGACAAAAGATGCATTGATGTAGCACCAAAAACAATCTGGTAATGAATCGACAAGAGTATAAAGAACATTAAGTTCATGTGCACAATAGGCATCTGTGATTGGTCCAACGAAAAGTGTGTTGTTTGAGACCCTCAAAACTTCCAATCCAGTATGAGACCCAATCATTGCCAAATCCAATGTAGTTAAATCGTTACCATCCAAATCTAATTGCCTCAAACTTTGTGGTATAAATGGAATAGATAAAAGTCGATTATATCTTAGATTTCTATTAAATAAAATATATTAGTCAGCCATTTAATAATATTCTTTTTTGTTTACAAAATGCTTGCTTACAAAATTGACAACAAAGGTGGATAGGATCCGACAATTGGGAAATTGGTTAACCCCATATTCTCTAATACTAGGTGGAATAGAATTGGATAGGTAGTACTTGTAATAGGAGCAGGCCAAAATGTTGAATTAGGTCCTGCTAATGCTCTATCATTAAAAACAAATAAATAAATATAAATTAGTATCAATCAAAAGTAGTATATGTACATCATATTTATACATACAAAGTTGTAATAACGGATGGATTGCCAATACGTAAATTACATTGACCAGGATTCCACAAACTCATACCCAAACAAATTCTAAAAATATATTTATATATATATTAGTAAGAAAAATGAATTGAATCGTCTCGTACTGTTAATTTAAACATACATGGAGAATTGACGATTTAAATTATGATGGATTGTAATGTTTGCATTTTCAGCTGTATATAAATCACTATACAACAAAATAAATAAATAAATAAATAAATAAATAAATTAATTAATTAATAAATAAATATTATTTTGCTTTTTTAAAAAGAACTACTCCTACTACTATTCTTACAGTGACATTAACATAGGAAATGATTTAGATGTGATATTGATGGAATGTGATGGGCCAGTGCAATTTACAGTGATTCTCAAAGAAGATAGTTGAGGAAGGTAGAGTGTGGGACCAATGATCATCGATTGGACTGGCGAATAGATGTGAAGAATGGACACTGCCGAATTGTTTAAAAGTGTCGAAGGAAGAGAAGTCAAGCCCGGACTATTCAAAGAGAACAAACTCAACCTGGGGAAATCGGTAAAGTCTGGAGGCACATAGGTGATGGTTGGGTCATTCTCAATGTATATATTTTGCAATGATTTGAGGGGTTTGAGGTATTCCAGAATATTGATAGATGGATTGGTTACTTGTCGACCAACACTTTGAACGAGTTTAAATGTATTCAATTCGGGAAGATCTAATGATTGTAAAGTTGGTGTTCCCCAATTAACATAAGCACCTAAACCCGCAAATATACTAAAAGAAAGAAAGAACCATTAATATTACATTAATTTGATGTTATTGTTGCATACCATATCAATCATATCATATTATATCATAATGTACATACATTTGAGTGAGATGGTATTGTTCATCTGAAGTGTTGTATAAACACGTAAAGTACTGAGGTGTTTGGCATATCAATGATGGTATGATTGCTATGCCATATTGTCTTTTTTAAAGAAATAAATAGTTATAGTAATAATAGTTAGAACAAATCTTTATATCTATCTTCTCCTCTATTTAATGCACTACATACTGTAATATGAATGTGACAGAATCAGCTGTATATTTACAAAATAAATAAAAAAAGAATGATTAAAATACACTGCTGTGAAGTTTACAACACTTTTTATTTCTCTCTGAATATTTATTTATTTATTTTATTTGTTAACAATGTACATACATTCTGCTTGGTTTAATGATTGTGATATTGATGTACCACATAATAATGAAACTGTTAGTAGTATTAAAATAATCCAATGGCTGCCACCTCTTGATTGGTGGCGTGTTGTTGTAGTTAATTTATACATGTAATAATGGTTTGTTCTGTATCTTTGTATATCTATTTTAATCAAAATACCCTTTGAAAGAGTTGTCAACATCACATTATTAATATTAACAAGGATATTAATAAATGATATATTTGCGATCTAGATACTTATCGGCAAAAAAATGGGTATTCACGCATGATCGTATAATAATATATTATTAATTTATTTGGAACTCTTGTTTAGTTGATATTGTGAAGTTTAGATTCGATACATGCACTATCAGATTTAAATTTTTTGATCTTTTTGTATGTAATGATTGATCCAACTGCAATGGCAACAGCACCAATTCCACCAACAACACATCCAACAATGATTCTCCAGTTATTTGATTTCTCACATCCACTATCATTACTCTTGTCGATTAACAATGGTGAGAAATCAGGATCGAGAACACATGATTGACATTGTGGCAAGTTGATACCAATCAATGCAATCGATTGTTCATCGTTACTGGTTGATTGTGTCAATGATATGACTTCTGTTTGTGAATAGGTTGGTCGACCATCAGACAATGCAACATCAATAAATCTACCATTGAATTGAATATCATCTTTGATCACTCTGAGGTATTGCAGTGATGACAATGAATCATATGTTAATGCATCAATTTGCTTGTCGTTACAATCGTATTCGACTGTTTGATCGTTGATGGTGATTGTTCTAAATACAACTCTGAGTGTTGCCAAGTTGGATGAGTATTGCCAATTTGTAACATTGACTGATAGTTTAATCGAGTTGGCATTGATGTGAAGTTGTTGATCTCCAAATTGAATATCTCTTGGTTTTGAAGAGAATGATATCGTTGATAGTACACTGACTGATTGGAATAATATAGAGTTGATATCGGTGGTAGAGCTGTTTTTTAAAGTTGTATTTAATTGATAATCAACAATAGTTGTAATATTATTGGTTGATGCATTCACAATCCAAGTATAATTTGAAATAAATAATTCTTTAACAATATTACTATCAAAATCCAATTCTTGAATGGATACAACTTCAAATTGGAAATCAATTCCATCAATATCAAATGATACCGTTGGTGATGTTGTATTTGGTGTAATCGTTGTATTTATAACTAAATAAAAATAAAAGTAAATAAATAATAATTAATATTACTTTTTAATTTAAATAATTATTTGTTTTTAAATATAACATACACTTTGTAAAACAATTATCATTTTGATTATAAGTATCTTGACATTGACATATTCCGTTTACATCACAAACACCATGACCATAACAATTTGATGTTTGTTTTTCACATTGTTGTTGTGGTGTGTCTGGTGTTGGTCCACCTGTTGTAGTAGCGGAGGTAGTTGGTGAAGATGTAGAACCTGTTGTTGTATTTCCACCTGGATTACCTCCGTTGGATGGAGGTGGACGAAGTTTTAGAATATTTCTAACCATTACGTCAAGTCCGTCAACTTGGAGCTGAACCGATGCCAAACCGGGAGTAGGTGGATTAGCAAGAGTGCAGTTTATGACAAATTGTGATTTATCAACAACCGTACACTCCAAAGTATTATTAATTTGAATTGATGGGTTTAATTGTCCATAAGGTCCAAAATCACCATACAAACTAACTGTTTGATTATTAACTACACCAAATTCACCTGATGATAATTTAGGATATGCTAAAATAAAAATAATTAAATAAATAAATAAATGTAAATAAATATTAATTATTTCATTTTGTTTGTTTGTTTTTGATTTTATTATTATATTACATACGTTTTGAACAATCATCATAATAAGCATTACTATTACAGACGCATTGACCATCTTGATTACATTGACCATTACCATGGCAATAATCAGTTGATTGTTGACAATAATCTTTGCCAGTGATGGTGACTGGGACGGTCTGGTTGTAGTATGGATTGGCAACATCGACTAAATAGACTCCACTTGCTAGCGGTGGAGATACAAAACAATTGATTTGAGTGGTGGTAGAGTTGATAATGACGCAAGGAGTGGATTGGTTAATGGTGACGGTATGGTTGAAATAGACTGGATTGTATTTTAAAACCTCGATTGTAAAGTTGGTCAAATTGGGTGTGTCGTGCGACGTGGTGACTTGCAACAACGAGACACCACCCTCGACAAACGTAGCGGTGGCAGTTGGTGGCTCGGCATCCTCGGTAAACTTGATCGCATAGGTGGTTGGCAATGTGAGATTGGTTGAACTAAATGCAATATTCACATTTCTGTTTGGTATACCTCTTGACATTATATATGGTTCATATAATTTATAAGTTCCCCATCCCAATTTTGTTCCTATAAGAAATCAAGTAGACATAATTAGAATATAATAATAAACTAATATAATAATTTTAAATGTATGTATGTACATACCAGTTATTCGAGTATGACCCGATTGAACAACAATTAAATCTGAATTATCAATAGTGACATTGCAAACAAAATTTGGAGGTACAGTCAAATCAGTTCTGACATATTGAGATCCAAGATAACAATAGTAGCAATCTGGGACGGTGGTAATACCAGTTGATTGGATATTAATAGACTGCAGACATGAATCGATGTTGATGGCGAGTAGATTTGGATTCCCTGAAAGATCGATACCAGCCACAGTGTTTGCACACATTGCGTCAACATCAATTGTACCAGTCAAGTAATTTTTGCTGAAATCGGCAGCGGCCAAGGAAGCTGGTAACACAAAGGGAAGTGTAACGAAATTGTTTCCTGTAAGTGTTCTGATCAAAATAAATTAAAATAAAAGAAAGAAAAAGAAATAAATATATATTAATAAAACTATCATTTTCAAAGTGTCGACACATGTACATGTACTTACAACGAACCCAATCTTGAAGGGAATGATCCTGGAAAGGTAGTTAAATTAGCATGAATCCAAGCTAAATAAGAAAGATGGGAATAATCTGGTCCAATTGGAGGCGTAATACTAGAGTTTTGGCCTCCAATTTCCCTTTTAAACCAAAAAAAAAAAAAGAAAAAAAAGAATTAATATTTGATTGACTTTAAATCATTTCACTTTTAAATATATATATATATATATACTATACTATACATACAAGTTTGTAATTATGCTTGGGTTGGTGAATGTAACCTTGCAAGTTGAAAAGTCTGATTTACGTAATCCTTCTCCTCCAGTACATTTTCTATTATTATTATTATTATTTTAATATAATTATTATTAGTAATTTTGTTTTGGGTTTAGATTTGAAAAGGTTGAGTTGAGATCTCCTCTCTCTCATGCTATACTTACATTAGGGTGAGAATTTGATCATTATAGTCATGGTTAATGGTAACTGTTGATCCTTGGTTTTGTTTGATGGTGAGTGTTCTGAGAGTTGGAAATGATGATTGGGTAAAGGTAAAACCGAGGACACCTGCTCCAGTTCCCATCTCTATGCTGTTGAGTTTTGGTAGATTGAGTGTACTGTCAATGGTAACCGATTCAATTGGCTCAACGATGGCCACTCGTAATAGATTGGAATTATTGAAAAAGTTGCCGATTGATCGAATACTATTATCCTTGGCATCAAAAAGTTGAAGAGATGGTAGACCCTCTGGAAATGTGGCTGGGAGGTATGTTATCGATTTGTCAGTCTCGAAACTCAATTGGGACAACAGTGGTAGATTCTTGATATAAGTGGCCACATTGATCGATGAGTTGGCTACTTGTGATGCTCCATGTATCATCAATGTCTTGACTTTAGGTAATACTAGTACAGTCGATGGATCGGGATTACCAACATTTGTAAATGAATCTTGAAAGAACCGTCTATTTAAAAAATAAATACAAATGTGTTAATTCAAAAAATATTATTATACTACTACAAACAAACAAATAAGATAAGATCGATCATTACAGAAAGGTGATATGTCCATCAGCGTCACAAGTGACTCTAGACACACCATTTACATATGAACATATAGTCGAGTCTGTAGGCGCCCCCAATACTCCATATTGTTTTATAAAAAATATAACTGAATTTACTGTAGAGTATAATAATCAATTGATAGTGTATTGATATTAATATTAATCATATGATAGTATCTGATTTAAATTATACAAACATTCTTCAAGTGGGACTACAATTTGAGCATTTGCAAAATGAAGGTTTGTTGTTGTACAAAAAAGAAATAGACATAATAATATTACAAAGTTGTGGTATTGATACATGATGAGATAAGATAGATAATTAAATTGTTGGGGGAGGAAAAAGAATAAACATAACCTACAGTCCATCGTCTAAAGTCTGACCTAGGAATCAACAAAAAAATAAGATAAAAAAGGTCACTATTCGATTATTATTCAATTTAAATATGTCCCCTTCCTACCTTCTTGAGTCAAAAGGAAAGGAACCGACAACAAAACATAGACGAATAATGAAGAATCGATCATCTGGATGATTTCAAAAAATATCTAGCTTGTCATTGCAGATGATTTGGGTGTCGATTTTTTATAAAGATCTTTGAAACCGGTTTGAGTCCGTGGTGTGGCATCCTACTATGAAAAACGAGGTCAGTGATGTTGGTGATGAAGTATCTCTTGATGGTCTCGATTGTGTGATGGTTCAAGTAGGTTGTTTAAGCACCTCCACAAGATTGATGAACACACATTGATGACTCTAGAATTGGAATCATCATTTGAGAGTTGTCGACAACGTGTTGATGACTTTGATGATCTAATAGACAAGACAGAACAGAGTATAGTATTAATAATAATGGTTTGTGAAACAAACAAGCAATGATCTTGATCATCTAACAGAAGGTATTGTGAAAATGAATGAATGTAATAACTGATCTGATGATGTGATAATATAACAATAATAATATATTGTTATAACAATAATAATCGATTGAGAGTGAGAAAGATCAAACCACCACACTTTTTTTTTTTATTATTTGTTTTCCAAGTACTCATTCCTCTGCTGTCTTTTGTATATGCAAATATTTGTAGATAATTATATTAATTTCAATTAACTAAAAGAATAAGTTTCTGTTGCTTCATCAATTTGATTAATTTCCAAGACTCAGACTGTGTACCATTCTCCCCCAGGTCAGACTGACCAACAATGATGAGGATGATATTTTCTCCTTCATGTTAACCTTCAGGGAGAATGGTAATGTACATAGAGTCGTTAATTTACAGATTTACACAGTATGAGTATGAGGGATGAAGCGAACGAAGTGAGCAGAAACAATTTTTAGGAGGATGGGTGAGTGCACACACTTTTTTTTTTAGTGTTGGGGAAAGTAGAAGTTCATTATATATCTCTTTACAGTAAATATTTGTACTAGAATCGAAAAGGTATAAAACATGTCAAGCAGTATGTATGCATCAATGACAAGACACCCCCTACAATGTTTCACTGTAACCCAATCCCAGATATTTCTCGTTGGAAATCAGGATAAAATGCGATTCTATAAAAAAAAAAGAAAACGAATCAGATATTTATGTTGGTATCGTGGCTTTTGTTTGGTTTTGTGTAAGTCATGAGGTCTTAAAACATAACCTCTACATTTTAAAATTTTAATCTTTTTATTCTTTTGTTTATAAAATTTTATCCTTTTATTCTTTCTTCTCTCATCATATAATTTCTCTAGAGATAGATAGATAGATAGACCAGACAATGAAAAATAATTATTATTATTTTTCAATATTATTATTTTTGGTGATGTTCATCATCAGTCATGATAGTGGTGTTGTTTATTCTCAAACTCTATCACAAGCCGAACGTATGTATAATTAATAAATAAGTAAAAGAAAAATACAAATTAGCTAAGCCCTATCTAACATCAAATTATTATTCACAAGTTGACTCTGCTATATGGATCACTCAGCAATATAGATTTGCTACCATCGCTCCTACACAAGCTGGTATATGTGGTAGTAGTATATTCACTTGTGTTCAACTGCCATCAGGATTCCACATTACAACAATGTAAGTAACAATCAGATAAGAATACATCACGATAATATAATAATCTATCATCATATGTATACTGATCAAAATTATATTTATATTGATCAATATATAGAGCATTTAGTGGTGGTGGAAGTGGAGCGATAGTACAACCAAATCCAACACTAGTATTTAGTTTTCCAGAGTTGACAATGTTTGCCAATAATGTAGTCGGTGTAGCAAATGTCAACTTGAATATCTTGGATAGACTAAGAGATTTACCAAAACTACAAAAGTTATAGTATGTATATACATATTATGATTCTAATCTATCTTTGTAATGATTCTAATCTATCTTTTAGTCTAAACTATGACCAAACAGCAAAAAGTATGCCAGCTGATTTCGCTGAACATCTTCCTTCGTTGATTGATTTCAGAGAGCTTTTATGTCCATTGACAACGATTGATCCGTTGTTTAACAACTCTATCCTTCAAACTCTGCAGGCTGGCCCATTAACACATCTTACGATTGATCCATCACTCAATCTTTCAAAACTTGCAACGCTCACGCTGACAGTCAATCCATCAGTACCACAGACATACATTATTACCCAAAATTCATTCCCAATGTTGAGAGAAGTGTAAGTGTCATAATATTATATTATATACTATCATATGAATCGTATTAGTATACTAATAATAATAATAATAATGTTATAATATTGTTTTGATCCACTGTTATAGAACTATCACACAAGGAGAAGGTGCACCTTTAGCAGTCAGAATCAACTCTACTTTGATTACAAATATAGCAATTGATGGTCAACTAGGAGCGGTCGACCTTGCCATTGACTCGCCACCTTCTCTTGTCACTACTTTGTAAGTGTGATTTATTATTATTATTGGATTAATCAAAATTAATTTCTTTTTCTTTTCTTTTTTTTTTTTTGAATATAGGGTATTAAATGGATTCGCATCTACAATCACTCCAAGTCTTGATCAGTTGATTGGTTTGGAGTCATTGTAAGTACTTTATCCAACCCATTTGACCATTCCCAATCCTAATTAATTTAATTTTTAAATTCTACATTTATATATTTATATTTATTTTAGAACTATCAAGAATTCTTCAATGACGGTATTTCCATTTGATACATATCCACCACAATTGAGATATCTTGATATTTCATATTCTCTTTTGACTTCATTCCCAACTATTCCACTTGCTCCTAAAATGACTCATTTGTAAGTAATCAACTACTACACCGAAAGATGATAGTAATCAATCGGTCGGTCAGTGGGTCAGTCAGTGTATATATTAACCTTTTGACAAAATAATCTTTAGAGTTTTACAAAATACTAAGATACAAGGTGAGGTACCATGGACCCTTTTTCAGAATAAAATATTATTCGATCTTGATATTCAAGATAATATTGGTATTATTGGAACCGTTCCTCAATCATATTGTCCAAACAAAATAAATATGATGAGAACTTCAATATCAAACGTGCCAGGTAATTATATAACTCACTTCAATCTCTAAAGCAAAAAGAGTACATTTGTAACTAACTAATTTAATTACCATTTTATTAATTAATTAATTGTAGATTGTTTTTGGTGCTATGTAAATAACCCTACTGTATTTCAGACAACTCTTCCAACCCCTTCAACATTATCATGTAGTATGTAGAATATATATATAATTTCTTTTTAATTAATTTTATTAATTATTCTTTTTATAAAGTTATTGCATATGAATCTACAAATTTGATATTAAGAGATAAATCCGGTGTTGTTCGTGGTTATCCAATGGGATGGGGTGGCTTGTTTTCAGGATCCGTTTCTTATTGGTTAGATATGATTGGAATGAATGAATTCATGTAAGAATAATAATAATAATAATAATATTATTAGAGATAATAATTAATTAATTTAACCAACATTATTTTTATTTTTATTATTATTATTATTATTATAGTTTTTCTATCAGTTCACCTAATCCTATTTATGGTATAGTGACTCCATTCACTTTTCAAGTTGACTTTTATTATCCAGCGTATCAATTTCCTTTTACTTATTTGGAAACAAAGTTTTCACTTGTTGATGCTACTGTTGTTCAAGTACCAAATGGAGTGTACCAATTAAAACTTGCACATGTTGAAAATATAGAAGCGTCTCTTCCATATTTAAATTATACCATATTGTTGAATGGAACCATTCCATGTCAAGTAACATCGGTCGTTGGTAAAAATATTACATGTAACTCGGCATCTATTATTTCAGAGGGTCAATTAAAGGTTTTTAATTCAAATAACTATTCAAACTCTACTGTGACCATTTCAGTCGGAGACTTGTACCCAGTCATCACCACACAACCATCTACCACAGTCTATGCTGAAATTGGTACCCAACTAGATTTTGAAGGTGTATTTGGTCCCAATCCAAACTTGGCGATTATTTACATCAATGGAAACAATTCTATTTGTATTAATACTGGTACTTCTACATCCACAAAGATTTCATGTAATGTAGAGTTAAACTTTATTGGTGGATTGACAAATGTAACCATCTTGGCTGATGGGTTCCCAAGTACTCCATACTTTGTAAACTACGATACCCCACAAACCAAGTGTCCACAATTAACAAATAATTGTTCGAATCATGGAACATGTAATATTGATGGTCAATGTCAATGCAATATTGGTTATTATTCAAATGATTGTTCAATTGGTAAATATATAATATATTAAACAAATAATTTATTTTTTAAAATATTTAATATTAATTATTTTTTCTTTCTTTTTTTTTTTTTAAAGGATACCCTGTATTATCATCAGGAACATATGATAAACAAAATAACAAATTGATTTGTTTGTTTGGTAATTTTGGACCATATAATCAAGCGAATGTATCTGTATTGGTAAATAGTACTTTGGATTGTGTAGTCACCTACAAATCACAATACAATATTAATTGTACATTGGGATCAAATCCAACAGCTGGTTTGGTATCATTCCAAATTCAAGTTGATAATTTGACTGGTAGTGCAAAGGATTTGTTTTATATTCCGTTACCTAATAATGGAACTAATGGAGGTACAACTACTTCATCAACAACAGGAGGAGGAGAAACAGCACAAGAAAAATGTCAAAGAGAAACATCAAATTGCTATGGTCATGGTAAATGTGATGTGAATGGTGTATGCCAATGTGAATTAAATTATCAACCATTAGATAATTGTTTGACAAAGATTATCAACAACACAATCCAACCAAACAACACATCACCAACTCCTGCTTTTAATATTGATGGTGTAACATTTCTTTTTGAAGTGGTTGCCATTCAAGAGATTGGTATTGACAATGAACTGATATTTGAATTATTGACAAACAAATGGAATTCAAATATTACAAATAGTAGTGATACAACTATTGCAGTGTACAGTCTCAACCATACACTTGGAAACACAACAATCATTACATCAACCATTTCATTCTCTTCAAAACCAAGAGATATTCAATTTGGTTCAAAGGTGCTACACATCAATCCAAATTCAATTAAATTGTCGGTTAATGTAACTGGTTGGAAATACGCTTCAATCCTATCAACACTACGAGTCATCTTTAAAACAACCATCAACAATAATCAAACAATAGAGTTTGATTGTAAAGATATACCAATTGACACTTTAACATTTGATCAAATGTCATCATCACTTCAATACCTCAGAGTCATCAAAGATAATATACAATTTACAGGTAGATTTATCGATTATGTATTGTCAGATGGAAGAGAAGCATTCTCTCGAACCTATCTTATCAACCAAACAAGTGTCCAAGGTGATAAACAATCAAACATTCTCCTCGGAATAAGTATGCCACAATGTCAATCATGTGTTCTCGATCCTGATTTCTCACCATTAATAGTTGACAAGAGTAATGATAGTGGATGTGACAGTAAATCAAATACTTGGAGAATCGTTGTTGGTGTTGTTGTTGGTGGTGTTGCATTACTGGCCATATCAGCTGCATCTGTTTTCTTTTATAGAAAAAAATGGATACACCATCGACAAGAAATATCAATGAGCAATAGACTAGGTTCAATGAGAGATTAGAAAATAAAATAAAACCCAACTATTAAATTAATAAATAATTCTATAAATCAATTAATTGATTAAAATATTTATATTTATCTGTTTTTTCGTTTCCAAGATATTTTATTTATAAATATCAAATTTTATAAATATCTTGGAAAGCCGAAAATGCTCCCAACCATCCTTCGTTTTAAAATTTATCTTTAATTTTATTCATCATCATTTAAAAAGAGATAGATAAAGACAAATGTATAACAATCATTACAATGTTTTGGTTTTTTTCTTTTTGATATTTAGTTTCCTCTTTGTTGGTGTTTATTCTCAAACTCTATCACAAGCTGAACGTATGTAAACAAAGAGAGCAGTTTGTAAACTATCTATTTATTTATATTTTCGATTGATTAAAAAACACAGTTGACTCTGCCATATGGATCATACAACAATATCGTGCTGTCATCGACCCGACGCAAACTGGCATATGTGGTAGTCCAATGTTCACTTGTTATCAACTGCCAACAGGGTACCACATTACATACATGTAAGTTATATTAATGGTAAATCACAATAATTGTGAAATTTATAATAACAAATATTCAGTATTCTGACCAAAATATAAATAATTCTCTATCTATCTATCTAGATCATTTACTGGTGGTAATGGAGACATAATACAACCAAGTCCAACACTAGTATTTAGTTTTCCAGAGGTGACAACGATTAACATCATTTCAGGAACTGCATCAAATGTCAACTTGAATATCTTGTATCGAATAAGATATTTACCAAAACTACAAGGGGTATAGTAAGTACAGTTAGATTTGACAAAGATTTAAATATATATATATATATATTTTAAAATGATTCTAAAAATTGCTTACTGCCCAACTTTATATATATATAGCTTTTTAAATGACCCAACTATAACAAATATACCAGCTGATTTCTCAGATCATCTTCCATCACTTTTAAATTTCAAGGCTATTGGATGTCCAATAACAACGGTCAGCCCGTTTTTTAACAATTCAATGTTACGAAATGTGGAAGTAGGACCATTGACACATCTAACCATTGATCCAACCCTCAATCTGCCCAATCTTGATGAAGTCATTCTTACAATCAATCTAGCAGCACCAGAGGCATTCATCTTTACCCAAAAGTCTTTCCCAAAGTTGAGAAATGTGTAATTGTCATATTCAGAACCCATCATTTATAGTTTACTAATAAGACTGTTTTTTTTTTATCATCTTTTTATTTAGATATATTGACGCAACTGGATCACCTTTGACAGTTAACATTAACTCTACTATGATTCAAAATTTAGGTTTTAATAACAGATTTGGAACTATCAACCTTGTTATTGAATCATCTCCCTCATTGATCAATAGTTTGTAAGTCCAAAGATAGTAGTCTATCTAGATAGTATAGATAGTAGTATGATTATAATTTAATTAACATTTTTTTTTTTGAATCTAGGATATTAAATGGATTTGACTCTACAGTGACCCCAAGTCTTGATCAATTTATTGGTTTAGATTCATTGTAAGTATTCATTCCTGATCCATCCTTTAATTAAAGGATTGTCATCCAGATCTAACCAATTTATTTAAATTTTAGGAGGGTCAGTTATTCTTCAATGTCGACGTTCCCATTTGTGACATATCCTCCTGGTTTGAGATATATTGATTTTTCTAATTCTCTTTTGACATCATTCCCAACTGCTCCAATTCCCAATGATATGGTTTTTTTGTAAGTACTATTAAAGTAATGGTGACTTTAAAGTATATTCATATTAATATATTATTACTTTTTTTTTTTGACCATTCAGAATTTTGAAAATATACCCAAATTCAAGGAGAGATTCCATGGACCCTTTTTGATAATAAAATACAACTTATGCTTGATATTACCGGTAATATTGGTATTACTGGAGCCGTTCCCCAATCATTTTGTCCAAACAAAATATATATGGATGGTACTTCAATAACAAGTGTTCCAGGTCATTATATTTATAAAATAATATTAATAATAATAATAATAATAATAATAATTTAATTAACTAATATATTTCCTTTTCTTTAGATTGTTTTTGGTGCTATTCAAGAAATACTGGTGTATTCAAGACAAATCTGACACCTCCTCTCATGCAATGCAGTATGTTTTTAAATAATATATATATTTATAAAAGCACAAGTTAACCTATTCTATTATTAATCATTTATTATCATTTTATTTAAGATATTGTTTTTGAATCTACAGATTTGATAACTATTGATAGAGTTTCTGTTGCTCGTGGTCACCCAATGGGATGGGGAGGTATCTTTTTGGGCGGATCAAATATTTATTATTCATTGGAGATGATTGCATATGACGCATACCGGTATGTACATTCTTTCCCAACCAACCAACACTTTCGAAACAAGCTTTTTATTCTTTTTCTAATTCTTTTTTTTTTTTTAATTTAAAAATTTTAACAGTTTTACCTTGGGTACAGCTATATATGGAATTAAAACTCCATTTACTATGATGACCGATTCTAATTATCCAGAGTATAGTTATAGTTTTACTTATTTGGAAGTAAAGTTTTCACTTGCTACAGTGAATGTTGTTCAAGTACCAAATGGATTATACCAATTACAACTTATACATGTTGAAAACATAGAAGATTCGCTTTTATCTTTAGACTATTCTATATCGATAAATGATACGATCCCATGTTCAATATCATCTATCGTTGGAACTACTATTACGTGTACTCCTACATCAACCCTTTCAGTAGGTCAACAAGTAAATGTTTTCAATTCAAACAACTATTGGAATGCTAGCATGACCGTTATAGTCACAAACTTGTACCCAAACATCACCCTCCCCACCACAACCAATGCTCAAATTGGTGGTCAACTCACTTTCCAAGGTACATTTGGTCCAAATGTAAACTCGGCCATTATTTACATCAATGGAGACGATTCTATTTGTATCATTGGTGGTTCAATGTCTTCAGTTCTTATATGTAATGTAGTTTCAAATTTTGTAGGTGGACTAACAAATGTAACCATCTCGGTTGATGGGTTCACGAGTACTCCATTTTTCGTAAACTACACTACCCCACAAACTGAATGTTTACAATTAACAAATAATTGTACCAATCATGGAAATTGTGATATTAATGGTCAATGTCAATGCAATAATGGTTATTATTCAAATGATTGTTCAATTGGTAAATATTAAAATAATACAAATAATAATATTAAATATTAATTAATATTCTTTTTTTTTTTTTTATAGGATATCCTGTATTATCATCAGGAACATATGATAAACAAGATAACAAATTGATTAGTTTGTTTGGTAATTTTGGACCATATAATCAAGCAAATGTATCTGTATTGGTAAATAGTACTTTGGATTGTGTAGTTACCTACAAATCACAATACAATATTAATTGTACTTTGGGGTCAAATCCAACAGCTGGTTTGGTATCATTCCAAATTCAAGTTGATAATTTGAATGGTAGTGCAAAGGACTTGTTTTATATTCATTTAAATAATGGAACTAATGGAGGTACAACAACTACTTCATCAACAACAGGAGGAGGAGGAGGAGAAACAGCACAAGAAAAATGTCAAAGAAAAACATCAAATTGCTATGGTCATGGTAAATGTGATGTGAATGGTGTATGCCAATGTGAATTAAATTATCAACCATTAGATAATTGTTTAACAAAGATTATCAACAACACAATCCAACCAAACAACACATCACCAACTCCAGCATTTAATATTGATGGTGTAACATTCCTTTTTGAAGTGGTTGCCATTCAAGAGATTGGTATTGACAATGAACTGATATTTGAATTATTGACAAACAAGTGGAATTCAAATATTACAAATAGCAGTGATACAACTATTGCTGTCTATAATCTCAACCATACACTTGGTAACACAACAATCATCACATCAACCATTTCATTCTCTTCAAAACCAAGAGATATTCCATTTGGTTCACAGGTGCTCCACATTAACCCAATTCAATTAAATTGTCGGATAATGTCACTGGTTGGAGATACGCTTCAATCCTATCAACACTACGAGTTATCTTTAAAACAACGATCAACAATAATCAAACAATCGAGTTTGATTGTAAAAGATATACCAATTGACAGTTTAACATTTGATCAAATGTCATCATCACTCCAATACCTCAGAGTCATCAAAGATAATATACAATTTACAGGTAGATTTATCGATTATGTATTGTCAGATGGAAGGGAAGCATTCTCTCGAACCTATGTTATAAACCAAACAAGTGTCCAAGGTTCTGATGACAAACAATCAAACATTCTCCTTGGAATTGGAATGCCTCAATGTCAATCATGTGTTCTCGATCCTGATTTCTCACCATTAATAGTTGACAAGAGTAATGATAGTGGATGTGACAGCCAATCAAATACATGGAGAATCATTGTTGGTGTTGTCGTTGGTGGTGTTGCATTACTGGCCATATCAGCCGCATCAGTCTTCTTTTATCGAAAGAAATGGAGTCACCAGAGACAAGAAATATCAATGAACAGTAGACTACGTTCAATGAGAGAGTAGAAAAAAGAAATTAAATAGCAAACAAAATTTGGATACGATAAGAATTAAAACAAATATCTTGTGTTTTATCAAAATATCTTGGATATAGCCCGAGCTCACGTTTTTTTTATTGATCATATAATTTTGAAAGAAGACGATCTTTTTTATTCATCATTGAGAAAGGCGGGTTGATAAATAGAAAGAGATAAAAATGAATAACCATTACAATGTTTTATTTGTTTTAGTATTTTTATTCAGTTCTGTTGTTGTATATTCTCAAACTCTACCGCAAGTTGAACGTATGTAAAGAGATCTCTGAAATCAGCCCAATTTTTTTTTTTTTTAACAATCTATTTATATTTTGATTGGCTGATGTCTTGAACACGAATATAAAATAACTAGTTGACTCTGCCATCTGGTTAACACAACAATATCTTGTCACCATCGCCCCTACGCAAACTGGCATATGTAGTAGTGGAGGTAGGTTCACTTGTACTCAGTTGCCATCAGGATACCACATTACTAGCATGTAAGTACTATTTTAATTTGTACATTAACATACACCTCCACTGTACTGACCAATAAAATCACTCCATATAAATCTTAATATAGATCATTTACTGGTAGTACTGACCCATCAACTCAACCAAATCCAATGCTAACATTTAGTTTTCCAGAGTTGGAATCATTTTCAATCACTGCTGCCTCTGTATCAAACGTAAACTTGAATATCTTGAATCGATTGAGAGATTTACCAAAATTACGAGTGATATCGTAAGTACAATTTTAATAATATCATTTTTATTCCTCTTCCTTCTCATCCTAACATTTTACCAAAAAAATTTTCTTCATCTCTCTAATAGCCTATTCGATGACCCATCGGTAGTAATTGTACCAGCTGATTTCTCTGAACATCTTCCATCACTAGTCAATTTCAAAGCTGTTGAATGTCCATTGACAACGATCGACCCGTTGTTCAATAACTCTTTGCTCCAATTTTTAGAAGTTGGACCATTGACACATCTGACCATTGATCCAACACTCAATCTATCCAAACTTGAACAGATCGTTTTGACACTCAATCTAGCAGCACCAGAGACATACACCATTACTGAAAAGTCGTTCCCAAAGTTGAAAAATGTGTAAGTGTTATAATCGACTATCCATCATTTATACTCTACTAATACTTTATGTTTAATGTCAATTTATAGATATATCGATCTAACTGGTTCACCTTTGACACTCAATATAAATTCTACTATGATTCAAAATATAGGGTTTAGTGATATGTTGGGAACGGTCAACCTTGTTATAGACTCGCCACCATCTTTAATCAATAGTTTGTAAGTCAATTATTAACATTTTATCCTGATATTAAGATTTTATTATTATGGATATTAACATTCTTTTTTTTACTATAGGGCATTAGTTGGATTGACAACTACAGTCACTCCTAGTCTTGATCAGTTTACGGGGTTGGAATCATTGTATGTGTCTATTCATCCAAACATAAAAGACTGTCATCTAACCAATTTATTTATTACCGTATTTTAGGAGATTCTCGTATTCTTCATTGACCACATACCCCTTTGTAACATATCCACCACGATTGAGATATCTTGATTTTTCATATTCTCTTTTTACATCATTCCCAGCAGTTCCAATAACTAATACATTGGATTTTTTGTAAGTATATATTAAAATTATAAAGATATATAAATAAGGAGGAGTATTAATATTATTGTTTAGAATTTTGAAAAATGGTCAAATGCAAGGTGAGATTCCATGGCACATTTTTGATAATAAATTATTATTCAGCCTCGATATTGCCAATAATATTGGTATCAATGGAACAGTTCCTCAGTCATATTGTCCAAACAAAATATTAATGGAAAATACTGCAATTACAAGTGCACCAGGTAACCTAATATTTAAATATATCAACAAAAATGCAAAAGATATACATTTGTAACTTATCTCACCCCTTTCTTTTATTATTATTATTATTATAGATTGTTTATGGTGTTATAAAAGAAATTCAAATAATTTCAAGACTACTCTACAAACACCTGTTGGTCTAACATGTAGTATGTAAAAAATATGAAATATTATTATAGTTGTGTCAATTCATTACTAATAATATTTCTTCTTTATTTTTTATACAGATATTGTTTTTGAAACTACTGATTTGATAACTATTGATAACGTTGCCATTGTCCGAGGCCAGCCCATAGGTTATGGTGGTTCGTTTGTGGGTGGACCAAATGTTTTTTATAGTTTGGAAATGATCGAATACAATACATTCCTGTATGTATACATACCTTTCTCACCTGTCACCCAAATTAGTATTATTTATAAATTAATACTCATTCTTATTATTTTCAATTTCTTTAATATATTTATAATTTGATAGTTTTACCTTGGTTTCAACTATATACGGAGTGAAAACTACTTTTGATATGAAAACAGACTCTGATTATCCAGAGTATAGTTATAGTTTTACATACTTGGAAACAATGTTTTCAATGGTTGGTATAAATATTGTTCAAGTACCAAATGGATTGTACCATTTACAACTGGTACATGTTGAAAATATAGAAGATTCACTTTTATATTTAACTTATTCCGTAATGATAAATGATACAATTCCATGTTCAATATTATCTATTGTCGGAACTATTATTACGTGTACTCCTATTACACCTGTTTCATTAGGTCAACAATTAAATATTTACAATTCAAACAGCTATTGGAATGCTAGTATGACCATTACAGTCGAAAACGAATACCCAAACATCACCCAATCCACAACAACCAATGCTCAAATTGGTAACCAACTGATTTTCTATGGTTCATTTGGTCCAAATGTAAATTCAGCCGTTATATACTTTAATGGGAATAATTCTATTTGTATCACTGGTGGTTCAATGGCATCCATGTTGATATGTAATATAGCTGCCAATTTTGTTGGTGGATTGACAAATGTAACCATAGTGGTCGATGGTTTCACAAGCCCTCCATTTTTTATAAACTACGACACTCCTCAATCCATATGTCCACAATTAACAAATAATTGTTCAAATCATGGAACTTGTAAAATTGATGGTCAATGTCAATGTAATGCTGGTTATTATTCAAATGATTGTTCAATTGGTAATTATACAATCACAAACAAAAATTAATTAATTTTTTTTATTAATATATTTTCTTTTTTTAGGATACCCTGTATTATCATCAGGAACATATGATAAACAAGATAACAAATTAATTAGTTTGTTTGGTAATTTTGGACCATTTAATCAAGTAAATGCATCAGTATTGGTAAATAGTACTTTGGATTGTGCAATCACCTACAAATCACAATACAATATTAATTGTACACTGGGATCAAATCCATCAGCTGGTTTGGTATCATTCCAAATTCAAGTTGATAATTTGAATGGTGGTGCAAAGGATTTGTTATATATTCATTTAACTAATAATGGTACAAATGGAGGTACAACCACTTCATCATCCACGACCAGTGGAGGGGGAGAAACACCAGAAGAAAAATGTAAAAGAGAAACATCCAATTGTTACGGTCATGGTAAATGTGATATCAATGGAATATGTCAATGTGAATTAAATTATCAACCATTAGATAATTGTTTGACAAAGATTATCAACAACACAATCCAACCAAACAACACGTCACCAACTCCAGCATTTAATATTGATGGTGTAACATTTCTTTTTGAAGTGGTAGCCATTACAAGAGATTGGTATTGACAATGAACTGATATTTGAATTATTGACAAACAAATGGAATTCAAATATTACAAATAGCAGTGATACAACTATTGCTGTCTATAATCTCAACCATACACTTGGTAACACAACAATCATCACATCAACCATTTCATTCTCTTCAAAACCAAGAGATATTCCATTTGGTTCACAGGTGCTCCACATTAACCCAAATTCAATTAAATTGTCGGTTAATGTCACTGGTTGGAGATACGCTTCAATCTTATCAACACTACGAGTTATCTTTAAAACAACGATCAACAATAATCAAACAATCGAGTTTGATTGTAAAGATATACCAATTGACAGTTTAACATTTGATCAAATGTCATCATCACTCCAATACCTCAGAGTCATCAAAGATAATATACAATTTACAGGCAGATTTATTGATTATGTATTGTCAGATGGAAGGGAAGCATTCTCTCGAACCTATGTTATAAACCAAACAAGTGTCCAAGGTGACGACGAGCAATCAAACATTCTCCTTGGAATTGGAATGCCTCAATGTCAATCATGTGTTCTCGATCCTGATTTTTCACCATTATTAGTCGACAAGAGTAATGATAGTGGATGTGACAGCCAATCAAATACATGGAGAATCATTGTTGGTGTTGTCGTTGGTGGTGTTGCATTACTGGCCATATCAGCTGCATCTGTTTTCTTTTATAGAAAAAAAAGGATTCTACGTCGACAAGAAATATCAATGCAAAACAAACTAAAGCAAATGAGAGAATAGAAAATTCAACTCTATTTAATAGTTCCTATTTTATAAAATATAAATAGTTTTAATACCTCTTTCCAATTTAATTAAAAGACCTATAAATATATATATATAAATAAAATAAAAAATAATAATAATGATTTGATAGAAAAATAAATTGGCTGGATTTTCAATACTTTGTAACCCAAATCCATCCAACATGATTGGAACGAAATTCAAAAATTCTATCTCCTGATCCCAATTGTATAGGTCCTAAATCTAAATAAAATTAATTAATTAATTTGATCAATGAAAAGATATTTTTTAAAAATAATACCTACTGGCTTCGTTTGTTACAGAATTGATAACCGCTTGGAATACTTCAGCACTTTTGAAATTAAAGTTCAACAGTGGTCTGAGATTTTGAAGTGTAAATCTTCTAGGGTTGATTTCCCGTAAAGGAGTCTCGTGGGGAAGGGTAGCCATTGAGGTATCGATATAGTTTGCTAAAACATTTGCGACATGTAAACGAGCATTAACTGGAATTTGATCATGAAATCTGATTGTTACAAAGATATCTTCGTCTTCCATTGGAAAAAGAAATAATAAATATTAAATTAAAAAAGTTATAGATTTAATGATTACATACCATTCCCAAAGATGAACATTAATACCTGTAAAACTAATCTAAAAAATCTTTTAAAAGGATAAATTAACAAATTTACGACAGAATACTTTTTTCAGTAATAAATGATTATAATAATAAAAGAAAGGGTTTTTATACCAGATTCTATTTCCTTTTTAAATAATTTTAATTATTAAATGTTTACATTGTATGTGTGCACCATTCACACCTTCTACAAAAAATATTCAGATTGGACAAATGACTTTCCAAAATTTTTTTTTTTTCTTCAAATACATCTTAATTATTTGTAGATAACCGACCTCTTGTCAACTATTAATGGTGAAAAAATGATTGACATTGAGGCATTCCAATTCCAAGGAGAATGTTTGATTGCTCTATCAGCCGCATCTGTTTTCTTTTATAGAAAAAAATGGATTCTACGGCAAGAAATATCAATGCAAAACAAAATAAAACCCATTTAATATTTCCTTTAATATATAATTCTATAAATAGTTTTAATACCTCTTTACAATTTAATTAAAACTACCTATAAATATATATATATAAATAAAATAAAAAATAAAAAAGGTTGATTTGATTTGTAATAGATAAATAGATATAGATATAAGAATTGGTTGTTTTGTGTTGAGTATTTGGTTAGTTACCAACCACCAAACTACATGCCAACAATAACAAAAATGATTTGATAGTTGTGAGAAAATTAAACGATAGTAGATGAAATACTATAGGGAGTCATAAGTTTGTTGACGACATCAACATTGTCATGCCACTTGACTTGGTTGTTGGATGAGGAGATAAAGTTTAGTTGTTTCTCCTTGTTTTCAGTAACTTCTAAAACAACTTGTGAAACTGTTAAAAGACTGAATGAAGTGGATGATGAAGAAGAGGAAGGAGGGGATGAAGTAAGTTTCTTGTGATGAACCTTTCCAACTTCAATAGTAGAAGAAGAAGAAGGAGGAGGAGGAGGAATACTATTGATTTTAGTATCACAACGACCACCTTCTTCATTGATAAGACTGATGATTGCTTCTTCAGTGATTGGTTTTACATCCAAATCCAAAGTATAGGTGGCATAGGTAAAAAAAAGTAGATGATTAAAAGCAACAGTTCAAACACTGATTGGTTTGACCGTGCGTCGAATAGTTGAGAGATAATGCATTCAACGACATCAGCTTTACGCTTGATTGGTCCTCCTGCTGCGAGTTGTGTAGCATCCATAACATGAATGATTCCAAAATGATCAAACATTTTGGCAAGTGTTGCATTCTTGGCTGCTTCAGATGTAATATTTGTACCCATTCCTGGTGTAAAATCACTATTTGGTATAGTCTATAAAATAAATTAATAAATAAATAAAGTAATATTAATATTTAAAACTCTATATTTAAATAAATGCATTATCTCTATCTCTCTTTCTCTTACCTTTCTGATAATTTGAGTTAACAAATGCTCTAGATATCTGTCGCCATAGTACTCTCCATTTTCAAAATCTTGTTTACAGCTGATAGGTCTCAAAGAGTATGTCAGTACACCTTGATCAGCTTGTGATTTGAGTAGTCTAAGGCATTCCTTTCCAATCTTGATAGAGTTACTTTGATTAAAAAATATGGTGTCTTTGGTGGTTGTTACTGCCGCTGTTGAAAGAGAGTAATATTTATCTCTTTTGTGTTGATACTGATGTTGTTGAGGTTGTTGAGGTTGAGGTTGTGAACGTTGTTTGATTGCACTAATTATCTGTTTGGCAACTGTTGATGTTGATGTTGATGCTGCCGCTGTTTTACTGTCGCCTCTGCTACTATTACTATCTGATGAGAAATAATAGGATGAAGATGATGCTAATGTAAGAGGAGATAAAAGTGGTATATGTATTGATGTAGAGGACATAAAAAGGGGGGTTGTATAACTAAAGTTATAAAGCTAGTATAAATAAATAAATAGAAATATTTGTAGTTTTCATTAATTAATGAGCGAGAATGCTTGCAAAGTTTCCTTTTTTATGTTTTCGTGGATAAACTTTTTTTTTTTATTCTTTATGATTTCCCAACTCTCTCAACCCATTCCAAATCCGAGTGGATATGGATATTTTTTTTCCAAATAAGAAATAATAATAATAATAATTCGATAGAATTTACATTCACAAATAAGTGATCCAATATATTTTATTTAATTTTCTTTTAATTTAAATTTAAATTTTCTTTGATAGTTTAGATGCAAGACGTTTCCTATAGATATCATTGTCGGGTAGTTTAGTGCTACTAATGGTGGAACTAATTGGTTGAGCGGAATTTAAAGGTGTGGTAGTTGAGGTGATGTTGGATGTTGGTTGTACGACAGATGATGATGGTAAAGGTTGGGATGACGAAGGTACTGGAGCCGGTATGACGTTGGGTTTAATTGGTTGATCATTTGGTGGTTGTTGATCTGACAATTGATTACCGTTGTTGCTATTGTCTGGTTCATCTATTTTTCTTTTACCAAGTAGTTGTTGTTGTGGTGGTTGTTGTTGTTGGCCACCACTCATTCCCGATGTTGGTGGTGACTGATTAGATCTATCTGTAGTTGTTGGTGTCGTTGGTTGTGAATTTTGTTGTTGTTGTTGTTGTTGTTGTTTGTTAAATGATTGGTTTGGTGGCATATTATTATTATTGTTATTATTTATATTTCCCATATTTATATTTTGGTTCATTCCGCCCATATTTCCACCTCCCATATTTCCTCCCATATTTCCACCACCCATATTTGGATTCATTCCTATATTGATTCCGGCCATTGCCATCATTTGTAATAGTTGTGGAGGGAATTGACTTTCTTTGATCAACATCATCAATTGATCAACATCTACCCACGGCCCATTAAATTGTTGAGGAGGTGGATAAAACTGTGCGATTGGCATGAGAAAGTCGGGTATACCATTAACCATACCACCCATAACGCCACCTCCCATACCACCACCCATAATACCAGGTGGCATATTATTTGGTGGAACATTGATTGATTGAATTGGTGGTGATATTTCACCTGATCCACCTATACCACCACCCCCACCACGTGCTGATATCTTGCCCATTTCATTTCTATACAATATCATTGCTGATGTGTCTGGTCTGCTTGCTTTTAATGTAGACAATGGTATTTTTGTTTGTGATGTTGGTTTGTCTTCTCTTTCATTCTTTTCATCTCCTCCTCCTGCTCCTCCTCCACCACCTCTATGATCCCATTTTCCACCTCCACCACCTCTTGCATTTCTATATTTGTTTGATGAATAGGACGATGATGATGTGTCTTGATCATCTCCACCATCTTCATCCATATCATCCTCATCTTCACCGTCGTCACGTAAAAGATTCTTTGACATGATTTCAATCTCGTTTGGATGACACGGCCATAGATTGAGGAATTTATATCGATTCAAATGCTGTAGTAGACTATGTTTTTCAAATGCTGGTGATAATCCAGCCACCCTCTTTTCCAATTTAATGACTGTTGCCAAATCTTGATTCTGTCTATACTCAAAATCAAGATACTTTCTCCAAAATGCTTCACTCTTTTCTTGTGGTATAACATTTGATAAAATCTTTTCAAACAATACTCTTGTATCTAAACAAATAAAAGAAATAAACAAGTAAATAAATATTAGTAAATATATATTTCTTTTTTTTCTTTTTCTTTTTTCTTTTTTTTGTTTTATATTTACTATTTTCTTCATTTAAATTTGATAAGAAATCAACATAGAAATTGACAAAGGTTATATCTGTACCAAACTTTTTAAGACCAATTTCAAAGATATCACGGGCAGTTTTGGTGTCTTGGTTGATATAGTATTCGATGAATCCCAAGGCAATGTAGACGTGATAGGTGCAATCTGGGGATGACTTGGCTCGCTTGAATACCTTTCTTGGACCCTCGATACGTTCGTGACGACGCGAGAATCGCATGTACTGGATCCACACGAGTGGCGGTGTGGATGGCGCAGTGGCAGTGATGAGCTTCTCGTAAATCTCTTTGGCCTTGTCGACCTTTTTGCTCGACTCGAGCACGTCGGCATGTGAAAAAGAGAGAAACAGCGAGTTGGGAATCGCTGTGAGTCCACGCTCATAAAACTGGCACGCCGCATCGACCGACCCGACATCAACCTGATAACAAGCCGCTTCATGCCAGATATCTGGGTAAAAGTAGAGACATAGTAGACACTGGTTGTAAGTGGCCGTGACTCTGTTACGCAGTTGCACAGCATCGAATCGTTGTGGGTTGGTCTTTTCATAGGCGATGAGACGACGCCATAGACGCACTTGATGAGCTTCTTTATCGGATGCTCTGGGTGGTTTAGCCAACATGTTACGTAGGATACCTTCTAAAAGTGCCTTTCTCTCTCGATAGACATTACGTGCGTGTTGGAACTTGGACAAGTGTTCGGCCAACATGGTCTTGGCCAACTGCTTGCTCATCGACATTTCAAACTGCTCATACTCTTTCCAGAGGGCGTCGAGGTCGTGCATTGGGTTCTCGACCGCACGTTGGTACAGTTTTCTCAACGAGTTCATACGGTGTCCTTCGTCTTGTGGGTTGGTTGCTGCTGCACGATCCTCTCGCGAGAAGCTGATATACTCGATCCAGACGGGGGTCGATGCAATGTCCATGCCAATGTACTCGAGTGCCAGTTCAAACGCCTTGATCACCTCTTCTCGGTCGTTTTGCTGGCCCGATCGAATATACTGGATGTAAGTGCGCCACAACTCTACGTTTCTCACACTTCGCAGTGCACGCACAAAGATCTTTTCCACTTGTTCGTTGTTCTTTGCTGCCATCTCTTGTTCGACATACAACTTCCAGTATCTGCCTGCAGTTGGAAAGACGGCCAAGAATCGTTCGTAAATGTCTCTTGCAATGTTGATAGGCTGTGACTGCACCTCGTTCAACAATAACGTCCATGCCTCTGTATCATACTTGTCCGATGTAATCCTCGCCTCTAATTGATCAATCGCTACATTTAATCTCTTTCCAATGGCTGGCATCACCGATGCTATACTTGATAATGGTACAGGTGGTGATTTTAATATTGTTATTGTTGGTTTTTGTTTTGGTTGATTTGATTGTTCTTCTTTTTGTTCTTGTTGAATTGATTGTTCTTGTTGATTTGATTGTTCATCTTTTTGTTCTTCCTTTTGTTCATCTTTTTGATGCTCTTCTACAACATCTCCATTTGAACCAGCACCAACACTACTTCCATTTGTAACAGTAGTAGTAGTATTATCAGTATGCTCTTCTGATGAACTGTTCAGTGGTGGTTCAGCGGTAGTCGTGGTGGTATCCATTGCCGATGTCTCTTCTACCACCACCGTTGTCGTATCTGTATTTGTATTTGTTAATGGTGGTGTAGGTGTTGTTGTTGTTGTTGTTTCTGTATTATTGTTATTATCTTGTTGTTGTTGTTGCTCCTCTGTTGTTGTTGTTGTCTCGGGTGCGACTACTTGTTCAGATGATGATGACACATCATGACCATCTTGATTATCTTCCATGACTACTACTACTACCGATCAGATAACAATATGATCATATATATATATATACACACAAACTATAAAAAGAAGAAGGATTATACTAATTTAATATGTGTCTGTCTGTGTCTGTCTTTGGTCGAATACAAAGTAATATTATTCGATGTGGGCTAAAAAGCTTTTTATTTATTTTTTTTGAAGTTCCTCTTTTTGAATCCTAAATATTATTTACTTGTGTTGTTAGAAATAGAAATGGCTTATATCTATCTATCTATCTATCTATAAATTGGTTTAAATTAAATCAAAGACATTCATTATCTATCTATTATAATTTATATTTATATTATTTATTATTATGTTATTAATCCAAAAATACAATCAATATTGATTAGTTGTCTCTGGTAGAAAGTACAAATAAAGCCAAAACACCAACCAACAAATACTTTAATTGGGGATAGTCGTGCATGACAATGGTGACCATACCAACGTATGGAAGGAATCCCTTGACTCTTCCAATGATGTGTTCTCTACCCAACCAGTTTTGTCCCTCTGCATATAATTGTTTATCGTGAATAGTATTATTATCTCCCTTTGTTAATATTTCGTATAATCCATTGGCACTAATAGAAATGAATAATAATAACATATATTAGTATAAGTGTAAAACAAGAATGATTGATCGACAGTTTCTCTCTCTCTCTATTTACTCTTCATGAACCTCTAAAACACGATGAACGATTGGAATATCTTTGCCTTCAATCTTGAATACAACAATCTCACCAACTCTGAATGGACCATCATTCATGTCCAAGTATAAAAGATCGCCTCTATCAAATGCAGGTCTCATACTACCACTGAGTACTACGACGACTGGACTTTCACTACCACTTGCAATCATCAAGAACTTCCATATCATCAATGCTGATGCAACGATCAATCCAAAGTTTACTATTTGTTGTGCAATCTATTGATTATTATTTGTGATACAATATAAGATAAATGATGATTGATTAGATTGATTATCATTATGGTCTGCTGCTGATTGATCGACATACTTGATATTTAGGAATACCATCGAATGGATTAAGTTTCTTTAGATAGTCCATTATCCCTTCTATCTATCTTTGTGACTCTCTGAAATATAATAATAATAAAAGTTAGAATACTAAACGATTTGAATTTAATCAAGGTGGTGATGATCATCACTAAAAATTTGATGACACAGCACTTTATTCATTATTAATTTCTTTCATCGTCTCTATTTATTTATTTATTTATACTTATAATATGTGTATAAATATATATATCTATATGATGTAAAACTATGATAAGATAGATAGATACTGATACCTTAAAATCTTATCATTAGTCAAAGCGATAATGTAGACACATAACCGTTATGAGTTTGGGTTGTTTACAAAACATGTACTTCAAGATAAAGAAGAAAAGAAAAGATAAAGATGCGAAGATAAAGGAATATTCACGAAAAAGGAAAGACAATAATAATATCATTATTGTTATTATACTCTATGGTAGTGAGACGACACACTATAAGAGTAGTGGTGTGTGTGTATGGAAAATTGGTGGTGGGGTACTCAAAGATAACATTGTGTTCATTGCATTGAATATATCTTCACTCACACACATTATACAATATGCAAAGAACGACGTCGATGTTGTATACATTCGAATGTGTAATAAGACACACACACTATGCAACATGCAATAATGAACATTATTATTATTATTCTAAGGAGATAAAAATTAAAGAATCCTACTACTCTTACGACTACTTCATATGTCTATATGGAATGGTATGGAATTATCATAGACATTACATATGTTGTTGTTGTTGTTGTTGTTGTTATGACAGATGATTAGATTGATAAGATAGATAGGATAGGAAGTAGACATTTATATTTATTTATTTTATCACCATATCAACATTTTAATCATGGAACCAATAATTACGAATAATAATAATAATAATAATAGTATAAATAATAATAATCAAAATAATAATAATAGAAATAATAATAGTAATAATAATTTATCACATCTTGGACCATCATTAACACTTCGATTAGATCCTACTATACATGCATCTTCACCTCCACTTTATATTGATATTAAAGATTCCTTACCAACCAACTATAATTATACACACCATCGATCAAGTATAAGTGGTGCCGATGAAATCAAGGAAAAAGACAAGGATCGAGAACGAGGAGGAGGAGGAGGAGGAAAAGATAGAGATGGTAGAGAAAAGGAAAGAGAATCCCTCCTCTTACAAACAGAAGAGACAAAAGAAAAAAGGACAGTTCCATTTAGATTATCATCCTTTCCATCGTTAATTCGATCCATTTCATGGTTATCTATATTCAACAAGATTGCTCATGCATCTTATCATCATAGTATATTCATTCTTTGGTTTTTTGCCAATATTTGTTGTATTTTTGTTACAAAGTATGTTAGAGAGATATAATAACCTATTACCCTGTACCTCTCCATCAATGTACTAATATCTATTTATTTATATTTTTATAGAAAATTAGAAAGTCAATTTCATTTTAATTATCCAATTATTTCAATGGCTATTCAAATGACTGTCAGTTCAATCCTATCTATAATGTGTGCATTTGTTTTACATGTTGGATTTTATAGTCCGTTGAAATTAAAAGAGGTGATATTCAAGATACTCCCTTTTGCAGCACTGCATAGTATCCATTTTATATTGTCGGCTCGTATTACATCACAACATTTACTAGAGTTTACACGATCCTTTATTCCAATCATCACGGTGTTTTTCCAATACTTGGTGTTGCATGTTCGGTTTGATCGTCGTATCTATACATCATTGTTGATCTTTTCAGTTGGTATATCTCTCTTTCATCTGGTTGGACTGGGTAGATTCTGGGGTGTCCTCACAATGAATGATATCTATCACTCTCTCATCCTTTCATCTTTGTTGGCATTCCAGTCGGTCTATGCCCATCGACTCTTTTCGACCACACTCAAAACCATCGACACTGTGACCATCCTCTTGTACTTTTCACCATGCTCACTACTCTTTATCATCCCATCCGCCTTTTTATTCGAATTTGATCAGTTTATGTCCAATCCTCCTGGATTGACAGAATCGTTGGTTGTTGACTCGATGAATAATACAACAACAGCTGTATCCTTATTTACAACTATCGCATCAATCACTGGATTATTATTATGTTCTGGGTTCTTAACTTTTTGTGCTTGTAAGTCAAACACTAATTAAAATATAATATCCAGTGTATTAACCATCAATCTATCTTTCTTTTACTTTTCTAGTTTACTCAACATTTATAATTAATAAGAAATATGATATTATTACAATGTCAATGGCAAGAAATACAAAACCAGTTGCACTCAAGATTATACATGCTAATGGTATATTGGGGTTCCTTCAACACATTAATAATCTGTGTGGAGTTCTTGTTTGTATCTATGGTATATTTTCATTTAAAAAGGCATGGACTGAAACACAAACATTACCTCCTAATCCACAGGATGGTAATGGCCATCATCCATCATCTGAAACAACAATGTCTTTATCTACCACTCCAACAAGTACTACACAAAGTAGTGGTAACAGTATCATTTCAACGCCATTGATGATATCATCAAAGATTCAAACGGCGACTGCTAAAATCCTATCATCTCCCTATCTAACAACTACCCTTTCGATCATGGGTAATTGTCAAAACAATATGTTGGATGATAGTACCAATGGCAATGACAGTTATTACTGTGATGATAGTGAAAAGGGTGCAAGTGTCATTAGTCTATATAAACATTATAGTCATAATAATAACAATAGTAATAATACAGCTATCAATATACAACTTTGATATAGCATAGATTTTATATAAATAAATAAACCTATTTAATTATTATTATTGATATATTGAACAACGTAGTCGTTATGGTTGTTGTTGTTGTTGTTGTGTTGTTGTTGACATCCACAATGAATAGCTTCATCGATCGAAATGTTACAACCAGTGTAAGTGTACAGAATAGCTAGTATAACTATTATCAGATTTGGGAAAAAGAATAATTTTTTTTTTTGCATTGCATGAATCAGTGAGTGCAAAGTCACTTTGAAGTGAGAGAAGCAGGGAGATACACTTTGAAATTAGTTTCATATATTAAACAATATAATATACACATAAATATAATATAGAATGGTATGAATCATCATTTACACAGTAGATAAATAGATAGTAGATAGATATAGATCGATAGAGAGTATAGTGTTGATTGATGATCATCATCATATCTGAAGGCCTGTCTGTTAGACGAAAGAAGGATGAATCGATAGATATGTGCAACACTATAACTAGAAAGAGAGAGAGAGAGAGAGAGAGAGAGAGAGAGAAGATTGCTATAGTATAAAGAATGATTGTGTGCATGCAAAGATTAGAGGAAGAGGAATCAACTTGAACAAAGCAAAGCAAAGCAATTACTAACTCTATTCAATATCTATTTTTATTTGTTACCACTTTGAATAGTTTCACTTTTTATTCTTATTGTCTAGACAAGGAAAGACTAGATTGACTAAATGGTACTCTTCCTTTACCAACAAGGAAAAGTCAAGATTCACAAGAGAAGTTTCAAATATGGTGCTCAACAGACCACCCAAACTATGCAACTTTTTGGAATGGAAAGAATATAAGATCATCTTTAAGAGATATGCTAGTTTATACTTTGTCGTATGCGTAGATAGAACAGATAACGAACTCATCGTATTGGAAACAATCCATCACTTTGTTGAAATTTTAGATAGATATTTTGGAAATGTAAGACACCTCATTTCAAATATACAATATTGTATATCTATATATACTAATCATATATGGTTGTAATACATATAGGTTTGCGAATTAGATTTAATTTTTAATTTCCACAAAGCATATTATATTCTCGATGAATTAATTATGGCTGGAGAATTACAAGAGACTAGTAAAAAGACGGTACTAAGAATTATGGCACAACAAGATGCTCAACAAGAAAATCCTAGCGAACATAAAGTAGATTTGTAATATTTTTAAATAATAGGATTGATCCATCAATCATCATCCTTCTTTCCTCCTCCTCCTCCCTAATAATTAATAATAATAATTAATAATAATTCAATCAAGATATAATATAATATAATATAATAATGAATAATATGTTTTTTAATAACTACGACCAATTTAATCCAACACCAACACCATACAACATTAGTGGTTATTTAATTATTTATTAGCATTTGACAAGAATGATTGAATCTTTTTATCGTCAACAATGGCCAATGAATATTCAGATTGTCGTAATTCTCCACCCATGAATACTCTGGTATTCCGATACTCCATTCTAGATTCTTGTTTGACTCGACCAGACAAATGGATTTCTTTCAACCCCTTTGGTTTCAAAATCTTGACAATCTTGTTTATATTCCTTTCAGTTACACCTCCACCTGGCATTATAATAATTGAATGCGATTTTAATGTATTATTATTATTATTATTATTATTTACAACTTGATTATTATTATTATTATTATTATTATTATTATTATTATTATTATTTGCCAATTCCAACAATTCAGAGATTGTATCAATTCCTTCCATAACAGATGACTCTAATCCACTTGTTAACAAACGATCAATACTTCCAATTGATATTAAATCTTTGAATGCTTCTTTATAATCTCTACACATGTCTATATTTGTGTGTAAGATAGAAATTAATATTAATAATCTTTCCTTCTTCTTTTTCTTTTTTTGTTTCATTCTTACCAAAAGCTCTATGAAATGTAATTGATAGTGGTAATGAACATTGAACCAATTCCTTTGTAACATTAATATCTATGGTTCCAGAGACTGTGAGAACACCAAAAACAACACCATGATAACCCAATTGTTTGACCATTTCAATGTCATGTTTCATTATATCAATCTCTGCTCTAGAGTAGCAAAAGTCACCTTCACGAGGTCTGATCATTACATTGACGGGAAACGATGGTGGTAGATGATCTTTAACTGCTTTCATCATTCCATAGGTAGGTGTCAATCCACCAAGAAACAATGCTGAACATAGTTCCAATCTACTTGCACCTCCTCTAACTGCATTTAAACATGATTCTAAACTATCTACACAAACTTCAATATTAATATCATTATTGTCCATGTTTAATTAATTCTTTTGTATCTTTCTATCTGTTTGTTTTTAAAGTTTTAAATTCAATTGAATTTGATTGTGGTTGATCTGATCAAATCTTTAACCTTTTTTTTTGTTCTTTGTTTAATTTATATACAAATAATTAATTAATAAAATAATTATTTAATTTATTTTTTAAAAGGAAGGTACAACACAAAATAATTATTATATTAGTTTGTGTTGGTGTTGTTTTGTGTTGTTGTATCTTGCTGTGGTGTGATATTGTGATATATATGAGACAAGGTAAATTTAACAGTGGGATGGGATTAGTGGATGGATGGTGGAGTGTACGCATAAAAGATAGATTTCCGGATTTCTTGTATAAAGTATTTGATGAATTGAAAGATGGATTGTGTTTTGTGTTTGTGTTTGTGTTTTTGTTTACTCGAGCTTTGGAGCCAAGAAGAAAGACAAATAACCCAAATCTTCAATCGAGTATTCGACGACGATTGGGACACCATCAGACATCTTCATGGTGACGGTTGGCGAGAGTGGGGTGGCCTTTGTGAAGAAACTGAGGAACTTGAGGGCAAAGTTGAGGGTGACTGGTTCCTTGGAATCGATGGTGGTCGAGTCTTCGGCGGCAATGGACGAGTCGGTGGTTGGACGGACGGTAATGTTACCAGAGCCAGAGTCACCAGAGGTGGAGAACTTGACACCAGCCTTGTCGGCAGAGATAGTGACTACATCACCGAGAATAGAGAGATCACGACAGATTCTTTGTAATTCAGCTGATGGCATCTTGATGACGGCAGAGTATTCAGAATCACGAATACCATATTGTTCATTTCCAATATCAAGTAACTTGATTTCAAAGTCACTAATTCTCTCTTGTTCTAAAACAGGTTGAAATTTAAATATAAATAGATAAATAAATAAATAGATAAATATAAGATAGATATAAGATATTAATATTTGATAATCCTAATCCTTTACTTTTACTTTTACTTTTTTTTACTTCTTTTACATACTTGAACTTTCAAAGACAAAGGTGACAGTATCAGCTTCATCACGAGCCTTGATAGTCATACTATCGTCATTGTTGGCACACTTGAGAACCTTGGAGAGAGATGGGAGTGAGAGACCGAGAGAGAGTGAACGATCGCAAGAGTAGGTTTCAAAACCATCTTGACGGAGCAAGAGATTGATGAGGGTGACGTGAGCATTGTCCATAGCTTGGAGTGAGATACCAGCTGGACTGCAGTCAAAGTTGGCATTCTCTACGAGATCCTTGATAGCTTCAAGAATCTTCTTAAACATACTGGCTTGTGTTAATCTAGCTTCAAACATTCTTCTCTTTTATGTAATATATATATATTATGTAATAATAATAATAGTTATTATACTGTAGATATAAAATATTAAAATGAACCAAGAAAACATGAAAGAGCGAGGAAACAGACAGACACACACTTCCCTCCAAAAAAATTTATTCGAAATTTTCATCTTGGTTTAAATTTTGGCGCCACCAGAAACGGTATGACCGATGAAGAATCTACAAAGAAAGAGGAAGATTTCTTTTGTCTCTATCTCTATTTCTATTTATTACAAATTATTTATTATTTATTATTATTTATATTATATTATATTATCATGTGTTTTTTGTTGTTTATGATGATTGTTGGGTAATATAATATTTTGACGTCTTTTAATCATAAACTCATCGATATACCCATTTTCTATTAATTGTCTAAACTCTTCTAAACTATTGACACAAAGATCTGCCATTTCCTTTGCTTTATCATTATGTTCATTCACTAATAATACACTACATGATCCAAATGCCTAAAAACAAATAAATAAATATTAATTAAGTTAATTAAAATTAATATATTTATATATATATATATTTTGATTTGAGTCTTACTTTGCTAGTTAATAAATCATCTTTGGAATCACCAATAAATAAAATATCTTTTGCATCAATTAACCAATGTTTGCTGATATGTTGACAACCAGCAGGATTTGGTTTGGGTGGTTCTATTTCACGACCGACAAGTGGATCGAATTTATAACCTAGTTGATCTTGAAAGTAGGTAATATTGGCTAGATTGTTACGAGAGTGAATAGCTTTTTTAATATTCAACGTCTCTAACAATTGCATCAACTCGCTGGCACCTGGTTGAATGACCAATTTGTTACGAGCATCCATTTCAAAGTCATGTATAATCTTGTGTCCTTGTACTTGTTGTTCAGGTGTCCAATCTTTAATTGCCTCTAATACATCCCTCGTAGTAGTATGTAATCCAAGGTTTCTTCTAAGTAATCCAAAATCCATCACTGGTAATGTCAAAGTACCATCAAGATCGAATATAATCCCTTTAATAGTTTTCATTGTTTTCATTCCTTCCTTCCTTAATCTATCTCTAATCTATCTATCTATAGGATTGTAATATTACAACTATACAACTATACACTTATACTCTAGTACTAGCAATCTAATCTTTGCAAGAAGAATGCAATGAATGATGTGTGTTTGGTTTGGGTAAAGTAAAAAAAAAATAAAATAAAAAAAGAAAATACATTTTTTGTAAAGTGTGATGGATGAAGGTGAAGGGTGATGTTCATTCATTCATTTTAAAGTGTGTATTATATTTATGTAATATTACAAACGAACGAACGATGAATAGAATAGCATCGACAGGATTATTTACAAGAGCAATAAAGTATGGTGAGAGGATGGCTATTGTTAACACACCCGTTGAAGGGTTGGGTCATCATGGGTCACTCACTTACAATCAATTGTTGAACGAGACGGCAAGACTATCAACCGAGTTGACAAAGCGTGGTGGTCGAACTGACAGAGATGACATTAACCAAGAACGTGTCGCATTCATGACAACTGCATCAACAGACTATGTTTGTGCGCAATGGGGTATTTGGAACGCTGGTGGTGTCGCCGTACCTCTATCACCCCTACATCCTGCCTCTGACATTGAATACTTTTTAAATCAATCAAAGGCATCGGTTGTCATGGCCGACCAAGACAACTATGATAAAGTAAAAGATATAGTTAAATCTCTCAATTGTACACATTGGATTGATTTAATTAAATTGGATAAATCAACTGAAAAATATAATAATCAAAATAACAACAAATATAATAATAATAATAATCAAAATAATAATCAAATATTTTCAATTGATAGAGATAGAAATGCAATGATTATTTATACATCTGGTACAACTAATAGACCAAAGGGAGTGGTTACGACACATGCAAATATCGAGGCACAGATATCGACGTTGGTGGATGCGTGGGGATGGACCGAGAATGACAAGATATTGCAAGTGCTGCCGCTGCATCATGTACATGGTATTATCAACTGTCTTGGGTCTGCATTGTGGAGTGGAGCAGTATGCGAGATGATGCCAAAGTTTAGTGCAAAGGCAGTGATTGACAGATTCGTGCAAGACAAGAACGGTGCACCTAGTCGATACCAAGTACCACCTTTATCCGTGTTTATGGCTGTTCCAACCATCTATGCAAAACTAATCAAATACATTGAAACAGAGTGCGACAATGACGAAAATAGACAAGAGATTAAAGAGGCGTTTCAAAAACTAAGACTGATGGTCAGCGGATCAAGCGCATTACCAGTACCGGTGATGAAAAAGTGGAAAGAGTTGTCTGGACACGACCTACTCGAGAGATATGGTATGACAGAGATTGGCATGGCACTGTCCAACCCACTGCACGGTCAACGTATACCTGGAACAGTTGGCTTCCCATTACCGGGTGTCGAGACCAAGGTGGCCAAGAAATCGGGCGAGTTGCTGATTAGAGGACCACAAGTATTCAAAGAGTACTTTGATAATCCAAAAGCAACGGCCGAGGCAAAGGATCCCGAGGGATGGTTTGCAACGGGTGACATTGTCAGTGTCGATAAGACTGGTCGATACAGTATCCAAGGAAGAGCGAGTGTAGATATTTTAAAGTGTTCTGGGTACAAGGTCAGCGCACTCGAAGTCGAAAGAGAAATACTCGGTAATGAAAAGGTTGAAGATTGTGCAGTTGTCGGTATACCAAGTGTGGAGTATGGTGAAGTCGTTGCTGCTATGGTCGTCGTCAAGCCCGGTCAAACTCTTTCCAAAGAAGAATTGGATCAATACTGTCGTACTCATATCGTCGGTTACAAATTACCTCGTATTCTTCGATTCGTTCCAGAAATTCCAAAAAATTCAATGATGAAAATTGATAAAAAGATTGTAAAGAAAATGATTCAAGATAGTATTCAAATTGATTCTGGTAATTATTAAATAATTATATAATAATTAATGATTAATATTTCATTTAATTTAACTATCTTTTTTATTTTTATTTAGGTGATATAATTTGGTAATAAACCTTTTTGTTTTTATTTAATTAATTTTAATAATATTGCTTCAATGGATGCACCTGGGGAGAATGCCATGACCATTCCATGGTCCATACCGGAACTACCTTCTTGTTTCATGAGGAGGATACGGTTCATGACACGTTTGAGTACGTAGAGTGCGGAGCAGGATACCATGTTACCGTACCATTTCATCACGTCATAAGAGTCGGCCAACTCTTCTTGTGCGAGGTCGAGACCTTCGTGGACAGCCTCAAGGATACGTCGGCCACCAGGATGGACGGCCCAAAAGTGAATGTCTTGCACCGTCAAATTACTTTTGGCCAGGAAATCGGTGATGGTGGGCTTGATATTACGAGCAATGCACATTGATAGCTGAGGACGGAGTGTGAGGTTAATACCCTTGTCTCCAAAATGCATGTGGAGGGCATCGAGAGAATCTTCCATCAGGTACGAGATATCATCGACCATTTCAACATAACCCTTGCCGCCAAGTTGTGAGCGTGGTTGTGTACTGATCAGAGTGGCGACAGCACCATCACTAAATATACAATTGCTGACGAGATCGCCACGACTCGCTAGATCGACTTCCATATTGATCGAGCTGGCCTCGACACACACCAACAGGACATATTTACCGGGACGGGCACGAGCATGAACCCATGAGGTACGCAGGCCGATAATGGCAGCACCACACCCCATAAAGTTGATCATGGTACGTCCAGTTGTGTCAGAGAGACCGAGTTCACGAACAAGAATAGCGTCAATGGACGGAGCGAGCATACCAGTTGAAGTGACACCCACCACATGAGTGATGAGTGAACGGTCAATACCAGCATTTGTAATGACTCTTTCAGCAGCTTGCAAGACAGTGTCTTTGACCAACTTGGTAAACATTAGATTTCTCTCACTAGTCTTGGCATCAATCATTGATAAATCTTTCATGTCAAACCAATAGTGACGTTGACGAATCTTGCAATTACTATAAACATTTCTTAGGAACTCTTTTTCCGGTACACTTGGTTCAAATAATTTCATAATATCTTTTTGTTGTTTAAGATATGGTGCTCCAATTGGTTCAATTCCAATCACTACAGTTGCCATTTCACTTTCCATTATTATTGTTGAATTATTATTAGAAGATGATGAAGAAGAAGGTTGGTGTGATGGAGATTGATCATAATTATTATTTGGTTTGGTAATAATGATATCTTGATCAATTGATTTTTGTTGTTGTTTTTTGTTTAATATTTTATGAATAGTTGTTTTAATCTCCTCTTCTTCTTCTTCTTCAACTATAATCTCTTCTTCCACTTCTATTTCTTCATATTCTTCTTCTTCTTCTGGTTGTTGTTGTTTTGATTCCAATGATGTTGGTGATCCAGATTTTGATAAAATATTTTTAACAATATGATTGATATTTGTTTTACGATCCAATAATGTTAAACTTGGAATAAATACGTTTAACTTGTTTTGAATAGTATTTGAGAATTCAGTTGCCAATAATGAATCCAAACCATAGTCTTTTAATGGTATAGTATTGTCAATCTTTTCCATCTTTACTTCCATGATATCAGACAATACTTGTTTTAATACTTTTTCTCCTTGTTCAACTTGATTAGAGTTGGTTGGTACAGCAACAATTGTGGGAGTAGTTGTTGACAAATTCTTCTTCTTCTTTTGTTTGACTATCTTTTTAATTATTTTCTTTGTTGTTGGAGTTGGAACTAGTTTTGTTTTTGGTTGATCAAATTTATCAATGATGTTTGGTAAAGGTAAATTGGATTTGGGTGTTGATAGGATTATTGGTGATTCAATAGTCAATGGTAGTGGTTTGAAAGGGGCAGGGGTAGTAGTAGTTGAGATGAATGTTATTTTTTGTTGTGGAATAGATTCATTTAATTGAAGGAATGAATTTAATCCTCTAAAGTTGGGAATAGCATTATTCCACTTATTGTAGTTGTAAATGGAAAAGATGATGTTGTTAAAGGATGGATCGTGTTGGAAGCAATTGACAAGACCAGACTCAAGTTGTTGGACACTTGTAAATGGAGTGAATCCCATATTGTTGAGGTTGGAGAGGACCATGTGGTTGGCGGCCATACCAGCGGACGATGGGATTGGAGAGAGGTGGATGCATGTGGCATGTACACCACGTTGTCGGAGTCGATGTGATAGGCCTTCGACAAACCGATTGGCAGTTGCATAGTTTGATTGCCCAAGATTTCCAAGTATCGTTGTACATGAACTAATTGTGATAAAGTAGTCTAGGGTCATGGAAGAAGTTGCATTGGCCAAGTTAATCGCAACACATGCTTTTGATCGAAGTGGTGGTTTGATAGAGTCACTCGACTGATTGTAAATCAATTTATCGTTGAGTACTCCAGTTGCAAGGAACACACCACAAACTGGTGGAAGTGACACCATTCCATATTGAATCAATTCATCTACTTTCATTGGATCCTCTAAATTACATTTCTTGACATGTACATCTACCCCTTGTCCAACTAGTTCACTTACGATTGATTGTCTGTCACCTGACGAGTTGTTATCCATACCTGATCTACTAACAAACACAATGGTTGATGCACCTAGTCGTGCCAATACTCTGGCTGTTGATTGCGCTAAAACACCAAAGCCAGCAATGAGATGGGTACCACCCTCTGACCGAACTCTATGGTTCATTTGAACGGTCAGATCATTGTTTTTGGCAGCATCTAGTTGGTCTTGCGACCATTGTACGATGATTTTGCCGATATGAGTTCCTGCACTCATGTGTCTGATGGATGGAACGAGACGCGACACACCAAACACTGTCAGAGGGAGTGATTCGAGGATGGATTGGTTAAATAATGGCAACATTGAGTTTTCCATCAATTGGGATAGAGTAGATCTCTTGTTTAGGGTCATTTGCATGATATCTACAGCCAAATAAGACAGATTGTTACGGAATGGGTATAGACCAAGTTTAGAATCAGAGTAGATATCTTTTTTACCAATTTCCACAAATCTACCATACGGTGCTACACATTGCAGGCTGTGTCCTACAAAGTCACCAGATAGAGAGTTTAGAACCACATTAACACCATTTCCACCAGTTGCATTCATAAGTGCTTCTTTAAAAGAGAGTGAACGACTATCAAATATTTTATGAGCTGGGATTGAATATGGTGCATTCTGTAAGAACTGACGTTTGTCATTTGTGCCAACTGTTACATAGATATCGGCACCAATATGCTTTGCAATTTGAAGAGCTGCCAATCCAACACCACCACACGCACTGTGAATAAGGATACTTTCCCCACGTTCCAATCTAGCTTGACTTAACAAACTGTACCATGCAGTGAGGAATACCAAAGGAATAGTACATGCCATTTCATCGGTCCACTGATCAGGTGTCTTGAATACAAGATCGGCTGGACAACACACATAGTTGGTCATTGATCGTGACATGTGAATACCAAACACACGATCACCAACCTTGAATGATTTTTCTTGGTCTATACCAGGTCCAACTTGAACAATGGTTCCTGAAAACTCGTCTCCCATAGTGGCCAGTTGATCAACATCATAATCTCTTCCAAGATTCTTGAGAATGTCTCTAAAGTTGAGAGATGAGTTGGTTACCTTGACCTTTACATGGTTTGGTTGTGTTGGCATCTGGTTTGGTTTTTCAACCAATTTTAAAGTCCCAATGATTCCTCCTTGACCAACAATCGCCTCGTATCTTGGGGAACTACTAAAAGTTTCATTTGATTGATATGATTCTAGTTGAGTTTGAATAGGAACCAAATGATAAGTAAATCTTTTACCATTTCTAAAAGCAACTTCCCAATGACTATTTTCACGGTGCAACTCTTTAACGAGTTGTGAAATATTTGATTCATCACTCCAAGGATTAGAGTCCATGTCAATCATTGATACTTGCAGATGTGGATATTCATTTGACACGGTTCTCATCATACCAACGAGTGAATATTGACATAGATTGACAGTGTCTATAGGATTAACATGTTGACCACCTTTGGTAACCATCCACAACTTTCCTCGAATCTCTTGTTTCATTATATTTTGTATCAACGATAGCAAGTTGGCATAATTTCTTTCAACATCCAATACACTGTCAATCATAATTGGAGCAACAGAAGTTGGCATTGGGGTTACATTTGTCTGACTCTGACTTTCAACAAATGAATCGGCGAGTAGGATAAATCTCCATGTTACAGAAGACATTGATCGATGATTCTCTGATAATATTGAAAATAGTTCTTGAAATTGTTCCATTGAATGATTGGGATCGACAGTATTTTTCAATTGAATCACTGTTATTCCATTATTGACAATCTCTACTTCAATGGCATTGTCATTTGATTCATTTTGGTCTTGTTCATCGATTGCTTCCAAATCTTGGTGATTGATAGTTGATGTTTCATCAGATACCACAACATAGATGTTTGATGATTGACCACGACGATTATTACCAAACAACTCTATTAAGTGTTGAGTATAGAATGATGACTTGTCATTTGTAAATATGACGGTTGGTATGTTATTATTGTTGTTGTTGGTATCTCTAATTTCACCTTCATCGCTTTCATTCCATTCGTATCCCCAAAATGATGTTGATTGTTTTTGGGAGGTGGATGAGGAGTGTTGTTGTTGTTGAAGTGGAGGATTTGTAAATTGAATACACTTTAATACCAAATCTGATATTTCCAATAAAGTATTTTGATTAGAATCACATAATGTAATTGAAGTTGTTATAATTTTTGATTGATCATTTCTTGAAATAATTTTGGAATATGAATATAAAGAGTCATCAAAGGCAAATGAATGATGATCATTTTGGAAATGTTCCAATTTACCAAGATTCTGGGGGATCCATAGACCACGTGAATGTGATTGATGATCCAATTCAAATGGTGCAAAGGTACCTTGTAAACAAGCATCCAAAAGTGAAGGATGAGCCAGTCTAAAATGAGATGGACAGTGCATCTTGCAATCTCCGGTTTGTGGTAATTTGATTTCAGAGATTTGAGTGTCTTGATCCAACAAGGTTGTTTTCTTTACAGCTTGGAAGTTTTGACCATAATGATAACCATGTTTTGCAATCTTTTCATAAAATTCATTACCATTCAATACTACCATGTTTTGAGTAGTAGAGGAGGATAAAGATACTGAATTAAAACCAACTCTTTTGGCAGCACTGGATTGTTGTTGTTGTTGAATATATTGAATTTGACCAACTGCATGAACAACCCATTGTTGAGGAACTTGTACATTTGATTGTAAACTACCAATTTCAAAACTTGTACAATCACTATTATACTGAATTTGGATTGTATTTGATAGTTTTGAATCTAATACTAATGCATTCTTTATCTCCATTTGATTGATTGTGAAGTGACGGTGGTCATCTTTGTTGTTTTCCTTTTCCAATAGTTCATACATTGAGGAATAAACAATTTCCAAATAAAAAGAGTATGGGAGGATTGAAAGAGATTGGATAGAATGGTCCAATAGATACTTGAATCTAGGTGAGTTTAATCTTGTCTCAAAGCAAGGAAGGAGTGAAACAATTCTTCGTGTGAGACTTGGGTATCGTGGTACATCCAATCTATCATTTTTGAGCTGATAGTTTTCAACCCAAAAATGGTCCATGTTCCAACGTCTGTGTGGTAGTTTGATTGCTTTGCACAGACCACCTTGTCTGGCCATCGGATAAATACCACTCCAATCAATATCATAGCCTCCAACATATAGTTTGGAGAGTGTGACAAGTAGTGTCTCCATGGATGGTGCGTCACGATTAACAGTTGGTAAAATAAAATGGTCGTCGTGTGAACCGTTATCACTGCCACGCAAACATTGAGACACGTTTAGAGCGATGATGGGATGAGCAGAAATCTCCAAGAATCCATCCAACTCTTCATTGGCACGGACCAATTCAAAGGCAGTCCTAAACAACACAGTCTCTCTGATATTATTCCACCAATAGTCGACATTGAGTTGCGATGGGTCAGTGATGAGTGTGGCAGTGGTCGTAGAGTACATTGGGATCATAGATTGACCATACTGGAAATTCTTGGGGAACAATCTATAAAACTCTTCTTTGATACTATCCATCAAATGACAATGGAATCCTGCATTGATACGAATCAACTTGTAAGATATATTGGCCGATTCGAGAATAGAGAGGAAACTATTCATTGATTCATGGTCTCCAGCAACGCCAACTGATTTGGGTGAGTTGTCGCCAGCCACTGAAATGTTCTTTGCGTATCCATGTTTGGTGATAAGGTGTTGAATGGTTTGTGCATTGGCCATAGCTACACACATTTTACCCGATCCACTTGTCTTGTTTTGCAGAGTGCTACGAAGCCAAATCAACTTTACAGCATCTTCCAATGTCAACATCCCCGATGCATAGGCTGCTGATACCTCACCCAAACTATGTCCAATCACCGCAGATGGAATGATTCCACATTCTCTCAAGAGTACAGTGAGAGACGCTTGGAATGCAAAAATGGATGGTTGTGCCAACCAAGTACCGTGTATCTCTTCTTTGTTTTTCGTGTCGAATAGTTTGTCGACCAACGACCACCCAGAGATTGCCTGGAACATAGACGAACATCTTATAAACTCTGTTCTAAATGTGTTTGAAACATCAAATAATTCCTTTCCCATTGTTATCCATTGTTGACCTTGACCAGAGAATACAAATCCAAGTTTCTTTTTTGTAAATTCCATCATCTCACCAGTCCCAGTCATGTTATTTGATCTGATAGTATTGGTATCGAAATTATCTGAAAGGAATCCAGTTAATTGGTCAAGTAAATTGTCTCTTGAATCAACAACAAACGATACTCTGTTGGAAAGATGGTTTGTTCTTACAGTCGATGTATAACATATATCCTTTATATCAACTTTAGGATTAGATTGAATATATTCATATACATCTTTTATACGTTGTTTTAATTGTTCTTCACCTTGACTTCTATTTCGATTGACTGATATTGTAAATACATCAATCATCTTTTGATCAACAGTAGACATTGTATTGGTATTGTTAATGTTGATAGTATTTTGATCAAGTTGATCAAAGCTTGATAACAATACATTACAGTTGCTACCACCGACACCAAAACTATTGACAATTGCCAACCTTGTCTTTTCAATCCAGGGGATTGTAGTAGACCCAGTTGGAATATACAGGTTTAATTGTTTGAATGGAATGTTGGGGTTGGGAGTAGCATATGATTGAGGACACATTGGTGGAATGGATCTATTTTTTAGACAACCTATTGTTTTGATTACTGAACAAATACCAGACCCACCTTCCAAATGTCCAAGATTAGCCTTTGTACTTCCAATTGGTAATGGATTATCTCTAAGCTTTCCAAGACTATTTCCAATAGCTGTCAGTTCATTTAAATCACCCATTTGAGTTCCTGTACCGTGACACTCAAAATACCCAATATCATTTGCATTGGTTCCAAGTGGCGACAATAACTGTTCAATTAATTGTTCTTGATGACTTGATCTTGGTGCTGCTATTCCTCTTGGTGTTTTTCCATTCTACAAAATGGAAATAAATATTAATATTAATTATCAATAAATTGTTTGTTATTTTCATATTTATCACGTACAGTATTGGTTGAAGTATTTAAAATGATTGAATAAATTTCATCTTTATCTTTTAGAGCATCGGATAGGTTTTTTAAAATTAAAATACCGGCTCCTTCAGATCGGACATATCCATCGGCTCTGGCGTCAAATGCAAAACAACGTCCTTGAGGTTGTTGGCTTGTTAGACCAGCCTCACCATAATCGATCGATTGTTGAGGTGATGCAATCAAGTTGACACCTCCAACAATAGCCATACGACACTCATCATTCCAAATACTATTGGCTGCTAGATGCAAGGCAACCAATGAAGATGAGCATGCAGTATTGATCGTCATACTCGGACCTGTGATATCCAAAAAGTACGACAATCTATTAGACAGAAATGAGGGGTTACTCCCAACCGTACTAAATTGATTAATATCTCCAATCTCCATATTCCTTTGATAGTCTGTTGATGAAGATCCAATAAATACTCCTGTATTGGTTCCTTTTATTTGATTCAATGATATTTTTGCATCTTCTAATGCTTCCATTGATATCTAAAAAATAAACAAAAAATAAATACAAATATAAGTAAGATAACAAATATTAAAATGTAGTATGTACATACTTGTAAAATTAATCTTTGTTGTGGATCAATTTGAGAAGATTCCTTTGGAGATATTCCAAAGAATTCATTGTCAAATTGATCGATACCAGAGATGAAACCACCGATGGTATTTTTTAGTTTTTGTTCTTTGCTTGAAAGATGTTGACTCCATCGATCGCCTGGAACTGGTGTCAAAAAGTCATGACCTTGGGATATTAATTGCCAAAATTCATCTAAAGTGGACACATCTCCTGGATATTTACATCCAATGCCAATGATTGCTACTGGTTCTATTTTCATTTATATTTAGTAGGATGTGATGTAATAAATAACAATATTATTATTTTTATAAATTTGGATATTGTTGTTTTAAAATAAATGTGAATTTAATTAATTAAATTGGCAATTAATGGTACAAAAGAGGTAGTAGCTTGGCTGGATTATATATATATATATATATATATTTAATTTATATATGTTTATAAATAAAACGAATTATTATGAATAAAAAGATGGGAAGAGTTACCATGGTGAAGATGTTATTATTATTATTGTTATTATTATTATTATTCTCCTTGCCTTTGGGTTGAGAGGGTATGCACTCGAATGTTTATCTGATATTTCATATACCCATAGTCATATAGATAGGTACCTACCCCCAAGAAATTTAGAATATCTTTTCTCCATCTTTGTCCATCTTTTTATTCTCTGTCTCTGTCTCTCGCACAAGTAGAGTAGAGCACTAATAGATCTATTATAATCTCCATATTCCAGCACTACAAGGTCTTTCTATTGTTGTGTCAGTTACTATAGTAACAACTAAAATAGATAACAACACCATTATTTACAACATGTATTGAATTAATTAATAGGGTTGTCAACATCAACAATATATTCGACAATGCGATGTTGTTTTAAAATATTATTATCTGTATATACATACACACATGAAAATAATAATAATTATTATTAATTCGGGGGAGAGAGATCTAAAAATATGTGTGTGGTGGGTATATACAAATATATTTATATAAGCGAGATCGTCCAATAATTAGGCACTTCATATGACTCGTGAAATGGTTGACAACAATATTGTTGACAATAAAGATTGTTTACAAGTTTGCATTAAATTATAATTGCATTCGTTTGTTGTATTCATTGACATGTTTGTGTGATGTACATTTTTGTTGGGTCGATCGATTATTATGTTAGCATATGACCGACTGTACCAACAACAATAAGGAATTGACAATTTTTTGTAGTAGTGAATAAACTTGTTGTATGTATCTTTGTTTAAATGTATGTACGTTCAGCTTTCTGTTCTCGTCTAATGTTACAGCGAGTTTGGAAAAATGTGTTTATTTGGCGCCAAAAAGATCTAAAAATATACAGAATATTTATTAATAATTTATTTATTTATTTGTATTATTTATTCATTTTTTTCATAAAGATACTCTTGGCAGCTTTTATCTTTAGTCTTGTAGAGTTACTATCACGAAGATAGAATACAAGTGCAATGACCAATGCTATAAATACAGCTCCACCAACAACACATCCAACTATAATCTTCCACATGTTGGATGATGATGGTGATGAACAATCGACCTTTTCATTGTTGACGACCAATGCACTGAAATCTGGGTCTAGTAAACAAAAAGTACATTGAGGTACATGAACTCCAATCAATGCCAATGATTCATTGTTGTTGTTTCCAATGATATTGGTCTGATTGATTAATTCATTTCTTGAAAATGTCTTTCTACCATCTGAATAGGAATACGAGAGGAATCTACCATAGAATTGTGTATCATTCTTGATAACTCTTAAATAACTATCACTTCCTAGTATCTGTTCAAATGTTGGAATATCACTAGAGGAACATGATTGAATGGTTGATTGTTCATTATTGACAATCGTTGAGAATACAACTCTGAGATGTGATAGGATCGATTGGTATTGCCATCCAGTGACATTTACACCAACTTTAATACTATTTGCTCCAACTGATACAATACTATCTCCAAATGGTAATTGTCTGTCTTGTGTTGAATATTCAATCAATGATGTGACATTGACAATTGATGATAGTGTTGGATACAATGTTGAATTGATCAACAATCTGTAATGAAGTGATGTAGATCATCACCTGATTGATCTGTAACATTCCATTGATCGACAATTAACTCTTGTACAACATTATCGTCAACATCCAACTCTTGAATCGCAACCAATGAGAAAAAGAATTTATATCCATCCAATTCAAATGTTGCAACTGGTTTTGTATCGTTTTGAACAAATGTTACATTTGGATTCTCTAAAGTAAATTTTTAAAAAAGATAGAATTAATATTAATTATTATTATTATTTGTTTTGTTTTTAATACATACTAAAATATCTACAATTATCATAATAATTTTGATCACAAACACATATTCCTTGGTCACTACATTGACCATGACCATAACAATTTAATGTATCTTCAATACATTTTTGTTTTAAATCGATTGATGGTGGGAATGGATAAAAGATAGTATTGACTGCTGAAAAGAAATCTTCTATTTTGGCTTGTACCGATGCTTGTCCAGGTTGTGGTGCTGATAATAATGTACAAAGAATTGTAGTTTGATTCTTTGATGTTACTGGGCATTGTAATGTTCCATTTAAAGTAACCCAAGCATAATATACATCTATTGATTCTCCAAAATACCCATACACAGCCAACGATAAATTACCAATCATTTGAACAGATGTAACCAATGGGTAAATTAATTGAGTACCTAAAAGAAATAAAAAGTTAAAATACTAAAGATATTTTTTTAAAATAGACTATCGTCATTCACATACCTGGAGCAGTAATTGTAACCTTATTGATATTATAATCATTTTTAATTGTAGCTGTAAATGTACCAGGGTTAAGTTGATCGACTTGACATAACAGAGTATTGGTTGTCGAAGATGAACTTAGCACAGTGCAAGGGAATTCAAACATACTACTTGATTGCAATGTAACATAGTGTGGGAGAAAGGTGTTATAGGTCAATTTAAAGGTAAATGTCCTGGTAAGAGGTTCAAAACTAGATGCCGTTACAATAATCGTTGCATCCACAACCTGGAATTCTTTGTAATGGAGATCTCCAAATTCTAATCCAACTGTTTGAGGTGCACCACTTCCTAAAAAATCAATCCTATTTTCATATATTATAATATATTAATATTAACTACTACTACTACTAATTGAACGATGAAGTGGTCTATCCTGAGTACTTACGCAACTTTTGTATTTGGAGTGATGATTGAATAATTTGAACCATCTTTCCAACCAAAATTAGAACCAGTGATTTCAGCTATTCCATTTTTAGATCCAAATACCAATTGATTAAATGTTATTTCTATAATAGATTAAATCAATCCAATAATTAATTATTAAATAGTAAAATAATATAATATACTCTTTCTACATACGACATTTGAATCCAACGGCAGGAGGAGAGTTTGCTGAAAATCCTAATTGTTTGTCATAGTAGCAATTGAAGCAATCGGGAACAGAGTTAATAGATGTGTTGGCGATAAATGTACGGAGTTGACAGAATCTGGAATCGAGTGATCCCGACAGGTGAGGATTATCTGATACATCAAACAATAAGGATGAACGTCCACTTGGAATGATATCATTTGAAAGTGTGCCTGTTAAATTATTGTTTGCGAAATTACTTTTTGATTCAAAAACAAAATAGTTGTAGAGGTATTAGTGAGTGGACCATGTCGTGTTGGTTGACAATCAATTAATCAATAAGTATTTAATTTAATTTAATTTAATTACTTACATTGACGCCATTGGAAGTTCAATGCTAATAGGTGGAATAGTTGTGAGACCACGTTGAATAGTTCTAAATAAAAAAAAAATAGAGAGAGTTAATAATAAAACAGTACTCGGGGAAGAATGTAACATTATTACATACAAATAACGTAATTTACGATATGATGATGTAAATGGTAGTGTAGTAAATTGATGATCATAGATTGATCTAAATAATAAAAGAAAAGAATTTAATTAGGATTTAGGAATTCCTAAAATAACAATCAATCAATCGATACAAACAATGTTTCTAAATTTGGATACGTATCAAAATCAAAAGGGGCAACTGTTGCACCTGCACTAAAAAGTTCTCTAAAATATTATTTATCAATTAATTAATTAATTAAATATTTTCAACTAGTTGTATGAATAAGAAGGTTCAGTTTACTTACAAAAATCCCAACTCTTTTGGATGACTTGGTGTAGCTGATACATTTCCAAACAATTGTCTAAATAAATAAATAAATACATAAACAATATTAATATATATTTCATATTCATCCACATTCAAGATAGTTATTATTATTATTATTATTATTATTATTATTATACATACATTGTAGAAAGATACCTATTATCTAAAGCCAATGATAGAACACTAACTCCATTTTGTTTAAAAACTCTTTTTTTTTAAAAAAAGATAAAGAATTATTATTATTATTATTAATCATTTGATATGTATGTATGTGTATGTGTGTGTACTTACAATTCAGTTAGATTTCCGAGTGCACCTAAAGAATATGATATACCAGCAGTACTAATATTCACTTCTAAATTGATTGATAAGATGGCTGGATAAACATTTGCCTTGATGGTAAACACGTCTAGACGTGCCAGTGTACGTGTTCCAGACAACTCGACTGATCTGAGCTCTGATGCATTTCCAAGACTGCGCACATTGACAATATTTGGACATCCCTTCAATTCAAGGCTGACAAGTAAAGGCATATTGGTTCCAAATGATGATGGAATACTACTAATTGATCCATCATCGATAATACTAGTATTATCCAAACACCAAAACCAAAAAGAATATAAAGTAAAGTATTAATTAATTAATTTAATAAATAATTTATATTTAAATGTATATATATATATATATATATATTGCTTCAACATACGATATTGATTTTAAAATCTTCAAAGGGGAGATATCAAGCATATCAAGAGTTGATGTTGTACCTATAAAAGATACATTGTTTTTAAAGATCAAAGACATTGATCTCAACTCTGGGAATTGAAAGCTTGTGATCCCCAAGTACCCAGGTGACAGTGATGTAGCATTGAATGCAGTCACTTCAATGTTTCTAGAAGTGTAAAAGAGTATTATTATTATTATTATTATTATTAATCATCAGTAATATTAATCACATTTTGATACAAACATTTTAGTGATATGAGTATATAGATTAGATGGTTCGGGTGTACATGTAAACATCGAGGTCATCGAACAGATATCTTCTTGTGTCTCTCTAACTGTGAGACCTGTGTGTCTGACTAACCATACTACTGATTTAACTGTAGTAAGCAGTAGAATAGATTGTTAATAACTATCATCTCTCTCTCTCTCCTATCTCTCTAAACACATACGTTCTGCATCTGGAATAGGTTGAGCATTAATCTTTAGTATTACAGTGTTTGCTAAAGTAAATATGACAACACACAAGACAATGAAATCGAAACTGATGTGTTTCATATTATTATTATTATACATGCCGATTTTATCCCTTGAAATAAAGTATAATTATATTTTGAACAAAAATAATATGAGTACTCATGATGAGTTGCTTGCAAGTGATCTGTCGGACATGATCCAACATCCATTTTCTTTGATTCAAGGATTGTTTAGTCCGTCAGTGACCAAGGTTCTATGTCGAGATTTTATCTGTAGATATTTACTAAAACAACAAGAGAACTTTTCAAGACTACTGATTCGGACTATTTATGTGCGCCTGTTCGAAAGAGAAAAACGGAGAATGCTTGATCAAAACAACTCCTGCACCTTATCTTTATTACACATCTTTATTAACCTTTTTCATTAGAATACTCTTGGCTGCTTTGAGCTTAAATCTTGCTGTATTACTATCACGAATATAGAAAGCCAGTGCAATGACCAATGCTATAAATACAGCACCACCAACAACACATCCAACTATAATCTTCCACGTGTTGGATGATGACGGTGAACAATCACTTTGTTGTTCCTTGTTGACGACCAATGCACTGAAATCTGGATCGAGAAGACAAAAAGTACATTGAGGTACATGAACTCCAATCAATGCCAATGATTCATTGTTGTTGTTTCCAATGATATTGGTTTGATTGATTAATTCATTTCTTGAAAATGTCTTTCTACCATCTGAATAGGAGTACGAGAGGAATCTACCATAGAATTGTGTATCATTCTTGATAACTCTTAAATAACTATCACTTCCTAGTATCTGTTCAAATGTTGGAATATCACTAGAGGAACATGATTCGATGGTTGATTGTTCATTGTTGACAATCGTTGAGAATACAACTCTGAGATGTGATAGAATCGATTGGTATTGCCATCCAGTGACATTTACTCCAACTTTAATACTATTTGCTCCAACTGATACAATACTATCTCCAAATGGTAATTGTCTGTCTTGTGTTGAATATTCAATCAATGATGTAACATTGACAATTGATGATAGTGTTGGATACAATGTTGAGTTGATCAACAATCTGTAATGTAGTGATGTAAGATCATCACCTGATTGATCTGTAACATTCCACTGATCGACAATTAACTCCTGTACAACATTATCATCAACATCCAACTCTTGAATTGCAACCAATGAGAAAAAGAATTTATATCCATCCAATTCAAATGTTGCAACTGGTTTTGTATCGTTTTGAACAAATGTTACATTTGGATTCTCTAAAGTAAAAATAAACAAATATATTAATATTAATTATACTTGATTATCATATTTGATTATAGTTATTTAAATTACAACATACTAAAATATCTACAATTATCATAATAATTTTGATCACAAACACATATTCCTTGGTCACTACATTGACCATGACCATAACAATTTAATGTATCTTCAATACATTTTTGTTTCAAGTCGATTGATGGTGGGAATGCAATACTAATGGCATTATTTAAATTGGTATTGAATCCATCCACTTGAACTTGTACTGATGCTTGCCCAGGTGGTAGTTGAGAGGAGGAGGAGGATGAAGATATTGTACAAATAATGGTAGTTTGATTCTTTGATGTTACTTGACATGCTAGAGTATTATTTAAAGTAACCGATGGTGAATTAAATGTATTATTTCCAAAATTACCATTCAATGTTAATGATTGTAATGTTGCACCTGATAATTGTGCTGATGATATCAATGGATATGATATTATTGGACTACCTATAAATAGATTATAAATAAAAATAATCATGGATTAATAATGATGATTAAAGAGAATGCTTTGGATTGGATGATAGGGTCAGAGAGTCTGTCATCTGTCATCATACCTTGAATACTTTGAAGGTATATATTTGACTTGAAATAGGGATTTGAAATAACCAAAGTATAATTACTTGATGGTATTTGATACAGTTGACATCTAATATTGGCAGAGTCACTGAAATAGATTGAGCAAGGGTAGCGTAACCCCTTGTCTAGTGACACTATTTCAATAGAGTGACTAATAAATGGATTGTAATCTAAACCAAGCATACTTATACTCATAAGTGCATTGTCGAATGATAAACCCGACGCCTTTATATCGGCAACCACAACCTTTGTCTCTAGATAATATTTGCCACTAAAATTGAATCCAACAGTTTGAGGAACACCCTTTTGAGTAAATGGGAATCTATATTATATATTACGACGTATAATAAAAATATTGGTATTATTATTATTATTATTATTATTACAATATAAACTAAATTATAATATAATAACTTGACTTACGAAATTTTAGTATTTGGGATCACCATTGTGTAGTTTGATCCAGGTTCCCATCCCAAGTTTTTGCCCGTAATCAAAACTTCTCCTTTAATTGACGGGAATATTTCTTTATCAAATTGGATATCTATTAATACATAAATATATATAACCCATATATTAGTATTAGTGGCCACTCTTTTTATCATTTCATCAATTAATGAATCAACAACAACAACATACCACAGTGAAAACCTGCAGGAGGTGGGATCGATGAAGAGAATCCTATATTTGCTCCATAGTAGCAGTAAAAACAATCTGGTACTTGTGTAATTCCAGTGTTTGCAACAAAAGCATAAAATGAACAAAAATTGGGAGTGAGAGAGCCTGTCATAAAAGGATTATAGACTAAATCCATCCATAGTCCTGGAGTAGCTGTTAAAAATGGTTCAAGTGGTAATACTCCTGTGAAATTGTTTGAATTAAAGGATCTTTCAAACATAAAAATAGAGTATATATTGTTAATATATTTAAATATGGGTTTCAAGTAATCGTAGTATTGATTTGATCGATTGATTGATTAATTACATTGCTTTTAAAGAAGATGGGAATGGAGAGCTTGGAAAATTGCCTACTATATTACTTTGAACGATCGCGCTATAGTATTGATTGAAATTAGAGAATTAGTTTATAATCCTCTTTCTTTACTTTCTTCGACTTTTTTTACATACATTGATTCTAAATTGGGTGTTAATGAATAATCAGTGAATGGGTAGATGACTTGACCTGGCGCTTGTCTCCTTACACTATAATAATAACATATAGAATTAATAATAATAATAATAATAAGATGGATTAATATTAATATTTTAAAGAGTGATGTGTACTGACATATAGGTATACATATGTGTATGTAACATACTAGTGTTTTAACAATGGATAGGCTGATATTTCACTTGGCACAACAGAGGTGTTGAAATATTGGGATAAATAGGTTAATTTTTTTGTATGTGAGATATTGATAATCACATTTCCTTGTATCGCTCTAGTAAGTAAGTATTCAAACCAAAAGATTAGAGTTAATTCATTTATATATCTTTTGTTTCAACTTACATTAAATCAATAAATTGCGATTTCAAATTTATCTTTGTAGTTTTTGAAACTGAATAGTCAACAAAATAACTAAAATACAATAAATAAATAAATAATAAACATATTATTAATTATTATTAATTATTATTATTCTAAAGTTTCAACTTACAAATTAGTCAGTGGCATTGTTATATCGAAAGATTGATCAGATTCTGGTGCCATTTCAATTTGCAGGTCCTTGATTGGGTAGGATTGTTGTTGTATTTGATCCCACATTAATCTCTTGAGAAAGGATGACTGGTGGAGTGAAAAGGTTGTTGCCAGTGGCATTGCTCCAAAGCTAGACACTTCAATTAGATTTGGACAATTTTGTAGTACAAAGTGTTTCAAAGTAACAAGATTGCTACCAAATGTTGGTGGTATGGTTGTGATGGTAATATCACTCTTTATACTATATATATATAATAAATATATATAATATATGCAATGATTAGTAAGAGTAAAGAATTAGAATTAGAATATTAGGAATAATGTCAACCCAAACATACCTTAGGTATTGTAATAGTGGAAACGATCCACTCAACATTGATAGTGTCGACGTAGGTATATTGGATTTATATCCTGCGCCAAAATTAATCGACATACTGGTTGCATATGGAAATGTCAATGATGTGATCCTTAAATCAGGTGTACCAACATCTCCATAGACTTTGGTAACCAAGTTACTTTACGTTGCGTCAAAAACAAAAACAAAAAGAAGAAGAAGAAGAAAATGAAGAGTTAGTATAGGAGGGATTAATGGTCATATGATTCTCTATCAATCTATCTATCAATCTATCTTTTCAATTACATACATTGAAACAATTCTGTACCCAATACCTTGTACATTGCTACAACTTATTTGCCCAGAGCTACACATACTGACTTGATCTTGTAGTATCTCTGTTATACCCATTTGACGAATCAACCAAATTGCTGAATCAACTTTATAAATATAATATGAAGAATGATTAGTCAACTAGTTGTCATGATAGAAAGGATATTACTATAGATCGTATTAATAAATAACATACGTTCATTTTGTGGAAGTGCTTGTGATGATACACTGACGACGCATAGTGATAATATAATAATGAAGACGGTAACAAAAATCGATGATAAACACACTCCACCTAAAGCTGAAGGGTGTCGATTATTATTATTTATTTTCATTTATTATTTGATTATCTCTTTAAACTACTACAGTATCATCAATAATATTAATCTTCTTTCGTCTCTTTCATTATCATATATTCGTCTTTTCGTAGAAGGTCAACGAGCATATAGTCTATATAACCCAAAACCCAGCAGATATTTTAATCTTCAGTTGAACCAGGTTTTTTGCATATGATTGTCTTTGAAGTCCAGGATGACGTGCATTGAATTTGTTTGGGTATACTATTATAGTGATTTCTTGATAATAAGAATATTTGGTTTATTTGTTACTTTATTTCTTTATTTATTTACACATCTTTATTAACCTTTTTCATTAGAATACTCTTGGCTGCTTTAAGTTTAAATCTAACTGAATTACTATCACGAATATAGAAAGCCAGTGCAATGACCAATGCTATAAATACAGCACCACCAACAACACATCCAACTATAATCTTCCACGTGTTGGATGATGACGGTGATGAACAATCTGATTGTTCCTTGTTGACGACTAATGCACTGAAATCTGGATCGAGAAGACAAAAAGTACATTGAGGTACATGAACTCCAATCAATGCCAATGATTCATTGTTGTTGTTTCCAATGATTTTGGTTTGATTGATTAATTCATTTCTTGAAAATGTCTTTCTTCCATCTGAATAGGAATACGAGAGGAATCTACCATAGAATTGTGTATCATTCTTGATAACTCTTAAATAACTATCACTTCCTAGTATTTGTTCAAATGTTGGAATATCACTAGAGGAACATGATTCGATGGTTGATTGTTCATTGTTGACAATCGTTGAGAATACAACTCTGAGATGTGATAGGATCGATTGGTATTGCCATCCAGTGACATTTACACCAACTTTAATACTATTTGCTCCAACTGATACAATACTATCTCCAAATGGTAGTTGTCTGTCCTTGGTTGAATATTCTATCAATGATGTGACATTGACAATTGATGATAGTGTTGGATACAATGTTGAATTGATCAACAGTCTGTAATGAAGTGATGTAAGATCATCACCCGATTGATCTGTAACATTCCATTGATCGACAATTAACTCTTGTACAACATTATCGTCAACATCCAACTCTTGAATTGCAACCAATGAGAAAAAGAATTTATATCCATCCAATTCAAATGTTGCAACTGGTTTTGTATCGTTTTGAACAAATGTTACATTTGGATTCTCTAAATTAAATAAAGATAGATTATTAATATTAATTATTATTATTATTTGTTTTGTTTTTAATACATACTAAAATATTTACAATTATCATAATAATTTTGATCACAAAGACATATTCCTTGGTCACTACATTGACCATGACCATAACAATTTAATGTATCTTCAATACATTTTTGTTTTAAATCGATTGATGGTGGGAATGGAACCATGATCAAATTATTGGCAGTTGTACTGAATCCATCCACATGAGTTTGGACCGATGCTTGTCCAGGTTGTGGAGTTGATAATAATGTACAAACAATTGTATTCTGATTCTTTGATGTGATGTTACAAGGTATAGTATTATTTAAAGTAACCGATGGCGTGTTGAACGTATTATTTCCAAAATTACCATTCAAAGTTAATGATTGTAATGTTGCACCTGATAATTGTGCTGATGATACCAATGGATATGATATGATTGTACTACCTATAAATAGATTATAAATAAAAAATACAAATTAAAATTAATGATTGTTTTTAAAAATATATATATTTATAAATATAAATATGTTAGAGACATCTCTGTCATATGTCATCATACCTTTAATACTTTGAATGTTTGTATATGTCTTTAAATAGGGATTTGAAATAACCAAAGTATAATTACTTGGCGGTACTTGATAGAGTTGACATCTAATATTGGCAGAGTCACTGAAATAGATTGAGCAAGGGTAGCGTAACCCCTTGTCTAGTGACACTATTTCAATAGAGTGACTAATAAATGGGTTGTAATATAAATTAAAGATACATCCAACTGCACCAGCATCAACCGATACACTCGATAGTTTAATATCGGCAACCACAACCTTTGTCTCTAGATAATATCTGTCACTAAAATTGAATCCAACAGTTTGAGGAGCTGTTATTGCAGCAAATGGGTATCTATATTATATCATGACATATAATTAGTATTAGTATTATTATAAACTATAGTAGATATTATTATACATACGAAATTTTAGTATTTGGAATCAACATTGTGTAACTTGATCCAGATGACCAACCCAAATTGTTACCATATATTAATGCTACCCCACCAATTGAAGGGAACACCTCTTTATCAAATTTTATATCTATATATGTAACCAAATAATAATATTAATATCAATCAATGGCGAGAATAATCAATTAATCAACAACAACAACAACAACAATACATACCACAGTGAAAACCTGCAGGAGGTGGGATAGATGAAGAGAATCCTCTGTTTGCTCCATAGTAGCAGTAAAAACAATCTGGTACTTGTGTAATTCCAGTGTTTGCAATGTAGGTATTAAATGAACAAAAATTGGGAGTTAGAGAGCCTGTCAATTCAAGATTATTGGTTAAATCGATTCCAAGACCTGTAGCAGCTGTTAAAAATGGTTCAAGTGGTAATACTCCTGTGAAATTGTTTGAAGAAAAGATTCTTTAAAACATAAAAATAGATTATATTGTTAATAAATATTTACATTTTAAATAGATTGATTGATTGATTTGGTTGATTTGGTTGTGATTAATTACATTGATTTTAAAGAAGGTAGGATTGGAATCTTTGGAAAAGCTATTAGATTATTACGACTCATTGAACTATATGGTTGTTGATAAGAATTATTAATATTAGAGAATCAAATTGATAGATAGATAATATATTATATCATACATTGATTGTAAATTGGGTGTTAATGAATAATCGGTGAATGGAAAAGTCAATGTATCTTTTACGTTTGATTGTTCACTTTAATGAGAGAGGAGGGAAAGGAAAGGAATGGGGTTAGATAATTGATGAAGGGATGGTGTATCTATTTATCTATTTATCTATTTATCTATATACATACTAAGTTATCAATGATGGATAAGCTGCAAAATCACTTGGTATAATTGAACTGGTGGTTTTGAGTGAAAGATATGTTATATTACTTGGATGACCAAATCGAGCGATAATATTACCTTCTATTGTAACGGAAGGAACAAATGATTTTACAGAGAGTGTGATCATATGTCCTCTTTCATTTGCTATTGCCAATATACCCAATGGCATGGTCAATTCAAAGGTTTCAATTGTACTCGATACCATTTCCAATTGTAATATGGTGATTGAGTATTCTTGTTTTTGTACCAAGTCCCAATTAATCCTCTGCAGATAGTCTGATTGACCTAGCAGAAACGTCTTTGCAGGCGACGCTCCAAAACTAGACACCTCTACCAAATTGGGTGCATTTAGTATGGATAACGTATTCAACGATACAAGGTTACTACCAAATGTTGATGGTATACTTTTAATGGTTGCATCATTTCTTATACTAAAAAAAGAATGACAAATGAAGAATAAATATGTATGTAAGTAAAGCAAAAGGAGGTTGAGGTTGAGGAGGTTGTTACAGTACATACGTTAAAGATCTTAATAGTGGGAACGAACCACCCAGTAGTGATAGAGTTGAAATGTCGGTGTAATAGGGTCGAGGTGTATTGGCATCAAAGGTAAGTGACAAAGATGTAATATAGGGAAAGGTCAAAGAAGTAATAAAAGGGCTTGGCTGTCCAACATCTGTAAAAGTAGTTGATACCAAATTTCTTTGTTTGTTTGTTTGAAAGAAAGGAAAAAAGGTTAGACTCTTTTTACTATTATTATTATTTCAATTATGATTGTAAACAACACATACATGGAAACAACGTGGAATGCACCATCGACGCTAGTACACATGATACCAGAACTACACACATTGATTGGATTTTGGCCATGTATACCCATTTGACGAATTAACCAAACCAAAGAATCGTCTATAATAATGTACATTTTAAAAGTTAATATGAATATTATTGTTATAAATCATGCACCTACATTCAGCTTGTGGAACTTCTTGTGATGATACCTTGACGACACATAGTGATTGTATTGTGAGTAGAATGACAACTACTATAAATATAAATCTTGTGTTCAATAGACACCTGACTGTTGTTGTTGTTGTTGTTGGACTGTCTCTATTCATTTATAAATACAAATTATATTCTATCTACTTCTACTATTTTATCTACTGATACACATGTCTCTACGAGAATGACATAGTTTGAATGCAACTCATGCATATGATCCAGATATTATGTCGTCACTCGTCGTCGTTTTTTCCTTTTGTTTTTGAGGGCTGCAAAGGTTGGACATATAACTTCTCATCTCACCTGGGAGCCATCCGAGTTACTAGATTGTTTGCACTACGACAAGCACTCTTAGTTTTAAAAGTGAGCCGTCACTTCTTCTTCTTCTTCTCTCTAGATTTATCTACTTATTACTACTTTAGTATCATGATAGATAACTAACTGTCCTCTCTACTAATAATAATAATAACAACAATAATTATCATCATCAAGATGTGGTGTAACTTTCTTCATGATCAAGTTTGTAAAGTAAAGAAATTACCATGGTGAGATACCCCCATTTCAATTAAATTTTATTAAAATAGTTTACATGATACTGAGAGGAGAATATATATATATATATTGTAGACTATTCTATAAACAAAGCAGCAGTAGCAAAAGCGAAGACATGGAAAATAAGGAATCCAATATCAACATACCATATTGTGCTTGGACCCCAATGAACCGAATAAATGGACTGTCCAGTTGTAGGTTAGGGGTTTTAAAAAAAATGATTATTAGTTATATATATTTTATATATTTTATATATACTTATATTGTACATACATTGGCATCTTTATCAATATTATTTGATCCATACAGAGACGAACAATAATTGATGAATTGGTGATCGATGGGTCTGTGACAATGTTGGAAATGTTGGAAATCGTTTGATAGTGATCTTGGCACATTTAGTATCAACATGACCCTCACTAGAATGAGCGAGACGACAACAATGCCACTAACCACAAACATTTTTGTAGATCTCCTGCTAGTATCAGCGAAATAATATGACAACCCGAGAAGTAATACAATCATAATCGCCAAAAAGGAGCAGTGAACGTTCAACAGTCCCTGGGTGTCATGGACGACTGCTGGATCGATGACTTGACTGGTTCCATTGAATGGGTCGGCTACTGGATACGTATTGATGGTTACGCCCGAATAGTATAGTTGTATATTGGTATTGATATTATCATTTTCATCAACTACACCTTGTACTTGTAAAGTGGTAGAATTAATTTCATACAATGGATATTGGAAATAGAAAATAGACATTAAAACATGCATTGCTATCAACCACATATAAAATATTGTCTCATCCATTTTTTTAGATGTAGTGTAGAAAGAAGAGTAGTGAGGGTATTTTAATATTTATATATTTATATTTAGGAATTTATAACCACCATATAAATACTCTTTTCCTGTCTTGTAAATTTTTTCGGGTTTCATCAAAAATTTTGGTAAGTTTATTGTGTTCTTATTAATAATTATCTTATCATTATATTCGATCGAGATGAATATAAATAAATAAATTAATAAACAAATAATAATCTTAAAGTTTAATTTAAAACGAGACAAGATCAGATTCAGGGAGCGACTTGTACGAAAGTTGAATAAAATCAAAAATGATATTTTAGGAGATACTATGAGCCCCATTCTTCGAATCAGTTGCTGTTGATATTGGATGCGCCAACTCCTCATGGAATCACTTGCAAGAACCATGATTCTCTCATTTATCATCACTCAAACAAACTCAGTATAGTATATAGATAGAGAAAATAGATTTACAATAATGATGAAGGCAACCTTCAACTGTACAACTCTAGGTATGATGTTAGTGATGACATTCATGTTATTGTTATTGTCATTCGCCCCATCTGGATCTAGTGCTTATGAGATTGATACACCCGAGTGTATGTAATGAAACTATCACGATCGTTCTATATACGATAACAATCAAAAACTAAAACACTCACCCACACCCATTGATCAATCATTGTATCGTTGATGTACCCACCTATCATTATTACAGTAAACTCGGTTATATGGTTCTTAAATCAAACAGGTAGTAGTGTTTCAAGAGATCCTAATGTATTTTGTACTACTATACCAGAGACTATTCGATGCGTATATAATATATCTGGTAGATACCATGTCTCTGCAATGTAACTACCTACTAGTAGTACTCTGGCTACTACTACTATATTAATCAGATTAAATGATAATAATGATTGTTAACATTTATACTTTATATATATTCATAGGATATTATATATATCTTCATATGTATCATCTGGACCAGCAGTGACGTCAAACCCAACACTCTTTTTCCCAAGGTTGACCGACATGGTCATTACATTTGCTTCAAATACTCATCACTCTACCAATGTTTCGACACTAGATCTTATCCAACCCAGTTCCTTTCCAGTGATCAATATAATATCGTAGGTATACACATAATGCATTTAATATCAAATTCTTGATTCACAGTATTAATAACAAACCAAAACTACTTCTATAATAATACATAATAGACTTTCAAATGATGGTACAATCTATCAAGTTCCACCAAACTTTGGTGCATCTATGCAGTTGACAACTCTTACTATTATTAATGCAGCCAATTTAAAGAGTGCGACGGTATCTTCGATTTTTGCCACTAGAGTCAACATTCTCAATCAATTCTATCTAAATGTGTTTTTATTTGGCTCTACCTTGAATACAAAAATTGCATCATTGTCAGTTGAGATGGGTGCATCACAAGACCTTATACTAACTTTGGATTCTTCGTCTCTTCCTTCCCTCAAATATCGTATGTTTCGAAAACTACCACCATATCAATAACAAAAATAACTAATCGTTTATATTTCATTTCCTTTATAGTATCATTAACCAAATATGACACTGGTAGTCTTACAGTAAACTGCTTTTCATCAACTATCAATACAATGTTTGTATTATTATTATTATTATTATTAATAGTACTATTATTACTTTCAAATATATTAGTACTCTCATTTAAATGGGTGCAACAAATGTATTAATCTAAATTATTATTAATATTATTTTTAGACTACTATCTGGTCCAACTACTTTGAATCTAAGAACACCCAATTTCGATCAAATATTTGATGTGTAAGTTAAAGTTGACAAGTACTCGGAATAATTAATACTTATTTATTTATTTATTAATTTATTTATTGTAGTTATTTAAATGGAATAGGTGCTACTTTAACTCCGACTGAAATTAGTTCCTACCCCAATTTAAAAACATAGTATGTAGATAAATAGAGATAGAGCCATATCAAGCAAGATTAATATTGATATTAATTAATTGATTTTTTATTTTTAACTCAAGCCGCGTTTTAAATGCTGCTAGTTATAATATCCCTTTCACCTCATTTCAATCAAATACTAAATTACAAGACTTGTAAATAATAATAATAATAATAATAATAATAATAATAATAATAGTATTATTTATTTATTAATGTATCAACTAACTTTTATTTATTATTTCTTTTTAGGTTAATATTAGATTCTGGAATTACATCATTACAAAATATGCCACAACTTCCAAAAAGTTTAAAATCTTTGTAAGTAACCCATCATGAATGACTAAATGAATGAATGAATGAATGAATATTTAACTTACACAAAATAATATTTCACTATCAAAATCTAGAATTTTGATGAGGAATAACATACAAGGACAATTACCATTGGATATTTTCGAAAAGATTCCACTAGAACCTAATACTTTTACATTTGATATCACATTAAATCAAAACCTTTCTGGTAGTATAAGTAAAAATTTTTGCAACTACTTTACATATATTGCCAACACATCGATCACATCAGTACCTGATTGTTTCCATTGTTATAATGATTATCAAGTTGGATTCTCATCATCTGTACCACTACCTCCTAATTTCTCATGTGGTAGGTATCTCCCCAAAAAAAATGAAATAATATATCATCGATCTTACTCAACCCTCTTCTTCTTCTTCTCCATTTTAGATATTCGATTTAATGCATTGGTATTTCCAATCATCAATGGAAGCACAATCGTAGAAGGTTCCAATTTTGGGTGGGTCGCTCCTCAAAACTATACCATGCTTGTTCCCAATTCAAAGTTCTTGTATGTTATGTTAACACACAAACAATAACAATATTGTTGTCAACAACAACAACAAAATTAACTAATTTGTTAATAATATTAATTTATTTTTTTTAGATACCACAAAGCACCAGCAGTAGGAACTTATCAAAAAGCAGGATTTGTAATTGGAACAAAATACTATAAAGAGGTGAACCTTATCGAATCAACCATCTATTTTGTGTTGAACCCATTTTCATTTGATGCAAGTAGCAATCGTTTGACCATCTCATTCAACTTTATCAATAATCAAGCTATACACACGGTGGTTTTAATGTCTCGTACTGTACCACAAATGTACTATCCATGTCAGCTGAATGTGTTTAATGATAGCACCATTGAGTGTACTCTGGATCAATTAAAATCAGGTACATACGAGGTGACAGTATCCAATGAATTTAACCAAATGAAAATGGATACTCCGTCGATTACCGCTACCAACCAAGTCACCTATCCATTGGTAACATCGGCACAACTATCTGAATCATCATTACAATTAACATTGTATGGTGGGTTTGGTGTAAACCAACTCAATTCACCAACTGTAACATTAAATAATACTCTAGCATGTCAAGTAACATCAAAGAATCAAACTACCATTATTTGTACAATATCTTCATCCTCCTCCTCCTCTCAACTACCACCTGGGCAAGCATCAGTACAAGTTCAAGTGGATGGATTCAATACCAATTTAAATAATGCCATTAGTATTGCATTCCCACCATCAATTGATTTGAAACAAAAATGTATTGAAGATACATTAAATTGTTATGGTCATGGTCAATGTAGTGACCAAGGAATATGTCTTTGTGATCAAAATTATTATGATAATTGTAGATATTTTAGTATGTATTAAAAACAAAACAAATAATAATAATAATTAATATTAATTCTATCTTTTTTAAAAATTTACTTTAGAGAATCCAAATGTAACATTTGTTCAAAATGATACAAAACCAGTTGCAAACATTTGAATTGGATGGATATAAATTCTTTTTCTCATTGGTTGCAAATTCAAGAGTTGGATGTTGACGATAATGTTGTACAAGAGTTAATTGTCGATCAATGGAATGTTACAGATCAATCAGGTGATGATCTTACATCACTTCATTACAGATTGTTGATCAATTCAACATTGTATCCAACACTATCATCAATTGTCAATGTCACATCATTGATTGAATATTCAACCAAGGACAGACAATTACCATTTGGAGATAGTATTGTATCAGTTGGAGCAAATAGTATTAAAGTTGGTGTAAATGTCACTGGATGGCAATATCAATCGATCCTATCACATCTCAGAGTTGTATTCTCAACGATTGTCAATAATGAACAATCAACCATTCAATCATGTTCCTCTAGTGATATTCCAACATTTGAACAGATACTAGGAAGTGATAGTTATTTAAGAGTTATCAAGAATGATACACAATTCTATGGTAGATTCCTCTCGTATTCCTATTCAGATGGAAGAAAGACATTCTCGAGAAATGAATTAATCAATCAAACCAAAATCGTTGGAAACAACAACAATGAATCATTGGCATTGATTGGAGTTCATGTACCTCAATGTACTTTTTGTCTGCTCGATCCAGATTTCAGTGCATTGGTCGTCAACAATGAAAAGGTCGATTGTTCATCATCATCATCATCCAATACATGGAAGATTATAGTTGGATGTGTTGTTGGTGGAGCTGTATTTATAGCATTGGTCATTGCACTTGTATTCTATCTTCGTGATAGTAACTCTACAAGACTAAAGATAAAAGCTGCCAAGAGTATCTTTATGAAAAAAATGAATAAATAATACAAATAAATAAATAAATTATTAATAAATATTCTGTATAAATAATAAATAATAATTGTAAACTTGATACCTTGTTGTTTGTGGTCCATATGTCTCTCTGGTGAAAAACTAAAATTAAATAATAATAATTTAACACAAACCCCATCCCAACCCCATTCATCATTGTCAATATTAGTTGTCTTGTTTATAAACAAGACACAAAGAGAGAGATATACTTATACTTATATATATATATATATATTTATATTTATCATTACAGTAAAGATGATTATATCAAGATCATTCAATTCAATGATGATGGTTATGACATTGTCAGCTGTGTTGATGTTGTTTGTTATCAATATTGATACTGTCAACTCAACAGCTAAGGATCACAAGTATGAGCATGGTGATGATATTCCATTCTATGTGAATAATGTCGGACCATACTCTAACCCAACAGAAACATACGAATACTATTCTCTACCCTTTTGCAAACCAGAACACATCAAGCATAAGAAATCAAAGTTGGGAGAGATCCTTCAAGGTGATTCTGCTGTATTATCTGATTATAAATTACCTTTTAAAAGTATGATAGATTATTAGTAACGTAAAGAAGTATTTATACTTATTCTCTCTATCTATATTTATCTATCTATATCATTAGCAAACTTTCAATCAAAGGTATTATGTGAAATGACATTAACAAAAGAAAACATTGATACATTTAAAAAGGCGATAAGAGAATACTACTATGCAGAAATGATTTATGATGACCTACCTATATTTGGTCATATTGGTACATTCCAGGATGACCCAACCTCTCCAGCAACTAGATATGTACTATTTACTCATTTACCATTTAAAATTGAATTTAATAATAATCAAGTATGTAACAATAATAACAATAAGATATATTCTATACAGTTAGTTAACTTTAACTCTTTGTTTTTTTTGTTTAGATTATTAGAATTGAATTGGATACTAATAATATTGAAGGAGTTGAATTGGCAGATCAAGAAGAATTAAAGATTCAAATTACTTATGCTGCATCATGGACACCAAGCGAATATCCATTCTCAAAGCGTATGGAATTGTATGAAGACTTTTTCCCAAAGGAATTACAAATTCATTGGTTATCAATCATGAACTCTTTCTTTTTGGTCATTCTCTTGACTGGTTTCCTTTCCATTATCATCATGAAGATTTTAAAGAATGATTATTCAAGATACTCAAAGACTGATGATGAAGAAGAAGGTGATTGTATGAATCAAAAAAAAAGAAAGAGAGAGGAGCAAACAATTATTGATGATAAAGAAATTAAATTGACCTCTTTTTATTTTTATTTTTAGATCAAGAAGATTATGGATGGAAATTGATTCATGGCGAAGTATTTAGATTCCCACCTCACAAGAATCTATTTTCAGCATTCTATGGTATTGGATGGCAATTTATTATCATTACAAGTGCTATTTTATTGTTATCATTATTTGGTCTTTTCTATCCAAACAATGGTGGTAATATGTATACTGCTGGTATTATATTTTATGCTTTAACTTCTGGTAAGTCAATACCTACCTACTACATATCCAATCAATCAATTGATCACTCTCTAATCTTTTTTATTTATTCAACTAAAATTAGTTGTATCTGGTTATCAATCATCAAAAATGTATAAAAATATGGGAGGAACTAAATGGGCATGGAATATTGTTCTTTCAGCAACATTGTTTATGGGACCATTTATCCTTGTAGCATTCTTGTCCAATACGATTGCTGTGACATGGCATTCTACACACGCCATTCCAATCTTGACCATCATTGAAATATTAACGATTTGGATATTTGTTGGATTCCCATTGACTGTTGTTGGTGGCATTGCAGGACGTAGATTTGCTCCACCACTCGAGGTGCCATGCAGAACCAAAAACTTCCCACGTGAAATCCCACCCATTCCATGGTATCGTAGACTACCATGCCAAATGATGATGGCTGGCTTCCTTCCCTTTTCCGCCATCTACATTGAACTCTTTTACATCTTTAATAGTGTCTGGGGACACAACTCTTACACACTCTATGGTATTCTATGTGTAGTCTTTATCATTCTCCTCATCGTAACTGCCTGTATTACAGTAGCCTTTACTTATTTCCAATTATCAATGGAAGATCATCGTTGGTGGTGGACTTCATTTATTAATGGAGGGTAAATATAAAAAAAAAAGACAAAAAAAAGACAAAGACAAAAAGAATCTTCCTTGTACTTACCCTTTTTCTTTTTCGACTTTTTTTAGATCAACTGGTATATTTATTTATATTTATAGTATTTTCTATTATATTTATAGATCTCATATGTATGGATTATTGCAAACAACCTTTTATTTTACCTATATGTTTATTGTTTGTTTATTCTTTTTCATCCTCCTTGGAACTGTTGGATTTGTTAGTTCATTTATTTTCGTAAAGAGAATTTATAAGAATCTAAAATCTGATTAAATCATAATCAATCAATTAATAAATCAATTCAATTTAAAAACCATATTTAATATTTTAATTTTTTTAGATATGTTTTATTTTGGGGATTTTTAAAGTTGGTTGTGGAGTCCTACATAATATACAGTTTGGTCCAAGATTTGTTATGTTACGAGTATTATTTTGGTTATTATTGTTTTGATGATTATGATGATGAATTTGATAAGAGAGTGTTTTGGTGGATTGTGTGTGTGTTTGGTTTTGTTCTACTACAACAACAAAAGAGGTGTTGGTTTGGTTACCTAACCAAAATAAAAAAGAAAAAATAGGATATAAGAGTGGAATGGTAAAAAGGATTGGTTAAAGGTGGTCGTTATTAGTTTGTGATGGTGATTGATTTTGTTGTTGTTATTGTTGATGTTTGTTGTTATTGTTTGTTGATTCCATTTTGTGATTTTTTGTGTTTGTTGTTTTTTTGTTGTTGTTGATTGATATAAGAGGCCGCAGGGGTTTTTCTATTGTTTCGCTTCTTATTTGTTGTCTTTTTGTTGTTGTTATTTGTCTTGATGTTACGGATGATCTTTTTGTTTTTTTGTTTAAGCCCAGATCTTGAGGAGAGAGTCCCATGAACCAGTGCAAAGAGCCATACCGTCGGTAGAGACACCCAAACAAGAGACACGGTTACCGTGACCAGTCAAGCTGACAACACGCTCACCCTTTAAGGTGTCCCATACGTTGCAACTGAAATCGTCATAACCAGCAAACAAGAAACGACCAGAGAGCGAGAAAGCGACAGAGGTAATACCGCACAAAATAACGTCGTGGGTGTATTGCATCAACTCACGGTCAGCACGGATATCAAACAATCTGCATGAAGCATCATCGGAACCAGTACCAAATGAAAGTCCGTTGGGGAAGTATTGGACGGCGTTGATATCGGCATCGTGACCAGTAAAGGTTTGCACGCACTTGCCGGCACGGATATCCCACAACTTGGCAGTAGCATCACAAGCACCAGAAATAAAGTAGTTTTTGTCTGGAGAAATAGATACACTAAAAAAAAAAATTAAAAAGAAAAAGAAATAATTATTAGATATAATTGTTTTAGGTTTGAATTGAATTGATTGATTGATTGATTTCATACCTCATGACATCACCATTGTGATCTGAAAATTCGGTAATCTTTGTACCGTTTTCAATATCCCACAATATACAAGACATATCACCAGATGAGGTAATAATTTGTCTATCGTTGAGGAATCTGCAACATGAAAGGTAACCAGTGTGGGAGTTTAATTCACGGCATACTCTGATTGGGACTTCACGACTACGAAGGTTATAGATTGAACAAATGTTATCGAGACCACCACAAGCTACAAAGTTGGTGGTTGGTGAATAGGCACAGGTCATAACCCATGATGATCTAAAAAAAATAAAAAGAAAATTAAAATAGAAATAAAAGGTTATTATTAATATCTCTCTATCTCTTATATTTGTTGTCTTTGATGTCTGTTTGTCTCATACCTAAGTGGAATAGCGTGAACCTTGTTGGTAGTTAAACCATCCCAAACCAATAATTTACCATCTTGAGAGGCAGATACCAAGTGAATGGAATCTTCAGCCCAGTGCATGGCATAAATCTTTGCAAGATGTCCCTTTAAAGTTCTTCTAATCTTGATCTTGTTTTCCAATCTTGGTAAGTTTGGAAGATCACGTGTGTATGTCTTGACTATAAATATATAGATTTTAAATGATATGATTAACTAAATTGTTCCTAATCTTAAAAGACCTATAATAATCCTTTTTGCTGCTGCTACTTCTGTTATCCACCACTAGTTACACTCTTCTTCTACTACTACTGCTGCTGCTAAAGGATCATTATTGATCTTTTGATCTTTTGTTGATTGATTTTGGGTTTATAGACTTACGTGAAGTATCATTCATAACATCTCTGTTTGTTCTGATTTGTTCTTTCATACCCTCGGCATCTCTACGGGCTTGTTGAATCTTTTCTGAAATATCGGATGACATGTTTTGTTGGTTCTATATTATATTATATTATGTATATGTATATATGATACTATAGAGGAGGAGAGTTTGTTAGACTTTAACTATTTTACTTGATGAAAAAGGAGGGGGATGGATTGATTGAAAAATTTGGTTGATGTGTGGAGGAGGAAAAAAAAAAGTTTAAAATTATTATTATTATTATTTATGATAAATAATCTACAGAGTTGTTAACAAAAAAAAAAATAAAAAGTGAAATGAGAGAATGTTTGTTTGTTTGTACAAAGCACAGAAGTTAATTAATTATACAAGTGATAGAATAAATAGATATATGTATGTATATTATATTATATTAGAGATACAACAACAACAAGAGATTGAGACGATGATGATTTAGAAAAAGAGAAAAATGTTAATAAAAAGGTTCGTGTTATTTGTTGTTGGTTGTTCTCCTCTCTCTCTCTCTGATGCATCAATTAATCAATCAATCAATCAAACCAAATCAGCAGCTGATTGAAGAGGAGGAGGAAGAACTTTGTGTGTGTTTGTGTGTGTGTTTGTGTGGCGGGTGATAACAAATAAAAAGACACACATTTTTGCCTTTGTATCCCCCCAAAAAAAAAAAGTTTGTGTGTGATCGATGGATCGAATGCAATTGAATTAGCAGCACTCTCTACTTTGAAAAATGTGGGGGATGTGGCTGGCAGGTGGTTTTGAAAAGTTTTCTCTTAGAGATGAGATAGATATTATTGATGGATGATGGTAATTTTAGATTGTTGGAGTCATTATTAAATAATAACTAATGTGCTCTATAAACTAACTAACTACCTAACTCCTTGTTGATGTAATAGTTGAAGATCACAACATTTTGAGAGAGTAAAAAAAAAAAAAAGAAAAGGGCGGTTCCAAAACAATGGAATGGAAAAAAAAAAAAAAAAAGAGAACAACACAATTTTTTTTTTTGTTAAAGAACTATAGATAGATTTCTTTATCGTCTAGTCTACTCTTTTTTCTAATGATCAAATTGTTGTTGGTAGTACTGTTCCATTGATATTCATTGTAATTGTATTTTGTGAAAAAAGTGATCACTTGCTTGTATATCCTATCCCTATCTCTCTGTTGTTGTGTTGTAAAGAGTTGTATGATGGTTTACCTTTTTTTTTATAAATATTTTAGATTTTGTTTGTTATGGAAAAATTAAAAGTACAAAGGGAGGAAGAGGCTAGCTATTGAAAAATATGTTGCGCTAATGTGATGGTGATGATTGTTGTGTTTGTTGTTGTTGTGTTGTTAATATTACTACTACTGTTATTATTTATCTATTATATTTTTCAATATTGATCGTGCTTGGAGACTCTACAACACTAATCAGGTGGGCTTGAGAGCGTTTTCACTTTAAAAAAAAAAAAAATTTTGAAAGCAAAAAAAAAAAAAAAACATCCAAAAAAAACAACCAAAAGATATTTTTTTTCTTGTGGTGGTTTTTTGTCCTGTTTTGCTCCACTGGAGGCCAGCAGTAGCTCGATTCCCTTTTTTTTATCCACCATGAAATCGACCTTCCTCCTTGTTGCCTTTGGGCTCGTCCCCTCCTTTTGACTTTTATACGTATGTATCAGTCCCTGAGGAGGGTTAGCAAATATATTCTTTGATCCACACCCAATCTGTCGTCATCACAACTACTATAAAGATAATCTACTTACAAAAAGTGCGTGTGTATGTGTGTGAGTGGTTTATCTATTCTACAGTTAATTATTTATACAAAGAGAGAGAAGAAGAAATAAGAAAACTACAAACTCGATAAAGACTCGCGAGATTCCAAAGACGGGTCTCGATTTCCATTTTTTTTCAGAGCAAGATTCATTGAAAGACGGGTTTGACCAAAAAAAACCAGATCTTAACGAACATAGTTTTTGAGGTTTTGGTGATCGTGGTGCAAAAGCTATCAAAGTTGATCATTGTCGTCAGTATACGTGTCCAAACCACTTATAGACGATCGTCTATAACAGCATAACTGTTATGGATGATTGATAAGCAACGGGTTAAAAAAGATGTAGTAAACTTTCAAAAAAAAGGGGTTGATCAAATAAAAGAAATGGGTCAACTTATCAAAGAGATGAAACATAGACAATAAGAGAGGTGATTGAATAAATTTATTGAATCATAATAATAAAAGTCAACTAGTATACCTGTTATACATGATGCTAAAACAAACGAAATTGCGTAGATAGAGATAGATGATCTCGAGATTCAAAAGCCAAAAAAAGAATCACACGAGATCCCATAGATATTTTCTATTTTTAATCAATTAAGAATATCTCCAAATATTTTCATCCAACCACTATAAATATTTATCACTAAATTCAAAAGATAGATTATCTGTACATTTCTTTTTTAAATAAATCGCTTTCGCTTTCATCATTATCAATCTTTTTCCACAATCAAAAAAAAAGTAAATTATATATTAAATTTATATCTATCTCCTTCTTTTTCTTCTTCTTCTTCTATCTTTTTTGTTTCTACATGTTTTCGCTTCTTCGTTTGTCGTCGTAGTATGTCGTCTTTGATCGTCGTCGTAGTCGTCTTCTGTCGTATGGTATGGGTATTGTCATTTTGTCTTTGTCGCGTCGTCATAGTCGTCATAGTCGTTGTCGTCGTAGTCGTCTTTAAAGTTGGGGTTGGTCACTAGTTGGTAATGCGTCGCTAGCAGTCGATGATGTGGTGTTTATCGAATCAGGTGGTTTTGACAAACCTTTAAGATCTTGTTTTTTGTTCAATCCAACGTCCCAGTCTAATCTTAATTTTCTACCGTCTACATCGGTTGTTGAGTATCTAAATGAGAGTTGAGAAGGGTGTGTATCGAAATCGAAAATTGGAATGATCGGGGATGAATATTTTAAAAATAGATCGCATCGAATATATAAAACAAGAATGAACAACAAAAAAAAAAAAAGGGTAAGGTACTTACGTTTTATAGGCTTCGTCGGCATCGGCCTTGTTTTCAAATTCAATAAAAGCAAAACCTCTGTTGTGTCCAGTACGCTTATCAAATCCAATATTTAAAGTTGCAATCGTGCCAAACTTGATGAATAAATCTCTAAGATGGCTTTCTTGATAGTGGTATGGCAAATTACCAACAAATAAACATTTGCTCTTTTCCTTTTCCTCTTGATTCATAACATGTCTAAAAAGTAAATCAAACAAATAGGTTGATTAGTAAGTAATCATCATTGTTATCACAGCATTATCATTATAATTTTCCTTACACTTCTCTTCTTGGACGGGAATATGGACCACCATAACGAGAGTCACCTCCACGGTATCCACCACCAAAACCACCACGACTACCACCACGGTAGCTGCTGCTACCACCGCGATAGTCTCTGTCACCGTAACCACCGCTGCTGCCACCACGGTAACCTCCACCGTCTCTGCTGTCGCGGTAACCGCCGCCGCCGCTGCTGCTGCCGCCGCTGCTATATCTGCCGCCACCTGATGATGGGTATCTTGAATGACGGTCGTAGCCTCCACCGCCGCCACCGCCACCGTATCCGCTACCTCCTCCATAGCCTCCGCTACCACCACCATAGCCACCGCTGCCGCCACCATAGCCGCCACTGCTGCCACCGTAGCCGCCGCTGCTGTATCCGCTGCTGCCACCGTATCCTCCACCGCTGCCGCCGTATCCGCTGCCGCTGCTGGTGTATCCCGTGCTTCCGCTGCCGCCGTATCCGCCGCTTCCACCTGCATATCCGCTGCCACCGTAGCTACCACCGCTGCTGCTTCCCGTACCGTATCCATACGATGAGCTGCTGTCTCCGTAACCACCAGTACCGTAACCACTGCCTCCTCCCGTACCATATCCATACGACGAAGTTGGCAGCGAAGCACTTGGATCGTATCCAGCACTAGTTCCAGTGCTGCTATAGTTTGACATTGTTCTACCCGATCCCATGCCTCCTACACCTCTCGTTGGTGAATATCTATCATCTTTATGATCCTACAAATATAGGAAAAAAAAAAACAACTGTTAGCATCACCATCCTCATATGATCACACATCTTATCTCTATCTTACCATGTTAGTTTGTTTTTGTTATTTCCCCGTAAGTATAGTTTTAAATATCAAATGATTTATAAAAGGAAACAATAACAATAAAATAATAATTATATATGTACAAGTAATTTAATTAAACAAGTCAACTGGGGTCAGCTGAGATGAAGAAGAGAGCAGCAACTCTTCTCTGCAAAAAAAAAAAACTGATTTTTTTTTAAATTATTTTTTTGAAGAGCCAACCCACCTTCACTTCATCTCTCTAAATTGCTTCAATTTTTTAGTTTCTGCAAGCGTCGAAGCTAAAGAAAGAAGAGTTACAAATATTCATTTCCTGGAATTATTGGTCAATGATCATTATCCGCCGCGTCATTCAACAACAATTATTTAATACAAATTTATGTACTACCTAAACTTTAACTAGTTGGTCGCATAATTAAACACATACAACCAAGACAAGAAGATTGGATGTTTAACATCAATACCTTTCGCATTCAAACGACAAAAATCATAAGATCATATTCATCTTCATCATCATCATCTTCAAATCTTTTAAAGTTTAATCATATTTATAAAATGGCAACAAAGAGAAAGAGTAATGGTGGCCAAGTTGAAGATTCAACAACAAATACTACTACTAGTACTACTGCCACTAATCATATATCTGTTGAATATGATAATGATAAGCAACCATCACAACAACTTCAACCAAAACAACAATCACCAGATCAATTCAGATCATTTATACTCGATCGACCAAAAAGAGATGGTGTAAAGAGTAGATTTTTTTCAACTACTTCAACGACTTCAACTACATCAACAACAAGTAAAAAGGAAGAAGAATTAGAGGAAGAAGAAGACGAAGAAGAGGAGGAGGAAGAAGATTATTTTCAAGGATCAGAATCAGAATCTGAACAAGAAGCAAAAGTACAAAAGAAATCAAAATCAAAATCAAAATCAAAATCAACAAAGAAACAAAAATTACTACTTGACAATGTTGATATTGAATCAACAATGGATGAAAAGGTATCATTGGCAAAAGAGAAATGGGAAGAGACATGGGATTTAATACATCAAATGAGATTGGCATTACCAGCACCAGTCGATAATTTGGGTTGTGATTCATTCAATGATGATAAGTTGGATCCCAAGGTATCGAGATTTCACACATTGGTTGGATGCATGTTGTCTTCGCAGACTAGAGATGAACAAACCTATGCATGTATGAATAGACTGCGTAAACATGGATTGACAATCGAGAATGTATTGGCAAGTGATACAGATACACTAGAAAAGTTAATATATCCAGTTAGCTTTTACAAGAGAAAGGCAGACTACCTCAAACGAATTTGTATCATTATGCGTGATAAATACAAAGGTGATATTCCACCAAACTTTAAAGAGTTGTTAGAGTTGCCTGGTATCGGTCAAAAGATGACAAATCTTATTGTCCAAGTGGCATGGGGTCGAACTGAAGGTATAGCTATCGACGTTCACATGCATCGCATTGCCAATAGACTTGGTTGGGTTCATACTGAAACACCCGATAAAACAGAAATTGCCCTAAAGGAATGGCTACCATTTGAACGATGGGATGGTATCAACAAATTACTAGTTGGATTTGGTCAAACCACCTGTACACCACTTAGACCAAAATGTCAAAACTGTAAAGTTAATCACCTATGTCCAACTGGAATTGAAAATATGAAATCAATCAACGATGACAACAATGATAAGAAGAAGAAAAGTAGTAGTAAAAAAGAAAAAGGTAAATCTTTTGGAAAAAAGAAATAAAGAACATTATCAAGTTTATTTGGGTTTGGATTATAAATTTTCGGCAATGAAATACATTACATCTTTACTTGACCAATAACTTTTATGACCGGTAATGACATTACTATATTCCGATATCGTGGTTGAGTTTAAGAATCCAGATGGTTGTAATTTATAATCAAATCGATGTCCTCCAAAAAACTTTCCATCTTTGGTGGAGGTGGTAGAGGTGGTAGTTTCTTTACTATCTTTTTTAGTTTTCTGTTTCTTTTCATTTCCAGCTTCTGTTGGTCCAATTTCTGGTGATGATTCTGCCGATGTTACATTTATAGTTGGTACATTATTATTATTATTATTATTATTGACATTATATTCATCTGTTGCAATTGTTGCTATTGATGTTTGATCAGAAAAACTACATTCACCTTCATCTGATGAAGAATTGGTAGTACTGGTCGTAGAAGTCAATGATAAAGTTGGTGATGGATTTGTTTGATTATTATTATTATTAGATGTAGATGTGGATATAGTAGAGGTTGAAGAAGAGGAATATGATTTTAATTCAAATTCCTCTGAATTATTACCCTTGTGTGAACTGCCTGTCAATTGATGTGCTACATTTGTAGTGGTTGTAGTTGTAGTTGTAGTTGTACCATTACCACGTAATTTACTGTGTAATTTTGTTGTCAATTTACTAAATTTTGAACTAAGATTATCAGTAATTGTTGGTTTTGTATTATTATTATTATTATTATTACTATGATTATTATGATGATGATTATGATGATTATGGTGATGATGATGATGGTGATGAGGTTTCTTTAATGGTACCATATGTGGTACCAAAGATTCACCCAAAGTTGCAAACCCTTCATCAATTAAAGGTTCAATTAAATATGCCTAAAATCAAACAAAAAAAATAATGTTGGTTTAATAAATTGATTCATATTTGTTTGTTTGGTTTGGGTTATACATACAACAGGATCAGATGGATCTAAAATATTAAATAGATTTATACATTTTGGAATGGAAAGGTGGGTATGACCTCTGATCGTATATAATAGACCAATGGGTGACCCAATACAGAATAAATTGTGAACTTGGAAATCCAATTTAGGAATAATTAAATGAGGCAATAATGAATCTCCAAATGCTTCACTACCACTTAGACTTGTTGTCAATATAGATTCTCCAGATTTCATATTAAAATTTGGATCATTATTAAAATTTGATTCAATCTTTTGATTATTATTATTATTATTCGTATTTGTATTTTGATTTTCTGGATCATCAGTAATTTCATCTAATAACATTTCTTTTCTCCATTGTTCAACATTTCCAATTGGAATTTGGTCTTGTAAATAGTTAAAGTAATCTAAATCATCTCCATGATTACTATGTTGGTCTGCATTTGTATATGCATTTGAACGCTTTTCTTCATCTTCCAATGAAAGAGATGAATTGTTTTTTCTCATGGTTGGGGTGGTATTGCCACTAGTCGATTGAGGTGATCTTGATGTTGATTTACGAGGTGACTGTTTCATGATGTATTGGTCGTGTTCCTTTTGATCAAATGGTTGGTGACAGAGAATATCATATGTGATCATACTACCAAGCGAATGAGCAAGTACATGTACCTTGCCAGTAAACGTTGGGTGCTCTTTGATAAAGTTTTGGTAGACTGCGTTGAGTTGATCGCCCACCTCGGTGTAGATGGTCTGCGAGTAGGTAGGTGATGTCCAAAACAATATATCGAGTAGTGTGTGATTGATGAGTGCATGCACAACTGGGATGGATGGGGGAGTCACCTTTTGGATGAGTGCATCTGTCTTGAGGTGTAGTGCAGAGTGCCATTCAACGCCAACAAACTTGATATTCTTTTCGATAAACGTTGCCTTGCACACACTCTCAAACAACGTATTGACCTTTGCAATCTTGCTTCTCCAATTCTCTTCATGTTTACCAATACCGTGTACCAACAATATTAAATGATCAATATTCTTTTCTTGTGCTATATAGTCATTATTTATACTTGGGTTGGTTGTATCCATTGCTACCGTTGCTTCTACTTTATGTGTTTTTGTTGTTGGAATAGGAGGTAAAGGTGTATTATGATTATGTTGTTGTTGTTGTTGTTGTTGATTATTACTACTACTACTACTATGACTATTATTATTATTGATTAATTCATACATCAAATATTAAAAACATATAATATAAATTAATATAAAGGGAATGAGTCAATGATGAATGGATTGGTTGATGGATGATGATGATGATGATTATTTGTGTTTTAAACAATGTCTCTCTCTCTTTCTTTCTTCCTCTTTCTTTGTTATTTATTATCTTCTATCTATTTATTATCTTTGTTTACAAAGACACTAGACATCAGGAGTGAGAGTGTTGTGTTTGTTTGATTTTTTATTAAAATTATTATTATTATTTAATGACAATTCAGTTGGCTGGGTGGTTTGACGTGTCGATGGAAAACGACATTCATACACTCCAAGCTAAAAACCTTCCTTTTTCAATTAATTTGGATTTTTTGATCAACTTTGTTGTAACCAACTAAAACTATACTATGTTTTTATTCCTTTAAACATTTATATTAATGAGAATGAGGTGAAAGATACCTTGAATCTAATTCTTGATAGGTTACTTCTCTTACAAGTTTTGAACTCCATGGACCTTAAATATCAAACAATAAACAAAATAAATTAGTCCATTGATTCTGCAATGATACTGTCAATTGCTTTTAAAGTTAATTTCTGAAAGTACTTACACCAAAAATGATTTGGTAATAATGATGATGTTCCAGTTACTTTATAATGTCTTTCAACACAATCAATAGTAGCATCACAATCTTCAATTGTATGTTCAAAAAATTGAATCGTTTCCTATGAAGGATGGAAAAAAGTAAATAAATAAATAAATTATAAAGAATATTAATTGTATTACTTACAGGATGATAATGGAATGAATATTTTGTATTATATTCAACCTTGTTGATTAATATTTTACCCTTAAATAGAAAATAATTAATAAAAATAAATAAATATATTTATCATTCGAATTATCTTTTATATTGACATACCATAACATGAACACGTTTCTTTTCTTTTCCAGTTAGAATTGATCTAGCTTCTCTTATAGTATCACTGGATTCAAGTTTAATAGTAAACATTAATCCAGATTCATCTGTCATTTCAAAATAGGCTTCATTATAATTAAAATTTGCCATTACTGTGAATGTAATAGAGTATAATATGAAAATTAGGATTACTCCCAATAACTTTAATTTTGGTGGTTGGAAGATTTTAGAAATTATCATCCTATATTTTTTTTAAAAGTACTAAATATAATTAATTATGACAAGGACTGCCAAACAATTAAATGAATAAAGGAAGGAAGAAATTCAATTAAATTTAATTTATTAAAGTTTAAACACTGATCAATAAAGTTAGAGCGATACAATAACTTTAATCTAATTAGATTTTATAAAATTCTTTGTAACTTATAAATAAATAAATTTAAACAAATTCAATTCAAAAATTGAACAGTAGAGCAAAAAACCTAACTAAAATAGCACAGGAGATCTCCTGTGAATTTTTAATTGTGTGTATGTGTTGTCAATGTGTGGGTGGACAGTAATAATAATAATAATAATAATAATACTTTAAATATATTACAATCAATCCACGAATAGATTCACTATCGATTTGTTGTGTTGTGCTGTTTGAGTATTAATACTGGTAGATCATTAAATTTTATTGAGTATTTCGTGAGTGAGTGAGCGAGTGTACCAACCATCTTATCTGGAGGATCTCGATTTTTTCCATCACAACACAACAACCTTACACACAACAAGATATATTTGATGTGGTGTTTACGTCAATGCCAAAAAGAAGTTGGTTGGCTCTGCCTGTGGCCCAGAGGAGTAAAGGCGTTTCGGCCAGATCTGGCAAATTTCATTACATTCAGTTTTATCATAAAAAATCGGCACCTAATGGCCTGTGTGCATTGGAATAAATCTCGAGTATGTGTTTTTTTTGTAGTTGAAAGAATATTAAGAAGAGGAAGTTGAACCGCAAACAACAACAACAACAACAATAGAACAAGAAGAAGAACTAGAATCATACACACCGTACCCTATCATCTTTATTTAGTAGAGTAGTAGTGTAGTAGTAGTGAGAGAGTTTCTATAGAGATAGAGACAGAGACAGAAACAGAGGACCAGAGTAGTTAGTTTTATATTTATTTATTTATTATTATCATTGTAACATTATCATATAAACCCATCCATCCATCCATCTACACAAACAACCAAATTTATTTAAAGGTAAGAGACATACAGACATATAGACAGATTATACAACATACGTACACTTTAAAGAATATCTCATAAATCGATTTATGTGTGGGTTGAAGCTTCAACCTCCTCAAGAGAAGAGTCATATGAGAAATAGTAGGATTAATGTGAGTTGTGTGCGAGTGAGTGATGAATGGTGGTTGAAAACAGAGAGAGCGACGTTGTGATCATCCACCTACTTTGGGTGTGGTTTTGCAGCAAAGTTGTTGTTGTTATTGTTGTTACGTTCACACAACAAGATTAATCCTCTTCCTCCTACAATTTTCAATCATCATTAACAATCCATCGTCCTCCTCTTTTACGATAATTCAAAGAGCTAAAACAACCTATTTCAACTTGTTGCTTGCTTGGATCTTTATCACCTCCTCTTCATCTGTACACAACTCACTCTTTTTGATACAAACTAGATATATATCTATACATCCTCAAACAACATCAACAACAACAACAACAGGTCAACTATTCAATTCACCGTCACTCACTACACTACGTCAGTCATTCAGTCCAATTTCATTTAAATTGGCAAGCCACTTTTTAATCTTCATCTGCAGCAACAGACCACCACAAACCAAACAACAACATCAACAACCAAGCAAACCTACCTAGAATATATTCTACTACCATTATTATTATCATCATCAAACATCATACGACAATAACAACAACAACTAACTATTCCTTTTAATTCCTAATAGTATTCCAAAGGTTTGATTCTAATCATTCATTTCATGTTTTAGAAACTAGAGAAAGAGAGAAGAGAGATCTAAACCAAAATACATACATTATGTCATATATTAAATTAGAAGTTATAAATGACACTTCCACATCATCGTCACCTGATCACCGATTAACGATAAACGGAGCAGATGACGACCTTCATGGTGGTGGTAAAGGAGGTGTCAAAAAGGCAGTCTTTAGTATACAAGGTATGACTTGTTCGAGTTGTGTCGGTATCATTGAAAACTTTGTTGGCAGTAGTGAAGGTATCGAATCTATTCAAGTTGCTCTACTACAAGAAACCGCTGAAGTTAAATATGATACTTCAAAATTAAATGTATGTGTCAAATATATACAAAATATATCCAAAAGTTTGGTTCATAATATTAAATCATTCATTTATTTATTTTATTTTGTTTTGTTTATTTAGGAAAATGATATTATAGAATTGATAACAACAGTTGGATTTACAGCACAACATATTAAACAAGCTGAACATAATACTTTAATGTTGGATATTGGAGGTATGACATGTTCGAGTTGTGTCGGTATCATTGAAAGTGTAATAGGTGGTTTAAAAGGTATAGAAGACATTAAAGTGAATCTAGCACTTGAATCTGCCAGAGTTGTTTATGACCCTGATATTACAGGTCCAAGAGATATTATTAAAGAAATTGAAGATGTATGTTGGAGTGAAAAAAAACAAATAGTATTTGCAATTCTTCAAACAAACAAACAAACTCTAACTTACTTTTTTTATTATTTTTTCTTTAGGTTGGATTTACAGCCCATTTACCAACAGATAAATTCGGTCAAGATAATGGTAAAAATGTACAGAAAGAAGAGATTGAAAGATTGAAAAAGAGTTTATATTATAGTATTGGGTTTACAATCCCAGTTTTTTTATTAGGAATGGTTTTATATAAAGTTAAATGTAATGTAGCAACATATATTATTGGATAGATTATAAATACAAATATTAATATCTTTTCTTACTTTTTATAGTTTGTCATTTTTTATTTACATCACAAGTTGTAAATGGTATAAGTATAGCCGATTTTATAATGTTTTTGTTTACGACACCGGTTCAATTTGGAGTTGGTAGACGTTTCTATGTGAATGGATGGAAGTCGATTAAACATGGTGGCGCAAACATGGATGTGTTGGTGGCGTTGGGCACAAGCTGCGCCTATTTTTACAGTGTTTTTGTGTTGTTGGTCGACATGACGGCCGACAGTGTGCTGGGTCAGGAGGACAAGCCAATGCAAATGAAGACATTTTTCGACACGAGTGCGTCACTCATTACATTTATTCTTTTGGGCAAATACTTGGAGGTCATTGCCAAGGGCAAGACAAGCGAGGCGATCAAGAAGCTCATGTCGCTGCAGGCGACCAAGGCAGTGTTGTTGGAGCTGGACAGCGAGGGTAATGTCGTCGCCGAGAATGAGATTGACATTTCGCTGGTGCAGCGTGGCGACACGCTCAAGGTGGTGCCGGGCAGCAAGGTGCCAACGGATGGTGTGGTCGTCAGCGGCAACAGCTCGATTGACGAAGCTATCATTACGGGCGAGTCCATGCCAGTCACCAAGAAAAAGGGTGATAAGGTGATTGGCGGCACCATCAACCAAAAGGGTGTATTGCATATTTGCGCGACACGTGTCGGTGGTGATACATCGCTCGCACAGATTATCCGATTGGTTGAGCGTGCACAGACCGAGCGTGCACCCATCCAGTCGCTGGCTGATAGAGTCAGCGGTATCTTTGTGCCGTGTGTCATTACAATTGGTTTGCTCACATTTTTCGTGTGGCTGATTGCCGGTGCAACTGGCGCAGCCGAGGCATACATCAAGGCGGCCGATTCAACGACGTTTCAGTTTGCTCTGAGAAACGCCATCTCGGTCATTGTCATTGCGTGTCCCTGTGCATTGGGTCTGGCCACACCCACGGCCGTCATGGTTGGCACGGGTATTGGCGCACAGAATGGTATCCTCATCAAGGGTGGCAGTCACTTGGAGACTGCCCACAAAATATCCGCAGTCATTTTCGACAAGACTGGTACACTTACAACAGGCAAACCAATCGTCAGCGAAGCACATATGATACCCAACCAACACACTCACAAAAAATTTGACAAAAAGACATACTTTGAATTGGTCGCATCGGCTGAAGCTGCATCAGAGCATCCTCTGGCTGGTGCCATTGTCAATTATGCTTTTCATGTATGTGAGGTTACCCAGACAACGGTGCCAGAGGACTTTGAGAGTGTGACGGGCTCGGGTATCCGCGCAACCATCCAAGGTGTATCAGTCATGATTGGCAGTCCCAAATGGCTTGCCGAAAATGACATTACCATCTCCAAGAGTGTCATCGATAGTGCTGCTGCCAAAGATGTAGAAGAAACCATCAGACGACTAGAAAGTGAAGGTAATACAGTCGTCCTCGTATCACTCAACCAATACATCTCTGGTTACATTGCCATTTCCGATCAACTCAAACCAGAGGCACGTCCAACCATCTCTGCACTCAAAAAGATGGGTATCTTTCCCTGGATGGTCACGGGTGACAACCAACGCACTGCCAATGCCATTGCCGCCCAAGTCGGTATCTCACAGGTATTTGCAGAGGTACTCCCCTCCAACAAATCGAAAAAGGTCATTGAACTTAAAAAGCAGGGTCATATTGTAGCCATGGTTGGCGACGGTATCAACGATTCGCCTGCTCTTGCCGAGGCAGACGTGGGTATTGCTATTGGCGCAGGCACTGATATTGCCATCGAAGCAGCCGATATTGTCCTCGTCAAGAGCGACTTGCGTGATGTCATCACTGCCATCTCGCTCTCTAAAACCACTTTTAACCGTATCCGACTAAACTATCTATGGGCTACCCTCTACAATGTCATGGGTATTCCTTTGGCCGCCGGTGTACTCATCCCCGCCGGCATTTCTATTCCTCCCATGATTGCCGGTCTCGCCATGGCATTTTCCAGCGTCAGCGTCGTCTTGTCATCGCTCCATCTAAAAACCTACAAAAAGCCACACATTGCCACGAGCAACACTAGCATGGTCGCCAATAACCGCGGCGGCGACGACATTACACACGAATCATTTAGAAAGAGTAAAATCAGTTTTGATCCACCTGCTCCAGTCAATAATATCATTAAAGTTATTAAAGGTTCACAAGTGGAACATCAATCTTTATTATCAAAAGATCTTGATCCATAAAATTAATTAATTAATAAATAAAACTTTATCTATTAATATTAATATGACTCTAAACCTTTAATATATTTAATATTAATATTATCATTTTATAATTTTTTCCCTATTCTTGAGAAAAAAAGTAAAAAAAAACCAACATCTTGACCTTTTCATGGGGTTTTCCAATGAGGATTGAATGATAATTAATGAAACTTTGATAGAATGATAGAGAACTGTCTAAAGAATAAGAATATAATAGAAACGATCTAAGGAAATTGGAAACTTGGGATTTAATCTCTACCGGTTTTTTTTATCGGAAAAAAAAACTGGAAAAAAAAATTTCATATGTCCAACCATTTTATGATTTTTACATGTCTAGTTTTAATGGAAATTAATGAAACCTGGTTAGAAAGATAGCCCCGGGTGTGTAGAACAAGAATATCGCAAAAAAAAAAAAAGCAGGGTCAAAAACAACAAAAGATAGCCCTATGGGGGGCTCGAACCCCCGACCACAAGATTAAGAGTCTTGCGCTCTACCGACTGAGCTAACAAGGCTTTTGTTTTTTCAACCAATTTTTCACGGATCTCGACCCGCCCTTGCTTTTTTTACTAGGAGAGAACAGGAAAAGAATTACTTTAAAAAAAAAAAAAAATGCTTTTTTTACCGATTTTTGGTTTATTAATATTTGTTATTTTCAACTTGCAATTCAAACAATTATGAGTATATTTAATCATGTTCCTTAACTCAGCCGGTAGAGCGCAATCTTGTGGAAGTTTTGTTTGATATTGTTTCCGTCATCTCATCAGAATCGGCCGATTCTTTTTCCACTCGATTATAGTTTACTTTTAATTAAATTAACGGACTTGAAGTGTTCACCTATATAGTTATACCATAGGTAATACTCATTTGTTCACACCTATTGCTTCAACTGCCTTCTCAACACTATTACAATGTTTGACATTTTTTGGATCTTAAAAAAGACATTTATCTCTACCAGTTGTGTTAGGGTCAAAAATAATCATTAAACTTTTATTAATTAAAGAGGTCTTGACATTTTGACATTAGTTTCTCCACCAATTGGACCAGTACCATCATATTGAAGGAAAAGGGTCTCTCCAACAACCGATGAGTCATAAGTTACAAGAAGAGAGACCGATCCATTCAAATAATAGTTGCAAGATGGATACCAACAACCATAGGCCGAACCAGCATTATTGATTTGCATCAATGTAAAATAGTAATCCTTGTTTAGGAAAAGGTCCATATTGTTGTTGTCTATGAGCATGGCCGAGAATCCAAAACTTGTTGGTGTACCAGATTCATCAGATGATACCTTGAAACAAACACTATCCTGTGAAGTAAATACACCATTACATTGAATAGAATTATATCCATTTGATGTAGTATAAAAGGTATTGGAACCATCACACCAAGCATTGACTGATGATACTGAAATACTAATTGCAACTATTAATAATAGTAATATGGATTTGTTGTAATACATCTTTAAATAATAAATATCTAAACAAATATTATAAATTGAATGGATGAATGAATGGTAATTGATGTGTATCTTTCAAAGATACAAGATACACCGTATTCGACGATTAAATTATTAATAATAAATCAATTGAAATTTGTCGACGTGTTTAGAATAATATCTTGGTTTGTGCGTGCCAACCTTACAATTCTATTCGTGATCATCATCGGGTCATCCCCAAAAATGCAAGTCCTAATATCTGATTTTATCTCTCGGACGATAAATATCTCTTTTTTTGGGAATTTACCGATAATGAAAGTAAATAATTTCAATCAAAATAAATAACCTTGTTTTGGTTTGGTACTTCATGTAGCGATATAGTTTGACTAGAGACTTGAGCAAAAAAAAAGTATAGTAATAAATTGAGAAATGAATCATTGGCGTTTTTGGATGATTGGTTGCTGTAGTATTATTTTAATCTAAATATATAATCAATCATTTAATATTGTTCCAATTGAGACATTTAGTTTGACAATAATATTTCTTTTTTTGTTTAGTACTTACCTAGCTATCGATAGTTTGACTACAGTACTCTCTCAAGACTTTTACAAAATAAGTATAATACCCAACAATAGTAATAAATACAAATCTAAAAATGCTATAGTTGAGTATTATACTTATTCTGCATCGTCTGATGTAGCTAGTTAGGTCCTGATGGTCTGATTGGATCACTTGATTCACCTATTACTTGTTTTGTTTTACATGTTTGAACTTACTTGCTACGAGTGTCTTGAGACTTTACCTACTCGACCACCAAACCAAGATGTCATCCAATAATGGGATCTAAATTTAATGCAAGCGGATACACAAATCAGAGACCTAGATATTAAATAAACAAGTGGTAATTATTTTAAAACATCCATCTCGATTCTGTAAATACTTACAACATCTCAATATCACAACATCACAATTGTAGATAGCGCAAGTGGTAGTAGAGGTACGAGCATCAACAAGATCGCTCTCGACAAGGGTGGTGTTGTTTCCCTGAGATGGATGAATTATCGAATATGAGTGTTTAGGCTCATATTTATGGACAACACGTGACGGAGTGATGACGTCGTGTTGTGGTAATTAGTTCTCCTGGTACTAACTACTCTGTTTATTAAGAATGATATAAGGTTGGATATCATACATTGATACCTTCCTAGTTATTTAGGTTACTTGGATGGATAGTACTCTGGGAATCTTCTATCTATGATCGCTAATCGATATGGCCTAGACTACAGATTCTACAACAATACATACAGATAACCATGTTTTGGAGTATTTGAAAGTGTCTGGACCCTCTCTATGCGGCCATGGCTTATTTGTTGTGTGTCATTTGACGATGGTAGTGGAGGGCTGACTTTGTTTTGTTGGAGTCCATGTTTGTACAACCCAAAAGGTGGTAATCGAGTGCCCCTTTTGCCATTTTGTCCGCTGCACTATCTTGGCTGTATTTAGATATTAAACGTTGTATATGAATGATAATTAATTCAGAGTGAAGCGATCAAGAACCCACAAAAAAAACATAAATAAAGAATCATTTTTTTTGTTTGTACAAAGGATGCAAACACAAATAATAATTGATATAAATAATAATAATAATAATAATCATGATGATGATGTTATTTCAAGAGTATTCAAGAATCATTATCTATTGAAAAAGATATTGACAGAGATTCGTGACGATGTTTGCTTTTTAGGTGCATATGTACCTCGATCGAAATTGGTTATCGTCACGATAAATGATACACATCGTCAACGAACCATTAGAATGGTGTCAAACAAGAGATACAAACATTTGGAACATGATTTGCAATGGGTCATTACAAATCGTCACTTTGCACTACTCAAAGATATCCTCCTCCTGCGACGACGAAATCATCATCTTTTGAAATCACTAGCACACGATGATGATGAAATATCATCTTATTGTGTAATATCATCTGCAATCATTGACGATCCTGTAGTATTTGATTTACTTGTCAATTCATACCCTCAATGTTTTAGAGAGCATTTGGGACACGGTGGAGTGGGCAAGCATTTGACTCTATTCAACTACCTCCAATCTATGATTATTGAACATGGTAATATTCAAGTTTGGTCTTTATTTCATAATCTTATCAATAATACAACTTTATTTAATAAGCATAATAATATCAATAATAATAGTCAAGATACAACAAAAAAGAAACCATTTAGAATATTTGAAAATATATTTGGTAAATCTCCTTCCTCTTCTTTATCCTCTTCTTCATCCTCTTCTACATCATCCTCTTCATCATCATTATCACAACAAAAAACAATTATTCATAAAATACAATCAATGGGAGAAAGATTTACAAAAGAGATTATTATAACATGTATACAATATGGTCGGAAAGATATACTATTCCATATACTTGATGATATTGGAGATTGGTTATCCGATTATATAAAAGAGAGTAAAGATATTAAAGTATCTCTAGATCAACTTGGTGATATTGTTGATGAAAAGACTAGACAAGACACTAGAGACATGATTGGTGAATTGGTCAAAAGACTTTCAACACCACGTCTAGTACAACTGCTTAGTGGAGTCACCAACAGATTTATTACCAATTACATTGATTGTCTTGTTCCCATCTACGAAACTGATATCATACATTTTACAACCATCTACATGAAAACCAGTAACCCATTGGTAAATAGAACAAAACATGATATTCATTTACAATTCGATGCTTTAAATCATATTATCAACAAATATCAAGATCAATTTAAATTTTCAACCACCAACATTAATAATATAATTAATCCAATCTTTTCGGGAGACAGAAGTAATACAACTACTACAACAACTACTATTTATCAAGTACTTTGGATTTATCAAGTTTATTATCAATTCTATTTATCATTAAATTTGGATATTCATCCAACCAAAGATAATAGAACTTTTGAAAAAGATTTAATCAATTATTTAAATATTCACAATCAATTAGGTATTTAATATAATTCAATACCAATAATATATCTTAATTATTAATTTGTTCTTTTTTTTTTAATTTTTTAGAAATATTTAATAATTTAAATTTGATTGATTATTTATTGGAAAGATGTGGATTTTCATATATATGTCAATATGGTTGTTTGGAAATGGTTCAACAATCATATAAACAACTTTTAAAAAATCCAAGAGCAAATAATGATGATGATCGATTTAAAATGAATCTAAAGTCAAATGATATAAATGTATTGGAGTTTATCATGACTTTGATCAATCAATATGATGATCCATTTGATCAAATGTTGTCTGTTACTTTGGATGGTCAAATCAACCTCGACAATCTAGTCTCTCAAATGAATTGGAAAGTTATTGAATATTTGGTAGAGAATAATCAAAACCAATATTTTACATTTACAGCATCATCAAATTCTTTAGATTCAATAATGTGGAATGGTAAATTTAAATTAATCAATTCACTATCCAATTTGGCTCTTTCTCACATTCAAAGTTTTACAAATCAAAGAAACTTGGTCAATTCACTTGAAATGGCACATTACTATCACCATGATAGTATTGTACCTGTACTTGGACAAGACCATCAACAAAACATCAAATTGGTTCAATATTACCTACTAATTGACGATGCTCGTTTCTTGAACCAACGTTCAGTCTTTTTTAACCGATTTAGAAATATTGTAGATATTTCAATCGCCAGTCGCGATTATGAAATGGTACTACATCTCTATCAATACTTCAAAGACAACCAACTTGGACGATTCCCAGCATCATCAAAACAAAACTATTTTCATTTTGATCTAGATTTTATGATTCAAAATTTGGATATTAAAATGATCGAAATTGCTCTATCACTAGAGGTGCCACTATCGATCAAATCAGATACTACATGGAAAATAATTGCAAAATGGGGAACAATTGAATGGATTAACCAATTCAAAAAACATATTCCAACAAATCTAAATTATTTTGAACTTTCAAAAGGTGCAATGTTAAATTTTAATATTGAAAATAGAAATTCAATTATTAAATATTGTAACGATTTAATTGAAAATAATAATATTAATACCAGTAATAATAAAAAGAGGAAATAATAATAATACATTTTATTTTCTTTTTTAAAAAAAGATATAATAATACAAATAATTTTATACACTTGGCAATGGTTGTAAAACCACCTATTTTTTTTTGAAAAATGGAAATAGAAAAAAAAAAAAAAAAGATTATTATTATTATTATTAATTAATTAATTAAATATTATTTTTTTTAAGATTTATAATTTAATAAAGGAGTTCCGACAATTCCAAATTCAGAATCCCAAATATCTGATTTGAATCTTTCATTTGGTCCACCTACTTCTTCTTTTTGATTTTTTCGTTTTGATCTTATAAAATCTCTAATCTTTTTATAGATGAATACAAAGAGAGCTCTGGCCAATTCTCCACTTATAAATAATACTACAAACCACCAGACGGTTGTTTTTATATAGGCCTCTTCGACGACGACGTTTCCAGGCCCACAATTACCCTGTACAAAAGAGTAGGTTCCTCTTTCAAGAGTATAAAATCCATGGAAAAATTCACCAATCTCTATCCATGGTTGATAATCTACATATTTTGGGTTGAGTGTGAGATCGAAATTGGTGTCGTGTCCCGATCCAAAAAGATTAAAAATAAGAGAAGTATTCTTTTGCTTAAACGCATCAAATAACTGCTCCTCTGTGAAATAGTCGGCTGTTACTGGTGCCGACTCGTCATATGTCGTATTGGGAATATTAAATATGGTCCAACCTAGTGAAGTACCAGTACCATGAAAATCATTGGCTGCTACCACTGGTAAACCTCTTGATTTTGCCCACAACCAAGTTTGGAAATCATAATACACTGTATTTGCACAATCGAAATAATCTACTCCCCATTCTGCAAATTGATCCAAACTTGGTAAATCCAATCCAGCTAAAAATAAATAAAAATAAATAAAAATAATTAATTAATATCCAATATAACAATCGATTCTATTCTATTTGTTCTGCATACCCCAAGTACTCCAAGGTTTATGATTATAAACTACAATTCCACCAAGTTGATGAACTTGATTGATGACATCTTGAATCTCTTGGTCTGTTGGGAATTTGATGGGTGTAATAGTCTCATTGATACCAATAAAATTTAAATGACATCTACAATTGGTCCACTCCATACCCGTTAATACTTTAATACTATTGTTATACTTTTCTCTGGCTAGTTTTTGTGCAGCCAAAGATCCATCGACTGTATTATGATCAGTTACAACCATTGCATTATATCCATTAGCAATATGCCATTCAATTAATTGTTCAGGTGTAAACATTCCTATAGAATAAAACAAAAAGGGAACAAGAATATATAAGTTTGTTTCAAATGTTTTATACTCTAATAATAATATTTACCATCAGAATAAACAGAATGACAATGAGTATCCATGAAAACATTGTATGTGAAATTAGGGTCAAGAGTTCGAAGAGTTCTAGGATCAAAGGTCCAATTAAACGATAGATCTACACTGAGATAGGTGTTGGGAGGACTGTTGTATTTGATTACACTAATGATTGCAACCACTGCTATAATGGCTACTGTCACTATAAGACGTATCAACGGAGGTACCAATGCTTTAAGAAACCATATAATCTTGCTCTTTACAACTGGCCAACTTATATCTATCTTTTTACCTAGTATTGTTATTGAACCCATATCTAAATCTCTTCTATCTATCTATCTTTTTAACTGTACAAGTATAGTAGTAATAGTAATAGTAGTAGTAGTACTCTTTTAATGTTTATCTTTTAAAAATACATATATATATAAATATATAATAAGCCTGTATCTATCAGAAGCAACTTAAACTTAAATGAAATTTTCAATTTCGGTTGGTGACCAAGGTGAACTTAAAAATTAAAACAAACTGCCTACACTTCCTCTTGTTGGCAAAATAAAAAGAATTCCACTTTGGTTTAACATCTATCTCATTTTGTTTGGAACCAGTCAATATTGTATCAATCAAATGGGGGAAAGTTCTTCTTCATTATATATTGATAGTGAATAAATTAAAAGAAATTTAAATTTCTTTTTTATGTGTTTTTTTTTTTTTTTATCTATCCTATATCTATCTATATAAATATTTATAATAAGAAAAGTAGTAGTGTCTCTAATGATACGTATACCTGTGATGTTCACCAAAAAAATATTAAAAAAAAATAATAATAAATAAAAAATTAAAAAAATTATTGGCATGAGCCAACCGATGCAGAGGTCTGAATAGACACTGATGTCTAAACAACCTCATTGAATCTTTTCATTCATTCATTCGTTGTAGCACAGACAATACAGTAATATCTAAAGAGAGAGAGTCAGTATCAATCAATCAATCAATCAATCAATCAAGTGTTGTAACATTATTATTGGCATACATTCCGTCAAGGTACATACCCATTGTCACTCATCATCATCATCATCATCATCATCATGATCAATTATCAATTATCAATCATCATTCATCAATCATCATTCATAATCATTGCATAAATATCGATACTATCATCGATATGCATTCATACATACATGTACGAGGGGTATGATTTTTCATTGTCTTGTACTACTACTACACCCACTCATTCTATCTATCGATAGATGTGTGTTATCTTTTAACAACCACACCACTATTTTTGATACAGATAAATGAATGAAGGGAAGGATGGTCATTATCATTATCTCCTTCTCCTCCTAAATAATAGTGGAAAAGAAACGTTGCTGATTTATATATATTTTATGGAAATCTTTGAAGATAATGTTGTTTTGTTTGTTTAATTATTATTCATAATTATAATTATCATTTTTTATTTTTAAAATCATCCTTTTTTATTTTAAAATATCAAAACAACTACAAAAAAGATAGTTCTGTATAGAGGAGAGAGAGAGAACATTGCAGAGATAAATATCCAGCAGAAACGAAGTGGACAACAACAACGGAAAACTAAAAAAAAAACCATCCACCGCAAACAGACATCGTTTTACAAATAATATTTCCGACCAGGCTAAACAAGGAGTCAAGGACTATTATCGAAAATAGAATTATTATCATCAAAGATGATTTCAATAATCAAAGGTAAGGTAGAGAGAAAAGATAATAAGATGACATTGACAACAACCCAAATTTGGTTTCTACTACACTTTTCAAAAAACAAACAAGAGGGTACTTTTATATATATTATTTATGATGTTCGTTGGACTTTTAACATGTTGGTGGAAAGAGGGGAATAATAGTGGTGCAGTGGTGGTTGGTTGTAAATAATTTAAATTTTGTGACACCTCTGGAAACCAGCCATAGTGGTTTGTTTGGACCATTGAAACATAGAACAGAATTCTATTTTGTTATTATAAAGTTATATTATTTATTTATTAACAGTCCCTGCAAATATTTATTTATTTAGAGAATTTACAGAGTGTCATTGGAGGTGAATCATCAGCAACGTCGTCGTCTTGTCAAATTGTCAAAAACAACAATCATCATCATTTAAAAGAAAACATCATCATTGGAACGAACAATAACAACTTTAGTAGTAATAACAGTAATAACAGTAACAGATCGAATCAAAAATACATAATATATGAAGAAGAATTGGACGGAGCTAGTACACCAAAATATATAGTAACAAAGAACAATCATAATAATAATAATAATCAAAATACTAGGTATAATAGAAAGATGAATGACTTTACAGAATCATTTTCAAATAATTTAAATGTATATAATAATAATAATAATGATATAACTACAACTACAACTACGACAACATCAACAACAACGAATCATCAAAATGATGAATATATAGATATAAATATAAATAATAGTAATAATATAAATAATAGTAGTAATAATATAAATAATATTTCACCAACAACATCAAACTCTTCATCATCATATTATATCAATTCAAATTCACCTATTTTATCATACCCAATTGAAGATTTAATACCATCACCTCAAGTTGTAAATAACAACAACAATAACAACAATACTTTTACTACTACTACAAGTGTATCAAGTAGTAGTGGAAATAGTATAGATGGAGAACAAATAGTATCGAGTAATAGTACGTCAAAGAGTAGTTCACCAAAATCTGGACGTCGTAAACAACATCATCACAAGTACAGAATCAAAAACAATAGTTATTTAAATAACCCTGCGTTCAAGGACCGAATCATTGGCGATCGCGAAACACATGAACCCATCAATTTTCTAGAGATCCCCATGGAGATGATCAACTATATCTTTTTGAGTGTTGGCGCGCTACATATTAGTAGTCTGTTGCGTGTCAATCGTTTTTGCTTTAAGACTGGAATGAACGAAGCTTTGTGGACAATCTTTGCACAGAATGACTTTAGATTGCCAGCGTCTGAAACACCCACATTGATCAAACTCAATAGGGGTTCGCGGTCCATGTACGCCAACCTATACTTTAAACGCAAAAACTCGATTGTTGCACCACCCTCTCCCAATCCACTCATCAAATGGGTATTACGTCCCATCAAGCGACTACCATCCATCTTTTCACGTAAAGAGTACAAGGCTTTGATGTATGGACTCGACGGTGTTGGAAAGACTACCATGTTGTACAAGTTTGCACGTGGTGAGAATGTGCGCACTTTGCATACATCTGGATACAATGTCGAAGTGGTAGAGTACAAGTCATGTGACTTTATCTGCTGGGATATTGGATACGAACAGGCTGTTGTGCCGGTATGGCATCACTACCTGCAAGATACGCAGGCCATCATCTTTATCATTGACTCTGCCGATCGTCAGCGTCTACGCAAAGTGCGTGAAGAGTTGTGGCGTATGGTGACTGACCGCAACGTCGCCAAGATCGTCTCCAACTTTAAAGACAATACAACCGATCCCCACAACCGTGTTAAAGTCCTCATCTATGCCAACAAACAAGACTTGCCATCATCCATGTCCACCCTCGAGATCACTCTTGCCCTATCTCTTTTCAATCTACCAAAACATGTCCAATGGCTTGTCCAAGCTTGTTCAGCTACTTCCGAAGAAGGTGATGGTTTATATGAAGGTTTAGATTGGTTAAGTTCACAATTTGATTTTGATTCTTAAAAAATAAAATAAATAATTAAATAATTATTTAAATCCTAATTTCCTTTCCTTCCATCCATCCATCTATCTATTTTTTGAAACAAAAATAATAAATATATAATAAATAATTTATTATATATAATATTTATAATTTATTTATATAATTAATATATATAAACCACTTTTTTAAAAACAAGTATATGTTTACCATTCTTTTTTTAAAATCTCTCTTTCTCTCTCTTTTTCTTTTGTCTAGCTCTCTTTCTTTTACAAAAAAAAAAAGAGAGCAAAAGTTATATTTAAGATAAGTTCTTCATCTTCTTCTTTTTTGGCAATTTGATTTGATGCAACTTGCATGCTTGAATGAAGAAAAGTTATAAATCGTCGAGACCTTATTTCCAATCCTTACCGGAGTGTACTCTGTTGCTACTGAGACTGTACACAGTATTGTGTCCAATCTAGAGTTGAGTGTAGCATAGAGATCCACAATCAATAATTGAATATAACAAATTACAAGAGGGTAATTTGATCAATTATTATTATTATTCCTTTGTTTAAAAGGGGGGTAGGGACTTTTTAGGAGATTAAATGATAGATATACTTTGGGAAGAAAAAAGAGGTTGATACTCCTCTCTTATTGAGGAGCACCACCTCTTCTTCCTCCTCTACCTCCTCGGTTTGAAAATCCTCTTGATCCATCTGGTCCTAATGGTTGTCTTCCATTTTGTTGATAAGTTGGTGAGTCGCTACCACTTGCACCACCAACACTAACATTATTATTATTATTATTATTGTTATTGTTATTATTATTGTTTCCACTACCATTTCTATCTCTTGATTGTTTAAATGATCCAGGTGAATATACTTTTTGATTGTGTCTGCTGTTCACAGGACTAGTATTTGATACTGGTGGAGATGTAGTGTTGATGTTGTTATTGTTTGGACTATATACTGGTGACGATGACTTTGTAGATGAAGGTGAACTTGTATCATCATCTGTTGATTTACCATCATTGAATAATAAAGCTCTTAGCTTTTCATAATCCTTCTTTTTCTCTTCAAGTGTTTTAGTTTGTTTTTGCTACAAACACAAACAGACAATGAATGTACTTTGTTAATAACAAACTCTTTTGAATAATATAAATAATATAATACAAGTTGAGAGACTTACAGTTACAGTATCATTTTGAACATTCTCTTTCTTTCTTGTTAAAATTTCTAAATAATAATAATAATAACATTAGCATACATTATTCATCTATCTTTCTATCTTTCTATCAATCAAATAAATGTGATGTGTAGTACATACTAATTTGAGATTGTGATTCATAATATGGATGATAAGTTTGAAGATTGTATGAAGGAGTATGTTGATCAATCTCTGTTTCAGATGGTAAGGTAGGTGGTGTTTGTTGTTGTTGTTGTTGATCCCCTCTTTGAATTCTATTTGGATTACGTTTAATACCAACTATTCCCTATTATTATTGTAAATCAATCAAACAATCAAAACATTTGTTAATAATCATTGTGATCATATGATCTATATATATATATATGTATGATGCTTACACCCAAAGGAGGAAAATCAGCAGTTCCGTTGTTATTGTTGCTATCATCCCATGATGGTGCACTTGCAGCTGCTGAAGTATTGTTGGTATGATCCATAATACCTCTCTCTCTCTCTTTTCTCTTTTTTTGTTTTATATCTCTTTTTTACTACTACTATTATTTACTTGTCTAACTATTCTTCTGTCCCTGGTCTCTATGATGATCGTAGTTTAGTTTGGTTGTTGTAGTCTGACACAGAATGGCGATGATGAAGAGGAACAGCAGAGGAAAGATAGATAGATAGATAGATGGGGAGGAGGAAGGGTATGTTTAGGTTTAGTTCGACCTTTTCATTCATGAAACAACACCCAAAAACAGTTTAGTTTGTTGTTTTATTTTTATTTTTTCAACATTTTTTATAAGGGCCGTTCCTGCTACTGCCTCCCCATTGTGTATCGAACGTTCAATGCTTCGATCAACCCCCGATTTCAAATCATCATCTTTTAGTTTGTTTGTTTTGATCATTTTCTCTATCTTTATTTATTTATACATACACATACTTTATTCAATTTTAAAGTAACATATATATACACCACACCACATCACATTGGATATCGACCGCATCTATAGAATGATATTCAGTCGTTGTGGGTTATTCACAATAGTATCATTAGTAGTATCAATAGTAGTATTATCATTATCATTTTCAACACCTCTTATCAATGCTGCTTTAAATAATCAAGAATGTAAGTTTAAACTTAGATCTTCTAACCGAGTGAGCGAGGGGGTGACTGGGATATTAAAATGAATGATTAAGATTTTGTTGTGTGTGTGTGTGCATGCGACATGTCATGTCGAAAGGTCTTAAAAACCTTAAAAAAAAAACAATACTAATTATATATTTATTTATTATTATTATTATACTCTTTTTAGATACACAAGCAGAGTACCTTGTTGGATTATTTAATCTTCAAAATCAATTCCCAGTGAGTGGAGGAGTGATTAATTTCTGTGGAAATGATACGATTATAAAATGTGATCCATCAAAGGTGTCGGTCATCTCGTTGTTGTTGGTTGGTAATGGTAGTCAAGTAGTGACATTACAACTATTTACTCCATTTCAAAAACTGACCGTTTTAAATTTAAATAATGTTCAAGCTGGAAACCAATTTGTTCCAGATGTATCAAACTATAAAATAGCAACTCCAACATGGACCGTAACATCATTGTATGAATCATCATTAAACCACAACCAACTCTCTCTCTCTCAATATATTAAATATTATTTCTTTTTTCCTTTAGTATTTGTAAAAGATGTAATATTACAGCATTACCAGATTTGATACTTGGATTTTTATCTTTGTAAGTCACACAATGCCCCAATGAAATTTCTATCTTTTGAGATACTTACTTATATTATCGTTGTTCTTCTTCTTCTCTACTCTAGTGGAGCACCTGATAATCCAATCGAGGGAAATACACCAAACCAAGTATTTACAAATTTAAGATCTTTGTAAGTAGATTAGAATGACATCAATACCTCTAAAATACTTAAAATACTTATACATACATTATTATAATTAAGGGATTTATCAATTTCAGATCCAATATTTTTGAGAGAAAGATATATCATTTTTAATCAAACTTCTGAAGTTATCAGCTTTCCAGATACTTCACAACTTGTACTATCAGAAATCCCAGGCCACATAAGAACAGGTTCAAATTTAAAACTGTAAGTGATACCACCACCACCACCAACACTACTATACTATACAGATCAACATTTTCTAACTTTGTATTATTATTATTATTATTATTATTATTATTATTATTATTATTATTATTATTATTATTGTAGATATATAACATTGGGAATTTCATTTAATTTTTCTACATTGAGTAGATTGGGTGATATCAAAGGAATCGATTCGTTAAGTCTTACTGATCAATTCAAATTATACTCTGACGAGGTTGATTTCCCATTGAGTTTTCTCAATATTGTGAATGGTGCCAAGGATGTTTCATTTACCAATATTAATTTTAGAGGTCCTTCCTCTCCACTACTTATCAACTCTACTTCACTTCGATCTTTAATCTTTAGAAATAGTCCACTTTTTAATATAAATGGTGGTGATTTTCCATTTGATATTTTCGCACTTACCGTTTCAATTTATAGTTTGTAAGTCTTAACTTAAACTTTTAAAATATTATAATCAATTTCAATTCAATTTACTTATTTATTTTCATACATATATAGGGTATTATCTAATTGTTCTATTGAAAGAGTACCGGATTTAATAATCAAAACTGTAGCAGACTATGAATTAAATTTGTAAGTTAATCAAAAAAAAAAATTATCTAAATATTAGTATTAATATTCTTTTTTTTTTTGCATCACAGGGATTTATCAAATAATCAAATAACAACTATACCAAATAATCCTAAAAATATGAATGTTAATTTTAATAATAATCAAGTATGTCAAATCAAATCAAATTTAATTTAAATTTTACAAAGATATTAATTTTTATTTATTTATTTTGATTTAATTTTGTTAGTTGACAGGAACTATACCAACAAGTTATTGTAATACTTATTCATTTTTTGCAAATAATTCATTGGGAGGTGTATTACCAGATTGTTATAGGTGTTTTGCAAAAGACCCATTTGTACAAAGAGCTATTGCTGGGAATAATGGATTCACCAATTTCGATACAAATTGGACACCTTCACAATACCCGTCATGTTCACCTACGACGTTGAATGTTTCAATGTACTTTTTCTCGGTGGGTTCTGCCATTTCAGTGACTGGAATGATTGGTTGGACACCAGATTATTATCATCTACCACAATACCCAACCGTCTTTAGAAATATAGCTGTACCAAATAGACTGGCTTGGATCAATGGTATCCCAACTGCAAACTATACTAAAATGATTAGTGATGGATATTTCAATGTTACCTTTACAGCAACCACACCAAATGTAACCGTGCGGATTAATGTTACCGTGTCAAAGGCTATCATTGATTCAGTAGAGTATGTGCCAATAATTGGAGGCTACAGCTTTTTTATAACTGGCTCTGGGTTTGGAGCAAACGTTCAAAAGGTTTCATTTAAACTTGGACCATACACTTGTGTAACGTCATCCGCTGGTAATATCTTTGCGGCATGTCTCGTCTATGAGACTTCTATCCCTCAAGACATGTATAATATGACTGTGCTCGTACAAGGTGTACCAGATAATGCTGACCCTTTCCCAGTCTACATTAAATATCCATACCCATTTGTATTTGCTGTGGATGGGTGTCCGATTACTGGTGGGCCTGTTATCCTCTATGGATCGTATGGCACTGTTTATAGTAATGCGTCGGTACTTGTCGACCAGCTGGAATGCGCCATTACAAGTATCAACGAGACTATCATCAACTGTACGATCAGCGAGACTGGTACACGTGGGTACCATAACCTCACCGTTGTCGTAAACAGCATCCTATGGTTCTCTTATCGATCGTTTGTCTATACCGAAGACAATCTCCCATGTCCAAACAATTGTGGCGGCCACGGTAGATGCGATGGTCTTTTTGGCGCATGTATGTGCGATAAGGGGTGGACCGGTCCATCATGCTCCTTTGCCTTGTTGAACCAGACCGGTAGTGGCGGCGGTATCGACCACAACACCACGATTGGGACGGACTTGGAGAACGGCCAATTCAACTTTACATCAGACATTAACTTTGGCTTTAAAATCGTTTCAATTCGTGAACTTGACGGTCTCAACAATGAGAATGTGTCACGTGAAATACAACTATCTGGATGGAAACCTTATAATATGACAAATACCAATGTACCGAACCCATACCAAAACAATACATATACCAATCGACTAATGTTATTTGATAATGAAACAACTATTATTTATCAAATGGAATTGGTAAAGGAAGATCGTAATCATACATTTGCAGATTACCCAATGGTTTTAAAGAATGGGTCAATTAAAATATCATTTTCAATTGCTGGCTGGCCATACCTCAGTCAATTCAACTCGTTGCAATTGGTGATAGAGTCGTCGGTCGATCCTATAGAAGCTGCCTGTGCACTATCACCAACCATCCAAACATCATCCACTGGTGACAGTCTCAACTACCTGACACTTGAACTCAACGGTAAAATGATGTATGGTCGGTTTGTACCAAGAGTCATTTCGGATGGTAGACCAACCTACTCGAAAGCTGTTCTAGTTGATCAACAAACCAATTCAGTTAGAATCGGTCTCAATCTACCTTATTGTCAAACACTATGTGAATTGGATCCAGATTTTAGTAGTTTACTCATCGAATCAAAAGCACCGGTTGATGAATGTCACCCTTCCGACCTTGACGACAAGAAATGGATCTTACCAACTGCTATCGTAGTTGGAGTTGTCGGGTTTGTAATGTTATCAATCATTGGTATATTTGTTGCACGTCGTGTATTCTATGTTAAGGTTTCCTTAAAACATGGTGTCATCTTTTTAAAAAAGAGAAGATCAAGAGATTAAAAATAATATACAAATATTCTCGTGCATATGATTCTCTTTTTTTTTGTATACAACCATTATATATATATAAAATAAATAAATAAATAAATATGTACAAACAAAAATATAATATATACCAAGATATAACATGGACATGGAGCAACTTGGGATGTTCATTATTAAACAAACTTGATGCGGAGGTGCATAGCAAATCTTAGTAGGCAACAACTTTTTTTCATCAACGTGATTATTATTTTTTAAAATTTAAATTGTGATATAGAGAAGAAATAGAAGAAAGGAATAAGGAAGACTACCATTGTGGAAAGTGAAGGTTATTTAGCATGGTACTCTTCATCAACATTGTTCACATCATGAGATTCAACTGATGAGGCATCACTTGACTCGAGATCAGTTTCGACATACTCGAACTGGGATGGTTGGCGGAACAACAAGGTGTCGGCTTTGGCATGCAGGCGCTGCTGCATGAGAGTGTGGTGCAACTTTTCTTCAGGACCATCTTGTCTTTCTTCTTCTTTTTCTTCAACTGGCTCCTCAGGTGCTGATGGTAATTGCAACTCTTTTTTTGCTTCCAGTTGTACTCTATCGAACAATTTTACGGGTCCCGCGGTGGGATGAACAGCCAAGGTGTCCACAATGGATTTAACGGTGTTAGTCACGACAGTAAAATCAATTTGACCAGGGCACTTGTAAGTGGATTTTGTTGTTGCTGTTCTCTTGACATCAGTCGAAACTGATCTCGAGTCAAGTGATGCCTCATCAGTTGAAGCTCATGATGTTCACAATGTTGAGGAAGAGTACCAATGCTAAATAACCTTCACTTTCCACAATGGTGATCTTCCTTATTCCTTTCTTCTCTATTTCTTTCTCTATATATCACAATATATTTTTATCAATGGTCAGCCATAGTATACCAACTGTCACTGCAAAATAATTATTATACACGCACTGTGGTTGTGTATTGATCGTGAGAGTTGTGGTTGATTAGATGATAATCTCAGGGCAATGAATAGGGTCAATAGGGTTGGGTTAAACCATAAGTCGATCAATATTGATACACCCCCAAAGAATTAATTAAATTAATTTTTTTCAATGGTATTGTACCAGCATTTAAAACAAACTTGATTTTATCACTCAATACTAGTTCTCAACATAATCAAGTATAGAATTTTATTCTCAAATGGTTAATACAAATGTAAGGATTGTGGTATATTAATAATATATTAGTATTTTTAATCAAACATGATATGTTTTATATATTAACCAAATTCCTTTTTTATTTTTTTACTCATCCAGCCTATAAAGGAGGACAACGATCTTCCTAGTATTGAAAATCTATCAGTCAAAGCAACCAATGTTCTCATTACTACACCAGAAAAAGCCTCTGGTAATATGGAGTGGAAGAGCCCCATTGGACAATCAATATTGGCCAAAGTCAATGAATACAGATCCTGCAGTTATTCATGGCCACAAACAGAAAAGATGATTGCAAATGATTTTCCTACCTATGATTTCAGTCATGACCGACTCAGAGTTGCCTTGAAAACACATTACATGAAAGAAAAACCCACTGCCAACCCAAACATCAACAACGACAACAACAACAACAACAACAACAATAACAATGAGAATAATAATAGTATATCCATTGACACTCGGCAACATCCAACATCCAATCTAAGTCCTGACTCTATAGATGAACTATCCGATGTAAAGTACCTGGAACTCAAGGTCGAGTTTTTCCAAATGAGAACTTTACGTGCTCAGATAAAACTCCAAAAAGCACGTCAAAAAGCCAATGCAACTCGATAGTCCACTTTGCCCTTTCATGTATTTATAATATAAACAAATAAATAAAAATTGTTTTGGATCAACATTAGAATTATTTATCTCTCATTTCTTGAAACATTTCAAATAATTTTTTCCTTCTGGAATTGTATGCTATTGCAGCTTGTTTCTTTTGACAAGATAAAAAATCCAATGGTTCCAAAATAAACTATTTATAACATATTTAAATTATAATAAGATAAGGTTTTTATTATCAATTATACTTTCACCTCTAGTGAAACCCAATACATCTTTGATATGTTGTGAATGTGTACCGATGAGTGTATTAATTTCCCTGTCGCTATAATTGGAAATACCACGACTGAGTTCGTTGTTATTCTTGTCTAGTATAGATACGAGTGATCCAGGTTCAAACGTACCACTAATCTTGACAATACCAACCGCCAACAAAGATTTGGCACGTTGTGATATGGCCTGAACGGCACCATCATCGATCAGTATCGATCCCTTTGGTTGTGTAAAATATTTCTTTTGTAATTCGAGTGTTTCATTGATCACATGACTATCGGCTGTTGAAGGTGAGTTTGGATCTGATGGTGATAAGGATTGTTGATGCTGTTGCGCACCATCACCTCCTGCACCTGAAAGGTATTGGTGTTCTACGATATTATGTTGTTTCATCAACTCTAATACCAATTTCTCCAATTCAAATACATGGTCGTCTTCAACTTGCATCTTGTGTAGACTATTGGCTAGTTTGAGTAGATAGTCTAGGTTACGGCCACTGGGACCTACAGATCGAACTATTTGGTGAGCAATCTTGTCCATTGAATCCTCGCCTAGAAACTCTTCGTTGGTTTCCGATGCAAAGTATAAAATGGCCTTGCCATGCGACGACTCCTTTCCATTGATGAAAATATCGGTTTCAATTCGTTGATAACCTCCCTTTTCTCTGTAATCCAAATTCTTTAAAATAATCTCTGCCTCTTCATCGGGTATACAATATACAGTTCCCCATGTAATCCAATCATCATTTATATAATCTTCTGGTTGTTTAATTAATGTTACAACTCTACCAGGTGATTCCTAAAAAATGAATTAATAAGATATAAATAAATAATAGTCCCTTTACAATAATAATAATAATAATAATAATAATAATAATAATAATAATAATACTTACAGGAGTTCCTCTATGATCTGTACTTCCTTGGTAAAAGAATCTTTTATAACCTTTTATATATGCATTGAATTTTCTAACATATGGGAATCCCTATACACAACAACAACAACAAGTAATTCATATTGTTAGTAACTGTAATAGTAGTACTCTACTATTCTACTATATACTTACAGGTCTCCATAGGATACTTCCATAGCCAAATAAGCAAACTAATAAGTCTTCACACATTCTTCTTCTTTCTTCTTTTTTGGTTTATTTATAATAATAATATAATATATTGTTGCAAGTGTACAAGGTGGTTTAAATAGTAGTATAATAATGGTAATAATGTAGTAATGTCTGTTGTTGTTGTCTCTTTTATTGATATGTTGTTTATGTTGTTGTTTATAGTGTTACAAAACAGTAATGAATGAAATGAATAGTGTACAAATTGTAATAATAATACTCGTTGTCGTTTTTTAAATCTCTTTGTATTTTCTCTCGTTGTTGTACAAATATAGTAGTAAGTAATAATAATATATAAATAATAGACAGTAAAGTAATGAAATATGTGATAAGTGGTTTAAATAAAAGCAATATCCGCTTTTGAGTTGATTTTTGCAGCTTTTCAGAGAGTGGGTTCAATGGAAGGCAAAAAAAGTTGGGAAATAGCATTCTCCACTTCGTTCGATGCGCATTCCACCATTATTTTGGTATTATTTTATGCATCGAAAGAATATTCAAACTACTTTGAGTATCACTCGGTTTGCTGATGTCACCGTCTCACTCTCACTCTCTCTACTATCTTTACTTTACTTGTTTTATTTAAGAGAAGGATTAAAGAAAAAGGAAAAGTAAAAGTAAAACATTAAACCCAAAAAGACAAGGACAAGACATTAGATAGAATGGTTATATATATATTATACAAGAATGGTTATTTATTAATGAATAGTTAATAATAATAATGAGTTATATTGTAGATTGAATCGGGTGGTCGATTGATAGCGCTTTCCAAACCACTATCACGACGCGTACGAGCTGCCACAACCTTAAAAACGGGCCCAGACATATCTTCATCGCATTGTAGGCATTTGTTTAGAGTGGTAGAGTTGGGCGGTACATTGTTGGGAGTGTGCATGATCCAATCGATTAGACAAATATCTAGACAGTCTTTACGAGTATTGAGTGCATCGTACAACCATATCACTGCACAATTGTAAGTTAGGTTGGCAGAATGTTGAATACATTCAAGTGAGTCCTTGTCCGACACAAAACTGACTATGGCACAGTCACGAATAGGATCCGTTAAATCTGGATGTGACATGTATGAAGCCAAGTCTTTGGTAGTTGAACAATATCCACAGTCATGGAGATGTGTTACAAAGGCTCCTGCTTCGATGGCAGCATCTGCAGATGTATAATTGACAAGATAGTATGTAGAGCGATCCGAATCGTTTGGATACAAAACTGCACAAACTGAATCGTTCAAAGTAGTATTAAAACCAACGATATCATATGGATTCCAAGTTAGATTTTGTTGTGGATTTAAAAGTATCTTTGATGCAAATGCATCAATTACAGTTTGATTATAAGTTGGTGGATCGAATGAAATTCGATGAGACGGTATTGATAATCTATTTCTAATACGTTTGAATGCACCTCTATAATACTCTTCAATCACATGTCTATTGGCAGTACTATAGTAGTGGTGGTTTTTGAGCAAATCATCAAACAAAGATTCATTGTCAAGGTATCCATCAATCTTTTCTATAAATTCTTCTCTTGTTGATAATAATGGTTGACTATGTCCAAACACCACTATTGCAATGATTGATATTGATAGTACTACTGTAATAATATTAATATTAAAATGTTGTTGTCGTTGTTGTTTAAATATCATCTATCTATCTATCTCTTTTACTATTTATATATGTCAAGCAATGATCACGACAATAATCGCATTTGTAAGCCGTGTTGCTTGCTTGGAATCTCCAATGAACAAAAAAAAAATATCTGGTGGAAGATTCGTCGGAGACTTGAAGATAGGAGGTGATCTGTCTTCCCATCCTGTGCTCAAATATTTCGATTCTAAATATACTGTCGCAATAATAATAATAATAATACTAGTTGATAAAAGTTGTTCATCATTTTAAGAAGAACAACTTGTATCTGTCAATACTCCTTCACCATGGACAGATATTAATAATCAAGTGCATGCATATATTGGGATTCAATACCCATAGCGTTGAGAGACTAATCGATTAGTATAGGGATATGATAGATAGATAGATATAGATGGATCAAAGAAAACTAGTATATAATTGGCTTGTGTTGGATGACAACAAAATATGGCATTGACAATGTCTGTCTTTAGAAAAAGGGAATGATGTTTCACGATTTTAACACGCAATTGCAAATATTTAATTACGCCACTGATATGGTTTTTTGATTGATTTCATTCATTCTTTCATATCATCCTATCTATCTATCTATCTATCTTGTCTAATATCTATCTATATCTATATGTTATTTATTTAAAGGAAGGAGTGTAGTATTATTCAAAGTAGTAGTAATTAGACAGACAGACAGACAGCATACCTCTACTAGTAGAATTATTGTATTCTTTAAATTCCAAGAACAACCAACTATCGACGAACCAACAAACAACGGACAACTTTGGATATATATATACACACAATAACTCCTACTCTACTAGATCTATTGATATAACATTGTACAATGACATCAACATTTGACGAACAAGCTCAAGTCGATGAGAATTACTTTGGTCAAGTTAGACTAAAAGATGACGATGGTATCGATTACCATGACCCAAAGAATATATTGACAATGAAGAATATACATAAAACTTATTTATTGGGTATTGAAGGTGTACCTGCTCTAAGGTAAATCAACAACTCTATTAATCATAGTATATAGTATGCGATATATTAATTTACTAATTAAACTTTCTTTAAATCTAAAATAGAGGTGTATCGATGTGTATAAAGAGAGGTGATTTTGTTTGTATATTTGGTACATCTGGTGGTGGAAAGACAACCATGTTAAACATTATTGGTACAATCGATAAACCTACCAAAGGTGATATGAAGTTGTGTGGGAAAAGTATGTTGTAGTTTAGTTGTAGTAGTAGTAGTATCAATGTGATATATATATATATATATATTAATATCTATATCTATTTATTATAGCTATCAATCATAAAACAACTGATAAGGATTTGGCATTCTTAAGATTAAAAAATATGTATGTAGTAAAAGTATAAGTATGTGTTGTTTGTTTCCTAACCTTCCTTCCTTTCATCTTTTTTTTTGTGATTAGTGGATTTGTATTTCAAACATTTAATTTATTATCATCATTGACTGCATTGGAGAATGTAGAAATGCCAATGATTTTATTGGGAGAGTTGAATGCTGCCGAGCGTCGTGAACGTGCCATTTCACTATTGACAAAGGTTGGTATGAAGGATCGTGTCGATCACGTTCCTAGCCAATTGTCGGGTGGTGAACAACAAAGAGTAACCATTGCAAGGGCAATGGCAAATAACCCCGATATATTATTATTGGATGAACCAACGTATGTCTCTTAAAATGAGAAAGAAAGATGAAAGATGTTAATTATTGTTGTTTTTTATTTTAGAGGTGATTTGGATACAGTAAATACATCGATTGTAATGAAACTGTTGACTGATTTGAACCGAAATGATGGTGTTACATTGGTGATGGTGACACATGATGTTGGACTAAAGATGTATTCAGACAGAGTCATTTGGATGCGTGATGGAAAGATTCAACGTATCGAGACGGTCAATCCACTCTCTAAAAAGGAGCAGTTTGAGAAACTGTACCGCGAGATTGACCACATTCAGAGCAGTCAAAAGGGTGGTGTACACAGCGTCATCACAAACAACAACAACAAAAAGGTGACCGAGGTACGACGTCCTATCGATTACAAGTCGATTGCTTCGTTTACAGCTGCCGGAGGATCACTTACAGGTGCGTCGTCATCCATGAACAAGAAACCTATCCGCGGCAACAACATCAACAACAATAATAATAACCCTAAACCATTTATTGTTGAGAGTTATAGTAATAGTAGTAGTACAGTTGATTTTGGTTCAACCTCTACAACATCTACATCTAACAACAACAATAATAATGGTAATAATAATAATAATTCACACAAATATCGTCAACAACCACTTTTAAATATAAATGATGATAATGATGATGACGACGACGATTATAATCAAGATGTTAGTAGTGATGATATCAACAATATTCGTGGTCGTGATAATAGTTATTTGTTTGATGATACTGGTCCATCATCCTCATCTTCAAAGTATTTTGGTCAAAATAACAATAACAACAGACAACAACCAATCGCCAATACCAATGATATTTATATAAACATTAATCAAGCTTTGGGTGTTGGCCAAAATAATAATAACAATAACAATAATAATACAGTTGAGAATTTAACCAATGATTTGGATGCGATATTATAATATAAATAAATAAATAAATAACCCTTGTTAACAATTAATTTCCTTTGATTTTGATTGATGTACCCTACAACTTTTCTACAAAAAATGCAAAAGGCATGGTACTAAACTGCTTGTAGATTTGTTTTAATTTTTAGATTAGGCTCGATGTTGAGCTCTAGGGAAAGATGGTGTCCTCTTGTTTGACAATCAGCGTCACAATGCCCGAAAGTGTCATGTGTTTTAGTGTCAATGAAAAGACGGCACTCTAAAACATAAACAGTACTTATGGGTATACCAACAATAAAAACCATGTTTTAGAAACCTTATTGATTTCAATAACCAACTTATCACGCCACTAAGAAATTACAATAAATTTCTCAAAAAATTGGTTTTTTGGACTCCTCACGTCATATCGATTTATTTATTTATTTTATCATAGTGATATGGTGGCCAATAAAAATAAAATAATAGTTAATATTTTTGAAAATGATGGTATGGATGAATTTGAAAGAGAAGAAGCAGATGAAGTTGAACAAGCCCAATAACTACGAATGGTACAATTAAAATGGCATTCATTACTACTTCCATAGGAACATGATAAATCTGTAAAATTGCCAGTGACTATATCCTTGTCACAAAAGATTGTATAGGTTGATGTTCTATTAAGGCAATTGTCACCTCGTCCACCTCCTGGCGCAGTATATACATATTGTACTTGACCATCTTCCACAAGTGTCTTTTTTACGGTTGATAAAACTCCAGTCTGTCGAACAGTAGAGTTATCACTTGACACTATACATGATTGAGATGGTGTTGCAGTTTGACAAGTTTCAGTTGAAACATTATCACAAAGTGCAAAAATATATGTAGAATTATCTCTTCCTACTGAAATAATTTCATTGTATACACGCATACCTCTAAAAGTGAGTGGAAATGAAAACATAGATGAGAATTTAGTAAAAAGGTTCCTCTTGTCAATAATGTATAATACACTTACGGTGTGGTAAAATCAAGGGATCCTACAACACATTCTGGATTAGAAAAGTGGGCTTGGACATTGACCAAGCAAAGTAAACAAATAAGTAAATATGTGTATGAATAGTTCATATGTATGTATTGAGCTATCGTATCCGTAATAGTGTTGTAAAAAAAAATAATGGTTTGGTGGTTTAAGTTTTAGAAATAAATAATGATGATGAGGCAATTTGGGAACCAACAATGTCATCGGGAATTGACATCATCAAACAAACAAACATAGGTTTTAAAAATAAATATCTGATATTTTTTTTGTAAAAGTGTACAATCCAATTCGAGAACCTCTTTGACCTTTCCAACAACCAACTAATTGGACTTGATCTTTAGTGTTGTAAGATTAATTTAATAAATTTAAACAATTTTGATTGATCGGAAGATTGAATGATATTACAACTATGTACATGCATGCGAGAAAATAAATAAATAAATAAATATCTTCTCCCCACTCACAAGGACAATAAAGTGTTTATTTATTTATTGATTATTATTGATTGAGCCTTGGAGATATATTATTATAATTATTATTATTATTATAATTATTATTATTATTATTATTATTATTATTATTATAATTATTATTATAATTATTAATGTTATTATTGTTAATATGATTATTATTAATATAGTTGATATTATTATGATTATGATTATTATTAGTATTTATAATATTATTATTATTATTAGTTTGAGGTAAAAGTTTACCTGACCAATGTTGATTGATTGTTTTTAATTCATTTTCTAATCTTTGGAGACGATTGACGATCATGCCAACGACGCCGACAATGGGGTTGTCCTGCGACAGTAGACGATGATCGACTGTGAAAAAGGTTTTATCCATGTGTTCCATCATGTCGAGATGTAAGAGATCACCAACAATTTCGTTGAGTTGATCGAGTTGGAGTCTGTGATGAGACTGTGCACCCATGGCCAACAGCTGTTGAATTGATTTCTGACAGCTTTCATAGAACCTCTTAAAAGACCGTCCTACACGAAGTGGATGTTTGACTTGAAGTCCGTGTGCTCCCAACTCGATGCACAACTTGTTGAGTAAATGCCATAGGACCAATTCAAACTCTCTCTTTACCGTATCAATCTCTGATTGTACTATTTTACGTATTGGTTCTACCAACTTTTTATAAACCATTGTATCATGTTGAATGGGACTACTCGTCGTGGAGAGTCCACTACTACTACCACCACTACTACCACTACCATTTTGTGTCTTGTTATTATTTAATGGATTTAAATCATCCAAATAAGATCTGACAATTGCCAAGTCTCTTTCAATCTCTGACATGGATGATGGCGGTGTGTCAATGTACATGACGGGGATGACTGAAAAGTTAAAGTGTGCCTGGTCAATGAGGTAACGGTCGGTTTGCGATTCGATATACTCTAGGTACCATTCAACCAACCGACGCTTCTTTACACCACTCAGATACTCTCCAATATTGGCCAATATGTGTTCAGCGGGTGGATCAACCACCATCTCTACAAACAATGGTTGATCGAGGTATGTCTCAACTGGTACATGTTGACAATGAAATAGTCTGACCAAAGGGTCACCTCTATTCATTATATTGTCATGATATACTCTATATTGTTCTATTGTATTATCATTTGTCATCTCTCTCTCTCTCTCTCTCTCTCTCTCTCTTTGATATATATCTCTTGTGAATAAATAATAAGTATATATATATCTCTCTCTCTCTCTCTTTTTTGTTTTGTTTTTTTAGATGAAAGTAAAGGTAAAGTTATTATTATTGGAGATGAAAGGGTATTACTCGAATTGTTCAAGTTGTCACTTTTTTCATTCAAAAAAAACTGCAAAACAAATACACATGTCATTCAATTCATTAAATTAAAAAATTGAACAAACATGATGGTAGAGGAACTGATAGGAGATCTTGAACCAATATATTTAATGAAATAGTAGCCAAATGATCACTTGAAGATAGAAAGAAGTTGTTTAAATGTTTGGATGGTTACGACGCTAAAGAGATAACGGACAGACAATACTAAAAAATTAATCGATACATTCACCGACACAACAAAGAAGGAAAAGCGATCGGTTCGGTAGCAGATCTCCGTTTGGTAATTGCTGATTTGCTTTTGACAAGTGGATGTGACCCAAATGTAGAAATATAATCAAGAATGGATATGATACTACCAGAGTAGCAAGCAACAACAATAACATTTGCAGTGGATCATCTCCAAAAATTGGTCTCTTTCCATTGGAAAATGCATGTCACCCCAAATAAAAAGGGTGAACTCAGTTCTTATTATTCTTTTTATTTCTCTTTCGTGTTCTTTTTCATAAGAGTTATAATGAGAAAATCAGATAATTATCATGTCAGAAAAATCACCTTTACAGACTTGGGTTCTCTCCCAAGCATGTAGGATTGATGAGGAAGACAAACAAACCATAGCAAAACTATTAGAGGACAACAAATATCGTACTGTTGAGGACACCAAGGATATTACAGATAGTGATTGGGAGAGAATCACAAAAGTAGGAAAGTACATTACAATTTTGAGGGCCTACTCAAAACAACAACAACAACAACCCCAACCCCAACCCAACACACAAGGCATGACACAACACATCACATAGTATTAAACAAAATAGATCATTTACTAATCATTTATTGTTTCTTTTTTCTTTTTCTTTCTTTTAGGGTTATCAAGAGGATACTCATTCACAAAAAAGCAGTTCGCAACATATGGACAGATTAAACCAGAGGAGACAGGAAAGTACTATTGGATTGACCCAATAACTCAACCAGGTGGGGTGTCACTTTGCTCCAAAATCGAGCAAGGACAGTTTATTATGCTTCATGGTCCACGCTCATCTGGCAAGTCGACTCTTTTGCAGAGAGTAAAGCAGCATTTCAATGACCACTACTTTGTAATTTCGTAAGTTATAAAATAGAATTGTCATTTTTATTAAATTAAATGACAATTCTAATATCAATATGCTATCCCAGTGTTTCTCTTCAAGAGCTTGGGCACGATTTCTACCAGAATACATCATCATTCTTTAAAGGAATAGGTAGTATTTTAAAGCTTCGCTATCCTCTTTTTGCCAACACCCCAATTAATAATGATCAAGATTTTGGTACTATCTTTACCACACAACAACGATTTGGCAAAAAGATCGTACTCATCTTTGACGAATTTGACCAAGTCTACCACAATTGCAGTGGCTCAACCATTGACGGTATCCTTGGCAAGTTTAGAGCTATTCGAGAGAATGGTCGTCAAGTTCTCCAGTCTGCAATCGTGGCTGGTCCATACAATATCTTGTCGTTGTCATCATCGCCACGCGCTGGATCCCCATTCAACGTCAGAGAAGCAGTACCCTCGCCAAACTTCTCGCTTCAAGCCGTCGAGCATCTTTTTTATATGTACCAACAAAACTCATTGACCACTGTCGAGCATGGAGTTGTTGAGGACATTTACACAAGAACAGAAGGCCATCCTGGATTGGTTTGCCTTTTTGGACAACTCATCGACAACAATTTACCAGTTGGTAACACTCTCACCTATGAACAGTGGAGTCGCACCACCTCTTCATTGGTCATTCGCATGGAGGAATACCGTACAACCCATCGCGTTATTGTTGTTGTCAAAGACACAACGTACGAGCACCATCAATTATTGGTCGAGTTGGTTATGATGATGCTTTATTCATCAAGTATCACCTCCATCGCACCAGACCCAATCTCCAAGACTATCAAAGTATCGGTTTTGAACTATCTTGTTTCTGAAGGCCTGGCAAAGGTTAATGAAAATCACTACTCGATCAAGAACCCCGCCATACAACAGTTGCTTTTGGCGAACATTGATTACCTTTCCTCGTGCACTACACCACCCACCCCTTTCCCGTTATTGGCACACGGAATCTCAATCCCCGACCTCGTCAGAGGTGTAGTTTCGGTTTTAACGCCAAGCGCTCTCGTTGCTGCCATGCATACTTCGTCAACGGTGTATCATGGTCACACCCTCCCTTGTGAAGCAGTTTACCATACAGAGTTATACTCTATCATTCAACGATGGAAACCCAACTCCGTCACCTTGTCAACCAACGCCAACGTTCCCATCGCTGGAAGCCACACAAAGAGATGTGATCTTGTCATGGAACACAATCCTCAGGGTGCCTCGTGGTTGTGTTGTCTTGAATTGGTTGCCCATGCCAGTGATGGTGCAATCAAAGAACACATCGAAAGGGTATCCAAGTACTACCAACCAGTCATCAATTCTGATGAGGCTTGGGTGATCAATTTCACAATCGACCAAAACGTCAACGTCGCTTCTTCATTCTCCAATGTCAAAGTCATTCACGTCATACACAACAACGATTTTACATCTTTTACACTCAAAGGAAACATCTAATGATGTCCATGTATATATATATATATATTTTTCAATTAGATCATGAGTTGGTGTAGTCTTTTATAAATAAAACATCAGATTCTCAACATCTCCCTTTTTTTTGCACTTCATATTTAATAAGATATGCGCAGTTGGTCAATCAAACTAAACACCATTGATCCGTCGATAGTCCCTAAACATCAATGGCTCAAAAAAAGCACAACAACTAATTATTCACTGATTAATAATTTATAATTTAATAATTTAATATATTTTACCTTTATAGTCAATCACGCTGTTGTTATGGTTATTCATTAGCGTCAGCCTTTTGCTTGGCTTCTAAATCTTTGTGCAGTTCAACTTTGGGACAATTAGTTGGCAATACGCAAATGACCTCCAAAAAAAAAATTAAATTTTTCAGTGAGAGTGCGATCATTCATTCTTTCGCCAAGCTCATTGTGTGCAGTGCGCTTTTTATTCAGACAGACTCTTGTTTCGTATTGTTATATTCATTCAGATATCTGATATAATCATTTCATTATTATTATTCGGTTAGCAATATTGAATAATCTTGTTGTGGAACGATCATCATCATACTAGTGCAAGTAGACAGTCAGACAGACAGACACACATTCTCTCGAGAGATATATAATAATCATCATCAACAAAAACGAGAGATTAGTTCCTTCCTCCCCTCCTCACAAGATAAAGATAACAAGTTGAATAGTACATAAAAACAACAATGGCAACTATCGTAGACAATAACAACACCGACGTCGGTTCTGTCACCAGTGATGTAGTAGCACCAACACCAACCACCAAAAAGTATATAAAGCCAGGCAAATTTGATGATATGGCTCGTGCTTCTCAAGATGTACTTTCCAACAATGAAGCCTTTGATGGTATGCGTCTCGAATATCAAGGTGCCATTGGAAACGTTCAAACTTCCAACACCTTCCACTTGGGTTCCTCTGAAGAGGCCCCACCCTATGCCTTGACCACCGTTTTCTCAAGAGGAAATGTATGTAAAACAAAAAAGGAGAAAGGATAAGAGTACATATACTTATACTTTTTTAATTTAATTTAGGCCACAGTCGTTGCCAAATACGACTCTGATGTCAAATTGTTTGCAAGATCTATCTATTCTTCCAACATATTCACCAATACCTTTACTTTCCAAATCAACAAAGAGAAGAATATCTATTTGGGAGGTGATGCCGAATTTTCCATAAGAAGCACAAATCTCTATGTATGTAAATTTGATAGAGTCAAAGAGACAAGAAGAAGAACATTATATTAATCATTTCTCTCTTTCTTTTCTTTTTCTATTTCTATTTTTATTTTTATTTTAGTTCAAATATGATACTAATAGAACCTTCACAGCCAACATTTTCCAAGCTTTACAAAAGAAATGGGCAGTTGGATTGGAATACGCAAATATCCCAAGTCAACAAGCAGAGTTTTACTCTGCCGGTGTCAGATGGAAGAAGGGCAAGGGAGAGACTTACTCGTTTAACATTTCAAATATAACTGGATTTGGTCTAAACTATTCTCGTAGACAAAATAATTTAGAATTGGCAACAGAGTTTGCTGTCAGTCCCCATCCACACACTGGCGCTCTCATGTCAAAGACTGTCTTTGGTGCCCGTTATGCCTTCCACGCCTCACTCTTTAAGATTCGTGCCGATACCGACGGTTCAATCATTGGCATGTACGAAGAGATTTTGGGTGGTTTCGCCAGACTATGTTTCTGTGCTCATCTCAACTACTTTACCAATGATTACAAGATTGGTCTTGGCATTCAAATTAGTAAATAAATCAATAATAATAATAATAATAATAACTTTATAATATAATATCAAAATAATCCAAATTTAAATCGTATATATATATATTGTATTTCCATTTTTTTAATATTCCAATTTATTTAAATCTGAAACATTTGTTAAAATGGAAAGATTAAATTGGTAGACTAGAGGTTGATTTTTAATTCTTTCAATGATGGATCGAATATGATCGGGTGTTGTAGTTTGTGAATGTTGTTTGTTGAGTTTTGGCACCAATACAATCATATGCATTGGATTGAGTTTAGGAATGATCGATGCGATATCAATTGGCATGATCGATGACGATGTAATGAGATCGTCAACGCCAACTACCATTTGTTCAAGTTGTTGTGCTCTTGCTTGTTTTTGTTGATCCTCAAATATAGTTCTAGCATTCTCTGTAAATTGTAAAAATGATTGATTCATTGATTCTGTCAATACTTTAATAAAACTATCACTACATTATTAAATAATCAAATTAGTAAGATAGTTGGAACCAAATTGATTGATTGATTGAAATTACAAACCTTTCAAAAATATTTTTAATTTCATTTAATAACATTAATCTATCAGATGATATTGATTCCTCTTGTTGTTGACCATTATTATCACTACCATTATTATTATCACTATTATTTTGATTATTATTATTTTTTGGTAAAAGGAATCTAGTTAAACAATTTTCTTGAGCCAACGATGATAAGGCTTGTTTTGATTCAAAATGAGATCTAATCTTTAAAAACACTTGTAATAGTGCTTGATAACTAATTTGTTGATCGATTTTATAGTCTTCCAAAACTAGAGATACTTGATTCTCAATTTGTTGTACAAACTCTTCAAATCTATGTTCCAATATAGTATTGGAAATGGAAAAGAATTTAGATTCAGTGTCTTCGCTAATAGGTCTTGTCGTTGATAATGGATTCGTTGCCGATGAATCTTTGTTGGTTTCTGGTGATGGATTCATATCGGTTTGTTGTTTTAATATTTGTTCTAGATAACAATATCTTCCAATTAAATTAACTTGTAATCTTATAAATAACATTAATAATGGTATTATATATAATGTACTAAAAACTTTTGTAAATACTATACAAAAAATAAAATGTAAAATGTAAGTATAATCAAATCATTCATTCATTACTCTACTTGTTTGTTTACATACTTGCAACCTTTAATTTTTCACTTAATCTTTGTTTTTGTTCGACATCTTTAGCTTGTCTTATATCTTGAATCGATGGTGCACCAACTGCAGCTTCCAACTTTTCATCCAAACTTTGTAGAAACAGTGCTGTTGATTGATCACATGTTGCTTGTGTATTTGTAAAATATATAGTTACTCTAAATATAATAAGAATCACAACAACAACAAGTTAATAATCATATGTATGATATGTATGATGTGTATAGTGTTAACTACACCTACCTTTGTTGAGCAGCTCTTTTTAATATTTGATGATGTGAATTGGTTATATTATTGTATAGATAATATACTCCACCACCAAATGCAACCAAGAATATGTTTAGTTTATGATTGAGTAGATATCCACTTGCATCTTTAATATATTTGACTGTTTGTTTGTTATTGTTATTATTATTGTTGTTTTGATTAGTATTATTTAAAACTACAGCAGCAGCATTATTAACAGCTTTGTGATAATCATTGCCATTGAACCATTGAATCACTGAAAACACAGCTCCACTTAATCCATCTTCCAATCTTTGTTTGATGTTACTCATCTCTGTCCTATCTATCCTATAACTATCTATCTATCTTATCTCTATCTATCTATCTTATCTATGTATCTATCACCTTGAAATTGAAAATGAGAAAGAGACAACAATGATAATCATTAACGTGTCTTCACTCCAAACACACTTTTTCATTCAACACAAAAATAAATCACTCAATCAATCAATCCCGATTCTACAATTTGGGAAACGACACACATCGATATACATATACATATTAGGACATTGATTGATTATCTAATCCATTCATCATTGATTTAAATGAAATTTCATTTGATTTGTGTGTATATTAATATTAACCAATTTAAAATATGTTGTATTTATATACAATATGTATATATTGATGATATCGATTTTTAAACTATATTTAAACCATATGGAACATGATTTTATTTTGAATAATAATACGCTTAGATTAAACCAATCTTGTTGGCAACATCAGCAGCATCATACTCTGGAGCTAACTTGACGAAGGCCTTCTTTTCACCACGTGGGGTGACCAAGGTGTTGACTCTCTTGGCCTTGACGTTGTACATCTTGTTGATGGCTTGGGCAATTTGGATCTTGTTGGCGAACATGTCTACCATGAAGGTGATGGTGTTGTTAGATTCGATCTTCTTGTTGGCTGATTCGGTGGCGAGTGGAGCCTTGAGGATACGGAATTCAGTCATCTTGGAGACTCTCTTGACAGAGTTCTTTGGGAAAGCTGGGTTCTTTTCCAAGATTTGGGTCTTTGGACGCCTAAACAATTAAATAATCATAGTAATGAGTGATAGATGAAAAATGTAAGCGTTCAATGTTCTCTCTTTTTCTGTTTTCTCTTTCATTTCTTTGTTTCGTTGTTTTCGCTAACGATGTTGCTATAATGTGTGATGCATACTTGAAGTAGATAGAGGTTCTGATCTTACGTGGAGCACCGCTGGAAGTTCCCTTCTTGACGGCAGCAGCAGCAGCTGAGGACTTCTTGGCAGCAGCTGGAGCAATGATGTTGACCTTTTTACCAGCTCCCTTAACAGAGAGGTCTTGCTTTAAAGTGTTTCCTGTAGTAATCAAGTAGGTAGGTAGATAATGTATCAAGTAGGTAGAAGAGAGTTAATACATCGCTTTTAACAGAGAGAGGAGGACGCACACGTATCGTCGACGGTGTTATATCTGTAATTAGAGATAAGTGATATGTACCCTTTGCCATTGTACTTTATGTGAGATGGAGCTAAAATCAAGACTCTTGAGATATCTAAATTCACGAATCAAGGAGTGTGGGTGAGAGCAGAGTGGTAGGCGAAGCGAGTCTGCTCAGCAAATCCGCCAAAAAATTATTTTTTTTGAATTAATTTTCATTTTCACGGGCAAGAATTTTTTGCACTTTCAACCGAAACTAAGTAAAGTAGAGCACAAAAAACGAGAGAGACGAGTCGTTCAACTCAACCTTCAAATTTGATTAGATCACATTACATATTATATTTTATATTACATACTAAGAGTAGAGTAGAAGGGGAAAGAGAAGAGAATGTCAATGTTAAAATATAAATCATGGTTGACAAAGACGGGATGGTCCGATGACAAAGGCTTGGGAAAGAATGAAGATGGTATGACTAGTCATATAGGTGTATCAATGAAAATTAATAATAGTGGAGTATGTATAAATATATGTTTAGTAGATAGTAGTAGATAGTCAGTTAGTTAGTAAAACAAACATACTAATTGTATTGATATGATATTATATTAGGTCGGTCATCAATATGATAATTGGCAAGACACTTGGTGGGATAATGTATATGCAAAGACATCAGAGAAAATAGGGTCATCTACTACTACCACCGATGTATCTTTAGTGGACAATGATATATTTGATTCAAAGGATACTGTAAAATCATTCAAGAGAAAGGAAAATGATGACGCCGAAACAACAACAAAATCAAAAAAGGTTGTTGAAACAATTGTCGAACAATCACCAAAGAAAATCAAGAAATCAACAAAACAATTGGAAAAAGAGGAAAAAGATACACCAGCACCAGTTTTAAAGAAACTTGGTATCACCACTTTTGTCAAATCTGTAACATTGACAAATATGAGTATTTTAGAATCAAGTTTTGATGAATCTTCCAAAGAAAAAGAAAAATCATCAATATCAAATAAGAATAGTGATATTGAAATTAAAAAAGATATTGATAATGATAATGTAAATAATAATAATAATAGTAATAATAATGATATTGGAGATATAGTAAATGCAATTAAATCAAGAAAACAAAGTAAATATGCAACTGGAAAATTGGCAAGACTTCATCAAATCGAATTGGAAGCTATGAATAGAAAACAAAATGGTCTTTCAACTTTGACCGTTGCATTACCATCACCTCCTATTCCAACTCCAACTACAACTACAACTACAACCAATTCGAACAACAAATCTTCTACTACTATAGATGAAAGTGTTTCATCTATGGAAGACAAAGAACAAGTGGAAAAACAATCCACAAATTTAAAAAGAAAGAAATCACAAGACAATGACAATGATGATGAAGACCAGGAAAGTGATGAAAAAGAATTAAAGAAAAAGAAAAAGAAAGAATCAAAGGAAAAGAAGGAAAAGAAGGAAAAAAAGGATAGAAAGAGTAAAAAAGAAAAATCAAAGGAAAAGAAGGATACAACAAGTAAAAAAGAAAAGAAAAAGGAAAAGAAAAGTAAAGAGTCATCAACATCATCAAGTAAAAAAGTAGAAAAAAAGAAAAAAAAAGAATAAAGAATCATCATCATCTGATTAGATTGGATTAAATCTAGATGGGTAAAAATATTTTTATAATATAATACAATTTGGTTGTTGTTGTTGTTGTTGTTTTTTTGTATTTATTTAGAATATAGTAACCGACCGACCGACCGACTGACCGAATGGAAATGTTTTGGGTTTTTGAGATATCATCATTTTGGGGGATTACTTGTATTTTTGTTTAACTGATGAGTTTAACAAATCAGCATCTTTGAGAGATTTACTTGGGTCGATAGACAATGGTTTTTGAGGGAAACCAGACATGAGGTCAAATGGACGTGTGTTACCAGTCAATTGGTTGATATAAGAGATGAGGTCTTGGAGTGTATGTGTTTCATTAAATGTGGCATTTTGTCTAACACCATCGGCCAATACAATTTGAACGGTTGTTGTTGGTTTGCTTGAATCAATATTAACTGTTGGTTTTGGTTTTGATGCAGTGGTAGACGTAGTAGATGTAGTAGATGTAGATGAAGTACTACTGGTTGATGTGCTGGTTGGAGCAGATGGAGTTGAACCAAGAGTATGACCACCACCTGAAAAGGCGACGTATCTAGGTTTAATGGGTTCAGAGTATTCCTTGGCTCTAGAATCGATGAGATGGATAGAGAGACCTCCGGCAGGTGCATTCGTTTCCAATTCAGGTGGTACCTTTCCGCGTTGGATGTGTTCCAAGAACTCGCGGTTGGCTGGGTCGTCTAGTCGTCTCAATGGACCGTCGTTGAGCGTGAATCCATTGGCCCAAAACGTGATTTTAATCTCTTCAACCTCTTCCTTTGGCTTGGGTGCACTCTTGCTTGTTTGTTGTGCTTCGCCGCCACCCGAGCCCAATTGGTAGCCAGTACCGTCGAAATACTCCTTGGCCTCCTTTTCAGGCTGGTCGGCAGGCTTGGCACCCTGTTTCTTGGCACTGTCAAAGACGTCGTCTACGACATCATCCTTGTCTTTCTTTTTTGTTTGGGTGCCGATTCTACCATCAAACCACTCTTTTCACCACCGGTAAAGTATCTTTGAGTCTTGTCATCGTCATCATCGTCGTCATCATGATCACTTCCATCATCTTTTGAAATATCTGATAATGTTCTTATTCCACCTCTTGATGGTTGTGATGATGATTTTGGTTTTGGTTTTGATGATGACGAAGAGGATGAAGAGGATGAAGAGGTAGATTGTTGTGGGGGTCTTCTGTATGGTCTATCATCTTCTTCTTCATCGTCCATTTGAGACAATAAATCTCTTGTATTTGGACGTGATGATGCAGTTGGACGTGCAGCAGTTGGTTGAGCAGTAGTTGGTTGAGCTGATCCACCATGTTGACTAGAATCAAAAAATGATAATGTTGCTTGCTACGCACACACATTCAAGATAATAACAATAACAATAAGTCAATAATCAAATCAATATCATCATCTTCTTCCTTTTCTTAATTTTTATACCTCTATATCCCAATTATGTGATTCTAAATAAAATGTACTCTCTTGTTCATTTGCATTTGTAATTGATTTAAATTGTTCGATGAGTTCTTTATGGTCTCCCATTCTTCTCTATCTCTATAATAATATTTATTATTTATATATATATGTATAAAAAAAAAAAAAAGTAATGACTTGAAATGTTAATTAAACTTTGTGATCATCACACAGACAACTCCCAAAAAAGTTTTAAATTTAATTAAAAAATTTTGTTTAGGAATTTAGTTTGAGTTTCATTCACGCTCTATGTATGTTATTAAAAAAAAAACAATGATATATATTAATATTTATTTATTCTGTCTTTATATTTATTCTTCTTGATTGGGCAAGACGATTTGTTTGGTACCATCATATGGTTCGACCAAAAGTTGAGAGAAAATGGAAAGGGATGGAGTACCTCTGACTTCAGCCTTGAGGAGTGGCATCTTGGTTACATGGAAATCCATGTAGAGTTCATTGATTTGGTCAATGTACTTTTGTTGCATTTTTCTTCTGGCTTGACACAATCCACAGTCGCTCTCTGGATACACAATTTGATTGACAACAATATTTTGAACATCCATATCTAATTTGGTCAATTGTTGAATCAATCTTTCAGTTTCATAAAGTGAAAGGAATTCTGGAATACAAACTGGTACAAATGTTGTCATTTCCTTTAGAAAATAAATAATAATAATAATTAACTACTTATCCATCAACAATTAATGTAACATGTATTGCTTTACTTACTGGGTTCTTGAATTGAGTATTAACTTCTTCAATGATTTTCTTATTTTCTTGCATCTTTGATTCTATGTTTTGTGGTGATGTTTCTGATCCCATTACACCTGATAACTAGATAGAAGAAGAAGAAGAAGAAAGAATTAGTATAAAGTTGCGTAAACTCTGACTTGTTGTTGTTGTCGTCATCGTCGTTGTTGTTGCTGTTGTTTGAAATAATCCTTACAGATGAAAAGATGCCAGTGAAATTCTTATCCATAAACTTGCCCATAGCCTTGTCCAAAAGTGATGGGATGGATAATAGACGAAGGGTGTGTCCAGTTGGAGCAGTATCAAATACAATGACCGAGTATTTCATGGTTTGTACCAATTTCATAACCTCTGCAAAACTCATAGCCTCATCAATACCTGGAATAGCCATAGCAATCTCTTGAAAGTTAAACATATCCTTTTGTTTATCAACAAATTCTGGTGCATCTTGGTCTGGTGTTGGATCAATTTCCTAATTATTCAATCAATCCAATATTAGTAATCCAATCCAATAATATCTACCAATATATCTATGCATGTATATCATATCTATGTAATGTTGTTAACATACCATACAATAGAGGTTATCAAAACCATTGACACGAGTTGGAGTCTTTGTAAACTTTTGAGAGAATGCATCACTCAAATTGTGAGCTGGATCAGTTGAGATTAAGAGAACTGATTCCTTGACCTTTGCCAATTGAATAGCAACACTGCAACTTGTTGTGGTCTAAATATATATATACAAATGATGTTAATAATCCAATATACTTGTTCTTGACAACAACAAAACTATCAATCTATCTATCTATCTTATCTATCACATGACTCTAATGCACACTATTATTATTATCATGTGTCGTATGTCGAGTATAGTTGTATCGTGTTGTTATCATCTGCTTTCTCTCTATCTGTATACATTACCTTACCGACACCACCCTTACCACCTACAAAGATCCATTTCAGGGTATCCTTTTGTAGGAGGTTGTTGATGGTTGGTTCATATTCTTCAAATTCTTCGCTCATCTCTTTATGATTTAATTTATCTATCTTGTATTTAAATACTAATAGTAATGATTTATATAAATTGATACAAAAATAAATAAAAATAAATTATTGTTTTTCTATGCACCATGAACACACAAAAGTCAAATTAGTTTCTTCACCTTCAGTTCATAGGGTAAAATCAATGAATTTTCATTCATCACTTACTCATCATCATCGTCATACCTCTCAATAGATAACTCCTCTTTACTCATCATCATCATCATCATTTATGATATAATATGGCAAAAGAATAACTATCTCTACATTCAAAATTGAATTCAATTCACTACGATGGAAGCAAAGATATATTTATAGTGGCATCCCTCAAGGATACAGAAACATTACACAGCTGTGTTGGTAGAAACGATATGATAATCAAGAATGAGGGATAACTCTTCAATTAATCTCAAGCATCTTATCTTTCTCCCCTAAAAAAAAGGAGACCGTATAGTTGCCTAATGGTTTTATCACCAATGCATTTTGGAAAGCAAGTAATACAATGATTACAACAGAGGAGGGAGAAATTGATATCTTGTAGAGTGAATCAAAATTGGATTGTGCATTTAACTGCCGCACATAGAGAAATTTTCTATAGCGTCTAGAGGACTCATCAATCAAGTAATTAAGGATTCTATTCGCCAACTGTGAGTCACATTACATATAGGTGACTATCTATCGATTACTCAAAGCGCTTTGCAACCACATTTTTTTTGTTAATGGGCACCTATCAAAATAATCTAATCCTGGTCAGGTTCGAATAAGATATAATGATGTATTGCTATTATATATTTCCATTAAATCGGTTCTATAGAATAAATGAATGGGAGGGAATATTGTCGGTTGGGATGACGAACTAGTCATTCTCCTCGAGTCTCTAAATAGGTTATATAGACTGGGTATAAATTAATTAATTCAAAACTCCTCACTGTCTGCCAGAGAGAGAGAGAGAGAGACACTGAGTAAATATACTCTGGCACAAACGCTGAAACGTTCTTTCTAAATTCGAAAAAAGTATTCTTAAAATGGTGTGATATTTAAGTTAAATAGGTAGGTTGGTTTGTTTGGCTTGCATTCCTTTGATCTGGGAGACATTCCATTCACATTCATTAAATTACTGTACAAGATATGATGGTTTGTACTGGTTTGGCCGTTTTAAGAAAAAGATCCCATTTTCAACAACATTCGCCCTCAGCAACAGAATGCCTCGATTCACAGGGATGTCATGACTAGCAAAACTGGTGTAAACTCTGTGTTGTCGAGCATTGCTGAAAAAAACAAAAGTTTTTGACATCCCGAACCTGGGCTATTGTGCTGGGGTACGACCTCTAAAAAAAAAACAACATCTCTCCTCCCTTGTCTTGTTATTTTCAAAAACATTTTATTTGACTCATCCTTTCCTCTTCTCTAAAAGAAATAATTATAATTACTTCTCCACACATAGAGTTGTGATCTACTGTATCAACTCTATATATTATATTTATATTTATATTTAATTAATTAACCAATCAAATATATATACATAGGAGATTGAGATCGCACATATAACATCAACAACCAACTCAAAGAGGTAAGATTTATGTCAACCAGAATATTATTTTTTTTTTTTTTTTACCCAGGTCTGGGTGCCGACCAGAGAGTTGGTTCTTTGCAAATGGGGGAAAAAACCGATTTTTGACGGAAATTAATAGAACAATGGATCGTTATAATTCACACACTACTTTACTTTCTTTGTTTTTTTTTTTTTACGCACACATAACAACAACACACAAACACACAAACACGTAGCACAAAAGCACAGAAAGAGAAAGAGAGAGCGTATAGTCTAGTTTTTTGTTGTCTATTATTTATTATTATTTATTGTTGCCTTTGTTTCAATCATCACATTTTGATATATATCAAGATTAAGATCTTTTTAAAATTAGTCGTAGTCGTAGTTAGTAGTTACTGTGTATAATATATATAACAAACTTGAATTTATCCAATCGATACATTAAGTTTGAAATTGCAATCAGATAGATTATTATATATATATATATAAACACACCAGATAGATATTATACTACCTTCTCCTTCTTCTTCTTCTTTAATATCTTCTTATTCTTGTATATATACATTCTTTCTAAAACAAGGCCAATAACAAATAATAATAATATAACATCAACCAACATCAACTTTATTTTTGTTCATCCTTTCAAACCAACTTACAATATTATTATTATATACTTATACTTATTTATTTATTACCTAACTTTAAAGCATTCACATATTTACAAATCATTAACCAAAACAAGTAACAGTAGTAGTACATCAATCAACAATCAATTAAGATTAAATCGACCAACAAAATGGGTTTCGACGATCACAGTATCAACGGTGGCTATAGTAGCATGAACATTGATTCACCACAGCCACCATCATATCAACAACATCAACAACAACAACAACAACAACCATCAGTACAACAACAATTAACTGAATCATTACCATATGGATTCTATCAACAAAATCAAACTGCTTATCCACAACAACAACAATATGTTCCACAACCAACTCAACAACAACAACAACAACAATCATCACTTTATTATAATCCACAACAACAATCAATGGTATATCCATCAACTCCAGTTGCTGCACCACCACAATTTGACAATGCACATGATCTCAAGAGATGTTTAAAGTGTACCAAGATTTACTATCACATTGATAGTTTTAACAATCAAGCTTGTTCTTACCATCGTGACAAGTATGTTATAAAATAATAATAATAATAATACAAAATATAATTTATTAATTAATTTTTCTTTCTTTCTTTCTCTCTCTCTCTCTCTTTTAGTTATGTAAAGACAGAAGAACGTTGGTTATGTTGTAATAGAATTGGTAGAGAAGCAAGTCCATGTTTTTCAACTTATCATGTAGAGGATGAGAATACCAGTCAAATACTTAGATCAATGGTGATTCCAAAGCCAGAGGTTGTTTTGGGCAACAATCCAATCTATCAAAACATCAACTTTGGTTTTGTGGGTGCCGAGCGTATTCTCTACGAAGGTATTCTCAAAAAGCAAGGCAAACGTCTTGGTTTCTGGGAGAAGCGTCGATTCCGTCTTACATTCTCGGCGTTGATCAACTACCACGACGAGTCGGACAAGCAAGTGCATCGTGTCTTTCAATTGGCCGACATTGCCATCTCGTTCCGTAGAATGTCGAGTGACGACGGCGAGCGTATCTGTTTGGTGATCAATGACGGCGCCCGTAACCATTACCTCTACTCGACCGTGCAGGATCAGACCGAGGCATGGATCGACGCACTCCACACCCAAAAGAAGATTTGTTTGCAAGCCAAGAGCAACCAAAAGCTCTCTACCTCTCCTCCAACCAACTCCTTCTCTCCCTCGTCGCACGGTTTCTCCTCCTCCTTTATCAACTATCCCAACTTTGGTAGCACTACTAGTAGTAGCAGCACCAATAACAACTTTAACTTCAACACCAGTAATGGAGGGGGAAGCAACAATGGTAGTTTCAACAACTATGCCAACATGACTGGTAGTACTAATGGCACCAACAATGGTGGTGGCAGCAACAACAACAGTTTCAATAATCTTGGAAACATTACAGCTGCTCAACCAAACATTCCAATCATCAACAACTACTTTAACAATGCCGCCAACACCAACTTTGCCGCCCAAACCCAATCCAATGGCGGTAGTGGCAAGTTGAACGACTTTGGCATCGACGGTGACACCACCTCCTCCTACACTTACCCCACCGCACCCGCCAACATCAACAACAGCGGCAACAACCCCAACAACACCAACATCCAATGGATTCAGCACAAGGTTCAGACATCCGACACATTGGCCGGTATCGCCATCCGATACAGCACAACAATCGACGTTATCAAGCGCACCAATCTCATCAAGGGCGACCAAGTCATCACTCACCAAACGTTGCTCGTCCCCGTCTCGGGCCACGTCAACTTTGCCACCCAAGCCCCACTCCCTCAAACCGAGGAAGAGAAGCGTCGCAAGCTCGTCAATCTCTTTTCCGTATCAGAGAACCTCTCCAAGGAAGAGTCGCGCGCCTATCTAATCAACAATGATTGGGACATGACCAGAGCTTTGAGAGAATTAAAAGAAGACATGGAATGGGAACATCATAACCCATATCCAACTGTAAAATAATCTATCAAAAACAAAAAAAAAGATAACCATTTCAATTCTTTACAAATACAACCAACAATCAATTCAATCTTCTTTATATTAATAACAATAATAACATTTAATAACCTCTCAATAACAACAATAGTTCTAGTCAGTCAATAACCTTTTCAGTCAATCCAACTCCCCAACTCCCCAAAATTTAATAATTATAACCTTCCAAAAAAAAACATTAAACCCCCCTTTAGATAAAGAGACACACACATATGGATCAATTAGGAAATGACCAACAATGACAATAATAGTAGTATTACTATTATTTGATCGGTGGTCATATTAATAATCGATTATCGTTTACAAATATCAAATCTATTTTTCAACAACTTTAATATTATATTATAGGATAAATAAATAAATAATTGTAATTCTGTGTTTTTTCGACTCCCCTCCCCTAAATCAAAACAACCTCTAGGTTATATTCCAGAAGATTATTATCTTTTAGAATGTTTTTGTCTTTTTTTTTTTTAAATTCTATAATTAATATTAATATCTTGTTTAAATATCTCTCTCATAAGAAATTGTTGTCAGGTGTTTGTTTTAATATTTTTTAACAAACATGTCATTGTCACTACAAATAGATAAAAAGGAAGAGGAGTGTTATTTAATAGATCAATTATCAAATCTAACATTATATCATATTATTGATTCAATAGACAATGATATAGATATTATATGTTTTGTATTGACTTGTAAAAGATTATTTAACTTTATCAAGGATCAACAAAATAGAAGAATTGTACAATTCAAACAAGTTAAACTATTAAATGACAAGTATAGTTTAAATAGTGTATGTCATGCAATATTACTTGATCAAGAGAGATTTCGGCTACAGTCATTCAAACCACAATTACTACAATCTGTAGCGACACAATCAACCTATGACAGTGGATTAGCTTTACTCAGACGATATTTCGTGTCAAAACATGGAGGAGGGCCTGAAAAGACAAAAGTATATAATGGTACCAACCCATTAAATGTACCATCATCATCAACTATTCTATGCATGTCTATTTCACCAATTGAAAGGTGTACGTTGGATATGAGCAAGTTTCCACAATTGGAGTATTTGGAGATTGACACACCTATGGTCGTTCATATAGTGGATTTTGTTGGTGGTGTGTTACCAGAATCACTCCGAGTACTCAAAATACCTCATTTTGACCCGAAACTAGTTCGTCTACCACTTGGTATTGAACAGTTTGAATTGACAACCGATCTAAACGACGTTGAACTCGATCAGAATGAATACTACCATATCATTCCTCAAAACAAGACAACTATACAAGATATTATGGATTTTCAATTTCACCAATACAAATCACTCACTAAACTCAATTTATCTTGTGCTGCTATTGTCAATCATCCAATGACTGGTGAGATGATCCATAAAATATTTCCACCAAATCTTACACATTTGGATCTATTTTTTGATTATACAACCGTACCACCAAAACATGAAACACATCGGTTTCCATGGCAAGCCATACCAAATAGTGTCACTCATCTTAGACTTTATTGGATTACTTATCCTTTGAATTTAAGTGAAGTGGTCGAATTGGACCATCTCACCAAATTGACCGATCTAATATTAGTACAGTCTCCCCCAACTGTGGTACTCCCACCATCCATCGAAAAACTATCATACACTCGATGCAGACTAATCGACCCAACTACTCGTTTACAACTATCACATTTAAATAATCTCAAACAACTCAATACCAATTGTTTAGATAATATGCAATTATTTCCAACAACACTGAATAATAATGATAATAGTAATAATCTGAAACATTCATTAGAAATATTAAATATTAGATCAAGAATTGGAAATGTATCATTCCCAGATGTATCAACATTGGATACTTGGAGTAATATGAAAGTTGGGTCGATTCCAAGTTCGGTTAAAATAGTAAAGATTGAAGGTGCTCAAAAATCATTACCAATTGGTGTATTCCCAGATACTCTTGAAGAATTACACCTAGATTCTTTTAATGGATATGATCCTTTAATTATCCCACAACATTTAAAAGGTTTATCACTATTATGTGGCAAGACTGGATTCGATCAGAATATTCCAAATAGTTTAGAATCTTTGACTTTAAAGTTATCGACTATAGACCAACCATTTTCATTACCACCCAATTTAAAATACCTTGCCTTTTTAAATTGTGTCCCAAAGTCATTTGGAACACAGTTTCCAGTTTCAGTAGAAGAGTTAAAAGTTAGAGTTGAATCTACCCAATATTTCAACTTGTCAAGTCATTTTGTTGATATGAAAGGAAATCGACCCAATGGTTTCATCCCGCCATCAATCAAATCGATCATATTTACAAGTGATTATTCATATGGACATTTTGCATTTAGTGTTAGATTAAATGATATTTTACAGTCTTCAAAGATTGAAAAAATAACATTTGATCGATTCATATTCCATATTCGTAGACTTGACAATACCAATTCCAATGTACTCATCATCGAACAAGAGTCACTCTATGGTGGTATTATAAACCTAAAAGATAATCCAGAATTATTCTTAAACTATAGATCAAACTTTGATTATATATCTATTTCTCAAACTTCAAAATTCCAACGATAAAAATAAAATGATGAAAAATCGAGTAATTAATTTGATCATTCGTCTCATTCGTATTTATTCATTTCATCTTAAATTAGGAGAGAGAGATATATAGAGAGATAGAGAGAGATGTCATTAGAATCATATGGATTACCAGATTGGATCATCAATAATCTAAATGAACAGAATATAGTAGATTTAATGCCTGTACAGAGTGAGATTGTACCATTCATTGCTCGTACTGAAGGTCATGATATTCTAGTGGCTGCACCAACAGGTTCAGGTAAAACATTGTCTTATGTATTACCAATTGTTCAAGTATGTTCTATCAAATAGAAAAGAAAGAAAGAGATATGTAAATCTTATCAAACAATCAATCTCTAATCTATATTTCAATTTCTTTATAGAAATTACATAAAAGAATCATTAGAAGATTAAGAGTATTGGTTATTTTACCAACACATGATTTAGTGATTCAAACTGAAAAGACATTTCAATCAATTATAAAAGGAACTAATCTTGTTGTTGAATCATTGGGTTTAAAATCATTACATTTGGAACAAAGTTTATTGGTTTCATCACATTATAATCAACAGTATGATTGAAAATCAAATCCTTATATAGTTTAAGTATTCTTCCTTACTTTTTTTTTCTTGTAGAAATGATAGTGTTTATTATGAAAGTTTAGTAGATATAGTTGTAACGACACCTGGTAGATTGGTAGAACATTTAAATGAAACACCTGGATTTAATTTACAACATTTAACATACCTCGTCATTGATGAGGCCGATAGATTATTAAGAGAATCTTATCAATTTTGGTTGGAAAGAGTCATTGATTCTACCAAATCAGGTACAAATGATCGTTCAATCAATCTCTCCAACCGAGGTGATATGCAAATCCTCGATTCAAAATATAAAAGTTTAGGTTCACATTTGGAACATTTATCATCAAAAGAATCAAGAGTAAATATAAATATAAAGATATAAATATTAATCAACTTAATATTAAACCTATTATTTTTTTTCTTATTCTTTTTATTTAGTTAATTAAATTATTATTATCAGCAACAATGACATATAATCCAGAAAAGATTTCATTATTGGAATTAAATGCACCTTTATATTATAGTTCAACGAAAAAGAAGGAATCATCTACCAAATATTCAATGCCAGACAGTTTACAAGAATATTATGTTGCATGTCCAGCATCACAAAAACCATTATCATTGATTCACATTGTATATTCAATCCTACTGAAAAAGAAATCAGATAATGCCCGTATCATTTGTTTCACCAACAACAAGGAAATTGCTCAAAGATTGCATACTCTAATTGGATTGGTCAATGAAATCAATGGATATAATATAAAACCTGCTTTATATTCTTCTACCGTTTCAACTATTGAACGTTCACATTTATTAGAAAGTTTAAAAAATAATCATATTAATTTGTAAGTAAAACAAACAAAAAAAAAAAGATAGAAAGAATCATAAATTAATTTATCTATTTCCATTTTAGATTAATTTGTAGTGATATTTTATCAAGAGGTATGGATGTACCAAATGTTGATGCAGTAATTAATTATAATTTACCATTGACAGCAGTGCTTTATGTACATAGAGTTGGTAGAACTGCAAGAGCAGGAAAGGAGGGAGAAGCATACACCATTGTAGATACAGTAGACAAATCAAAATTGATTGCCATTTCCAACAAGGCATCTAGATTAAATCCCATCAAAAGATTGGTTTTCAACAACAAGGATTTTGTATTGTTTGAAAAGACTTATAAAAAGGCATTAATCCAAACCAAACAATCTTTAAAATTATCTAGTCATAAACTTGGTTTATTAAAAAATGGTGGCAACGGAACAAATAATAACAAAACATCAACTCTAATTGAATCATTATTGGAAATTAACAAAAAAAGAGCCCAAAGAAATTTTGAATAATAAATCTATTTTTTTTTGTTCAAAACGTTATAAATATATCTTTCTTCTGTTTGGTTTATTTCTCTCTCTCTTTTATGGATTCTGTTTGGTTAAATTAATTAATTATTATTATTTGGGTTAATAGGAAAAATCAAAAATCTTTATAGTACTATCTTCATAGCCAGTAATTAATTTTGAATCGGTAAATTTAAGACAACAAACAGCGGATTGACCCTTGATGGTATTGACGTGAGTTCCATTCTTTAGATCCCAAAGACGGATAGTGCTGTCGGTGGAGCCGCTGAGTAGTTTGTTTCCCTTAAATTGTAGACAGTGAATCATGTTGTCGTGTCCCTGAAGGGTGTGAATCAATTGGCCGCTCATGTCCCAGACTTTGAGTTGGCTGTCGTGGCTACCACTGACAAGCTGACCGTTTTCATACTGGAGACAGTTGATCTTGTGCGTGTGGGCGCGGATAGTGTTGGTGCAACGTGCATCCAGATCCCAGATTCGGATGGTCTTGTCGTAGGAGCCGCTGACCACAAGGTCCTGTCCGTTGTGGTTGATGGCTTGAAGGCAACGTACCGGTGCAGTGTGTCCTCGCATGGTTCGCAGACAATTGGTGGTGTTTAGGTCGAAAACGCGCATAGTGCCGTCGACGCAGCCGCATATCAAAGTATTGTCGACGATTTGCAGACACCAGACGCTGCTGTGCGTCTGTATCGTGTCGACGCAGGTGCCGTCGAATCGATTCCAAATCTTGACACTGCCGTCGGCGCTTCCACTAATCAAACGCTCTTTGGTCGAGCCTAGGCAGATGGTGCCGTTTTTGTGGCCGCTCAGTGTGCGGATACAGCGGTTCTTGCTGTCTTCGGGGTCGTCAGTGAACTGGTTCGACTCGCCAATACCGTTGCAGTCCCACACCTTGACGGTCATGTCTTCTGAGCCACTGATCAGGCTGTTGGTCTCGGGCTCGTACAGTAGACTCCAAACAATCTCTTTGTGGCCGCGGAGTACGGTGGTTCTGTACTTTCCACGTCGCCAATTACTGTCCTTTCTAAACTCTCCAACATACCAATTATCACCCCATACACTACCTCCATACGATATCTGTGGAGATTGTTGATCAAATGTAGTTGTAGTAGTGGTTGTGGTTGAGGTTGTAGTTGACAATGGTGATGACAATAATGTTGTAGATGGAGATGGACATAATGAAGGAGAATTCGATGATGAAGAGGAGGACGATGCTTTTTCATCACATTCCATTGATTTCTTATGGATAAAGAGTGAGTTACCACCACCACCACCACTTCCAATACTACCAGACTTGGGGGGTGGAGCATCAAAGAAACTAGAACCATCTAGTAGACGACGTTGTAGGCAAATGTCACGCCACAATGAAATGTCAAATGCAAGAGACCGCCATTTGCGACTGACCCGACACACACCACTGCACAAATCCATTGGCGTTAGAAAGCAGAATATATGCAACATGACTTCGTCGGGCAGGATCAAGGTGAGACACCTGCTCTCGTTCTTGGCCAAGTTGTAGCGAATGGCAATCGATATGTAAGAGTTTGCAATCGTCTTTATGTATTCGTTCTTTTTCCGTTGGACGGTGCGCAACTGTAGCTTGTGGAGGCGAATGTCACGTTCGATTGCCTGCTTGGTTTCGGTCAGTTGCTTGATGGTGCGCTCGACAGCCTCGAGCTCGCTGGACCGCATCTCTACGTTGGAAATGGTCTCTCTCTCGTCTTTGAGCACTTCAGATACCAAGGGATCGCCATTATACCAAGAATCGATAGGGTCAATGTCCATCTGGTCGCCCACTGAATACCGGTTGGGCTCCATCTCGTCTTCGGCCATCTCCTCGTCAATATCTCCGCCGCAGTCGTCGAGATCATCATCGTCATCGTCTTCATCTTGATCATCATCTTCAAAGTCGTCGTCTTCGCTTGCTATCTGTTGCAATTGTTGTTGTTGCAATAACAGCAACTTGTTCTGTTGTTGATGTAATGTACTACATGGACAGATTGGGTGATGAATACCTCTATATGAAAAACTTGATGGTGATGGTGTATTTAATGCCGACAATGAAGAAGATGAAATTATATTATTATTATTGGAGGAAGAGGAAGGAGATGGTGGTGGTCTATTTACCTGAACACCCACCAAAGTAGGACTGTATTCAACTAGTAGATTACTACCACTTCCACGTTGACTTTCTTGTTGAGGAGAGAGTAATAGTTGTTGGTTGTTGTTTGATGAAAAAGATGATCCATCTTCTATACCAATATGAAGAGGATTGTCGATGGTAACGCTAATGGTGGACTGTTTTTTGCGTTTCTCTCTTTTTTTCTTTTTTCTATCTTTTCCATCTAGTTTTTTCTTGTTGTTGTTGTTGCTGCTATTGATTAAAAGTAACGGATTTGGGCATCCACTATTAATATTTCCATCCAACATCATAATCGATCCTCCACTACTATTACTATTCCATGAAGATGACAATGATGAAGATGATGAACTGCCTGCTGAACTACTACTACTAAAATTGGTGATGGAATTTGCATTTAATGATGCAGTTGGTATAGATTGATTGGAATTATTATTTTGTTGTTGCTGTTGATTGGTAGGTATGGTTCCATAATTTTGTATCATTATCTATAATATTAAATTTAATGGTTAGTCATGTACAAAGAAGCTAGCAAACATTCAAATCGTACTGTTTAATTTACTTTTTTTTTTTTTGTTTCTTTAATGATGAATGTTGATTGATATAAATATTTCAATGATAAATAATTAATTCCTTTTTATCTATATATAAAATGATGATAATAATATAATATAATAATAATAAATGTTTGATAAATATATTATTAAATTACATAAACTATTTTTGATGAAGTGTTCAACGATCAAGACAAAAAAAAAACAATTTAATATGGATTGTACTAGTTGGGAGGAATACTCTGTTGAGACTGTGACAATACTGCTGGCTGGATGTGATGATGATGTGATTCTTCTGGAAATATATGAATTCAGCAGTTGATAAATAATGGATGGTGTTACTACTACTACTCTCTTTCAAATTGTTATGTACTGCTGCTGCTCCTACTCTACTGCTGCTGTTAAATCTAAATGTTGGTAAAAACAGTAATGTTCTTTTTATCGGTGATGTTTTTATATCCTTATATATTTGTTCTATTTATTCTGCTTGCAAGTCATTTATTTATTTACTCCACTCCCCTACATACTCTCTCACATAACCAAACTTGATGTGATGGGGGGTATAAATCATCAATAAATAAATAAAACTACAACAAACAAATTCAATAGAAAAAGAAGGCAACCAAACCCATAATGACCCATCCCTCGCTCTACTCTATTCTCTGCTTCATGTTGAACATATGTCACACAACACAACACAACAAGTTATATTAATAGTCTAGGGAGAGAGTGGTAGTGGGGCAAGATGTGATGGTGGGTGAATTGAATTGATGGTAATGGAGTGAGAGGGGTGGGTGTGCATTTGTTTTTCTGTTTTTTTTTTTTTGTTGTTCCCCTTTGTACATTTTGCTAGTTCCGTATTATTATTATTAAATGAAGATGGATCCAATTGTCGTTGGGTGTGGTAATGAGTGAGTGAGTGAGAGAGTGAGTGCGTGCATGCGCGTGAGTTAATCAGATACACGATATATAGGGGGTGTAAAGTGAATGCATGATGTATCAAATTTGATTGAAACACACACATATATGTGTGGTTGTTTTTTGTTTGTATTGTTTTCCTTTTTCCTATTTTGAATTTCCTATTGTTGGTTCGGATGTTTTTGTTTGTTTACTCTACTTTTGTAAATTAACGAATATTGATAATAATCCTATATATTTTAATAATAATAGGAGGATATGATAATAATAATAAATGGATGTTGTGGTTGGTTGAGGAGAGCAGGTGTAAGGTAGGTAGGTAGGTAGGTAGGTAGGTTGATTGACACAAGAGTTGGGGATTGAATACATGGTATTGTACGATTATGATGATGGTGATGATGATGATGATAATGGATGATTAGTTTGTTTGTTTGTTTTGTTATTTGTTTTCAATAATAACTAATTTGTTATTATCTATTCTTTTTGCAAATTTACTATAATTGTACGACGACGACGAACAACGATAACACTGACCACAACATTCATTCATCATCAACGAACAAACAAACAAAATAGATATCCAAACAATGTATTTGTTTGTTTGTTGGAGTTGGAGTTGTGCGACTTTACAAATTATTATTCTTATTATTATTAGTATTCTTTCCATGAGCCAAAAATAATGAATCATACTACTCCATCCTTTCTTCTCATGAACCATGGTATTAATTTTCCATACCCACTTCTTTATAGCTGAAAAATGATGGGTGTTTTCGATGTTGGAGATGGTGTGAATGAAAAACAAACATATGGAGGGGGGTGTGTAATTACTCTTTGGTATAATCAGACCTTTTACTCTCTTCGATGGTTGAGTCTTTTTTAAAAAAGGGTGGTTTATTTCCTTTTAAAATTGGTTGGTATTTCCCATCTTACTTTCTTTTCGTGATGCGCATTCTACCATTCTTTTAAATTTTGCCTCAATCGATAATATTATTTGTATAGGCAATGAAACGACTACGATAATCTTTTGGACTGATTGCAGAGATTTGATTCTATAAAAAGAAGATTAGTCCTTTTTTTCTCGATTTAGTTTTATATTATATATTATTACATACTCTATCAAATATGACAGATTTTATGGCATGTTCACCTCTCTTTTTCATATCATAAGTTGTCAAGGTATCGATTAAACCAATAAAATAAATCAATTCTGTATCTTCTTCATCTTCATGTTGTTGTTTTTTGGTATCATCCAATTCATTACCACTTTCCTCACCAGATGAAGCAATATCATAACCTGGTTGATCAGATGTATGAACTGTCATTGTATCCATCTTTGCAGTTGGTGGTGGTGTTGGATCGCCTCCTCCATTTCCATTTTCTTGTGGTAGAGTAGATTTACCACTTTTAAGATTTTTAATGGGAATGAGCGTAATATATTTCTTGTGTGTTTTGGAAGTACAAGATTGAATTCCGTTGAGATCCTTTTTAAAGAATGAAATATCTCTTTGATGATGATGTGCAGCTGCATTGATACTAGATGAAGAGGATGAGGGAGAATAGGATGCTGGACGAGCAGAAGGTGAAGTTGATTTGTTACAAACGTGGATACCAAGCAACAGAGAGTAATCGCAAATATAGTGGCTTTGCATCCAATCCGTGTCAATTTCCAATTGAGTCTGTAAAAGTACACGACACGGTCCAATGTGAATTTTCCTTTTCAAATTCAAATCTTTGAGTGTTGGGACAGTGTTGGTACAATCCAATTCATCTATATCTACATATCTTCCAACTGTCGATCCCTTTAAATCGTATTTCTCACTCAGTTCGAGCATTGTCGAATGCGAGTAGAAAAGGTTTTCCATAATTACAAATACAATATCTCTTTCCCTATACGCATCATTTCCATTTGAATTGGCAACATGTAATTTACCTTTTAATCTAAATAATCCATAAAATCTTGGTAATAAACTATTTGGATGTTTATCAATATGCTAAAAAATAATAAAATAAGTAATTAATTAAATATTATTATTAATTATTTGTTTTGTTTTTGACATACTTGATGATAAGATTGAAATATTTTAGTAAAAGTTAAAAATTCATTATGAGGAATGGTTTTGATAAAATATTTTTCATCTTTTGATTTGAAAAAAAAGCTTCCACTGCGGCCAATGGTAGTAACCTCTATAAATTCTACAATGTCTTGATGGCATTTTAAAAAATGTTCGACATTGTAAAATGATCGAATCTTTTGAAACACTTTGGGGGCATAAGTTGTAAACTGCCAAGTCAATTGATAGTCATCCAACACCTCGTAGGTGCTTTGCGTAGTATATTCTTCAGGTGTCATTTCACTAAAACTTGAGCTTAGATTTCCACTACTCAATCCTCTATTCCTGCTACTTCCAATACTAATGTCCGGTGATGGTAAATCTTCCAACATTCTCTTGAATCCATTTGATAATAATAATATCCATGTATTGGTTTCACTATTATCTTCTTTTTTCTTATTTGCTGGTTTATATATTGTTTCTTCAACTATAAAAATAAATAAAAATTAATAAATAAAGAAGATCTAGAATTAATTAATTAAAGTTGTTGATACATACTAAAAGCTTTAGAATATTTTAAAAATGTAAATGGTGATGAAACTACTTTATATGCAAATGATGATGATGATGATGATTGGGCTGCTGCCGCCGTTGTTGATGATGGTGTAGATGATGATGATGGTTGATTATTTGAAGAGGATGAAGTACTAGATTTATCATCACCAACTGATAAATCTTCTTTTTGTTGAGGTGATTGTACAATGGGTGTTGAAATTTCCAAAGGTGAAAGATTATTATTATTATTGATCTCACTTTCTTTATCTGTACAAGTGTTGATATTATTTAATAATTCCTTTTCCTTTTCCTTTTCCTTTTCAATTTCTTTTATCTTTTCAATTCCCTTTTCTTTTTCTTTTTCATTTTCCTTTTCTTTTAATTTTTCATTTTCTTTTTCCTTTTCAGAGATTATAGTAAAAAGTTGTGTATTACTACATTTACTGATAAACTCTGATAGAATGGTAGGTTGTCCCAAAAATAGTTCAATATCTGGTGATACAATCGTAGATATAGGTGATCGCAAATAATTAAAAAAATGTTTTTGTAATTCCATTAATGATGCCTGTGTTTGAATCGTTTGTTCATCTTGTTCCTGTTCGACCTCTGCTAGTTGTTTGTTTACAACATTTCCATAATCATGTACAATAATGTTTGTTTCATTGTATAGTATAGTTGCAATTTCCTTTCCAGTTAAACATTCTTTACCTGTCAATACATGTAATCTATTTGCATTTTCAGTCTAAACAAATATCGCATTAATAATCTACTTTTTATACTATATTGATCTAATATTCTAATATATATACCTTTAATAATAAAATTTCAACAATGACTTTAATTAAATCATCACAATCTAACCAATAACAACCTTGATCATTTTCTTCATTGATCATTAATTCGATTTCTTCATTGTATCTTGGTGGACCGACAAACAACCATTGCATGAGTGCAGAGTAAAAGAGAAAAGAGGTTGGCATGCCATCAAACATGGATTCGATCGATTTGTTTGAACCACCCTCATCCTCTATACCAATGGGGAATGATACAATGATAGTTGGTGGTTTCTTGGTATATGTATTGTTTTCAATGTATGGGTTACCAGATTCAGCGGCAGCGGTAGCACCAGCTACACCACTACTATTGTTATTATTACTATTATTATTATAGTTGTTATTATTTGTAATTGCAGTCCTACAACATGTAGATACTATATCCAATTTCCTATACATTTCTTTGTATTGTGTCCATTCGAAACAAACAATTACATAATCTATATCCTCGATAATATCGACTAGTCTCGATGTCACTTTGGCCAACTCTTCTGTCGACTTGGTATCAAAGACATTGATATATGTCTGTTCAAACAGATCGTTGTTGTCTGCCTCTTTCAATTCAGAGGGGTTGATGACTGACGAAGAGAGCCTGGTTGATGCATCGGTAGCAGCAGTCTCGATTGATATCATATGTACACGACACTCGTATTGCATAAGTACACTCGTTAGCAGTGTGTGTAGAAACGATCCTTGGTCACCAATCACAGCTATACTCTTGGCAAAGAGCTGTGACTTTTTCATCAATGTATTGGCTCGTTTATCATTCTTTAAGTTGTTTTTAATGATTTGTTGTTGTTGTAATAGTTTACTTGGTGTTGCCTTATTATTATTATTCTTTGGTGGTTGCGAAGGTGATGATGATGGTGAAGATGGTGAAGACGATGTTGATGAAGAAGATGGTGATGATGGAGGTTGAGGTGATGGTGTTCCTTTTAATTTTGATTTAAATCTATTAAAATGTAACATTCTCTCTCTCTCTCTCTCTCTCTAAATCTAATCTAAACTAAACTTGATTGTCATATATAAATATATATAAATACAAACTACTAACTATACTATACAATTCTACTCTATATTATTCTATTATATTTGTTGTCTCGACATGAATCATCACATCAACTAAATGAATGAATGATATGAATACAACTATATATATATAAAAGAACAAAAAAAGACAATCTAATAATAGTAGTATGATTGTAAATACAAATTTATAAATACAAAATTAGCTAGAAATAATCACACTTTTTGGAAGACATTTTAAAAAAGTTGTATCTACAAAATATGGGTTTGGGTCGAAAGTGACTCAAAAAAAACATCAACCGGACAAGCCTGTTGATCTTGATCTTAATCTCTCTCTTTTTTATTTACCCTGGGTGTGAATATATACCGATCTAATCAAATCAAAAAGATATATAACAATATAGTTGTATAGGGATAAAAAGCTTTTTTATTAATCGAGGTCCATTTCTCTTTTTTTTTTGTTTGAAGTATCGATCAGAATAATATTAATAATTAATTAATTGGAATGGAATGATATATTTTATATAAATGATTGTTATTGTGTATGTTGTATAAGTTATATATGTTGTATTTGTTGTATATGTTGTAGGGTTTATATGTTGTATGATGGGTTATTTTGATTTCAAATGATTTTCCAAATCATTACCAAATTTTTTAAGAGTTCCTAAACCTGCTGATAGGTCTGCATCCAATTTAGGTATTTCAAATGGGATCATGATATTTCTTTTTTTAAGACTTGGACTGTTTGGAAGTGGTGTACCTGAAACAGTTGTACCAGTAGTACTTGGAACTTGTTGATCATCAGTAAACATACAACCATCATTATCCTTTGAAACTAGTTGAGCTTTGATCAAAGACATATTTGGAATATTGAGAGTAAGGTTGAAATTACTGACTTGAAGATTCTGTGGAATGACTCCATCTTTGTTTTTAGAGGCTGGGTACCCTGTAAAGTTGTATCCATCGGGTTTAATGATTTGGACGTAATAGATGCCATTTGGAATACTGTCAAATAGATAGTCACCGTAGGCATCGGTTTCAGTTCGATCGATTTCATTGCCTTGGTATCCTCTAAGAATGACTGTAATACCTTCAATGCCAGTATCATTTGATTGGACTTGTCCATCTCGATTAATGTCATTACAAACATTACCAGAGATGGCAAATACTCTGGGAATGATACCGCCATCTGTCTTTTTAATGAGTTGGCAATAGATTGATTCTGTTCCATTGAGAATAAAGTGTTGGGTCCTTCCAGTAGTTCGATTAAATGCATTTCCAATAGTCTCTGGTGATATTTTTGAGCCTGTTGGATTGACCATACGCAAACAATATCTACCTGGCAGGACCTTGTTAAATTGGTATTTACCAGTGTTGTCTGCAAATGATGTATCTTGTAACTCACCTCGGGGTGATGATAATAGTTGTACCTCAACTCCTTCGTATGGACTTTCATTGGAATTGTATAAGCCATTTGCATTAAGATCGGCATAAATAAATGATTCAATTTTACATTCAACTGGTGGAGGTGTTGGTTTTGGAGTTGGTGGTGCTGGAGTTTGACTTGGAGTTGGTGTCGGTGTAGGTGTAGGTGTTGGAGTAGGTGTTTGGGATGGGGTAGGGGTTGGAGTAGGAGCTGGAGTAGGAGATGGAATAGGATCAGGACAGCCAATTGCAATTAAAGAATAATAAACTACAATACCACCACAATTCTCTTTACAATCACTATTTAGAGTTGCTTCAATTCTTGATGTAAAATTGGAAGATTGAAGTATAATATAACTACCGGTAGACTGAATATCAAATTCTAAAACCATTGAATGTGATTCATTGTGATGAGAGGTAAACTCTATTTCCTTGTCCATCGATGTCAATAATCCCTTGTCCAATGATTTCCAGCTGCTTGTCATATCGGCTATTTCATTATTCAACCCAAAACTAGTCAATTTGAGAAGGGTTTTAGGTATCAACCCAAAAACTACAAATACAAAGTTAGAAGCTGGTTCTTGAAATTTGAATTGAACTGTAGATGTACGCTTGCCACAACTGTAGTGCATTAGAGTGTGTATGTCTTGTTCACCGGCCAAATCAAAAAACTTGTGGTTACTTGTTAGAGGTTGGAATTTATGCTTCATTCCTTGTATGAGTGGTCGAGACGACCCACTCAATTCAATCGATACCTTTGTCAATCCATCACCCCATTTTAAAGATTTCAAAGGTGATTCCATATCAAATGCCAAACTGAAATCTGAATTTAAATATTGTTTCTTGTTTTCACAATCTGTCAATATATTTTTCTTTCCATGATCCAAAGAAAAAGAGTATGGTATAAATAATATCAAACAAACTAAAAAAGATAATAATTCTATTAAAATAATAAGTATCAGTTTCTTAAAAATGTTTCCATCCATCTATCTAATCTTCCATTTAGATCTATATCATACTTGATAAATTATTATCATTCATTTTTTCCCTCTCTTTTTTTTTTTATTCAATGATATGAAAATGATTGAACGGTCTTTAACTCGAGATATATTGGTGGTATGAATAAATGATGATGATGATGATGATGATACATTTACATAACATATAAATATGTTAATAAAATGAAATAACAATATTATGTATGATATGATGATTAATCAGAACTAAATTTACAAAACAACTACAAGTACAAGCAAGTAGATGTTGATGATGATACTACCGAACAAAAATCCACTCTATTGATTCAATGCAAAGCTTGCAGTTTTATGTTTTTGGTGTGTTGTGGAAAAAAGAGTAGACTGGTAGAAAAGAGGAGGAGGGGGTGGGTCGATCAAAGTCATATGCATATGAGTTTTTCATTTTAGAACATTCATTGCTATCAATGTCAAGTGGTTGATTGATTGGTGGGTGGTAATAGATTGATTGTTGAGGTCATTAATATTGTGGGAGTGATGATGCCAAGCTTGATCAAGTACATGATTTTTGAAACATTTGTGGGGAGGCAAATTAGATTTTGCTGTTAAATTCATTAATGAGGGATTTTACCCCATACCTTCTTCTTCTAAACTCAAACAAAGGTTTGATGATTTATAATAGTAGTACAATGACTAGGTTAAGTTTTGAATTATATATATTATTTATTATTTTTCATTTATTATTTCCAGTTTTATTTTTTTTATTTTTTAATAAGAGTTTGTTGAAATGGTTGTAGATGTGAAACCTCTAACATATCGAAGTGAATTGGCTAGTAATTTAGCACCGTCGGAAGTGTGTGTCCAAGACTCTGATTCGATTCGGTCACTTGGAGGATAGAAATTGAGTGATACAATCTTTCCTGCTCCGTTGGTTGGTGTTTCGGCAATGAGTGGACGCCCATTCTCCCAAGATGCAATTAATGTTGCACCTGTTGAAAGGGTGCCGTCGCTATGTGAACTTTGTCCACCACCACAAAAATTATCTACGCCCATCAGAACCGGATGATTCTCACATTCTCTTTTACCCAATTTTAATTTATACATTCGAGAAGTCGATCCTCCCGTGATAGGATCATAATTATTTTCCAACCATTTTCCTTCTAATCTATTTCCTCCTCCACACTAAAAATAAGAATAAATAATATAAATATTAATAATCTCCAACCCAAGCGACTACTTTCTCTCGGCCCTATACATTACATTTGAATAAGTTCCTAAAACTACACCACCTCCACTTTGAACGAAATCATATAATTCATCGCCTACATGTTTTTGAAAGAATCCACAATATGAAAAAAATAGAATAGCGTCATACTGGAATATGTTTTCCGGAAGTCGTTTGTATCCATTGATATTTAAAATCTCGACATTTTGAATTCCTTGAACTTTCAAGGTCATTTGTACATCTAGAATCTTTTCAATTCCATTTTCAGATGCAATTATTAAATACTAAAATATTTTAGGGAAATGGTTAATTAATAATTTTTATTTCTAATTGTATTTCTAGTCTTGACCAACTATTACATACTTTTTCTTTTATATTTTCAAAATAAAAATCTTTCCAAGGTTGAGGATGATTATATGATTTTAGTTTTGGAGAGGTTTGGAATTTTTCTCTTGATTTTAATTTCCAAAAGCTGTCATCTTGGCAACTATGATAAACTGTTTGTGATACATATTGGAATGAACTTTCAATGTCTTGATCCTCTATATAATTTAAAATAATATGAAATACTTCCTGAGAATATAAATATAAATACAATATTAATAAATATTCAATTTTTTGTTGGAATTTATAAATAATTAATAGGATACTTACAAATGGTAAATATTCCAAAGGTGATAATAAAGTAGTTTCCATTCTAGAAATAAAAGGATTTTAAAAATTATTGGTTTTCCAGAGAGTGCAAAGGAGGCTATTTAAATACTTTTTTAAAATAGGACCCCAATAAAAAGGTAATATATATAAATAAATAAATAATATAGCAAATAAAAATTGTAGGATTATAAAAGAAGAGTAATTTTTTTAAATATCTATATCTAATGCCTTTCTTTTTAAATGACTCTTAATATCTGTAGCAATAATAATAAATGTAGTGTTTGGGTATTTAAATAACATAAGTAGTTTTAATGTTTGTGTGTGCGTGTGTGTGAGTATAGGGTAGGTTTGGTGTTGTTCTTTACAATTCCGTCGACGATCCTATCCCTTTTCTCTCTCTCGCTCTCTCTCTCTTTCTCTATATCTATGCTACCATATATTCAAATCAAAAACAAAAAGCATCAAATTTTAGGATGGATGTATTGTTGTTGTTGTGGTCAAGCAGCAAGTAGTAGCAGTCAGTTGGGAACAAACGTTGTTTTTCAAATTGTTTTTAAAATTTACCACATGGTTTATGTCAATCACAATGCTTATACGATAACAACCACCACTCCTCTCTGAGCATGTGTGTCAGATGAGATGGATGGATGGATGGTTGATAAATAATATATTCTTTGAAAGTGAAGTAATATTACTTTATCCATCATTTTAAATGGGTTTTAAAGGATGGCTTGGTGGGATGTTGTTCATTAAATGAAATTATAATAACATGCATATGATCTAGATTAGATTAAGATTGCATGAATCATGTATATATGCGTATATGTGTTTGAAGATCAATGTTGTATAGTTAGACTAACTAATTTATCTACATTAAAATTCAAATTTTGTCAGTAGAGAATGATTGATTTACTTTGTTTCAGTCATGTCATATGACTAAATAAATATAAATAAATGTTATAAATATATATGTTACTTGTTTGTATTTAATGTATAAATTGTAATAAAGAGAGAGAGAGAGAGTTATGGAGCAAGAGCAACTACTTTAATTTCAATTAAAAGGTTTGGATTTGGGAGTTGATGAACAGCTACAGTGGTACGAGTTGGACCAGTGTCTGCATTAAAGTAGTTGTTGTAGGTTTGATTGAATCCAGCATAATCTTTCATATCGACGAGGAATACAGTCATATCGATGATGTTTGCAAGGTCAGCTCCACCAGACTTTAGAATAGTTTGAATATTCTCAATCACTGCTTTAGTCTGTGCTTTAATGTCTAATGTAACTTTACCATCAGCTTCAACTGTAACCTAAGTTGTAAGTAGTAGGTAGTATAGTCATTTAGTAATTACAAGGTATCATCATCATCATCATCATCTCTCATTACAACAATAATAACATACACCTTCATAAGTATTATCAGGTCTTCTTGAAGAGATACCAGATACGAATAACAAACCATTTGCCTTTCTCATATGTGGGTAGTTGGCAAGTGCCTTGGCACGATCATCTAATATAAATGCTTCTCCGTTGACTGACATCAGTTATCTATCTACTATATTATCTACAATACTATCTGCAAATGGTGTGTTTTACAGTTTTCAAGTTCATCAAACCTCCACCAAAGATTTATTCATTATTCATTTTAATTGATCAACAACCACTCCTGAAAGTACACATAGATATACAGACAAACAGATAGAATAGAGATAGATAGATAGATAGATAGACACTAAACGAATACTCAAATCAATTTGATTGTATACGTGGGTGGGAGGTGATGCTGTTTTTGGCAATGAGGGGTGTGGAGTGGAATCGAGATTCATTCTTCGATCTCTTTCATAACCGACTTGAATAATAATAATTATTTTTTTGCAAAGGTGGAGGTCAGACTCTGTTGCCTGATCCCTCCGTTCATTCATTCTATTCTGTTTTATGTTGCTATCTACAGTTTAGTATTATTAGTATTTATTACTACTAGTTGCAAGAAGATTTATAATATATAAAGAAAGATGGGATGTTGTTGTGGTAAAGAATCAAAGAAATGGGAGGAAGAAGAAGGCAAAGTACCATCAAACAAGAAACTACAAAAACAAAGAGCCGATGGTAACAACAACAATAATAGTGGCAATGCACACCACCGAGACCAAGATGTTCAGGGAGGACCTGTATCAGTATTTAAAGCAGTAGACCCAGTTAAAAATAGAAAGGATATTATAGCAACACTAGAAGACAATCCAAACGATACCGATGCATTGACAAACTATGCAATTGTATTGTCGGCTGAAGGTAATGACAGCGAAGCATTGGTGACACTTCAAAAGGCGGTTGATATCGATCCTGAAAAGTCACGTTCATGGCTTGCTATTGCCGAATTGTACGAACGCAAGAATGACAAGCAAAAGGCAAGAGAGGTCTATGAAAAGAGTTACAAACACGCTTCACCAAAGTTGGCATTAGATGGACAAGATTCAGACCTCTTGCTCAACTTTGCCATCAATTGTGAAAAGGAAGGCGACTATGAAAAGGCTGAAAAGTTGTATAAACGTGTTGTCACCTCTGGCCCCACCAATACACGTGGTGTTGGACACTATGCAACCTTTTTAGCCAATGTCAGAAAAGACAACCAAAAGGCAAACCTGTACTTTAAACAAATCGCCGATCAAGAACCATCTGTATCCTATTGGTGTCACCAATACGCTCTATTCCTTCGTGACACTTTAAAAGATGAATCAACAGCAAATATTTATTTTAAAAAGGCATCTTTAAATTAAATTAAATAGAATAGAGAAATAATAATTAATAATAATAATAATCATATAACATATAAAATATATAGTTCCAACAACAATAATGTAACAACACAACTCAAATCAAACCAGTACACAAATCATTGAAAATCATATCTTGAATAGAAATAATAATAATAATAATAATAATAATAATAATAATAATAATAATAATAATAATAATAATAATAATAATAATAATAATATTAATAATAAACCATTAAATTGTAAATTAGTCTCCCCAGAAACCCTAAAACATATTTTAAATTGTTGTTTGTAATATGCCAAAAGTAGTAGTAGTTGTATTGTTATTTTTTACGTAATGATAAGGTTTGGTTTGTTTAGAATTATTGTTATTGAGATTGGATTGTTGGATTAGATTCGATTCGATTTAGATTTACTTTACAGAAAGACTGTAAGGAATAGCAATACAAAGTGAAGGTAAGAATAGGTATCTTGATTTTCTCCATCCAAACAATAATAATGGGATTCCAAAAATAGGGAATACCTGAGAAGCACCAAACAAACTGGCAGGTGTATAAAATAGTTCTTTAACTCCTTTTACACTAAACATTGATTCTGTTAAATTTGTAATTGATGCATCTTTTTCTTCTTGTAAATTCTTGTTTTTATCAGAGGTTGAAATATTATTATTATTTTGATTATTTTGATTTTGATTTTGACTCAAAAATATACCACGTTCTTTTTTCTTTTGTTGTTGTTGTTGTTTGTAGGATGGAGTATAATAGTGATCTCTAATTCTACTATTAATACTCTTGGAGTGGTAGACTGGGATCAATCCAAATGAAGCCAATAGTCCTGCACCAAAGATGGCCAAGGTACCTACAAATGATCGAGATTTGCTATACACCATATCATTGGTCAATCCATTCCATCGCCAAGCACAGTATGGGAATGACAACAATCCTCCAACTGCAAGATTGTAATAAGCGTGTACTTTGAATACATCGGAATTGACATTCTCAATCATCTTGGATGGTGTCGTTCCAACTGGTGGCACTAATCTACCGTCCAATACACCAATATACTGTTCTGCGTAATTTGAGGTTAATGGATTCTTTGATTTTTGCAAATGATGTAGAATTGATTTCAATTTTGGCAATAAATGATAATTGTCCCCTAAACAAGTAAGTAGTATAGGTAAGTATAGGTAACATGCTATCTATCTCTAGTAACAGGTTTACATACTATTGGCAAATAAAAGTTGAGCAGTTTCAATAACAACCTCTTGTAAACGCATTGAATTTGAATGAGCCAAAGTACCAAGATTCTCTAAAAATACATGTGAATTTAATAAAACATCATGATTACTATCTAAATAATATTAATAACAATAATATTTATGTTAGTATATTAGATATATGAATATTCAATATATATATATATATATAAATATATATAGCTTACTTGAAGCAAGTAATAATGTCCAAAGCTCAATTGAAGCATCACAATTCATATTTAATGATATCATATTTTTAGATATCATTGGTATGATTCCTTTTCTTACTGCTTCTTCTCCAAATACATCTAAAAAGTAAAGAAAAGATTGGGTCAATATATTGATAATATAATATAATATTTTGGTGTCATGTCATACCATATCCTTTGGTAATAAATTCAGTTAGGACTGTAATAGCAATTGATCTAACGGCTGGGTCGGAATCATTGACAGATTTGACCAATGCATCAACAACACCTTCCTTGTACATTGTCTCTATATTAAAACATTGAGAGATTCGTGAAAAGATGTTGGACAAAGCTTCACTCTTTTCTTGAGGGTCATCACTAGTGTTGATTGTATTGATATCCTCTCTAATTCCACTGGCCAATGATCCTTTGATATCATAATACAATTTAATACCAACACTTGCTGTAACCAACCCAACTACTATCCAAAATCCTTTTGGATCTCTTTTAAATACTATAGTTTAAAAACATAATCAAAAGTTAATAAATATATCATATCATTTGAATGATTATATATATTTACTTTCTTGATTATGATCTACAAATGATTCTTCATGTGAATCCAAATCTTTGTGATCAACTTTGTTATTTTTGGTTGTTGTTGTTGTATTTACATTGTTGTTATTATTATTCGTGGAAGATGTTGAAAAGTATTTGTAAGCTGAAGGAGTAGTAGTATTATCGGTATTCTTCTTTTTAAAAGAATAAGAGGTCGATTGTGATGACTGTGATTGTGATGCTTTAACCAAACAATAGTTGCTTTTACTACTGATTAGATTGGTCTGGTTGATTCGTCTGCTAATTAATCTACAACAATTCTGTGAGATCATGATCAATATATCAAATATAAATATAAATATAAAATGTGATAAAAGTCGTATGTATGTATGCTACAATAATAATAATAATAATAATAATAAATATCTATCTATTAAAAGAAGAATAGTAAAAGAGCAAACCGTCATCATCTTCCCTTTCCTTGAGGCCAAACCAAACCAAACACACACAACCAAAACATTTTTTTTAATTTATTTTTGTGATCTTCACCCCAACCTTCAAAAGCTTGATTAAAAATTTAATTTAATTTAAATTTACTTGCAAGCTTCTCTTTGTTGCTACCTAGGTTGGCTAGCTCACTGCTTTTGTTAGACTTGTGTGATGAAAGTTAATTTAATCTTATTATCTGTATAAATAGATATTAATTAATATTATCATTTGTTTGTTAAAATATAATATATACAATAAAAAAAAGACAACAAGACAAAAAGAAAGAAGAAGAATGTAAGATACCAAAAACTCTATTACTATTAACATTAATAATGATTCTATTTTTCCTCCTTTTTCTTTTTCTTTTTTTCTTTTTCTTTTTCTTTTCTAATATTGGTGGTTGTTGTTGTTGTTATTAACAGGGTCAAGAAACAATTGGTCAGAATGCAAGGCCCCCAAAAAAGGGTGGCCGAGGATGATAGACACAAAAAAGCTTTAGAAAGAACCGTAGAGAATGACCAAGTCTCTCAATGGATAGAGTCTACCTTTGAATTGTTTGTAAAAGCAGATACACATTCTCTTATTTGCTATTTGTTTAGTTCGCCAACAAAGGAGGCAAAGATAAGGGACAAGCTTGCATTTCAACTGTCGAAAGGCTCAAAAAAGTGGACTCACTCGGACCTCAAATCAATACAAACTAGAATTGACGATCTCCATTCAATTAAAAATATTAACGAACCGGAAGAGCTCGAGTCACTTCGTATTACATCTTCAGATGAAGAAGAAGAAGAAGAAGAAGATGACGACACTGGTGCCAATAATCACAACATTAATAATCGTCGCCATAATAATAATAATAATAATAATAATAACAGCAATAATAACAACAATAATAATAGTTTCGATTATTATACATCCCAATCGAGCGGTCGGAGTTTTTCCATGTCCGGAATGGAACCATCGGTCGGTCCAAACATCTTTATCAAACAACAACCAGTGTCTGCTGCTGACGATACACCATCCCCAGAAGCCAAGACTCCTCCAGATGCCAATACATCATCTCATTAGTTTTAGGATTATAGAATAATAAAAACTAATCTTTTTTTTATTAATTAAAAAGAGATCCCTAATATTCTTTAATAATAATAATAAATTTTTTTTTTTAGAATATGGTGGACACTATTACATTTGTCTTCAATGACTATTTCTATTTCTTTTTTTCATTCTTGTATTCTTGACTATTGACAAGTGAATTCCAAGCTTGTTGAGCTGAATGGCTGATTGTCTCCCCTACTAGGTATGTTGATAGAGTATCTATAGGCGAGAAACAGGTTGCATAACCAATCGATTCTACCAACTTGAAAATAGCATCAAAATCATTTTGATTGTCATCCAACTGTTCATCTCCTTGTTGTAGGAATTGGTAGATATTAGAGATTGCAGAGGCAGGTTGTTTGAATTGGATGGCAATATTGTAAACTGTATCTATTGGTAGTGCTATATCCTCACCATGGTGATGAGCCAATAACATATGCTTTGGGAATGACAAACGAATAGATTCAGTACAGGAATCATCAAATTTGCCCCCTAATGTATATAATTGGTAACCATTACGATCTTTATCAAATATTGCCCAGCGAGGTTCAGCGACATGGTCAGTGGGCACCACTTTTAAAAGTGCCATGTAATGGAAGGGAGGTTGAAGGTTACCTGGTAATTGACCGACTTTTCCAGGACTGAGATCCTCAGCCATCAATCTAAACACCTTTAAATACTCTTCTTCGATCATCTTTTGGTTTTCGTATGGTTCCTCTAAATGTGGTTGTCGGTCAGCCAACACAACCATCTCGATTACTTGTAGATTGGTTGCTGCCTCTTCAACTATCCCTTGTTGATTCTTGAACATGATAGTACCATTCTTGTCACGGAACCAATTATTACATAGTTCTTTTTCATACAATGGTGGCGATGATGATGGTGGTGGAGCTTGATTGCCTTCATGATCGATCTCGATAGAATCATAATGATGTGTATTTGCAAATATATCATTACTTGATGGTTGGTTTCTGAGTAGTTTGAGGATTGCCTTTGATGTTTCAATACCTTCTGGAGTGACAATAGAATTGATAAATTCATCAGTGTAGGTCTCTAGAATACTAGGATCTATCTGATTAATCATCAATAGAAATTGTTTTCGAAGTTGTCTTGGCATATAGGTGGACAAAGTTTTGGCCATCGCAACCTTTTTGGCTTGAGAAAGTCCGACCACTATACTTTCAATTTCGGTTCTTGTACTCTCTTTGAGACCTCCCAACCACATATTGATAAATTGATTGATTCTCTTTAGTTCTAATGGACCCAAAGACAAGTATCCACCTACAACAGCTTTCACAAATTGAGGTGAATACTTTGTTGATAATTTAATTATCTCTTCCATACTATTATGATTAATATTATTACATGTTCAGATAAATAAAATTCTATCCTCAATATGGATGTTCATTAATAGAGACCCAAATTTTTGGTACAAATTATTAGTGGTAAGTATACCTTTTTGGGGTTGGAGGGAAATTAAATTAATTTGTGGTAATTTAATCATTGCCATGGGAGCTCTCTGGAAACCACATTTAAAGTGATCGTAATATGCAATGGTGTGTGTGTGTGTGTGGTGAATCAAACTCGTGGGAGGTTATTGATTTCAATCATCATCAAATTAGGAAATGAATAAATAATAAACAACAAACTAATAATTACTTTTTTAATGAGATATGTACATTTATACTAAATCTATATTTAATTAACACTTGAAATATTTCTATCATTAACACTTTAAAACTAAATAACTATCTATCTAGTTGAATTATTTCTATTCAATTACTATTTCTATTTCTTTTTTCATTCTTGTATTCTTGACTATTGACAAGTGAACTCCAAGCTTGTTGAGCAGAATAGTTAATAGTTTCCCCTAGGTACATTGATAGAGTATCTATTGGAGAATAACAAGTTGCATAACTGATAGCTTCTACCAATTTGAAGATAGCATCAAAATCAGTTTGTTGTTGGTTGTCAAAGTCTGTTTGTAGGAACTGGGTAAAATTAGAGACGGCAGAAGCAGGTTGTTTGAATCGGATGGCAACATTGTAAACTTCATCAATTGGTAGTTCTATATCACCACGGTGATGAGCCAATAGGATAAGATTTGGGAATGACAAACGAATAGATTCGGTAGAGGAATCATCAAATGGGTTTGCTAATGTGTATAATCTATATCCTTGGCGATCTTTATCAAATTTAGCCCAACGAGGTTTAGTGTCACCGACGTTATGAATAGGTACCACTTTTAAAAGGGCCATGTAATGAAAGGGAGGTTCAAGGTCACCGGGTAAATTCTTTCCAGGACTGAGATCGGAGACTATCAAACCAAGTACCTTTAAAAACTCCTTTTCAATGAGCTTTAGGTTCTCGTATGGTTCCTCTAAATGTGGTTGTCGGTCAGCCAACACTACCATCTCGATTATTTGTAGGTTGGTTTCTGCCTCAGTAACAACACCCTTTTCATCTTTGTGCATGATTACACCATTCTCTGCTTTGAACCAACTATTACATAGTTCATTTTCAAATGATGATGATGATGACGATGATGATGGTGTTTGATTGTTGACAGTAGATGCATTTGAACGAACAAACATATCTCTTGAAGGAGGAGGGTGTCCGACTAGATCAAGGATTGATCTTGATGCTTGAATACCTTCTGGAGTGGCAACGATATTGATAAATTCATCGGTATAGACCTCTAGAATGCTTGGGTCGATCACACGAATCACCAAACGAGCCTTGTCTTTGAGTTGCTTTGGCAAAAACATAGTTAGCACCTTGATCAGTGCAACCTTTTGAGCTTGGCTGAGTCCGACCACTATACTTTCAATCTGTGTTCTTGTAATGTCTTGGAGGTCCATCCACATCTTTATCAGTTGATTGACTCGTTTTAGTTCGGTTGGCTGTAATGACAAGTATGCACCCATCACCTCTTTCAATAGTTCAGGTGAGAACTTTTCTGTTAGTTTGAATATATCCATTTATATATTTAAATAAGTTGTATACTATTACAATCAAATACTCTAAGATTGTGTAAAGTCAACAAAATAATGAACACACATGGACTCAAATTTTTAGTTTGTTAAAACTGTACAGTTAAATTTAATTAAAATTAGTGGAATTTAAAAATTAATTGATACCTTTGGTTTGTGTGGACAGGTGGGTCAGTCGTTGAGAGAGTCTAAAATATGGAGTAGCCTTCTCTTATAGCATATGCTTGTTGTTTATCAATCAGTATGTCAGTGATCATAATGGTGTGTGTGTGGTGGTATGGATTCACTCCATCACCACAAATATTTGGGCAATCATTTAAAAGTTGTGTGGGTGGATAGATTGATTGGATGGGGGAATTGTTTGTTGGGAGAAGCAAACTTTTTTGCTTTGTTCGTTGTATTCAAAAGGATTATAGTGCTATTATATGGTTTTAACTTAAATCATAAACAAATTTGATTCATTAACTAAATTTCAATGTATGTCACAAATTGGTTAAATAAATGAATGAAAGTTTGGTTTTCTAATTTAAAAGTTAACTCTTTTCTTTCTTTATTTCTTTGTTTCTTTATTTCCTATCATTTTGATAGGACCCAACCAATCGAATATCTCCCGTCAATCAGGGAATTGTTGATCACAACGTAACAGTTCGAATATCTAAGAACAATGCCAAATTGGCACTTTGGTTGAGACTCCATTGTACGACCCAATTTCCAGATTTCCCCTCCCCAAAAGAAGAAGGATGAAGATGTTGCAATAGATGCCTTTGCATGCTCATCTTCCTCAACTACAATCAGTCAACCAGGAAATGTTTTTTATTCAAACAATTCTCAATCACAACAACAACATTAAAAATAAAAATAAAATGATTTGGTATAATTAATTTTTTATCATTTAATTTCTTTTTTTTTTTAAAATATAAAATATGGTTTAGTTTGGATTGGTGAGAAACAATCAGTATTATTATCAATTAATTGATAGTAATATTACTATTATTAATATTATTAATATTAATATTCTCTAAATCTCTTTTCTCCATCTCTTTTTTCCAAGCTTTGTCAGCTGTTTCGATAATATTTTTCACACCACTAACCTTGTCAACCAACTCTTCTATTGGAGAAAAGCAAGATGCAAAGCTAATATTCTCTATAAACTTGTAGACAGCACCGAATGGATGATCTTGTGGCTCGCCATCTTGCTCCTCCTCTTGATTGGTTTTAAGATCAATCGTAACATTCCTAGTAAAAAAATCAATATTTGTTACGGATACAGTTCTACTATGTTGAGATGAAAATTGAATAATCACACTTTGTGTAGTCGAGTATGGAATAGTAACAGTTGCACTATAAAGTTAATTATAAATTAAATTAAATTAGAAAAATCAAATTTGAAATTAATAAATAATAATAAATAAAATAAATGAAGGAATTATAATTACATTAATTTTCTATTGGCCTCTAAAACATAGAGGTTTGATACTCTATTACCCCAACCAATATTTGACCCAGTGATGGTAACACGACTACCAAATGAAAAATATTGTGTACTGTCCAATTGAGGATCTAGATAGATAGATAGATAGATAGATACAGATAATATATTATGGTTAGTCGTCTCTTGAATACACGCATGTTGTTCAATTATTTCTACTTACCAGGACAATTCGCAGGTATCGGTACGGTAAGAGTTGTTGCAAAATTAACGTTTTTAGTTTCATTGTAATAACACCACCAACAATCTGGAACTGAGCTAATCGATGTGTTTGCAATAAACAATTGGTTGAGATTACATGATTCCTGACCAAAACTACCTTGCAGTAATTGATTCCCTGTCAATTGTAAGCTTGTAAGTTGTGGATTATTTGTCAAGAAATCGGATGCAATACTTCCTGTAAACATGTTATCAACTCTAAATTTAAAAATAATTAAATAAATAAAAAAATAATTAAATAAGACTGATCGATCTTCTTTTCTTCAGACATACAATGATAAAGATATTAATTTTGGTGAGAGTAGTTCATTAAATGGAAAGGGTCCACTTGAATAACTAATAGAACTAAATGATCAAAAGGTTGAATGTAATTAGAAATATGCATTATTGGCAGGTTCAAAATTTTTTGTAAACTTACAATCTCTCTAAATTTTTGAATACAGATAAATTATTCGCGACTGAAACAGCGCTTCCGCCAATAGTCCTAAAAGAAAGAAAGAAAGTTAATAATAAAATAATATTATTAAAATATTATATATTTACAATGTTTTGATAGAGCCTGGATTTGAAAAGATTGGATAGACATAACTAGATCCATAACTATTGACATAGGCAGTTACAGTATCTATTGATGGTGTGTCAATTTCCAACGTTAAAACTATATTTGGATCAATAACTGATGGTACTATTATTCTATAAAATAAATAAATAAATCATAGTTGGATTATTTTTGATATGAGTGATTACTTACAAAGATTTAAGTTTTGGGAACTGTTGTTGAGTGAATCGATAAGTAATATTTGATTGGTAGGATGTTTTTAAAAGTAGATCAGTTAAGTAGGAACAAGGAGGAATAGCCACGTCTGTTAGTTTGGGACTATCAAATTGAAGATTGTATAAAGTTGGTGTACAGATCCCCGAAGCTGGAATCGTTGTCAAGTTGGTACTAGAAATATACCTGAAATAACCATAATAGATTGATGGTGTTAATACTTTTTTGGTTCAAACAAACATAAATATTAAATTATTTATCTATTTATCTATATATCTATCAGGATACATACAAAGCTGATAGATTTGGAAAAGCTTGATTGAAATTAACAGGAACTTGTATGATTTTAGTATCATCACTAAAAGTAATACGGGTGCATTTTGGATATTGACCCTTGAAATAATCCAATGGGTTGATATTGCGATTGATGATCGATGCCTGAGGACCTTCGTAAATAGTTATACTGGATACTTGAGGGAATACCAATTGAGTGATTGATGATGTCACTGTAGAAACAACATTATCCAATCGAAAAATAGATCTAAAAAGCAAGTTAAAAGGTTAATACTATATAGTAATGTCTGATTATCATTGCATGTCTCTTTCTTACATGTCAGTGATATGTCTTTCAGAACCTATTACTTTGCATGTAAACTCATCAGAGCCACAAACATCATCTTCATTTGTCAATGGAGGTTCTATACCATATAATTGACCTAACCATATAGCTGAATTAACTAGTAGTAGGAGTAAAAGTTAGTTTAAAACATAGTATGATGTAACTAATAGATATATATATATATATATAGATCTACATACTTTGATCGGCTGGCAATACCTGTCCATTTACTAAATAGTACTGTGTTGTAGTTGTGATGACAAACAACAACAACAATAAAAATATTGATAGCAAATACTGATATCTTTTCATAAAATGTTATTTGTAAAATACACACAATTAAAGAGAGATATAGATAAGTGAACAGAGAGACTTCATGTTAACTCTCGAGAGCTGTACAGAGTGTTTGATCATCACAACTACAATGAGATAAGATATTTACCTATTTCAAATAAATAAAATAAACATCAAAAGAGATCTTTTGCTCAAAGACAAAATGATCAACACAGCATGGATTGTGGGTTTCAGGACATGTGCGTGTGGTTTTCCTGTAATCTTAAACATAATAATAATTAATTATTTTGTTTTTGTTGAGATGATTTGTTTGTTTATTTTCTTTGGTGATTAATTGTTGATAGTATCCATCTTTACAGATTTACTATTTAGAATCATATTATGTTTGATTCTCTTTACAACAACAAAGATAATGACAGATAGACATACAGCTCCAACAACTCCAACAACTACTCCAACTATTAACTTCCATCTGTCATTGTCTGATTTAGAGTCACATTTACCATAACTATCTGGGTTGATAATCAATGCACTGAAATCTGGATCGAGTATCGATGATTGTGATTGTGGTAGACTGATACCAATCAATGCAATAGAGTTGTCTTGATCGATAGCTGTTGTGTTGATTAGTTGTGTCTTTGAATAGGTCTTTCTGCCATCTGACAGACAATAATCAATGAATCGACCAAAGAATTGAACATTGTCTTTGACTACTCGAAGGTATTGAATAGAATCGTCGTTGCTTGATTGTTGGAATGATTCAATAGTGTTGATAGAGTCATCACATCCAATGATTGATTGTTGATTGTTGATGGTCGTTGAGAATAATACTCTAAGATTGGATAGTACCGATGTGAATGGCCATTTGGTAATATTGACAGAGACCTTGATTGAACCTGCACCCAATTGAATGATATCATCACCAAATTGAATTGATCTCGATGAATTTGAGAATTCAACGATCGATGTCACATTGAGCAGTGAATAATCACTGTCATTCTGATGACTGACAAGATCATATGAAAGTGACACCAAATCATTTGTTGATCTATCATTCAACAACCAACTATTTGATTCTAATCTTTTGATTACATTTCCATCGATATCCAATTCTTGAATTTCAACCAAATTAAATGAAAATGTAAAATTCTTATGAGAGAATGATGATGTTGGTGATGTTGTATTTGGTTTGAACATTACTTCTGGATCTAAATTAAATAATAAAATAAATAAATAAATAAAAGAAAGGGGTATTTGTTAGATTTGTTTCAAAATTAATAATTTAATTATTTTGATTATATTTTTAATATTTAATTTAAATAATTACCTTTTTCATTTTTCAAACGACAATCATCAACCCAACCATCGTCACATTGACATTGTCCATTGACACAACTACCATGACCATTACAATTATTTGTATTGATGATACAATCTTGATTTGATGGTTGTACATATGGAATGAATAACAATGATGATGATGAATAATATCCATTTGGAACAGATACCGAGATGGTTGCAGGTCCACTTGTTGGTATTTGATTTAAAGTACAATTAATAAATGTCAATGTCGTTGTTGCAATGACACAATTAATCGTATTATTAATCATAACACTTCCATTGATTGATTGTTTTCCAAAATATCCAAATAAATTAAGAGTTGATGATTGTAAATTTACAGATGTTACAATTGTATCTAAATTGAAAAGGGAATGAATAAGTTTGATAAAGTTTAAAGATGGGTATATATTTACCTTTGATAATAATTAAACTTGATCCAATTGATTGATGTTCGAATAAAGTTTCAAAAAAAGCAGAAGTCATTGTCTCAATATTAAATGGAAATGGAATAGTATAAACTGCTCTGCACACGGTTGTACAATTTGAATCGATTGATTTTACCGATTGTAAACTATTTCCAACAGTTACATTTGGTGGGTAGTTTGGATTGGCATAGTTATAATATACAATCATGTCTTGATTGCTTTTAAGATCTATCGTAACATTCCTAACTGAGAATCCAATAATGTTAACAGTAAAGTTCATTGAATGACCTGAAAATTGAAGAGTCATGTTTTGTGAACTACCAAGAGGAGCTGGAATATATTTCCTTTAAAAAAAATAAAAATAAAAAAAAGTTGATTAATAAACTAAAGATCTTGATTTATCAAATGCAAAAGATCAACCTACGACAATTCTCTATTTGGTATAATTACTTGTGTCTGGGGATCACCCCATCCTATTCCTTCACCCTTTATTCTAACTGGATCTCCATTCATAGAAAATAAATTGGTACTCTCGACTTTAAAATCTAAATAAAAGAAAATTAAATTAGTCTTTATAGAGTATCCTTGTTTTAAAAATAAACATACTACAATCGATATTTTGAGGTTGTGATAGATATGTTTGAAATAGAAATTGACTAGTTGTATAGTTGTAAAAACACCACCAACAATCTGGAACTGAACTAATCGATGTGTTTTGAATAAACAATTTCCCAATATAACAATATTCCTGACCAAGACTACCTTGAAGGAATTGATTTCCTGTCAAATCTATACTCAAAGATGGGAGACTATTTGCCAAGAAATTAGATGGAATACTACCTGTAAAATTATTATTTGATCCTCTAAAAAAAAACGATAATTAATAAATCTTTTTCATCCATAATAACAAAAAAGAGCAACATACAAGCTAAGAATTTGAATAGTTGATGGTAGGGGACCATAAAATGGGAATTCACCTTGTCCATTTATCAATTTTCTAATCAAAATTAAATTAGTTTTAATATAAATTCTCCGATTTCTGTTTTAGTAATAACTTCACTTACAAATGTGTCAGTTTTGTGTATAATGTCAAATCACTTGGAGAATATGAAAATATTGGTCCACCAACAATTCTAAATTAAATAAATTATATAAATTAGGTTTAAAATGATTAATAAATAAAATTGGTTTGGATTGATTTGGTATTTTACATTGTAGTGATTGATTTTGGATATACAAATATTGGACTGATAAACCCAGGTCCATTATTAATAATTGCTGTGAAAACTGAAGTAACCAAAGGTGAGGCTACCTCTACTATAATACCATAATTTCCATTTGATGTTCCTTGAATTTTACTAGACACAAAAATGAATCAAATATTATAAATATAAAAATAATAATAATAAACATTCATTAATTCAATAATTATTAAACTTAACTTACATGATAGCAAGACTTGGATATGATTGTTGAGTAAATATATAGGTTTTGTCTCTTTCAATGAGTACAGTTAATAAGAGATTGGATAGTTTTGGTAGATTGGCATTGGTTGGTAACGTGAGTGTTAGCTTGGGTGCATTCACACGCATATCTATTAACTCTGTTGAATTGAAAAAAATTGGTATTGATGTTAAATTACTACAATATAAAATCCTTGATAAAAAATAATTTAGAACAAGTAAGTATATATGGGTATCAATTTAAATTGAAAGAGGAATACTTACAAATTTTCTAGGTTTGGGAATGCTTTGTTGAAATGAATTGGGATTTGGGTGATTCTTGAATCACTATAGATTGATAATGATGTACATTTGGGAAGATTCTTGAAATAATCTAATGGATTGATACTGAAATTAGTGTTGACCGGCGAATCATTTATTGTGATATCTGTGACCAGAGGTAGTACCAATTCAGTGATTGAATTATTTAATGCCCCAACATTGGTAAAAGTGGTGACTATTATTTTTCTTTTTATAAAATAAATAAATTAGTTAATATGTCTTTCTTGATCATCATCTTGGCAATCCAATCGATACTTACATTTTAGTTATATGTATTTCAGAACCTATAGTTGAGCAAACAAACTCTTGGCAGATTTCAGATTGAGTCTGTGGGATTGTTGAACCATACAAACGAATTAACCATATTGCAGAATTCACTAATAAAAAATAGTAGATAAATACTTTGAATGTTAGAATGTGTGTGTGTCATATCATATATGAACTATTATTATTATCATTATTACATACGTTCATCAATTGGCATGGTTTGTCCATTCACCATGTACAGTGATGGTGTTGCCACAAACAACATCAACAACACCGCCAATATCAGTTTCATTTGTATACATGTATGAATACAACCAAACATCATGATTACTTACTTGGCCAAGTAAGTAAGTTAAGACATCAGGCCTTGGAAGGAAGGAATAAGATTTAAATAATATTTAATTAAATAAATATCTTATTCCATTTAGAAAAATCTTCGTCTTTTAAGCTCTTCCCTTACAATTCTTTGAATCAGGTAATCAAAGATCATCATCTTTATCATGTTTAACAACTATATTTTACTATCATGATATTATAATAGGATATTAATGAAAAAAAAAGAATCTAATTAGATTATTTATCAATTGACGACGTAGAGCCTGAAGATGATCGTAAATAGTAGATTGATAACAAACCTCAAACTCTTAAGATTCCATCTGATTTTGATTTGAGCATTGTGACAAAGATGCATCTTTGTTTAAAAGATAGAAATTACATAGATACATAGATCAGATAACTTTGTGCAATGAATAATCATTATGAAGTGAAGATCGAACTTGTGTGCATATGAAAAAAAAAAAATTATTAATAAAAAATAAATAAATTATTTTCTTTGCCTTTTTCAAAAGAATCTGATAATCAAAATATTAGACACCTTATTTGTTCAAAGTCTACAGAGATAGATAATAATATATATTATATAGGATGACTACAATACAACCTCAAATACAACAACAGCAACAACAACAGCAACAACCACAACAAGTATTATTGACTCTTGATGCTAATACAGCTGAATCAATCTTAAAGTGTAAGAACTGCAGCATCATCAGAGAGATAATAACGAAAGTTTGTTGTTATCAATGATGACGATACTAATACCTCCTATTTGATTGATATATAGCAAACAAAAAGATATCAGATTATATACATCATTTGGCAAATGAACCAAGTGTAGGTATGTATCATGTGCAAGAGCACATTCGAAAGGCTGTACCAAAGAATGTGACACTCAAGAAAGAAGTAAAGAACTTGACATCACACATTGAAGACATATCATATAATGTCGATGATTCAATCAAGGCTATTCAATCAATCAATGAAATAACTACATTTAATCATATACATGAACTATTGGTTTCTTCAATTGATAGAGCTTCAAAATTGGTAAACAAGTATGTAAACTTTAGTTAAATTGATCTTTTAAAGTTGGGTACTAATTATATATTATATGTATCTCTCTTGATTAAAAGTAAATCATTGGCATATGTTAATTCACAACAAAAGGATTCATCAGCTTCAAGAACCTTTTCATCATTCTCTAAGCTATCGGTCAATGATCCTTCATATAGAGCACCTAATAATAATGGTGGTAGTGGAGGAGTTGGTGGTAATAATACAACTGGAAGTACAAGTAGTAGTAATAGTAGTAGTACTCAATCATATCAATCATTCCCTCTATACCATAGTTTAAATAATAGTAATACTGTTATTACTAAAAATAATAATTTAAATAATAATAATAATAATAATAATCTAACCCAAAATATAAATATTGTAAATAATCAACAACAACCAACAAATAATTCACAACAACAATCATTTAATCAATCATTTAGTCAATCTTTATCATCATATGATGACAATGATATCAATGAATACAATAGACAACAACAAGAAATAATGAATCAACAAGACAACAATTTTAATGAAATACCAATCACTTCTGATTTCTCAACTTCCACTACCTCTACTACATCAACATCGACTACTTCAACATCTCAATCATCTGTGAATTATGGAAAGAAAAAGACTAGTAAATCAAAGAAACCTACTTCTTCCTCCTCCACAACAACAAAGAAAAAAGAAACACGTGATATTGATTTTAAACAATTCTAAATCAAATTCATAACTATTCTAATTACAACTAATAAATAATAATAATAATAATATATACTGCCATATCCCTGGAATATCCCCATCAAACACTCAAATCAAGATTCCAATCCGATGATCGGACGATTTCCACATGTCCTGGTTCTCCGTCGGACTCAGACAATTCATCAACCTATTACATCCTATCATATTTTGATTCATTCGCAATACGACGTCGTATGTTTTGTAACCAAGATATTTAAAATCGGAAAATATCTATATGAAATTCACCCCGATTATCGTAATTACCACTTTTAAAAATATCAAAGAAAAGAATAAAAAGTTTGTTGATCAAAATAAATATCGCAATAAAGAATTAACTTGAAATTCCCAATAAAAGGATGATGATAGAGGAGGTCGGAGGATGTGTGACCCTTCCCAAATTAAAAAACCTTCAGAAGCCCCTTCCTTTCCTTTGCAGTCTACATATTCTCCCATTGATTCAATCAACCAAACCAAACCATATCAGTTTTTACAAATATATACACAAACCATATACTTATACAAATAAAAAATGAAGAAGATAATTATATTGTTATTATCTCTTTTGTATCTATTTTTAATTAATGGTAATATTAAAAACAAATGATTAAAAAAAAATCAAAGGAGAGGGTGTTTGTGAAGATCAAATTAATATTGAAAAAATATGAAAATAAAATTAATTAATGTCTCTCTCATTTTTAATTCATCTTTATAGTTAGTTTGATTCAAGGTAGTTTAGATGTAATAAAGATAACACCATCATATAAAACATATTCAACTAATAGTACAACAACAAAGAATCAATGTCATCAAGCGTATATGATTCTGGTGGATAGCACTACACCATTTAAACCGACGTTGACAGCTGGTGACCCATCATACGATGCATTTGCATCCTTTCAAATGTCACATAACTACAATGTTACACGTATGATATGGACTGCATTGATCACCTACCAAATAGGAGTGTATCCCAAACTCATCTTTACCATTGGCAACACTGAAGGTCAAATCTCTGACAATGTATTCCCACCATTCACATGTATCGACCCAGCATCCATCCAACTCATCATGCCCAACATAACATCGACTCTATACACCTACACCGATCTCCTAACTAGAAAGTTTGAAATTACACCAGAACCATTTGATTCTTCCATTTGGTATAGTTGTTCTATTCCAACTCCTTATTCTTGTTATAGTATGTAAACATAAACATAAATATAAATACATAAATATAATCTACATATTAAATATTAATATTTTCTTTTAGCTCAAACCATTCCAGCATTAAATAGTATAACTGTATCTGTTATGACAAATTATGGATCAGAGATTGGGTATACTGATACTATACCTATTCGAATCTTTAATGATTTTAATCCAACTGGTCTGACGATACAACTACCACCAATCAATCCTAGTGCTCCTGTTGATTACTCTATTGTAAATGTTTTACAATCACCACTTGCCACATCACAAGAAACATACTTGATGGGTTACCATAATCCAACAACATCGACTGCTACTATAAAGTATAGTAATCCTCATCAAATGGCCAATCTATGTGACCAATACCGATACTGTAGTCCTCTTATTCCAACCCAAGGTAACCCTCAAGAAGGAATGCTATTTTTATCAACCTCACTCTCTCCCAATTCATTCCCATGGTCATTTTATCTTATCAATACTACCAATTCAGCTTCATTCCCTTTATTATTTCAATCTTCATTTTTAATTTCAATTGTTACTCGTAAGTAGAAATGAACAAGTAAATCAAATAATTAAATTAATTTATTAATTAATTTATATTTCTTTTGTTTAGCTGCATCATCAAGTTTAATAAGTTTTGCAACAGGTAATGGATTAACAGAATTGACATATGATAATGCATTGTTGGATTATTCAATTAGAATGAATTATATGGATGTTGTCAGTATTGTATACACTGTACCTGCTCCATTTGGTCAACGAGTGTATGATGGTATTCAAACCTACACATTCCCAATTGTATCCACCTATACAAATCTTTTAGTATATTTTACTCAATATGGTTCAAATGGTAGAAATGTTGGTCCAATTCTACCAAAAACAGGTAAACCAAATATAATTAACAAAGAAAAAGAAAGAAAAAGAAAGTAATATTTAATTAATCTTTTATTTTTTGTTTATTGTATTTTTAGATATAATTGCACCAAAAGTATTAAATGTAGACTATAGAAAAATAGCTAGATCATATATTGTAACTTTGAAATTATCAGATAATGAAAGTGGAGTTTCAAAAATATCATTTATGGATCAAACATTTGGTTTGTCAACTTTGGTGGCTGGTAACTCTACATTTGGTACATTTGTATTTGAAATACCAGAAGTCGCTATCAGTGCATCTGCCTCTAACGAATTATTAGTAATCGATGCTGCAAGTAATTATTTCCAACCATATGAAAGAGTTTATAATGATAATATGGATTCTCTACCTCATCCTTCTATTTTCTATAATCGTATGTAAAATAATTTAAAATACATATTATTATCAATCATTATTAACAAACATTTTGTTTTTAGAATTGGTAACAGCAGATAACTTTACATATTTTAAATTTATACCAAATCTAGTTGATACTACTGATGGACCAGTACCAGTATCACTACTATTTAATTTAACGGTTGATGATAATGGTAATAGAAGAAATCTAGGACTTGATTGTTCATTCTTACTTTCAACATTTACAAGAAACTATCGTGTATTAAGTTTAACAACAAGATCCTATTACCATCCATTGGACAATTTGTTGAGATGTGATTTCACAATTCCACAATACACCAATAATATAACTGCATTTTATAATTTCGATAGTTCTCTCATACCCCTTACTCAACCTTATTTAATTGAAAAGTTTGGTCAACAAGCAAACCTTGAAATTTATTCTAAAAATTGTAAATATAATACAAACAAAATATATATATATAAATTAATCAAATCAAATACTTACTTTACTCTATTTATTTTTAGCAATGGATCATTTACCACCATACTTTATAGCATATGAAATACCAACAGATGCAACTGGTGATAAAATTACATACAGTTTTACAGTATCAGATCCAATCAATGGGTTGGCAAATGGATCAATTGAAATAAGATCAAGTATTAGTCCTATTCCAATGGTATTTTATTTTAATAATGAAACACGTGTCTTTGGAAACAACAAAAAAGGAACGTACCAGTTTGTCATTCCATTTTCACCAACTGAATGTAGATCACATATATTAAAGATTGGAAAGATTGTATTGGTTGATAATGGAGGTTGGGAATCAAAATACCTTGAAGAATCAAGTGAATCTGCTTCTTATTTTAGTCCATTCTTTTCAGTCTCTGATGTTATTGCAATGACTACTGTTACTTGTACTCGTATGTTATAAATATTAAATAATATTAAATAATAATATTTATATTTATTAATTAATTATTTTTTTATTTATTTTTATTTAATTTGTTTAGCATCAATGAATGAAAATACACCACCATATTTAACATCATTTAAAGTATCAAAAACATTTATAGATGTTGGATCAAATGATAGAACCATTCAATTTAATTTAACGGCAGCAGATGATGGCATTGGATTAAAGGGATACCCAACCATTTATTTATTAGATAGACTTGGACAATCATTAGTGGTTGAACCAACTGTCAAAGAATCACCATTCTTTTATTACAATTATACATTACCACATGGATTTGGTGTCAATGATGGTAATATATTATTGTCGGTCTATGGGTTGAGAGACAAGTTGGATAATCTTGATGGATACTCTACTCTTAGGTTGAATAGTTCTGGATTCGTTTCAACTATACGTGTTGGCTATTCATTGGATATTCCATCAATCTCAAGTGTTGAAGGGTTGTATAGTTATCCTACGAGAGTGCCTGTACAGCCAAACAATGAGATTATCACGATTCGCGGTAGAGGATTTGGTGATAATATTCAACAACTTATTGGGACGATAGAGTATGGCAACGGTACTAGTTTACAACACATGATTACCATGGCACACCATGTCATGGTGTTTATGGAGTATAATCCTAGATTGGCAGTGATCGATCGTCCTGTACGTGTCAGTCTGAGACGAATGACCAATAACCAAGGACACGCTATCAACGTCATGCCAATTCCTCTCCTCCCACCACTGCTATTCGTCCCTACACCGGCTGCTTGTGCTCCATCCCCAACATCGTCGGTCAACTGCACGGGTAATGGTCAGTGCACGTTTGACGGATGTGTATGCAATCGAGGATGGTCAGGATTCTTTTGTGAATCGACTGTCATTAATGTAGACCAACCAATCTACAACGAAACCTCACCAATCATTGATATTATAGTAAAGGAGAATGCAACGACTGTCATTCGATCAGTGATTGCAGTTGTAGCAATTAGAGAGTTGACAATGGACGGAAAAGTATTCCAAGAGTACAGACCAAAGAATTGGACATTAAATATGACAACACCAGACAATAATAATACCAACTCCAACTCCAACACTTCATCAATTGAATTAAAATATCATACAATATTACAACAAACACAAACATTGGTAAATGTAACGATTGAATGGTTTGCAGTTGACAGTCAAGTAGAATTTGCCAATCAAACTATCAGTATACCTGCAACTAGTACAAAGGTGTCTATTGGTATATCAGCGTATCCATTTGACACTGTCATGAATACTCTACAAGTGGTACTGAGGACATCAGTAGAAGCAAACTATGATTCTGAATGTTCATCGAGAGAGTATGGATTTGGAGAACAAGATAATTTGGATTGGATGAAATTAAATATCGATGACAAGAGTCTTTGGGGACAATTTATTAGACGTGGCATACTAGATGATAGAATAGCAACCATCAACAATCAAATTATAACAGATTACATTGATTCTAGTGACAATGATACATCTTCATCATCTACTACAAATTATGTTGGTTTGGATGTACCCTATTTCAGTAGGTATGTCCAACTCGATCCAAATTTTGTTCACCTTGTCAATGTCGACGGAGATATGAGTGATTCAACTTGCAAGACATCACCCAGTGGATTGACAATGGGTCAAATAGCAGGTATCGTTGTTGGATGCATTGCAGGTGGTGCTATTGCCATTGCATCAACCATCTATATCCTACATAAAAGAAAATTTATTAAATCACAAAAGAAATTGGATCTAAAATTAAAGAGAGCTAGTACAAGTGAATCAGACAATTAATTAATAAATAAATAATTTAAATAAATTAAATATATTTGATGTAAAAGGATGGTTGTCAACTCTTTTTTAAGGGTTCATACTGTTTGATAGATTGGGGATAGTACTATGTGTTAAAGTGATACCTTGTTAAGGAATATCTCGCACATATATAAATCAAGGAGAATATTTATAAAATCCTACAATTGGGAAATTTGTTAAACCCATATTCTCCAATACCAGGTGTAATGGATAGTTAGTTCTTGTAATAGGAGCAGACCTTCCTATGCTCAATCAAAAGTACACTTTTTTTTATTTTTAGTTCATGGTTTGAAGGATTGGCTACTTGCCGACCAACACTTTGAACGAGTATAAATGTATTCAATTCGAGAAGATCTAAAGATTGTAGAGTTGGTGTCCCCCAATTGACAAAAGCATCTAAACTATTAATAGTATAAGAAAGAAACATTAATATTGATGACATAATTGTTAAGATCAAAAAACTTTAATAGCAAATAATCTATTTTTTTAAAGTGATGATTTGATGTTGTGATGTGAATGATCCAGAGAGGGTTTGATAAATTATAATGATTTTTTAAAATCTATCTATCTATCTATCACTCCATCTTAACATTTTTATGGATACTATAAATATTGAAAAAAGGAATTTACTTCACCAAGAATTCAAATAATTAATTATTATTAGTATTTTTTGTTAACAAATACCAGTGTAAATTATATTTTCATATAATAAATCTAAACATGTCGAGAAACAACAATATTATCAATGATAATAATAATTGTAATGGAATTACCCCAGAGAATGGTATGTCAAACTTGTCATTGAAAACAATCCAAATTAACTAATATTTAGAAAATGGGCATGCTCTGTCACCTAGAAAACACTAGAATCATTGAAAATCTCTCTGAACAAAGAGATCTTGCCTTCCAAGTCATTGATGAACTAGAAAACACAATTGAAGATTTGAGAGAGGAAAGAGACCATGCATTAGAGGGAACTCATTATCACAGTCATCCACCTGCCCCACAGTCCCCACCCCTTCCACATACCCCAGATACTATTTCTGCCGCCCCGACTACTATTGCTGCCACTCCAGCTATTGCTACCACCCCAGCTATTGCTGCCACCCTAACTACTACTGCTGCCACCCTAACTACTACTGCTGCCACCCTAACTACTACTGCTGCCACCCTAGATACTATTGCTACCACCCTAGATACTATTGCTGCCACCCTAGATACTATTGCTACCACCCTAGATACAATTGCTACCACCCCAGCTACTATTGCTACCACCCCAGCTACTATTGCTGCCACTCCAGCCACCACTGCCACCCCAGCTACCACTGCCGCTCCAGCTACTACAGCTACTACTACCACCCCACCCTATAGCTCTCTTCCATTGGAGGTTCGTTTAGCACATATCGCATTGGTGCGTAGTTTTTGGTCTCTTCTTGGTATGAATTAAATTTCCACAGCTAGATTCTTCTGTTCACTATGATATACAGCTGTGAAGTTTTGATTCGATACATGCACTATGTCCATCAGGAATATATATTAAATTAAATCTAAATAAACAAACATTCTTCAGGTGGGACGACAATTTGATCATTTGCAAACGAGTGATGGTTTGACCTTTGTTGTACAAAAAAAGGAGAAATAGAGATAATAATAATATTTTTACAAACATAATAATATAATAAAACAAGTTTATATATTTATATATTTATATATCATGTCGATGCCAACAACCATACCATTAAAACATTTAAAAGTATTAGTTGTATACTCATCATACCCACAGGAGCTGATTGACAGGGTACAAGAGACGTTTGGAAGTGCGCTGATCGTCGACTGTAATAACATCAACGACAGCAATCGAGAAGAGACTATTGCCTATATGAAAGAGGTTGATGGGTTTATCACTGCACCGCAAGTCAAGATTGACCAGTTGTCACTGCTTCAACATGCACCCAAGCTACGTGCCATCTCGACAGTGTCGGTAGGCTATGACAATGTCACTGTGGCTGACTTGACAGCACGCGGAATCGCATTCATGCACACACCGACTGTCCTAACCGACACTGTAGCCGACACTACACTCGCATTGATGCTAGCATCTGCACGTCGTATATGTGAACTAGATCAATGGGTACGAGCCGGCTTGTGGAAGGCACCCGTCACACCACCACAATTTGGTCGTGACGTTCATCACAAGACTGTTGGTATACTTGGGTTTGGTCGTATTGGTAAAGCTGTCGCTCAAAGATGTTCAATGGGTTTTAATATGAATGTATTGTATGTATCTAGAAACCATGGCAAATCGGCGGTCTCTGACACGAGTGGATACAACTATAAAGCAAGATGTGTAGAGTTGCCTGAACTACTTGCGACATCAGACTTTGTTGTATTGTGTTTGCCGGGGTCTGCAGAGACACGTCACTTTATATCGACCAAGGAACTAGAGGCTATGAAAAAGTCGGCTATCATTGTCAACATTGGAAGAGGATCTGTGATTGATGAAGAGGCACTCATCAAGGCACTCGAAAACAATACCATTGCCGGTGCAGGTCTAGATGTCTATGAAAAGGAGCCATTGGCACAGTCATCACGTCTCAACACGCTACCCAATGTTGTCATTGTCCCTCATATCGGTTCTGCAACCCATGAAACTAGATTTGGTATGGCAAATTGTGCATTGGATAATTTAATCAATGCTCTTCAAAATGATATCTCTCAAAATTGTGTAAACAAATTAGATTTACAAAAAAAGTAAGAGATTAACAATTAAATAATCAACCATTTAATAAACAAAAAGAGGTAAGTAAATTAAATATTTAAAAATATTCATATGTAATTATTAACATTAATTATTAACATTAATCAATCAATCAATCAATCAATCAATCAAAAAAATAATGACAGGCATTTAATAACTATTTTTCATCAAACAAACAAACAAACAAACATCAACGGATGTGAGTGGTATGGGGGAAACCTAATCTAACCCTCACAAAAAGCACTTTAAAGTGTACACCCACGGAATGCCTACTGATTGGCTAGACCATGGGTCTCAAAGTGCTTCGCGTGTGTGTGGGATGGTGGAGGAGCAAGAGAGGATATTATTTATTTATATTTATTCAATTTATTTTAATATTTGTCGATGGTAGTGATTATGGTTCACCCAAACTTATATAGAATCAACGGGAGATGTAGTTTGGATATTATCATACATATATATATTATATTTTAGTAAATAGTATATAGTATATAGTAATATCACATTTAATATATATTTATATTCATTCATTCACTCTTTTCATTCCCGTCCAACTTTTAATAATATCTATAATATATTATATAATGGATCAATCTTCTACTTCTACTACTTTGTCATCTCCCCCTTACAGTGAATCTTCTTCTTCTTCTGCTTCTACCTCTGCTACTGTCAACAAGAACCACCACCATCAATTAAATGCTAAAGCACCAGAGTTTAGACCAAAAGGAATCCAACAATTTCTTGTTGTCAACGACAAAAACTATGGTAATCAAGTAGTCCCTGTGTATGATTCTGAGGGAAGTCAATCCAATGACAGTACCATCTCTACTCCATCGACAACACCACCACTTTTACCGTCTCCCTCTATCCGTTCACCCGAGGGTTCTAGCAGCAGCAGCAGCAGTATTTCGTCATCAAATAGTACAGTAACTACGTCTACTCTTGTCGATAATTCACGTTCATATGCAACTTCATTAACTTCAACCACCACAACCATGACTACAATCAGTTTACAACAACCATCATCTTTGTCAACACCAACACCAATAAAAAACCATCATTTTAATTCACCAAATTATAACAATCAACATCAACATCAACATCAACAACACCACCACCATCAACAACAACAACAACAATACTCTGCACTACCTCCACCACCAACACCATCAATTCCACCTCCATCCCATATTCAATACCATTGTATGTATCAACCGGTCAACAATTGTTTTCCACCAATTGTCCAAGAAATGTTGGTAGTCGTACAAACCAACATCAATAATGGGTTACCTGGTACTAAGAAAATCGTCAAAAGTTTGAAAAAGGATCCAGATACCAAACATGCCAGACGCATCACCATGGAAGAAGCAAGCTCTCTTGTTTCAGATCCACTCTACTGTGGTGCCAAAAGAGTATTACTTATCCCAAATCGCAAAGGTATTGCAAATATCACTCTTCCAATCGGTAGAGTTTATCCATCATTTGAAATTCTCCTTAAAGCCTATGCTATTGAATTAACTAAAGATCAACCATAATTAATAATATCCTCTCTTCTCTTCTCGCTTCACACATAATACAACCCAAATATAATAATTAATTAATTTGGAAATGATTCATTCACACACAAATCTCAAATACAATAATCCTTTTTTTTGTTGTAAATATTACATAAAAATTAAATACAAATATACAAATACAAAACAAATTTAAATATCTATGTTTTTTGAATAAAAGTAAAAAAAGAAAAAAGAAATAATAAATAATTTTAAAAAATCAAAAATCAATCAATCAATTTATATAAATATTATTATTATTATTATCATTCTATTGCTATCTTTTTTCTTTGTGTAATTTACAAAGTGCCCAATAAGCAGTGAAAAAGAATACAACCATCCACTAAAATTAAATAAATAAATCAAATAATTAATATTATTATTCTTTTTCTTTTTTGTTTCTTTTTGTTTTTCTTTTTTCTTTTGTTTGACTTACAGTAACAACAACAGCAAAAGTATTTTCTCTTGACCAAGTTGTAATACCCCAATAATCTAATACATTGTAGCCAGTTGGGAAAAGACAAGGTTTTGGGGGTTCAGGACACTGAAGGATGACTTCATCAAATTCATTGATCATGAGTGAAGTAAAAGCGTAAAAGAGAGGACTAATCCAATGAAGCCAACTAAAACCACTTGGTAGTTGTTTGACGGGAACGTAAAACCCGGCGAAAAGTTGGTAGACAATGGTAAGTGCTGAATTGATTGAAATGGCATGATCTTGAGTAGCTGTGAGATTGGATAATGTAATGATACATAGATCCGATAAGATATGAACGACCAATAAAACCAACATTGCAAAAAAGAATCTAGGTACATCAGACCTCAGATCAGATATCCAATAAGTAGTACCAGCCAATGCAATAGTCACACAAAATACCGTAACAAATTCAACCGACAACATTGCTATAAAGTATGGGAATGGGTGATAGATTTTAGCAGCTCTTTCAGCATTAAACAATGTCCTACCCGATAGGAAAAGGGAAATAGAAGTAAATGGTAATAAATTAAATGTTCCACCGAGGAAGAATAACAGTCCAATCTTTTTAGATATATCTTCTTGGCTATCTGAAAGATTAGCAAAACATGCTCCATACAACAGTCCCATTACAAATGCCGTTATAGTTCTTGACCAAAAATTACCTGGGTTTCTAATATAATCTTTAAATTGTCTTGAAACTAATACTTTATATTGATATAATCCTGATGGTCTTGGCTAAACAAAAAATAGAAAATTAATAAATACATTCCAAATTTACATATTAATATTTACATACTCTAATTTCAATTGGTAAATCTTGAACTAGGTTATCAAACATTGATAATGACTCTTTGTTATTTTCCCATTGTTCACAAATATCTAGATAGTTGAAACTTTCGCCGATGGAGACTGCAGTGTCTAAAAAGAAGTCGGCGGGGTTGAGATAGGTGGGACACGAGTAGCCAAGTGACTCAAAGTATGCAAGTGGCTTGTTTCCACCGTATATCAGGCGACCTTTGACGAGGATCATGACCTTGCTAAAGAGATTGTATATTTCAGTACGTGGTTGATGGATCGAGCAAATGACAGTGACACCTTTTTGCGTTAGACTGGTCAATGTGTTCATGACAGACAGTGCAGAGGCGCTGTCTAGCCCACTAGTAGCTTCATCGCATATAATGATGCTCGGGTTGGTGACTAGTCCACATCCAATCGACACACGACGTTTCTCTCCGCCAGACAACCCACCCAATACAATACCACCGGGTAACAACCCTCCAATTTTGGTATCGGCCTTTTCAGTCAACCCAATCTCTTGTAAAACATTTCTAACACGTTCCATCTTTTGTTCTCGAGTGTAACCGTGTAGTCTAAGGTCAGCGTAGAATGTAAGTGTTTCCTCGACCGTTGAAGTTTGGAGTAACGTGTCTTCCTGTGTTACATAGGAACAGTATTGTTTGTACGAAGAGTCACTAATCTGCTTTCCATTGACCAATATCTCGCCAGTGACAGTACCACTACTCTTTCTCTTGGCTAAAATATCTATCAACGTACTTTTACCCGATCCACTTGGTCCCATCAACGCCAACAGACTTCCAGGCTCCACGACGCCACTGACATTGTGCAAGATTGTAATTTCCTTTTGTTTTGAGTTTCCAGTTTTCTCTGACGCTCCACCAACCACTTCTCCGTCGACACCCTTTTTTCTTTGATCCGGCCATATCCATCTCCTCACCTTTTCAGGTTTCTTATTAATACTATAAGATATATTTTTAAATACCAATTGTACCTTTCCATTAATATTCGATTTGTTATTACTGATTAAATTGGTTGTAGTTGTAAAAAATTCGTCTTCATTATTATTATTATTATGTTGGAAATAATGATTATTATTGTTCTGATGGTGATGGTCGATTACGCTCAACTCTAAATCCATACTATAATAAATATTATTTATTTATTATTATTTGATCAAAAAAACATCAAATAATAATTATTATTATAAAATTATATATTATTATTATTATTGCTCTGTGGCTGGAATTAATATTAATATTATTCTTATTATTATTATTATTTGTTGTAGGTTGTTTGTGTACCTTTTTTTTTTTAATATTACTACTACTTGTTGCTTTCTACTTTTTGTTTGTTGTGTTGTGTTGCTGTTGCTGTTGTTGTTGTTGTTGTTGTTATTACTATTTTCATACAAATAATGGATACTATGTTTTATATATTTTTTAATATTTGAAGAGACATTTAATGACAACAACAACAAGTGTAACCAACCAACCATAGTCTGTCCAGGCAGGCAGTGGAATTGCATACCTATAGACTGTCCAACCTCACCTCCTACTACTACTACTCACCTGACTAGACAAGCAAACAGAGGTGCACCTGACCAGTGAGAGTCACCAGTAGGTCAACTAATTTGTGATCTGCAAACGTGCTTGACATTCCAATCATATCATCATTCTAAGCAAGTTTAATTAATCGTGAATTATTATTAATACTAGTACTATCATTACCATTACAAAGGTATCATTCAAATAGATAAATTAATTTAAAGAAGAAGAAGGAGAAGAAGAATAATTGTCTCTGTAAAATATTAATAATAACATTTTTACAGAGCGTACTCTCTCGCTCGCTCTCAATGCAATGGTGTTGTGATTTAAAGTTTTCAACAAGTGTGTGGTAGAGATATGTGTTTGTACAAGATGCTTTTGTTTCTATTTTTAGAGAGGAGGGGTATTTGTGCATATGCAATCAATATATTTGCAGTACATTTTAAAATGTCCAAGTTATTTCTTCAATTTGGTTTTCTTTATCTCTCTCTTTCTTTCTCTCTTTGTATCTATCTATCTATATATATATCTCTGATGATCTCTCTTTCTAAAATGGAATTGGAAAAAGCTTTAAACTTTTGTATCGAAGACAAAAAGACAAACAAACAAACAGATAGAAGTGAGGAAAATTTCTTATTCTTTAATTCTTATAGACTGAGCCCGCGCCAAAAAAGAAAAAAAAACGAAATATGATTATTTCAACGAAAAAAAACCAAAGGATGAGGGTTTTCTCCAACGAGAAAAACGAACCACTCCACCTCATCACCTTCATCTTTTCGTAGTTGTGGAAAACATCGAAAGAAATTAAGTTGCTGACCTACGTTCTAGACTGTATACAAAAAAACTGTTATTGTAAAATATAAATATTTATTCGTATCGATCTTTTGTGATAAATAGATAAATTTTATATAAAGATTAATCTATCTTTTGCAAAAGAAGAAGAAGTCAGAGTCAGAGTCAGAATCAAAAAAAGGAGTCAGAGATCAATGTCAAATACATATAGGTCATTGTATACCACCACACGTGTGGCGTTTTTGCTACTTTGTTTGGCATTCATACTATCTTTTTCAACATCACAAGCAGCGGTCCAACAATCAACTCTACCAACCGACGAATTCAATAGTGTAGCTTATCTATTCTACCAATACGGTATTGGTGCCTTTACAGTACCATTAAATGACCAAACATGTAATTTTTCTCTCAACTCTTGGCAACCCGTCAAATGCCTAACTATAGATGGACAAGTTCATGTTACTCAAATGTATGTCGTAACTTTATATATAAATAGATAGGATAGATGATAGACAGTACATTATTTAATTTAATTAATATTGATTAATTAAATTCTTTTTTTTTTTTTTTTTTTAAGAAATATTGATGCAACCTATTTCACATATCAAGCACCAACTGGACAACTAAATCCAATGATGTTATCATTACCGTACCTACTTACATTCCGAGTCAATCAAATTGTTACAGTCACCAGTCCCAACGTTCAAATCATCGATTTTTTCCATACACTCTACAGGATCCAATCGATTGAGTTCTATGCAGACCCAACGATTACAGCCATACCCAATGATTATTTACCAGCTACATCTTTTCCAAGTCTTCAATCCATGTATGTTGAAATAATCAAAAAAATTTATTACTTTAATATTATTTATTTATTAATATTCATTTATTATTTATTTATTTATTTATTTATTTATTTATTTATTTATTTAGTACATTTCAAGGAAACAAAAATTTAGTATCACTTGGTAACTTTTTCAATGGAACAGGTGCTCACATTATGATGATTCTAAACAACCCACTTTTAGTAATTCAATTAACTCAAAGTAATATCTTGTTGAAGAATTTGAACACTCTTGTTTTAAGTTTTTCAAAGCCAAGTAGTTTGTTTGTGTATGAGAGTTCTTTTCCAAATTTAAAGTCTCTCTCATTGGATGCAGTCAATATTCCTGCTCCAATGCCAGTCGTAATCAATAGTTCAGTATTATCTGATTTTTCAATGTAAGTTAACAAAACAATACACCATATTTATTTATTTATATTAATATTTATATTAATATTTTTTCTCTCTCTCACCATTTTTAGTAACGGCCCTTTTGGAGCTTTTAGTGTGAGTTTTGTGAATCCCTCCAGTATCCAATATTTGTATGTCTATCTCTCTCTCTCTTTCCATTTTTGTCTCTCATTTTATTGACCACTTTTTTTTTTTTTTTGTTTTTTTTTTTTTTTTAGAACATTAGCTGGAGCCAATACAAGTATTAATCCCTCAGACTTGGGTCAATACAGATCACTAACATTATTTAGAGCAACTTCAATAATACAAGATTTGTCTGGGTTTACATCAATATCATCTTCTTTGGTTCAATAGTAAATTTCAATATTATATAAATTGATTGTTTATCTGCTGCAGCAGAGTTACTTACTAACTATCTATATTATCCACATAAAGTATAAGTAATTATAATAATATGACTAGTTTCCCAAGTAATGTTAGATTCCCCTATTCTTTTAGTCAATTGTAAGTGAATCAATCAATCATTCAAAATGATGTGAAATAACATAATAATATTTTAATTTAATTTATATTTATAGTAATGTAGCAAATAATAATTTGGCAACATTCCCATACGAAATATTTAGTGGAACCAGAACACTTGCATTTGATGCATACAATAATTATCAACTATCAAGTCCAATCCCACCTCAATTCTGTACAAACAAGATTGACATTAGAAATACATCGATTACATCGGTTCCCGATTGTTTTTGGTGTTATCCATCGGCAATGAAATCAGACTTGGTAGCACCTCCCGGATTTGGCTGCAAACCAACTCTCAACACAACCGGTGTTTTACCATCATTGGGTGGATTTGTAACCTTGATTGGATCAAATCTTGGATGGGCAGAAGGTAACCCTAATCTATCAACTTTAATCCCAAATTCAAAGATATTGTAAGTTAAATAATAGCCTAAAATAATTAAAATTATTTTTCAATTTATTCTTAAATATTTAATTTTTATATTTATAGATACCGATATTTGACAATAGGATCACCTGAAGATGTTATCATTCATTTATCACCATCAGTTGCAATTGGCGCATCGGTTATATATGCTGATATTACTTGGTCAACCATCACTCACATCATTACACCCAATGGTGGTGTCATTTTAGCGTACCAATCGGTCGTTTATAATCCCTATCTTTCGCATTCGGTTAGTTTGATTAGCCAAGACAAGGGAATCACCAATATCAAATGCACAATCATTTCCAACGTATCTTGTGAAGTTCCCATTATTAATGGTGGATCTTATGAACTCATTACATCCAATCAATATAGAACTGTTAAAACTTTTATTAAAATTGGTAAGTTTAAAAAAACAAAATATATTAAATCCAAATATTCAACAACAATTAATTAATCTTTATTATTATTATTTAGATACACCAATTTCATATCCATTAGTAACATCAGCACAATTAACAGGATTACAATTATCGATAAATGGTGAATTTGGAATTTCGCAAGCAGTAAATAATATTGTAAAATTAAATAATACAATGATATGTACTATAACAAGTAAAAATCAAACGGTTATTGAATGTACTTTATCGGGATCCCCAACACCAGGTCTAGCATCACTTCAAGTGATTGTCGACGCCAACCCAATTTCACTCAGCAATATGGTCTCTGTTCCATTCCCACCATCAATAGATTTAAAACAAAAGTGTATCCAAGATACCTTAAATTGTTATGGTCATGGTCAATGTAATGATTTAGGAATATGTCTATGCGAACAAAATTATTATGATAATTGTAGATATTTTAGTATGTATAAACAAATCAAAAAGAAATTAAAAAGTAATCACAAATAATTAATATTAATATCTATTTTTATTTTTTTATTTATTTTTTGTTTAGAAAATCCAAATGTAACATTTGTTCAAAATGATACAAAACCAGTTGCAACATTTGAATTGGATGGATATCAATTCTTTTTCTCATTGGTTGCAATTCAAGAATTGGATGCTGATGATAAAATAGTTCAAGAATTAATTACTGATAAATGGAATGTTACTGATTTATCAGGTGATGATCTTACATCACTCCATTACAGGCTATTGATCAATTCAACATTGTATCCTACTCTATCACCAGTTGTCAATGTTACATCATTGATTGAATATTCAACACAAGATAGACAATTACCATTTGGTGATAGTATGGTATCAGTCGGTGCAAATAGTATTAAAGTTGGAGTAAATGTTACTGGATGGCAATACCGATCGATTTTATCACATCTCAGAGTTGTATTCTCGACGATTGTCAATAATGAACAAAAAACCATTCAATCATGTTCATCGAATGATATTCCAACATTTGAAGAGATCCTAGGAAGTGATAGTTATTTAAGAGTTATCAAGAATAATACACAATTCTATGGTCGTTTCCTTTCCTATTCCTATTCAGATGGTAGAAAGACATTTTCAAGAAATGAATTAATTAATCAAACTAGTATCATTGGCAAGAGTAATGAATCATTGGCGTTGATTGGTGTACATATACCTCAATGTGCTTCATGTCTATTAGACCCTGATTTTAGTGCGTTGGTAGTAGGTCAAGACAAAGAGTCAAACCAAGATTGTTCATCAAAATCATCAAACACTTGGAAAATTGCTGTTGGTGTAGCAGTTGGTGGTGCAGTATTAATAGCATTAATAATTGGAGCGGTAGTCTATTTAAAGGATAGTAATTGGGTAAGAATTAGATTTGGTTTCTTAAACAAAACAGTAAAGATGACAAAATTTGAAAAGAATGGAGGCAATTAAAAAATAAATATATTAAAAACAAAAAATACGATTATTTATTTATTTATTTATTAAAAAAACTATTATTATTATTATTAAATTGTTGTTGGAAATTATTATACATTGCATTGTTTAGTGCATTTGCAGTTCTAAACATATTTTGAGCATTCTGATTCGAGTTCATATTTTTGTAGCCTCTTTGAATGAATTTGTTCATTTCATTATTTTGATCCATATTGTATTGAACAGTATCATTTAAAATGTTATCATAATTACCAGATGCCATTGAATTATTAATATTATTTGTATAGTTTACATAGTTTTCTGTCATATCTCCCATTGCATGACCTGCTTGATGCATCATATTATTCATTTGTTTTTGTTGTTGTTGTTGATATCTTTGTTGTTGTTGTTGTTGCTGTTGTCTTTGTTGTTGCTGTTGCTGTTGTTGTTGCTGTTGATATCTTTGTTGCTGTTGTTGTTGTTGTTGTTGTTGAATATGATTATTAATTTGATTTTGAGAATTATTAATATTATCTTGAACTGTTTTTGGATTATAACCAGTTGCCAATGATTTTTCAAAATAATCCTTTGCTTTGTGGAAATCTTGTTGATAATTACTTCCACCACCAGCGTAATAAATACATCCTATTTGATTGAATATATGACCCTTGAATGCAGTGTTTGGATTTGCGTCTAGTACCCTTTGATAAAATTGCATGGCTAGGTTGTAATCCTTTTCCGTTCCAATTCCATTTTGGTAGCAGTCACCCAAATCTATCATCCCCTGCTCATCTTGCAAATGAGAGTTTCTATTGAGATATTTGAATGCTTTGATATGATTCTTTTCACACCCTTGTCCGTGAAAGTATCGACCAAATAGATAGGAATCGGCTTTGGGGTTGGATTTGGTCTTGGTGGCTGTTGTGTAGAGATCAATGGCTTTAGATTCATCTACTAAGTATCCATTGGTTCCGTTGGCGTGTTGGTCGGCCATCCACATCATCGCATCTACATTGAGCATTTTGCATGCCTTTTCCATCCATCGTTTTGCAGCATCACTATCTTGATTCAATTCCAATAATACCAATGCAAGGTAATACATAGAGTCTACTATACCACCATTTGCAGCTAGTGCATGATGGTATTTAGCATTTTGTAAATCTTTCGAATGACCATTATGACCACGATGCATTTCACCCAAAGCTTTGTGAACTTGGTGATTATCAAATTTCTCTGACAAGGTGGTAAGAGTTTGCTCGTGATTGACGGAACAGTATGTAGCACTTTTGCATACCCAAAAATGGTCGACTGCACGTTTACACAAATTGTCAATCTCAGACGTAGCAGTCTCTGTCGAAAAGATTAGATCCAACTCTTTTGTATTAAATAGGTTGGAGGAATGTTGTTTGTATCGATTCACAATCCTATCCTTTTCTTCTTGCTGTTTCCTTTTCTCTTGTTCTTTTCGTTGTCTCTTTTGTTCTTTAATCTTATCCTTTCTTTCTTGTTCTCTGCGTTGTTCTTCTTGTACTTTTCTTTGTTCCTCTTTTTTCTTTTCCAATTCTTTGAGTTTTTGAGAAGCTATCTCGAGAAGAGGTAGAGCTTCTATTTTCGATACTATTCCATGATCAACAGCCTGTTGAATATGTTTTATAGCCTTTTTATAATCTACATCAACACCATAATACCCATGCAATAAAGCCAATCCAATTTGATATGATGCTTTTTCCAATGGCATTGCTTTTACAAAATAATGGTAACAAAGTTTGTTGTTGTTGTTTTGGTCTTTGAGTAACATGGCAACTTGAAAACTAGACTCTTTATCTCCTCCTCCTCCATTAATATTGTCTGCTGCAATTTTATAATATTTAATTGCTTTTTCAATTTCAACCTTGTCAACATGTCCACGGTGATAGTATTCTGCAATGATACATGATACTGCCTCGTATCCACTGTCAAATGCATCTAGATAATACTTTAATGCAAGTTTCTTGTCTCCATTGTCATGACTGTGAATGTTTGCAATATGGTATAATGATTCACCGGTATTTGCTTTGGTGAGCCATTCAATAGCCTTGTCTTGTTGCATTCTAACACCTTGACCATTTTCATTGGTTGCAATATAAATCATTGCCGATGGACATGCACCACCACTACACATCATAGCAGCTCTTTCAGCCCATTTATAAAGTTGTATTTTATCGGTGGTCTTTACAAGACCTTCAAGATGAATATAAAATATTGATTTGACAGCTACTTCTGAATTGTATTTCTCGTATGCCTTTCTAAATAACAATAGTGCATCTTCTGCCCTACTATTCCTAAGATACGATGCTGCCAATTGTTGGATAGTATCTAAATGATCGTGTCCAGTAGCAAGACCCTTTTCAAAGTATTCCATTGCTTTTGTGTCGTCACATTGAATGTCTTGTAACCATACTCCAAACTTGTAGTATTCTTGACCAATCAATTTAAGTTCTGGTTTCAACCCATTAACCTTTTCGAGTATTTTCAATGATCTTTCAAACACTTTTATAGTTTGTTCATTTGCCGTCGACGTTAGAGTTGAATTGTAGTGTAATAGACATTGACCAAATTCCAATGATTCTAAAGGATGACTCTTTTCAAAATAACCAATTGCTTTTTCTAAATTGATCGATTGTTTTCCTTTACCATACATGTAAATTAAAGCAAGATTGTAGCATGCGAGAGAATGGTCATTACTAGAAGCAGCCAATTCATAAAATGTAAATGCCTTGTCAATATTTGAACCAATACCCAAATAACCATGTTGATGATACTCTCCAAGCATATAGTATGATTCAGCGTCATTACATTCCTGAGCACTTTTAGTGTACCATTCATAGGCACCGGCCAAATCTTTAACTACACCTACACCCATTCCTTTAAATAAAATAGTTGCTACCAATACATAGGCCACTTGTTTTTCCTTGGCTGCCAATTTGGCATATCCAAGAATATCAGAGCCGCTCGCACTATGGTCAGTGTACAATCCTTGAACAATCTCTTTTGTCACTTGAAGTGCAGCCTCTACAATTCCTTCTTTTGCAAGTTCCAATAATTCTCCAAACACTTGTTTCTTGTCTTGACTGTCTGGTGATTTTCTTAACTTTTCCCATTTCATCATCGAGACTGTCAACTTTACTTCTTTTAATTGAGGATTGATATTATAGGTTTTAGTAAACCATTTTTCAGATTTAGATTTACTATTTTTAAAGTTTTGCTTGGTTGCATAATAACTTGCAATTGATAATTCTCTCTGACCACTTGAGCGATGTTCTGCACCCTTTGATTTTTTGAACCATTTAAATGCCTCTTCAGAAACATTATCTGTGGTTGATAATGCCACCTGATAAGCCAACAATGCCATGATATGATGAACATGTTGTATACATCCATACCTCTTTAATAAATCAAACTTTTCATTTGTCATATTGATTGAATTATTTAATTGTTGATACAATGATTTTGCCTTTTGAATTTGGTCGGTTTGGGTTTCGGCCAATTGTATCGATGCTAGTATATACCCTCCATCTAAACTTTCCTTTAGGAATCTTTTCTTTTCATCCGGTTGGTTTAGAGGAAGCATCATTGCAAGTAAGTACTTTGCTTCTGGGTTTCCTTGTTGTGCAGACATTATATAATACTGTGATGCGAGTTCCAAGTCTTTCAAAACACCCAATCCATCTCTATAACAAGTACCCAAATCAACTTGTGCAAAAGATGATCTAGTCTCTAAAGCCACCTTTAAAACATATTGGAATGATTCGGTAAATGAAGGAGAAGAGGATGAGGAAGATGAAGTGGATGATCGACCCATTATATCATAGTAAAAATGTCGATAGGCAAGAGGATGACGCATTTCATGTGCTTGTTCAAGTGCCTTTAATCTCTTTGTAGTATTGGATGTGGGTGGAAGATCGGTCAATGCATACATATAGAATGCCTCGGGTATGTGACATGACATGGCTCGGTGGAGTGTATCTTCAGCTTGTTGAGCGTCTATATTGGTGATATATGCATGAGCGAGGTCACACAAATACTCGATTGGAACAGTTCTCTCTGGAAAGAATTGATTTGTAATATAAAGATGCTTGAATACTTTCTTGAATCGTTTTGTTGAATCATTGAAAAGAGGGTCGTTTCGAGTGACCGCACTGAACCGATTCAAATAACATAATGCATAAAATGCACGATGTAAAAAGTAATACTCTGATTTGAATCCTCTATTAAAACTATAGTCTGTCAACTTTTCACGTATATTTTGGACTGTTGAAAAGTCTTTTTGAGCCAATTGAGTACGACTATCCAATACTTGCGATAAAGTGATTCCTCCACCTCCAAAATAAGAATAATAACTTTTTGATGACATTCCAAGTAACCTTAGTGCAGCTACATCTATACCATCAAGTTGTAGTGATGAGGATGATGGTGGTAACTTGTCATACATTCTTATAATTTGGTACAAGAGTAATCCACCTTTCATAGCTCTATCATTTGATTTACATGATAGTAATAGTTGAAATGCCTTTTCAACATCCATATTGGTGTAGTAACCAGTGTAGTGACAATTGGCCAACTCGATAGTTGCAAGGTACAATCCTCCCTTTTCTGATGCCACTCGGAAACTGTCAAATGCCTCTTTTGGCATACCTCTTTGTTTACACATCAATCCATAGTAATAGATTGATTTGATGTGACCTGACTCTGAACTCTCTTTTAACAGTTGGAAGCATGTATCGGTATTAGCAACAAACTCGGTTGTATTTAGTTTTGACAATCTATCATCTTGCATTCCCTTGTCAAGCGATGCTCCATGAGTATTGAAATTAACTCTTTCAACACATTGGTAGTGGTATCTAGCAAGATAGTACTTGGCGAGTGCGCTGTTCAGTCCCACCGCACGGTTAAGCAATGCATAACCAGTGTCAATACTCGAGTCCGTCAATATCAACCTTGATATACACGATACTCTCTTTGGGCTGAGATAGTCACAGTCGCCGTCCTTGTAATGTCTGATACCAAATACAGCCACAGCGTCACCATGGTTTTGATCTGCTGCACGAGTCAACCATTTGTGTGCACGTTTACGATCACCCTTTTTCTTTCTAAATTGTCTAGACTTGTCAGACCAACTTTCAATGACACTACCAAAGTTACCCATATGATAACAACCTAGACGATACTGAGCCTGTGCATCACCCAACTTTGCAGCTTTACGAAAGTTATCAAATGCATCAGATACCTTTTGTTTGTTTTCACATTCGATAGCTTTATCAATAAATTGTTTTGCTACAAAAAAAAGAAAGAAAGTAAAGTAAAGTAAAAGTTAGCATCGAGTGTGCATAGATAGTACTATATATTATCACAAAAGTTTCTCTATCTACTTACCTTGAATTAATTTTTTATTATCACTCATATTGATTGATGATTGTGGTTTATATATATCATTATTATTATTATTATTATTATTATTATTATTATTTGATGGACTGTAAATTTGTTAGATGATTAAATTTCGTCGCTCTTCGGTACAAAGTTGATCAAGACCCAAATCGACCTCGTTCATGTTAGAAAAAAAAATTAAAAAAAACTTAGGTGTAACTTGATTAATTTACTTTATTCATTGGTATTTGTTTTATTTGTATTCATTAGTAGTATTTGCAGAGTATGTGTGGACAAGAAGAAGAAGAAGAAGAAATGATCAGGAGAATTTTAAAAAAAGATGATGTCATTTTCCTCTCAATTGTCTTTAAAGATAAAGAGATAGAGAAAGTTATTATTTGTTCAGAGATTCCATCATCATCATCATCATCATATGAATAGATCAACCAATTTTATAATATCAATCATTACGATTGTTTTATTATTGGTCAACGTAACAACATCAGCCTCACAAGGAGCAGAGTGTAAGTCAAAAGTCAACTCATACCATAGCATAGTTAGTTTATTGTCAAATAATCTTTCCAAGGCTTTAGAGTCGAATAATTATTTATTAACACCTTCCCTCTTTAGCTGTGATGTCGACAACAAACGCTACTCTACTCAAGAAATCCCATTGCACCACATCAATCAGATAGTTGTTTAAAAAATCTTTATCTGCCTACAAGAGATATCAAAAGTCTGTGACGATGCGATACCACATTCCTTTTGTATCGGGGGGTGTACTACTTGACTTGTACCAAGGGCTCCTCTCATCATGCACTCTCGTGTCGTTTCGATGGATTTTTCAAAAAATTGGTGTCCATCCGAAAAACTAGTTGTCCACATGTCTGCAGACCTAAATCGGGTATTGTTTACATCACATGTACTAAGGGCTTGTGCACGCTAATGTGTCGTTTCGATGGATTTTTCGTGTCCACATGTCTTTGGCCAAATCGAGGAGTTTATTTGATGTGACCACATATTCGATTTTGCAAGGGGCACGAAATCGCTGATCCACTGCGCAGGGATATTTTACACGTGTATTCTCTTGACAGGTTAGAGGTTTTCAACACGTGATTTACCCTTTGTAAGTTTTAAAATATCTGAAATAATATTTAGTATAAATTTAACTTCTACATGTAGTGGATGATGGAAATCATTAGTTTAAATTTTTAAAACAAATAATATTAAAATGATATCGAAAAAACACCACCAACATAACCACAGTCGTCAACGTGACCATATTCCTCTTAACAAACAAGTAACTCAAGAAGAAATTCAAGAAGCAAAGGAGAAGTATCTAAAAGACGGAAAGAGGGTTATTATTGGTGACCTAACCGATGCCCAAAGAGAGGCCATTCACCAAAGAATTGAATCAGTTGAAAAGATGCAACAAAAAGATGATCCTTTTGATTTATTAACCTCAACAGATTGGGGTAATATCATTGGATTGGTACTTAGTTTCACTCCTTATGTTGGTTCATTCCTTAAAGTTGGATTTGGTGTATGTATAATATTAATATATTTTGTAATAATAATTTTATAGTGTAATGTCTAATATTGTATCTTTTGGATTTTAATATCACCATATAATTAGATTGTTTGGGGAAAAATCTTCTCTAAAAATGGTCAATATATCACTCAAGATCAATTCCAAAAAGAAATGGCTTCTCTATATCAAAAGATTGAAACAATGTTAAATGAGAAATTGGATGATAGCGAAATGAATAGATGTATGGCTATGTTTATCGATTGCCAAAATCGTGGAAACAATTTCAATGATCTCCTCACTCTATTCATTGATAGACAGCAAGCAAAAGCTGGTTTTATCCCAAACAAGAATCTTGACTATAGAGTTGAACCACCTGCTCATTTGACTCAACTTGATGATGACACACTTTTGCAAATGATCAGAACTCAATTCATGTCTTATCGTGACTTTTTAGAAGGTAATATAAAATATATATATATATATATATATTTATATATATTTATTTATTTATTGAATATTCAATTTTAATTAAAATCTCTTTACTTTTTTTTTTTTCACACAGGTGCCCTTATCAACTTCTCACAACCATTGTATGCTCATATCCTTGGTAGTCTTTATGGAATGACCATGTTGATTTATTCTAACTTTATGAGAGATGCTTGTTTCCAAGCAATTACATGGGGTTTCCCACCCGCTTATGTCTATGGGTATGTTATTTTTAAAAAAATTGGTATTATTTTTTAAATTTCGAAATCTAATTTAATTTAATTTAATTAAATATAATCCTTATTATTATATTAATAGGAATAATGGTGATGTAAAAAGTTTAGTACAAACTCTGCATGATAAAACTCAAGATTTCCATTACTATCTTGCAAGATGCAACCTTTACTATGAATTGCAACTCATCAAACCTGCAACTTGGATTTCTCCATCCATTAGTATGTATATATATTTTTTGATCCCATGCAAGAGATACTTTTATAATTTATACTTAGCATTTATTTATTTATAAATATGTATAGACCTTCCTGATAATGCATATAAACTGTTCAGCCAGATCAATAATCTCGATCTCATGGAGTACCCTGCCAACACACCACTCATGTGTATTGACAATCCCGATGCCAATGGTAATTTCCAATGTTACGATCCAACTGGAGTATGTAAGATATTCAAGATTGACCCATCTAAAAGTTCAACCGGCGTCCAAACTGACCCTCATTATGATACTGTATCTGGATACATCCCAGTTTATCCATTGAATGGCTGTAAGTATTCATTATATATATATATATATATTCAATTAAACAATATTCTCTAACTATATATTTATTCCCAATTATTATAGATGGTCTAAAATATACAGTTCAAAGAAGTGGTAGTTTCTTTTATTATATGACTGTCACCTTTGCCATTTATGATTATGTACTTGGTAGTGAATATGATCTTTATATTAACGGTAAAAAAATAATAACTCTTAATACTATCCCTTCAGATGATGGTTGTCTTAGAGGACCAAGAATGAGTTATTACTATGAAAGATGGTTGGTAGCCAATAATCAGCAACAAGCAAGTACCTATATCACCGTCAAGTTAGATTTCCAGAATGCCTTATACAGTTCTGATATTCAATTATTTGGATTTGCAGGATACATTAATGCAGTTGAAGTATCTTTCCCAAATAAAAGTGGAAAAGATTTCATCAAGGTCGATGTCCCAAAGTTGGAAGATAACTTATCTCATCCCAAGAAACCAGTACAAAAATATTAAAAAAAAATCAACATTTTAATCCACAACAACAACTACAACGACAACAACAACAACAATTTATTCATTTTAAATAAATACAATTAGATTTACAATTTAAAGTGACTAATAATCAGATGGTAATTAACTAACTAATAAATTAATTAATTTCTTTTATTTTTATTTATTAATATAAACATTCCAATATTTCAATAAAAAGGATTTTCTTTTTAATTAATTGTATTACATGTTTACCATGCATCCATACAACCATAGGTATTAAATGCATCGATAGTCTATTTAATCGCGTCTACTTGTTTTGATTAGATTACAAATGACTTTGAAATTAAAACTATAATTTCTTTGGATTTGATTTTCCACTGCCGCACGGTTCAGGAATGCATATGCCAAGTGTCAATACTTATCCGCCGATGTTGATATAGACGATACTCTCTTTGGGCTGAGATAGTCACAATCGTCGCCGTCCTTGTAATGTCTGATACCCAACACAGCCACAGCATCACCGTCGTTTTGATCGGCAGCTCTAGTCAACCATTTGTGTGCACATTTACGATCACCCTTTTTCTTTCTAAATTGCCGAGACTTGAAAGTTAGCATCGGTTCTTAAGTGTTCGCAGTATCTGTAGTACTTTATTCATTAGTATTTGTTTTATTTGTATTCATTAGTATTTGTAGTGTATGTGTGGATAAGAAGTAGAAGAAAATGATCAGGAGAATTTTACAATAACGTAATCGTTCAAAACGCGTATGACGATCAAAGAAAGAAGATCCTGTGAACGAAAAAAAGGTCGGCCGTCTAGATATTTGTAGATAAAGTTTAGGACCTAAACTGTCATACACTTTTTAGATATTTTTGGTTGCGATCCTAATTATGTCTTGTGGCAATCCAAGGGCGATAGATGACTTTGAAAGGGTCTCATTCTCTCAATTGTCTTTAAAGATAAAGAGAAGAGATAGTTATTATTTGTTCAGTGATTCCATCATCATATGAATAGATCAACCAATATTATTATTTTATCAATCATTACGATTGTTTTATCATTGATCAATGTAACAACATCAGCCTTACAAGGAGCAGAGTGTAAGTCAAAAGTCAACGCATAGCATAGCATAGTTTATTTTTATTATTATCTATTATTATCAAATCTAAACATTTCTATTATTATTATTATTAGTGTACAGTGCAATATGGTTAATTCAACAATTAGGTTTACCAACTATTCCATTGGATGCTAGTATGTGTACAGGATTCGAACCCACTATTGTTTGTACACCTGATGGAAATAATATCCTTAAAATGTAGGCTATTTGTTGTGAACTGACCAATGAAATAATGGCTAACATTTTTTTTTATAAACCACAGACAAACACCTTATTTTACTTTCGAAGATAGAGGGTCTCCATCAACTAGTTTGGCACAGTTTACGTTTCCAGAGGTGACTGATATAGTCATCTCTAGTCAGGTCCAAGTAAAGGACTCTTCAATGGCTATTCTTGATAGAATCAAAAGTCTCCCAAAGCTAACCCTCCTCAGTGTTCAAGGTGACCATGGTCTAATTAATGTTCAATCTGATTTTCCATTTGAAATGCCATTACTCAAACAAGTGTAAGTATTATTTCTATTAAATTGACCGACCTAGCTAGAGGCTAACTAACTAACCAACTAACTTTTCGATTAATTAGAACACTGGCCCATTTAGCAAATTGTTTATCTATTCCTACTTTAATGTCAGACGGAACAGCTATTGAGGGATTGGTACTATCTGGAGCCAAACTAGCCAGTGTCAATGTTTTCGGTCAAAGTTCATTATTGCCCAATCTACTGTCTATCAATTTAGAATTGACACCAGTTTCAGTAAACCTTTTATCCTTTTACAAAACTTCATTTCCTAAATTAAATTCGGTGTATGTAATCGTGTGAAATAATCCATAATAGTTTATGTTTTTATTTATTTATCATTTATTTTTATTTAGGATCATTACACTATTATCAGCAGTTAAAACAAACATTCAAATTAGATCAACTACTATAACCGATATTTCATTTACGACAAGAAATATTTTGCCATCTCAAGGAGGTTTCGATATAGATATAGAGGATCCCATCAATGTTGCCTCTCTCTATGTAATGGGTGGAAGTACTTCAACTTTGACTCCCAGCTCACTTGATTCATACCCAAATATTGGAACTGCTATACTCGCAATCCCCTTATCCTCCTTTCCAATGACAAATTATCCTCCAAAAGCAACGATATTGTAATTATCATATTTATATATATATTAGGTTATCAACTAATTCTTTCTTTCTTTCTTTTATTTATTTATTTGTTTTATAGTACCCTATCACAAAATACTATAAATACTATTCCAAATATTCCAATTCCATCTATTATGACTAAATAGTATGTAAATAGTTATGGCTATAATAATATCGAATACTCGATGACTAATATATATAATATGATTGTTTAGTGGACTTACATATTCAACGATATCAGCACAATTCCCTCAAACCATTTTTGATAACTTGCAAGGTGCAGAAATTGATTTTTCAAATAATCCAAATTTATCTGGTACCGTACCAGACTCTCTTTGTAAAAATAGGTTAATATTAATGAATTCTCCATCCATCACTAAAATTCCAGGTATGTTAACAAACATTGAATGAACCATTATTATTATTTTATTTTTCTAACATTATTTGATAACTCTTTTGTTTAGATTGTTTATGGTGTTATTTAAATGATGGTTTCAGAACTTCTATTCCGAAACCTGGTGGGATTAACTGTCGTATGTAGATCTACATATACATATTTATTTAAAATTCAAATTAATTAATAATTCCTCTATTTTTTTTATTTATTTTATTTAGCCATTACAATTGATAATACTACGATTATTACTATATTTTCAAAAGGTAATATTACTGGAAATAATATAGGTTTCGGTAATTATGGTTCAAATTTGGCAGCAGTCATTCCAAACAAACAAATACTCTATTCATCACCAACAGTAAATTATTTGTTGACAACGGTTGAATTATCATTGTCGGGTGTGTACGACTACAAATACAACTTTTCATTTTTGGAGGCTGGTATTAATATCTGGCCAAGTACAGCAGTCCAAACAGCAAACAATGTAGAGGTTTCATTCCCCACCATACTTACATATAATCCAAATCTTACGCACAATATTTCTCTATCAAGTGTCAGTCCCTTTAACCCAACGCCAATTAAATGTTACACCACTAGTTCAAATCCAACAGTTAAATGTTCAACCAACCAAGGAATCAAAAGTGACAATTATACAATTACCATCTACAATCAATATTATCAAACTACATTAGCAACTAAAATTAATTTTAAACAATGTATGTAATCCCCATCAATCAACTTATTTCAATTTATTTTATTTAATTAATTATTTATTTAATTAATTATTTATTTTTTAGCATATCCAAAATTATCAACAATAGTTTCACCGGGATCAGTTAAAAATGGATCACAAATTACAATCAATGGATCATTTGGCAATTCAGCCAATCTAGGAACTGTAGTATTTAATAATATAACAACTTGTGCTGTTATCAGTAAATCCACTAATCGAGTAATTTGCAATCTTACATCGGTTCCAAGTTCAGGATCTGCATCTATTCGAGTCACAGTTGATGGATTTGTCGTAGATAATGACAACTTTGTTTCTTTTACCTCTTTGAAATCACAATGTGAATTAGTAACAAACTTTTGCTCGGGTAATGGTGTATGTAACGACGATGGAATTTGCATATGTCAAAGTCCTGCTTTCTATAATGATTGTTCAAAACGTAAGACGACATCAAAATGTTATTTATTTCTATTTAATTAATTTTTATTTTGATTTAAATAGCTTATCCACTTGTCACTGATTATATTATGGATCAAAAAAATATAACTATGCTTGGTGATTATGGTCCATTTGGTCAAACCAGTCCAACTGTAACCATTGCAGGACAGACTTGTGTTTTAACATTTATAAATCAAACACAGATCAAATGTTACTTGGATCCAATCCCCAATGCCAATGGATATGTTACGTTGGTTGTAACTGTTGATGGAGTTTCATTCATTTCAGAGGATATGGCATTCATTTTTGGTGGGTCAACATCATTCACAGCTCTTCCTATTAGTACATCCCCCTTATCAACCACTTCTATCAATACTACTGCCAGTGCCACATCATCATCGACTACTGGCTCTGCAACTGGTACAACTAGTACAGCTACCACCACCTCATCTGATAGTACAACTGGTAGTAGTGGTGACACTCCCCAAGTCATATGTCAACGTACTACATACAATTGTTTTGGACATGGTCAATGTAATGTTCAAGGAATTTGTCAATGTAATCAAGATTTTAATCCAGTTGATAATTGTAGAACTCAATGTATGTAGAGAGAAATTAAATTAAATTTAAATAATATAATTTGATTAATTAATTATTTATTTTAATTTTAGTTATAAATACAACTATAACACCAAATGAAACAAATCCAACTGTATCATTTGATATTGATGGAATTGATTTTAGTATGGAATTTTATTCAATTCAAGAATTGGATCAAGATGATAGGATTAAAAAGGAATTATTTGTAAATATGAATCAATGGATTGTCAATATGACAACTGATAATATTACAACCACCGTAGACTATAGTTTAAATATTACCAATTATAATACAAGTGTTCCTGGGTATAATCCATACAAGGGTGTTACCGTATCATCAACCATATCATTTTCAAGTATTGCAAGAGACATTTCATTTGCCAATCAAGTACTTAATATTAGCCCCTACTCTATCAAACAATCTGTCAGTATCAATGGTTGGATCTATAGTTCGAATGTTGCCACTCTTAGAGTTGTATTTCTCTCTACCATTACAAATAATCAAACTACAACATTTGGATGTGACCAATTAAACGTTGATTCATTCCAATACGACAATTCAATAGATTCCATTCAATATCTACGTGTTGTCAAAGACAACATTCAATTCAATGGTCGGTTTATTGAATATGCCGTGGCTGACAATAGTTCGGTCATTTCAAGAACAAAGTTAATCTCTTTGACACCACTAAATGAAACCAATTTAGAATCTATTGCAATGATTGGAGTGAATCTACCTCAATGTCAATCATGTGTACTCGATCCTGATTTCTCACCATTATTGGTTGATAAAGGAAGTCAAGACGATTGTGACTCCAAATCAAATACATGGAGAATTATCGTTGGTTGTGTTGTTGGTGGTTTTGCAGCTATTGCCATCACCGTCACAAGTACATTACTTTATAAAAAGAAAAAGATCTTTAAAAGAAATCAAAGAGAAATGAAAAGGAAATTAAATAATTTTTAAATAAAAGAATAAAGAGAAATCACCTACTCTTTGTTTATTTATTATTTAAGTTATAGAGATAATACATAATTTTCAAATTCAATATAATTAATTGAACCAAGACCAGAAGCCAAATCATAGCCTTTGGTAGCAGAGTAGCCATATTTACAACAATAGGCTCTATTACATTTAGTGGTTCCAGATGTAACATCGTTGAATACTTTAAATTTACAGGTGGTGGTATCAGCAGCCTTGTACAAGAGTGGGTTGAGGAACCCAAGTTGTTTTTTGCCGGCATTGAGAAGACGGTCGTTGACCAATGATATCATGCCAGACAGTGTGGGAGCAGATGCTGAAGTACCATCGACATACCCAAATCCACATGGACATGTGTCATTGCCAGACTCTGAATACGCGACGACATAGTTGTTACCGGTCAGTGTAATGTCTGGGTACGCACGATTGGATGCATTGTAAGAGTATTTGGGTGGAAGACTTTTGAATGGACAATTCTTGGTGAGGTATTTCTTGACTGCTTTGGCTTGGTAGGATGGTTGTGCTTGGTAGTTGGAGAATCCACCTCCACTCGTGATAATGGAATTTCTTGCAACTGATTGGACAACCTCTCGGTTGACTCGTGGGTCTAGGATAATGGTACCACCAACCGATGTAATGTAGGGTGATGATGCGGGATAGTATGGAGAGAATAGTGCACCGTTGGAAGGTGAGTATTGGTATCCTGAAACGACATACCCAAAGTTGGAAACGGGGAGGAATGCTGAACATGGGCATCGGGTGCTGAGATGGTAGTATCCATAACTGTCTTGTTCCAAAACAGCCTGACATGCAGTACTAATAGTATTGGTCAAGTATGTGTTGATGGCATCCACACCCTCTTGTGTTGCAATGATTTCTTGGCATGCTGACGAATAGGTACCTTGTGGGAAGAAACATTGACCGATTGAAGAGGATGTGTTTTCAGGTGCAATGGTGATTGAAGGACACCATGTACCTAGCTTGGTGCAGCCACCCAATGGACAATAGTATAATGGATCGATTGGACAGTTACCTTGGATACCATAAATACCCTGACTACCATCATCACCCGATGCCACCAAAATGGACATACCACGAAGTCCAAGCTTCATAAACTCGACATTTGTTCGGTTAATGTATTGGACATTGTCGTAGCCAAGAGTCGAGCATGCGTCTGTCACTAGACACTGTTCCAGTTCATTATAGTCGTACGAGATGGACGACACGAGTGGGAGTGGGTTGGCTTGGCCAATAGCAATGGCCCAGTCGAGTACCCACTGACCAGCACCCACACCCAAGAAATAGGTAGGCACGTTGGTACCAATCGCCGTAATGTATTGTACATCCAAGTTGGCTTCACTCTGACCACACCCATCGCCAAAACAGCTGTCTGACAATGGCTTGACACGGATATAGTCGGTACTAAGATTAAAGTATTCTGCAAACGCCAATAATGCACCCTCTGAGTAAAACTCTTCAAATGCAGCAATTGCCTGAGTGTTTTGTGAGTTATTTGCCACTCTGTCCAATGGAACATTGTAAAATTGTTTGATTAATTGTGGAGTGGCGATTGTTGGCTCTGCAGCTCCTTTGACGACTGCTACGGTTGGTGGGACGACTGATTGAACCAGTGATTTGGTTTTCAATGAATTCTTTCTAGTATTCTTGACCACCTTGTCCAACCGAGTGTGTAGTCTATTGATTGCAGTTGACATATTGGTATCTTCGATAAAGTCACTAATACCAACTACAAAGTCAATAGCATCATAAAGATGAATTGGTAATTGTGCAGTGCCTTGTATTCTAGATCTAGATTTTCCACTCATCAACGATACATATCTATAAAACTCGGTGTGGAATATCTTTTCAGCCTTGTGAATAGGTACTTGTAATTGAATGTAATCAGCGTGTACACTAAACTCTGACTTTTTAACATTTCCAAATCCAACCAAATATTTGACAACCTCATCAACCAATTCATCAGATGTAGCTACCAATTCATCAATCTCTTGTTCATTTAAATATTTTCTATAATATTCTAAATCATCAGGATCTGATACTTTCCAAAATATTGATTCTAATTTTTCTAAATTATTCTAAATAAAATTAAATAAATATTATAATATGATATGATTATTACGATCAAACATCGTACATACTTGTTTAAGTAGTATTTTAAATGATATAATTTCATTTAAAGGTGATTTTCCAGATTGTACAAAATGATATGGTTTGGTTGTAGAGACACTCGCAACTTTAAACAATCGTGATGATTCTGCTGAAATCAAACTACTATTAATTAATAGTATCACTACTATTAAAGATAACAGAACTATTGATATATTCTTTTCTTTCATCTTTTAATATCTCTTATAAAAAAAAAACTATAATACAAATAAATAAAGAGTGATAATAATTAACAATGAAGAGATGAAGTTGATAAAGTTGTTTTAAGAGTTGCACAAACACATGATCACATCTTAAGGCTACGATGTGTCTTTTGCGCGGTGCCTCTACGTAAAACGAAAAATCAACAGACAAATTGTTTTTAAAAATATCTTTTTCTCGCGATATTTATTTGTGTGTAACCAGATCAATCACCCCTTTCGGAGATTGATTTAAATCCCAATGACATTGATTCTATTTCTTCTTTTTTAAAATCATACGAGTTACAGACCAAACTGATTTAAAACAACTGATAAGATAGGAAAGATGGAAATAGAGTGAATTGTAGACTTCACCAATATCAGATTCGTTTAACTTTAGGTCACAACCTTGTGACATTGCAAATGCTTGATAGTCTTTGACAAGTTGGTCATGTTGTTCTGTTAATCTCTTGAGCCATGTCTCTATGACAACTGGATAATTGTCACCGATATTATCCATTTCAACAAGCTCCAAAGTTGAATCATTCTCTGAGACGAGTTGAACCAACTCGCTGATAATATTACATGATGGTGAGGATGATGGTGAACTGATAGCTTGATGATGACTATCGTAGATATGACCATTAATATACCCCTTTGCCAATAGGTTCATTAAATAAACATATCTCTGTTCCAATTTAAATGGGTCATTTTGAAAGTTTGCTATGAGAGACCAGTACTTTGACTCAAAGTCCAATCTCTTTCTAGCAAATCTTTGACTATACCCAAGTGATTCAAAACGACCTGGTTTCAAATCACTAGCCTTGTAGGGGTGGTATGGACCCGATACAGATTGTAATATAACAATACCATCATTTGCAAGTAGTTTATAAATATCACCTCCATCCGTAAATAAACCTGAATCCAATACTCTATTTGATTCAATTGCAATGATTGCATCAAATAAATTATTTTGATCATTATCATGTTCATTTCTACCATTTTCTTCTTCTTGTTGAATTAAATTATTTAAATTATTAAATACATCTTCTTCCTCGTCCCCTCCATCTTCTTCTTTACTTGATTGATTATTATTATTGATTGTTAATGTAACAACTTGAATATTCTTCTTTTCTTTTTCAATTCCTTTCTTTATGAAATCTGTCAATTCCAATGAATGATCTTCAATTACCAACACTCTCTTTTGAACACCGCTGGTCATATCTTGTAAATTTGAAAATAATTTCTTTAAAATTAAATCATAATGATTAAAATGATAATCATCCAATAAAGTATCAACATTTAATTCTTGAATTGTTTCTCTAAAAAAATATTAATTTAGTATTATTATTATTAAATATTATTTGATTGTTTTTTACATACTCTTTTAATAAACCACAATGATAAGGAGTTGAAGGAGCAAGGAAATATTTTAATATATTATTATTATTATAGGCAGTTGAAAGGAGTGATGATAACCAACCCCATTTGTTATCACAATTGTTACCAGATACAGGTGATTGATTTAAACTTGTAGTTAGATCACATACAAGTGAAATAAAAGCAGATAAATCTGAACATGTGAAATCACCGGCCACATAAGCAAGTCCCAATGCCTTTGCACTTATTCCACTACTATATCTATCACCTTGGACATTATTGTAATGGTATAGATAAATCTTACTAAAGAATTCATCATTGTGTACAATGATTTCAATTGATTTGTTGATATCTGATAATAAATTAATTGGTGTTGGATCATTTTCATTTGAAATCGTGTCAGTGTTGTCAGTATCATTATTATTGTTGATAGCTATTAATTGTTTATCTGGTAGGGTAATATTAAAATGACCCTTGTTAAAGGATTGAAGGAAATCCAATGTGAATTTACGACACGATAGTTGAAATGAAGATGGTGGGATAATGATGGTGGTGTTGATAGCTGGTGGATTAGGTTTGGCGTACACTTTAAGACCACGTTGCCAGTGGAGTTTACCAGCTTGATACATGATTCTTGGAATGGTCAAGAATGCAGTGATGGGGTATCCAACAATCACTTTGGATATATTAAACATTGTCAATGGCATACCAATAAATGGTTTCTTTGATGACCACAGTCTTGTCATCATAACATAATCTACTTGTTCTTTTTCTTTGTTGTCAGGGTTGTTGGATAAAGGTTGAGGTTGAGGTTGATTATTATTGACTATTAGATTAGTTGATTTTAAATTTGATAATAGGTTGATTCGAATATCAAAGCACTGTTGAATATCAGAGAAACAAAAGTCATAGGCACCATCCAACGAATTAAAAGGACTGACGTGAAAGTCCTTTTGTTGACTATAATACTTTAAATAAGGGTTACCATCTACAGCATTTTTAAATACATATTTTAATTGTTTTTCTGAAGTAGATGAAGTAGAAGATGAAGTTGAAGAGGAGAGTTGATTTTGTTGATGAAAGATTGAAGGTTGAGGAAAATAAAGATGAGTTTCACCAAATGTATTGTTGATTTCAACTACTATTTGTACGACCGTTTCAAGGTCATCATAACAATAGTAAAAGTTGACAGGGTTGAATGATACATTCATATATCTTGGCATTGTAACCATTTCAATTCTTTTAATTGATTCTATCTTTTCATCAACATTGATTATATTATTATTATTATCTTGTTGTTGTTGTTGTTCTCTTTCTAAATGATTTCTATATGCTTTTAATACTCTTGATTTAATGTTTGTTGTTGTTGTTGTTGTTTTACTATTAGTTTCATTCATTCCACCCATATAGTCTTTATCAAATACTGATACAGGTCTATAGAGGTTATACCCAAACAACGATGAATTCAACTTGCCAGATTGTAATTCATCTAGATCCAATACAAAGTAATAGACATCATATTGAAACGTATGCTTGACTGGGTGTAATCTTGAATGATATACTTGTGCTGTAAATAATCTTGATTTTATAATACTCATTCTCTCTCTTTCTCTAATTGATTATAATTATCTCTTTATCTCTCTCTATCTGTCAAGAGTGAATCAAGGAAGAAGAATGAAGAGGATGAGGAAGATGATAGTGATGCGAGCAGTTTGTCGGGACTGAACAACAAATAGATCTGATCATCGAGATGAGGTTCGAACAACGCAACAAACAGTTTGAAGAAAATGAGCAATGAAAAAACAGATTGAACCAAATCGGATATTTTAAGAAAGAAGATCTTCTTTCTTTGAATCTATTTGAAGGTTACATAATTACAAATATAAATATATATTTGAATGAATGATTCATTAGTTCTTAAAAGAATAAGAAAGAAAGTATGAATGAAATATTTGATTTAAAATTGAATGATGTGTTTGTTTATGTGTGAGTCAGAATGAAATGAGATAAAAATTGATTGATTCGTCTCATTCATTTATTCATTCATTATTATTGTTGTTAGCGAACATACATACATACATACATTTACATAGATTATTTATTATAATGATGAAATCATCTTCATCTGCGAATAAGAGGACATCATCGTCATCATCATCATCATCATCATCATCTGAATCAACAATTGATGATTGTAATATAGAAAATAGAAACAAGAATATTAATACTACGACAAAAAGTATGTGTTTTAGATATTACATGTAGATATGATTATAGAAATAGTAACTAACATGTTGTCTGTTGTATAGAAAAAGATAATAATGGTGCTACTACAATCAACGATGAACATAAACCATTACCATTATCATTACTACTAGTCATCTTTATAATTGCGCTTGCTTCAATCACATTTTTAGTATTGAAGTTTCCTAGTTTATCAGAGTATGTATATTTTCTTTTGATTCGATTGTGATAGACATGTGTATTATTATACGATCGTACTTACTTTGTTTTTAAAAAAAAGAGAACATAAAGAAAAATAAGTTTACCAAGAAGCTTTGAAGATGTAAAACAATTAAGCGATATATTAAACCAATATACAGACGATAACTATTTTATTGTCATTACAACTTATGCATTTATTTATATATTGTATGTAGTATGTTTCAAAAAAGGAAAGGAATAATTTATATACTAATATTTAATTTAGTTTACAAGCATTTTCAATTCCAGGATCAATCTTTTTATCATTTCTAAGTGGAGCATTGTTTGGTATTTGGGTTGGATTCCCATTGGTTTGTGCTGTAGCAACGATTGGAGCGACATGTAGTTATATGAGTAGCTACTATATCGTACGTAATTTGGTAAAGAAGTTCTTCCCAGACAAGTTGACTGTATTTGCAACAGAGGTGAACAAACGACGTAGCAACCTACTCAATTACATCATCTTTTTAAGAATCACACCTTTTCTACCCAACTGGTTCATCAACCTTGCATCACCCATCATCGATGTTCCCATTGGTACATTTATGATTGGTACATTTGTCGGTATTGCACCAGCCACCTTTATCGCGGTCAAGGCAGGTCTATCACTTCAAGAATTGACCAAACCATCCGATATTTTCGACACCAAATCCATTCTATCGATGGCATTATTGGCATTACTATCTATTTTACCTACTCTTGATCCTGTCAAACGTAGATTAGATAAATTATTAAATAAAAAACAAGAATAGAATAATAATAATAATAATAATGATGAATGGTTGGATACTTATTACAACAACAAGAATTACATCAACCATGTTTTATTTATTTATTTATTTATTTAATGGTTGATGGAGTGCGATGATTTAATTGAATCAAAAGAATACAACCGGACCATTTGTTTTATTTTCAAAAGAATCTTTATAAACTATCTTTTAAACAGAATAAAACAAATGATCCAGTAGTTCTTGAGACAAAGTTTGCTTTCAATGCATATTGTTAAACAACTATCAGCCTAGATATAAAGTAGACCCTGTTCCATATAAAAATTCTTTGCTAGCTTATAAAATGGACAGCTCGTGAGAGATGAATGTACCTATTATTTTTTAAGCTTTTGATTTTCCCTTAAAAGGGTATTTATAAAAAGAGATGTAAAAGAAGAAATTAAATGAATAGCATAATATTATTTTTTCAAACTTCTTTGTGATTTCAAAATCGATACTTTTCTCTGATTGAATTGATCATAATTATGATTGAGAAAATATGCTTTTTGGAAAATCTGGATACCTCCTTGACAAAATCATGATGATAAAATATTCCTTGGAATGATTGGAGTCTAAAGTTCAGATACACTATAAAATAAATATGTATATATACTCTTATCAAAAACTTGCATGAAGAAATAAATAAATATATAAATGAATTGAACAACAGTTCTACTTTTTTGATCCCTTTAAAGTTGGTGTGGTTCCAAAATTATTTAAAAAAAAATTTGGGGCTGAAAATTGATGATCAACCCTGTTGAAATAAATGCCCCATTTAAAAAATGAATGGTGATCTTAATTAAAATTTACTTTGACTTTTTAAAAGATTGAAAATAGAGTTGAAAATGATTTAATTTAGTATTTATTATTTAATAATTGAATATTTGATTGGTTGTTGTTGGTAAAATAAAAGTTGTGATAATATATATATATAAATGGTCCATTATCCCTTTTTAAACAAATTGGTATCTTCTGAACATGGTTGGTAATTGTTAGATTAATGGACCTATAATTAAAATGTTTGGGCACAGAAAAGGGTATTTCAGATTAGAGTTGAAAAAGAAAAAAAACAAATTAATAACATCGTGATATCTTTAGAAAAAGAAAATATGTTTCTAAATCGATACATCTCTCTTATTAAAAACCAAAGCAACCTTACAACAAACAAATGATTGTGTGTTGATCGATGTACGAACTGGGAAAGATCTGGTGTATCTTATGTGATGGAAATGGGAACTTGTCCAAATTTCAGATAGTCTAGAAAGGAATTATACTTACCACTATCATCTATCGTTCAATAGATAAAAAAAGAATACTTACTAATATGAAGCGAAATAGGACTTACTCTAACCCTTTTGACGGTACGCAAGATTTCAAAAGGGGATAAGAATGATATGAAAGCTTATAAGTACAACCTGACAATCAGTTGGATAAATACTAAATACTCTAGAAAATAAGTGATATCCACTGACTGACCAAATACATACAGATAGTGGTCCTTGGTCTATCTGTATGATTTAATAAAACTGGACCATTTGTTTTATTATCAAATAGAATATGATTGATTAATCTGTTGAGAATCAAACAAATGATCCAGTAGTTCTTGAGACAATAGTTGATTTCCAGATGACTTGAAAATAGTTACTTCTTGTTTGATTTAATCTAAACATTTATCGATTTACGCACAGTCTCGAGGGGATAAATATTTTCAATCTAAAAGAAAAGGTTGTTTATTGTGAGTTTAATTGACCTACAATATATACCTAAACAGCTACAGAAATGGGAATAGGTATGAATGAAAGAGTTGTAAAAGATAAATATAAATTAGTAGAAATGTGTTCAAAGTTGTAACAAGTTTGTACGAACTGAATCGATACATCTCTCTGATTTACGCCTGAAAAAGATCTAGAAACTCATCAATGAGACCTTGTAATGAGTAGACCTAGATGATAGAATCATTGTAGATCTATTGTGATGGCGATGGCAATTGGTCGAAAAAGGTCGATCATAAATGTAAAAAAGATACATACCTCTATTAGAACAGTCTCGATGATTTGATATATTATAACTATAGGTGTTGTATATTGTGCCCCCAATTAAAAAAAAACAGATAAAACAAATGATGTTGATGTTTGAATGAATGAAAGGAGGAAATTGGTAGAAGTTGAACCTCACAATCATTTTCATTTTATTTTTTTGTTTTATTTTTTTATTAGCTTTGCCAAAAAACATGATCTTTTGCAAACCACTTGAAATTAGATCTCATTGAAATAATTGCCCCTTTCAAAAATAAAGTACATAATAATAATACTCAACCTTTAATTTACTCTTTTCAAAAGATGCAAAAATGAGTTGAACATGATTTAATTTATTTATTTATTAATTTAATATTTGATTGTTGGAGTTGTGATAACAATGGTCCATCGATCTTGTTGGTGTTGATGGAGTGTGATGATTTGATTGGATCAAAAGAATAAAACTGGATCATTTGTTTTATTATCAAAAGAATCTTTATAAATCAACTTTTAACAGAATAAAACAAATGATCCAGTAGTTCCTGAGACAATTGTTGCTTCCAATACATAATGTTTCATTCCTATTTACTTCAAAGCAAAGTAGATACAATAAAAAGAGATGTAAAAGAAGAGAACAAATTAATAGCAAAACGATATCTTTCATTCTGAATCAGAGGTCCCTAAATCGATACTTCTATATGATTGAAAAGATAATACCTTTGATGGCAGACAGAGATTTCTTCGCAAATCTATAGTCCTTTTTGATAAAATGATGATGATCTAATGTGCAAAAGATCGATTCTTGATTAAAGTTTAGATGCACTAGAAAATAAATATACTTCTGTCTGTAACCAAAGTACGACAATCGAAAAATAATACTATTTCTTTTCAATAGATAGCCATTATCTTTCCCAAGTTTATTCAAATTAGATTAAATGAATAAAATAAAATTCTATTAATAACAAAAAACTTGAAAGAATAATGAAAGCACAACTGAACATCAACTCTTTTTTCCCCTTTTTTATCAGAGATGAAAAATTGGTGGTCAATCCTGTTGAAATAAATGCCCCATTTAAAAAGGTTATGAAACAATGGTAATTAAACTAAATATAATTTACTCTATTCTTTTTAAAAGATTGAAAAGAGAGTAGAAAATGATTTAGTTTATTTAATAATTAATAATTGATATCAAAATCAAAGTTGTGACCTTTTTATAACCATGGTCCATGGTTGATCGATCTGGATGATCATCTATATTGAGTCAACAACACAATTGGACCATTTGTTTTAATATCAAAAGAATCTTTATACACCATCTTTTAAACCAGATTAAACAAATGATCCAGTAGTTTTTGAGACAAAAGTTGATTTCCAGACCTTTCGAAAATAGGTTCCAATCTCTTTGAATGTAAATGAATATTATTATAAATAAATAATGAGAAACAACTCATTTTCTCTTTGTGAACAGCTCACTGAAATTTCTCTATTGAAAAAAAAAACAAAAAGATTTGGTTGTGTCAATAATTAATCAAATTAATTGCCCATCTTTTAAATTGAACGTATTAATTATAAATAAATATGATATAATGAAGTATGCCAACCAAAAAGGTAAAAGAGAAAAGTTAAATTATAATTTATTTTGTTGGACAAATCTAAAATGTTGTGATGGATGATTAACCTTGATTGAATCCAAGAATACAATTGGACCATTTGTTTGATTATCAAATGTGATTATGATTGATTGATCTGTTGAGAATCAAACAAATGATCCAGTAGTACTTGATACAATACTTGGTTTCCAGATGACTTGAAAATGTATTCTTTCATAATTTATAAACCTAAACATTCATCGATTTACCATGAAGCCTTTCTGGATAAAAACATCTGATTCCCTTGTAAAGGTAGTTTATTGTGAGTTTAATAGACCTATAATATACACGCAAACGTCGACCGAAATGGAAATAGGTATGAATGAAAGAGTTGTAAAAGAATAAAACAAATAAGTAGATATGTGTTCAAAGTTGAAAGATGTTTTGACAGAATTTATAGATACATCTCTCTGATTTGACTGAGTACCCGAAATCAAAACATTTTGTTGGTCGAGCCTAATGTATAGACCTAGAAGATATAATCATTGTTGATCTAATGTAACGAAGATGAAAACCAGATCAAAATGCCGTACTTGTCACAAAAAGATATACATACCTCTACGATAACAACAATAGATTGTTTGCAAAAATACTCTTTTGGTTTAAAGTTTAAAAAAACTAGAAATCGATGAATGAATGAATAAAAGTGGGTAAGAAAAATGGTTGATCAATCTTTGGTTTTCTTTCCTCAAGTTGATTCCCTTTACAATTTTTTTGGATTTATTTATTTTTATTTTTATTTAGAATAAACCTGCCCGATACGGATATTTCTTCTTCTACCTTATTCTAGAATATAGCGCTTCATAGTTTCAATTTCAATGTTCACACCATCTTATTTAGAAAATAGTTCATTTTAAAGATGGATAGATAGGATGATGATGATGATGATGTTATATATATCTTTCTAAAGTAGTATATAGCTATATATAGTCATGGCTATGATGAATACGGTTGTTGTAGACGTAGAGAGAGCAGAGACTCACTCACTCACTCATTGTTAGAGGAGTGTGAGTATGTGCGTAGGTGTATGAACACACATCTACTTTTTTTCATCAGCACCACTACTACTACTACTCACTACTAAAGTAGTGTGGGTGGTATCACTAAGAGTAATAAGAGTAAGACAACATATATAGAACATATACTATTTATAGACGACTCACACTCACTAACTAACTTACTATTTATTCAACAATTTAAATAATAGTTGGGTGTTTGATTGAAACTACAAAACTCCTCATCATTCATCATCATCATCACGTTCAACATTATTTATTATATATCTAGTCCGAACCGCGAATCCATTCATTCATTCCTTCATTTATTATCATCAACAAGATTAAGAAAAAGAAAGAAAATAAGAATCATAGTCCCAACAGAAATCATAATATTAATATTAGTTTTAAAAGGGTAGGTTAACTTTATCAAAACCATCAATCCATCATCGCTGCCACCACCGCAGATTGTAAACCATCCGTGTTGCTGTTTTTGTGTTTTTGGGTGTTTGATTGGTGGTCTTTCGATTGGTATCAATCAATCATTTTGGTTGACCCTTACACTTACACTTACCGCCGCTTGGGTGTAAGACCTCAATTCATTACCCAACAATTTGACCACCAACCAACAATCATTATCATTATATTATATTTTTTAAATCATCATTATGATGATCATCCATCAATCCATCATCTTTATAAACAACAAATATATTTGTTGTGTGTTATTTTATATATTATTTATTTATTATCTATTTATTATTTCAACAAAAAGGAAAGGAAAGAATTCTTTTAAATATTTAACCACCACACATCACCGAGGGAACAGGACAATATTAATTAATTAATTAATCAAATTAATCAATCAATCAATCAATCAATGGGTAAGTGCATCATCCATCATCAACCTACTAGTAGTAAAGTAATAGCATATACACACGCACATCGTCACCATCATCCATCATCATCATTGCAGATTACTAATGTAGTAGTCCAATCATCGAATAATAATAATAATATTTGATTACTTTGAATTACATTCATTGTTAAAAACAAAAAAAAAGTGGAATGGAATTGTGGTGTGGTTTACAACAATGCTTAACACTTTAAAATATCCACCATTACCATCATTCTTCTATGTTTGTTGTTCATCAGTTAAATTATATAATTTAATTAAATTGATGATCTTGCGACACTATTATTCCACCCACCCACTCACTCACCCCTCAAACCCCATTCAAACAGAGAGAGAGAAAGAGTCAAGTCATAGTATTGAATCATGACGATGATATTAAAATTGAAACATTTCCAAACACCTCCTTTCCTTGGTAAGTAGAGGTGTAAGTTGTAACTAAACTAAACTATCTCATCATCACCAAAAAGAAGAGAGACATTGCAGTGTGCAAGTGTATACTGAGTGTGTGCACAGGTGGTAGTTTGTTCACTGCAAAAACAGTGTGCTTTGGGGTGGATGTGAGGGGATACATTTTCATTTTTTTCAAACACAAACACACAATTGTATGTGGATGATGAGGAAAAAGGAAGGATGGTGGATAGTGAGGAAGGAGAAGGAGGAGGATAGATCGATCAGACTGATATAAAAATAATAATAATAATAAATAATAGTGATAAAAATATTATGGTGTGTTCCATCTCTTTTTTTTTTTTTTGATTATTATTATTATCAGCCAACACAACAACAACACAACAAAAACATCAACGGACAACAACAACATCAACAAGCTGCAGCACCAAGAACACGATAATAATAATAATAATAATAATAACAATCACATCACGTTTTTAAAAAAAAGAAAAGAATCCAAGTAAAGTTCATTTAATTATACTACTAGTTTGGGTATCTGCACAGTGCTGCATTTTTCTTCTTCTTCTTGTTATCCTTTCCCGCTGGCATTCATTCATTCATTCATTCAATAATTCACTCGGCGAATACCAGCACCAATATTATTGTTATCTTATCTTGTATTGATTTATTATTATAATTATTTCAAAAAAAAAAAGAAAAGAGTTATACCAGAATCCAAAAAAAATTAAAAGTAATTCTATAATATTATTGTGATAGTTAAAATAGTAATAGTAATTTAAGATATCTTAATTTACCAACTATTAATATTCTGCCAAATTATTCCATTTTCCATAATCCATCATCATCATCATCATCATATCTTCATTATTATTATTATTAATCATCTTCACCAACAACAACAACAACATCAACAAGCAAGCAATAACAACCAACAACCAACAACCAACAACATCATAAAACAAATCCAGTTCAAACACACATTAATCAACACAACATACAAAACAAATTATTATTATTTGTTTTTTTTTTTTGTAGTTGTTGAATTTCTGTTGTTGTGTTTTCCATCATCATCATCACAAAAAGTACAACAGCAGCAGCAGCATTAGCATCATCATACAAAATTTATAATAATAATAATATTGACATTTATACTACTACTATTACTCTTACACTACTTTTTGTTATAAATTTTATAATTGGTCCACAAATTAAATTGTGTGATCCTCTCTCTCTTTCTCTCTCTCTACCCTATACTACTACTACTATTGTTACAACAACTACTACAATAGAAATAATAATAATAATAACTACTACTATCATTTCATTAGATTTAGTTGTGTCATCCAAAACAATAATATTTATATTTTTAAATTCTATTTATTTATTTATTTATTATAATTAGCAGTAAAAGAAAAGATAGTTGTCAAATTTGATTCTTCTTGTTCAAGATTAAAAGAAAAAGAAGAACAAGAAGAGGAAGAAGACGAGGAAGTAGAATTAGTTTCTTTTCTAAGAGACAAGGAAAAGGCGAACCAACTACAAAAACAACAACAAGATAATATATACTACAATAACAACCAAAATAACAACTATAACAACAACACATCAATGATGATGATAAATCATAGTCACCACAATGGCAGTGGCAGTGGTGTTATAAATATAAATATAGGCACGAATAATAATGATAGTCGCGAATTGGAAATATTGGATTTGTCACGTCAAAGGTTACGTGAAATTCCTTATTTCCCAGATTATGCATCGTTGCGTACATTGATTGCATGCGATAATTTGGTGAGTCAATTGACAGTGGCGTTTATCGAAGGTACTCCCAACTTGCAAGTTGTGGATTTGAGTGCCAACACGTTGGCCAGTCTGCCCGAAGAGATTTATTTGTGGGCGAGTGTGACAGTGCTGCGTCTCGACAAAAACTATCTGACCGAGCTACCACAGTCACTCAGTCGCATGCCGCTGGAACAACTCAGCGTCTCCAACAACCAACTCACTCACATCCCCAACTTCACCCACATGCCCAATCTCCGTTACCTCTGTATTTCACAAAACAGTCTGCTGTCGGCATCGGTCCACCGTATTTATTCATACCTCTATCCATCGAGTTCACCCCATACACTATTACGTGGGTTCTCGTCTACGCCATCATCCCTAATGGATCATCTTAGTGGTATCCATGCCAACACTAATAATAATAATAATAATAATAATATTAATAATGCAAATACAAATACTACTACTGGCATACTCCACCACCCGTCTACCATGACGACGGCATCGATATTCATACGCGAGGAGAGAGCCAGTGGCAATGGAGGATCGTCGTCATCTTCACCGTCCAACCTCACCTCTCCACTCATGGTCAATCAGCCAACCCATCAACAACAACAACAACAACAACAACAATACTCTGGTGGCGGTAGATACCTTACTACCACAAATACTGGAGGTGGACCAACATCCAAGTTACCAACACAAACCACATCCATCAACGTGTCACCACTCCACTCACCAACACATTCAGAGCACAACTCGTATGCAGGAGGATCGATTAGCGGGACATCCAATGGCGGCAACAGCGGTCAGAACCGCTTGGACCTTAGCTACACCAACTTCACAACGTTTCCGTTTGAGTCTATGGAAAACATCAACCAGTTTCAAAAGCTCCATCGCTTAAACTTTAACCACAACACTAAAATCGATTTCAACCACAGCAGTCAGTTTTGGCCCTACTTTAAATGTCTCAAACTCATTTCCTTTGATCATTGTCAATTAGATCAATTTCCAATTTCAATTTGTCATATAACATCTTTGAGAAGGTAACCCAAAATAGATAGTATATAGAGTAAATAGAGTATAGATATAGATATTAATTTTATTTTGATTTTAGATTAAATATGAAAAAAAATTATATTGTAACAATACCATCAGATATTCAAAAATTGATTAAATTAAAGAGATTGGATTTATCAAATAATGCAATCACTCATCTACCAGAAGCATTGAGTAACTTGAAATGCCTCAGTTCGATCAATGTTGGCAACAATAAATTGGGAACATCAAACACCATCGAATACCTCGCCCGCATCGACTCGCTCACAAAAATCAATCTAAAATCCAATCTTATCGTTCATTTCCCAACATCACTCTTATCACTCTCCAAATTAAGTTCTCTTTATTTGGATAGTAACGAAATTTCAATTCTACCTGAATTAAAATCTTGTAAATCGTTAACTGATTTTACTATTGAAAATAACAAGTATGAAACAAATCAAAAGAATAATATTTAAAAATAGAAGATTTGTATTAATTTTGTGATTTGATTTAATTTTAGATTAATTAATGAACCATTATCACCACATTTCAATCAAGAATCATTGTATATTTATAATCCAATTCATACTCCATTGTCACAATCCCAACATAGTTCCTCTCAAAATACTAGTAGTGGTAATTTAATGAATATCAAGGATATGGTTATTACTACTGCTACTACTACTTCTACACCAACCATTATAACTCCTAAAGGTATTATTACTACTACGACTTGTAAAATAACTACTCCAGTTGTGATACACCCTAGTATTGTGGTGGTAGAGACAACACCATCATCATTGTCCAATTCAATTGTAAATTCACCTTCATCTTCAAACAATGCACTTTCAACTCCGACATCACCATTATCAATCTCAAAGAAACCTCCTAAACCATTACCTGTCGTTCCAAACAACTCACACCACTCATCATCGACACTGCGTGGCAATAATAATAATAACTATGGAGGTAATCTAACAAAGTCTTCGACAACCCCGTCACTCTCTGAAAAGCCGATTGTACCACCACTCAAACTAAAACCTTTGGATGAGTCACAACCAATGTTTTTCTGTTCACCAAGTCAACAATTAAATAGTGGTAATAGTGGTAGCAGCAAGTCTGGTGGTGGGTCTGTATCTGGGTTGAGTGGGTGTCGTGTCAGATCATTTACATCGTATGATTATCCTACATCAATTGATTCGTCGCGTGCCAAGGATGGAGGACGTGATATTTCTAGCCAGGATTTAGCCATGTCACACTATGAAGGTGGGTTCCTCGAACGTACCATGTCATCATCTAGTGACGGCGAGTTTCCATGGCCGTCGGATGAGATTGATGGTGGTGGTGGCATAACTAGTAGCACGAGTATTGGTAGCGGACTGGCCAACAGCACGAGCGGACACTTTATCGGTACCCAAAAGGTCACTTCTCCCAACACCGAGCGTACACGTCCTAGATCATTCACCAAATTCACCTCTGACATTTTTAGTCGTGCCAAACATTCAATTAAATCAAACTCTAAGAAAGAAAAGGAAAAGGACAGTACGAGTAGTAGTAGCAACAAATTTAATTCAATCTTCACACCAAGAAGGGACAGGGAAAAGGAAAAAGATAGGGACAGGGATTTGACGACAACCCTTGCACCAATGTCCCCACACGCATTTATTAAAAGTGATGATAATAGTAGTAATAATGGGTTGGTCATTAGCTCACCATCAACACCTCGTCATGGGTTCCCATCTTTTGAACGTAATGGTAGTCACCCGTCAATTAAACGTGATAATAGTACTCTATCGTCACTTGATCATGACCACCATCATGTTGGCAATTACAGTCACAACAATAGTATAGATGATTTCTCAACTATGATACCTCATCATGGCAACAACAACAACAACACCAATAATAGATACTCGGATGAGTTTACTAGTCCTCCCATCTCCCAATCAATGCCTGTTTGCGGACAGTCACTCCTAGAGAAAAGTATGTCTAATCAAGACGAGGAAATGATGTTGTTTGGCTGCGGCGGACAAAACAACACTACACCCCAACTACTCAACGCTTCATCTGTCAACATTCAACATAATGCTCCCAATACATCTCGTGTCTATCTCAAATCACCTTCTATTGAAGGTAACGGTAGTGGTAGTAACAGTAATAATAGTAGTACTGTTGGTAGTCCAGCTGCTGGCAACAATAATAATAGTAATAATAATAATCAACAAGTATCAGGAATGAGAATCAAGATGGAATTTGTTGATGAGATCTATGATGATAAGAATCAACCTGTCAGCTATTGGAAAAAACGTTTGAGTGGGTTGGTCAATGCCAATGGACAGATGAACAAGTCTAGTACGAACCTACTCACACCAAATAGCAAGAGTGGGTCGGATAGATCATCGGGTCTGCAATCATCCATCTCGTCGTCATCGGTGCAACAACAACAACAGTACAACCAGTATGCTGCACAACCCAAGGTCAAAAAATCAAAGGATTTGAATGTAGGTTCGTTGCAGTATGGATCATTATTATCGACTTCACAGAGCAACTTGAGCTCGTTTTTAGGGTCGACAGTAGCTGCTGGAGACAATGCAAATAATCCAAGTATTGGTGGAGGTGTGTCTCCATCATCGTATGCTGGTAGTAACCCACTCGCTGCAAGTACTAGTAGTATCCCTTACAATAATAACAATGGTGGTGGTGGAAATGGTGGTGGTGGTGGAATAGGATACATGCTCAAAGAATCAACATCCAACACCAACTTAAACTCAAATCTTGATGGCGATGACTTTATCAGAGACCTCATGTCTAGTTATGTTATTAATCAAGACATTGAATTTACGTCAGAGGAAGGAGTACCAAAGATTAAAACAGCCTCTCTCAAAATGTTGGTTAATCTACTGACCCATGAAAAGGGACAAAGTAAAGATTTGGAAAACTGTTTCTTTGACACTTACAAGTTGTTTACCAATGTAGAATCGATTGTTGCATTGTTGCAAGAACGATTCTATCAAACTGCCAAAGGAACGGGTAACGCAAGTCTGATCAAGCTTAAAGTGATACGATTTGTACATCGTTGGGTCGATCGCAACTGGGACGACTTTTTAGACAATAGCCCGACGACCGACGAGCCATACACTACACGTCTCAAAGATTTTGTAAAGGTGTGCCAAGATACAGTGGAAAAGGGGTTCTCGGCTTCATTCTCCCTCAAGACAGAGTTGAGTAACCTCGCCAAGTTTACAGACATCAAGTCTGACCCAGACTATTTTGACGATGGCAGTATGGGAGAGTGGGAGCAGCCACCTCCCATCCCAGACTTCCAGTTCCAAGAGACACTCGTATTACTCGATCTCAAGTCACACGAGATAGCCCGTCAACTCACAATGATCGATCATTCACTACTCCACAAGATTACCAAGCGCGAGTTACTCGACTATTGCCAGAGTCAATCAAACCCACCCCAATCCATCGTCGCAGTCACCAATCGATTCAACTTTATCAGTCGTTGGGTGGCAAGTGAAATAACAAGTTGCACAACCGTAGAAAAAAGAGTTTCATTAATCTTTAAATTTATTAATATTGCTCTTGTAAGTTTTGAACAAACAACAAAAAAAATAATATTATTTTTTTGTTAATATTAATATTTTGTTTTGTTTATTATTTTTTTAGAATTGTTGGTATTTAAAGAATTTTAATAGTACAACAGCAATTATTGCAGGTATGAAACATGGAGCAGTATGTAGATTCAAGACAACATGGTATTATGTGAACCAGACAAAGGCGGGAATAGTATTCCAAGAGTTGGAGGAAATGATCTCACCAACATCGATTGCCAAGTTTAGAAAGATCCAAGACTCTGTTGAGCCACCATCGGTACCTTATTTGGGTAGTTATTTCAATCACTTGATTGGTATTGGCGAAGGTAACAAATCAGTCAATAGTAACGACCAAATCAACTTGATCAAATATGAAATGATTGGCAAGATCTTGTCAAAGTTGCATGCCTTTCAAGAAAAGAAATACAATCTTACAACTGTCGGTGTTCTCCAAAACTTCCTCAACAATGGTTTACAATGGGATGAAAATCAATTGTACAGTGCAGCTGGCAATCGTGATGAAAAGGTTGATAGTCAACTTTTAGAACCAAATGGAAAATTCTCTTTAGGTATTTTCAACAAAAAAAAGTATTAAACAAAACTACAAAACCAACCATAAATCAAATTCCCCCGAAACCCCCCAAATCCCCCCAATGAATAATAAATCAATACAAAACAAATAGGCAATTACTTTTTCTAAATAATAATCATAATAATAATAATAATAATCCCCAGGGTTTATTTGGATATTAATACCTTTGGTACCAACATTTTCGGACAGACAAATTCTTTTTTTTTTTTTTTTTGTTTTTCGATTATGACCACGAATCGCAAGCAACCATCTCTCGCTCTCACAACTTCAAGAATTCATTGACCCTTAATTACTTACTTCTAATAATATCAAATACAATAATAATAATAACAATAATAATAAATATAGATACATAGGAAATAGAAATGATTGATTGAATAGTAAATACGTAACAAATATATATCACATTTTTTTTACTCGTTCGTTTTACTCATTTCTAGTAAACGACTCGACTTGTTATATACTATCTCAGTAAACATGTAGGTTTCATTCAATCGATACATATTATCAATGATTGATATACTAATCAATCTCTACTTACTTACTTTAGATTACAGCATATAGATAGATAGGTAGATAGATAGATAGATAGATAGATTTAAATCTCTTTTTTTTTGTTTTTTTTTGTTATTGGTAGTGCATCGGTAAACAAAGAAAGGAATAGAAAAAGAAGATTTATCATCTTATCATCAATCAATCATGTCATCACTACCATTTATACCTGAACAACATTCAGTAGATTCTATTTTTACAACGGTATCTAGTTCATTATCGTTAATTGGATGTTTGTTTATTGTGGTAATGTATTTGAAATTCCTAAAAGAAAAGGAATTTATAGTCAAACTTGTATTTATACTTGCCATCAATGATTTTATCATATCGATCATATTCTTGGTGTCTACGCAACTCGATATTAAACATTACAACGATATTGTAAATCAACATCTCCCCTTTATATGTAGTGTCCCAGACACACTTTTACATTATTTTTTTATATCTTCATTCCTTTGGAATGTTGGTATTGCATTTTCCCTATTACAAGGTAAGCAAATATAAATAATATAATTAAATATATATCTATATTTGTGTATATTAACTTTTTATGGTCCTACTTTTAGCTGCAAAATATAATAATCATCTTGGAGTTGAAAAATATTATAAATATTATCATATTATTAGTTGGGGAGTACCATTTGTACTTATATCGGTTCTATTTATATTGAGAATAGTAAAACATGCCGATTGTTTAACCTATTCAGAGTTGTATCCTCATTTACTTTTCTTTATACCATTGGTTGGATGTTTTATCTATAATATCGTCGTATCAGTGTTGGTCACGAGATCACTCAAACGACAAGGAGTATCAAAACGAATCATGTTTGATGACTCTGATTCAGATGACGATGATAGTGTCAGTAGTGATGATGAGGGTTCTTCCTTTTCATCTTCCTCTGTACTATTGTCTTGGATTCCTTTTTTAAACAAAAAATCATCTTCAACTCAAGATATCCCATCAAATATAAGCAATCATAATCGTAATAATAATAATAACAGACCTAATAATAATAATAATAATAATAGAACACATTCAATACCATCAAAATCATCCTCTTCTTCAACGTCAACTAAAAACATTATTCAACCAATACCAAAAAATAATAAGGTCATAAAAAAAAATAATAATAATCATAAAATTATAGTATCAAATTCAATAGAGGATATTAGATATTTAGATGAATCAACACCAAAATTGGTTAGAACATCGATTTACTATTTAATGTCATTTGCAATATGTTGGATTTGGCCAATGATTGTAGTATTTTTCTTGACCCTCGAAACCAAGAATCCATTACAATTCATTTTCCTCACACTCTCGTACATTTGGGTACCACTTCAAGGCTTTTTAAATGCTCTCATCTATGGTCTACACGATATCTTGTGGAGTAGGTTAAAAGATCGTGTTAGATCGCATTGGGGTGACATTACCATTATTTCACCATCGACATTGGATCCAATGCAATCTAAACCATTGATAGACTCTTTCTACGAGGACGAAGATGGAGACGAAGATAAATTTATTTTTAAACATCAATATGATCATTCAGATTTTGGTGATATAGAATCACCAACTATTGATACCACCAGTATAAAATATTCAATCAATTAAATAATCACCAACAAGACAAGAGACAAGAGATAATAATAATAATAATAATAATAAATATTGTTTTGGAAAAGGCGTAATAATAAGTATTATTACTTTTATTAAAAGTAAAATAGATCAAGATGGTTTGTGAAAAAGATTATTGTGGTTTTGGTTTAAAATGCCGTAGTTATCATGTATCTATCAAGAGTCTCAAAGGAATTGACTCTTCTAAGTATACCTGATCTGATCGATGCAAAATGTGGATTTTTTTTGGGAACAACTGAAATAATAGATTTGTTTTGGGTAGCCTTGACTGGTAGTTGTATGACCAATGGTTGTTGAATGGATGGAAGTGGTAGTGGTAGTGGTATCTCTGACTGTGATATGATTGTTGTTGTTGTTGTTGTTGGATTTGGATACAACAAGAGAATACCGTAATCTCTTGGATCATTCCAAATTGGTTGATTGGTGGCCATACATTCGTTGATTAATTTTTCAGTGTCTGGTGATTGGAAATGGCAGAGTGCAACAAAGTCGAGATCCTTTATGGTAGGAATTAGTGGGAAATGCTTGCGAATGGGATCAGTCTCCGAGAGTCCAATGAAAAGGTAGTTGATTCCTTGCGAATATTGATTGTTGTGAACTCTTTTCAAGAGGTAACGGAACAGCCAATCCTTTTCATCTTCGGTGCCACCAATCGAGTAGCATGAATATAGTTGGCGATGTCTTTGGGTCGACTCTGACTTGGTCTTGAGGGTGAAAATTAAATCTTGGTCCCAGACTGATACGGAGGCTTCTATGTTGCGATCACCTCTGTTCATCGAGGCCACATACGTGGTGCAGTGAAATCTTTGGTTAAAAACCAACAAGTCATCGAAATTGGATGGGATAAAGTTGAATTTTCCCAAACCTTTGCTCCAGTGTTTCTTGATGGCGTTGGTGTCACGTTCAGTCCACACTTTGAGATTGGAGCAATCGGATGGCATCGACTCTAGTGCAGCTGGACCTTCTAGTTTCCATGCGTACTGGTGTTGGTTGAATATGGGGTTGACGGCAAAAGAGGCCGCCGATTTGAGCATTGGCACATTGGTTCTCGTGGTACTCATCATCATGATAGAGTCTGACTTTTTATCCTTTTTCAAGAGTGAAAATAGGTCGGTCAAGTAGTTCTTGGTAATGGACATGCCACGGTAGTTGGGATCAACGTTTACATCAAACATATAGTAGAGACGTTTCTTTGATCCTCCAACCATCACATCTTTTATGTTGCATGAATACGACCCGATGGTTTGGCCATTTTGATTGTCAGTGGCCACTACAACCCGACTCTTTTTAGAAAGTTTTGGACGAATCTCTGGTGATATGGGTTGACTCACCCCTTCCATTGCATTGACATCAGATGAGAATGGAATTCTTGAAATTTTTGAAATTGATACACAATCTTTTATGGAATCATATTCTCTTATTGAAAATCTATTTGAATTAAGGATCTTATTATTATTATTTTCCATTATTTATTTAAATTTTATTTTGTTGATTGTTTTTTTGTAAAATTAATATATAAAGAATGACGATGATGATGATGAAATTGATCATCCAATGATTGGTTTACCAATTTATTTAAAGGGACTCAAAGGGTTTTTTTTAAAAAACCGGACAATTTAATTAAATTTTAAATTATTATTATTAATTAATATATTTAATTTAACGGGTAGTGTTGGAGGGGACTTTTTCACCCACGTCCCTACTAGAATTATTGGTCAACCATACCAAAAACGACGAGCTCTCTTTTTAATTAATTGATGATGATCATGAAGATTATGAAAATATGAAGAGTTTTATAATAGTAATTGGAGTATATTATCGTGACACTCCTCCTCCTTGAGGTGGCATTCACCTTTGATGGAATCCATAGGAGGTAGGATCTATTGGGTTGGTTTCCGACTTTTTTAAAAGTTGTAAAACCCACATTGGGCAATGTGTTCACTTTATCTATTGCATGCATGAAGACCCCTTATCATTATTAGAGGATGAAAATCTTTAGATTAGAAATAATGGATCTGTTCATTGGTAACCAATAGTCAAATTTAATTGGTGATGAATTCATCAGAATAGTCCCCCCCATTCCAAAAAAATACACCAAGTACACTTCTACGACGTTTGACAGACACTAGATGTGGTATAACGTTGTTTGAACATGTTAGAGGTGACGGGTGATTATCATCTAAAAATATATATATATTTTGATTTAGCATTGGTGGTGGGTTACTAATAAAAAAAAAAAAAAAAAGTAAGCGGAGCGAATTCCAACACTGATGATCAGTCATTTGGAATATGGGGTACCCCGACAATTCCTCCTCCTTATTCCACCCCCACCACAAATCTTTTTTACTTTTATAGTAACAATCAAATAAATTCAATGATGATGTTGAAATTGATAGAAATAAAAATAAATTTGACTATTTAATTAATTTTTGATGATGATGTTACATGTGGTGTTGCTAAGAATAGTGGAATTCATCCTTCCCGCCACATATTCACACACTATTAGACTTGATTGATCAATCAATCAATCAAAATATTTTTGTAAGAAACCCAAAGAATTCAAAGTTTATTAACCCTAAACCATGGTTTACGCGGACATTATCATAATAATTACCATTTCATTATTTAATTGTTTCTAATTTTATAAACTTTCATTTTGAAGTTTTCAATTCCTTTAAATTCCATAAAATATGGTAAAAGGATTACCAATTTGTCTATGTCTTGTAAAATTATTAGATTGATGGATTCTTTTGAATTTCCCATAGGGCTTCTAATAATTAATTATTTTTTGGTTGGACCATTTATTATTATTGATTATTTATTATTTTACTTAAGTATGATGCCTAGGAGAGGGTATACCATCTATCCGACTACTGCTACTAGGATTATTATTATTATTATTATTATTAATATTATTATTATTATTAATTTCATCATTTGAATAAGAAACAAATAATAAAAGATAATATAAAAGATGAAATAAAACAATGACCACGAGTGAAAAGAATAGTAATTTTGTTTGTACCCAAAGACTGTGTAGAGTGAATGTATATTTGTTGGTTTGGTTGTCTGTGAGGAAATCCACAATCTCTTGGTACCCCTTTTGACGGGCAACGTCGCATATGTATTCAGTGTTCCATCGCTCTCTGTATTGATAGAGATATTTAACGTTATTGAGTTTACCGTCTTGCGCTGCCACAATCAGCGCACTGTCAATCGACACGTCGTCGTCTCGGCGATACCGCGGCAATTTGACGAGACACTCTAGCATGGCCATCGAGCCGTGTTGCCCAGCGGCATGTGAAAATGAGTTTTGGTTGACACGTAGCAACGGATACCTGTGCACGAGGTATGCCATGATATCAGTGTGCGTCGTCGCCGATACATGGTTGAGCATACCGTTGGAAGGTATAAATTGGTCGCCAACCAGTTGCAACAAAAAGACGAGTGTCTTGAGATTGGCGTTTTGGTGCTTGCAATAGTCGATGATCGAGTTGCTGGCCGTCCCCTTTTCCAGCAACCGATTGGAAAATGCTGTCGACGATATATAGTGTTTGATAAAGTCATGGTGCATTGCAAACAGCGTCACCACGGTCAAGTCGTTCTCCTTGAGTCGTCGGATCAGTTCACGACCCTTGACATAATAGCTGCGTCGTAGATTGGTCAATCGCACAGACGATCCACTTACATAGGACAGCTTTTCAATCCATTGAAATATCTGTGTCTTGATCACAAGATTTCTCAATATATCTAGGAAGCATAGAGGTCGCGGTGACGGTCGCGACGTAGGTCGTATAGTAGTAGTATTCTTGATCAATGCCGTCGTCGTTGTGGTATCATATGATGATGATGATGTATTTAAAACTAATTGATTATTATAAAGGTTCGAAATATTTGTATGTTTTAATATTATCTTTTTGTTCATGCTCCTTGTTTCTCTTCTTCTTCTTCTTTTAGCTTTAAATGTCTCTCTAATCTTGCAATATATGTTCGAATACAACTACACCTTTTTTTGATTGATTACTACTACTATAATACTATTATATTTTTGCTAATGCTGATAGTACTGCTATGTTGTTATTATTATTATGCATTACATCACAACAAGTTGTCGATTTACAAACACAAGACAAATCACTCATCAACAAAAATGATAGGTCAACCATCTGCTGATGTGGGGGTGGTTTATAAAAGTTGCAAAAATAAAATAAATCGAACTTCAAAAAAATACTTGTTTTCTTTTTCATAAGAAAGATCATCCATCAATCATGAATGAATGAATGAATGAATGTATCTAGACTCTAGAGATAGAGATATATTAACAAAGAAGAAGAAATATATCATTCTAGAATGACGTCACTTTCTATCAAGACGATGATGATGACAATGTTATTCTTCTTCGTTGTTATGATGATGATGGTGATGAATACAAATAATATGGTTGAAGGAGTATTTATAAACTTTGTACCATATAATAATTCAAAGTGTACTGGAGAATCTATTGGTATTGGGTATTCATTTCAATTAGATCAATCACAACAGTGTATACCTGGTATATCGGAATCGAGTCAATTTACATTCAACCAATCACAAACCTTAACACAAGATGTTGGTATGACAGTCAATTTGTTTGGTTTGATTGCATCGATAGACTATTATTCATCGTCAACATGTTCACCACAATCTAAAGTAAATTCTACTGCCTACAAACATAATGGATGTTATCTCATTCAATTACAATCGATTCAACAGTGGTCACAGATTATCATCATTGAGAGTAATGACAATCCACTACCAATATCAACTGATTCACCCTATGCTTTGGTTTATTCACAGTATACCTCTGAACAATCTTGTCAACAATCCTCTTCACCTTCATCATCATCCTATCAATACTATTATACAATTTCAAACAACTCTACCATTGAAATTGACCAACAACCTCCTTCACTTTTATTTACTTGTTCAACAAATCAACAACCAACTTTATCAATTGATTGCAATGTTCAAGAAGGACAAGAAGATTGTAAAACTTTAGATATTGGATATCAATGTATTAATAATAATAATAATATTTATAGTTCACAACAATGTTAAATAATAATAATAATAATAATAATAATAAATATCAACTATATTATTTATTTATTTATTTATTTATTTATTTATTATTTGTTTGGTAAAATTATTTATTTAATTATAAATATTATCATTATTCTATATGTTATATATTATATATATATTATATGTTATATGTTATATCGGTTATATTATATTATATTATTATATGTTATATGTTATATATTATATTTATCTTCTATCATTCATTTCAACAGGTTTTCTAGTTAATATTCTATGTACTCTTAATCTTCTGACAAAATAAACAATGACGACTGAGATGGCAGCAGCTGCGACAACTCCAACAACTACTCCAACAATTATTTTCCATTTGGTGTCTGATTCAGAACCATTACAACCACCACTACCAAAACTTTCTCTATCAATGACCAAAGCACTGAAATCTGGATCCAATAAAGCAGATTGTGATTGTGGTAGACTGATACCTATCAATGCAATAGAGTTGTCTTGATCGATGACTGTTGTGTTGATTAGTTGTGTCTTTGAATAGGTCTTTCTGCCATCTGACAGACAATAATCAATGAATCGACCAAAGAATTGAACATTGTCTTTGACTACTCGAAGGTATTGAATACTATCTCCATTTAAAGATTGTTCAAATGATGCAATAGTGTTGACAGAGTCATCACATCCAATGATTGATTGTTGGTTGTTGATGGTCGTTGAGAATAATACTCTAAGGTTGGATAGTACCGATGTGAATGGCCAATTGGTAATATTGACAGATACCTTGATTGAACCAGCACCCAATTGAATGATGTCATCACCAAATTGAATTGATCTCGATGAATTTGAGAATTCAACGATCGATGTCACATTGAGCAGTGAATAATCACTGTCATTCTGATGACTGACAAGATCATATGAAAGTGACACCAAATCATTTGTTGATCTATCATTCAACAACCAACTATTTGATTCTAATCTTTTGATTACATTTCCATCGATATCCAACTCTTGAATTTCAACCATATCAAATGAGAATATAAAATCTTTATATGAAAATGTTGATGTTGGTGATGTTGTATTTGGTTTGAATATGACATCTGGATCTAAATAAATAATAATAAATGAATAATTGGTTGATTAGAAATAATCTTAATCTTTATATTAATATTAATATTTAAATATCTTTACCTTTTTCATTTTTTAAACGACAATCATCAGTCCAACCATCGTCACATTGACAAGTACCATTAACACAAGTACCATGACCATTACAATTATTAGTTCTATTCATACAATCGTCGTTTGAAGGTGGTGGATATGGAATGAATAACAAAGATGATGATGCAAATATACCATTGTCTGTTGTAACATTAATAAAAGCAGGTCCTGATGGTGGTGGAACCGTTTCAAATTCGCATCTTCGTACAATAAGGGTGCTCAAAGTGACCGTACACTCTGTATTATTGATTGATACTCGTGCACCAGCATTTCCAAAAAACCCATAGAAATAAATATATTTTGGTGGATATGTAGTTGGTTCCATTACAACTGATGTTACAATTGCATCTAAATATAAATAAATAGAGAGAAATATTAATATTAATATTAATATTATTATTATTATATTTATGATATTTTTTAAAATTTATACAATACTCTTTTTAATACTAATATTTGTAATGTTTGTGGTTTGGAATTGTGTATAAACTATAATCGATGGAATATCTGATTTCAATATATAATTTGTTGGAATTGAATAAATCAATGTATTACTTGAACCATAGGATTTAAATGATAGACGATTTGAATCAAGTGTTACATTGGGAGGATAATTGGGATTGACAATTATAAAGGAAATTTTCAACTCTTGATTATCCTTTAGATCCATTTTAGCATCGACCACACTAAATTCCATTTCATAAACTTCAAACATAATCGAATCACTCGAACTATTAGTCAATGATAAACTTATATTTTGACTTCTTCCCATTTGTACATTCATTTTTCCTCTACAGTAGATAATAAATAAATAAAAAAAATAAATATAAAGTATTTCAAAAAATTGAATTAATTAATTAATATTTCATCAACATACCCTAGTTTTCTATTTGGTTCAATCAAGTAAAGTGATGTTGTTCCGGCACCAAACCCAATACCATCACCAGTGATTACATAGTTTCCTCGATATGAAAATAATGTAGTACTATCAATTTGAAGATCTAGATAGATAGATAGATTCGTATCATATCATATATTTCAAAAAAAAAAAAATTATTAATATCCTTTCATCTTAATTAATTTAATTTAATTTAAGACATACGACAAGTGGGATTTAAAGGTTGAGTCAAAGAACTACTAAATATACCAAGTGATTGTGTTAGGGTATAATAACACCACCAACAATCAGGAACAGAGGTAATGCCAGTTAAATCGATATGTAATTCAGAGATGTAACAATATTCTTGTCCAAGACTTCCAACAAGTTGTGAATTATTTTGCAATAAAAGTTTTAATTGGTATGGATTATTTGCTAAAAGATTCGATGGTATAGTTCCTGAAATACTTTGATTTCTCCTGATAAATTGTTGAATAATAAAATAATAATAATAAATCATATGATGTGGTTGATTAATATTAACTAAAAATCAATTATATATATATCTTTTTTGGACTTACAAATCTAATTGATACATATTTGAAGGAACTGGACCTTCAAATGGAAATGGATTATTTTGATTTGGTGATGATCTCACATTACTTTAAAAATGATTATAGATTAATTAATTAGTTATTTTGTCATTTGATAATAATAATAAAGGTCTTACTATGAAGTTAAACTTGGATATAATGATAAATCTTTTGGACTTAGTGTAACTGATCCTATAAATATCCTGTATATATTATTAATATAATTAATATTAATATAATCAATATTAATATTAGATATTGTATAAACTTACATTTCAGAAACAGTTGAAGTGTTTGAAAATGATAAATTGATGGTAGATGTACTTGATGTACTGGCATACATGTTACGGATTGTAGGACTGACACCAATATTGATTGGAAAGTTTCCTTCTTTACCTTTGATATCTCTAAACATTTATATATATATATAAAAAAAGGTTACATCCCCTGACTAATTGGTAAATTGAATTATAGTTGGTTAACTTACAATATAGAAAGATTTGGGAATGATTGTTCTGAAAGATTGATTGTTGTGGTTGTAAAACATGAAATACCCATTCTAAGACTGAATAAAGAGGGAAGATATGTCGTGGAAGGTATCACAAGATTTGCCAAACTCGATTCACCAAGTTCAAGAGTCACCAACCGAGACCCATTGAAAAATGTTGGAATTGATACCAAGCTATCTAAAATTCTAGAATGATTAAAAATATAATAGTAATAATAATAATAGTAATAATATTTGAATTAGTACAGTAATTGGAATGGATGGATGGATGGATGGACTGGAAGTGTAAATTTGTCAAGTGTGATACTTGCATAGTACGAACCAAGGGAAATGCAGCATTAAAGACAGATGGGATGGCTGTGATACGCTTATCAAATGTAATTGATAGGTAGATACATTTTGGAAGATTCTTTGTATAGTCTAATAGATTGATATTGTAGGCATTGTATTGGTTTACAGAAATGACAATGGTCAATACTTGAGGAAAGTATAATTCTGTCATGGTTGTATTCAATTGTCCAACATATGAATTTGAACTAGTCGAAATTGAACTATAAATATAAATATAAATAAAAATAAAACAAAAGTTGGTTAATACTAATATTATTATTATTATTATTAGTTGGTTGGTTGGTTGTAGTGTCTTACATTGAGGTGATATGAAACCCACCACCATTGGCAACATCTACTTGTTCGCATTTAAACGTATTTGCTGGAGTGTTACAGATTGATGCTTGATTGAATCCAATTGGTAAACCGTATAGAGTAATTAACCAGACGGCAGAATTCACTAACATTTTAAAAAAATATATATTTGATTGATCACAAGGGTTAGGGTTTGGTCGATAAATCATGATGATGATTCAGTCACCACATATAATATTAATGACTTACATTCATCGGGTTCAAGAGTCTGTCCAGTTGCAAAAAAGAAGGAGGACTGATTGCTGTCACTGCTATGAGAAACCATACAAACCACCATCATCAGCAGCACACCAATAAATAATGATTGAAGTGTTTTCATCATCATATATATTATGATATATTATGTTATATTATATTATATGTATGTAAATTTATAAATAAATAGATATAATATTATGAATAATAATATTTCTTTAGATAAAGAGAGAGATATCTGCAATGATCAATTGATCATAGTTTTGATTAGAACAGGCCGTGGTCAGGAGGTAGGTCCAGACCATCGGTTCTTGGTTCTAAAAAAATTCGTTTCATTCATTTTTATCAAATTTTTGAAGCGGGTGAGACAATGATGATGCTGGTGCCTCTCAAAGAAAACTAAAAAAAAGATATTTTAGATATTATTTTAAAAAATTATACAGTTTTTTTTTATAATGCACTTTGATAATAATAATATCAGACAGACATACCTTTTCAAAATATATATCTATTAACTAGTTGTTGATAACTTAAAATATTTAGTCGTGGTGTATGTACGAGTATCGCGACATATGATATGGTGTCTATCTGACTTGTAGTTTCACAATATTCACATACAAGTTGACTTGACTTCTTGTTTGTGGGTAGATTAGAAGAAGATCGCAGGCGATGAACCCATTTACTGTATCTATCACATCTCCTTAAAACACATGAGTACATAAGTGGTTAGAAACATATTCATCCACCACCATCATCATTTTTAAAACAATAAAGTAGTAGAATAGAATAGTTATAATAAATATTTGTATTTTGAAAAGGTGTGTCTGTCTGTCTGATATTATTATTATCTTTAGATTTTTAACACCATTTATTTTACTACTTTACTCACCCATCATCGACCTCTTTTGAGTAAATTTTTTTGAAATACTTTTGCCCACAAACCCATCTTCCTCTTCAGCGAGGTAGACAACAACAAACCAATATATACGTACGGATGGAACGAACGTAATATATATAACAACAACATCTATGATACTTGAAAAGGTAATCACAATTGGCAAGAGATGAAGCTCTCACTCTCCTTTCTTACTTTCTTTCTGTTGGAGAACTAAAGAACAAAAGAAAGAAAGAATCGATAACTATTCATGGAAATACTCTGCACATACACTGTCGTGCGCTACCTCCTCCTCCTTCTCTTTCTCTCTCTCTCTTTGTCGTGATTCGACATGACGATGAGTAGTAGAATCAAGTATAAATACACCATTCAATGATAGTTTATCATCTTTTTTTTTTTTTAACGACGTTAAGCATTACTTATTCTTTAAAAAAAAAAAAAAAGTAAACAACAATGTCTATTGAAAATAATAATAATAATAACAATCATACTGATGATAAACAACAACAACAACCAGAACACAATATTGATGAAGATGGAGTAGCACTCATTGGTATTGGATGTCGATTTCCTGGTGGGTCGACGACACCTCAACAATTCTATGACCAGTTGCTGGGTGGACTGGACGGTATTTCAAGTGTGACGGCTGAGCGTTGGTCAAAGTCTTTCCAAGACCAGGGGTTTGTTGCAACCGATCGTGGAGGGTTTTTGGATTGGTCTCAATGGACAAACTTTGACAACTCGTTCTTTGGTATTCTTCCCAAAGAGGCTACACTGGTTGATCCCCAAGTACGACTCTATCTGCAGGTTATCTGGGAAGCTTTGGAAGACGCTCATATTGATCCGGCCACTGTGAGAGGGTCGACAACCTCAACATTCCTCGGCCAAATGTACGACTCTATCTTGAATATGCAAAACAGAGATCTGACCACAATGAGCCATTCTGCTCGTTTTGGTCGTAGTGACTCGTCGATCAAAGCATCCTATCACTATGACTTTCGTGGAGAGTCGGTTGCTGTCGACACGGCCTGCTCGTCGTCGATGATTGCCATATTGATGGGTGTGGACACTATTCGTAGTGGTAAGAGTGATATTTCCATCGTCGCCGGTGTCAATGCAACCCTTGAACCAACCGTGTCAACCTCGTTTACCTATATGAACATGCTTGGCAAAAAGGGTCTGTGTGCATCGTTTGATGAGTCGGCTGAAGGATATGCACGTAGTGAAGGGCTGGGAGTACTCGTTCTCAAACGTCTCTCCAAGGCTATTGCTGACAATGACAACATTTACTGTGTCGTCAAGGGTGGTAGCAGCAACGTCGACGGTAACTTTGACAAACCGTCTCCTTCAGCACCATCGGCAGCTGCTCAAGAAGTAAACACTCGCCAAGCACTCAAGAATGTCGGGCTCACCCCATCCGATATCTACTATGTCGAGTGTCACGGCACAGGAACACCAACCGGTGACCCAATGGAAATGTCATCGATCACCAAGATCTTTAGAGGGTCGCATACCAAGGATGAACCACTTCGCATTGGATCGGTCAAGAGTAACATTGGACACACTGAAAGTGCTGCTGCCGTCGCATCGCTCATCAAATGTGCCATGATGATCAAAAACAAAATGTTGGTAAAGAATATTAATTTCAAAAAACTCAACCCAAAGATTGACCTCTTGGACGGTGAAATTAAAATCGTCTTGGAAAATGAACCAATCCCAACCTACTATGATGATAAACTCATTAGAATGGGTATTAATTCTTTTGGTATTACTGGTAGTAATTCTCATTTAATCATTGAAGAATTTAAATCTCAAAAGAAATTAAATGTCAAAGATCAAGGTAATTAATTAAATATTTAATTTAATAATCAGATTAATATTAATTCTTTTTTTTTTTTTAATTTTTTAGAAGAGAATAATAATACAATTGAAAAGATTGATTATTTAATACCATTTTCAGCAAATACAAAGAAATCAATGGATAAATATATTGAATTGGTCAAAAATAATATTGATGATTACAAGGAGAAGGTTAGATTTGAAGATTTTGTTAAAACACAATCACTTAAAACAAGACATCCTTCATGTCAAAAGGTGATTGTTGCAAGTGACTGGGAATCATTCAAGGAGTCTAGTCGTATCTATGAGAGACAACAAACATTTGCTTCCAACATGTCACAATTAAACAAGAAAAAGGTTCCACAAGTAGTGATGGTATTCTGTGGTCAAGGAGCTCAATGGAGTGGAATGGGTGAGAAACTATATGCCAATGAAAACGTATTCCGTCAAGCAGTCGATCAAGTTGATCAAATCCTTTCTCAGCACTATCAATATTCAATCATTGCCAAGTTGAGACTTGCAGATTCTCAACAGATTCATCATCCAATCCTCGCTCAACCATCAACCTTTATCATTCAAGTTGCTTTGGTTCAATTGTATAAACATTTTGGTGTTACTCCTCAAATTGTTATTGGTCATAGGTACATACATATATAAATAATAATGAAACAAATAATCAAATATTAATAATTTATTTATTAATATTTATTTATTTATTTATTTATTTTATTTTTAATTTTAGTTTTGGAGATGTAACAGCAGCATGGTGTTCTGGAATTATATCATTAGAAGAAGCATGTAGAATTGTATATGTTAGAAGTGTAGCTCAAAATGATACGATTGGTAGTGGTAGAATGTTATCAGTGTCATTGTCGGTTGAGCAATACAATGAGAGATTCCAATCATCATCATTTAATGATGTTTCAATTGCATGTTATAATGCAGCTGATTCAATTGTATTGGCTGGTAATGAAGATCAACTTCGATCAATTGATCAACAACTAAAGAATGATAATATCTTTAGTGCATTCCTTGGTACACCATGTGCATTCCACACTGATAAACAAGATGCAACAAAGGAATACATTTTTAGTAAATTGGAGCATATCAACTATCAACAATCAACACCCAGTATCAAGTATTACTCAACTTCAACCTCTCAATTGATCAACTCATCAACCGAGTTTAATGCTCAATACATATTTGATAATCTTAGACACCCAGTATTATTCCAACAATCAATCAACAATATCATTGCAAATGAACATGATATCAACGACAACTCTTCATCATCATCATTTATATATTTAGAGATTGCACCACATACAACATTATCATTTTATTTAAAGACATTGTTATCTGCACAACAAAATACAACTATCATGTCACCATTAAATAGAAAAAAGGATGAAGTTGAATGTATTCAATCATGTTTGTCACAGCTCTATTTTGGTAATGTCAATGTTGATTTCTTAAATCAAGCATCATCATCATCATCATCAAGTGATAACGAGTGGAAGGATAGATCAAGACTATTGCCACGTTATCAGTGGGATGCAGAGTATCATTGGGACGAGCAGCCAAGTTATAAAAAGATTAGATTGGGAGGTGTGTCTACTACAATCCTGGGTATTCGAGAGAGTCCATCATTGTTTGTGTACGAGGCAGGTATCGATGTCAATAGACCATCGTATCAATATCTCAAAGGTCACAAAGTAAAGGGAAAATACTTGTTCCCAGGTACTGGTTACATTGAGAATATCCTTACTGCATGGCCAGGTAAAGACATTACCATTCACAACCTCAACTTCATCAACCCATTCTTCCTCAAGGAGGGTGTTGAATCCAAACTAAAGACAACATTTACCAGTTATTCGGCAACAGAGTATCAAGTGAAGGCAGAGTTTCTAGACAATGCGTCGTCGAAATGGATCAAAGCATCAGTTGGTAGAATATCTGTTCGCAATCCATCCACCCCCAAGAAAAAGTACCCAAGCGTCGAACAACTCCGCAAGGACACGTACAATGTCGCTACAAGAACATCTACCGATGTCTATGACAAACTAATCAAACTTGGTCTACCCTATGGAGAGACATTTAGAAGAGTGTTGCAAATCCAATTAAACAAAGACAGAGGTCTATTGTCAGAGGTTGATGTGCAACCAAGAAACCACTTTGAAGAGGAAAACACAGTCTTCAATGCATCGGTATTGGATTGTATTCTACATGCTGGTCTCACCAACTTCCAAGGCGAAGGTCCAAATTCAGAAAAGGTATTTGAACGTGTGCAAGGAGCTCAATTCTTTGCCAACAATATTCCAAAGTCTGGTACCGTAAAGACATTGTTTAGTATCTCTGAGCGAGGTTCGCAAAATATTCAAAGAGGAAATGAACATGTTGCCAAAGGTCACCATATCATCGATCAAGATGGTAATATCTTGGCCAATTGTGGGTCACTAGTCACCACCTCGCTTACCAAAGTCTGTAAAATACATCAAGCCAAGTTCCCAGTAAAACATATCAAAGAATCAGTACCTCAACCAAAGAATTCACCGTCTCTTGTAGTCGTTAATAACGATGATAAAGGTGATGTAGTTTCACTTGTTCAATCATTTATAAAGTCTGCTAAATCATCGTCACACAAGGTTATTAGAATACTGTATTGTATGGCACAAGAGAATGAAATGTTGGCATTTGATATAGTCACAATGATGAAAGCATCATTGGAAAATGATAACAGTATCGCAGTCATAGATTATAATATAATCGATCGTGTTGGTGATATGGATTCTTATTTCCCAAATTTCAACCATGACAAGATATCAATGAAACTTACCAAAGATATTGACCTTGGTGAAAATTTGACAGAACAAGGGTTCTTGGCATCATGTTATGATTTAATCTTAACAACTACTGGTGATTTAAAACAACAACAACAACAATTCCATCAATTATTAAATCCAAATGGTCATTTAATTATTTTAAATAATCAAAAACAACCAACAGCAGTAGCAGTAGAACATCAAGTTGATGAATCACAACAATCAGTAGCAGAGAATAATAATAGTAATAATCAATTGGAAGAAATCAAATCAAATTTAATTGATCAATTTATTCATGTATCACAGAATAATAATTTATTGATTTCAAGAAAACCAAGTATTTTTGAAATGGAATTAGAAAAGATTGATCATATTTTATTTATTACTCCTTCTTCTTCTTCTTCATCTGAAGAAACTCAAAAGTTATCTACCAAATTAATTCAACAAGCCAATTTAATTACTCATGATATTTCTTTCTTTTCATCAAGTGATATAATGGATGATAAGAAGAATCAACAATTAATCGATGCAATTGGATACAGTGAAGACAAAAAGGTTGTTGTTATAGACCTAAGTACATTGGATCCAATGAATGTTGGTAATTTGGTATCAAAATCTATGGAATACCTACGTCTTCAACAAATCATTAGAAGAGAGAAATTACAAATCAAATTAATATCTCTTCGTACTAGTACGTTGAATGATTGTTTGTCACCCATTACAAGAGAATTCAACTATAAATCTGGCAATGGATTATTCTCATTTGAATCGTTGGCATTGTCTATTAGCAAGGATGCTTGCAATCATGTTTCAATTAAACAGATTCTCCAAATTTCAAATTACCATGCATTGGGAGAAGGAGAGTTTAAATTGGAATTGGATGAAAATGAAATGGTCCAAGCCAACGTAGAAAGACTAATATATGCTAGGGATGTACTCAAACCAGACAGTCGATTTACAGTAACTGATCCAAAGGAACTGGTTATAAAGTTTGAAAAGGATTCAAGATACCATTTACGTTCCAAACAAGAGGTGTTGACTGGCGACCAAGTAGAGATCAAGGTGATGGCTGCATCACTCAATTTCAAAGATTGTCTCATTCTCGATGGTGGTGTACCACAGTCATTGTTCCCATCGGGTGATGTGTACGATCCACCATTTGGTCAAGACTGTGCTGGTATTGTCACTCGCGTCGGTCCAAACGTCACCAAGTTCAAGGTGGGTGACGAGGTGTATGGTGCTGCATCTGGTTCATTTACCTCTCATGTAATGACCGATCAGAGTGTTCAATCTATCGGACCCATCCCAAAGGGAATGTCGTATGCAGATGCTGCTTCAATTGTCACCACCATGGGTACTGCACATCATGCGCTCTATAAAAAGGGAAATATCAGTCCAGACGACTCGGTCATTATCCACAGCGCATCAGGTGGTGTTGGGTTGGCAGCTCTCAATATTCTAAAGACTATGGGACATCGTGGAAAGGTCTTTGCAACCATCGGCAGTGCTGGTGATAAAATGGAGTATCTCAAAGATACATATGGATCGTTTATCACAGCGATCCTTTTATCATCTGATTTCACTCAAGATGTACTCGATATGACTGATGGTGAGGGTGTGCAGTACATCCTAAACACACTTGACCACTCGCGTATGCAAGACAACTTTTCGGCACTGTCTCCAAGTGGAACGATTCTTGATTTGTCGATAGACCAATTTGCCAATCTCGACAATATCGGTACACACATGCTCCGTTACCAACGTGCCTATATTGCCATCCACTTTTCAAAGAACCATTACAGTTCTCTATGCGCCGTTCAAGAAATGTTTAGTCTTGGACTGCAAGTCCCACCCATCAAACTATTCCCATGCCAAGACATCACCAAAGCAATGGACCATATGAAATCAAGAACACATATTGGCAAGGTTATACTTGACTTTGAACATATTGAACGTGACTTATTACCATCACTACAAGATGCCGGCAAGTCAGAAGCAATCGTTGAAAGACATTCATACGAGTTGGATGGTGTGCAAGGTACATTGATGATGACTGGTCAGACTGGTGTCGCAGCCGAGTGTCTCTACTATCTCATCAAGCATGCACCAAAGTTGTCCAATATTATCATTGTGACACACTCTAAACCAAAGTTTGAAATGCAATGGTTGATGCATACCATTCAATCACAGTATCCTCATCTGACATTACACTTTGTGCAATGTGATGTAAGTAATTATGACCAACTCAAATCATCCATCAAACAACTATACGAGTCAAATACAAAGATTGAACCAGTTAAAGTACTCTTACATTGTGCCAATCAGTATATGGCTACAGCAGCTGATGACATTAACTTGCAAGACCACCAACGGGCACTGTCTGCCAAGGCTATTGGAGCATGGAACCTTCACCATCTTTTTGAAGAACTTGGATGGAAGTTGAATCACTTCCACCTCTTTTCATCGATGGCTCAGTATCTTGTCAAAGGTAACACTAGTTATGGTGTCGGTAACGCATTCCTCGATGGGTTGGCTAGGCATCGTAGAGAGTGTGGATTGGAAGGTACAGCTATCGCTTGGGGTAGTATAGGGTCGGCAGGACAAGTCGCCATTCACCAAGGTTCAAATGCAAGTTTGAGCTCAACCGGTCTCGTCCTACTCCCGCTATCCTATGTATATGGTGTACTGAGATCATCCTTTATCAACCAAACAACACCACTCACCCGAACCATTTGTGGCAATGTGTCACCTAGAAAGTTTGTTGAAGCACTTCCATTCCTTGAACATGCTCTCACCCAGTACCTACCTATCCACAACAAAAAGAGTATGATGGGAGGTGGAGACGCCAACAGCACAGAAAACAAAATCATCACTCATATCGCCGAGACACTCTCCATTGAACGGTCACTGTTGTCACCCGACACCAAACTCAAAGACTACGGTGTAGATTCAATGGTATCGATCCAACTCAAAACATGGATCGACCAAGAGTTTGGCAAGACTCAAATCATTAATCATTCTCAAATTTCAAATGGTTCAATTAATTCTATTATTGAAACTATTCAAAGATCTAAAAATTAACAATTGAATTAATTGAATAAATAAAAGTTTTTTGTTTCAACAATTTGATTGCGGGAATTATTATGAAATCGTCGTAGGTAGCTTGATAAATCTTTTTAAACAATAATTATTAATAGATTTATTAAGCAGATTCTTTGGATGAGCATATAATATTACATAAGTTATTGGGTTTTCTTGGGTTGGTAGGTGGCTGGTGTAGCAAAAACGGATGCATACTGTTTAAAGTTTTCGTTGACTACTAATATGAGGTTGGAAGTAATATTGTGAGGGGTACTCTGGCGTGGTGGATCGTAGGCGGTGAGGTAGGTGTAAGTTTGTTGGTCGAGTCATATGGGTTTCAAAATTTCTTGGTAGTGATGCAGAGGTTTGTTTGACACTGGTTCATGGTGTACATCATGAAAAAATGTAAAACCAAATTTAAACTCATGTAATAACAGCTTCAACCAAAATTTTAATAGCATTAAATTTTAAAGTTAAATTAAATCAATGTTTACATTGTCTGCTTTAAAGTGGTGTAAAACGAGTGTTAAATTCAATTTAAAAGGATCCTCAAAAAAAAAAATAATAAACAAGGTTTAGTTTAATAATATAAGTGTGTCTCATCAACTTTAACACAATCCTGTATTACTTGATGAGACACTCAGTAGTGTGGTTTGAACATCCATTGTAGAACCTGTAGTCTATGCTATATCGAGCAACGATCATAGATAGAAGATTCCCAGAGTATTATCCATTCAAGTAACTAAATATATAGGAAAGTATCAATGTATGATATCCAACCTTTTATCATTCTTAAATAAACAAGAGTAGTTAGTATCAGGGGAACTAACTACCACAACACGACGTAGTCACTCCGTCACGTGTTGTCTATAAATATGAGATTAAACACTCATATTCGATAATCTACTTACTACATACGTATATTATCTCATATCTCTCCCCTCATATTTACTCTGTCTTGTTGTTGTCTTATCATCTTGATACACTCTATCTCTCTCTACCACTTGCGCTATCTACATCCATACTAATTTATATGGGAGGTTGAAAGAGGTATTTGATGTGACAATGAAGATGTTTACACTCTATATTACTCATTATAAATTATTATTCTATTAATTATTATTACTATTAATTATTATTATTCTATTAATTATTATTATATTATTAATAAATATAGGAAAGATTAATAATTAAACTATAGAATATAGTGACAGCATTAATCAACTGGAAGCAGTACTACATACACATGCAGCTGCTTCAGTTGATTAATGCTGCATGTTAGTATGTATCAGGTGGATGGAAAGCTATAGAATAATGGATATGTTGGGATGAACCATGGAACAGTCTTAGCGAACTATGCTCAAAACGCTTGGTTAAACCAGCATTTTAATATGAGATCATCACACCCAATGCTCAACTTGTTTAGATTTCTATACGGTCTGTCATGATTGTGGATACGAAATTTGTGACTGGTGGTGGTGCATGCAACAAATAAGTGAAAAGGTTTATGAATATGACGACAACCTTTATTGCCAATCATGTTATTTCGATTCCTATTTTGTGGATAGCGACTACGACTCTGATGATGAATCCAACAGTTATTAAAATAAAAGTTTTTTTAGTTGCCTTTTAATAGAAGTGAATGATATAGGCAAAAAATCATTCTAAAAAGATTTATTTATAATTATATTTATGGATAAGCTCTTATATAAGAGATTAGAATAATCCTTTATATGTTTTTTTATAGCACGTATTGTAGCAACACGATTTGATCTTAGGATGTCCTATGTAATCATAGTATCTAACATACAAAATTTGGCGGTGTTTATCAGGACAATACTCAGATTCTCTTTTACAATTTAAAAAGAGATTCTTCTTTTTATCATCGGTGATTTCTTTTTATATGCATCACATGCACCTCGTGATCCATCTCTACCAAATATTCTTACACTATTCAAACTACATGTTTTAAATTTAAATTCACTTGTTATCTCAAACGATCTTGGAATCACATCGATTCCTGTTGGTTTCCCATTTGGTATGACAAGTTTACAAAATTTGTAAGTAGTCATTAAATTAATTGTAAAATATATATATATATATATATAGATTAATATTAATTAATTATTTATTTGTTTATTTGTTTGTTTGTCTGTAAAATATAGTGATATTTATGCACCAAATTTAGTACAAATAGATTATAATTCATTTAAATCGAATAGTCCACTCATTTCACTTAGAACCGGTGGATCTCCATTAAACTCTGTGGTACCTTTGGCCTCTTCAATTACATTTCGTCGGCTCACGACCATTTCCCATGGTTTTACCCTTTCAGCTCCACTAACTTTGGCTTTTCATCAAGATTATTTCCCAGCTCTTCTTTCCATGTAAGTTGACTACTCCACCCCCATTGATTGATTGATTGATTGATTGGTTGATTGATTGATTGATTTCTCACAACACCTTTGTTTGTTTTATTTTATTTTTAGTGAAATTGGGTCGACTGGAAATAACAAGATTACAACACCTCTAGCAGCAGTAATTAATAGTAGCTCAATTACCCAAGTTACCTGGTATGTAATGAAAGGAGGAAGAGAAGGAGGAGGAGGAGGAGGAAGAGGTTCTGTAGTACTATAGTATTATTCGAATAACAAACTAATAGTTTTATATTAATATATATATATATATAAAGTCAACTATTAAGTCAAGACCCATACTATAATTTGTTTTTTTCTTATCCCAGTACTATTTTTACATTGTAAGTCAATTATAAGAATTGATCGATTTATATATTTATTTATTTATTAACTGATACTTTAAATTATTTCAAGACATCTAGCAGGTTTACAATCAGAGATTTCTCCATCTGATCTCTTTCAATTTTCATCTTTGAGAACATTGTTAATCTCTGGATCAGGTATTACCAAATACCCTTTTTCCAATTTTCCACCTTATCTTTCTTATTTGTAAGTTTATAATAATATATGTAAATTGAAAATCATTACTCTATCTTTTACTTACTTCTACCACTACCCATTTTTTTTAAAATTAAACTTATATTATACAGGCAAATAAGTGCAAAATTGCAAAGTATATCAAATTTAATTATTCCTTCATCTATGTCATATTTGTAAGTTTGACTTTTCATTAATTAATTTCTTTCAAAATTAATATACTAACAAATCTGTATATTGCAATATGTAGTGATGTTAGAGGTAATCAATTAACTGGAACTATCCCAGATATTGTATTTTCACAATTAAATGGAATCAAATCAATTTCAGTGTTATTGAGTAATAATCCTGGTCTCACAGGAACTCTACCAAATGATCTATGTCAGGTTAAACAACTTTCTATTTTAAATACAAGTATTACGGGCATACCTGATTGTTTCTGGTGTTACAATGTATCTGGTTCCACAATACTCATAACCTCACTTTCAATGCCATCCCATTTCGCATGCAATGTGACAATTAATAATCGACGACTACCAGCATTATTCACTCAAGTAATGATTGAAGGTTCAAACTTGGGTTGGGCAATTGGAAAGGAACCCCAACTCATTCCTATCATTCCAAATTCATTATTAAGGTATGTACCTATATAGTTGTTAAAAGAATAATTAATTAAATATTTATATATTAATATATATTCATTTTATTTATTTAGGTATACATATCAAAAGATTGGACCACCTGAACTAGTGAATATTGAAATAGCAAGTGGATCATACAATTTTGAATTTGAATTGGTTGAAGCTGGCATCACCCTCTCCTCAATAGCCCAAAATCAAAGCACAACTGATGGAACTATCATGCTTATGATAACATTTACTCAATACAATCAATACATATCACACTTTGTATTTTTAAAGCAAGGTTTGAATACCTATCCATGTATTGTACAATTAAAAGAAGGCTCGAAATTGTATTGCAAGATTTATCAATTACCACTCGTCGCAACCTATCAATTGACAGTCCATAACGAATTCTTTTCGGCTAGGTCACCTATTATAATGTCTAAATCTATCGTTGCCATGTATCCTTTGGTGAGTAGTGCTGACTACCAATCATCTCCATCACCATTGCTCACATTTAATGGATTTTTTGGTGAAAATCTAAAGACTGTAAATACATCTGTCATACTCAACTCTACCACTACTTGTATCACTATGTCTATCACCTCGGGGACAATTACATGTGCTCCTACAAGTATCATGACACCTGGACAAGTATTCATTTCCATTACTGTCGATGGAAATCAAACACCATTTAGTTTACTCTCCATCCCATACCAAGATAACCTCAAAGCCAATTGTATTGAACAAACTTTTAATTGCCATGGTCACGGTCAATGTAATGACCAAGGAATTTGCCAATGTAATCAAGGTTATTATGATGATTGTAAATATTTTAGTATGTAATTAAAAACAAATCAAAAAATAATCAAATCTAAATTAATTATTAATCTTTATTTTATTTTATTTGTAGAAAATCCAAATGTAACATTTGTTCAAAATGATACCAAACCAGTTGCAACATTTGAATTGGATGGATATCAATTCTTTTTCTCATTGGTTGCAATTCAAGAATTGGATGCTGATGATAATATCGTTCAAGAATTAATTACTGATAAATGGAATGTTACTGATTTATCAGGTGATGATCTTACATCACTCCATTACAGATTATTGATCAATTCAACATTGTATCCAACATTATCAACAGTTGCCAATATTACATCATTGATTGAATATTCAACACTGGATAGACAATTACCATTTGGTGATAGTATAGTATCAGTTGGAGCAAATAGTATTAAAGTTGGAGTAAATGTTACTGGATGGCAATACCAATCGATTCTATCACATCTCAGAGTTGTATTCGCAACCATTGTCAATAATGAACAATCAAGAACCCAATCATGTTCCTCCAATGATATTCCAACATTTGAAGAGATCCTAGGAAGTGATAGTTATTTAAGAGTTATCAAGAATAATACACAATTCTATGGTCGTTTCCTTTCCTATTCCTATTCAGATGGTAGAAAGACATTTTCAAGAAACGAATTAATTAATCAAACTATTATCACTGGCAAGAGTAATGAATCATTGGCGTTGATTGGTGTACATATACCTCAATGTGCTTCATGTCTACTTGACCCCGACTTTTCAGCATTGATCACCGATAACAGTAAAAATGATGAGGATTGCGAAACCTCTTCATCTTCAGAGAATACATGGAAAATTATAGTTGGAGCATGTGTTGGTGGTACTGTATTCATTGCATTGGTAATAGCATTAGTATTTTCATTAAAAAATAGTAACCGATTTAAAATTAAAGTTAAAGCTGCTAAAAGTATAATGTTAAAGAAAATGGGAACAAATAAATAAATAAATAATAGGCACATAATTAAATATTTAAATTGTTTAAAAATAATAATAATAATAATATTAACCCCTTTTGTGTTGTGGGAAATAATTATTATTATTATTAGTGAATTTATTCCTATCTATTGATTTGTACAGTTATTATTATTTGTTGTTGATATTCCTCATATTATTTTTGTTGTAATTATTAATATATATATATTGTTTGTTATTTTTTTTTAATCTTTTTCTTTTACGTTATTATTATTATTATTATACTTTAAAGTTCTATATATCGGTTTGAGTATATGGTTGTGTCCTTTGGGGAAAAATTGTTTAAACATTTTGTTCAGTGTTTTGTTGTGGTTGTTGTTGAACTGGAACTGGACGAGGAGATGGGAATCTTGCTTCATCATCAGTATCATCAGAATCAAAGGTGGCGTGGACTGGACCAGTGAATGGTGGGAGTGGACTGGCAAATGAAGAGGCAGTTGGTGACGATGGTGGCTCACGAGAGACTGACATGGTGGTCATTCTAATCGAGTTGGATCCAGACGACACAGGTGAGATGGCTCCATCTTCATCATCATCGGCATCCTTGACATGACCAGAGACACTGTTGGAAGCAGACTTTGAACGAGAAGAGGCAATGGCAGATTTGGAACGAGATCCAAATACATTGGTACCCTTGTCACCATAGTTGTGGATACGCCAGAACTTGGGCACAAAGAGGATGCAGATGGCGGCAGTAGTGATAAAGAGAGCCGATGCGCAAATGATGATACTTTGGTTCAAGTTGGATTGTGGCGACACCAAGAGTGGGATAATGACAAACAAGATGAACGAGATGGCGTAGAGGGTGTTACCAATCTCCTTGCTTTCATTGAACTCGTCAATGTCGACGATACGGATCTTCCACGACAAGAACACACCAGACAAGAGTAAAACGGCAAACGAGCCGAGCAAACCATAGAGCACACCATTTCCGGCACTGTCCATCTGGCAGACCGACATGTACTCGTATTTGCCGACACCGTCGATATTAAAGACATCTTCAACACGGCTGTTGCCAACCTTGCTGGTCATGATGGCCAAAAAGATAATCTTGACGCAGATGATGGCAAAGACCCATGGGAATAACTGGGCGTTGGTGATCTTGACGGCCTTGAGCTCGGGATTATCGAAAATCTTCCAGATACGGAAGTTCTTGACGACGAGGGCACCGACCAAGAGGGCATAACCGACGGCGAGTAACCAGTAACGGGCACTGCAGACAGCATCAGAGTTTGGTTGCACCCAGATGATGACACCAATGTAGGTGATGCAAGCACCGATAAGGATGGCAATACAAAAGAGTGGTGAGGCGGAACGGATCGATTGGGTGTTACGGTAGACAAATACCAAGACGGCAAACACAATGGAAACGAGGTTGAGAATACCGGCAATGACCGAAAAGGCGTATTGGACGTCCCTGTCCATATCAACCTTGACCAATGGTACTGAATAGTTGCCTAAAAAGGTCATACCAGGGTATGGAACATTCAATTGGAAGAACTTGGCCGATGTGATACAATTGGTGGTACCTGGTAAAAGATCGGTTGTCTTGTTGGTGATAACAGCCAAATTAAGATCACTACAATAGTATGGATTAACAGTTCTATTGACAGTCATCAAATAAGCTGCTTGTGCATTTACTTTATCTTGAACATCTTGTGGTACCTAAAATAAATAAAAGAAAGACAAGAATAAAATGATTAGTTAGACAAATAAATAATATACAATTTTTTCTTCTTTTACTTACAAGAGATGAAAAATTATCAAGTCTAAGGAAATTATTGTTAAAATCACCGTAATATCTAATCATGGCAGTACGGTTAGTCATGGCAGCCTTGGTGAATTGGAGGTATGGAGTGGTCCAATCAGTGACAAAACTGAGACCGATTTGCTCACCATAGATTTCACGTTGGCCGTACCCGTTGGTTCCGAGAGCCATACCACCTTGTTGCATAATGGTGATGGGCACCATCATATCATCTTGGGTGTGCGAGATCATATCAGCACCAAAGTCGTTCATGAGGTTCAAGGTGGCACCGTGTTCAATGTCTGGTTGGATCCAACCACCGGCTTGCCAGAGGTAGAGTTGTGGGACGGGCTTGCCAACGAGTGCGCTAGAGGCAACAGCACCTACATAAAAAGCGTTTGAACCATAGTTCATAATGAATGGTTCACCTGGATTGACGTAACCAAGCACACTAGTCTTGGTCATGAGACCTGCAAAGTATCCCAAAATGTATTGGCATACATGGACGTTGTAGGTGACGTAGGAGAGGTTCTTGGTGGCAACTCTGTTACCACGGGTCAAGATGACAACCTCTGGGAATCGAGTGGTGATGTTGATGGCAGCGTTGGTGTACTCGAGCGAGGCAGCAATAAAACTGTCGTAGCCAAGTGCAATCTTTTCCTCCATAAATTCAATGGCACCATGTTCAGTGACACCTTCGAAAATATCAATATCTGTTGTTTGTAATTGTTTCTCTACATTTACTTTAGCATAATTAACCATATAATTGAATCCTAAATAGAAAGAATAAGAAATTTGAATTGATTTTTTGAGGTCAGTGAAAGGATCTAAAAAAGGATTTTACAAAAAATCTCATCTCTCTTATTTATTTCAACGAACGCTCGTTTTCGTTTAACACATCAAACACTATCAATGAGTATTTTTTAATAATTTAATAAATTATTTATACATACCAAAATCATTGAGTTCACCGGTTGTAAAGATAGCCATTTTAAATGATTCTACATGATTGATAAATGAAAACAGTACAAATATCGATACCAATGTGAATTTTAATAATCTTAAACTAGTTTGCTTCATTTTTTTTTAAGTAAACTAGCTTTGTTTCGCCTGTTGTTGATTTGTAGATATTGATTATTATTAATCTACTAAACCTAATAAATTACTATGTTACAATGATAATGGTAAAATATAAATCTAATCCTTTTTTTTTTTCTTTCTCTCTCTTTAGGTATTATTACAGAAATAAATAAATAAAGTAGTAGTATAGTGATTGAATTTGTGATGAAAAGAGAGATAGAAAGAGATAAAAGAATTATTTATACAAATACTAATGATACAATTAATAATGATGGTTGCGGATGTGTGATAAAGGAGGAGATACAAAAATAAAAGGATTCTATTGGTGGCTGGTGTTTTGAAGGCAAGGAGATTGATTTGGCAGTCTTGACCTAGGGTTGGTTGGCCATCAGACCCCCCTCTTTCTGCTAGCAGGGCAACTGCACAGTTTTTTTCTTTTTTTAAATTGGCACTCAGAGAAAATTATCTACTCAACACAACAAATTTAAAAGAATTGCATCTCTCAACCCCTCCCCTCACTTTATACATGGGTCGTTTTCAATGACCATAGTGAGAAGGCGTTGTGTGAGACACTAGTGCTGTCGTTGAGCACATCAAGTAGAAAAGGCAACTTTGCACACCAGCAACCAATCAATAAAAAATCAGATCTGTGTCCAACACCAACACTCGCGCGTTTTTCCAATACCAACCACCCCCATTGCTATGGCTCGAATGTCTGTAGACCCCACTCTAGATTTTGAAAAACGACGAGCGATACTTTTTAGATGAGATTCACCAGCAGTAGCGTTTTTCAATTAAAAGGACAGTCGACGAATTTCAGGTAGAGTAGGAGATCACATTAAAACAATTGTTTTCGCCTCCACATTTGCACATAGAGAGGGCCGTTTTTTAAAAAATTGTTGAAAATAACGGTTTTGTCGTTAGCGGCTGTTTGTTGATGATTTTTCGATCGAAGTAGACGAAGTGTCTCATCGATTAATTTGGGGAAGCCTTGACCCTACTATCCATGAACATGTACCACTTTAAGTAGGTACCTTGTAGTATCTGTTCTCCAGGCCACTTGTCTTTAGTTGAATGTCTTTGAGTGAGGGTGGGGATCATCCCTAGCTATTAATACCTTCTTTTAGGGACCTGAAACCAAGTTAAAAACCTTAGACGCGTTATATGTGTAGCCATTATAACTATCTTTTTATGAACGAGTTTTTGTTCAAATCTGTGATGCACCTACCCCAACACATTTCATGTGCATCGAAAAACTCTAAGCTTTTTAAGAGTTTAATACTCTTCAGTAGTAGATTATGCGTCGTTCTCTTTATAGAAAGTAAAAGTAAAGGGAGATTATTTTCAAATTCGATAAAGAATGTGATCGCCATCAATCGAACAATTTAGAGTTCAAAGATTGATGGGACAAAGGAAAGAATTACTCTGACGGATTAATTTGAGTCAAAAGGAAAAGATTATAATCTTCAATCTAGATACAGATAATAATAACAATAATAATAATAATAATAATAATACAACCAGCTTTTACAAAACCATCAAAAATTTAACAGACACCTTTTGTGATTGTTTGTGAAAGTTCATGAGATACACAGGTTCATTGAATGTTTGCAAAGGTGAGGCAGAACCTCTCAATGTACCCCCTCTGTGTATGTAGCCTGTAACGGGTAGATAGCTATCGATCTTCACTTGAAATCGACAACTCGACATTGCTGTGGAACATGAATGGTTTAGGTCGGAAGGGTTTGTTCAATTAATTAATGTAATCTCTCGTTTGTTAATTAATTAATTAAAAAGTACCAAAAGACGATTTGGTTGGCTATGACCCCCTGTTGCTTCATTGATCATGTAAACATCACATGAATTTACGATGAGGCATCTGGATCGGATCAAGATTTTTGGGCGGATGGCCTCGATTAAAAATATCCTTGTTGGTGACCGTTCTCTAGTTGATCAGACATGACTTTTTTGAGAGTTTACCGAATGCACTGGGATGACCTTGGTCTAAATGTTGACCCTATCTCTCTCCTTCTTGCTATCATCTCTTTTCTCTTGTTTTGTTTATGCTCTTCTTCTTTGATCACATGTACATTTTGTGATATTAGTTATTAATAAACACCAACAGAACAAGAACATCATCATTGTAAAGAAGAACATCACTGTCATCAACAATCTTATTATTATTCTTCTTCTTCTTCTTTCAAATACACATTATATTTTTAAACATGTAAGAGCTACAACCAAAGAGTTAAACCTATAAATATATTTTTAGAATTCTATTAATATCTTTTTTTTTTTTCTTTTTTGTTTGATCGATATTTATTTAGGGCTTGTTGTTCAGGATTCAAAAGAGTATTATTCTTTTTCTATGCATATAATTTAGTTGCAAACTTTGCAACATCTATTTCATATCTAGTGACGTTGTACAGTTTTCCACAAAAGGACCAATTGACCGACAATGGTAAGAAGGCATTGTTGGCAACACAGATTCTATCGTCTGCTGCCATGGCCATCACATGTGGAGTCCAGATATTCTGTTTTGTCAAAAAGGAGACATACGGTGTCAAGTCAATCATCATCGCACCACTCTACGCCATGTGGTGTGGCAATGAAAAGTACCAAGAGCTCAACGAACAAAAGGGATCTTGGGAAGTGTTCAAGTTGGCCTTGTGGCTCTTTTTCACACACGATTGCCTCCAGTTAGCGTCATCCATTTCATTCTTTAAAGTACTCCGTGACTATGCTTCCTTTGGTACAAAGGTGTCTGCTGGTTTCAAAATTGGGTTTACCATATTGGCCATGATGTATTTCTTGGGCTTTGAAGTTCCAAAACGTTATTGTTGCAAGAGAATTAGTGATACTGGTGACAAATTAAAGAATCTTGGTAAAGATAAGAAGGGAGATGGTGCTACTACTACGACTGAAGGTGGAGATATTGAAAAAGGAGAGACAAAAAAGAAAGAAAAGAAACAAAAGAATGATGAAGATGAAGGGTGTAGTTGTTGTTAAAAAACAAACTCTCTCTACTCTGAAATATTTAATTTAATATTAAATATTAAATATTAAATTTAAAAAGTCAAAAAGTAATCAATCATTGACCATTGGTTCTTCTCTCCTCTCTCCACTTAAATTATTTATTAATAAAAAAAAAAAATAAAAAATAAAAAAAATTGAAAATAATAATAATTGATTCGTTCGTTTTTTTTGATTTTCCTCAGAGAGGGTGGTGTTTTGTCCTCATAAAGAGTGTATTTCGGCGCCGTGTAATTTCTTTCTTTTTCTTTCATATACTATCCTATCCTACCTATTCTATCCTATCATCAAACCAAAAAGAGAGAGAGGGGTAGAGAAGAGAAGAGAGAATGGTATACAACTATACAGTAGAGGAGATATTCCCCAATATACTCAGTGCATCGAGTCAAAAGAGCAATGAGAGTATTCGTCGATTGGCAGTCGTCTTGAATGCAGTGACCGATGTCGTCAAGACAAAGAACGCACCCATTCAACCTGCATCCTACTTTGCATTGATCATATCGACACTCCAAGACGGCAACTATCAACCATCACAAAAACAAGATCTACTTAAACTCTTATCAATCGTCATTGAAAGGTATAGATATAGATATTAGATATAAGATATAAGATATATATACTAATATCTTTTTATTTATTTATTTATTTATTTGATGTTTTAAAGAGTATCACAACAATTAATTAGAAATATTAGTGATACATTGATTACAATGTCAATGAAATATATGACAGAGGAATTTGGAAATGAAGAGATTATGAAACCATGTGTTGTAGTATTGGGTAGAGCATTGACACACTCTGATACACAGTCGTGGCAAACCAGCGAGCATATCAAAGCCTATGCATTATTATTAAAGTGTTCGGTCGATCAACGTAGCAAGATTCGTCAAAAGGCTTTGAAAGAGGTTATCTTGGTTTTGAACTCTTCGGGTGTCTGTGGACCACGTGGAGGATTGATCAAGATCGTTGCACAGGTATCAACCAACTTTTGTCGTGACATTTTCTCAAACATCACCCTCGAGACAATGGGTGAGGCCTACCATGCCCTCAACGTGTCTCACGAACTCGTTCCACTTCTCCAACCATCTTTTGTCTCCCAATTGATGGATTCTATCATTAGATTGACCAGTTTGGGTAACAGCTCAATCACTCCCCTCTGCTACAAGACTATTGGCACCCTTTTCTTCCGTACCAATCAACTTATTGGAACTCACATTCAACAACTCATCGAAGTATTATTCCAATTCTCACCATCTGGTATTGATATCAGATCAACTATTGCTTACACTGAATTAATTACTCAAGCTTATCTTCATTTTTCAAGGCAAGTCACAAACAAACAAACAAACAAACTTAATTATATTATTTAATTATTAATCCTATTTCATTTCTTTTCTAAAATTTTAGATTGGATAAACAATTATGTAATCAACATTTACAAAATTATTTTACAACTTTAATGTCAAATTTTAGTTCTGATAAACAAGATATTACAAAGGTTACAATGGATGGTTTCAAGGTAAACATACAAACCAACTTGAGATATAAAGTGTTTTTTTTGTAAATACAAATATTAATTTAATTAATTATTTATTTTAATTTATTTTTAGAATGTAATTGTAGAATGTATAAATGAAGAGATGATTTCACAAGCAACAGTATCATTAAAGAATCAACAATTTAATTCACCATTGGAAAAGATTATTGAAACTTTGATGGAAGGTTTAAAGTATACATACAAACATTCATGGGAATTGATCTTGCAAGTCATTTCGTCAATGTTCCAACAACTTGGATCACAAGCTCATCCATTGCTCGACAAGTTGTTGTTGGGCGTTGATTCACTCGGCGGTCTCCAACACACTGTGCAACAAGTGATTGCTAGTGCCTTGGTCGCAATCGGTGCTCGTAACCTACTCACCCTCTTGCCACTCAATCTCGACGCTCACCCCGACGACAAGACACGTCCCAACCGTGGCTTCCTCTTGCAGTTGATGAAGAAACACTTAAAGTTTTCAGAGTTGGCTGCTTTTACCGACTACTTTTTGCCCATGTCCAAGGTGCTCAAGACCAAGTCCAACGAATGTCTCGAGGACAATAGATTGATTGAAGCCAAGAACCTCGACATTCTCTATATTCAAGTGTGGCAGTTACTCCCCGGTTTCCTTACATACCCAGTCGACGGTGACACTGCCTTCAAGTCGATTGCCAAGACACTTGGTACCACCCTGCAAGACAATGAGGTCATTCGTCCCATCGTCTGTACTGGTCTCACTACCATGATCAACACACTCAAGGCTGCTCGTGATGCTGACCAAGACCCCATCTACCTGCCATTGCACCGTCGTCATGTGACCATGTCACCCACACGTGCCGCTGCCATCCTCAAGACGGTCGCAGGGTTTGCCAAAAACTTTTTGCCCATCATGTTTAACATTTATCCATCGACCAAGAACGATATCCGTCAATACTTGCAAGCATGTATTGAAGCATACGTGTCCATTGCCGATGCAACCACCGTCAACAATCTATTTAATAATATCGTCACCAAACTACTCGAAGCTCAAAAAGAGGAAGAGGAGACACGTCGTCTCAAGCCCGAGGAAAAGATCAAGACCAAGCGTTACTATCTCACCGAGTTGACTATGGGTTTCATCAAGAGATTTGCCGAACAACAAGATGTCATTGACGAGGTGACACCATCCAACGGTAGTTTGGAGCAATTGAATACTTTGTTCAAGGTCATCAAACCACAATTCCAAGCACAAGATCCAGGTATCCAAAAACGTACCTTTAAGGTATTGGATCGTATCATGGCTCATCATCCAGCATTCACCATGGAGAATTTAGATAAACTCAAGACCATCCTTACATTTAACCTTCAACAATCTTCACCAAATCTCAAAAAACTTCGTATTCGTTGTATAAAGCAAGCTGTACAAGCCATCCTAGAGTATGGTGACACTTCTCAATCTGAACAACAATTACAACAAGATTTTGAAAATGCTTTCACCCAAGGAAATCAACAAGGAGAGGAAGGAGCAGAAGAGACAATGGAAACACGTTCAACTATTAGTTTTGGAGGTAGATCAATGAGATCAACACGTTCAGGTTTCTCATCATTTGGAAGTAGAGGAGGATCATCTGCAATGGCTGTCAGTTGGACCAAATTACGTCAAAAGTTGATTCCATCATTGGTGCCAGAGATTATACTATGTACAAAGGAAGTCAACAAAAAGTGTAAGGAAATGTCCAACGACTTGGTCATTGAAATGGGCAAGGTCATGTGTTTGGTAGCTCAACGTTGCATTCAACTCAAGAAGGGTATCCCACGTGAACAACAAATCCAACAAGCTCAATCAGAGGCATTGGTCGAGTACATCCACTTGATGGCCGCCGGTTTGGCCTCCATCACCCCCATGATGGTGTCTGCAACCATCGTCGCCATCTCGCGTGTCGTCCACTCGTTCCGTGACCTCTTACCATTAGAGACAGTCTCTCAAATGTTGTCTACACTCTTTGTACTCATGGACAGTCCACATCGTGAGGTTGTCAAGTCCGTGATGGGCTTTACCCGTGTCGTCATGGCCTGCTTCCGTGAAAACTCTGTCATTGAGCCACACTTGCAAATGTTGATGGATGGTTTGTCCAAGTCGTCCGAGAGCGACCGTAACTACTTCCGTATCATGATCCAGATCTTGTTGCAGCGTCTCATGAAGCGTTTCGACTATGACCAATTGCACGCCATGTCGCAAGAGGGTTTCAAAAAGGTGTTGGTACACATCCAGCGTAGAAAGATGCGTGCTGAGAAGCTCAAGGAGAAGCAACAGTCACACGTCGACGACGCCATGGCCGACGACGACGACACACGTTCCGTCAAGAGTAGCAAGACTGCCAAGACAAGCAAGACTAGCAAGACTGGTGCCGGCAGAGACGACGACAGCGACGGCGAGATTGTCGACAATGAGTTGTCTGAAGACGAGTCGGACGACGACATTGAAGAGTTCTTGTTCAACGTCAAGAAGGCCGCCAAGAGAGACACTGGCGACAACTGGATCGTCGGTGAAGGTGATGAACCAATCGATTACTTGGACAGAAGCGCTATGAACAACATTGCCTCGAACGAGTCGGGCAAGGTCCGTATCCGCAAACCAAATTCAGTGGCTGAAAAGACACCCATCAGCAAGTACTTTGACACTGACGGCGAGGGTCGTATGATCATCGAAGACGAAGACCAACCAATGGATCCACGTCAAAAGATGAGAGAACTCAAAAAGAAGAGATCCATGTCGGCACTTATCGACGAGGTCTTTGAAGAGGGAGCCGATGCCTATGAAAAGAAGGCCGGTTACCGTGCCATGAAACAAAAGTCGATCAACAAGCGTGCCAACAATGAAAATGACGATAGTGACGACTCTGGCAACGAAGATCAAATGGACGAAGACCTCAAGTCGGCCTTTACCAAGAGAACCTTTGCCACCAAGTTTACCACAAAGACGGGCAAGACCGCCAAGACTGCCAAGACCACCAAGACTTCACTCACAAACATTACCAGAATCACCAGTGCCACCGATCGTTACAACAGAACTCGTGGTATCAGTACCAACGTCAACTTTAACAATCCACAACACTCTCAAAAGAAGGGTGAACAAAAGAAGGGCGCCAACGCCGTACAACCATACGCCTACATTCCTCTCGATACCAATACTCTAAATAAGAGAACTAAACATCTTTCTGCTTTCAAAACTGTCGTTAATAATAATAAGAAAAGAAAGTCCTAAAAAAAAAAAAATAGATAGAAAAAAAAAAAGAACAATATCTTTTTTTTAAAATAAATTTAATTATATATATTTAAACAAAAAATAATATTATCTATAGGATTGATTGACCGAATATTTGGTTAGTTATTTATTTATTTACCAAAGAATTTAATTTAATATGAATTAATTTTTGTTGTTGAATATATGCATATTTCTTTTTCAATAGAATGGTAGTTGTTGTTGCAATGGCAATCAAAGCAACTCCACCAACAACAACGCCAACTATGATTCTCCATGTATTTGATTTATCATTACAATCTTGATTTCCCTTTTCAATTAATAATGGTGAGAAATCAGGATCGAGTATACATGATTTACATTGTGGTAGATTAACTCTAATCGTTGCAATTGATTCCTCCCCACTACTAGTAGTGGTATTAAAGAGTGATACCAATTCTGTTTTTGAATAGGCTGGTCTACCATCTGACAAGACATAATCTAAAAATCTACCATTGAATTGAATATTATCCTTTACAACTCTTAGGTATTGAATGGTTGATGAGAAATCATCATATTGCAAACTGTCCAATGGCTTTTCTTCACAATCGAAAACAAAAGTTTGATCTTGTGATATTGATGTTTTGAATAGTACCTTTAATGTTGCTAAATTGGAAGAGTATGACCAACCATCAATTCCAACCTCTAATTTAATGGCATATGGATTAATATGAATGACTTGATCTCCAAATGTAATGTCACGTGGTTGTTTAGAGAAAGAGACAATCGATGAAACATTGAGTTGGTAAAATGGTGATGTAGAGTTGGTGGTACCATTAGTAATATTGAGTTGATAGGTTACAATAGTAGTAGTATTCAAACTATCACTATACTCAATATTGACAGACCAATTGTAATCTGATACAAATAATTCTTTAATTGGTAAATCTTGATTATCAAATCCAACCTCTTGAATTGAATACATTTCAAAACTAAATTTCATTCCATCAATATCAAATGATATTGTTGGTGATGTCATATTTGGTGTTATCGTTGAATTTGAAACTAAATAAAAAAACAATTAATATTTAATACTTCTTTTTCTCTTCTTCTTTTGTTACATACATTTAGTTCTACAATTATCATCTTGATTATAATATAGATCACATTGACATTTTCCATTTTCATCACAATAACCATGACCATAACAATCATTTGTATCTTGTTTACATTTATCTTGAGAAGAGGGACCTCCACCACTTGATGAATCGCTGTTATTATTATTATTCATTGGTTTGAATAATAGTGCATCTCTAATAGTAACCCAAAGAGAGTCAACTTGAATCTTTGCAGATGTTAATCCTGGGTTTGGTTGACTTGAAAGTGTACAATTAATCATTGGTTGTGAGGTATATGTTATTTGACAGTTGATAGTATCATTTAGCAATACAATTGCATTTGATTGATTAAATGGACCAAAATCACCATAAAATGTTAATAGTTTTTGATCATCTCTATTAATTAATGTTGATGATACGATTGGATAAACTAAAAATAAATTATTAATATTAAATGAAATTAGATTGTTTTTTTTTTAAACACATACCAATTGAACAATTATTATAAAATGTTGGTTTAGAACAAATACAAACACCATCATATGAGCATTGACCATTATTATTATAATAATGACAATTGAATGTTTCCAATACACATTGATCATAGGGTGTTGTTATATTTTGGGGAATATAAACCCAACTATAACTGTCAATTAAAACAATAATACTAGGTTGAGAACCCTTGATATTCTCTTGTAGAGTACATTGAATATCACTACCAGAGAAAGAAGTGACAAGACAACTACTATTTCCGTTAACAGTGTTGAATAAAACTGTTGGAGTTGATGTAGAGTAATATCCAGACAAACTAAATTTAGATCCAGATTTTATAATTTGATCTAGTGTTGTCACTGTCATTACTATTGGATAAACTAAAATAATAAATAAAAAAATGTAAATATAAATGAATACATCTTTGTTTTTCTATTTTTTTAATACACATACATTGAGTAAATTCACAATTTGATAAAGAACCATTTAAATATTGATTTGATAATGTAATATTATATAAACCAAATGGAACTGGTTGGTTGGTATGACAAACAATAGTATTTGTAGTGTTTGAAGTTATAAGGCAAGATGTTTTAATACCAGTTGATAAAAAGGTGAGTGTTATATTGTGTCCAATATAAGAGTTGTAAAATTGAGGATAGAGATTGACAATGGTATAATTTGGTGCTTGAGACATTGCATAACCTGTGCCAATATTAATACCAGCTTCAACCACTGTGAATGGATAAGACAATCCAATAAAACTGTGAAATCTTACAGAGACATTTCTAGGTGGTCCAATTTGTAGAGCTGGTATAAAATCAATAAGCATATCAATATTCGGGGTGACTGGAGATACTCTATATGTTCCTTCTGTATCAGAGTATCCCCATCCCAAATTCCTACCGCGCAACTCTACTATTCCATTATTTGAATATAAATAATTTGATCCATAATCAACATCTTTAGAGAAAAAGATTGAATAAAAAATGAATTAAAAGGATGAAAAAAGATTAATTAATTAATTAAATTTAATCTACATACTACAAATAAAATTTTGTGGACGTTGAAGAGGAGATATTGATAGTATTAAAGGGTCTTGATCATAACACCAGAAGCAATCAGGTATTTGGGACAGCCCAGTATTATTGGCAATTAGATAGTTTGAACAAAATGATTCAGGTACTGTACCAGAAACTTGAGGATTATTTGAAATTCTCAATGCCATTAATTGAGTATTTTGAAATAAACTAAAGTTTATCTGACCTTGTAAATCATTATTTGTTAATCCTCTAAAAACAAATAAAAAAGAGTTCGAGTTAGATGTTTTCTTTTTTTGATTAAAATTAATTTAGATGACATACAAAGCAACCAAACCTTTTGGAGTTGAGAGATTTGGTAAAGATGTAAAACCATTATCATGGAAATTGATTGATAATATTTCAATTGGAAATTGTGTAAATGGGTAAGTAACCAAGTTTGATGTAGTAATATCTAAAATTCTCATCAATGGAAATTGATCAATTGATGGTGCAAATGTTGATAATCTTCCTTCCATTTTCCTAAATTTAAATTAATATAAATATAAATATAAATATAAATAAGTATATTTCTATTAATATTAATTTAAATTAATTTATCTAAGCTATTAACTTACAATGCACCAACCTTTGATGTATTTACTACATTTAAATGAAAGTTATTTCCCATAAGAGTACTAGAAAATATAAATATTTAATTAATACCTTAATCTAATATTAAATATATATTATTTATGAGTGAATACAAACATAACGCTAATGATTGAGATATTATGAATTACAGTGATTGAAGGACTACCAATATCATTATATAATCCTAGAGTGGATAGTTTTGGGAATGATGATTGTTGAAAGTTTAATTGTTTTGGATTGTTTACGGCAAATGATAAATGCATTGCATTCAATCGAGGGAGATTAGTGCTGGTACTGGAAATATCAAAATTTTGAAGTGGTGAACCTCTTATATTGATGGTAAATAAATTGGCGTGGCTTGGAAACTCTCCACCTGCAAATGATACAAGATTTACATTATCTTTTAATTCCAATGTACCCAGTACATTTAATCCTGTTGGAAATGTAGCTGGTATATTTGATAATGTTGAATCATTATAAATTCTAAATTAAATTAAGTTAATTAAATTAATTTGATTGTAACCAATTTAAGGTAAATGTGCTGTTAACATACTTGATGATATTAAGTACAGGTAAATTAACCAATTTATCAAATAAATTTAAAGTAGGATCAGCAACTGGAATATCGATAGATGATCGGTTGATCATGAGACTAGTCAAATATGGAAATGTGAATGTCAATGTTGAAAGTGGTATTTGACCGGTTGATGTATACCCATCAATTGATAATTCACTATATATATATGAGTGAGAGAGAGAGAGAGTTGGTTGGTGAGTACATATTTAATTTAATTTAATTTATTTCGGTTGAAACATACATTTTAGTTAGACCATTAGTTGAGCATGTAATACCGGTATAACTACACATTGAAGTATCTCTTGGTATGGATGAAACTCCGTATTGATTCAAAATCCATGATGCTGAATTAACTATAATAGCAATCATCATCATTGTTAGTCTTGATGTATGAGTTTTAGATCTTATTCAGCTTCCTATTAATATTACCTTCACCTACACTTATTGTTTGTGAATTCACTTGAACAGAACAGTGAAACAACACCAATAGTGAAACTATATATATGTATAGTATCTTGATACTTATCATCAATGTAGCTATCTATTCTCCCTTTTCTTTGATACTAATAATAATGGTAGTAGTAGTCGTAGTGTATTTGTAGTCGGCTTAAACAAGACGAAATTTGCCCTATTAATATTATTAGTCGGGATAAAAAGACCAAGAATGATGAATGAACCAAAGAATTAAGAATTAAGAATCTTCTTCTTCTTTTGTTGAGGATGTCCAATGTTTGGGTCAGATGATCATATCTCGAAGATGATTGATAAATCCCCCGTCGTCTCGAGATCAGTGAAAATATCTTGATCTTTGATATTTTTAAAAGAATCCAACTCTCTTGATATTGATAGATACGATCGTCTACTCGCGCGTTCGTTACTTGTAAAAGAAAAGATAAATAAATAATTCGCACAAATGAAAGGTGAACTTGCTTTTAAATTAATTAATTAAAAGTTGGTATTAATAAAAAAATAGGTGGTGGGTGGGAGAGGTATGATGATCATCGCATCAACTTGTATCTTTTTGTGCTGCTCGCTAGTTATAATATGTATACATATAACTCAAGTATAGAGATAGAAGCTGATATCTATAAATAATGTATTTGTTGGTTGGTTATGATATATGAGGTAACAACGTGTGTACTTGCAAGTACCCAGCCCTCAACACCTCACATACCTCTTAATCTTTAATTATTATTGTGTGCGACATTTTGAACAAAAGGAGGGAAAGGAAACCCCTTCGTAATACAACAAAGTTGACACTGGGGGGTGGTATGGTGATAGGGAGGTGGTGGGGTGTGAAGCCGCCGTGTCCCCATGGTTTTTTTCTTTTGAAAACAATTTAATCAAAGAAAGCTTCACAACAATTGTTTGTTGTTTTTTTGTTAACTATACAATTTGTTGAACAGAGAAGACCAAGCAAACATAGATTAGATTAACCAACAACAACAACAACAATTTAATTAAATTAAATTAATATCTAAAGTAAATTTAAATTGACTGCGCAACAAAACAATACGATTTGTTGTTGTTGTTTAGAGACTTTTAGATTATTAGACTTTTCAAAAAACAACACACCCACCATCATCATTATTACCAAAAAAAGAATAAATAAAAGGACAAGACTACTAGGGCAAGAAGAGGTAAGTCCCCAAACCATATGACGACGAGTCAATAACAACATATATCATAGTTTGTTCATCAACATCATCAACATCATCGAATAATAATAATAATAATAATAATTAAGCAATGATATCGATTGTTTCAACAACAGTTGCCTAAATGGTCACGTCGGTTTGAGTGAGGTCTGATTGTCACATCCTCTCTCCACTTTTCGCAAACATCCACCACCCACCACACCCTTATTACGAAGGGATCTATCATACATCAATTAAAATCTAATCGAGATGAAAGCGAAGGGAGGAGGAGAAGAGTTGGGATGTCTGTTGAATAGTTAGCCTATGGCCTCTCAACAAACAAACATACATCTCTCTCCTCCATAAAACTCAACAACAGTAATATTATTATTATATGTTCAAGATTCACCATTAATTAAAGTAAATACAGATACAGATACTCACAACACACAACGCAATTGTAAGTCCTTTGTCCAAGGATAGGGACTTATAAAAAAAACAATCACCCCCTTATACACTCACTCACTCACGCGGATCGAAATAAGTACCCCTTCCTTCAAATCAGAATCAAAGTGTGAGTGAATGAAATGTGTTGGTGGGTATGATGTAGGTGTGGGTAGGGGGTGTCATATGTCTCCAATGGTGTATAATTAATTCCCCCCCCCCCCCCCCCCTACCATACACTTCTCTTCAACAACAACATCATCATCATCATCATCATCACAATGTTATTATTATTGTTGTTGTGATATCTTTATCCCAATTGTGGTATTTTATTCATTTCATCATCAATCAATCAAATTATTTTACTTTACTACTACATTTTTTGTCATTACTAATTTATTCTTATTGGTTATTATTTAATAGTAGATCAAAAAATATATCTATATATATGTTGTAGTGGATCATAGATTTACATTGACAGATAGATAAAAACAATTTATAAAATAGAATAGGAACATTAATTAAAAATCGACCAATCATTTAATTAATTCTCATTCCGATAGATACTGCTGCTTACGACGATATATCAATTGATCAATCAATCAATCAATCAATCTTGTACACTTGTGAAAATAATCAACCAAATCAGCCATCATCATGTCACTCAATACAAATTCACAAGAGAATAAAGTTAAAAAGAAAGACGAACAACAACAACAACAACAACAACAACAACAACAACAACAACAACAACAACAACAACTATCACCTAAAAGAAAAATATCAACAAGTGAAACAATTATCAGTGAAAGAGGTAACAATAATAATAATAGTAATGTAAATAATAATAATAATTCAAACAATAATAATAATAATAATAATAATAATTCAGGATCATCATCATTTACATCTTCATCAATACTATCCTTTTTTGGTGGCAAGTCACCTTCATCATCAAGTAACAAACCACCACCACCACCATCATCATCATCATCATCATCGACGACGACCATGTCAAGTAAAAATAATACAGCTAAACATGTAGTTGTTGGATTTGATTTGACAACTACTCCTCCACCAATTCCAGTTATTACAGGTATTTCCAATGATGGTGGAAATAGTAGTGTATCATCGGTCAATCCATCACCTGTTCCATCTCCATCATTATCATCTAACAACAATAATACTGGTACTGGAAGTAATATCAATATAAGAAAGAGAAGTCATACCATTGATACAGGATCACTTTCCCATGGTGGATCTACTACACCTCCCTTACCAATCGTTCCAAATATGACCAGTTATGAATTTGCCCATAATAGTTTTGATAACCTATCAACTGCTGTTTCAGGTGGTGGTGGTGGTGGTTCTCATCATCATCATCACAATGAATACTATCTAGATACTGGTGGAAACAAATCACCAAATTCATCTACTAGTGTTGGAACAACTCCTCAATTGGTTGCTCTAAGTCCTTCTTTATTTTCTGCCCCAATGTATGTATCCACAGTACAGTACAGTAAAATCAATCAACATCAGATTTGATTTATATAAATGAACTAACAAACAATAATACTCTTTCTTTTTATTTAAAGGAAAAAACAATCAATTACACAAGGATATATGGATGAATATTATGAAATTGATAAAGGACCAAAATCAATTGAATTACAAAGAGATTTAGATTTGGTTTGGAAGACTGTCATATTGCCAAGACAACAACAATTGGCAAGAAGTGAATTAAAGTTTGTTATTCGTCGTGGTATTCCCGATGACAAACGAGTTCAAGTATGGAAACTAATCATGGGATTTGAAGAGTTTAAAAATACTTTAGAGTATTCTTCGGTCAAATCAACGCTTCAAGGTGACGCTATTCCTAAAAAGTTTCGTAATATCCCTTCATTTGGTGGTGTTGTTTCACCATCTGATCATTATCTAACCGAAGATGGTATTCAATTGGTTAAAAGAATTTTATCAATTACTGCCATGAACTTTCCAGATATTGAATATTGTCCTGTAATGCCAGATATTGGTAAGATAAAAAGAAAAAAGAAAACAAAAAAGAAACAGAGAAAAGAAATAGTAGTTAATATTAATTATTTAATTTATTTGTAGTACATATATTATTAGTTTTCATGTCAGAATTGGATACATATACAATGTTAAATTTATTAATCAAACAATCAGGTGATAACTTTTACCGATTCCTAAACACAAGTAATCGAGAATGTACTTTATTTGTATTGACATTTGATTCACTTGTTGAAAAACATATTCCAAAATTATATAAGCGTATGTAACAAATCAAATCTTAACCACATATATATATATATATATACATAGTATATTTATATTTATATTTATATTTTTTAATTTTGTAGATATGATGTCACTTGGAATATCAAGTTGTAAAGTTTTTTGTGAAGAATGGTTTTCAAGATTATTTGTGTCGATCCTACCATTCCATACGGTACTTCGAGTTTTTGATGTATTTCTAAGCGAGGGATACAAAGTATTGTATAGAGTAGGGTTGGGTCTACTCAATATACACAAACGAGAGCTTGTCAAGTCTGGTAATACTGCCGATGCATTTATCTGTACTCTTAAAAATCTCAACCTTCAAATGACAGACTCCTCACTATTGATGAAAAAATCATTTGGTATACATCTCAAACGTGACGACTTGACTAGTATCGACACTCGACATACTCATCAATTGAGACATGTCACCGAACCAGATTTACCTGTTTACTATCGTCCAAAAGTTTCCAAAAAATCTTTAATCTTGGAAGATGAACATGTAAGAAATAAGAAATAAGAAAAAAAAAAAAAGAATAAGAGAATATTTAATTAACCAATTTTCTTTTGAACTATTATTAGTACGAAATGATATGGGCATGGTTACCAAATATTTATGGTATTTGTGATCCAAAATTAATGTATAGTACTGAAGAGAATGGATACAATTTAGGAACTTTATTCCAAAAGATTGGAGATGATTATCCAGTGTTGGTAGTCATCAAATCCGATACAAATAATATATTTGGTTTCTTTATTGATCATCCTATTACCCCATCAAATTCTTTTGGTTCACAGTATGTTATAGTGTATAATATTATAATGTTATATTTCAAATTTTATTAATACTTTTTTATTATTTATTTATTTATTTAGGAGTACATTTGTATTTACGATTAAACCTCATGTTACAATTTATAAAGCAACACTTAAAAATGAATTATTTTACAAGGCAACAAATACATTATTGACGGTTGGAGGTAGTAGTAAGGGTGAATACGCAATCTCACTAGACAAGGATCTACATGGTACAACATGTCCATGTGAAACATTTGATAATCCTTGTCTCAATGGTACACTAGATTCATTTACTTCACTTGTATTGGAAGCATACGTATTACGATAAACAAAAAAAAAATCAATCAACAATATTAATAATACATAATAATAATAATAATAATATCAACCCCCATAGAGAGAGATTGAAAAGAATTGGAATGCAATGAATGATCACAATGAATGACTAGTGATTAAAAAATTAGATTTTAATCATCATCACAATTGTTTGGTCGTCCTTATTCCGACAGAGAGATCTCTCTGGTTAATACCACCATACTATTCACCATTTTTTTTAAAACATGTATATATCCTCCCCTCCCATCCTTCTTCCAACCATAATAATAATAATAATAAATAATAATAGATTACTTTTCATATATTAAATATGCATGTTCCAAAAGATAATGATTGTTAGTTATCCAAAAGTGAGTGATTTGATTGTTGGTTGGTTTTATTCATTTATCCATTTGTTTTGAATGCAAGTGAGTGCAATCAAGTTTTGGTCGATCGCGATGCATTGAATTAATGTTGTGTGTGAATTGTTGGTTGATGAGATAGATATATTGATATATATCTCGTTTAATGATAGACTATTTACAAAAGAAAGAAAGAAAAGGTATATAGATTTGCGCATATTGTTGTAATATTGTTGTAATGTTTGATCGATTATTGTTCAATAACATCAGAAGGTTTTTGTAGAATATCTTTAAAGGGATTATTTGTTCCACTGGTTTCAAAGAAACCTTCTTCCTCCAATTCTTTGTATGCACGAATGATTAAAGGATCGTTTGTACCCATCAAACCCATTTCTGCACGTTCTTGTTTGAGACGTCTCTTTTCTTCTCTTTGTTTCTCTACTGCCTCTTCAGCTTTATGTGATTTCTTTTGTTTCTGATTAAGATTACTCTTTGCACTCGTTGCCTTTTTAATAGGGTTATCTATAATCAAAAGATAGATAGAGTATAGTTAGAAATCGATGTGAATCTAATCTAATCGTTCATCTCTCAAACTACATACTTTTATTCTTTGAACATAATGCTACAATAGTTGCTCTAAACATTCTCTATTCTGTCTATACCTGTTTCTATTTAATAATATTATATTATGTGTATATCTAGATATTGAACAATGAAAATGACTTTCATTAAAAGCAAAGTAAAGTGTAATATTCGAAAAAAACGACCGAAATTGAAAATTATGTTATAACAGTAATATTAAATTTGACTCTCTCTTGCTTGTACAATTTATTAAATTAACTTTAATTAATGGATGGATGGATATAATGAATCTCTAAAGAATGGGGATAGATCAATTGTCCATGGAGAAGGGTCATTAATGATTGAAATATGGTCTGGCCAATAATTACAAAGATTTAGATCTTTTAATAAATACAAAGCATATGATTGACAGTTAGATTTTGGTCCCCAAGTAGTTGTACCTCTACAATAAATGTTTTCAAAATCAAAAGAGTATCTTGTATGTGTCCAAATAAAGAGTTGAGATATCTTTTCGATTTTACCTTGGAATGATGGATATCGTGCTTTGCCAAGTAGGATCGATTGGTTCAACATTTGTCTATCATGTCAAAGATTTGTTTCCCCCAAATCATGATAGAGTTGTTTGTTGAGTCTGAACATTCATCACCATATGCATTAACAATCCAATAGGACTAGAATCATCAATAGTCTCACCAAAAAAGTCAACTAGAATTGAAAAGTGACCAGATTGAATAGTACTACTATTATAATTATCCGTTGATGAAGATGAAGATGAAGTGATTTGATTAAATATTAACAAATATACATTATGTTGTCTATCTTTATCAACTACTAGAGTAGGGAAATTCTCTATTCCTGATGACATGATTAGATGAATGTATGAAAGGAAAAGGAAGGAAGTTGAATAAGGAAAACTAAAGTATGTTATATTTGTTGTTGTTTTGGGGAGTTAACCAAACAAACTTTATCTATTTTGTTTTTTTTAAAAAAAGGGGATCTTGTATTAATATAATATAATATATTTTGGTCCAATTGTTGTCATTGATTGGTTTACTTTACTTTTTAGATGGTTGGTTGGTTGGTTGGGTGGGTGGTTAGGGTTATTGGGGAACACGCCAAGAGGGGATTAGACCAATAGAAAGATCCAATGGTTTATTAGTCAATGGATTTCTTTTCATCGAAAGTGAATATGATTGTAATCCCATGTCAATCGATACTCCATCATTACTATCACCATTATTACTCGTATTCACATTGTTATTATTATTATTCTTATTATTTTTACTATTAATTGTTTTTGATTGTTTTATAACATTATTATTATTATTAGGTTGTTGTTTCTGTTGGAATAATTCTTCAATGTTATCATCCTCACCAATAATATCATTTGTTGGTTGTTGTTGTTGGATATTATTTGGTTGTGATGATTTCTTATTCTTATTTTTATGATTAATTAATCGGTTGTTTAGATCCTTTATAGTAAATTGATTGTAATAGGGATCGTCGTATATTGGGAATCCAGCATCTGAAAAGTGTACTCTGACTTGGTGTGTTTTACCTGTTAATAATTGTATATCATACAATGCATAGTATTTATCGTCTTGTTGTTGTTGTGATTGATGTTGTTGTTGTTTTCTCTTAAATACATCAACCAATTCAAATTTAGTTTGAGCAAGAGTAGATTGATCAGTTGGATTATACCGAGAACTATGGTAAAGGAAATGTTTACTAATAAATGGATGTTCCTTTGTTTTAAATTCACAACTATCTACACAATATTGACATGATGGTGGTAATAATCTTGGACTATTATTATTATTATTATTATTATTCTTGTTATTCTTATTATTCTTATTATTATTATTAGATTGTTGTTTTGTTTGATTATTGTTGTTGGTTTTAAAAGAAGAATCATTTCTACAATAAATATTACTCTCCAATATACCATTTGAAAGTAATCTTGATTTTAATCGATTAATAATATCCTGTCCTTGTTCCAATAACACCGATGATGATGATGATGATGATGATGATGATTGAGTTGTTGGTTTGATACATTGACATTTCCAAAGTGCATTACATTTAGTACATTTTCTAAGTAAACCAGTACCCTTTAACTCGTTGGATGCAGATCCACAAATAACACGATATGATCTCTCACCATACCGATACTGATACTTTTCTCTTGACTGTGATACATAGCTATCACCCAATTCATCCATTACCAAACATGGTGGAATTTCACACATTACTCTATACCTATACACAAATACAATACAAATACATTAATACACATGTATGTATGTCAATATATCAATATCAATATAATATTTAACATACTTTTTAATCCATTCTTTATTTTGAATAGCACGACCTAATTGTGAAGCAGTAACTTGATCAAAAGCAACTACCAACAAACCTCTTGTAAACTTGTCTATTCGATGTGGGAAATATAACTTTATATCTTGACCCGCTGCAGCACCTGCACCAGCACCAGCAGATACATTATTATTATTATTCTTATTCATATTCATATTTTGTAATAATAATCTTTTGATACGAGATTCTACAGTATCTTTTCTATTATCTGGATCTTGAATTGGAATTGCCGATGGTTTGTCAATGACAACAAACCTAGAGTTTAGATCCCATTGACCATAGACAAGATCCAACATCTTGTTATCATCTTTCTTTGTATCCCATCCAACTCTTTTTGAACTAGCAGTACTAGTACTAGTACTAGTAGAATAGTAAGAGGAGGAGGAGGACAAGAGTGACGATGCTATAGACCGTAGTTTGTGATTGTCTTCAATTATCTTCCATTTTATCATATCTCTTCTCTCTCTACCTAACTATCTATCTATCCTATTGATCGATCTTTGTCAATACAACAGAATAGATATGATGTAAGTGAACATTCTCTCAGTAACGCTAAAAGACGATTCCGCACCCATGTGCCAAACTTGATTTTTTTTTTTTCATACCAAGTTTGAGAGAGAGATAAAGTGAAGTGTAAACAGAGTAACTATCAACTAAAGGTATTTAAAATTTAAATATATATATTTATAGTTAACTTGTTAGCAGTTCACAAAGGTAAGAAAAAAAACTTTTAGAAGCAAAGTAAACATATTATTTTGTTTCTATAAAGTCACAAGAGACAGTCGTATAGTTGCAGGCAATCACTCAAGACACAACATCTATTACTGAAGAAATCACAACAATACAGTCTATCTCTCCTTTGATGTTTGGACGAAATCAAATATTATCAAAAGTCTAGTCGGTTGATGAATGATTGTATGACGAACGATAAAATCATCTAAGGGGGATTAATTGTATTTGAAGACCCCCCCCAAATAAACCAAATAATCAATCATATATGGTACTCATACTCATTGTTGATGTTGATTATAAATCCATGTTTAACAATCTAGATTTATAAGGATGTTGCTAATACTAATGAATGAATGTATGAGTGATCGAGAGAGACAGATATTTTGTTTAGTGATGTTCACTTTATCATATCATATCTATCTCTATCTATCTATCTATCTATTGATCTGTCAATCTATCTTTTCTTTGTGATCTGAATCAAATGATGTGAACATGTATCTCGAGATGTCAGCTGTCCACCAAATTACATGTTTGGTTTCGTGGTTCTTTCGTTTGTTTGTTTAGCGCCAACTTTTTCAAATTTTTTTTTTTTTTAATTATATTTTATTTTTTTTTTGTTTTTTAGAAAAGAATAGTATTCCTCAACGTTTATCTTTCTTCGAACCCCTGCTTGGTTGTTTTTGTTTTTGTTTTATTTTATTTTACTTTTTTTTCTATTATCACACAAAAGAGATTTCTAGTTTATCGAAAAAGAAAGAAAAAAAGAGAACATATTAAATTTTAATTAATTTTATATGAGTCGCTGAAATTCATTATATCTCTCTTATTTATATATATATCTATCTTTTTTTTTCTCTCAAAGACAACAACAACAACATTAGGCAGTACAACATATAGAAAGAAAGAAACTTTATCCGAACCGATATTCACATTCAAATACGGATTATATATATAATCGATCTTCACACACACACACAAGTCATTATTATATTACTGAACCGACGAAAGATTGTCCTACGACAGATCGATCGCGAGTAACCCAACTCAAAAGACACAAACCTATAATATATCCCCAATTTTATATACCTATACAAATATGTCTAAAATGGTGACAAGAGTATGTTTCAATAATAATAAGAATGAGAAGAATAATTATATCGGTGTTGGGTTGTTTGTTTGTTTGAACAACCCTTTTCGGCTTTGATTGGAATTCAAAGATCTCTCTAACCTTTTTTTTTATTTTTTTTTTTGGTTTTTTTCAACTTTTTTTTTTTCAACTATACTTTAGTCAAAAGGGAATCCAACAACTTCAACAACAATGAAAAGTGGAAATCCAAAGAGAAATACAACAAAGAAAATAATGAGTGATGAGGAAGAGGAATATAGTAGTAGCAGTAGTGATGGTTACTCGTCTTCCTCTGATGCGTCGTCGTCATCATCGGAATCGGAAAATTCATCTTCCGACGAATCATCAAACAAAAAGACAAATAACAAAGCTACTACTACCGCAACCAATGTAAATCCAAAAAGAAGAGTAGCATCTACTCTTCCAAATAAACAACAAGCAGCATTGGAATTATTGGCATCAAAGAAACGTGACCGACAAACTATTAAACAAGAGGATAAAGAGACTGCTGCTGCTTCTGCCGCTACTACTTCCTCCACATCATCATCAACATCAACATCGACAACAAGTACAAGTTCTTCTACTACCACCGCATTATCAAAAAGAGGAGGTAGAGGAGGATCAAGTGCTGCAACAAGAGGACGTGGACGTCCAAGAAAAACTGCTCCCAAAAAACAAGAGAGCAGTAGCGAAGAGGAAATATCAGATATATCAGATTATGGATCCGATGCATCATCATCAAGTGGTGGTGAAAGTGAAGCAGAACAAGAAGAGGTGGTCAAGAAAAGAGTTCAACCTGCTAGAAAAGCAAAACCAAATATCATCACCAAAAAACAACAAGAATCAGAATCTGAACAAGATAATAGCGAAGAATCAGAAGAAGAAGAAGAAAATAGTGAAGAAGAAATGGAAATTGATGAAGAAGAAGATGATGAAGGAAAAAGTGGTAAAAATATAGATCTAAAGTTAAAATCTATTGATAGTCGTTTAAAGATTGAATTTTCAGTGGAAAAGGTTGTTGATGCTCGTGAACAAGTATCAGCTGATAGTGGCGAAGCCAAGGTACCAGAGGCATTGGTGAAATGGCACGGATTGGCATTTATCCATTGTTCATGGGTCGAGATTGCCAAACTATCACAGACAAAGAGTGGAAAAGCACGTCTACAACGATTCTTCAAGACACATACAATCGAGGATGGTGTCAGCCAAGACGAGAAGTTGGCCTACCAAGAGCTGATGCAATGCGAGCGAATCCTCACCGACTCCAAGGCTGAATCCATCAGAAAGGGAACGGCGTTCAATTCAACGCATCCGCTACTGTACCTGGTCAAGTGGAAGGGTGAGAGCTACGCACGTTGCACATGGGAGACTGCCGAGGAGTTGGCCGACGACAAGGCACTCCAAGACTACCGTACACGCAACCAATACCCAAGTGAAAAAGAGTTGACCGAGAAGGAACGTCCTCCAGCATCCGCATGGAAAGAGTCGGCCGAGTCACCAAGCTATTTTAAGAATGGCAACAAGTTACGTCCCTACCAACTAGAAGGTTTGAATTGGTTGTCGTTTTGTTGGCATCAACGTAGAAACTCAATGCTCGGTGATGAAATGGGTCTTGGAAAGACAGTCCAAAGTGTATCGATCATCGAGACACTCCGTTCTGTACATGGTATTAGAGGTCCGTTCCTTTGTATCGCTCCACTCACAACTATCCCACATTGGAAGCGTGAGTTTGAAGCATGGACCACTCAATCTGTACTAGTGTACCATGACACGGGTGATGCACGTCAAACTATTCGTGACCACGAGTTCTTTTACCCAACTGCCAACAACAAAAAGAACAATAATGTAACAAAGTTTAATACACTTATTACAACCTATGAAATGATTATTAGTGATCGTTCATTCCTCTCCAAGATCAATTGGAAGTATGTTGTCATTGATGAAGCTCATCGTCTCAAGAACAAGAGTTGTCGTCTGACCAATGAACTGCGTACCTACAACTATGGCCACTTGCTCTTGCTCACCGGTACACCCATCCAAAACAACACCCAAGAGTTGTGGTCGTTGTTGAATTTCTTGCAACCCGAGAAATTTGCATCGTGCGACGAGTTTTTGGTCGAGTTTGGCGATCTCAAGCAGGCGGAACAAGTCACCAAGTTGCAGGCTGTCCTCAAACCATACATCCTCCGTCGTATGAAGGAGAATGTCGAGAAATCGATTGCGCCCAAGGAAGAAACCATCGTCGAGGTGGAGCTGACCACCGTGCAGAAAAAGTACTACCGTGCCATCTATGAAAAGAACTTTTCGTTCCTCCGCAAGGGTGGTAAGGGTCCAAGTCTCCTAAACATCATGATGGAGCTGCGCAAGTGCTGCAATCACCCCTATCTCATCAAGGGTGCCGAAAAGTCAGAGATGGCAGACCTCCAAATCAAGAATGGCGTCACTGCTGCTGGTAAGAGTGCCCAAGACGCCGTCTATGAACGTCTTATCCAAAGTTCTGGCAAGTTGGTCCTCGTTGACAAACTACTACCAAAGTTGAGAGCCGGTGGACACAAGGTACTCATCTTTTCACAAATGGTGATGGTCCTCGACATTTTGGACGACTATCTCACCTATCGTGGATACCCACACGAACGTATCGATGGTTCCATCAAAGGAAATGACCGTCAAGCTGCCATTGACCGTTTCTCTAAAAAAGGTAGTGACAGTTTTGTCTTTTTATTGTGTACCAAGGCCGGTGGTATCGGTATCAATTTGACAGCTGCCGACACTGTCATTATTTTCGATAGTGATTGGAATCCACAAAACGATCTCCAAGCTCAAGCTCGTTGTCATCGTATCGGTCAAGATAAAATGGTCAAAGTTTATCGTTTGGTCACTAGAAACACTTATGAAAAGATCATGTTTGATCGTGCCTCTAAAAAACTTTCACTCGACAAGGTAGTCTTGACCAAAATGAACAATTCTTCAAATATTCCTCAAGAAGGTGAAGAAAATCCTGATAAAGAAACTATTGATAGTTTATTACGTTATGGTGTTTATGCTATAAAGTAAGTAAAGAAAAAAAAAAAAAAAAATTTAAAAGAATTATTTAATTATTAACATTTAATTTTATTTATTTTTAGGGATGATGAAGGAGCAAGTGAAAGATTTTATGAAGAAGATATTGATAGAATTTTAGATAGAAGTACAGTTGTTAAACAAGAAGATTTCGATCCATTGGCCAATTCATTTTCAACTGCTAGTTTTTGTTCATCAACTAGTACCAAGGATATTGATGTCATGGATCCAGATTTCTGGGACAAGTTTGTACCAGAATTGGATACTGCAGGTGATGACCTATTGTTGATGCCACGTACTAGAAAGAATGTTCAAAGATTTGGTTTGGTTGGTGTTGAAGATCTATCAAGTGATTCAGAGCAATCAGATTATGAACCAGATGATGAAGAGACCAATTCATCTTCTACCACCACCCCCACCACTGCCAATGGTGGAGAGAAACCAGAAAAGGTTGAAAAGAAAAAGGGTGGATGGTCAAAGAGTGATCGTAACCGTTTCAAGGCATCGCTGTTTGTTTTTGGTAGTGGTCGTTGGGACCTCATCAAAGAGGTTGCTGGTCTCCCTGATTACTCGGTCGAACAAATCAAACAATATGGTGAAGCATTTGTACTGAAATGTTTGGAATGGGAGGAAATTGAAAAGGAAAAAGAAAAGGAAGAAGAAAAGGCTGAAAAGGAAAAAGCTGAAAAGGAAAAGTCAGGAGACAAACCCACAAGTAAAACTTCTAAAAAGCCTGTTGACCCAATCCCAACTAAACCATTTACATTGACCGTTGTACCAGAATTCCTCAATTCCTATGTCGATTGTTATGAAGAAGATGTTTTCACAACTTATAACAAACCAATTCCAGAGGATGGATGTGCTGGTAGTGGGTCAACCAAGTTTACTAGTACAGATATTGTTGCAACCTACTCTAATCCATACATTAAAGATTCATCATTGGTCGATGTTAGATTTGGTGAATATTTGGCTAGAAACTGTAAGAGAATTGTTCAATCACTCACTACAATGGGTTTGTTGGCTCATGTTCTCAGACTTGGTTATGACAAGATTGTCAATGCTGTTGGCGGTCTTCCAGACACACCAGCTCCTTGGTGGAAGTTTGACGAGGATAATGATTTCCTTGTAGGTATCTATCGTTATGGTACTGGTGAATACGATCGTATTCGTGAAGATCCAACTCTATGTTTCTTTAAACACAAGTATGCCGTTCAACAACTAAAGGATGATGAAAACACAACCATTGACGAACAGACCAAGAGTACTACTACTACAACAACAACCGCTGTTACCAACGGTACTGCTCCTGCTGGAGACTTACGTGTATGGCCATCTGCCAAAGTATTGGGTCACCGTTTCAAGAGAATGTTGAGAACGTTAGAATCTTACAATAGACATCTCGTCAAGCTCCAAGAAACGGGTGGTGTAGACAAGCCTGGTAGTGCAGTAGTGATCAAGAAGCCATATGCACAAGGCGGTAAAAAGAAGATGGCCGAGCTAAAGGCCGATTGGACAAAGAGAGAAAAAGCCGATTTCTACAAATATGTCACTCTGTTTGGTGTCATTGAATTGGAGAGTGGCGAGTTTTCATGGGACTTGATCAAGGACAAGGCCAGTCTACGTAGAAAGTCATCAGAACACATCGAACGTTACTATCACGAAGTCTTGACCAAATGCCAAGAAAAGATTGAAGGTGATAAGTCTGGTGGCGGTCTTGGAAGCAGTTCAAATGGTATTGATTTGAAATCAAGTTCAAATCAACTCGGAACTGCTGGCAACGATGAAGGTGGTGGTGAGTTGACCATTCAACAATGCAAGAGATTGGTGAGTCGTGTCATCTTTTTCAGACGACTACGTCAGACTCTCAAGGCTGAGAATCTCAGAGAGGTTGCTACGGGATACACGACGATGACTGGATTGCCAAGCTGGTGGATCGCCGGTGAACACGATATCGCCTTGCTCCACGGTTTGGATAAGCATGGATTCACCTCTTACGACGATCTCTGCTACGACAAGGAATTCCCATTCTATGCAATCTACAAGATTAAAGCCAAGCAACGCAACATTGATGTTTCAATGGATATGAGTGATGAAATGCCACAGACAGCACATCAACAACAACAAAACAACGAAGATGCAGAAAATCTTGACAAGATCCAAACTGACGACGATGAGAATGGTCCGTCAGTCACCCCCAGATCATCAACCACCACTGCCTCTGCCTCTGCTGCCAATGCTGCCACCGGCCAACCTCCCAACCAAAACGGTAATGGACTGAGTGCATCAACCAATGGAGTTGCTGTTCAAGCTGGCGAAGGTCTAGACAAGAGAAAGAAAAAGGAACAAATCTTGACTGTCCTCAACTTCCCCAAGGAAAAGGTTGTCACCAAGAGAATTGAAACCATTGTAGATTTGGTACTTAGTGGGCCTAAAAAAGGTAAAGGACAACTTCAGTTTCAATCCCAACAACAACAACAACAACAAAGGTCAGTCTCTCCAAACCCTAATCAAACGGTACAACAATCAAACTCAACACATATAAATGGAAATGGTAAACATCACAAATCCTCTTCACGCCAAACATCAAACTCTGTTTTTGACAAGAAACAAAAACAAATCACCGATTTTTTCTCTACGACCATTGGTAATAATAGTAGTATTGACAATGGATCGCTACAACCCTTATTCCAAAAACTAAATAACCATACCAATGGTGGTACTACCAAAGACAAGGTCAAACATTTGAATCTTTTATTGAAATCTGATGATAAATCAAATTCCTCTACGACTCAAAAGACTAGTTCACATCACTCCTCCTCCTCGTCTCATCATAGTAGTAGTAGTAGCAGCAATGGTACAAAGAAATCTTCTTCTTCATCCTCTTCATCCTCTTCATCATCATCACAAAAACAAGCAAGAAAGAGAACCAAGAGAAGTCATCATGATAATGAACCACCAACTCATGAAGCCAGAATTATTCTCTCTGAAGAAGACGAAGACGAAATTCCAAGTTGGGTTTTAAATGGTAACGGACAACAAATGGAAGGATTCAGTGATAGTGACGATGATACTCCAATGAAGGATATTACTTTATCAATTAATAACAATAACAATAAGAACAACGGTAACTTGCTTCCACCAATTTCGGAATTATAATCTACTCGAAACAACAACAATACATACACAGAACCAACTCAAAGATCAATATTGATCTATTTTTTTCACTAAATGTAAATAAATAATTATATGTTATGAAAGTAATAGCCGGAGATGAACGATATTTTATGTATTTATTTATTTATTTATTATTATTTTCCAATGTTTGGACCATGATGATTTATCCATTATTACAATTAAACACATCGTCGTTAAATTCCGAGTCGCATTCTAAAATATCTTGACTTTGGATACATTTATTGTATTTGTCTTGTGCTAGATCTTGACAATCATCTTGAGCATTGGTAAAGCAGAGATAAAGAATTGAAATAATCATTAAAAATAGTATAGTTGATTTGTTCATTTTGTTTGTTTGTTTGGTTGTTTGTTTGTTTGGTTGGTTGGTTGGTTGGTTACTACCTTTTTAATTTCCACTTGCTCATGCTTTGACAAAGGGAGAGAGACAGAGGAAAGAAATGATAATACTCATCTCTCTTTACTACCAAATACTTATACCCAATCATCATTTTAGGGGAGGATGTAATGATAATTATTATCATTGTCGGTGGTGGGGGGTTGTTGTTAATAACAATTCAAATCTATTTTCAATCAAAATTTGTGTGAGTTAAGGGTGTGGCCAATGCCCTACTATGATGTTGATTGAGTTGAACATTTAAAATAAAACAACCACCTATGAGTAACCCTTAAAATCTTTGCTGTGATAATGCAAACTCTTTGGTGAATGAGATACCTCCCATGAAGAACAATATATCCTGCTATTAACTTTTTGAGAGTTTCCTTGTTTTTTTTTTAGGTTGTTCATTTGTAAAACACCATGAATAAACCAATAATTGTCTATCTGAATTAAGATAATTATTATTAAATCCTCTGTCTATTTATTAGGCTTTTAGTTTTTTATTAATTGTTGGCACCAAGATATTTTTGTTTTGGAGATGGAGAAGGAACGGATAACTTGATCTTTCCATTCCTCCATCGTTGAGAGGGCAACGGCAATGGTCAATTAGCAATTTAAAACATTCTAATGAACAATATCTAATAGATATATTGAAAAGTTTGCTTAAAACCTATGGCCTTTTTAATTTTGTTTTAAATAATGATGATGATGAATTTGAATTGATATTTGGTGATTATGAATATGTGCAACACAATGGTTCACTCCACCTAGAATTGCTTCTTTGATGATGGAGGATTTTTTCTCTTTTGTATGGTCAAGTACGAAATCTAAAATGTCATTGTCACAGATGAAGCCAGCAATTTTACAGGGTCTTTGTCCAAAATATTGGTTCTTTTCTCTGACGAGATAGTTTACTATTGCCATGTGACCACGATAAAATGTCTCATCTAAATATGAACAGGATACACCATCCAATTTTATTGAATCGAAATGATTTTCAAAAAAGTATTGAACGATTGACAAGTGACCACCAGCATATCCACAGGCTTTATCGATGACATGTTTCATATTTTCATCCAATGGTGATTGAGAATTGGTGAAAAAGTACTTTCTTTAATGGAGCCCGCGTTATGGGATTGGACACCAGTAATGGAGCGTCATACTATTAGGGGTCTCCAGCCCTTTTTAGATAATCCACAGTTAGGCCGCAGGCTAGAGTTTGGGATTTAGCGATAAGTCTTGAACTCGGTTTGATTAACGGCACTCCCATGGCGCGCTTAAGCGCACCACTAGGACTAGACTAGTCCATTGGAAAAGGGTTCTGTATGATTGGTAAATCTTCTTCATTTGTATAATCAAATTTGATATCTTTGAGGCCAGGGTTTATATAGGTGTTGGAGAAAATAATTGCATTGAGGCTTGAAAAAGAATACCTCTCCCTATTTTGCCCTGTTGGAAGAGTTGTTATTAATAGAGTGAAATTGAAAATAATATGAGGAACAATCAATCACATTCATGTCAAGATAATTTTTTTTTCTATTGAAATTATTTTTTCAAATGAAACTAATTTTTGCCCTGTTGGAAAACACCATGGCCTCACAAATTTCAGTATTGCAAGGACAAGTGCAGACTTTGATGAATAGAAACGGGTTACCAACATCAACAACATCAACAACCTCAACAACATCATCAACTTCAAAACCAGACCCAAACCCAAACATCCCAACACCACAAGATGTGGAATATTCATTGAACAGTAGTGCTTATTTGCTCCTACATCAAGCCCTTTACTACTACCTAGAAAATGTTCTGCTCCCACTCGTCAATGATAAGCGTTCAAAAACAAGCTCTGATCCTTACAAGTGGGACGAGTTTGTGGCAATCTACCAGAAAGACAAAGACGCTTGTTCTATTGCCAAAAATGTACACGATTTTAACCTTGAGGGCTTGTTCAACCAGCTGCACGATAAAAGAGTTGAATTTGCTCACCCAACAATATCATCTAGAACAAAACCCCCACCCCCTGCCGTCGACGACAACTTTTTCGATAGGGCCTATCGATTCATTAAACAATCAGACCTCCCTGCCACAAAGAGAAGGGCAGTAAAAAAAATGTTATGCAAAGCTATGGACCATTTCAACATGCAATAAAATAAACAATTTATTTATTTATTTATCAACCCATTCTACGCAAAGTTTACTATCGTCTTCTGCAGCATGGGATTTTAAAAAAAAAAAAAAAATCAAATCTCAGATTCCAGTTTGTCTCCAATCAATTAGTGTTGTTTTAAACCTCTCTCTTCAAAAAATGTGCGAATCGGATGATGGCTGCGATTGTGAAGAAACCCTGCTCGCCAGGGAATAGAATTTTAGTATTTATTAAGTTTTAAAAAACTGTTCAAATGTTTGTCATTTAGTGCAACAGAGACATATCATATTTTAATTCCAACTACCAATAAAGATGGCCCATTATATCAGATACCCGAAGTTCCCTGAAGGTGAACTAGGACCATTGGGATACGTTCCCGTGTGGCAGAGATACAATTTACGTAGTGCCCTATATAGCGTGATGCGCGCTTTTAGTTTACAACAAAACGCTATTGCAGATATACCTGCAAAAACTTTTAGTGATTTGAATAATAACAATATTCAAACAAGCAAACTAACTTTTCATGCTGCCAATATTGTTGTTGACTATATCAACGGTCGACTACAAGATTTGGAACGACAAAATACCAGACCCCAGATCACCCTGCTCAATGGTAGAGTTGCCGAAAGAGATGCAAGAATCAACCAACTGCTTGATGATGTCAGAAGATTGGGTGAAGTTATCCAAACAATGGCAAATGTCCAAGAAACCCAAAAAACAAGCGCTGACATTCAAATCAAGGCACTCCAAGATAAACTACGAGAATATATCAACTGGGCCACAACTACAGCTATTACTGCTCCACTAGTCCCAGAAGAACTCCTCGTAGAAGATGTTGATCCATATGATTTCGCAAATGTGGACTCCGATAACGAAAAATAAACTCTTATATAAGAGCCTTTAATGGTATTAAAATTAAAATGATAATAAAAATATAATTTTATTTTTTTTAATATTAAAACAAATGATTTATCTTCTTGGTGAACGAGCAACAACTTTAGGGTTTTCTTCTTTAAATTGGTCCACAACATCCATGTCTTTGAAAAACTTGCAAAATTCCTTCTTTTCATCCTCGGACATAGAGCCATCTGAATAATTACCTATTTTCATATCATTGGGGTAGTAATCTTGAATTCCTAGTTTGAAATTTAATAACATTTGGATTTCAAAATCTGCCCATCTTTTTGTTGCATTGAGGACAGCTATGAAAAGAGAGATACACTCTTCATTGCAATCTTTGGTTACCAAGGCATTTTCAATATTGTACCAATCATTCAATGGCAAAACAAAAGCGGGTTCATAGGGTCCCCATTTGAAACAATTTTTATGATGTGGGCACGACATAGTTATTATTATTAATTATAAAAAAAAGAGAAGAATAAATTGAAAAATTACAAATTTTTTTGGTCTGTGAAATAAATGAATTTGGTGATTAATTTTCAAGTGGTAAAAATGTAACCCGACTTATGATAAAAATAGAAATGGATATGTGGGTAACATGCCTAAATACAAGGGCAGCCCCAGTTTAATTACTACACATTGTTGTTAATATATATTAGTAGTTTTTATTATTATGATTATTATTTAATTTTATTATTATTTGTTTATAGTGTTAATTGAAATCTTTTTATCCCATCCACCTGCCAACAACCAATAGGCTTCGGGCATGGATCCATCTTGTTGCTTTGAAAAGCTTGGAGAAGGAGAAGGAGCTGCCAAAGATGGAACTAGGGCCATGCAACTCACTGAATTGGAATGGTGAGCCAAAACCTGAACACATTGATAAGTTTCCATGTCAAATACCAAAATGCAACTATCCCAACAAGAGGCGTATACATATTGATTGTGAGCGACTATACTTTGCACTCGTTGACTGATCGAATCGATTTTCTTTTTCAATTTGGCTTGTTCATCAAAGATGAGTATTTGTTTCTCGCTAACCGTCCAAATGTTGGTTCCAACCTTTTTGATAGAGTGTACTGTATTGTTGTGTGAATCTGCTAGTTGAGTGCAATGAGAAGGTGATGAAGAAAAGTAATCCAATTGATACAAACTTCCTTTTTCAGTTCCAATCCAAACTTTACTTTCAAAGAATCCATGAATCACAGACATTGATGATATTTGATTATCTGCTGGTATTCTTGGTATATTTATAGTCTTTTTACTTTTATATTTCTAAAATAAAAAGAAAAAAAAAAGGTTAGATATTTGTATTATTATTATTATTTTTTTAATATTTTTGGTTTCATACATTTTTACTATAAACTTTAATAGAAGTAACCTTTTCACGACAATTTGTAACGATTGATTTACCATCATCGATTAGACAGGATACAAAGTTTGTTTTGATAGATTTTACAGGTTTTGATGGTTGTTTTGGGTCATAGATTAAAATACCATCGGCATAGTAAACCCAAATTTGAACTTCTCCAGCCTCGTCTCCATGGGGGTCGGAAACATTTGGTGTTTTAGTCTTGACTGGTTTGCGAGTTGGGATCATTCCAATGATTCTAGAGGAATCTGAATATCTATTGGCAGTGATAATTGATTTGGTGTACATGTTTACAACGACAACAGCTCCATCATTACATCCGCACCACACTTGTTGAACATGATGAAGATACAACAAACAATTAATATTTGAAGTAATATTGACTGGTATAAATTGTAAAAATGATATTGGGTTGTTACTATTGTTGGTGGCAGTACTACTAGCACTGGTCATAATCATGTTGTTTGTACTGCCAGTTAGACTTTCCCTATCGTCAAAATCTATCATTGAATTCTGCAAAAGTGTTGGACTGACAGTTGCAAGAGTTGGTGTGGTTGGCGTAGACGGAGTAGAAAATGTAGAAGTGTCATCGGTTACATTGTCACCACCATAGTCTGACGAAGCAAGGAAGATACTTTGTCTAGAGGAAAGACCATCATTTCTTGGTGAAGGAGGTGGTGATGGAAGTGTCTTGTTTCTGAGCAACTTGGCTGGGATAAGACTACCTCTTTTAAGTGTTCCAATAGAGTCTAGCATTTGATTGGGAGATGCTGGTGAAAATGGTGTGACCATCGGGACAACTGGTGGTGATTGAATGTCAGAGGCAGAATCTGATTGTTGTTGGGGAGTGCCACTAGTGGAACTGGTTGACATTTTTTCAGACAATGGGAAACTAGATTGCATTTGCAACAATCTAACGATAATGTCATCAAATGATGGTCTCTTTTTAGGGTCATCATGCCAACAATCACGAATCAATTGAGAATAATCTTCGTGGCATTCCTTTGGAATGGTTGGACGCATTCCATTTAGAATTCTATCTTCAATGATTGAATTCCATTTAAGTTCATCAAAGTATTCATCAAATGGCAATTCTCTGGTAATAATCTCCCAAATAACCATACCATAGGAATAAACATCAACCTTTTGAGTGTATTGATGATTCTTTATAATCTCTGGTGCCAACCATCTCAAATTCCATACCTTTCTACCTTTAATTTCCTTATCAATTTGTCTAATTGATAACCCAAAATCAGATACTTTTGCTACTAATTCATTATTTTCATTTGTTCCAATCTTAAAAAAAATAAATAAATAAAAAAATTAATTATTTATATTTCTATTTCTATTCTATTTCTATTCTATTTGTTAGCATACCAAAATATTAGCACTTTTTAAATCACGATGAATAATAATTGGTTTACAAGAATGTAAAAATTGCATTCCTTTGGCAATATCCAAAGCTAATTTTAATACAACATTCCATGATAAAGATTCTGTAAAATTTTGCAAGTATTTTGAAAGATCACCAAACTTTAATAATTCTGTTACAATACAAAATGGATTTAAAGTTACACCTCGAAGTTGTAAAATATTTTCATGTTTTAAATCACTAATAATATATATAAGGTATTAGTAAATGAATAGTTTTTTGTTTTGATTTTTTTGAACATACGCTAAAATTTCAGCTTCATGTTTAAATTCTCTAAACTTTTCAGTAGTTTCTTCTTGTTCCAAGAGGATTAATTTTTTAATGGCAATTTCAGTACCATTATTCCAAAGACCTCTGTAGACTGTAGCAAATGAACCTTGACCTAGTTGAGGACCCATCTTTAATTCATCATAGGGGATGATTGAGAACTTGTCCGAGGCAACTGTGACTTCACATGCCAACTCTGATAGAGGAACGGGACTGACACCCTTACACATGATTGACTGATTACCAATACTAGCTTGTGTCTCACAATAGTCGAGAGAGAAACGGGTTGGTTCTTTGGATCGAGAAGCATGACAATGTGTACAAGTGACAGTGACCGATGTCAAACGACCTGGGAAATACCACATTAAAAATGAAGAAATGATTTCAACCATCTTTTTGAGTAAGTTCTTTCCACTCTCCATATTGTTGTCTCTGATCATCATATTGAGACAATAAGCTTTCTTGTCATACTCTAGTTTGACTTGACCATTGTCATTGCGAGCGGCACCTGCCCAAACCTGTCCTTCTGGTTGAATGACCATACCACTTTGCCAAATGGCCAATGGATCGAAATTTTGTAGCATTCTAACAGAGAGACGTGAAAAGAAACCCTTTGGAAGGAATTTGAATTGGTAGATACGTTCTTGAGTGACGGGACGACTGTGATCAAACTCTGGCCACAACATTGGCATGACGGTTGGACGTTCCTCTCCAAAGAGCAAGGGAACAATAATCTGGTACGACTCGTCCTCGACACTGCCAGGACCCTCTTCCGAGCTATGACTACTATGCATAATCTCAAAGTTTTCTAAAAGATAGAGGAGTGATGGTTGCAACTGACGAAGGAACAAGTGATCCCAAGCCTGATGAATCTTGTCCATCAACAACATACCATTTTGATGTTTGAGTGTAAAGACTGAAGATACCAACTTGGAGAGCCATGCAGCATCGAGGAATATGAGTTGAGTGAAAACACTGTCATTGTCACCACCCTCTTGGTTAAACATTAAAATGTCACCAGTTTTGCAAAGGTAGGCGAGGGCATCGTCGACTTGCTTGGCATCGAGTCCAAGAGTGATCGAGATTTGACGTACTCTGGCAATAGAGGTGATGGGGAGTTTGGAGAGACGTCTGGCTTCATTGGCAGACTCTACTAGTTGATTTCTCAACAAAATGTAGGGAATGGGAGTTCTGTGACGATAGTGTCGTTGTGTGGCAGTTGCATGGAGCGATGTCAAGAAATACTTTAGCTGCTTGCTATTCTTGAGATTGACTTGAAGGAATTCAATGATATTGGGGAACTTGGCCAACTTTTCTGGTGCAAAAGTTTGAATCTTTTTCTCGTCGGTCGATGACGACGATAGAGCAACCAAATAGACCGACGAACCAGGAGACTTTGATTGAATAATTTCCATCCAATTTTCAATGGTAGATTCATTGAGTTGAGCAGCTGGATACGTTAAAACATACAATGATTGTGGTGAAACAAATAGAGGATGAGTTGATTGGTAGATATCTTGTCCAGAGAAATAAAAGGTTTTAAAATTAACAACCTTGTCTGGCAACTCGTTTGTTGTATAATACCATTCACAAATTTTAACTCCTTCATCTGAATCTGACTCATTGTTTCCTTGAGAGGAAGAGGAAGGGGCAGAGTTTTGTGATTTATCTTGTTGCTGTTGTTGTTGCTGTTGCTGTTGTTGTTGTTGTTGTTGAGATAATGCTTGTCCTAGTGGATTTACATTTTGTGTAGATGTTGGAGTGGTTGGATTGGTAAGGGTACTATTTGAACCATTATTGTTATTTGTACTACCAGTAGCAGTACTATTGAAATGAATAGGAGGACGAATAGAATGTTTCTTGAGGGTGGCAAATAGATTTGATTTGTCAATTGTCTCATCACCAATAATACACAGCTTAACTTCATTGTTTGTACATGATTGACCAGAGATGGCAACGAGCGATGGATCCAAAGTAAGTGTTGAACTATAGTATAGTTGATTTCTCTTTTCCCATCCAGTCAGAATATTTTGTATATTGATATTGGATGAGCTTAAAGAATTGGATAAACTCGCACCAGAAGAAGTGGATGACATTGGAGTCGAAGAAGATTGAGAACCTGGAAGAGAAACAAGTAAAGGAATAGAACTAGTACTATTGACATGTTTGTGGGTCATTCCAGGCCAAGTAATTTTGAATCTATATTTGATACCTTCTAATTCCTGTTGTTGTTGTTGGATGAGTTGTGGAGTCAATCGTACAGAATTTCTAAACATGAGTAATCTACTACCTGCACCTTCATCGACATCCTTGTCACCTTGTTTGATCTTGTCGACCAATGAAACTAGACTCTTTTTGACAATCAAAATCTCGTCACCAAGGGCCAATTGAGGAGACGACATTCTACCAGTGGGTTGCATAAAGGCCAATAATTTGTTTCGTGACATGGCAGCCAGAGTGTAGTGTTGCAGAGGTTGGAGGTGTGCAAGACTTGGTTGATGAGGTGCTGGAACGACTGCACTAAAGAGTGATAGAGTAGCATTTTCAACAGTCATGTCGTGATCCAAAAGGTAGGTAATGTTTTTACCATCAACCACCGCCGACAACTCGTATGCTTGTCTAAAATTACATTCTATAATATCCATGGTATGAATCTTGTTGGCAGCCATGACACGGGAATTTGGAATCTGCGAAAGATTGTGATGGTTGTGATTGTGGTGACTACTTGTACTGGCAGAGTCATCCAAACTGTGCAAAAAGAATCCTAATCTTGTCGGATCCAAGTGGATGACATGTTTCAAGAGAAGGTCATTAATGACGACCGTCGGAGTAAGTTGAAGAGATACAAGCATGATGATAATCTTGTAAGGTGATGAAGGTGGGATGGTTGATATTGGCATATGAGATGATGCACTGTGAATCACTAGATTATTAACCAATCCACTTGTAGAAAGGAAAATTGAATTTAAATTATTTAAATAACTTGTTGTTTGATCTTGATTGTTATTTTGATTATTTTGATTATTTTGATTTTGATTATTTTGATTTTGATTATTTTGATTATTATTATTTTGATTAATATTAATTTGACTATCATTACAGGGTAAAATACATTTAAGATAAATAGAGAATGGAGGTTGAACTCGCTTTCTCTCTGGTCGGATGATGAGTGTTATTTCACTGTCTACATCGTACATCCAAAGTGGCAATTCAGAGTCACACAGAATCTCATTGTTGGACAATGAAGTGGGATCAATGACAGTGACATGATTGCTGTTGTACTTGATGTAGAGTTGGTAGTCGTGACTATTGCTTGAATTGACCGTTTGCAAAAGCTCGCTCGTCTCATTCTCACTGACTATTCTGTTGATGAGTGCTCTGACTGTCACTGTCACTGGAAGATACAACAATCTCGTTTGGTTGACATAGTTGGGGTCTTGAGCAGACAAACAAAACTGTGTCGAGACGTGGAGGTATTTATATTTGGAACGATCGATTTGGAGTAGTTGAGACCTTCTCTTTTGCGATCGATTGTTGATCGTTGTTTTGAGATCATCAGTCTGCCACTTCTTTGAGAAATCAATGTAACAAGAACCATTTGTTGTAACAGGAGTAGATCCAGTACTCAACGCACCAGATACTGTACGTGGTGATACTATTTGATTGGACGATGAAGATGACGATGACATCGAGATGGTAGAATTACCAACATCTGTAATAGCAATGGTACTACTAGATCTTGTTCTTGTGTTGTTGGATCGATGTGTAATGGACGAGGTGGATGACGCAGAAGCACCAATGGAAATGGAGTTTTTAAGTACAGCAATAATCTCTTGAAAGATTGAATAGAGGTAGAGGTTACGTTCTCCATTTGCACCGTCACCTTTGGCTCTTTGAAAACAGTCATCCAACTTTGTATTTTCCAATTTAAAAAAGTGGGACAAGTAATAGACTGCCTCTTCACTTGGTGGTTTGACGTGGTCAGAGCCGGCAGCTGTCGCCGACGGGTTGGACAACCCTCTATTGATGAGTCCCGATATGTATTCGTTGATTTGTTGATTGATAAGAGTCCATCTCTTTGATTTGGCAGATGTTGGTTGACCTTCATATCCACTGTTACCCAAGTTACTAGAAGTAGTAGTAGTACCTCCGACAGCAGTATTATTTATAATGTCATTGATGATTTTTGAAATCTCGATAAATACTTTTTGAACCATTGGCGATTGTAAGATTGTGCCGACGTTGTTGCCAATCTTGAGCGCTGCCAAAGTGGGACACACGATTCTCGAAAATATAATACGTTTGAGTAGGTCGACTGCATAGTTGGGTGGCATGACCGACGCGGTTTCTTTATAGAGTGAAATAAATAGTTGGATGCATGGTCCGTTGAACAAATCGACCGTTTGTTGTGATGTTGGCAGTGGTCCCATATTGTTGGACTGTCTCTTCAAACTACACATCGACGTGATAATAGAACATGCAATATTGACCAACAACTCATCTTCCGACACACCACCAGCCTGAGCACTTGAATTGATACTATTCACATTACTACCATTACTAGATATACCAGCACTAGCATTATCACCATTATCTGATGACCCACCACTATTTTGAAGTGATTCCAAACTTGTAAATGATGTACTATTTCTCAATGTACCACCCAATGCTGGTGATGACATATTATTATTATTACTATTACTATTATTATTATTATTATTCATTGCAGTCAAACTAGATGTTAAACAAAATTGTTGAATCGATTGTGCATGCACCAATATTTGATTTGACAAGTATGATTCCATCGATGAACCAACTTGAATTTTAATATATGATGATATCATTCTATTTAATACACTAAACAAAAAAAGAAAAAGAGACGATTAATTACTTGTTTAATATGTATGTATATTCTATGTTCTTTTCTTTTGTTTTGTTACTTACTTTTTATAATTTAAAAAAGAAGAACTTGTTGAAACAAGAGGTAATTGAGTTTCTGGTACCAATTGATTGTATAAATTACCTCTTAGATAAACCTTTAATAGTTCAAAGTAATGGTCACCTAATAAAACAATTAGGATGTTAAATAGTTCTTGCGATCTGGTAGAGGTAGCTCCACGACAAAAATATTCGAGTAGAGTATATGAAAAGGATGGATCCAATGAGATAAACATGTTTCTAAAGAGTAATGGTTTTCCGTGTGGTGCTGATGAATGCGTATTTGTAGTATTGCTACTACTATTATTATTATGATTGCTACCACTATTATTATTATGACTAGGACTCATCATTACATTATTACTATTACTATTATGATGGTGATGATGATGATTACCACTACCACTGTGATTGGTTGTATTGATATGTCCTATAGCGTCCATAGTTTTGTTGTTGTTGTTGCTATTGTTATATAGATCTATCTATCTATCTATCTAAAAATCCAAGTAGTAGTAGAGAGTAAATAAAAATGATTGATTAGTTATTAATATTAATTATAGTTGTAGTTGTTAAGTAGTAAATAAGTAAAGTAAAGTAAAGTAAAGTGTATTATTGGGGATAGATAAAAGATGTTGTTTGTGATAAGTGATGATAGGTTGAGAATAATGGGGATAAGGGAAAAAGAGTAGTAGTAGTTGGTGTGAGGAGAGAGATAAGGGGATGAGATAAAGACAGTCAACCAGAGGTGGAGATGGAGATGGATGGAGGAGGATGCCTGAAAGAAATTAAATTATTAAATTATATTAAAAAAGTTAAAACAAATACCCATAGGACATCATAATATATCATATATAATATTGATCAAGTAGTTTGAAGTTGTTGATGATGATGAATGGTATTGAATGATTAAAGATGTTGGGGGGGGGGGGGGGGTGTGTATGAGATATTTGAATTCAATAATCTCATCCTCCTCGTACTCGTAGTGGTTGTGGTGGTGGTTTATCTGTGTGTGTGGGTTGTCATCGATGAGACAGTAGTGTGTTGCGGTGATTGTGTATGTGTGTCATGTACATATATATTTTGTCGTTGTATATCCACACCTTGATTTTATTCTCTATGTATGTTCAATAACAACAAGAGGTACCTCCTTTGTTTGCGTTATTATTACTCTCTCTTTTGTTTGTACTTCTTTAGCAGCAGCGGTTGGACTTGACCAAATGCTGTTCTGTCTCTGTTCTCTTCTGTTTTAAATAATAAATAAATAATTGTTGTATGTTGTATGTTGTAGTAGTAGTAGATTGAGAGGAGAGGATTATGTGATACAAACACCCTAGGATCTAATTATAATCACAACTAGACACACCGATGTTGTTTGTTTAGAGTTTATCCTATCTATCTGTCTATCTATCTATCTCAAAACTCTAGAGTAGTTGGATGAATGAATGAATGAATGAATGTATGATGAAACTACCGACAAGCAACAAACAACATTGATAGAGGGGAGGGAGGTGTTCCTTGAGCTCAAACAATAAAAAACAGCAATCTCACGAAAAAAAAAAACAACTGGATTTGATTGGTCGGTCGTCGTGGTGGCAGCTCAAGGATGGCTTCAGACCGTCTTTTTTTAGCCCAAAAAAAAATCAAAAAAAGTGGAGGGGATGATGAGATGCACGCTAACATGGATCTATCTTCTACCTCTATATATCATCAAACTTATGTATCATCAACAAACAAACAAACAAAAAAACAAACTTTCTAGAAATAACTATATATATATATATATGATATGAAGCAAAGTTAAGCTATTTATAGGTTAACAGGTCGTCATCGAAAAGGCGGCGGGACTAATCAAACTACCGTGGTTATTATTACAGGAAGAAAGATCATTATCTTTATATCGAGAGAATTCTCGAACATATATATATATATATATAATACAATCTATCATTACTTATTTATTCGTAGTTCGATTGAATTTCCCACATTCTTGTCTAATTCCCCCTTTTGAGTAAAAGCGTTGACAAAAACAGCCGTAGCCTGCTCACTCGATTACTCATTTTTTTTCGAAGACCTCAGTCATCATATTAATATAATAATAATATAATAATAATATACATATAATCATTATTTATAATACAATACAATAATAAAATCTTAAAAATGTCAACAACAATGAATAATAGTAGAGTAATTCAAATAAGTAAAGCGATGAGCTACATATTGCGTCATGGGTGCGCCAAAGAAAGAATAGAAATTTCAGCTGACGGATACGTAAAGGTGAATGATTTGCTAAAGAATAAGAATTTCAAGAACATTACATTCCAAGACATTCAACATGTAGTTGATACAAACGACAAGAAGAGATTTGAACTCAAACAACAAGACAATGAATACTATATACGAGCATCACAAGGTCATACTATAAAGACGGTTACAGAGAATGATTCACTATTCACAAAGATAACTGATATCAATCAAGTACCCGGAGTCATTCATGGTACTTATAGAAAACATTTAGTTTCAATTAAAGAAAAAGGATTGAATAAAATGGACAGAAGTAAGTACTTTAAATATATTATATTATACAGGAGATGATGATGATGATGATGAATACAATGACAAGACACTTATACAAATTCAATCTGTCTATTTATTTATTTAGATCATATACATTTTGCAACAGGTGATCATGGTGATGTTGTCAGTGGAATGAGAGGTAATTGTGAAATTGTTATTTATATAGATTTGGAAAAAGCTTTAAACGATGGTATCGAATTCTTACTATCTAAAAATGGTGTAGTTTTATGTGCAGGTATCCAAACTGAACATGGTAATCATTATCTACCACCAAAATATTTTACTCATATAACTGATAGAGCTGGAAATATAATTAGATAATAATAATAATAAATTAAAAATAATATTTATGATGTAATATATTCTGGAAAATAAAGATATATATATTATTATATATCTTTTAATTTTATTTAATCAATTTCCAATCTATCACCATCCTTTAAATATAGTAGATCAGTGTCGTCACTGATTAAAATATCAGGTAATAATGTTATATTTTGTATCTTTTTATCAATCTCTTGTTGTTCTGTCAAATTTGTTGAGGTTGATGATGGTGTGACTATGATTGAATCAGTTGTGAATAATCTTTGATAAATAATTGATTTTAAATGATAATATGATCTTTGATTTAAATTGATTATTTTAAATAATTGATCATTCTTTTTTCTAATTCCAATTCTAATCGAGTTATTATTATTATTTTGATTATTTTGGTTATTATTATTTTGATTATTTAAATGAATGATTAATTTATCTACATCCTTTTCAATTTTGAAATTATTATTATTATTTTTGTTGTTATTATTATAGTTGTTTGGATAAAGATAATTAATTTTTGATTGTAAATGATTTGTAAAATCTGATTTTGGAATGACAAGTGATGTGTGATGAACAAGTGTCACTTGAATATGCATGTCTAGGAATAGAGACACTTCTTCATTGTCAGTGGAGAGGTCTTGAGCCGTACGCCGTTCACCATCTTTGCTATCGATCAATGCACCGTGTTGCAAGAGACAATCTAATAGTTCCAAATCACCAGCTGTGGAAGCCAGATGAATAGGATAGGATTGTGGATAGATTGACATTGGCAAATTGACATTGGCTCCACATCGAACGAGTTGACATGCTATTTCATAATGTCCAAACATGATTGATTCATGTAACGCCGTATTACCATAGGTATCAGATTCATCTACATTTGAACCTGCAGACAACAGTCTAACCATTGCATAACTATTACCCAATTGACTTGATACAAATAATGCAGTTTGACCTTTTTGATTTTTTGATTCCAACATCCTACTTGATTTGTTTTCATCTTCATTTTTTGTTTTTGTAAAAAAGTATAATAATTCATCAAATAGTAATCTTTTACTTGTATTGTTTGATGGTGTGAATTGGGTGGTATAGATTAACGGTGTTTCACCTTCTATATTTGAATCGATACTATTCAAATCACATTGATTGAAATCAAATGAATGTTTTGACAACGCTGTGATTAATCTTTGTACTACCAATGACAAACATGCCAACATTCTAGGACTGACTGTTGTTTCCAATAGATTTCCGTCCTGATCGGCAATGATCGGTTGAACAGTCCAATTACAAATAAATGAAGAGAATGCAGTTCTACCAGTTGTCTCATCCACACTATTCACACTAGTGTTTGAATCTAGTAATAGATTAACCAATCCTAACCATTTACAAGAATCTACCAATTGTTCAACAACTGTTGTCAAACATTCATCTTTTTCTTTTTCTTGACCCAACAATTTAAATTGTAATTCCTCCAATAATAAATTTACATTTGATAATAGATAATGTAAACATGTTGGACCGTTTTTAATTGTTGTAACAGTAGTAGTTGTGGTGTTGGTATTATTCTTCTTTTCTCTCTTTTCTTTCTTTTCTTTTTCATTGTTGTTATTGTTGTTGGTTGTTGATAATTTATTGATTACTAATGACTTTCTTTCTTCTTGACGATTTGATTCATATTTTGTAAGGGGGAGTAGAGACTTGAGTTGAAGTGAGAATTGGTTACTATCAATCACTTTTTTATGAATGAGTGATGCATCTGCACCAGCATCCAAAAGTAACCGAACCACTCTTAACAACCCATTCTTTGAAGCCAATAGTATCGGTGTAAAGTTTACATTATTCACACTATCATATCTTGCACCATTCTCTAATAGTATCTTACAAATATCGTATGAACAATCATCAACCTTTTCAATTGATTCAAAGTATCCTCCACCAATTTGATTACTTGTATTCCATGGATTATTTAAACTAAATCCTGATTGAATTGAAGAAGAAGAGGATGAAGAAGAAGAGGAGGATCTAACAGTTTCATTTAAAATATTACTATTTGTTGTTGATATACTATTATTACTATTATTACTATTACCGTTATTGATAGTTGAACAACAATAATGTAGAGGAGTATTATTATTATTATCTAATATGTTGAAATCAAATGATCTAAATCTATCGTTATTTTTGTTGTTTTGGGTGGCTAGTTGAACGATAGATTCAACCAATCGAACCATTCTCTTTTGTGATGCCAAGTGAAGAATAGTTAGACCATAGTGATCTTCTGTGGCAAACAACAATGACAGTTCATTGGTTAGCAGTGTGATTGCTTGTTGTTCATTGTTTTGATTGATACAATTGAATATATTGTCAGAGATGGAAGAGTTGTTGTTATTGTTGTTTGCTCTACTCATCATCAACTCTCTTTCTTGTAGAGTCAATAATGATTGAGGTGTAGGTAGTCGGTTTTGATTTCCTCCTCCTCTACCATCATTATCAATCTCAATCTTCATAATCTCTTCTGTGTTATTTGAGCTTTAACTATAACTATTCTCCATCATATTGATGTTAGGTGAAGTTTGAAGAAATTTAATTAAAATTAAAAAAAAATGAAAGAAAAAATGGTTTTGGAGATCATTCATTCATTCTTCTTCTACCCCAAAAGAACACATAAATAATTATCCACACCATTTCAAGTTAACTATATCTGTCCGAATGGTACCAATCTCCTTATAGTATAGTACTATAAAAGAGGTCACTTCTATTAAACACCTCTAGATCATTGGTACTTTTTACTGGTTTGTGGTTGTTTTCAAAGCAGGCTTTATTCTCAAATCTATATAGTCTTGCAGCTCTGTATGTGTTGTTTCCTATTTAAAATAACAAAAGTTTAGATAGACACTTAGACACTCGAATAGCATGATGATCAACAAAGATACCTATCAAGACATCAAATGAATCCATTTCCTGTGGATGCTACACTGGAAGAATATCTTCATGTTTACACTCCTAGTGACCACCGGATCAGTTTAACTCGTTGTGTATGTAAAACAGATATGATCACTTGGATTGTGTACATGACGATATTCTTAATTCCAGTGTTTGTCGATCTCCTCACCTCGTACGTATTCTACCCATTTTTTCAAATTAGGTAAGAATATCATTCAATGGGTATCTATTCTTTACTAGTAAATTAATAATAATAATACTACTAATAATGGTTGTATCATGATCAGATTAAATTATTAGTAAAAGAATATAGGTATCCAGATAATAATGTATTGGTCGATAAAAATTATATCGATCAAGAACAGAATCCATTATTCTATATATTCTACATATATCGATTGAAAGTTGTAAGTAATTTAAAAATATTAATTTTTTATTTCTTTTCTTAAATTCATTCTTTTATTTATTTATTTATTTATTTATTTATTTATTTATTTATTTATTTATTTATTTAGACCAAGATCTATATTTTTGTTTTGAAGATGGTAAAAGTTATTTGTTTTTAAGAAGGAGAAGGAATGGATAACTTTTATCTTTATCTCTTTCCAACTCTTCAGTCACATCATTGTTGAGAGGGCAATGGTAGTGGTCTACGAGCAATTTAAAACATTCTAATGAACATCTTTGAATAGAACTTATCACAAGCTCATTTAAACACTCTGATCTAGTTAATTTTGTTATGAATAATGATGCTGATGAATTTGAATCTTGCTCTTGTTCACCATTAACATTAAACTTGGTATTGTCAATTATATATTTTAATTGGCTTGGTTGATCTGTGTAGGTGAAAAAATCTAAATAGCGAGGAAGTGATACTTGATGATTATGAATATGTTGAACATAATGATACACCCCATATTGAATTGCTTCTTCTATGATGGATGATTTTATCTTTTGAGCTTTGGAAGGGTGGGTATTGGTAATAACAAACTCCAACAGTGAATTGTCACACATGACGGCAGTAGTTGCGCAACAATTTTTTCCAAAATATTGATTCTTTTCTGTAATGAGATAGTTTACGATTGACATGTGACCACGATTAAATGCCCTATCTAAAAATGAACAAGATATGCCATCTAATTTCAATGCATCGAAATGATTTTCAAAAAGGTATTGAACCATTGACAAGTCACCATATTTGCAGGCTTTTTTCATGAGATGCTTGATGTTTTCATCCCAAGGTGGTTGAGAGTTGGTGAAAAAGTAGGCTATGATTGGTAAATCTTTGGAATAGTCTATTTTTTCATCTTTGAGGCCAGGGTTTAAATAGGTGTTGTAGAAAATAATTGCATTGAGACTGGCAAATAAACGATAATCCAACTTTTTTGAAAATGGTGGCTTCGCTATCAATTTTGTGTTTTCATAAAGAACCTTTGCCACATCCTCGTTAAAGTCTTCAGTGTAGGCTAGTTCCAACATCAAAGATACAAAACCATCGATGTCCTCAATGATTTTTGCAATAATGTCCTCTCTATTGATTTGAAAGAGATACTCGATCATGCAAGAGTCTTGTCTTTTAATTGCCTCTGAAAAATCTGTGAAATTGAATTCGTATGTTTTTCTGAATCTTTGTTGACAGTACTGCAATGCTTTGAGACATTTGAAAGGTACTCTCTGACAAAAGTATCCAGGACGGATAAGTTCATAGATGATCCAAGCACAACGAAGAAGAGCCACATCTTCATAGAGAAAGGAATACACTGATTCATGTTTTTTGATACCTTTTATAATGAAATTTATAAATGTATAGGTTTCCTCTCCCAACGATTTGATAAAACTAGAATCATCCTCTATAGACATTTTCTCTTGTATTACTGATGCATAGTATTTGGTGTATATGCCAAGTAATGGGAATTGATCATTTCTAAGATCTTGCCAAGATGACAATTTGTCAAAGTAATAGGTAAAACAAATATACAGTTTCTCTTGTTTGTTTAGACTTGAAAGGGACGCACTGATTTTATGAGCACAGTCAATGATCCCTTGATTGTGAGGGAACTTGGTTATGTTTTCACAGAGAATCCACTCGATTGTCTCTACAACACCATCATTTTCTATTTCCTCTAGTGTCTGATTATGAAGAGACCTGATCCAATCGGAAAAGTCATTTTCATCAAAGATCTGATCATCATTGCCATAATATTTCTTGATCAATGATAGGTTGTTTGATTTGAGGAGTGGAAAAAAGAGAGGAGAGACGAACTTCTTTGCAATTGAAACTATAGTTTCGTTTGGAGTTGACAATTTGGTTTCGATAAAGTTGTACAAGAACTCCAAGAATGACGAGATTCTTTTCGAGTCGTTTGTCAATATCTTGGATGGAGTTGTGTTGTTTTCGACGTTGACAAGACCACCACCACCACCACCAACTAGCAGTTCAAAGATACCAATGTGACATCCATTGATTGCTTTGTTTAATGAATGGCATGGATGGAATGGGTGGATCTCTTCGGGGTATTCATGACATGGACCAACCTTTATAGTAAAACCATCTTGAAAATAATATAACAATCTTGGTTGATGATAAAGATCTAATTGTTTTGGGTATGTCTGGTCAAGCAATATCTTGAATACTTTTGTATTCCCAGAAGTTGCAGCACACTCTAAAAGAGTGTCTGAAAAGAACAATGATCTCTTTTTCTCATAGATGAGATTAAAGAGTTTCATGTCACCATCCAAATGATTACATATCATTTGGATTGAAGCGAGTGAAAAGTGTAAAGGGTCATTTCTCTTTAGTTTGTATTCAAGGAGACCATAGTACTGATTTCTAATGATCCATTCTGCATTGGTCAAAGAAGTGTAGTTGAAACATTCAAACACATTCCTAGTCCCTCTACCAGCTTTTATAATAGTTTTGAATAATTGTTTGTTTGTAATAACTGATTTAATTACACTTTTATCAATTTTCTCTTCTGCCTCTACTATTGTTTTTTGTTTTATCTCTTGGCTTTTACAATTGCTCTAAAAATACAATACAATAAAATAAATAAAGAGTCTTGAAAAAGGGTATCAATTATTACTTACTGTAAATCCTCTATTTGATGAAAAAAATCTCATATTTGTTTAGAAAGTGTAAATAAATGTATGTACTGAATTCAGAAACATCAGTTGAAATTATTTGAGTCCACAATTGGTGGAACAACACAATTTAAACAATTTAAATTTAGTGAACCCACCTCAACCTTTTTTTGGATAACTTTGGATGCCCCAATTATTTTATTTAGATTAAGATGATTTTGGGGGTGACAAATTTTACCTCCTTGCCATAATAATATGTAAACTGCCAACTCCTCGTCGATCAATAATTATAGGACATTAATTTCCTTTTCAGCCATTTTCTTGTCTTCATCCTTTGCTCTGATAAAGTCACTTTCAAGACTTTCTAAATATACGGCTCGTAAATAATATAATATTATATTATTATCTTGATTAATATTTACAAAATGCATCCATAATTACCTTAAAAATTGTTCAACCTCAAAATGCATGGTTTAAAGGTGACCTTTGACAACGAGATATCTTGGCACTCTAGTCGATGACAATAGCTATTGTCGTGTTGGTTCAGTGCCTTGAATCACATTGTGTCCTTGTGAGACGCATGGGAAGGTCATCTATTGCTTGTGACAAGAGCATCATTGTCTATGAAGGTATACTCTGAGACTACAAACGAAGGTGATGGTGTAAGAAAAAATAAAATAAATACAACAAGTTAATAATAATACAGTTCGATAGATTTGGGAGCTATATGAAATATTGTGTTTACATGAAATACAGTGCATAATAGATAATGAACTGATTCGATCTCGAACAATCGTACAACAAACAAAATTTAATTATTATTTTGTTTTTTTTTCATCTTGTTGCGGGAGGTACAGTTTTTGTGGGTATTTATCTTAAGTTTACAAATCATGATAGTAAAGGTTACTTTTCAGGATGCTAACTCTTATTTAGCTAACACTAAGGAAAGCACTATGAACATCAAGCATTCATCTTTTTCTAGTACCCTATATATATATTTTAATCAAAGAAACAAAGAGCAAGAAACTTGATGATGATTTATCGATCTTCAGAATCTTTGTATTTGCTTTTCTTTTTAATCTTTGTGGGCCTTTGGCCACCATTTGTTAAATCAGCAAAAACGTCAACCTCTCCTCAATGCTTGGGAAGTAATGGTGTCGTCAGTTGGTGGATCATCAAAAAGATACCAAACTCTCAAGCATCCATCTATGTCGACTCAACCTCGTCCGAGATCTCTTATCTATCGAGTATCACTGACCGTAATGGCTCTCTTGCCAAAACACTCGCACAGCTAAGCGCTGACAGTATCACGTCGCCCTATTCCTACGCCATGTGGAACGATCTGCCTTGGTACGACGACCAATCAGGCGAGATTCCAAAGTCTGTCTCTGGTCAATACTCACCATCTGACTTTACCAACCCCGACTATGACCCTAAAGATGACACATGGAGCATCCAGCACGGACCCAAGGGCATTATCGGTGTAGGTGGTGGTCTCAACGGGTCAGATATTGGTGGCTTCCACATTCACCACTCCAAGGAAGGCTTCCCCATTCCCATCCGTTCCAACTCTGCCAAATTTAAATCACCTCTAGATTTTGATCAGTGGTTTCAGTCTCAAGATACTCGATCGGCTCCAGATGCAGACAACATAAACGATGTCTCGCTTGGCCACACCTTTGTATGTCATTCCTTTTCCGGCGACCTTGATGAAGTCATTATAAACATTGGAGCCGCTCGTCCGTTTGTCTACGTTGCCAAGGTTCTCGAACGAGACTACTCGCCGCTCTACCGGTTTGCCTACAACACCCTTTGGGCCCAGCATAGCAACATTCCTCTTTGGTATGTCCCCTCTCAACAATACTTTTCTCTGTATTCGGCGCATCAATATTCTGAACTTGTAAAATTTGCTTTTACCCAAGATTATTATGCTGACCGATCTACCCTAGATTATTACTTTACTCTTCCTGTAAGTCAACAACAAAAATAATTATTAATTATTTGTATATTAACTTTCATTATTATTTCACATAATTTAGAGAACAAATCCATTACCTCTTGGAGCAGTTGGTATAACAGAAATGAAGATTTATAAAGAATTTGGAGACTATGACTCGACTGAACAAGCGTTCGTCACTCCATGGGCAAATGATATCGACTCTATTCACATTGCATTTAACGAGAGTCAGGTGTGTATTGTAGATTCTACGTGTGCCACTGGTGGATGCACGATCACTTGTTTAAGGTTTGCCGAAAACAATGTTGGTGCCAGAATGATCAAACCACTGGCCAAGTTCTTTTGGATGATATCACACAAGAAGCTCTCGGCTCCTTGCACCTCGATTCAAGACTGTCCACAAGAAGTACCATTCCACGGCACTTTTACCAACTTTAGAGGCAAGGTCATGATTGATTTGGACGACTCGTCGGTCATATCATCTGGGCTAGCTCCTTATTTACATGCTACTAGAGACTCGATCATTCGTTTGACAAACGTCCAAGTTTACAGTAGTGTTATCAAAGGATGTGATAAACATTGCCACAAAGCTGCCCGATCGTTCTCTGCCCTCTGGACAAACGACAAAGGAACCATTCGATTTATCAAGCATGGCGAACAACCTCATGTGGAACTCGAGCTGACCAACACCATGTTCCCACGCTTTATGTTTATCGACGAGCATGGCAATCCTTTGCTTCGACCAATGTCATCACCCAAACCATCCATTTATGTTCCAACCACGCTTGACAATGTAGTATTCCTCTTCCACACCATTGCCCAATTGCAACAATCCATCTCGTTGGTACAATACCGTGACCACCTGAACCGATTGACAGTGACCATTCACAATGGGTCTCAAGTTGCTCGCATTGGTGATACCAACATTGACATTTCCCTTGGTGCAATGTGTATGGACACTATACTCCAAGCGTATGCATATAATTTTATTAAAAGATTAAACCCTTTGTATGCAACCAACGATTCGTTGTTCCCGTCCTCTGGCGTCACAATTTCCGAGTCGATTGCGAGTGACCCATCTGTTTCACTCATTCGCGGCCTTGTCAATGTTGTGGCGATGTATCTCCGTCAAGATGTTTATCCCGATCTTCCTCGTGTCCTCCTAGAGTCTCTTGGGTCGTGCACAGGAGGTACCCCTGTCAACATTGAGACGTTTTCCTCATCATCCATTGTACGACGAAATGGTCTACATTCCGATGGATGGGTTACTGCCATGCTTTGGGATTTACTTGACGAAGAGAATGACGATCACCTCTCTTTTTATCATCGTTCATCTCCAAACTATGATGAAAACACTGGTATCACCATTACCTTCCAAACCATTCTAGAAACCATCAATTCTTCAAAGTCTCTGCCACCAAATGCCGTGTCATTTGTCCAATCACTCTACGATCACTTGTCAGTGTACGAACCAAACCAAGATCTCCAAATTCTTCATGCCAACCGTATTATGCTTTACAATCAAATACACAAGTGTGACCAACCAACAAACTGCGGCAAACTACCCACGACATCTGACAATCCAACCTTGCATCAGTACCTCTTGTCAAAGGGTATTTGCCAACAACAACTAGACGACCCAGATACCATAAAAGATTTGGAGGCGGTGTTGCTTTTATGGGCACATGATAATACCAATCCAATCACTTCAAATAATGGACTGACCTTTGTTTATGAAAAAGGATTACTCCTTGACCTAATCAACAGCAATCAGTTTGTTCATGCGCTCATGGGTTTGAACGATCCTGTAAAAGCATGTAGGTTTGGTCTCTATGGTCCTCAACAACATATTCTCTCGCCTCTTGGAGTGGTAGCACTTACCAAAATGTTGGTCATTCAATCAAGTCTTGCAACACGTATCATCGATTACAATGAAATTACAACTTATTTTATTGGACAAGAAAACCAACCAGGATTAATCATCTCAAAACATCGCAATTTATTTTGTGGATTTATAATTGCTTCCAAGGGTATTTATTTAATAATTAATTAATTAGAGTTATTTATTTATTTTATTTATTTAATTATTAATAATTATTATTATTATTTATTTCCTTTTAGAATTATTTGAAAAAGGTGATGTAGCGATTGATTTATGTGATTCTGGTCCAAATGTTTTTAAAATCGAAGGAGTATTGTCATCTCCTCCTGTACCATCATCTAATCATCGTATCTCTATCGTTGGACGTAAACTAGATCAAGCAATTATTTATATTGGTGACAATCAATGTACCGACCCAATCATTACCAAACAAGGTAATAGTGATCTACTCACTTGTCTCGTTCCATCGGCGTTTGGTAATCAACCCATTCATTACGCTGCGTCGTCACCCAAGCTGCTTCCATTGGAAGAACCAAACATTTTTACAAAAAGCATGTACTCGTACGATGGTCCAATACTCGTTCGAGTTGAAACAAGTGAGGCACCTGCCAAGACGATCGGGACAGTCGTGAGTGTATTTGGAAAGAATTTTTACACTCTGACCTCCACCCCCAACGACATTGAACTCACCGAAGGTTCATTCAGAATCACCGCAACCAAGACAGGTGCACGAGCAATCAACACCGAACAAGAAGATGTCGTGGTCTACCAAACTGAGGGATCCGGCGCCGGTCTCAAACAGGTGATCAGTTTAGTAGTTGGAGAAACTCAAGATACCTACTCCCAAGACACCTTTTACATTGACTATCGAGCACCGGTTATTACTTCGACCATTCCTCCCGAGCCTACTGCTCCAAGCCAAGGAGAAACCGTGATTACCATCAATGGCCATTCATTTGGAACCGATCTAAAACAAGTTTCTGTTACTATTGGTAATGAACCGTGTGATGAGACTATCATGTCGATCCCCGATACTCAATTAATTTGTCAGGGATCACCCGACGGATTCGGGGATTTTGATATCCAAGTCACAGTCAATGGTCAGAAAAGCATAGAAACAGAATTTTACGTCTCGTATAACCGTCCAATCATCGACTATGTCATTTCCTCGCCAATGAAAACCGAGGAGGGTGGAACATTTTGGATAGTTGGTCAAGATTTGGGTGTTCGGTCATGGGGTGATGTAATCGTCACTCGAAACTACCTAAGAATGGAGGTAGAATGCCAAACTAAATTCGAGTCGTATGCAACCGATAAACTAATTAGTTTGGATATTGAAGAGGGGGATTTCGATCCCACCGAGCAATTGCCTGAATGGTATCTAGAGAATGTGGATTATGATATCATTCCTTGTATTTTACCTCCTGGAATTGGTCAAGACGATTTCCTCTTGGTTACCATTGAACAAGAATACGATTCCAACGTCTCACCACAACCAACTGGTTATTTACCACCTACCATTGAAAAAATACAAAAACAAGAAGAAAAAGAAATAGAAGAAAAGGAAAAAGAAGAAATAATTTATTCCTTTGAAGATGGAACAGATGGTGGAGCTGTATTGAATATTTTTGGATCCAATTTTGTACCAAACGAATATGTTCTAAATTACTTTGATCCAGACACTGGAGAATTGGTTGAAGAGGATGCTGACATTTCTGGTCCAGAAAATTATACGTTTGTCTCTTTTCAAGATCCATCCCACTCTACTCTTCTCGCAAGATATCTGACTAAATTCATCAACTCTTCTTTGGTCACGATAACTGTCCCCGCTGGAATAGGAAAAGACAAGATACTCAACCTCACAATTGGCAACTTGACGATGACCAATTCCCAATCCTCCAACAACCTATTCAAGTTTAGTTACAAACCACCATTGATTAAAGATGCCAAGTACTCTACCGACACCAACGGCTCGGTCATCACCATCCAAGGAGAAAACTTTGTACCTCTACAACTTGTCCAAGAAATCAACCAACAATCAACTCAACCAAAACGAAACAACCTCAGTGTGTCTATTGGTGAACAATATTGTGAGTCTTGGAAATGGATCGATAGTAAAAATGTAGAATGTTTAGTACCAACAGGAACTGGTGCAAATCATGAAATTAAAATAATTGTTGGTACTCAAAAAGTTAATCAAAATAATTATTTCAATTATAATAGTATGTAAATTAAAGAATAGAATCTTATTTTTTTAATAAATTAATTATTAATTTTTTTTTTTTTTTTTAAATCAATTTAGAACCAAAAGTTGAAAAGATAATACCAAATGGTGGATTAAAATTAGGAGATACAATGATTGAAATTATTGGAAAGAATTTTGCAAACATATCAACTGTAAAGATTGGTGACAAAAATTGTACTGTCGAATCATGTCAAGACACATTGATCAAATGTAAAACACCTGCCTATGAAGAAAGTGAACAAAAAGTGGTTGTCACCACCGACGGTCAATCTTCAGAGGATGATATTAGGTTTACATACTACAATACCTACATTGACACTGTAACCTCTACAAAGCACGGAGTACTAGGTGATTATGCAATCACTCTTACTGGAAAGCATTTACAAGAGGAAGACTACACAACATCGGTATACTTTAATGACCAACAGGCAACTGTAATAGAAGTGTCAAAAGAAAGAGTCATTATTGAAGGCATACAAGGAGGTGGCAAAGATATCAAGACCTATGTCACACTTGAGCATGTAACATCTAGTACCCACAAATTAAATTCAAATGAAAACACCAACTTTTCATACAATGCACCATTGGTTCGCTTGCTTTCTTCCAACAGTGGTGATTCAGATGAATCCAAACAAATTACCATCAATGGAGATGACCTCGGACTGCCAAATCAAACCTCTTCAGTCACACTTGAAGATGGCTCTTGCCAATTTATTTCTACCGACTCGACAGGTACAAAAATTCAATGTGTTATTCAACCGGCCTCTGCTGGCACAAGATCGATTGTCGTTACTTTTAAAGGACAATCATCCAATGATGATGTGAAATACACTCACAAAGATGGCCCTCCCAAACTCACCTCGATCAATCCATCCAAAGGAAGAATGTCCAAACGTACACTAATCAACCTCATCGGTAATAACTTTGGTTCCAATCCAAAGGTAAAGATTGGTGAGACACCTAACCAAAAGGAATGTAACATTACCTCGTCTGGAAAAACAAAAATATCTTGTATCATGCCAACTTTTGAGAGAGAGGAAAGCGTACGAATTACGGTATACGTATCTGATGGAAGACAAACTCTGGAAGATGTCAGGTACTCTTACTATGGTCCTCCAAAAATCACTTCTATCAAACCCGAGGAAGGATCAATCACTGGTGATTACCCAATCACATTGGTTGGTCGTAACTTTGTTGAACAAGGATCGACACTGACTGTCAAGTTTAACAACACTCTGGCTACTGTTAGGTCTCACTACAACACAATTGTGATCATTGACGGCAAGAAAGGGTATGGCAAAGAAATACCTATTCTTTTGACACTTGGTGATCAAAGCACCGACAACAACCAATTCTGTTACTCCAAACCCGTTATCAAATCAATGACACCAAACTCTGCCAAGGAAGACGAAGTTGTAAATATTCGTATCAATGGTACAGATTTGGGTCTTCCTGGCTACCATACCAAGCTTTTAATTGGTGGGGTAGAATGTCCACCGACCTTTATAGCGGCTGATGGAAAGTCCCTTCATTGTACCGATCCTTCCCGTGAAAAAGGTAAATATAATGTTCAAGTCTTTTTCATTGGGGAAGGTCCTGGTTCTCAAGAATCAAACATTGTCAATTTTACACGTAAAGGAGATGAAAGTAGCGATAGTAGTGAAAACAGTAGTGAAAATAGTAGTGAAAGTAGTACAGAATGTCAAGGATCTAATTGTAATGGTAATGGTGCTCCCACAACGACCCCACCACCACCACCCCCACCACCCCCACCACCTCCTCCACCACCACCACCTCCTACACCTGGAGGACCTTCAACTGGCCCCTCAACAGGTCCTTCAACAGGTCCTTCAACTGGCCCTTCAACAGGTCCTTCAACAGGACCCTCAACTGGCCCTTCAACAGGTCCTTCAACTGGCCCTTCAACTGGCCCCTCAACGGGACCTTCAACTGGTCCTTCAACTGGCCCCTCAACGGGACCTTCAACTGGTCCTTCAACTGGCCCTTCAACTGGCCCTTCAACTGGACCCTCAACGGGACCTTCAACTGGTCCTTCAACTGGACCCTCAACGGGACCTACACCTGGTGGACCTTCATCAGGCATCGATAATATTTTTAATTTGTTTAAGAAAACAAAGACAAAATATCCTGGCATTGATCTTAATATTGACAATACTGATGATGACGATGATATTACCGATGGTAGTGGTACTGATACTGATGACACCAGTGGTAGCGATAGTGAAGACACCAACAGTGACACTGACAGCGACAGTAATACCGACGATGACGACAGTAATCTAGGCCCAGGAAGCTCCACAGCGGGAAGACGTCCAGATCTACCAGGTATTCGTCAACCACCTCGTGATCCTCTCATTACACCTCCTAAAATATCTCCTGATCCAACTACTGCAGGAGTCAACTACCCTGTTGACCCAACCCACCCTACAACAACAACATCTGGAGGAAGTGTCGGTCTTTTTGCAACAGTTCAAGGTATTATTTTCAATGACAAAAACTGGAACAATGTACAAGATGAAGGAGAGACAGGTATTTCCGGTCTTGTTGTTTATGTTGCAGCAGACCCAACCTTACCCCCAACAACCAGTGACGGATTTGGAAGATTCGAGATTAATGTACCTCAAGACGGTAATAGATATTGGATTACTGTTCAACCCACTTCCACATACTTTTATCCACTCAATCCAAAATCTGTTGTGGCCGACTCCCAAACAGTTCAAATTAGTTTTGCTGCCTTTGTTAAATCTGTCTATGGATGTATTGGTTCATTCTCGACAATCAACAATGATGTTTTGAATCTTCAGTACGGAGTTTATAACCTTTTAGACTTTGGTTGGACATCCTCAATGTTTAAATATTTTAATGTAAGTCATTTTAAATTAATTTATTTTATTGTTTATAGAAGTAAACTAAAACTTCTTTCCTTTTTTTTTAGTTCCCTTCTGAATGTCAAACTGAAATGGTTACTATCTCACACATTAAAATTAACTATAGTAAGTTATTTATTTATTTTTTAAATGTAAAATTATTAATTAATTCTTCTCTTTTTTTTATTATTTATTTTTATTAATTTTAGAAACAACATTAAATTTTACATTCTTTTATGATAATAATATGAATGGACAAATTGATGGTGATAGTTTTAGTGTGCACAAAGACAACTTTACAATGACAGTTGAATCAACCGTAAATGGCAAACAATTGGTGAGAAATTATACAACCGATATATTTTCTACCAATTTTGTTGTTAATGTCCCATCAACCTCGGTCATTAGTCTTGCGGCCGACAAACAAGAAACTACTTTTGTACCCACCATCCAAAATAAGATTGTGTCTGTGCCTGACCCCTCTGTCCGAAGCAAGATCAATGTCAGTTATGGTGTATTTGATATTCTCCCTCCCAAAGTTGCACAATTAACCGGTCTCGATAAACAAGTTCTCAGTCTTCCTCTTGGAAAGTATCCTCTTTCATTCTTTGAAAAGGTTGGCTTTAGTCTACAACAGTTGACCGATTTGGTTGTTCCAAGTGGCAAATCTATTATCATTGCTCGAGCCGGACAACCAAATAACGTTTACCAAACTCCTGTCACTCTTCAACCAATCCCTTCTTTAATATTCATTGAAGTTTACGATCCATGTATGTTATAAATAATACAGTAGAATGATATATTTTTTGAAAAATATCATTTATTAATACCTTTTTTTTTTTTTTTTTTTTAAAGATTTATTTAAAGGTTTACCGCCCATCAATTCAACTGGAATGAACTTTAACATATCAAGAGTTTATTATAGATTACCATCATTCTTTGTTGAAGGATTGAAAATATCTTGCTCACCAATTTCAGTTGAACTTGTTCAATGTTCCTTCCCACCTTTCTTTGGTGGCTCACTTACCAAAAAAATCACATTGACTTGGAATGATATTCAACTCGAAGCTTCGTACCCCATCACCTACCAAGACTCATCCGACCCAACTGTAATAACCACTTCCACCACCACCACCACCACCACTAGTACAACGACTGGTGGAACAACCACATCAACCAATAGTAGCTCAACTACAGGAGGAAGTAATCCCACAACTACCAGTACAACAACCGGAGGAAGTAATCCTACCACCGGAGGAGAACAACAACCAACTCATGGTTTAATTGGAGGTAGAGTTTACTATGACAATGGTTACAACAACGTCTGGAATAGATGGGATCAACCCGTATTTAATCGGTCCATTATTTTGATTGGAACAACAGGCAATCTAACAGTAAACACCACCATTGAAGGTTTCTACTACTTTAGACCACCATTTGGGACGTACAAGATCTATGTCGACGAATCAGACCCAACCATTCATATTCCAATCAATCTCTTCCCGACAACCCTCTCATTGGAGAATGCAATCTTTAATAGAGATATATCAGTCATTGTGAAAGCCGATTACGGCTGTTTTGGTGATATCAGTAATGGTGTCGGAGGAGCAAAGGTTAAATTCCAATACGGTCAATTCTATTTACCAAACTATGGTATTACCGATTTTAACACTGCCGTCAAAACTTTCCCAAACTATTGTAATGTTAGATTGATAGACAATTATCTCTACATTCAATATAATAACCTAGTAGTTGTCAATCTTTATTATGACCTCAACATGAATGGCATAGAAGATGACAATGAAAAATTATGGAACCAATTACCATACCCAATGACAATGTATGTTGACTCTAGACTTGGAGGAGAAGGAGATGGGCCATACTTTACAAGAGAATACATTTTATCTAAAATTGCATTGGTCGATATTCCATCAGGATCATATATTCGTATTGTCCAAAAAAGTGGTGATAATACAACAACCACAATATCAAGTAAATTTATTATTCCTCCTCCTTTGGCTCCATCCTCCAACACTACTATTAGCATTACGATGGGTATTTTCCATTACCCCAGATCAAAATCACTTTTAATCAATTCAACCATAGACAAAGAATCGATGAACCTTCCCTATGGTCGTTACCTAGCTTCCTTTTTTACAAATATTGGCTGGAATGGAAATAGATCATTTTCGTTTAACCTCAATGCCGACCAAGCCATCGTACTCGTGCCAAGTGATCCATCCTACCCAACTTTGCTTTACGAGTATGAAGGAAAACCAATTTCCTTAAACTTATCGGAAACTAATTATACATATGAAATATTAGATCCTTGTAAGTATCATTCCCGAGAAAATATTTTAAATTATCATTTACTAACATGTGTTTTACTTTTTATCTTTTTTTTTTTTTTAGATTTATGGAATATCCCATTAGTTCCAATTGAAGGAATGACTGTTGATATTATCGATAGATATATCAATCAGACAGTAGATTATTATCTAGACAATCAAAAACTGCAATGTACTAGATTGACAGATAACACTTTCGTTCGTTGCGTTATTCCACCAAACTCCAATGAAGAAACACTCAAACCAATTTCTATTAAATGGAACGGTCAAGACCTTTATCCCTACCATTCCATTAGATATGGATTGAACTCGATGATAAAAGGCCAATTATTCATCGATACAAATATGAATATGGAATATAATGAAAACGTAGATATCTTGATAAAAGATGATAACATTCAAGTTCAATTGGTTGACCTTTCCACAGGAACCATTGTCGAAACGGTCGAATCTTCATTTGGACTCTATACATTCTCATCACGATTAAAAGCAGGTGACTATGCTGTAAACGTTCAAATTGGTGTAGAATCTACTTACTTTGCACCATTGGAAACTAAAAAAGTTCAAGTATCCGAATCAATGTCGGCAACGTATATCAACAACATTGCACTTTTCCAAAAGAATGAAAAAGGATGTGTTGGTCATTTGATTACTTCTGACAATGAAAAATTGCAATTACAATATGGTACCTTTGCATTGGAGACCTTTGGATGGTCATTGTTCAATATCTCTACAAATAATCTACCAAACATGTGTGATTTAATTGTAAATAATGAAACTAAAATAATTTCAATTAAATATAGTAAGTTAAAAAAACAATAATTATAATTATAAAAATAATCTAATTAATATTCAATTATTTATAGAATCAAATATTTTAATTAATCTTTATTTGGATAAGAATATGAATGGAATTTATGATGGAGAACTTGAAAATATAAATGAAATTGTTGTTGGTATTACTGTACAATCAATGTTGGGTAGCAAATTAATTTCTCAGTATGTTGAATCTTCGACAGGAATCATTGCACTTGATGTTCCTTCAAACTGTCAATTCAAGATAAATGATGAAAGATTTGTTACTCTTACTCAAAACCTTCAGGTCATTCAAGATCCTAGTATTTGGTCTAACCAAAACCTATATACAGGAATGATTCCATCAAATGCCACCAAATTGCAATTAAATGGAGATGATAATCAACAAAGTGTCAAACTCCCACTTGGTCAATACTCATTAACCTTTTTTACAAATATTGGATGGTCATCCAACAAACTCTTGCCCCTTCAATTAGACCCTTCTTTAAACCTTTCTCTTACCATCCAATATACAAACCAAGAACAACCAAACATCTATAACTCTACTGCTCAAACTGGGTTAGTCATAGACCTCAACACCACTTTTTCCTTTTTAGAAATATTTAATCCTAGTATGTTTTATTTCAAAATAATTTAATATATCTATTATTTATTAATCATTCATCCTATTTCTTTTTTAAAAAGATTTATTGGTAGATGGTTTACAACCAGTTTTATCAAAGGGTAGAGGTGGTGTGATAACGTTTACAAATCAATACTATGGTACACCTAAATACTTTATAGGACAATCAGAGCTGTCTATTAATCAAACAGATCAAGTGATTCATTTAACAATTCCTCCTCTGACTGACCAAGAAGAAGAAGTACTCACCAAGAATTTAACATTGACTTGGAATGAGATTGGACTCTATACATCGTATTTGCTACATTATCAGCTTGATCCAACAACCAACGACACAACGACGACGACTACAATCCAAGGAATAATGTATTACGATTCAAATGGAAATAATATTTATGAAGAAACCGAGCCAACAGTCCAAAACCAAGTCATCACTATTGCCGACGAAAAAGAGGGTTCTATTCAAACGATCTCTACTGACAACCAGGGAGCTTTTCTCTTTAATGTATTAGCCGGAACGTACATCCTATCAGTCTCACCACCTACCCTCCAGAGTTCCTCTTTTATTGTTCCTCTCAACAATGTGGTTCTTGTCGTGGCCAACCAACAAAAGCTCAAACACAACATTTCAATCATGAGTGTTTCACCATTTGAATGTACAGGATCGATTCAAGTTCAAGATGGACCACAAGTAACTGTACAATATGGTAGATTTGGATTTAACTATTTCGGATCAACAAATCAATTTTCATCAATTCAAGTATGTTATATTATAATTCAAACAAAAAAAAACCAATTTATTTAATATTTAATTTTTTTTTTTTTTTTTATTAAAGTTACCAATACATTGTATGATTGTTAAAGATGAATTGAATAATGTTGATGTTATTTATAATATGTTTGAATTCACAAAGAATTCACCGGTTGCCAAATTTGGAGTCAGTCTTCCACTCAAGAGAGAGATCTTCAATGACCAAGATATTGTTTTATTCTCTATCTACCCATCAACAATACCTTTGGAGTGTACGTCAGACGTTGTATTGAAAGAATTCATTTGTGAAATTCCAGCAACCAACAAAAGCCAAGATTTAATTCAACTGTCCCTCAATGGTCACTTCTCACCATTCTTGTATACATTGAATTATATTGAATGTATGTATCATGATATAAAGTACTACTTTATTTTTATTTTATTTTTAACCAACCCTTAATGTTCCTCTATAGTAACCTATAATATTCCAAAAGAAAGTGATCTATTCTTGACTGTTGGAAATAATGTAACATATGATCAACTATCTACTCGTTTGTCGATCAATTATACTGATAGTGATGGAGTAGCACACACAAATGCTCTCACATTTTCAACAATCGATGGAATGAACAACTCGTACATTATCTTGACCCGTGATAATGTACCTGTAAACATGGTCGCTTTAAACGGACAAACAACATCGAGCAGCTATTTTGAATTTGAAGCAAATGGAAACCTATGTGTAAAATCCCAATTAAATGCCACCCTCGGATGCATGGGTACAGAATACTACAACATCCATTACATGCAATTGGTAAAAGAAGGAATCGTCTTCCAAAACGCCAAAGGAGAGGTTGTATCTAGTTGGTTGATCGAACCACTCACACCACCTGTAAAATCACAGTTTATGACCAATCCTGGAAAGTACCTCGAAGCAAAGAACCCACAACTCAACTACCTCTTGGCATATGATACAAATGCAGAAACCAGAGACAGAATGTACTTGACCAACGGAGTAAACTATTTGACTCTTACCAACTCTGGAAACATTCTGATGACTAGAAATCTATCGGCATCTGCTCTATCAGATTCCTTGTTGCCGCCGTTCCTTATGTCACCAGTAACTGCCGTTGTCCCTCAAGGCAATCCAAGGCTTGTGTTACTTGACAACTCTGACCTTTGTGTCTACCACGGTGCAACCGAACCACAAACAATTGCCTGGTGTCTGGGAACATCTGGACTTGGTGGTCGCGTTCTCATTGTCATGCCAGAACTCCTCACTAACCCATCGCTTCGTGGTATTGCCCTCCTGTCAGATACTGGAAAGATTGTATGGAGCAAGTTTGATTATCAGGAGCGTCCTGTCTATCCACACATGTCGAGATTCCAATGCAACCTTCCTCTTGGTACCTATTTGGAAGTTGGACAATCGCTCCGTGCCGACCAATTCATAACCAACGGTCGTGACTATTTACTACTTTCAATAGATGGTAACTTGAAACTTTACTCGAGCATGAATCCACTCGACCGACAGTCCAACCCCACCTGGAGCACAAACCTCAATACATCGTCGCTCCAGGGTCCATTTACATTACAAGTCAGGACAAGCGGAATTTATTTACACGATGCCTCCACCAACACTGACTATTGGTCTATCACCTCTCACATAACAACAAAATACCTCACCATGCAATTCTCAGATGCCACACAAGTAGGTTTCTTTTTGGTTAATGACAATGAAATAACAGGCGGAAAGATTCTCAATAGCAGTGCCGCCTCAAGTCAGCCAATCAACATCATGGGTTCCTCTGGATCAGTTGTTGTCCAATCCAATCAAATGGACCCTCGAGACGTTTCATTAAAGCTCCAATATTCAATGCCCAAATCGAGATGGGAATTTGTATTTTCAGGTGGATCTATTGATATGATTGCAGATCAGACACATGAATATGCTTCATCCTCCTCCTCTACAAACTCTCCTGCAGACATATCGGTATCTCTCAAATTTGAAAACTCCCTTCTCTGTTTTACCTACTGCACCTCTGGAACCAACTGCGATAGCTGGTGCCCTAGTTCAATTCCAAACCAACAATATTTTACAATTGTACAAGGATTCCCATCACTTATACTCGTCAACACTAACTATGAAATTGTTTACTCTATTAATCCCTCAAACTTGGTTATTCTACTGCTTTAAATAAATCTAAAAACATACCACCACCATTAACTAAATTAATTGATGACATGAAACTCTCTTTATTTAATAATTGTTTTTAATTTCTTCAAGATGGAGAGTGAATGGAAAACCAAATTGCTCGAAATCCTCTTCCAACTCTTGTATTAATGATTGATTGTCGAGAGTGCAACCATAGCTGTCAATGAGTAATTTAAAACAATCCAATGCATTTGTATACTTTGAGATGGATGATTGAATAGCTATATCTAAAAACTCTGACCTTGTCAAATCAGTTTGAAAGACATGCAACGAAAACAATAAAACCAAACAACAACAACAAAAATAATGATAAATTGATTTATTGATTAATCATTGTAATGATATTGCTTTGACAAAATATCCTTAGTACTGAGAATTTAAATTTCAAACGTATAAAGCCACTAATACTATAACTATTGCTGATTTTGGGTGATGTTAAAATAGATCTAACCTCCTCGGATAGGCGGTATTAAAATTATATTTTTTTTCTAATTTTTTTTTTTGTTTGTGGGACACCACCATGAAGATAGATTCTTGCTAACCATTTAGTAACTGTTGTTCAATCACAAGTAATCAGGACTAAAAATGGATCATTTAACAAATTGCTAACTCATTTTCTTCAACTCGATGTTCAATTTTGTAAGTCATACGAGTAAAATAGTAATACGTATATAGATAATTTATTCTTTAGATACATTCTAATCCAACATCATATATCATTTAGTGAAAACTATGGATAAAACAGAGTTAGTTACTTATCTCTTTTTGTTATTCCTATTTTCCTTCTGTATAATAAATGCAGAAGATGCATCTTTAGATATAGAGATAATAGGTAATCAGCCTCTTTATTTCACAAAAAATGGAGGTCAGATCTTAAAGTTAAAAGCAAACAATCTTAAAGATTGCAGTAAAGAAACACCTTATATCAAAATAAAGTTATTGGGTGCACGCAGTTCCCGTTTAGTAACTGCTAAGTTCAAATCCCTTGATGGATTAGAAGGTTCCTTTCAGATACCAGATATCCAAAGTTTTTCTTACGGTGCATCTGATGAAGGTCGATGGAAAGCAGAATTCAAACTTTTATGTCCTCGTAAACTAAACGAAATAGACTATGTATTATCCTATTGGTATACTGGTAATTATTCTTTGGTTATAGTTAATAAAATGTCCACTAATTAATCATTTTTCATAGAACCATATATCCAACATATCTTTCCAGGACAAGGATTCTTTTTTGGTGGTTACATGGTTACAATTACTGGAAGATATTTAAAAGTCGGCAATCCCAACATCCAAATCAGAATAGGTTCTCTTAAATGTGCCCTGAATCCCACCTATACTGACGGTATAATAACTTGTACTATCGAGGACAGAAGTAGGGACAAACTCTTTATCCAAAACATGGATGAATTTTGGAGTTCAGATGCAGATATCAAGGTTTCAGTAGAGATAAAATTTGATGGTATAAATCTCTCAAATCTGCCATTCACCTTTCAAAGTATGTTCTAAATTATCGAATAGTGTTCATATTACTAACAACTGTACTCAGTTCCTACTGTTATCGATATGAATCCACAATCTCCACAGCTACTCAACTTTAATGGACCAATTTTATTTGGTTTGAATGTTGCTCTAAAGGAATCTGATAATATCATTATTAAGATAGGCCAGAGCAAGTGTGATGTTAAATTCGAATCCACTCAGACAGCTTCATTTATTGAATGCACAAAATTCGAGCCACCAAGTGACAAAACAAATAGTGAAATTGAAATCACGTGCAACAATGTCCAAGTTAAATTTCATCATTCAATTAGCACGAAAAAACAATTTAAATACCTGTGTATGTATATTTTCTAATAACCATGAGCCCTGTTTATTAACCTAGCCATTTGTAGATCCCACTATTAATTCATTAGAAAAAAATTATGGGTTTCTCACCGGTGGATACGACATCTCAATTAAAATGTCCAATCTCTACCAAGTTAAGAAGGAAGAAATCCGAGTCATTTTTAACTACCTCATTGGTGACATAGAAGGTCAATTGGATTGTGATGTCACAAAATTCTTTTTCAAAAATGAAATTATCATTTGCACGACCAAACCAAGTCCTAATACTGCCATTTTTAATTACGAAGTGACGGTGGATGTTATTTTTGACACAAGAGTTGCATTTCCTTCTAATAAAATAAGTTTTTCTTATTTCCGTAAGTTATGAAGAACTAAGAATAACTATCTTTTACTAATGTCAATCCTAAACAGAACATGCAATCAAAAAAGTCTCTCCACATAAAGGCTTTGGTCAAACAAGCAATCTCTTATACATTAATGCTTATCAGCTTCATCGTTGCAAGAATGAGCTTAGTGTCCAAGTTGGAAATACCAAGTGTGAAATTCAAGCCCACCCCAGGATCGAAAAACTTGGTGATATTGATCTTTGGCTTTTAGAATGCCTTCTTCCCAAAATTACTTTGGATGCCGACCTCTACCAGAAACCTCTAAAAGTTGACATTTTCTGTGGCAGTCAACCCTCCAGAGTATCTGTTGATGGGGTTAATATGGCACTCGAATCCGAATCAATCAACTTCTTGGTCTACAGTAAGTTAACAAACAACACAAAATATTTCCATTTACTTACTTTTAATTTGAATAGAACCTTCTCTTGATGAAGTAAAGCTGTTGCCTGATTCGAGTGAGACAATTCATTTAATTGGGACAAATTTAAAAGATATTAATCTGGTCAAAATAGGAGAAGTATCGTTTCATCCAAAACAAAAAACATATGGTCTTGTTGTCTTTCAAGTCGATAAAAAAACACAAGAATCAATGGTTGGAAATCTCCCAGTTAAAATTTATGCAACTCAATCTGAGATTCTGGTAGTAACAAAAGAACTATTCATTTCTTTTGATAATAGTAAGACCTTAACATAAATTATCTTCACTTTCATTATTTGAATATTAATATCATTTATTTACAATTATATATTAGAACCCTCGTACGATATAACGTTATATCCTCTAGAAGGTATAATTATTGGTGGATTTGATATAAAAGTAACATTGAATAACAAATTACCACTAAATGATATAAAGGTTTTCATTGGTGATAAAGAGTGTATCATCAAAGATACAGAAGCAATAGGAGGCGTTTTCGATTGCAATGTCCAATCATCTGGACGTCCAACCACTTCATTGGAACCAGTTTCATTTAAAATTGGAACAACTTTGTACAAAACAAAATTGATGTTCCAATTCAACCTACCTCAAATTACAAGCTTCCAAATATCAGGAGAAACGTTAACAAATCCAACAATTCCAACAAATAGTGACAAGATAGAGATAGATATTCATGGAACTTATCTTGAAAAAGCGACAGAAGTTAAAATAATGGGAGGACCCTCCCCAATTATTTGCTCTTCCCCACATTTTACAACCAAGGTCATCCACTGTACTCTTCCTCCACTTTCATCCCGATTCCACCTTACACTCTCAGTTTGGTTTTCAAAATTCCAAACAAATGAAATCGATTTGCCTATAAGTGGACCATACATCACAAGTATCATGCCAAATCATGGTCCAAAAAAAAAAAAAGTTATCGAGGTCACCATTACAGGAGGAAAATTTGATCCAAAAACGGTAAAAGTTTTAATTGGAGAAGTCGAGTGCCCTATTATACGTGATCCATTGGATACACCAGGTAAAATCTATTGCAAAAGAGTACCGGTCGAGAAAAGTGGAAAGGTGATTGTTCACTTGCATGATACGTACTCGAAAAGAGAATCAATAGATGGTGTCGAATTTACTCATGTTGGTAAGACAAAAGGAATATTAAAATTATAATAATTTATTTATAACCCATTTATTATTAGGACTAACCTGTTATGGACAACCAAAGGACTCAAAAACTATGGGCCAAAATGATGATGTAGACTGGTGGTTAGTAAAAAAGATGAACAAAAAAGAAATAGGGTATGGATACTCTGACTCTCAACCAGATAGCCCTTTCAGGCTCATTGAAGACAATAAGTACAATGGTTTCAACGGACCTCTTAGTGAAACGTAAGTTAATCTCACAAGCGAGCTAGTTTGCACTCTATGGTGATATTGATATTCTTTGACAATTTAGATTCAGACAATATAAAGATTATGGGTATATGTTTTTTAATGACCAACCATTCAAAAATGAAGAACTAGGCAATAAAAAAAAACCAGGCAAAAAAAAAGGAGATGATGAGGAGGAGATGGAAACTAAAATAAAAAATTATCATACTCCGTATGGCCACGTAAAAGGAATATTAATGTATGAAATATGTAAAAATTCAATAATCTATCAATTATTAATATTAATTATTTAATTTCTAGGTGGGAGCCTGACCCTGAGGACGAAAATCTCATTCTTGGGGGTATTCATATTTCGCATTCTCAATCATATTTTCCGAATGCAATGTTTAAAAACATTAAACAAGCTGACCAAATGGTTGATTCATACGTTGATCCACCGGAATCCATAGATGATCCAATAGATGAAACACTTGGATCATGGTTTGGAAAAGCTCCTTCTGGAATTGGGAATCACTTTTTTTGCTACAAGTTTACAAACATAGAACCGGTTGCAGATTACTTCCTTAAATCATATGCGTATGTCATGCCATATCCAGGTGGTAATCCAAAAGACTATGCACCCCGTATCAAAAAAGAAATGAAATATCAAAATTTAGTAGATTTAGGTACTGTAGTTACATTAAGATCAAAATATCGATATGGAGAAACAAGAATGAAGAAAATCAGAGATGTATGTAAATGTTTAAATGATGATTTTATTTAACCAAAAATATTAATAGATTTTTTAAAGGATTGTTTAGCAAATGTACATAAATTTAATCTTGAAAATATTTGTTATTGGATATACGTTCCTCCTACAGACAAACCAACTGGTTTCAAAGTTCAATATATTATAAAAGTTGATCAAGATATCAAAAAAAATCAAAAACAAAAACAACAATCAACACAATTGTCAATTCCAACAACCGAATACAAATATCGAATTGTAAAAATTGAGAAAAAGGGAAAAATGATTGCAAACGACGGATTGGATATTTATGACATCGCAGCCAACCACTTCAAATATAGTCTTTTTGCGCATACTTGGACGAACATGCAATCAAAATCATTTGTGCACACAACTGCCATCGCCAATGTAGAAATTAGTTGTATGTCAAACAATAACAATTTCATATTACAAAAATTTCATTCTATTAATCGCTTGTTTTTTATAGACGTTAGAGGAGAAGAAAAGGTCCATTCCTCACTTACTAGATCAAATGATCATAGTAAAATGGCCTACCCATTGTTCCCTCAAGAACATACGAATAACAAAATTGTATGCGTTGGTGATTTAAATCGTCACGGTGGACAAGGTGCAAGAGGAGGAGGACTTGTGTGCTTTGAAAATATTGATTTGGCTTACCAGCTAAATAGACTAGTAGGTGGGTACTCTTCTGTCCGATCATATCAAACCATCAAAGATCAAACCCCAGTAGTTACTGAAAACCAAGATTATAGTTTTTTTGTCAATGGCTTTCATGTATTAAACAAGAATCCTCTTCGTTTAGAAATGGGAGTTTATCAGCAGTTTGTTGGTGGCCAACTACTTATGGACCCAAATGGGTATAGAATTTTTAATCCCGACCCAGAAACAGTGCCACTCCCCAGGTACTCCCCAAAGGAAAAGGACCCTCCCAAGATCCCCCCACCTCCCAAGGGCCCCCCACTTCCAATCACTAGGAAGTGTCTAGTGGAAACTCCAACACATTCTGACACCAAAAATTCGAATTTTTTTCCTTTGTTGGACACTAATGGAAATGTAGTCGATCAAAACAAACCTGTTTATTTTGCCAGCAAATATTTTTTAGGCTTACCCCACCATCGCACATTTGTTGCTTATTCAATCCCCATTAAACAAGCCATAATAATTAAATTTGAAGGTGAGGATATAAAAGATGAGGTACACTTTGAAATAATGGAACACCTGGAGAATTCTCTCATCTTGCCTAGATCACCAAGACAATTTTCCTTTGCTGAGCTAAAGCAAAAGAAATATATCTATACGACTTCTATCCGGTAAATATCAACAAATAATTTAAATTTTGTTTTTTTTATTAACCAATTTATTATTTCATTAAATCAAGTACTTCCTTTGACTATGTTGGGCAAGAAATTCATACAACTGGAGAACCTCTTTTCCCAAAACATCTGTGGGCGGTTAAATCTCAAGACACAATGTTCCTTTGTCACATTGGGTACGATGACAGTTCAATAATTTGTCCATTGACTAATTGTGGCAAGAAGGAACAAGCAATCCGTTCACCAACCCCTTTTAAATCCCTTCCATCAAAATCTCCAACACGGGAATATTCAGACTCTGACCAGTTTGGGGAGCCAGTTACCAAACAATTTTTCATGGAAACCAACAACTCCTTTAAAACTCTTAGACTCGTCAAATATTTTAAAGATTTAATCAAAAACCTCGTGGATATTAATCTAATCAAAGATAGATTCATTTTCATTATTCTTGGAACAAAATCAAAATATGACCCGATCGAGAAGCGTATTATTTTAAGCAATATAAAGACCCAACAGGATCCTCTTCCAATTTATTGCCAGGAGCAACTAAGTTATCTTCTGACACTAAATATCGCTGACAGAAAGAAATCAAAGCATCTGTTTGAAAACGATTGGGCAAACTCTGTGGCCATTGCCATCTCCCTCCATATTTCCAAGGTCAGTTATATTTATTCTAAAAATAAATCAATTCTAACTTTTTTTTTTTTTCCCACTATAGAAATTTAATAAAGATAATGGTCCTCCTCTGCTCACTCTTCCAACATGCTTCAATCAAATCGATATAGTATCTAAAGAAAAAGAAATTCTTGCAGTGTTAGGTTTAAAGGACCAAAACAAGCAATTTCCCTACGAGAAACTATTTTCTATACTATTATCGACCGATTCGGGAGAGATTGGATCTCTGGGACAATTCTACAATGAAAAACTCAAAGAATTTAAATCAGAAGGCAATGACAAGTGGTTGGAAGAAATGGAAGTGCTACCCCATAAAACACTAGAGGATAAAACTCCACCTGTTTTAGCAAAATCGCAAAGAATCCCAATATCTACCCAAGATCAAACCAGCCCTATTGACCAACTCATAGGACGTGTATCCCAACTTGCATTCGATATGGATCAAGTACTGGAACTCTCAGACACTGACATGGACTCTTTATCAAACTCACTCGATAAATGGATTAATATTGGTCCAACCAATCTAGGCATCAAAGTTTTACTTTTGGACCCTCAAAAACAAACCAATAATCAAGCGATTAAATTTATCGACGAGATCCCTGAAATCACAGAACCAAGGGTGGAATTATGCTATCAAGAGCTGGACGACTCTGAAGTCAGAATCGAAGTTTGCACACCAAAATCAATCATTCTAATGACAGATATCTTGGAAAGCTTCAAATTCTCCCCTTCAACTTTATTCAAAAAGATGGGGGACTTGGAATTTCATTTTGTTTCAAAGCCGGCCAATTACGATGGTTATATACAAGACAAAGATGTTGATGGTTTGATAATAGCCTCTATCAACTCAAAACTTTGTGATCTTTCAATGACCTCTTTGGATGACTTTGGTGGTGACATGCAAACATTGTGTCCTCAATCAGGCCCAATCATTGTGTCTGTCTCTGCTGAACATGGCCCAACAGGCGGAGGAGTAGAGTTGGAATTGAGAGGAACAAGATTCACTGAAGATTTGCAGGTTGTGGTAGGATACGAAAAGTGTACAACCACCACCTTCCACTCTCAATCGTCTATCAGTTGTATAGTGCCTCCAAATGTTGGATCAAAACATTTAATTCAATTCCAAGATGTAGAAATTGTTCAAAAATCACAATTTTACTACTCCTATGACAACCCAGTCATATCCTCGGTGCAAGTGGCTACCACCATTTCAGACCGAGTCACTGAAATTATTATCCAAGGCAATAATTTTGGAAGACTTGGAACAAACGATTTGGAGGTATATGTAGATTCTACAGAATGTGCAACTATTGAACATTTAGATACCTTGGTAAAATGTCATATACAAAGTGGTTTTGGACAACTCAATTTGGTCAACATTACCATAAACCGTCTTACATCAACCACATTCCACCTCAACACCATCTCCAACTCTCAATTCTCCTTCCCAGTGCCACCAACAATAGAAAGCATCTCCCAATCATCAGGTCGATATGGAGACATAATAACGATTTATGGCAACTTTTATAATGACGAATCCCAAAACTTCACAGTCTATTTTGGTGACACTCCGGTAATAGGAGAAAGGGATGATGGATCACACATACAAGCAAGAGTTCCAAGAGGAAATACCCATTCATCAAAGGACGTTCGTGTCACTTGGGAAGGAATTTATTCAAGTGAAACAGTACCATTTAAATATGATGAAGCTTATATTTTCTCATTTTCTTTGGAAACATTCAATACTATTGGAGGTATGATTCAAATCTTTGGAAATGGTTGGGGTATGTCAGACAAGGAAGTTGCAATTGATTTTGTCAAGATGGATGAAACCTTGCTCAAATGCAGACCACTCAGCACATTGATCGAATGTGTTGTTCCTCGTGGTATAGGTACATACAAAGAGATCAAGGCACAGATTGGAGGTGAACCTGTATTTTCGTTCTTTTCACCTTTGATTTCCTACAAACATCCAATCATTCTTGGTATGGAGAATCTGCCACCCGGCGGGAAGATCAAAATCAAAGGAGAAAACTTTGTTCCAAAAGGTGTGCAATATGATCCTCAAACAACCAACATTCGAATATATGACTCCAACAATGACCCAATCAACTGTACAACATCCTCCTTTGTCGACCAAAACACCATTTTTTGTGAACACAAACTACCTGCATTTTATTCCTTTGTCGAAAGTGGTGTCGTATCAATTGGCGGTCAATCATCAGAATTGTATACCCATTCATATGACTGTAATGGAACCATATCGAATGGACAACAGACCTTGGGTATTCGATATGGGTATATCGATCTCGACAACTACGACTGGTGTACAACCAGTCAATGCATGTCAAAGTATCGAATTACCCTTCCAGACACGTGTTCGTATTCGGTTGTTGGATCATCCATCAAAGTACAATACAAATACTCTATCACCTTGGATACTTTTGTCGACGTTGATCTGGATTTAATCAAAACCCCACTCGACCTAGAGACTGAAGACTTGGTGGTTACAATAACAAGTCAGGATTTACATTTCCTTGGAAAAACCGTTACAAGGAGAATTAGAAACGAGCCAATCGATTGCCCACCATTCTCCATGGTCCGCATCAAAAGCTTGGACCTAGACTTGGTTTCTGTATTTAACGATTTTACCGTTTCTTTTGCCCCCAATCAAACCACAAAGTCAATATCCATTCCATTGTATCAACTCAGTGTCTATGGAACAATGAAAGCCACCATTTTCAACAAAACAGGACAGTCTGGAGGCACAATCACCCTCCCTGTTGGTAGATTTAACATGCCGTACGGTTCAAACAATACCGCCAGCTCCATACACATAAGTGACCTCAGATTATCTGTCGCTTTGATAGATCAATCAAATAATCCAACTGTTGTAAGTGTCTCTGGAGATTTAAAATCAAATCTAGTGCTAAAGATCGTCGATGTCTATCCAAATAATCCATTTCCTTCATTGGTCCCACCATATAATACATCAATCACCATCCACAATTTATATGGAGGACCAGTTCCCAAGGTTTTCAATTCAACAACCCAACTTGAATGCAATTACAACAACCAAACCAAACAACTGACGTTCACCACTCCAAAAATAACCTCCACGCCACCAGAAAGCAAGGGAGCTTTCAGATTTACCTGGGGTGAAAAAAATCTCTATGCAACATATCCCTTCACCTACCAATCCATCACCATAAAGGGAAAAGCATTTATCAATGGTGAAATGATAGATAATCTAGAGGATATCGAAATTGGACTCAAAGGTACAACTCTCAAAACAAAAACAAATAGCAGTGGAAGCTATTTGTTGTCTATCCCATTTGTACCTCAACCACCCTTGTATATTTCAGTGACAGAGTTGCCAGGAAAATCGATTCCAAAGAAAATTGATCATTTGATTTCTCTAGTAGAGGGACAACTCGAAGCCACTCTAAATATTGAAATACAAAGACTCAAGTGTACTTTTAATAATATTAATTTTTTGGAATTATCCCAAACAACCTTTACAGCAAAAGATACCAGAGGCGTAAGTTAAAACAACAAATATAATTACAAAAAAAAAAAAAATTTAATTATTCATATTAACATTTTTTGTCCTCTAATAGAATTCTTATTTCTGGAATATTTGTGGACCTTCATCCATTTGCACCAAAAATCTTGGTGGCACTCTAGGCATTGGAGCTTGTCAAAATTCCACCCAATTTTATAGAACTGGAGACTTGGTAGATTCAACTTGGGCTCCAAATTGTATGTATATTTTTACTAGTATAGTCCTCTTTAAATTATCACAACTAATTGAATTTTCAATCTAATCAAACAAGCCGAAGGACAAGGAGTTCAATTATCTTACAAAACAAAAGTAGGAGGAAAAGAAAACTGTTTGAATGGAGGTAGAAACTCCACCATCCACATCACCTGTGGAAAATCAAACTCAGCACAAACAGTCAAAGAAAAAGACATGTGCAATTATCATATGTATATGACCTCTCCTCTTGTGTGTCCAGTTCCTGAATGCCAAATCGATATCCTGTACTCAGGACAAAGGTTAAATCTCTCACCATATCACCAAAAAATATGGAGCAAAAATGTTACCCTCTCTGGGACACCTGTAAGTAAAGTATACTGTAGTGGATCAAGTAAACTTTATATTAATTTTTTTTTTTAATACATAATTAATAGTACATGTTCTATTGGACCCTGTGTGGGGCTAACAATCAATGCCCTAGCGGCTCAACAGCGTGCCAACTCACGACAACAAATCAATATATAGGTATCGCAAATACCCAAGCAACATGGAAATATGTTGGCAACGATTTAGTAGGGCGATATTCTGAACAAAGTACAACAGATCCTTGTAAAACTGGTCCCAGAATAACTAAAATTTATTTAACATGTGGTCCTATTGATTCTATTATCTCAGTTACCGAACCCTCGACATGCCTATATGAAATCAGAATGACATCGATACGTGCTTGCGATCAAACGAGTAATTGTCAATTCCGAGGCTATGACTATTCTTCATTGGCATCGTAAGTAATTCAACTTATCACTATTATTTTTATTTAATTATTAACTTTTAATCATTTATGAATTCAATTGATAGAACTACACTTTATCCTGATCGAGTGACATGGAAGAATTTCTCGGTAAGTATTTGTGGTGAAGCTCCTTGTAGGGATCAGGCTGCTGTATGCGAGTATATTCAATATCAAGATCGAGAGAGATGGGTTTCCGCTGGTTCACTTCGCTATGGCATTTGGTCAACGAATAGTAATGGTGTTAATCAAATAACCTATTCATCTGGCTCTAACGAAGGTTGTATCAAACAAAGAAGTACCACCATCCAGATTGAATGTGGCGAAAAAGCTATCATCAAAACGATCACAGAGCGTTCCAGCTGCCAATATGAAATTGTCGTTACTTCCCCAGTTGGATGTTTCTAGATAATAATGTACAATACTTTTTTTTTAACAACAAGTGATGACTAGATTTAGTTTACATCAATAAAATAGGATTTTTCTTTATTTTTGGGAACTTGGTACACGTAATACAACAGATGGTGATTGTTTTGGTGATTTATTATATATAATATTTATTATTAGGTGTTCTGAGCTATATAGACGGTCATAGATTCTGTGCTATATCGATATCGATGGTCATAGATTCTATATCGATGGTCACAGATTCTGAGCTATATAGACGGTCATAGGTTCAGAGCTGTAAACGGTCATAGATTCTGCTGTAGACGTTCATAGGTTCTAAGCTATAGACGGTCATAGGTTCATTGAATTTTTTATCAATTCTTGTTCGAGTCCAAACATTTGAGCATAACGAACCACAGGGCTATCACCATGTTTGTGGCAAGTAAGATGTTACAATGTTCATATTCAAACTAAATAGATTTAGCTATTGCTTTTAATAGATCGTTTTTCTAGAAATAATCTATTAATATAAAATTACTTGTGCAGGTCGTAACAATATAATATACCTGTTGTTTTTCATTGTTGTAGTACTGATTAAAAAATAGGATACAAATAATAAATAGTTTCAATGTAACGCACTCTAGGAACAAAAAGATAATCTTCTTGTAAACACGAGGCTCACTCCTTTGAGATTACCACTTTGATACTGTATATTATGATAATAAATATTAATCAGCTAAACAATTGATGATTATCTTCTTTTTTCTCTACTCTGCTAGTATTCTGCTATGCAGTTTGTGAGGATGGCATACCCTCCATTCTTGTAGCATTCGAAAAAAATAGTTTTTTTTAAGGTCCGAGAGGAGTGAGTATTTTGGGTGTGTACATGTGATTCCTTTTAAAATTAAAATTATTTTAACCTCCTTTTATTTTTGTAACATTATTAGTATTATATTTATATAAAAGATGAATTTAGAGAAGTGGGTGCAAGTACATCCAGACTATCCTCCCTATCTGGGGTATTTAGTAAGTTTTAATTACAATGTTTCGTCAAAGGATCTTCTATTTAAAATTCTTTTATTTATTTTTAGAGCATTTGTAAAAAGCAAGAGACACCTTTAAAAGTAGCAGAGAATAGTAGAGATGAAAATATCATTAAATCAGTGATAACAAACAAACAATTATTCAAAACCATCATTGCCGTTGGTAGAACTATTGTCATCAAATGTTACAACCACCACTACAGCTTTCCTCCTGTAGGATGGATCATTAAAAATCTAAATCTATTCGAGTGCCACAACTACATCTCTCTGACTAGTGCTGAGTGGATAGTTAGAAATCAGTACTATGGTCTACTTGAATACAAACTAAAGAGAAATGACCATTTACACTTTTCACTCGCTTCAATCCAAATGATGTGTAATCATTTGGGTGGTGACATGAAACTCTTTAATCTCATCTATGAGAAAAAGAGATCAATGTTCTTTTCAGACACTCTTTTAGAGTGTGCTGCAACTTCTGGGAATACTCAAGTATTCAAGATATTGCTTGACCAGACATACCCAAAAAGATTGAATCTTTTCAATCAACCGAGTATATTCAAGTATTCTAAGTTTGGTGTTACTATTACCAAGAGACACGCTCCCGTTCAAAAGCGTTTGTGTATCTCATTAAACAAAGCAATCAATGGATGTCACATTGGTATCTTTGACTTCCTAGTTGTTAACGGTCTTGTCAACGTCGAAACCAACACACCTCCATCCAAGATATTGACAAACGACTCACGAAGAATCTCGTCATTCTTGGAGTATTTGTACAACTTTATCGAAACCAAACTGCTCCCCACAACTCCAAACGAAACTATAGTTTCCATTGCAAAGAAATTTGTGTCGCCTCTTTATTTTCCACTCCTCAAATCAAACAACCTATCATTGATCAAGAAATATTACGGCAATGACAACAATATCTTTAATAAAGGTGAATTTAGCCGTTGGATTGGTACTCTCTATTATCTGAATCTTGAAGAAGTAGACGGTTCAGGAGTAATAGAGACTATTGAATGGATACTCTGTCAAGATCCTCTCAACAAGGAGATGATGGATAGTGCTCATGCTCTCAGTAGATCTCTTACAAGTCTAAACAAACAAGAGAAAAGGTATATTATTTTTGCCTATTACTTTAACCAATTCTCAAAGCATTGGGAGATTGTTAAAAATTATCATTCTCCATTGGTTGACATGTACACCAAATACTATTCCCCTATTGTTCAAGAGAGCATGTCTCTAGAGGATGACATGGAATTTATCAAGTCCTTGGGAGAAGAGACTTTGATATTTATATCATTTCTGATAAAGTTGGCCCATTTGACGGTGAAAAGTCTCCATTTTAGAGATCTGTCTTTTCTACGTTGCATCTGGGCTTCTTTACTTGAAGATGAATTTGAACTTTCCAAGTACGTTTCCCGTTATATGAAGCCCTCAAAATCGCTAGAAATATTAATGTTTTTCCAACAAAAAAGTCAAGAGTTGGGTCATCCCCTATACCTTGAATTTTTTCGAGCCATCAGAAAAAAAGACCATGAAATGATAGAGTACCTCTTTCAAATCGATGGACATCAAAAGATAATTCAGGAACTCGATAATAATGGAGAATTGTTCTTGACCTACACCTCTTATTTCAACCAAAAAGTGGCAAAGATTCTATTGGACAATCCAGCGACCCCAACCATACCAAACGACCAGGGGTGGAGAACAACATTGGCAGTCTTGATGCAATTGTTTTCTACAATACCTATATAAACCCTGGTTTGAAAAATGTAAAGCTGGATATGCCCGAGGGAGATGTACTACCCATCTTAGAGTACTTTTTCAAGCATTCACAATCACCCATCCATGACAATATAGAATTTATCATGACAGTGGCGTGTCGTGATGGATATCAATCTATTTTTCAACACTTGTTTGAAAACTATTCAGATCAATCCTCGGACAAGATTCCTCGAGGACCTGATTGTCAATTTCGTTATACCCCATTTTTAGACTTGGCATTCGACAGTGGTCACATGCCTACCGTACACTATCTCTTGACAGAAAAGAACCAGTATTTTGGACCACAATCATGGTTCGATGCTGGTGGAATGTGTGACAAATCAATCATTGAATTTGTTCTTGACCACACACACCCCTCTAAATTACAAAAGGCCTTTTCCTGTATCTTTAAAGTGGGAGTGGAGAATGGAGCTTATGATCTTGTGAAACATCTTTATAATCAAAAACCAATTGATAAGTCCTTGTTGGAAAGAATTACTCGTATTGATCAAGCAAATCTATTAAAGTATGTCATTGACAATACCAAGTTTTGTGGTGATGGACAAGATAATATAGAGACATCTACAAATTCATCATTGCATGTCTTTCAAACCGATTTGACAAGGTCAGAGCTTTTAGATATAGCCATTCAATCATCCATCTCAAAGTATACAAATGGATTGGATTGTTTTAAATTACTCATTGACAGCTATGGTTGCACTCTGGACAATCAATCAATACAAGAATTGGCAGAGGATTCCAATTGGGGATTTCCATTCATTCTCCATCTCGAAGAAATTAAAAATATGAAAAAACTAAACTAGACCAAGAGTTGGGTGGGATCTTTAGATAATGTTTAGTTTAAATAACATTCTTTAATAAATAATAATTGACGGTTTTTATTTTATTTCACTGTTAAATAATTATAACCCCTGTCTGTTTGTTATGCTTTTAGTTTTTTATTAATTGTTGGCACCAAGATATTTTTGTTTTGGAGATGGAGAAGGAATGGATAACTTTGCTCTCTCAACGATGAGGTGGCTAAAGTGTTGGAGGAATGGAAAGATCAAAGTTATCCATTCCTTCTCTAATAGATGTATTGACAAGTTTGCTTAAAACCTCTGGCCTTTTTAATTTTGTTTTAAATAATAATGACGATGATGAATTTGAATCTTTCTCTTGTCCAACATTAAAATTGGTATTGTCAATAATAAATTTTAATAAACTTGCTTGATCAGTGTAGGTATAGTCTTCTAAAGCATAAGGAATTGATATTTGGTGATTATGAATATGTGCAACACAATGGTACACTCCACCTAGAATTGCTTCTTTGATGATGGAGGATTTTTTCTCTTTTGTATGGTCAAGTACGAAATCTAAAATGTCATTGTCACAGATGACGCCAGCAATTTTACAGGGTCTTTGTCCAAAATATTGGTTCTTTTCTCTGACGAGATAGTTTACTATTGCCATGTGACCACGATAAAATGCCTCATCTAAATATGAACAGGATACACCATCCAATTTTAATGAATAGAAATGATTTTCAAAAAAGTATTGAACTATTGACAAGTGACCACCAGCATATCCACAGGCTTTATCGATGACATGTTTCATATTTTCATCCAATGGTGATTGAGAATTGGTGAAAAAGTACTGTATGATTGGTAAATCTTCTTCATTTGTATAATCAAATTTCATATCTTTGAGGCCAGGGTTTATATAGGTGTTGTAGAAAATAATTGCATTGAGGCTTGAAAAAGAATACCTCTCCCTATTTTGCCCTGTTGGAAGAGTTATTTTGATGTTTTCATATAGAAGCTTTGCAACATCCTCGTTAAAGTATTCAGTGTAGGCCAATATCAAGACACATGAACCATTCTTGATTAGTTCCTTATTAGCATCTGCAATGATTTCTGTTCTATTGACTTGAATGAGATACTCGATCATTTCGAGGTCTTGTCTTTTAATTGCCATAGTAAAGTCTTGAAAACTGTGGTGGAATGATCTGTCTCGTTGTTGACAGAACTTCATTATTTTGAGGCTTTTGAATGGTATTCTCTGACCAAAGTAATGTGTACTGTCGTCTCTAGATATCATGACCCATGCACAACGATAAAGAGCTACATCTTTTTGGAGAAAAAAATCCACTTCATTATGTATACTCTTTGCAAAGAAAAGTATAAATGAATTGATTTCCTCTCCCAACGATTGGATAAAACTAGAATCATCCTCTATCCACATTTTCTCTTGAACTGTTTGTTCATAGTATTTGGTGTACATGTCAAGTAATGGGAATTGATCATTTCTAAGATCACTTTTAAAGGGATGCCACCATCCCCTTGACAATTTGTTAAAGTAAAAAGCAAAACAAATAAATCTTTTCTCTTTTTTGTTTAAACTTGTAAGGGATGAACTGAGAGCATGAGCATTATCAATAATCTCTTGACTTTGAGGTATCCTGTTTTCCCATAGAATCCACTCAATTATCTCTAATATGCCATCATCATCCATAATATTATCCTCTAGTGTTAGATATCTCAGTGTATCCATCCAATCCAAAAAGACTTTTTCATAATACAAGATCATATTGTTGTCTTTGAAATTGTCAGAATATTTCTTGATCAATGATAGGTTGTTTGATTTGAGGAGTGGAAAAAGGAGAGGCGAAACAAATTTCATTGCAATGCAAACTATAGTTTTGTTTGGAATTATGGGGAGCAGTTTGGTTTCGATAAAGTTGTACAAATACTCCAAGAATGAAGAGATTCTTTTCGAGTCGTTTATCAATATCTTTGATTGAAGTGAGAAAAGTTTCTCAATCTCGACAATACCTCTACTACCAACTATCAAGTCAAAGATACCAATGTGACATCCATTGATTGCTTTGTTTAATGAATGGCATGGATGGTGCTCTCTCGGGTATCGAGAAAATTGATCTAGACCCTCGATAGAATAAACCAACAAGCTTGGTTGATGATAGAGATCCAATTGTTTTGGAACAGTCTGGTCAAGCAATATCTTGAATACTTTTGTATTCCCAGAAGTTGCAGCACACTCTAAAAGAGTGTCTGAAAAGAACAATGATCTCTTTTTCTCATAAATGAGATTAAAGAGTTTCATGTCATTGATATTATTGCATATCTTTCTAATTGAATCGAGTGAAAAGTGTAAATGGTCATTTCTCTTTAGTTTGCATTCAAGTAGACCATAGTACTGATTTTTAATGATCCATTCAACACTAGTCAAAGAAGTGTAGTTGTAACATTCAAACACATTCCGAGTCCCTCTACCAGCTTTTATAATATTTTTAAACAATAGTTTGTTTGTTATAACTGCTTTAATTACACTTTCATCTACTACACATTCATCTACGTAAACCTTGCTATTATTGCAGTCACTCTAAAAAATAAAGTAGTCTAATAAATAAAAGAATCCTTTTCAAAGCTAGTGTACAATATTACATACCGTAAATCCTCTTCTTGCCCAATAAACTCTCATAAATTCCATGTTTGTGAGTTTAAAGTGTAAATTACAATTATTTGGTACTAGTATTTGTAAATAATAAATAAATTTGGAATGATAAATTTTAGCACTAATTTAGTAAATAGGGTTGGTTCTATTTTTAGGCCAGCAGTGGGAGTTTGGGTTAAAAATAATAATAATAATAAATTAAATATTCCATCATTTATTTAAATATTCAATATTGACTCTTTGTTTTAATAAATAATTAATAGGGTTGTTTTTTTTTTTTATTGTAATGAAAAAAGATATATACACTTTTTATAATGTTTTATCTTTTAAATTTTTCCTCTCTTTTTTTTTTTTCTCTTTTCCTTTCTTTTTTCCTTTATTTGGTAATGACATCCCAAGTCTTGAGAGCACCATCATTACCGGCAGAGATGAATTGCTTGTCATTGATCCAAGTAACTTCATTGACACCACCTGGATGAGAGTTTCTGAAAGAGATAGGGGCACCATTCTTGACATCGACACTCCAAATATAAATGTAAGAGTCGAGACCACCAGATACGATAAACTTGCCATCGGCAGACCAAGAGAGAGAGTTTACACGAGCAGTGTGATTGACCCAGCTCGAGTTTTTGGCAGTCTTGCCGTCCCAAACGATGATTTCACGGTTGGCATCGGCGGTGGCCAACAACTTTCCGCATGGAGAATAGACGACTTCGGTGACGATACCACGGTGTTGTTCGAGGGTGTGTGATTTGGCGAGCGAGTCACCAGAGATGGTGTAGACATAGACCTTGTTGTCCTTGCCACCGACAGCGACTTCAGAGCCGTTGGTCGAGATGGAAGTTGGCTCGTATGGGACGGCAGTGCCGACAGCCTTGCCATTCTTGATGACATAGACACTCTTCATCGAGGCAGCGACAACAACATCGCCGGCAAAGGCGATACCTTGGCCTGGCGAGTCAATGGCGATGGATGGGCCGTATTGACGAGTGGAGATCTTGGAGACACGAACAGTGTCATCCATGGCACAGGTGGCAATGTCGTCACCACGGATCTTGATTTGAGCAATTTGGTTGGTATGTCCTTGACCTTGGAATGGGGTGGCTTGGCCAGTGGTGAGGTCCCATTGGAAGAGAACACCGTCGTTGGACGATGAGAAGAGTGTCTTGGTGGCTGGATCGTATGCAATGGCGCCGATCAACTTGTTGTGGCCGCGGATGACACGGGTAGTGGTGCCTTCAGCTTGGTTGAGATAGTTGATCTCACCGGCGAGATTGACCGAGATGAGGGTGTCGTTGTTGACCCAGAGACAACCGAGTTGTTGGTCGTTGGTGGTGTCGCCAAAGGTAAAGGTGGTGAGACAGGCACCCGAGGTGGTATCCCAGATCTTGCAGGTCTTGTCGGCCGAAGCAGTGACAATACGGTTGTTGTCTGGTGCCCACGACACGCACATGATCGAACCGTTGTGACCACCTTGCAACTCGACCAACTTTTCGCCAGTCTTGCCGTCAAAGACGACACCACGCTTGTCCGACGACACAGTGACACACTTGTTTCCGTCGGGTGAGAAACGCACACAATTGACAAAACGTGTGTGATCAGTGGCCAAAGCTTGCTTAAACTTGAATGGTGGGCCTTCAAACCAGTTGGCTGTGAAATCTTCCGAGCCAGTGGCGGCACGGAATGGACGCGACGACTTGACATCGACGGTTTGGATGAGCTTGGAGTGACCGGTGATCTCTCCGACCGAGGCACCAGAGTCCCAGAGGATGGCGGCACCATAACGTTCCTTTCCGTCACCGACGGCAATGATACGTTGGCTGTCTGATGTCCAGGCAATATCGAGGATGGCACCATTCAAAACCTTTAATGTAATCTTGAGTGGATGCTCCTTGGAAATGGTGTCCCAAATACGGAGGTTACCTTGCACGTCACCAGAGGCAATGTAGTTGCCCGATGGAGCATATTTGGCTACAGTTGTGGCTGCTGGATGTTCATAGTAGATATCGGCAACAGCAGCATCCTTGATGTTACGGATAATGACTGCACTACCACATGTATATAACAAATTGGTTCCCTTTGGATCAGTACTTACAAATACTGGTTTACCACGTGTTACCGATGGTGTTGGTGCAATAATATTTTCTAAATTAATAATAAATAATAAATAAATGAAATTAATATAATTATAAATAGATATAAACCAACAATCAACTATCATATCATATCATATCATCATCATTTTGGTTCATTATGTTATGTTTCATCATCCGATTTGTTGTGTTTGTTATTTGATATTGTTGTAGTCAGAGCAGAGTCGGTGATCTTCACTATTTTTTTTTTTTTTTTTTCTATCTGTCGATGTATCTTTTTTGTGACAAGTGATATACACCTTATTACTGTGATCACATCTTCTTTATCTTTGTCTTTGTTGCAATCTATGGTATGACGATGATAATGTATCCGAATATGACGATAATGTATTTTTGATGATGGTAGAGAGAGATTTTCTGACTGTTTGTTGTAATGATGAACCTACTTAATGTAATTGACATTGATGAATTATCTTTCTTCTTCTTTTTTAATTGATATATTTATTATTATTATTATTATACAGGTGTTATTATTATTATATAAGTACAAATTGGTTCAAACAAAACTAAACTAAAAAAAAAAGATTTTTTATCATTGATTATTTTAACGCAAGAGTGAACTGATGCAAGAAAAATTGTTGGGGATGAAAAAAAAATTAAAAAGGTCAAATATTGGGTTTGGGTGTGGGAATGATTCCTCATTATTTATTTGAAATTCGATAGTATTCCTTTCCATTGTAGTCAATCATCCCATCTACACATACCAAGGTAGATTATTACAATTGTCTATTAAAGGATACCAATATAGTAGATTAGTATTAGAGAGAGAGAGAGAGAGAGAGAGAGAGAGAGAGATGAGGCAACAATAGAGTTTTAACACACAATAATACTCAGGATAGATAACATATGAGACTTGCAAGTTATCATTAAGCGTATCCGATCCAAGACATGTTGTGTCAGCTGAAATAGACCGCGTTCGATCATCATCATCATCTATCATCTATCATCTTTTGCTCATATATTTTTCAAAGGATTATGTTACAACATTAATAATACTTTGGCATGATCACCTAGTTTAAACTACAAATACATAAATAATTTTAATTTATTTTTTATATTATTACTACTATTATTTATAATAATAGTAGTAGTAGTAATTAATAATAATAATATAATAATAATAATTTTAAAGAGTGATTAATGGATTGGCTGAATAGGTGGCCAATAAACTAATTAGAGTCAATAGCATCGATTGGCGATCCAATTAACAGGCATAACCAATGTTTCTGCAAGCTTGAGAGTAATTCTCGTTCTTGGTTAATTGTCTGATAACTTGGTCTTTGTGGGCATTGAATAATCCACACTAAAGAAAGAAAAAGAAAAAGGAAAAAAAGAAAATGAAATTAATTTTGGTTTGATGAATCGATTGTTGGAGCGTGTTTTTTGAACTTACTGGACTAGTTGGGAGTGGAATTGGCGAAGATACTGGAAGAGAGGCGGCAATACCGTTACAGTAATTTTGGAGATAGGAGGTCATGGCATCACGAGTAGAACGGGCACTTGCTGGGACTTGCTTATCGAGAGTATCAAAGGCATGCTGACATGCAATGCAATCATCTTTTGCTCTTTCGGCTTCGTTGGCATTTGCATTTACCACATAGAGCATCGAGAAACATAAACAAACCAAAGCAATAATTAATAATGTTGAAATTCTCATTTTTGAATGTTTGTTGATTATAGGAAGGAAATAATAATTTAAATGGTTGGTTGATTGGTTGGTTGATTGATTTAATTGATTGTTGAATTGATGAAAATAAAAATGAAATGAAACAGGTTTAAATAGTTTGTTATTTTCAAACTGATGATGATAGATTTATATGATTTATCAATATATTATTGGTATTGGTGTCAGGATGGCAAGCAAGAAAGAAGTGGTAGTGTCGCCTGGCGCGGGTGTAGATGGCTGACTTGAATGATAACTATCCCCACCACCACCACCACCATTCGTCTGATTATTTATTTTCTCTACTTACCACCTGATGCGTCGTCCATACTCCTTTTTCCTACCGTTTCCATTACAAGTTAGATTGAGATTGGTTGTTGTCTGGGGTGATTCCAAATAAAGTTTAATCCAATCAACTTTTTTGGTTCTGGTTGTTGTTCGATGATTGTGATGTTGTAATTGTTGAAAATACAATTTTAAAAATTATTAGAATATTATTCAACAACAACAACAACAACAACAACAACAACAGTTGTTCTATTCTGGTTGCTGTTTAAAGTGAATGTATGAATATTAATTGTAGATTCTACTATACTCTTACTCAGCCCACTCACAAACTCAACACTTAACAACAACAACCAACATGAATTATTTTTGTTTTTGCACTGGTGCCAGCAACAGTGGTAGCGTAGTTGTTCCTCTTTTCCACCTCCTTTCCCATGTTTATGGTACCAACCAACCAACACACAACAAGAATTCTGTCTGTTTGTCTGTATCACATCACTACCACAATTGTCCATCTTTTATCTTTCAATCCATCCTTCCATCCATTATCATCATCGTCACCTCCTCCTCCTCCTCTATCCATTTGATAATTGATTCAATCAATTAATCCAATCCAATCTAATACATCATGATGTCCAATTATTAAAATGATATTTCATTTAGATATATATATATGTCAATAAATTGTAGCCAGTTGTTGGTGGTTATGACTGACACCCACCCAGTTTGTGGAGGATTATAAATATAGCATGAAATAAATTCCAAGCAATTAATCCAAAAAAGGATGGATGGATGGACGGGCGGGCGGATCCCGAACAAATGGCGGATGGTATAAACAATATACATACAGGTGTGTGAGAGAGAGAGTGTGTGTGTGTTTAAACATAATATTATTGAGGTGTTGGGTTGGTAGCAGTTGTAGCAGAGAAATGGTAGTCATACATCATCAGCAACAACAACAGTAAATAGATAAGAGGAGTAATTGTAAGTGGAATAACACTAAAACCAAAAGTTTATAGTGTCCCAGAGTTTTTACCAACTCTACATCATCTGAAGCGGTTCGCTATCGTTAACGATACAATCTAAACAGAGCGCACCAAAATATTTGGTGTAATGTTGTTTGTTGACTCTATTCGTCACGTTTGACCCACAGCACAGCTGCAACAACAACAACAACAAACTATATTGTATAGTTGGATTGATGCGACATTCTACCACCAAAAAGTATTTTAATTTATAACAAACTAATAAGATAGATTTTGGCTTGATTTAGAAACAGATGTGTCACAGTGTAGGATAAGATATTTTGGTGGTGGTGGTGGTGGTAAAGGTGGGGGGGGGGTTAACCGTGTGAGAGAGAGAGAGAAGAGACAAGTATGTGAATAGTTTAAGGGGGTTTACAACGGTTGGTGATGTGTCATTTGATCGTGTAGACACTGTCAAAAACAAAAAGAGAGGAGAGGAGAGGAGAGGAGAGGAGGAACGAGAAGATGTCATCATCGTTGTATAATTGATCAGTCAAATCAAATCTTTGTTTTCACTCTATTAATTGAATATGTTGATTCATTACGATGACCTCTTATCACATTTGTTTCTTTGATAATGCATTCATCATTCTTTTCGTTTCATTCATTCATTCATTAAATATTTCTAGAGATTCAATTCAATAATAATAATAATAATACAAAGAATATTTAGTATGAATGAAATGAAATGGTTGAATGTATCTAAAGGTGTTTGTTGTTTTTTTGTCTCTGGTTGAATTCCTTCAAACATACATCATTGATGTTTGTTGCTTTGGTTCATATCCCTGGTTACTGTTGTTGTTGTTGATCTCTCTCTCTCTTTCTTAGAGTATAGTAATTATATAGCTAGCTATATAGTTGAAGGTGACCTTATCATGATGATGTGGGTTGTTGAGTTTCATGAGGATTCCGTAGCATCTGATTTTCATAATGAGCAATTTATCAAAAAATTAAAAAAACCAAACTTTTTGTTGTAGCCAACCACCACCTTCCAAATCGGGAATTAATTCATCATCCCAATGCAATATAAGAACAACCATTTTTAAAATTTTTTCTTTTTTTTGCAAAAACTATCAAACAAATAAATAAATAAAACACATACATACATACATACACAATATTTACTTATTCTTTTATTGTCAGAGCATGACTATCTAACCCACACACTCACACCCCCTCACACACAGCCATTTAAAACAACAGTCAGACTCTCTAAAACAGGTCAATTTCATTCATTCTTTTTTTATTACAGATAAATCACACATACACACAACACATTATATTTATAAATACATATATATATAGTTTAAATATATAGTTCTTTAGTTTGTTTGTTTGTGTTAGTAATACTAAATATAATAATAATAACAAACACCACAAAAAGGGGCAATTCACCATTGAACATCAAAATCACAGAAAGTCAAAAAAGAATATCTTCCCTTGCACCATTGCATCCAAGCCACCTTACAAATCTCTTTTTTCTTCTACAACACAATTGCACAGTAGTTGATCAGCAACTGCCAGAACACCTCAGTTTCATCATTCCCCTACACATATATATACAGACAATTCTTGTAAATTTTAATTTACACATTTAATTTATTACTTTTTTTTTTTTTTTTTTTTTTTAAACTTTTAATATCATTCCTACATACACCACACAAGATAAATGTTTCATTTGTTGAGGTTGCAACAACAATCAACATGTTACCAACTAAACAATAATAGTAATAATAGTAGTAATAATAGTTCTTCCCCTTTATTGAATAGTAGTAGTAGTAGTAGATGTAGTATTAGTAGTAATAACAATGTAAATAATCAAGAAGAAGAAGAAATAATAAATAATAATAATGTACAAGATGGAAATGGTGAAGAAATGATATTGGAACAATTTTCAAATCAAGTAGGAGGACATTGTGCAATTCTATCAATTCATGGAAAGATTTGCAAACCAATGATACCGCGTGAACACCAATTCTATCGTAGAATGTCAACCAGTGGTTCAAGACTTCTTTCATTCATACCATCATTTCATGGTATAGCTCATATTTTAAAAACTGAACAACCTCCACTTCCTCAACAACAACAACAACAAATAGATCAACAACAATCAAACAACACAACAATTAATAGTATATATGTAAATTCACCTTCGAGCCAATTATTTAGAACATTTAGTAAACAAAAGAAAAAAACAACTAAACATCCAATCAATACAACTCAACAATACATTTTATTGGAAGATCTTACCAAAAAATATTCAAGACCTTCGATTATCGACATCAAGATGGGGACCAGACAAAAGGGTGCTATTTGCCAGTCGACCACCTCTACCACATTGGGTATTCGGATCTGTGGCATCAGAATCTATTGTTCCGATATTAACGCAAATATTATCTATGATAGATTCTATGGAAGAACGCTCAATCAAGAGACACTGGCATCTACCCTTTCACATTTCTTTTATGGTTCCAATAATTATAGAGTCGAGGAAACAACCGATATAATTAATTGTATAATTGAAAAATTGGAAAATATTAAAGGTAACCATAAAATAATAGTAATAATAATAATAATAATAATATTCAAATTACTCTCTCCAAACTTGTTTAAAACTAATTCTTTTTCTTTTTTGATTGGTTTCTTTTTTTTTTTTTTTTCTTTTTTTAGAAATTATTTTATGTAAAGATTTCCCATTCAAGTTGTATTCTAGTAGTTTACTTTTAATATATGAAGGTTTAAATCAAAATAATAATAACAACAAATTGTTTAATAATTCACTTTATAGTGAAGATATTAGTAGTAGTAGTAGCAGTAGTAGTAGTGACAGTATCAGTATTTCAAGTGAGGTAGACTCTTCTTGTGATATTGATTCCAATGTATCAACATTGTCAGATTTGGAGTCTGATGATGATGATGATGATGAAGCAAGAGTAGAAAGAGGAGAAGGAAGAAGAGATAGTTCTGCTGGTGATGATGTTGAACTTTCAGCCGCTCATCAAAACAACCAAAAGTTTACTACTACTACCACTAAAACTACTACGACGACTACTACTACTTTAACGGCAGAGAATGATGTTAAATTGATTGATTTTGCTCATGCCATTGAAGAGAATGAAGAAAACCAAGATAGTTTGGAAGATGATGGTTACATTTTTGGAATAACCAATCTCATTAATATTTTGGTCAATATTATTAAAGATAAAACAATGGAACAACAACAACAACAGTCATCACTTACAAGACACAATGATAATAATCATGTTGGTGGATCTTCTACTTCGTCATCTGCCTCTTCATCAATCAATACATCGCCATCTTCATCTACCCATTCTCTTCACAATTACAACATCAACATCAACAACAATGGTAATCATAATCAAAAAAGAATGGATAGTCAACAACACAATGGCTTTGACAGTAGTCATGATCATTCATCTTCATCGACCAATACGACACCCTCAACATCGCCAAATACATCAGGCAACATGTTATCTTTGACAACACCTTCTTCCTCTTCTCATGCAGTAGAGATTCAGTAAATGAATGAATGAATGAATAACAACAAAAACAATCAAATTTAAATTGTATAAACAACAAATCAAATACCACCAACAACCCAACAAACAAAAATAAGAATTAAAATTATTAGTTTTAGATAATAATTAATAATTTAATTCCCCAAACAACAACAATCAACCAACCCTCCCCCCAAACAAACAATCAAACAAATAATATATGAGAAAAATAAACATAAACTTACTTTCAAACAACATATTTTAAATACTATAATTAATTAATTAATTATTATTATAATTGAGTTTGAAATTACATTTGTTTTAAATTTACTAATTTTTTGCATTATATGAACATCTCATCTGATTTTATTCAATTTACAACTTTTTACTCATCACTACTACTGCTACTACTACTACTAGTATATACTTAACTAGAGGAAGAAGAAGGAAGATGTTAAGATTTCAAAGAGTATTAAATAATAATAATATTAGTAAAACAGTATTAAATAGTTTTATCAAACCATCTACAACAACTGTCTATTACAACAATAACAGAGGGTTCTCTACATCATCATCAAATGAAGATTTAGGACCAAGAGATTCTGATCAATTCGATGTAGTTATTGTAGGTGCAGGTCCATCGGGTTTATCAGCTGCTATTAGAATTAAACAATTGTGTCAAGAACAAGGTAAAGATTTACGTGTTTGTGTAGTTGAAAAGGGTGCCGAAGTAGGTTCGCATATCTTGTCGGGTGCTGTTCTTCAACCAACTGCTCTTGATGAATTAATCCCTGATTGGAAAGAAAAGGGTGTATGTATAGAATAGAAAAGGAGAAAGAGGAATGAAAAAGAAAGAGTCAATAAGGTTAATCATTTACTTTTATTTTTTTAGGCACCATTAAATACACCAGTAAAAGAAGATGCATTCTATTTCTTGACAGAATCTAATAAGATTAGATTACCAACACCAAGATTATTACATAATGAAGGAAACTATATTGTCAGTATGGGTAATGTAGTTAGATGGTTGGGACAACAAGCCGAAGAGATGGGTGTAGAGATTTATCCAGGCTTTGCAGCCAGCGAAGTATTGTACAAGGAAGATGGATCGGTCGATGGTATTGCTACGAGCGATGTTGGTATTGGAAAGGATGGAAAGCCAACATCACACTTTACAAGAGGTATGGAGTTGCGTGCTCCTTTGACTCTGTTTGCCGAAGGTTGTCGTGGATCGTTGACCAAGACACTATTTAGCAAGTTTGATTTGCGTGACGATTGCGATGTACAAACCTTTGGTCTTGGTATCAAGGAATTGTGGCAGGTCAAACCAGAGGTGTTCCAAGCCGGCAAGGTTGTACATACACTCGGTCATCCACTCAGTACCGACACTTATGGTGGCAGCTTTATGTATCACATGGAAGATAACCTCGTATCGATTGGTTTGGTGGTTGGTCTTGACTATGAAAACCCATATCTCAATCCATACCAAGAGTTTCAACGTATGAAGCAACACCCAGTGTTCCGTAGTGTATTAGAGGGTGGTCAATGCATCCAATACGGTGCACGTACCATTAATGAGGGTGGTCTCCAATCCATCCCCAAACTCATATTCCCAGGTGGTGCTTTGATTGGTTGTACCGCCGGTTTTGTCAATGTACCAAAGATCAAGGGTAACCACAATGCCATGAAGACTGGTATGTTGGCTGCTGAAGCTGCCTTTGAAAGTCTCATCAAACAAAAGGAGGAAGAGGAATCGAACAAGGCAATCGTACTCGAAAACTATCCAGAGAAACTCAAAAAGTCATGGGTTTGGTCTGATCTCAAAGAGGTAAAGAATATTCGTCCATCGTTCCACTGGGGTTTCCTACCAGGTTTGATTTATAGTGCCCTTGAGATGTACATTTTCCGTGGAAATGCTCCATGGACATTGTCTCATGGCAAACCAGACCATCAACGTACCAAACCAGCTTCAGAATCGACCAAGATCACATATCCAAAGCCAGACGGTCTAGTTACCTTTGATCTCATGACAAGTGTCTCTCGTAGTGGAACCAACCACGAAGAGAATCAACCAGCTCATCTCAAGGTACGTGACTACAAGGTTGCTGAACGTGTCAACCGTGACATTTACGATGGCCCAGAAGGTAGATTCTGTCCAGCCGGTGTTTACGAATGGGTTGAAAAGGATGGTCAAAAAGATAAACAACTCCAAATCAATGCTCAAAATTGTGTCCATTGCAAGACCTGCGATATCAAAGATCCAACTCAAAATATCGATTTTACAGTCCCAGAAGGTACTGGTGGTCCACAATATGGTTCAATGTAAAAAAAAAACAAAACAACAAAGAGAGAGAGAGAAAAAGGAGTCTCTCTCTCACTCTATTTCAACTTTAGACCAACAACATAATAATAATAATAAACTTTTTTAATTTATTCGATATGTTTTTGGACAGATAAAATTAAGAATTTTGGTCTATGTCTATCTATTTCAAGATGAACAGTATTATTCAGCTCCATTGTTGGAGGTGAAAATTCTTCAATACCTCTGATATCAAATCCACAATCCATAAAAATGTTTAAGTAGGTACTCATTGTACGATGACGTTTCAAGACACCATTGACAATCCAATCGACAACTCGATCACCTTCTACTTGATAATCGTAAAGTGGCCAAATCATTTCTCCTCTTGTCATGTTACAACTGCCAGTACTTGGGGGATCTTGAGTATTTGGAATCCATTCTCTAACTGTTGGAGCTGTATAGATTGGATGTTCAATGATGGCAAAAAAGTGACCTCCAGGATTCAAAGATTGGTGAATTGATTGAACCAATGATTTAAAATTCAATACATAATGAAGAGCAAGTGAACTAAATCCCAAATCAAATGATTGATTTGGGAGTTGAATAGTTTCCATATCAGCCAATTCATAGGAAATCACTGGATGACTATGAATTCTTTTTGCCAGATCCAACATGTTTTCCGATAAATCAAAAGCTCTAACACTCTTTACATTTTCTTTTGTAGCCATATAATTACTAAACCATCCATTACCACATGCCAATTCTAATACACATTGTATTTTTGGTTGAGTCTTGGTTGACTTTATTTTTTCCAAAAATCGAAAAGTTGGAATAGAATCTGGTGCTCCATTTGGTTTTGAATTCAGTATTGAATATAAACGAAAGAATTCATTATCATCATAAATATTTTGACTATTCATTTTTGTTAAACAAGAATATAAATAATTATAAAAATGAATAGAAAAAAATTACCTTTTAAACCCAATGATAATAGATATTGAAAAAATATCTAGTCTACAAGGTGTGTGTGAATAAATACGTATTTATAAATAAATATAAATAACTATTCAAAAAGAGATCTTTTGTATATATATTTTGAATTGTCTATTTTTATTTAATAATCTGCAGGGGTAGTATCATATAAAACATCTTCCCATGGATGACGATAAAGTGGTTGTTTCATTCTCTTTTGGTCGAGAGCATGGCCAATTAAACCAATACTTCTACCGACGATAAAGAAACCATTCAAATATCCAACATTTACGATTTCTTCAATTTCCTCTTTTTTAAATAATCCACAACTGTGCAATAAATCCAAAAACAATACACCTATACAACCATCTACATTTAAAATTAGATTATTTGCCTTTTGAAGTGTATATTTTTCAACTTCCAATGCATATTCTAAATAACTTGATGATGAAAAATGTTTCTTTGCATAACTATAAAAATAAATTAAATAAATAAATATATATTAATATTTTAGATATCTAAAGTTTCCTTTTTCTTTTTCTTACTCTTTTAATAATAAAACTCTTTTATCAATATCATCAGCAGATTTGATTAAATGACCAATACCAGGGATTCTTTTACCTTTTTGTTTCATTCCTTCAACAAATTGTTCAGCCGATAATTTTCTATCGTGGGCATCTTTGAAACAACGAGCACTGTCATCAATGGCACCACCAAATCGTGGGCCAATGGTAAGGAGACCAGAGACGAGAGAGGAGACGAGATCCTTTCCAGCACGAGCAGCAACAATGGTATTGTGTGCACCCGAGACACATGGACCGTGATCAGCAACCAACTTTAGACACATTTCAATAAATTTACTGGCGTATTCTGGAAGACGACGTTTGAACCAGAGGAGACCTATTACATCACCGACGCAATACTGTTCGTCACAAATGGTAGAGATGGGGACACCGGCATAAGTGAGTTCCTCACCACGATCATCACAAATGGTTGAAATGATTGATGTTGGTTTACGGACCTTACCGGCTTTGACGGCGGTCTTAAAGTCGAGTGGGAGTTCTGGTGGTGTTGGTTCTTCGACGGGTTTGACGTGACCAGCAGCCACCAACTTGTTGTAGGTTTGTGAGATGGCATTGGAGAAATCTTCAAACGATTGGGGGACGATGGCACCTGCTTCTTTGAGTGCTTTGTTTTTCATCTCGGCAGACTCTGACTCGCCACCCGATTTTGCTCCGGCATGGCCAAACTGCACCTCGGTGGGGAAGATCTTGGCTACTGTACCAGAGACCCAAGCACAGACTGGTTTGGTGATTTCACCGCGTTTGAGGGCATCGACCACTCCATACTCGTCCCATCCTCCAAGCTCTCCCAAGATGACAATCATCTTTACCTCGGGCAGCTTTTCAAAACGTGTGACATGGTCGGTCAGTGTAGAACCTGGGAACGCATCACCACCAATAGCAATGCCTTCATAGATACCGTCGGTGGTTCTCGAGAGGACATTGTACATTTCATTGGACAAACCACCACTCTTGCTCACAAACCCAACCGAACCCGAACGATACAACTTGCACGCCAAAATATTGTCAATCGTACCTGCCGTGTTTCCAATCTTGAATGCACCAGCCTGGATACCTCCAACAGTGGCCGGACCAATGATCACCTTGCCATTCTTTTTGGCCATAGAGATTAATGAACGTGCTTCATTCTCTGGCATACCTTCGGCGATAATGACAATGGTACGAAGTGTTGGTTCTTGGATGGCTTTAACCGACGATCCAAATGCACTACGATGACTAGCAAAATTCAAAAATACATCTGCATTTGGACATGCTTGACAAGCTTCCTTTACACTATTAAATACTGGAATTACCAATTCTTTAAATCCAAAAAATGCTTTATAAAATCCTCCTATAAAAAATATAAAATAACAAACAAGTTAATATCTTTGTTTTCAACATCTCTCTCTCTCTCCCTCTCTCTTTTACCATCAGAACCAGGATGAATTAAACCAGCAACAGAAGGAGTATCTCTTTGTGAAACATTATCAAAATCAAGCATTCTCTGAACAGCAGCCTCTTTGTAATTATAAATCAATGCTTGTGATTGTTTTGAAAATAGTCTGGCTGGAAGTTGATTTCCTTGGCTACTTGGTGTAAAGGTTGATGAAACCTCTTGATCAATGACTGCTGATGTCATATTATCCATTCTCTATATTATTTCTGTTAAATATAATATATTGTATATATATTGTATTTTGTATATTACTACTAATTGTTATTGGAAGAAGAAGAAGAAAGAATTAGATTAAAGTTTCAAACAACATTAATTGAATGCTAATATAGGAATTGCAATAGAGAGAGAGAGAAAGGGAAAGGAGAAAGAGGAGGAGAGTACTATTATTACTATTATTAAGTGTATTGTATGATTTTTAAAATATATATTTATTACGAGTATATTTGAGAGAACAGAAATTTAAATTAAACCTTTACCCACCCCCTAGCAGTACATATTCTAATATGGGGTAGGTTCAGACAAACGATAAAAAAATAACAACAAACCAATAATAAACATAAAATAGATAGTTTAGGTGCTATTACCATATTTTAAATAATTTAATAAAAGAGAGAAACTGCCAGCCCATAGGAATAAAGCAACTTTGAGATATAAAATATTATACTATTTAGTGAGCAAGATAGATAAGATACAATACGATACGACGAAATAACTAAATCCGTCAAACAAACTATTGGTTTCCTTGTAATACATAAATACATAACAAAAAAGATATGACAGATAGAGTTACAAAAAGAGATAATTATTTACCTTTGTTTTTTTTTTAGTGTGCAAAGAAAAGACAATAACAACTTTTACTGCTGTTGCTGCTGCTACTACTACTAACTACAACTAATCTATACTCTCCTTTTGCATCATAAAGGGAAATTGCACTTTCGAAAGGCAATAAGGGAGAGTTTCGACTGATGATGCAAGGATTCTACAACTTTTTAATTAACAACTGTAGCTGCTTCATTTCCCACGGTGATGATTGTTAGTGGAAGGAAGTGTTGAGGAAGACTAGTCAAGTTTGATAGGGGATGTTGTTGGTGGTGTATTGTCTTTGGAGGTTCCCAATCAACTTTTTAAAAAGTTGTAAAACATGAAGATTCTTTGATGGGATTTCCCACCAAATTTAATTAAATTGAATAGATATTTGTCTCAAAAAAACATTATGTTATATTAAATTTATTAAAAACAATAATTTTTATCCATCAACTTGTCAATGAATAAATCATTCGATCATGTAATCGATGTTGATGGATAAAAAAAAAGTTTGTTACAATTTCAATCGATCTGTCTCTACTTGAGAAATTGTACCATTGTTGTTTGAACAGGCGAATGGTCTATCATCTTTTCAGAGAGTGACTATATCCGAACATTTGTAGTAGGATATCCGAAAATAGATTAGATGATCATGATATTTTTGAAAAGATCCTCCTAGATGAAAGATCGCTCCCCAGAAATAATGATTCAATTACCTTTTCGTTGCCTGGTATTATGGTATTCCTCCTATAAAATCATAGGTCAACAGTTCATTGGGATGGGCCATTCAGGTTACAACTAGCAAGGAGGAGATAGATATTTTCAGTTGTCGGGTGTTTTCCGACTTTTTGATTTTTTCTCTCCTATTATATTATTATTGCCACATATTTTGAATTTTCGTAGCCGATGGCGGGGGCTCCTGAAACCTGCATAAAAACCCACCCGACAACAACTCGTTGTTTCATTATTTTTATTCATCACTACACAACAAACTAAAACTAAATATTATGTTTAGATTATCTTTATTTATTGCAACCTTTTTATTGGTTGCTGGTACTAGCCACGCCCTCAATTTAGTAAACATGAGAGACTTGTATCTCCATGCCAACTTGACTATCCCAATGTCTCAATGTCAAGCGGCTGCTGCTTCTGCTCAACATTATGCTGTAAGAAACAAAATACAAAATAAATATAATAAATTATTTATTAATATTTAATATTGATTATTATTTAATTTTAGACTTGCGGTTGCCCATATGTATGGGGTGGTACACAATGTGGATGTGGTGGCAGTGGAGGTATGGATTGCTCCGGTATTGTTTATACATCATACAACGAAGCTGGTTGGTCTGGAATTACTAGAACCACTACCACTCAAGTCAACCAAGGTGTTGCCTGTGGTGGTGGAGGTGGTTCAAGTGCCGTCTCTAGTTCTGGAAGCAGTGCTACTTCTGGAGCTGCCACTTCATCTGGTGGTTCATCTGGTGGCTCATCTGGTGGCTCATCTGGTGGCTCATCTGCTTCATCTGCCTCATCTGGTAATTCAGCCTCATCAGCTACATCCGCCTCATCAGCCTCATCAGCTGCTTCATCAGCTTCATCAGCTTCATCCGCCTCATCCGCTTCATCCGCTTCATCAGCCTCATCAGCCTCATCAGCCTCATCCGCTTCATCTGCTTCATCTGCTTCGTCAGCCTCATCTGGTAATTCAGCTTCATCAGCATCATCAGGTTCATCTGGTTCATCAGGTTCATCTGCTTCATCAGGATCAGGTTCAGCAAGCACCTCTGGAACCGGCTCTGGTTCGGGTTCAGGCTCTGGATCATCTGAACTCCAATTGACTGGCAATTGTTCACCATCTGACACCTCTGGCTGCGTAAGTTAAACAAACATATATATATCATCGCTATCTATCTTTTATTCAAAAAAAAAAAAAAAAAATGCCCATATTTTTTTCCATAGACTAATATGATTTAATTTTTGTCTATAGACTGTTGGTGATTTGTTCTTCTACTGCTTCTCAGATGGGAGCCCTTGCCCTAATCATGTAGTCATGTACATTGGCAATAACCAAGTTGCTGAATGTCCAACCACCGGAGAAAACTGTCATGTCATTACTCCATACTCTGATAGTTATTACACTTGTAGATCAATGTGCGGTTAAGTCAACCCCTGTCATTATGTGATTCAACTACAACTCCCCCAACCCCCCTCCCAATATATCAATTATAATTTATTAAATATTACGTAATAAAAAATATATCTTATAAATTATTTATTTATTTATTCAATATATCATTATCTTGCTATAGAGGCGGTATCAAAAGTGTTTACCAACTCTTTCCTTCATTGTTTTAATTGATAGACTAATATGATTTAACTTTGGTCTATAGACTGTTGGTGATTTGTTCTTCTACTGCTTTCAAGATTTTTTTTTTTTTTGATCCTAAAAGATGTAAATAAACTAAAGTTTTTTAAAAAGTTAAATGATTTTAAAAAAAAAGAAAGAAGGGAATCATTTAAAATTATTTTAAGTATTATACAACAATGTCAAATAGAGTTGTATAATACTTTTTTTTTTTTAATAGTTCTAAAATGTTTAAATGATTTTTATTAAAACAAATTAATATTTATTTATTTAAATTACCATGTTGTAAATTTGGTCACAAAATACACTTTTGGTTCCGTAAGAATGCAATCGTAGTCAGAATGGTAAGGATGCTGGGCTGTCTTTTGTGTGGATTTAATCACATCAAGCAAGTCATTTCAACTCCCGTTCATATGGAGAGGCCATGTTGAAGAATTTGTCCATCCCTCCCTCAAAGGACAAATTCTTCAACGTGTTTTTCTTTCACCATGGCCTCTCCATACGAGCGGGAGTTATTGCATGACAGGCATAATCAAAATCTGTGGATACTTTCTTTTAGTATAGATAACCATATAAATTAGTAAATGAATATATAATTATATTATTATATTATTACTTACTCTTCCTGATCGCAATGACGACATATCGACTTGTTAGCGACAACACCTTTAGTGGTAATAGATTGTGGTATGGTGGGCTTTACATATATATTTCACCTGCGATTGTTTCGAGATTTTTGTTGCTGTAACCACAGTACAGTTTTTGGCAGAGAACCTATCGATCCACACCTGGTCGGAAACATTCACACGACATTCTGCACAAAGGGGTCACTGTACGTTTAGACACTGCAACGATTGCTCTTGTTGATGGCCATTTGCACATTTCACCAATATTTTCTATTTGTTATTTATTTGGGAACTTGTTTACAATCACAAAACCTTTTTGAGCTGCCACTGTTTGGAATTCTTTTGCTCTAGAACTGTCTGTATGTTTAACTGTACTTGCAAATGGTGTTTGTTTAACTTTGAGACTATGAAAAATAAATATACAATGTTAAAAATTTGCAAATGAGTGAGATATAAAAAAAAGTATTATTTTACAACTAGCAACATGTTCTTTCATAGAAAGTTAGAATCCATCTGATATCACTAACTTTCCATGAAGTTTTACATCCTTTGGGACAAGAGACTTCAGAAGTAATGAAATCGAAACCATAGGATTCAATGAGTTCGTCTCTTGAATGAGTGCGACAGTTTGGAATATGAAGTGGTTTCTTCCAATGTATGACCGTTTTGGTGACCAAGCCGGTAACCAATCACTCGAAAACAAAAGAGAAGAAAGAAAGTCTAGGCAATTTGCAGAGACCAAGGCATTCAACAAAGCGAAAGAAGAAAGAAAGATAAATGAACCAAACACCCGAACCATTATATCTGTTTTGTTGGAGGACCTGCACCCGAGTGTCTGTAATCTATTGAAAAAGAGATAATAGAACCCTTTTATAAATGTTAATATTTATATATATTTGAATGTATTAATGATGTTTAAATACATACAATAACATTCTTACTATATTTCGATTGATTGGATTGCAGTGATTGTCACCAAGTTTACGTACTGAAAATGTTGTTGTTGATTAATAGAATAAACATGAATTGAAGATACATAGATACAATGGAGAATCTAAAGAAAGGTGTGAAAATAGAGCGAGGAGATTATCGATATGTAAACATGGCTGGTCTTGTACTAGTCATGGATATCATTACCCATGACATACCACCATATATATATATATATATAGAATGGGATGATAAAAATATATAGATAGTACTTATATAAATCATCTACATATTTGAATCAAAAAATAAATGAATATTTATTTTCTTTGGGGGTTTTGAAAATTTTTGGTTGGGAGTACCGCCTCAGAATCTATTTATTTGTAAAACTTATTTCTCTCTATGGTCTTCTTTATTTTTAATTATTCTTTTACCAATCGATAGATCTTTTCATTATCTATCAAATGGTTGACAAAAAAATTTGCGAGAGGTTCACCCTTCTAAAAAGTACTTTCCGTAAAGTCGCCATTAGCCATGGGCTAAGATGAGGTCTAGAAAGCATTGTTTGGAAAAACAAATGATATAAACAGAAAGAGCACAAAAAGTTGTATCTATTGGTGATATTGGATCGTCGTTTCAAAGATTATTCAAATAAAAAAAATGCTATTCTTCAAAGCCTATCTCATATAGTAAACATGCAACCATATAAAACTACGTGCTACATGGATCGGATCACGATTAATCAAATAAAAAGACAAGCGCCAACGCAAGAGGTGTAGGTGCCTTGAATCTTCAACATTATATGCACTGGTGTCGGCAGTGTTCAATGCATGCCACATCCAGCAACGCTAGACAAGATGGTTAGTATATTTGGAATGGATCAATAATCAAATAATTCAGAAGTGGTCAATCTCAAAACAATTGTGAACGCTCAAGAGTAATGGTAGCTTAATCTCATATATCGATATCATGGTTATTTATTTGGTACATACTAGTATTATTGTAATTGGCTCTTTTAAAACCCATCAAGGCTAGTGGTCATGGACAATTTCGCATTCGGTCTATCAAAACCATCCATTCTAAAAGATAATAAATAATAATTAGTAAACAGTATTTATGACAGTAATTTTACAAGATACATATCTTTACAGTTTTTAAAAATGGACCAACTCGTCTCTAATCAATTGATTCTATATTTAAAGTACCAATATATACAGACTTGTTATAGATTTAAAATAAAAAACCCATCATCAAGAAAGAAAACACATACCATCTTTATGAAAGAAGAAATTGACGACCAATCAACTTTGCCCTCACGCGGTAAACAAATGGCCTTGTTTGGAAACTTATGAATATACCTACCGAAACAAACCCGCACACTCCAAGCACGCCAAATGATCGATCAATTCCCCCAACACTCAAACTATACTTGTTTGGTTCCCCAACTTTGAGAATCCCATTTAAATATCTACAACATATCATCTAACAACTGTGTGTATGAAAAAATCTTTCTCTTTTCATTGCGGTTGTGGAAGAGGAGGATGAAAGAGATGTAGGCCTGGAGGAGATGAAGAGGAGGGAGGAAGGGGCCGAGTTATCATACAAATTTAAAACTATAATGGGTTGACATAGTTTTAAAATTAGTTGTGAATCATCACAGAGTGATTGTTGGTCTACGTCATGTCCTCTAAAGGCGTCATTCCCATTGTTGATTGACTGATTGATGATTGTTTAAAATATCTTGATGAATCTAATCGATCGATGGTTATTGTTGTTGGTGTCATGATGATGATGAATGAAAATTCTCCCTCCAAAATTAATTAATTCTCTTCATGACATGATAGTGCTGTGCTGTACTGTGTTCTCATATTTACTACTTGTATTGTACTGCGCGAGACCCATCCTAAAGTTAAATTCATTCATTCATTCGAGACAGACATCATCCATCAAATGACGATGATGATTGAGATTTAATTTAACTTGTTACCCTATACTACTTGTGTTGATGAACCTCTGCTTGTAGTACTTCGTCGCCATTTGTATGTCTTCTCAACAGGAATGACGTTTTATTTCTAATGCGTTGCACTTGTCTTAATGGGAATGTTGGTTTAACACGGTCGCCAATTAATCGTTGGTAGACTGTTGGAGGTGTTGTTGTTGTTGTTGTTGTTGCTGCTGCTGCTGCTGGTGATGCAGAGATTGTTGTTATTGGTAATAATGGTACTGATACTGATGCTGCTGCTGATGCACTGATAGTTTACTCATGATTAATATGCTTAAAATAAAGATAAAAATATATCTATAATATTGATAATTCATTAAATAAAGATATTATCAATTTAATTAAATAATTAATTGTTTGTTTATTGATTCTACACTTTTTTTTTTAATTTTTTTTTTTAAATTTTTTTTCTCATGAGATAGTGCGATCTTTATGCGTGCCGTAGGTGACTGACCTGATACATTGCGAGGTTTGAACATTTGTTTCAAAACAACAACAGCAAATAGCCCCTCTCTGTGGTTATTAATGGATCCTATCAAAAAGAAGAAACCACCTGGAATTGTGCCCTGATTTGGTATCTTACACCCCCTCTCCCTCCTCCTCTTCTCTTCCATTTTAGATCTTGGTTCATATAATGAGCCTAATCCGCACCCCCCATCCTCCTCCTTATCCGCCTCACTCATATAGTGAATCAACACGCCCATAATCTGACGGTTACATCAAAGAATGATCGTGCTTTGGTGATCATATCCAACCATGACTACCACCCCCCTATCCTCCTCCTTATCCCCCTCACTCATATGTTAAATCATAAATGATCGTGCTGCTGTGGCTCACCTAGGCATCATGAATGCCCCCATTAAACGGTGGTGATGACACAGTTCGGGTATTAAGAAACCACCATACGATTATGATATCATTGGGACACAACCCCATCTGTATATGTATCACCCTCACTTTTTGTTGGTAATCAACAAAGACAAGAAAACATTTGTTTAAAATAAAATATTATTCATCAAGCTCCAATGTTCTCTATTTAAAGTGTTCTTTTTTCTCATCACATCATTATTCATTTTATCTATCTTTTCTTCAATTCATTATCTTTCTGCTATATTGTATTACCTTTATATATTTTTTATATAGGAAGCTTCTAATTGAGGTTCACTATCGCACAGTGGTCATCATGAATGGCCCACTTCCATCCGCAACAGAGACAAGAACAACTCAATACCCTCTCGATCGTCTCATGGGTAAGAAGTGGAATAACGAACAAAACTTGTTTGTGACACATCTCGGCCAATATGCAAGATACTATCACTCTGTTAAGAGGTTAGTAGGCCAATTTTTTTTAATATTTGTATACGACTTTAATAACAGTAAGATATCATCAACCTTTTTTTTTTTTTGAACATGAATCATTCAGATAAGTTCATGAACTAATTGATCGATTTCATGTATTTTACCATTTTTAGTGTTTAGTTTGTCCCGACAAGAACTCGAAAAAGTAATACCAAAGTATTACGACATGAGTGTTCTTTCAAAGAACAAAACAAATGAATTATATGAAAAAATGGAAAATCGGTTGACTTTGCCGATTCGATGGGATTCTCTAATTGTGGAGGCCATCATCTCAAAGGTGATGGACATAGACACACGCAAAAGCAGTAATAGTCCAAGAGATTATGTATGTATAACAGTCTGTGACAGTTATGATGTGTAATAATAAATTAATTTTTATTTTATTCTTTGTTTACTCTTTACAGAATTCTGCACAAGATGTCCAAGCAAAAGAGAAAATCTTCAACAAAATGCTATCGAGAACATTTGCCAAACTCAAGGTAGACGAGATGGTTGCAAAATATCAAATCCTCCGATATGCACTCCTTGACCCAGATCTGAATCCAATTGGCTGTTGCCACTCTTATAAAACCGCCTTTGCCAACTCCATTTGCAATAGTTACTCGGCCGAGGTGGCCGAGACCTGCAAAAGGATGGTGGAGAGTGCTTTAGACCGTCAAGATGACCGAAACATATTCATTCCACCACGAGTCCAAGTTGGTGTCGGATCTTCTGGAGGATATACTTGCCAAAATAGATGATGGTGATATCGGTGAAGGGTACCAAGCTCTCAAACTAATATTTTCATCTCAACCATTAAAAGGTATGTCATTGATATTAACACCATCACAGGTTTTTTTTAAATATCTTCTTGCGTCGGTTCATGTAACTCGATCTCTCATTTTGTTTATCTTTTTCTCATACACGTCAAAAGGGGCAGTTTGCGGAGTGTCGATCAGATCTTTTTTTTTTTTTAATATTTTCATTTTTTTTTTCATCTCGAACAACTCACAGAAACCAAATTTAGAGAATGTATATTAAACTATTAAATAACATCGCACACTCAACACAACATTATCAATAGATAGAATACAGCGAGTATTGTTTATAGTTACACTTTTAGTGTAAGAACCCACACATCACTATCATTACTCCTCTTTTACACCATTTCTTTTTGATTATCTTTTGTTTTCATTGGTTTACCAATCAATGCACCACCCATCTCTTTCCTTTTAACTACTCATTGTTGGCCAAGTTCATCTTTACATATCATTGACCTCTTGTGTTCACTCATAAATTATATAATCCTTTTTGATCCAAATCAAGTACCAATCTACCACTCTTTATCGCTCTGCATCCTTTTTGTTGTTCGTTTGATCCACTCTCCTATCCGACAAACTTTCTTTACCACTTAACTTTCCATCAGATACTGCAATCAATCACTACCATTGCTCCTCTTTTACCCTTTCTTGTTTTGATTATATTTGTTTTTATTATCGAGATGCACCACCCATCTAACCACTCGCCTCATTGTTGGTCCCAGTCTTTCCATCAGATCGATAATGCAAAACATTACAATCATTGCTTTTACACCATTTCTTTTTTGTTTTCATTATCCAATCAACGCATCACCTATCTCTTTTGCCTCATTGTGGAGAGAGAGATAGAATTTATAGAGTATAATTGTAATACAGCGCGTATTAATTATTGCAGAGATTAGAGTGATCTTTGATACCTCCATTGATAGCAAGAAGCTCTCTCTATGCAGTGACAGGCCTGTCAAACCTTTTTTTTTTTTAATTTTAAACCTCTCTAACATTTATTACATTTATCATTATAGATCATAATTTGGAATGCGAAAAGAAAAGGTCAAAATTAAAAGAGGAAAGAGAGGCCAAGCAAAATCAAGAGCCAGCCATTCCCAAGGAAAAAAAAAAGAAGAAACAGTTTTTGGGTGACAAAAGGCCTGAAAACTTTGATGAAATCAATTTTGATGGATCTGTTTATTCAATATCAAATTTGGCCACAGATTTAGAGATTGATAGCAAAAATGTAAAGAAATTAAAGGTTGAAGAACATATATCTGGTGATTATTTACAATCTGAACTCTCATCAAAGTTGGAAGCGTTGATCCAATCATCAACATCAATAAGTGCCTGGAGTGGGTTAAATACCCTCCAATTGAATAGATTGAAAATGCTAAATTTGGAAAATATAATTAATCCGTAACTATTATTATTATTATATCTTTTGTTATTTTTTATTATTTTCATTATAATTAACTAATCAAATGCTTTTTTTGTAATCTTATTTTTTTTTCTATAGAGAGGACAATTCAATCGATTTTTCAAAGTTGACAAAAGATCAATATCCATCTTTAATGGATTTTTGTGAATCAAATGGATACAAGTTTCCAAAAGGATATGACCCTACAGGATTGAAATCCCTCATGACGTCCGATTTGGAGACGATAAAAACTACTCCTTTCGCATTGAATAGCTTTGCACCACAAGCAAAGTATGTATAAAACAATTGACCAATATCTTTTTTTTATATTTTTAAAACTAATCCTCTTTTTTATCTATAGATTCAACAGTACTTTTATCCCATTCTCGATAGAGTTGTTTGTCAGTATAATCGTCAACTCTGGAATAGATATGTCCCTTGGTTTGACCGACAAACACAAAATATTAAGGTATATTTCAAAAATATTACCTAATTTGGAAAAAGAAATTGGTCATCCATTGGAAAGTGGCTATCCATTGGATAGATTTAAGTTTTTCGACAAGGAAATTGAGATCCTCAAAGCTTCGCACTTGGCTTCTTTTCCTTCATCGTCAGATGTAACAATATCACCATCCTCTTCGTCTGATGTAACAACATCACCATCCTCTTTGTCTGATGTAACAATATCACCATCCTCTTCGTCTGATACAACAACATCACCATCCTCTTCGTCTGATACAACTACATCTCCATCCCCATCATCAAAAAAAAAAAGAGGTAGACCTCGTAGTGAGATTGTGGATATAAAGTTAGAAAAATTCCCTGATTTTAAAGATTTTAAATTGGAGGATCTTAATCGACAATTGGAACTTAGAGATATCGAATCCCCAAACATTGATACACGAGTCCAAGAAGAGGAAAATATTAAAAGATTGAAATTGGTTTTATGGCAAGACATGGTAAAACGCTTGCAAATAGATTTTAAAGAAGACTTTGACTACAGCAAATCCAGTCAAGTTAGCATTTTAAAATGGTTATCTTTACCTACTAGCACTATTAAAATCGAATATGATTGGTACTGTTGTTCATTGCCAACACTGAAAGGAACTCTCAAGAAACTATTCAATGACAGCCCAAAGGTGAAGAGAAATGAGCCAAGGAAATGGATGCCAAAGTCTCTTGCTTCAACAAAAAAATCGTTTCTTTTTCGTTACTATACGATTGGATTTGTTGGAAAATCAGTCCTCTGCGATTATTTGCAATCACCGTATGTAAAAGACAACCCATTCGATTTCAACGGGTCAACAAAAACAATTCACCCCAACTTTAATGATTACGAAAGAGACAATATTGGTTACATTTATAACCAAAAAATGTCGGTCCTAATCAATCAAAGGGCGATGATGGTGACAACCAACGTTCCCAGCCATATCTGGTTCCAAACAAAAAGTAAATGTCATTGTTTTAAAGCATTATTATCTTTTACGACCCATTCATTTTACTAATATTTAATTTTAATCTTTATATAGGTGCAAATGAAAAAGTAGTTTCTGATGTGCAAATATCCATGAATAGCCGTCTCTTGCCATACCATTTGAAAAAGAGACAAAAATTAGAAGAATCTTTTCCAGAGCAAAGTTTGGTCTCTCAAAAAAACGGTCAAGATGGCACACCCATGGATGATTCCGATGACGACGACGATGATGATGATGAATCATGGAAATGTAAACAAGTAGAAGAAATGGAAAAGAACCATTCATATTCATACAACCATCCCCACTATGCTTGTTTTGTGGCAAAACAAGTTGGGTTGAAACCAAACATTCCCAAAGTCAAGGATAGAGATATTATCTGTGCCAATTGTTTGTCATCCCACTCACTTAAAGATTTGCCTATGGTGTGCGAACAATGTGATGCGACCATTCCTATTCTATCGGAACATGAAAAAAGATTGGATTTATGTGGTGACCTGATGGATCTGTACTCGGTTGATATTCAACTAAAAAGGAATGCATTTGAAAAAATGCCACCCTTTGATTCAAAGGATGATCTATTCCCTCCACCAGTACCATTAATTGCCGAAATCAATCATCGACTCGTCAAATTTGACCAACCTGAATCACCCCATGTGGAGATTTTTCTACACGAGGCTCTCAACACCACCTCGATAGCACTCAACAGTAACAGGTCAGGAATTGCACCCTCCATGCGGAACCTATTCAATCTTATTAAAACTACATCCGATCCCTCGATGCAATTTAGAATTCGTGATGCATATCCCTTTGTCCACGACTCGTCTACTGGCGGATTTGAAAATGAAATCAAACATGAAATCATGGTGAAGGAATTAATGAAGCATTTTTCAATGACAACGTCCAAGCTCATTATTGTTTGTGGACAATTCCCTTGCAAGGCAGCCAAAGAGGCTTTTAATGCCAATCCTTTGGATTACGAAATGGTTGACTATAGTCAAGAATCTTATCACACCATTTTAGATAAAGCCAAAGGCACAACCGAGGACAAAGAGGTGGATGTAAGTAGGATAAATCCTAAAAGGCTCATTGCTATCGCCCCGCATCCATCAGTCATGTTTGCGTTGCACATAACAGCAGCCTATATTTTGATTGCTCATGATATCTACAAAATGGCTCCAAAGGTATCTCAATTTGACCCAGTTCAAACATTTAAATCGAATTCCCCCTCGTCTGCCTCGTCCTCCTTCTCCTCCACGTCCTTATCATCCACGTCATCTTCATCATCTGCCTCGTCATCTTCATCATCCTTGCCCCCGTCCTCCTCGTCCTCCTCCACGTCCTTATCATCCACGTCATCCTCATCATCTGCCTCGTCTTCCTCGTCGTCCTTATCATCCACCTCATCTTCATCATCCTCCTCTTCGTCCTCCAATCAAAAGACCACCAAACGCCCAAATCTAAGTAACAAAACAAAAGATTTTCCTTCACTTAAACAATGGACGTTGGAACATCTAGTTGAAGAGGCCACATCCCGCAAAATCGACGTAGAGAATATCAAAGAAGATCGTCTTCAAGTTGAATGTGTTTTGTTGAAATCGGTCCTTGGGTTTCAAATATGGTCAGAACAAAAAATTGAACAGTTTGATCTAGAGGAATCAAAATCGAAAAAAGATATACTGGCCTATGCGAGAGAAAAAAAAATCCCTTTGACAGACTATTGGTTCTTCATGACGTTGGAAACCCTCAAAAAAGCCGTGCAAAGGTGTCTCGCTTCCACCTCGTCCCCATCTCCGTCCTCCTACTTGCCCACCTCTTCCTCACCCTTGACCGATATCTCACTCCCCTCTTCCCCATCCTTGACCGATGCCCCACCCACTTCATCCTCATCCGATACCTCAACTCCACCCTCTTCCACCGATACCTCATCCTTGACCGATACCTCAACCACCCCGTCCTCATCCGATACCCCACCCTCTTCCACCGATACCTCATCCTTGACCTATACCTCACTCCCCTCACACTCATTCTCCTACTCCTCCTACTCTAAACCTTTTGTAAAAAATGAAAAGTGCGTTTACAAAGATGAAGAGAAACATATAAGAGCAAAGAGAGATTTTTATCACTCTGGAATGTGTAGAAGGCGCCGAAGCAAATGGAAAGTTATGAGGGAAAACAACCGTGGCAATTATCTTTATATCGGAATTGATCCTGGAAGGTCAAAATGCACGATTGTAGACTCTATGAATCGTGCTCGAGTGGTTTCAGTGGCATCTTATTACAACCTCATGGGCACTGACCGTCTTCTGGCAAGACAACAAAACTACAAAAAGACCCCGGTCCTGTCCAAATTTGAAAGTGGATTGCCAACCTATAATACCTTTGGTAAGTGTTATTTTAAATATTCATTGTCTATACCACCTATATATTATAATATTAATATTTATAAACTAACTTTTTTTTTAATTCCTAGATACTTTATTCAATGTAGAATCTGTATTGAGACGAATAGAGTATGAAAGAATTACCCATAGGGATCAATGTCGTCTTTATTCCCAAGTAGTGACGTCCTATACGTTTCAGACCATGGACAAGAACAGGAACATTGACAAGAAGCGCGCCCAATATGCCTATGCAAAGAGCTTTGTACCACCAACAACAATCCCGAAAAATAGAATAGTGATTTGTATGTTTTTTTTATTTCTTCAAACCATTTATTATTATTTGTTATTAATCTTCTTTCTTTTTATAGATATTGGAGGGTCTGATTTTTTCCGTGGATCCCGAGGTGGTGGTAGAACTGGTTGTACATCAAAGACACTACTCAGACTGTTTTTGAATATGGGTTACAAGGCACGTCTTGTCAATGAATTTAATACCTCCAAAGTATGTGTGTTTTAATAATTGAATTTTTAGATCAACCCTCGAAATGGCCATTCATTAATATTTTTTTTTCCAAGATTCATAATGCATGTGCCTCCAAAATTCATTCTACCAACAACAACAAGTTCCTAGAAAAAGCTAAACACCAAAAGGTTAAAAATGTGTTGCCAGAATCTTTTGAAAAGACCCATGTTGTTGGTGCACCCATATCCTCCACGTTTTCAGACAATGGTGTTCGTTGGCAAGGAAAGGATTCCAAGTTATGTGATGGTTGCAAATTGACTGATTACAATTGTCAATGCTCCAAGGCTCAATTGGCGGACAAAGAGAATGATTCAACTCTGAAAGTGTCTCAATTGGCAGATGATATGAATGAAACTCTAAAAGTATTCATATCACTTGAAAATACTTCACCCTCTCCAACTATGCTATTGGAATCCCTTTTCTCTTTAAGCAAAAAGACTGTCAAGGAGTTGATAGAGTTTTGCAATCTAAACTCTATCAAATACTATCAACAAGAAGAGCCAACCAAAGGGAAAAACAAAAGAGGTTCTCACAAGGATAGTAAGGGTGGTGCTACCAACAGCAAAAAGGACCAACTTATCAACGCTATCATCAAGTTTAATTTTGAAAAACAAAAAAGGGATGCTAGCAAAAATAAGAAAAAGAGGTCAAAATCGTCATCAACTACTAATGATCGTTGTAAGGACCAAGATCAAAGCAATAGTCAAAAGGATGGGAACAAGTCTACAAGCAACTCTGTTTCGACCCACGATTATGGTTTTGGTAAGTCTCTTTGTGATAGTCAGATCAAAGATCTCTGGAAGTCAAAGAACCCAAATGCGACAGAAATGCCATTTAAAACTAAATGGCAATGGCTATATTGTCCAGTTTGTGATCATTTCTTCAACAGAGACTCGAGCGCTGCAAAGAATATTCTCTTATTGGGAATCTTACACCAAACCGCAGATTACAGGCCATGGATTTATCGTCCTTTACCTGCCGATATCGTGCATATTGGGAGGGTAGACACGACCTAGTTAACCTTAACAGGGCCTTCCTGCATAAATATGAAAGTCCCCCCCCCAGCTGTAAGTTATTAGATAGAAAATATAATGTTGATCTCAATTTACTGATTTTCCCCTTTTTTTCTGTACTTTGTCTTTTTTTTTTACTTTGTCTGTTTTTTTTTTCTTTCCTCAATTCAAAATAAAAGTTCAAATAGTGTGATGTTCTAATATTCTAATATTCTAATATTCTAATATTCTAATATTAGATAGTATAAAAAGTAGTACTTTATTTATTACTACTACATGCAAGTATCAAAAGTGTTTCCCAACTTTTTCTGACATAATTTGAATCAATAGACTAATATGATTCCACTGGACTGTGTAGATGTTGGTGATTGTTCTTTCCAGGATCCATTAATATCTTTTTAGAAATTAAATTGATTGATTGATTGATAAAAGTGATGATGATCTATTTTTCAAGACTATAATAATAAAAGATTAATAATAGTATTATACAATTATTATTATTTATAGAGATGTTATTTTATTGGACTTGTTAATTTACATTTCTTTCTGAAAATTTACATGATCATCTCCTTGCCCCAACAAGACACAGAGATTGTGAAATCAAGATTTCTAACATAATGAATCCAACCAAGAGGGATGAATAACATTTCACCTTGGTTGAGGTTAGAGTCATAGACAGTTTCCAATTGTTGGAATGCTGGATGTTGTTGGATTGGTTGACCAATGTTGTCTTGTTCGTCTATGGAGATATCCATGTCTTGGTGAGCAGTGACAAGTTTCTTGGATTGAGTTGGATCAACCATGACAATCTTTTTGGCACCACGAATAACACATACCAAGTTGTCACCGGTATCACAGTGCATCTTGGTAACAGAGTCCTTTGATCCAATAAAAGCACCACGAACAATCATATTATGTATATCGGTATTAAAGAATGTTTGACTCTTTACATCATCACTCAATTGTGGGAATTCATCCAATAATGAAAAATTACGTAGATAAGGTTTCTCTGTTGTTGATGCTAAACAAAAAAAAAAAAAGAATAAATAATAATAATAAATAATAGTTTGTTAATAATTGTAATAATAAAGTATCTTTTACTCTATCTATCCTATCCATACTATAATATACTATACTATGTACATACTTTTATCACCCCAATTATTATTGACAGCATTATCAATGTATTTAGAGAATGGAAGTTTATGAATATCAGACATTGAACCAAAGGTACACATATCGACATCTACAAGCTTATCACCAACCAAACCAACCAAGAATTCATTTGTCCATTTATTAATAGCAGTCCAATCCTTTGCAAGGTTGCTAAAGATGACTGGTTTGTTATCCTTTAAGTATTCATAGAATCTTTCTTTGGTGATACTTGTACAATCGTCTCTATCAATGTTTGTTATTTGAATTGCCATTGTTATAGTTATAATTTAATCTTTGTTGATAATTAAAATGAATCAATTAAGTTGAAGCATTTTATACACTCTAGAAGTTAAGATCTAGATTCAAAGTTTCATTCAACAAAAAATAATAAATTGAATGATCTGAGAGATCAACCCTCACACTCCAAAACTTTTGTTTCTCCCAAAAAAAATCAAAGAATTAAAAGGTCAGCTGCACCTCACTCTACTCTCTCTCTTTATTAATGTTTCAATTAATTGAAAAGGTAGAATAAATAAATAAATAAATCTATTGACTTTCAAACCAGAAAGGAGTTGGAAGTAGTAGATCTGTTGTCGACGTAGTTTTCGAAAGGTGAACAAGTAGAAACTAACTAGCAAGTATTCTATAATTACAAAAAAAGAGATATTTATATATTTATTGGCAAGTTGTGTAACCATTAATGATTAACAATCATCAAAGTCGAAAGTAATGATAATATGATCATTACAATCATATTACTATTGTCTGTTGATTTGGAAGAGGCAGCAGCATCACTTTCAATATCGGCGTTGACATGTGCTTCAGTGTCTCCAATACCTGGAATATCACCTTCAAATTGACCATGCATACCAAGTGTGGTAGAGATACCAGAGATAAACGTTGGATCGAGTGTGGATGTTAATACGATGGTTCCTTTTGGTTCATTGCCAGATTCACCATTACCTCCAGCAGCATGATGAGTGACAGTGGCAGTGGTCGATGCTTTTGGTGCTCCACTCAATACTCCACTACTACCACTACCACTACTAGATGTTAAAGGGTGACCTGAAGAGAAGTAAGATGGGGAAGTGATAGTCTCTTCAAATGAAGTTAAACCTTCTGGTGGAGGTGGTGGTGGAGTTGCATGTTGATTTGAACTTGAAGAAGAAGAAGAAGACCCACCTGTAATTGCAACAGGGTTCCATGATGGTATATCTGAATCTATATCACCTAAAACATCACCTTGTTCTTGGTCTGCTGCCAATACCTCTTCAATCTCTTCTATCGTTTGATCAATGTGTTGGATTTGTGGTTGTTGTGGTTGTTGTTGTAGTAATTCAACAGATAATTGATTATTATTATTATTATTATTATTATTAATTTTTAATGCAGTTACATATGGCCTACGATGTCTATTATCAGTAGTGACTAACAATACTGTTAATATTAAAATGAATAATTGAATTTTATTCATTTCCAACTATTATTATTTATTATTTATTATTATACTTATTATTATTTTAATCCAACAAATTTTGTCCAATAAATTATCTCTACCCAACAACAACTACAACAAAACAAATAATAATAAATAATAAATAATAAATAATATAATACTATTTCCGAAAAATAAATCAATTTATATTAATAATATAAATTACCTCCATTGACAAAAATTAATTTAGTTTGTTTTAGTAGTATCATTGTATACTAAATTGATATTCTATATCACTTTTTTATGACTGACTATAGTATATACAAATCTAGTGGGGTTAAAAAATATATTTACGAGTGGTAAACATCTTTATTTTTCCAACTTTAAAAACAATTACTCGATTGATACAGATATCTGTCTGTCCATCTTATCTATCTACTAATCTTTGTTACTTTATAGTTCAAAATCAATATATATAATTCATTATTATTCGAATGAAATAAATAATTTTAATATTATTATTTGTTTTGAGTTTTGTATTTTTTGAAGTTCGCGTTTTGTTGAAACTATTTTGTTGTTGAATGAGCACATTGTAGAAGAATCAAAAGATAGATCATTCATTCATTCATTTATTTAGTAGTAGTAGATAGTGGTTAGTAGGATGAGTCATAAGAGAAGTTATAATGTCACATCGGGTGGAGGAATAGTAAATATAGGTGATGCTGAAGAGGATGATATCTTGCAGATCATGCCAATAGGATCGGGTAGTGAAGTAGGTAGATCATGTGTACTACTCAAATATAAAGGAAAGACTATCATGTTTGATTGTGGTGTACATCCTGCTTACTCTGGTCTATCTAGTTTACCTTTCTTTGATTCTATTGAACTTTATTGTAATATAGATGATATCGATTTATTGTTGGTTAGTCAGTATGTTGTACTATAATATATAATATATATACAAAGATGTATAATATAGGTTCTCTAATGTTTGTTTCTTGTTTCTTTGTTTAGTTTTCATTTAGATCATGCAGCAGCAGTACCATACTTTGTTCAAAAGACAGATTTCAAAGGAAAGGTATATATGACACATCCAACCAAGAAGATTTACAAGGTATTGCTTTCGGATTATGTCAAAGTTAGTAATATATCAGTGGCAGAGGATATGCCATTCGATGAACAAGATTTAAATGCAAGTCTTCCCAAGATTGAACATATCAACTATCATCAAAAGATTGAACACAATGGTATCAAATTCTGTTGTTACAATGCAGGTCATGTGTTGGGTGCAGCCATGTTTATGGTTGAAATTGCCGGTGTACGTATTCTGTATACCGGTGATTTCTCGAGACAAGAAGATCGTCATTTGATGGGTGCAGAGTCACCTCCTGTCGATGTAGATGTACTCATTATCGAGAGTACCTATGGTGTGCAGGTACATGAGCCTCGTCTCGAAAGAGAACGTCGTTTTACAACCTCGATTCATGAAATTGTTCGTCGTGGTGGTCGTTGTCTCATTCCTGTATTTGCTTTGGGTCGTGCTCAAGAATTACTTTTAATTCTCGATGAGTATTGGATAGCTCATCCTGAACTACATGGTATTCCAATTTATTATGCTAGTGCACTTGCTAAAAAGTGTATGAAGGTTTATCAAACCTATATTCAAATGATGAATGAAGTATGTCAATCAAACAACAAACAAAAAGATACAATCAAACACAAAGTATCATATTTTTATTAACCTCTTCCTCTTCTATTTCTTTTTCTATTTTATTTTTTAGAGAATTAGAGCACAATTTGCAGTATCAAATCCATTTATATTTAAACATATTAAAGATATTAATGGTATTGATAATTTTAATGATAATGGACCATGTGTATTTATGGCAAGTCCTGGTATGTTGCAAAGTGGTTTATCACGTCAATTGTTTGAGAGATGGTGTAGTGATCGTAGAAATGGTGTGGTCATTCCAGGTTACTCTGTCGAAGGTACATTGGCCAAACATATCATGTCTGAACCGAGTGAGATTACTCGTTTGGATGGTATCAATGTACCGTTGAATCTGTCGGTCACTTATGTATCGTTTTCTGCTCACTCTGATTTCCTTCAGACCAGTGAGTTTATCCAAGACATTCATCCTCCACACATTGTATTGGTGCATGGTGATGCCAATGAAATGTCTCGTCTCAAACACTCGCTCGTCTCCAAATTCAAGACCGTCAATGTCATGACACCAAAGAATTCAATGAGTGTTCGTATGGTATTCAAGCCACAAAAGGTGGCCAAAATCGTTGGTGAAATGGCCAACTCTGCACCTGCCAATGGTACATCTGTCCAAGGTCTTTTGGTCATCAAAGACTTCACTCACACTATCATGGCACCTGGTGATCTTCAAAATTTCACAAATCTCAAAACAAACATTATCAAACAAAAAATGACTATTCCCTTTGCCCAAAATTATTTATTATTAAAAAGTACAATTCAACAATTATATGATGATGTAAAAGAACAAGAATCAATTAATAATAATAATAATAATAATAATCCAATTTTAAAGGTAAAAAAAAAACAAAAACAAAAAAGAAAACAAGACTAACTATCCTTTTTTAATTTAGATTTATAATTCAATTATAATTACATTATTTGCACCAACTCATGTTATTATTGAATGGGAATCAAATCCAGTTAATGATATGATTTCAGATTCAGTTATAGCTTTAATTTCACAAATTGAAACCAACCCATTTAGTTTAAGAGTTGGTGAAATGAACAACAACAACAACAACAACAACAACAATGGCGATACTGAACCAATCAATAATGGAAATGGTCAAACAATTAAAGTAAAAAAGGAAAAATCAGATGATCAAGAAGAAGAAGAAGAAGATGAAGAACAAGATGTAATGATCATGACAAAATCAAGAAAACAAAGTCAAAAGATTGAAATGATTACAGAAGTTAAGTCTCTATTAGAACATCAATTTGGCCCAATGCAACCAGATTCTGATAATCCATTAATACTTTTATTTAATTTGGATGATAAAAATGCTTCAATTCATTTAGAGGATTTGGTATGTAATCATAATCATTTATATAATAATTAAAGACTGATTCTATTTATTAACCAAATTTGTATTTTGTATATTATAGACTGTTGAATGTGCAGATAGTGAATTAAAACAATATTTAGAAAATTCAATCAATCGAATTAAACTAGCAGTACATCCAATTGCATTTTCAAACATTTCAACCCCCGATGATGATAATAATAATAATAAATCTCTCATACCTGTTACCAGTACCGACAATGGTAACAGTAGTACTATTGTAAATGGTAGTAGTTAAAAAACTCCATTCTTCACAAAACAAAACAAAACAAAACAAAACAAAACAAAACAAAACAAAACAAAACAAAACAAAACAAAACAAAACAAAACAAAAACACCCAACAAATCTTTATTCCCTTTCCTTGCTTGTCACGATGTGCACATGTGAGGATACTGTTTTGAAACCTTGAAAGGTTGTAATTCAAGAATAATAATAATATTTTCGAAATGAAATAAAAAATTCCCCCAGAAGTATCATGCTTGAGCTTGTTCTATTATACTCTTTTCTAAAGATCTCTTCCCAACTCATCTCGTGACATGTATGAAGCAGTGGGAGGGAACAAATATCAAGATTGCACACGAGTTAAGATAACCTTGTGATAGAAAACGTGTTGACAGTTTACAAGGAGCTTTGGATTTGGTTTGGGCATTGTTTTTTTGCTCCACGTGCAGCTGTGATCTTCAATTCAAAGATAAGATGAAGATGTACAGGTGTCCTGGACAGGGACCTACAAACAAACACATTTGTGCACTTGGTTCAATTATTACTATTTCTATAATAACAGAACACGTGGATTCAAAACAATTGCACAGACAACACTTTCATACCCAACCAAGTCAACTATAAACAGTATAAATACATAGAGACCCTCAATCAATCATGCCAAATCATTAGTTGTAATTTATTAACCAAACAAAACAAATTCAAATTATGGCAATCGATAAAATGACAGTAAGAAATGGTAAGTATATCACTTTATACACAGATGTACAAATAAATAAACAAATAAATACATAACTGACATTGTATTATTCTTTCTTTCTTTCTTTCTTTCTTTCTTTCTTTCTTTCTTTGTTTCTTTAAAGCTTGTCCATTTCCAGTTGTATTGTACAAAGTAACTGTGGCCGGGGATTGATTGATCTGCTTGATGGTCCACATCTTGTCTGTCCATTGGTCCGGAAGATCGTCAGAGGCCAAGTACATTCCATTGGTTCCGAGAATCGAATAGGATAAATATCTTTTCGTTTGGGTACCATCTTTAGATTTGACAATGTTGTAAATCCCGACATCGTATCCACCATCAGTGGAGAGAGGTGAGGCTGTCCAAAACTCGGGTACTTCCAATGGGTTGTAAGGAGATTGAGAACCAGCACCAGCAACCTTGAACAGATTGGTTTCTAAACTTTACAAAGTAAGTGGACTTGTATTGATCGAGATTTGGAATTGAATAGACATAGGTTGGTGGTAAATCACCTGTTACAAAGGAATAAAAGTCAGGGACCACTTGTCCGTTATCCTTTTCTAAAAAATAAAGTAATATATGAAATAATAAATAATCAAACTTTTCAAAGTAATGAATGATATAATTAATATGTATACATACCAATTTTGAGTCTCCACCATGCTGGATGAGCTAAAAAAGATTGATAAATTTTAAAAAAAATAAAAAATAAAAAGATTAAGTAAAAAGGAATAAAGTTTGTAACAACCTTGTTCCTATTTGCATACGTACGTGGAGAAAGAGAAAATTTGTAGGCTAAATGATAGATTAGATAGAAAAAGAAAAAGAAAAAGAAAAAGAATTAGCGATGTTGTTTTATTAAAAACTATTTTTGGACCTGCAATTGCATAGCATAGTGGTTCTGTACCCCCAAACAGTGCTTTATCTATCTCTGCCCCTTCCATGGGAGTTGATGTTAAACCACTCGACAGTTCATATTCACAAAATGTAAGTAAAAAAAAAAAAAAAAAAAAGGAATAATCAACTTTATTATTTAATACATTCATTTTATACATTTATCGTATTATTTATTTTAGTGGATTGTCGAGACTTTTACTTGTGATATTACAAACTATCCAGCTGACAAACCATTCTATTTGACATTTGCAAGACTGTATTGCCAATGTTTTATGATTTCGACAGTCACAAGATTGAATTTGATTACTTTGATAAACAAGCCTGGACTTTGGAGACAGTCGTTATCGCCGATACAACCATGTTCCGTTTGAAGGCATATGGTATCGCTGGTGATAAATATCTTGTTTACGATGAACCAACAAACAGTGTTACACTCGGTCAAAAGGATGGTGAGAGTGAAATCTTTAGTTTTACTACAATTGACCATTCGGCTGGATTTACCATCGTCAATCGTAAAGCCATTCAAGTTCATGGATTGGATGGTGGTCACGGATATGAAGACGTCAGACTCTGCTATAAAGATGGTAATCTTGGATTTTACAAAAAATCAGCCCTACCTGATGATACACTTGCTTTGTGGGTTACCTTTTTCTAAAACAATTATCATCATCCCATCATCTTATAAATATAAGTTGATTCATTTATTATAAAATATCATCATCATGTTTTTTATCATATCATATTTTTTATTTATCTATCACAAGAACTATAATAAATAAATAATTAATTTTGTTGAATGTGTCCACAGACAAGGCATTTGCTTTTATCCTTTTGGTGAGGTGTCCAAACTTTTTTCACTGCAACGACGCGTGATAGAACAGAAACTAAACTAAAAAAAGGGCAATGAAATTCAAAGAAGATGATCTGAGGGGTTCGATGGGATCAGTGTGTTCATGCACTTCCTCCGTATCTGAGTTTTACAGAGATTCTTGATCCGTTCTTTCTTGTGTCTTTCTAACAACAAGTCATTCAGGGTTGTTTGAAAAAGAAACAAGGCAAAGCAACTTTGTGATATTGAATGACACCTGCAAGTTTGCAAGATGATCACCCTTTTGTTGCGCTATTAATCTATATTTTATTTATTTGTACATACTTATCGATATTGATCCGATCATTTATATATAACACCAAAAAGAGATAGAGAGAGAGATAGAGAAAAGAGATATAAACTAAACATCATTTATTCTTGGTAAGATATGCCTATATAACTCAAGTTGATCAACAATTTCAAAACAAACAAGCATCGATGATAAAGATCAATGATCTTTATCTATGTGACAGAGAGTATACTTCCCTTCACCAACCACAACCAACCCAACTTCTTCTTATCCAATTTACAATACTATTGATTATCCATCCTATGCATGTTACATCATCGCCCTAATTAGTGCTGCCCCAATCCAGTATAAAAAAACAAATTCTTAATTTACTTTTGTGGTGTATGTCTAGCTTATTGGGGCCTATTCCTTCCAACAACAAACAACGATGTTCTTCTTATGTTTCGAAAATGTTGAGCTCTCTTATCAACAATACTAAGGATAATAATAATTCTTTATTTATTTATTTGTTTATTGTGTGATCTTTTAAAGCTCAGAGCACAAATATTTATCATTCCATTGCTCACACACCTCGACTATCAACAAACCACCACACCAACCTAAAACCTAATAATTCATTCTTTTTTAATATCTATATATCCATCTACACATATCTATCTATCTCTTTGGTGTGTTCATAAAAATAATAATAATATATTTTAAAGTGTTAAACCAAACAAACAAACAAACTGACCAAACTTGGAACAGATTTATCGGCACGTTGTAAATAGCCAATACATAATAATGTAGGTATCGTATAACAAAGCACAGACTCCACCAGACTTTTTATATATGTTGTTCATTTTTTGATAATAGTTATTAGTTTGGTGTTCCTTTTTTTTTATTTCATTTCTTTTTTTTTTGTGTTCCTCGTTGCATGGATCTTTTTTTGATCAATGTATGTATATAATTCAATCGTTTTTTTTGTTGTTTCAAACCTATCCAACAAACACCTATACATCAACCATCATATTTGTACAACGAAATACCGATTTATTAGTACTACTGTCAACAAATTCAGAAAAAAACAAAAACAAAAAAAAGCCAACAACCAATCCAAATTTAGATGTGCCTTTGCTGAATGATTAATTTCGCTGGCCTCGTTGTGTTGTCCTCCTCTTGCGATACCATCTCCACAAAACAAACAGACAGACAGTAGCAGTAAAACTATTAGGTTCACATATCACTCACTATAATTATTATTCTTATTCTTATTGCCAAACCACAATTTTTAAAAGTTGGATTAATAGTTGATTGTCGGTCAACAACCCTCAACCCTTACCTATCTTATGCCATAATCATATATAGTAAGAAATAATAGCTTTTTGTATCACCATTCTATCCTATCCTTAACCTTATCCAATCAACATACCAACCAAACATTCATTTATAAAACATTGTTTATTGTGATAGATCATTCATTATCTTTAACGACTATCAAACACACAAACATTTATTTATCGTAAGTAGGTGTTGTTATTCGCATACATACAACTCGGCATATATATATACACCCCGTAAATTCATATTCATATTGATTTTCGGGTGAGACATACAAACGTATAAAAATAATGTGAATTCATTATAAAAGGGTATTTATAGAAGGTAGATTTATAGAAACAATCGATTTGTTGTTCCCACACCACCACCACCACCACCTATATACTGCTATTACTACAGATAACACAATGTTGTTATAAAATTATTATTCATGAACCAAACCAACCCAACCCAACCCACCAACCACAATAATTATCATCATTATCATCAATTATCCATGATCATTATTACTCTACTCTACACAAAACACTTTGTTTCCATGGATTTCCACCACAACACACAACACAACATCATATAACAACAAACGAACGCGAACAAACGAACGAATGAAGCCATTTTTAAAAATATGGATAATAGTGTTTCTCAATCCAACAACAACAACAATAATAACCACCTCTAACAATCCATCCTCCTCAAACCAACCAATCATAATATAATAATATACCCTACTCCTACCCACTCCTCCTACACACCCACACCACACAAACACAATCAAGTGATCATATCGACAACACCTATTGTAGTAGTAGTAGTTGGTGGTTTAGGGTATATAAATGTGTATGGCGAATAATTAAAGATAATTATAATGTGTTTGGATGATGATGATGGACATGCTGCCAGTGCCTCTTGTGGTCTCACCTCTTTTTCCTTTCTTGTTTTGTTTGCATTCTTCTTCTTCTTCTTGTCCAACCTACACATTCATTTATATATATTTGATATTTTTTAAATTACAAAACCTTCCTTACTTTTGTTTTCTTCTACCTCTTTTGAAAGTAAGATCACTTTTATAATGTTATAACACTTGACAAAATTATTGTATGTTTTTTTTTGTGTTATTCTATCTTTGGAAGCCAAGGTCCTTGGTTGTATCCCATTGTCGGTCTTGCCAAATTCGCACTTTCCAACTTTTTCAAAAATTCAATCGGGAAAGGAGAACGATTGCCGTAGTCTGTCCTGTTGCGTGCGGCACTGCACCGTATCATAGACATCCTACCTTAAACATCACCAATCATCATCTTATCTTTTTCTTCTCACTTTTTTTTTTAAAAACACAATCAAACAATCGGTTCATATATAATATACATATATATATCTTCCTCTCAAATGTATGTGTTTCTTATCATCGATGAAGGTTTTTATAAAAACCAATGTTTTGTATATATTATTGTAAAAGATTGGGTACTTTAAGACTATAGTACTTATCAACCTATCAACCTATCAACCTACCAATACCATCTTGGCATTGGCCTCAAAAGGGTGTGTGGGGGTCATATGATCATGGAAGGCAGGTAGCGCCATCCATAATCATAATTACAAGTTGCCACCAACTCTTTTTAAAGAGACACACATAAATATATATATATACGTATTGGTTGATTGACACACGTAACCCAGATTCAAACAATGTCTTCTCATTCAAAATCAAATTTTCAGGGACATTGAAAGCACACATTGTATACACACACACAAACACACACATAATTTATCTACTTTCTGGACGACAGCATCAACATCAAAAATACGGTACAGATAATTATTATTTATTCTGTTCACACTTTTTGTTTGAATGCACACGGATGCATTGATTGGGAATTTCAGTTTGTCGTTGCCAATGTTGCGCACTTCTTCTTATTATTATTGTGTGTGCGTGTTGTTATTGTTGTATAATTGTGAGAAGCTATTCTTTTAGTTTTAATGTTAAAACGTTATGTTGTGTTGTTGTTGTTGTTGGTGTTGATGTTTTTTTAGCTATAGAATAAATGGGGTGATCAAGTGATCGTGATCATCAGCAGTCCTACAGACTAGACTGTATTAGCATAATCTAGTAGCACCTCCACCAACAACAACAACAACAACTACCAAACATCTCTACACATCTATTGATTAATGATATATTAACAATAATTTGTGTATGATGATTGTGAACACTCTACATAATAATAATAATAACCCTAACCGATTAATACCCTTTAACACAATCAATATGTTGAACAACTAAACTAAAATTATCATCCATTAGTCAAATCAACTACTACTTTTAAATTTCCAAGTCATTTTATTTATTTATTTATTTGTTTGTTTGTTTGTGTTGGAACATATCATCTTAATATTATCAGTAGCATTGGTAGCAGTAGTAGCAGGTGGATCGATATTTCTATCTATCTACTATTCCTTTATTATTATAATAATCATAGTAGTAGGGAATCAAGTTTCATTCATTCATTCATTTCCATCATCACAATCCACCCACCTCTAATTTGTAGACAAAAGCCCCCTTTTTTAAAATTATTGTATAATATTAATATTAGTTAATTCAATTCTCTATGATATATATATAGCCATCCATCACCATATAATATAATATAATATAATATAATATAGTACCACTACCATATAATATCTCCTAATAGGTAATCATTCTTGAATAGTTTTTACTATTAGAGGTGCAACAACAATAGTAAGTAAATCACAAAACCATAACCTCCCAAAAACTTGATCACCCACCACCACCACCACACATGATCACTCAAATCAATCAATCAATCAACCAACCCCCATGCCATAATTTATGTCAAGTGATATCATCCCACCCACATATACACTATGTTGGTAAATTTGGTAAAAGATACACCCCTCCCCCTCAAGAGTCAACAATGTGTTTGTGTTTGGGTTAATTTTTATCCAACACCTACCACTACCACTACACATCAATCATGTGAGTCTATCGATCTATCTTGCTCTTTTTTTTTGATAAAGTTACATAATAGTAGAGTTCTGGAGAAGAGATAGATAGATAGATAGATAGAGAAAGTGGAAGCGGATAACAGTTTAGTTTTTTTTTTCTTTTTAGTAGTATACTACTTCTTTTATGTAATTATTACACCCACTCTTAATAGGACTACGACTCACACCTCACGCACACCACACGACAAGACAAAAGACGTCTACCACCACTTAAACATCCGTCCGTCTTTCCATTCATTCACTCATTCATTCATTCATCTGGAATACAAGTTGATTGGTTACGATGATGATGACATTTATAATTCCAATCATTTTTATCATCACATTGCTATTTCAAAATTTCAATCAAAATATGGGAATTGAAAACATTCCATTCCAATTACTCTCTCTGTATAGTGATAACTACTTTAATTATTATCAAAACAAAAAGGAAATACATTACACATCTTTGAAAGTAGCACACCCACCAAACAAACAAAATAATTGATTGATATTTAGATTATGCATTATGATGATGATGATGATAAGTGATGGATAGACAGACGGAAGGACGATAGAGATAGATAAAAGATTTCTAACAATCAATATTACATTTATTATTATTATTGTTTGTGTCATACAATCATCCCCAAATTACATATCATATTATTATTTTATCTGTTATTTATATTTATATTTATTTGGCTTCATCAACAACAACAACAACGATAATAATAATAATATTATAAATTTTAAATCGATTCGACTATACTTTAATTAATTAATTTATTTATTAACCCTATTTTTAAAATTATTATTTATTATTATTACAAGTAGAGTTCCCGAGAATACCCAATCAATCAATCAATCAATTATTTATTATTTATTTATAACCCACCCACCAATATATATAATGACAAGAACAATACCAGGTCATACTGGTATTACTTGTACTAGTACAAGCAACAATAACACTAATAACACCAATAATACAAATAATAATCATGTGGTACCAAATTCACCAAAGAAAATATTAATTCAAAGATATAATGATGATTTGGAGAATATGATGATTCGAAATTATGCGTGTCGTCTCATACTGACATGGATCTTTAAAAGTGAATCTGCACCACTTTTGACAGCCATTCCAACGCTGTCACTCATCAACACCAACACCTATGCCTTTGTTCCATCACCCAAAGCGCCGCTACCATCGTACCGATACAGTAATATTTCACAACAAGGATATCCTTCGGCCTCACATTTCTACAGTACCACCTACACCTATAGTAGAGAGGTTCTATCAAAGAAATCACAACTAGATGACATTGAGACGTATATAGTCGAATTGGTCGACATTGTCACCAGTGTCATCAACTTTTTCCACGTTCAAAATTGCAAGCGCTACGAAAACACCAACAAACAACTAGCCACCACTCCAACCTCTACCAAACAACAACAACAAATATTCACCTCTGTATTTATTAGTTGTCTATTCTATGCCGAGCTATATATTCGTCGTAATCATAAGAAAATGTCAACAACAACAAATCCCAAATCATCCACGTCCTCTAGTAGTAGTAGTAGTAGTACTACTACATCATCACTACCACCACTTACATTGGTCGATATATTAACCATCAGTATTGTGATTTGTATTAAAATGTGGATCGAAGAGAAAATGTCTGTCAACAAATACATTTCAAAGATATTTGGTATTCCACTACAAAGATTGAATCAAATGGAAATTCAATTCCTAACAGTCATGGATTATCAATTATATCTTGATGAAAATGATATTAAATCATTCTTGATTACTATTAAAAAAACTGTAAATGATTCAAATAACAATAATATAAATAATAATAATGTAAATAATATTGAAAAACAACCAGATATAACAACTCCAACAATTACTACCAACACAACAACAAAAGAAGAACCTATTATTACATTTGGACCATCTTCATCATCATCACCATCATCATCATCATCTTCAACACCATCGACACCATCAACTACTATTCAAACTTCACCTTCATCATCATATAGTGTAATTCAAAAATCTCCAACAACTATCATTATTTCCAATAATAATAATAACATGTATAATCAAAACAACAATAACCAACAGAATAATATATTAAAAAATAGAAAAGATAATATTCATTTATCATCTTCTCCATTGTCATCGACAGTACCATCGACTTCACCAAATATGGTCCAAACACCAACACAACCAAACAATATATATAAACGTAAATATGACCACTTTAACAATAATAATAATAACAACGATTCATCATCTCCATTGTCATCTGCCACAACCACACCAAACACCTCTACACCTTCATCCAATACTTCAACATTGATATTATGTTCAACTGGTATTGCCAACAACGAAAATCAAAATAACCAATATAATCATAATCAAAATAGTCATTCTTTATCATCATCACCAAGAGTAGCAACCATTGTAAATAATAAGATATTAATAACTAAAATGAAAAAGACTGTACATGTTCCATCATCATCATCGACGACACTACCAACACTACCAACCACTACAACTAAAAACGATAATAGATTGCTCTTTATAAATAACAAGAGAATCAAAGAAATTGTATCATTCCAACAACAACAACAACAACAACAACATAAATTACCAGTAACAACTACAGTAGTTGCTGATAAATATGATATGGGTATTTCCATTCCTGAATTGTAAATAATAAAAAATCAAAAATCAAAACCATACCTTATTTAATTCCAAGTTAATTTAGGACCGTTCCCATATGAGTGGTGTGTGAAAAACCCCTAATGAACCCTCCTCAATCAATTCCATTGTCACCATGGTATAAAATCTTTAATCCCCTCCTCATCAACCATCATCTAAATGATTGATCTTGTTATGTATGTGTGATGGTTGATTGGGAGGGATCAAAAATATTCAATATGATTTGGTTCTCTCTCTCATCTGTTCAATTTTCAATCATAGCATTTGGTTTTAAATTTTAATTATTATCATTCCCCATCTTTCTTTTAATCAATAGACATTTTCAACAAATCTATAAATATATTTATTAAATGTATAACAAATTAACAACCATCATAATCAACATTTCAATTCTATTTATTTTATTTTCAATTTTTAATGTTGGAATTGCTACCAATTTACAACTTTATAAAAAGACTGGTAATTCATGGTATACAGTTCTCGAGACCAGCTCCTCTTATTTGAGCTACACCATTCAAATACCAAAAGGAAATACCGAGTCTTTTCATGTCATCAGAAATAGTGACTTTATCGAATATAACAATAGTCTCACCATTGCCAGTGCTGCAGCCCCAGAGTCGTATGATCTAACAATGAACGGAAAAACACATGAAACGGCCACAGACGATAATCCTTTTTATTATTGGTGGGGATGTGCAACAGATGCAATTTACTTTGATATCAAAAACACAAACCTTTTAACCAGTGGTGATTTTATTATCAAGGTTCGAGCCTTTGGTGACAAGGTTGTACAGTGTACATCACCTGGACCATCATCATCATCATCTAGCAGTGGTAATCCAATCCCAAATACATCAGGTTTAACATCTGGAACAAAAGATTCCTCTGAAGGAGGCCTTGTTAGAAAAGACCAATGGGAGAAATCCCAATCCAATCAACTAAAAGTTGGATTCATTCTTATCATTTCATTATTTCTTTTTCAACAATTCTTATTTTAATTAAATAAAATTCATATTATTATTATATTTCGATTATTTGTTTTTTTTTTTTATAAAGTTGTTGTGGTTAGTTTTGGTCTTTTCAACTTTTCTATTCAGTATCTTTATCTAGAGCTCTATCTGTGTATTACTAATAATCATTTCTTTAAAATTCATCCAAGCTGCTCTATTATACTTTAGGTACTTTTTTTTCTTCGGATCTGTCCTCTGTGTGAGGGAAAACCATGAGGATTCCTCGTCTGTATCTAGTCAACGTACACGATTTTGTGGCCTGGTTGTTCCCCAAGCTGCTTGGACTTTTGTTGTAATGATACAAAGTTTGAGCAACTAGGGTACACTGGGTCCACGAGAAGATCTACTACATCGTACCGACTCTAGAATCGTGATATAAGGGGTGGGGAGGAAAGATGAACAACTATATCACATTTTTGTTTGTTTTAAAGTCATTCATCAACTACCATTCAATACTCTAGTTCTACTTAAAATTCATTGCATTGTACAAACAATACTAAACCTTTTTAATCGATTGCGTGATCTAGTAAAATTAAGAGTATTTTCGTCTTTTTTTTACCAAAAAGACCGCCAACAAGATAACGAGAAACTAAATGTGTTTTCTTGCCTTGCATCCGATGGTGTCTCAGATCTGATACACTGAAATTGATTGTGAAAAATAATAGAAAATACTTGGCCTCTTGCCTCTCTGTGCTATGGAAAGAGTGCGATCGATTAGTTTCAGCAGTAGCAGTGACGTTTTAAAAAAACAAAAGTGGTGTTTTTGAAAAAGTTTGATTCGCTGAAACATGGGAAGAGACCCTAATACATTTTTGATGATGTCAATGCCCCACCTCCTTAATAATGTTTATTTTCAAAGGGACACACGCAGCTACATCATCACCGCCTCCGCCGTAGCCGTTGTTGACAATGTATTGTGTTGTTGCTATTTCTATTTTATATATTTATATCTTTTTCTCTCTCTCTCTCTCTATAGAATAACAACAGAAAAAAAAAACAACAGTGAGATCACCTTTTTAAAAATAATCACGCGACTAGATAAGATAGACAGAGCAGATACAAAAGATAAGATAAGATTACAATAATAATTTAAATTTAGAATATATATATACACAACAACGAGTTTGACGTGTCGCTTTAGAAATATAGCTAGCTAGCTCATCGGAGGATCGGATCACAAACCAATCACACACACACACCAAAGAAACAACAACAACAACGACACGATCCAGTGTAGGTAACCAAAAGTTTGAATTTATATACAAACAAACCCAACCGTCACCACTAGTACCCTCTTTTAGTTTTCTTTTAAAAAGTAGTAATAATAATAAGTAGTTAGTAATATTCATTAAAACAACAACAACAACAACACATACACCTACTCACATATACAAAAGTAAATAAATTAATGAATGAATGAATGGATTGATCAAATTTCCTTTAAACTTTTAAAAGTATCCATTGGAAAACAGCCATTTAGCCACCACCACCACCACACCACTTCCCAACAATGATTAGATCGATTCGAATTAAATACCAACATCCAACATCATCATCATCATCCTATTTACTTTCAACAGAATTTGTGAAATTAAATAATTGTTACAACAACAACAACAACAGAAGGATAAAGTAAATCCAAACCGATTGGCGGCGATTGATTGATTGATTGACTGTTCCATCCAACCATCAATCCATCGTCACCCCCCAGGATACCATCACCTTGAAAACCATCCCACCCCACCCAACAACACACACACTCACGCTCCAACCAACAATCGATTCTTTTTTTAAATTAAAGGAGGGGTATCATACCTCTACCTCTTTGTACTTGGCTCCTTTAAAGTGATGATGGTCTATTTAGAGCTTACTGTTTATTTCAAACAACAACAACAACAACAACAACATTACATTCGACAATTAGTAATTGCACCAACCAAATAATAGTCAGCATCATCATCATCGGGTTTAGAAGCAAAATAGTTTTTAAATCAAACAAAAGAGAGAAGAGAAGAATTGATCAACAAAAGAAAAGAGAACGAGTTTAGTTTAGTTTAGTTTATTTTACACCCTGATTGTAATTATTAGGTTTTCAAAAGAGAACCATCTTCGTTCATCTTCTCTCTCTCTAACTTTTGGGGCTCATCCCTGCGGACAACCAAACCACCATTGTCTTTTTATTTTTTCAAGATATCCCATCCCATCCCATTTATAAAATTATAAATATCTGTTGTTCAACACTATCCATCCATCCATCCAACCCATCACTTTCGTCATCAACAATCAATCTGAGCTCATTTAGTACCCACCAAAATATCTAGATATCCTCTTATCCATCAGATCATTGAAAAAAAGAGAGACTTAGATACAAGACAAGAAAAGACAAACAAGGAATATCGTACATTTATTTTTAGCATCACAAACAAACAGAAAGCCTTAGAGACATTCAAAAAGGTTCAACCTTTTTGCACAAACAACAAGCACATATGTGTGTGTGTATGAAATATCTCTAACAGCGGGCCACTACTACCCCCCTTTAATCGAATCAGACTCATCAAGCCACATCATCATCCATCAAATATTTGAATAGACCATCACCCACCATCATCTCTATTTTATTGTTTTTTTTTTTTAGATTGCAATATTGGTATTAATACCACCACATCACATACATATATATGTCAAGAGAGAGTGGGTATATTGTTGTTATTGTTATTGCACACTCGTACAAACAAACAAAATGTGTCAATCAAATTGAAAATAGAACTATCAGTAATAGCACACACTCTCCTCTCTCACACAAACACACAGCTGATAATAATAATAATCAATACCACCTCACTTTTTAGCTTACCCTTTACTTTCCTCCTCCTCCTCCTCCTCCTCCTTCTTCTTCTTCTTGTTACATTTACGAAGATATCGTTAAATATATTTAGTTTTATTATCTCTCCCTCTCACTCTCTCACTCTAAATATAAATATATTTATAGCAACAAACAACATATAAACTAATTGATTATTATTATTATTTATTTATTTATTTATTTTTAGACATTGACCAAATCAAATCAATACAAATTAAATTAGCCATTTATTAATAATATTATTAATATGAAGATCTAGATTATAGTTATATATCTATTTATATATATAATATAACCACAACCAAATCATCCTCCATCCATTTATTTAATTCATTACAAATTAAATACTATTACTATACACTTTTTAAACAAACAATACAATACAATATATATATATATATAATATAATAATAATTAGACAATTTTGATCCTATGAATCAAATTGATAACAAAGGTGGAATACCACCAATAAAGATAACATATGATTCCAATTCAATTAGTGGACATGCAATCAATGGAGGTATAAGTGGAAAGGGTAACAACAAACACCTTAAAAAGACACTTGGCAACTACAACAATGGAGTGGATGCAGAGAATTCCATCATCGAAGACAATGCTACGGTGCTAGAGGTTTGGTTAGAGTCGAATCAAGCACTCTTTTCCAATGTATCACAGACCTCTATCTATGTATCGATCGATTCCGACAGCAACCGTATCTCTGCCGTTCTCAACACCAATCCCTACACGTCAGTGACAAAGATTAAAAAGCATATCGTAGTCTATAGCATTCTCTTGGAGGGAATGGGAAGAAACACTCGTCATATTCGCACACTTCTTTTGGCACAACCTTTACCCAACTCTTCTGCTTCTTCGAGTAACAATGGTACTCCAAACAATGGATCACCGCATCTCGGTACCTCTTCACCTGTATCATCGTCACCTCCAACTTCCATGTCACTATTGACACCCAACGGAAGTACAGGGAGCATGTCGAGTGAGACTGCCTCATCAACATCATCTCTACCATCACTCATCAAAGAGTCACATGAGCAACAGGCATCGTCATCATCGACCACGACAACCACGTCAACCACCACAACGACGACGCAACAACCAATTCTCCAGTTTTTCAATAATGTCATCCAAAAGGTGTCTACGGCCAGTAGCAATGGTCCATCTGGGGGAGCAGCAACCGACATGCAATATCTCCTCACCCAATCCATTCAAAAAGCCTTGTATAGTTTTGTTAATAGTATTCAAAGTGATAGACTCTTTTACAATCAAGTCATCTCTTATAAAAAGAATGAAGGAATGTATTTACCAATGTTGTATTTAAACAAGAATTATCACCAAACAGGTGTCACTCCCTCCTCTTCATTCTCCTCTCAACTTTGTCATTTAAATCAATCAAATCTTCAACTCTCTCAACAACAACAACAACTAAATGGTGCAGAAGTATCAAACTCACCATTGTTTCAACATTTAAATATGGGTCACTTGACAATTCCAACTACCTCTATCTCTCAACAACAACAAACAATGTCATTATCTTTATCACCTATGGTTGGAAGTCCATCCAATCCAACTTATCTAGTATCATCATCACCGTCATCATTGGCAATGGAGGTTCCATCATCATCGTCTCATCCAGAATCTAGTAGTAGTGATGAAATGATTGTTGCTGAATCTGTTTCATCAGTTTGTTCTGAATCACCTTCTGTTGTATCAACATCACCCTCATCTCATTCTAGTTATTCAAAACCTACACTTCAACTACCATCCAACTCTATTCATAATATCATTCCAAACAATCCCCTTTTTACACCTAAAAAGCTTACTCCTATACTCTCCAATTTAATTACTCTTGGTGGTTCAAGAGGTACTCTAACTTCATCAAGTAGTAGAGTTAAAATTGATCAACCAAATGATCATGATAATCGTGAAAGTAATAATAACAGTAATAATAATAATAATAATAACTCAACGACGACTGCGACGACGACGACGACAACATCGACAGCATCAATTACAATCCCAACAATAACAACAACCAACAATATTACCAATACCCCTTCTACTACGACGACGACTATTCCTACTACTCCAACTCCATCAATAACTGTATCAGTTTCAGTTTCAGAATCACCTTCTTCATCTGAAAGTTTACCAAACTTTGTTGCTTCATCACCTTCATCTACTACTAATATACTACTAAATAATAATACATCTTCGAGCAACTTCCAAATGGTAAAACCAAGGGCAATTGGAATATCAAAAGAATTGATTGGAGAGAAGCCATCAATGTCAGTATACCAATTGGATGATAAAAAGGGAGCAGCCATCATTTCTTCACTCTATGGATGGGACTATGAAAAAAAGGAAAGATCTGGTGAACCATTTGCCGATGCTTTTTGTTTAAATTCAAATACTCATCCAAGTTTAAAGGCTGCTTTAACTATTGCCGATGGTAGTGGTCTTGGTGCCGATCCACATCGTGCTGCAACATTGGCTGTTTTAGGTGCAAATGAATATATTGAAAAATTAGGTATGTCAAAGAAATGAGAAGAGAAAAGAAAGAAAGAAATATACTCATTTTCTTATTTATTTTGATTGTATTTTTTAGGGTCAATTGAAATTACAACAACCAATGATTTATTAACTATTATTGGAAACTCTATTTTGGAGGGTCATATGAGAATTATCGATGACGAGTTTTATCATCAACAAGAGATTCATGTTGAACCAAAAGGTGCAACCACCATGTGCATTGGATTTGTAGGACAAACAAAAGGTCCATCATCTATTCAAACTTTTAATACTTTACCTATCATCAATCATAACAATAATGAGCAATCTAACAACAAATCAACAAAACAATCTTATACTAGACCCTTACCTGCCATTCCATCAAAATCAAAGTTATCATCATCAGAACCAATTACAATTGATCAAGATATCAATAATAATAATAATAATAATGGAGCAGGTGGTAGAAGAAGTTCAATACAATCTAGTACAGATAGTATGGATAGTAGTTTTGGAACTGGCACAACTGATGGCAGTGGAGATTATAACCCTGCAGGTGTAATTCCACTTCCTGCCATCTTGGAAGAAGAAGATCAACACCATCAACAACTACAACAACAACAACAACAACAACAAGTTGAAAACCAACCAATTTCACCAAGAACTGAAACCGAGGCAGAGATTAGTAGTAACTTTACAAATGATAGTGGTTTAATTAAAACTGATTCAAGTTTAATTAGAGTTTTTGATCAATTAATTGGTCAAACTTATAATGACAATGAATATATTAATAATAATAATGAAGAACAATTGGTAGTAACATCAGAGGATGAACAACAACTAAATAATAATAATAATATCAATAATGAAGAACAACAACAACAAAATAATAATAATAATGAAGAACAAAATAATACTAATAATCAAAATAATAATCAAAATTTATCAACCTCATCACTATCAAAATACTTACCACCAAACAAACCATTACCTCCACCACCACCAAGAAACTATTCAATTAGTTCAACTCTTACCTATACCAAAGCATCAGTTGGAACTAAAATCTCAACTTCACCATCACCCAATGATATGTTGTTGACAAACAAGATGATGTCATCACCACAATCATCAACCGCTTCACTATCATCTGTACCATCGTCTCAAAGAGGAGGACAAGGATTTTTCATGGTTGGATCAGTGGGTGATTGTCGAGCTTTTAGATGGTCATCCACGTCCAAAAAGGTTACAGAAGTGACCAATTTCAAATCTAGTAGAAATTTTAATGATGCAGGTGGACAGATTGGTTGGATGTGGGGAGGTGGTGATGACAGACATTGGCCTTATGAAGCTAGTGAATATCCATCCGATCAAAGACCAGAACTCAAAGAACAACTTGTCCGTGCTAGAAATGATAAATCAAGACCTCATCTTAAAAATCTTCATTTTGGTTTAATCATGGTTAATCCTGGTGATAGAGGTAAAAAGACAAAAGAAAAGATTATCGTATCCAACTAAATATTAATATATTTATTTTCTTTTTTCTTTTTAGTATTTATTGCATCTGATGGAGTAACAGATAATTTCTTGACAATTAATCCAGCAACACAAGGAGTTGAAGAAAACAAAAAGGCAGGTGCCAAAGATGAAATTGAAGCCAATATTACAGCCTTTTTAAAGTCACAACCCGAAGAGGTACTTGTTAGCTGTGAGTCAATGTGCCAAGCAATCATTACCCATTGTATAGAAAAGACCCAAACCTTTAGAGGAATACAGGAAGAGATGAGCAGATCACTTGTCAAAATGAAGGAAATAGAAAAGAGTGGTGACGTTGACATTGGAGTCGACTCTACCTACCAACAATGTAAAAAGAATTATTCAAAATTGGCCAATAGTGTTAGAAGTTTAAAGATGGGTAAACCTGATCATTCTTCAATTGTCATGTATGAAGTTTAGAAACTAAAACACAAAACACTCTTTAAACTTATATATATCATAATATATAATAATAAAAAAAAGTAAATAGTAGTAGTATCTATTTATATTATTACTATACATCAACTTAATTAATTAATTAATTAATTAATTATACTTTTTATTCTATCCAAAAGGATAGATTTGTTTGGTTGTTGTTGTTGTTCTGTTATTGATGGTAATAAATTTAAAGTTTTCGATAGTTCTATAATCTCATGATCGCTGAGTAATTAATAAATTAATAAATAATTATTAGTTATAATCACAATATAATAATGTTTTTTTTTTTTGAACATACTCATTTATAGAATCAATGTAATCAATATCAAAAGAAGATTGAAATTCAAGTAATTGATTATGGTATTTACAAGTTGAAATGGATTTATCAGAATGTGCGAGTAAACTATTCTTTTTGATTAAAACATTGGTTCTAATTCCTGATATTTCTTCGTCATCATTGCTACTAAATAGATATCTGTCTCTTTGTATCTCTATCTTTAAATCTGTTAATCCATCTATTATAGAGTTTGCTATTATTATTTATAAACAAACAATATTAGTTGGTCTTTGCTCAACACAGAGATTTCTTTTCTTTTCTTTCTTTCGTTCTTTCTTTCTTACCAAATGAAATATCAGGATTATCAATGGTAGGATTATTTGTTGGTAATTCCAATCTTTCTTTAATTTTAATTTTCTTGATTGTACTGCTCGGCGGTTTGATAATATTTGATCTTAATTGATTAATAATAACCAATACACAACCAGAATCTTTTAATAAAGATTTTAGATAGGTCAATGCAAAGTTTAAAGTATATTTTGGATCGTCAGAATAGAGAGAATATTTGGAGGATATTTTAGGATTTGGAATGAGTGAAAAGAAACTATCGACGACGATCATTTTAAATAGTTTCTTTTCCAATGAAGAGAATAGAATTTCAAAGCAATCGTCAGAGTTTTTAGGGTGAGCAACATAGCAACGATCCAAATCCACATTGCATTTGGTTGCCCAGTCTGAAGTAAAACTATTTTCAGAGTCTATCAAAAGAGTTGCAGCATCACTGTCTTGTTTCTGTAGCAATGACATCCAACGCAGTGACAATGTACTCTTTCCAGTACTACTGTCTCCACACAACTCTGTTATATGATTGAATGGAAGACCACCAATTAATAGTTTATAATCCAATGATGCGATTCCAGTTGGCGTTGTCTTTATCTTTTCAAATCCCTTAAAATGATACCACTCCAAATTATATGATTCATATCCTCCACCTACAGGTCCTCTCCATTTCTTTTTCTTTTTCTTGTTGCGATACATTTCTTCCTCCTCTTCCTCTTCTTCATCTGGTTCTATATATTTTATCTTTTTTGTTTCATTATTAGATGTAATGTTGTTGTTGTTCTTGCAATAATATCTCGTGATATTATTATTATTATTGTGTTGTTGTAATATTAAACTATCAAGTTTGATCTGTTGAATGACATTTGTTGTTCTGGAAGATATCGATTTGAGAAAAGTATAATTCAATAAAGGTATGTTTACTACTACTGATCTCAACATTCCCTTTGATCTTTTTTGTGTAAAGATTTATTTGTATGCTATTTGGAACAGGATGAATGAAACAACCTTAAACTTTCAATAGCTCGAAAACCGTCCTCCCTCTAAATTTGCGTCATTTCATATTTTTTGTAATATTAATTTTTGTAGTGCAGCTTGCATTTCAGTTACAGTTATTGTTGTTGTTGTTGGGTATATTACTCTTTGTCGATTTTATTCATTAATGAATGATACTATATCGTAGTAGTACTATTTTACAATATCAACCAATAATACTAAAGTAAAAGAGCAATCATCATCTTCATCATCATCAGAGCAAAAGTATAGTTGTTAGTTCTTCCTGCAAATATGATTAAACAAACCTTTATACCATCAACAAAACTGATGGCCAAGATATTATCATCACCTTTATCGCCATCGCTATCATTATCATCACCATTATCATCAACGACAACAATAATTAAATTATATGATAACAACTATTGTAACATTAGAACTACTACTACTACTACTTCTACCACTTGTTTAAAGAAGACTACTTATCGATCGAATTGTTTATACTTTTCAACCTCTTCATCATCATCATCACAACCTCCCAAATATAATAATCAGGAACATGTTGTATCGGCTCCTCTTAAAAATCCAACCGATACAACTTCATCTACTTCATCATCATCTCCCTCCTCTAAACATTCAAAAAAGAATAGTAGTAGCGGTAATAAAACTTCATCATCATATGATGATTCATCAACATCTACAAAGACAAAGAAATCTACAACAACGACAACAACTACTACTACAACTATAGACAATAAAGAGTCAACTACCAATTCCGATTCAGATTTGGAAATCAAAGATCCAAACATTATATTTAATACAGTTTGGAACAAACTAGAGAATAAACATGGATTGGAGAATATGCGATTCCCACAAGAGATTATCTTTTTGATGGGAGCGCCAGCATCTGGAAAGGGAACCAATACTCCATTCATTTCATCGGTTAGAGGTATCACTGCAGAGCCGATTGTCATGTCATCGTTGCTCAACAGCAATGAAGCCAAAAAAATCAAGTCGACTGGCGGCATGGTCAGCGACTCCTTTGCACTACAAACTATTTTGGAGGAATTACGTCGGCCAGAATATCGATCGGGTGTGGTCGTCGATGGATTCCCACGAACCAATACACAGGTGGAATGTCTCACTCTTCTCTATGAAAAGATGAAATCACTTCGAAAGAATTACTTTACCACCCAACTGTCAAGTTGTTTTCCACGTCCAGTGTTTCGTGTGACGGTACTGTTTATCGAGGAAAAGGAGAGTTTGGACAGACAAATTCGAAGAGGACAAATCACCAAAGAGACCAATCTGCGTCTCCGGGCACAAGATCTACCACTACTCGAAGAAAGATATACTGACACGTCGGAAGAGATTGCTCGCAAGCGATACAAAATCTTTAGAGACCATTACTCGACACTAACAGCTCTAAAGAAACATTTCCCATTCTCTATCATCGATGCCTCCAAATCAATCAACGAGGTGCAACAAAGTATCATCAAAGAGTTCAAGTATCAATCGTCACTGGAACTCGCCGAAGAGACCTATGATATGGTGCAACGCATTCCACTCGTCTCTGATATAATTGTGCATGCCCGTGTCGATCTTGTCAATCGATTGGATGACTATCAGTTCCGTCACACCGATCTCTTTGCAGCCGTCATCAATGTCATTGACAAGGAGTTTATACCAACCATTAGACGACATGCCATCGCAGGCTCTGCCATTGCACGTATCAGTAACAGTATATTCTCCAATCCACTCGCAATCGACATGGCATTGGATGTCTTGTCCGAGAGAGGGTTTAGAGCGACGGTCGACGTTCGTACCACACACATTCCACACAAAATCAATCCACAAACCATGCAAATCGAAACCATCGTTCACAATGAATACTCTTTCCGTGTTGAGTTCCTTAAACCTGCCATTCGAGAGGAAATAACTCTTCCTCCTCCTACTGCTACTCGTCCTCCTTCACTACCTCCTCATACTCAAGCTACTTTTCCAACAAATAACTAACTAAAAACTAAACTAAACTAAACTCTAATAAATCGACCAGACGAGAGAGAGAAAAGGAATAGGGAATGTTGTGCTGTAAATGTGTATTAATTCAAACAAACAAACAAACAAGTTGATAATAACAACTCTTTTTTTTCAATCTATATATATCTAATATATCTATTATATTCTATATATTTGATAAATGAGAAAATAGTTTGAATGTTTGTTGACAAGACATGTCTCATCAATCTAATTCGATTAATGCGGGCAATTAATTTTATGACAAAAACAAAAAGTTAAGTTTAATTTTGACAATTTTTCAAAGCTCAGGCTGAGAGTGCACACGGAGGTGGGTGAGCAACTATTACTGACTCGTATCTAGTTTTTGTTCTTCCTTTTCTCGGTCGTTCAACACACAGATCTATACAATGTCAGAGCATGTATCCACTTGAAAAGCCAATCAAAGATGGTATACCAGTACTCTTCCTTCTAACTAACACTATTCTCTCCTCTCCATACGATATCTCACTACATTCATCACTCTCATCACAACAATCAATCAATCAATCATCAAACAAACATCTCTTTTACTTTTAAAAACTTATAGTAAAAAGAAGAAAGGTTCAAAGAAGGGAGGTAAGAAGATTGACCCATTCACCCGTAAGGAATGGTACTCTGTTAGAGCCCCAACTGTTTTCTTCCCACCAGCAGCTGCCAACTCTATTGGTTACACCCCAGTCAACAAGACCATGGGTACCAAGCTTGCCTCTGATGGTTTGAAGGGTCGTGTCTTTGAGGTCTCACTCGCTGACATGAAGGGTGAAGAATCACAAGTTCACCGTAAGATCAAGCTCAGAGCCGATGAAGTCGACGGTAAGACTGTTCTCACCTCCTTCTACGGTATGGATTTGACCACCGATAAGGCTCGTTCACTCGTTCACAAGTGGGTAACCATGATCGAAGTCTACGTTGACGTCAAGACCACCGACGGTTACTCCCTCCGTGTCTTTGCTGTCACCTTTACCAAGCGTGCCGATTTCCAAGTCACCAAGACCTCGTACGCCAAGACTTCCAAGGTCAAGAATATCCGTAAGAAGATGCACGAGATCATCAGCGCTAGCATCGCCACCTCTGATATCAATCAAGTTACCAAGAAGTTCCTTGAACAAACCATCTCTGCTCAAATCCAATCAGAGTGCTCCACCATCTACCCATTGACCAACACTTTCATCCGTAAGGTCAAGGTACTCAAGACCCCAAAGGTCGACGGTCGTCGTTTGATGGAACAATATGCTGCCAGCAACTCCTATGCTGCCCCAGCTGCTGCTGCCCCAGTTGCCACCGCTCCAGCCACTGAAGAAACCGGTATCCCAGTTGAAACTGCCTAAATAAATTAAACCTTTCCCTCTTGAAAATCAACTACAACAAATTAACTATAAATCAATCAATATATATATCAATCCAATCAATCAAATATCATTTTATTTATTTATTTATTAATTTGTATATTTAAATTGATCAAAAAAAGGGGTGTGATCAAAAGATGAACTTGAAAATTATATGAGTCATATGTTTTAATTTAAAAGATAACTGCAAACATACAATAATTAATTAAATCATCATGGTTAAAACTACTACAACAACAAATAGAGATCATGATAATATTAATGATGATGGTGATGATGATATCATTCAAGATGGAGATAAAAATAATATTAAACTATTATCATCATTTAAAAGAACATTTGAAAGATTGACAGAACATCAAATCAAAGATTGTCATTTATTCCTTGATAGTTGCTTTTATCATTCTATCAATACTACTATTGGTTTGAATAATATCATTCTTAAATCAAAATCTTGTAATCTATTACAAACTACTTTAAATCATTCATCTTTAAATAAGTATGTAATATCATCATATGATATCATAGCAGTATTGTTTGTTTCTAATTTTCTATTTTTTTATAGGTTAATATTAACATTTAATAAAGATGAAGAATGGAAAGTTGTATTCTTTATTAGTGGATATATATGGGATTATGCAGAGTCTATTAAATTGATATTGGAACGATATGATTGGTGCAAGAGTTTGATCTTTTGTAGTATGAGTGAAATTGCTCATGTAACTCATCCACAACCACCTATTACTCTATCTAGAGTGCTACAACAATCACCTTCAATCTATGATCATTTCAATACACAGTTTCATTCTTTGTTGACCGATGTCAACCCTGATGCACTGTCATCGATCAATTATTTTACATGCAATTTCAGTGTACCTTTGAATGGTGCCAATCTCTTTACTATACCTCTACAACATGGTTTCTTACCACCACTTTATTTTAATGATTATTTACTTCAACAACAACAACAACAGACACAACAACAATACTCTCAACAATCTCAACAACAACAACAATACTCACAACAACAACAAGAACAACAGATAATATCAAAAATCAAATTAAACAAATTACCATTTGACATGCAAGAAGATGTTCATAAAACCATTCATTCTCTATTGTCATTTGTGTCTGATCAAAAGTTGGGATCGGTTACTGGTGAAGATCTAAGTGTCTATCCATTAGGTCAATTCTCTCAATTTATAGCTTCTGAAATTCATTCAACTCTTACTACTGCCAACAAAGTTCAAACTGAAGATTATCATCCAATTTCTTTGGTTCTAGTTGATAGAGTATGTAAACTTTAGTTAACGCAACCCTTCACCTTTAAATGAAGTTTTATATACTTATGTACATTTTAGTATTTAGATTTGGTAGGACCTTGTTCACATTCTGAAAATGCTTTGGATAGAATATTTAATACCATCTCGACTACTAGTAAATCATCATCATCACCATCAATCAATATAGCACCAGTTTTTGTAAACAATCAAAATGGTCAATTCAATGGTATGGTCAATGGTGACATGAATGGAAAGGAGAATGGATTTTGGAGTAGTTTACAATCAAAAACTCTTAGAGAGGCAGTTACTATTCTAAAGAGAAAGGTTGTAGATATTATTGCACAAGAGAATATAAATTTAGATGTATCTACTCTTACCTCTTCCTCAAATGCAATGAGTGTACAGTCACTCCAAACAATGTTATCAGTTATCTCTGCTACACCAAGACTATCACTTAGATATTCTGATACAATCCAAGCAATCTGCTCAATCATTCAAACATTACAATGTAGTCAACATTTACATTGGGATAATTTATTATCAATTGAAAGAATTTTATTATTAAGTGCTGGAAGTTATGATGACAATCAAGATGATGAAGATGATGAAGAGGATGAAGATCAAGAACAAAGTTTATTATCTCAAATCATCGATTTTATTAATTCTCCAGTTTCTAGTTTGGGTATGTAGATCAAACTGATCGATCATCACTACCCATATTATTAGTACTAATACTTTCTTTCATATATATCTAGATAAAAGTTATTATTCAATATCAGAAATATTGAATCTTTGTATATTTGCATTCTCATTGATTGGAGATAAATCATTCTCTGAGGAGGATATTGATAGTTTGGTAGACTCTTTATCCGAGAGAATAGAAGCATCAAAAAAAGAAATAGAAATAGATGGTGACAATAATAATGAAATATTAAAATTATTATTGGATGACATTAAAGAAAAAGAATCACTTTCTAAAAAATCACAAGTTGATTCTGATGATGATGATGAAAATGAATCAGATTCAGACTCTTCAGATTCTTCAGAAACCAACAACAACAACAACGATGCAACAAGAAACAAAGTAAATGAAATATTAAATGTACTTTTACAATTAGGATCAAGTAGAAAAACATTAAAAGAATTTAAGAATCTTGTTAGTGGAGGAATGACAGGAAGTACATATCAACCACTTTTAGTCAATTTATGCAAAGCTATAATTGGACAACAAGGCACAGGTGAAAACAAGGATTTAGAAAGATTCAATGAAGAATCTTCCAAACTTGGATCATTGTTTGGAGGATGGACAAGAAGAACCAAGAAAATACACAAAGTATCGGATAATAGAAAGATTATTGTCTATGTCATGGGTGGTATTACACTACAAGAATTAAAAGATTGTCAAGATGTCATTGACAAATCAACCAAACAATCTACATCACCATTTTACAACCATCAAATTATCTTTGGTTCAAGTCATATTTCAACATCAAACAATATTTTACAATCCTATTTATTAGATTCTATAAAATAAATAAATAATTAATTCCATTCATCCCACAGAACAACCCATGAAAAAAAAAAAAAAAAAAAAAACTTTGGGTCATGACTTCACTTGTTTCATCAAGCAACATTAATATAATTTAATTAGTAGTAGCAGAGAAAGAAGAGACAGTACTGTTAAAAGTATTGAATAGTATAGTAATTTGATTGATTAAATCAATCAAGCAATAATAGTAAAAGAGGAGAATGATTTCAGCTCTATTCCTTATGAATGGTAAAGGTGAAGTACTCATATCACGTATTTACAGAGATGACATTAGGTATGCAAATATATATAAAATACATATAGTTTAGAGTAGAATTATTTTCTTATTCTTTACTCCTTTATCCCTGAACCCTATTATTATTATTATTAAAGTCGAGGTGTAGCAAATGCATTTAGATTAGAAGTTGTTAGTTCAAAAGAGAATAGATCACCAGTAAAATTAATTGGATCTACATCATTTATGTATATCAAAGTTGGTGGTATCTATGTTGTAGGTGTCACCAGACAAAATGTAAATGCATGTCTAGTCTTTGAAGTACTTCATCAACTTGTAGACATTTTCAAATCTTATTTTGATAACTTTGATGAAGACTCTATTAGAAATAATTTTGTTTTGGTCTATGAATTATTAGATGGTAAATATATATATATATAAGATTGATTTATATTTGTATTTGATAAACTAATCATTATTATTTTATTTTAGAAATATTGGATTTTGGTTATCCACAAAATTGTTCAACTGATGTATTAAAACTTTATATTACACAAGGACAAGGAAAATTAAAATCTATTGATAAGGTAAAAAGAAGAAGAAAAAGAAGAAATATATATTATAATCTTTACAATTATTATTTGTACTAATCCTTTATTTTCTAGTTGAAACAAGATAAAATATCAAAGATTACAATTCAAGCAACTGGAACAACACCATGGAGAACACCAGATATTAAACACAAGAGAAATGAAATATATATTGATGTTGTAGAGAGTGTCAATTTATTAATGTCAGCCGAAGGAAATATATTGAGAGCTGATGTTACTGGACAGGTAATGATGAAATGTTATCTCTCTGGTATGCCAGAATGCAAGTTTGGTATGAACGATAAGGTATTGATGGACAGAGAAAAGGGTGCACCAGCATCTGCCCCAAGAGCCAGAAGAACCAACGGTGTAGAAATAGACGATATAACATTCCATCAATGCGTAAAGTTGGGTAAATTCGATACCGACCGTACCATTAGTTTTATTCCCCCCGATGGAGAATTTGAACTGATGAAGTATCGTACCACCGAACATATAAATCTTCCATTCAAGGTAATCCCAATCGTCAAGGAGATGGGTAGAACCAGAATTGAAGCAAGTGTAACTGTAAAATCAAATTTCAGTTCAAAGATGTTTGGCACCAACGTAAAGGTCATCATTCCAACACCCAAGAATACGGCTGTCTGCAAGATTGTCGTTGCAGCTGGAAAGGCCAAATATATACCAGAACAAGATGCCATCGTCTGGCGTATTCGTCGTTTCCCAGGTGATACTGAACTCACCCTTCGTGCTGAAGTCGACTTGATGGCATCAGTCAATCTCGATAAAAAGGCTTGGTCAAGACCTCCTATTTCAATGGAATTCCAAGTTACAATGTTTACCGCTTCTGGTTTCTTTGTTCGTTTCCTAAAGGTAGTAGAAAAGAGTGGTTACACTCCAATTAAATGGGTTAGATATCTAACAAAGGCTGGTACTTATCAAAATCGTATCTAAAAAACCAACAATGCAAAAGAAAAGAAAAAAGGAAAATGTATTTTTAAAATATATATTTTAAACTCTAAAACAAAAAAAAGAAAAATTGTACACTTTTAATAATGAATAAATAAATAATAAATAATCGAAAAAAAATAATAAAATAATTGAGAGATTTATATTATAGTTTTTTTTTTTTTGGTTTTAATTTTAAATTTATTATATTTATATTTTTGGTAATTATTATTATTATTATTATTATTAAGGTTTAGAGAATTGTGAGTTTATTTTTTAATTTGGAAATCATCTTCAGAATAGAGATCTTCAGAAGTTTCTTCTTCAACGGCGAATCTACCATCCAACTCTTCCTTGTCAAGTTGTTGTTCCAAATCATCGTCGAAATCGATATCGTCCTTGTTGGCAAGAGCTTGTTCAGTCTGCTTCTTTGCGTTTTCAATGTAGGCATCCTTTTCTGATTGTTGGTCTCTGTCAAAGGCATACATCTCTCTTTCGTATTCCTCAACGAGAGCTTGTTCAATCGATTGCTTATGATCCTTGTCTTGTACCAATGCATTCAAGAATTTGTTTTCTACAAACTCCCAATCTACAAAATTCCAAAAGTTGGCAATATATTTCTAAAGAAATAAGAAACAAAAGGATGATGGTAAGATAAAAAAGAATGATATATAGATGATTGAACCAAAAACTTTTTGAATATTTCTTCTATCTATACCTTTTTGTTTGTTTGGTAATCCAAATAATAAGCGCGTTCGTGTAAATCGAGACATAATAATGGGAAGGCACCTTCCAATTCATATGGTGAACCTGATCCAAAAGTATTAATGATTGACAATGACTTATCACGGAAAACTAACCAAGTATAACCTGGCATGCTCATCGAAGATGCATTTCTTGAAAACTACAACAATAAATAAAAATGTTAGATCAACAACAACTGTCTGTGGTCTAGTCTAATCTTTCAAAAAGATTGATCCAAAGTTCAAAAAACATACCTTTGCCTTGAATTCTTCAAATGAACCAAAGTCCATTCTAAAAGCCTTGAGCATAAAAACAGATGGCTCAGTGATACGATCAGTGATTGATTTCCAAAAGAATGATTGATTAAAGTGTGATGAAGCCAAGTTAAAGAATGGTGCTTCTTCAGAGTCACCACCTGCTTGTCTTAATACTTGTGTAATTGGTAAATCTCTGTATGGTGTTTCTAATTAAAAGTATATATCAGTATATGTTATGATGATCATCATTCCAATACTATCATCTTCTGCTACTGGATCTATCTATATCTATCTATTGTTGATTGTATGAAGACTTACGATCTACGAGATTATTTGCCTTTTCTATATCAGTCTTGTGATGTTCCAAATGGAAAGAGATTGATCTCTCTGACAAGAATGGTTTGAGACCCTTTTGTGCATATGGTACTGATGGCATTCTATAGTATGTACGAGCATTGATCAAAGCAGATGCACCACTGCCATTGACAAGCTTTGAAACTGTTGATCTTGTGAATGATGAGAACATCGTTCTTATTGTCTATACTACTATACTATACACAACTGTGCTTGCTGCTGCTACTGCTCAATATTATCGTTGATTCAGGTGCAATGAAGACGAATGATCAATTCAACAAAAAAAAAAAAAAAAACAAAACAAAAACAAAAATTCCACCTTTCATTTTTTTTTGAGAGTACCCATCAAAGCAGACCAAACAACTTTCATTCACAAGATTCAAAGTTCAATCAATTAAAAATTATTATTATCTCTATTTCTTTTATTTATAAATCATCACACAAGATAATAACATAAAAGATAGATAGATAGATAGATAGAAAACAAAAATCATTTATTTAATTTAAATTCATTGTTGTTTTGTTGTTAACAAAACTCACAACTATACAGTTCATAACACGCGATAATAATAGAGTATCATATGTCCTTTCTTTGTGTTAAAATGTGATGAATGAAGTCATCACTTCTTCTTGAAGTGTCATCGCTATAGTTGTATTCATAACCTTTTCCTGTAGTGTATTATATTTTTAGAGTTGTTTGTAATAAATGACTGGGAGAGGAGAGAAGAGTCAGTTGATGGTTATAAAGGAGTGAAAGATTTTAGTAAATTTCCCTACTCGCACCATTGTGAGCAGTCTCCGATGTGCATTTGATTACCCGCCTTGTGATGAGATTGAGAAAAGCAGCAGCCAGCAGCGCTTTCCTTTACCAGTTCAAAAAAAGAATGGGATTCCAATGTTTCTCTTTTTTTCTCACTTCTCCAGTTTTTACCCAACCACAAAAAAATAGGTTGTGAATAATAAATACAACACACCAACAACTTGAACTTTTTTTTTATTCTCAAACAAAGAATAAACAAACACAATTATTATAACACTCTCACATAGCAAGAAAGGAAACAGCTACAAAGGTATTTATCCGTTCAATGTATAGTAATAATCATAGTTATTATTCTAAAAAAGTATCGTTGTCACAATTATATTAATTTGTTCTTGACATTCTCATTTTTTTAGCAAATTAAATTTTTCAATAAGAAACGTGTGACAAAACAAACAGCAGAAAAGAAAAGAACCGGCAATATTCAATTCATTTTAGTAAATCATCAGCAACAGCAACAAACAAAACAACAAAACTCAAAACAGAGTATTCTACCTTATCAAATCAGCAACACAGCAGCAACAGCAACAACAGTTAAAAAGAAGAAGTTTAGATTATACATTCATTATATAACTCTAGATTAAGATTATCGTATCATTTTTTTTTTTTATATATAAGCAACAACTACAACAACAACATCCCCTTCCCTACTCCTCCCTCCTTTTAAAATTAACAAAAAAACTAGTAGTTTAAATTAATACTTAACTCTAGTAGTACAACTAAAAGGTGTTTCAAGATCTTCACAGGCATTGATTATTATTTATTTAAATAATAATCTAATCTTGAAAACACTTTAAACGACTACTATATTAGTTAAGAAGAAGTTCAACTTATAGAATTAACAGCACATTAGACCCTAACCCCCCAACCAACAACACTCTACCAAGAAAGGATTTATATTCCAAACCAATAACCTAACAGTCAACCCCCCCTCTCCAACAACAGAATCAACCTTTATCTCAACAACTTATTTCTATTTTAAAAAAGATGTCATCTTCAGCTACTACTGCCGTATCTCCTGTATTAATGGAAACTACTACCTCTCAAATGGGTAATCTCAGTCTTATGGGCAACTCTGGTGTCCCACTTGGAGACATTAGACAACAGCCCCCTCTTGTCATAGAGTCTTTCAAGATTATGGACATTTTCTCTCAACTCTACAACGCAAAGGATTTCAACTCGATCGACACCTTATTGAATACTGGTCGTGTTAGCGTCAACTCTCAAAACCAACAAGGTTTGTCGTTGTTGCAACTCGCCGTATCCGATAACAACATGGTCTATGTTCAGTATCTTTTGTTTAAGGGTGCCAACCCAAACATCACCGATATCAACCAATCCACCCCACTCCACACTGCCAGTTCAATGGGCAACATCAACATGCAACAATTACTTTTACAAGCTGGTGCTATTGTCGACGTACAGGATCAAGAAGGTGAAACGCCATCTTACTACTCTGTTCGTGAGCAAAAACATGCTTCACTCTTGTTACTCATCAAGAATGGAGCAAATGTCAATGCCACCAACGAGGATAGTGAGACATTGTTGCATCTCGCCAGTCAGCTGGGAGATCTTTCGAGTGTTCAGATTCTTGTTCAAAGTGGTGCCAATCTCAAGTTGGTCGACTCTGATGGTGTTACGGCGATTCAAGAAGCAAAGGACAATGGTCACAACCAAGTTGCCGATTATCTTTTACAGTGTGTTCGCAACAGTGGTTTTGTTGGGGATTCCCAACAACAACAACAACAGTTCCCATTCAAATCATACAATGATCTTCATTTTGGTACAAATAATAATATCAATCAATCTTATTTTAATAATCAACAAACCAACAAGGTTTAGATTTATTATAAAAAAAAGAAAAAAGAAAAAGAACCATTTAAAAAAAAAAAAAAAAAGAAATAATAATAATAATAATGATAAACAAAAACTCTCTAGTTGTTTTAAAATAATTAAATAATTAAATAAATAAATAAATAAATTTAATATCACAAATAACTATTTAAAAATTTCTTGATCCACTCAATTGTGTAGTTTTTCAAAAAATGAATATTTTAAATTTATCAAATTTATTATTATTACAAATCATATTAAAGATTGATGACAATGGAGATATAGTATGTTTGTTGTTGACTTGCAAACAGATATATCGTGGAAGTGTCAGAAGCTTGATTCGATTCAAGAGAATAAGAGCAATCAATGACAAGGGAAGTGTAGGTCAACAGTTTAATGGAACAGCAATTCGATTAAACCACAACGCTTTCAAAGATATAATGGATAATAGTATATCGGATCAACATGTCCTATTGTCGAGAGAGGACAATAACGATGGCTATGTAAATTGGATACATAACCGTGTCACTGCACATAATAGAGTCGATAAAAGTAACATCACAACCGTTTTGGTGACATCTTCATTACCAAAATCTCTAAATATCTATGATACCATCGATCGAGACACTATTCATGAGAGGCCAAGCGGTACCAGATCTTTCATCCATCGCTCTCTTGCCTCGTCTCGAACGACTTTCAATTTGTTCGTTTGGGTTGGATCTTGGTCAAAGCACATCACTCAAGTCTCTTCAACTGCATGTCCAGAAATCATACTCTCTAAGCGACTTGAATCTTAACAAATTCGTATCGTTGACCGATCTGAGCTTCAAGAAAGGGTTTGTGACGGGACTAGGCCCTGGACTCTTGCCAAGTAGTCTGACTCGTCTCACTCTGAGACTGAGAGAGATCCCTCCTCGAGATACATTCCTTTCATTAACTTCACTAGTCAACCTAAAGATCAACTTTAAATAGAAAAGAAGTTTAAAAAGCAACAATTCATCGATCTAGAGGCTCTACTTATGCTCAAGAAACTCATCGTCAAGGACAACCAGGACCCAACAAAAAACATAAAGAATTGTATCGAGATTAGTATCCCTCCTTCAATCAAGATTCTTTTCATCTTGTCAGCAAACATACAAGTCCCATCCAGGTGTGCCATGCCACTGTTGGAGAAATTGGTTGTGCTACAAAGTTTATTGATTTATGGAAAAATCAGTCTCTTGTCATACCCATCGATCAAGAAACTACTTATTTGCAATTGTTTCAAAACCATTGCAACCAATATCATCCCATCCACTATCGAAAAGCTTTCAATTGAATCATATGATAAAAAAAAGGTACTAGGAGGAGTTGTATTTCAACAATCTCTCGCCCATCTAACCATCGACGAGCCTGTCCAACTTCCTCAATCACTAGTCAAACTAAAGCAGAAGGTCTGCCAACCAATGGCAACCCCACTTCCTCAACATTTAAAAAAACTGGTTTGGCTGGTGGATTCGAAATTCAAAGGGAAGCATTTTGAGCTTTCATCAGGAAGCTATCCACCTAATCTTGAAACAATCAGGCTGCTTGATTTGGAAGGGAAATTTTTGTACAAGATCCCACCAACCACCAAGTATCTTACAATAGCATTGGATAAAGACCCAACAGCAAAAGGCCTTCCAATCTTTCAAATCAACCAAAAGATTTACAGGGACCCCCTCCAAACGCAATGGCTTTCACCCAATACTACCCATCTAACTTGTATTATCTGTGGCCCAAAGGGGGTCAATAAATTGGATCAAGCAATCAACCACACTAACGTTCGATACTTGAGTCTTATCGTTCGCGAAACAACATATCATTTTTCTATCCAAAGATTGGACCCTGACAATACAAATGTACTGGTTTTGGAAACACAGTCACTTCAAGGTGGAATCTTTGCTCAGCAAAAGTTAAAAAATCAACAACACAAGAGCATTTATTTACATTTTAATACAAATTCTTTTTATCCCTTTCGTTTACATTGGAGTTTTAATTATAAAAACTCAAAAAAAAATCAATAAATTAATTGCCATTTCAACAATCTATTTAACTTTTTTCTGATTAATTTATTTTTCTATTTTGATTTAAAGTAAAGTACTTGTATTTGCTTGTTTACCATAAGTTTCAAGAAAAGCGATTTGTCTTTCTTTAAAGGTTTCTTGTAGTTGCTTTTGTTTTTGTTCACCTGAACGGTCAAAGATTTGGTAGACAGTATCGTGATCTTTGATATATTTACGACCAATCACCTTGGGGAAGAGTCCCTCCTCGACCAAGAGAGAAAGGAAAAAGTTTTGATGATGGAAAGAATTAGAGTAGAAAGAGAGGGATATGGTGACCTCGTTCCAATTAATGTCACCTGTTCCACGAATGTGTCTAATCTCTCTGACTTTAAGTTCGGCTCTGGCGGCCAATGAGATAATTTTGTGAAGATTACCTGGATAATCCCACGTCGTGAGATGGATGGTAAAGGAACGACCCAAACTACGAAGACCATATTCATAGACTTGGCGAAGGGTAGACATATCAATGTTTCCACCACAGATAATCACAACGACACGTTCATCTTTTCTGACTTGAATCTTGTGGTGGAGAAGGGCAGCCAAACCAAGACAACCAGCACCTTCAGACACTGTACGACTATTGTACATGAGATGGACAATGGTAGAGGCAATCTCATTTTCGCTGACTGTGACGTACTCATCGACGAGATCGTGAAGAACCTGAGTGTGAACACCACCTGGCATTTTGACGTTGGTACCATCGGCCAAGGAGAGGACTGCGGGCTCGATATAACGTAATTGATTGGTTTGTTTGAAATCGGCCAACGTGGATACATTGACTGATTGCACACCAATGATACGAATGTTGGGGTTGATACGCTTCAAGAACAAGGCAATACCTGCAATCATACCTCCACCTCCAACATTGACCAAGACGGTATCTACATCTGGAACTTTGTCGTAAATGTCGCAACCCATAGTACCTTGACCTTCAATGACATCAACATCGTTGTATGGGCGCACCAACGTCCATGCTCTCTCTTTGCAAATAGATTCTGCCAACTTGACAGCCTCTTCCAAAGATTTACCCTTTTTAATGACTTCGGCACCATATTGAGTGGTATTTGAGAGTTTAGAGTCGGGGGCATATTCTGGGCAAACAATAGTGCAAGGAAGGCCGACCTTTGAACTAATCAATGCTACTCCTTGTGCGTGGTTACCGGCAGAGGCAGCAACCAAACCAACTGGCTTCTCCTCACTTTGCTCAATGGCACGGAGAACCATGTTGGAACTTCCTCTAATCTTGAAACTACCAGTCTTTTGGATGTTTTCGAGCATCAAAGTTACTTTACATCCACAGAGTTTACTGTATGTTGTGCTGTGATAGATGGGGGTTGGTGACATGATGTGTTTGATACGTTGTTGTGCTTCTCTAATCGATTTGACTGTAATGTCTTGAATACTACGCTTGTATGATTGTGGTACACCAGTGCTTGCCATGAGCAGTGGTCGGTCAATGTTGATATTGACCATTGGTGGACGATCATTATAGTTGATTGGTGTGATTGGTGGGGGAAGAGGAGGCGAAATGATACTCAACTCTGATTGAGTGGAGTAGGGAGCAGGCGATCGAGTGTATTTGAATCCTTGTAGTGTGAGATTATCAAATACTGCCTTTTGTTGTTCAAAGTTTCTAGAGTGGCATTGAATGGTGGTACGAACATGATACTGCTTTAAAGTCTCACAAGAACGATCCATGTTGACTTCGTGAATCGATGAATTATTGGAACCAATTACCTGAAGTACTTTGGTCAGAGCAGTTGTATTGTCTGGTAGATCGAGTGTAATTTCAAAACTTTGACCAATCATATCCAAACCATAATTTAAAATGGTTTGGAAATCAATTACATCTACAAAACCTCCAGATATTAACAAAACAATCTTGGCATCTTCCTTTAATTTGATGTTTCCCGATAGTAGACCACCCAATGCGATTGATCCTTTGCCATTGGTTAGAGTATGTGTATATTCCAAACATTTAATAAAAGCAATAGCTGCTTGATCTTCTGTTACTGGTACTAATTGATCAATAATTCTAAAATAAAATAAATAAAAAAAAGAGTTAAAAGAAGAGAAATTAATTAATTAATAATTATTTTTATCTCTTTTCTATATATATATTTACTTTTTTGATAATAAATTATCCAATGATAATTGTTCTAGGAATGGTTGGAATATCTTTTCTCCACCACTAAGACTGGCAAAATGTAGTGTGATTACTTCACCAACAAATTCAGTTTGACTGTATGATGATTTTGCACAGATTGGACTATTTCTTGAAATATCGGCACCCATAGATGTTAACATGGTCTTTACATCCTCAACTGTAAACTTTCCTTGATTTCTACTATCAAAGGAATCAAAAACGTTTGTAAGATCGGATTGATCATTAATAAGGGCCAACCAACCAATTTCAGCTCTATCTGGGAAAAGTGATTGTCTATTATATTCCTTACCTTCAATATCAACACTATTATTATTGATATTATTATTATTATTATAATTATTTAAATTTGAAGAAGAAGAAGAAGAAGAAGAAGGGGATAAAGGGGGTGAATAAAATGGAGTTGTACAATTTGAGTTGACATTATAATTCAAGTCTTGATCGTTTTTTTGATTACTCTCTTCAATTTCTATAGTTTGTTGAAACGCAAACAATGAATTTGATAATCTAAAAAAAATATAATTTTTTTTACCATTTTGAATAGGTATATAGCATCGCTTTTTAAAAAAGACTTGATACTAATCAATCCTCATCATCATTTGGTCGCCTCTCTCTACTCTACTATTAAATGTACTAATACGAACCCTTTTAAATCTTCAATCATTTGAACGACAATAGTTTTCATCTTTGGTTGTTTGATTTTGTAAAACAAAGAGATAGCAGAGACATAACTCCAACCAACACTATACATTCTAAGTGGGATGATAATGGCATCACGATCATTACAGTCTTCCATCATTTCACTTGCCAATGTTCCAGCACCAATCAAAGAGAACTGTGGGTTGAATTTCATATCGACAAACACCATATGTAAATCATTGGCATGTTGTTTGGCTCTTTGATAACATGTTTGAGTATCACCTTTGTGAAATATTATTTTAGCTCCTCTTGCATGACACATATATAACTATAAATTAAATTAAATTAAATATTAATTAATTAATTATTAAATTAAATATTCTTTGTTTTGTTTTTTTTTTTTTTTAAACCTACTTGAACAACTTGTAAGATATTAAGTTTTCCAGGAGCAACATAGATGATAAATTTCATCTTTAGATGAATTGCAGTAAGGACTATACCGGCAAAGGTTGCTTGAAGGTCAAATTTATCTGGATCCATGACAGAAACATAACCTCCAACCTCTCTGAGTTCTTTCTTGATGGTTGATACCTGGTTGAAATAGTTTCCAATCAATACACTAAAACAATTTCTAACATAGACATCACCAAACAATTGCAAATTCTCCAACTTTAATTGGACATTGCATTTAAAGAGTTGTGAAAGGAGTTCATAATGAAGTTGTGGTGTCTTTTTGAGATAGGTAGATACATAAGATGATACTCTATTTACACTTTCGATGAAATCTACCTTTCCGTCCTTGTCCCTGATAACACCGTTACCAATATCATCAAATCCTCTCAAAATATCGATTGGATTATTCATTTGATCGATTGGAGTTGCATTTTCAAATGATAATCTATTATTCATATCATTAATCATACTATTATGATTATTATTATTATTATTAGTTGTAGTTGTAGTTGTAGTATTGTTATTGTTGTTATCGTTAATGTCGTTATTATGATATTTTGTCTTTTTAATCTCTTGTTGCTGTTGAACATCAGAAGAGGTAGAAGAGGAAGATGATTCATCGACCATTACCTCATCTCCATTGCTACGGGTTCCATTATTATTATTATTATCTTTACTTGAATTTCTACTATGTTTCTATTGGTATTGGACAAAGGTAAGGTAGAGGAGTATTCAAGGTTAGATTGTGTGATGGGATGATCATGTGATTATATCATATCATATATTTACCTTTGTCATTGTCTAAAGAAATGATATGATTCTATCTGTCTAACTAACTATCTATCTCTATTGAAACAATTGTCGGTCCGAATTAATATATAATGACAGGGATTGATGCTCTTTATTCTAATTTCCCTTTTGGATCTGATTAAAAATCACTTCTTAATTTTAGTGTGAACCGAAATTTTGAAGTTCCAAAAAATAAAATGGTAATTTGGTGGTTGAAACAACACAAAAAAAGTAGGGATAATAATACATTATAGTGGTATTACGTCCTCCTATCTCTTCATCACCAACAAATGGTTAGTGTTGGTAGTGGTGGTAGTGGTAGCTGCTCTACCTCTACTACGTTCTGTTCTGCTGTCAATCAGTCAACACGAGCGTATAGTTAGCATCATCACATATATATATTTATACAAAATGTATTGCTCAACAACATTAACGGCATGAGCAGAAGCAGCAGTAATAGCAGCAACAAAAGTTAATATTATATTATTCTCATATTTATATAAATTTATATAAATAGATAGAGTTAATTAGTATATTTTAATACTACTATCAGTCGACAACTCCTCGTACTATCTATCTTTCTAGTTTAATATCTCTCATTGTTCAAAATTATTATTATTATTTTTCAAAAATAGAATATTTTGCAATCATTGACTCATCCAACTAACCAACTACCTTTGATTTGCCGCCATTTTTTATTATTCCAGTCACTAATTATATTTATAAATAAAAACCCACTCCTCCTCCTCATCCTCCTCCTCTCGGATATAATAACCAATCATTCGTTTATTCCACTAAAATCCAGTTGAGTATTTAACCATCTGCATCATTTTCCTAGTTTGTTCCCTTATTTTATTTTTGTAAAAGAACATCCATCCATCCATCCAGCATCATACAAATATTAAATCTACCATATTATTATTATTATTATTATCAAACTATTATTATCCTTATTATTATATTATTTATTAATGGATGAAATCCATTTATCAAAATCAAGTTTACCAAATCATGTATCTAAAACATCACTTCATTTTGTAATGATCGATGACAGTGATAGAGAACTGGAATCAGACTATGAAAGAGCAGATAGAGACTATAACTTTTCAATGGATGAATGTTCAAGCGCTCACTGTACCGAAGAAATATTCGACTATAGTGATGATGATCAAGATTGTAGAGATTTTATAGATCTAAGTAGTGATAGTATCAATATTAATTTCATCAATAAAATCAACTATAATCACAATCACAATCACAACCAGAACCAGAACCAGAACCAGAATAATCACATAAATACTGGCCTGAATATTAAAAATAATAATCAAATCACAACCATGGTGCCAGCGACAACAACAACACATAATAATGGACATGGACAAGATCAACAAAATGAAACTGAATTTATATCATTGGATGAATTGGAAAGTGACAGTGAAGGTCCTGCTACCAATCTATGGAAACCATCATCAACATCAACAAACGTCAACAAGAAAAAAACAACAAAAAGATTATCATTTAATTCTTTACATTCCATCAACAAAAATATAAATATCAACATGAATAATAATATATTAATTAGTCCCATTCAAAAAGTAAATACTCAAACGCAACAACAACAACAACAACAACACACTAGAGAAAATAGAGATAATTTCATGTCCAATATATTTGAATCATTGTCTGGAAGTAATTATCTAAACAAATTGATACCATTTAAGGATCACCACCATATCAATACCAACATTGTAGAACAGCAACAACATCAATACAACGATGAACTTGACCAATCACAACAACAACTCAATGAACTAGTCCTTGTTCAAGATCCATTGTTGGATCAAACCAACACCAATTTATGAATTCCATACTAGTCTAGTACAACTCTTTCTCCTCCTTTTCATTTAAAACAATCATTGTAAATAGCTATTTCTTTTTTTTTCCTGTATTTTCAACGTGTCAATATACTATTGTATAGTCAATCACTTTAATTATTGGTTGACCCAATTTTTACCATTAGATCTAAACATAATAAATGAATGGAATATATATGTATATCTTATTCCACTTTTTTTGGATTCCCAAACAATTATAAATATTGTTCTTTTTATATTTATTCTTTTAAATTTGAATAGTATAGTAGGATGATTTGATTTATTATATATAAATCATAAAAGATATTAAAGGGAATGATGAATTGGTAAAAACAATCATGTTTTTTGAGTGATGATAAAAAAAAAAAAAGGAATCAATGATTAAATTATTCCTGATTGTTGTTGTTGTTGGTATTTTCATTGTTGGTAGTAGTATTTGATTCATTCTTGTTTTCTTTTCTCAAAGTTTGGACCAATTTTGAAATGAGGGTACCACCTCCTCCTCCTCCTACACCAGCTCTCTTTCTTCTTCTCTTTTCTCCTGCTGGTAAAGTTGATGAATTTTGAGAAGAAACTGATGAATCTTGATCGACGAGTTGTTGTCTAAGTGGCAAGTCTGGTGAAATGAATTGAAAATCTTTAAATCTATCATTCTTTTGTTGTTGTGGTGTACTTGGAGTAGTATGGGTTGATGATACTGCTGCCAACAATAATGGTTTCTTTTCAGTATCTTTGGTTTTCGATGGATCAACTTGTTTGATAATGACAGGTTCGATTAAATGATGAGTCTCCAACTCTAACAAACCATCATCTGTAAAAATTTCGTGGGAAAGTGATTCTGCTTCATCAATGTAATTGATCAACTTGATAGAGAGTGCCTTTTCATTCAAAACGTTTTCGACAATTCCCTCCAAGTATCCAGACTTTTTGAGATTAAAGTCGACAAAGACGTGTTTCTTGAATGCTATTGTATCACCAACCGACGGAAGAAATTCGAGTTTTGGGTACTTTGAATAGTCTTTGGTAACGGTTTCTTTTGTTTGGTCCTTTTCATAATAATCTTGATACTTCATAAAGTAACTATTGTTTGTGTAAACATCCTTTTCTGCTTGCTTTTTGAGCATTTGATTTCCTCTCAAACCATAACTATTGGTAATTGATGATGTTGTTGTTGGCGTTGGTTTGTTGGCTGTTGCAACTGTTAATCTGGCAACAATTTCTTCAGGTTTCTCCTTTTCCATTTGTGGTAATGGTTGTGGTGGTTGTTCTATCAACTTTTTCTTCTTTTTTGGCTTTTCTTCTCCAGATGATGAATCAGATCTTGATACATCTTTCATTTCGTTATCAGTTGAATCCGATGATGATGATGACGACGACGAGTCTGAAGAGTCTGACGAAGAAACTTTAGATTCAGATTCAGAATCAGAATCTGATGTGGTATCTGATGCATATGACTTTTCATCGTCTGATGAAGAATCTTGTTTCTTTTTCTTGTTCTTTAAGGCTTTACGAGTGTTGGCAGACGACGACGATTTCTTCTCCTTTTTTTGGTGTTGTTTCTTTGATCTCTTTCTCTTTGTTAAGCTAATTTGTTTGTTATCGTCATTGTCAGTGGTTTCAACAGTTTCTTGTACTTCATCCAACATTGATTTTAATAAATCATCCTTGTCTGATACACTATGTAGTTGGAAACATTAAAAAGTAAGTAAGTATCATGATAGACAACAGTTGAACTGAATTTTACTACATACTAAATATGACTACCATCTTTAATGATTGAAATATCTTCATTTGGTGGAATAACAAAAGAATCCTCTGTACATATCAAAAAGTTGTTTCTATTTAATTTGAATCTCTTTGCAATGAGTTTATAGAGTTGTTTTACTTTTCCATTGGTAAAAGGTACAAATAATAATACTTTCTTGTACTCGACATTTTCGATTTGACGAAAGTATAATCTAATATTCATTCAGCACTTGAATTGAAATAGAAAATATATATATAGAATAAAGAATAGATAGATAGTTATATGATTTGTGTATGTAACAGATAATAATGTTTACACTGTGAATTTATCTCTCTTTCCCTCTTGTTGAAAAGTAAAACTACGAATTTTAAGGTGAAAACTAGAAACTACGACTTCCACTTGTTTAAATAAACAAATAAATAAAAACTAAATTGGCTGTTGGTTTGGGGTGGTGAAAATTATAATAATTATTATAATTTTAATTCTTTTTTTATTCTCGTTCTAATACAAAATATTACATTGATGATGGTTGATTATTATCGGATGATCTAGAAAATATAGTTAAAATATTTGTTAAGATATTTTTGTAGTGGTTGGAGATGGTATGGTCTAACTGAGCCAATGTAATCTCTTTGAAACCACAAAGAATGGCATACGATAAATCTTCATAGGCTTTTTGTACATCTTGTGATCTTCTACCAATCTCTATACATTCAATTAAACTATCAATTGAAAATACATCTTCTTCTTCTTCTAAATTGTTGTCTAGGTTGCTACTTTCATCATCATCATCATCATCATCATCGTTGTTCATTATTTCTGTTGTCATATTTAGTGATCTACTACTGCTACTATTTTGGTCATTAAAATGGATACGGACTACTGGAGGTGTTGGAGGTGGTATTGGAATATTATCATTCTTGATATTGTCTAGGAATGTTCCTTCACCCAGAGTAGATGACGATGATGAAGAAGATGATTGTGGTTGTTGTTGTTGTAATTGTTTAACCTTTTGAGCTAAAAACTTTGTACTTTGAAGATGTCCCTTTTCAATAGAGAGGTGAAGAGCAGAACGATTGTGACAATCCAACATGGTTGGGTCTATAGACTTTTTAAAGAGTTGTTCGACAACTTGATGTGAAAAAAATGTTTGTGATGGCTTTCCAAATCTAGACATGCCAATCCAATCTTGGTTGCGCAACACACTACGATGGAGTGCTGTTCGATTTTTGTTGTCGAGTTGATTGATATTGATACCACTTGTCTCTGATAACTCTTTTACAATGGGAAGCATACTACTTTGTGATGCAATATGCAAGGCACTATCTCCATAATTATCCTCCATTTTTGATAAAACAGTGGGTTCTATCTCACAATTTACATTTATTTTTGGGTGCTAAGGAATTATATTAATATATTTGTAATTATTAATATTAATATTATTACATACCTTTAATAATAATTTAACAATTGAAAGATTATTTTCTTTTGTTGCAATATGTAATGGATAAAGACCTCGATGGTCAGCTACTGTAACATCGGCACCATTATTTAATAATATTTCTACCATCTTTGCTGAATCTATTTGATGTTGTTTAACAGCAATATGAATTGCCGATCTACCTTTATGATCTAATAAATTGACTTGTGATCCACATCCATCTGATAATAAATACTAAAATTACAAATGTTAATAAACAGTGATCGATAACTATACAAATTATATTCTCTCTATCTCTCTCTCTTTCTCTCTACTTACAAGTAAAAGATTTAATCTATCATTTGTATTTGGTTCACCATGAATAAAATTTAAAGCACAATGTAAAGGTGTTTTTCCATCTTTTGGTGTTGCAAGGTTTACATTGACACCCTTTGAAACAATGGTTTGTACCAAATCTAAAAATCCCCATTTACAAGCCAAATGTAAAATACATTTATCTTGCATTAATGTGAGTAATTGTTGATGTTGTTGTTGCTGTTGTAGTTGTGTATGTTCATCTATGACAGTGGTAGTGGAGGCGGTTGTTGTAGAGGATAATTGATCATTATTTTGAAAACAATTTAAAATGCCAACAATATAATCTCTTTTCCTTTTTAATTTCAAATCAAAGTGAGCACAAGTCGATATAGGTCTCTTTAAAAACTTTTTCTTTTCTTTTATCAAACCTGCTACAGTTGGATATATTCTACCAACATCATCACTTAGGAATACTCCTACATGTGGTCCCATATCACTAAATAAATAGAAAAATTAAATTAATAAGATTATTTCTAATTTCTATTTCTATCATTATTATTATTTCTACATACTATAAGAGTAAATGATTTGGTTTTGTATGAAGATTATAAGAAATGACAAGGTTATTTGGTTTTGAACTATTTCGAATGACAAATGTTCCTTTTGACATATTTTTTAGTTTAACGTTGGCTTCGTCACGTGTAAGATTATAATTGTACCAACTAGCTTCTTTGAGATAATCTGTACACCAACGATGATAAAACTGTTTCCAAGAACAACCTTTGTATTTTATATTTGCATTCTTTTCATGGCAAATGTCTTTCATCCAAGCCCATTGAGATAAACATTTCTCCTCCCAGAGACTATCGTCAGCTGACAATACAGACCACAGACCACATACACTCGACAATAGTCTTAGATCAAATGGTGACAAAAATTTAAATATATACACAATGATTTCATATGCCAAATCATTAAAATTAAATAGAATTTGTTCTTCTTCTTCTTGTTGTTGTTGTTGTTGTTGAGGTGAAGCAATAGATATTGCATCTTCATTATCTTCTTGAAGTGATAATTGATAATTTAATCTTTGTTGTTGTAGTTGTTGTTGTTGTTGTTGTAGTTGTAGTTGTTGAACATTTAAAGATGAGGTATTTAAATATTTAATATCCTTGTGATGATTGTTGGTAGTATCACTACTAAAAAGACGGTTGTTGTGATGATGATGTAAACGATTAAATGGTAAAGAACCAGATTGTAATGAAGAGGATAGTTGTTGGTTATGTGAAGATGTAGTAGGATGTACTTTCTTTCCATCTTGTCTAATACTATCAATCTCTCCATCTGGATCGTGTAAACTAATATCCAAACTATTGCTACTTCCAATCAATGAAATCGTAGAGTTGTGAGATGAAGATAAAGACAACGATGATGATGATGACGTTGATGATGGTGTAGCAAATGACTTTGATTCTGTAGTAGAATGTCGCAAAGATGTATCACTATTCGACAAGTTGTCGATGGTGGTATGAGCTGGTGTTGACATGTCTTTGCTTTGCTTCACCCTTTCTCTCCTATTATGTTGATGATGATGATGATGATGATGATTTATATATCTTTATTCTCGATCTCTATACTAAAGTGTGTGTAATAAATAATTGAATGTATAATTTAAACATTATTATTAGTATCATTAATTTAGAGGACTACGCGGATGAATCTGAGGTGATGAACCCAAAAAAAATAAAAAAAAATAAAAAAAAAATGCTTCCATCTTTGGGATACCACCTTCTAAACTAAATAATTAAATAATTTAAAATCGTTAGACGACGACAAGTAAACATGTGAACATCTTAAAGAACCCTTTGTTAAAAATGAAAAGATAAAATTAATTAATAAATATATCTAAGTAAGAGTGAAATACTCATATGATTCAAAAGCAACCTAAATTGGGATATTATTGCTTCAAAACAAAAAAATTTCCACAAACGTTTCTTCGACCTTTTGATGACTGTTTTTCTTCCTTCAATTTTTATTCATTACCCAACCCAAACCAAAATAGATAGATAGATAGTATAGCAGTAGTATTTATTATTATTATTTTTAATAGTTATCATCATCATCATGTCACTTTCAAATAGTGCATCAGAAAACATTCAAAGAGCTCAAAAGGTATTCAAACGTTTAAAGGATGAAGATCCATCAAACAGAGTATGTTTTGAGTGTAATAGAGCTGCTAATCCACAATGGGCTTCTGTTAGTTATGGTATCTTTATTTGTTTAGAGTGTAGTGGTGTTCATAGAAGTTTAGGTGTACATTTAAGGTTTGTTTAAATCAACACACATACATATAATAAGATTTACATCTTGTTATTATGATGATGATGAGTCACCAACTAATAGTTTTTGATATACTCTATCTATATCTTATATACCTATTTAACCTATATATAGTTTTGTACGTAGTTTAACAATGGATCAATGGTCAGATAAACAATTAGAAATGATGAGTCAAGGTGGTAACGCAAAGGCAAAGGAATTCTTTAAAAAGCATGGTGTACCCGATGGCATTGAAATCAAGAGCAAGTATCACAATAGAGGTGCTGTATTATACAAGGAAAAGATTCTTGCTTTGGCAGAATCAAAGGTTTGGAAAGAACCAGAGGAAAAACCCTCTTCCTCTTCCTCGTCGTCGTCGTCGTCCTCTGAAACAAAGACACCAAAGAAATCACAATCTTCACAACAATCCAATAGAGGTTTTGAAGGTTGGGATGATTGGGATAATGCTAGTGCAAATACTTCTTCTCCAAAACCATCTTTAAAAACTTCTTCTTCTTCTTCTTCTTCTTCGTCTTCTTCAAAGAAACTTCCATCTTCTTCCTCCTCCTCTTCATCCTCATCATCATCACTTAAAACATCTGGTGGATATAATACTGGTGCCAAATCATTCTCATCTGATAGTGGTAGTAACAACAATAATAGCTACAACCAATCATCAAACAGCAGTAACAATAACGGCAGTGGATCATATGGTGGAGGATACAACTCTAGCAGTAATTCAAGATCCAGTAGCAACAGCAATAGTGGTGGTGGATATGGAAACAGTAGCAATAGTGGTGGTTATGGAAACAGTAACAATAGCGGTGGATATGGAAACAGTGGAGGAAACAATTCCGATCACTCTGCCAGATTAAAACAATTTAGTAACGCCAGATCAATTTCAAGTGCTGATTATCATGGTGAAGAGAGAGGTGGAGGTTCCTATCAATCAAACAACTACAACTCCAACTCTACATTGGAGTATGGTATGTCTCTTATTGGTGAAGGTTTCAATAAGCTATCAACTGTTGCCAATGTAAGTATCAATATACCAAATACAACAACAACCACCACTAATATATATTTGATACTAATTTGATAATTATCTATTTATTTAGTCTGTCTCATCAAAGGTACAAGATGGTACTTTACTTCAAGATGCATCATCTTTAATGACAACCTACTTTCAAAAGGCAAAAGAAATTGTCAATGGATATGAAGGTGAAAACTCTTATAATGGATCTGGAGGTGGATACAACTCTTACAATTCTTACAATAATAATAATAACAACAATAATAATAACTATAATAATAATAATAATAATAATAATAATAATGGCGGAAACTATAACAACAAAAATAATAATAGTAGTAGTAACAATAATAATAACCATAATAATAATAATAATAATAACAGTGGTAGATCATCATCATCATCTTCCTCTTTTGAAAAGAAAAAGAATGTTTCAGAAGAGGAATTTGTTGGATGGGATGTAAAGGATAATGATGAAGAGGAAGAAGAGGATGAACCTAAAATTGTCAAAGGTGGCAAAAAATCAAACTCTTCATCAAACTCATCTTCCAAGCATTCATCCAATAACAACAGTGATGATGACGACGACAATGATCAAGGTAGCAAAGGCAAACAAAATGATTGGGTATGGGGTGAAGATGATGCTCCTAAAAAACAATCCAACAACAATAACAATAAGAGTAATCCAACGAAATCCGGAAAACAACTAAAAGCAACAGCAACAAAGAGCAGTGCTGGCGGTAATGATGATGGTTGGGATAATTGGGATGAATAAATCAAAAACCAACAATACAATAGCAGCAATACAACAAATAAAACATTTAACATTTATTGAGATAAATACTTTTAATCAAAAAAAAAAAAGAGACAAGATTCGATCGATTCATGAGTTTGCACAATTCCTCCCCCCCAAAAATGATGTCCTTCAAAAAAAAAAAAAAAAAAAAAAAAAAAAAAAAAAAGACAAACAACCTAGGAGGTAGGTAGGTCGACCTATATCAGAGATAAAAATAGTAAACCTCCTCCTGTATCAATAATAGAGTAAGCTCAAGAAGATCATTATCCTCCTCTCTCCTAATTAATAGACACACTCGATTGATTGCGACAGTTAATTAGTAACGACAAATCATCGATCTGTTTGACCAAAGAAGAGTAGAAGTGAACATTATATAGTAGTAGTAGTAGTAAATAGTAGTAGTAGAGAGATTGAAATTCTAGTACAAACAATAGATCGATCTTACACTATTTTGGTAGGCCATTCATTCATCCATTCATCTGTAAAGAGTGGCACTGAGAGAATTGAGTTAAACTAACATCATCTCTTCTCCACATTATTACAGTAATATACAACAACAACAACCAAACAAGAATATAGTAATACTAAAAGAAGAAGAAGAAAAGAACAACAACAACCATGGTAAACATGATAACACCATCTGTAGGATATAGAATAGAGGGTTCAAACGATGAAGAACCAAAGTTATTTGATTGTACAGCTGTGCCAAACCTATTGGAAGGTGTATTTGATCTATCAGACAACGACAGTTTATATTACAGAGATCACTTTTTAAACAAGGGTAGGTTTTGATTCAAGTGATCGTCATCTTGAAGATAATAGAAATAGTATAGACACGTTAAACTAACAACATATCATTATCAATCAAACTAGATCACTTAAACTTTTTGTCAACAGCATCACCTGACAATCCAATCTCTATATCTGTCATTCTAGATGGTGATTCTAAAAACTATAGCGGTCTAGTCAGAACATCTACTGTATGTGTTGTGTTATATATATTATATATATATATATATATATATATATATATATATATATATAACTCATGATTGGTCGATCATTCATTGATACTGATTTTATTTTGTTATACATATATGTAGGGCAATCAAAGAGTAAAGGTATCATCAGATACAGTAAAACCAACATGGTGGAGAAGAATATTTAGAGTAGGACCATCACCATACGATATTTTAAGATCGATATCACCACAACATACTCAATCCAATCTAAAGTTAATCTCTGATCAAAGATTACCACAGGCACTCATGAATTTGGAGGAAAAGCAAACTATAAAGGGGTTCAAATTTGGTATCCTCTATGCTCAAGAAGCTCAAACCAAAGAAGATGAAATGTTTGCAAATGGTAATTACTACTAACAACAACAAATGACAACAAACGATGTCATAATATATCACAGCCATACTAATTTATGAAACTCTCTCATTTGACAGTTGATGCAAGTCCAGAGTTTGAAGAGTTTTTAGATTTTATTGGAGAAAGAGTACAATTGAATGGATGGCCCAATTTTAGAGCAGGTCTTGACGTTAGAACTGGAACTACTGGAACTCACTCAATATATCAGAGATGGAATAATAATGAAGTTATGTATCATGTATCTAGTTTACTTCCATTCAATGAAAAGGATAAACAACAAGTATGTATCGTCGTCGTCATCATCATCATTTTTAGATCGACATTTTATTCATCAACTTACCCCTCCCCCTCCCCCTCCCCTTCCCTTCTTAGTTGGAAAGAAAAAGACATATTGGAAATGATATTGTAGTGATTGTATTTCAAGATGGTGATACAATCTATCGTCCAACAACCATTAGTTCTCGTCAAGTTCATGTAGTGTTGGTTGTCAAGGCAACTACACTTGAATCTGATCCAGGCCAAAGATACTATAGACTTGCTGTCGTTTCCAAAGATTCTGTCCCTGAATTTGGACCGGCCATGCCAAATAATGGTATCTTTAAAAAAGATCCATCTTTTAAAGAATTCTTTTATGCTAAATGTATGCCCGACAACAAACCAAGTTGATCATCAACTGATGATAATTATTATAATTTTAATATTTACACTATAATCTCTCTCTCTTTCTCTCTAGTATTAAATGCTGAAAAGGCTAGTTATTCGGCACAAATCTTGGAGAATAAATTATCACGAACAAGAAAAGCACTCTTGAAAGATGTAGCTGAAGCGAAATGGAATCAATAATAATTCACATAATTTGTTAATAGTACTATCACACCCAACATACCACTCCACCTCATCCACTCCCTATGCACTATCATCTCTCTCTCTCTCTATCCACTCAAATCTCCGTCTCCCTCCCCTAATAATAATAATAATTACAATAATGCAGTATATAAACCAACCAACAACCTCGACAAGAATCCTAGTCCATAATAAATAATAACAACAAATAATAATAATAATAATAATAATAATAATAATAATAATAATAATAATAATAATAATAATAATAATAATAATAATAATAATAATAACAATAATAACACAATATGATATATATAAATGTTCAATTGGTCTAAACAACAACAACAATAATGATAATAAATTTTCATCAAAATTTTATGAATGCAATTTTTTAAAACGTAATGTTTAGTTTCAAAACCTCATGCTTCGCTTTTTTAAATCATTCTGTCGAGTAGAAATATATTTATATAATATACAAATATTAAAGAAATAACAAAAGTAAGTTTATACTATGTATATATAAAGCTCATGTTATTAGTGACTAGTACCTACCCATCTTGACATGATGATTCAGGAAAGATATATCTAGAATTAGGGATCGCTTAAACTATCTAACCCTAACCCTACCCCCTACCTTATGGTCTCAGTGTTTGCATCATCAAATCGGCGATGAATGAATAACAACAAAAGAGAGTGACATAACCTAATCAATGTTGACACTACATTTGTCTGTTTGTTGTGATTGGATGATCGAGAGGCACTAACACTGCATACTCTCTGATCTCCTTTTACGCATTCAGTCTTTTTAGTCTGCTTTACCACTACCCACTCTCGCTTGTATAAAAGAATAGTTATTGTTGAATAGACATGTATTGTTCTTTTATACTTTTAGTCGTTTGTGTCACGTGCAAAGTAGATGCTGCCTCCTTCTTTCCTTTTTTCTGATTAAAAATTGCTATTATCACACCTCAACAACAAGATTCTTACCAACAAAATAACAAATTACTAACCAACTAGTTCAATCTCCACTACTACTACTATTATAGTCATGAATCATAATAAAAGACCTTTTGGAGGAGGTTTCAACAGAAACTCACAAGGAGGATTACAAGTTGACAAGTTTCTCAGACAAAACTCTCCTTCAACAAGATATATCCCAGTAAAGAGTAAGAATAAGAACGAAATATAATATCCTTGTATCATATACTTATTTATCTTTGATTTGTAGAAAATTTATTAAATGCACAAGATTCCAGAGTTAGATCAAAATATGAAAATAAGAAAATGATAACTGATCAATTCAAAAATAATCAAAATAACAAAAATGATATAGAAGATGATCCAATGTCAAGAGTAATTAAATCATTATTATTCAATGACCATTTATATATCTATGAATATTTATTAATACATTGATTATTTAAAATAGTTTGCACTTGGAGCAGCGAAAACAAATACAGATGAATTTGATAGCCGAAGAAATAGAAAAAAAAATAATAACAAAAAACCAAAACAACCAATAATAGAACCAAAAAATGAAAACGATAATCAAGATGATGAAACAAATCAAGACAATCAAGTTGATGATCAAACCACCACCGCCACCACCACCACCACCACATCTACCACAACCACCACCAATACTACCATCAAACCAAGACAAAAATCTGTTAAAACAAGAATTGAAGAAGCTCATAAAGAATTTATAAAAGAAAAGACTGAAAGAGAACAAAAGAGAACAGAATTTGAAAAGAAAAAAGTAGAGATTAAACAAAATATACAAAAGAAAAAGAGAGACTCAGGAAAATTTTTACAGAAAACCAAACGTGGTCAACCAGTTATGAAGTTGCAATTGGATAGAATGTTGAATAAATTAAAAGAAGAACAGACAAACTAGATAGTAGTAGTCTGTCTAATCGATATTTGCGTAATTTATCAATTAATTTATTCTATCAAAGAATGGTCTTAGAGAGAATTTGTTAACCTTGCCCCATCTTCTTTTGGCTTCTAAAATGTCTGGTTGGAAATACCAAGGTGGATATGGATTGGCTGGATTATAACGATAATTGAGTAGTAGTTCTTCGTCTTGGATGTATCTGTTGGCAATGAGAACGTAGGATTTGGCAAAAATATTCTTGTCACGGAAAAAGTTGGTGTCGGTCACTGATGTATGTGGAATGTATGGTTTGAGATGATCTGGGAATGTTTGTGGGAAATTGTATTTGATGCCAATGACGTTGGCATGTGGGAAATTTGGGTTTTGTTTGTGTTCCGATGGATGGTTGATGAATTGACCAATGGCAAAAGGATTACGATACTTTAAAAGTTCCTCCTCTGACACTGAAGTACCAGTCTCTGAAAAGTATTTGGATCGATAGATAGACATGTCCACCTTTTTCAACCAACTTCTTCCATCAATCACCGTACCGTCATACCGTGACATCATATATTCATTTTCAAGAATGGCAGCATGATCCATATTGCTGGCAGTATAAGTGTCACCTGGATAGATGGCCAATACTGTTCCTGGTGACACTAATCCCTTGACGTGTACACCATAACCAGCCTCGCCGTGATCGATGGACGACTTTTTAATGACAAGACTAAACTTGTCGTAGGGATGGTCAATGACACTACCCTCGATATTTTCTTGCTTGATTCGAAGTGTTCTTCTTAGTCTACTCTCCAATGTATTACTAAAATAAATGTTATCCTTTGATGGTGATATTGAACCTTTTTCTTGATCGGCAGTTACAAGTGGAGGTGGATAACAATTTTTGCCACCAGTATCGTGTACATGTTGAAATAGTCTATGAATCTGATAATCCAATACATTTGTAATTGTATTTTGTTGTTCCAAATAGGGTATCAAAGTTAATTGTCTGTAATAATTTGAAATCTCTTCATCTATATTTTCCATTGTTAATGTTGATGATTCTTGTTGTTGATGTTGTTGATGATGATGTTTAAACTGAGAAGAAGTTGTAGATAATGATTGTGGCGGTTCTTTTACACCTAGTAGACAAAGGATTCTATCACTTTCATGACGTAATTTTACATAGTCTGCAATCGATGGTTGTGAAGATGGTGGTGCCAAAGAGTATTTAAAGTTGATGAAATCGTGTGCATTGATATGATAGTAGGTATGTGTCGATAGAAAAGCTTTAAATGTATCTGTCAATTCTGAATCACTTTGTAAATACTCTTCTTCTTGTTGTTTATATGATGATGCAGGTATTGATGATGACAACGACGACGACGATGTAGGTGAAGATGTCGTTAAACTAGATGCTACACCATTAACCTTTTTAAAAGAATTAAATAAACCTCTAATTCTAGGTATCATGGATTTATACTAGTAAGTATCTCTGTATATATAATATATATATATACGTATTTATTATTTAGTAAATGGCGTTGAGGTTGTAGTCATCTTTTAGTCATAGGTTTTTAAGGACGAATTATTTTTGCCCGATTATTGACAAAATCAAATTTTAATTGATTCGATTTTTTTTTATAATTTTTTGCAAGGTCTGACAGCTCTGCGCTCAGTCGTTCCTCACTCACCTGCTTTGAGAAAGAGATCAGCATTTGAGTGGATCCTTTTTACGCTGTTGTATCTAAAGAGAGTATCTTCAAAATGGCTGACGTACAAGTAACTATCAATCCAACCCAGAGACAGAGCAGGATATCTCCTCCAAACAGCTACTAACTACTACTCCTTTACTTACTGCCCCTACTACTACTATTTAGTCAGAAAAAGCCTTCCAAAAGCAAAATACTATTTTCAGACGTAGAGTCTACAAGACCCAAACTAAGACCCGTGAAGGTATTAGATATTGGAAGGCCATCGGTCTCGGTTTCAAGACACCAGCTGAAGCCATCAACGGTACCTACATTGATAACAAGTGTCCATTCACCTCTGATGTCTCCATCCGTGGTGCTATCTTCAAGGGTCAAGTCATCTCCAACAAGATGAAGCGTACTGTCATTGTCCGTAGAGATTATCTCCACTACATCAAGAAGTACAACCGTTTTGAAAAGAGACACTCCAACATCCCAGCTCATGCTTCCCCAGCTTTCAACATCAAGGAAGGTGACACTGTTACCATTGGTCAATGCAGACCACTCACCAAGACTGTTAAGTTCAACGTCATCAGACACGACTCTAGCATGCTCACCAAGAAGCAATTCAAGCAATTCTAAATTTATTATTAGTCGATCCTATTAATAATAAAGAGTACTTTTTTTATAACCTCACTTGTAATCAATATTGTGTATCTCTAAAAGAGCATTGAACACAACAACTAGTTGCTCTAGTTGATCTCTTTTTTTTATTTATTTCTTTATTTCTTTGTTTCAGGTTGATGAATCCTTATTTCCAGTTTTCCTGTTGTTGAACCAAAAGTGGAAATAAGGATTTAGTCTTGTGAGGGAACTAGAAGTCATCTGATCATTTATAATAAATTTATATTGAATATTCCTCAAATATTACTTTAGTAATAGTCCTGGAATTAGATCTTATAGATAGATAGATATAATCTTAATTTAAAAGTTTGTAATTTGTATATTTTTATTGATTTCTTTAAAGAGTAGCAAATGTAGTCTTCTTTGATTTTGTTTCAACTGAAACCAATGATCCGCTGACTGGTCTGGTTGATGCGTTGGAAGACCATTCAAAGAGTTGGTTGGCAACATCGCTCAATGGTGTCCAATCGTCAAAGTTGGCACCTGGCATACCTGAACGGTTGCTTGGTGTATCCAAAGTGACTGGTAAGAGACACAAGGCAGCACTGTTGGCTGGAAGACCAGAGTCCTTTTCTCCGAGTGATTTAACAATAAAGTGAGTAGCACACTTGGTGATACCATAACCAAGCATACCTGGTGTTGGATTGAGAGCTGCTACCGATCCAGTAAGAACAACTAAACCATTTTCATTTAATAATTGACCTGCAATGTATGCACAGGCAACTGCTGAACTAAGATTGAAATCAATCATCTTTTGTACACTCTTGAAATAATCTTCACTCTTGATCGATCCTTGTGACCATCCTCCTGCAGCACATACAATACTGTCAATCTCTATAATAATAATAATAGAAAAGAAATGAGTTGGTTAGGTTTTAACTGTGTTCTTATTATGATAGTAGTAGTAGTAGTAGTAGTAACATACTAATATTTGATAATTGAGAAGTAATTCTCTTGATTTCATCTTCACTTGAACTCTTGATAGAGAGTGAAGTAGTAGCATTGCTGTTATCCTTGAAATCTACAGAGATAGTATTCCAACCCTTGTTCTTAAAGAATGCTACAATCTCTGATCCCAAAGCACCACTTCCACCAAATACTAATATACTCTTGACTGACATGATGATTATCTCTTTCTCTCTATTTATCAACTAAACACGAAAAATAATACTCGTGTGAACTTGACTTGAGAATTATGAAATTATTTATTTTTTGGAAGCATGGAAGCTTCGAGATGGGTGACTTTTACAATTGTCCAACTCTTTGGTCTTACACAGGTTGGTTTTAAAAAAGATACATTTTATTTCTAATTTAGCATTTAATTAATATTGATTTATTTTTTTTTAGCTTTTAACATTTCGCCTGGTTCCTCATCGACGTCTTGCTCCACGTCCTGCTCCTCACTTTGATCTTCTTGATATTCTACATCTTCATCTTCCAGTTGCTCTTCATATTCCTCATCGCCATCCTCTTCTTCATCATCGTCGTCGTCATCATATTCCTCATCCTCTTCTTCTTCTTCCTCCTCACTTTCACTAAAGTCGAGTGGCTCGGCATTAAACTTTGATGAGGCAGATGATATAGATTGAGGGGTACTGATAGTTTCTTGAATGTCTTGTGATTTTGGTTTTGGTAATTTTGATTTGTGGCTCTTGGAAAGATGGGTCTTTCTGATGGTTCTAAAGTCACCATCTCTGATGAGATTCAAAACATTGTCCATCATACCTTCACCTTCTGATCCACTGCTATAGGTAGATGAAGGACTGTCTCCACCTTTTTCCATTGATTTGATGTATTCTCTAATGGCTTCTTCGTCTTCATCAGCACTACAAACTGATGTAGATGGTGATCCAGCTTCAGACTTGTTGTTGTTGTTGTTGTTGTTCTTTACAGACTTTAATGCTACCTTTGATAGATCAAGTTTTCCAGAACTGTTACTCTTTGAAATAGTTTTGTTCTAAAATTAAATAATAATAATTAGTATTATTTGGAGAAGATTTTATCACCCTTTTTCTTACATTTGTAGTCTTTTCAGATTTTCTTTTATCAGCTTTTTCCTTTAACTCTTTTTCTCTTTCTATATCCTTCATTGACATTTGATAGGTATCAGCAAATCTCTTGAAAATAGCACAAAATTCTTCAATTGGTTTTGGTTCCTCTCCAAAGTATTTGGTAATCTTTGAAAATAGAATCTCTGTTTCCCCCAATAATGTTTCTGTATCCAATAATTCTGCTTTGGCTGAAATTAAAAATTCCTATTTTAAAATAAAAAAGTTTAATAATTGTAAAGATATAGAGATATATATGATATTTACAGATAATTGTAATTTAAATGGATCATTATCATCAAGTGGTTCAACTTGATCGGTTGTAGTAACTTTGGCTTCATCTCCATTGCTTGCTTTACCTTCTTCTTGTTTTTCTTTTTCTTCTCCTTCTGTTGTGGTGGTGGTATCAGTCGAGTCTTGATCTTTTTTCTCATTTTCATTATTTGCAGCGATGTTGTTGTTGTTGTTGTTGTTGTTGTTATTGTTACTTGATTGACCAAATATTTCTTTTTCAATTTTGATTAAACTAGCTCTCAACAATCTAATTTCAGATGTAGAGGTTGAATACGATACTAATAATAATAATAAATATTAAATAATAAATAATTAGTATTTTCTTTTGCTTTGTTTTTTTTTTTTTTTACATACAAGTAGCAGCTTCAATTACAGAAGGAATGTCAATATAGAAATCCAAAAGTTCGGGTTGAATTTCTTGAACAAGTTCAATCAAGAAATGAACGAGTGTATATTTGTCCCTAACATTTGATTTGGTGTCTGCAAGTTTGTTGATACTGTCAATCTTGTAACCACTTGCATTTCCTCTATTGGTGCCATGATTGATAAAGTTACCGACGGCAAGAATAATTTCCATGATTCTAAATAGATTTTCGTTTTGAAGTTCATTCATTGCTTGATTAAAGATTCTGATATCTGGCTTGGCTTGGTACAATTTCTCTGGGAAATTTAGTTTGTAGTGGAGTGCTTGAATTCTTTGAGAGAGTCTTGGGATATCACTAATGAGGTCAAAGAATTGTTCAGCTTGACCTAGTTTGAGCTTTTCCTCTGGTGCCTTGTCTTGTTGCGATGTCTTGAAAGCAGAGATGGCATCAAATTCCTCTTTGGAGGGAATATACTTGATCAGTTGATTAATAGTCTCCAAATCCAAAACCTTGTCATCCAAATTGAAAATGGCGTCGTGGACCACTTGTGGACTGACATTTTTGAATCTCGAGAGGAGAATACCGACATTCTGAGCTCTCTTTGGATCAATGACGGTGATTTCGCTTGTCTTTTTCTCCTTTTCCTTTTTCTCAAAGATGGCAGCAGCAAACAGCGTTTCTATATGTTCATAGGGTAGAACATCATTGAATCTGCCAAAGTCCACCTTTGTCCAAAAGGTATTGGTGATGTTTCTGGTACGCAACTTGGCCCATTGATAACTCTTGAGTTTTTGAGCTGGTGCTCTTGAACATCTTTCAGGTGTGGAAGGTGCCTTCATACCTGGAGGTGGGGGTGGAGGTGGTACACCAGGTGGAAGAGGTGGAGCGTCACCATTGGCCAATGCAGTTGCATCGCTACCATCATCCAATAGACCTGATAAAAAGTCAGATGGACCTCCAATAGGTGCTTTGGCTCTCATAATAGACAGACCATTTGAAGTGGATCCACTGTCACTGTCCAACGAGAAGGCACTTTTCTTTGTTGTAGCACTACCACCTCCAACAAGAGCACTCTGGAATGCACTTCTAACTAGTTCATTCTCCAATTCATCTTCTTCATCTAGGATTTCACGACCCTTTCCAGACTTTATACCATCCTCTAATCTCTTTATCTTTTTGGCAAATTTTGTCAACAATAGATCTTTTTCATGAATTTGTTCAGTTGCTCTTTTGTTTTTGGATTTCAAGTCTTCAATCTCCTTTTGAATGAGAATGGCCTTGTCTCCAGAGACGTGATCAATGTCGGTTAAAGCTGCAGACATTGATCCACCAAAGAATTGTGAAAAGTCATCGTTTGGTGAAAGTCCTTCATTCAATTTAGATAGTACCTTTTCTAAAAATAAACAATTTGATAAACTAAATAAATAAAGTTAAAAGTTGATTAGTTTTAATTATTATTAATATGTTTTTTTTTTGTTTTTGTATAAATACTTTTGATCTTCAGTTTGATCTTGATCAGAAACAGTTCTAAGTAATAATTTCAAAATAGAAACAAAAGCAGGATAAATTGGACCACCATTGGTAATATCCCTAATAGTTTTAAAGAGTTGTTCTGGATTGTCTTCTGATTGATCACCTCTAGCATTTTCAATGTGTTCCTTTTCATCCCATCTCGATTCTTGTTCATAGAGATCACGTTGAGTGGCAAGATCAGGGTTTGATCTAAAGGTTGGTTCCAACTCTTCGATGATATTTTGTATTCCAATACGTTTGAATTGATTTCTAACCTTGATTCTATTGTCAACATTCTCTGACGATGAAATAAGAGTATTGATCAATGCAAAGGTAGCAGCTTGAAGTGATGGATTACTGTTTTTGAGACCTTGTATAAGATGGACGTATGGCTTTTTCTCTCTCTTTACCTCTCTATAATTGTCCATCGATTGTAAAACAATGGCATGACCTTTGGCGTGTAGCACACACAATGCAGCCAATAATTCAGAGACCATAATCTTTGTCTTTAGATGTTGACTATCCAACACCAATGCAATAGAATCGATCGATGCCTGTGTCTTTATGACAGACTCTAAACCAACTCTATTATTCATAATCAATTTAAATGAATGTAGACATTGTGCAATCTTGTAATCATCATCAACTGTTTTGCTAAAGGAAACATTAGTATTATTATTTATGAATGCATACTACTAATAAAACTACTACATACTTTGGTTTAATTTCATTTGTATTTAATACTTTGATGAGTTGATTAACACCACCAATAGCAATGAATTCCTTTAACCATTTCAAAGGTTGATTACCAAGACGAACACGTAACGATGTCAATAGTTCTTTTGATGGATCAGTTTTAAGTGCCTCTACAAAGTATTGTGGACTGTGATGTACTGATTTACTACTCTTTGCATAGTCTTTTTTTGATATCAACTTGCTTTGATATGATTGAATTAATTGTTTCTTTCTTTCAATATCCCTAAAATGTTTATTAAAAATAAATTTTAATTAAAAAAAAAACTCTTTCGATTTGTTCAAAGTCTTCAAAACGAACATACAAAGTCATTAATTGTTTTCTTTCACTTTCAGGTACACCAGCCTCATCAAGTACAACTTGAAATGCATTATCTACATTCTCTGGTAGTTTCTCCTTTTTTGGTTTTGATGAAAAGAGTCTAACCATTATCTCTCTCTCTCTCTCTATCCTATCCTATCTATCTACTATCTATCTACTATCTATCTTCCTCCTTCTATGATGGCAATGATTCTAAAAAATCTATTCTATTAAAACTATATTGTCAATCTAGTCTATCTCTCTCTACTCTTGTTATTTCTCTCTCTTTTTTTCAGAGTTAATAATAATAATAATATTAATTTAATTTGAAAGACGACAAGGAAATAATAACAATAATAATATCATCGTTCCAACAACACTTTGAAAGTGTTGTTGATAATCGAATCTACAACACAAAAGTAGTAGATTAACCAAAAAATAATAATTCAAGCACACACAATGGTATGTGTTATAGGTGGTGGTGGTGATTGTGTTTGTAATTATTTATTAATTTTTCGTTTACAACCTATAGGTTACAATCAATACATCTATCTAGATCCATCCCTCATCAAATATATATATATATATGTTTTGGATTGGAATCAACCTATAGTCTTTTGGACTATTTTCTATTGAGTCTTGATAACTATAAAATATTCATGTCAATTATTATTATTATTATTAAGATAGTATTACGATTACTACTTCAAAGGATAACAAATATTATTTTATTACTGAATTTAGAACGAGATAATACCATAGAAAATATACTATATTGGTGGTTGGTGGTGGTAATGGAAATATTTGTTTGGTGAACTTAAAACACAAATTAAAATTCGATTTATCCAAACTTTAAACAACGATTCATAATACTACTACTATCAATGGAAATTGGTGTGGTAACAGTGTATGGTGATGTATGAATATACAATTACTATTACTAGTATATCGCATGATGACATGGTATATTTATTACTTAATCACTTCATTCTCCACACCTATTACTCTTACTTTATTATTCTTTTAAAAGTACTCTTCAACACCCAAATACATTCAATATTATTATTTACACTCTCTCACACACACATACAAAACAAACAAATAATATTATTTGTGTGCTACATTAGTCTTTAACATATAAAAATTATAGTTTCAATATAATATATAATCGGTAGTGCACCTTTTAATATTTTTTGAACATTTTTTTTATATTTTATTTTAAAAACAAAAAAGAACAGGTAAGAATTATATATATATAAAATTAAAAATCATTTATTAATTTCCAATACTTTTTACCACTCACTCAACTCACTACCTACTATTTATATTTAAAATTTTAGTTTCCCTATTTCATCGCATCGTAGTTGCTCTCTCTCAATCATTTTTATATTTCCCATTCATTCACTTATAATTATTTGTAACAAACAAATTATTTATCATACTACTAATTATTTCATTTCCATCTCAAACCCATTCCATTCACTTTTACACATTCACATCAATCATTTCATATTCACACACATATTCTTATCTATATTTATATATTATATATATTTAATTTATTCACTCACTCTTTCACCTCAATACAATTAAATATCACTATCAGATAATTATTATTATTATTCTGCAGTTTATTTCATTTACATTTAATTTTTATTGAATTTACATCATCATCATCATCATCATCATTTATATATTATACGTATTACGCACACTCACACTCACACTCACACACATTCATTCATTCATTCATTCAAACACTTACATCACAATCTTTTACTACTACTAGTTTTTTTCATATTTTATACTAGTCTATTCCAATTTTTATTTTATTCACAAACAACAACAAAAATGCAATTCTATAATGATGATAAAGTTTCAATTGAAGCATCTTCTTATCTTTTTAAAAAGATAGGAGGGCATGATCCCAAGACCATTTCCAAAGTACTTTTACAAGGAAAACGTCACCCTCTCCTTTGTCTCGACAGAAACAACTTGGGAGATGAGGGAATCATTCCAATATTCCGTGCCTTGAAACAAAATGCCATTGTAGAATCTTTAGATATATCAAGCAACAATTTAACAGCAACATCGATCGGGGAACTCTGTCAAGCACTCACTTCAAACAAGTACATCAAGTATTTAAAGTTGGAAAACAATGGAATTGGAGACTCTGGTGCCGAAAAGTTGGCCAATGTCATCAAGAACAATGGATGTTCACTCAAAGGTTTATATCTCTCTGATTGTCAAATCACTTCAAAGGGATGTTCAATATTGGCTTTGGCTCTGGAATCAAACACTCTTATAGCAACTCTTCATCTCAACAGCAACCCTATCGGTAACGAGGGTATCAGTCAACTTGTAAAATCACTCTACTCAAATTCTTCCATCAAAAGTATCAGTTGTTTCTTTTGTTCAATCTCTGACGTCGGTGCCACACGTGTCATCGAGTATTTGGAAGCACACAAAAAGTCAATCAGCAATCTCAACATTAAAGGAAACAAAATCTCTCCAGACAATCAAGAAAAGATAAACAAGTTGCTGTTGGTTAAAAAGATTAAAGAAAAAAAGAGATTGTTGAAAATGGAGGCCAAGGAACTCATCAATCAAGAGGCTGAAAGAATGGTCAAGATTAAAATGAAGGATGTCAATGAAAAGGCAAAGAAACAATTGGATGAAAAACAAAAGGTACTCGAAAAGAGAGAAGAAGATTTGGTCTCTAAAGAAAAGGTTTTAAATACAAAACAAACTGAAATTAGTGCTAAAATTAAAGAATTTGAAAACAAATCTAAAAAGACAAAGGGTAAATATTAAAAAAAAAAACAACTAAGAAAAGATGATTAAAAAGAGGCCTTTTATTTTTATTTTTTATTTTTTAGATCCAAAGAATGAAAAATCAACTACTACAAATAGTCATAGTAGTAAGAATACTAGTGGAGTTGGTAAAAAGAAAAAGAATGGTAAGTTGATAAACTGAAACATGAAGATTTAAATTAAAATAGAATTTATAATTAATATTTTATTTATTTAATTATTTTTCTAGATTCAGATACAATTACAATTATTATAGCAGGTGACAAGGACAAGGATAAAGAAGTATTATTGGGATATGGACAAACAGTAATTGATAATATTAAAGTTATATCAGATACCGATTTTGAAAAGACCATCAATGGTGATGTTGTCATTGAAGGAAAGAGTGTAAACATTACCTTTGTCAATACATCAAGTAACGATAGATATTCAAGACTTCGTGCACTCCAATATGAACATGCCGATGCAGCCATGGTCGTCTATACTGCTTCCGATCGTGTCTCTTTTGAAGATATATCTTTCCAATGGTTACCAGAAATCAATTTCATGGGAAAGATGCCAATCTTTATTACATCTATGCAATCGGATCAACGTACCACACCGCCAAATACAACCGATGTCTCTGAACAAGAAGGAAAGGAATTTGCTGAAAAGATTGGATCTGCCAATCTATACTACGAGCCACTTTGTGCTGAAGATTTTAGGAAAATGGTCACTTCAATGATCAAAGAATTATCAAAGAAAAAGAAAAAATAAACTAATCATCATATAGTTTTATTTATTTGTACAAATATCTATCAATAGTACTATTTATATAATGTCTCTTAATAATAATAATAGTAAACAGATTAAATCACAACAACTATACAAAGCTAAATGGTTATCATTTGATCAAGTAACATTTAAAGATCATAACAATGTAGATAGAGTTTGGGAAGTTTGTAATAGAACAACAAGATCAAAACAACATGGTATTGATGGTGTAGATATCATTGCTGTCATTGAGAGTAGTAATAATGATGAACAACAACAATCAAAACAACAACATATAGTGATTATATATCAATACAGGGCACCAGTTGATAATTATGTATTAGAATTACCAGCAGGATTAATCGATGATAATGAATCACCATTGGAATGTGCTAAAAGAGAATTAAAAGAAGAGACTGGTTATGTGTGCTCAGATGATGATACAAACAACTCTAGATCATCACCCATATTGGCATTAGACCCAGGAATGAGTTCATCCAATACTATGATATGCACCGTCAATGTTGGTGTTGCCAATATCAATGATACACCACCAAAACAAAGTTTAGAAGAAGATGAATGTATCGAGGTGATTCTTCTACCATTGGACACCCTTTTGGATGAATTACTCTCTATACAGAAACAAAGATTATGTACAATCGATGCCAAGTTGTATACATTTGCTTTGGGGTTGTGTTGGCAAAAGAATAAATAAATATCATTCGAGTCCCCAACACGATTAAATTCGATTTTAATTATGTATACATGTGTGCTATGTTGGGCTGTTTCATCGATCGATCTAGAACAAGAATAGAATCTAGGATATTTTATATTGCGATATTTTTGGTTTCAAGATCTTCAACACCCGGATAAGATATTATTTAAATATTGTTGTTGTTGTTGAAGATCGGTGATATCTATCCCCCACCTTCATACTTAGTTAATAATCACAACAACATACAGAGAGAGATATCAATATTTATTTATAGAGATAAAGAGAATGCTACAAATAGATTTAAAAACAATTAATCTATTTATTTTAGTTTTTTTGTTCATTTTTGTAGGACAAACTTTTTCATCAGAGTTGCTTTCTGATGATGAGTGTAGGTAGTGAGATCAAATGATGACTGACGATTATTTAAAACTGACACATCTATTATTCATTTCGCATATATATATATATAGTAAACTCTGCTATATTTCTCATCAGACAATATGGAGTACCATTACCACAAGATCAATCATTATGTAACGGTATAAACTTTACATGTGCTGGAACTGGTACCGACTATCATATCTCTATAATGTATTGTATTATCATTGATCATATATTCTACGCATATGTTACATAAACCTAATCACATCAAATTTCTAGTAATATTATAACTAGTGGCTTTCAAGATGTAGGGGAATTAAATAATTCGATAACCGATTTCTATTTCCCAAGTGTTGGTAATTTCTATTTAGAACTTGCTACCAATTCAACTCCAGTCAAAGATCAATCAAAGAGTTTATTGTCTTTTATGAGAAATCTTTCTCAACTTGCTATCATGAGGTATTGTTTCTTGTGTTGTTGGTCAAATCTCATTCTAAACCCAATACAATGGTTGATGATGATGATGATGATGATGATGATACTAACCATTTACTTTTACTTTTACTTTACTTTTTCTTTTTTTATTTAGAATTATAAATGATCCCACTATTGTTACTGTACCTATAGACTTTGGATCAGGGATTATGTTCCCACTTCTTTCAGTTGTAGAGCTTAGATTTACACCCAATTTAATATCAATCCCATCATTTTTTAATACTTCAAAGGCCTCCACTCTCTCAATCCGAGCACCTTCTTGTAGGGAGATAGGAATCACAGAGAACCTCTATCTCCCAAATCTAATTCAGATTTTTTTACAGGTTGGATTAGATACACCCTACACCTGGGTCCTATCAAAGACATCATTCCCAAGAGTCTCATCATTGTTTGTATCTCTCTCTCTCTCTCTCTCTCTCTCTATAGAAAACTAGAAAGATTGTATACTAATTAGGTCTAATTTGATTCAAATGATATTTAGAGATATTATTTCAATATCAAGTACAACATCACGGTTGACTGTATATTATAATTTAACTCGCCCGACGTCTGTAAGATTTAGGACTGGCAATTATAATGTTATTTTTCATGAAAATTCAACTGGAATTTTAACATTGTAAGTGATTGGAGAAAGAGGAAATCAAATCATTTATAAAGATATATATATAGACTAAATTAAATCTTTTCATTCCCAAGTATTTTATCAGGTAATTCTATTTTCTCTCCAAGCATTGACAAGTTTTATCAACTAAAAGAATTGTAAGATAAAATAATCGACCATCATCTCAACATGTTTAATATATACTTAACCACACAACTCTTTATCTTTTATATAAATGTATATATATATATATTTAGCACTAGAGTAGATAGTCAAGAGAGTAAGTTACCTCTTATTTTCCCACCAAAGTTGGAAAACTTGGGATACTCTGGGTCGGAATTCACTACTCTTACAAGCCCCATTATCCCATCTACTTTAAAGATGTTGGATTTATCAATCAATCCACTGACTACAGTCGATTTTAATATTTTCAAAAATACCAACAAGTTATCGCTTCTATTACAAGACGCATTGTTACTAACAGGGTCAATACCAGATTCGTTTTGTAGTAACCAAATATTTATTCGCAATACTTCAATCAGTAGTATACCCGGTAAGTTATAAATCTATAGGATCCTATGTATATATATATTTAAATATATTTAAATATTAATCAAAATGTTTCTCTTTTAGACTGTTTTTATTGTTATTATAATGATGAAAATATTGTTAAAACATCGTTACCCATTCCAAGTTCATTTGTTTGTAATATTACTATTGACAATTTTAATTTAAACTTGATTAATGGACGAGCAAATGTGACTGGCCGCAACATAGGATGGGGTAGCGTCGGTTTGCCATTATATGATCTAAAGTCGATCGTTCCAAATAGTATTCTAGAGTACGTGTTTTAAAAGTATTTTTTATTCACCTCTTTCTATTTATTTACTAAATATTTTAATTTAATTTAGGTTGGAAATGCAAAACTTGGTTGGACCAATATCAAATATTACTGTTAGATTGGGCAGTGTTGCTCCATTCTACCCTTTCAATTTTTCAGTATTGGAGGTTGGTATTAAACCAATGTCGGTCACACCATCACAACAACCATCAGGATATGCTCTTTTTGATTTTGTGTTTTCAAATATAAACAACTACCTAGAACATAATGTTACCGTCCTATTAAATGGTTCATCGGTTCCCTGTTTTATTTTAAGCACAACACCATTATCTTGTCAAGTTCCATCTAGTCTCATCCCATTTGGAACCAACACACTTAAAATATCAAATGATTATTATTCTATCGATGACAGTGTATTTTATCAACAAGGTAATCAAAAAAAAACAAAATCAACTCTATGAATATTTAATTATTAATCCATCTTTTTCTTTCTACTTTTAGAGTACCCATTGATTCCATCAAATGCACAAAATATAGTTTATGCAAACCCTGGTGATATTATTACATTATCAGGTAGTTTTGGTTCCAATTATACCAATCCAATCGTTGTGTTTTATAACCAAAATGGTTATCAATCAAATTGTAATGTTACTATCATCTCACAAACACAATTGTATTGTAAACTTGAATCTAAAATGTCAAACGGTATCGTAGCTACCTTTGTTTCCTTGGGTCCCTACTCTTTGCTGTCCAACAATTCATTTACTCTTCGTTCACTTCAAGGTGACTGCGTTCTATCAACAAACAATTGCTCAAATCATGGTGTTTGTGATATCAATGGCGTTTGTTTATGTAATCAAGGATATTATAGTCAAAATTGTTCTATTCGTATGTTTATCAAATATATATAGAGAAAGAGTCATATAAATATAATACTTTTATTAATTAATTTTTTTTAGAATACCCAACCATATCAAATATTTCAAAAGATAATAATAATGAATTAATATTAATTGTTGGTGGAAATTTTGGTCCCTTTAATCAAATTAATGCATCTGTATTTGTAAATAATACGATTCAATGTTCTATTAATAGTATATCACAGCTATCAATTAATTGTACTATAAACTTGGGTGCTACATCATTGACATCTGGATGGATAGCTGTTACTGTCGGAATTGAAAATCTTACAACCACGCAAAACAATGCAGTTTTCTATTTATCATTACAAGACCAGTGCAGTCTGGATACTCATTCTTGCTTTGGAAATGGGTTTTGTAATGTATATGGAAATTGTATTTGTAAAGATAATTCTTTTTACAAAAATTGTTCAATTGGTATGTATTAAGAGTTAACTTATTTAATTTATTTATTTAATTAATTTATTATTTAATTTATTTAGCATATCCAGTTGTTACGAGCGGCCATTATGATAAAAATAATTTATCAAATGTTATCTTGTTTGGAGACTATGGTCCATTTGGTCAAGTAAATCCCTCCGTTTACATTAATGATACACTAGTTTGTCATATTACATATATATCACAAAAATTGATAAATTGTACATTGGATCAAATTCCATCCTATGGGTTTTCATCGGTCAACATTTCAGTCGACTCTATCATTTATTATAGCCCCTCACTTTTAGTAGGCCCAAACCTACCACCTACTCCATCACCCAACAGCACAACATCAACAAGTGGAGGCCCAGTTCTCTCTCCTATGCAAAAATGTGAACAAAATACCAATAATTGTTTTGGTAATGGAGCATGCTCAATTTACGGTTATTGTAATTGTGATATAGATTATAATCCTGATGATAATTGCAAAACAAAGTGTAAGTATTTAAATCGTAATTTAATTTTCAAAACTAACAATATTTTTAAATTAGTTACCAACACTACACCATCAACCAATCCTTTAGAACCAACATCATCGTTTGTTATTGATAATGTTAAATTTGAATTTCAATTTGTAGCAATACAAGAAGTTGGAATCAATGATGAAATATTGAGGGAATTATTAACCAATAGCTGGGTGTCTAATATCTCGAGTAACCCAGAGTCCACAACTGCCATTTACCAATTAAATATTACAGATCGCTCTGTTTTGGTAAACACCAATGTCGAAGCTGTGCTATCTTTTTCATCAAAAGCAAGAGATGTTCCCTTTGGAGATCGATTCATTCATGTTAATCCAAATTCTCTAAAGCTGGCAATCAACATTAGCAATTGGCAGTTTTCATCAAATCTTGCCACCCTTAGGGCTATATTCCTAACCACTGTTAATCAAGAACAATCAACTGTTTTTGATTGTCAAGAGACTCAAGTCGACAGCTTTACATATGACGAGTATGGATCGACCATCCAATATCTTAGATTTGTCAAAGACAATGTTCAGTTTAACGGAAGATTTGTAGACTATGTATTGTCAGATGGTAGAGAGGCCTATTCTAAAACCTCTATCATTAACCAAACAATCGACTCCAGTTCAGAAGAGGGCAAGATACTCTTTTCACTGATTGGTGTCTCGTTGCCTCAATGTCAATCGTGTGTCATAGACCCAGATTTTACGCCATTACTCGTTGATAAAGGAAATGAAGATTGTGAAGCCAAGTCTGATACATGGAGAATTATTGTTGGAGCATCAGTTGGAGGGGCTGCTGCAATTGCAATTGCAACCGGTGCCATCATTCTACTACGAAAGAAAAGAATCTTTAACAAAGGAGAAAGAAAAATATCAAATAGATTAAATTCAATGGGCTCAAAAAATTAATTAATCATAGTTGATTTGTAACAATAAAAATTTTATTTAAAATATACTTGAACATCAACAAGATTATTATTATTATTATTATTGTTGTTGTTGTTATCGATACATTTTTGGAGATAATTAATTTTAAAAGGTTGTAAAATTGATAGAAAGCTATCTTTAATTTGAACTGGTTTTTTATCGTGAGAGCTGATTTTTAATAATAATCTTCTTAGCGATGTATTCAAGAGAATAGAGTTTAGTAGAATATCACAATACTGGGTTTCTCGTGATGGGCCAGAATGATCGAGGTGAAAGAAAATTTCCAAAGAGGAGATACTTGCAGTTGCAAGTGATTGGTAGAATTGCTCTGTTATTACATCGGTATTGGATATTGTCAAATGTTTGATGGATTTGTTGACTTGAAGTATATCTGAAAAACAATCAACCAACATCTTGTTTGGATGATAAGGTGTATCTTGATGAAAAAATTCATCATACACTGATTGGAAATGATCATGGTTGCGGCGGCAAACATCCTGGACCATTAAACTAGTGATAGTTTTGTTTTCTCGTATCAATTTACAAAAAAGTTCTATATCTAGAATAAGTTGATTTCTATCGGTTCTATGATCGGAGATTTTGTAAGAGAGACGACATCCACTATGAAAAGTTGCACCCAAGGCACAAGAAGAAATGAAATGGAATGGCATTTCGATATGGAGAGTATTGATGGTAGGAATGCAAAGTATCTGATTAACATCACCAATATCTACATAGTCGTTTCTAATACAAAGACTTTCGAGTGTGGAAATATTTTTGAATGCATTACCATACTCTTGGTGAGCCTTGTGCGACGCAAGGCAAATGTCTATTTTGGTGATGTGTAAGAAATTGATCCAGTTCTCTATTCCTTGAACACCGTCGAGGATGACTTGACGAATATCTTGATCTACTTTGTTTTGTAAAAAGAATCGATCAGAGAAGGACCTGTTGTCTAGAATAAAGTCTACTCCAAGGGACATGTTTTTCCATTGTTCAATAGTTTTGGACTTGATAAAGCCCAACATTGAACTTGGGGAACAGGCGACTGTTATTTGTTGTAACGAGATGAATAAAGGAGTCCAATCTTTTGCGTTAACAACAAAATCCATTGATTCAACAATCACCAAATGGCTGACCATTTCTACATTGACAATATGGTTGGGTCTTTCAATCTTGAGCCAATCAAAGGCACGATAAAACATTGATTTGTCAATCAAGAAGCTATCAATGTCTGGAATGCATTCGTATGATCCAAAAGGACAGTTGTTACCTGAAATGACTAACAATCTCGATACCTCTCTTTGAACCATTCTAAACCAATACTTTGAAACCAATGCATATCCAAGTACATTATTATTATTTTTATGTTGTTTAACTATAAAATCTTCTTCTTCTTCTTCTTCTTCTTCTTCTTCTTCGTCGACGATTGAATAAGTTTGATTTGTTTTACTTTTTAATTGTTGTGACCGATTATTGATGTACTGATCAATAGGTTTAAAAGAAAAAGAACCAAACTGTAACTCTTTTGTTACAACGCAATAGTTGTAAAATAACTTTTGACAATCGAGTAATTGGATTAACTTTAGTTGTATAAATTTAGGTATCAAACCCTCTTCTTTGTTCATTGCAATTATAATATTATCAAGAATGAATGACACAAACCAAACAAAATTTGATTTAAATTTTGCAATAAAAAAAAGTAATTTTGATTTATTTAATAAAATAATAATCTAGTAAAATGTCAAACAATATCTATTTAGATAGATAGTTAAAAAGTTTTAACGAGGAACTCTTACACCACCTTCAATTCCATGTGGAGATAAAAGGAATTGCCACAATTGTAAAGTTCTACCTCTAAAACCACCAGCACATGCATTTAAATAATAGGTCCACATTCTTTTAAATCTTGCATTGTATTTTTGTTGATCCAATTTTGGATATGCTTCTAAAAAGTTTGCATACCATGCCAAAAGTGTCTTGTCATAGTCTGGTCCAAAGTTGTGAACATCCTCGACAACAAAATAATCTTCAGAGGAAGATGTAATCGATGCAACACTTGGACAAATACCATTAGGGAATATATACTTTTCAATCCATGCATCGTTTGTTATTTTTGTAGTGTTTACTCCGAGACAATGCAAAAGAAATACACCATCTGGTTTGATGTTTCTTCTGGCCACTTCAAAATAGGTTCTATAGTTTTTACTTCCAACGTGTTCAAACATACCAACACTAACAATTCTATCAAATTGACGGTGCAAGTCACGATAGTCTACCAATTCTATTGTGACATCTAAGCCAATGCATCTATCTTGTGCCAATTTTTGTTGTTCAGCTGAAATGGTAACACCAACCACCGACACTCCATAGTTTTTGGCAGCAAAGTAAGCCAATCCTCCCCATCCACAACCAATGTCCAATAAAGTCATTCCAGGTTGTAACATGAGCTTTTCACAGATTAATCTCAATTTATCTTCCTGAGCCTGATTGAGATTGGTTGCTGTTTTCCAATAACCACAACTGTATTGCATATGAGGGTCAAGCATTTGAGTGAAAAGGTCATTACCCAAATCATAGTGCTCTTTTCCAACGATCCAAGCACGTTTTCTTGATTGATGATTAAAGAGACGATTCGAGGCAATTCTAAAGAGATCACCAAGATTCTTTGGTAATTGATGATTGAGTTCAGCTCTGAAAATCTTTGTAAAGAGAATATCCATTCTCGGACAATCCCACCATCCATCCATATAGCTTTCACCCAATCCAAGAGAACCTTCGGCAAACACTCTTTTGTAAAAAGATTCGTTGTGTACAGTTACATCCCATTCCCTATTGCCATTTATTTTAATATCAGCCTTGTCCAACAATTCTTGAAGCATTCTCTTCCAATGATCCTTTGATTTATGTTTTTTCTCTTGAACCATCATATTTTGGTTTGGTTCAGAAGAAGAAGAGGTGGTGGTGGTGGTGGTGGTGGTGGTGGAAGAAGAGGTGGATGGAGTTTCAACCGCCATTTGTTGATGGGATGAGGAGGACGAAGAAGAAGAGGAATAATTAATATCCTCTGGGTTGGTCATTTTATTTTTTAAACTAATTTACACTGATAACAATTGATATTTAATATTGAATTTATGTATGTATGTATGTATGAATGAATATATGATAATATATAAATTTATTACAAACTTGACAGTGATAGATAAAAAAAAATTAAATAATTAAAATTAAATAAAAAATATTGAATCAGATAAACGATAACACACAAAAGAGGAATTTTATTTAATTTTTCTTGAAGTGGGGAGGGAAGGTGGGGGGGGTTTAAATTAATATTTTGTGTCATCAAGATAGTCCTTTTATATTATTACTATTGCATTTGTTAATCAATTCCATATTGAGATGTTTTTTTTTAACAATCATCTTCATCATCATCATCATCAGTTGTCATGATTATTCCATCAAACCCCAACAATGAGTGAGAAAACAAAAACTACCTATTATAGCAGCACACCCAATACTGGGATAATATGGATTGAAACCATGTGAAAATGTCTTTTCTGACCCTTTTGTGACCTCATTTTACTGTGTTTAGCTCATAAAAAAAGAAATCGAAATCCACACAGAAGGAATGGATGTTCAACACACACACCTACAATAAATATTATTATTATTAAAAGTTTAACTTGGATGCTTAAACTACAATTGTCAATGAATAAAAACAATAGGTTCAAATTATATAAAATTATATGATTAATTTAAAATAACTGTATTAATTTTTAGATCTTTGAATAGTTTCAATGATAGAATTGATTGAACCATTTGAAATTTGAGAATGATTAATGATTTGAGTCTTGCCAAACTCTTGATCGATCCATGTTTTGAGTTGGATCGATACCATTGAATCTACACCGTAGTCTTTGAGTTTGGTGTCGGGTGACAACAGCGATCTTTCAATGGACAGTGTCTCGGCGATATGGTTGATGATTTTGTTTTCATTGCTGTTGGTGTCGACACCTCCCATCATACTCTTTTTGTTGGAGATGGTGAGGTATTGGGTGAGAGAGTGTTCGAGGAATGGAAGTGATTCGACAAACTTCTTCAGTGACACATTGCCACAAATGGTTCTGGTGAGTTGTGTCGTTTGGTTGATAAACGATGATCTCAGTACACCATATACATATGATAGAGGGAGTAGGATAAGACCATTAGAACTCAAACTTGCATTTGAACCTTGATGAATGGCAACTTGTCCAGCCGACCCTATACTACCCCAAGCGATAGCTGTACCTTCCAATCCACACTCTCTACGATGTCTAGCTAATCCATCGAGGAATGCATTACCGACACCATAACTAGTGTTACCCTTGACAAGATACTGAGCCATCGATGAAAAGAGGTGGAAGTGATTCAACTTCCATCCAAGTTCTTCAAAGAGATGGTGAAGGTTCCACGCTCCAATGGCCTTGGCTGACAGTGCCTGTTGGTGGTCCTCCAACGTGATATCATCAGCTGTTGTAGCCATATACTGATTGGCACAATGCAAGAGTACTTTAACTGGTTCAATCGTTGTATTTGATTCGTACAGTTGTTTGACTGACAGTCTGAGTTGGTCATAATTACTAATATTACATTGTATAAAGTGTAATGTCAAATGAGGATTCTGTGATTGAATGGTATGCATCAACCATTGCATTTCAAACTTTGGTTTAGAATGTGTCACAATGATAATATTGGACAACTTTGGTGCATGCCCGATGAGATAGTAGAGACATTCGGCCGCAACACCAGTCTGACCAGTCATCATCAATGTACCTTGTACACCATCCAACTCGTATGAATGTCTTTCAATGATTGCTTCTGACTTGCCGGCATTTTGGAGTGATGGTAATAGGTCACGTTCCACATGTTCAAAGTCAAGAATAACCTTGCCAATATGTGTTCTTGATTTCATAAGGTCCATTGCTTTGGTGATATCTTGGCATGGGAATATTTTGATGGGTGGGACTTGTAATCCAAGGTTAAACATTTCCCGAACAGCACATTGTGAACTGTAATGGTTCTTTGAAAAGTGGATGGCAATGTAGGCACGTTGATAACGGAGCATGTGTGTACCGATATTGTCGAGATTGGCAAATTGGTCAATCGACAAATCAAGAATCGTTCCACTTGGAGACAGTGCTGAAAAATTGTCTTGCATACGCGAGTGGTCAAGTGTGTTTAGGATATACTGTACACCCTCACCGTCGGTCATATCGAGTACATTTTGAGTGAAATTAGACGATAAAAGGATGGCTGTGATAAACGAGCCATAGGTATCCTTTAAATACTGCATTTTACCGCCAGCACTCCCGATTGTTGCAAAGACCTTTCCACGATGTCCCATGGTCTTTAGAATATTGAGAGCTGCCAACCCAACACCACCCGACGCACTGTGGATAATGACAGAGTCGTCTGGATCGATATTTCCCTTTCTATAGAGTGCATAATGTGCAGTACCCATGGTGGTGACAATCGAAGCAGCATCTGCAAATGACAGTCCCTTTGGTATTGATAGGATTCTCTGATCAGTTATTACATGAGAGGTAAATGAACCAGATGCAGCACCATACACCTCGTCACCCACCTTGAACTTGGTGACTTTTGGTCCGACGCGAGTGACAATACCAGCACAGTCTTGACCAAATGGTGGATCATACACATCACCCGATGGGAACAATGACTGTGGTACACCACCATCGAGAATGAGACAATCTTTGAAATTGAGTGATGCAGCCATCACCTTGATCTCTACTTGTTCGCCAGTCAACACCTCTTGTTTGGCACGCAGATGGTATCTTGAATCCTTTTCAAACTTGATCACCATTTCCTTTGGATCAGTTACTGTGAATCGACTGTCTGGTTTGAGTACATCCCTTGCATAGACTAGTCTTTCCACGTTGACTTGAACCATTTCATTTTCATCCAATTCCAATTTAAACTCTCCTTCTCCCAATGCTTGGTAATTTGAAATTTGGAGAATCTGTTTAATTGAAACATGATTGCATGCATCCTTGCTAATGGACAATGCCAAAGATTCAAATGAAAACAATCCACTGCCTGATTTAAAGTTGAATTCTCTTGAAATGGGTGACAAACAATCATTCAACGTACTAGTACGAAGAGATATTAATTTGATTTGTAATTTCTCTCTTCTAATGATTTGTTGAAGACGTAGGTATTCCATAGATTTTGATACCAAATTATCAACATTCATTGGGTCCAATGTACTTATGTCCAAAATAACAACCTTTTTGTTTTCACTACTACAATATCCAATTGCATCGATGAGTTGTTGATTCTTATTATCATCCATAATATCATTTGATGAAAAGAATGAAATATCTAGGGTAATTAAATTGGCTTGTTGAATTAATTTGGTTGATAATTGTTGAATTTCTTCAGATGAAGGGGATGAAGAAGAAGAAGAAGAAGAAGAAGAAGGAGTAATAAATAAAATATGATCAATCTTTTCCAATTCCATTTCAAAAATACTCTTTTTTCTTGAAACCAACAAATTATTATTCTGGTATACATGAATAAAATCAATTAAATTTGATTTGATTTCTTCCAATTGATTATTATTAATATTCTCTGATTGTGATTCATCAACTATTTGATCTGCTGTTTGTTTTTGATTTAAAATAATTAAATGACCATTTAGATTTAATAATTGGTGGAATTGTTGTTGTAGTTGTTGTTGTTGATGTGGTTGTTTTAAATCACCAATAGTTGTTAAGATTAAATCATAACAAGATGACAAGAAACCTTGGTCTGTCAATTTTTCACCAAAATCAATATCTTTGGTTAGTTTCATTGATATCTTGTCATCATGTATGAAATTCGGGAAATAAGAGTCCATATCACCAACACGATCAATTAAATTATAATCTACGACGGCGATATTGTTATCATTTTCCAATGATGCTTGTATCATGGCAGCTATATCAAATGCCAATATTTCATTTCCCTGCTCCATACAATTTAATATTCTAATAACCTTGTGTGACGACGATTTGGAAGACTCTATAAATGATTGAACAAGTGAAACGACATTATCCTCCTGATTAAAGAGTACTAGAGACGGTGAATTCTTTGGTTGAGTTACTGATTCTTTGATTTGTTTTGCTGGGAACTTGGCTTGGTGTGTTTTACAAACTTTGGTAAGAGAGGTAGTGATGAGGTCACCACAATTGGCCAAGATATTACCATCTTGATCGATGATATCATAACCTCTGGCAATATGTTCATTTCCTCTTTGTATGTTTTGTGATCCACGTTTTGAAATAATAAACAATGACTTTACGGTACCACACTTTGGTATATTGTTGGCAAAGAATTGAGCTCCTTGGACACCTTCAAATACCTTTTCTGAATTTGGACCTTCACCTTGGAAGTTGGTGAGACCTGAATGTAAAATACAATCCAATATCGATGCATTAAAGACTGTGTTTTCCTCTTCAAAGTGGTTTCTTGGTTGCACATCAACCTCTGATAACATTCCTCTATCCTTGTTTAATTGGATTTGCAACACTCTTTTAAATGTCTCTCCATAGGGTAGACCCAGTTTGATAAGCTTGTCATAGACGTCTGTTGGTGTTCTTGTAGCGACATTGTACGTGTCCTTGCGGAGTTGCTCGACACTTGGGTACTTTGCCTCTGGCGTAGATGGATTGCGAACAGATATTCTACCAACCGATGCTTTGATCCATTTCGACGATGCATTATCGAGAAACTCTGTTCTGACTTGAAACTCTGTCGCCGAATAACTTGTAAACGTTGTCTTTAGCTTGGATTCAACACCCTCCTTGAGGAAGAATGGGTTGATAAAGTTGAGGTTGTGAATGGTTACATCTTTACCAGGCCATGCAGTAAGGATATTCTCAATGTAACCGGTACCTGGGAACAAGTATTTTCCCTTTACTTTGTGACCCTTGAGATATTGATAAGATGGTCTATTGACATCGATACCTGCCTCGTACACATACAATGATGGACTCTCTCGAATACCGAGGATCGTGGTTGACACACCTCCCAATCTAATCTTGGCGTATGACTTTTGTTCATCCCAGTGATACTCTGCATCCCATTGATAACGTGGCAATAATCTTGATCTATCCTTCCACTCGTTATCACTTGATGATGATACTTGATTGAAGAAATCAACATTGACATGACCAAAATAGAGGTGTGACAGACATGATTGAATACATTCAACCTCATCCTTTTTTCTATTTAATGGTGACATGATGGTTACTGAACCTTGTGGTTGTCCAGATAATAATGTCTTTAAATAAAATGATAATGTTGTATGTGGTGCAATCTCTAAATATACAAATGAAGAGTTGTTGGTATTGTGTTCATTTGCAATGATAGTGTCGATTGATTGTTGGAATAATACTGGGTGTCTGAGATTATCAAATATGTATTGAGCATTAAACCCGGTTGATGAGTTGATTAATTGAGAGGTTGAAGTTGAATAATATTTGATACTGGGTGTCGATTGTTGATAGTTGATATGCTCCAATTGACTAAAAATGTACTCCTTTGTTGCATCTTGTTTATCAGTGTGGAATGCACATGGTGTACCAAGGAATGCACTAAAGATATTATCATTCTTTAGTTGTTGATCAATTGATCCAAGTTGTTCTTCATTACCAGCCAATACAATTGAATCAGCTGAATTATAACATGCAATTGAAATATCATCAAATGATGATGATGATGATGATGATTGGAATCTCTCATTGTATTGTTCAACCGACAATGACACTGATAACATTCTACCACTACCAATCGTATCATTTTGAGCTACACTTCTAACATAAACAATTCTACATGCTTCTTCTAATGATATAATTCCAGAACACCATGCTGCTGTTACATCTCCAAAACTAAAATAAATTAAAATAAAACAAATTAATTATTAATATTTGATTATTTGTTTCATTATTATTTATATATGTATGTACCTATGACCAATAACAATTTGAGGAATAACACCAAAATGTTTATACAATTGAACCAAAGCAACTTGAATGATAAAGGTTGATGGTTGAGCAAGGATTGGATGATGAATCTGTTGAGAGTCTGCAAGTCTCAACTTGGCAATGATTGAATATTGATAGTGCTGAGAAAGGATTTGATCGACTTGATCGACTGCTTGACGGAATACCTTTTCATTGGCATACAGTTTCTCACCCATTCCATTCCATTGAGCTCCTTGACCACAAAATACCATGACTACTTGTGGAACCTTTTTCTTGTTTAATTGTGACATGTTGGAAGCAAATGTTTGTTGTCTCTCATAGATACGACTAGATTCCTTGAATGATTCCCAGTCACTTGCAACAATCACCTTTTGACATGAAGGATGTCTTGTTTTAAGTGATTGTGTTTTGACAAAATCTTCAAATCTAACCTTTTCCTTGTAATCATCAATATTATTTTTGACCAATTCAATATATTTATCCATTGATTTCTTTGTATTTGCTGAAAATGGTATTAAATAATCAATCTTTTCAATTGTATTATTATTTTCTTCTAAAATTATAAAAAAAATTAAAGAATTAATATTAATCAATTTAATTTAAATAATTAATTATTTACCTTGATGCAATTTGTTTGATTTAAACTCTTCAATGATTAAATGAGAATTACTACCAGTAATACCAAAAGAATTAATACCCATTCTAATGAGTTTATCATCATAGTAGGTTGGGATTGGTTCATTTTCCAAGACGATTTTAATTTCACCATCCAATAGATCAATCTTTGGATTGAGTTTTTTGAAATTAATATTCTTTACCAACATTTTGTTTTTGATCATCATGGCACATTTGATGAGCGATGCAACGGCTGCAGCACTTTCAGTGTGTCCAATGTTACTCTTGACCGATCCAATGCGAAGTGGTTCATCCTTGGTATGCGATCCTCTAAAGATCTTGGTGATTGATGACATTTCCATTGGATCACCTGTGGGTGTCCCTGTGCCGTGACACTCGACATAGTAGATATCGGATGGGGTGAGACCGACATTCTTGAGTGCTTGGCGAGTGTTTACCTCTTGAGCAGCTGCCGATGGTGCTGAAGGAGACGGTTTGTCAAAGTTACCGTCGACGTTGCTGCTACCACCCTTGACGACACAGTAGATGTTGTCATTGTCAGCAATTGCCTTGGAGAGACGTTTGAGAATGAGTACTCCCAGCCCTTCACTACGTGCGTATCCTTCAGCCGATTCGTCAAAAGATGCACACAGACCCTTTTTGCCAAGCATGTTCATATAGGTGAAGGCCGTTGACACAGTTGGTTCAAGGGTGGCATTGACACCGGCGACGATGGAAATGTCACTCTTTCCACTACGAATAGTGTCCACACCCATCAAGATGGCAATCATCGACGACGAGCAGGCCGTGTCGACAGCAATCGACTCTCCACGGAAATCATAATGATACGATGCCTTGATCGACGAGTCAGACCTACCAAAACGAGCAGAATGACTCATTGTCGTCAGATCTCTGTTTTGCATATTCAAGATAGAGTCGTACATTTGGCCGAGGAATGTTGAGGTTGTGCTCCCTCTTATAGTGGCTGGGTCAATATGAGCATCTTCCAAAGCTTCCCAAATAACCTGCAGATACAATCGTACTTGGGGATCAACCAGTGTAGCCTCCTTGGGAAGAATACCAAAGAACGAGTTGTCAAAGTTTGTCCATTGAGACCAATCCAAGAACCCTCCACGCTCGGTCGCAACAAACCCTTGGTCTTGGAAAGACTTTGACCAACGCTCAGCCGTCACACTTGAAATACCATCCAGTCCACCCAGCAACTGGTCATAGAATTGTTGAGGTGTTGTCGACCCACCAGGGAATCGACATCCAATACCAATGAGTGCCACTCCATCTTCATCAATATAGTGTTGATTGTTGTTGTTATTATTATTGTTATTATTACTTTCAATAGACATTTGCTGTTTACTATTGTTTGTTTGTTTTAGAAGAACAGAAGTAACCTATCATGTGAATGGTTTATTTATACTCGATTCCGGTCCTCATCGTCATTGTCATCGTCATCCAATAGAGAGAAAGGAGAGGAGGAGGAGGTCAACAAAGGGTCAACAGTACTGTATTCCACTAACCATTGATTCATTGTTGCTATCAAAAAAGTGTATATTTTGGTGTTGTTTGCTCAACAACTAGAGAGCTTCATCTGTTATAAAATGCTCGTACGTATATATTAGTAATAGTTTTAGTTTTAGTTGTTATTGTTTTTATGTGCTTGGTCTGTCAAAAAAAAAAAAAAAAACATGATGTCAAACAGATAATTAAATCTTCTCACAACAAATATTAATTTGGAAAAAAATACTATTATTATTATGTTTTGAAGATAAATATAAATTAATAATATTATTATTAGATAGTACAGTTATATAATTAGATATTTATATTATGTATCGTATCTATGTATTTATGTATCTATAATATTAATATTAAATGCACACTATTCATGTATAGATTTAATCTTAATAAATGTTTGTTTGATTTGTTTCTATCTCTGGTGAAAAAGGAAATAATTAACGGAGGGATCTGATTTTTGTCCCGCTTCGTTCTTTTTGCACAACGAGACCTCATATGACTGTCTTTTTGACAAAAAAGAAATCGAAATTTCAAAAACCAACACATCATTATTTTTAATATATTTTGAAAGGAAAGTGAACGAGCTTTTTTTTAACAAGATAGACTTTACTTTGTGTGTGTTGTATTCATATATTATTATTATTATTGTTAATATTATTAATATTATTCCACAACAACAACAACAATAACAACAGAGAGATGCAAAACGACAACGATAAAAGTGTTTATTTAAATGGTAATGATCTTGAAATTCAAGATCTCATCAATATTGGTTACCGTGCATACAAAGTATGCATCAGTGATGAAACTATTCAAATCATTCAAAGAGGTAGAAAGGTTGTTGATGATATTACCTCTTCCGATAAGATTGTTTATGGTATCAATACCGGTTTTGGTTTATTCTCTGATGTTACCATTCCAAATGATTCAATTAAAAAGTAGTATTGTTGTTGTTGTTATTATTATTATTATTATTATTATTATTTTTTAAAAAGAGTACTAACTATCAAGTTTTGTTATCAATATATTCGTTTATCTCTCTCTTTCTCTCTTTCTCTAGATTACAATGTAATTTAATTAGATCACATTCAAGTGGAGTAGGACAACCATTAACACCAGAGAGAACAAGAATGTTGTTGGCATTGAGAATCAATGTTTTAACCAAAGGATACAGTGGCATTAGTTTAGAGTCTGTTACGAGAGCTATCAATATTTTAAATAGTAATTGTTTGCCATTGGTACCAGAAAAGGGAACAGTTGGTGCATCTGGTGATCTTGCACCACTATCTCATTTGGCATTGGGATTGATGGGTGAAGGTAAAATGTACAATGGTACTACCAAACAAATAGAAGACTCTGCCAGTGTCTTGAAAGCACATAACCTTACCCCAATAGAATTGGGTGCCAAAGAAGGATTGGCATTGATCAATGGAACACAATTGATTACATCGTTGGGTTGTGAAGCTGTTTCTAGATCACAGATACTCTGTGAGACTGCTGACATTATTGCTGCACTCACTTTGGAAGCACTCAAAGGTACTGTAGTCGCCTTTAACCCAGCTATTCATGCTGCACGTCCACATAAAGGCCAAGGAAAATCGGCAGAGTTCCTTCGTTCTATTCTTCACGGTGAAAAGTTCAAGTCACAGATTTACACTGGTCACGCCAATTGTGGCAAGGTTCAAGACAGCTATACACTTCGTTGTATTCCTCAAGTACATGGTATCACTAGAGATACTGTAGATTTTGTTGCTGGTATCATTAGCACTGAAATGAATAGTGCCACCGACAATCCAATGGTCTTTGCCGACTTTAATTGTACCATGTCTGGTGGTAATTTTCACGGTGAATATCCAGCAAAGGCACTCGACTATCTTGCCATTGGTATACACGAACTTTCAAATATTTCAGAGCGTAGAATTGAACGTCTCGTCAACAATCAACTATCTGGTCTTCCTGCATTCCTCATCAAAGAAGGTGGATTAAACAGTGGTTATATGATTGCACATTGCACCGCTGCTGCTCTTGTATCTGAAAACAAAACACTCTGTCATCCATCATCTGTCGATTCTATCAGTACTAGTGCAGCCAAAGAGGATCACGTTTCAATGGGTGGATGGTCTGCTCGTAAATGTCTACTCGTCGTCGAGAATGTAGAAAATGTTCTTGCCATTGAATTACTTGCTGCCTGTCAAGCTATCGATTTCCTTCGTCCACAAACCTCAACCGATCCACTCGAAGCTGTTCATGCACTTGTTCGTTCAAAGGTTAGCTTTATGGAAGAAGATCGTTTCCTTCAACCAGATATTGAAGCTGTAAACCAATTAATTACTTCTGGTCAAGTTTTAAATGCTGTTAAATCATTTTTCTAAAAAATAAATATACAAATAAATTAAATCTTAACAAATAGGTAGTAATTATTTATATAAAGTGGTTTTATTATTAATATATATTTCTTTGTCAGTTTTTATTTATTTATTTATTTAATTGTTTATTTATTGCTCCTTCTTTGCTACTGAAGAAGATGATACTCTATTATTATTATTATTATTAGTAATATTATTATTATTATTATTATTATTGTCAGATGAACTATAAGATTTCCATTTATTCAAATAAATGTTTGAAGTAGTTACTAAATTACCAATACCCAAACTAACGAGTATAAGTCCACATGCAATAACTTGCCATTCAATATAATAGGTATGATACTTGAAATAAGAATAAGTTAAAAATACAAAACCATTATACATTTGGAAACAATGTACAAATAATAAAAATGGTAATAAAAATAATGCACTTGGTGTCCAACCTGGATCACTAATCATCTATTAAATAAAAACAAAAATGTGATTAGTAAAATATTATATATATCTATCTATCTATCTATCTATCTATCTATCTATTTCTTTTTCTATTTCTATTTCTTTTTTTTTTTTTTTTTTTTTTTACATACATTTTCACTTGTAACATCCATAATATTTGCTTTACCAATGGCAACCATTCTATACAATTGACCTTGTTGATAACGATTTGTTAGAATTTGAACAATACCTTGAGCACCAGAGAACATGGTCATCATTGGAAGTAGATCAGTAAACGATGTAGAGAGTGGCCAGAGTAGATTGGTGAGTGCACCAGCAATAGAGAGATAGTGATGCATGATCCACCATGGACGAATTGAACTACCATTGACAAGAAGGATATTCTCTCTCAAAGCCAAAGTGACATAGTAATAGAGTAACCATATTTGCCACGAGGTTGTAATAAAAGAGTTGGAAGGAAACATAAAGAGCAAAGCAACAAAGAGTATAAATTGGGGATTGGTCTTGAATTTAAACTTTTCATATTCAGTCTTTAGACGGAATCTTTCACCTTCTCTGTAGTGCTTTACATTGACTTGACCAAGGAAAAGACGTACAAATACACCACCAGTCTCTGGAGTAAATGTCTTTTTCGATTGCTTGATCGATGTTTTAATAGATTGTATCTTTTGTTTCATCTCGACTACTGCATCATTTGACTTGTCACCACCACCGGACTGTAACAAGGTGATACGTTGCAATAACTTTGATGATTCTTTTTCTTGTTTGTCTAGTGTGTTACATATCTCATCCAAGCTTTTAAAACCAACAGCAATCTGTTCCTTAAACTTTAATCCTTTTTCTTTAACTCCATTTTGACTCTTTTCCAACTCTTCCAACTCCTTTTTTAAATCTATCAACTCTTTTTCACTTTTACTTGTACTTGTATCCATGATAAAGTTGATGATATATAAATATATAAATATAAATATATATAAATACAAATATATAGTAGTAGTAGTAGTTTTAAATAAAGTTTTGACCTTTTTAGTATTAATATATATATATATATATATCTATAATAGGTTGTGACAAACACAAAAGTAAGTTCTAAATTAATTCTGTCTGTAGAGGAACTGCTGCTGTAACAATAAAAGAGGGTAATAATAAAAAAAATATGAAGCGGAGAAGGAGCTTTCAAGAAGATTTTTTTTTTTTTGAATAAAATTTTAGTTCTATCTCTTAAGTGTAATTTTCAGCACGGTGCCTACAATATTAGTGTAACACAAATATTTGGTTTCAATGATGAAGGATAATAATGATTAAATTAAGTAGTTCATTTAGAATCGATTAAAATCGTCTGGATCAATCTTTTACCTATTGAATTTTTTTTTTATTTTTTGAAAATTTTTTTGCTTCCTCCCAGAGAGACAGTTCTCTCAGTGCATCCAGCTTCTTTTGTTCGATGATTTATCAATAGAAGAAGTAGTAATAATCTTTTAATTTTCAAAATAAAGAACAAATAAAAATGAAGAGAAAGGTATATAGATAGATAGATAGATAGAAAGATAGATGTACTTTTAAAAAAGAAAGAGCAATGTTGAGCATAAATCTTTAAGATCTAAGCGACCGACAACCCAATATGATCATCATTTATTAATCTTACTCTTTCTTTTCTCTATCTCCTATATCATTCATAGGTATTGTTGATGGGCAGAAGTGAATCTGGTAAGACCTCTATGAGATCTATCATTTTCGCAAACTATATCGCCAGAGATACAATGAGATTGGGTGTAACAAGTAAGTAGACCAAGATCACAATCATCATCATCATCGTTGAATTTATTTATTAATACACACTGTAACCATTATTACTACCTATAGTCGATGTTGAACATTCACATGTTAGATTCCTTGGTAATTTAGTATTGAATCTCTGGGATTGTGGAGGTCAAGAAGGTTTTGTAGAGAGTTACTTGACAACACAAAGAGATCATATTTTCAGAAACGTTGAAGTACTCATCTATGTATTTGATATTGAAAGCAGAGAACACCAAAAGGATCTTAAAAACTTCAAGTCTTGTCTCGAAGCTATCCTCCAAAACAGCAAGGATGCCAAAATCTTTTGTCTCATTCACAAGATGGATTTGGTGCCAGAGGATCAACGTGATAACCTCTTTAGATTACGTGAAACTGAATTGCAACAACTATCTCTTCCCCTCAAAGTAACATGTTTTAGAACATCTATTTGGGATGAAACCCTTTACAAGGTACGCGTAGACACTCAAAAAAAGATATCTTTTTTTTTTCTCTCTCTCAGTCTATTTTAACCATTTTATTTATTTCATTCTAGGCATGGTCATCTATTGTATATTCATTGATTCCAAATGTCAAAGTATTGGAACATCATCTCGATAAGTTTTGCAGAATTTGTGAAGCCGATGAAGTAGTCTTGTTTGAAAAGGCAACATTTTTGGTTATTTCTCACAGTGCACGTAAACAACACAAAGACGTACATAGATTCGAAAAGATTTCAACCATCATCAAACAATTCTTCCTCAGTTGCAGCAAGTCACAAGCCAACTTCCAAGCCATGGAAGTACGTAACTCAAACTTTGCTGCTTTTATCGATGCCTTTACCTCCAACACATACATCATGGTTATAATGTCGGATCAAACCATCGAATCATCTGCCACACTTCTTAACATTCAAGTTGCCAAATCTCACTTTGAAAAGTTTATCCAACAAAACAGTGCCAACCAATCAATTGTTTAACAACAAACGTTTCCAATTTTTTTTTAATTAATTAACATCCTCCCCACCAACCAACCAAACAACCAAAACAAAAAGAATTTAATATAAATATATAAAACTTGTGATAGTATTCATCAAAGTAGATCTTTACAAACTATATGTGCGAAAAATATATATATTTTTTTTGGTGGTTGATAACTTTATTTTCTATTATCTATAGCATAAATATTATTATCATTATTATTATTATTATTATTAGAATAGAATATTGGTGATTATTATTATTATTTAATATTATTATTATTGTTATTTTTGTTTTATGTTGAAGTTAAAATTAAACCAACAGTTACAATCAAACAAGAATAGAGTTTTTCTTTAATTCTTTTGACATCTCTTCCAAAATTGATAGTCTTTTTGAGAATGATTGCAACCACTAGATTGAATAATTGATTGAGAGCACCTTCGGTTGCACTGACAATGCCACCATTGTAGTAGAGATGGTAGGATATGGAAACGAAAAAGTAACCGGCCAAAGATAGTACCTCTCCCAAGGCAGACAAAAGTACATATTTACGACGAATATACAAGAGATCGTAGGTTGATCGACGGAAACGAGGAATAAAGAGAATGAGAAAGAGGAACGTCAAACTGTTACCATAGATTGAGATGATGAGGAATGATATCGACGACTGTCCACCACTTTCATTGGTGCAAAATGTAACCAAAACATAGTAAAAGGCAATGAGAAGGTCAGATAAGAGTACGTTTCTAACTGCCCTTTGCTTCCAAAATCCCTTTGAGAATTGTGTCCACTCTCCTTCGACGGCAGGATAAAAGCCACCGATAAAGATGAGAATAAAGGCTATAAAGTGAAGTGGCGTAATAATCTTGTGGAATGTAGAGAGTACTGGAAAGAAGCCCGATAGCAACGATAGTACTATTGTCATTGGGAGGAGGAAGATTGAGTTTAGTTGCATTAATGGCACAATGACTGTTGAGCTGCTAGATTCAAATGCTTTCAAGAGATAGATCAATGAAAAGCATTGAAATACTCCAGAGAATAATGATGCATATAATATAATAACTGGATTAATCATCTCTATTCCAGCATCACCTCCACCATTGTTGTTGTTATTGTTGTTGTTGTTGTTTGAAAAGTAGAAAGAGAATATATGTGAACTTCCATAGTAACTGTGAAGAAAGATACCACATATAAACATGACGATACCAGAGATGATAGAGTCTTGTTCACCGGTCAACTTGATATCTTCTTCATTGTTTATCATCTTTTGACGATGATGATGATGTCTACTTTTATCACTTTCATTAATCATGATAAGAGTATCACTCTTTTTATAATCTGCTAATAACTCTGTTGTTGTTGTTGTTGTCGTTGTCGTAGATGAATTTGTTGAAGAAGGTAATAATGGTGATGTAGAAGCCGATGTAATTGGAGAGAGGTTAATTCCTTCCTCATCGTCATGATTCCTTTTCAAAGATGATGATGAAGGTGTTGATGATGATGAAGAGGAAGAAGATTCTTTAGGGTTGTGTGGATGTACCTCTGCAATAACACCATCTGATATTACATCACAACCAGCCCATAATACAGCACCAACTATTAATGGTACTGTCCATAATAAATCTACCATTGTTTGTATTAATAATAATAATAATAGTCTGTAGTCTAGATGTAGATTGTATTAGATGATGATGATGATGATTTAATTGTCTGTTCAGCTATATAAAGAGCTGGTTGATAGTTAAAATATCTAATAGTTTTAGATTTGCGAAGAATTTGTTTATTAAAGTTGTTGTTGTTATTATTATTAATTATGTGTTATATTTTTATTATTATTATTATTATGATTATTATTATTATTATTATTACTGTTTATGTATTCATTGTTGGTTTGTGTAGGGAGCTCCCAGCTCGTCGGACAAAGAGATATCTTTCGTAGGAAGGAAGAGACCTACGAGTTTGGGTGAGTCAGCAAAAAAGAAAACAAGAAGAAGTTTTTTAATTTTTATTTATAATTGTATATTTTTTTGTCTATATTATCATCAGTCAAAGCTATGTGTCTCGCATAGAAGGAGCAAAACACACAAATTGAAGAGATAATAATAACCAGATTGCAAACAAAATCTATATATTTCCAAAAAATCAAATGTACTACTTCTAAGAAAATAAAACTTTTGTTCCTGAGATCTTTAGTTTTTTTTTTTGGCGCCTTGCCTTTCGTCCATTTACTTTTACCCATCAATATATATCAGCAGAAAGATACATACATACATACATATAGAAATATATTTCAGCTTAAAATGAATGCAAAACAAGCTCTATTGGATTCTCTCATAAAAGATCCTTCAAACTCACAACGAGATAGCAAATATCTTGATACTCCTTATTCTGCTCCTTATCAAAATAACAACAACAACAACGATGATGATAAACAACAACAGCAACAAAACAATAACAATACTAGTGGTAATAATAATATAATATTAAAAAGAAAGAATACAACTTCTTCTCAAACAACAACAACAACAACAACAACGACAACAAACCCATCACATGATGAAGATGACAATGATGATCTTAATAATAGACCATTAAAGAGACAAACACCATCATCATTTAACAATAATAATAATAATAACAACAAGACTACTAATAATAATAACAACACAACTAATAATAGTAATAATAATAATAATAATAATAATGATGATGAATTTGATTTTAGTTTTGAAGATGATCTAGAACAACAAAGAAACATGTTATTAAATGAAGAGTTGGAAGATGAACAACTCAGTCATATTTGGCAATGGAAATCAGATGCAAATAATTGGGTCAATTATGATATCGATTTCTGTAAGAGATTGGAAAGACACTATGCAAGAAGCAAGGAAAATTTCAAGGTAGACAAGGAAAGATTCATAGACTTGAAGCATAGTCTTCAAAGAAGATATGATGACCCTCAAAAAATTAGAAATGTTCAAAGGGTTAAAGCATCATCATCTTCTTTTTCCTCCTCTTCTACATCTTCCTCGACAAACAAAAATACTATTAATAATAGTAATAGAAATAATAATGGTACTATCAAAAACAACAACAACAACGTATATCCTACCACCAACACAAACACCAATTCAAATACGAATCGTAATTTTAATCCATCAAAATCAAGTCCACCATCATCTTCATCTTCATCTTCATCTTCAACATCATCTGCTGCTGTGGCTCCTGCTACTAGTATAAAGAAACAACCAACAGAAACCTATGATAGAAATATTCCAGGTGAATGGTATTGGCAAGGTCCAGATGGATGGGAACGTTATGATTCAGAGATTTCTACTAGATTGGAAAAGGCTTACACAAAAGAAAAGAAACGTTCCGAAGTCGATGAAGACAGATACGTCGAGTTTGAAGGTCGTGTGCAAAGAAGATATGACGATCAACAAAAGATTAGAAGTATCAAAAGATTTGCCAAAGATGATCATGATAATATTGACACAACTACTTTATCGACGAAACCACAGACCTCTACAATGACAGCAACACCAACACCACCACCACCATCATCATCATCCAACAATTACAATATTCAATCATCACCTGTAAAAACAAACAATACAGTCTCACAAAGTACACCAAAAAGTAGTAACAGTAGCTTCAATAGCAACAACTACAACACAATTAGCGATAAATCCAACAAAAATAATAATAATAATAATAATAATAACAACAATGCCAATAATAATAATGACCAAGATGTAAAATGGAAATGGTTGGGGGATAATGGTTATATGGACTACTCTGCCTCTGAAAGCGAATTGATAGAAAGTGCATTCAATAACAAACAACCAACAGTTGAAATTGCAGTTGGACCAGCCTGTACAAAAGTTATAATAGATTTTAAATCCTATCTACAAAGAAGAGTTGACAATCCAGAAAGAAAAAGACAAATCAAGGTAAGCAAGCTCCTTTTTAATTTTTATTTCACCTACTATCACCAATCAATGATTGTGTTAACACAATGAATAATTATTTATGATTTATAGAGATTCTTTACACAGGCAACGTTTAATACCACCAACCAACCTTTAAAGCCAACCAAATCAATTGCCGCAAAGATTGTTAAAGAACCTGTTTTCCTTGATCTAAACAACGAAGATGATTATGAAGAAGAAATGAAGCATCAACAACAACAACAAGATGATCTTGACGATGATATTGCCTTTAATGATCCAGTATGTATTTATTTATTATTATCATCACGATATTGTGTTTATACTAAATCATATCATCATTTTTATAGGACTATAGAAAGAAAAAGAGACAATTATACGCTTGTGGAAACTCTTATTTATCAGAAGAAAATATTCTAACTTGGTATGATTTCGTAGAGGAAAAGAGAGAAAAGTTTAGAAACCAAGCCAATCTATTTTACCCTCCAAATGCCAACTTGAGCAAAAAGATATCACTCTTTGGTGGTGACATTACGACACTCGAGATTGATGGTATTCTCAATGCTGCCAAACAATCACTTTTAGGTGGAGGTGGTATCGATGGAGCTATTCACAAAGCAGCAGGACCATCACTATACAGACAATGCAAGACATTGGGAGGGTGTGCCATTGGTCAATCAAAAATTACCAAAGCCTTTAGATTACCCGCCGATTATATTGTATGTATATAAAAATATATATACACCATCCATTAAAAAAAAAGGTTATTAACCTTCTTGATTGTTATCCTTTCTTATTAGATTCACACTGTTGGTCCGATTGATGGGAATGGGGACAAGCTAAGATCATGTTATCAAACAACATTGGATACAATAGTGAAACATAATATTCGTACCTTTGCTTTTTGTTGTGTTGCCACTGGTATCTATGGATTCCCAAACAAAGAAGCAGCTTCCATTGTGTTGGACACCATTCGAAGTTGGTTAGAAACCAATCATTCCAAAGTTGATAGACTCATCTTTTGTGTCTTTACAAACGAAGATTATGTCATCTATGGAAAACTATTACAGCTTTACTTTCCTGTTCATCCAATTGGACAATAATAATAATAATTATAATAGTATTGTAATCGTCTCTTTGTCGTCATAACTTTAAATAAAACCAAACTAGTTTCAATACACACAAAGGTGTCCATTTTTTAAAAGTAGATCTATATTGATTAAAGGTTGATTGCTTTGTTGTTGTTGTTGTTGTTGTTATTACAATCTAGAATGCAATCTATTTCTTTTCTTCTTCTAAAATCTCCTTTTGCTTTTCAATGTTGTACAAATAGTTTGGTGGTGTGTAAGCTGCATCGGTACCAGTTGGATTTTGGAAATGTTCTCTCTTGTATGTTGGTGTGAATGACATCATCTATAGATAGGTAGATATATATAAAGGTGTAATGTAGAACAACAAGTTTCGTCTAGTGTAAGTAATCTCTAGTGTCGTTTTTCTTTCTTTCTTTCTTTGTTGTTGTCGATATTTCAATCTATTACGTACATCTTGAGTATTACCATGCTTATCAGAGATATGATGCAACCATGAATGCCATTCAGGTGGAACTAAAGAAGCATCAACATTTTTTGGGTTACCATATTCTACCCATCTGTGTCTTCCTGTATATTTTGATAATAGTAGGAGGAGGGAGGGAGGTAGGGAGGGAGGGAGGGAGGGAGGGAGGGAGGGAGGGAGGGAGGGAGGGAGGGAGGAGGAGGAGGTAGTGGAGATATTAGAATAAAAGATGATGATTTTGATAATGCATTCATATTATAATATGATCTTACCGTGTGGCTCAGCCTTATTTTCATAGTATCTGTTACCAAAAGAATCTTGACCGACAATGGTACCATATTTGATTTCACCAGTGTAGTATAATGTCTTTAGAGATTCTTTTAATCCTCTTTGTACTATACCTCTGCAATATCTAATTAGTTCTGTCATCTTGTTGTTGTTGTTGATAGTTTACTCTATAAAAATTCAATACTTTTGCAAATGCGCGAAAGATCATAGTCAAATAAAAAAAAAAAATAAAAAAAATTAATTTAATGAATCAAGTCCCTAAAAGGTTAATAGGTTTGGTAGTTGGTTGATTGATTGATTGGCTCATCATAGATGTTGTAGCTAGAGCTGATTCATCTCAGAAATATACAATGGTAATAATCAAATTTAATAGTCATCTCTCTCTCTTAGTTTGACATGATCATTTACTTTGTTATCAACTCTCTCAGAATTACTTACTCTGACTTGTATTATTATTAAATTTAGATTCGATTCAACGCCATCAATACATATACGGATGATAACCATAATGGTGACAATGTTGATGCAACTCGCAACTATAGTTTCTCTGAAACAGAATCAACTAGCAAGAAAGCAACAACACGACAAGCAGCAGCAAACAACAACAACAACAACAACGATAATCAATTGTCAAGCAACCATGGTTGGGATAATAGTAGTGGTGTCAGTAGTGGTGGTGAAGATAGTTTCAGTGAAAGTGATGATGAATATTCAAGATTAACAGTAGAGGCTCAAGAAGCAATCATATTTAAAACCTATGATAAAGCATTAAGAAGACAACAATCAAATAACCATTTAGAATCGCAACAACTTTTTAATGATATTTTAAATGCTTCACTCATCAAAGAGATTGTATGTAATAATATTTTTTAAATAGTTCACCTCTCAATTATTATTATTATTATTATTGAATTTCATATTAATGCTTTTTCATTTTAAAAGACACCAGATAACAGTAGTAATGCCTCAAAATCATTATTTCTTATTAAATATTTATCATTAAAGAATTTGGCAACCATCTATGAATTGATGGATGACAAGGAGAGAGCACTCACCTATTTTGCACAGGCAGTTGATTATGACAATAGAGATCTAACATTGTGGCATAATATCGGTAAATTGTCTTGTGATCTTGGTAAATGGTCGTTGGCTAGAATCGCATTTGAGCGTGCACTTTCCATATCTCCCATTCATTGGATTTCACTCGAAAGATTGACTGAAATGCTTTATTGCATTGGTGATTTTGATAGTTGTCGTATAATGGTCGATAGATGTTTGGAGATTGATCATACATCAAAAAGAATACAATGTATAAATGCACTTTTACTTCGCGAGGATCCAAAAAAAGTGGACAATCTTGGAGAGATTTTAAAATTATTTGTTGAAAATGATCAGGAATCTAAAAATTATATTCAAAATCTTATAAAGGCACACGAAAAGATACAGAATGGACTGGGATCCAACACATTAAATATATCATCACCAACATTATTGCAAGAACCAACCAAATATACACTTGCAAATCTTTCATGGGATTCCTTATCAACCTTATTGTCGACAATCTATAATCAAGCAAAATCTCCAACTTTATCATCATCATCATCATCGTCACCATCATCTCCACTCCGATTATATTCACCAATAGAAATTAAATCAATGGGAGATTTTTCACCAAAGAAAGCAGTTTCTTACACAATCAACACCCCAATTGATTCTCCATCCTCTTCTTCCCCCTCCTCCTCTTCCTCCTCTTCATCTTCACCTTTTTCTAGTTCTGATAAAACGCAAATCAGTCCACCAACTACTACTACTACTACTACTACTACTACTACTACTACTATTGTTGTTGCAGATGAAAAGAAACAATCCCCCGAAAATCTGGTTCAAACAGAAGCCATTGCCCCCACAACCACAGAACCAGCAACAACAACAACAAATGGGGCAGATAATTCACCAACTTCTTCCTCCTCCCCTTCCACTACAACAAACACTTTAAATTCAAGTTCAGGAAGTATTCCCATTGTAGCAACAGTTGCAACGGCACCAACCACCACATCATCGATAAAAACCAGAAGATCTCTCAACGCCAATGTAAGAACTCCTACCGCTGCTACACCGCAAAAAGAAGATGCCAACAAACCACTAGAGACTGATGAGTTTATTGAAAAATTATTCACAATCAAAAAGCCAATCTCAATGAGTGCCTTGACAGATTTATATGTATTGGCTGATCAAGAGATGAGTGGCGGTGACAGAGGAAGCAATTCACCAAATGTGGCGGGTTCATCAAAGGAAATGGATGAAAAAAGTAAAGTGACAACTTTAGATCTTCAAGAAATGGAAAAAGAAAGAGTGCACAATTTTATTAAAAGGATCAACCAAAAGGAAAAAAAGGGCACAGTATTTGATTGGATGATTGACTTTTTAGAGTATACTTGCACTCACCAATCCTATCAATACCCTCAGAACCTTTTAACAAAGTTGAGCACAATCTATACCGTTGTTTCTAAAGTCTCTCCTCATTTTTATAGGGTATGATTGATCTAGATTTATATTCCTCTATATAGTAACTAACCAATTTCTATATAGTTTATATTATTTTTTGCAGAAAATTCATTAGATTCAATATTGTATACACCAAAACCGCTCACAACACAAAACCCATATAGAAATCAACATGAATTATCAAATTTTATTCAACAACTGAATTGCAATCAAACGATTATTGATCAAGATATTGTATTGGCAATCAGATATAGATGGTTATTGGCTAGATATTACAAATATATGGGTGATATTGAATTGGCCACTCACTATTTTGGCGCTTGTGAAGAACATTGTCAAGAGTGGTCAGTAAAATCCTCCAGTAACAAATCACCCATTATCGTTCTCTATAATTGCAAGGGTGATAGATACATTTCAACTGCGATTGTAAAAGAGAAAATAACGAGTCTTCAAGACCAACAAGAAAAAAACAAAGCAGGACATTACTTTAACATTGGAGATTATAATGAATCGATCAACATTCTAGAACCACTTTTCCCAGATACATTTTGTTTAATTGATCCTTTATCATTATCAATCTCCTCTTTAATCTCCTCCCCCAATAATACAAACAATAATAATAATAACAACTCTCAAATATCATTGATTAGTTTTGAATTCAAAAATAATAATATCGATATTCAAACCAAATCAAAACTTAATATGGTTGATACACTCTTAAAGTCATACATGTACCAGAAAAATATCAAGGGAGTATTAAAAATGGCAATCATTCTTTTAAAAGAGTTGGCTCTGGTTGTAAATAGCCTGGACACTATCAATAGTCACCTTTCAACTTTGGAAACTGTTTTCACAAATCAACCTCTTATTTCCCACATATCTTTTGGACCATTATCAGAAACCAATCAAACTTTATTGTCCATTCTTACAAGAATGGTTTATAAATTTTATAAAAAAATGGTAAGATGAGAAAAAAGAAAGTTTACAATTGGTTAATATTAAAAATATACTATTTTTTTAGATGTCGTATGAATGGTTTAAAATATTCACCTCGATTTTTAATATTGACCCATCTAAAATCATTTCGATGCCAAACAAGATTATATTTTATACATTGTATCACGCTGACATTGGTAAAAAGAAATCATGTCACCAAAATCAAATATTCTTACTAGACTATGTAAATCTTTTACTTGGATTCATTAGCAATAGTGATCAGGATGAAGAAATCGATCCACTTTTAGAATTCAATGAATCAAAAATCGATATGATCGCTTTCAAGATAATGAAGGAATTGTGTCAATGTTATAAATGTCTTTATAACATTAAATTAACTGTAAGTAATATAATATATTAATAGGCCAACTACTACTACTACTACTAGATTTTATTAACAAAGCATTTATTCTTTTTAAAAGAGTCAAGTAGATGAACATGGCAAAAGAGATTCATATTTACCATTAAAGTTAAATGTTTTTATGCAATTTTATGTAATCATTAAACTTTTGACAGAGGAACAGGAAGAAACTAGTGTACCATTAAATCCAATCATGGTAAATTCGATAGACCGAATTGGAACACTATCAAGCAAAAAGGAATTCAAAGATATAATAGAATTGATTTATTTTAAATTCCCAACTCCTCCCATCAGAGGTAAATATTTTTAAAAATATAAAGATAGGATTTGATCATTCATTTAAACTAATCAAATTTAATTACATTTAGCAACAAAATATAAAACAATAATAGATGATTATATTGATGGAACAACCAACGAAATCATCGAGTTGATGGATGTAGAGTCACCACCAAGATTAAATTATCACATGATTTTCGATGATAATTTGGATGATTCATCAATTGACCATCCATTCTTTGATGACATTTACACTGATATTTATTATTTGTACGCAGAAACGTTGTCAGTCACAAAGGATACAAGGTCTGCTCGATATCAACTTTATATATACGATCTCTATTGCAATCCAAATCGTTTAAATACATGGGACCTTCTCTCTAAAATAATACAAGAAGATCTAACACACATCACAAATGAACAAGGTCTAAATGCTCTAGAAAATATTCAAGTTTCCAATACAATTATAGAACTTTATAGAGTATGTAAACAAAAACATCATCCATCAATGAATTATTAATTCATTTTTTTTTTTTTTTAATTAGAAATTAAGATTAATCTATAGACAGATGATAAAAATCGATCCAACTGAAGAGATTTATAATTTATTGGCGTTATCAATGTATGAAGAGCACTATTTTATTTCACCATCCAGAATGGATTGTAAGGAATTAACAGAGAGACTGTACAATGAATCATACGAGTACTTTGAAGAGACATTAAAGCATGCTACAAATGATCATTGGAATTTTATCTATTACCAATCAAAGATATTATTTAAATTACAAAAACCATTGGAAGAGTGTTTTGATCATCTCTGGAAATCCATCCAAATGTGTCCTCCCCCTCAACCCAAAAAGAAACCTCCTGTGGACCCTCTTTATAGATTACACACGAACCGACTTAAACTTCTCCTCCCTTTAACAAAACCTGTTGATGAACAGCTTATCACTTTGTTGGAGAAATATAATTTTTCTCCAAAATCAAAGACAAAATCAAATCAACTAACAGATGACGAACAACCCAACAATGAATCGACAACAACAACAACAACAGTAGAGGATGATGTTACCAACATTGATGCTACCAACAACGACGAAACATTGGCAGCTACAGAACAAAGATCACCAGAATCTTTAGAAAAGAGAAGAGAAAATTTAATCGAAAATTCATATGCAGCTCTTTGTCATTGTAAATCTTTGCTTTCTTATCATCATCAATCTTTTTATAGAGTATGAATAATAACAAAAACAAAAAATGAATCAATTCTTATTAATAATTTTTATTTAGATTACATGGGTAATTAGATATTCAACCTATAGAGAAGATTATTTAAAAGAATCTCTCAATGAATTTATTAAATTGTTTAAACCACGAATTTCAAGATTATCAAAAGCTGGTGTATGGAGTCTTTGGAATGATGGATATATTGGAGATGGTAAATTGGATAGATATTTTAGAAAATACTATAGATTTTACCTTCAATTGTTGGAAGAGAACAATGATTACACCAACTTGGATCTTTTGTATGCAAAGATAAAAGTTGAACCCAGATTCAAACACGAAGCTTCATTGTGCTTTGAAGCATGTTGCAAAACAATTCGTCACCAATTGGAAAATAGTCACTCTGAATTGGCAACCACAAAAAGCAAACTGCACCAAGTTCAACAAAACCACGATCATCTCCGAAAACAACTGCAACACCAGCAACAACAAATTCAAAATTATCACTCACATCACCAAGTCATCCAAACTTTACCAACTAGTGAGACAGCAGCTTCAGTAATAGATGATCAACCTGGACAAATTCCAACAATCGACCAAGGTCTGTTGACAGGCATTACGCAGGCTGAAAAAGAAGAACACCACACCAAGGAATTGCACGACAAATTATTGCAACAACAAAACAAAATACTTCAGGCCTTGTGGGATTTGTATAATGATGCAAATACACTTTATGTTCATCTTAGAGATCAAGTAAACAATATTTTAGTAGATTGTTATCGCGTTGCCTATCCATCCTCGTCTAGCCACAACTTTAATGAAATTTTAGAATACTTTGATAAGAAATTTTCAAATCCATCTTCTCAAAAAGATAAAAGAAAAAAGCCCACCACCACCACCACCACCACAACAATAGTACAACAACCTTCTCAATCACAATCATCAACACAACCAGCAGTAGGACCTACATTAATAGATTCATCTGATGATTCTAAATCACCAACACAAAAAGATCTAAAAAAGAAGAGAACCAGTTTTTAAATAAAAAGGTGCCCTTTAATATATTATATATATATATATTTACAAAAATGAACGATTTATTATTTAATGTTAAAAAGAAAACCATTTTGGAGATTTTAAGCCATTTTGTTGTTGTTGTTGTTGTACATTTAAAGTCAGAGGTGTATCAACCAATACACCAAGTGCAGCACCACTATCATAGGGGTATTGAATAAAGATGCATTTTCTAGGATCAAAATTATTTTTTGTGTTTAAAACAGAGGAGAGTGATAGTGGATCCAATGAAGTTTCGCCAATCATGCCCTCTAATCTTCTTGTCAAATCCTCCATATTTACAGAATCCAAATTAGCACCAATAAATATTGGATTTCTTCTAAATGGACGAAGAAGATAGCAACAATACCAAAGCATTGCTAGTGATACCGGTTCTGATATACACAATGTTAGCCAATATAAATTCCAAACCATGATTACCCTCATACTATTAACGACTAGAATAGCACCCAAATATACTACAACTGCTGTTCTTAGTTTATGCATTAATTTTTTCTTTTGTTCTAATCTATGAGCAATTGAATTATTTGTATACCTAATAATAAATAAAAAAAATAAGTAACATTGAAAAGAGAAAACAAGTGTTTTGTTTTTTTACATATTATTTACCTTGACAAAACAAGATGAGAACCTATTAATCGTAAATTTTTTGTTATATTTGTAAAGATTTTGGGCATCATAAAGAGGTAAAGTATCATAAGTGAAAGAAAATACTATAAAGGAAGAAAGAAAGAAAAATGGTTGGTGAGTGATTTGAACGATGCGTTAGATTTACAATTTTTTTTGTTTTTTGTTTTCTTCTTTCTACCTACATAAACATCATTATAAAAACTAAAAAACAATAATACTGCCAACAGCAGAGAAAGAATCGAAAGAATAGTCCTAACTTCAATGGGAGGGAAGTAATTTCTTGTAATTCTCCATCCCTTTGAAATCAAAAGAAGCATTCCAAAAAAAAATGTCTCTTCTAGTGAAAAAAATATATTGATAAGATACTTGGCTGTCATATTCCATTTTCCAGAATTGTTTGCACTCTGGTAAAATATTAATGTTAGGAATAATAATACCAACTTTAACACCAATACAAATACTAATAGTAGTAAAATAATTAAAATGATTAGAATGATGATGGAGACTAGGTTTTCTACGTTTAACTAAAGTTTATACATACCAAGAATATAATGAATTTCATTTATAAATCTTCTATTTTTCGTGATAATATAATTGTAGGCGATAAAAAAGACACCTGCAATAATGGTAAAGTACAGATATGCCTGTGGAAGTTGAAGATAACCAACTGGAAGATAACCACCAGGATTCTTTAGTGAATAGTCGAGTGATAGTTTGTAATTTGTATTTTGACCGTCTTGTGCTCCACAATTGAGTAGAATGAGACGATACATATCGGTAGTGTTGACAATGATCGATAGTGGTTGTTCATTGAACACTGGTATTGACCTAACTATACATTCACCTTCATCTGGATTTGAACATAGTTTACTTTCAATCTTTCCACCACTCGATGATGTTCCAATCAAACTCTTGAAATCTCTATCCTGACACATCCAAAACGTTAGGTTGCCATGATTGATTTCAGATGGAACCGTGCTTAAAAGGTGAACAGAACCACCATCACCAAATCCAAATGATTCAATCATATAGTATTGTCCATCCAATGTTATATCTCTATTTGATTTCATAGCTTCTATTGGTTTTCCACCAAATGCTATTATCATTATCATTAAAACTATAAAATAGGTCACATGATGATAATGTCGACCATTGTTGTTGTTGTTGTTGATTGCTTTATATATCATTTTAAATAAAATGACTTACTAATTGGGGTGATGTAGTAGAGGAAGAAGTAGGTTGGGAAAATGAATAAAAAAAAATGTGATGATTTGTATTATTACTACTATGGTGTTGTTTGTTATATATGTGTGATTTCTATAAAGAAAATTACTTCATCTTTCTTCTCTCTCTCTCTCTCTCTCTCTCTCTAATACAATTCTCTTGTTGAAAGTTTGAGTTGTGTAGAAATGATAATGATAATAATAATAATAGAATAGATATCTTTTTTTTTAATTAAAATGTACATTGAGCAATGGGGGGGTGGACCATCGAAACAGAACGATCTGTTTTTTTTTTTTATTTTATTTTATTTTTTATTCTTTTTTTGGTATGAGAGAAATTAAACGAAGTGCATAAAGAGTTGTATTTAATACTGTAGCAGTAGTAGTATTAGTAGATTGTAGTCATCACAACCAATTTAAAAAAAGTAAGATAATAAATATAATAAAACATAAATATTATCCTGTACTTACAAAATAATCTATGAATACTACTACTACTACTACACAGATATATATAGATAATGGATCAAATTAATAAAGGATGGTTTAGTGAGATTAGTGAATTCTGGCCTGGTAATTCATTCTCTCTACAAGTTGAACAAGTGTTACACCATGAAAAGACACAATATCAAGATATCCTAGTATTCAAATCAAAGACCTTTGGAAATGTTCTTGTATTGGATGGTGTCATTCAAGCAACTGAACGTGACGAGTTTGCCTATCAAGAGATGATTGCTCATCCAGCATTATTTGCTCATCCCAATCCAAAAAAGGTATTGGTTGTTGGTGGTGGTGATGGTGGTGTCTTACGAGAGGTTGTCAAACATGATTGTGTCGAAAGTGTCACACTCTGTGAAATTGACAAGGGTGTCATTGATGCCTCTAGAAAGTACCTACCCAATATGGCCGTCGGTTTCGATCACCCAAAGGTTACACTATTTATTGGTGACGGTCTCGAATTTATGCGTCAAAGAAAGGGTGAGTTTGATGTCATCATCACCGATTCATCCGATCCAATTGGGCCAGCTCAAGGACTCTTTGAAAGAGCCTACTATGAACTATTAAAGGAAGCTCTTGCAGAGGGTGGTATTCTTTGTTCACAGGCTGAAAGTCTTTGGTTACATTTGGACACTGTCAAAGGATTGACTACCTTTTGTAAGGAACTTTTCCCAGTGGTTGAATACGCCTACACCTCTATTCCATCGTATCCAGGTGGTTCAATCGGTCTATTGATTTGTAGCAAGAGCAACACCTCTTGTAAATCACCAATTAGACAAGTATCAAGTGAAATACTCGAAAAGATGCAATATTACAATGAACAAGTTCACAAGGCTTCTTTTGTTTTACCACAATTTGCTTCTAAACAATTAAATCTCTAGAGACCTATAAATAATGAGTATAAATTATACTCTTCTTCTTCCTTCTTCTTCTTTTTTTAAATAAACAATTTATTCATTGGTAATTTAATACCAACTATAGGCGAAATGATCGATATCCAACTTGATAAATATTTATCATTATTATTATCAATAATAATATTATTATTATTATTATTATTATTATCAATATCAATATGTAAAACCTCTTTCATTAGATTTGCAGTTTCACATGGATGCAATTGGTAAAATGGAATACCAAGAACAGGATGTTCTACTTGTGTGATTAATGGTATTGATTGATATAAATTGGCATCATCTGATTTACCTCTATGTGTTCCTTGTAATATAGGCAATATTTCATCCCACAAAGTCATCAATGAACCATCTAGAGAGAGAGAGAGAGAGAGAGAGAGATGAGGATTATAACAAAAAAAATAAATAATAATAAATTAGCAACCATCAACATCAGCACCATGCTCGGGTGATATCGATCATTGAATACTCAACCATTTCTATAGACATTGATATATAATACAGGAACTCTATATGATTGACTATATAGTATGTGATATTCGGCATGGTATGTGGTTGATAGTTGTTGTTGTTGTTGTTGTTTGTTGTTGGTATTTGATGATAGTGATTGTAAATCATTTTCTTGCTGGTGTACCCAATCTTCCAACTCTACATCTTTTGGTGCTTTTTGTTGTTGTTTTGGTGTCATGGTATGTGTAACGGTGATGATCTTTTTTAATAGCAAATAGCTCAGATTTGGAGCTATATTTGAATTGTTGATTAATTGCCAATTATCATCTGATGTTGTTGTTGTTGTTGTTGTTGCTTCTTCTTTTACATCTTGTGAATCAATACATTTAGCAATAAAGTCTTTGCATTGACTTACAAATTCTTCATAGCCGATGTTCATGTTTAAATTTTAACAAAAGAGTAATGAAAAATTTTGGTGTGTCTTGATTGATTCGGAATGGTCAATAAAAGCGTTTATTAATTTAATCGAATAATTTAATCGATTTAATTATTATTACTACTACAGGGTAATTCTCAAATGATGAATTACTCTAATATTGGAGTTTATACATCATCAGTTAAAAGCAATAATAGTCCTAAAACAAACAACAACTATAATCATTTATATCGTAGTAGTAGTAGCATAGAATCATCCCCTAGTAATAACAACAACAACAACAACAACAACAACAACAACAACAACAACAACAACAACAACAACAACAACAACAACAACAACGATTCAATCGTTGACAATAACAACAATAATTTAGGTTCACCAAAGTCATGGTCCACTAAATCAATATCATTGAAACCCTATAACTCTCCATTTAAAGGCGATCGCATTGGATCAAACACTCACTCTTCATCTTCTTCTTCCTCCTCTTACCAATTTGAAGATGCATCTCCCTCTAAAGGTTTGGCTCATGATCGTGATTCATTGACTTATCCTCCCCATCTATCATCATCACCATCATCATCTCTATCACCATCGCCATCTTCGTCGTCATTGAACAAAAATAATAATGAAATCAACATTAATAATCAAGACAAAGAAAACTTGGTGGTGAATATGAGAAACACTAGTTCATATTCTCCTCCTCTATCAGCTTCCTTTTCATCTTGTTTGTCCTCATCCTCCTCTTCAGCTCAAAAGAAACCAACATCTTCTTCCTCTCACTCATCTTTGGCATCTGGTTCAATAAATGCAAATATCTATCTCGATGATGATGATGATGATGATGACTATGATGAAACTTTGGATTCAAGTGATACTTCTTTTTACATGGCAACAAAACAATTAACCAACACATTGAGTCTTTGTGACTTGGATGTATACTTTTCATCATCATCATCAGAAGAGGAAGAAGAAAAAGACAATTATGACAATGGAAATGAAAATGAAATTGAAAAGATTGATAGAAACCAAAATCATAGAGAATCGATACAAGATCTAAACTCATTTGATATTGACATGCTAGTCAACAAAAACAATTCTGATAAAGCTAAAAACTTGACTGTAAATTAATCATCCCCAAATCAAATCAAATACTATCGATATTAATATTTTCAATATTTAATATTTAGCAAAAATTGAATTCATTAAAACAAAAATACCATGAAAAGGAAAAGAGAACCAAAGATAGATCAGAAGAGTTGAGATTAAAAAACATAAGGAAACAACGCGAAAAGAATAATAAAATAATAACCGAGCTCACAAACAAGGAACAATCACAAAGAAATTCAATCAAGAATGAAATCATGTCGACACAAAATAGCAGACTAAATGACTCGATTAAAAACGATACACAAAATACCATTAAAAACTATAATCAAGTAATGGAGGATAAAAGTAGAAAAATACAAGAGGAAATGGAAAAAATGAAAAGAAAAGAGGATCAGAAAAGAATGGAAGAAGAAAAGAAAAAGGAAGAGGAAAGAAAGAAAAGAGAAAATGAGGAAAAGGCAATCTTGGAAAAGGAAAGATTAGAAAAGGAAAGATTGGAAAAGGAAAGATTGGAAAAAGAAAGATTAGAAAAGGAAAGATTAGAAACTATCGAAAAAGAAAGACTGGAAAAAGAAAAATTGGAAAAAGAAAGATTGGAAAAAGTAAGATTAGAAAAGGAAAGATTGGAAAAAGAAAGATTGGAAAAGGAAAGAGTAGAAAAGGAAACACAGGAAAAGGAAAGATTGGAAAAGCAAAGATTTGAATTGAATTCCAAACCAGAAACAGAATATGATGTTGCAATAGCTGCTTGGCAAGAATATAAAGATGGAAAATTATTTTTTGATACTGTTTCGAAACTTGAATCCAATATTCCTCTAGCCACACAAAAGGATTTATTAAAAAATATCAACAAAATAATTAATCAAATATCATCAAATAGAGAATCAATTATATCAAAGGTATTTATAATATTAATATGCATCAACACTGTGTGATTGCTATTTTGGTTCTCTCAACCACTTACACTATTATTATTATTTTTTTTAAAAAGTCAACAGAATTGAAAAATATATTAGATTCAATAAGAGGAGAAAATACATTCTATCGTATGACAATGAATACGATATGTACAAAGATTATGCAACAAGTTGAAGTACAGATCAGCGCCAATCCTTCTTTGGCCACTCCATATGCTATGGTAATAGTCAACATTGCTAAAAGCAATCCCGATATTTTACAATTTATTTCATGCCACCTCCAACACCATTGTATATACATGACACCGATGCATGCAAAGAAAAATATAGGCGATTCCAATGATAAGTATTTTGCTCGAATGGGATACAAGATGACTCAAGACGGGGTGGTAGCAGAAAAAGAAGAAGATTTCTATCTTCGTATGACGGGTTACATTGCCCTTTACGCGTCAATTGTCTCACACTCTGCATCAGATTCACAACTCTCTGACGAAATTAAATGGTATCTACTAGAAAGTGCATGGAAATGGATATCTAGGTTCTGTAACCTCAAAGCTAAAAGAATAACATCTTTTATGTTGTTGTCATTCTTGCAAACAGCAGGACATGTCATGCTGGCCATCTACAAGAACCAATTCACTAAAATATTAAATCTCATCTCTACGAAAGAGTTTCTTGATGCTCTGCCAAATGAACCAGGTGTCCGATCATCAAATGCAAGACTAATACAATTTCTAGAAAACTATCATTCTAACAAAACAATTCAACCACTTGAAGGATCAATTATTAATTAATAATTAAAAAAAAATAAAAACCCAAAAAAAAAAAAAAAAAAAAGAAACGAAAAAAAGTATAACTGATGTGCAGTAAAATCTAAATATATATATAAAAGCCGTTAAAAAAAGAAAAATCAGATACTTATTCTTTCAACACCACCCACCACAAATATAAAGAGATAAAAATAGAGTACTATCGAATAACGCTGTCGCGTGGTTTCAAAAAATAACGGATCTGAAAGTCGAGTTGTTTTGAAAATTGCACTTCGTTGCTTTCAGAGAATATGAAGTATAGGTGACTCTTTATGGTGAAGTGATAAATGGAAAGTGTATTATTTTTTTTCTATAATTATCTAATTATAAAAAAGATTTGAAGCTTTGCTATGATGAATCTTCTATCATGATGATGATGGTGGTGATGGTGGAGATTCTCTCCCTTTAATGAACACTGTGTTCTATGCAAAAAAAAATCTCTACCCCCAATTGTTCACTCGGCTCAGTTTCCCCACCGCCACCACCACAGCCACCACAACAAGTGAGAAATTTGATTCAATGAATCCACACCTCTTGTGGGGAAGTAGCAGGTGCAAGCGATCGATAGAGAGAGCGTGAAAGAGGAAACTAAACTTTTATCAATGGTCACTCACCACTTGTGTCGAACCGTGAAGACAAACACCGCTGTTGTCAATTAAAATTTTTTTTTTAATTTAATTTTTTTTATTAATCTGTTTCTCTCTTTACTCTAGGGTATTCTAAAGCAGTTGTTGTTCCATTGATTTAAACACACAGGTCTTTTAAATATTGCAATTGTATATATTTTTATAAAATAATAATAATAAATAATAATAAGAACCCAAACCAACAATTATCAAAGTTATCTAATCCAAGAGGAAACCCTCAACACAGTCACACACACACACATTAAAAAAGAGACAAAAAGAGTAATGTCTTTCAATAGCAACAGTACTAGCAATAATAATAATAATAATAATAATAATAACTTTTTTGAAACATCAGCGTCAATACACGACACCACTGACCAACAACTAAACACACAACAACAGCAGCAACAAGATGGCAGTGAGGGAGCTCAACACCATCCACTCAACCTACCACATGACAATGAACAACATGCAGGCATGACTGAAATCGAATTAAAAGATTTCACTAATCTTCGTTCATCTAGTGGCAGCGTTGGCAGCAGTGCCGGCGGTGGAGGAGGTAGCAGTGGTCAATTGTCAAAGTCATCTTCAATGGTACAAATCAAAGACCAATTGGATGAACAAGATACTCAAATACCCCTTTACTACTCAATGACCAAGGAGAAGCAAAGAAAGAAAATTTTAAAGTTGCGTTCAAAGTTAAAGAACAAATTCAAAAACAAGGATGGTACAACAACAACAACATCAACAGCCATTTCACCACAATCACCAAAAGGTTTTACTCCCAATAACAACAAAAAGAAAAAGAAGCAAGGGGACGAACCAGTTGAAGTTTCTGTAAGTAATTACCATGTGTCTCTTATCTCCAAGCAAATACTAATAGTATATTACTTTTTTTTTTTTTATTTTTTTCAAAAAGAACGATCATATGATTCCATTAGAAGAACTATCAACCAAGTTTTCAACCAATCTTAATCTAGATGATCTCAAGTACAGTATGGTATGTATTACTCTTTTCATTCATTTTAATTGCAATACTACGAGTCATTCTTTTTTGGATACCGAAAAGCTTGCAAAGATCTTGAAAAAATCAAAAACTAATTAATTAATTTTCGATTTTTTTTTTTTTTTCTTCTCGACATAGGGTATTACATCCAAAGATGCTGAAGAAAGACTTGAACGTGATGGACCTAATGCTTTGACACCAAAGAAGCCTGTTCCAAAATGGGTCAAATTCTTGCTTCAATTCCTCAGCTTGTTCCCTCTTATGTTGGAAATTGGTGGTATCCTATCGTTTGTTGCCTATGGAGTCGATAAAGAAAGTGGTAGTGACAATGTATGTGTTATATATATAAAAAAAAAAAAAAAAAGAACCTACTTTACTTAAAAGATATTAATATTTTTATTTATCTATAGCTCTATCTTGGTATTATTTTATGGGCAGTAGTATTGTTTACTACGATCTTTACCTTTTTACAAGAATCCAAATCGGCTCATGTTATGGATGGATTTAAAAAACTTGCACCAACATCGACCAAAGTAGTAAGAGATTCTCATTTGATTGAGATCAACTCTGAAAAGCTTGTAGTTGGTGATGTCATTCACATTAGAGCTGGTGACCGTATTCCAGCTGATATTCGAATTATTTATTCTCATCATTTAAAAGTATATTTCAATCATCACTCTTCTTTAAACCTAATTCCTTCTTCTTCTGCTGCTCTTGTTACTCCTTTAACAATCATTCATCATCATCATTATTATTATTATCATCATTATTATCACCATCATTATAACAATAATATCATGACCATCATCACTTTTTTTACCATTGTCTTTATAGACAATAGTATTATTAATAAACATTCAAAATTTGAATCATCTCTTGTTACATTATTAAATAATGTTATAGATGATAAACTTACCTTTCCTCCATCTTCATACTTTAAAAAAAGACAGCAACCAACATCAGATCAATCCAGCAGATTCACAGAATTACCATCCCTCCCCACCTCCATGGGTGAACAAAACAATATCTAATTCTCATCCATTTATTCTCTACATTTTGTATATATATATATATATATATATATAGGTTGACAATGCATCATTGACTGGAGAGTCTGAACCACAAAGTAGAACTGCCGAATGTACAGATGAAAATGCATTTGAAACATCAAACTTGGCATTTTATGGTACTATGGCTGTAGATGGTGATTGTGTAGGTGTAGTCATTGCAACTGGTAACCAAACTACCATTGGAAAGATTGCTAGATTGGCTACTCACACCAAACCATTACCTACCCCATTAAAAACTGTAAGATATCAACCAAATAATTTAATAATGCATTAAAGAGATCCTAACACTTTTTTTTTTTTTTTTTTTTAGGAAATTGAACAATTTATTAGAATCATTACAATTGTTTCCATTTCACTTGGTTTAATTTTATTGGTTGTTGGTTTTGCCACCAAGGTCAAATGGATTCTAGTTATCATTTATTGTATTTCTGTTGTTGTCGCACAAGTCCCAGAAGGTCTCTTACCAACCATTACCGTTCTTTTGACTCTGACCGCCACTAGAATGTCCAAAAAGAATGTACTCGTCAAGAACTTGTTGGCTGTTGAGACTTTTGGTTCAACCAGCACGATCGCTTCCGATAAAACTGGTACCTTGACACAAAACATCATGACAGTTGTCCACTTATGGTACGACGGTGCCGTATACAGTTGTGATGCAATCTCTCCAAACAATTACATGAACAAAGAGTCAAAGACCTTTAAGGAATTGTTCAAGATTGCTGCACTCTGTAGTAGAACTGTATTTGATAGATCCGATCCAAACTGGGATAGCACTCCAATTCAACAAAGAAATACCATTGGTGATGCTTCAGAAAGCGCCTTGCTCAAGTTTTGTGAACAAGTAGAAAATGTCGAAGGTTATCGTAGACACTATCCAAAGATTTTCGAAATTCCATTCAACTCTGTCAACAAATGGCAACTCAGTGTCCACATTGACGAATCTAATGGAAATATTTTCCTCCTCATCAAGGGTGCTCCAGAAAGAATCGTTAAAATGTGCACAACCATCATGAGCGATGGTGAATCCATTCCAATTAGCGATGGTCACATGGAGAATTTCCAACAATCCTATGAATTATTGGCTGGTAAAGGTGAAAGAGTAAGTAAAAAAAAAAAAAAACAAAAAAAAACAAAAAAAAAAAAAGATAGACATTTTAACAAGTAGAACCTATTTTTTAACTTTATTTATTTATTTTAGGCTTTAGGAATGGCAATGATTAACCTTGATCCAAAGGTATTCCATAAAGATTATGTATTTGATGTTGATGAAAAGAATTTCCCAACAGAAGGATTTACTTTTGTTGGCTTGACAACTTTAATGGATCCACCAAGACCAAGTGTACCAGGAGCAATTGAAGATTGTAAAAAGGCTGGAGTTAGAGTCATGATGGTCACTGGTGATCATCCTTTAACTGCTCAAAGTATTGCCAGACAAATTGGTATCATCCAAGGAGAAACTCTCAATGACGTTGCCAAAAACGAAGGTATCGATGTTTTAGATGTGGACTTTTCAAAGGCTGGAGGTATAGTCATACCTGGTTCAAGATTGGACGATCTCACCGACGAACATTGGAACAAGATTTTGGCATTAAAACAAATTGTCTTTGCCCGTACTTCTCCTGAACAAAAGGTTTGTAAAAACTTGATAACTCAAAAAAAAGTCAAAGCTTTATTTTTTTTTGAACCTTTTTCTAACATTATTAAATTATTATCATTTTATTTATTTAGTTAATCATTGTATCAGAATGCCAAAAGAGAGGAGAAATTGTAGCAGTAACAGGAGATGGTGTAAACGATTCACCAGCATTGAAAAAGGCAGACTTGGGTTGCGCTATGGGTATCACAGGTAGTGAAGTAGCCAAAGAAGCAGCGGCCATTGTTTTGCTCGACGATAACTTTTCATCAATTGTCAGTGGTATCGAAGAGGGTAGAATGATTTTTGATAAACTAAAAAAATCCATCACCTACACTCTCAGTTCCAACGTTCCAGAACTCACTCCATTCCTTTGCTTTTTCCTTCTCAAACTTCCAGCCGCCTTGTCAGGTATCTTAATTTTGTGTATCGATTTGGGCACAGATCTCGTTCCAGTCATTTCCTACTCGTACGAATATCCCGAAACAGATTTAATGAACAGAAAACCTAGAAACATCAAGACAGACAAATTGGTTTCCTTCAAGTTGGCTATTTTCTCATACGTTTGGTTAGGCTTTGTACAATGCGCTGCTGGTTTCTTTAACTTTTTCATGATGTTTAGAACACATGGAATCAGCGCCAGCGACTTGTTTTACACCAGCTCTGACTATTTCATGGATGGTGCCGCCGATTTTATGGGTTATACTGCCGGTCAACAAATGTCAATGCTCAAGGAAGCTCAATCTGCCTATTTCATTGCCGTCATTATTACAAGAATGGGTGCAGCTCTGAGTTGCAAAACCAGAACACTCAGTCTTTTCCAACATGGTTTCAAAAACATGGTATTCAACTGTGGTTTAATCAGTATGCTTGGTGTTGGACTCATCATTGTCCACGTTCCAGGTATTCAAGATTTCTTTGGTGCCACAGCCGTCAGCTACAAATTCTGGCTCTACCCAATTCCATTTGCTGTATTCCTTGTCATTGTAAATGAAATTAGATTGTATATTGTAAGAAGAGATCCAACAGGTTTGGTTGCTAGATATACATATTGGTAGAAATTTTCTGTATCACAAAAAAAAAAAAAAAAAAAAAGAAAAAAATAATAAAAGTATTTATACAAAAAAAAAAAAAACAAAATCCTATAAAATTATATAATATATTATATTTTTCTGTTCTAGAAATAGTTTTATTAAAAGTGTGCTAGATAACGTTTTACTTTTTCTTTCATACTCTTGACAGCAACATTTTTGATATTGTACTTGTCATCTGATTTTTGTAGATAAATTCTACTACCGTTTTGTATTTTAACCACGCCACCACAAAGAGAGGATTGTTCTGTTACCAAAATAAATTGTTTACTCTTTCCTTTTGCATCGATACCACTAGTAGTGGGCAATGATGAAAGTCTTTTGAAATTAAATTTAAATCCAAGACCACCTTTAAAATTGATTGTCAAAAGATTGACGTTGGTGTGTTGAATGATGTCGTCTATGCGAATCATATTCATGTTACCATACATATATCGATCACTCTGCAAGTTAATAGTTGATACTGTGCCTACATCAACCCATTTAAAATTGTTACCAATGAATTGAACGATTCCATCCTCTAAAACGCCAGTGTGGATCATTCCTGCATCTCTTAAAGTTGTTACTTGAAACGATAAATGCTTCAACGACATTAATGATGGTGGTGGTTGTTCAAAAATGTCAACGATATTGGGGCCAACAAAAAGTGAACCAAGACTTTTAGCAATGCTTGTTGGAAAGGAAAATGATTTATCAACTACCTGAAGCGTGAGTTTTTCCAACATGTTTGAAAACTCTATACCATTTGGAGCCATTTCAAATTGTTGGTTATAGATGGCCAAGTCGGTAATAGAGTTTGGTAATATTCCCTTGATACTATCAAATCTACATGAAAAAAGCAATACCTTTTGTACACCTTCAGGAATGCATTGATCATCTGTTAATCGACAGTGACAGAGTGTCAACACTTTGACAGACGGTGGTATTATATTGTGGGTGATCCTAAAGTTTGATAAACTTTTTAATTTTAACTTTGATAGATGAGGAGGAAAACAATTCTTTTCAAATCTATTCAAATTCCCACGAACTTTTAGCTTTTCCAATGACATGGGAATGGAAAATAATTGTGATTCCAATGCACTACCACCATTGGTGGATGGTAATATTAATGTTGGTACTGGTAATATAGTTTGTTGTTCAAATGTTGTTGATTGGTTATTATTATTTTGATTATTATTTTGATTATTTTGATTATTATTATTATTATTATTTTCATTATATTGATTATTATTGGTGTTTAGTGGTGGGAAATTTATTGTATTTTGACAAATAAATTTGAGAGATTTTAGGTACTGTGGCAATTGAGAGTTTAGGAAACAACCACAATAGTTTATCCTAATTGAAAGGTTAACCAACTGATCTAGATGAAGTAAACTACCACCCAAAGGCCCATTATCCATAAATGTAGAAATACACAGAGAGGTAAGAGATTGTGGCAATAGGTGAGTGTCTATAAAATGACTCGTATGGAATTGAAGACGTGTGAGGGTAGATGGAAAGAGCGACTGTACACCAGATAAACTAATCATAACGCCTGCTAGATCCAAGTGCCTTAGGTTCGTGTTGTATACCTGCAATTCTGTTATAATTGCTGCTCCTAGATCGTGTCGTGGCGTTTGATGTGAGAGCCCCAAGTTTGCTTGCATGTTGACCACATTCTTTGAGTCTGCTACTCGAAGCGATTCCATTTGAATGGGCAATGGTTTCAATGAGAGGATGGTCTGTGGAAGAGTCACTGAAATACTCTTTAGTGTTTGTGGAAGTCCAAAGTTTGCAAGATTAGAATTGACTATAAACTTGTAGTCACCCTCTATCGAAAGGTTTATTAGAGATAATGGTAGTATCTCTGGGTGAATAATGATTGGATGTTGTCTAAAGGTGCTAATAAAGCAAATAGATGTACAGTTTTGATAGAGTCTCAAACTGGTTGGTATCGTTTTAATAGGCGAAGAATTGGTAAAATGTATGATTAAATCTTTAATATCTTCATAATTGTTATAGAAACTATTATTATTGTTATTATTATTATTATTATTATTTGTTGTTCGGGGAGAATGGTTTCGAGGCGAATTGCGTGGAGAATTATTTGCATTATTATTATTATTGCAAGTGTTTTCACAGAATCTGAGGTAAAGTTGGTTGATCGATGATTGGTATATTGCTTTTAAAGAATTTAGGTAAAATGATGTTGTTGGAGGACAAGTCGTTGAGGTATTGGTCGATGATGATGATGATAATGATGATAATGAGGAGGACGAGGAAGAAGAAGAAGAAGAAGGAGGAGGAGGGATAACAAGAGCAGATAAAGCAGTAAGTGTTGCCCATGCTGGAGGTTGAGTTGGAGGTCCAACTGGAGATAAAGGAGGTGATGGTGATGTATTGAATTTTGTTCGATAATTTGCATTTCCTCTTGGTGATGATGTTGGTGAACGAGGTGGAGGTGGAGTCATAAAGTCATTGTTAAAGTATTGTAGTTGTTTAAATCTAATCCTATTGTTGTAGGATGGTTGTGTAAACTTTAGAAATCTCTTACTCGTAAACAATAAAAGACTGATCAAATCAATATCTTGCTCTATAAACTTTATGATATTCAATAGCATCAAGTCTGGTAATGCTGCCAAATAACAACTACCATTAATATAATTGTTATAATTGTTATTATTAATTATAATTATAGTACTACTATTATTATTGTTATTATTATTATTATTGTTGTTGTTTATTGTTGTTATCATGTGACCAGCATTGTTGTTATTATTATTATTATTATTATGATTAATACTGAGTTTCTTTATCATTATTATTATTATTATGTTATTATGTATCTTTTTATCTTTATAATTCTATAATCTTGTTGTTATGATTGCATTGGATAACACCAACTTGACTCTCTCTCTTGTTGATTGATCAATGGGCTGCTTTGTTGTTGGGGATCGATATCAACCACCAAACAAAACCGTGAAGCCTATTGCTCATCAGCGGTTTTTTGCATAGAAAATGTAATCCATTTTTGGGAGGTATTAAATGTATAATGAAAAAATAATTAAATTCATTTTTGGATTTTGAGTATCGTATGTATGAACAAGTTTTTGTGGTTGTGCTTATTATATTATATTTAAATAAATATAAATTTTTAGAAACTGATATTATTTACCAACGTAAAAGATAATCATGATAGCAGCAACAAAATGGCTTTGGAGAGGAATGTTTAACTACACAAAATCATCTTTTGAAACAAAGTCAAAGAACTTTGAAGATCTTGGTCAATTGGGTGTTGATAAACATGCCATCGTAACTGTAAGTTAAAGTGAATATGTCTTGACTCCTTCTACTCTTCCTCCTTCTTTCTAATCTAATCTATTCTATAAAGGGAGCCAATAGTGGTATAGGATTTGCAACTGTAATAGATTTATTATCACATGGATGCACGGTTCATATGGTATGCAGAAATCAAGATCGTGCTCAAAAGGCTATTCAAGACATTAAAGACCACTTCAAGACAGAACAACAACAACAACAACAAAACACCATCATAAATATTGACAACCAATTGAAATTACACATCTGTGATGTCTCTGAGATGAAACAGGTAAAGACATTTGTTGATTCATATATGGAATCTGGTGAAAGATTGGATATATTGGTATTGAATGCTGGTGTAATGATGGATGAAAAGAAATTGACCACCGAGAATGTCGACATGACACATGCCACCAATCTACTCTCACCATTTTGTATGACACAACTCTTTATACCATTATTCAAGAGACAACAAACAAAGGATAATATAGCAAGAGTCATTTTCGTCTCATCAGGTGGAATGCTAACCCAAAAGATGTCACTAGACTTTGAATTTAAGAAATTAAGAAAATGGGATCCATTGTATACCTATGCCCAAACCAAAGTTTGTAATAGCAACAATGATTAAAGGGACTACTACTTATTAATTTATCAATTATAGAGAGCTATCATTTATTTAACAGAGTTGTTTAATGAAAAGTATTGTGGTCAACAACAACAACAACAACAACAACAACAACAACAACAACAACAACAACAACAACAACAACAACAGGATAACGATTATGTTTCCTTTTATTCGATGCATCCAGGATGGGTTGCCACACCACAAATTGAAAGTGCAATGCCAACTTTTAGTAAATGGACCAAACACATTCAAAGAACACCAGAACAAGGATGTGATACAATCACTTGGTTGGCCATTGCACCATTGAATTCAATTAGAGCATCTTCATCGTCGCACAATGGTAGTGGTGATTTCTTTGAAGATAGACGATCAACTGATAAACATCTGACTGATCACACCAAATCATCCAAAGATGATGTTGATAAACTTTGGAATCATTTAGAACAAAGAGTAAATGAAATCATCAATTGAAAATAAATTTAAATTTGTAATTAGATAGATAGATAGATAGATAGATAGATAGATAGATAGATAGATAGATGTATCATCACGCTTAGATTTTATAATAATCTTTGATTATAAAACTCTGAAATGATGATCAATTTTCTTTAGTTTTGTATTCCCTACAAGATTAATCTTTGTTGTTAAAGTTTAATAAAAGAAAACAAACTATGAAATGATCAAAGCCAGGAGGTGATCTTTTTTTTATATATTGTGGCATCCTTTTTTTTTATTTATTTTGTTTTTTTTTTTTGTTGTTCTTTGGGTTCGGAAGAATCAAAAGCCCCAATAACATATAATATTAAGTTCGAGAGAGAGAAAAAGATAATGATTGTATAAAGAATGAAAACTAGTCGTTTAGAAGAGAGAATACCAAAGGCACAGGGCTATTTGAATATGGGTAGTCCTTGTAATGCTATCAGTGCATCACCTGATGGTACGAAATTGATAGTTGCTGGTAAAGATATCGTCAAGATTGTTTCTATAGAGAATGAATCTGCACCAAAGGTATTGATCAACTTGCGTGCAGGTAAAACTCAATCATTAAACTATACTGGTAATGATTGTTGTTGGCATCCTTCACAAGTCGAGAGTATGTATCAAATATATATAGAGTGTTGGTGGGTATATAATTATTAACCTTCCCTCCCTATCATTATTATTATTATCTCTTTTATAGATTATAAATCAATCATTGCAACAGCTGCTACAAATGGTGCTGTAGTCGTATGGAATATAACAAGTGAAGGTGCAAGATCAGTAGAAAGAGTTTGGACAGATCATAACAGAGCAGTAAACAAATTAGCTTGGCATCCTGAAAAGAGTGAACAACTTTTAACTGGTTCTCAAGATGCTACCATTAAATTATCAGTATGTAAAATGTCACAATCAATCAATCTTTATCAATCTCACTAATATATATAATTCTTCTCTTCTACTTAGGATATTAGAGATGCAAATCCATGTAAAATAACCTTTCAACCAAAGAGTGATGTAGTTAGAGATGTACAATTTCATCCTTTTAATCTCAACCAATTTGCAGCAGCTTTTGATAATGGTACAGTGCAGCTTTGGGATATCAGAAAACATACTGCTGCAGTAGAAAAGATAACAGCTCATCAAGGATTGGTATTATCGATTGAATGGCATCCAGAGGAAAAGAATATAATAGCTAGTGGTGGAAGAGATCGAGCTATAAGGGTTTGGGATATAACCAATGGAAAACCACTTTCCAACATTTCAACCATTTCTAGTGTCTCTCGTATAAAATGGAGACCAGGACACAAGTGGCAAATAGCAAGTTGTTCATCAATTGTAGATCTTCAAACTCATATATGGGGTGTTAAACGTCCATTCATTCCATTTGCATCTTTTAGAGAGCATCGTGATGTTCCAACAGGTCTATTGTGGAGAGACCCTCAAACATTGATTACTTGTTCAAAAGACAATTATCTATTGGTAAATAATGTATCCGATGCCTACCAACCGTACCATCACGTTCGTACTACTGGTATTGGATGGAATGTAAATAACGAACTTGCTACTATTAATGACAAAATTAATAGAAACCAAAATAACGAGTAAGATCATACTTGGAAATCATGATAGTTGTTACATATAATTAATTTATTTTAATTTTTTATTTTATTTTTTAGAATGATTCAATTATCTGCACAGTTTCCTTCATTTTTTTCAACATATATGAGTGGTTCACAAACCCCTCAAGTACTCGGACCAACTCGAGAAAGGGGAATATTAAATATTCATTCGCCATTTGGAAAGGGAGAGTTGAAAATGATCGATTCCTCTCCATTTCTTTTCGAGTTTTTTGCCAAAAATTATAGATTTCGTGCAATGCCTTTCAAGGAGCTTTGTTCACACAATGAACAGGTTGCCCTCCAGGTCAAACAATTTTACATCTCAAAAATTTGGTCACTCATTAAACTTTATTATGATGCACCACCACCAACCAAACAAGATAGTAAACAAGGCGACCAAAAAAAACCTCCACCAGAATTACCTCAACAACATCAAATTCAAGTTTCACAACAACCGGAACCTGAAAACCAAGAACCAAAAAAAGATGAAAAAGAATTAACAATGATAGACGAGGGTTCACCAACTCAAACTCCCTCAATTGGCTTGGAAAATGATATTTTTGCTGAACATGATGACCCATTCCAATCTTTTTTATCAGCAGAGGCTGTTACTCCTTTGGCTCCTTTACCCTCTTTGTTATCCAATAATAATAATAATAATAATATAAATAATAATAATACTATTCAAAGCAACGAAGAAAAATTACAACAAAAACCACAAGGAGGAGGAGAACCTCAAAAACAACAGCAAAAACAAAAACAAAAACAAAAAGAGAAAAAAGGTCAAAATGAAGAACAAGAAAATAGTGTACAGGAAAAAGAATACCAACAACAGGAAATTAATAATCACAATAATGGAATAGATTTATTAGACAGAATTTTGGAAAATAATAGAAGATTTAGTAACAATAACTCCAACGTTGATGATTTTGACATTTATGTCCCAAATATAACAAGAAACAACAGTAATCTAAGCAATCTCAGCACACTACCACCCTTTGAACTGCCAGACTTTGACATTGAACCAACCATTGTTTCAATGCTCGAACACTGTATAGAACGAGGCGACATCCAAACATGTGTGTTTGTAACTCTAGTTTTAAAAAATATTCAACCAATCAAAATGAACGATCGTACCTGCGTCAGCAAGTGGTTGGCCAGTTATGTTGAACTATTACATCGTCACAAGCTATGGAATCAATCAAATGAAATCATCAAATACTGCGAAGAGGCTAGTGTCTCTCATCTCTCACAACGAAACACAACCATCTTGGTGTCTTGCTCTTGTGGAAAGGGCATCCTACCAGGTGCAATAGTTTGCGAAAAATGTGGAACCGTCCCAAGTGAATGTTCTATTTGCAAGTTACCAGTCAAGGGCGCCTATGTATGGTGTCAAGGCTGCTCACATGGAGGTCATCTATCTCACATAAAGCAATGGTTCAATTCTAATGAAAAGTGTCCCATTGGTGGTTGCAATCATATTTGTAAATTGATTAAAAAAACAAGTAATAATTGATAGAAATAAATAATTTTATTCAATGTTCACCCACCCCCAAAAAAAAAAAGGAAAAAAAATTTAATTAAAAAAATTGCGCGCATATTTTTTCGACTTGTATTCAGTCACATGTGATTGATTGGGTTCATTATGTTTTTTATATATTTTCTATGATGAATCAATTATCATACTTTTCAATTATATCAGATTTAATCATTTTTAGGATCATCAAATTCTTGGACAATGTCAGTTTAATTTGTTTTTTATTATTTACTTCAAAGAGACTTTATCAATTTATATTTAATCCCAGGTTCAACCAATATATCTATTTTAAACAATTAAATTATTTTTCTAGAGAGAAACCATGCCCTATTGGTTTATTTTCAAACTTTTTTATCACTCCCAATCCAGTCATTTCTACCATTAAAACAAAAAACCATTGCCCACTTTTAACATTTCAAAACATTTATCACCAATCTATAATCAACCAATCATCAATTCAATTTGAAAACAATAATTTAGTTTTTGATCATTTAGACGAAAACCATTTCCAATCAATTAATGAACTTGTTTTTATTTATAATGGGAGCTCCACCAATTTAGCATTACCCACACTGAAAAATTATGTTTCCTGTACAACTTTGTATCTCAAAGGAAAAAACAATGTTGGCCACAAAAAAACTATTCAACAAGAGGACTTTCCTCCCAATATCGACACTTTGTTTATTAAAGGAAAATACAAACTCAAAGGAAATTTTTTACCCAATTCCTTAAAAAAATTAACAATTGCCCATGGTGATGGGGATCATTTACCAAAACTTCCAGAAAACCTCCAATTCTTAAATGTAGAAGTCGAAATTAATTTGAACCAATTTTCAAATTTTCGATTTCCAAACTATCTTGTATTTCTCAACTTTGATACTACCACCACTATTCAAACATCCATTCTCCCCACATCAATTCAGTGGCTTGGGATTAAATCAAATTGTAGAGAAGATTTTTCAAAAGGAGGCTTTTCACACCTTTCCAATCTCGTTCATCTGTTTCTAAACTTTAGAGCCAGCTCCCCAAATGATTGTTCGGTTCCAATCGGTCTCAAAACACTACACATTAGTAGTAATAGAGAATTCATTATCGAAAGAAATGATATTGGAGAACAAGGAAAACCATCAATGCTTGGACCAGTTTTAAAATTGCCACTTTCATTGGAAACATTCAAGATTACTTGCAATGCTTTGGTCTTTGATCCAGAATTTATAGAATTTCCACCAAAACTCTGTGAATTTTGGGTTGCTCTCTACTCTACCAGTGCAATCAACTTTTCAAAATGCCACCCCTGCATTCCAAGAATTTATTTATCAAGTATTTTGATTGTCCATCAAAACTTATTTTCCATTGGCGTCAAATATTTATCTCTATCAAATTGCAATTTGGATTCACATGTTCTACCAGACTCTATTACCAAACTCAAATTGGTAAAAATTAAATTCCCAGACTCTTTTGTTTTCAAGCTCCCATCGTCACTGGTTAGCCTCATAATGGACACAAATTATTCAAACATTAAAGCTCTTCCTAGATCAATTTCATCCATAAAGGTGAAAAGAGGATCAGTCGAACATTTATTTGATCGCCCAGGAAATATTCAAAAAGTTGGTATAGGAGTTTATGGAATATTTGAACGTTTTGGATTTCAAGCACTCAATAATCTCTGCAACTTTTATATTTTTGGCAATGCACATAATATAATGTTGAATGAAATCGTACTAAACTCGTCAATCAAACAATTTAAGGTTTCATTTGTCAATAGAATGATTCATTTTAAATTTAGAATTGTCAGACTGTTTAATGAAAACCAACAATACAATGGATGCGAAACAAAAAAATACTTTTGGTAGAATTAAAATCATTATGGGGAGGTGTCATTAGCTTTACGTCGTCCAAACCGACGACACTCGAGTATGAACCAAAATATTTATACTTTAACTTTTCAGATGATGGTTCATCATTTAAGTTTGATATTACCTCTAATCCAATAATCAGAGACTCTGACCAACCAGATAATATCAAAGCTTTTGGATATGGATATGAATAAATAAATCAACGAGCTGACATATATATATATATATATTATTGTTTTAAGCGTTATTTGTTGTTGTTGTTGTTGTTGTTGTTGGTTTATTGATCATCTTCAATCATGGCATCAGAAGCCATGGTAAAATAGGCAATGATAGCCAAAACAATAATGATGATTGGAATCTTGAGAGCGCCAAGGCCACCAGCTTCAGCTGGTCTTGTAGCAGATGCGCTGGTAGAGGCAGGGGTGGTTACTTTCTTTTTTGGTTGTTCAACTCTGGCTGGAGCTCCTGCGATTCTACCGATTCTGAATTGCTTCATCTTTGACTTGGCAGATTCACTATGTCCAACATCATCAAACTCTTGAGTAGAATCCTTACCTATACATATATATATAGACCAATTAAATCGTTAGTAGACTAGTTTGTAACGATGCATCAGGTGAGAGATAATAATTACCAGCATTTGCCTTTAAAACTTCTTCACCACCTGGATGGTCATCAACAAACTTTGTAATGTCAAAGACGTCATTATCATAGACAACCCAAAGATCGTTAAGTGAATTGTGCTTCTTGACTTCTTCAGCTGTGTAAGTGTTTTCTGTCATTTTATTCTAAGATAGAAAGTTATGTTGTTTAGAATAAATGTATGTATGTAGTATTATCAAATGATATGTTTTTTTTTCCAATATAAAAGAATAATAATAAATAACAAATAAACAAACAACAAACAAACCAACAAAATAATTGTAATATTATTTGTATTAGCTTGTTGTGTTGTTATTCATTCATTCAATATCTGTTAAAGATGAGATTTTAACTGTATGTGACTTTTGTTGAGCTGCTGGTGGGTGAGAGGACTGTTGTTGTTTTGTTTGTTTCTTTTGATGACACCTACTTCTATAATGTTGTTGATAGAATCAAATGTAAGGAGCTTGTTGCAATATCATTCCACGTGATGAAGAAAAAAAAAAATTAAATAAAAAAAAAAATTAAAACTAAATTGCCTAAAGTAAAGAAGAAGAAGAATTTTATAAGACAAACAAATCTGATAATTGAATGTTGAACAAATAGTATTAATACTTTGATCATATTTGTTTTTTTTATTTATTTATTTATTGAAAAAAAAAAAAAAAAAAAAAAAAAAAAAGAAAAGAAAAAAAACGAACGACACTTCTATATTACTTTCCTTGTCGTTCTTATTTTTAAGTTTTAGTTAACTTTTTTCTTCATCTTTTTATAATTATTTATTTGTTATAGAAATGGCTAATAATAATAAAAAAAAGAACATTACAACAACAACAACAATAGCTTTGACTAAAAGAAATAATAATAATAAAAATGACAACAACAAAGCAGCAGTACAAAAAGCAGATTTAATAACAAGAGTACAACAAGTCATAGAACATATATCATCAAATGCAGATTTATTTTTAGATGGTCCCAATGCAATCAAAGAAAAGATAACAAGTACATTGGCAGAATTGTATGAATATTCAAAAAAGAGAGAACTACAAACAACCGACTCGTTGGAACAATTGGTATTGGAGGGTTTTGATAACGAGCAAATATGGTCTCAATTACAACTCTTTACAGAACCATCAATAGATTCTCTCTCTAGAAAGTTATCAAAAATGTTAAAGGATTTGGATGAAATCTTTTTGTATGACATTCAAGATGATGAGGAAGAACAAGACGATTCATATGATGAAGATTTATCAGGAAGCTTGGAGGATCAGGATATAGACGATGAAGGAATAGAACAAGATGATGATGATGACGAGTTTGATGAAGAAGAGGACGAAGAAGAAGAAGAAGAAGAAGACTCACAAGTGAACAAGAAATCAATTAAAAAAGGAGGATATAGAGAAAAATTAATGGATGGACAAGACATTGATTTCTTTAAAGAACAAGACATGGAGAAATTCTTGGACGACGAAGATGACAAGGGAGAGGATGACGATGATGAAAACTTTGATTTAGAGTTGGGTAATCTGGACAGTGATGCCGATGAAGAAGACGAAGGTGGACTTGGTTTCCCGGAAGGTGAAATGGACGAGGAAGAGAGAAGACTCGAGGCATTACTTGACAAATACGACGAGAATGAAAAGAAAGACAAGAATGCAAAGAAGAAAGTAGGTGCCCAAGATATGAAATTTGATGATTTTTTTGCCGATCCAGAGTATGTACAATCAATTTAGCTTTCATTAAATTATCAATTTTATCTAATCCCCTTTTTGTTTTTAGTGCTCAAGATGGAGATGAATTCCCAATTGATGGACAAGATGATTACAATGAAGATGAAGATGAAGAGGAGGACCAAGAAGAAGAGGAAGAAGAAGAAGAGGAGGAACAAATTCAAGAACAACCAACTGCATCACAACAAGAGTTAACTGCATTCCAAAAAAGAGCTCTTAAAATCCAAGAGAAAATTGCACAATTGGAAAAGGATAACATTTTGAAAAAGAAATGGACAGTTATTGGTGAAGCATCTGCAAGAGATCGTCCAGTCAATTCTGTGCTCGAAGAAGCTTTAGATTTTGATCATACACAAAAACTTGCTCCAGTTCAATCACAAGAGACCAACACAACATTGGAAGATATCATTAAAAAGAGAATTTTAGATCAAAACTTTGATGATGTTATCAGAAAGACAGAAGAAGATGTAGATAAACAATATAAAGAAAAATTGGAACTCAATGACCAAAAGAACACTGAAGGTTTGGCATCTGTTTATGAAAAATCGGTATGTATAAAAAAAAACAAAACAAAAAAGAAAGAATATCCACAACTTATACTTTTATTATTTTTATTTTATTTTTTTATAGTTTTTGGAAAAGAGTATGGGAGTAGAGGTTGATAGTAAATTAAAATATCAACATGATGTTATTTTAACAAAGTTACAACATTTAATGTATAAATTGAGTGCACTCTCAAATTTCAACTTTACACCAAAAAAGGTAAAGGACTTAAAGATTACCAATCAACCAGGCAAAGCTCTCGCTGTTGAAGAAAAGATTCCATCTGCTGCCAGTTCTGCTTCTCTTGTTGCTCCTTCAGAGGTATACTTTAAAAAGAATGCCGATGAAAAGGGTGACACTGAAAAGAGCAAACAGGATCGTAAACAAGAGCGTAAAGAGTACAAAAATAAGTGGCGCCACGATCGTATTGAAAAGGAACAAGATGAACATTACAGAGAAAAGTTGGATCCAGCCCTCGCAAAGGCCAATGAAGAAAAGAGATCAATCAAGAAACTCGAACAATCTAGAAATACTACTATTGTCGATTCTTCCAAATCTCACGAGAAATATGCAAAGTCTGGCCAATTCTTTAGTAAATTACAACAAGAAAATGATAACAAGAGAAAAGGTATCGAACCACCAACATTACAAACCAAACAAAAAACTAATGGTGCTGATCATCAATCAAAGAAATTTAAATTATAAATAAATAAATAAATACATAAATAATAATAAATTATTCCCACAATAATAAATTATGTTGTTACAAAACCTATCCAGCCTAGTAGTAGTAGTAGTAGTAGTTTATTATTATTATTATTATTTACAATTTCCAAATCGATCGACGCTGTGAGTTTCTAGAGCTTTTGAGACAATAAAACTGCCATGATGATAAGAGCAATGATAGAACCAATCCAAAACATGACACTTTGACGAGTTTTCAACTGTCTCTTCTTTTCCTTGTTTGTACAACAAGTAATACAAGCAATAAGCATTGTAGGAACTGTAAAGGCAATAATAACTGTGATTAACATCATTACCGATGGTTTATAATGTTTATCTAATAATAATAAATAGACATGTATTATTAGTAAAAAGGAAAAAAAAAGAGTTGGTGTTTGTTGTTGTCGCATATATATATATATATATATATTATTATTATTAGGTGGTTTGTATTTATAATTACCTGTACTAGCTTCATAGTTTACTGTAAATGTAATGTTATCTGACCAACCCTTGTAGATCAACACCTTTCCATCGTATGAATATACTGGTTGTTGTGGAGTATTAATGAGACCACTATATGAAGCCATTTCAGAATCAGCTGATGAGTCACCTTGTACAAATACAAGAGTATTATTTTCGTTTGATGAAAGATCGCATGATATCAATTGAACTTTAATGACGGCAGGATAAAAGGCAACACCTACTTCTGGTAATAATCTCCAACAAACTGCCTCTGAATCGAGTGTCACTGTTAATGAACCATTTGTTGTTCTATATAATTCACATGGATCTATAAAGTAGTGAAACAATCGAGTTAAAATGATATGTCAAATAACATCTCTCTCTCAAAGACGTGTCTTACCATCTTGATATTGTGCCCATGTCGTAGATGTTAATAGTAAAATTACAAAAATATATAATAGATTGATTATCTTCATTGTATCTCTTGTTTGTTATATATATGTTTAAAGAGAGGTAATGCATAAGAAAGAAACTAGCTAGTCACTGTGTTGTTAAAAGAAAAAATTTGGTGTAGGGGAGAAAAAACGATGGATCTTGATCGAATTTCGATCCTTTTTTTTTGTTAGGGATTATTTCTTATTATATCAATTTATTTCATTAAATAACTATTAATATTATTCCTGATTGTACGAGGTGGAAGACATTGTGGACAATATTTATCAATAAATAAATAGAGATTTGAAATATCGAATTTGGTGATGTTTTTGTTTTGTTGTAGTTTATCGTTCATTTTGATGAATACTTGTTCTCCTTCTTCACCTTCAACTTTTAATATCTTGAAATACTTTGCTAAAACTACTAAAAGTATTACCATACAATTTGGTAAATCTCCATTGCCAGATAAAGAATGAATCAGAATTTTTCTATCTTGACTAAGAGTATTTAAAATCTCTGATTCAGCCTCTTGCAGTTTGGCGTGTAAACCATCTTTTGATTTTTTGCCTTCTTTTAGTTGAATGCTTAAAAATTTTAATCCTCTTTGTTTCATTTCCTCTATTTGTATTGGCATTTGGTATTCAATAGACGAGCAATTTATCATTAAACCATAATTATTAAATAAATCATCACTATTTAAAGCTTTTAAACAAAATAGAAATGTTAAGAGTTGATAAAATGCACCAATACAAGAAGAAATTATAACATACTTTTGGAATTTGAAATTGATATCAAAGTATTTGGTATGTTGATGATTGTTGGATTGTCTTGAGACCCAGTAACAAATAAAATTGTTTTGTCCATACTACTATTATTTTTAACCAATTCTTGACAATATCTATCGACATTATCAATTGGTTGACCTAGGATATCCTGTTTGTGTGTCCAAAATAATTGTGCCGAGAGCTTATTGCTCCAATTTTCTTCATCGTCACCTGCACCTTGTATATATGCTCTAAAAGGTCTATTATTGTCTCTATAATCCGATGCCGATAACAAATAGATTGGATAAAAGGTGGTCGGTGATTCATTCATATTGTCTATCCAAATTGTATCGACATTGATGAATAATGGTTTGATTGGTTTATCTAATTTTGTTGCATATGATTCCAAGTTTAGGATATGACTGTACAATAATAGTTTTTGTGAATATTCATTGACAATACAAGTCATTTGGTCAACCTCTGAATTTGATAACCACATTGGATGAGAGAATGTCTCCCAATCTTCTTGATTCAAAATATTAGTTGTAGTAGTAGAAGTAGAAGTAGAAGTTGTTGTAGAAGTTGTTATTGTTAAAAGATCTTTCTTTATCTTTAAATTGTATAATGTCCTATTGATCACACAACACCAAATGGGTATTGTCCTTGAGAAACTATCTGGAAACTTCTTGCCTCTTCTAGTAGAGTCGACAATGACAACACCTCTCTCTCCTCTAGGTGCATTGAGTATGAAATCAATTACAGATAGATTGGTTCTCGTTAAACTGAAATTCCATTGTCCATAGTGACCTTCGGTCGACTTGAAATAGCAATATCCATCATATGATTTATTATACCATTTACCACATCTTAAGTTTCCCAACAATGCATACTTTTGATAAATGCTAAAGTAAGATAGATAGATATATATATATATCGACTATTAATACGTAGTACTATGATAACTCTTATTGTTAATAATTACTACTACATACTTTGCTACTTTGTCGACAAACTCAGAGTCATGAGCAATTGACAATAAATGATTGAGCAATGAATGTTCATCTCTGTCTAATCTTCTTAAAACTGAAGAAGATGAAAGATTAAAATGATTATCATCAATTTTGTTGTTAAAATTAACAATCATTGTATTCGTAATAAAAAGAAACGTGCGAAAAAGAAAAGAAGAAGAATCTTTTTTGTTTTTTATTTTATTTCTATTCTTTGTTTTTTAAAAAAGTAATTGTTGAAGCAATCAAAATATGATCTGATGCCTCTGTAATGGTTGGTAGACACTCGCCATAATATTTTTCAACCTCCAATAGTGATTCAACCTTTATCTTGTCGTTTACAAATATCTGATCAACACAACCTTTAAAATCTCCTACAATAATAAAAAAATTATTAATATATTAGTTTGGGATCTAGATAAATAAATAAATTAATTAATTAATTACTTGTAATGCAGGTATATTTTAATTCACCATTTGGATGTAAATTATAAGCACTTTTAAATTTGAATGGATGCTGATAATTAACAAGTCCTTGATTTGTGTTTACATTTAGATTGCCTTTGGCTAGATAACGATATGTATAGTTGGCTGGACCATTATTAAAATCACCAGATATAATGATTGGAGTGTTTGTTTCAAAGTTGTCATCAATAGTGGTCCACGATCCTAATTTGTGTCTTGTAAGAATATTTTGTACCATAATTAACAACATATTCATTTGTAGTATTTGTAAATAATAATTGGTATCATTACTAGATGCTCCCCAATATAACTATAAAATATAAATATTAATATTTAATATATATATATATATATATAAAATTACGATTTTAATCTAAATAATTACATGAACATTGACAACTATAAACTTTTGATTGGTTTTCTTGCATTCAAGTAATAGAATGTTGTGTCTATTGTGATGAAGTGTATGTAAAAGTTGATTATACATATTGGTATTGTGTACATTGTTATTTGTTAAAGATGCAATTTGTTCTTTGCTAATCAACTCTGGATGCTTCTCGATGGTGTTGTAATTGACTAGATGCTCTTCGATTACTTGAATTCTTGATGTTTGGTAAAATGTGATGCATTGTTCGTGTTGTCTATCTGTTTCCTTTGCAAGTACAGCAGTATGATTATATCCAGATTCGATCAACACCTTTCTTAGTCTATCAAATTCTACCTCTACCTCTTGTAGACAAACAATATCACCATTGTGCTCTAGTATATATTCTGGAATGATGTATTGACGATAGGGACGATACAAGGCATACGATGGACAATAATGGTATCTCTGGGGATGTGTGTAAATGTCAGCTTGTATATTGAATTGTATGATTCTTAGAGCATCGTCTGGTATCACTCTATTAGAAGATGGATAGCTCGATAAAGATGATTTGACTGTTTCAACTGGAGGAAGTGGTGGTGGTTTTGGTATTGTTGATCCATTTTCATCTTTGGTTTCTTCCTGTGTTTCTTTTTCTTCTTCTTTTTCTTCTTCTTCTTTTTCTTGTTGTTGTTGTTGTACTACTACTTTCTCTTTCAATGACATTTGATAATGATTGATATGATCATAATCTAAAACAAATTCATCTCTTTTTGGATGAGTATGAATCTTTTGAGTAAAAGTGAAGGGTGTTGCAGTCAGGATGCCAAGTTCTTTGCATTTAATGACAACATCAACTTTTAATTCTTTGTTTGCTTGTTGTATTGTTGGTTTAAACAAGTTGATAGATTGATCATTTGAAGAAGAGGAGGAGGAGGAAGAAAAGAATATTCTTTTAAATAGTGAGGAGGATGGTTTGGATAAAGAAGAATCGTAGTGCTGTACAACATGATCATCTATTGTCCATGTCAAAGAAACTATATTCTTTTCATTGAATGATTCGATTCTATTGTTGTTTGATTGCAAATAATATGCAACACAAATAGGAACATTGACGACTGGTGTGGGCGGGAATAGCACTACTTGAATTGGTTTAGCTGTAGCTGTAGCTGATGTGGTGGTGTTGGTACTGGTGGTGCTCATGATTACGCAGGTGTTCAAAGTGACACTGTTTGTTAATAATTTATGATGGTTTTAAAAAGAGAGGGAAGAGGTTCAAGATGAGTGAGCTGCGCACACATTAACTGGCAGTGGCGATGATCTTCTCACCTGTGGAATCTCTTCCAAACTAAAAAAAGAATTCGATTAAATCACATTGTTTCAATCTCGATTGATGTGATCCCAAACCTTTTATATATTTTTTTTTTTTTGTGGTTAATTAATTTGGAGGTTGTCCCCTCATTTCAATCTTTTGGGGATAGATTCAAGTCGATAGCTATTGATTGGTAAATAGTAGTGTGGTTTGAATCCCCTCCCAACAATAAATGCATATAGAAGAACCCCCCTTTTTTTTTTTTTTGTGGTGTGATTAAATTCGATCTGATGAGATTTGGTGGTCAAGTTATTTTTGGTGTCACATCGAAACTTGAGAATCGATATCATGAACCTGTCTCTTTGCTATGATGACAATCATAAACAACAAGATTGCAATAGACTTTTTTTCATTGTCGTCTCTTGATTACATTCACACATGAATACAACAAAACACAACAACCTCAAGGCGAAAAACTCTATCATCAACACAACACAAGCAAGCTTTCTTCTTTAAATAGGCCACTAATAATTTATAATAAATGATCGATAACCTGAAGGAAACTGGGGTCCTTCAAAAGAGATCAACATCATCAACATCATCATCATCATCATCATTATCATTATCTTTTTTATTTCAATCAAAAAGAATTACTCCAACTCTAGTTTTATCTTTTAAACTATTAATAATAATAACTTTCCAAACACTCCAGGTAAGCAAAAATTATATTTTATTCTTCAACACATCTCTCGATAAGATGGATAGGATTTTATTGTAAAAAAAAGACGAGACATTTGTTCTGATCTATTATGTGTGTGTGTGTGTTTAGACAGGCAAGGATCTATCATGGGGTGATAAAGAGGTAGAAATGGTTAAGTTTTATCTTTTCTTCTTCTTCTTCTACTCTCTTCTTCTTCCTCCTCCTCTAAACATGCAAGTTGGTAGAAATAGATAACCTATATTAAAACACAACTCTTTTTGTCACATTTGGCAAGTAAATATTTACTTTCCATTCTTGGATGCATACCAAATACAAAACACAAATTCTTTTTTCTTTTAAAACGGACACACAAAAGTCAGTTTCTATTTCTCTCTCACACAATTAATATTATTTGCGTGTATAACCAATGTTTTCCATTATCAACATCACACATTCACCAATGATGACCACAATAAACCATCAACTTTACCCTCACAATTTATATGAAAACAAAAAATGGAAACATAGATTTAGATAACAGCCACAAACACAAACACACACACACCCACACCCACAACCAATCAACAACATCTTATCGACATTGGCCATTCACATTTATAAAAAGAGACAAGTATAAATTGTTCAATTGGGATGAAACATTAAAGTTCAACAAGAGATAAATTAATATTTCCACATCTAGGAGCTGTAAATATTTATTATTTTCAACTTGTCCAACCTCCTCCTTTTCCTTCTTCTTCTTTTTCTTTTTCTAAACTACCACCACACTGCCTTGGTGGTGACAAAACGAATCTGTACATCTGTATGTTGTGTTATCATCACAGAGGTGGACAAATAATAATTTGAAAAAAAAACAAAAAATAGGAATCCATAATTCATTATATAAATATTAATTCAATCACCATCATTTAATTTATATTTATCTTTAGGTCATCTACTGAAAATGTCTACCTCTATAAATCAAGCCATTTTCCATCAACAACAATATAGAAGAATTTACAACCAAACCTGTGGAAAGATGCATAGTAGATGGGAATACTATATTTTAGGATCAAGAGTATATGAATGGTTGGCTGACCATGATCCAGTTTATATAAGTAATTTGATGTATGAAGAGATTACAGAGGCCATCAATGAAATATTTGATATCATTTTGGCACTTTTAGACATGCTCAAATCTTCATCATCCCTTCTTTCTCCAATTGTCTACTATGCCAACAAATTTGTTTCAAAAACTGGCATCAAACATAATCAATTATTTAATTTATTACTTACTAGGTATGTTAAATATTTATTATTTGTATTTAATATTTTACAATTATTAACAATAATATTTATTTAGCACCATTGTTACATTAAAGTTTTGGTCTGAAAGCGCACCAACCAACAACAAGATGATTGCAGATATTTTTGAATTTCCAGTACATGATGTCAATGTCATGGAAAGACGATTCTTATGTGGTGTCGATTACCAATTAACTTGTAGTCAAACAGAAATTGATACCTTTTTATCACAAATCAATATTCATATACTACGTTCAAATAACAACAACAACAACAATAATAATAATAATAAGTGTATAAATAATAGTGTAACATCTGAAATAATTGGATCCACTTCAACCAATTCAGTAGCTTGCATTCAGTAAAACTTTCACCAAACCAACCAAACAACTAATATTTATAGATATAGTCTAAAATTGTATAGAACTCACCAATGCGCACATTGTAAATAATAATATTAATAATAATAATAATAATAATAATAATTCCAGCATCACTATTTAACCTTCTACCAACCAGAAAAACATTCTTTTTTTTAAAAAACCAACCTGTGACATCATTTTTTAATGTAATACTACCCTAATTGTAACACCAAATTTCCTAGGAAATCAACTCTTCTTTTAAATCAAATTCTAAAAGATGATCAATGATCGACCCGAATTCACCATATTCGTTCATTCACAAATTTAAAAATAAATTAATTAATTCATTCAAAAAAAAAAAAAAAAAAAAAAAACTCAGTTCATCAAGTGAATCGAACAGATGTACCTTTTGAATCAAATCTATGTTTCTTTTTTTTGTATTGACTTTGATAGATAACAACAAATGAGTAATACGACGGGGGCGAGTATTGGTCCTAAAGTAGCCATCTCCGCAAGCAATAATGGTGTAGGAGTAGAAGGAGTCACCGAGTTGATCAACAATAATAACTCAAGTACTACAACAACAAACCTTTCAACCACCATGACATCTACAATATCTTCTTCTTCTTCTTCTTCTTTATCAACAACAGTTTTACCAACTGCCGTTTCAGCAGTAAATACTTCTACTACTACGACCACCACCACAACAATAGGAGGACCTATAGTTGCAGGCAATGGGATAGTGATGATTATGCCAAATGGTCCAAATTCTTTTCTACCTTGTCTAGTATGTGATGCAAGGCAATAACAACATTTAACCACCACCGCAACAACTAACAACTAAAACAACATTAATCTATTTAGAGAAAACTTAGACACTTAAAGAGTATATTGTGCAGAAATTTATTACCAGTTATCAATCGAAATGCAGAGATTAGTTTACCAAATACATACTATACACTTCATGCTCCACCTATTGAAAAGCATAGATCATTTCTAAAAAGCAAACAAATAGAAACTGCTGATGAAAAGATTATTCTATTGGATGGTTCCGATGATGAACAAGGTGATATCAACGACGATCGACCAAATATACATGGTACACAATTTTCTGCCGAGTTTATTGATAGTGACGATGATGAGTCTTTTGACGACGACGACAAAGAAGAATACTATCAAGACGACAATGAAGATAATGACTTACCATCTCCTTTTTATATAAGCGAAGTTGTTTCAAATTCATATGTAAGTTTTCATCTCTCTCTCTTTTTTTTTTTTTGACAAGATATTATAACTGTTAACTTTGTTTAAATTTAGAATCCAGTTTGGAATCCATTTGATTGCTACCATCCAACTTCAAATGATATATTAGACTATCACAATACTTTTAATATTTGTATATGGCATAGAAGCCAATGTAATAATAATAATGAAATAGATGATTGTGATTCAGAATACCAAGATGAATTATTATTCCAAACTGAAATAGATTTAACTCAACTTGAGTTTATTGCTCAAGAGGTATGAATGAAAAAAAAAAAAAAAAAAAAAAAAAAAAAAAAAAAAAAAAAAAAAAAAAAAAAAACTTTTAATCAATTACTAATAATTTGTTAATTCTTTTTGTGTCAGATGAAACAATTTGTAAATTTAATATTACCTCCAAATTCAATAATATTTGAATTAAAAGATGGATTATATGTAACCAAAAAAACAAAAAATCAATTGGTAAAAAAAAAAAAAAAAAAAAAGAAATCATTGCAAGAATTGATGATACTTTGCATTTATTAATAATCAACTTGATTTTTTTTTTTTAGAGGTCAACAAAAGCAAATGATTATAAATTCCAAAGCAATGTAGATAAAAGAAAAGTTATTACAGGAAACCAATCATTATTTTTATGTATTATAGGAAAAAGATTGCAGAATCTAAAGAATATAGAGGTATCCAAAGAAACTAGTTTGAACATTGAAAACAAGTTGACTAGCAACCAAAAATATTTGGACAAGGTAAAACATTTGGAAAATTTAAAACATCGTGTCGAACAACTAAAACAAGAATATCATAATCAATTAACCCTTCAAGACAAGGGTAAGTAGTAAAAGAAAGTTTAGAAAACAACTCATCACTAATCTTTTTAAAAAAAAAAAGATAAAGAAAGTATAGAAACTATAAAAACACAACTCATTCCAAAAGCAAGTGCATTGGCAAATGCAGGTATTGTTTATCTGCAATCGTATCAAATGTTGGAGGAAATGAATCAAATGTTGGAAATGGAAAAGTTATTACTGAACAATATACGATCATCACTCGAGAAAAAGAAATGGTATCTATTGTCTCAAATAAGATCCATCTATCCCATTCAACAAGGAAATAAGGTATTAAACATCAATGGTTTGCCTCTTCCCAACTCTGATTTCAATGGTTTTGATGAAGAAAATATATCAACAGCCCTCGGCTATGTTTGCCATATTCTACACCTTGCCTCTCGATACCTAGACATTCCACTTCGATATCCAATGACACCAATGGCATCTAGATCATTTATCAAAGATGAAATATCACATCACTCATCTTCAAAATTCCCTCTCTATTCAAAAGGTGTAGAGAAGCGTATATTTGACTATGCCGTCTTTTTACTCAACAAAAATCTCGAACAACTACTAAGTTCTCAAGGTCTTGGTATGTTTTCTTTAAAAGAAACTTTACCAAATGTTCAAATACTTTTAGGTCGTAGTAGAATTGCCTAAAAATAAAAAATAATAAATAAAATTAAAATAATAATAAAATAATTTTTTTTTTTTAATTGCAAATTGTTTCTTCACCGTTACAACAAGGTGGTAATTATCAAAGTGAGTTACCAATTGATAATTTAGATTCCAGGTGTGGATTCATTGAATAGAATTTCTCACATGTCATGGTGGTGGTGGGGAAACTGAGCCGAGTGAACAATTGGGGGTAGAGATTTTTATTTTTGAACACTTTTCATCATAGGAGAGAATCACCATCATCATCATCATCATAGCAAAAGAATCACTATATAAAGTTCAGATTGGTGGATGAGATTTAAACACTTGGGGTGAGAATTGTAAGTTGGCGGCTCTCCCCACTCAGAACTTTTCCCCATTTCACCAAAATATCTTTTTTTTTTTTTGTTATATGGGTTCCCATTTTTATTTATCATTTTTTTTTTTTCTAACTCTATTTATTTCTTTTTATTTTTGGATCCTTTATAGCCAACAATTTCGTCATATCTTTTTTTTTTTTTTTTTTTAAGTCAACTTCCCAATACCGACGTCCCTTTGCAGCACTACGCAAGTTTTATTGAGTAGTTGTTTTTTAGATCACACCACAGTGAAATTGTTTATCTATTTTATATATAGATAATCATTTTAGTCACAACAATGTCTTTAGTAACAACCACCACCACAAACTCTAAATATGTACAATTACTCGACAGCAACGAATTAAAATTGTCAGTTGATGAAAAACCAACAACAACAACTCTAGCGACACCTGCAGCAAGAAAATCATCAGTATCATCAGTATCATCGGTATCATCACAATCATTAATTCCACCACCTATTTCATCACCTCTAAAGTCAACACAACCTATATTGTTTAAACCAACAACAACAACAACAGGCAATATTATTAATAATAATAATAGTCTCAATCCAGTATTTAAAATCAACACTATAGTTACAGCAGGACCAACATTTTTATCAGACAATGAACAAATACATGATCAACTACTATCAAACAATAATCAAACTGGTGACAGTGATTTTGAAGATCAAGATGTTTTAAATGTATCAACTACAATAGATATACCTCTACATTCATCGGCATCTTCAATCAATACTTCTTCTTTTCCACTGTCTTCTCCTCAAAATATTTTAATTGGTGCACCAATTACTTCAACCACATCTACTAGCAGTAATAACTTGATTCAACCATCGTCGTCATCAACACATCAAACAACCAACAATAAGGGATCAGTATTAAAACAATCATCAGTTAGTATTACCAGTAATAGTAGTATACTAAAGGCTTCTGGAGGTTTAAGAAAGAGTAGGGCAGACTTGCCTCATCGTCACCATCATCCTCTTAATCTTAGTATAATATCTGACGATCATTTGGTTCTAGCAACCTCATCTGATTATTTCCCGCCACCATCGTCGTCGTCTAGTAGCGTCCTTAGATCTGGAGCACCATTAGCAGCCATTCCATTGGTTTCACTCAAAAAGAAGAGTGAAAGAAAGAAAAAATCGGCTCTCGAAGAGGTCAAATACGGTGAAGAGGATGGAGCAGGACCAACCACTGTTGACGATGAGGACGACGCAGAGGATCAAGAGTTTGTTGGATATGACCAGGATGATATTGAACAACAACAACAAGCATTGGATATTTTAATGGAAACTGACGAGGTTATCCTCATGGATCTGCCCCTCCATCGTCGACTATGGGAGAAAATTAAACCTCATATGGGCATTGTCTATATGGTTTTCTCTGCCTTTTTATTTTCTCTCTTGGCCCTTTTGGTAAAGTTAACCTCTAGCAGTGTATCGTCACTCGAGATTGCTTTTATTCGTTCATTCTATGGTCTTATTGGTTGTCTCATCATTTTGGGTTCAATGAAGGTCAATCCACTGGGTGATCCCTCCAAAAGAGTATTTTTAACTGTTCGTGGTTTCACAGGCACAATGTCATTGACAGCCTATTTCTACACGCTTTCTGTACTCCCTCTATCCGAAGCAGTATGCATCTCTTTTACAAGTCCCGTCATCACTGCTGCCCTTGCTGCAATCGTTCTCAAAGAAAGATGGGGTATTGTCGAGGCCATATGTGCCATCTTATCCCTCGTTGGTGTATTTATTATTTCAAAACCTCCATTCTTGTTTGGTACTCCAACGTATAGTAAAAAAAAAAAAAGAAAAAAGAAAAAAAGAAATATTAAATTTATTTATTATTATTATTATTTTTTTTTTTTTTAGAGATGAATCATTACCAGGTCATTTAAGATTAATTTATATATTAATAGGATTAGGAGGAGCCTGCTTTTCATCATTTTCATTTGTAGCTGTTAGAAAGATTGGCCCAGGTACCAATCCATTTGTATTGGTACTTTATTTCTCGATTACATCTTGCGTTGTGCTTCTTCCATTGACATTGTTAACTAAAAAGTTTACAATTCCACAAGGAACCACATGGATCTGGCTCTCTGTACTAAGTATTATCGCACTTGGAGCACAGGGTCTAGTCAATAGAGGCATTCAACTATTAAAAGCAGGTAAAGCAGCTTCGATCAATTATATTCAAATCGTTTTCACTTTCTTTTGGGAGGTTTTGGTTCTCAAGGAATCTGTGGACGTTTGGACCCTTTTAGGGGCAGCTTTAATTTTGTGTTGTGCTGCTATCACTGCTTTCAGAAAATAATAATAATCATCAATCATATTTCAAAGGTCATTCCCTCCCACTCACACAATTTAATAATCATAACTGTATTACGAGCTATTAAACACGCATGTCACCTATAATAAATTATTATTATTATTTATTTAAATAATAAATATCCTTTATTCTTTTGGTAGAGTTGATCATCCAAGAAATATCTCGATTACTTGCTCAGATCTGATCCAATTTGAAACATGGAAATTGATGAGTTCCCAATTGGGCTGTCTTTAACCTATTTTTAATATAAACTAAATACTTTTTAAATCTTTTTACATTTTTTTTATTAGAAACATTTGATATACCACTTGGCACAATTATTAACACTATTTACATTGAAGTATCGAACAAAAATGGTCATTGTTACAAATTAATCGAGATTGTCTTGAAATTAATTTTGTTAAAATTTGGAGACAAATTGATCAAAATCCTATGGTTTAACTCTGTCGATTTAAAACTTTGATTATTCCATTATAAATAGATATTATCATGGTCTGTGAATAGAAAAAAAACAACCTTTATCACAAATTTATTGGAGCCTAAGAGGGTACCGGTTTGTTTTTGTGCGATTTGATAAATTCTGAATGTTATAGTTTAGCTCTCTTGACTTGGAACCTTTACTATATCATAGGAAATGATCTAAATATTGTGCATACATCAAACTAGTAAAAAAACTATCATTTTAAATTAAAAAATAAGTAATTTGACTGTTTGGTTTTAGATTTTCAAATTTTTCTCGTTTATCTCAATTAACTTCAAACTTTGATATTCACCATTGACCATTGTTTTGGTAAGTAAATGTATTATTTTAATTTTATAAAAAAAACTTTTTCAATATTTTAAGTGTGTCCTCTTGGTTTTTTAAATTTTTAAAAAATATTTTCAAGTATATAATTTCACTCATTTGACTTGAAACTTTAAATTCTATTTTTAAAATTAGTATTAAATGGTATGGAGTTAAAATTACTCCAAAAAAAACCTTTATCTGAAATTTTAAAGTTGTTGTTTTTTCCAACACTCATTAATTTTGTTGGAAATATGCAAATATACTATTTTTGAAAAAATCGATTTTATCAAAAATATTCCAAAAAGATAAAAATATAAATATAAATATTTTAAACTTACAATATTATTTTTCAATAGCCTCAATTGTCTATTATTATGAAACTAAAAAATTCTGATTCACGGGCTGATTTTTTGAAAAAAAGTGGTCATGGCATGATTCGTTACAAAATCAAAAAAAGTTCAAATTAATATTTTTAGTTAAAAATATATTTATCTGTAATAAATATTATTTATAATATATAAATGAATGAATAGTCTTATTTATTGAGAATCCCAAAAAATGGAGATAAATTTCATTGAAGAGATTTTTCGGAATGTTCAACAATGAAAATTTTTAAAGAAAATTTGCAGAAAAAAAGGTTCTTGGACCTTTCTTGGCGGGTTTGACTTGAGGAACAAGGCGAGACAGCAAGGATAAAAGGGACGAGGGACCGAACTAGCAATTCAGTTTTATGGAATTCCGACTTTGGGTTGGGCGGGACGGGTGCTATATTATAAATAATATTTATTACAGATAAATATATTTTTAACTAAAAATATTAATTATCAATAAATATATATTTATAATATATATATGAAGTGGTTAGAAATACTTTGACACAAAATCTTTAGACCTTTTTGAATCTTGATCTATAATTTCCATATCATAGTACTTCTCCAGCGCAGCGTTTGATCTCCAGCGACCTAATTTCTTCACTCTATGAAGGGAAATACCGTTTAACAATAACCATGAGGCCATTGCCGCTCGAGTTGAATGAGCTTTATAAACATTGGTATCTACTCCGGCTTTATCCAAGAACGATAAAGTGATAGACGAGAAATCCTTGTCGACAAGGGGGAGACCGGAAGAGTCAATGAAGACGGCGTCTTTTGACTTCTTTGAACGCTTGGCCTTTGTCCTTGATAGGTACTCCCTGAGGGTAGCAAGGGGGCATATAGAAGGTTTCATAATGCCTTTGACTACCAGAGCAGATGGGGAGTCACTATTACGTTGTTCCTTTGCGTTGACAATGGTACCCCTAATACAATTAGTGATTGACTGGTCAAGAGACCTGAATGACCATTTTCCAAGATCCGATGCTCGAGCTAGACAAAAGAGCTTAATGAGCACAACAGACTTGGCTAGTAATTGCTTTGTACTCAATTGGGTTGAGTCAGCATGTTGATCACGGATGTGGTCAAATACTAGTAATGGGCACCACATATTGTTGTATTTGGGTTTGGAAGGGCGTTGGTGAGCGATACCAGACATAACCCTTTGTACCATAAAGTCATCAGAGACGGAGCGATTGTCTCTGATCTTGGCAATTTGTGCTATGCAAGATCTCATAACTGTGATGGTTTTGGAGGCATAACCCTTCTCAAAAAGAAAAGTTAAGAAAGAAGAAACACTGAGGGAAGAGAAATCATCCCAGTTTCTTTTTCTCCTTGACCTTATATAGTCCACCCAATTACTCCAACAGTTGTTGTATGTAACTAGTGAACTATTAGACCAGGACGACTTGATAAGGTTGCGAGTCGACTGGTCATACACAGATATTATCAGATCCAAAGCTTGGACGAAACTGTTAGGTACCCTATTTTCCACTTTTCCCTTTGACGTAGGGGAATGTGGGCTATGGAATCTGGATCCATAGTCTCCTCGAACGTTCCAAGCACTTGAGGATTCAAATTCTTTGGAAGGAGTTGACGGAGGAGAGGGTACCATGGTGCTGTCATCCATAAAGGGAATAATAACACGACAGTCGTCGATGGGGTTGTCCTCACCTTCTCTAGTACCTTGGGAATCAAGTTTGGCGGGAGAAAGGCGTAAACTTTCTCCCACTGAGCCCAATCCAGGTTTAGAGCATTCTGGCGAAAGGTGGAGAACAACGGAAGCTTGTGGTTGACTCTTGAGGCGAACAAATCGATTGAGAGATTGTGACCTGACTTGTTCATGAGGTCTTGGAAGACCTCCCTCTTGAGTGACCACCCGTATGGATCTCTTCGAGACGGAACAGGAAGAGAGGGTACTGTCGAGTTGAGATGGTCTATCTCTGACTTTCTCGACAGATAGTCTGGTAGGGAGTTGTATACACCTGGTATGTGCTCCGCTTCCAAGACTACCCTCCTTCGTAGACACCACTTCCAAAAGGTTTCTATTGACCTGGAGATTCCCTCGATGGAACCTCCCTGCTTTTGGATATAGTAACAGGTGGTGGTGTTGTCCGTCCTGATGAGAACCTTTCGGTGTCTGATGGATCGGCATAGAACGGGGAATGAACTAAGGACGGCCAGAGACTCCCTTTGGTTGGACGAAAGGGAAGACTCTGCTGGGGACCACTGGCAGGACCATTCGGCTACAATCGACTCCGAACGGTCCAGGAGGATGGCGCCGGCACCTGATTCCGATGCGTCGGTCTGGAGGGTGTAATCGTAGGACATGATTGGTGTGATTTGTTTGCCATTCCACTTTTTGAGGAGAGTCAACCACTGGTTGAGCTCCTCTCTCACCTCTATAGGTACTAGTACCTTCTTGCACGGTGAACACTGGAGAGTACGACATAAGGAGACGACGGCGACGGAGAGGTGAGGACAGCAGGCGGCGGCGAGGAGAGTTTG